ACACATGCCACTTGCCTGGTATCAAGATGGCAACTCTTTTCTAGGAATAAAACACTTGCCACTTGCCTGGTATCATGATGGCAACTCTTTTCTAGGAATAAAACACTTGCCACTTGTCTGGTGTAAAAGTGGCAACTGTTTCTAGGAATAAAACACTTGCCACTTGCCTGGTATCAAGACGGCATCTCTTTTCTAGGAATAAAACACTTCCCTCTTGCCTGGTGTAAAAGTGGCAACTCTTTTCTAGGAATAAAACACTTGCCACTTGCCTGGTATCAAGATTGCAACTCTTTTCTAGGAACAAAACACTTGCCACTTGCCTGGTATCATGATGGCAAGTCTTTTCTAGGAATAAAACACTTGCCACTTGTCTGGTGTAAAAGTGGCAACTGTTTCGCAGGAATAAAACACATGCCACTTGCGCGGTATCAAGACGGCATCTCTTTTCTAGGAATAAAACACATGCCACTTGCCTGGTATCAAGATGGCATGCCTTTTCCAAGAACAAAACACTTGCCCACTGGCCCGGTATCATGATGGCAACTCTTTTCTAGGAACAAAACATGTGCCACTTGCCTGGTATAAAAGTAGCGACTCTTATATTCTAACATAGCATGATCAATTGCATACTGTATTAGACAAGAACATCACTAATCCGGCTTCTCTTCTAGCGTGGAATGCATCCTTCCAGAAATCCATATATCCTTTCTATCATATCGGTTAGTATCTCCTCCCCAGATTGAGGCATGATTCTTTCTACAGTATCGGAAGCTCATCTTTAAAGAGTCGATGATTCAGAGACATATTAATACCCATCAGTGTTTCATTTTGAATGAATCTTTTACAGTCGTCCCTCGATAGTTTCAACCCTTCGATATGTTCACGGCTCTGGGGGCCGCCACTGAAAAATAGCAGGTAACTCCCACGATTCTTATTAATTTCGACTTCACGGTAATTTTTGGTCGTGAATCCTTTACGAAGAACAATATCAGCCAACCGCATTTGAGAATTATAGTAAAGTATGGGGTTGGGATTCTGGAGAGGGGAAAAATATGAGAGAAGGCAAGCTACTGTAGCTAGTTGATGATTTCTATAAAAGCTCCTAATTTTACTTCGCTTTGAGTGTGCAATCTTTTGGTATTTCAAGCAAAGCAACTCAGTGTAAAGCTGATATTTTACATTGGTCATTCCTTGCTTCTTCTTTGAAAAGTTTTTAATTGGTATTGTGAGCACAATGAGAAGGCTCAGTGCATAAATGCGTCAATCACACTCTGGCTTATCCGGAACATATTTATGCCGCATTTCGTTAATTGCAACACCTTGATAAATTCACGGCACCTGACCCCTCCCCCCTTTGGCCTGAAATTTATCGAGGGACGACGACTATATATTTTCTGCCTCGTTTACACATTAGTCTCTACACTTAACAAGCCGTACACCCGCTGTGCAATGGATGCCGCCTGCCACCGGAGGTCGCCCTCTTACATTGAGCGACTTTCGTCAGACAAAAAGCCTAACGCATACACGGCATAACCTGGGCGAGAACTCTTGACGGAACTTCGGTATATTAATGACAACCTTATGGCATACGTTGCAACGTGATTTGTTTCTGAACACGCGCAGGGCAGCACTGATTCCCCCCCTCAGTTCCATCCCGCCCAGGCTATGATAGATCTAGAAAGATGTGTGGGTATGTTGGGTATTTAAAAAAATGAGTTAGTAAGCTCTTTGATTGATTCAAATTTTCGTCAAGATATTTTAGCTTTGTTATTTGAAGTTTTCGGTAGCCATTGATCGCTTGACATGACTTGGATTATATGACATTGAAAAAATTTTGAATTAGTATACGTTTATTACATCATAGCAAAGGAAAAGAAATTGGACTTGCCTTTGAACCAAATGGTGTACCGGAAAAAAAAAACGATGAATACTGACCGCCAGGTAAGCTTCTTCTTCGATGCGGAAAATAAAATTGCTTCCAGGGACACTTAAGCGATGGATCGGTGGTGTCAGCTTGAGGAGGCAAAAAATATTGACGTGGCCAGAAGTGACGGTAATTTCGAGTTGGATTCCAGATATCGAGAGTCCCCCGAATGAAAGAAAGAAAAACAAATAAAGTACATGATGATAAAAAAAAAAACAATGGTCGCGTCAGTAAAAACCTCATAAAACACCCTGTGGGAAAAAAAGAGGAAAAGACTGCGAAAAGAATATGTACATGAAATATAAAATACAAAATACAAACTATAAGCTAAAAATACAATAATCGGGAAGACATCTCGCATACCATATGATGAGAAGCAATCCAAAGGAGGAACATGAAGAGGACACGTAAGCGTTGCTGATTAAAAAGAGCACACCACCGACGATGGCCTTTGACGTCATCCGATTTCGCCAGATGGATGGATGGATGGATGGATGGATGGATGGATGGCGAGAGAAAGTCAACTTGTAGCATCCAGAACTTGTCAGGCGAAAAGAAACGGAAACGGGAAGCTGGAAGAAGGATGGAAGCAAAGGAGAGGTGAGTCTGTTTTGCCGGAGCAAAATCGATGGTGGACCACTCGACGCTTACCTTTTTGAGAATTGTAGTCGATTCAACCAAGTTAGATACACGGGATAAGAATGGTCTGGATAATGGATGCGGATGGGATCTTGATACAATGATAGTGAGGGTTTATCAAGCAAACAGAAAGAGAGAGAGAAAAGCAAAAGAAAAAAGATAAGATTGAAGACAAAAATATATGATTCTCCATGGATGAAACAATAGTCACCCCACTGATGCATGAATTCATAGATCGAAGCACGTCTGCTTATGTATTATTCGATTCATTGAAAATTGAAAGAGAATGAAAGGACATATACGTATAACTGACAAAAAAAAACAAATTGAATGATGCTACAGAAGAACGCCGGTCGTATCATCAACCACTTTTCTTCAAAAAGAGCTCTACTCACATTTTTATTCGAAAGACGACGATGCTCTGTTTGACCATAAATGGCGCAAACGGCATCTTGCTGCTGATTGTTTCGCCTATTATTGTGGAAGTAGGCAGCGAGGCATGGTTGAAAGATAAAAAAAAGAGGTTTAACAGGCCCTGATAACTTAGTGTAGATCATGTGATTTACAAATCGCTAATTTCCCAAAGATTTTGATTATGTAGACAAGTAGCGCCTGTTGATCTTAAAGATCACAAAGTTATGCTCTTTCGGTCTGTAGTTTGTTGTTAATCTGAGGCTAGTGGGAATAGTAGCTGATTAAAGATGCGTTTGGAATGGGATGCTCCATTTGCAATATTCAGAACTCCGCACTCGAATTTGTGTATCCAAAGGTCTCGCTTGATGGTACTCTAATCTTTTGTCAATAAGCGGTTGATTTTTCGGTAAGATTTAGTTGATGTGCGCATAAATCTTTGCGTATTCAATGGACAACAGAGTAGTACAGTCTCTTTTTCTTTTTTCCCGGGGGTCTTGCCCCCCCCCCGACCTACCGCCACATAGCGATCATTTCCTTCATCCACGACAGAGGAACAACAATATGTACACAAAGTTAGGAACAGAAATAGTCAGACATCGTATAATATTAAATGGAGAGACAAAAATAGATAACAGAAAAAATCGTACTTGGGGAAACATAGCATAAGGATAAAATCAAAAGGAACATAAGGACAAAAAGCATACAGTAAAACATAAAGGTGAAGAATAACTTGAAAAATCATAGCAAAGGATGAAAGCAAAGGAGCATAAGACAAAATACATACAGTAAAATATAAAGGAATAATAAAAACAACAACATAAGGGTAAAGACGCCACCAGGACCATCAACAAAGAACAATCGGGCGGATTCGTTGCTTCCATGCGTGACACTCTGGAGAATTGCGTGGTATACGGCATGTTGTCACGGTTTAGGTACTCGTGTGTTGGGGAACATTGGCAGCGTCTGCGATGAGATCGAATTGTTCTCTTACCAGTCTGGGCTGACGGCGAAGTGAGCTTCTGCCAATTTCTTGGCGATCAGGAAGAACAAAGCGATCGTAACTTAGCAGTGAACTCGATTGGCGGTTCAGATGCTCTTCAATGTCCAGCAAAGCGCGACCGTACACGATTTGGGGCGGCTCAATTTTGATGATCATCGTCTTGATTTTGATTGCTCCAAAAATGGAAATAGTCTTCTGCCAAATGCTGGCGGAACTGCATCCAAAGCGCAAACGGGTCAGGAGCCTGACATTTTCTGTCATTGTCGGCATGATACATTGCTGCTGCAGCACGATCGTGGCCTTTGTAAACATACTTGTACAGGTATTTGACGCTTTCCAGAGAAGTACAGATTTCAACGTTAATGTGAGCCTTATATCTTGCACAGAGGTATCGATTGTGGGGAACAGCCCATCTATGTCCAACTGGACATGGTTCTTGACCACAAAATCACCATTGTTGCGACGACGGTATAACGGGTAACCACTGTGATCTTCGATAGTAGCTTCATTGAAGGAGCGCGGGTAACGCTTTTTACATGAGCCGTTTTCCATGCAGGGAGACCTCGGATGCGTTGTTCCACAAGGACCGTGCATCATACATCTGCTGACGGTGTCGTACAGGAAATCTCTCTCTGTCCGGAAGTTCGGCACACACGATACGATCATAGTCATCAAGTGTTCTCGGCTTATCCTCCGGAGTAACACCAAAAGCAAATGAAGATGCAGTAAGCCTCGCTTCTAAAACTCCGCGGTGTGTACATGGGTAACGACTCTTCCCAAACATGGTTCTTCTTTAGATCTTCCATCAGAGCTTTACGCTTCATGTTATAAATTCGAGCGCAAAGGTCGGGCCGATCAACAGCTGTCTGGTTTCGTTTCAACCAATCATATATATTTTTTTTCAAAAATTACCCAATCAAAACCGACAAATGTAGCAAAAACCCAATGTGACTGCCTTGTGACTGAAAATTAGCGCGCATAACTCTCAAACATTTTAATAATGGTAGGTATTATTGACCAGATGATGATTTGACAACCATGAAGCTCCCTTTGGACTATTTGCCGGGCTTAGACAAACCAACCAAAATGGTCCTTAAACATGAATCGGTCGTGGACTTCATTGCAAATGCCCTGCTAAACACCCCAAGTGGGACCTCTACTGTAATGGATGCAGACTGGAATAGCATAAGATCAGACATCGTTTATCTACCACGCTCAAAAACCAGTGACCTACCACCGATTTTAATCGTAATTCAAAACGCACTCAATGGGGACTTCTACACCCGGTGATTTCGTGTTCGCTTAATCTTTGTCACGTTTACAAACCTCTTCCTGTCGTCCTTATATTTGGCATCCAATCGTTCCACTCAAAACAGCCTTACACATTGTTCTCCTTCATCAAACGAAAGACCATGGCTTTACTCGGTGCCGTGTCCAGCGTGGGCCAAAAGCTGCTTTCTGGTATCCAAGGACACAACTTCCAACGTTGAAATTAATACCCCATTGAATCCAATACTTGCGCTGTCACTGTTTCCTACAGAACAACAACCTACGCTATACGACCACAGTCACTATCAAGACCCGACCATTGTGGCTCTGTACAAAATCGCTTTTTCCGCTTTGACCTCGAAACTGACTTCAGAATCAAGTTTCATCACGACGCTGAACACCATTTGCACGACCAACGAGAACCTCTTTAAAAAAAACTTCAGGACTATGCGGATGACCAGCAAAAGACGTCCAAGGTCAAAAAAATTATTCAAAAAGGGATTGAGTACAATGCCAAGTTGAAGAGGCGTTATGCAGATGACGACGACGACGACGATACATCGTCCGAAGATTTGGAGTACCCGCTGAACCTGCCGCTCAAACGCCGTAACCCAAACCGCAGTTTGAATAATGTGGTTTTATTGATCGATTCAAGGACGTCCTTTGAGTGCACCAGGTCGCCAGAAGTCAATACCACCAACCCTCCCATTGACTGCTGGAAGTATGATTGCTCCTTCCATTTACCACACTGTTACAGTCTCGCCAGCTTCTCGGGAGTGCGATCGGGCAAAGAAGTGGTCGATTCGCCTTGCTTTGGAGTGGCGATGAGTGACTTTAGGTATTCGAAGGGAAAGTTCAAACAGACCGTAATTGACTCCTCTCCTTCGACAGAAGATGACAAATCCGATGCAAAAATGGCAGTTTGTTTTCCTTTCGATTCTGATAGTTCAAAGATAATTAATTTTGGGAGGTTGAACAAAACTTTCCTCTGCACAGCATTATCGTTGAGTTTCAACAACAGTGGCAAAATAAAAAGGACCTTTTAAGGGTTCGACGTGAGACCATGTCATAGTCGCCATCAATCAACGGCAAAAGGACCATTGCTTGAGTGTAAAAAGGTGATAATTCGAAACAAAATTATCGTAAGCTGTTCCATTTCGCATCACGTTTTGGAAACGGCGCACGTCAACGTCAAAAGTGGAATGGTTGTTTGATGCAGAAAACGCCATATCATCGGTGAGCGTTCGATAGGCATCATCATCAACCATTTGCTGATCTTCATCGTCAAAAACGTCGGCCACTTGGCTCCATCCTTGCTCTAAATAACTGCTGTCATTCTCCTTCACCGAAGCTTCCGCAGCCATCGTTATCTGATATGTTTTGTTCGTTTGGAGCATCAGGCTCTCCAGTCATATATGCCAGCGAATTATTGGCTTCAGCAGAAAACTGTACGGCAACCTCTTCTGGGGGACGGTGAATGGCAAGCATGTTGTATTTGAGGTTTTGCTCGCTTTCCAAAGAGTGAGGAATTTTTTTATATAGTTTTCAGCATTTTTGTATACTTCTTTTTCTTCCATCCTAACGATGCTGTTTTGGTTCTTCTATGCAGGATGCGTAAGTTGAGTAAATGCTTTCCGCAATTACTGGAGAAATGCATAATTATTTGGTAAGAGAAAAAAGGTGTTGAAAGTATTGTGGCAGCTCACATTAACTTGCCCTTTGTAGGGTTTTCTGGCGCGCTGCTGCCCAAAGCGAGACATTACGTGATACCAAAAGACTATATGGCTATTCAATGCTCCTTTGAATCTTAGAGCGGCAATACTACGTAAGTTTCTCGCAAATAATAACCAAATAAACGATAAATTTTCTAAACTAATTCGTATAGTATATCTATCGTGTTGTCTGCTGGTATCAATGTGAGTCCCATAGAAAAGTAAAGCCATGACTTTTTCACTGACTGAAGTTGTTTTGTAGATTCTCTCTGACAAGCCCATCTGGGTCGCTATGCTGTTCCCATTCGTGAGCGTTCTATCGCCTTAGCAGTAGTCTACAAAGTGAAATGCAACATCCGACTGTCTGTCAACTCAGTTACTTGCTTTAGTATCGAGTGCACATCTTCGTAGTATTTCTCACAGGTAAGTCTCTAATGGTTATCAACGTAAGTATAAACGGCCTATATAGAAAATGCCAGGGGCGTATTTCAGATACGGCAATCGATATGTAATTGATTCAATAAAAGCCACAATTGCAAAAATCCAAACTGTATTCGCTTTCAATGTAATTTTAGTTCGTCCCTATTTTAAGCACCATGGAGAACTTCTAAAATAAACCCTTCGACATTTGGAAATTGAATTACTGATGCCATTAAATAAAACAACGATGGTGATCGGTGAAGCTGAGATCCGTGACAGCCAAGTTCGGAGCCAGGTTGCAAAAATATTTTTACTTCAACCAATGGTAAGCTTAGGCTATCTTCAATTACCAAATTTGGCCTCCAAAATCCACAGTGGGATAACCGGCGCCGGCGAGGATCTGAGGACGCAGTCACAATGACTTTTTTGTCGGAGAACCAATGATTCATCTAATCGGGAAACAAGTGAGTTTGGATGAGACATCCGAAAAAAAAAATAGCGCCTGAATTTTTTAATATCATCGATCTGCATTTTTTTTTTTCAGTAACCTATTTTTTCGCTTCACCCGCTTCGCCTAGTTTTTCCCCACTCCATTCGTTGTAAAGTTCTTCATGTCGACCTCTACTACACACGAGAATCGGCTGGCAACGCTGCGGAAACGCCACCAAACTACATCGGCAGAGAAAACAATGTCGGCCTGCGCCGGTGCCATAGTCACCATGATGTTTAGTAAGCACGACTGCGGAAAATGGGGCTTGACACATTGGAGCTTTCCCTTATTGATCCCCGTTTTTCAGTGAATCCTTTGGACGTGGTGAAAACTCGCATGCAGGAAAACGTAAGCACAAGTGCATTAATGCGCTCGAGAGGCACCATGGTAAGTTGTTGGATCAGTCATTGAAGAAAAGGTGGATCTTATCGGGACCATTAAACGATCGTGACGGTTGGCTAGAGTGGTTTATCCATGATTGTTCGAGAACAAGGTCTCCTGACGTTGTGGCGTGGATTTACCCCGGGCCTCAGCATGGCCATTCCGTCCACCGTCATTTACTTTGTCGGTTACGAAGCTATTCGAGATCATGTCGAAACCACCAAGCTTGCCAACACGTGGGTCGAAACTTATGCACCACTGTGGGCAGGCGGGTTGGCTCGAAGTAAGTGATTTTGGCTCTATCGAAATTGCATTTATATCGATGTATTCAACGTGTTTCTTGTTAGCTGTTGCTGCATCGGTCGTCTCACCTCTCGAACTATTCCGCACACGCCTGCAATCATCACAAGCAACGCAAGGATTTCAAGGTAAAGTTATTACAAGGTCAGAAAAAAAAAAGAAATCAAACAACTCATGTTTAATGTAAAAAAAAAAAAAAAAAAAAAAAAAAAAAAAAAAAAAAAAAAAAAGGTGTCTGGCGGGATATAAGACATATGACACGTCAAGAGGGTATATTAACCCTTTGGCGTGGTTTTCTGCCGACGATGCTGCGCGATGTACCCTTTTCAGCTATTTACTGGATGGGCTATGAGGAAATCAAATACATGCTTACCTCCAAAGATACCTATTTTCCACACTCCAGTTCCGCGTCAAATTTCCAAACCTCCTTTATCGCTGGTGCATCGGCTGGATCGGTAAGTCACTTCTTGTAAAACCGAATCAGGGCCGACTTCTGTATTGACCAATCATGTGTACGGGATTTGCTAGGTGGCCGCCGTGATAACCACACCGTTTGATGTGATCAAGACCCAACGACAAATTAGTGGAGCCAAGATTGGCCATATTTTGAAAACCATTCTCAGCGAAGAAGGCGTACACGGGTTATTCAGAGGTATGATGCGCGGAATTAAGGGAGAAAAAAGTTGGTCAGTAAATACTCATCTTGTGTATGGTTGTAGGTGTTGTTCCTCGTGTTATGAAAGTCGCGCCTTCATGTGCCATCATGATCTCCAGTTACGAAGTGGGCAAACATCTCTTTGCACGTCAAAAACAAACAGCGCCAATGTAAAAAAACATGTATTTTAGACTACTGTAGAAATGGAATACCCCCCAGCCCTCCCCTTTTAGATACAACAAAAATTACTCTTTGATATAGAACGCATTTCATTCCCTTTTGAAGTTCATTTTTCTAAATTTTTCTCATCCTGTGTGCCTGCCTCACTCTACATTCTGCGCTCTGCATTCACTCGATATCAATAATCGATGAATGCATGGATTCTTGTGCCAGTTCCCCCTTGATGAATGGACGTCCTTTTTTTTATGTTGCTTTTGCACTATGTATGTGTAGAATCTATTTATATAAAAGAAAAAATTATAAAAAAAAAGAGAGATAAAAAAAAGGATAGGTAATTGGCAATCATAGAGCTCTTTTTCTTAGTCTTTTTTTCCTTTGTTTAACTCAAAATAAGGGAACCATTCATTTAAAGAGAAAGAGAGTCAGCGTAGGGAAGGCGGTCGATTTGACCGTAAGCGACGTGAGTAGCCTTGCTCTTCAACAACTTTTCGGCAAACTGTTTGAAAACGCATCCACGTTAGTAAAAGAAGAACGCTTGATCCTTATCCTACAATTTCCAATTCTTTACCTTGGCAACATCGGCAGCGGACAATTTACCATACACAGCAGCAAGTTCAGATGCAGTGGTATACTTGCCGGATTGAAGGGCCTATATCAAAAGAAATGCAACCAGTAAGCATTCAATCAATATAACCATTCTCCGTTTACTTCAATCTACTGGGGGGGGTTCCTTTCTCTATCTTGATGATGAGCTTACCTGAACACCGACGGATTCAAGACGGTCAAGACGAGTTTCGACATTAGCCACGGCGGCGAATTTGGCTTGTGCAATAGCTCTTGCGAGCTCTTCCTGTGAAAGACCCTTGGCCACAGCGCTCAACTGTTCAGCGGCAGCAGCAGTGGCAGCCGAAGCATCAGCAGCGGGAGCGGAAACGTAGACACCGAAGAGACCAGCATCCGAATAACCAAAGTTGAAAGCCTTCAATTGGGTGGCGTCGCTGAACTTGCTAGCGGCTTGAGCCAACAAACCAGAGCTGGGATGGAACTTGATGGTCTGTTCGCCACCGAGAGCGTACCGGAGGACCTGAGCAGCGGCGTATTCAGCCGAGTTCAAAGGAGCACCTTCAAAGGCAATGACGTAGCTGCCCTTGTCAGTAACAGACTCAATGCGAGTCTCACCACCGTGGTACTTGGAAGCCTGAAGGGGAGCTTCACCGGCAGGGAGGTTGAAGTAGGTTTCGGCGAGTCTTTCCAATTCACCGTGTTCGATACCGGAGCCAACAAGGGCCACGTTGTTCTGGAGGAAAAGTTCGTTGGCATAGGCCTTGACAGCCGCATTATCAATGTGAGCACTGGGCTTGGCAAAGATGGAGTTACCCAAACCCTTGCGGAAAGCGGCCTTGTGAGCAGCTTCAATAGTAGCAATTTCACAAGTGGCGAAAGCGTTGGCGGATTCGGCAAGAGTCTGCTTACGGACGTCGACGAATTCGTGATCCTGGAACTTCTGCTTGGAAACAACATCTCCAACAATCTCGGCGAATTGCTCACTAAGGAAACCCCCCACCAAAAAAAAAAGAAACAGTCAATCGTCCAGTCATTCCCTTTTGGTATCCATGACCCAGACCAGGTCATGTCAATTTCCCAAATCAAAACTTACGCATCACCGCTCAAGAATTCAGAAGCGTAGACAATCGATTCGTGAGACAAGTTGGAAGACAAGATGGCACCAGCAAGTTCGGCTTCACGAGCGATACGGAAAGCAGTGCGGTTGGCATTGTTCTATACAAATACAATATAGACAAACGTTAGCCAAATCATGTCGTTTTCTCGAAACGCATAATGGTCGCCATGGAAAAAGGAATTGGGACGGAAATAAAGGGGAACTGTCGACGCGCTAAATCCATTCCACAAAAAAAGAAAAGGAATTCATGGCTAAATAGGAACGTGGAACCATGCTCACCTTGAAACCGTAGTTCTTCAAGTAATGAGCGACACCGGGATGTTTGTCGTTTTCGAGGCGCGAACCACCGTTGACGACGACGGCCAAACCGGCAGTCTGACCGGGTTCTTCAATAGAAGCAACCTTGATGCCGTTCTTGGCGGTGCTGATTTGAACGCCTTGAGTGGCGGCGGCGGTGGCATACGAAGCCTTGGCGGCAGTGGTAGGAAGAGACGTAAGAGCTCTGCGGGATGCAGCCAACATGGTCAGAGTGGGGGAAGAACTTTGAAAAAAAAGAGGGGGTGGAGAAAAAAAAATCGACAAAAAAACACACGGGTGCTGGGAGAAATTGACAGTCTAGGGCTCGTTCCATGTTTACGTTTTCTTTTAAAACCCCGCCCCTGGGTCAGTAGTGACGTGCCCCAACAAGCGACCCTTTTACACTCCGCCAACCGAGTGAATCGAACGGTCACCATTGTTCCTTTTTATTTCTTTTTTGCATAAAGACGCCCGATCCGCTGATCAGCCATCAAAAAGTCCATCAAACGTGTTCACCCTATTTATCCGCTGCATTGCCTTTTTTTTTACACGCGATAAAACAAAAAGAGACACGGAAAAAAAAGGTCATGGTCAGCAAGCCGTCGGTAGGCGAGAAAATCAACGTGATCTGCAGAGTGCGACCGTTTCTGGAGGACGAGGACGGCCCGGACGATACCGTCGTTATCCAAAATGATCAAATCACGCTCAACAATTTCCGCAATCCAAACAATCCATTACATTACAAGTATGCATGCCTTTGATAGTCGGGTTTCTCAGGAACGAAACTCACATCATTGAAACGGATAGATTTCCCTCTTGCCATGCTCCTGACGCGACACAACAGGACATTTACGAAAACGACGTTTTACCCATCATTGACCGTGTCTTTGAAGGCTACGTAAGTGTCTTTGGACTTGGCACCTGCTGTTCCTATGCGTTTTGATAACTTACAGTCCGTAGGATGCCACTATTTTCGCCTACGGAGTCACCGGATCAGGTACGGAGCACGAACGAACGAACACACACTTGTTCGTTGGATGGAGTGATATTGAATGGAATTCTTTTTAGGCAAAACATATACGATGGAAGGCACGGCAAAGGATCCAGGCATCATACCTCGTGTTGCCAGGTTTCTGTTTGAAACCAAAGCAGCGTCTTCCAACGTCCGCATCACCATGTCTTACATGGAAATTTTCAAAGAATGCGTATATGATCTGCTGCTGCCAAAACAAAATGTAAGATGACCGGACAGCAACACGGCTACCATGACAATCAACAATCTCACCAAGCGTACTATTTCTACAGCGACGGATTGCTCTTGATATCAGGGAGGGACTGAATCGAGATGTATTTGTAGCTGATTTGACCGAGGTAAGTAAGAAAGTGGACCAAAACAGTGTATACAACTCAGCGACGCATCCTCACCCCTTTTTTTTTCTCTATTTTTAAGCGACCGATTAAATCATACAACGAGTTTCAGAAATTATTCAGGTACCCTATCTATATTATGCATTGAATCCCATTTTGGGATGAATGGCACTCATTCATTGGTTAGAATGGCGCGCAAGAATCGATCAACGGCGAGTACAAAATTGAATGCACGATCCAGTCGATCGCACGCTATCCTGTCTTTTCGGACCATTGTCGAAACTCATGTGGATCCACTCGATGGAGAAAATGACGATATGCAAGTGACCTGTGGCAAGATCAATCTTATCGATCTTGCAGGATCCGAAGATAATCGAAGATCGGGCAATGAGAAAGCAAGGATGACAGAAAGTGCAGCTATTAACAGAAGTTTATTCGTCCTCGGCCAAGTGGTGGAAGCACTCAATGTTGGTTCAGTAAGTGCAATGAGGCTAATAAAAAGATGATTCAACATGGGAACTCACTCCATTGCTATTAAAAGCCACGTATACCCTTTCGTGACTCCAAAATGACACGGATTTTACAGGTAAGAGCATGGTGGATCCATGACAAACAAAGATTTATTTGTTGAGGTCCATGTTTTTAGCCAACCTTGGGCGGCAAAGCTTTGGGAATGATGATCATTAACATTGCTCCAGGGCAGGTATGTATCAATGAGATTACCTGTGGAAAAAGTAAGGGTAACAGTATGCTCACGATTGTCTTATCATTAGGCATTTTATGCGGATACATTAAAGTATGCAATATCATTGAACAAAAAAAAACGACGTGATACTCATGCTGTCTTGATGTAGCGCTTTAAAGTTTGCTAGCCGTTCTCGCGAAATTCGATCGAGACCGAAACGAAATATACGGAAAACAAAAACGGTGACGATACCGAGCACAAGTCCGTCTTTGTCCGCCACTAGCTCGCGCGATTCATTTCATTCTTTTTCAACGATCTCAAGCCGTGATTTGCAAAGACCGTTGAAGCGACAACACTCGGCAAATGGGGAGTCTAGAGTGGAATACGATGCGATGCCAAAGAAACCTCGTCTTTCAATAGCGGGCGGGGAAGAATCGCGCAACAACGCTGTTTGGTCCGAAGCCACCGCAAACAAATCATGTTACGACACCGAAAAGAAGATATTGGAAGCGGTGCTGGCTGAATGCAAGTAAGTATAAACAGAAAACTGTTTTTTTTATTGTGACGCTGGAAAGACATCAGGGACTGATATGAGTGGTTAGTAATGTTAATAGTCTTCACGAGCTGAGGACAAAACTAGAGCAGCGAATGCAACGTCTATAGTTTTTATCATGTACATTTCACCTTTTTTTTGCATTTGTAAATAATCCAATACACATTTATATTCTTTCTGGTTTCATACACGACCGCCACATGAAGATGGTTGCATTCAAATTGTGAAAAAAGGCAACTTGCAAGCAGAAAAGCAAACCATTTGTTTTTTATGTATAGACAATAATGACGCGGGATCATAGAATGAGAAAATGTAATAAAAGCGGACAAAGCCAGTTCAAGTCAATGCAATCTTGTTCATTTATCGAGCACCTGAATTAAGGATGGAATCATGAGTTTTTCTGTACGCTCAATGGTTGGACGATGCAGACTTACTTTTGAAAGGATCCATACGCGCCTTCTTTTTGGAGCCTCCCGCACCTTTGACTTCTTCGTTGGCTGCCGCCTTCTTTGTTGATTTTCCCTTTGATCCGTTATCCGATTCTTCGTCAGACTCGCCATCCGATCCATCTGATGAAGTATCTGCTAGAATGTAATCCGATTACGAAAATGTCCCTCTATTCTCTAATTTGTTTTCACCAGGCTTACCGTCTTGCTCGCGAGGTCGTTTCATATTCTTTTCTTCGTCTAGTTGCATACCAATGAATAAACTATGTCTACACAGCACATTTTCCGAGTTGCCATGTTACCTTTATCCGGCTTGTCTTGGTTTGATAACGCTGCCTTGATAAATCGAGCAGCAGCATCTTTGTTGATGACCAAGGACGCTGGGAGGAAAAATAGTAGGTCAGTAACATGAGAATGAAACAAAGGGTCGCATGTATATTTTACCTTTGGGTCCTTTGCCTTCTGCCTTTTTGATTTTCGCTACATATTGCTTTACCCGTGCCTATGAACAGCCGTTGAATTCCCCTTTGCGTGCCCAATGATTTATTCCATGTACTTACCAGCTCCACCATAACTTCGTGATCCTTTGGATCGTGACCTTTAATTTTCATGTAAACTACCGAGTCGTCAGTGATTAGTTGGACATGTTCGCGTTATCGAGATGGAGGGATGAGTTGCTTACTAAAGAAGAGGGAATTGATGGCGTAAGATAAGACGACTTCGAATTCACAACGTTCATTGAGAGAGAGTTTCGAATATGTTTCCGACAAGTTTTTCGAGAATAAGGGTTCCAAATGTCGTTCAATGGTATCAATGCGTGCACGAAGTGCTCTTGCTGCCTTTTTCGCTTTTTGATCTTCTGAAGAATCCATAATGAAACGGTTGAAAAAGCCTTTATGCGCTCAAAAATAACGATCAAAAATTTGGATAGAATTGGCTTTGCCTTTTTTTCAACATTCAGAGTCCGCGAAAAATTTTAGGTTATCCTACTTCAATTGTGTAAAATGTGTAAATGCGTGTAAGCGTCTACCTTGTAAAATGTGGTGGCATTTACTAATCTGATTGGCAAATATCTAAATACAACATGCTGTTAACCAGTTTGCACTTTTTATTTCTTAGGAGTGAGTCAAGGATGCTCTCACTGTTTGCGAATCAGAGTGGTAACCTGGAAAAAGACATTTAATGTCGTGACGAAAAATGCTTCCGCTCTCTTTTGCGTAACTGATAAGGAAACTGTCGAGACGGCTCATAGAAAGAACTCTAATGTTGTTTTACATCTATTTTTCTCAATGATTAGATGTTAATAAGATCAATGGAAGCGGCATAATTCAATGAAAATTTGAGCAAAAGGTGTCCGTTTGAAGACGGGATTGTCGGAGATTGGACAGGTTGTTTTTGACCAATTGCAAAAGAGCTTCCAAGGTCAATGGCATGCTGAGGGCAGTTTGTTGGTCTTTTTTGGCATTTCCCGATCCACTCTTGATGTCAGCGACGGATCTGCTGCAGCAACTGATTCTACGCGTAACGAACAGAAAGGTATTACTAAAAAAGACCCACGTCCTTCATTGACTTTCTTGTGTCTTACCAAATATACCAGTCAGACCACGTTGATCCAAAGATTCTACGCGACGTCGAACGGAAGCTTCAATACCACAAATTTACTTCCTCGGATAACTATCAATTAGACACCAGATATGAAAAGTAGGCTCTTGAATTGCATTTATATGTAAAACCACCTAGCGTTTTAATCCGTCCAACGCATGATGGTATAGTCTCTCCGAAAAGTTCTATATCAAGGGGCGCAACGATCTCGCCAACGCGTTAAGGTCTTCCAAATCAAGATTCCTGCAGTCTAACATTCAGGTTCCCACCATCAACGATGTAAGCGATATTTGTTCTGTGTAAGCTACTGAGACGATACTAAGACGTCGTTTGATCTCCCTAGCCGAAAAGTCTAAAGTATGACATACTGGGTCTTTTACTGGCGCTGTCGGGTAACCCGCTCGCCCATCCACCTCGATCGCTGCTCGCGCCGGAAGCAAAAGTATCCGAAGCGCAACTGTGGAAAGACGTGCTCAGAGAGGAACCGCTACAGGGATCGCACTGGGAACAGTGGAACGACCTCTCCTCGGATGACGAACCCACTGATCCCTACAGCGACGACGACTTTACCCTTGACTTTGAACAGCTGGCCGAACAGGTAAACTTGAAGTTGATGAGAGGCTGAACTAAAGTGATGGATTGAATGTATCAACAATTATTAGAAACGCCGACTTCATTACCTCGATTCATCTGCAGTGGATCCAGTCGACTCATTTTCCGAGGAAGAAACGGGCAATAACGACATACACTTGTCCGATATCAGTAACGATGTCCATCGATTAGAGATTTTGAAAACTCGACAATACTGGCAAGAAAATTATAAACGAACAAAGCGACGACAGCAGTGCGAAGAGGAGGAGGAGGAAGATAGTGCTGGGGGTCCGCTGATGCGCAGGGACAGTCTTCAAAACGCCTCTCAATTATGTAGGTCATCTGTATTCATCCATTGAACACTTTCAGTTGTGGCTGATCGAGGAAAATCTTGTAGATCCGACATTGAGTCGTTATCGCTACGCACAACACGACACAGATCATGTTACATTTGTTCACGAAATGGATGTGATTCGGGAGGTCTTGTTTCTGTTGCGTGGTTACGAAGGCGTACTTTTTCAGCGCAAGACCACCGCATTAGGTGAACAGCAATTTGAGGCAAGCGCATTGGCCACAAGAAAAAAATTTGCATAGCAAACCCCGTTATGTAACCATGCTTCTTTTTTGTTAAACAGATAAACCAGGACTATGTCCTTCGCCATTTGAGTCATTCAGCCCTCCATGGTATTCTGCAACAGTTTTGCAAGGATGGTATTCTGTTATCCAATTTACGAATGTGGGCCCAACGGTAACAAAAATGCACAATCGCGTGATGTAGATTCTTTTGTTTTGAGGCTTACCGTTGATTTTCATAGTATGGTGAAAGCTTCTACGGTTGTCGCGGGTCAAACTTGTCAAGCATTTGGTGCATGTTTGATGCAAATCATTGGTCAATTTGACTTGGTTTTGGGTCAGCGAGAAATGAAGTATAAAGAAGGTACTTAGTTTGCGCTCTCCTGGTCAATTGCTGTCGACAGAAATATAGGTTAACAGCGATATGTAGATGCTGCCCAAATGATCTCCATACTTCAGCTTCGTCATTCCTTGGAAACCCCTTTACAAAGTCTGCGGATTTTGCATGATATTATTGCTCACAGTCCGTTCATGGGTAACGTATTCTGTCAACGAGTGATCATGAAATTATGCCTCCCCTGACGAATTTTATATCTTGTTTCAGACACTTTTACTGGGAATTCCGCATCACAGCCTGCAACTCCACATACGATCGCCGTGTATCTGATTTCTGAACTCTACAGCCGACTTTTAAGTGCGCAATCGATGGAAACGAATGTTGTCTACACAACGTTACTATCCGTATTTCAGCAAACGTTCGCTCCCTATGGTCGGCTGATGGACGATTGGACTTTTTACGGTTCACTTCAAGGAGATATGGCAGGCGAATTTCTCGTTGCGCAGTAAGGCCTGTCTTTGTTAATTAGTTGCCAACAACGCAAATTCTTAATCAAATACCACATATAGACGCCGGGATTTGGATGAAAACAGCAGCTTATTTTGGTCCCAAGGATTTTACATCAAAGAAGCGCCGGACGCTTTGACAGCCTTGATTTCGTTTCCGCTCTTTACCGAGCATCACAGTCGACGTGTTCTTTTTACAGGCAAAGCGGTGTACTTGACGCTGAAACTAGGACTATCCAACGTAAGCTTGCTATGGGACATGCCATTATCCTATGTACGTTATCTAACATACCCATGTGCTTAGTCTGTTTTACAACAATACAACACATTCGAGACTGTGCTTCACAACACGTTGGCCCGTACCGATGACATTTCCATGGAAGAGTATCACAGCGTGCAACACAACAGCGGGGATCCATGGATGCACCCATTTATGCAACACAGTTTCCCCTTGGCTACAACATCTTCTTCAATCAAGGATCGTTCACCATTGCCGGCGCCTGGCGCGGGTCAACTTTTGGATCAAGCCATGCAACAATGCTTTGAACATTATGTAGGCGCGCCATACGAAGACATGGCAGTGTATTTAAAGAACATTTTGCTTGCGCAATGCGGGCTCTTGCAGCACTTGCAATCATTGTCATCCATCTATCTGCTGTTGCACAACGATGTGATGCACACTTTTCTGGAAAATCTTTTCATTCAGGTAAAATGATCGAACAAAAGACAACGGGGGCGCATAACCCATATACTAACTATTCTTTTAGATGGACCAGCAACGCTCCTTGCATGATCCACGTTTATTAAATAAACTTCTCGCTGAAGCATGCTCTACCGGTCACGAATCACCTCAGAATCTGTTGATTATAAAGTTGAAATCTAAAAACCATACGGATGCGTCAGAGCCAATGAATCCTTCTGTGTGGTTGCAAGATATTCACGTTATGTACGAGGTAAATACAACAAACGGCATAATTGCCCATCACTATGTCTCTTTATTTCAATCTCACGCTCTGTCTTTTTTGAAAAAGCTACCTTGGCCTGTGAATAATTTTATTCGAAGCGAATACATCGAAGAATATAACCACATTTTCACGCTTGTATCAAGACTCAAGCGGGCCAAATATGTATTGGAAACAAAATGCTTTATTCGAATGCAGCATCAAGCAAGCAGGAACCAAAACTTGATGGAGCTTTACTCGATGCGCATGCGTCTCATGTGGTTTGTCAATGCTTTTTGGAGCTATATCATGACGACTGTAAGCACTCCAAAATTTCGCCTGCTCTTATGTTGTTGTTCGTGCTTAAAAAATCATTCATTTAGGTGCTGCACGCGGAAACGATTCAATTTCGGGATTATCTAAGCCAGCTTACTGATGCGGATGAGATTACTGCGTTACATGGTAATTTTGTTCGAAGGATAGTCAACCGATGTCTATTGAACGAAGAGGTACAAAGTGGTCACACTATTTCGACGAGCTCGAATGATCTTATACCTTTTTGATAGACCATATCGATCAAACGGGCCATCATGAGTGTGATGGCGCTGGTGGAAGATCTGGATGTATTATTTGCGTGCTGTACAGGATCCTCCTCCACCGGTCTGGCTCGGGAAAAGGCGACGACGCAATTGGACGCACTGAAAGAAGAATTTGAGCATACCATAGCGTTTATCAACGATTGCCTTGGACAATTAAGGCGACAAGGTTGTTTGCCTTGGTGTATGTCGTTTTCTTGCACTTTTATAGTAAGGGATTTGACTGACCCTCTTTCATTCTCTAGTGGATACACTGGCGGCGTCTCTTTCAGTCTCTTGATGGTCTTTTTATCTCCCTTGCTCCCTCTTGTAATTATCCTGCCTCCATACAAACTCGCTGTAGAAGTTCTATCTCCTTACCCCCGCAGACTGTATGAGACCTGCGGGCATCCGCATGTCTTTCTCCCTCGTTCACAACTGGATTGTTTACAACCTCTTTTTTCTTACATTAATACTAAGCATCACCACACCCTGAACAAAGGCATCGTATATAAAACGTTACACTTTACTGCCTGCGGATATTTTGATACCACTGTATGTAACAATATAAAGAACACGAAGAAATTCTTATACAGGTATGCGAGATCCGTTGATTTGCCATAAAAATGGCCCAGACAAGCGAATTCAGCAATTCCAGAGCAAATTCTCGAGGTATAATGTATTACACCAGGGTATAAAATGAGTTTTGTTCAAGTATCATGTTATTAGCTTTCTTGAGAGAGAAACAAGGATTTTACTGCCAAAGAAAAAAATAAGTGCGTTGCACTTGGAAAGGGTTGAAATTGACAGCCATTGGCGATTGGCCGATAATGTGACTGCGAAAATCAAGCGAGGCGGTTGTTTTTTTTCAGATTGATTCAGGACGTGAAAGCTTCTCCAACGGAATCGAGCATACTCACTCACCATGGCCGCTCAACATGACCTGACGCAACGCATGATTCCATTCTTGGATCGCCATTTGGTGTTTCCTTTGCTTGAATTCTTGGAATTGAAGGAGGTAATTGCAATGGATGTTTTTCATAAAAGTTCTCGGCAGCAACACGAGATCCGAAGCAAGTTTGGTAGCAGTAAAACTGACCTCGACTCTAATTTCTCCAGATGTACGCTACCGATGACTTGGTGAAGGCCAAATATGATCTGTTCTGCCAATCCAACATGGTGGATTTCGTGGCTGAGCTCTACAAGAGATTGCACAACACCGAGAAGACCCCCGAGGGTACGTCAGTCACCATGTTGACAGCAAAGAGACATACGATTAATGGTTGTTCTGTTCGTTATTGCACTCAATTAGATTTGCTCGAGAAGAAGGACAAGGTGCTCGTACAGCTCGAAGATTTGCGTGATCAGGTCCAAGAGTTGATGACTGTGTTGGAAAAACCCGAAGTGATTGCTGCTCTTCGTGACGATAAAATTCAAAACTTGGAGTATTTGAAGGAAAACTATCAGGTATAAGAAGAAGCGTAAAGTGATTGGAATTATTTCGAAAATATCGATGGCTCATCCTTTTCTCGTTGATGTCAGATCACTCAAGAAAAGATTGAAATTTTGTACGATTTTGGTCAATTCCAGTACAACTGCGGTGACTATGGAGGTGCTGCTGATATGCTTTACCATTACCGAGTATTGGTATGTCCCTTATTATTTTAAGATAAAATTTGAATGGAGATTGACCTTTCTGTAGTCGACTGATAACGATCGCGTATTGTATGCGTCGTGGGGTAGAATGGCCTCGGAAATCTTGACCGGTAACTGGGACGCTGCCTTGGAAGAGATGCAAAAGCTGAAAGAAACCATTGACCAAAAAGTGAGTTTCCAAAAAGACATATTTTGTCAATATTCAAGGGAGATTAAACTTTTTGATTTTTTGCAGCATTTTACATCCGCCCTTCAGCAACTTCAGCAACGCAGCTGGCTTATTCACTGGTCTTTGTTCATCTTTTTCAACCACCCCAAGGGTCGTGATGCCATCGTCGATATGTTCCTTTTGCCTCAATACATCAACACCATCCAGACTTCTTGCCCCTGGATCTTGCGTTACTTGGCTACGGCCGTGATCACCAACAAGCGTAGAAAGAACCAGATGAAGGAAGTCGTCAAAGTGATTGAACAAGAATCGTATGAATACCGCGATCCTATCACCGAATTTATTGAAGCTCTTTTCATCCGTTTCGATTTCGATGATGCGCAAAAGAAGTTGAAGGAATGCAAGGATGTGCTCAGCAATGATTTCTTCTTATCGTCTCGACAGGACGAATTCACGGAATGTGCACGACAGTACATCTCCGAAACCTACTGCCGCATCCATCAAAAGATCAACATCAAGGATATGTCACAGACCCTCAACTTGAATCAGGAAGAAGGTGAAAAATGGATCGTGAATCTGATCAGAGATACTCGCGTCGACGCAAAGATCGACTTTGAAAAGGTAAGTCCTCCTTCGTCCAACTTGGCGCCATCGCCCATCACTCATGTTGTTTGGTTTCGTTATTAGAATACCGTTATTATGAACACACCCGTAACGTCTGTATATCAGCAAGTCATTGAACGTACCAAGGGTCTTTCGTTCCGATCCCAGGTGTTGGCTTCCACTATCAAGCGACGTGAAGCTCAGCAAGCCGCTAACGAGGCCGCGGCTGCTCTGTAGAGAGATGATGATGCCTTGTAGAGTTTGGTGCAGTCCGTCATGCAGATTTGTTTTTGGCAGTCTTTCTTTTTTTCCATCTTCCCAAATAATCAATAAACCGTGAAACAAAAAAAAGCATTTCTAGTCACAAGATGAAGAGAGACGAAAAAGGGAATTCCAATGGATCGAGTGTTTTTTTTTTTTTTTTTTTTTTTTTTTTTTTTTTTTTTTTTTTTTTGGTTGTCTGTCATGGCGACCACGGCGATTTGAGTGGACTTGTAGGTTTGGAAGCCACCGTATCGACACGCACGGACGTGATGTTTCTCGTTCCCTTTTTTTTTTTTGCTTTATCATTGATGCATACTTATTTATAGGCGTATTTTGTCATGGTGACGGATTGCATTTATTCCTTGTATCGTGGAGATGCATGCAAGATGTCGATGAATGACACTGAATGACTTGGACAGTGCATTGCATGTGAGTATATTTTCATTTATGCGATGCATCCGTCAGGAACACCCTTCATGATAAGATGCTTGTTGACACGAGACTGATAACTTGCTGTGTTTCTACTGGCGCGATAACTTGATGATCAATGATATTACTCTATCTAATCATGGTTTCCCCTACTATACACTGACAGCGTCACCGGTTTCATCGCAACGAACAGAAAGTGATACGATAGTTTTGTGCTTCTTCAGAAGCAATAGAAAGAAAAAAATCAACCCCAACCGGATTCGGCACCGATAATCCGGACCTTACACAGCCAGCTAAAAAGTACATACCCAACATCTTACCCCTCATCCTCTGGTCAGCTGACGCATAGGCGGATATTGAAGTGATGTTGCATGCTTTTTTTTGTGTCCTCGCCTTCCCCACGAATCTTCCTGATAGTGAAGAAAAAAAAAAGACGTCATAGTTCTCTCCACATTCAACTTTATTGTTTGTATTCATCGAATGGTCGATCCTCGGCCAAGGCTATGCTTTAAGCAGAAGATAAAATAGTGTGTACGAGGGATGAAACTTTGCAACATGATGATGACAAGTGGATACTGTGACCTTTGTGTCTGTCCATTGGAAGCATCGGGAATACAAGTGGTTTAGGAAAAAGGAAGGAGCTATCATCTGTGGCTGGACATCATAGGTCAAGAAAATACTCCATAATCGTCGCCAAAAAGTTACTTTGACGAGGTACCGTTCAGGGTACTCCCTTTTCATACAATTATTTTTTTTTTCCTTTTTCTAAGCAACCGGTCCACCTCATAAAGTAAAAGGGGGAGCGGCTGAACTAAGCCATTGGTTCGTTGATCATCAGATCCTATTTCCATTGCCCCTTGCAAAAGCTTGAATTGAACAATGAGAGGTCAGGTGACTCCTCGGAAGCACAAGAAACGAAAAAAAAAAAAAAAATAGTATATATATGAAGCAGTAGGAGACAGCGTTTGATTTCGCAAAAAAGGAAAAAAGATCATTGCATTTCTTTCTGCTTTCTTATTCTTTTTTCTTTTTTTTTTTTATCTCTCTCTCTCACATCATGAGCGAACCTAATCAAAAGACTCCGTTGCTAAACAGCCAAAACAGTGGCAAGAAACCACCGCTGAGTCGGCCTAAATACAAACGACGTCGGTCGTCGTTTGATCCGTCAACGTACAACAGTACCGGTCAAGCCCTCGGTTTCGTCAAGTCGGCCGAATCCACATCGTCCGGACCCGGTCTAAACTTGCTTCAAATATTGACCTTGACCATTTGCATGGCCGGCGTCCAGTTTACCTGCAAGTATTTGACTTTGGGGACCCGTACAATGAAAAAAAGGAACAATGACTAACGCGCCACTTGGATGATTTGGTTCTGCTTTTCACAGGGACGGTCGAATTATCGTATGGTACACCTTATTTGCTATCCTTGGACCTTTCGAAAGAGTTGACGGCGTTGGTCTGGCTTGCAGGACCATTGTCGGGTCTCCTTGTCCAACCCGTGAGTGTCAATATATCCTATGACATAATGGCCGATGGGTCTTACAGACAACCTGCTATTTTTAGTTAATTGGTGCATTTAGTGACAAGTGCACTTCTCGTTTCGGAAAACGTCGTCCATTCATCGTCGTCGCCGGGATCTTGACTTGCCTTTCCATGGTGGGCGTTGCCTATGCCAAAGAAATCGGGGCTTTCATCGGGCAATCCTTATATCCGAACGATGCAGAACACGCTGTAAGTATTTGTTTCTTTAAACCCTCTCTTCTTCTTTATTCTCCACCCTTTGCTTCCTTGTATCCCTGACCAACTCTATCCTTGAAAAAAAAAAGTGTCAAATCAAACAACTGCCCTTTCTTTTTTTTCGTGCAAAACCCCCTTGATCTTTTTCGTGTTCATTTTTTCGTCTTTTTGATGGCTCATTATTATGTTTTATATTATTGTTAGGCACACACGTATGCGATTGTGGTGGCTGTATCGGCATTTTATTTCTTGGACTTTACATTGAACGCCGTGCAAGCAATCTGTCGCGCTCTGATTTTAGATATCCCTCCTCTGTGGCAGCAAGAGTATGCGAATGCGTGGAGTGCGCGTATGAGTAACTCGGCCATGGTGATTGGTTACTTTGTCGGTTATCTCGATCTCGTCACGTACTTTCCTTGGCTGGGCGATTCTCAGATCAAAGTCTTTTGTATCGTTGCGATGGTGGTCTTTTGTGCCACCTTGGCAGTGACTTGCATCGGCGTCAAAGAAAAGCCATTGGAAGCGGTGGATCAAGACAATCAGTAAGTCAACGTGGGACAAAACAAAAGGGAAAGAGAGGGGCAACAGGGATATGGAGAGACCAAACACCGGGAACAAGTGAAATAACGGAACTTCTCGGTGTAGACCATGGTACCACACGTTCATGTACATTTGGCGAGCTTTCCGATTCCTTCCCAAACCGATTCAAAGCTTGTGCAACACTCAATTCTTTGCGTGGATGGGATGGTTCCCCTTCTTGTTCTACAGCACTCAGTGGGTCTCGGACATCTACTTTGCTACGCATCCTTCAGACACTGATCGCGATTGGTCCGAGGGAACACGGGCCGGGTCATTTGCCTTATTATGCTACAGTATCGTTTCCGTCATTGCAGGTATCATCATCCCCGCGGTTGGCATGAGATTCGAAAAACGGGCACCGTGGTTATCCATGCTGAACATCTACACCGCCTCGCATCTCATGGTCGCCGCCGCGCTATTGTCGGCATGGTATGTACGATCGGTGCTCGCTGCGACTGTTGTATTGGCGATCATGGGCATCCCGTGGGCCATTGTTTTGTGGATTCCGTTCTCACTTGTTGGCGAATACGTGAGCTACGAAGATGAACGCCGTCAGTTGCAGGCCGCTTCGCCTTCATCCTCGAGTGTATCCTCTTCTCCTGTGCGTTTGGAAGATCAGCAAGAAGAATTTGATGCCGGCATGATTCTTGGCGTCCATAATATGTACATTGTGTTCCCCCAATTTGCAGTGGCTATCATTGCTGCGTTCATCTTTGCAGCAGCTGATGCGGTCAAGCGCGATGAATCGTCCAGTGTAGCGTCGGTGCTTGCGTTTGGTGGTCTCATGGCCCTGATTGCTGCCGTATTCAGTCGTTACATCACTCGTGTCAAGTGAACGGGTAAAAAAAAATTGACTCCTTACACCAAGGCTTTTTCTCATGAGGGTAGATGCAGATAATATAAAATATATATAAAAGATTCACAGACAGATATCACAATATAATCAGAATACAAATTATATAAACAGGCTATTTTTTTCCCCTTAATACGATCCGTAATTACAAGCAGTTTCCTTTTTTTATTTTACACATTCATCAACCAATCATTGATTGTCTCAATCTCCTTCTTTTCCACGGAACAGGATTCGAATTGGACATTATTTTCGAGGTGATCAAACTTGAAAGATTCACCTTCATACCCAAGAAACGCTTCCGATTCATCGGCATCCGAAGCCTGCTGTTCAACAGCGGCCGTGCGTGTTTCTCGCAAACGGTTACTATATCAATCCTTGTTAGTTCCCCGCTCGTTTTTACAGGCCATATTGGGTTTCTCTCACTTACAATTCGGTTTCCAAGATCGACTTGATTTTTTCTACCGGAAGGGCGGTAATCATGTCACTCTTATTGCATGCTACCAACACCGGGATACGATCGCGCTGAGTGACAGGCTTGGCCAAGATGTCGTATAAATATTCACCGACAGCGCGAATGTTTCGGCTCACCGAGGTACTATCCACCACATAGACGACTGCACGTGTCACCGGAAGGAAATCCGCATATTGATACCGTACGCGTTCATGGCCTGGCATATCCACAAGATCGAATGTCTAGGAATACGGATACATATAGATCCAAATCAGTCCCTAACTGCTGCATCCTCCAATCGCACGGTTTGCTGTTCAGGGTGCCAAGCTTTACCTTGTTATCCAACGTGATGGACCCTTGGTTTTCCTTCATGGACGTTACCGTCGGCGACCGCTTATTGAAGCGCATCTGGATAATGAGCATCAAGGGTTAGTTTTTTCGTTGACCTCATTGTCGCAAATCATGTTTGTATTTACCAAGGTATACAAAGCTGTTTTGCCGGCATGGCTCGTTCCAAGTAAAAGTATTGTATTCTTGGTCTGTTTCTTTTTGAGGAAGCTCAGAGCCACTAAAGTGAGAGATGCATTAGCATATCAAGCAGGGAATGACAGTGTCGAGATGAAAATTTACCTGCGATGCCCAGTACCAGGATGATCGCAATAAAAGCGGGTATGAGGAGTGTGTTGTTGAGCATTCCAGATGGATCGAATCGTATGATGGACCATTTGATGAGCGCACGAACCCAAAAAGATCAATTGGCACCGCTTCCCTAAAAGCGAGTCACATAGCATAAATGTGCCTATTTTCTGCTTTGTGCTTATTTTATGTTCAGGAAATTGTTCCGAGATTTATTGTGAACTGAACCATAAGAATCTAACCAACTAGTCTTCCTATTAAAGATTAGTAATAATATTTGAGGATTTGGCGGCGTTATGGTGATTAACTGCGATACAGCTTTGTTGTGCCGACAATAAGAGACATGAAGTGTCAGAGCTGATGGATCGCATTACATGTTTGAAAGCATGAAATATTACTGTGAATTCCTTAGAATACCAAAAGGAATACCAAACAAAACTTGATCGAAAAAGACGATAGTAAATTATCAAAGTCGGAAGAGGGAACCATGTTTTCAAAGGAGTACTGTACTTCTACTAGACTCAATTTAGCAAATCGTCTATTCTGTCGACACTTTCTCTCTCTGACATTCTTTCTTGACCAGCCGATGTCGTCCCTGCAAATCTGCCCATATATTCCATATAAAAAGGCCAATTCTAGTCTGTTCTCAGATAAATAAACAAAACAAATATTTATGCGATTTGTCTGCGCTGGAATTGTCGGTGCTTTCAGGTCGAAATGCCAATGAAAAGGGCAGCTGCATCATTCATTACCACTGCCCAAAGGAGCAGTTGTATGTTTTAAGGATTTTCCAACCCATGAATGATTGTGGCAACTGATGCTGGCGATTACCGCATTGATGTTTCTATCATCTGATAGTTGATGTTTGTTGTAAAAATGCGTCACTCATTGTACCGCCTTCGGCAGGTTGGATCAATTATCACCCGTTCACATCGGGTAAAAATGATAGATCCTGTGTAACAAGCCCAAATTAGCGCTCTATGCTGCCAATGCAAGGAGGGTCATTCAAGCACGCCACCTCGATGCGAGTATACACCATGCGCTTTTTTCTTAGTTGGAAACAGGAATCCAAAAAGTTTTCTCACCATTTTTTTTTCTTTTCATATTTCAATGCCAGCTTTTTATGCGTCAAAAATCAAACAACGAAAAAGAAGAACAATAAACACAGAAGAAAATGGGTGTAAAATACAAAGAAACCAAAAATGAGAAAATGAGAAACAAAAACGGAAACGTGAGGAAGGAGCATTTACATGGAAAATTAAGGCGAAAGGAACAAAAGGAGAATCAGGTTGATGAGGAAGGAGAGTGGAAGATAAAGGAAGAAAAAAAAAAGACACTGGGAACACGAGGTGACACTTGCGGGAAACCTACGTTCTTCTTTTTTCTTTCTGTCTTGCTTTAATTGGCCATCACCAGCTGCTGTTGCTGTTGTTGCTGCTGTTGTTGTTGTTGTTGCTGCTGCTGCTGCTGCTGTTGTTGTTGAGACACCTTTTTCTGCTGTTCATAATGCTTTGCCTTTTCTTGTTCTTTCTTGGCACTGACGGCCAGAGGCGATGATTGATGAGTGTGCTTTGCCACTCTGGTAGATTCTGGGCTGTTGGGTGGCGAGATCCGGATGGGAGTAGAACTTTTAGGTTGCAAATAGTGGAGATGTGGACTGGGAGCCTGCTTCATGGAGACTCGACCACGAGAAGTGTCCTCAAACAGAGTCATGATATTACCATGATCACCCACTCGATACGAGACCGAGAACGGGTCAATCCACAGCACAAAATCACGAGGAAGATATGTATGTATCACTTCTGGCGAAATCGCTGCTTTTTGAGCCGCTTTATACAAAGAAGAAACAAAAGAAGAAGAGACCAACGTCAGTCATTTAAAATCTCCCTTGACGATAAAATTAGGTTGCGTCTTTACCAATGGCTAGAACAGGGTCGGGCCGTCCGTTGAAGTTGGAGATGGCTCTGAACCCGTTTCCTCGACACGGTTGCTGTGGATCCCAGTGATCAGTGAAGCGTTGTTTTAACAAAACGGCGAGAATGTCCTTAAACTGAGCAACGATGGTGGCATCGAGTTTCTGAAGAAGACGTCCCAAAAAGTCGACGGCTTGAGCAATTTCAATGTGCATGGCGCATTAACAGGGAATCAAGTGAAATAAGAGAAAAAGCGAGGAGGTGGAAAAAACATGATGTTGTTTTTTTCCTCTTGGTTCAACGCACGGTTTTTATGCGGAGTTTGAATCGGGCCCAGCCAGAAGCACCACTCACATCCCCATTTTGCATTGACCATTCCCTTTCACAAATTAAAAATACTCCAAAGAGGATAAAATGGCTGATTGTCTCCATGGCTCCTAAACACGCTTTTCCTTCTCTTTACAAATACTGTATCTGTACTGTCTCCTGTTGCTGAGTCATCATGGACCCAAACCTCCAAGTTGCGGTTATCAAGAAATGAGTAATGAAGCAACTAGAACACAACATGTGATATTATCCATACTCCGCGATCCAATCTTTTTTTTTCTTGTCATTTGAAACCAATGAAAAGAAAAAGTTACGATCGGTCCCTTTTTTTTTTTCTCATCACAACGTCCCAAACGTGGTAAAATTAAAAACAACTACTGTTATTGTCATGGCAAATAATATATATGATGTATAAAAAAGCAATGGGGAATGAAAAAATGATAAAAAAGACTGAGCAGTGACCCTTTTTGCGGGAGCTCTGGTATAACTTATGCCCAATTTATGTTCAAATACATGATTGTCTCCGTGGCACTAGCCCTTATTGCTTTGGCGCTGATTACTTTTTTTTTGGGATGTGTTTTGGGTGCTTCTGCGATCATTTTCCCCTAGACGCTAAGCCTAAAATAGTAATGAAAGAGTTTTCATTCAAGGGCCGCGACAGCGAAAACTGGGATTATTCTTCATCGTCTTCAAAAGAATTGAAGCCGACGGGCCACCGTGAGCGATAAAATAGCAAATACTGCTAGACTACATACGATCCAAAAGAAATAGATCAAATTGTCAACGTCTTTGCCTGGTACTTTGACGTTCATCCCTATATAAACAAAGCGCGAGTTAGAAATCCAAGTTTTTTTTTTATGTTTCCCCAATCAATTTCATCCCCTCGAATGTCCCTTTGTTATTAACCCACAGGCAACTCATCATCACCACACGAAGGGAGAAAAGAAGAAACTAAAACGATAATGATATACGTACCCCACAAACCAGTGACGAGATTCATAGGGAGCAAGACAGTGGCAAAGATGGTGAGACGTCCAATGACATGGTTGGTGGAATTGGATGTCTGGGTCAACTCTATGGAGATTCTCGCCAAGTAATTGGAATGGGAACGGGCCAACACAGTCTCGTAGTGATTCAGGTTTTGCAACATCATCAGAATATGGTCTGTTGACGATGAAGGTAAGTTTTTATGGGCACAGAGAGGTACTGTTCACTATCTTGTTTTGTTTTTTTAAATGCTTGCCTTGAACATCGCCCAGATAGAGGCCCACGTCGGGCAGGATCCTTCCATCATCCTCGATGAAATCCGGGATAATGGAACTACTTTTCTTCTTGTGGCCGAGAATGGTGGTGGGGGTTTTACTGTTGACAGAGTGAGCACATGCTTGTTGGCAACAAGTGGTGGGACCAGTGACAACATGATGGACGGTGGCGGCCTCGTCGCGACTGCGTTCTTCGTATCGTTTAATCAATGTACGAACGACATCGGCTTTGGTGCCCAACAATCGAAGCATTTGCATGACACGTTTGCGGCACGATCCTATTCGTGACACCATATCGGATTGATCGGTGGATGTGAGTAGTAGGACAAGATCGTCAATGGCGTCGACCTCGGACTCGATTTGAAGGATGATAGGGGCAAAACTGTCTGTAATTTCGTCCATGATGGCGTAATTAATCCAGTCGGGAATCACCATGATATACCCTTGAAGTTGGTCCACTCGTCGTTGCACATGGTCGACGTGAGGGACTTGACCATAGTGAATCTGTGTCACAGAGACAAAACATGACACTTGAATGAGTCATTTTTTATGAAAAAATTAAAAAGCCATAGAGGGTAAAGAAGAAGAGAGAGAGAGAGAGAGAGAGAGAGAGAGAGAGAGAGAGAAACCTTGATCGTAGAGAGAGTGCTTACCGAGACGATACTTCGTTTGGAAACGATATTGTAAAAACTGATGGGTTTGAGGACATCATCATCGTGAACAAAGGCTCGGTAGCATATGAACAGGTAGTTTCTAAATACATCGCATTTCTCTCTGATTTCTTGCGACATGATGTCTTCTACAGTCAGTGGATGGATCCGGAATATCTGTCGGCAAATAACATATAAATAGAATGTTCAAATCACGACATGAGCAGCTGGTTGATTGAAAGGGCTATGGACGGGTATTGTGTGGAAAAAAAGACTGAAGTGTGAAAATAAAAATTTACCTTGCATATTAATTTCATTTCGGAAGTGGAGGGTGAAGTGATATCGATCCAATAATTGGTTTTAGTGAAGAGATCTTCCAGGGTGCAGTTGTCGGTTTGAAGATCCATCAGACAGCGGCCCCGTCGGTACCCTGTGTCCGGATGATAATAAATGAACCTTTCTAATCGTTGATGGATGGGCAAGGACTAGGGAGGAGTTGGGGTTTTTCGTTGCAATTTTCGGGTTATTATCATTATCGTGATGAAAGTGTCCATGTATGGTTTCATTGTGATGAAAATTTTACCGGAGTATGATTATCACCGTAGCGACTTAGTTTTTTTTGCAAGTCGAAATCGGATGGCTGCGGCAGACAGGATTTATTAAAGTCCTGTTCGACAGCGTGATGGGCGTATTGAGCGAGAGCGCCTAGATCCATATCGCGCGAGGTCACGGCAGTGGAAGACGGCTGGGAGGGGAAACAAATGTCATATTCTACCGCGGTGGACCGTTCGAATAACTGATCTAGATCATTGGGTTTGGTTTCCAACAGCTCAGATCGAAGACTGTTGCGGCGTGTGCTGGAAGAAGTTTGGATCGAACGACGGTCGCCATGGATATGGACCGCTAAATCTTGAACGCCCTGTTCCTTTTCGGATACTGTATGATTATAATAATAGGATTCCATAAGATTTCAATACCTGCAAAGAAAAAAAAAAAAGAATAAAAAAAAATACAGGGAAAAAAAGGGGATAGGGAAGAAAAAAAGAAGAAGAATAATAAAGAAAGTATTCCTTATTATTTTTGCCAGTCTTTATGATGGTGAAAATAAAATTACTGACTTACTTCTTATAATACTACTTGTTGATTTTCTACGTAGTCACTTTTTTTTTTCCTTGTCAATTATCTTTTTCTGTTCTTGCCAGTATGCAGTGACTCGAGTGATTCATTCCCCTAGCTTTTTAATATTGATACAAAGAATGGTCAGTTTTCTCTTGGCAGAAACAATAAAAAAAGAGCACAAGAGTTGTAAAGTAAAATAGAAATAGTTAAAAATGATAACTTTTTCTTAAAAAGAAAAAAAAAATAGATAACGAAACGAGAGAAAAAGGAGGGAAACTCAATCGATTGTTCAACGATACGGGGGCCGTCCAATTGAACAAAGAGAAAGAAGGATAAGAAAAATAAGTGCACAAGCAATGAAAAGAAGAACCAGGGATTGAATGGCTTTAAAAGCAAAAGACAATAGGAAAATGGGGTAAATCGTTAAAAGGTAACGGAGAGTATTGTATAGATCTTTCTCTCCCCGGTGCTCACGTAGACAAAGTATTTCACTTATCCAATACATTGGCTCAATTCTTAAACGTGATGACAGTCCAGTAATTTGTAACTCTTTTTTAGGGTATGAGAATCCAAACCAAGGCAGTCGCAAAAAAGAGTGCCCCCCTTGGAGTTTCCTTAATCTATCGGCCCGCTCGCTCATATACAGAGAGAGAAAGATAGACCCTTTTTGAATGACGGCGTTACGGACGGCATGAGGGTGCCCACATACGAGTGTTTGTGACTCTGTTTACAGTCGGCGATCCAATCAGGACGCAACACAAAGGCGTTTTTTTTTTTTTTTTCCAATCTGCATGGAATAAAAATCCGTCAAATAAAGCCAGCTGGTTCTCGTCGAACTGATCGTTTTCTTCAACTCTTTTCTTTCGGTTTTCAAAAACTGTTTTCCCGTCATTATGGTTAAGACCTCGTTTCTGTGGACCGCTCTCGCTACGACATTGGTCGCGTTGACCCAAACTGTGCTTGCCGATGATCAGGTTATCTCGTTGACAGAAAAGACCTTCAAGGATGAAGTGTTGGGTGAACCATTGATGCTAGTCGAATTCTTTGCACCTTGGTGCGGTCACTGCAAAGCGCTCGGTAAACTTTTGTTTTTTATCATGAGAATTGGTGTCTGGATGACAGTAGCTCACAGAAGCCTTATTTATCACTTTTTCGTTTTTCACACCAAAAGCTCCTGAGTACGAGGAAGCTGCAACCCAACTAAAGGAATCCAACATTAAGCTTGCCAAGGTCGACTGTACCGAACATCAAGACCTTTGCCAGGAATATGATGTGCGTGGTTATCCAACATTGAAGGTGTTCAGAGAAGGTGCTCCCACCGACTACAAGGGAGCGAGAAAGGCGTCGGGCATTGTTAGCTACATGAAAAAGTAAGTTTTTTCTACATATGCGGAATCCCCTCCTTTTGAGAAGCCAAACATTTATGCGATGATGTAGACAAGCGGCCCCGGCGGTGTCTGAATTGAACGCCGACAATTTTGATCAATTCAAGGATTCCGACCGAGTGGTCGTGATTGCGTATGCTACCGATGAAAAGTCCAAGACCAAGTTCAAGGAACTGGCGGAGAAATTAAGAGATGACTTTCTCTTTGGTATCATTACCGACGAAAAGCTGGCTAAGCAGCATGGTGTCAAGCAAATGCCCGCCGTGACCCTGTACAAGCAGTTTGACGAAGGCAAAAACGAACACGTCGGTGAATTGGACAGGGACAAGCTTGAAGAATTCATCAAAGCCAATTCGGTGCCGTTGCTGGATGAAATTGATGCCACCAATTTCCCCTACTATGCCGAAACGGGACTGCCCCTGAGTTATTTGTTTGTGGAATCCGACGAAGATTTGGCGTCACTGAGACCCGCCGTGGAAGCTTTGGCAAAAGAATACAAGGGAAAGATCAACTTTGTTCACATCAATGCGGTCAAGTACGCCAGTCACGCTTCCACTCTCGGCTTGAAAGACAAATTCCCCGCTTTCGCTATTCAGCATGTAGAGACGGGCGCCAAATTCCCTCTGGACCAGTCATTGAAGGTGACCAAGGACAATCTCGCCAAGTTCCTCAAGGATTACTCGGCCGGCAAAATTGAGCCTACTCTCAAGTCCGAAGACATTCCTTCCGACAACAATGGCCCCGTTAAAGTCGTCGTTGGTAAGCAGTATACTGACATTGTCCTTGACAAGTCCAAGGACGTGTTTTTGGAAGTATACGCCCCATGGTGCGGTCACTGCAAACGATTGGCCCCCACCTGGACCGAACTTGGCGAACTCGTTCAAGAGCAAGGCGACGGCAGCCTGGTTATTGCCAAGTTGGATGGTACCGAAAACGATTTGCCTGAAGCCGCCGGATTCTCCGTTCAGGGCTTCCCTACTCTCAAGTTCATCAAGGCTGGCACCAACGAAGTGATTGATTACACCGGCGACCGTTCCATGGAAAGCCTCATCAGCTTCATCAAAGAGAACAGCAGCAAGAAGCTTCACATCAAGCCCAAACAAGATGGGGAAAAGAAAGAAGAACAAGAAGACGCAGGTCACGATGAATTGTAACGCACTCCTATCCCTACATCCTTTGCTTCAATATCGCCTGTGTTGGACACGATTCTGTATTTTGCTGTGACTTGCAAACAAACCAAAATTACTCTATCTCAAAAAAAAGTTCGATTTGATTTCCCCACTACTTTTTGATTGCGTTTAATTGCGATTTTCGCAATGGGCTGTCCAGTGTAGACAGTGAGGTTAGTGGACGAACGGAACTCTGAAGTAACAAAAAAAAAAAGCCGTGCCGGCGATAGTTTGAGATGTGCATGGCCGCTAAACTTAAAACATGCAGCCTGTTTTAAATTGGTTTCACATGCTGCACTACTATTCAGGGCCGTCCCTTCGATAAGTTCATAAAACGTATGTTGGTTTTTTATTATTTCCTTGTGTCTCTGCGCGGCAGACCACACATGGAAAAACAAAAGAAACCTACGGATATACTTTAACAGCGAATAATACAATAAGAAGAAAAAAACGATTCTATCAAATAATGTAACCGGATTCGGAAGTGTGAGTGGTGGTTGTAGTCACTGTCGTAGAGTTTGCATGATGCGCAGCGGGCTTGGACGAGGACGATGATTTGGAAGATTTGTTTTGTGCTTTTGCACGATGCGACTTTTTGGCAGGTTTGGTGGGCATAGGGCGACAACGAATCGAGGCCGATCCAGCACGCTTCTCCGAGTCAGGGACGGCCTCGCAAACCGAAGGTTGATGGGTATGGCTCGAGTGACAATGGGTGGAAGACTTATGGTGAGTCGTCGAATGCTTCTTGGTGGGCGTGGGCGTCAGCTTCTTGGTGTCCTTCTTGTGCTGCGACTTTTTGTGCGAACGATGACAAGATTTCTTTGATTGAGCTGGTTTGATGCTGATAAAACCTGCAAATGCTAAATCCGACGAGTGCGGTCCGATCTCCACCACGCTAAGACGTAAAAAGAAAGGCAGCGGAAATGAAATCGATTAAAGAAAACGTTTCATCATGGATGGGTCCCCCGTTAAGGTTTTAGGTCTTACTAGTTATTGGCCGGCTTAACACTCTTTGGAATGGTCCAGTTGTAATGACCGCAGCTCGCATTGACATTGGCAGCAATCACACGATCAATGACGAGTGCCTGCGCTGGTCCTGAAGCCAGAGCAATGGACACGTTGGCATAATGAGCGGACTTGTCGAGTTTCCTGTTGCAGAAAAAATAAGAAAACCCCATCAGCTTAATTTCAAACAGCGAGACACACACACGAAAAAAAAAAGAGTTTATCTCAAATTAAATGTTTCGATGCCAACCATTTAATTGTAACCGTCTGACCGACTTGCCATACGTTGTTTGGTTTGGGTTGCTGAATAGAAACCGTGCCTGCTAATGCCAGTTGAAGCAAACCAAACAGTAACAAGATAGCAGCGTACATAATGAAGGGAAGGGGAGGGGTGTTGGCTTTTTACACACAGTGAAAAATGAAAGAGGGAATGGAAGGGGAAGGCGACGATAAGGAAAAAAACCAAAAAAAAGAAAGAGAAAAAAGAGACTATTGATATACAAATAAGAAAAAAGAGAAAGCGTAATAAATAGTGAACCGTGTCTCATTCATTCTCCTTCCCAAAAGCTCAATAAATTCTGTGAAACGTTGATCAAAACCACAGAAAGCTCGAAATGCCTTGTAGAAAAAAAAACTTGATTGGAGGACTTTTTCCATGATTTAGGAAGATCTTCCAAACGGTTTACATAAGTCTAGTTATCAATCTCATGAGCCATCATTGTTACAGCCTGGCCCGTCTCCTATTTTTTTTTGTTTTTTGGGACTCTCCTATTCTCCTGATGATGTGTCCAATTTTTAAAACCTGGATCATGATTAGTGTTACTCGTCAAAATCCCAATTCGCAGATATAAAGCATACGTGAATCCCAGAAACTCTCTGAGAATGAGAAAAATCCATCATGATAATATTGATGCATCTCAGGTTTTTAATACTCGTGGTTTTGTCAATAATGCATACAGTTGCGGCGAAATGCAAGTGTAATGTGGATGATATGAATTGTCGTCAGAGTTGCAGTAAGTTTTGTCGGGTCATCATATTGGCAGTTTCGTTTCTCCGTATTTACTGAAGGATGATTTACAGTGGATAACACGCAAGCTTGTATGGTGACCTGTGCAGATAAAAACGAGGACGATCGGGTTCGAAAATGTTTTGGCGACTGTTTGGTGCAGCATTGGCCAGGCACCTATCTCCCGCAACCACTCATGGCCAGTTCAAAAACCACTGCGGCCACCACCCTGTCCAGGGCGCCAGTCACCCTCATGAGTATGAATGCTTCGACGGTGGCGATACTATCATCTACCACACCATCGGTGGATTTTCCTCTTGTCACTAGTAAGTGGTTCATTCAGTAACGACGGGCGATCTTTTGGCTCTTATAACCAACATTCTTTTTTCGTCTCTTTATTTTTGCATGTGATATAGCTCATATTACAATGACAAGACAAACGACCTTGCAAAGTGGGGTAGTGATATCTGGGCCAGCTGTGTCCAGCATGTCAGACGGTAGAATGACCCACTTTCTCCCAGGTTTACCCTTGATTACCATGATCCTAGCTTTAATTCTCAGTTTATGTGTCAATGACACCAGATAATCTCTTTCACCATGACATTACTGTGCTTTATACATCCTCTTGCTCCATCTATTATTCCTTGATCATTTACCCTAAAAACCTCTCAATAAGACGTAGATTTGCAAGTCCATATTTTATGAACACTATGATGGTTGACAAGAAATGTTTGTTTTCGGGAACACCACTTGGTCACATACAAGATGCGGATTACAGTCGTCTATTTCAAATTTGTCGAACGATCTGCTGTGGGACGGTTTATCAAAACCCTTTGATCCTTTTTGATCAAGCGCCTCTCCTCTTGTCACTGCATTTCTCTTTTGTAATGTGAAGTGATGGTTCAAAAAATATGTATTTCACATTGCATGAACGGAGGTATTGATGAAACGAATAATTCAATGGACTCTTTTTTTTTATCTATGCAGTATAACAATTGTAAATGAAAACAAGGGAAGATTAGGCGGATTCCCCGCCAACGCTAAGTTTCATCATTTTTTCTTCGGCTTCCTTTTGTGCTTCCACCGCCGCTTTGGCGTTCTTCCTCCGCTGACGTTCCTCAAACCTAAAGGTTAAAAAAAGAAGTCAGCTCGTCTAGCTCCCAAGGGATTGCTTGCATTTTGGTCTTGTGATACTGTACACAACACGGTTTTCAATGATACGGTCAATGATGCCTTGGGTAGTAATTGTGGCATTAGGGTTCTCAATTTCAACATAAATGCCGCGTTGCTTGGGTAACTATCATCCATTTTTCCTATCGTCAAACTTTCCATGCCGAGTATCATGGTTTAGACTGGTCGTTTACCTCATAAGGATCGCAACCGTCCAAGTCTGGCTCCGTAGGTGTATTACCGTGAGCGACAATCGTCATCTTGTACTCCTTATTCAGCACATCTTCCGTCACACTATAAGGTGCCCCAATGATGACTTCATCTACGTACTATATACGGTAAAGCAGAAAATTCCCCAAAATCAGCGTCAGATCCTCCCACCCCCTATAGCAATCCTCATCGATCGCTTTCCAAACTTACACGACAAGCCAACACACTTAACGCACGTTCGTGGAGATTCATCAAAGGGTAATTCGATCCCTTGATCGCATTGACCGTCTACTCGTCGGTCAAAATACACATTATTAGATATACAACCTCCTTTTGATGCGCAGACTTTCTTCTTTCCATGTCGTACCTGATCATCATGAACACCGACGACCAAGAAATCGCCGAGTGCTTTGGCGCGTTTCAGGAATTCGACGTGACCGACGTGGAAAAGATCAAAGGTGCCGTCCACGTAAACGACGCGATCGGTGTCTTTGGGCTCGCGGCCCTCAGAGAATTGCACGATACGTTTGGAGGTGGGCAAAAAGTGAGAAATGCCGGTTCTCAAACTGACACTGCGTCCACCGGCCCCGAAACTACCGAGATCTTCCGAGTTGAAGCTGGACAATGATGAAGCGCCGGCAGACATGCGACGCTTGTGATGATCGCGAGTCATTAACAACATGCGTCCGACCAGTTCCGTCGTGGAAACTCCCTGGGTACGTTTGCATTCACGGTACAAACCGGCATCTTTCACCGCCTGGTAACAGTCGGTGCCGTCAGCCATGGTGGTAATGTCATCACCGTGCACACAGAAATCAATATTGTACTTTTGGAGAATCTCCACCGTGGTATTGTAAGGAGCGTCAGGCACCACCTCGTCAGCCCACTTGCACGCAGCCACCGCAGCATACCTATTATAAGCCCCGCAGGTCAATACAAAATGCGAGATCCTCTGTTTTTTAAACAGGGCCGAGTATCTTTTACCGTTCTTGTTCCTTCATGACTGTAGGGCCTTTGTTTTTTGCGATTTCAGCATCGGAATGCACACCGACGACCAGTACATCGCCCATAGCCTTGGCCTGCGTCACATCCGTGAGTTATTTATCCTTATCCCATTTTGTCTTTTTAACGTACCTGACGAAGGGCATTGGCGTGACCGTAATGCATCATATCAAAGCAACCGTCCACCCATACTCTGAAAATAACATTGTCTCAGATCATTTGTCATGGATACAAGGGAACCATGGTGTTTACTGTACCTGACAGGTCTCTTGGCGGTGGCTCCGTTGGCATTGGTTGTCATGGTGGGTGTCGAACAAATAGAAAAGAGATAAAGAGAAAGGTAGGGTGTAAAGGCGACGAGTCTTTGGGCATTTAGTGTCTGATCGTACCTTTAAATTCACGGACTGGATGGGGTTTCCCTAATATGTATTTTTTTTTGGGTTGACCAAAAAGAGGGTTTGCGGCACCCGAGTTCGAGTTTTTTCTTTCACGTGTTGATGGGTTCGCATCAAAGTTTAAACTCCTTCCGCATTGGGCTCATCCATCATTGGATGGTAGCCGTGGCACGAGATGGAGGTGGAGCCATCAGTCCAATGCGAACCACAAATCACTCCTCACTTTTTCATCATCGAGTTTATCCCAACAGCATGACTGCCAAAAAAAAAGGGCCACATCTTTATACAGCTAGAAGGTTCTCTTTACAAAAATACAAATTCCTTTCGTGTTGGTATTTTGAGCAGCTGGTAGTACCAAAGATATTTGTAGATGATATTTCAGCGAAAAAGTCGAGTTGCTTATGTTGAGGTTGTATCGACCTTGAGGAATAAAGACACTGATGCCTGCAGCTGCAACTACATGCAGTTTTCTGGTAGAATTGGTACAAAAATAAATGGTCTGTTTATTTTGCAAATGCTAAAGATAATTCTGTAATATAAAGTAGCGACAAAATATGCGTTATGCGTAGCATGCAATTACGGCATTTTGCGGATGGCCTTGCACGAAACCAAGATGGGATATCGCACTATTTGCTTGGCGCAAAGAACCAATAGACCATACGGTGGAGGATGCTCAACTAAAGCATTTTTCGCACAGATGAGACAAACGCAGCAATTTTTTTACAAATATTTTGGATATGTCTTTGGAAAGCACTGGCATTTCATTCGACTTGTGCCTGACCGTGCTTCATCAAAAAGCTGGGGGCAATGGCGGTGACGACGCCTAGGGATTCGTTTTGATTCTCCGACAGAGGAAACGCGTGACATGGCACGCGTCGTAGAAATTTTTTCAACACGTCCTGCAATTTCAAGTTCCACGCTCTTTTTTTGAAAACGTTGTGTTCCTTTCTTTTTTCTTGTGGAATCAATGAAGCGAACCAGATCACAGGCGAGTCGCACAGGTTAGTTGACGGTGTCTGGCTTGGATTTATTGGTAAAGAATGTCACTGACAAGATTCAACTGTTGTTGTGGCAACTGACATAGGCGAAACTCAACACATTGCTCTGGAGAATCTGTGCCTGACCTCCAAGAAAAAAGCAAAGCATAATGACCAATCCACCTCAACTATTGCATTGAAAAAAAGTACAGCGTCCAACTCAATGCGCCAGTTAGAAAGATGGGCTGACGTCGTTTTTTTGTAGCCAAAGATAAAGGATCCAAGGAGCCGGAGAAAAAGCCTCAGAATTTGTATGCATCAGCTCGTACCATGTTCCGACGCACAACCTTGCCTTCACGACTCATTGGTCGAATCAGTGAACGCGAGCAAATGATTCAGTTTTGGCGAGATCATGTGCTTGAGAATCGGCCAGGGTGTCTCTACATCTCGGGTTCGCCGGGCACCGGTAAAACCGCACTTATGAAAGATGTAATTCAACAAATGGAAGTTGAGAACTCGGCTCTCAAAACACATAAAGTCAAGGTGGTCGTTATCAACTGCATGACGGTCAGAGAACCCAAAGGCATCTATTCCAAGCTTGTCGAACAACTGAAAACGGCACGACAAACCATCAGCAACGATGTTGTCAAGCAAGCGGAACAGCTCTTGAATAATAAGAAGAACGTAATCAAGTGAGTAGCGACATGGGTGAGATACGAAGAAGAAGAAGAAAGAATTAAACACAATGCAATACAGTGTGGTGTTGCTGGACGAAATCGACCATTTGATTACAAAGGATCAGGATGTGCTGTACAAGATCTTTGAATGGGCATCGATGGCGTCGTCACGGCTGGTCTTGATTGGTATTGCGAATGCGTTGGATCTCACGGATCGTTTACTACCACGACTGCGAGCCAAAAACTGTAAGAAAGACAATCAACAAAAACATGGTTCTTTGAGAGGCTGACAAAAAGAGCCAATACTTGTTTAGGTGAACCTCAGCTGTTAAACTTCAATCCTTACCAGGTGTCTGAGATTGTGGCAATTCTGAAAGATCGACTGTACAGTGTGACGGACACGCCAACGGATACGAGCGTTCCTCCGCCTTTGATTCAGCCTGCAGCATTGGAACTGTGTGCGCGAAAAGTGGCAGCATCGATGGGCGATCTAAGAACGGCGCTCGATATCTGTCGTCACGCAATTGAATTAGCTGAAAACGAAACCAAAACCAAACCGAAAGCCTTGGGCGAACACAATGTCAATGGCACTTTAAGAACCAACGAAGTTCCCAAGGTGTCTATCTCGCACGTGATGAAAGTCTTGCAATGCGTGTTTGGCAACCCTACTGTGCAGAAACTGAAAACACTCAACTTACAGCAAAAGGTGGTGATTGGTGTGCTCATGGTGATGGGCCGAAAGAAAATTCAATTGACCATGGGCAAGGTATGCAATTTTTTTTGTGGATATCGATACCTGAGAACAAGGGAAGTGACTGAAATTTGAATTGATTGGGATGGTTAGTTTCGAGAACAATATGGCATTTTATGTACTTCGGGGGCTGGAAGTATGATTACACCTGTTTCGCGTACGGAACTGAATGATCTGTTGGCGACTCTGGAAACGACGGGCGTCATCACGGTGGGCAAGCACAAGGATGAAAGATTACGGCGGATCCATTTGAGCGTACAAGAAAATGAAATTATGACCATGATTGAAGAAATCAATATCCTCTCTTCCTGGATGCGAGAAATCCTTCAAACGCTTTAAATCCATATCGCTCTCCTTGATTTTTTATCTCTGTCCCTGTATACCATTTCTTATACATTGCAAATCCACACCTTTCTACATATGCATGTTACATAATAAAAGATTATTGAAAAGAGAAAACGAGGTATTTTATCAATGCTGTACACACATCGTGGGATTCGGTTCTTTAATGGATGATAATGAAGATGCTGGGAGAACAAAAAAGAGAAGTAATAGTATAGAGAGTCACAGGAAAAGAAAGATAAAGAAGCGGAAGAAAAAACCATTAATGATGAAGTAAATATGATATGGGAAAAAAATGATATACACGCAACAACAACAAAATATAAAGAATTAAAGAAAACTGTAAAAAGGCAAAAAGAGAAACTTGTAAGCAGAAGAGAAAAAAAGTGTGAAAAAAGAAAAAAAAAAGAGTGAATCCGGTGAGAACGAGTGGCCTATTTTCTACCCTTCTACTAGTTCGCGACCTTGATCATCCACTGACACATGGAAGAAAGGATGCCGTAATGCTTCTCGGGCTGTAATACGTTGGGCGGGATCATACACCAGCATTTTCTGCAACAGGTCCAGAAAATAACGGTTCAGAGTCGAAGGGGGCGTAATAATTTTCTGACAAAAAAATAAGGCATTGTTGTTAATTTAACCTTCTTTTTTTTTCCATTCCAAAGAGTAGATTGCATAGAAAAACTTACATCCAATGATTTGAGGGCTTGTACATATTTCTGACTCTGTCGTGTCGTCGAAGCATTAGGGTATTTGAGGCGATAGTCTTTGAAGAAATTCTGAGCATCACGGCTGGACAAAAAAAAAGGGTAGAGAGCAAGAATCGATGTGAGCCACCCAAACCAAATTTCCTCCATTTCTGTGTAAAAAACGAAAATACCTTGCAGATTTGATTATTCTAGGTGGTAATCGGCCGAGAACGACTTCCATCATGGCTAAATGTTCAAGGTTATCGTGGGTTTGAAATAAAGCGTCGCCTGTGAAGAATTCCACGAGGATACAACCAATGGACCAGATATCACATGGATAGGACCAGCCCATGCCTAATAATACCATTGGTACGGTTAAAATGAAATCCTTCAAAATGGGGGTGATGATCCAATCGGTGCAAAAATTTACCCAAGATAATTTCCGGTGCTCTGTAATGTCGTGTGGAAACCACGGATGAATGATAGTCGTTTTCAAAAGTAGCCGATCCAAAGTCGATCAATCGAATCTCTGTACTTTGAAGAATCTTATCACAACCCGCTCGCTAAAAACGACAAAAAAAAAAGGGCATGAAGAGGGTGAGCATGGAATAAAAATAGATATACGCATTCCAATTCTTTGCGGGTTTACCTTGCCATTCATGGAAGGGGTTTCACGACTGTAGTGATTCACCAGCAAGATATTCTCGGGTTTCAAATCCGTGTGTATTAACTTGAGATCGTGTACAACTGAAAAAAGAAGTCATTAAGCTCGTCTGTCCAGGGACAAAAAGACAACATTGAAAGAAAAAAGTGGCTTACATGCGACACTGGTCAGCAATTGTTTCGCAAACTGCTGGATATGGCCGGACGGGAAGGGATGAAACTCGTTGGATTTCAAAAAATCAAAGACAGACTGGCCCAGCAATTCGAAGACCATGCAAATATGGTTACGATAATCAAACCATTCCAATAAATGAATACATTTGCTATAAAATAAAAAAAAAGGACGACGGCAAAGGCAAGAATAAGTTTTCTCTGTTACAAACGTGTGTTGAAATGGAGATAATAAAAGAAAGCTTACTTGAGGTTCAAAGGATCATGTTCTTTCAAGGTATTGAGTACGCGAATTTCGATTTTGCTGGCATCCCTGTATTTAGGAATGGCACGAATGATCTTGACCGCACAAAAGGTCCTTCGCACCCGATCATAACATTCAACGACTTTGCCAAAAGTGCCTTGACCCAGCAACCGCATCATTTTATCTACAAGACAAGGTAAAATCAGTAAGCATCCTGACGGATTGGTTTTCAAGGAAAAAAAAAACTTACAGCGCGGGGTCAGGGATTCGTTGGGCCGAATAATATAATGACCATCTTTATCGTCATAAGGCTAAAGAAAGGAATAAAAAAAAGAGAACGAGTCAGCGAAAACTAAAATGATGATAGATCCAAGACAGTTGAGACTTACTTCTGGGGTGGGAGGATGGTTGGCAATGGGAGGGTAGAGCTGGCTGGCGGCGGAATAATAGGTTGGATAAGACACTGTAAAGGAAAAGGGAAAGGAAAATATCCGTTGTGAGTAGATCGATCATTCAGACGAATTTTTTTTGGGATTTTTTTTTTCGGTTGGGAAGTCCATCATGCGGAAAGATTAGGGAAAATCCAACAGAAGGGAAAAAAAAAAAAGAGAGAATAGATGGTTACCCTGATTTAAAACATTCAGTGATTGGCCGTTTTCTTTTCGTCGCCTTTTGGCGGTATTGGTCGAGGCCCCATTTTTGACGGCCAAGACAACTTGGGCATCTCCGTTATTGTTGGCGACTTTGCGGGCCCGTTTGGACCGTGTTGAGGCAGATGGTGGTGGAAGATAATATTGGGATGATGGATCCTGTGTGACGGTTGAACCCTTGGCTGCGTCTGCCGTGGTGGTGGTGGTGGCAGGTGGTAAGTGGACAGTGTGTTGAAGTTTGTCTTCTGGTGGCGGAGTGGGTGTATCTTCAATAACAATGACTTCTTTCGGATACCCATTCTTATAAAACTCGGCTTCCCAGTTATCCGGTCTTGTTCTTTTGGTAGAAGTTGCTGTACTTGTCATAACAGGAGGAATCCTTTAGGGGCAACTTGGGTTGATGGCAATAGAGGGAATCTAAAGAATGAAGTGACCTGGTGAGTGAACAACAATTAGAAGACAAGATATGAACATGGTAGTGGGCACGAGAAGGACATGAAAGGTCATCCGCGTAGCAGACGGTGATTTTTAAAAAAGGGTGGGGGGTGTTGTGTAGAGGAGTGGGCAGTGACCAAGGGCGCTAAGACAAAAGGATGCAATGGCTTACCAGGTAAAATGAAAGGTTAAAATGGCGATCTCGGGAATGTTGAAGGGTAGAATAAAAGGTGCGTATAGTTTGAATGACGGTAATAGTGTGAAAAAAAGAGAACAAGAGTTTGGACGGTATCAAAGTGGGCTGGAAAGAGTCGATTTTTTGTTTGTCACAGCAATTTTCCTGCTGCCTGGGCTTCTCTCACTGGCTCTCACAAAAATGGCAACTTGGACTTCACTTTTTTTTTTTTTTCGTCGTACTTTTTTTTTTTCCTCTCAAGCTGACCTCATTACCCAATAGAATCCAACAGTTGTGTAATATAATTATCAACAAAGTGATATAGCTAATAATCCGTTGCATGTTGTCACTTTTTCTACTGCGTGTTTTACTACTACTACTCTTTTTTTGTAGTTTTTTTTGGTAGTCACCCTTTTTTTTTGGCTGTCAGTGGTAACCGTTCCACCTTTTTTCAATGGCTTGCTTTCCCATTACAGGCAAAGTCGCTTCATACAGTAACTCCACCTACACCCATCAGCAACACCGTCAATTACCAACTCCTCTCCTCCCAAATGTTTCCCCATCCCACACCCCCAAAAATAGAGAGACAAAAAAAAAAAAAAAAAAAAAAAAAAAAAAAAAAAAAAACTCGTCCAAAAAGAAAATTTTCCACTCTTCCCCCCAAGTGATGTAATTATCATTCAAAATTTCCCATTTTGTCTCCGTCTCTGTCCTCATACTCTCCCAATCTCCAATGGAAATTTAGGTTCCCTTCCAGAGCAACGGAAATCAATCTTACATTGTTTAAACCTACCGCAACGGACTGCAATATGTAGTTTGTGTAATATTTTCTTTTTCATTTGGCAGTGATAGGTTTTTGTTGGCTCAACAGGCGAACATATAACGCAATGAAACCGATCTGAGCTTAATCCGAGGTTTCTTATTTTGAATCTTTACGGATCAATGAATTCAAAATAAGCAAACGATCGCTGCTTGAAAATAAACAAAAAAAGAAGTAATACGAACGAGTAACCATTAATCCACATCGTTAAAACCATGCTACACCGTGTGTGGAATGTAACATGATATGAAAATGCTTGTTTCATGGATGTTCGCTACGAAAATAAGGAGCTTTGAATGTTTCGTAAAACAGGAGCAATTTTTCTTCTTTACGTCCTATGCTGTGCTGGGACCATGTTATTGGGATTCTGAGGCCCGGTCCGTAACTTGCCATCATTTTATCATCCATAACCAAGTTTCCTGCCTCCCATTTCCAACAGTTCCATCACCGCTGTGCTACTTTGACGATTGCTCCAACGGGGCATGCATCCGCCTCGTTGAATCCGAAAAAAAAATATAATGACCGTCAGACCGCGGTCCAACGTGAGTTCGTGGCTGGATCACGTTGCAAAAAATATGAATTAAAATGTCACTTGGGTAAACTCACCATTTTCACCACACTGAATCACGTTATCTATTGCTATTGATGGTCTGCTATTCACCATGGCATTTTATCCTGTGTATATCGCTTTACAGCTAAAAACCTACTGGTTCACAGCCAAAAGAAGGTGGACACAGACCCACTGACCCGCCATATATATATATATATATATATATATATAACCATTGGCCAACGAATGGCAATTACCTATAGAAAACGAAAGCAAAAGATTCAATGGTCTTGGGTTTCGTGTACTTTGAATGCATAGTCTTGCACAGTTGCATCGATAACCCGTTGTGAAAAGATGATCAATTGCGGATGTCCAATTTATTTATGTTTTAGTTTGGATGTGACGCAAACCTGGGTGAGCGGCAAGCGTGTTTCGTTGGTTTCTTTGCTCCTTTCTAGTTTCTGGGTTCTAGCTTTTTTTTTTTGTGTGTGTTTTTTTCTTGATCATCATCATGACCATCTTTGAAGCCAAGGGAGTCTCTATGCAATTGGCCGACGGTCGTTGGTTGTTCCGAGATGTCGACATTGCCTTAAACAAACAAGACGTCCTTGTTTTACGAGGTCCCAGCGGTGCTGGGTATGTATTTTCCTTTTATCGTCGCCGTTTTCATGTAACCTAAAACTCGCTCTTGTTATCCAATAGTAAGACTACTCTGTTAAAGTGTCTGGCCGAACTGGTACCTTTTGCCAGTGGCGAACTGTATCTGCACGACAAACGACCTTCGGACTACGGGATCCCCGGATGGCGATCCAGGGTCATGTATGTTCCTCAACGTCCTGCTGTGCACCCAGGAACTCCTCTTGATCTATTTAATATGGTGAAAAAGTTTAAGAATCAACGTGACAAACGATTTGATGACCCGGTAATTAAATTTTTTATTTTTATTTTGCATCATCCTTCCATGACAATAGTAACAATAACAGTAACACTGGGTTTCTAGATTCAAATTGGCATGGATTGGAATCTATCGCAGTCTCACTTTCATGAGAAATGGAGCAACTTGTCTGGAGGAGAAATGCAACGATGTGCACTGGCCGTGGCATTAGCCTTGAACCCGGAAGTTTTGTTGCTTGATGGTAAGAAGAAGAAAAAACGCAATGGTTGCACAGATGTGGTACAAATACCATCTTGCCTTCCTCACCAGATGATTAAAATTTATTCTGCCCTGTAGAACCCACGTCCGCTCTCGATCCCGAATCCACCCTGCTCGTCGAAGAAACATTGAAATCACGTACATGTATATGGATCACACACAGTAACGAGCAAGAATCGCGGGTCGCGACCAAATCATTGGTCCTGAATCGCCAAACCGCCTCGTCCGAATCAGTAAAAGATGATGATGTCTCTGGAACCACCGCCACCGAAATCGACATGAATATCTAGACAGACACTTTTCTAAGGAAGGCATCATCCCATTCCCATTTGTACCTACACTATCATTCTCTATTTTTGTTTACCTTTTCCTTTTTTTATATCTCTGAATCCCACTTATTCATTTACCTTTGTTATCACCTAGATTCCATTCTTCCCCCATCTCTCTTGATATCCTTTTTTTTGATATTGAAAATATTCTCACCAACCTGGGCACAGTATTGTTTTGCATCAATATGACATGATGATGTTGTGGAAAACCATGTTTCCCATTGTACCTTGAGTACGCATACTCTTGGAATCGAAAAAAAAATGGCTAGTTCCCTGTTTAGCTGTTTGTCTGGTTGTCTGGCTGCCTGGTTGCCTGGTGGTTGCCAGAAAAATATTTTGTGACACTAGCTGCCTCAATAGTAGGTACTCTTATGCGAATCGGCGCACTACGCGCGGTAGTCTTTTCCTCAACAAAGGAGTGGAATATCATTATACAACCATGAATGTGAAAATGAGTTGTGGGCGAAACACGCCCCTGCTCGAGATGGTGATATTCTTGGAGTTTCTATTGCAGTATGCATTGCAGCGTGCATGTAAATTACTGATATATTTACTCTAGAAACCGGATCTTTCCAAATAGTCGCGGCTTGTCCGCTTACATCTAATAGACATCACGGACCCAAAAAAAAAAAAAGTCAATGAACCATTTATTTGAGAAGGCACGTGGACAAAAGATCGCATAAAACACTTTTTTACCCTGGCGTAAGTTGAACTCGGTGAGTCGCGTTGTTCAACGTTTTTGGTAATGGAGACCCTAGAATAATCAGTGTTTTCTGTAAAAGAATTCGGTCTTGGATTTACTCCACTTGGCCTTGATCATGGGATCCGCGTCGAGTTCATCGTAAGCTGTCAGGTCATTTAATTTTTTCTCTCGTAAGCAAAGATCGATCGATCGGAATGAGAAAAAAAAAAAAAAGAATAATGTTCAAAAGTTTAACTTGTCGGCCCATCCACGGGCCCTTTGCATTACATAAGGCAACATCGATCGATAACGTTTTTCCCCTCCATCGTCTGCTATATTGTATCACAGTTCAAGAGTCCATATTCATCGCGTATCACAACAAAGAAAATGGATGGGTGGTTGTTTGTCAGAAAAGATCAACTCGTGTTTTTCTCATAAAAAATAATGGTATATGTATATAAAAATTTTACTAATCGAGACATGCCTATTTATACCTATGGGAAGCGCTGTATATGCGAATAATGATCCTATTTTTTTTTTTTCCAATGCTGTAAAAGTAATTACAAATTTTTGAATCGTCGTTGACCTGCTCCTTTCATTGCTTGCACTTCGGGACTCAAGCGACAGGCATCTTCTAACCGCAAATGCCGTTTCAGTGCATCCGTTCGTCCAAATGATTTTTGGCAACAGGGACATTGGTAAGGCTTGGCGCCTGTGTGGACTCGAACGTGACGGTGAAGGTCGTGTTTGCGTGAGAAAGGTCGATCGCACAAGTGACAAATAAAAGGCTTGTGGCTGACGTCTTTCTTGTTTGAACTGATCATTGCACTGGACGTTTCGGATCCGCTTTCAGACATGGAACAGCATCGTGAGCGCGGTCGTGATTGACTGGATGAGATGGAGAGGTTTGTTTCGTTGGTGCTGGCGACGGCCATGTTTTTTGTCGTTGTTGTTGTCTCGTTCAACAAGGACGAAGATAAGCTGGTATCAGGATGATCAGGTTGCACAGCATCATGTTCCAGCACGTGGAATGCAGAAACATCGTACGAGCATGCAAGTGACGTCGTATTTAAAGGAGATAATGATCCCAGCATTTCTTGCACCTCGTTGGAAACCTCGCATGGCAGCGGCGGCGTTGGTGGTGGTGGTGGTGACGCAAACATGTTATTGTTGTTGTTGTTTGAGTAAGCATCAATAATCGATGCATATTGCAGATCATACGAGTACGGCATCATTATCACGCCATCCAATGGTAGCGCTACCGGTTCTTTCAAAGGACCGGTGGTGGCAGTGCAGGTGATGGCAGGAGAACTGGGTTTATACTCGGATGTTAGCAGCAGTCCATTCATATGGAGGACAGGATTTTGGTCCATCAGCATCGACGTCGATGAGTAGTCGCATAAATAAGGTGTGGGCGAATCTTGTTCAAAGACGTAAACATCGTGATTCGCCGAAGCATGATATGGTGCAGCACCGACGTATGTATAACAAGCATAAGAAGTCATGATTTTGATAAATGGCCAGCACTCAGTGAGGGAAAAAAAAAAAGAAGTTCGACATCCAACGACACGGTCATAAACATTTTTATATGTTTTCAAAACTACTCTTTAAGCTTTTTTTTTTTTTTGGTTTGACTCGCGGTATTATTGTTTTCTTTTCCACAGTCCCCACATTTTTACCCCTTAAGTGAACAAGAAGATAAACGTAGTGCAAGGTTTTTTTTTTTTTTTTTTTCCTTTTGATGATAATAAAACCATCTTGATTAGGAAACCCCAAAGCTTAATCGCTAATATATTCTTTTTTACCTTTGTCGATCTCCTCCAGGAGAATATACAGTGCAGGTAAAAAGAGTGCCAAGTTTTTTGAGATTATGAACATCATTGACGCATCATACCACGGTGACCCGTTTTATCGCCCACGCTGATTAACTTTTTTTTGGATTCTTTTTTGCAAATACTCCTTGGTGAGAAGGAGGACCCAGGGAGGATATGAAAATACTTGCTTGATTGGGATAAACTTCCGGATGAGCAAAAGAGTCAGAGCGAGACCAAAAAAAAAAAAAAAAAAACGGTTTACGCTTTTTGGAAATTCCAACTTTTTTTTTGGAATCCCCTTTTTACTAAGGTTTACATGATATTCGATGAGCATCTATTGGATCCAATGAATGAACTCGGGAAAAAAAAAGTAATATCTCCATAATGAATCTTGAAAGCGGCTTTATTTCTATTTCTTGGCTCATTGGCCATCCGGTCGAGTTTGACATTTTTATTTTTTTTTGACCGGAAACCTCAAAGGATGTTTTGGATTTTGCGATGAACGGTTTAGGCAGCGACACTTGGTTTTTTTTTTTGTGCCCTTTATTTCTTTTTGTTTCAAGATAACGTGCCACAGCGTGGCTGGAAAAACATGCATATGCGGTTTGCAGAAAGATCAAACGAGGGTGTGGAAAAAATGGCCCCAGCGCTTAGTCATGCATCATCGGTTTTTTAGCTTTGAAAAGAATCACAACAGTTCCTTGCTCTTTCTTTTTCTTTCCCTTTACATCGGTCAAATTTTAGGAGAATCGTCCAGGGGCCCAAAATCTGGATGCCTTTTTTTTTTCCGATGCACGTCCATCATCCGTATCATTACATGACCTTTGGCAAAGAAAAAAAATGTTCTTCTGTTTTCTTTTGAGGAGCTTTCTTCTTCTCTTTTTGGGCTGAACACCAACTCATCTCGCCGACGGCTTTGCCCTATTGAAAAGGAGGACAAATTTGCTAATATGTCATAATGATGCGCGTCCGCTCTTCCTTCAAGGGGACCAGTCGAGGGATAACAACCTACTACCCTTTTGTGGACGGTTGGGGTCGATCTCATTAAACTGTTTACCTTGTCGCAATCATCATTCTACATGCATCCATTCTCCTTTTATCACCATGGTAGGCTCCTTGGCCGACCGGAGACTAAAAGGAATACTGGATCACCTTGACCCTTTTTTTTTATTACCACATCTTCCGGACGGTTAGGCATCGAACCATCTATCTTGTGCGGTAGAAGCCTTGTTTTACTTGTCGAAAACCCTTGTCTTTTGACATCTATTTTTGTTCTTTGAGGAAGAGTCTATTTGGGAAAGCCCTGCTTGACCAGTTTTTTATCAATCCTCCCTATCCTCCTACAGTAATCATTATCCCTTGACGGTTCGACTACAGTAAGCTGATGAAGCGAGTTAATAATGCTTGCAGGGATCAATGCATGGGTTCTTTTTTATTTGGAATGCAGGATTCTGTAGATTAATTCCTTGAAGCATGCTAAGATACGTCCTTGAGACCCTCACCAAGGAAATTTTTGACCCATGTCAGCATTATGTCCAGAGATCGTCTTATGCCAGACTTCTATTTCGTACATGTTTTTCCTTTTTTTTACATTCATTCCAGATCTGTTATCAATGTATGAGATTAGACCCACTTGTTTCCCTACGGCTCCATGCTAACACAGAGAGAGAGATTTCGAGGAGACCATTGATCTTATCAAAAACATTGCTTCTTGAGGGACAGATCGATGATGTCAGAATTAGTTGAACTAATCTGCAAAGAACTTGTTGTCAATTGCATGCATCCAAAACGAGGCGATAGAACCGCATCGAAAAATAACCATGATCACATCCAAATGGGCCATGTTTTCGATTGCCCTTTTTTACTTTCTAGGAATACTTGGCTTATTTTTTTCTCTTTCAACTCAGTGTGACATTGGGACCTGTCAAAAATAATCTTACGAGAAACCTAACACCGATCATCGTAAACAGTGGTAACTGATGATCGATCAGTAACGCTTTCCCCTTTCAAGCTCCCATATTGTGTAACACTGACGCAAACCTTTTTACAGGAGGACGACCTGGTTCGATCACGACTATCCTCACTACACTTCCTCAAATATCATAGCCAACCTGGCGTATTTCAACGTCATTACAAAAATGATATTCTCAGCCAAAAATTAAATACTTAGTTTACCGGCACCGTGGGTAACTTGGGGCCATCCATGTCGAAGCAGCCGGCTGTGAAAAATATGACTAGAGCAAATTTACAGCAATGTAGCAGGCTTCAGAATTCTGACAAGGTCACTGTTAGTATGGTTTATAGTTTAACTGGTCCCCATTTCAAATGGGCCATATTCCTGAGGACATTTATCCACTGAAAAAAAATATGCCCGATTAATTAGATCTTTGATGGAAAGCTTATTATCCTTCTTCAGTCTCAACACGTATTGTTAGCCAAGTTCTACATATCTTTTGTTCAATCTAGTTAAACAGATCGTATATAACCATCAAAGAAGATACAAGATAAATACTATTAAAGAAAACCAAGGCATTTGGGAAAATCAAGTTTTTTTTTTCTTTTCTCTATCAATTTAAAACATTTTACAATCATTCACTCATTGGGTTTAGGCAGCGGCCTTTTCTAATTCATCGTTCACATCTTTGCCTTGGATCCAGACTTTGGTGCACTTGGCCATGGTGCTGGAGGCACGAGAGATGACATCGGTTTGGTAAAAGTTGTGAATGACCGATTGGAGCACTTCGCCTGTGCTGCGAACATTGGATTTTCGCAAAGTCGATAGACCCAACTGAGCCGACGAAGGCGTTTCAATCACGTCGTATCGGGTCAATGCAGGACTAACTTCGGCCAAACGAGCACGCATGGCAGGTAAATCATCGTAAGGAAGCGTGTGGCCAGCCACTTCCGATAACGCACGAATAATCTTCCAGTCTTCGCGGGATGCAGCAGGAGGGTTCACACCAGCCCGTGTAATTTGAGCACGACCTTCGGTATTCATGTATCTATATTAGCCCCGCCCCCAAAAAATTGCATTAGCTCAAATGAAAAAAAAAAAAAAAAAAACCGCGGTATTGGAGAAAAAGAAATACTTACGTTGCGTTCTTTTCGGTGAAAGCCGAACCGGGAAGAATGACATCGGCATATTGAGCACCAACGTCACCATGATGTCCTTGGTATACCACGAATGCATCCTTGGGAACAGAATCTGCCGTGATCTCATCCGCATTCAACAGATATAAGAATTGCGCAGGAGTGCTGCTGGCTTCCTTTGATGTAGGAACAAAGCCCACTTCATAAGCGGCCGTTCGACTCGCAGCCTACAAGTAAACGCATATGCAATGAGTTACCGCAGCTTTTTTTTTCGACCCTGTCTTTTCTCATTTCCGCCAACTTACACGCTGCAAAACGTTGAAACCGTTCCAGCCGTCCTGGAAGACGGTGGACTTGTGCTTATCGGCCAATTCGGCTACCTTGGAAAGAAGGTATTCGCTGTCCTTGGCATTTTCCACGACACCAGAACCCACCAGGATCAATGGCTTCTTGGCTTCGGCCAATCGCTTGGCGAAGGGATGCGAGCCATCCAAGAGCGATTCAATCGCCTTGGACTCTTGACCAATGTGAGCGTAATCGTAAGTAAGATCAACAGGTTCACCAATGACACCAAAGTCTTGACCCTTGTGGAGGTACGATTTGCGGAAACGCGTATTCAGGATCGGTGCTTCGTGACGGGGGTTGGAACCGATCAGCAACACGACGTCGGCTTCTTCCGCACCCGCCAGCGTCGAGTTGAGCGTGTAGTTGGATCGGAAATCGGCATTCAAAGCCAAAGGTCGATCACCGTTGGGAGCGTCAATCGTCAAGTTCTCCGATCCAATACGGTTGAAAAGATCCTTCAAAGCGACCATCGATTCGGCATCGGCCAAATGACCAGCGATGGCCTTGGCTTGGTTGCCTTGTACCTTGCCGAGTTCGGAAGCTACACGTTCAATCGCGGCTTCCCAAGTGATGGGAACGAATCGATCGCCTTGACGAGCCAAAGGCGTGGTCAAACGTTGCACCTTCAAACCATCGTAGAAGAAACGCGTCTTGTCGGAAATCCATTCTTCGTTGATTTCATCGTTGACTCGAGGAAGGATACGCATCACTTCCACACCGCGTGTATCCAAACGAATGTTGCTACCGACGGCATCGGAAACGTCAATGGTTTCGTACTTTTTCAATTCCCAAGGACGCGATGTCATTTGATAAGGTTTGGATGTCAATGCACCCACGGGGCACAGATCAATGACGTTGCCGGACATTTCACTTTCGATCGTCTTTTCAATGTACGTGCTGATCTGCATATCGTTGCCTCGACCACTGGTACCTAATTCGGGGGCGCCCGCCACTTCATTGGCGAAACGGACACAACGAGTGCACTGAATACATCGGGTCATTTCCGTCTTGATCAAAGGACCAAAGTTTTTATCTTCCACGGCACGCTTGCCACGAGGTTCAAAGAAGCGACCACGATCGCTACCGTAACGCATGCTCTGATCCTGAAGATCGCACTCACCACCCTGATCGCAAATGGGACAATCCAAAGGATGGTTGTAAAGCAAAAATTCCATGACGCCTTCACGGGCCTTGTGTACCACCGGACTGTTGGTCTTGACCTTCATACCCGGCATCACAGGGTAAGCACACGAAGCCACCGGCTTGGGCGAACGTTCGACTTCCACAAGACACATACGGCAGTTACCAGCCACCGAAAGGCGTTCTATAAAATACACAAAAAAGCGCGGTCGATCAGTTTAGGTCCATTGCCATGCCAATCCATGACTCCTCCCCTGGGAATCAATGAATTTCTTTACCGTGATAACAGAATCGTGGAATCTATAAAGCACCATATCAGTGAATCGGAATGTAGAGATAATCGTAAGAATGCCACTGAGCTTACATCCACGCCGGCCTTTTCGCAAGCTTGAATCAAAGCTGAACCTTGTTCGATCATGACGGATTTTCCATCGACAAAGACTTCCACCTCTTCCTTTTTGCTGGAAGTGGCACTGAATGAACGTACTAAAGCAGATCGATATCAGATACACGCATCAGAAAAAAAAAGCGATAGAAAGTACCTCCAGCATTGACAAGAGCCGGTGCCCTGCGCGCAATGCCAGTTCCGTTGATGACGCGCAACATTCTTTTTTTTTGACTTTTTGAGAGAGGAGAAAGAGGAGTGGGGGGTTGGTTGGTTTAGATTATCTTTTTGGCCAAATTTAGATAATATAATTGAACAAGTACAGAAGTCAAAACCTCTTGACAGAAATGTAGGTTGAGTCTTGTCCAAATTCAGCCAAAGGATATTTTTTTTTCTTTTCGGCTTCTCAAACACCAATGCCCTTTCTGTGCGGTGAAAACCATACAAAAAATTGTGACGAAATTCAGGTCACGTGAATGCTCGGGATCGTACAAAGGCCCGACATGGCCCTTAAAAAAAAAAAAACGACGGACTCCTGCCATGCTGCAAATCATTGTTTCCTCCAATGATCAAAGTACAAAATCTCTTGTTTATAATCCTCACCACATCATCAATTGATGTTGTGATATACAATGAAAATTATTACTTGTCATTAAAGCATTCGATGCCACGATAGACTTGCACAAACAACTAGCCCTTACAGTGTTGCTTTGCCAACAATGAATGTCATGCATATTTTTTTCTGTTCTATTTTTTTTTCAGGAACACTATACTAGACCTGCCGTAGCGAAGAAACAAATAAAAAAAAAAAAAAGAAAGACATAGAGAGGGTAAAAGGATTTGGATGGTGAATGGAGTGGAGTGGTTACAGTACAAAAATGGGGGGAATAGGGACGTTTTTCTATAACGGTGATTGAGGAGGAGAGGTGTTGATGGAGTCAGCACGTTGCTGAGCGACATAATCGGTATTTCGCACGGGCTTGTATTTGTCAATGTTCTTTTTAGACTTTGGTCGGCTGTTGCCACGTCCCGGTTGATCTGTACTGGATCGCGTTGGGATGGTATTGTCTTGGACGGACGTGGATGGCGTGGTTGGTGAGGATGACTGAGGGTGCGGCTCTTGGGAAGCTGAAGTAGCTTGGGAAGTTGATTGTGGCTGATGGCGGTAAGGATGAATATTAAGGGTAGACAGGTACCAGAACATGAGATTGGAAATGAGCACCTGATCCCTCAACGGCCGTCGTTGGTTGCCAAGCTTAAAGTGAGACAGACGATACATGGCTCGCTCCAGAGCCACCGACATCTGTCCATCGTCAGTATAGCATGATGCATTTGGACCTTCTTGTTCTTCGCTACCACCATCTGACACCTGCAGCCCAGACGATCCCCGGTTCCTCATGATACTTCTGAAAGAGAATCTTGATGAAAAGAAGGCCGACACACTGGACCGCCGTCGAGGTAATGGACCTTGGACAGTATGAGAAAGTCGGTGGGTAGGTCTTTCCATACTACGGTTCTCTCGATACACGAAGGGTTCCTCTACCGTATCCTTCGTTTTATTCCGTTTATCTTGAAACAGACTGCCAAAAATCGTTTTTCGATTCGATCGAAAACCTAATCGCTCGGATAGTGATCGTTTTAATCGACTGTATTTTTTTGACGGCGTTCTTCCAACGACTATGTTGGGTTCATCGCGCGGAATCTCATTCATAACGCTATCGGTAGATGAAGCCGAGGATGGGAGAGGTTCTTGTAGCGAGACGGACGTTTCTGCCTCTTCTGTGATGGAGAGCAAAGCACCGTCGTTGGGTTCGGTTGGCGTGGACTCAACGGGGGAGGATTCTGGTTCGTAAAGACGGGATAATAGTTTGTGTGGCTCATATTCCTTCTTCATTCCGTCTGCATTGCCAAAATCGACCCATTCGCTTATGCTGACTGGTCGATCATAGAGTGTCACCCCTTCAGGAGAAATTGGGCTCGGTCGATCGTCACTCGCTGCTTTGTCATTGTCATTTCGCTGCTGGAGAATTTCTCGATAAGAACGGCTACCATGAACAGAATACTTCATGGAAACGGCCTGACGTCGCGAAAGCGAAGGCGATTTCGGCATGGGTAAGACGGGTATGCCTTCCGTGGCCACCGATTCAACATGAGCAAAAACGACACCTATAGAATGCGTTAGACTTAAACAGTCATATTGGACCAAGTAACTTCATTAATGACCTGACGGATGGCTATTACTACTGTGTCGATCCTTAGTCATTAAAAATGGGGAATACATTTCCTCCGTATCTCGAGGACTGACAGGTGAATTCACAGTGTCGTCGTCGTCCTCTTCGTCTTCTTCTTCTTCTTCTTCTTCCCGAGGGTCGTCTTTTTCGTGCGGTACTTCGTCGTATGAAGATGGGTTACTGCTATCTTCTTCGTCGTCTTCTTCGGCTTCTTCTTGCTGGCCAATCTTTCCTTGATCTTGGTCTTGGGAATCTGGCGTATATGAGGCCGATAATCCCGACCGCTGTCGTCCCAGTTTTCGAGTACGATGTTGGACCGTAATTTCATGCGTCTGGATCCATTTAGCAAAAGCTGAAGGCGCAATTTCTGGATGATGGCTGGCCGGGACCCTTTTGAATAATAAATAAATACGAACCAGCAGAGTGAAAAAAATAATAACAAAAAAGAAATATACAAATAGAAAGAAAAAGAAGAACACACGCAGAGTTTTTCTTGGTTAGTGATCATACTGTTTTTTGAGTTTTCTTTTTTCCTTTTCTCTTTCTGTTGCAGACTTTGCTCCCATTTTTTTTCCCTCCCTTCTCGAACTCTCTCCGAAAAAAAAAATCTAAACCACATTGGGCATATGCATGATACAACCCGTCGATGATTCGATGCTTACCAAAGTATTTGATCACCAGCTACAGAGGAATTTGGGAAATCAAGATAAGACGATTTTGATGCCATGGTGAAAGTGGTACTTGGTAACGAGGGTGGCGTCATGTCGTTGGTTTTAGTATTTTGCCAAGACGAAATATCGATGGACAAAGTTTCAAACGAGGAATCCGATGGAAACGAAGCGACATTGGGATCACGGCAAGACGTCGACATGTGAGCAATCTGCCAATATCGTTGTGAATCAATCGAGATCAAATGAGCAAGATCGAGTTGGTTGCTAGTCGAGATCATTGAGTAGTGATGAAGGGGGAATGGAGACCGACCTTATTTTAGATTTCAGGGGGCTGACTGGATTTTTTTCTGGGGAGAACAGACGTCTTGGCGACTATGGATCTTTACAGAAACACACCACACTTGAATAACACAATATAAAAAAAGAAAATGAATGTAAAAAGCAGAGAAATGGATAAAGAGAATCAAGAAAGAGTAGAAAGAATGAAAAAGATGATCGTTTTCACGCGCAATGATGAAGTCTTGCTTTACAATTTCGCATGTTTTTTTCCTCATTTGACTTTTTCACTGTCCGAAATTCAGCGCTTCTGCCAAAACGGGCTAAAGAGAAAAAAAAAGTCCAAACGAAATTCAGTGTTTTGCGTTTTGAAAACAAAGACCTTGGGTGATACGAATCCAAATTTTAAAGCCAGGAAACCATGACTGTCCAAGTGTGTGGTGAAGAAGAAAAACAACGGTCGATACAAATTTGTATGGACCAGCCAAGTTGTAAAGTTTTCAATAAAGTAGTTGCTGCACCATCCATTTTTATATATGTGCGTTACCAGACATGGATGATTAAGGTGTCACAGTTCTTCCACCCACTTTCACTGTCTTGAGAAAATAAAATGTCAGTTCTTGTGAGATCAGGTTGCTACGCCAGTCAGCCTGGATTTATTTTCGAAATTTTTCCGATCATACGGCAATGAAAGAAAAAAAATGGAATGGCCCGATTGCCTTGTCCTTTTGAATTGAATATTCAAAACGTACATCATAGGACCATCAACATGGTGGTCAAAGTGTGCAATTGCTTGCCGTTTTTGGACCAAATTGGATAGAAGTAAAGAGCCAATCACAAATCGTTCTGTGCATCTGACAATTGCTTGCTGTTTTTGGACCTTCACTTTGTCTTCCTACTTAATTCAAAGCATGCAGGAAATTGATACCATTGTGTCTGCGAAAATCCAAACTGCTCAACAATTCTTAAGTCTAACAACAAGGGCGACCTTTGCACAAAACACAAGTCTCGGCAACCAAAACAAAAACATTGTCAGCGTGGAAGCTTGTGGTGCGAAGCTTCGATCACATAACACCTCTGGATTGTGGCAGGAACATCGCTTCGATGAAAGAAGCTCCATTGCAAGTACATCCAAGACCATTTTTCTAAAACAATTTATCTGGTCCATGGTTCCTTGCTCTTATTGTAACCCATCACCAGTCAACGCACTTCTAAAGAAGAAGCGGAAAAAATGCCAAACTTGCAGTAAAGAGACCAAGCCCAGCAACTACAGCAAAAATAAGAAGCGGCAACGAGATGACTACGTACCGCTTTCGTTTTGCAGATGGGTGCAAGCGCGCTTTCGGGAGCGCATGGTCCGTGGATGGTCGAAATAAATTCATTTTGAATGGTCAACACTTGGTGCACGCCAGTTTCACTTCAAAATCAATTAGCGTGACGTCACGCTAACGAAAATTAGGGTGCTGCCGCGTCAACTGAGATCTTTTCTTTTTTGATTTTTCATCAACCTTGACCAACTTCTCTAACATTACTGCCGCGGTCGAAACTTTCAACAATCTTGTGCAGGTGAATAAAATACGGTGTATTTGCCCTGCGGGCGAATATCATTCAACAGCCGACGTTCCCGACACTGATGCCGAATACAAACGGAAGTTCAATATCCTACTCAGTGGTCAAACGATTCAGCGACCGTGTAACCTGGTTCACTTGCAAGCATTACGGTGAATGTAGGATCTGTAAGGGTGATGCCTACGATGAAGCTGTCGAGGACGATGAAGCCTTGGGCCAGCCATTTATTAAGGGCAAATCAAGCCAGAAGACTGGTTGCAAATGCTTGTGTGAGGCGTTCAAAGGTAACTGAATTGGAGTGAGTTTTTGAGCACCAAGTGTTGGCCTTTTGATCGGTTGAGATTGACTGATTCACGTTTTTGCACAAACATCAGCGTTCTCAGCAGATAAAGCAATCAACGGTGTCATCCTGATGGATTACATACCCATGGCAATGCACCTCCAAAGGGACAAGTCGGTGTCATGCCCCGTCATCGAATCATTTGCCGTGGTCACCCACGATCCCATAAATGATATGCATGCGGCAGGTGTATCATTTGGTACGAAGCAAGACCCAGACACACGGCACCAAGTTAACCTTGCAGCTCCCGGAAGAGGAAGAGACCTTGCATGTCGAATCTCATCAAAGCACGGAATGCAGCATCGATGCGCTACTGGCGAAACCTGATTTGAAAAACTGTGCAAAAGTGACTGGTGCCTACGACCAACCGGACGACAAGCTGTTGGATATATTGAACATGGAATTCCATGGGAAACCTGAATTTCTGGGCCAGATATCTGCACTGTATACCGTCTATTTTCATATTTTTTCATACCAAACAATAATAAAATTAAAAATAAACAATGGAAAATACTTGATTTTTCTTTTGACTTGGCGCGCAATCACAAAAGTGTAGACAAGTAGATCATAGAATGGGATTTTTTTCAATGTAACCCGGTGAGAAAACTGCAACATGCTACAACTACAATTACCCAACCTTGTAGATATCTCGATAGTCATTGGACCTGTCTTAATGCTTCTAACTCCATTTGTTCCATGAAGATGCCGAGTCATGGAAAGCTGGGTTGTTTTTCAGGGCCACCCTTTTTTATCATCTCTGATACTGGCTGTCAAAAGTACACTGGGATGTGGTGTGCAACCATTCCACAATGCATGTTCAAGGTTGGAGGCATAGCAGAGCAAAAGAATGCTTCTTATATACAAGAAATTGGAGTATCTCGTTATCAATGATGGCAAGAAAGAAATATGCAATCTATGCTGAAGGCTTACAAAAAAGAAGCCAATGCATGAATTTATTTCGAATCGCCCATGTGACTGTTAAATGAAATATAAGGCCAATCTGGGACGCCTGTTGCAGCTGCTACATTCATCTTGACGTGATGCCACGCGAAGGATTCGTAGAAAAGACGTATTTGAAGTGCCTTCGCCACGATCAGTGGGGACCGTTGCCAGACAATTTGATCGATGTATCCGATTTGCAAGAGAAAGTCTGCTTTGAACACGTACACGCACGACGATCGGAATGGCAGTGTGTTGATGACAGGTAAACCCCTCAACGTCCGACGACCGCACCACTCCAAATCCACTAATGACTGCTTCAAAAAAGCGAAGCTGCACCTTATCTACCGGATCTCAATACACGGAAAGTGGCACTTGGGATCCAAGAGATTCACACTGTTGAATTGTCGAGATTTGACAGCGAAAGCTTAAGTAAGCGTTTTCCTGCAGCACCAAAAAGTCTCAAGCCGTGCGATTCAGCTTTAACCTGAATTATTAGATAAACACATGTCACTCAAGTATGGATTCGTAATCAATACGGGTGGATCGGTATGGGGACTCGACTTTGCGCCGAAACGACCTTCCGTCGACACGGAACCCCTGATTCAGTATTTGGCGGTCGCTGGTTACCGCGGGACGGAAAACGAACATCATACCTACATTGAGACACAGACGGGATATAAGAATTGTGTTCAGATATGGCGATGTCAGACGTCGATTCATGCGGAAGAAACTGATCCCGTATTGGATCTGTGTCTGTTGCATGATTACGGTACCGTCAGTCAGTTGAAATGGTGTCCTTACGGCGTGTATGAAGAAGTAAGGTTGCGGGACGGGTGGGAGACTATGGCATGGCTTTTTGATATCAACTGTGAAATGGACTGTTCTATTAGGAGACCACTAGCCAACAAGAAACCGATCTTCCTAAACTGGGTATCCTCACCATAGCTTGCGGTGATAGCTCTGTAAGAACGATCGTCGTGCCTCATCCGAAAGCGGTCCGAAAAGCTTTCGATGTAAGCGATCCTACAAAGACAGTCTTCTGTAAGTATTTTAACGGGTGGGGCGCGTTGTAGAGAGAAAAAACAAATGAATGATTCATGAGAGATACGCAGTACGGATAGAGAAATCTCGATGTACCTTTTCTTTACCACGCACGCATCCAACCAATTTTGCATGGGGCGGTCACAAAAAACTGGCAGTCAGCTATACCTTTGGTAAAAAAGAGACGCGAATGACGCGTGGATGCTGAGATTGAGTAACTGAGCATAATGTAACAGGCAATGTGGCGCTTTGGAATATGGAAACAGCCCTCGCTGATGAGGTTTCGCATTTATCGAATCATCACCTTACTTGGAACGTGCTGGTGGATGATGCCACCATACGCGGTCTCACCTGGGATAGTCTGCGTGAACCCACCTATGTTGCTGCAGTTGGTCTAAGCGGCATGTTGAATGTCATTGATATCCAAGACCCGTCCCTGCAAATGACCATCTCTCGTATTCGAGGTATATATATATAAAAAAAAGAGGATGACCGGAAAGCCCATGGTTGATGGATTTGTATTCTGTTAGGCTCTTTGTTTACGGCGGCGTGGAGCGATATGCTGGATGAACTCTTTTTCGTGGATGCTGATTACAGCGTACGATCGATCAGCATGGTTACAACTGAAATAGGCGTCGGAAGTAAACTTACTGAAACGCGAAGCATCATCTGGGACTGGGCGACCAGCGATCAACATATATTTGCCCTTGTCACTACCGCCGATGGATGGGTACTTGGCGTGAACCCGTTGTCAAGGAGAAAAAAGAGAGGCGTAAGCAAGAAAAAAAAATGGTGATGTACTCTGGTATCCATTTGACACTAACTGATGTGAATAGAACACGGTTCAAAGTCCCGTGTACAAGTTGATTTACGACAAATCTTCGGAGACGCTGCGTTTCGTGGATGGCATTCCACCGGAGGTAAACTAGCCAACCCGATCCATACAACCAATTGAAACATCATTTTAAACTCGACAACTAGTCATGGGAAAGTCTAAAGAAAAAGATACCGGAATGGAACGCCTTTGTTGAACCGACCATTGCCCTTCAACGTGTAAGTAATGATCTCTGACAACCCGTGTCACTGAAGGCGATTATCTGAAAAGACAATTTCAATTGTCATTGTAGGCGGCATGGAATCCCAATCAAAAGACGGGAGCATGGATAGCAACTGCCGGCGCGGCTGGACTGTGCAGAGTTGAATTCATTGGAGAAGACGTACAATGGGGATAACCTTTTTTCATTATGTTGATCGTACATACGCACCCTCGACATTGTACCGCTTGTTTAACAACGCGGAGGAATACCACCACTTGAGTGCCAATAATTCACTTGTGAAATATCATCAAACTCATATCAAATAGCCGCAGTATGCATTCCTAGTTCGCGTTACATAGCATAGTAATTATCACAAGACATGATGAAAAGAAAAACATTACCATCTAGTACTTTCAACCAGATCAACGCTGCCATAGCCCTTTTTTCCTGTGGAGGAGGCGCGATCAAGGACAGCAATGATCTATCATGCAGTTGAGTGTGTGTGTAATTGTGTCATTCTTAATCAAAAAATACTACTTCCTTGTTTCAATTGGCGACATTGTAATTTCGATTCCGCTCTGCCATCATTCGAACGTTTGGACGTTGATGGCCAACCAAGAACCACCGATTCTTTAATGATTTTTTTTTTGAGTCGCCTCTTTTATTTCCACTTGCTTTGACCCGATTTCTCACGGTCGACCGGCTTTGATTGAGTTCTTTTGGATCCCTTTTGCATCGACTTGTGCTCAAGCATTTATTATGACAGGCTTAGAATTTATTCCCGAAACCACCACACACAACGATAGTTATATCCAGGAACCGGCTGTCCTCCCACCCAAGCACAAGGCTGTGATCGACCCCAATGTCGAGCCATGCGAGTCTGATCTCTCATCCGTTGATCCGACTTCCGCCATGCTGATCGAACAACAAAACGAGCTTCCTCTGGTGCAGACATTACGACAATCATCCGAATGGACTGAAGTGATTGCTTACCAGCACATGTCGGCATCGGCTCGGGCGCATTCTTTGACGGCCACTACCTTGCGAGGCCCGGGCCTGATTGCGTTGAGGCCACTGAAATTCTTTAATCACGACAAAACCGAATGTATTCTTGTCGCTCACCTCGGCCAAAATTTGTAAGTGATGGGGCCAAAGAAAAATTTATGCAAGTGCATATGTGAAAACAATGGTATCATTGACAAAAAATATACACACAGATGCGGACACGATGGCATCATTCATGGCGGTATGCTCGCCACTTTGCTGGACGAACATCTCGCTTATGTGGTAAGCCATTGATCCAACTCAAACCTGAGACGTCGTTGCCATTGCGTTACTAATGAAAAAGGTGTTTAGACGTTGCCAAATTTACCGAATCAAACGGGTTTTACGGCGAACCTGAACGTCAATTATCGCCGTCCTGTCTTGTCGAATCAATGGATCGTTGTCCGTGGTAAATTACAACGACTGGAAGGACGCAAAGCATGGGCCGAAGCATGGATTGAAACGGTCGAGGACACCCCACAGCGCTTGACCGAAGCAACCGCTCTATATATCAGTCCGAGATCCGAAGGTCCACGAACAGACTTTTGAGATCCTCCGGGTTCGCCGTCTTGTGCGGAAAAGAAAATAGATTCCAGATCATACAACCTATTTAAAACTAGAAATTAGACGATATCACCATGATCAACACTTGAAAGGGAAACTGGTTGCAACTAGTTGGCTTTTATAAAATTTGGCATTCGGATAAAAAACCGTCTTGCCCTCACAGCAACTAATAATGATCGGATATGGGTTCGAAATATTCCATGCTAATCATTCCAAGAAAATACTGCACACTTGTGCGGTCTATAATGATGAGCAAATAGGGTTGTTCCGGATTATGTTATTAGGTGTTAGAGAATCTGGATGACGGATGTGGGGTATTTGGGCGAGAGCGCATTATTGTGTATTTAAAATACTGCCCTTGATTTCAGATTCAAAAGGAAGAATATTTATGCCATCTATCCTTAACGGATGAAGTATTTGGACACTTGGCCATGTCATTGTCAGCAAAATGATCGCATGGTTACAGTGGCGGGGATCAGCATAGTTATTCGGAGATTGAATATATCGATGAGACTGTCATAAAATGCCAAACAGCCCCACCTCATTGCCTGTTTATCTCATTTCATAAAAAAAGCAGCCGAATCATTATGAGTCATCAACACGAAGGATTGCAATCGCTGCTGGACAATGATCTTTACAAGCTGACGATGCAGTATGCTGTGCTTCAGCACTACAAAGATGCTCAAGTAGTGTACCAATTCACCAATCGAGAGAAAGAACTGCACTTGAACGCTGAAGCCGTTGAATGGCTGGAACAAAAGATCCACGGTGAGTAGATCACGTAATCCAAAATACGCGACACCTAACATTGGGCTAATTCTCTCTTGCAAACAGAAATGGCCAATCTTCAGCTCACAAAAGACGAAGCCAAGTATATCCAGTCGCTTCCATTTTTCGACGATTCTTACGTCAAGTACTTGTCAGAATTTCGTTACCAGCCTTCAAAAAATGTGACGATCCAGTTTGACAAGGACACTGAAGATTTGCAAATCCAGGTGCGAGGTGCTTGGCATGAAACCATTTTGTACGAAGTGCCTTTGCTCGCACTGATCTCTGAAGCGTACTTCCGTTACGTCGACCGCGATTGGAACTACGACGGTCAGGTGGACCAAGCCTCAGGCAAGGCAAGAGCGTTGCTGGAAGCAGGATGCGCCGTGTCTGAATTTGGCACACGTCGTCGCCGAGATTTTAAAACGCATGATATGGTTTTTGGCGCCATTTATAACACTTACCAACAATATAAGTCCGACTGTGAAAAAGCCAAACAACAACCCAAGGGTGTTGTCTCTGGTACCAGCAATGTCTATCTTGCCATGAAATACGGTGTTACGCCTATTGGTACTGTTGGTAAGTTTAGCAGCAATTTTGATACATGAGGGCTTTGCGAGTGAATGCAGGAAGTTGATGTTTATTAATTTTCCAGCGCATGAATTTTTCATGGCGGTGTCTGCTTTGGAGGGTGTACAAGGAGCGAACCGTAAGACGTTGGAAAAATGGACACAGACATACCATGGAGCGCTCGGCATTGCATTGACCGATACGTTCACTACGGATGTGTTTTTGCGCGATTTCCGTGGCGAGCTTGCCAAAACATATGCTGGTGTTCGTCAGGATTCCGGTGACCCAATGACCTTTATTCCCCTGATGGTCAACCACTACAAGTCGTTGGGCATTGATCCCAGCACGAAAACGATTGTCTTTTCCGACGCTTTAACCGTGGAGAAAGCAATCCATCTGCTTCACAGCTGCGAGGAATACGGTATCAAGGCCAGTTTCGGTATCGGCACGTACTTTACCAACGATTTCCACAAAGCCAGCGATCCGTCGGTGAAGAGCAAACCGTTGAACATTGTTATCAAAATGCACGAATGCAAAGGACAACGGGTGATCAAGCTTAGTGATGATGCTCTGAAGCACAGCGCCGACATGGCCACCGTCAACAAATTCAAGAAAGAACTTGGCATCTAAGTTTAATACTTTAATTCAAAAATCCATGCTTCCTGTACAAGTAATTATTGAATACATGATCTACATTAAGTTATCAGGACCTGTTAAACCGTTTTTTTTATCTTCCAACCATGCCTCGCTGCCCACTTTACGATAATAGGCGAAACAATCAGCAGCAAGATGCCGTTTGCGCCAGTTGTGGTCAAACGGAGCATCGTCGTCTTTCAAATAAAAATGTGAGTAGAGCTCTTTTTGAAAAAAGGTGGTTGATGATACGACTGGCGTCTTTGTAGCTTTATTTCCTTTGGTTTTCTGTCACTTATACTGTCAGTTATACTGTATATGTCCTTTCATTCTCTCAGTTTTCAATGATGGAATGATAGATGGAGTAGACGTGCTTCGATCTATGAATTCATGCATCAGTAGGGTGACTATTGTTTCATCCATGGAGAATCATATATTTTTGTCTTCTTTCTTCTTTTGATTTTCTCTCTCTCTTTCTGTTTGCTTGATAAACCTTCACTACTATCATTGTATCAAGATTCCATCCGCATCCATCATCCAGACCATTCTTATCCCGTGTATTTAAATCGACTACCATCCTCAAAAAGGTAAGCGTCGAGTGGTCTACCATCGATTTTGCTCCGGCAAAACAGACTTACCTCTCCTTTACTTCCATCCTTCTTTTAGCTTCCGGTTATCTCCGTTTTCTTTTCGCCTGACAAGTTCTGGATACTACAAGTTGACTTTCTCTCGCCATCCATCCATCCATCCATCCATCTGGCGAAACTGGATGACGTCAAAGGCCATGGTTGGTGGTATGACTCTCTTTTTCATCGGAAAAACGCTTACGTGTCCTCTTCATGTTCCTCTCCTTTGGATTGCTTCTCATCATATGGTATTCGAAATGTCTTCCCATTATTGTATTTTGTAGTTCATAGTTTGTATTTTGTATTTTATATTTCATGTACATATCCTTTTCGCAGTCTTTTCATCTTTTCTTCCCACAGAGTTTTTTATGAGGTTTTTACTGACGCGACCATTGGTTTTTTTATCTTTTTTTATCATCATGTACTTTATTTGTTTTTGTTTCTTTTTATTCGGGAAACTCTCGATATCTGGAATTCAGCTCGAAATTATTGTCACTTCTGGAACTCAATATCTTTTGCCTGCTCAAGCTGACACCACCGATCCATCGCTTAACCGTCCCTGGAAGCAATTTTATTTTCCGCATCGAAGAAGAAGCTTACCTGTGGTCCGTATTCATCTTTTTTTTTTCCGGGACACCATTTGGTTCAAAGGCAAGTCCAATTTCTTTTTCTTTGCTATGATATAATGAACGTATACTAATTCAAAACAATTTTCAATGTCATATGATCCAAGTCATGTCAAGCGATCAATTATTATCGAAAACTCAAATAGCAAAGGTAAAAATACCTTAACGAAATTGAATCAATCAAAGAGCTTACTGACTCATTTTTTTTTTTTTTTTTAGATACCCAACATACCCACCCACCTTTCTAGATCTATCATAGCCTGGGCGGAACGGAACTGAGGGGGAAACCAGTGCTGCTTTGCGCGTGTTCAAAAACAACTCACGTTGGAATGTATGCCATAAGGTTGTCATTAATATACCAAAGTCCGTCAAGAGTTCTCGCCCAGGTTATGCCGTGTATGCGTTAGGCTTTCTGTCTGACGAAAATCGCTCAATGTAAGAGGGCGGCCTCCGGTGGCAGGCGGCATCCATTTGCACAGCGGGTGTACGGCTTGTTATTGAATAAAAAACGTTAACTTAAGGACGGAGATTTCCATTACACACCTTATTTTTACTTTGCCATACGATGATCTTCAGCAATCGATTGGGAACAATCGACCTGGGTTCCAAGAACGACATTAACTCAATTGAAGGAACGGTTTTGCAACAGGCTTTTTTTAGCACTATGATTTCTCGCTTTGAATAGGAACAGTAGCTTTATACAAGCACATCACGACACATGGATGACATGAATCTTTCGACCATATCAACCGTATGTCTTGAGTTTCATCATTCACTGACCTATAAAATGTTCAGCGGAAACAGCACCAACCAATTTGCTTTTCAGTTACTGCTTTATTCACGGCTCCAGAGTTACGATAGCAGCAGTTCGGCGTCTTGTGAACTATTTGAATTTTTGATCTACGAAGTTCAGAGATTTTGTCTGTCAAAAATCGCTGAACTTAACCCTCAAGCAAAAACCACGGTTCCTCTGTATAAGCAAAAACCACGGTTCCTCTGTATAAGCAAAAACAAAAGTTTTCCCTCCAAGTAGATAATCCGTTTTGCATTCTTGCTGCTAAAACAAACCCCCAAAAAAAAAAAAAAGGGCCAGCGCACCGCCATCGCTTTTTTCTTTTTGCTTGGGGTCATCACAATTGGAGGATTTTTTTCCTGAAAGGTGGCGGTCTGTGATTGGTTCAAAAATTGACGGAGAATCAACACAGCAAAAAAATTGCCCCTGGCGAGGATCGAACTCGCGATCTTAGCGTGACTCTGGTATACCCTTAAGATATAAGCACTATGCCTTAACCGACTTGGCCACAGGGGCCGGTTTGCAAAATTTTTCCGAAATACATTCATCAAGCCTCAGGTTTTAAAAAATCGAAAATCGCCGATTTTGAAGCAATTTACATATAAAAGCTAAACAGCCTTTGTATAAACAGCAAGATTTAAAGGAGGCCTGTCGTCTTGCAAAAAGTGAAGAGGCCATGTATATAAGAAATGGCAAGAAAAGGCACAGTTTTACTTGACATGGTGTTGCGCGAGTCACGTGATAATATGAACCCAGTTATTAAGAGAAGAGCAGCATAAACTTTTTTCATCCCAAACAATTGATTAAAAGTTGATGGAGAACGATATTTTGGTTTCGACAAACTTTCAGCAAGGGTAGTCAAATGTTGCGAAAACGTGTATTGGCAAGCTGTCATGGTTACTAATTTGCTAGTTTATCTTGACTGATCCGCCATCGGGAACCTCCACATTCTGCACAGCTTCAGAGAATTTTTTTTTTTTTCTTTTCCAACAGCATGTCGTTGCCAGCCTGAGATAGAACATGGCAATTTCTGGAAAACTCGGTTTGAATATAGAACAATTGACTTTCGCAAGTCAGAAATCCCTATGAATCATCACCCTGTCGATTTTAGAAATAAACAAAGTAAAAGCATATTCTTGCCAGGGTTGCAATTTGTGATATGCTACTTTTGCCGAAGAAAAACATATCCTTATCTCCAGTGCAAGGCACAGCAATGGTACAAATTGAAATGAGCGAGTTGAACATTAGTGTGAAGCTTTGGTAGGATGTCCAATTTTTCGAAATGAATGGCACAAAAATGAGATAATCGTATGTGTGTACAATAACGGCGCGCAGAGTGTAAAATCGACTCTTTTTTTCCACGACAAATAGGTTGTTCATTAAAGCGTGTCTTCTTCCACAGTTCTGCCGCATTGTGGTGCAGCTGTTAAACAACAACGAGTGAGTCGTGGGAAAATTCTTAGACGATGTTTACCAAAGTACTTTGATGGCAGGACGTAATTCGCGCTCTCTTCGTGAACGAGTTTACAAATGCTTCCACTATAATGGTATGCGTGCGTTTTGGATGTCGGCGTATTTATTTTTTCTGATTTTCAGCTGTGCGCAGAGTTCATGGCAATATCTATCGTAGCTAGCGTTGGTAGGTTTTCGACATTTTTTTAATACCTCAGTAGTTCTTCAGTAAATACAAGGAACAAAAAGCACTGGTAGGGGATTAATTCAAGAGTTTAAAATATTCCGTGTTTCCACCAGCAGTAATCACCTACGGGCTAAAAATAGGCTTTGCAGCATAACCTACGAGAATGACCAAGCTTTCTATAATTTCTGGATTCTAGATACGGTTGAGATAACAAAACTATTGCTTGCATCTACTGTAGCAAGAGAGGTCATGAGACGTATAAAAACATGTCAGGTGCTCCAGTCAAACCAAAAAAGCTCACTCTACAAAGTTGTTGTTTGTCAATGATGAGTCGATCAGTCGGTTTTACATGGAAACGCTGCAGATCATTCAATTAGTAAGGGCGTGTGTGGCAAATTAGAGAAAAATGGTATTACGATGCCAATATCTCTTCAGTGCAAAGTGTGAAGTGTGAATTGTGAAGAATCGTATTCTCTGGGAAATCATGCTCGGTAAGCAAAGAGAAAGGAACCCGGTGGGAAAAAGCATCCCATTTTTCGAAATTCAAACAGCGCCCATTCATGCAGACTGACAGAAATTTCCTTTTGCTCGTCTCAGTCAACGTACTTCCGAAGCTGCAACATGATCACCCCACAGTCGCAACCACCTTTCGGAATAGGCCACGGTTGTTTCGGTTTTTCTGTCCGTTATTAATCAAATTGTTCTTGGGTTGTCAAGATATCATTCAAAAGGAAACGCCCAGCCGCCAACGTGACAACAGTCATTGTATAAGGTAATAAAACATTTACATCAACCTAGTAGACAATATGAAGAAAAGGTGTAAAAAGGCAAGAGATGTTGCCTGAGGAGGGGAAATCATGGTGCGCGGGGCGGTTCATTATATAATAATTGAGAAAAGTTCGATGGAGTTATTCCTTTAGGCGGGTGGATTTCCAAGGTGGAAGATTGTTGTGACCTGTGTTTCGACCATGCAAAAGTGGTCGATTGGGTGACGGAGTGTGAATTTCATTGTGCACTTTTTTTGGGAAGCCCAAGGGACGGCCGTGGGGGGGTCTCTTGAAGTGGCGTGGGTTTTTTTCTTTCTTCCAGGTGGTGTGATGAGCGGCTTATTCCAAATTTGTAACAGCAAGTAAGTGGGACTTTTATTTTTTCTGACATGGTGAGAGAATCGTCTGATAACCACTGAGACGTGTATGGAAAAAAAAACCTGAAAACATATAAATAAAGGTCGCTTTTCCCTTCACCTTGCAATTTTCCCATCAGTTCTCTTTTTTATTCTTTTTTCTCTGTATCTTCTCTTTCTGTTCCTTAGTATCTCTTTCTGCTCCTTCAGTACAACAAAAATCTCGCCATGGATAGCCAATTTGAGCCTGAACAAGACTTTGACAACTACTATGACGGTGATACTGTGACCATCAACGGGTTCATCTTTTGTGGTCGCCATGGTCAGGAAGTCTGTGACAAGTGCCCAACCGATAACCGCAATTGCAACAACTCGACCGTGGAGCAAATGTTGCATGAGAAACTCACGGAAGAGGAATTCGAGACAAAATGGAAGGGGGATGATCGTGAACCATTCAATGTAACGCGTCAATGGACTCGTTTATCCAATGGCAAGCCTGGATGCATGGCTCACAAGGAAGTTGCCTGCAAGGAATGCTTTAACTGGGGTGACAAGCTTTATCGCAGTATCCATGGTGGCCGTAAGCCGAGGGTGTCTCGTCTCCACAAGAAGGACAAGCAGAACAAGGATGTCCTTCACTAAAAAAAACCGTATTATTCCCCCAATATTTCCTTTTCTTTTTCCCTTTCCGCTTTGAATGGCTCTTTTGGTTGTTATTTCCCCCCAGCTCCGTATAATGTTGTATGTTATACTCTTTCTTGTATTTGAATTGACTTTTTTTTCTTTTTTTCCCTTTTTTTTTTTTTAGCGTTGATCGCCGTAGTAGTGGCAGTAGTGGAGATGTAGTTATACAGAGTGCTCTGTAATTCAGAATAAACAAAAGTTGATTGGGAACACGCAATATGGGAATGGTCGGCTGATTCGTTTTTTCTTCTCGTGTTTGACTGCAGCTGTGGATAGCACACGGAATCGTTGTAAGCTTATGATTTTGGGGTTTTATTTGGCTTGCTTGTTCGATTGCATAGCATATCACCTTTTTTAAGACAAACCGAACCCAAGTTCCCAGACCATTCAAATGGTGTGTACTGGGAACCTACCGTGAGAACCCAATCATTTTGTTATTTTAGATATGGTCCCATTCTTTATTGGTAAATAGATTCCTGCACAGAACCATCTTATACTGAGCTGCGTTTGCAGGTGGGAACATAAGAAACTCAATTCATGGAAATTTCTATGAACGACGAGGCGTACTTCAAAGGGATAATTGGCCAATTTACAGTGTTATCTTATCTCGATATTGGTCCATGTTTATCCATCCGTTGCACACACACACACACACACCCGTTGCAGCGCACCTCACACAGAGTGTATTTGGCTTCACAACCGATGCCAATCGCCCGACTTTTTGTTTTTGTAGCAATCATTGACCACGTCTTTCTTTTCACACACACACACACACACACACACACATTCATATACACGCACAGTACGCAATAGAGTCATTGGGTTCAAGGTATCGCTGTATAAAATATACAAAGGGTATAAAGACGTCTTTATTTGTGTTGATGTGTTATTTTTCGTTCGTCGTGCATTGTCGTGAGAACCACGCGAGGGGAGAGCGTTTTGGCTGCAAGTTTCTTTCAGAATGAATATCAAACCTATTTAAGGTTTTATTTGCCGCTAGATGCACCCCCAAAATAATGCATCCGTAGGTGGGAGTTCCCTTTTTGTTTCACATGGTGATCACTTTTGTCGCCATCTGTTGGTGTTGGAAACAAATCCCCCAATTCTGTCACAATTTTTTCCATCATTGCAATAAGAAATGGTTTTCGATACCCCGTGGTTATTGCACCAGTTTTTGTTTTCTCGTTTGCATATGCTTTACCATCTGGGGCTTATGGAGTGCTTCATAACATTGACCCAGGCTGTCATAGGCTTTCATTAGCAGTGGCCGTACGTCGTCGTAACCTTTGGACATCAGAGTTTCCCACAGTTTCACAGACAGGCTTAAAGACGCTTCGCTCTCGATAAATCGGCCCGTTTTGTAGTAAGCATCGGCTAAACGAGCGTGAGCATCCGCTTTTAGCTTGTCGAGCAAATATTGTTGCTGACGACGTTGCTCAGGTGTTTGTGACGACGGTGACGATGGCGACGACGGGCCAATCTGCTGATTGTCTACAATTTGCGCCATTTTGGCGAGATAGGGAATACTCGCTTTGAAATCATTCTTTGCTTGAAGCGTGGAAACAACTTGAGATAAGACTTCCAACTCCATGAGTTTACTTGGGTTGATGCTTTGAGAACCAAGAGCATGAGGAGACGGCATGCCGCGCAAAACAGAGAATTGAGAGACGAAAGGTGGCGGTATCAATCATGCGCCCAGCAAAAACGCTCGCAATTATAGTAAACAGTCACACCGTTGTTCAATTGACGGACGGTGATTGAACTTTTTTTTTTTTTTTTTTTTCAGTGGACTTGAGATTTTTTTTTATATAACAGCGTCTTTTTTTTTTGTATTTATTGTTATCGACAAAACGTTCAAGAGGATAAATCCCCATTTCAACTCATTCTTTTATTTTATTTTTTATTTTTCTGCATTCATTTCGCATTCTCGTCTACTGCACTTGCATATTGACTCTTCTTCATATTTCTTCCTCTTTGATCGGCCTCTTTTTTCTTCGACGATCATGTCGTTAGCATTTGTAAAACAAGCGACTCGATCGACTGTGCCACATCGACGATACTTATCTTCCACTCGATCGCTCGTCTTGCGGTCTCCAGTGACCTCGCCTCTTCGTGGATCTTCCTTGCGATGGCTGGCCAAGCGTGTGGAAGGTCCTACTAACCGATCCCCCGCCATGGGCTTCTCTTTGATTCGACACTATGGAGCTCCTGCTCCGGTGGAACAAGAAGAACAGAACCTCACACCGTTGCCGAGTTCCTCGACCCCGCATTTACCACCGGTGGTTCTTCCTAGTCCCGCTATTAATTCGTTTAGAGAGATCGCTCGCGTGCTACCGTCCGGCATCGCTGAACAGTTTGCTATTCTTAATGCATGTATTCGAACCGGATCCATGGATCGAGCCGAACGCATCATGAAGGAATTATATCGCAACAAACCCGATGAAATGCGGGTGTTTACCGATGTGAAAATTTACAACACATTTTTGAATGGATTTATCCAACAACCAACTCCGATGACCAAACAGTGTCTGCACTGGTTCGATGGAATGAAGAACTATGGCTTGACACCCAATGATGATACCTATGCCATTATTGTCAAAGGATTTTTAAAGTAAGTACAAGCCTATCGTGTGGGGTAATAGGCAGGAAGAGTACTGACGTGAGATGGGTAAATTCGTGTAGAATGGGGCGCTATCATACAGCACGAGCTCTTTTGCAAGAAATGCAAGCCGATCATCACATTGCGATCCACGATATGCTCAATTCGACCTTTTTGACTCGCAATGATATCGACATGTTTCGAAAAGTAAGTGTATGATGGCATCCGAGTCGAGAACGTATCACTGACAAGGGTGGTCTGTTAGCTCATTGAAGAAAGTCAAGGCAATGTTCCCATCGATGTTCACAAATTGTTGAAAGAATTGGATCTTGCCACCAAAGCCGTGCTTGGGGAACCGGCGGCGGCATCGAGTTATAAAGGCGAACGCATCGACGGAGCAACGCCAGCAACCAATATTGAACCCATCATTTACGAGGAAGTACCGGAAGCTCGAGCCACCAACACCATTGGTGTCAAGTTCTTGCAGGAACAACTGCAAGCTTTGCGAGATCCGCGTCAAGCGCTGCAGATGGATCCTTACGAGTTGCAAATGGAGTTGGAACGACAGGGGTATGATGTGGCGCTGCAACGATTAATGCACTTGCGAGAAGCCAGTCTTGAACGTGGCGATATGCTGAACGCGATGAACCTGACGCCATTGAAAAAAACATTGTGGGAATGGCATGAACATTTGGCTCCGTTGATCAAGGAAGAACTCGAACGTTGTGAGAACGCCGGGCCACGGGAAACCGAGCGACGCATGTATGGACCCTTTTTGAAATTACTGCCACCGGAGAAATTGTCCATTATCACTATTTTGGAACTGCTCCGGTTACACAACTCGTCCGGCATTGCAGACGGTATGAAAACAGCCCGCGCCATCATTGATGTCGGTAAAGCGGTAGAAATGGAATACAATGCGACACAGATCAAGAAATCCTCCAGCAAGTTGTTGTCTCGCCAACAGGAAGTGCATTCTTTGTTTGCGAGCGGCAAGTTGTTCAATATGACCCTGCGGAAAGTGCACATGAAACTCGCGCGAGAGCAGGAATCGGTGCGTGAATTGATTGATTCTTCGGATGGCGATACAGGTGGTATGCTTGGTGCCGATGGATGGACTCCGGCTTGGCCTAGCACCATCCGGGCCAAGGTCGGTAGTGTATTGACCAGTCTGTTGATCGAATCTTCCAAGATCCCTGTCCCCAGCAGAGACCCCGAAACCGGTGCAAAGATGTAAGTTACTTCGAATGGATTATCAAAGAGAAAAGTAACTGACTGACTGACCCTAAATTGTCTTTTTTTGTTGACAGTATTGAGCAGATTCCCGCCTTTTTCCATACCTATCAGTACGTCCGCGGCAAACGTGTGGGCATTATCAAGTTTTCCGATCCATTGACCCAGCTTATTTCCCGTGAACCTTTGCGTGATACACTCCATCCTCGTCTTTTACCCATGATTGTGCACCCTCGACCTTGGTTGTCTTACAACTTGGGCGGCTATCTCATGTCCAAGACGACGTGTATGCGTATCAAGAATTCTCCCGAACAGCTTGTGTACCTTCACAAAGCTTCCGAAGAAGAACGATTCAATACGGTGTTGGCCGGTTTGGATGTGTTGGGCGCCACGCGATGGAGAGTGAATAAGAATGTATTTGACGTTGTCTTGGAAGCTTGGAATACTGGCGAACCCATTGCCGATATCCCCCCCGCGATTTCCAAACCTACCGAATTACCTCCCAAGCCCGAGAATTACGATACCGATCCCAAAGCCAAATTTAACTGGGTCCTCAAAGTCAAAGAAATCCAAACCATGGACAAGAACCACCACAGTTTACGATGTGATGTCAATTATAAAGTGGAAACAGCCAGAGCCGTAAGTCATCTGACCTTTCAAACAAAAAAGAGACTGGTCCTGCATCATGCTAATATACTTTCATAGTTTTTAAATTTACCAATGTATTTCCCACACAACATGGATTTCCGTGGTCGTGCTTACCCTATTCCACCTACGCTTAACCATCTGGGTAACGATCTGTGCCGTGGCTTGCTGCACTTTGAGGAGGCCAAGCCTTTAGGAGAACGAGGCTGGCGCTGGCTCAAGATTCATTTGGCCAACGTCTTTGGTTACGATAAGTAAGTCTATGAGAATGATGAAAAAATTGGTCGTAATTGTGCCTAACGCCTTTTTCCTCTGCAGATATTCTTTTACGGAAAGAGAAGCTTTCACCATGGATAACATTGATAATATTCTCGATTCTGTGGATCGACCTCTAAACGTAAGTTTCTTTTTTTCCTTGGCGCTTGGTTTCTTTTTGACTTACGGATGTTTGGCGGTTTTTAGGGCAACAAGTGGTGGTTGAAAGCAGAGAATCCATGGCAATGTTTATCGGCATGTTTTGAAGTGGCGGCTGCGTTCCGAAGTGGCCACCCTGAAGATTTTCCGTCTCAGCTGCCTGTGCATCAGGACGGTACATGTAACGGTCTTCAGCATTATGCTGCTTTGGGTGGTGATTTGGCCGGTGCACGAGCCGTCAATCTGGCTCCCAGTGATCGTCCTGCCGATGTGTACACGGGTGTAGCCGAAATGGTGAATAAGCAAATCGAGGAAGCCGCAGCGCAAGGCGATGAATATGCCTTGCTGCTACGTGGCAAAGTCAGTCGTAAAGTGGTCAAGCAAACCGTCATGACCAACGTCTACGGTGTCACGTTCATCGGAGCTAGATTGCAGATCGAGAATCGATTAAAGGAACGTGGCGATCTTCCTCCGGAAAAGATCTATGCGCTGGCCAGTTACTTGGCGCGAAAGGTGTTCTCGTCCCTGGGAGAAATGTTCAACGGTGCACACAAGATTCAGGATTGGTTGACAGACTCGGCCCGTCGAATTGCAAGAAGTGTACCAAAGGAAGCGTTGATCGAATCGGGTATCTTACCACCAGATGATCCTGATACCGTCGTCAAGGAAAAGGTGGTCAGCAGTCGTAAGAGAAAAACGAAAGCAACCAAAGGATTCTCGGCACGAAACCCCTCCTCCAATCAAATGACTTCTGTCATTTGGACCACGCCACTTGGACTGCCCATTGTTCAACCTTACCGTCGTCAGGGCAAAAAGCAAGTATCCACGTTACTGCAAACCGTATTCATTGAAGATCCCGATGCCGCACGTCCTGTGAATGCGATGAAGCAGAGTTCGGCGTTCCCTCCCAACTTTATTCACTCGCTCGACGCAACACACATGCTGATGTCGGCCGTGGCATGTTACAAGTCAGGCTTAACGTTCGCGTCCGTGCACGACAGTTACTGGACACACGCATGCGACGTGGATAAGATGAACAAGATTATTCGTGATCAGTTCATTGAACTGCATACGCAGCCTATCATGGAGACGTTGCGCGCCGAATTCCAGGAACGATACGGTGATTACTTTGTGCCTGCAGCGGTGGAGCTTGGCAAATCCAAGACGACCAAGAAGCAAGCGGAAGCGGAAGCAGAAGCAGAACCGGAAGTCACAGAGGCAGATTCCAGCAGCGAGGAGAAGGCGTTCAACTATGGATTTGCCGATTCCACTGTGGTGAAAGAAGAGCTAGAACAAGAAAAGAAGATCAAGAAGAAGACATCGGATGAAGATGAAGATGTGGCGATGAAAGCGTTGTTTGGTTTGGGCGACAATTCGACGGAAGAAGGTGAAGATGCCGGCCTGGATGCCGAAGAAGAAGAAGAGGAAAGAAAGGCGGAAGCGGTGGCAGCGCCAACGAAAAGATCCTTGACCAAGAAGTACGAATACCAATGGCAACCGATAACGTTCCTTCCTTTACCGAAAAAGGGAGACTTTGACATTAATGAAGTCAAGGAATCCGACTACTTCTTCCATTAAAAAAATAGAGTTTTTTGCTGTAATTTTTTTTATTATTTCCTTCATATGTGTATATTCCCCATGCAAAAAAAAAGCACATTCAAATCTATTATTTTCTCCCAACTTTGTTTTTTTAATATAACTTTGTATTATCAAAAATATTCAACACAATTATTTCGTCGCATACGGATCCTCGAGTCAAAAATAATGGTGATGGCTGCCTGTATACGGTATGATGGAATCTGCGCACAAGTCAACATCTCCCCGCGGTTTGAGAAGTGGGTTACTCCGCTGACATTTCGTAAATGTTTGTGAATGAATTATTTTACTTAATCATATTTGAGAACGAAAATTAAGACGCGGTTCGACGGCTTTTATTGACAAGATTTGCACAAGGATGGTTGTCACTGGCTGTTGTTACGTTGGCCTGTATTGGCGATTGGTTGCACTTTGAACAGGATTCGCGGTTTAAATGATGCATGCAATAAAACAATCAGGCACCAAAAAAAGTTTGGCCGCTGGTCGTTTAGTTTAGTCGCAAATTCAGCTTCGCCAAAGACCTCCGACGGTCTGAATTATTATTAAAGATCATCCTTGCCTTATTGAGCATGGCCTTGATCTTTTTGCCTACTTCTTCGTAGAGAGGTGGCAAAGAAGTTAGCAAAAAAAAAAGGAGAACACCATATCTTGTGGAACTTATGACGATGCATGGTTAATTTCGCCTTTCCGAATGAGGAAGGTTCTCCAAACATCACTTTTTTTTCATTTTAGCGCGCGAGCTTCCGTCTTTGTGGGTTAGAGTAATCGTCGGAAACTGAATTTATCTTTTTTGCGCATTTCGCCGCTTTCCGGTGATCCATGACAAACAACCCATTATTAAATTTTGTACCACCTTGGGGGGATTTTGCACATATTTCCGTGCGTGGTCCGCCCTTTTTTCTCAAATGCATGGGTCCCTTCAGTTATCGTGCTATTTGTAATACCGGTAAGACACAATCAAGACAAGCACCAGGAAAATAAAGAAGAAAATAAGCATGCTAACTTCAAAAATTGAAGCAAGAGGTAAAAAAGTGCAAGTGGGAATCATGACGCTGTGCGTGTGACCATGGGAACATTGCGTGCCATGGGCCTATGCCGGATTGATAGCCAACTCTGCCGGATAAAGGATGTGCAATGTCATCATTTTTCGCCCGAGCAAGGCTATTGAGAAGGTCAAGACTGCATGCAACTTTACTGGCTTTGTTTTCACGTGATTTTTTATCCGTTGAACTGCGGATCGTTTAACAGCTACACTACGGATATTTGAGTGACTTTCCAAGAAAAAGCATCCTACTCATCAAATGCACAAGCCAAATAAGTACAAAATAATTGTCCTCAGGGAGCGCAGCGATATGAAGCGACTAGTTCATGATTAACTTTGAGACCAAAAAAAAAGTTTAATGATATTTTTGGGTCAATGGAAAATAAAGCTGAGAATTAACCGGCCGGAAGGCTTGTACGACATCGGATGACGACCATCGAGGCACTGGCTGTTTTTTTTTTCTGCGAAATTCTTTTTGTCGGGGGAACGTGCCAATAGGATATTTCTTTTGTGCTCAATGGTTTGTCAGGTTTCAAACGATCCTCAGAGAATTGCTGTTTTTGGAAACTTTCCTGGGCACACCAAAAGTTTTTCTTTTGTAACGTTCCTGACCGTCGGGTGTGGGTAAGTGGGAATTTGGGAGGGTGCATCAGACCTTTTTTTTTTTTTTTGATTATAAAACGGGCGGTGAATGTGGGCCCGTTTTTTTACTCTTTTTTCTTTTTCTTCTTTTTGGGCCTTTGCCCCTTGTCAACTGTACAGCAATTATGCTTATTGCACCTATCACTTCGACCCGGAGAGCCATTCCTCCCGGTTTTATTGGTATGGTATCTATGGTTGCGAAATAGTCAACTTTTTCTTTGTCACACTCACATTTTGATAAATTATTTTCATATGAATAATAGATTTCGCTTCCTCTTCCTTCGACGCCATTCTTCATCCAACGGCACCGAATCTCACCTCGTTAACGGCCGCAGCCTCCGTTCCTTGCCCACCTTCCAACTCCAACGTCGACGGCACCGTTCAACGACGAGATTCGCATTTGCCTGATCTAGTGCCTTTTATTCAACTTATTACCGAGAAATGCGATATCCAACCTGTTCATCTTGTCATGGCGCTCATGTATGTTCAGCGATTCCGTAAATCTCTCCCTGCAGGTAAGCTATCTGTCAGCAAAAAGGATACACAGAGGATGGAGTGATTGACTGATCATGATCTTTTTATTTTTTATTTGTAGGATACCGAGCTGAACCTGAAGCTGCTCATCGTATTTTCGTGGCGAGTTTATTGGTTGCTAGCAAATACAGTGAAGATCATTGCTTATCGACAAGACAGGTTGTTCATGCTACGGGGGATGTATGGTCCATCAGAGAGATTACTCGCATGGAACTTGCGTTCCTTCGATTCCTGCATTGGGACTTGTATATCCATCGAGATGAAATGGCCCTCTTCCTACGCAAGTTAAACTTTGATATCTCGACCATTCTCCCTTCATCTGCCGACGATACCTCCGTTTGCTGAAGTCACGACACGTAATTCTTCTCTTTTGCCATCTTATGTCTCTTTCTCTCACTCCCGCTCTGTACATTTAGTTCCCTGATTACCCGCTATCAATATCCTATTTTATTAGTATTTTACTTCCTAGTGCAACGGGCTTCTTTTGTTGTCGGTTTTTTTTTCTTTGTGTACATGCTTCAGTCCGTATATATTTTTTTTTCTAAGCAGTTATAATAAATCCTTTAAATTCTCCTTTTCGTTCACATGACCACATTCGCAGTTTCAGCTTTCATAGCATTGATTGTTATTGACAGTCGTGCTGCTACTGAGAGAGATAATGAAGACAATAGCGACTGCAGTGTTTTCAGCGGGATATAATGTTGACCCATTCAGTACAATACTGTAGTTCATGTTGGCTAAGACTCGAGCGTACGCTGACTGGCTGAACCCCACGCTTATTTAATCATCCCTTCCCACAAGAAAATGTGACATGTGTGTGTGTGTGTGTGTGTGTGTGTGAATGTTATTTTTTTTTATCTCTCTAAAACATGAATGGCATGATAAATAAACAAGGCGGCAAGCTAAAAATCAGATGATGAATATGTGAATGTCAGCGCACACAGGTACACGGGCTTCGCGTTAGGAAATGAATGGAATTTAGAAAATGAAGATTGAATCGTCAAGGTCACGTTCGTTGTTCCGGTATTTCGGGCTGACATGCGAGATCATAGCCTTCCATGCGTTCAATGAGATGCATCGTCAAAATATCTGAAAAACCGTAAAACTGGTAGATAGCATCAGCAACCGTAGGCCCACCTTCCTCTTTTTCATAATATACTTTTTTTCAAAACTACTCACCAAGGGACCGCTCACTCGGGTATTTTGTGATTTGCTCTTTTTGCACGCTTCCGTCCACGGCGCTGTCGGAGTGGGACCTGTAAAGATGGTAGAAGATTGATTGACCTGAACCTGTCACCCAAAAAAAGGCTGCAGTTAAGTGCTGATGTAATGCAGCCATAAGATTTAGTGAGGCACCTACTGAAAACACAGGTCCATTGTCGCCTTTTGTAATGGTCATGGTGTAGTTGTTGCCAAAGTGGGATTTTGTCGCTTTGTAGCCGATGGGATAAGGATGTTTGTATTTACACTAGTCATGATTCTCTGTCAGCCAAACAATACTGATAATGGTCCAACCTAGGAGCAGATAATACGTACGCCTCTTGTGCTCCAGTATTTTTTACGTCCTTCTCCAACATACAGTTCTCCTAGTGACCAAATCGTCGTGCCGATGGAAGCTATAACAACGATGCTGTAAGCACAGATCTGGTGGTGGTGGACGGTCGTCATTTTATGTTACCTAACGTCAAAGGGACATGGATATCATCGGGCAACACCGGTTCATTTTTAGGTTCCACTTGCAGTTCTGAGATGACATTGACAGCCACCTGCCGCGTTCTGTCATTGGCATCAAGAACTTCTTCCAATTCAGCCTTTATATAAAGACAAGCAAGTCAATACTCAATGATTTTCATCCAAATACTCTCAGAGAGTCACCGCCAATTGGTGCTACAGGATCCCATGGTCCAAAAATTGATAGACACTTACGATTTTTTCAGGCTCCATGCCCTTTATCCTTCGCGAAATACGGGTGGCTGGCAAGGTTTTGTTAGGTCGGCCTTCTTTGGGGATGAACTTGGCGCGTTTTCGGACCGCGTTGGAATCGAGTTGAGATAGGTGAGGGATATCCTGTGAACCAAAAGCGAGTGTTATTATAGCTTAAACCGTGTGATATTCAATTTATTGCTCGCCTTGTCCAAAACTTCGCGTCTCGCTAAGCCCAATTCTTTCAATAACCTTTGGTTTTCCGCAATCTTCTCTTGACGTTCGCGTTCATAACGGCTACCTCATTAGAAACAAATATATCAATTGTTAGAAGTTGGCTAGGGGAAAAGCTCATGCGACCTGGGCCAAGTGGCAGTACCTGACTTCAAGGTCTTGGACAACAGCAGCAGTTTCGGTCATGATGCGTTGAAGAGGAAGCCCATTCACTTTTTTTTTTCTAATATTGCGGCTGTCAACTGAGAATCAAACTTTTTCCTGCTCTGGGTTCTGTCCCAAGGTACAATTTTTCCAGTCCGCCACCACTCGTTGGGCGCCAATTGGGTGGCTTGCGTCGCATTCACTTCTTGTCTCTGCATCCGCAAGCATAAGCTTATTCCTCAAAGCATTATCCGCGCATTGTTTACGATGGAGTACTAATTATTGTACTGTTAAATTGCAGTTTTTTATGATGCTTTTGAATTTGTGAATTATATTTGTGTGATATATCAGGCACAGTTGCCAATTTGTGCTCGGAAGACCTGCTTTGCGCCACCTCGTTGGGAAAATAACCAACGTCATTTACATCATTGGATGGTAGAAGCTGCTCTAAATGTGGCTAGCTCATTTTAGCATATGTAAAATCTGAAATACAGGTATGCTATTGCCTGACAGCTCGTGTCCATGAATGCCTACAAGCTTTGATTAACGTGGAGAATTATTGACCATATGAAACTTCCATTGTCTCGTAATTGTAAACCCCGGTTTCCAGGAACTTGGCCGCAGGCAGGAATTCTAATGTTGAAATTCTGAGGGGTTAGGCATAAACCGCACTTCCATTGTGCTCTCGTGCCACAGATGTGGTCTCTTTTAGTCTGATTTTTTTCTTACGAGCATTTCAAGCAGACCTGTGTCCTGATACGCGCTGGAACATGATTTACTTCAAGCGGCTCCAAGAAAGAGGGGTGGTCGACCTTCTGACACATGGACTAATCCCCTTCCATATCGATGTGCTATTGGGTTGGCAGTAGCTGATCTGCTTCATTTTTCGTTTGGTCAACAGTATTTCACACTTCCAATGGCATTGGTCGAGCTTTTCCTTTCAAAGTCCACGAATTGGGGGGGGGCCGCCCATCCAACCAATTTTATTCCATACTTCTTTTTTTGGGAATTGACAAGCGCCAAATCTTCTAAAAAGCGAGTCACACATTTCAACCGCGACATGAATTTTTTGGGAAATCAGTGCAAAGGGCAGCTTTGTTTCCCAAAAACTTGTAACTTATTTTTTCTTCTTTCAACAGCGCCGTTGAACTAGTGCAGCACAAAGAAACAGCAACAAGAGAATACCGTCTTCTTCTGCCCGCTTGTTTGCGTTTCTGGAATTTTCATCTTATTTTTCCCACTTGTCTCTTTCGCCGTACGACTTTTAAAAAAAGGCCAAAGTGGAATAAATAAGCTGGTGCTTGCCATGCATAGTGCGAATATCAGGTAAAGTACATGAACGTCACACAACCGTCTTTGGCCTTCATGGACCACAGCAGCCTTGACGGGAGACATCATGGAGGGTTTCATGGCTGTGCATTGCCACGCATTTCCCATGGGTGCTCAAGATTCTTCCTTGTTCAGGCAAAATGGTCCATGCTCACCCAAAAAGGAGTATGTAGATTTGGACGCAGTAAAAAAGACTGACTCGTTTTTTCTTGATTTGTTCACAGAGCGCCCAGTTCACTGTCCTTATCGTTGACGAACGACCAAGTTTCGATCAGTAATCAAAACGAACCTGGTATGTCGTCTAGCGACGTTTGGAACGGTCGCCTTCTTTTACCAACTGAAAACGTCAACTCAACAGACGCAGATCTGATTGCTGATGTGGATGTGGAAGCCATCAGTCCTGATTTTTCACCAGCAGACCCTTTTATCAAGCAAGAGCACGATATGTCCAATATATCCTCGCTGTATGCCTTGAAAAAGGAAGACTACCGTGATCAGCTCTATACCCCATCTCAGCCAACCAGCACTCCACCTACCTACCCATCCGACACCACTACCATGTGGAAACACGAATCCCACGGTAAGCAACTTTTTTTTTCTCAATGCCCATTGTCCGCATGTTGCCTCCCCGTCATTCGATCATTAGGATGATGTCGTTCTTTTTGTGGGATCACGGAAACAGTGAATGGCCGGTGGCGGACAAGACACTTGACAAAATGAAAAAGTATTTAACTGTTTTTTCTACTCTTTTTATTTTATTTTTGTGTTTATGATCAGGCACGGACAAAGTGGAATTGGGGATGGACAAGGACAAGACCGATGAATCGGAATTGCCTTCTGCCACGGCGGATGCGATGGAAACCTACGAGAATATTCAATCCAATATTTATATTGGTTCAGCCACGGGACGAACGATCGCTGAAGAGTCCATGCCGTGCGAGTGTAAATACGAACCAGGCGTCGACGATCCCTCAGCGGCATGCGGCGACGACGACTTTTGTATTAATCGCATGATGTTCATGGAATGTATGGAAAGCGATTGCTCATGTGGTCGATTTTGCCGGAATCGTCGTTTCCAGTTGAGACAGTATGCTCGAGTTGACGTCATTCGAACTGTAAAAAAGGGTTTCGGCTTACGTGCATTGACGGATCTACCAAAGTAAGTGATTTTGAGGTGGATTTACAACAAAAAAAAAAAAAAAAATTGGAGTGGATCAAGGAGACTCATCATCCCCTTCCTCTTTGGTCCATGTTTAGAAATTCATTTATTATGGAATATATCGGGGAAGTGATACCCAATAGCGAATTCATTCGGCGCACACGAGCTTACGAGGCAGAAGGTCTGAAGCATTACTATTTCATGACGTTGAAAACGGATGAGGTAAGGACACGGATAATGGGTGTGATTGGGGAGGGAATGTTGAAGAAAAAAAAAACTTTACTGATCAATGATGGTGGTATGAATCTTTTTTTTTTTCAGATTATTGATGCAACAAAGAAGGGTTGCTTGGCACGCTTCATTAATCATTCTTGCAATCCAAATTCGGTTACACAGAAATGGGTGGTTGGTAAAACAATGCGTATCGGCATTTTTACCACACGCTTTGTGAAAGCGGGCACGGAACTTACCTTTGATTACAAATTTGAACGTTATGGGTAAGTTTGGCTTACATACCTTTTTCTTTGCTAGACCACCTCCAGGATGCTGACGGACACTTGCTGACTTTTTTTAGTGCTGTGGCTCAAAAATGTTTTTGTGAGGAACCCAACTGCAAAGGATATATTGGTGGCGCGATCAAAAATGAGGAGGATTCAGCTGGAACACCGACCGTTCCTACCTCGGATGAAGATGACACGGATACCATGGAGGCGGTGACCTTGACACAAAAGAAGATGATCCGCAAAATGCGTCGACGTCGTGCTTCCGAACCGATTCATGATCCAGATGAAGTCCAGTCCTTTGTCAAGAAGATGCTGGATTCTGTCGGAAAAACACATCTGGTCAACAAACTGTTGCATCGCCTTGAATTAACCAACGATGAAAGCTCGTTGGGAAAAGAAGTGTTCAAAAAGTTTGTTCGTCTTCACGGTCTCAAAATGTTGAAATTCTGGTTGGGTGAATGGAAAAATGACCCTGAAATCGTGCTCAAGGTAAATTAATATGGGAATGTCTTTGGTAATCATCAAGTAGAGAAAATCTTAACCATCATTTTGATTTTGTAGGTGCTTCAAGTCTTGAAACGGTTGCCGTTGGCGAACAAGAATGGACTTGAGGATTGCAAGATGTTTGATATTGTTCGTCGTTTCACTACGCATGATCAGGAGGACATTCGTTCGCTTTCACAGACATTATTGGATCAATGGGATCAGCTCAAGAGCGTCTACCGTATTCCAAAGCGAGTGGTAAGCAGTCGTTTAATTGTCTTCTTTGCGGATATACTCATCCATGGAACACTTTCTTTAGTATGTGGAACCCAAAGTTCAGGAAACCGATATCACAGGTAAGAAATGCAACGGAATTAGGCAAAATTCGACGTTCAAGCAAACTCATTTCATGAACCCGTGCACAGAAGAGAATGGACAAACAAAACGTTACGATGAAACAGATGATACCGATATGCCGGCTTACAAACGTCCGCGATTTGAATCTTCACGCGAATTTTTTGATCCGGACGACGACATTTATGAGCATTTATCACTCTACGCTGACGAGATTGAGATACGATGGAAACTGGAGTATCCACCCATTGCTGTGATTCCAACCGCACCCCGCGCCATGCTGCATGCCGCAGCATATCAAATGTATAACCGTTACGGGCGACCGGGAGATGTGGCAACTATCCCTACAGGCCCTGCCGCCACTCAGTCACCATATCCTTACCAATACGCCCCGGCTGTTTCTGGAAGTACTATAGGCGATGTGGACCCCAGTGCCGATGCTCGATTTCAATATAGTCCTATGGAAACGGAAACCTCTCAGCGAGCGGCAGCATACCCTCATCTGGCGTCCAGTTCCAAAGAGACGACGCCGGCGGAGGTGGGCAAATCATCTTATTACGGGGAATCGGGAGCGTGGCAAGAAGGGTATTCCGCTCCGGCTACACCCAAACTCCCTCAGAACTGGGAGTCTGCGACGTGCGACAATGGTATGGTTTATTACTACAACCGCCTGACCGGCAAGTCACAATGGAATTTCCCTGAAGAGAGAGTGAGTTCCATTGAAGGTGTGAATCAATGCCAGCTCGACGGTTTAGTGGAGAAAGCGATCATGGATGCAGAAAGGAAACGCCACGACTCGGCAAGCAGCAGTAGTCCGTCCAGTAAACCGGGTCGATCACCGCAGTGTGTTACACCATCTGCCAGTCGAAGTACGTCGTTTGATCTGATGACGGGGGATGCTGGGTCTAGCGCGGCCAGTTCAGAGGACGTCAAATTAAAGAAAGAAATCAGCAAAATTGTCACCAAATACCTGAGTGCCAAGCACAAATTGCTCTGGAAAGGCGACAAACATTTGTTCAAAGATCTGGCAAGAAAGGTAAGTGATGGCTAAAATTTTTGTCTCATCACTGGCAGGATCACTTATAAAGGTCCCTTTTTCTGACTTAGATAACACATCACATATTTGATCGCGAGACAAGTGCGGGAAAAAAGATGCGTACGATGAGCGCGAATCTTCGCATCAAGATTGAAAAGTTTATTGACAGTCATGGTGTGAGCTTTGTACAGAAGCTGGAACGAGAACGAAAGAAGCGACCGACGACCAGCACGGAGGATGCGCAAGATCCAAAGCAGTCAGAGAGTCGTGCTACTAGTGTTTCCTTGGACACGGCGAAGGACGAGAGTGAACCTGCATGGAAACCTGCTGATACCATAACGCCACGATCCACCGTTTCCAGTCCCGCTCCTGTTGCATCCCATCTTGCGGCGCTCTCCATTCGACACAACGTTCCACGCGATGATAATCATTATGATTACAGTCGCAGTAGTAGGGATTCCTCTTCACCGTATGGAAGATCTTATCGAGATTCAGAACGCTATGCGCCCGATTATTCCCGGACATCGTCATTCTATCGCTCATCCTATTCTAATCATGATTCCTATTACCGCCGGTCCCCCTCTCCATCATCCTACCGTTCCAATGATCGTTACTATTCCTCTGGAAATACCTATCGATCGTCTCCTTACTATCGATCTTCCACTAATTCATCACGACGAGGGTCTCCGGATATGGACAGGGATAGGGATAGATACAATAGATGGGATTAATATGGTTTATTTTCATTTTTCTTTTTTTTTCTTGGTTTTCCCTTTTTACACTTAATTTTCTTTTCTGGTTTGGTTAAACGGATGGAATGGATGGCTCACTCTCTTTTTTTTTCTCCATTCTTTCTTTCTGTGTTGATGAACTTGTTTCTGATTTTCTGTAAATATTACTCTTAATCTTTTTTCTTTATTTTCTCTCTTCATTCTTTTCTTTTTTCTTCACCCACTTATCATTGTTGGATTTGGAAAAAAGAACCTGTCGATTTCTCATTTTCTCATCTTGGCATAGTTCTCATTTTATAAAATGCGGATAAACAACAGGATGAAAAATTGTTGCTTTGTAACGTCTCTCTTTTTTGTTGTTGTTGCAAATGATCATTGCAAGACGGGAAACAGTTGCCAAGAAATACAACCATGGCAAATGTCGGACCTTTTTGTGATGCCGTTACTGTATTTGCATGTGATTTGCAACAGTAACCCTGCCACGACCAAGGACTATTTCATGTGATCAATGGGAATGAAAAAAGGTTCTCTTGTGGATGAATAGAAATGGTAGGGGTTGGACCGTCTTCAGGGGGAAACGAAGGAACAAAAAAACCACACCATATGATGCAACCGACCAAAAAGGAGACGATTGGCTATTAAGACGAGAACAATGGGTGAATCGGTGCCTGCATAAGCAATCTGACCATCAAAATAGAAAAAGGGCCGAGCTGTTGTCAGAATATGAGGCGAATGCTGTTTAGTGAGTCGTGGGGACATTATCATGTATAGCGTTTAATAAAGAAAAAATTGATAATTCGCTCTTTAATCGTTTTAAAAAAAGATGGGAGTTGCTTTTTTTTATTATCCTATTTCAGACCCGCTAATATATATTCTGTGTATCAATGCTGAACTTTGGAAGCCCTTTTGTTTCCCTTTGTTCTCACGTCCTAGCAAAGTTGCACTCCTTTTTCTTTCCCTTTTCATCCAACTTTCTCTTTCTCTTCTTATTACTGTTATTTAATTTTCTCTCTTTTTTTTTTTAGAGTTAATTGATCTCTGTAATCACTTATTACCACCGTTTATCGCTTGATCTGTAACGATTGGATTTTGGGACTATGGCAAAGAAAGGATCCTCCAATGCGTCGAAAAATGCGGTTGCAAAAAAGACGGCCTGGAAAGGCATCACTATACGAAATAAGCCACCAAGCCGACCCGAGTCGTTGGCATCGGTGCAATCTCAAGAATCGCACAAAACTGTGCAATCGAGTGAGCAAGCATCCCTGGCAAGCACGGCAACGGATACAACAGCCATCGCGGATAATAACGAGACCAACTCAGTATCACCTAGCGCCACCAAAACTACCAATGATAAGGATGCACTAAACAACGCAAGCAACGGTAGAGTAGGTAGCACAAAAGATATTGAGGACGGTAACCAAGGTACCACAGCCACGGAACCCTCAACGCCTCGTGCAGCATCTTCTCGATCCCGAGCATCGTCCATCGCGTTGGATTCCGCCAGCGAAGTGTTTGAAGATGCCGAAGAGAACAGTGATGACGACGACGACGACGATCAACAAGCCGTGTCCAACATGTCGCTCATTCTTCCCGCCCTGCAAAATGCCATGGCTGACGCCGACAGCCACACTCTGGATGACCAGAAACAGCCCTACGATGAAGCTACAGCAACAAAGAAAGAAGAACGGCAGCGCACAACTTATGAACCTGATCTAATTGCGGAGATTGAAGCATTGGAAGTAGGCACCACTTACCCAGTGATGGCTGAAGAAAAAGCACCCTCGTCACCGTTCAAGGAAGGGTGTCAGAATTTGGCATTCAGCACAGAAATTCAGTCCAAGGAGAATGGGCAGCAACCAGCAGTTGCTCATAACGAAGAGGAGCCCTCCATCAGGGCACCTGTAGCGGACAGTGACACTACACGCAACACCGCTGCACACGACCAGCAAGATCAACCTCCGAACACAAAGACCGACAATGAAATGCAAAAAGATTCAGATCAACGTGAGAACGACCCACTTGCGAAATCTGCACCTATCGGAAACGAGCAGCAAAAAGACAACGAAAAGCCAAGAGGCGAACAGATGGAAAAGGCGGCAAAGGTGACCGAGGTGGACGCTTCTTGTGAGAAAAAGAGACTGGCAGAGGCAGAAGCAGAGACAGAGGCAGAGGGAGGTGGACCAGACTCTGTGGAGGATATCGAGGCACTCGAAGTGGGTTCATCCATTCCTTTCCCATCGTTGACTTTCCCTGAAAAGTCGAATGATAAAGTGGAGTCGGTCCAAGTGCAAGACAAAGAACCGCAAGCAGACGTTACAGCCAGCACGCCCAGTGAGGAACCTACCGCCCATGATCGAAAGACCGTGAATACTGTGAGCGACGAAGCCATTCCCTCGGAGGCAATTTCCAAAGACGAAAAGACCGTTCAGGTGTTGACTGAAGAAAGAAAGGCGTCAGATCAGCCTACTGAAGCAAATATCGTTGACGAAAAAGCTGTCCCTTCGAAATCTGAACCGCTGACCTTGAGTGAAGAACCCGTTGCTTCGGATACGACCATGGCAACTCCCTGCCTGGGTGGAAAAGCACCGGAATCCGAAGCAGCCGTACTCGTTGCAGCCGTTGCTGATAGTGCAGACGATAGTCCTTTTCAACCTGTTGAATCATCAAATCCGAAGACGCATGTTAAGGTGGAACAAGACGCGGTGCAAAATGGAAAGCGTGGCGTGGAAGTGGTACAGGAGACCGAGCGCATACCATCCGAGGACTGTGTTAGAGCCAACCGAAGCCGCGAGTTTGAGCATTCAATTGAGGACCCCATCGATCTGGACATGTTTCGTGATAACATCATTGCCATCCAATCGGTGGATGCCAAGAATATCCCCGCCAATGATTTGGGTCCACGAGAACAAGAGGAAGCAGGTATATAAGCTATATGATCTTGATGACTCGATAGTACTTGTATTTACCATTATGAACAGATGAGCCTGTGCGAGAAGGCATGCAGTACTTGTTTGACAACAAATTCATGAAGGCCAAAGCTACATTTCAAGTGAAAGCGAGCATGTAAGGAAAAAATGGATACATGAGCGATTTACTGACAGACTGGCTAAATAATGGGTTTTCTCTCTCAAGTGACCCTTTGTATGCGTTGGGCTTGGGTGCTATGGCGTTTATTAAAGGTAAAAAATAACAATCCAATGTGACATGAAGACCAACTATGAATTCGGATGGCTCACTGCGTTTCCTTGACTTTTTTTTTCTCTCGGCTTCCCAAACAGCTATGATGGTAAGGAATAACATGATCTATGACTTACAAGGGAAGAGTCACAAGATAATTAACGCATGCGCATGTTTGAAAATAGACTTATCATGAAAAAGATGTGGAAATGGCCATGGCAGCGTTGGCTACGGCATACACTGTGGCGAAATCCCAAATCGATAATTCCGGATTCAAAAAACCGTTGAAAGAATCGCTATCACAGTATTTCACGTCGTTTCTGAGCAGCAATTCCACGGGACTTCCCGCCAGCCCGCCGCCCACCAATGTGGCAAGCCAACGCGCATCGACGCAACGAGAGGAGACGCCCCATTTTATTCCCAACGGCGTGCTTCGAGCCCATGTTGTTAAAGCCGAGTGCTGCTTACTGATGAGCGTATTGCAGCTGGCCCAGGAAAGCGTGGTGGGCTACTTGAAGTGCGGGCTCAATCTGCGCCAAGGTAACTTGCGAGGAACTATACACGTGAATGATAGAAGAAGTGCATAAGGGAATGTACTCATAAAAAATGATAGCGTACAATAGCTATTCCATTGTGTGGCAAGAGTACAAGCGGATGGGCCAGACCTACACTCAATACATGGATCGCGATACAGTCTCGGCCATTCAATTTGGTATTGGCACAGTGCACTTGATCTTGTCGTCGATGCCAGCCAAAATTCTGAAAATCTTTTCGACCTTGGGATGGAAGAGCGACAAGCAACTTGGATTTGCCCTGTTAAAGGTCTGCATGGAAGGCCAAGGTATTCGGGCTCCCTTGGCATCTTTGACGTAAGTAAGGCACACTCCAAGGGAAATTTTCAAGAGCAAAAGTGCGAGCATAGATGGGACGGTCTTTTACTCTGTCACTTACTGACTCACGTTTGAATCCTTGTGTGTAGACTGTTGGCTTATTATTCGATTTTAACCTCGTTCACACCGCAACTGTATGCCAAGGAAATGATGGGACCTGCCATCGAGTGTTTGTTGGACGCTCAAAAACACCATCCCAACTCGTGTTTCTTCCTCTTTTTTGCGGCGCGGATTGCTCGTGTAGCGCGCAACATGCCGTTGTCGACGCAGTCTTTTACGTTTGCGGCCGAGTCCAGTCGAGGCGAGTGGGCGGAAGTCGCGATGAAGCAAATGTCGGATTACGAAATTGGGTTTAATTACGCGTTGCAACTTGACTGGGAACGAGCTGCGAGCTATTTCGAACAACTGAGTCGAGAAAAGTACTGGTCTCCTGCGTTTTCAAAATACTTTGTGGGAGCTTGTTACGAGATGCTAGGCCGAAGGACCGAAGGTATCCTGGCCTTTGCCGAAGTCCCGCAACTGGCCAAGGATCAGCAAGGCCGCAAGACATACATTGACGCTTACGTTCAGAAAAAGGTCGAGTTTTTCCAACGCAGTGGGTACCAAGACATGGATTTCAGTCTACCGGGTCTAGAACTTCTTCTGGTGATGAATGCATTTGAGCAAATGGATAAAGAATCGTTGGAAAAGTCGCTTGCGCTAGTCCAGCGTACCCTCGAGCTCATCTATGACCGCGAAAAAATGGAATACAACATTCGATTACGGGAACTGGTGCCGGCCACCACTCCTCCCGACTACTACGATCAAAGGGCCATCCTTCTCTTGATCAAATCGTCCGTCCTCAATGCTCTCAAGCGTCACAAAGAATGTATTGCTCATCTCAACTGGATTCTCGATCACAAACATTGCCTAAAGGTCGAATCATGGGTGGTGCCTTTTGCATATTGGGGTAAATTGACCGGTTCTCGGGGAAAAGGAACCATTTTTTTTTTATCAAACTTGATGTGCTTAAGCTTACGACTCGCTTTCTTTTTTTTCTCTTAGAATCTGGCGTGACAAGTTGGGGTTTAGGCAATATTCGCAAGAGTCGTAAACTATGGCAGCTGGCACTGGCGTGTACAAAGTATGATTTCGAATATCGAATGGCTGTACGACTGAGTCTAGCCATCAATAAGTGCGATGAAGCGGGTATCAATTTCATTGAGCAAAAGCCCAGCAAGGGACTCACTACCAATGGTCGGAAACGAATGCCCATCGTCCATGCTTCCAGTTGTTAAATGAGGGGTCTCTCTTTGACTCCATTCAAACTTTAATCTAAATTTACCCTATTCCTATTTATTTATTGTTTTGCTGCTTTTAAGAAAGAAAGAAAAAAGAGAAACGATATTGGCATTTTTTTACCCTAATTTTAAATGAACTATTCTAGGCCTATTTTTTTTTTTACATCTTGTACATTTTGATGTGTGTTTGAATTTGGAATGGATGCGCGTCGATCTTTGTGTTCTTGTGTATTTCTCGAGTTTCTCATGTTTCTTTGAGTGATATCACGACCCAACCCAATAATAGATGAAGGGTCTGGATGCGGGGTACGTTGATTGGAGCAAATAGACACCCCGCCTATCCATTGCAATTCGCTTTGTGCAACCGTCAGTGACATGTTGGCTTATTTTACGATGAACAACAAGAAACGCAAGCAACGTACGAGGTACTAATGAACAACGTCGCTCAACATGCCATACTACACTTGAATCAGTATAGCACTGTCGGAGAATGGGGACCCCGATGGGTTACCTGGTTACTTTGGTTTATGTATTTTTGTTGCCACAGCGAAACAGCAGAGTCTGTTCGTTGTCACGTACGGTCTTTGTTAAACTGACCAAGAATAAATCTAGGGCATTCTTTTATTTTGCGGTGAACTACGATTAGATAACCGTTCAAATGCATGTTTATTGAAGTAGGGCCATTCCAGGAAATCACTGGAAAGGACCGTTGCCAAATGGGGTCATGGATATCCATAAAAGGCAACTGTGCCATTTTTTTTTGTTTCACGCAGGTTATTCTCGGATTTTGCAACAAGACTTACACAAAGCAACTATTGCAAGGTAATGTTGGGTGGTATAAGGACGATTAAAGGAAAAACAACCAAAGATATCACTAAAAAAAGCGAAATTGAGTTTGAAGCATCATATGAAGATCCTCTCCACCGTAACCCAGCCTCAGGTCGATCCTTTTTTATTTTGTGTCTCGCCCCACCACTACTTGCGATGCATCCCATTGGTAGTATTTCATTGAAATCTATTTGGTTTTTTTTCCCATTGAAAAACTTGATCAAACAGACGCGCTTATGAAGAAATAAATGAAAAAAAATTAAAAAGAAAGATGAGAAAGATAAGATAGCTTTTTTTATAGCATTGCAATGGTTAGGATTCTAAGGCCGGTTTGGAAAAGAGCATGTTCATGCTCAGGTTCTAAGAATGGCTAAGAAGTAGAATTACTGTTTTTTCGATGCACGAGGTGCGAAGCAAACTCCTCCCCAATAACATTCATATCGGCTGATGGCAATTTACTTTTGTGCGTCTCTGTGTCGCCAAAGAAGCATGCAGACGCACTGAATTCAAGAAAAAAATAAATGAAAAAAACAACCAGCGTGGATGATTATTACATCGACTGATGTCCGATCATCCTATCTGACTTGTCTACTTTTATTGATCTGGTTTCTCTTTTTTACTTTTTTTCTATTTTCTCTTCATTGGGCCATTGCCTTTCTTTTTTGCTCGTACCTTTTTTTTTTTTTTTTTTAATTTTTTTACCTCTTTTTTTTTCTTCTCCGTTTCAACCTTCTTCTTTTCATCTCTCTCTTCTCGTTCTTTTATCCTTTTTTCTTTGCTCACCTCTTTCCACTCTTTTTACGTATTCCCAATGAAGCCGGTCGTATTCCTCTCATTTTGTGTCTTCTTCATTGTCGCCTTGTTTTCTTTCGCCAATGCCGAACAAGAACTCGAAGAACGTGGCCTTGCCACTTTAATGATGTTTAACAACGGCACCAGTCCCTTTGAAAAGCGTGGTGGACGTGGTACTTGGTAATGATCCACTTTCTTCCCTTCTTTTTCCTTTTGCTTTTCGAAATAGAAGCATCGATTCTGTAATAGAAATCGATCATCCTCACTCCTGAAATAATGTTCTTGTTTGTTCTAATTTTTTTTGGCGGTGTTCTAGGTATACTGGCGAAGATTTGAAGAATGCTGCTTGCTATGATCGCAATGGTCTTCCTCCGTACTCCGCCTCTATCCACAGCATGATTGGCGCCATGGTAATATCACACCGATTCATTGTTTCTCTCCAACGAGAAAAATGTCTATTATCATAGTCCATTTTTATTGACATCAACTCGCATCATTTATAGGCTATGAAAAAGTTCGAGAACTGCTACAAGTGCATGAAGATTACCAACAATAAGCACAAGAACCTGTCCGTTGTCGTGAAGATCGTTGACAAATGCGCTGGTTGCAAAGTTGGTACGTAACCTCGGTCTCTATGGATTACCAATGTATTCAATGACTGACTTTTTTCCTCGCCCCCTTTTTTTGCCACCTTTCTTTTGTGACATTTTATAGGCAAGGCTATTGATTTGACGCCTGCAGCCTTCAAGAAGATTGCTCCCCGCGGTGATCTTGATATCGGTGTTCTCGACATCAGCTGGAAAGTTGTCAAGTGCTCCAACTCGAAGTACTATCCTAGCAAGCCCAAGGCTTAGACAAAAAAAAAGAAGATTCTTGATTCTTTTCTCTATTCTCGTGTTGCTTTATGTTATTTGCTCCCTGTCGCTTGTCACTTTCCACAATCTATAAACTCAATTAACCTGTATTTCATCTTAAAACAAAATGACTTTATAGAATCACTTGTGGATAAAAAAAAAAAAAAACCAGAATGAAATGATTAGACCAAATAGACATAGTCAATCAGCCACACTGGCATCCAATCTTTTCTATTCTTTCATTGTATATGCATTTTTTATCGCTTTTACAACCAGGCTGTCACAATACAGTTAAACTCACACTTTAAATCTTATGTTGCTACAATGGATCATGGTTATCCAAAAGAAGATCTCAGCGAAGCCGTGCCCCTATAGCCGACTAATGTTTGACTCGAAATATAACATACTCCAGTTTGGTGATGGCTTTTCTATCGTATGCGAACAAGAGGTATCAATTTCAGGTTGTTTCTGTCGATTCATCAACCACCACCAAGGCGCATATTTCCCTTTTTGATGATCAAAATGTTACCGTGACGAGAAGTAAAACATGGAGACAGAGGTTTGGTTTCTAGGTAACAGTATCACAGTTGTTTGACTTATTTTTTTTTATTGCGCAAACTAATGTGGTTGAAGACGCGGTACGGGAAAAATTGTGTCTAGTTCTTCTTTTCTTCGGCTTCGGCCTTGCTCAAGAATTCGCGAATGAAAGCTTCCTCGTCAGCAGAGCTAGCCTGAATCGGGGGAGTAGCAGGTTGAGCGGGCTTGGGCTTCATGCTGTAACCGATACCAGCAGCGGCGTAGGCACCAATGAAAGCCATGGCGACCTAGATTCGTCGAAACAAAGAGAAAAAAAACACGCCAACCCACTCGAAATTAGTACAAGCATTTCTTCAATGACGAAACAACAATGTCAAACTGGTGCCAGGGCCACCGAAAAGAAAAGAGAAAAAGTCTAGTCCTCCCGATATAGGTGAAAACAAGGCAATGATGCTTACAATGTGGGTAGGAATTTGCTTGCCAGCGATGGTGTAATGTCCAGCCATTGTAGTGAATAGAGTAAGGTAAGAGAAAAAAAAAATTAGATTGCGGCGGGGACCATGTTCACCTATCCCACCCCCCAGACTGCCGACTGATGCTACGTCATCAATGTTTTTTTTTTTTTCAAAATTCGCTTGTGACTCGATTGAAGCCCGACGGCCCGAAGCATCCTTAGAATCGACCGTCACAACTAAATTTGCATGATTTTTCGTTGTTGCGATTTGAGGAGGTGAAGGGGGTTTGTTTTTAGGCCAGAGGCCGATTCACTCTGATCTTTTTCTGAAAAATAAAAAGAAGCGAATTTATTATAGAATTCATGACATATAAAAAGGCGGCAAAAGAAAAATTAAACCAAGTAGAGCAACAGACATCGATTACTATGCATCAGGGTTACTTTGGGGGGGCCCAAAGGGCTGATTTAAAAGGAGGTCTCGAGGTCTCAAGTTCAAACGTGGAGATCAAATATTACATGTTTTTTATTTATGAATTGCCTCCTAAAAAAATCAATAAGAAATCTATGCCAAAAACCTTCAGCCCATAATCTACCAAGCCTCTTCCCAACGACCACGCAACCACAGAAAACCTGTGATGTTGTGTGACAAGGGTGAAAGTACGCATGAAATGACCTGAGGAAAGTACGTAATAAGATGATTTGCACGTTGTTGGGTTCTGCATAAAGAAAAAGTAGCAAAGTATTTTATGAGAGAGTAAGCATGCAACGGTTGGGATGGGTCACTTTGTTGGACAGCTGAGCGGGACTTGAACCCCAATTCATTGTGGCACAAGGGCCAAGATGGTTGGAAATTGCATGATAGGCTGCTACTTGATCGAAAACCAGGGGATATTTTATCGTTCTAACCGAGGTTCAGTGGTATAAATCGTGGACCGACAACTGGTGCAGGTTGCATGGATATGCCCATCTCTCACCCTGACAAAAATACAAATGATGGTTTACCCCTGCACTTTGAATGATCATTCGGTCTTCCAATGTTGGTTGCTTACATTGACCACTCCCAATCTTTTTTTATCTTGGTGACACTGTGACAGATTCTAAAAATTTCGAACAATTTCATATCGTCATATTGACAGTTCCCATGGATTCAAAAAAGCATAAAGGATAATAAAATATCAGCTTTTTTTTTGGGGGGGAAAAGGGAGATACCAAAAAGAAAAGAGAGGGAGAGAAAAAAAAGCCAAAGCAAAGATAGCCAGTGTTGCTGAAAGAAGCCCATCTGGAACAGTGGCTTGTGATCAGATGACATTTTTTCCAGCAGGCCCTTCTTAATTCTTTCTTTTTTTTTTCCCTTGATTGGTTTTCTCTGTTTTTGGCTTTTTTTTTTCTTTCTTCATTTCAGTTTGGGGCTCACGTTATATTCGTTTTTTTCTTTACACTTTTTTCTTGAAAAATATTTTGCCCACCATTCCGTCCAATACAGTTACATCTATCCCTTTCAAAAAGTTGTCTGGGTCGTCCATGATGGATATCTTTGGGCCCGAAGATATCTCTCCACCGGCAACCCCCCCTAACTTTAACTTTGCATCTGCCGTACCCTCGTCATCATCCTCGTCATCATCCACCAACAAATCCCCACGATCCATACAACGCCATCGGTCCGTTTATAACGATCCTTCCTTTGCACAAAACCCCGCTCATCTGGCCACGGTCTTTAACGATGCCCAACTTGATCACCTTCGTCATTTGAAACAGTCATTCCAGCAACTATCCCCCCAGCAACAACAATACTTTTTATACGAAATCATCAATTGTTGCGATAATTCACAACTCGCCTATCTGAACGACCTCATTGCCCCCCGTTTAAAAATCGATTTTCTTAAAGAATTACCCATCGAAATCTCCCTCCATGTGCTGTCCTTTATTGATGACCCCAAAACCCTCGCTCGAGCCGCCTGTGTATCTACATTTTGGAATTCATTGTTGCAAGATGAAGCAACTTGGAAATCGTTGTGCATGAAACACCAATATCGACGGCGCAATTCAAGTATATGCGGCGGCGAACTTCTCGATCCTCCTACTCAACGTCTTAACTTTTCTTACCGGGAATACTTCAAACGAAAATACAATATTGCTTCTGCCTGGGCTCAAGGTGGCCGAGTCAAGGTGATTGCGGACGGTTTCCGGGAAGGATTAGTCACCTCACTGCAATTCGATGAAAAATACATCGTTGTGGGCTGCGACAATAACTGCATCGAAGTCTTTGATACCAACACTGGCAAGAAAATTCGTACTCTCGAAGGTCACGAAGGTGGAGTTTGGGCACTGCAGTTCAAAGGTGGAGAAAATTATGATCCTGAACGAGTCCTCGTCTCCGGCGGCTGTGATCGGTAAGTCTCCAATGTCGTCATTTATTATTTTTGACCATCCATCGACTCATTCATCTCTCTCTCTCTCTCTCTCTCTCTCTCTCTCTCTCTCTCTCTGCGTTGCCGGACGCTCGAAATCATCGCTTATTATTCATCCTTTTTCATTTCTTGTTGTCTTGGTGTGACTTTTTTTTGTGTGTGTGCCTCTTTCTCCTTTTTTTTTTTCTTTACCAACAGCGATGTACGAGTGTGGGATTTGAACAGTGGACGACTGCGCCATGTACTTCGTGGTCATACATCGACGGTCAGATGCTTGAAAATGAAGGATAAACGCTTAGCAGTCACCGGATCGAGAGATAATACGATGCGTGTGTGGGATATCCAACGCGGTGCACTACTTCATGTTTTACTGGGTCATCAAGCCAGTGTACGATGCTTGGAAATTCACGGCAATACGGTGGTCTCGGGCTCGTATGATTTTACGGCACGTGTGTGGGACATTCGTACTGGCCAGTGTTTACATGTCCTCGTGGGCCACATTTCCCAAATTTATACCATTGCTTTTGATGGGCAACGGGTAGTGACCGGATCGCTGGATTCTACCATTCGCGTTTGGTCCGCTGAAACAGGCCAATGTCTCGCCACGCTTCACGGCCACACTTCGCTGGTGGGTCAGTTGCAGTTGTCGGGGTCGACGCTCGTTAGTGGTGGGTCCGACGGTTGTCTACGTGTTTGGGATCTTCAGCACTACGAATGCGTTCAACAAATCTCGGCGCATGATAATTCTGTCACATGCTTGCAATTCGACGATCGACGTATGGTGAGCGCCGGCAATGACGGCCGTATTAAATTATGGGACATCAAACAAGGACGCTTGATTCGTCTGTTCTCTCAACCGGCGAAAACCGTTTGGAAAATCCAGTTCAACGATACAAAGGCGGTGGTATTGATGCAACGTCGACGGTCTGCCAATTCCGAGGAAGGAAAGACGGTGATGGAGATCCATGATTTCGATGTACCGGACAACGATCGACATACCGAACTTACCACTTCAATTTCTTCTTCAAGTTCCTCATCCTCTGTTATGATGATGGACCTGGATGAAGACGATATCAATGTCTACTAAAACCAGACCCTCGATCTTTACCAACTTGTTTCTCCTTTTGCTGCCATTTTGTCCTCTCGCCTTTATTTCCATGCTTACATTTTCTTGTTATCATTTTTCATCATCTCCATCTTATACTTGCGGCCCCCCTTTAATTTCAAAATGGGGTTTTGTTTGGCTGCTCTTCCTCCTTCTGTACACTTGTGATATTCCATTTTCTAATCGTTGTTTGAATTTCGTTATTCATTCAGTCCATGTGACTATTCCCCCCCTGTTTGCTTTGTTTTTTTTTTCTTCTTCTTAAATATCCATGCTCTATGTCAATATTATTCATCTATGCGTGTTTCATCAATCGCTTTCGGTTTGATTACTATTGGTTATAATGGACCTCTTTCTACAGTGTGTTCATCTGCTGCTTATGATATGACTGTTGGACTAAAAACGATATGTATTATGTGATGGCGGTCATTAGGACAAAAGATTGAATTAAATATTGGATTTCCGTATGCCTATCATAAAAAAGGCACCTCGCCCCTGGTTTAGCTCGTCCGGTGGTCAAACGCAAACCACCACACGAGAATAGCAATCACCACCAAAAGGATGAGAAAGATAAAGAAACAACACCATTTTTTCTATCATACGACTGGTTACAAAAATGGAACAACCTAAGAAAAAAAAATATATATAACACGTACTGCTCGAGTGGATTTGGCCGACTGGATGGCTTTGTCTACATGCTCCACACCCTTTTCTAGGTCTTCTACCACCGTTTCTGCATGCTTTTCTATGGTGTCAAGTGTCTCTCCCTGATGTTCAACTAGCGTTTGCATATCCACAAACAGCTGATGCAGTTCCTGTTGTCGATCATCAAAAACAGTGAATACGGATCGAGATTGTGTTGTCAGTGTATCGATAATGAAAACTCACCAATATTGTCTTTTCAATCTTTTTAATATCATCGTGACGATGCTGTACTTCGGACAATACGGCTTTGGCTTGACCCTTGCGATTAGATTGCATCAACTACCACACATAATATTATGTGTAATTTTGAGTTTCAATGGATAAAGATGCAGCAAGTACTGAGGCAATGGTATATTACATTTTGAGCAAAGACTTGTTGCTGCTGGTCTGAATCGATAATTTGATCTAGCTCATCCTGGCTGATTTCAGGATTCACTGGGTACACAAGGCCAAAGTGAGTAGCAACAACAATTATAACTTTGCATAGAAAATACCATACCAATGCGTATTTGTCTTTCCATGCGTTGTCGGCATCTTGATGAAAAATCACGCTCGATACCTTGATAATGCTGAATCAAGTCGATGAAGTTTTTCTTGAGCTTTACCACCTTTGTAAATAAACTGGGTTAGGCATCTTAATTTCTTTTACCCGTATCCATGGTTCCAAGGACTTTTTTTTTTCTCACCTGTGTGTGCCTGATTTGGAGGTCAGATCCAGACGATAAATCCAAGTTACTCCGTTCAAGATCTACTCCCTTTTGATGAGCCCATGTCTCTTTGTTAAAATTGTATGTTCAGCATGTGAAATATCGCTTTTTTACTTTTAATTCGCTTCTTAATATCATTATTTTCTTGTTTGACTTTGGCCATGTATGTTTCCAGTCGCTTGGTGTTGGTGTCAGTATCCGATTCGCTTAAAGCGACCAATGAAGCGTTGTGGAGTTCGGCAATACTATCGACGTCCTGCCGAGCTTGTCGGATAATGGCGGTTAAAGCATCCACCTGTTTGGGGTAGCACAGCCAATGTTAGCGTGACACCCGATTTTTAATCAGATAAAAAAAATTGGAGCGCATCAAGTACTTCTGTCAAATACTCGTCTAACGTGGATAAGTTAGTGGGCGGCGGTGATTGAGCTTGTTCATGTTGCGACGGCATTTTTTTGAGCTACTTTTGTATCACGATCTGCTGATCTTTTCCGGCGATAAGTAAAAAATAAATGAAACGGTTAAAAGTCAGTGTAAGGGTGGGGATGAAAAGATGAAAGCAAACAGAAAAAAAAAATTTACAACCTGAGGAGAGAAATAGTAGCAGTGATTAACTTGGCTCATTGGGGATAGCTGTACTGTGCATTGCCCTAACTTCTCAGTGACCTGCAGAGAAAAGATGCTGTAGATACAAAAAGTCGAGGATACGTCAAAGGGGGCAGGTCGATTGCCTAAAGGGGAAATTTTTTTTTCTCATCCACTGGCAAAAAAGTGAGAGGACTTCTGGAGAGTTTATCCTTCTTGATTCAATGGGTAGATCGGAATATGAATCTAATCCAGTCGATCGCGATCAGATTACGGTTGCCAATGATTGGATAGAAGGAGCGGCTAAAGCAATGCTTTTTCTCAGCCTCATGATACAAGTGATCAAATAAACGAACCTTCCCTAGTCTATTAGAAAGATCAACACCAGTTTACGCCCAAATAAAGGTATACCCGAAATACACCAGCTACTTTCGGTTCGTGGTTTCCAGGTGAATGATCGTGGGAGTGAAGAATGATTATCCGTGCATGCTTTGTTCATTTTAGTCACCGCTTTGGCAGGTTTTTTTTTTCCAGCCTTTTCCCCTTTTTATACCACTTTGTCACCCAGGATTTTTTTTTGTTTTCTTCCCTACTTTTTCAGTGTCGCCGCACAAGTTTTGATCATGTCATTTCTCGACACGGAACCTTCACCGCATATGAGTCGTCGAAGCCGTCGATCGTTGGTATCCTTGGCATCGTCGGCACTGCCTCCACCGGTGCACTTTGACAGTCATCGCATTCCTGATGACCAGCTAAAATCTTTGACCAACAAGGAAGTTCGAAAATTTTACATGGTACGCCGAAACCCCCCGATGTGTTTGTGGTTGGGCTCGTTTTGATGTGACCCATTGTTGATCCTCTTCTTTAGAAACAAAATGATATGATCGACCGATTTTTAGAAGTGGATCATGTGGTGGAATCGTTACGACGCGGCGAAGACCCGTTGCCAGCATACGGGACAATCCATCACGACGAGGAAAATCAATATCTGCCTCCGGGAGCCCACGGAATGGACGCGAACTTGAATGAAGCGGCCGAGGAACCTTTGTTGATGCGAAAGGATAAAGTGCTGGCGAAACAGGGCGAGAGAAAGACAGCATTATGGATTGTTCATTTGGCTATCAATTTGTCATTTTTCGCCAACGTCATGCTGTTTGCAACCAAAGTCGGTTTAGCCTTCTTCTCAGGCTCCATGGCAATCCTCGCTTCGGCATTTGAAAGTTTCTTGGACATTGTCAGCAACGCCATCATCTTTTTTACCATTCGCATCATTCGTCATAAAGACTACTATACCTACCCTGTCGGCAAGGTAAAGTTTGAAATCTCGGCAAATCAGTGCTTTAGATACCCGAATTGACTTTTTTTCTTTTAGTCACGTATGGAACCGTTGGGCATCATTGTGTTTGCTGTGATTATTACCACTTCGTTTTCTCAAGTCTTGATTACCTCCGTTGAACGATTGACGGATCCCCAACGCACAGGGGAAGAGTTGGATTTGAGCCCCGTAGCCCTCGGTATATTGGGAGCCAACATTCTCATCAAAGCCTTGCTGTGGTGGTGGTGCGCCACGGTCCGAGGTAGCTCCAGTGTCGAAGCCTTGGCACATGACCATGAAAATGACGTGGTGTTCAGCATCGCAAGTACAATCTTTCCCGTGATTGGTAAGGATCGAAATGCAAGTTGAAACGGGATCATGAATGTTGGGACTGACAACTCTTTTTTTGTTTTTAGGTATTTGGGCCAACATGCCTTGGCTCGATCCTGTTGGTGCCATCTTGCTATCCATTTATATCATTTATGAGTGGATGACGATCTTATTAGGTAATTGCATGGCTTCGGCAGAATCACTGGTAGACGGCAGAGCAGCAGATGAAACTGACATTTGTATGAATTCATGCAGAAAACATCCGACGATTAACTGGTCAAGCCGCTAGTGCCAGTGATTTGCAGCAGCTGACGTATATGGCCTATCGATTTTCCAACAAGATCGTTGCTGTGGATACCGTAAGTGAACAAGAAAAGAGCCTCTGATATGTTGGGTAGGATGGGGATTAAAATATGATATTTTGCGTTTAGGTCCGTGCCTATCACATCGGTGATCGCTTGCTAGTGGAGATCGACATTGTGCTGCCTCCTGATTGTCCACTGCAAGAAGCTCATGACGTCGGTGAGGCGCTGCAAGATGCTTTGGAAATGATGGATAATGTGGAACGTGCTTTTGTTCATCTGGATTACAGCTCGGAACACGCCATCGAGCATCGTCGCGTCGTCGATGGAGTTGGTTTTGGCGGTTAAAGGATGATTTCTTCACTTTCATGTTCACTCGAACATTATTCCTTTTTGGTTTTTTTTTTCATGTTACCCTGTGTCCATACAAATTACTTCTACTCATATATATTCATTTCATACTCTCAACTATTCATTATGATTGCATAAACTTCAACTGTACCAGAAATCACTCGTCAGCCGTCCTGTTTCTCAAGCGGAATCACCGCTCAGCCGCCCCAACATAATTGATCATGCACATCGTCTCAAATATCTTGACATCAAACCCATCCTTTACCTTGGAGAAATCGATATAGCTAAAGCATGACCTTTGAGAGCCGCGATCAGATGTCTGTAAAGAAATTGGTTAAAGAAAATATAATACGCAAGCAATTATCTTTCGGTGTTCATTTTCCTCCTTGGATGGAATGACCGAGAAAAAATTAGCACACTAATCGCTTGTATTTATTATTTCACGCTGATACTGTAAAGTTATATGTCTCTGGAAATCAAGCCTGGCACGGTGTCTAATGGTTTAATAAGGACATCGTCAAATAACAATATGTTGTGCAAGCGATGGACACTGTCAAGCTTAAGAAAGTAAAAGCTGTCGTATTTGTACATATCATTATACCATTCTTACCTCTCATTCCTATGACACCACGCCATCATATCACTTTATAGTCATCCATGATTTATCCAAATCTTCCGGTCTACAAGAGAAAACAATTACACTTTATTCAGTCACGGATCATACCGCATCTTAAAATACCCATCAAGTCATACCTTGTATCAATACCCACTCATAATGATTCCTACATTGACTTATCATTCTGTCAAATGAATAAAATGAGTCTCACAGGATTTATTATGGTTTTTTTTTATATTTATTTTGTTACTACTAATCGCCTGCTCTATAGACTCCCCAAAACCCCAAAGGCGCAGATCAGAGAGCCGCGCAAGATGCTTTATAGTTTTAAGACATGTGAAATTTGATTCTTATTTGAGTAATTGGGAAAGACGACGTTCTTTCAATAGCCTCCGCGTGGGAATCATTTTCAAGTGCCAATGCTGTTGCCCCAGATGTCTTATTCACATATAACTTGCAGTGTAATGGAGATTTGCCGATTCAGCATGAAATTGACCGTATTGGGGCCACATTCTGGACTGGAGACCTTGTCGCTTTGCATACTGCTGGTCACCAAGGCGTCGAATTCATTCGTGCCAATAACCAATTCGTAGCGATTTTACCGCCTTCAGGCTGGGTGAGTGTGGTGGCCCAAATCCTGCTGTACTTCTTACCATGGTGTGGGTCTGAAGTCAACTGTCGACTGCAGTTCGTCATTGATTGTGACTCATAATAAGCACCTACGTCGCCATTTCTTCCGTGCACCTCCACGCTGTTAACAACTAAACCTTGGTTGCAAACAGGATCCACAAATCAAGGCACGTTTCCGAGGCCTCAACGGATTTTCTTGGCAGGCATGCCATAAAGCTGCATTGTAATCGCACCCTTGGCACGCTGATGACTATCGTTTCCGGGACCTTCTTCGTTATCATTCTCTTCAAGAATATCACTACGAACTGCAAAGCACAAAAAAACTGAGTTACTTGCATAATACAAAGCTATCATCACTTACTGAGGCTAATAGTCTTTTAAGTTGCCTTTGCACGCATCAGATTGGAAATGTCGCCATAAAGATGGTTTTCGTCTGAATGACATGTCAAGAACTGCCAATTCGATTAATGACAAAAAAGGTTCCTTCAGCAAAATAAGTAAATACAATACAAAGCATATATACATGGTAAAGCGAGAAGATACTTACCAGCGTCATCCTCGACGGTTACTTTCAGAGAAACATGCCATCCGGTATCGTGAATGTTCAATAGGCGCTGAGATGCGGCCTCGCGGCTACACAAGAGCACCTTCTTTGGTCTCCTCGTTGACTGTCAAACCAGTAAGTTTTTCGGTATGAGGAGCAACCGTAAAAAAGAAGGCCAACGCTACATGCACGCACGCGAAAATACAACCAGTGGGACGGGATGTTGATCTCGCAAAGCTACCGCTGATATACCTTGGTCAAAGCGATACTATCTAACCGAAGCAGTGTCATTGATCTTGTCCCAAGTGAACTTTGCGCTGCACTTGATCATCGATCCAGTTGGAAAAATGCGCAGATATGGGCCCCGTTCTCAGGTTCTCCAGGCTGCCCGAAGTGTGACCGACATTTTTCCAAGGTCGTTTACCTTCGTCAAAACCCCTGTTAGCCTTAAAAGAGCAGACAGAGATTGCTGCTTCTCATCCACAACGAATGGGAGGCTTCACGCGGCGCTTCTTCGCAGCGGAGTGGTAGCTACTGGCACGATGACAGGTATAATGCTCGCGAACAAAAAGAGCACCAGGAACAAAGGAACTCTGCTTCACGAAGCTATAGTAATACCTACAAGATGTATCAGTTGCCTGCACATGTTTACGATAGACAGTAACTTACCGATATTGTTGTTCCTAAAGAAGCGAGAGAATGTCATGCTTCCGCAAGATAACAGAAGGGGCATCTGCGGCAAAGGACCCGACGGGCTGAACCACAGCAGCAATGGATATCATGAGGTTTGAAAGATGGGCAAGACATACATAGGAAAGGATAAACGGAAGAGAGATAGAAAAAATGGACCAACAATGCATGCACGCGAACTACCGTGACATCACACTGATTGGATTACGTGCGCATCTTCACGTGTAGCTTCGCGTGCATCTAGTGCTGTGAAATCGGAAAGCAAATTAAAATACGTATCATTCACAGAAAGTGGTTGTGATAAGCAGCGTAGATATCAGTTATTTTCTTTCGGCGGGTAAAAAGACTAATAAGCATGAAAACAAAAAGAGAAATGTAAAAAGGAATATCGGTCCGGATGTGTCAAATAATGGTCATGAAAATTCATGGAATTCATTATATCGCACCATTCCAGCAATATGATAATGGTCATGGAAACTCATCCCAGCAAGACTGTTCCAGTATTAATGTCATGGCCGTGGAAACTCATTCCATTTTAGAAATAGAAATTCATCCCAGCAACATGACATTGCATCTCCGTATTCTTGACATGAAATTTCATGCTCCTGGAATGGCCATTATTTTCAGGATTTTCCTTACAGAGCTGCGGTAATACTACTGGCCAAAGGGCTGGCAAAGAATCACCGCAGACAAATGAAAGAGAGTACAGGAAGAGTGAAGCGTAAATACACGCAGAGGCCGCTCGGTATATTATCCAAAGGCTTCCACGTTGAATGCATTACAGAAAGTCGTGTGCAGGAAAACCGCTTGATGGTGGGGACACAATTATTAGTTCACGATGTGAATCAAAGTTTTTTTACTAATCAAGTTAATTTAAGAACCATTGTTGGATAATATTACATACAATGTCAAGAATAACATGTGAAAAAAATGCGATGAATGTATGATTTTTGAGAGATAAAAACAAACGGAAAACAAGTATCAAAGAATGAATGGGATGCCGGTATCAAAATAAACAGAAGTGGTATGTTGGCTGTAAGAAACGGGAATGAATTCATCCAAATAGGATGAATGGAAAGAGGATATGGAGAGGGAATTTCGATAGGTATAGCACATTCACAGTTTATTGCAAGGGAGCATCGACCAATCCGGCGACTTCAGAGTACATTTGCAGAGCGCGCAGGATGTGCATGGGATCCAGTTCAATGGCTTCGCCCAGTTTTTCCAGCACATTCGCAAATCGTCCCACTTTTTGTAGATAGAGGCTCGATACCGCATTCTATCAACAGCCCGTTAATGTTAAATTCTTTCGCTCAACTATCATCAATAATTTCGCTAACCTCAACTCTGGCCACGCAGTTATCCATCAGCAAGACGAGTTCTTCGTCGGAAGCTTCTTCCTTTATGTGTTTATCCAGCAGACAGCCGAGTCCGGTGTGGGCGGTACTGGCAATAGTGCTTGGATCGCCATTGGCACCGGTCGATGTGTAGACGCTGTTGATCGAGCTGCCTGCTTTGGACTTGTTCAACACTTTACCGGAAGTGATGCGCTCCAGGCGGATCGCCAGGTTGCTCAAGGCACACACCAAATTGGGATCAATCGTAGGTTGTCCATGCGCAGTCTTTTTCTTGTTTCCCTTTTTCCGATGGTCCCGTTCAGGCTGTACCACCGTTGCGTCAGCCGACGCAGACCGCACAAGGGCTTCTTCAGCATTCAAACCCTCTTCGTTGGCCGACAATTCCACTTCTTCTTCAACCAATTTGGGGGAGAGAATCGTTTTCAACACCGGTGGCGCTTGTTCAGCCATCATTTCGCTCTTATCAAGTTCCATACGCGCCGACAGTTGTTTGGGATACACTAGACTGAGCATTTCGGGGGTTTCCAGACCTTTCAGTCGTCGTTCACCGAGTTCCATCACATGGAATCCCAATCGTTTTAATTGCTGAATATCGCGTCCCACCGAGTAATTGCTCACACTGCTAGCCGAAGCGACTGCATCATCGTTGCCACCTTCGCCGTTATCAAACACACCGGGGAAATTGCGCAATGCCGCTACCACGTCCGAGGAAACGCAAATCTGGCCGCCATCGGCAGCATTACAGATTCGGCTTGCTTTGTTGACCACCGGTCCAAAGTAATCCATGCGATTGGTAATAGGATTGCGCTCAAAGACAGGCATGCCCCAATGGATACCCATGCGGACCGAGAGACCTTTATAAATCACGACGTCGTCCTTTTCAATCTCGCGTCCTTCTTCAGTATCGAGAATGCCTGCCGGCCAATCGGCTTCCAGTAATTGCAGCTGGACCGTGAAACACCACAGCAAGGCTGCCGTAATGTTCTGGAAACACACCATAAACGCATCGCCTTCGGTTTTCACTTCATAACCTCCCACGCTACGAAGGGTACGGCGCATCACTTGATCGTGGATCTTGATAGCGGACCGCATGCTTTCCGGTTGTGTTTCCCAAAGCTGAGTCGAGCTTTTGATGTCCGTGAACACCAACGCGACCTGGTTGACTGGCGGTGGAACTTCTCTTTCCAATCGTGCTAATGTCTGTAAAATCAATTTTCCATTTGGTCAGTTGGGTTCTTTTATCATGCAATGCATTCTAACCAGGACACTTACGGAATCACCCGGTCCTTCCTCTTTGCCTCGTCGTTTGTTTTTACCGACCAGCATGCCCGTAGCATCATCGATCAACATGCCTGCACCATCGCTACCTACACCGCCCCGACCGCCACCGACATTGACGCCACGCAGATTACGGAATCGCTTGTCTCGCTTGTCGAATAAATCGCCTACTCCCAGAACCATGACCATGATATTATCATCGGCTCCGTAAGTGATTGCAAAATCACGCAACTTTTGTGCAGCCGCCATCAAATCATCCTTTTCGGTGCGAGCAATATCCACGGCCGTCTGGTATGACATACGGTCCCAAAGTCCTCGTGATGCCATGATTACAAATTCATCGTTTTCCGTCAAGTCAATCGTCGAGATGTACGGGTTGGCATTCACCACTGGAATCAGATGAAAGTGGCCAAAGCTGCGGGAGACATTGAGCTCGCCGTTCAGCAGACCGGAATTCGAGACATATCCACCGGCAGCACGAATACGCGAAATCTCACTTGGATTCAAGGGGATGTGCTTTTGCGTAATTTCAAACGCCTGGCCATTGTTGCGGGAAATGACGGCCAAAGCGTCACCTACATTGGCAACGTACAATTTGGTGCCAGCAATGTAACACACCACCGCCGAAGCCCCGGAATCCTTTTCCTCACTAGCTGTTGATCCAAGCTCCTTTTCCAAGGTCAAAAACATGCGTCGCATCGCCGATACAATGGAATCATCATGCTTGTTTCGTCGAAGTTCGCTCATAAAATGGTACGTCATGTTGTCGTTGAGATATTTCGTGAGCTTGCATCCCGTTTTCGTGTGCTTGCGACCGTCAAACAGACCAAAGAAACATTCGTCGTCGTTGTTCCTGAATCTTGGCATTACAAGATCCCACGTAGATAGATGATCGCTGGGGCCTAACCAGTCGGCGATACCGTACGCCATGCTGTTCACTTCCGAAGGGGAAGTACGGACACGGCGATCATGGAATTCTTCCGGAATCGACACGCCCAAAATGGTGATGTCCATCAGTCCCAGCATTCGTAAACGGAGCAGCGCACTAAAATCGGAAAGATCTTTCTCCTTTGGATTGTTCGGATCAGGGTGCATTTTCTTGATTTCCAGACGCTTGTTGCCAGACAAGTTGAGATACTTTAAACCAAGATTCCAGTTCCTACGAGTTCCGAGTAAACGTGGTTTAGTAAAAAATGGGGAAGCAGTCTTTCTTTTGTATACCATACCAGTTCCAATCATAGGGCCAATTGGCAATGTTGTATTTCAGCACATTGTTGCCCACATCCAGTACCAACAACTTGCGTAATTTACCGATTTCGGCCGGAAGCGTTTGAAGTTTATTGCCGTTCAGGGCCAGAACACGCATGTACCCCAGCTTCTCAATGTCATCGGCCGGCAAAGACGTGAGATGATTACCCGATAAATACAGTTCGTACAGGTGCTTGTGGCACAATCCCTCGGGAGGAATCTCGTAAAGATCGTTGAAGGACAAGTTGAGCGTACGAAGTTCCAAAAACAAAGAGAGAGGTGACCAGATATCGTCTGTCAAACGATTATCGCCCAAAAATAGCTGACGTAACGAAAGCGACAAGGGAGGTGGATGGTTGCGAGGACTGGCGAAGAAGGAAGGCGGATTAAAGTTGGGTGGCGCTTGTGGAGTTAACAGACCCGCGGGTGTATTTTCCAACGACATGTTCATGGACGGGTTGCTGCCTTTGATATTGGGATGCATGGGCATAAACAGGGAGGAATGAGTGGGTTCGCCCGTGGGACTGGCCATAGGAACAATGCCTTGACCTGCATTGGAACCCAGTTGGGTTGGCAAGCCACCTTCGGATGCTGCATTGGCAATCACGGCGGGCGTCACCACGATTTCGGCCTGAGGCGTCAGTGGAAGATGAAAAGCAATGCCTGGAGCCGAATATGGTTCCGGGAAGCATTCGAGCAGGTTGGAGGAGCAATTGAGGGTTTGCAAGGACGCGCAAAGCCAGATATCTTTGGGCAATGTTTTGAGGTTATTTTTCTGCGCATCTAGCACTTTGAGCTCATAAAGCTTGGCGATTTCCACCGGTAAACTGTCGAGGTTGTTGCCCTGAACGGAAAGGCGTACTAGCTTGCGTAGACAGCCGATACTGGAAGGCAAGGCGTTGAGTGTGTTATTGTCGAGCACCAAATGCTCCAAAGCGGTGGTGTGAACAAAGCAGTCTTCGGGCAAAGAGGAGAGCTTGCAGTTGGATAGATTAAGATCCGACAGCATACTGGCAGCCGGACGAGTTGATATAGATTTGGGTATGAATGGCGTGCCCTGACCATCGGTGGATACTTTTTGGGTAATGTTGAGGTTGAATTGAGTGAGATGATTTTTGTACATTTTCAGTTGTTTGAGGTTCTTGTTGAATGCGCAGTTGACGAGACTGATGGCATTGTAATCCACAAACACGACTTCCAGCTTGGGTAACTGACACAGTACGTCAAGATCGGTGATAAAGTTTTGTCGAATGTCCAATTCTTGCAGTTTTTCCAGCTTGGCAAAGGTAGGAGGAAGACTGCCACTGATCCGGTTGGCAATAGCGAATAATCCAACGAGATTGGTCAGATTCCCGATTTCATCTGGGAAAGCAGCAATCTTGTTAAAACTGACATCGAGATAGGCAAGACTGGTGATTTGACAGATGACATCTGGAAAACTAGTGAACGAGTTGTTGGAAATAAAGAGAATCGTCAAATGTTTAAAATTGGCGTAGGAAGCAGGCAAAGAGTCGAGCCGGTTGTTGTAAGCGCGCAGGGTCTGAAGGCCTTCGATTTCTTCCAAGCGAGCATGAGCGAGATCTCGCAATCGATTGCTGGACACGTTGAGATGCTCCAGACACTGGATGTGCCGTGTAGATGGCGGGATCGTGGAATACTCATTATTGACAAGCCACAACTGTTTGAGGCTTTTGCACATTTGAATGAAATCCACGGGAATCTCCATGAAGAGGTTTTTCGACACGTCCAGCGACACAATCCGTTGCGCATGTTTGTACAAAAAGATGGGAATCGTCGGTAGATTGCGTGCTTGAAGATCCACATGCTGTCCAAAGTCTCCCTCTTCATGAACGATAGGCGCCAACGTAGGGCCAAACGTAAATCGCAGTAAATACGAGTTATCTTCACGCCCCACATCCTCGATTCGGTCCTGATCCGTGTAGCCCATTTGCTCCAACAACGCTTTTTGAATTTGCAATGGCCTTTCGTTGGGCTGTAGAATGCGTTCTATTCAATGGGTAATGGATTGCTCAGCTCACGCTCCATGGATATCAAGCGTCCCACAATCCTTACCGAGTTTATTACGTCGAAGTACAAGACAGTACTTGCTCATATCTGGCAAAAAGAATTTGCCAGCGAGCTTGTTCATCAATTCGTTGGTTGTGGAATGGATTGGAACCTGCAAGGTGCCGAAAGTGGCATCTGGTCGGAATATACGAATGCAAAACTGCGAATGAAGATAATGTTAGAATCCATATGTGATTTTAGAAAGCTTCTTTTTGCACTTGCATTTTTTCGGTGGACATCCCACTTTTCTTGCTCAACAATCGAGTAGTCATCAAATTCGGACGAATCCTCATCAACCAGCGTCGAGGTGGCTAGAGAGGTACCAGGACTAAATACATCGGCAGGCTGAACGGCCCAGCTGTCAGGAGGAGCCCACGTTTCCACAGCCGATAAAGAATCGAGACTCTATTCGGGATGTCAATAATAAATCAACCAGATGGGACTGTCCATCAAAGGAAAACGAACCTGATCGCGAACAAGGGAGCTGGAGGTCAAACTACCCATGGAATGGCTGTAATGATAATCCGGATTGACAATGCCATCCATACTTCCGAGATTTTGGTCCACTAGATGCATCGTCAATAGATCCATAGGGGCAGTTCCGCTTTTTCGCAACTCAACACTTACATTCGATTTCCTTTTACAAAACGCAAAAAAAAAGAAAATATAAAAAAGGAAAAAGAACAGAACAATGTCCACATTTAGAAATCTCTCCCCATGGTTTCCACGACGACATGTCCATGTCGCACGCTCACCTTGATATCTTTACGCGATCCACTGCCGTGACGATCTAAACCATAATAAATGCCACCATCCGATTTTTCTCTATCCTTTCCTTTACGACTTGAACCGGACCCTGCTGAGCGTTTGCGTTCACCGGCGAGACTGCTGCTGTAATAATGAGGGCCGCGTTGCATGAATCGAAAAGGGTCGTCGGCACCAGGCATATCAAGGGGATGCCGATAATCTACATCGTTGGACCGCTTACGCTGACTGAGAGAAATGGTCGATGCGTTGCTTAGTGAAGCGGACGAAACGGAAGAAGGGGTACTTGATACGTTGGTAAGTGAGTGAGATGAAGTGAGATGATGAGTGTCGGAGCGTGATTGAGCGTGGGATCGATGGGAAGAAGCGCCATCGGCAGAAGTCCCGGCTATGAATATGATTTTTGGGTTAGTGAATGAGTTTCTCACGCAAGCTTCATCGAGCAAACCATGGTTCGTAACGACGCACTTTTCTTCTTTCCGAATCGACCAAACAAATGCCGCTTTTTATCTTTTGGCGCACTGACTGTGAGCAATCCAGGATCCACAGCTGAGACAGAACAAAAAAATAAAATAAAATCAGAAACAAAAGATCATCATCATTCAGTCTCAGATCATGTCTCAAGTTTTCCCGCATGAAAAGACACTCAATATTCCCATTTCTTCTCTCCCCCGTTAAAGCTACAAAATACCTCCAGTATGCAGTTGCTCGAACCGTTGTGGATCACCTGAATTGCTTCGGCGTAAACCGGCATGCGTACCATTGACGGATGATATATAATGATTTGAATCTTGAACCTGTTCTCCGATATGTCGACCTCCTCTCGGAAACGGCACCGGGTTCGCTTTGGGAGTTTTAGTACCTCTTTTTGTCGCGTTCTGCAAACGACCCGTGGGAATAGGACTGGTGGGCCGTGAGGCAAGTGCGGCTGAAGGCGGCGCATTATTGGAAGAAGCACTTTCCGAGCGATGATGAGGTCTTTGACCGGACTCCTGGGTAGGAGGACCATCAAACGATCGACGTCGTTGCATAGTCGGAGGATATGGGGCAAAACTGACAGGAGAATGACAGTGAGTGGGAGAAGCGAGAGTGCCTGTCGAAGAGTTTCGAGTGTGACGCGATGCGCTCCGAGGCGTTGTGGATGATAGCGTCTGAGTTGGCTTGGGCACGGCTAATTGAGACGTAGGTGATCCCGCTTTTTTTTTTCACAATAGATAGAAAGTGGATGGTGAGTTTGTATGTGTTGTTTTTACAAAAAGAGTCACGACCTTTTTTTTTTTCCCTTTTCCCCTTCTTGTTTGTAATGAATTACCTCGAGATGACTCCTGTGACGAGTGATGACCGAAAACTCGGGTAAAAAAAGAATCACTTGCTGAATTCTGGTGGCTGTGGCTGTGGCTGTGATGATGATGTTGCGGCTGGTGCTGTTGTTGTTGTTGTTGCTGTTGCTGGTGGTGCTGGTGTTGTTGCAACAAAGGCCCTGCATATAGTTGGTGATGTGTCATGGTGGGGTGCTGGGTTATTTTTATGACTTGGAAAGTTTATGGTGGCCTTTTTCTTGTTGTATGGTTGTTATTGTTGGTTGGATTGAGTAAGGAGATTGAGGGAAGGGGAAGCGAATCCCAAAGAAGGAGAAGGGATGGTGTTTGAAAGCAGTCAAAGTGGAAAGGTCTATTGCCTATCCAGATTAGAACAGGTGGAAAATGGCTGAAAACGTACCAGATACAATTTAGGTGTGTGTAACCCCACCTTTGCTCTGTCTGGCTCCAAAAAGCTTAAAATATGGATGAGGAGGATCCACGTCATGACGGTCTTGAATTCAATATCACTGTCGAACCTTGGGCGTGCTAAAGTGCTTAGTCAGGGACCATACCACTTCATACGAATACACGACGTTATCTACCGGATCATGAATTGGGTTATTTGAGGGCGATGGTTCGGTGATGAATTTCAGAAAATGAGGGCCCTTGACAAACTCCGTCCATCCAATCTGCCACTTGTGACACCTCATCCCAGTGGATTGGTTGATTGCCCCTGACGAGTGGGAAGCGAGAACAGAAAAGTCAGCCATGCTACACTAATAAAAGGCTTTCCAGGGCCTTCTTTTATTTTCTCTTTTGCAAGTACCACATACAATACCAGTCCTAAAAGCCTTTGTACTTATCAAATATAAAGACAAACGCCATTAGACATCCATAGTTGGCGGTCTCAAGAGAAAACGTACGGGTTTGCGTCGCATTGGCATGAAAAATCTCGAATTTTCAGGTTTATTTACCAAAAAGGAAATAAGGAACGGACATTGAAATTACCACTCGCAAAAAGTCAGAATGAATATTTTCAAGCAAAAAAAAAGTAAAGCGGAGATGGGAAAACGACAGGACTTTGATTGTTTGACCAGAGTACAGAGAGAACGGGTAATGATCGAGAGCTTTAGTAAAAGTATTTGTACTGCTTAACTTTCACCATTTAATAAAGGCATAATTAAGTGTACAGTAGTCATAACTTATTCTTTCTTCGTATTTCTCCTTCTTTCTTATCATGTCGTCAGTGCGAAACTCACCCATATTTTATGGCGCCAGTTCCAGCCGTGCGAATCTTGAACTCGAATCATCGGTGGGTCTAAAGCAACAGTATTCCATGTTATAATGTTTATTTATTTACACGAACTGATAAATAGTTGGCAATAGAGACGGGTACTTTTGCGACCAGCAACCGTCCGGCTGATACCACAACCCAGGAACTATCTGTTAAGCCAGAGATACGATATGAGTGACAGAGAAAATCAAAAGTCATCTGCACATTCCACTGGTTGCAGACATCGTTGACGCTTGGAATTTCATGAATATATTCTGTAACATAGGCAAGCTGCAGATGATCAAGTTGGATGCTTTTAACAACAACCTGAGAAAAGCTCTTACACCTGGCGCGCATCTTTGTGTGGATGAATCGATGAATCAATGGCTTGGTAGAGCGATGCCTAATCTTCGCAAGGTCCCCCGTAAATTGCACCCTATTGGACATGAGTGCCAGACTGTAGCAGACAGCGCTACCTGCTGCACTTGTGTTCGCTTGTTCAACGTTTGCAAATGCCCGCCGGCAATTACGGCCCCTTTGCGATAGGAGATCAGGGCACCTGTCGAGTCGAATGCAAAAACATCCGTATTCAACTCAGAATGCGATCTGTACCTATACCAATAGATTGCTGGCCGCCGAAAGGTGCCGACAACGAAAGCGCAAAGACTAGGTGGTCAGATGATATGAATCAAGAAATCGAAGTTCCGCGCTGACGTTTCAGTCTCTTGTTCATTTGCCAGCCATGCTGGATGTCACTATAAAATCGACCGACTTGGCCGCGTTCCATTGTTCCTCCTCTTTTTCTTTACAATCATCATGTCCTCCGATAACAACAATAAACGCAAAAACCCAAGTCCATCCGTCGAAAAAAACCGTAAGACCACGGAAGGTCGAAGAACGCCGAAGGAATCATGAAGAAAAGATGGCAGAGTATGAGCAAATCGCGGCAAATTACAATGCCAAAGACGAGATAAGGACTGATGGATGAACAGATTATCCTGTTCTGGTTGATGAAATTGTGATCTTGTAGCAAAGAAAGCAGGAGATGATGGCGGCCCTCGACTACGAAGTCATAGTGGAGGGCGAGGGTCGCAGCGTAAAAGAAGGAGATGAAGTAAGATGATTTATTCATCTTTACGATGAATATGTGTTTTGATCTTTTTGGACATAATTTTCTCAGGTGCGCATCAATTACGATTTCACGAGCGGATGGCGCATTGTTGATAGTCGGACGATCACCTTCCGAATTGGTGTAGGATCGGCATGCGGAGCGAACGGTGACCGTGCGCCCAGAGGTCTCAGCACAACCAACAGCAATCTTTAAGGTAAGAGGTATATCTTGAGTCGGTCAAAGACTACGCCTAACTAATTATTCTTTCTCTATAAAGGTTGAGTTGCTTGATATTTTGTAATAAACATATTAAAAATTTACTTTACTGAAAGAAAAGTTGAACGTTGAGCTGTTTGAATGATTTCTTATGTCCCTTGTTGTCACGCTTGTACATGAAGTTTACAGGTTGAGAACTCTTTTGCAGTACAAAGTTTACTCTTTCATTCGGTTGACCTCAAAACAGAAACACAAAAAGCGATCGCTAGAAGGAAAGAAAGGCTGTATCCTCTATCATCTTGCCACGACGTGTACAGCTAAGGTCTTCTCTTCGTCTCGTGTACGATGTCTGTGCGGTGGTTTCTGCAAGTCATGTATGTCTTTAGATTGGTTATCTAACCATTACAGAGCTTACAGGCGTCCTTCCTTCTTCGGCATTGTTTTCGTTTCTGTTCCTGGTTTGGATGTCTTTTGGTGGTAGCCGCCGTCACGCAGATTTTCCCTGTGCTGTGAAGCTCGTCACTCTTTTCGGCGTTGCTTTGGTCCTTCCGGCCGACATGTTTTTGTACTCCCCTGCAAGTGCCTTTTCGACATGGTTGTACTCATTAGGTTGCGTTCGTTCCTATGTTTTTGGCATGTTCCTTTTGAACGTCTAGGTTATTTTGGTCCTTACTGGTACCTGGGTGTTTCTGTTTGGTCTGTTTCTCGCCTTGTCCTGGGCGACTACCGCCGCGTCCTCCCCAGACTGCGGATTTAATGGCGGATAACCGCTTCAGAGGGTATGGTAAATTTAAATAATAAAAAAGTAAGAAGCATGCATAGTTTTACTGTCGCTCTTCTTCCCCATCTGGTCAAAAAAACAAAAATCCCTTGGGCGTTTTTCATCTCCGGGATTTTTGTTTGTTTTATTTTACACTTATTTGAAATAAAATAGCAAGAAGTCAAAAAAAATGGGACAAAACGCTTCTTTTGTTTCTTTGTAAAAAGGTAGCCATGAGTGATAGTTGTTGTGCTATTTCTCGCAGTCAGTTAATGGGATGAATACGTTTGTGTGCATCATATGACGTTGACCTCGATATGTGTGACTAATCGAGTAAGAAGGAAAGAGGGAGAGAGAGAGAGAGAAGCAATTTTACACGTCTACTTTAGTATAGCCTATATTCATTTGTATAAGCACACACACACATTTGGCTGGTGACTGAAAATAAGAGAGAGAAAGGGGAGAAGGGCCAAGAAAAAAAAAGAAAAAAAAAGATATGCTGCACAGCTACTTTATTTTGAGCCGTGTAACCTTTACTCATATTTTCTACGTCATTTCACAAGACTTTTTGTATTCTTGTTCTCGGGATGAATACAACAAAAGAGCCATCTGACAACCCTACTGCACAAGTAGCATCCAGCAACATGCTGACATCTGCAGAAGACACTTCGGCCATTACTCCGAAACCTATTCTTGTCACCACACCTTCCTCCAATGGGGCTTCCACCAAAAGTCAGGCACACAACTCTAGACGATCCATCAGTGGATCCGACATATTAAACGGTTTGAAGATTATGACCAATCCCCAATTTGAAAGCTCCACGCCCACTTCCCCCGTGCCTTCCCAAATGTCGGCCGAGCCTGCCTTGTTCAACAACATTGACGATTTTGAACTGAGAGAAGCCATAGGTACTATTCCATACTCAGCTAGTCCTCCAAATGCATAACATGACTCTAACCATGCATTCTCCCCAACCCCAACCCACCAACTTTTCATAAGGTTACGGATCTTCAGCCATAGTTTACAGTGCCATTTACAAACCTTATAACAAGCGAGTCGCCCTCAAACAAATCGATCTCGACATGTTTGAACGCAATCAGATCGACGAACTTCGGGTAACTTTTTTTTTTTTTCCTTTTGTTTCACTTTGGTATTTGGCTTGTTTTAAAACTTTTGAAATGCTAACACTTGTATCCTTTCCCCTCCTCTTGGTTCTTATGATGTTGACCTTTTGATAGCGAGAAACGGCGCTGATGGCCTTGTCGAAACATGCCAATGTACTACGTGTATATGGATCCTTCGTCAAGGGTTCCAAGTTGTACATTGTTACTCCATATTCCGCTGGAGGCATGTAAATCCAAAACCATTGTCTGTGAGGACAAAAGAGGCAACGGGCCTCGTTGATGTGATGCGTTTTCAATAACGTGCATAATGTTGTGTAGGCTCATGTTTGGACATCATGAAAACAGGGTTTCCCGATGGTTTGGACGAATTGAGCATCGCGACCATTTTGAAACAGGCTTTAGAAGGGTTGGCTTATTTGCATAAAAACGGACACATCCATCGAGATGTGAAAGCGGGCAACCTGTTAATGGACGAAGATGGCACGGTATTATTGGCGGACTTTGGTGTTTCCAGTTCATTGATGGAAACAGGAGAAAAAGGCATGCGCAAAACCTTTGTTGGTACAGTATGTAGCATGACCAATGAAAATAACACCATGTTGAGCCAACTCAATTCTTGAAACTGATTCCTTTGTATGATAGCCATGTTGGATGGCGCCTGAAGTCATGGAGCAGGCCAGTTACGATTACAAAGCTGATATTTGGAGTTTCGGTATTACAGCGATTGAATTAGCCACAGGACATGCTCCTTTTGCCAAACTTCCTCCGCTTAAGGTATGATCCTTTTTATCATGATTTTCAATGTTTTGGAAAAACTGGAGATGGAACATGACCTAATACCAATTTGATTTTTCTAAGGTCTTGATGATGACATTATCAAGTGATCCACCGACTTTGGCTCGTGAAACAACTACACACAAATACTCCCGCATATTCAGGGAGATGATCGACATGTGCCTGAATAAAGATCCTACGAAAAGGTAAAAAGTTCACTGCCGTCACCAAACAGATGGGATGAATCAGCTGCTAATGGATGGATGGTTGCTGACAGACCTTCGGCCGAAAAATTACTTTTACACCCATTCTTCAAACAAGCGAAAAAGAAGGATTACCTTGCAAAATGTTTGCTAGCTGATCTTCCCGCCCTCGAACATCGTCCTCGGAAACGAATGCCGCGAAAACAAATCACCACCAGCAAGACAGACGAATGGGATTTTGACAATCTTGATGATAGCGAAATGAATGAGGAGACGGGCGATTACCAAGGCCCTCACGTCACAGATACCCAGCAGCAGGAAGCCAATTCGGCCGAACGACCTCCGAATCCAGGTCCAGTACCGAAACGACACATCTCTTTCGGTGATGTCGTCGTACGTAATCCGTCGCAACCCGTTGTACCTCAAGCCACTGTGCCTGTGACCCATCAAAGTGCCGATGCGGTGCCTCTAGCCACTCCAGCACGCAAATCTCGATTCGTCATCGAAGACGGATCGCGCGAGGTTACCGATACCTACGCAACCTACAGTTCCTCGGCACGATCTGTCAGCCCGTTATCAGAAATTGATGCGAGAAGCGATCAATCTGTGAGTTTGTAACCCATCTCTTTCCCTCACCGCTTTTTACACAATTTTCTCATTCCAAACAAAAAGGATTCCGAGATGATACGGAGTCGTGGTAGTCTTCATCATGTACGGGAACGACCGATGAGTATGAGCAGCGATCATCATGTTTCGTCAGGTGATGATTCCCAGGATCATGTCTTGGCCAAGACCTTGAGTCATGAAAATATGTGTAAGTTGTTAATGAGCCGGTTTGCGGCCATGCTTTCGGAAACTGATTTCCACCGTGTATGTAGTGGATCGTAAGTCGCGTTTCGAAGTCCAACACAATCAGCTACCGACGGCTGCTTCGCCTCCACGTTCATCTTTTTCAACGAGCCACTACCCCAATTCAAATCCATCCATATCACCTATGCCTCACTATTCCATTGCTCTATCTCGCGAAAACTCCAATTCATCCACCGGATTTTCGCTTACGAGAGACGGATCAAGTCAATCCAGAGCAGCCCCCAGATACCCAATGGACAAGGAACGGGATGGAAGAGAAATGGAAGGACAACCACAACAACCACTCGGAGAATGTCGCAAGATTGGTCGATTTGAATTGACGTGCGGTTCGAGTGAGCTCACACCACGACTGATGGATGGTACAGCGATATAAATCTATACCGTATGGCTGATCTACCGGTTCAGGAAACTCACCTCATCCATTTACTATGCTTAGCTCATCTTCATCCATACGATTCGGCATCGCCCAATCATTCTGTTACGCCGCCTAACTCTGTGTATGGACCGCGAGGTCAAATGGTGCGCACATCATCCTCGGACCCATCCATGAATCCTAATCTGTATTCCCAAGTTGAAGAGCTGATGAGATACAATGAGGCGCAACGACAACTGTTGCTGGAAATATGTGGATCATTAAATGTGAGATCGAATTTCGGCCGAAAAAGTTATCATGATCTGAAAAAAGCCTCCTCCCTTCTCCAGCCGTCAAGCTCCTCGTTAACCACGGCAGCGGCTAATGCACCGGAGTCTACAGCTTCCGATACAAAAGACGTCAAGTAAGTGCATGGCAAAACTACCACTTTGTTGCTAAATGCAAGTCACCAATCGTCAAACTTTTTGTAGCGGTACAAAAGGACCTTCCGAAGATCTGTTATCTACAGTTGTAAGTACATGCCCCAATAAAACGCCGTGAACGCCATCTTAACATGCACCCAATACACAGGAATACTTGGAGCATTTGGTGCAACTGTCGCTGCGCGAGAATGCCTCCTTACAAAAGAAAAATGATGCACTGCGCAAAGAGATAGACCAATTACGAAACATGTATCAAGGCGTCCAACCATCCAATCAACAGCAACAACCACAGTTATAGGATATCCAGCACTAAATAAAAATCAAGCAACCCCTTTTTTACCCACACATCATGGTCCAGGGCATAAAAAATGGAACATTAGAGCAAGCATATGAGAAGGCGGGATCAATGCGGTGCAAATAAAGAGCCCATTTAATACGTTCGAGACCGTGAACGTTCAGCTTTGTAAGTCAAGGGAAATGCGGTATAATATATGCCAGTTCTATTGGATGATGAGATACATGCAAGTTGATATGCTTTCTATCTTGCTTGGATTGTAAACGACGAATCTATGGAGCATAAAACGAGTAGTAATATGCGAGAAAAAATAGAATCAAATACATGTGAACCGGGATGTGCCCTGTGACGATTGCGGTCAGTCATCATCAAGCATGAAAGTCTGCAGCCAGGAGCCGTCATTGTCCTCTTCTTCGTCGGTGTCCATTTGAGAAATATCTTTTGAACCAGTATTATCTGCGTCCTCGGTATTTACAAACCATAAATTGGCGCCGTACGATATACAAAGTTCTTCGTCCGGGGCAATGTCCCTGAGGGTAATGTAACGAATGAGGCTGTTGTCGAAATCACGAACAAATCCAACATTGGGATCGTTGGCATGGTTAAACATGGATCCTAGACCAAGGGCTAGAGCATATCCGTTCTTCCATCGGTAGGTATAATGGTCGGCCACCGTGAATTGACCATGAGCTCTGTATTCGTCGTGAGGAAATAGTAGGATAGGAGAGATATCCACAAGAGCGTTGCGTGGAATGGGCTTGGTAGCGAATACGCCACGGCCGCGGACAGGGTCAGATTTAAGTTCTAGTTGTAATGTATGAAGAGAAAGAGCAATGCTCATCAAGACGGATGAATTTCTTACAAAGCACTGATGGATTCACAAAGAAGGGGATTTGGCGCTATCGAAATTTTATGAAAATTTCAATACAGCTGAGATTTAGTCGGACAGGCACAACCGAAATTTACAATGGAGCGAACACATGGCAACTTTGACTTTGGCATAATCAACACTGTCCCTGCTGTATCCTACCCGAGTATGTGCATTAATGCAAGCATCCTTCAAAAAATATTATTTCAAGGACTACGAATAAGGGGGCAAATTGTCCGTGTTTTGATATCTGGCATTGCTTTACCCGTTCAAAATAACAGGTTGCTATTTGGCCCTTTAAGCGGTCTACAGTATGACGTTTTGCGCTCTTGTTTTTTTTAGCGGAGATACATAATACCTCTGGGTTGATATTAGCTTTTCATTTTCATCAGATAAACTCGTTTCGTGCAAAATGAAATGGCAACTTGTGCCAAGTTTGCCCATCATTCTCAATATAACGCTCGAAAAGATAATCGATGCATTGATGGTAGATTGCGTCCTACCATCAGGGTATTTCTTTTTCATGATATCGTCGAAAAGCAGTAGGAGCGTAAAAAAATGAATGGCAAAGAAAAAAAGAGGTCAGTGCGTCAGGCACAGCACAGCGTCAGTGACAGAATAGGCGCGCACATGAACTAGGCACACTTGTCACACATATCCTTTTTTTTTTTTCCTTTCAAAAATCATCATTTTCGCCTAGCATTTTTATTCTCCAAGGTATACGTTTATTTCTGCTGTATCATAGGCAACAAAGATTCACTAACATATTTGCGCTGTTCTAGGTTTCATATACAGTTCTCGCTGATTTCTGACTTGCTTTTTTTCTTCTCTCGTCCATTGTCTGCTTCTCAGTCATTCAAATCGCTCATTCATCAGTCGCCACAGTCTACAATAATCTTGGGCCGTTTACTTCTATTTGTTTACCTGTATACGCACAACAACGTATTGCACCATGAATGGCACAGGAAACATCAAGGTTGTTGTCCGATGTCGTCCTCTGAGTAGCAAAGGTGAGGCATCGTCCTAAGAATTTTGTGCTTTAATCTTTTGCAGTGACGAGCGAAACTGATAGTCTAAACTTTGCACTATTTTGTTAGAAATGGCTCGTGGGGCCACAAGTCTTGTCCGAATGAAAGGCAACCAGACGATTCTTCAGAAACCCGCGTTGGACGATATTCATTCCAAGGAGGACGAGCTAAAAGCATTCACTTTTGATAAGTCCTACTGGTCTGGAGATAAGCATGACCCACAATATGCAGATCAACAAACAGTCTACAATGATTTGGGCCGAGAACTGCTGGATCATGCATTCCATGGATACAACTGCTGCATCTTTGCTTGTAAGTCACATGGGAAAAACTTTCTGTAACAGACCGATTGATCGCTTGTCGCGCAAACGCGTATTAGATGGTCAAACGGGATCCGGCAAATCGTACACCATGGTAAGTTTGTATACTGATAACCAACATCTTTGGCAGGATTTTGTGGATTCACAAGTAGTTATCGGTAGATGGGATATGGCGCCGACAAAGGCTTGATCCCCTTGTCCTGTTCGGAATTGTTTGAACGGATTACTCAATCCACCAGTGACGTTCAAAGCTTTGAAGTGGAAGTCTCCTATATGGAGATATACAACGAGAAAGTGCGTGATCTGCTGAATCCAAGGAATAAGGGCAATCTCAGAGTAAGAGAGCATCCGAGCTTGGGTCCTTACGTGGAAGATTTGTCAAGGCTCGCTGTCAAATCATTTGAAGACATTGATCATTTGATGACCGAAGGCAACAAGGTAGTTCCTGCCCCTTTTCTCTATGCCACCAATATTTACATCTGGCTCACAGAAGTGATGATGCTGTGATATTCTAGGCCAGAACCGTCGCATCGACCAATATGAATGAAACTTCGTCCCGATCCCACGCAGTTTTTACCATATTTCTGACGTGCAAAAATCTTGACACGGCTACCAAACTAATCACTGAAAAGGCGTCGCGCATCAGGTAAGGACTTGATTTTTTCAGTCTCCCGGTATCATTTTTTGAATTCTACTGATGGTACTGCCGGTTGCTGTTCGAAAAAAAGTCTCGTAGATCTGGCTGGAAGTGAGCGTGCTGACAGCACCGGCGCTACTGGGTTACGGCTGAAGGAGGGTGCCAATATCAATCGATCCTTAACTGCCTTGGGCAACGTCATTTCCAAATTAGCCGAGTACTCCACCCAGGATGGAAAAAAGCATAGAAAAGGAAAAGAAGCTTTTGTGCCGTACCGTGACTCTGCAAGTTGACCTCCTCCTCCACCGACCCCCAAAAAAGCTTTCTCATACTTTAGCAATTCTATCCAGCTAACAATTGTTTCAATGACCGTACCTAGATCTTGACATGGCTATTGAAAGATTCCTTGGGAGGCAACTCAAAAACGACAATGATTGCCGCTATTTCACCCGCCGATTATGAAGAAACCCTTAGCACATTGCGATATGCGGATCAAGCGAAAAAGATCAAGAATAAAGCCATGGTCAACGAAGATCCGAATGCCAAACTTATTCGAGAACTCAAAGAAGAACTTCAAATGCTGCGGCAAAAATTGTACCTCTATGCTCCTGAAGAAGCGCAAAAGCTCGCCATTACTGTCAACAGCTCGGTGTCTACGAACAAGCCTACTATGACGTCTTCCACGCCATTGATCCAGCATAAACCATCCATCAGTCATGATACGCGAGAAGAAATGGTGGACCAATTTCATGCCTCTGAAAAATTGTTGAAAGAACTGAATCAGACCTGGGAAGAAAAGTTGCACCGAACCCAAGAAATCCACAACGAACGGGAAAAGTCCTTGGAAGAACTCGGCATCATGGTGGAAAAGGATAATATGGGCGTGTATATGCCGAAAAATGTTCCTCATTTGCTGAACCTCAACGAGGATCCTTTGATGAGCGAGTGTCTCATGTATCCGATCAAGCCAGGCATTACGCGTGTAGGTGGACTGAATCGAGCCGTTGAAGCCGAAATACGGCTCAGTGGATCCAACATTCTGGACGAACACTGCTATTTTCAAAACAGCAATGAAACTGTCACCATTCACCCTTTGTCCAATTCTTTAACCATGGTCAACGGTCGACTGATTTCCGAACCGCGGTCGCTTCACAGTGGCTTTCGTATAATACTAGGTGGTTACCATGTGTTTCGATTCAATCATCCGCAAGAAGCGCGCAAGGAAAGAAATCTTCAACTGGTCCCTTCGACTTCAGCGGATCTCATCGTGAGTGACAATCAAAGCCTTCGGTATCGCCCAGCTTCGATAAGCTTGTCATGGGAACGCGATACCCGTGTCCAGAGTCCCGACATTGTTGATTGGAATTTTGCTCGTCGCGAAGCTGTGTTAAACTATTACAATACCGACAATCCTTCTAACGGTTTATCGGACGATACCATGGAAAAGTTATTCAGCGGCATTTTTTCCAACATTGGTCACTTGAGAAAACGACGTCCCGAAAGTCGAACAGAGATCGATGACGATAGTTTATCGCGAGCATCAATGTCCTCCGCTCCTGTAGGGACACTTTCAACCGCGGCCACTGTTCTGGATGACCCAAATGATCAACTGGTGGCCGATTCGATTTCAGCCATTGTCACTGACACGGAAAGTTTGTTGCGGCTTGCAAAGGACGAATTACAGCATCAGTTTGAATTGCAGCGACAAGAATATCAAGATAAAATCCGTCAATTGGAACTCGCCAATGCGCAAAAGGAAGATCAGGATAAAGAAAAAGTTAATATCCAAACGCACCTGCAAGAGATGAAGGAGGAAATGCAACGCATGTTGCAGCATCAGAAGACCATCTATGAATCAAAAATCAAGCGGTTATCGAACCATCTACCGCCCAACGTCGAGCTCAATTCGCCGTTGTTTTCCCCACTTTACGCAGTAGAAGATCGCGCTTTGGCGTTGAAGACCATGAAGCAGTGGAAACAACAAAGGTATGCCAAGATGGCCGAAACTGTCCTGAAACATGCCGTGACCTTGAAAGAAGTCAATGTTATCTCAAAAGAACTGGAAAAGCACGTCGTCTACCAGTTTACGATTGTTCATGACGATCACTTTGCGAAAAGACGACAATCATTTTGGGAATCAAAAATGACCATGCAAATGTCGGCTCAGCCTGTCGATCCAGCATTGATGACGGAACCTAAACCTTGCGTGGCGGTGCTCGTTCTTGATCAGCAGCATCACGTCATGTACTTGTGGTCCCTGGAAAAGCTTCAGCAGCAGCTGGACTGTATGCGTCCTATGTACGATCTCACCGAGGAACCGCTCGATGAAAAGGACAGCCGACCTCTCGATCCGTTCTACCCGTCGCCTTCCCCAATCTACTCACTGGTGGGCCTAGCGAAACTTCCTCTCCGGAATCTTTTATACCACAAACCTCTGGAAACCGAAATTCAAGTTTTTTGCGGAAACACCGCCGCGAGTGTAGGTCATCTCAAAGTGAAAATCGTTCCACTAGCTCGATCTTTGCGAAACCAGCGCTTAGACGATGATGCATGTACCGTCAGCACGGTTGGATCCAACCGTTCGGAGCTGTTGCGTGTAGGACAACAACAGGTGTTTGAGGTTCACATTATTGAACTGAACGGTCTGTCAGAAACTCATTATACGCAGGTTCACGTCCAGTTTCGGTTGTCAGAATTTGGCGCTGCGGTTTGGGACTCTCTGGATGATCGAATCTACGTGACTGATCCTGTCAGCGATTTTGCAGACGGTCCCATAAAGTTCCATTTCAGTCAAACGCTGTCGCTTACCGTGGATATCGGCATCTTGAACACCATCGTAAACGATGGCTTGATACTGGAAGTGTTTGGTCGTGTGCAGCCTCATTATCTGGAAGACATCGCCTCCAAGTCTGTGCATCGCAGAAAATGTGCATCGCCTTCAATAGCATCATCCAACGACGATGGTGCATCCATTCTTTCTTTGACGATATCGGAACATGCAACGGTTAATTCGGCTGATTTGTACCCTGTTACTACTATGGATATACCCTCCTCTCAGGTCCCCAGTACACAGCATCCATTCGCTCAGAATTTATCGTTGGACCAGCGTCATGATGTGGTTGCTTGGATACAAATCTGTGAATTGACGGCTGAAGGGCAGCATACTCCGGTGGATGTGGTGTCTCAGTCTTTTCAGGACAACGTATTTTTGCTTCGACAGGGAGTCCAACGAAGGCTTGTGTTGACACTGGTACACGATTCGGGGGCCCATTTACCATGGAAAGAAGTATGCCAAGTCACAATGGGTAATCCGCGCTTGGTGGATGCCAAAGGCTCAACACTGTCGTCGGAAGCTTCATCAGAAGTCGGCATCCCATTGCTGAAAGACCAGCAGCTGACGTTACAAGACGATGGTGTCAGCACACTCACTGTGCAAGGAACTTGGGACAGCTCTTTGCATGATGCTGACTATCTCAACCGGATAACAGCTACCAACTGCAAAATTCTTCTCGACGTCGGCTGGCAAATTCAATGTGAATCCCCTGTCAATGTGTTACCGTTCAAGATGACCATTGCAGTACAAATTCGAGGTCGAGATGGCGCTAGCACCAGCACCTCGATGTTCCGCCAATTGATTGGCACCCAGCGTATCTTGCATAAACAGAGTGGATGCTTTGCGGTCCATCTGAAGCCATCTTTAACCCATGATTTACGGAATCTGTGGCGGTTCAACACGGCCAACCAATACGTTCGCGGAGAAGAGTTGCTGGGAAAATGGCGACCACGAAGTGTGTCGTTGGTGAACGAATATCGCTTGGCGAGAAAAAAGATGCTGTGGAAACAAGAGGTTGAAGACACAAGGCATACTCTCTGCATCACTCCTTATTCTTCTCGGCGATGGTCTCCGACACCGAGAGGGTCTCTTCAGTCGTCCAATTTAGAGCGTGGCACAGAACGTGACACCCAACTGATCGAAAGTGTGCTGAATTTGTGGACCAAAAAGGCGAGTTTCCAGCAAGAGGTAGGTTAAAATGAGTCATGGATGATCATTGGAACCGTGACGCTAAAGCTGCTTCTTCCGCAAAATGCAGATGGTTCTAAGCGAGCATCCGCTCCCAGAGACGTATACAGTGGCGGATTCCAAAGATCGATCGCCTGTACCAAGGCGGCGGATCAAACTTATACCCAAGATTGAACGAATTATGCCAAAGTAAGCCATTTATGCACTCTATCCCATGCGGACTGCTGCTGTAACAAATACGGATCTTAATCGTAGTGATAAAGTGACCAAGAAAGGGCCGCTTCTGCAATGGGATGCTCCTCACGATGAGTGGCTGAAACATTACTTTGTCCTAAGGAGGTAAAATTTGCCATTTTCATAATGGGGTACCCTTATAAAGCAAGAGTCTAAATCAAGTATATTTAGGCCTTTATTGATCATTTACGACGATTCGGCAGAAACTGAAGAAGTAAGTGCTGTCAACCTTGATGGCATCCGCATCGAATATAACAACCATCGTGAAACCGAACCTTCCGTAAGATCTATGGCTGTATAGTGAGATGTGATATTCTATTCGACTAACTGTCATTGAACATTTACTTTGTGTCATAGCCTTACCAACACACATTTACTATTTATACCAAGAACAACTCGTACTTATTGCAAGCTGCGTCGCATACAGAAATGGTGGATTGGATATCCAAGATTGACCAGTTTTATCCCATAGATACCCTATCGTGATACATTATATTCCCAACCGTACCCAAATGTCAGACTTTCATCCTCTGTTATGATATCACTCTTTCCAATTTCCATATGCAGCCACTATGAGAATAGGAGCTACGGTTTTGTAAAGCAAATATCTTCGAAAACTCGCTGTATATAAATAGATGGCTCCTCAACTATTGTTCTGCAAGTGGGAAAATTCGTAAACTGTTGTTGCCTAGACAAATTCTCGGTCTGACAAAGAAACAGTCACCGGAAGAGCCGGCTGATTAATGCGACCTGCAATATTTGATAGTGAATCATTCCACATAAAATAATAGACAACCTATCGCATTGTTTGGAAAGATTATCTTGATTGCGTTATTGATGACAGAGAGTAAACACTTGTATGATAGCTCAACTCAAGCGGGGATCTATATGACTTGCAACCGTTGGCGCCTGCAAAAATCCAGTGCGCGTGCGTTCCGATAATTGCATGATGCAGGATGATAAAAAAAACAAGATATGATTTGTTTATTGATGATCGACTTAATGATTAAATGAATTGCCAAGATATGATCGGTTTTATTGCGGTGGTACACAAGTTCTATTTCTGGAAAACCGTGCAATCCAGAAAAAGCGAAAGCCGATTTTCATTGCATTTGGGTATTGGTTGCACAGTGAACTCCACCTAGACAGTCACAACGCTCATTTGTAAATGTCAAGATTGAAGCGCCAGCGCATACCGGATTGTCCCCTCGCGAACGATGGCAACTTCATTGGCAGGGAAAACGACTCCATCTGCCAAAGCCGCTAGACAGTCAATACAACAAGTCGTATCCGACTTTAATTCCCATGTTCAGCGTGGCCTGTTCCAGTCCGATATTCCCAGTTTACGGACTATTTACGGCTCCAACGAACTTGAAAAAGACGAAGAAGAGTCCATATATACGAAATTTCTGAAATCTTTCAGTGAAAATCCCCTCATCTTGCTGCTTCTCGGTTCAGCCTTAGTGTCGCTCCTCATGGGCCAGATGGATGACGCTATCAGTATCACCATGGTGAGTAAACCAAGAATAATAACCTACCAATAAAAAAAGGACTCGGATGGTTTTTTTTTTTTTACTCGATGCTTTTCGATGCCGTTGACTCATCTCGCTAAACCTAGGCTATTATCATTGTAATGACGGGTAAATTGAAGGCCATCGAGTCGGTAAAGCAAAAATGACAGTATTAACTGGAGTAACTACACTAGTGGCGTTCGTGCAAGAATACAAGTCCGAGAAATCCTTGGAAGCACTGAATAAGCTTGTACCTCATTACTGTCATCTTGTCAGGTACGATGATGAGCAAGACGAGGTTTTCGTCAATTATGGTCTAACACGGAATAGAGAGGGACAAATGCAGACTACCTTAGCCAATGAATTGGTTCCAGGTGATCTGGTTCATTTTAGCATTGGGGACAGAATACCGGCCGACTGTCGTCTTGTCACGGTAAGTAGATTAATGGGATTTTTTTTGACCCGAGGGCAGGTGTGTGTGTGTGTGTGTGTTTTCATTTCTCTAACTTTCTGCTCTTATTGCTCGACATCGGCTAGGCGGTTGATTTGGAGATTGACGAGTCGAACCTGACCGGGGAAAATAAGCCGAGACGAAAAATATTGGAGGCTATCGGCACTCATCCATATTCTGAATTATCGCTCGCTGAGCGAGACAATATTGCATTTATGGGCACCCTTGTTCGTAATGGTAGGCAATAGGACGCATTGCGATGTTAAGACAAGAGAGAGTGGACTTATGGCATATGTTCCCGGTATAGGTCACGGTACTGGTATTGTCGTGGCTACAGGCAAATCCACCGAGTTCGGCAATGTCTTTGAGATGATGCAAGAGGTATTTGTCGACAGGGGAGTGGTGATGGTGATGGCCAATCCGAGAGCTAATGTCGGGTTATGCGATAGGTTGAGGTCCGAAAGACCCCGCTCCAAATCAGTATGAACGAACTTGGAAAACAATTATCGATTTTTTCCTTTGGCGTCATTGCTGTGATTGTATTGATTGGTCTTATTCAACGTCGCAGCTGGTTGGAAATGTTTACCATTGGAGGTAGGCTAAGAATTGGCTGTTTAGAGAATGAGCAAGACGAGAAATCTCATGTTTTGCTATGTAATTGTTAGTGAGTTTGGCGGTGGCTGCCATTCCGGAAGGTTTACCGATTGTTGTGACCGTGACTTTGGCCTTGGGTGTTTTACGCATGGCCAACCGACGCGCTATCGTGAAACAGTTACCGTCTGTGGAAACCCTGGGATCGGTCAATGTGGTGTGCGCTGATAAAACAGGTACATGAAAGATGCCGAAAAAGCGATAAGCCGAGGAGCAATGCTGATACTGTGGGCAATGGATGCTATATAGGCACTTTAACCGTGAATCAAATGACGGTCACCAAAGTGTTTACGGTCCACAATCAAGAATTGTTCAACTATGAATATACGGCTCCTACAACCTTGAGTGATGCTTTACGTCAAACACTTTTGATTGGTGAGATGCGATGCACAGATACTCTTGTCCTGCATGCGAGAAAATCAAAACACTCAAACAAAAGGTTGATCGTTAGGTAATTTGTGTAACAATGCGTATGTTTCCGAACAAGGAACATATATTGGTCAACCTACCGACATTGCTCTGCTTGATGTGGTGCTTCGCAGTGGGTTAAAGGATGAACGACATGTAAGTTCCCGGGCTGTAGGTGCTGTTATATAGAATCAATACTAATGTTGTATCAATTGTAGAATTATCACCGCCTTGGAGAGGAACCGTTCAATTCCGACCAAAAGTATATGAGTGTGACCTGCCGACATCAACATGAAAAAGAAGATGTGCCAGCATTGAAATATTTCAAGGGCGCTACGGAAATCTTGTTGGAACGATGTACGACGTACTATGAATCCGCTCAATCGCAACCTGCCTTTCCAGCATCACTTAAGGAAGCAGTGTCTGAACATGTGGCAGCCATGAGTTCAAACGGCTTGCGTGTGCTTTGTACGGCTTTTGGTACGGGTGATCATGCCCTATGCTTTACAGGTTTTCTTGCTGTGTACGATCCCCCTCGAGAAGGCATTGCTGACGCTACACGGAAGCTTGTCCAAGGTGGAGTGAAAGTGATCATGATTACCGGTGACTCGGAGGCAACGGCCATGTCGATTGCCCGCAAATTAGGCATCCCCATGAACAATTCAAAACACAGTTGTTTAACCGGTCGTGATATTGAAGCCATGTCAGAACGTCAGTTACAGGAAATGATTCACACCGTGTCCGTGTTCGCGCGTACGACGCCCAAACATAAACTTGCTATTGTCAAAGCGTATCAGAACACGGGAGCCGTTGTTGCCATGACAGGCGATGGTGTGAATGATGCTCCCGCTCTCAAGATGGCAGATATTGGTATTTCAATGGGTAAAAGCGGTACTGATGTATCCAAGGAGGCGGCCGATATGATTTTGGTGGATGATGACTTTTCCACCATTTTGCACGCGATTGAAGAAGGTAACCCCTCAAAGAAAGTGGCAAATACCCAGTTTCGCAGGAACACCAAAAGACTCACTTTGATGGCTGACATAGGCAAAGCAATCTTTTATAATATTCAAAATTTCCTGACGTTCCAGCTAAGTACCAGCATTTCAGCCCTGTCCCTGATTGCTCTGTGCACATTATTTGGCTATTCAACACCCTTGAATGCAATGCAAATTCTTTGGATCAGTAAGTGATGTGAAACAAAAGGTTGTATGAGGAACTGAGAACCGAAAACTGAACTGTTAATGTCAGATATCATCATGGATGGTCCTCCCGCACAATCACTGGGTGTAGAACCCGTGGATCCTGACATTATGAAGAAACCTCCGAGAGCGCGAAATGCGAATATTCTTTCGAAACGGCTTGTCACACGTGTGCTCACTGCTGCGGCTGTGGTAGTCGTGGGCACGCTCTTTGTTTACATATCGGAAATGAAGGATGGTATTGCAACGCAAAAGACAGCCACCATGGTAAGTCCGGTTATTGTTTGGTGGCTTGATATCTGATCTGACATGTGGGGTTTATCACAGACATTTACGACGTTTGTATTCTTTGACATGTTCAATGCTCTGAGTTGTCGATCGGAGAAACAGTCTATTGCGACCATTGGATTCTTTTCTAACCGCATGTTCAATTTTGCCGTGGGAGGATCAATTATTTCACAGTTGCTGGTAATTTACGTTCCTTTCTTGCAACGGATTTTCCAAACACAGCCTCTTTCATTTTACGATCTTTTGAAGATCGTCCTCGTCTCAAGTACGGTATTCTGGATTGATGAAGTGAAGAAATACTGTGCGAACAAAGGACTCAGCTTGGGACGAGACCATCGATCCAAACTCAAGTATCGACTATCCCAGCAAGACCGCGTGGAAGATGCTATTAATGCTGTATAGATTTAGTCCCTTTGTTTTTAGTTTCAGCACTCGTCAAAATGTAATATACCAAAAAAAAAAACCTGAAATCTCCCACCTTAATCTAGTTCACTTTTTTTTCATTACATCATTCATGTGTCCGTATCATAGACTATCTAAATACACTATTTAAGTATAAAGGAATGGCGTAAAAAGCGTGAAGAAATTCATGTCAGACATGAGTTTTGGAGCTGGCTTTATTCTGCGCCTTCTTTGCAACTATTCGTGGACGACAAATTCGAAACACAATCATGTGCGGAACATTGAGCTTCGGTCGGATCAATTCAACGAACTTCGCTTAAAGAATTCTGCTGCTCACATCCCCAATCCTACATACATGGTCTCTTCCCGCAAAAGCTTTTCTCTTTTGACCTTGCTTTTACACACAGGCCTAATTATTTAATTACATTAAGCTCATGGGATTAGGCTGGAAGTTAACAATATGCAAGACTCGCATATATCAATGAACAATGCTTAACATGGCAGAAGTCGAACCAATGAGACAGATTCACGTATGTCATGCTCTCTAAATTATCATTTTCTTCCGTTACGTTGGGTTGGATGTATTTTTGGTACAAAGCAAATGTGGCCTTAAGAACCACGCAACAGGCGACGAGAAGAGCTTCTTGGTGATGGCAATTCCACTAATGATTGATTGATTTCTTTTTGGAATAATGCTCGTTTAAGGGTTTTGGTGGTGTCCAGCAGAAACACCGCTTCAAAAGAAGTAAACACCATGCTATGTGCATGTGAAATAAAAAAAAGGTACAATATATATTTACCTTCATTTTGAATAGCTACGCCAATGTTTGCTTGAACATATCGAGGTTCGAAACATTCTTGGGCATGACGAGCATTGAAACCAGTGATGCGACGTAGATGTGATCTTCGGTTAACTTGAACATGTACAAGTAGCCCACATTGCCTGTCAAAATTAAAAGTCAGCGTTTACCTAATCCCTCATATTTCGATGAAATCCATAGCCAATAGCTCGCTGATGTCGTTAGGATAATGGCTGATTAAGATGGTTGAGAATGGCGGCGTTCGGTCAATTTTTTTCCGTACACTGGTGCTGTCTGCATGGGGATGAAGATAGCCTTGTTCAATTGGGCCACGTTCTTGGTTGCGTCGCAAGAGTTTTCACCGTCCACCAATGCCACATCTGTGTCATCGAAAAGGGGCTCCAGAATGGCCGCAAATCGACGAGAGAAAGTCAATTCCGATTCATCCGCTTTTTTTGACCAGCGATCCCAATTTCGAACGATGTGTTCCAGGATGAGCAGCATCAGGTATGACTGACTTTGTTGATGAGATCTTGTTTTCGATATTTGTAATTTTTTCTCGTCGATGAAAGCGATGACGTCGCAGACCGTGTCCCCAGCATTAACAACGGCATCGAAAAGGGCACTGGATTCTGCCGTTAAACCGTCGTAGCTGTCAAGGTTTGATGCGGATGCAACATTCTGAATATGGGCCCACTGATATGGAGAGAAAATGTTTTGATAGGTCTCCTGCATTGAAGTATTGAGCGTATTGACAATCCGCGAGATCGATAACTCCAATAACGCCTCCTCAGTTGGTGACAGCGTACTTTTCGTCAATTGTTTCATCAAGGTGTGGGCACCCAGCTTCATCATTGTCGAAACTATGTCTTTGTCGACCGCATCCATTATCACTATCAACTTCTGTGCCTGTTTCTGGGAAAAGGTGTACCCTAAAGTGAAAATTTAGAATCAGTTTTGAAGAAAGCACAACGCCACCCAGTGGAGCGAAGCAGTCGTGAAAACTTCAGGAAAAATACGATTGGGTTGGTACGCTAGAAGGAAAAATATTCTTGTTTTCATGAGCAACCGTATCTTAAGGACGAGGCAGAATTTCCATGTCAATATAAAGCGCTCCATAGCATGGTCCCAAAAAGGAAGTTGTGCTGTTGTGGAGGTACCCAAAACGGTAGCCAAGACGATAATTATTTCGGGCTCTATCCCTCCTTATAGTGTAGTGAACCCTCCCATCGAAGAAGAGAAAAACAGCAGGCGCTATTCAGGCTGTTCGAAGAATGCAACAGTGGCAGGAAACTATTTCAAGGTCCATTGCAATACAGTGCCGTTGACATTATGGATCAGCATGACTAAATCGGCTATGGTTGTGTTTATCTTCCAGCTTACTCCCCTGACCTCAACGCAACTGAACAACTATGATCTGCGTGTAAAAAGCAGGCTCAATAGAGTGAAGCTTTTGCAGGAAGAGATCATTATCATCTGGGATTGGGAACGCATGTAACAAAATTCTTCCAAGTGATATCCGGGGATTTCATAGGTATTTTGATGCTAAATTTGAAAACTGTTTAAACCCGGAAGCCCGATGCCGTGGATTTTTTCGTGCATGAATAAATCGATGAATTTTTCAAACTGCGTAAGTTTGAATGGATTTTTTTTTAATCTTCAAACTGCATGACCTTTTTCCGCGAAGTGCGCGAATAAGCGCCCCCAAATGGTTTTGCTCGTGGATTTTGAAACTCCTTATCTGGAAGTTAACAAGCTCCTTTTTTTTTTTTTTTGGCTCTGGTTACAGAGTGGGCTTTCTTTCTTTTGGTGGTTGTTTCTTGAACCCCTACTTGATTGGCATCTTATACCTCCATTCAGTTACATCCTTTTTTCCATTTGCGTATTCCCATTTCATATTTATTTTGTCATTTTTTCTGCCATGAACACATCCAGCAGTACCATTACAGGGCTCAAAGTATGCAAAAAATACAAATTGGGCAAAAAGATTGGTTCCGGTTCATTTGGCGAAATTTACCATGGTAAAGCAAGAGAGGAGCGTCGTACAGCACGCGTTGTTTTCCAACCTGCAACGGTTGCTTAGGCACGGACGAAATTTCAGGCGAAGAAGTCGCTGTAAAAATGGAGTCGGTCAAGGCGAAACATCCACAGCTAGAATACGAGTTCCGAGTATATAAAATACTAGAAGGCGGTGAGGGTATACCCACGGTGAAATGCTTTGCCACCGAACAACAATACAATATCATGGTCATGGAATTACTTGGCCGTAAGTGTTCTTTATGCTTGATCACATACAAAAGAGCAACCAAAATGCATGGAGCCGGTATCAGTTGACGGAGCGATACTAATGAACGGAAGACCAGCGTCATTAGAGGATTTATTCAACTTCTGCTCCCGCAGATTATCTCTCAAGACTGTACTCATTCTAGCCGATCAAATGGTACGTTTAACAATGGGTAATCAGTGCGTGGGAATATACTGTGGCACAGCCAAAGGGTGACCCGACAACGGTCTTTTAGCTCCACCGAATCGAGTATATGCATTCGCGAAATTTTATTCACCGCGATATCAAGCCTGATAATTTCTTGATGGGTGTGGGTCGCCGCGGAAACCAAGTGAACATGATCGACCTCGGCCTTGCAAAACGATACCGTGACCCACGAACAAACGCACACATACCTTACAGGGACGGCAAAAATCTGACAGGCACGGCTCGTTACGCTAGTATAAAAACACACCTTGGGGGTGGTAAGTATAAGAAAAGGGCACGTTGGGCTACTGGATGATGGAGAATCATGGTTGAAAGCAAACAAATGGTGTAATGTAAATATGTTTCATCCTAGAACAAGCCTGTCGCGATGATTTGGAATCGCTTGGCTACGTGCTCGTGTACTTTTTCCGTGGATCGTTACCTTGGCAAGGATTAAAAGCGAAAACCAAAAAACAAAAATATGATCTGATCAGCAGTCGAAAACAGGCCACTCCACTGGACGTTCTATGCAAGGACATGCCAAGAGAGTTTGTTACGTATCTCACGTACGCTCGTGAACTGGACTTTGAACAAAAGCCTGACTATGCATATTTACGAGGACTGTTTGCCACTGCTTTTGCACGCGAATCATACAAACATGATCTTCGCTTTGACTGGAACTTGCTGAAACTGGTAAGCGAGACCCTGTGTCTCTTGTTCTTCCGATTTCAGTCACCGTTATAACGGATGCCCCCTTCTGATGCATTGTTGCTATTAGGAAAGAGAAGCCAAACTTCGTCAAGAGGAAACCGAGTCAAAGGAAAAGGCCGGCCAGGTACAGCTGAAGTTTTTGTATGCATACCACGTGTTTAATTTAATGCATGCTAACGTTATTGTTTGTGGGCATGATCTTTAGACGGTCGCTCTTCAGACAACGGCTGCACCGGGATTCGTAATGTCACGCGTAAAACTTGGTACCGCCATACGCGGGATTCAGATGTTCAACAAAAATCAAAAACACGATCATACAGCCGCTTAAAAAACTGTATTATTTGTCTTTTTTTTTCTACTGCAACACTTGATGCTTCTCATTGTATCTGTAACAAGAGGTCTCTCTTTCTCCTATTCTATTTCTTTGTTCATGCTACGCTCGAGCTTTCTCATATTTTCAATTACACTTTTCTATCTCTCATTGCCCTTCTTTTTTACTCCCACCCCAACTGGAGCGTGTTAGGCAACCAAGTAAAAAGAAGAACACATGAATGGCAAAGCCAACATCTCCACCGACATGCTGTGCACTGAACCATGATGCATGAACAAACCTTCGATCTCGATATTTTATTTACACACAAAAATAAGATCTTTTTTCTATGGTTACGCAACTTCATGGTCTAATAAAAAGTTGGTTGCTTTGATGAGATCATTATCATTCTTCTCCAACGCTTCCACTGCCTGAACCCGAGAGAAACCCATGTTAATCAGTTCCTGTACCAGTGATTCTTTTGGTGACCGCGTCGGCGGTAGAGGAGGCAAAGGAGGCGGAATCACAGGCGAAGCTGATCCGCTTGTGGTACGATAGTCAGGTAAGGAAGTGGGAAGAGGTGAAGAGGTGGGTTGAGAGGGCAGAGGTGGCACCGACATACTAGGATGAGGCGAACTGGAAGAAGGAGAGCCGCCATCCTTGAACAACTTGGGCGGCAATGCCGGGGCTACAGGAGCTGATGAATGACGTCCAATTCCTGGCATGGGTTGTGGGTTATAATTGTGTTTCGAACCGTGAGGAGGAGGATTATTCTTAAACGCCCAGTAGCCTTGGTAACATTATCCAGTCAGTCTATGCAAAATCTTCATCCCAACATGGCTTAGAACGTACCTGTATCGGGCGTTGAAGTTTGTTGCGTGGAATGCGGTCGTCGTGGTGTGGAAGGAAACATACCGTGTGACTTTGTAAACTGATCGGTGGCGGATTTATTGTAGTTGTACTGATCCGGGGACGCTGATACAGGTCGATTGTTCGTTTTGTTCGCTGCATTACCCAGAATCGACTTTAACGCTAAAAGATCGTTTTCCGGTGTATCCCACGGATCAGGAGGAGCCAATCCCTGCTCAAACCTGAGATAATCAAAAGCTGTAGCTGCGGCCGCCGATGCCTGAATAGAAATGATCATTAGGCCTTCATCTGCCTCCCGGTCCACGCAATACAATTGCATTCTTGATTGCAGTTTTTCTTCACTTACCTGAGATGTGGAAGGATTATCTAGGGGTTGCTTGCTATTGATTTCGTTGTTTGTGGAAGGGCTTGGTTTTTCGGTGGACGCGGGTGACGGTTGCTGTGAGTGGGAAAGCTGGGGACTGACAGGGACCGATTCGGTCCGTGTGCCTGTGTTTTCTGACTCCTCGTTCTTATCAGTTTGCGAATGGTACAGTTGTTGTGGCGTCAAAATGCGGGTATCTGTGTCGAGGAAGCCGGGAGCGATCTTGCGAGCAGCGACCTTTTGCTTCTTCAGTTTCTCTTCTTCGTATGCTTTTTTGCGTTTGGCAAATGCTTCTTCCGCCTGCAATTGCAATTGTCGTGCCGATGCAACATCCGCAATAGTTTCTCGTTCCACCTGGAAACTGTAACCGGCCTAAGAAATACCTTGTAAGACACAGCATCACGCGAGACTACCAACATTATCGCTGCTTACAAGTGTGAACACTTCATCAGATATAGGCGCTAATTCCGACGCTACAAAGATCTACATCAGATATTGAAGGTTAGATATCCAAATCAGGACGTCAATGGTGGCTGCTGCACGTTTGCCAGCGTCTCTGGTAGTAGTCTTCCATACCTGCTTTGGAAGTTTGTAGTGCGGAGACACCATGACAGGCACATTATGAAGAACAGAATAACTCGATCCTAGCTTGCAGTTAGCCTCAACATGCTCTGTATGGCCTCATCCCCTGACGATGGTTCAGTGCGTACCTTGGTCAGCCATATATTCTATGAGGAAGCGAGCTGTTCTTTTACCTGAGAACTATCCCGTCAGGGTTTTATGACGTTGGGAATGGCGGAGAATGAATTTTAAAGGTTCTGGAAACCCCGTGCTTGATTTTTTGCCACACGACCGGGCAACACCGCGCTTGTTCCTCACTAAAACCAGAGGTAACAGCTCCACTGCCAATTTGCTGCAATAAAGTCTGTTGGTGATTGAAGCCCTTGCCAAAATAAATACTCAACCACAAAAAGCTCTCGTGTCAATAGATCAGAAATTTAAGTAAAATGATATAAGGAGTAGATGTAAAACATGATGGATTCAAATTTCATTGAGGATATGCAAATTTTTCTGATTAAATAGATGATGCAAGTATTGCTAGTTTTTAGAGTGATGATACAGCAGAGAACTTCTCTAGAGACCCAACAACTTGAGCGCAAGCGCTTCTTGGTCTTGTAACGTTTCTGGTTCTTCCACTTCAAGCACCTTGGGCTTTTTGTTGACTTCTTCGTCACTGTCCATCGCCTCGCTCTGATACCATTTTCGCTTGCCGGACTCTTCATCCTGTTCTTCTTCCTCACTGGCTTCCTCGCTTTCAAAGTCTTCGTCGTCCGACACAGCCATACCCATCGCCGCTTGCTCACGACGTTTCTCCTACAAAGAATTTGTGAATAACTGTTTTCACTAGGTAGCTGGTATCATCCACAGGGAACTTACCTCTAATTCTCGTAACTTCTTCTTCATCTTCTTCTCCTTTTTCTTCTCCTTTGCCGTGAGCTTGTCCTCAACATCGGCAATCTTCATTTGCTCTCCTGTCTCACTGATAAACGTTTCGCGTTGCGATTTAGCATCACCGGCCTTCAAGAACTCGGCTTCATCGATCATTTCGTATAATTGATGAGGCTATCATGGGCAAGAACAACGAAATCAATAAATCAGAAACCTTATGAGCAGACCGCCAAAGATAAAAAGATAGCACTTACATTTCCTTCTTCGTCAAAGATCAGTTTTTCACCCTTGGCCATTCTCTTGGCTCGCTCTTTCTTGCTCATCTTGGCTTGACGCTTGGAAAGATTCTCTGCCGTCAGTTCCTGGAATCGGAAAACCACGCGTTAGTGATAATGCACATCATATACTGACAAAAAAACCCAGGCTTTACCTTGAGGTCTTCCTCCGGTTCGCTTTCCAGCTCATGATCCACACGTGTCAGCTGCATAAAGTCATCATCGTCATTGTTCACCGCATCCGCATCGTAATCCACCAGCTTGTTATAATGCTCGGAAAGGATATCTTGATTTTTACGCTGGAACATGCGATCATACTTTGTCTTGACCGCGGGTGTGCTCTATTAACGCATCACAATCCAGTTAGTCACCGCCATTGATGCATAAACCCTCATGATGTATAAATTACCTTGACTTCTTCCTCTTTATCGGATTCCTCCTCCTCTTCATCGTCAGATAAAGCGGGCGCTGTCTGGTTATTATATGACACCTTTTCGGCTTTTTTGATGAACTTGATCTTGGGAGCACCAGCCAAACCGAGAGAGTGCGCAAACTCTTCAGCAGGCAGCTCAGCTGCCTTGAAGATTTTCTTATTCTTTTGGAGATACACGGAACGCATGTAAGCGACAAAAGCCTGTTTCCATTGTTGGACGGTTAGCTATCCACTGTGTTTCCTCCATCGTATGATCCGAGACATGTATGAAACTCATTACTTACACGTTGTCCTAGGTATTTGATTTCAGGGTCTTTGAAACAGAAGCTCTGCAATTGTTTCTGAATGGATTGTTGCTTGGTTGATCGGATTTTAATTTCTTCGATGGGAACACGCTTCTTGGTCAGTTCTTCCACCATGGCATCTTTTTCGGTTGGTAAAAGGAGCATGAGAGCATGACCTTGAGCATCGAAACGGGCAGTTCGACCAACACGATGGATATAAGTTTCGGCATCTTCAGGGCAGTCCAACTGGATGACCCAATCCACAGCAGGGAAATCGAGACCTCGTGCAGACACGTCTGTACTCAACAAGACAGCATGCTGAGTCGAAGTGAACTTGCGGAAAATCTCGACTCGTTTCGTCTGCTTTTGCTTGCCGTGCAAATGGAGGATCGAAATACCGGGTTGCAGTTTACAAAAGGTTTCGTATACAAAACGAGTTTGCTTACAGCTGGACATAAAGACGATGGTCTTGCTTTTAAGGTGAGATTTGACAAATGAATACAGAATATCCAACTTTTTGGGCAGTTCGCAAACAGTGTAATGCTGGGTCAAATTGTGAGGCGTGCTGTGTTCCGACTTTTCATGAACAGCGACGTATTCGGGATCCTTCAAACTGAGTCGTGCCAAATCCTTGACCGAACGAGTTTGTGTAGCAGAGAATAACAAGGTTTGACGTTGAGGCGGCAAATTTTCAATGATTGCATTCACAGTTTTCTGAAAACCCATATCCATGATACGATCCGCTTCATCAAGAACTATTATGCCCCATCGATTAGTCCCATCCACTTCATCATATTCAACAGTATCCAGACCACTTACCAAGAAGCTGAAGATTGTCACAGTTGAAACCGACGGACTGATCCATGTGTTGCAATAAACGACCAGGTGTAGCAACAAGGATATTCATACGACTGATACGTTCTTGTTCGATACGGAAATCCTTGCCGCCGATAATTAAGCCAGCTGAGAACACATGCGATTTACCAATCTTTGTCAGCACTTCGAAGATCTGGACGGCCAATTCACGAGTAGGTGAAATGATCAGGGCGCCTAATCCATCCGCAGCATTCCAACGTGCTCTATACAGAATCTCCAATAACTACGACACAAACACACATTCACATACAGATCAGCCACATGAAAACAAGAAATCAGTGGTGCGCACGCATAGTTATACTACTTACGGGAACCAAGAAGGCCAATGTCTTGCCACTGCCTGTTTTGGCGGCACCCAACACATCCCGTTTGGCCAATGCCAAAGGAATGGCCTTTTTCTGAATGACCGTCAACTGTCTGAAGCTGGTCTTTTTCAATCCATTTCGGGTTTTGGGAGAAATGGGCAAATCGTCAAAGTATTTCACATCTTTGTAAGATTCCTGTACAGCATTGTCTCATCATTAGTCGTCTTTGATTCAGCCAATCGATTCAATTGCAGAAAAACTAGAAAAAATCGGCTTACGGGTGCAGCAGCTTTGCGTTCGATAGCTTCAATTTCTTCTTCTTCTTTCTGACGTCGTTGTAATCGTTTATTGACGGGTGCTTTTGTAGTTGTTGCGGCTGCCATGATATGATCCAATAAGAGAGATCTCTCGCTGTGAAGAAACCACAAAAAAAAAAAAAGTCCAGTTCTACTCGGCCAAGCGAAATTGGTGCCAAAATAGGAAAGCTAAGCCACCTAAATGGAAGCGGTGCCTTGATGCTTTTTGCCACTGGCAAAAAGCTGGGTCTCAAGTAAGAGTGAAATGAGACGTTTGTCCATGAATGAAGCTATTTATTTACTGTATAATACAAGAGTCGTTTTTTCTCCCTCTATGATGTTTGTATGTTATATTGTATTACGGGTTATTTTTGTTTTGCATCTTGGGGAGGTTATTAAGGGAAGTAGACGAACCAAACATTTTACGATCGTTGAAGATCGAACCGAACGCAGGGCTCGTTGGCGTGGTGGTATTTTTCATGCTCGGACGTAAACCGTCAAAAGCGGCAGGCGCTTCCATGGGTGTTTTCAGCATCATTTTGTTCTTAGAAGGCCGTTGGCCAGTCCGTTCCGCTTCCCAATCTTCCCACTTCTTCATCACCAAACGGGACGAGTCAAACTTGCCCTCAGCATCGTCGTGACCCTTGTCCTTCTTTTCGCCCGCAACAACACGCGTAGCACCCCAAGAGAAATCATCGAAATGCCAGAATGAATAGATGGGCAACACGAAATTCCAAATTGGAAGCGCACAGATGTAAACTGTCGACAAGAGGAAGCTAATTAATATCGAGTAGTATTCTATGTTTCTCAAATCCATCGACTTACTAATCATCCATCCAATATAAACAATCTTGAAGGTGGTAATTGCAATCAATATACCGGGAAGACCCAGAATGGCCAACAGCAAAGCCAGCGATTGCCACTGGGGATTCTGCGAGACAGCCGTGTTGACAATAAGGTAGATGGACATGACAATAGCCGCCGGGAGCACCAATGTACCGATAAGATCCACAAAGACCGAAAATTGCATCGATAAGCATGCAATACCACAAAGATCTGATACTAGCACAAGTTCCATGAGATTATGCACCGTTGAATTAATCCATCGACGACGTTGCGACAGTAACACGCGGAATTCATCAGGGACCACAGTTTTGCACCGAGCTTGAGGAACAAACATCATCTGACGCTTAGGGAACGTACGCAGCATGAGAGTGGATAAGAAACGATCTTCACCGAGTAACAACAGGTTTTTTTCGTGCAATGTCGTGACAATGTTTTGATTGTACTCCAAGATGATATCAGGGTTGGCCAGAATAGGAACCCAAGCACCGTTCTTAGGCGACTTGATACGATACATACTGAAACAACCGGGCAAACAAGTGACAATACCGAATAGCGATTCAAATGCCTTGGCATAGTGATGAGAGATATAGTATTCAAAGACTTGAATGGCCGTGACCCCTATATTACATGCGAGTTAAAATTTATGATTGTGCAAGAGTCGTTGATATCCTAAACTTACATGATGTTCGCTTATTGGCAATGCGAGTTTCACCACAAAGACCCATGATGGTAATATCATTCGCCATGGCAGCTACCATGTAAGTGATGGCATCGGGTAATACTTTGGTATCAGCATCCACCTAGCGACCAATCAGTGTTACACGTGGTATCAAACGCTAAGATTTTCCCCCTTGTGAACATACCATGAGCACCAATTCAAACTTGTCGGGTGTCACACCTTTCATCAACCAGGTCATCTTCCAGAACATCTCGTAATCGAGCTCCGACAATCGATCATTGAACAGAACGCGTTGGAAAAAACTCATCAAAATCAGCTACAAAGAACCACGTTACACGAATGAATTTTAATATGCGGTTTTTTTTGTATCCCTCTTTTTTTTTTTTTTCTTTTGATGCCCATTTTGTGCTACCCTTCGCGTCGATCTGCCACCCGAATCCAGGACACCTGTGTGTGACACATACCTGGGAATCACGTTTACCACGATTGCCTGCTTTGGGTGCATCTTGTTCTTCTTCCGTACCGCACTTGACAATGGTAATGCATGCCACCCCTTTGTAGTGTCCGGCATACTAAACCAAAAATGGCCATAATTTAGAAACACTCCGTTTCCCAATCCGACAACATTGGTCAGCAAGAGGAAAAAAACTTTTTCAACATACCACTTTGGCACGATTCAATTGCTTTTCACCATCAGCAATAGCCAAGTAGGTGGCTGGCTTCGGATTCGCCATGGCAGGATCAAGCTCCATCATGTCAACCACAATATCCGGTGTCGATCGTGTTTCGCCCGCACCCGTAATAAGACCATCAGCAATCACAAAGAAGATCTATGGTCAAAAGTCAATAAATATACATTCAAACTATCACACATGCCCATCTGTATTTCATTCTTTCTATTTGTCTCACTGTTAGTTACCTTGTGCTTCTTGGAATATGTGGTTTCGGCTAAACTATCCATGGTTGTGCGTAAACCTTCTTCGCCTTCGGAGTAACAAGTTACCAGCATCACAGTGTACAATTCGGTATCGACAATGTTCGATTGGGGTCCACCCAATTGCATCGCTGAGCTACGATCGCTCACGCCACCACTGGGCGACGTGCTGCTCGACCCCAGAGAAGCAGAAGAGGCTTGCGCAACATTCATTGGACCGTAATTATTGTAAGGGCCGGGTATATGATTAGCCGGATCATCGTTGCCACCTTTGATGGAACGCCACGCCAGCCAACCGGACCGACCGCCTGGTTGAACCAATTTTCGTGCAATGATCCATTGAAACAGTAATGCCATGGCGTATCGAATTACAATCATACAGATAATGACTGCCAACATCACATTCATGATGATTTGATGAGCAATACAGCCACCAGTTTCAGTTTCGATAATGCCCACAGAGTAACGAGCAGCAAGACATCGACGAGCATCTAGACCTTCTTGATGATACAGTAATGCATAGGAGACATCGTTGCCTAAACTACGTCGGAGGGTTTTGTCCACTTCAGCACCAAAGACAGGCTTGTTATCTCGTAAATACTGCGTCAAATTCAGCACTGTATTGAGTGGAAAAAAAAAAAAAGAGGGTGGCTGAGTTTCATCTTGATCGATTTTTTTTTGCCTTGCTTAAGTATTATTTACCTGAATCGCCTAAAAGTAACAAATCACTGTCGCCGAGATCATCGGGACCGTTGGGTCGCAAATCCTCCCATTCAAAACCAAGGTAAGATTTGGAGTCGTAGTGTGATTGTAATTCCTTCAAAGGCAAACATTTGCCACCAGGGGGTTTCAGTGATCCGCCTAGAGAAAAAAAAAAGATCGGTTTTCCATAAATAATTTTTTTTTCGGGGTGCCAAAAAGTCTGTGCATTTTCCAAATCCAGTCATACCATATGGGTTGTGAAGTTGACATGGAGGCAACGTAGGATCATCACCATTCACCTTGTAACGACCACAAGCATTGTTTGTATCACCATCAAAAAGACTTCCGATATCCATGTTTAAATAGTCCGTCGTAAAGTTCAAATGTTTCGTGGCCATGTAATCCTTCACCACGTTCATCGGATACACACGTCCGAACACGCGTACTTCTTCGTGGTACACAGGTTTTCTGACGCCATTGACCACCGATGAGTACGGATACCCGGGTCCCGCTGTCGGGCATAGTACCGCATTTAGACCATAGGTTACAAAAGCCAGCAATCCACACAGACACAAGAACATGTAAACTAGTGTCAGCTAGATGATCAGCGGCAAAATGGAAATTAATCATCCACGGCATATCCTTTCATCCTTCACATTACCAATCCCTAATTACCTTTTCACGCCAAGCTTGCTGCATCAATGGGTTAGGCTTGCGTAAGCAAATACGGATAAACCAATTCGGGATACAGCAGGTCGCCAAATAAGCTGTCCAAGCCCACCAGCTTGTGAGCACTTTGGGTTTGATTTCCTTTTCTGGAGTCACGTCCTTTGTCTCGCCAATGGCATCCAAAGCAGCATACTGTTGTTGCATTTTCTGTTGCTCCAGTTGCTGCTGCAAATGGTGTGACATGGGTTGATTGACTGTCGGTGGTCGTTGAGGTATCGACCCATTGGATTGAGCATTGGTATTTTGGGAGGATGTGGACCGTAGCATGCCTGAACGAGGCCGCTGACGTTCCGGTCTTGTCAAGGACTTTGATCGATTCAAGCCAGCGCCTGGGTGAGCTCCATGTATGGCTGAGCTGGTGGTTCGAATACCCAAGACAGGAGGTGCGTGACCATGCCTGGGCGTCGGCGTACCGTAAGGGGCTGAATTGGGAAACGGTTGGGATCGTAGATAGGGCGACGGCTGCTGTTGGAAAGAAGAGGATGAGGAAGGAGGGACCATCGGTTGGTGAGGTCCACGTTGAGGTGAATGCTGGTAGAAATAATCACGCGATTGTCCGCGACTAGGATGTGGCATATGTGAAAAGCCATGTGGGCCCGATGAGGAGGAGGAGGAAGAAGAGGAAGACATAGTCGGAGGTTGAGGTGGTAATGGTCGCGATGCTCCTCTCACGTCAGCGTGTTGATATGTAGGAAACCGTTGATGTTGATGTTGCGTTGGATACGGCTGCTGGTGTTGTGGAGGAGGGGTGCCTCGAGGACCTGGAGGAAGTTCCTTCATGGTGGATGAGTAGCCATTGTTGGCTGTTGGCCGAGGAGGGGTTGACATATCAATGGTTCACTAATGCACCGTGCTTTTCAATCCCGTGTACTGGCTCTCAAAGAGGTAAGTGCCACAGGAAATCCAACGTCAGAGAAAAAAAGTACAAGATAGACGAAAAAGGGGTCCTTTTTTTGACTATAATCAAGAGAGAAAAAAAAGCTGTGGAAAGATAAAAAGATAAAAATAAACAAACAAATTAAACAGAAATTGAGACTTCTGTCGCTCAGAATAATAATCTAATGAAAATAGTAACGAAAAAAAAATACAGCGGCGCACTTTCAAAAATGTGTCTCAGAGCCACGACAGCCAGTTGGCCCCTGGACATCCCAGGCTTTGGATGGCCGCCATGGAACCTTGGTTTTTTTTTGTGTGACCGATCTTGGTCGCCTTCTCCTACCATATTAATCTTTTCTGCGTTGAGATCATGTCGCGTGTTGCTCCATTCTGTATTCTGCTACGATTTCGATACTGCTATTAATCCTCAAGTGTGGAGTAAACACATGCAGCTGGTTGCAATGGCCAGTAAGGACTAGATTCCAATCTGACTTTTTTAGTTTCATTATTCTCAGGGCAAGTGACAGCCGGCGTTGCTTAACCGGGATGAACGGAGAATATATCAACATCGCTGTGAGGGATATTAAAAAGCCGATCTATTGTTAGGCAGATGTGGCCTGCACTGAGGATCTATCGATCGTTGGGATATGGTAGTCCAGACTCACACGACGCTTTTTTAACCGTCACAACGATCGCGTTTCCGTTTAACCCAAAATAGATTAGTCACCGCCACTGCTGATATACTCCAACGACCCATTTATTCCCAAAATAAAGCTACTTCTTGTGACAAGGATATGTCAAGAAAATTTTTTTGGTTGGTAACACCATCAAATGGCACTTGGCTCGATGATTCTAAAGAGATCAAAAAGAAGAAACAGAAAAGAAAGAAAAAATGTTGAAGCACATGAAACCGGTGTTACGTCATTCAGCCACTTTTTTTTCTTTATATTTTCAGCAGTAACAAGATCACGACAGTAACTACAGGAAGTATCAGTGTTCTCAAGGACAACGATTGTGTATCTTGCTATACTGTCTTTTCAGAAAATGAGAATGGAGTGGGAAGGAGTCGATTTTTATGAAGATTTGGGACGGGAAAATAAGTCAAACAGGTGAACATCCGACGAAGTTTTATCCAATGGAAAGAAAATTTCTCCGAACACCCTTTTCACATTGTCAACCATGGAGTAGAAACGATAACAGACCTTTTTTATACTGTCATTGCAACACTTTCTTTTCAAATCGAGTCTCCTCTATATGGAATAGCTATCAGATGACGAGAAAATATCAATTCATTTTAGAATGAGGCAAAGAAAATGAAAAAGGCAGATAACTCAATTACATTGTTTCAACACAAATCGCAAATTTTTTTATTCAGTGGAAGAGACCCATTTTCTTGCTTGCTTTATTTTTTTTTTTTTGTTTTTTTTTTGTTTAGGCGTTGATGGCCGGGATTTTTAAAAGCTATGATATACTGATTTCTGACTGATTTCGCCATCAATGGGTTAACCTTCCATCCAGATGATTCTTCCCTCACGGCAATCTCATCTCGGTTTATTGAGCCATTTCTCCCAGAAAACGCATGTATTTTCTGTTTATAATAAAGATTAGGTATTGGCTATCGCTGATTCTGCTTTCTGCTTTTAGGCGACGGTTTGGTATGGTTGGGTGATTGTTTTGCCTCGGTTGATCCTGATAATTCCCCATATTGGCTCTTGAGTTGCTTTTTCCTTTCCCCCATTGCTTGATACCGATTCCGCTCCTGCCGTTCAGCTTGTTCTGTTGTCGGTCGAAACGATGATTTTAATATCCTTCGCACCGCTTCTACTGAGAGTTTGAACTCTTCTGCCAGTTTTACCGAGTTGTACTCTTGCGGATACTAGAATAACCACCGCAAAGACAATGAGCTGCTCTGCCATATAAACCTGCAACAAGTACACATGTCCGCCATGACTTACGGCTATAGCTAGATCTCTGATTTTCCCCATGACTACTCTGGACACACGCTTTTTAGGTTGCCAACTTTCTTTGATCTTGCTTGCTTTCGCTCCTTTGGAATCGCTTTTCGGGGATTCTGCAACAGCTTTGGAAACCGAAATAAACCGGCTATAGCGCTGTGAAGAAGGCATCTTTACCAAAGAATGTAACTCATTGCAATGTAATCGTAGCGATCGCGTCAATAGCTGTGATAGTAGAACTGACATTGCAGGGAACTGGGAATAAAGAGAGTTGGCCTGTAACTTTTTTTGCATGATCGATGTCCCGCGAGATGTGTGGCTGACCATGACGGGTTTTCCTTTTTAAGAAATACCCTTGAGTATCCTGTTTCCTCGTATCGTACATATCCTTCTATTCTTTTTCATGGCGCGTACAAAGGTATGTTTCGGAAAATAACACCTTAAGATCTGTGAAGGCATATTGGTGAACATAAATGTTGACGAAAAACTGCCTGGTTGAGCTGAGAACAAAATTAAACTTCCATAACGCTCAGTGGCGCGAGACCTCACAATCCTAAAATCAACGAGCGCCAGTTTCAAGCATTGCAGACATTTAGAGCGACAATATCATAGGACGATAGATAATGAATGGGGATTGCTCTCTACGTTGAACTGATTGGCTCCTAATATTGTTTGTCGCTCGGGATGGTGTCCAAGATGATACGATGATATTGTATTCAGAGTTTATTGACATCAAAGAGACAACGACCAACGCTTTGCGGTGAATGTGAGATGATTACATCACGGGAATATAACTGTTGATTCTGTCCTTTTGATTCTGGGAGATACATTCGGCAATCCACACAATGTTTCGGATTTCCTGTTCCTTCAACTTGATGTAAGAGTAAAAGACGCCATAGTTGAACTGTTGCTGGAAAGCTAATCTGTTCAAAAACACTTCATGTTCAAAGAACTTGTCCTCCAAGGTCTTGTTACTCGTTGTAGTATCAAAAAAGACGCGATATTCCTAGAAGTGCATTCCAAAGCATGGTTAATAGGTCAGAAAGTGCGTACACCAAGAGAAAAAGGACAAGTTACGTGGAAAATATCGCAGACTGATTTGACTTGCTCTACTTCATCGGCGACAGCAAGTCGTGCATTGCCTTCAGGATACAAACGTCCAATCGTCGGGAACAATTTTTTACGGTCCTCTTTTGGTAACTCGGTACCAAACGAGTTGATGGTGATATTCAATGTACGACGATCTGCTTCAAACTGTAATCCACAGTCAGTAACAGAGTGTTCTACCGTTCCTTAATCACTGTAACTTGACACTTACACGAAGAATATCGCCCATGACTTCGGCTGTAGGTCCGCCTAAGGTTTGGCAAAACTGATAAAAGTCTTCCAAATAAGCCTTGTATAATGTGTTGCGGATGATTTCGATATTCATTTCATCCAAATCATGAGCGCTGAGACAGTTGGCAAAATAGGGCGCTTCGAACAAGAATCAATACCAAATGTCATTCACGACGTTGCCTTATGGTTTACCTAAAGGTGTTTCAACAAGCACTGTGTTATAAAGTTCAGCCACTGTGGTAGCAACGCACAAGGCCGGCATCGAGTCAAAAACGCCCAGAGGATGGCAGCGTTCCAGAAGTTCATGGGTATCACGTTCATGGAGTGTACCAGTGATCAACAAGATAACATTATCAATCATGTATTGGTACCTAGGAACAGAAAAACACATGTGTCAGTCTCATTCACGGTTCTGAAACACTTGTGGTTGCGGGTCAGTAACAGCCCTTGATACTTGCGTAATATAATCCAAGAACTTTGCAAGAGGTTGAACAGCCGTAGCACGGATATACTGGAACTCATCAACAAGACGTTGTGTCAATTTTTCAGATATCGTCGAGGTCGCAATAGGTGACGGTTCATTCTGCAGTAATTGACCATAATCAGTAGCTCCTAGTTGCAGACGAAGGTCTAAAATGAAAGAGTGATAGACGGGAATATGTAAATAGAAGAACAGTGGCATGAGTATATGATATTAGGTACAGTTTCATGCTGTGGTGCATTGCGCAGATGCTTTACCCTCGAGTGTTTCGCACTGTGTAAAGTTGAGGTATTGCGAAGAGGTCAGAATTCCGGCACGGTAACCTCGCAAGATGCCATCGACATAACCGTCGTTCTCGTTAAATGTCAAAGCAGATCCCATTGGCGAGTATAAAGCTTAAAGTGAATAAGGGAAGAGAACCCACCAAGTGTGCAAGCCCGACGAAACACGAAACAAGAGAAAACACTGGGAACGCTCGATGTTGCGGAGAATGAAATTGTTACGGACTTGCACGTCATGAGGATCCATAGACGAGAAATCATCACCCAAACCGCTTCTGCCCCTGACACAACCTGTATCCTTTGCCCATAACACAGCACTACCATAAATGCTTTTAAAATAGCGGATGAGGGATCTAATGTGGGGTACTCGTTTGGCAGAATATCTCAAAGAGACAAAAGATGGCCAGACAACAAAATGATTAGGCGATGGCCATCACAGTCGGACTACAGCTGAGAAGCTCTCCCTTTATTCAAAAACAGATAATCCATGATAGAAAATGGATAACAGATAAAGTTATCGATGTACCACTTTCCAATCCAAGAATCTGATATTACTAAATTTTATGATTTCCCAAGTCTACCGTGGTGCGTCGAAATAGTAAATGAGCGTGATGTAAGCGCAAGATGCAGTTCTATTATTTGATGCTGAGTTGAAGATGGCGGCAATGTATAATACATTCTTTTTCTGATGATGCTTATTCCTGTTTCTCAACAGAGGTTACGACTATTTCTTCCGGTGAATTGGCGGTATTGGTTTCGAGAGAGGGCAAAAAGGTAGCAAAGGTCAGGTAGCTGGTGTGTCCACGGGTATCCACTGGTGTCTTGGATACGAGCATTTGAGTGATGGTGTTATCAAGATCAATATCGTCATTGCGTTTTCGCTTCTCGGCCGGACCGGCAAGACTCTTGTAATTTACATTTTTCTTTGCTTGCTCAATCGCTTCCGTGAATGTCAGTTTCTGTAACGGAGTGACATTGTGATTGCGAATCAAACATTCATACATCGTAATATCTATGAGTTCACATCAAAATGATCAGTCTGTCTAATACATTAACATTCAAACACGGATACTTGATAACATACCAACAAAACCATGTTCATACAATGCTTTTACTGACCGAGACACTTGTTCAATGCAAGGACTGAATGTACAGATTTTTCCCGTACGATGCTGTTTGAAGGCGGCCTTGGCAGAACCAATGGCTTCCCATGGCGCGGGTAGATCAAGAAACACTAGATACACAAAGCGTGAGACAAGGCGTTGCTATTCACGTATTTTCCTATCGCTTAAATTTTACCTGCATTCACTTCATCCTTCAATCCAAAGCCATCTTTGCAAACGTCTCTCTGCTGTAACTGGATAATATCACCGAATCCATGCTCTTTAAACTCTTGTGCTGCCAATGTAGCTCGTTCCGCATGATACTCGAAGGAGAACAGCTTTCCCGTAGGGGCAATCGTACGAGCAATTGAATGGGAAAACGATCCACTGCCAGTACCTACAGGTGCAAGAAAGTTTAGAACCGGTCCATGGGGGGGGGGCTACAAGTCAATGTATCTTTACCGGACTCAATCACTCGAGCACCAGGCTTCATATCGAGGTAGGTACTGATAAAGGATATATCGGCAATATACAAAATTTGCGTACGGTGCGGTAATACGAGTGTCCACAGTTCAGGTGTAGGATGGAGCAAGTAAATAAATCCTTTGTAGTTGCTGGACACCATCTATCGTTCAAACTATCAGCACAGTAGTAAAAGTGACTACAAATCTATTAGCTGATCATACCTTGGAGCCGAATTCCTTGCCAATCATATCGTCATGCTTGAAGATACCAAAGCGATTATTGAATTGTTCGCCTCGCTTAACAGTGATCGCACTCATATTGTCTCGCGTCTAATAGTGGGCTGCGTGAATAACCAAAGATAAAAACCAATACGATTCAATGGCAAGAAATAACATACAATATACAAGATGACCATGTCACCTTCCTCAATATAACGCTTCCAGCCGCTGAAACTCATGTTGCGATTTTTACTGCTCAAGACAAAGAGATCACCACTTGGCAAGCCATTTTGTCTCGAAAGGCCGAATTACGAGAGCATCTCCACAAGCCACTTTGTGACAGTGAAATCATGCAGCTTCATCTAACCCTGTCTTCTTCGCATTTGCCATGCACCAAATCCGTTTCTTTAAGGCATATTCACGTAACGCAAGAAAAAACTTATACTTTATAAAAGAAGAGATCTTATTTTGATATTTCCCTTGAGTTTGCATGTTCCGCTTCCCAATTTACTGCTGTCGCATGCAAAATATCCGTGGAGAACCTCAAAATGAAGCATGCTTTTCTCCTGATGACTATTAGAACGGAAAGTATGCGATACTGATCGATCCGTTACCAAGGCCTTGTATAAGGCTGGTGTATCTATGTGCGTAAAAAGATGTGCTACCAGCTTTATCTGGTAGAAACGCCCAACAAACAAAAGACGAACGTTTCTGCACCAAGAGCATTTTAAGGGCCGAATTTTCCGGCATTAAATGGCACACGTGAATGCAAGTCTTCTCTCCCAATATCTGCCATAAATCATAACAGTCTAGCGATGGATCCGGCAGTCGATACACCATACCGAAAAATTGATCTCGACACCATCAATGAGCTATACTTCCAAATCGGCAAGCTGAGAAAAGCTTGTAATAATCTCCTGGAGAAGGACGAAGTCCTCAACAAAGCAGAATTAAAGAACCGTATCGGAAATGACGTTAGCGAAGCCATGGACCAGGTAAAAACTCTAGTCTTTCACATTTGCGTCATTGCGAGTAGTGCTAATACGCGCTTCAAAGTGGATCAGTAACATTTTTTACTCTGTGGCTGGAAATCTGACCATTGGGGGTGACAACTGTGACAAGAATGCGTTGGACCTCGACGCGGGTAAGCTACGACTGTACTTATTGTATTGATCGACATTATCTCATAATATTGAAATACATAGAGCCGTACGAGGAATCCCTGAAACAGAATGCAGAGTCTGCAGAGAAATTGGTCAAAGATCTTTTGGAAGAAGTCATACAAGCGCGGTGCAATGTGCCAACGCAGATGGCTTCTCTAATGAACGATGCTCTTTCGCACATGTTTCCTTCCAACGATCAGATCCTGTATGAAAAACCCAATTTTGATCAGTCAATACCAGGTAAAATCATACTTGTGGTTGGAAAGAGACGAACAAACAAAACTGGTGCTGATTTCGCATTATCAGCTGCTCCTCCGGAGATCCCAGTGGATGAAGTGTCAAGGATTTTCAGAGACAGCACACAGATACTGGCTCATCTTGAAAAGGTAGGAGAATTGGAACAGTGTTTTTATGTGAATCCGCTCATTAAAAACATCAACTTGCCAGACTGTTCCTGAGCAAGTAGCAGAAAACGAACAACTTCAGTCGATCCTGCAAACGTATTTTTCAAACGAATGATCCACACCATCGTCACTGTTCTTAGTTTCCCCTGTCCATTCCCATCATGTTCGCATACGTTGAGGAGTTAACGCAGGCGCTACAGTCTCCTCAATCTACTATACGCTACATCTATTCCATCTATTTTTAATCCATTATCAGTGTCGGCACCTCACCAACGACTTGGTAACAATGCATTTATTCAATTATTTCTCGCATAATTCACTTTTCACATTGTGTTGACCTATTTGGTTTCTCTACGGCTTGAAACTGGGAACTGGCTGAGCATCGGATCGGTTAAGCAGAGAACGATAAATAACGATGAGATCAACCGACAAGAAGACAAGACAAGCTGGAAAACGGACATGTCGTCTTGACTTATCAGCCAATTACACAGCCGCTTCTTCATCATGGGTTCATTGCAGAAGTTTATCCTGATACGACTTGATGCGGGGTTCATGCGGATCTTGAAACACGGCCAGGAACATGCTTTGTGTCTTCAAGAATACAATCACCACGTTTCCTCTCAATCACGTGAAAACCTGAAGACCCTGTGCTACGACTTGATCTTCACTTGTTGTGCCACGGCCCGATGATGCCTTTTTTCAAAAATTGAAACCTGGGTTTGCTGTAATTTAATCTCCTGCGTTTTCATATGATCTAAAAAAAAAAAAAAAAAAAAGGATTTAAATGAGGCAACACGGCGCGTATAATCTTCTAACAAGATTTTAGTTACTTTTCCCGGCTGGTCAATCATTATTTACATAAATAACTGGTCTTTCTCGTACTATGTATATGCATTCTTCCAGTGCCGAATCAAACAGCAAATTTGATAAACCGGAAGCAGTGATTCCTCCCATTATGCTAGAAAGAACAAAAGGCTGGCGAAACATCATTCGAAAGGACTCCCCTGCATCATCATTGCGCAAATGTGCCGAGACACCCGACAATAACAGTCAAAGCAATGCATCAGCATCAATCGAAATCAAGACCACCGATCGCTCCCCTCATTGATAAACAGTACCTGAGCACGTCCTTATGCCACCATGACAATGACAAGTCGCCTAATTTTTAACCTTCATCATCAAGTCAAAAACCGTGGAAATAGAATTTACAGTAGAAAAACCTAGTACATAATTTATTAAAGTAACACACGCTTACGAAGCAAATAACGAGCATTTTTATTGATTTTGCAGAATTCAAATTAAAGAAGAAAAAGAAAGCCAAATCGATACTTTAAGAACAGTAACGAGAAACAATATCTGATACTTGATCGTATTCATTGGCAAAGTCCCAATGAGGATCATAATGTTTCATGATCGCGCAGGCGTGGTGAAGATGATTCATCCAATTGGACTCATCATCAGTATCGCCATTCAGTACGTCTAGCAGCGCCTTTTTCTGGGAAGATGCCAATGGGGCGCCTTTGAAAAGCTTCATCACACTTCCCATTTCGAGGATCACACTTCTGCCAAATTTGGTGGTGCAGAAAAGATGCTGCTTGACTTCCACTGGGGCAAGAGCGGCTTCGGCTACAATGCAGATAAGGCCCGCCAAAGCAAACAGTGAATGTCCATGAGGGGCGGCATGGAGTGTATTGCTGCAGAGGCGCACGAGCCGATGCATTTCATCGGCCACTTCAGAGGCTCGCTTGAATTGGTCGCTCATGCGAAGGTGATCAAGTTGATGGACGATCTGGTGAGCTCGCTTTTTGATACATTGAAGTTCATCGGCAAGATCGACTTCATGTGGTGAGGGCGGTCCGATCATTCCCTCAAAGTGACCATCGTCTTCAATGGTTTGGATCAATTCCGGAAACTGCATGACAGTGGAGGATAAGATGTGGCATAGTGCCACTTTGGGTAACCCGGTGATCCAGGTCTCCAAGGCCCAGATGTCGGAATACAGTCCCCGCCCGGATGCCTTACCAACATCGCCGTCGTCATGACTCACCCAGAGGGTAGAAGCGGAAAGCATACTACTTCCGGAGGATGTCAGTCCAGGCACACTTGCCAGTGAGCTTCTGGAGCTTCTTGGGGAGCTTATAGTAGGTTCATCGTTCGAGCTATCGAAACCAATCAACGATAATAGGTAATTCAGGAATCGCCGTGGCTTGGAAGGTGCTTGAATAGAATGGACTGGCATATGAAAAAAATTGTTTGAGAAAGAAAAATAAAATAAAAGATGGGATAAATAATAAGATGGGGAATATCAGGGACTAGGTGGAGAGAAGCGATGAGTATAAAAATATTAAATGGGGAAACTGACAAAAAAGAGTGATGAGGGTAATTGGGTTTTCTGTGTTTTTCACTTTTTTTTTTCACTTTTGGCTTTGAACGGGTGATAAAAGTTAGGGAAATGGGGAAGGGGAATATTGTATATGAGTCGTTTTTGTCTTTTTTGTCTTTTTTGTTTTGTGGTTTTTTTGGTTTTTTTTTGCGAGTTGTTTCTTTCGTATGCCTTCTTTTTGTTTTTCTTCTTTTGAGTGATAAGGATATAGCGTAAATATAGGTTTAAGTTTCTGGTAAGAATATATAGAGAAATGTCGAATATGATAAGCTGCGATTTCGGAATGCCTCTAGGTATACGTCGTCATGGATTGAATGAGTCTGGATACTTGAAGTTGGCAACCTGATCATGTTCTGATGGGATGATAAGTGTAAAAAAAGAGATTGAAAAAAGTAAGACGTGGTTGTTCTTGCTTTTCTTCCTCTGTGAGTAAAAGGATTTCGCTCTCTTTTTTTCTCGCTGCAAATGCTTGGATTGGATAGCTTTGGATCGCTTTCACACCACTTGTCGATCGATAAATTGTCTCTCGATTCGGTGCACTGAGTTTGGAATGAGGTTGCAAGCAGGAAGAGTCGGACGCAGTTCTTGACAACGTGACAAATGAAAAGAGAAAAAAAAAGGCGGCAATGGAAAATTTCACTCTTTCCAAGAACAAAAGGGAAGAAGAAACGAACAAGAAACGAGATAACAAGGAGAGGCGGAAAAAGAAAAAATAATAATGGCGGATCCTTTTTTCTTACCCAAAAAAAAAGAAACAAAGGGGTGAATGAGGGAGAACATTCGTGGTCCAGTGACCATTTCATGGTCACGCGGTCCTTTCATTGCATGGGCGGACTTTTTTATGTTAGCCCACTGCATAACATGTTCCCTTTTGTTGGACGTGGAGGGAAAATCCACTCCTTTGACGTGCTTCCATGCCAGCAGCAACGCAGCAACAGTGTTTCGGTTATGACTCGATATCGTACTATTTGCGGTGGCTCATGTACGTCGGTAAAGTTGCGTTGCAAACAAGTGCTTGGACAATTTGCCACTTTTGAAATAGACCAGGGGACTCAATCTTCGACGGGTTGCACAAGCTCATTTCAATCATCATCCACTCTGGCCCTTTCAGTCGAATGGTCACAGATTTAGCTCTCTTTTTTTCATTTTCTTGCGATACCACGACTTCAGATGTCTGTTGAGGAACATGGGTGCGATAAAGATCTTGGTTATTTTCCCATGGTTAATAAAGAAAAATGCACTTCGGATGAAATAATAGTCATGAAAGAACCCCAAATGAAGCATGGATTCCATCCACCAATCAGATCTTTGCATAGTATTTGCTGCACCGACACGGAATCCCATACGGGACAGTTGCACGACCCCGTAAACCTTCGGAATCGTTGCTGTTGTCTCGCATTTTGCCTCGATAGCACTGCTGACCTTCCCCTGATTTCATCTATTGCCACTGTACATGTAGCTTTATCGACTTCATCCACCCCGTACAAGCAGTCATGTGTATATTGCGTCAAAAATATTCAAAACTGTGCTTACAGCCGCAAAACTCGTCATTTGCTAGAGAAGGCACAGGAAAACCATGGGTCACACGTAGAGTGTGTATGTGCAAAGTTTAATTTTACAATACCTTGATCAAACAGAAAGAAGGTTACAGCGATTCCACAGTTATCCATAAAATACTTCCCCCGTGTAGGTGCAGCGAATGGATTGATATAAAGTGGCTTGCTTCTATAATACCTCAGGTGCAGTGTATGAGATTTAGCTTCCGCTAAAAACCAATGATAGCGTATACTTTCAAGCATACAGAACATTTAAAACAAGATATGTACTGTATCCCTTTGGCAATCTCTAGTAAATCTTTTCACACGAGAGTTCTGAATTTCATTGCGCAATAAACAAAACATTAGGCGCCACCGCAAGATCTTTTTGTATGCTGCTCATGCATGCACAGCTTTTGTGTTGAACACACACCTTTAAAATACATTGGTGAAAACACATATGCTGTATCACCGGTCCTTTTTGATACGCAGATCTTTGATTACTCCAGAGGCTTATAAGTAAAGATCTTTTATCGGTTGAGCTCACCCGCCCTTATTCATTAAGCTGCTATATTGAAGCAGTAATGAAAGATGACCTCCAGCTTGGAAAACAAGATGACGTGATGTGGTTGGGGATAGTTCGCTTGATGAATGGTATATCATAGGTCCTTCATTGTACACATACCCTCATGGCGCCCCAAAACAGCGCTGTGTTGGAAATTTCCGCATTTGTTGCTATGATACGATGCGCAATGTTTTTGCCGAATGGCTTGTAAGCCGTGGCATTGTCGACACTAGGATTAGAAAAAGACTTTTAACAGCCCCGTTCCACCCATGGTCATTTGTCATTAGAGCACGGCCATTTTCATGCCCAAATTTATGCGGGTTAATTAAACTGGATAAAACCGTCATCATGTTGACGTAATTTAGCTGTCAACCGCTTTTTTTTATTTTTCCAACTTTTTTTTTTCTTCATGAATCATTGTGCGGTTCCTCTTTTTTTGTTTGATTCAATTCACTTTCTTTCACTAAATAAACAAGCCAACAAAAGCAAACCGAACAAATATGGCGTCAATCATCGTGTTTAATGCTGGTTCCTCGAGCCTGAAATTTAAATTATTTCAAACCCCCGAATTGAACGTCGTCGCCTCCGGAACATGTTCAGAAATTGGCTCTGAAAATTCGATCTTTTCATGGAAAATAGCCGACAAGAAAAGCGAAGAATCGTGCACCCTCAAGTCCCATGAAGATGCTCTTCTTTGCGTTTTGAAGAGGTTGAAAAAGGATAAAGTGCAGGGACTCCACGAAAAAGATATCGAATACGTCGGTCACCGGGTCGTGCACGGCGGTACGCATCGCAAGCCCGTCCGCATCACTGACAAGACGTTGGAAGAGCTCGACAAATTGACTGAATTGGCACCTTTGCACAATCATCGCGCCGCCAACGTGATGCATGCTTGCTTGAAGAATTTGCCCAAATCGGAAAACTTTGCTTACTTCGATACCATGTTCCATTCCACCGTACCCGAACATATTTACACTTATCCCATTCCGCGTGAACAAGCGCTAAAGAAAATGATCCGGAAGTGGGGTTTCCACGGTATTTCCTACCACTATGTCATTAACAAGGTCGCCGACACTATCGGGAAATCCTTGGATGGCATGAAAGTGATTGCCATGCACCTTGGTAACGGTAGCAGCGTATGCGCCATTCGCAACGGCCAAAGTTTCGATACAACCATGGGATTGACACCTGTATCAGGTAACGATCATTGAACCGTGAAAAATGAATCTTGAACAATAGAAGCTGATTAATCCATCATCGAAAACTAGGTTTGCCTGGAGGAACACGTTCCGGTGATATTGATCCTTCGGCAGTATTCCATCTTGTCTCGCGTCCTGATGAAGAACGCGGCGATGAATTTATTCATTTATCCAAGGCCGAAGAAATCTTGAACAAGTGCAGCGGTTTCAAGGGATTGTGCGGAAAATCGAATATGGCGGAAATCCTTGAATTGGCCAAACAAGACACGGAGGAAGGCCATGATGCTCAGTTGACGTTGGATATCTTTATTAACCGTATACAAAACTACATTGGCGCTTATTTTGTAGCTCTTGAAGGGGTGGATGCTATTTTATTTACAGGAGGTATTGGTGAACATGCAGCTCCAGTTCGTGAAGCCATTGCGGCCAAATTGAAATGCCTTGGTATCCAACTCGATGAAAAGAAAAACAGCGAGGTCAAGGATCATTTGTCGGAAAAAGGCGTCATGGATATTTCCTCGAGCCAATCGTCCGTGCGTATCTATGTGGTCGAAACCAATGAAGAATTGCAGATCGCGCAACAGTTGTATCATCATATTTCCTCTTAATCCAAATCCATTGCATCGTCCAGATCGGGCTTCAACGGTGGTTGATGGATTACCTAATATCATTGTAAATTATATTAGCTTTTTACTGTGTATAAACGAAAAAAAAGTTCTCTTTTTTTTTCTGTCATACCTCGATTGACTTCACTTTTTGTTTCTGCGCGTCAAAAGGCGGATGATGATGCAAGAGCGTTTTGAGTGTCTCGATATCACTATGAAAACAAAAGCATAAGTCGTATGCACTCCTAGTTGTCGTTGAAGTTTTCAATTACTTGTGGTTGGCTCCGCGAAGAACAAAGTCGGGAATACGGAGGGACTGTTCACCAGGTCTTCTTTCCATTGGTAATATGTTGCCATTGATACAGGTATCTACCAACGTTGGCTCATCGATGTCGATAGCAAGGTCCTCTTCTTGAGGTTGCTCTCCTTCTGATTCGTCTGCCAAATACTGGTCAATGTCGTCAATGTGAATGACATTGTCTGATTTATGCGACGACGATGGTGAAAGATCGGGAGCATGAGGACTGTTATAAACGTTATTTAGCGACATAGCCGCTAACTGGTTTGCAAAGCTTTCTTCGGATATATATTTTTTTCGTACATGATACTGAGCGTCCATTTGTGTAGGTGAATGCAAACGCTTATGGGAAGACGAAAATTGCATTGATACGTACAAATGAAAAAGAAAGGGAAGAACCCGTTGGAAAGCAAAAGAAACACAGATGCCTCCACCGGTGTTTGAAAAAATACTGGATGTTTCTGCAACCGGATCATCATCATTCATCGCAACCACATGGATACTTTTCCTCGATCGTTCCACAGTCAAAGATGTCCTTGTGAAGACGTTCATTCACTTTGTTGTGAATAGCGCATGCCCATTGACTTGCCGCGATACGAGAAGCCGTCTGCGGCGGGTATTGCTCAAGAAGCAGCTGGAAATGTTCAGCACTAAAATAAAAAAGAATCAGATACCCCAATCCAAAAGCTGCAATAACAGATTACATGCAGCCAGCATGATCCACTACTGACCATTCACCGCAAGGATATAATCTGCTTAAAAGCTTGATGAATTGTCCTAATGCTTCACGTTCATCGGTTGTTGGTTCTTCAGGATATCTTGCCACCATCGTGTGCAGTAACTAAAGCGATCGAGGGTTTTCAACGGTGAGACAAAAAATGCTGGGGAACTATTCAAGGGTATCTCTTTTACCTTCCAAGTGGATCGCCCCAGTTCCTCTCTTTTTGCGACACATTACAGTTGATTAGCAATTTTGTTTAAGATATGCACGGTACAATGGCCAAATAAGCGTGCTTACTTCAAGGTGGCATTGCCTAAATGGCCCATGATTACATTTCCCTGCGACGCTGTTACCACATCGTCCGTTTCCGTAGTAAAAGGCATTTTCGGTTGGTAGCCATTCTTTGCGATTAGAAATAGTGAAAAGAGGACAAACGCAAAAAAGGCAGATAAAGAGGCCAGTGTCACTGCTCGCATGATCTGATTGTTCCAGGAAACGAAAAAGGGACCACTGACCGACCCTTTAGGCAAGTATCCTTGTTTTCCATTGTTTGATTTGCCGGTTCCTGCGCCGACTGAAATGAGAAGCTCAACATTATCATTCCTTTTTGGTTTAAGAATCCAATCATTTGATAACATATCAAAATAGAACAGAGAATATGAATAGGAAATGAATTATTGGGACGTTATATGAGTTAGGATCAGTAAAAAGGCAGTTATAAGAATATAGAAAATCCGGATAAAATAGAAAATAGCAAATAAAATGTTGGACATCAATCCAAATTGGTTTGCTATGGCAACCTTATGAATGCTTCTTTTTCGGCGACTCCCCTGAGCTAGCCACTAACTAAGGATGCTCTTCCTATCTCAGGATATTCGTTTGTTTCGGTTTTATTGCAACGGGAACGGGTGTTTGCTATTGGTTTGTCGCAATAAGAAGCCAAGTGGTAGTGGTTCCACTCCGTGCTGCAATTGTTGCATTTGAGCATGACATGGATTTTTTGCTTCACTTTGGAGCCAAGGGTTTCTTCTTATTTACGCTTACGCGTCCTTGATATGAATCGATTATCAATCGATGCTCGTGGGTGAATGATGATGATGACAGATGCGAAGAAGGGAAAATATAAAGATCATTTTTCATATCCGAAATCTGATACAGCTTGGGATATGATTATGCATATATGCCCTTTGATACTCAAGGACGATCATTGCTGAAACCGCGCAGCCCTCTACTGCATTGACCATTTAACAATAACCAAGCTTTATAGGGGATGCCAAAATCTTAAAGACCAATAGCGTAACGAAAGGAAAAAAAAGAAGGCTGTTAGTGCACCTTGACTACCGTTAATTGGTTTTCCCCAGAGGTGAGAGCAAACTGCTACAACATACGTAACCACAACGGCATCTACTTTGGCTTCATTCACCATGATCATCTTTCATCCTGAGCATCGCAATTCTGTGACTTTCGAATCGCTAAGTGATAGGATTTAATGGTATGGCCAGGCTTATTTGTCTTTTTTTTTAATAAAAAGATGCAGATAAGCATAGCATAGTTGACATAGTCGAGGAAGTGGTAGGATTCTGCATTTGAAACCATTGTGGGTGTCCGCAATCTCTGGATGAGTAGGTTTTAAATCGTAGACGATATATTCCGAAACGCTGAGTTGCCCGGCTCCACAGCGAAATATCTTTGCTTCCATGCATTACGAAGTATATGAATCCTTTTTTCTTTTACGAAACACCACTATTTTTTATTCATTATGGCAATGATACCGGTTGAAGCAGCTGTAAGCCTGTATGGGTTTCGATCGCAGTCAACAGTTCCAAGGATATCAAGCAGCACCAGTCAATCTACAGCAGCCACGACAGCGGCAGACAGTGATAATGCCGACTATTATTTCAAACTACCGCAGGAAATGCCTTCTCGTCTGTTAAACTTCTTTGAAGGCTGGCCTTCGCTGTCACGGGCATTCAACAGTACATACACCTCAACGGAATCCGACACGGAAGCCGAAACCAAACGCAAAGCCGAAACGAAAACGGAAACGCCACCTACACAGAGCCGCCGCAACAGTCATACAAGCGTGGTCAGTGAAAATGGTATCCCATCACGGCCCACCATACCGAAACGCAGTTATACCGCTGCCGAGGCTCCATCATCCTCTGATGAACCACCATTAAGACCTCGTCAACGACTCAACAGTATTAAAATTGGTGATGAAATTAATCGCTTGCTGGAGCAAGATAAAGTAAAGCGTGCGGTTGCTGTCCTCGAAGAGGCGGTCACTGTAATGAACATGACCGATGAAGAGTCCAGCAACAATCCAGAACAAGTCGCTGCAGTTTATTCCAAAATCATCAGAACACTTTGCGAACCACCGATTTTCAAAATTGTATCCGAGATCTCGGGGGTCGATATTCGCGATCATGCCATGGTTCAACAAAGCGTGTTGTGGCGGTTATTCACAAAGGTCATCGAGTCAGGATATGTTTTAGAGGTAAGATTGGCCTATGGCAAAAACTGCTTTTGCAAGTCGCTTTTCTCACGCCTATCATTAGCGGGAAGCATATCGGGATGTAGTTACTACATTGATGGACTATGGCTATAACCATTTGGCACTGCAGGCATTATATTCTATTCCGCGGCATGAATGGGACACTGATATCTACAAGCTGGCAATCACGTTGCATCTCATCCAAACTCCAAAACAGATCGAAGAAGCTGAGTGGATTATGTCCGATTATGGTAAACCGTTCATCGAGATCGGCAATCCGTTGGCGCCTTCCGATTTGCCACCGATTCGCATTGACACGCCCTTGATGAGCAAAGTATCTGACGAAGACAAATTCAATCTTTGGATGTATTACCAAGCGCTCCTCAGCGAGACGGATTGGCAACAGCAAAAAGAAAGCTATGAATCAGCCAGGCAAGATCAAGAACGGAAAGCACGGCATGACACACCTGCTAATCTTGTCGATTGGGCACGACGGCGTCTCAGTATCCAAAACGTTGACGAAGAATCAGGCCAAGCAGCTAAGATCGATATCGACAACACCATGATCTACATTTCTCTTCGAAATAGTCAATACGAATACGGATGGCAGGTTTACGAGAACATGAAGGATGCTGTGAACAAGTTCACCCCTCGTGTCACCATGCATTTGTGTTGGACAGCGTATCATGACACGCCACTTGCCATTATCACTCGACGAGCCGAGTGGGAATCACGCGCTTGGGAGCTGTATGCACGATTCATGTTTTCAAAGTATCTCATGCCCAATCAGCCAGAGATGTCCGGTTTCTTGTGCGATCTACTGTCAATCAACGCCACCAGTCCAGAAAATCACAGTCAAATTCGATATACCAAAGCTATGAGCGTGTATCAGTGGATCAAACGCGGCCAATACGACCATTTGCTGAGTGATGAACAGATTTGCACGCCCATCTTGTGCACCTTGTTACATGACTGCAGAGGATCACCGTCCACGATCATCAAGTTATGCCAGAAGGCATTCGAAATCTGGCACACCAAACAAGCGATCGACAGCAAACATGGCGGAGATACGAAAGAAAGCTTTTCAGTGTATTGGGCTTTACTGGTTCTTTGCCTAAAATCTGGAGATACCAACCAGTTCCATGAAGTCCTTCAAGCGCTCTTTGACGAACATCGAACTTTGCCTACTTCACTTCTCGCTCCTATCCAACGAATTCACGACCGCTACCTTCGGTGTCATTACCGTGGTGACCAACCGCATGAAACAGCCGCCGATGAACCTGATATAGCAGGTGCCACCTGTTGCTATTTTGACGGATACTTGTACCGACCGATCAAGTACACAGATGATCGACATCATGACGTCGTGGAGATGGATGAACTCGGATTTGTGAACAAAGGTTCAACCAAAAACTCTACGCTTCTCAAGGATACTTCTTCGACAGCGTCGCAGCCCATTGAATATTTCCATCACATGCTTGCTCGACGTACGAACATTCATGATGCCAATGCGGCTCGTTTGGCCATGGCGGTTTCTATGGGAGCAGCAAAAGATGAAGATCTGATCCAAAAGCCACTATACTGCACTCCTACCAAGGTCACCGCTCTCATTCGCCACTGTCTCAAAGAATCCACCCAACTTTAACTTTTTATAGCCGTTGTACTGCATATCCCCTATGTATAGACTCATGTACATTTCATTCACGGATCCCATACGGAAACCAAATAAAATCCCCTGTTATGATCTTCATCTTCTTTCAGCCCTTGATTATTATTGTGCAATAAACGCAAAGCTATGGAGTCTGAACCGCTGACTTTAAACAAGCATATACTGAAGCGTAGTTTGACGGATGGTACGCCAGTGATATCGTTGTATCTGTACCGGCTGGGAAACAAGAATGCAAGCTCCATCGGTTGATTCTGGATCACATCCCGTACTTTCACCGACTATTTCAAGGAGATTTCCGTGAATCCAGCGACAAGAACATAATCTTGGAATTCAACGACCCATACATTACGGTCGAAGCATTTCAACTGGCGATGGACTTTATCTATGGTGAAAAGCAGCCCGATCTTACAGCGGAAAACGTGTTGCAAACGCTATCTGTCTGCTCGTTTTTTCAGCTCCATAAGCTGGGAGATATGTGTATCGAGTATATTGCAAAATATATGAGTTCGCAAAGCGTATTCACTTACCTGGATTACGTTGAAAACAATTTTCCCTATGGAGAAGACCGCATCTGTGGTGCTGCTTTGGTATCGGGAAGCTTATTACTTGGAGGATGACGTACTAATTGTACTTCCACCCAAATGACTGCGAAAGCTAGTTGAAAGCGACGCATTTTGGGTACCAAGGTAGTTGTTGCGATAAATACGCTCTTGTTATTTATCACTTCTAACAACAGCATATTACGCAATAGCGAATATGAACGGTATCAGTTTGCCAAACGCGTGCTGGCACTGCGCTTACCCCTGGGAAAATCTATGAGCATTGCTGATATGGAGCACGTCAGATGCGCTTTTGGTTCGATCAGCTACATGTTCATGACATGTGAACAATTGCAATCAATTAAAGATATCAATCCTTTGAGGATCCTATAGTACCTTTTGACAATCATAAAGCACGCAAAAGATCCAACTTCGCAACCATGTCATGGCGGCTAAAGAGACAAATGCCGGTATTTGGAAAAGGCTCAGTAATTCTGCGAAGCTCGACCCGTTACTTTCCAGATATGTAACCGTCGATATTGAACCGGCGCCTACCAGCATCCGCTCCTCTGCATTGTTTGACGGCACGCTTGCCTCAGTTTTTATCAGTCAGAACCTGAGACTGATGGGTAAGGTGGACTTAACATGTCGTTGAAAGTCTAGACATATTGAAAGCATGTCCACATTTTTCAGTAATTTCGTTATCGTAGACCCCATCGCTGTGGAATAAAAAAAAAAGGAGGGGTCATAGGCGATGGATAACTTCATGGCACACATAGAAACCGATATTCTCCCAAAGTATCTCATATCTATTACATCAGTATATCCTAAATCTGACTCAATGTTATGATAACTTTTGGGAAATATCTGTTCAGGGCCGCTTAACGCGCACATCTGAATTAGTGAAAGAATATACGCATGGATCGGATCGCTTGTAAAAGTATAATCCATAAAAGGAAATTTCTGACATCAATGCTTGAAGCAGTCCTTTTGGCAGCCGCAGTTCCCGAAAGGGACACGATAGCTTATCGCGTGTGTTCGAGATTTCCTCAACAGCGTCTTACTTCGACCCTATACCACCACAATGAATACCCATCATCACGCTGAATACGAAAGAATTGTCCAAAGGTATGAAGCGCTGAAAAATGGATTGGACCAGCAACAACGGTGGGATTCAGTCTTCGACGTGGTACGTGATAGCTTGGTGATCCGACCACAGGTGACAGGTGGGGATCGACGAAGGCGTCGGTCCAAGCAGCGACCCTATTTTGTATATCTTTCAGGCGTAAAGATTGTGCCGGCGGTAGCCGTCGAAATCATCCGTCGATACTGCTTGTCCTTGCCATGTCCCACGTCTCGAAGTTGCGATCCGTCGTTTGACGTCTTCCGCAGTGGTGATGGTTTTCGTTGTGCATTGAAGCTTCCAAGCTCGGCACCTTTCGGCGAAATCACCTCCAGCGTAGAATCAACACGGATCTTAGCGTTGGACCAAGCCGCTGTATCAGCATGTATACTGCTTCATTCATATAAAGCTCTTGACAAGATCCTGCTTGAACCAGACTGGATTCATCAATATATTACACCAGAGTTCTGGTTAGACGAAAGGCAAAGCCAAGAAAACAAACGTTACGTAGAAAACGCACGTTTAATGGATGAAGGAGCGGTATCCGCCGCAACAACTGTCTGTCAATTGTACATGTCGATTATCAACCTCAGTTTACCAGACGGACGAATAAATGAACTTCATGTGCGGCGCCTATGTCTCTTTACTTGGGACCCGCTTCCGGTCCATCCCTCTTTCCCGCTACGTTCTCCAACGGGAGACTTTCAAGTCTCGATTGATTCCGCCACGAGACCCATCCGTTTCACGAAGACGTTCGTAGAGATTTTAGCAAACGTAACGATCGCATTGCTGTCCGCCATCACAGACGACGCATATTTCTGCTTGATCGAAAATTTTCCATATTTCCTTGCGCCACTAAAATCCAGCAATCACGAGCCTCTCGATGTAGCCGAGTCCATTGACGATTTATTAAGTACCATTGATTGGTTGGAGTTGGTGGAAGTGGCTGGCTATATCGATAAACCGATCAAATCTGATGAAAACAAGAAATTTTTCACTTTGCCGTCAAATGTAAATGTAAGTGTATTAAGTGTACAACCTGTGGAATTTGACGCAGCTTCATTGATCTGTAAAAAGTTATCCGACATTGTCTTTCGTCGAGCCCTTCCGTCGGCTAAAGACATGGACCCCACTGTCCTCCAGAGTGCCTACATCATACCCCCCATCATGAGCCGAATGGATCAGCTTTTACTTTTACAAGAAGTGAGATCAAGGTTTGGTGCGTACGGCAGTGACGAACTAATGCTACAAGCATTTACCACCGGGAATGCTCGCGATCGCCATGACTATCAAAGTCTGGAAACGGTTGGAGGTAAGCAATTAACGAAAAGCCAGAAGGAAAAAATATCAAGCACTGCGTTACTCACTCTGCTGCAACAGATTCAGTGCTCAGGGTCGCTGCAGCGATTTGGGTATTTATGGTGTACCCCAACGAGAGTCGCCACCAGTTGAATCGCATATACGAACCTATGCAGACGAATAACGAGCTCGGCAATAGGGCCATTGACGCGAACCTCGGTCGCTATATAAAACATGTCCCCTTCGACCAAAACATATGGAAGCCGCTCCATTACGCTGTGGAGACTCACCAAAACACCAAAGAGGAACACGAACCCATTAACCACTCAGTGCACAAGAAGATATTAGCTGACACTGTCGAAGCCTCTATTGCCGCAGTGTTTCTCACCAGTGGATTGCCCTTCGCGTTCAACTACATTTGCCAACTTTCTATTTTTCCGAACCCGGCTCGCGAAGAAAATGAAGGCATCCAGTCATGGAAAGAGTTGATGGTTCGACACCTTGCAACCCAACCGATTCCACTTGAGATTGACTCTGACAAGTACGCCATCAGCATCGTTGCCTTGGAATTCACGATAGGCTACAGGTTTAAATGCAAGGACTATCCGCAAACATTTCTCACTCAAAGCCAAAGCTCCTACTGTAATTTAAAGTGTGAGCGCATGATGTTTTTAGGCCGGGTTGTCCTCCAACTCTTGGTGATCGAATACATTTTTGCGACCTTCCCAAATATTGGCCCAGGCAGAATCACTAGGCTCAAGGGTGACTTATGGCACGAGCGTTGTTTCGCTGAAGTTTTTTTTATGAGTGGACTTTACGAGAATATCCCCTTAATCAAAGGCCACTTCGTAAACAGAATCAGCGCAGTCGGTGATAAACCGAATGGAATGTCAAAAGGCCTGCTTAAGGAGTTATGGACGAAATCACCCACGGTTCCCAGACACTTTGCCAATCTTCTGATTATACTCTTTGCTGGCGTATTTTTGGACGCCGAATTTGACTGGAACTCCGTAAAGACTCTATTCACGCGCTTTTTCAACGACTATTTGCAGGCGTATCATGCATAGTGACTTCATCAGGTTTCTGGTAAAATTTCCGTTTATTTTTCTAAAGTGATTGCGCATGCTGATTCAAACGTATTAGTTACTAATAGGAAATTGAACACAAGTCATTCGAAAATATAAAACCACAACGGTTAGGTTTGCGTTTCCAAGATCGAACATATTGAACAGCCCCTGTCCAACCGCCTAGCAGCAACAAGCCCAACCTCCCCAATCAACTGTCAATTCCGAACAAGCATTTATAATCCGATATCAAACATAATTGAAAACAGTCATTGCATCACTTACAACCTATTCAATAGTTCAATTAAAGTATTGCTTCATGTAAGATAAATAAGAATAAAAGCATTCGCTAGCGAGAATCCAAAATACACGATGTCAAAAAAGAATAACTGTTTATTTTTACTATTTCTTCTACCTCATTATGCCATGAATGAAAGCGATGGTCACCTTAAAGGCTGTGTTTCCTCTCAAATGGTGGGATGAAGCTTTGATCTGATTTCCTCGCTTTCTCCTCTTCCAATTGTTATTGTTTGTCAATATGCAAAGCGCACCAATATTGGCAGCTGAAGCACCCTATCAGGGCCCTTTAGTAGCCATGAATCTGTAATAGAGTATGATACGAGCACTTCCAGAGGCCAAAATTTCGAAATCGATAAATAATATTGTGTTAAACGAAGAACAACATTGGTCTGCTTTGAAAGCTTTCTTAGTTGGGCTGTTATCATTCAATAAAGTTGCTCAATTCGGTGGGAATGAAACCGCGAATGGTGCCTGTCCCGTTTCAATTTTGCAATAATAAATGTCGAGTTCTTTAAATAGAAATAAAATCTCTGTCTAACATCCCGTGTCCTTTCACCTGACAAATTCCTGTCTTGCCTTGTACTGCTTTGTCTCTGGTCATCATTTCTTAACCCCTTGTACTGTATGTTCTCGGTTCTCTACCTGTTTTACAATGACTTCTTCTCGATCGAATATCCCCTCTTCTCCCGAAGACTTTAAGTCAAGCTCGACGAAGAGCAACAGTTGACGCGACCGACATTCCTGTAAGCCTCAATTTACAGTCAATAATCAAAATCCTGTGTGTGCTGAAGGATATTTTTAGGAAACCATGCCGGTATTGGCGGCTAGCGTGCTTTCTATGCATTCCCTGAAGGCTATCGTGGTACCCTTGTGCATCCAGAGTGGACAATCGACGAGACAATACCGAATATTATCGACTGGCTAGAATTGGTGGTTATAGCCGGCTGGATCGAAAAGCCGGCAACGTTCGGATAAAGTCAATGTAAGTGTAAATTAAGTGTCAACCTGTGGAATTTGACGCAGCATCATTGATCTGTAAAAAGTTATCCGATGTCGTCTTTCATCGGGCCGCTCTATCGGCAAAAGACATAGATCCCACTGTCCTTCAGAGTGCGTACACCATCCCTCCTATTATGAGCCGGCTAGACCTATTATCACTTTTGGAAGAAGCTAGGTCGAAGTTTGGTGCTTATGGCAATGACGAATTAATGTTCCAAGTATTTACCACCGGGGCTGCACGAGACCGTCATGATTATCAAAGCCTGGAAACTGTAGGAGGTGAACAATTAACGAGAATGCGAGAAAGCCAGAAAGAAAAGTCAGTCATCGTGTTACTAACTCTCTTGCAACAGATTCGGTGCTCAGGGTCGCTGCTGCGATTTGGGTTTTTATGGTGTGCCCCGACGAAAGTCGCCATAAACTGAATCGCCTATAGGAGCCCAGCAGACGAATGAGCACCTCGGAAATATGGCTATCCATGCAACCTCGTCCGCTATATCAAAGATAACCCATTTGAAAGATGGAGGCCGCTCAATTACGCTGTGAAGACACCCCGGAACATCGAAGAAAAACCGATCAAGCAATCACTCGGCAAGAAGGTATTAGCAGACGTTGTCGAATCTTCGATTGCGACAGTAATTCTTAGCAGTGGGTTTCCGTGCGCCTTCAACTACATGTGTCATCTTCCTATTTTCCGGCACTCGGTTTCTGAAGAAAAGGAGAACATCAAATGCGAAGAGTTGATGTGTTGCATCAAGCCACCCAGCTGATCCCGGCCGAGATTGGCTCGGACGGATACTGTATACTGTACTGTACTGCACCTTACAGTGCATGGATCAAGCATACGTGTTGTATGGATTTAATAAAGTTATTTTTCCGTAACAAGCCGTACACCCGCTGTGCAATGGATGCCACCTGCTACTGGACGTCGCCCCCTTACATTGAGCGACATTCGTCAGACAAAAGCCTAACGCAATACGGCATAACCTGGGCGAGACTCTTGATGGAACTTTGGTATATTAATGTCAATACTCTGGCATACCGTACAGTCATGATTTCCAAACATGTGTCCAGCAGCACTTATTGACTCCCTCAGTCCCGTCCCGCAAGGTTATTGGATATTTTTTAAAAAAAGAGTTAGTAAGTCTTTGATTGATTCAAATGCCGTCAAGATATTTTACCTTCGTTGTGTGAGGGAGCAGATATCCAGATCTTCCCGACCGAAAAAAAAAGAAACGATACAAATATAAAAAAAAGTAAATACAATAGGTGCGTCTGTAAAAACACCCTAAAAACCCTGTGGGAAAAAAAGGAGGAAAAGACTGCAAGAAGACTATAACTAAAATACAAATATACAAACTACAAACTACGAAATAAAATGGTCGGGAGAAATATCGAAGACGATACCACGGGAAGTAATCCAGGTGAAGCCAAGCTGAGGAGGACGCGTAAGCGTTGCCGATGAAAAAGAGAGTCACACCACCGACGATGCCCTTTTGATGACAAAAACCGGATTGGCAACATTTGATGCGCGAAACAAAGTCGAAATATTTGGAGGGATAGATGACTTGCCAGGCGAAAAAGAAAACCGGAGAGAAAACCAAAAGCTAAGGAAGAATAGAAAAAAGAACAGGTAAGTTTTTCCTTGTTGAAGAACTGATAAAAAACCATTTGATGGTACCTTCTGATAGTGATGGTCGATTTAACCGAGTCAGCTACACGGGAAAGCCATAGTCGTGGCGATGGACGCAGCTAGGAACTTGATGAAATAAAATAGTACCAGGGCTTCTTAGGTGAACCGAAGTTAGAGAAAAACGAAGACAAAAAGAACAAAGGACCTCCAAAAATAAAAGCTTTAAATATAAAAGCGAAAAAGAAAAAGCTTCAAAAATAGATCTCCAAAGAACAATGAATTCACCCTTTTTCAGGAAGAAGTCCAAAATAAAAACTGCAAATAAAGACTGTAAAGATAAAAAGCAGAAAGAAGCTGCATAAAAATTAAAGCTACAAAAGACGTGTGAATGGCCACTTTCTAAATGAAAAAAAGCTCCAAAAATAAAAATCTGATAAAAGCAAAAAGAAACTGCATGAAAATAGAGCTCTATAAGTATGAATGATCGCCTTTAAATAAATAAAAATTGACACACAGCAATGAATGAACAATGAGCAATGTCGCCAGATCAGCTACATTGGTAAAGCATTTCTGCTCATGCACCTTTAATCACCGAAAACTGGAAAGAAAAAAATCAGAAGGACACACATTTACTGACAAAGACAACTTATTAAATAATGCTACAAAGACGCGAGATCGACATTGACAATAGCCCTTTACAGAAAGTTCTCCCCTTTCATTGAACTTTTCCAACATCTTTGAATGAATAAATAACACCAAGCGAAGTAGCTGCCAAATCCATATGATGAAAAGGAACACCATGTAACTGTTTTTTAGCTCGCAAATTTTGGCATGCGGCGACTGGTTTTTAGTTTGGCAAGAATTGTAATAGTAGCACGTGTTTATCTTTTAAAGATCATAAAGTTATGCTCTTTTGGTCTGTAGATTGTTGTTACTCTGAGGCTAGTGGGAATAGTAGCTGATTAAAGATGTGTTTGAAATGGGATGCTCCATTTCCAATATTCAGAACTCCGCACTCGAATTTGTGGTATACGGCATGTTGTCACGGTTTAGGTACTCGTGTGTTGGGGAACATTGGCAGCGTCTGCGATGAGATCGAATTGTTCTCTTACCAGTCTGGGCTGAAACTCCACCGTGTGTACATGGGTTTCCAAAACATGGTTCTTCTTTAGATCTTCCATCAGAGCTTTACGCTTCATGTTAAAAATTCGAGCGCAAAGGTCGGACCGATCAACAGCTGTCTGTCAACCAATCATAAATGTTTTTTTTCAAAAATTACCCAATCAAAGCCGACAAATGTAGCAAAAACCCAATGTGGCTGCCTTGTGACTGAAAATTAGCGCGCATAACTCCCAAACATTTTAATAATGGTAGGTATTCTTGCGCACTAAACATTTTTTAATTAAGAGCTTTGGTTGACATACAGTTCAAAGTATATAGATATGGAGGATATAAAAGATCATAGGTGGTGGGGTTCGAAGATTAGAGCAACTGGTTTAAAATGTTTCATGCTGGTTTGGACAATTGTATGTTGCGTGATCGCCATCCATATCACAATTTTCACAATACTGTTGTAAGCGAGTGGTTAATGCATACGTAAGGAAGAGATGAAGACATTTATTACACTTACCAATGAGTTGGATCGCTGAATTTCGTTTGACGAGACATTTGCTCCATCCAGTGGTGCTCGGCAACCAAGAATATCATGGCCATATTGATCACACAGTTCGCAGTATAATTCAGAAGAAGGGTCGCTGGTATGATGAGTGTCGTTTGCTGATGAATTCTTTTCTTCACGGGTTTCTTGTCGTATCGCTTTCGGTTGGTATGATGTGCCCTGATATCGTTGTAATTTTTGCTCCAATTCCTTGCAGCGAATTTTTTCCAAGCGCAAGTCTTCTTCCAGATCGCTTTGACGGAAGACTTTGTCTTCGACGAGTGTTTCCAGTTCGGCTAAATCCCTGCTTAACTGATTCACTTGCGTGCGTTTGCTCAGTTCCAATTCGGTATACAATTGTTGCTGTCGTCGGATCTCTTCTTTCAATCGATCGATTTCTTTTCGTAGTGCTGGATCACCTTGTATAGAAGTTTCTTGATCTTTTTCCTTTTCCAGCGACAGTATCTCCTCCATCAATCGCTCGCATTCTTCTTCTATATCCTTATGGGAGGCCTGTAGGCTTTGATAGTTCTGCTCCAGTGACCTTCGCGCTTGCTTTTCGGATTGCAACTCCTGGTATAAGGCATCGTCAGAGATGGAGGCACCTTGGACCGGGAGAGAGGCACTTTCGAGTTTTTTAATGTGAGCTTCCAAATCGGTCATTTTGGCGAATGCCTCTGCGAGTTCGTGTTCCATGTGAGCTCTAGCCATCTTCATTTGATAATTCTCATCCTCGGCTCTCGCTTGCGATTCAAACGCAGCGTCGGCTTCCTCAATCAAACGCTGCTTATCCTTGATCTCCTCTTCGAGCTCATGTTGCAAAGCCGCGTAACGATCATCAGAGGAGGCCGTCGTTCGTAACGCTCTTGCCAGTTTTTCTCGCAATTCATCAATGTCGTTATGCAGTGCGCGTGTTTGTGATTGTTCACGAGCCAGTTCTCGCAGAGCATTTTCCAGCTGTTCATTTAGACGATGACGTTGGTCCTGCCACTGATCATCGGCCTCGTCCGTTTTGGAGGACGTCATCATATCCTCTCCGATACCGAGCATATCGCGTTCGCGTTGTTGCTGTTGTCGTAGATCATCCAACTGAGTTTTCAATTCATTGATTTCCCGCTCCTTCTGCTCCAAGTTCAAATCATACTGCTGCTTCAACTGAGCCACGGACGATTCATAAGCATGGATAGCGTCCAACCCAGCTTTGCGGAATTCTTCACAATCGCTTTCCAAAGACGTACATAGTGTTTTGGCCTCGGCTAGTTCACGATGCAGCTGCTCGATTTGTTCTACTTTTTCGGCCAAAGCAGACGCATGCTCCTTGGCGGTGGATTCAGCCTTGATTTGCAGATCACGAACAAAACCTTCCAATTTTTCGATCCTGCGGTAACTCTGTTCGTTCACAGCATCTGTCTCCATATTCTTGGCCACACATGCTTCACTCTCTTCCAACGTTTGCTCCAACGCCATGCATCGCGACTCTACTTCCTGTATTTGATGCTGAAGCTTGGCAATTTCCGCCTCCTTCTCCTGCACGCGAAGAGCATAACTTTCCTTGGCAGACAATAACCGTTCCCATGTCGCTTCTTTTCCTCGCATCTGTGTGGCGAGCTCGTCCTTTTCTTGCTGCACCTTTTCCAACATATCATAGATTCGATACAACTCTTGCTCATGAGCTATATTTTCTTCGATAGCTTTGGCAGCACGTTCATCCGCTGAAGCATCTTCATCCGTCTGTACTCCGGCGGCTACACTCGTTGCCTTTTTTTCCGAGACTGTGTGCTCGGTGGACAGCGTATCCGGTTGAACGTCTCGAGGGGTGACGGTATTAGTACCGGGTTCGGGTCTAGTGAATGACTGCGATCGTCTTGATTGCATGGGTTTCGTCATGTTGGACACGTTTTCTGACTTTTCCTGGGTGTTTTGTTTAGATCGTCGGCGTTGCATGGTAGTAGCTTCTTTAGTAGCTGCAGATGGGGGTGTGGTTTGTGATATGCGGGTGGATTTACTGGCTGTCGGTCGGATAGCATTTGTCCGTATGCGGTCGTTGGGTTGAGAGGTGCGTTTAGGGCGATTTGTTGTTAAGCCAACCGAGGATCGGCCGTCCTCCTCCTTGGTGTTATCGGTCAGGGGAGTGATTTTGCTGGCCAATACAAATAAACCCGTGTTGGCCGGACATGTAAAATACCGAACCCTTGACAAAGAATGAGGAAAAAAAAAAGAACAAGTGAGAATGGTGATTAATGAGCTTGTGAAGAAATCCAAGACTGCTGGTGATGTTTTCTCTATATTAAAATGGCGTAGCATCTTACCCCTGAACGCTGCCATCGTTTTTTCCAGTGGCAAAATCCAATTCAATGCCTGTCCATAGGCCAGGTTTAAATTTGGTTTCACCAACGAAACGTAAGGTGCCAACCACACTAAGACTAGGGACCGCTACCCGCGTACCCACCGTCAGACCACCCGATGATGACGATTGTTTCTCCGTAGGGGACCGACTGAGAGATGATCGCGGTGTACTGGTTCTGGATGCACCTGAAAACCGACTGGTAGCTTCCGACTCGCTCACATCATCCGTGGATGACAAGGAGGATCGTGCTACAGCGGATCGTGTCCTCCGGGTGGGAGCCGCTGATGTCAGGGATTTGGACGATTTAAGCGATCGTCGTTGGACTCCAGGCGTGGGGATATTGGGAGTAACCGCATCCGCGTTATTGGATGGTGATGATGATGATGCTGAGAAGCGCGATTTCTTTAGGGAAGCAATGCCTGTTCCATAGGAAGGTCGAGCGATTTTGGACATCAGCTATCGTGTGGATAATAAACCAAAGAAATAAAATAAAATAAAATAAAAAAGAAGATGAGGCAATATAGACTTTCCAAAAAAAAAAAAAAAAAAAAAAAAAAAAAAAAAAAAAAAAATTGTAACTGTAATAAAAAAAGAATGCAATATCCTGATCCAATGGTGAAAAAATAAAGCAAGACCACCTTTTTTAATTACTGGTTTTTCTTATATCTTTTTTTTATTTTTCTCTCCTTTACTTCCCTTTCACGACTTTATTAAAACTAAATCCATGCATTACAAGGAAAAATCAACAAGAGGCTCGGTACGTGGTGAGTCGGGAGGTGTGGTCAGTTGTTGGACGGAAGTATCATCATACACGCCCACGGGAGCTCGTAACGGAAGCTTAGCGATGATATCAGATGATCGATGGAGAGTACTGTCGTTCCTCACAGAGGTAACTTGGTCCATGGATTTTCCTTGATCAGCCGTTTCTTCTTCTTCCTCTTCGTGCTCATCGGAGCTGTCATCACCGTCAGCAATGAGCATGGGGTCATTCTCTTCGTCAAGAAGTGCTCCGGGACCTGCCGGAGCCGTGTAAAGTTGCAATTGTTGTTGTTGTTTCTGAAGAGCCATTCCTAGCATCCTGATGCGAAGATAAGCTCTGTCCAGTTCCTGCCTGGTTTCATTCAGAGTGTGATCTTTTTGAAGGGTAATTGTTTTTAGGGCATTGACAGTGTATCGAGCAAAGGACAGTTCTTTGTGCAAGTGTTCATTTTGTTGGGTAAGGTACGCATTGTCGATTTCCAACCGAGAGAGGTTCCGTTGAACGGGAGGACCAGTAAGGGTTTCTATGGACAACAACGTCAATAAAAAAAAAAGGCCATTTTGTGTCAACAAGAATGGATCGGAGGTTACCTTGGAGCAAAATGGATGGTTGATTAGGATTGCTCATGATGATGTGGTGATATGGTAACCCTTGACAAAACGACTATGAGGGTAAATAGGTTGGGGAGGATTTTTTTTTGACAGACCAGCTGTAACAAAAGAGGAAAGAAAAATGCTCAAGGGAAAAAGGGGAATATCAAAATCCGGCCTCGGCTCTCAGCAGGAAAACTTGGTTCCGGTTTTTTCATTTTTTTTCCCTGCCCAAGAATTTTTTGTGTTTTTATGTTTTCATTATCGGAGAGCGAAAAGGTAAAAGGGACCTGTGACTTGATTCTCTGTGTCACCCAGGGAAGCCAAAACCGGGGACCGGAGTTGGTCATATGGCTCCTTTGGCAAGATGATGAGCGGCATGGCCATATCATCCTACCGTTTCAAGGGGGGAAGGGAACCTGAAGCTAATTATCATGGGAACCAAATGATGAAATGAAATAAGCAGTGATTTAGAAACAAAAGTAACAAAAAGGGATGTTGCCTTGGACTATCGTGATGTGGGATCAGAAAGCTCATCATCCTTATTTCTTTTTGTAGCCTGGGACAGTTACACATGAACAATGGATAATATGAACAAATGATAAACACACAAAAAACCCTGTTTCAAAATGCATGACAAACACCCGCCCGAGCCTCATTCTCCTTGTTTGTCGGCAAGCTTCGGTTCACCCACCGTCATTGATGTGAACACTGTCATCAATCGATCATTCAATAAGGTCATGTTTGCTGTCTGTAATGTTTTCTGTTCCGCCATAAAATTACGTAGCGGCTAAAAAAAGAATTGATCTCACGAGTGATGGATACACTAGAAAACTCCATGAGCGACATGTTATGCATAATGCTTCATGTTGTGTTTCTTTCAAACACAGAGGAAAATTAAAAATTCCTCTGGAATATACACAAACATCCACACAAACATCACATTGGTGATGATTTCATACTGCATGGCTCCCTTGGCACTGTCCCAGCGTCCACACGCAAATGTGAAAACTAAAACTTGACAACAACAGCAATCAGCACAGCAAGCAACCGAAAAAAAAAGCCTAGCATTGGGTTTGCCATGATCAATGCCGTCAACTGCAAGGTACATCCTCAAATAAGCATTAAAATCAGGTTATTTTACTCTTTTTTCTTTTTGGGGATAAAATTTTGCTCTACAACGAGGACCACCATAGGATTATTTTTTACAAATATATAAAATACAAGTGCCATAAAAGAATAATTATAATACATGCGGGAAAGACAGAATGAAAGCAATCATCTGCACTGAAACGCTTGAGCGATATCCCTTCTCTTCCAAAATAAGAATTTCGGTCGGATATTGACGAATGGGACATATTCATGATTGAGAGAGCATCGCAGGTAAAAACGAACTGATATCTAAAGATGCAAAAAGAGGAATTGTGCTCAGGCGAAGGATTGGAGTCTGGTGCTGTCGTTGTTTTTGTTGCCGACAGTTATGCCTTCATATAGTGGCGATTGATGATGTTTCGGGTAGCACCAGGCTGCTTGCTGCTGACCACACACACGGTGGACGGGTTATTAACCACCACGACCTTGGAGAATTGGACCGCTTTGGGATTGCAGTCTTCTGGAAGCGACGACGCGTTGGATAAGTAATCCGTCTCCGCGGAGCAAGACGAACAACTGGAAACGTAGGATGAAAAGCTGCTTTTACGAATGGATCGATAGGTATGCTTGTGCATTGGAACATCCAGGATGATAAGGCGTGCCATGGTGTGTAAAATGATAAACTTGGGAAAAGAAAAAGTAAAAGTAAAAAATGGGTATTGGTAGGAGACAAAGACTACGTCGCGAATAAATTGGGTATAAGCAAAAATCAAAGTGGCCTGCGATGCTCCTTATATATGATTGAGAGATTGGGGGCCGCGGGGACGGATCCAGTGACCTTGGAAATCGGCTTGGGTGCCAAGTCCCAAAAATGGATGTGATTCAGCCTTCGTTTTCTCGTCGGTGTTCAATGACGAAATTGAGTCACAAACGATCCCATGATCCCCACCAATGAGTAACGAAGGCCAAGATCTAACCAAGCGGGTGCATTTGAACTAACCGCCACACTACATTCTCTTTACCGTAACTATTGACACAGGATTGGGTCCATATCAACGATGCGCGCACACTGCAATAGGTAGGTACAACTCACTTATACCTTCATCAGAAGTGTCCTTTTCCTTGGACAAATTACGAAGAGGCAAAAATAACAAGAACGAGGAAAATCAGAAGACAGGCTCAGAAGCTTTTGGGATACACAAGAAAAAAAAAGTTTAAGTAAAATAAACAGAGTGCAAGGGGGAAAATAGAGAGGAGAGATTCGGTCAGCTGTGAGGCTACTTTTTATTATTATGGAGTGCGCTTTGTTATTTAGCAAATGACCCATGCATTAATCTTTTAGGTAATCAAACGATTGTCACCACTTAGAACAGAGGTTATTTACTCTTCTCAATATTCCAATACTGTAATCGATGGGTAGAACACAGAAAAACATACCTGCAATACACAGAAATTCAGGTGAGAAGCGGAGTCGTACTTGGCGCACATCGTCGATTAGGACATGACATTTGCAGAATCTCTTTGTCATACAAGCCTTGGCATTTTGAAGTTGTCAATCGTGAAAGGCCAGTTCTTTGCATTAGCGCACTACATAACATGGTCACAATTACAAGGAGATTCGCAATTAGCAAATTGCCACCCATTTTACCCCAGCATAAGGCATAAATCACAGTGTGAATAGCTAGCCTATCCATCCTCATACAACAGCTTGCTTTTTCCGCTTCCGCAGATTTCCACTCCGTCGAGCACCGCTATTTTTGTCTGACCGTTTCACCCATTTGGATAAAATCCCATAGCCAACCTCTATGCTTCTTTCTTTTATAGTTTCACGAGAAGACTCAGTAGTCACCGATGTTTGTCACTAGTAATAAAAAACATGATTAAATGTGTTGGAAAGGGACTGTCAGTACTCCCCTGATGCGGAAACAGTGGTGCTAGAGAAGGCTTACCCGTTACTGTTCCTTTCATCAATCTCCGGCGCACAATGGGTTCGTATTAATGCTCTGTAGAGATCGCAACTTGGGCTCATCATTTCAATAGGATCTCAAATACCAATCTTGGAAGTTGCCTCTGCAGAACCCCCCAGTGGCGTTTTGTACGGACCAGGATAAAACCCCAAGTTCATCAATTACGCAACAGTATACAAAAGGGAACCAAGCCTTTCCTTGCTACAGGCAGAGTTGGCTTTCGCTCATCACCGAACTCGTTTCAGCGTTGACCATTTCTATCAACCATTTGCAAAGTTTTTGAATACATGGATTGGGTTAATGTTGACTTTCCTATCATGAGCATCGTATACAGGAAATAGGGCAAGGAGAAACTGGAGCTGGCGTTCGAATAATTACTTTTTGTACAGCAGTAGAATGGCTACCATATGCATGAAATTTCACCTGGTGGTTCCGAAATATATTGGTTTGGGCAATGGTATTGTTCCTGAATAATTTAAACGACATTAAACGTTTCTCAGTTATCTTGTACCAGGGATACCCATTTATTGCGTGAATTCTGCCGCGAAATTAAATGGTATAGTTTATTTTAGTTTTGGTTTTTGGGTAAGCTTGGGTGATGAATTTGACCGATGTTCCAAAGGATTCGCTTTTAGCTGCCAGTACATGACGTTGCTGGTATATTGATAAAGTGGTTGATTGAAACAAGGCCTAGCAGCCATATTTGTTGACAGTACTTCCGTTCCTTACTATATCCGTACGGCAATTCATATAATGAGGGTCATGCCCATCCAAATGTGCAACTGACTGTCAAACTTCTCTTTTACTAAAATGCAAACTTCACCCTGTAGTTCGATGTAGAACGGAGAAGCATATCGATCCTTTTTTTCCGGGGGAAGGCTAATAAAAATGGTAGGTGAACAACGTCTGTGGATAAATCGCTTGTATCAATTGATTAAAAGCTAATCAATTGAGTTTCTATGATGATAAACTAGCCGGAGACTAGCCATCGCCGTCATCTCAACTAGTTTTCCAGGAAAACGGATACACCATGACACCGAAAAGTGAACTGTCATGATGGGCCGATTTTTTGTTTGGGTGCTCTCCTATCTTGAACCCCTTCAAGAGAGCGGAACCTGGTTGACATTTTGCTCCTTTTCTGTGAGACCCATATCCATCGTTTTGACTACATAATCTTTCTCCGCTTTTGGACAAAACCCGCTTTGGATATAATTTCTGACCCACTGTACTCTATTCTGACTTTTTTTCCTTTCTTTCTTATTTTTCGTTGGCTTGTTTCGTGTTATTTTGTTTATCGCTGAAACGCTCGCTTTTATTCTTTCTCGTCTTCATATCCAGGCTTTCATTCAGTCAGTTGGCACTCGAAACGTAGCGGACCCCAGCGTTCTCTGGGACGGCAGGAAAAACGTAACTGAAACCTAATATAAACGGTATTGCTATGCAACACGAACCCAGTCCGCTTGTGACCAAACAGAAAGGCAATTAAAAAAATTGACTTCAAAATAGCACAAAAAAAAAAGGAAAAGGGAACCCAAAAAAAGGAGACAAAGGATAAAGAAGGTTTATCCAGGAAAACAATAAACTAATAGTGTTATCTCTCTCTATACAGACTTGTCCAGCAGATCATACTATACCTCGTTTGATAATTCGCCATCTCGTCGATCGTTTATTGGCAACTTTACGCAATCGAAGCATTCATCTCCACGTACTATTAAATCGCATAAATCCAGCCCTTCGCTTTCCCGCACATTATCACTGGGCTCCAAACCTCACATTACCAAACTCTACAATACGGGCGGCAGTCTAACCACTCAAACTCCTATTGCCCCACTCTATACAGACAGACGGTTCTCCGTGTATCATTCTCGTTCTCCGCTACAATCCATGCCTGCCACCGCCCAACCAAAAAGCCATAGCAATATTGAGTCGTTCAGGAACCACTCGGCTCGCGCTTCCGCCATCACCTTGGTCACCTCATCGACCGACGATGATCAACCTCGCAACCAACGACCGCAGTCCTATATGACCACGACCTCGCCCTCTACGTACGACCATCTGGCGCAATTATCGGGCCTGGGAAAGGCGAGGGATCGAACCACCTTCAAAGGGGTTCTGGATAAATTCGTAGGCGGTTTTAGTGGTAAGCTATTGAGAAATCTTTATGCGATTGGTTCAAAATCAAAAAAAAGCTGACAAGATGATGCAGATCTGTTATCGACAAATTCGTCATCCTCATCTTCCAGTCTTGCCCGAGGCATGGATATCTCGTCTCCTTACAATACAAGACATCTCACGCACGTTGGATTTAATCCGAATACCGGTGAATTCACGGGATTACCAAGAGAATGGCAGGTTCTGCTACAGTACAGTGGGATTACGAAATCTGAACAGGAGCAAAATCCACAGGTAGCGTATAATTTTGAGTTTGAGAATACCTTTTTTCAGGAACATGGCTGTTTTGACATGAGTTATCTCCCTTTCTCCTCAAAAAGGCAGTCATCGATGCCATTGAGTTTTACCAAGGCGCCCAGGTCCAAGATGAATCCGTCTGGCATAAAATCCCCAAAACTGCGCAGCATACTCCATCATGCGATGCAAATGCGCCATCAGATCAGCAGCAAGACAAGTCGCACAGCTTGGGCAACTCCTGGCGCAGGCTTTCCAAACTTAAAATCGGACGATCCCATCACTCTGAATACACAAAATCCGTAAGTGGGGCATATATAACTCAAACAGCAAGGAAGAAAAATGGCGCCTAATGGATACCCTTCAATATTGCCATGCATTTGACAGATGTCCGATACTGCTACACTTCACGGTACGTATTTTTTGCGATGCGTTGCGAAGCGTTGAACATGGAGAGAATTACCAACAAAAAACTGTCAACACTAACGTGACCTTCTTTATATTTTGGTGTTTTCGATTCAAACAGAACATCCTCAAAATACGAAAAATAGCCAAGAGCAAACAAAAACTGAAGAGGAACAAGCAGCAGAAAAGTTATCCAAGCCCACAAGTGCAAAGACGACAGAGAATGGACCGAGTAAGTCTCCGGGGCGACCTTTATCGTTCCAGTCCGCGGCACCTTCAACGACTGCACCTGCAGGCACAGTGAAGCGACGACCATCCAAAGGCAATAAGAACTCGCTCAAAGATGCCGAAGTCATCAATAAGCTGGAAGAAATATGCGGCAACGCGGACCCGAACAAAGTATACACGGATATGGTGAAAATCGGTCAAGGGTACGTTATGCAATGACGAGAAAAAAAATTTTCCATGCTCTACTTTTGTCTTGTTTTATCTGACAAAATGTGGTCCTTTGTTTCTTTCAGAGCTTCTGGTGGTGTGTATACAGCCCGTCGTTCCGGCAATCAATCGCCTGTGGCTATCAAACAAATGAACTTGGCGCAACAACCAAAAAAGGAACTCATTATCAACGAAATCATGGTAATGAAGCAGTCGCGTCACGCGAATATTGTAAACTACATCGATTCCTATTTGTGGAAAGGCGATCTTTGGGTGATCATGGAATACATGGAAGGCGGTAGCTTAACGGACGTGGTGACCTGCAACATGATGATGGAAGGCCAGATTGCGGCGGTATGCCGAGAAGTGCTTCAAGGGTTGCATCATCTGCATTCCAACGGCGTGATCCATCGAGATATCAAGAGCGACAACATCTTGCTCAGTCTTCAAGGTGACATCAAATTAAGTAAGTAGTACAACAAGCGACCTACCGTTGCATCTCCACAGTTTTCACTAACGCACAATCAATAGCCGATTTTGGATTTTGTGCACAATTGAATGAGAACGAGTCCAAACGTACTACCATGGTGGGAACACCGTACTGGGTAAATATCGAGTCAGCGGATCCTTCGGCTGATGGCAGACTAAAAAAAAAATTCAATGCCTGGACATTATTGTAGATGGCTCCTGAAGTGGTGACAAGAAAAGAATACGGACCCAAGGTGGATATATGGTCATTGGGTATTATGGCCATCGAGATGGTGGAAGGAGAACCACCGTATCTGAACGAAAACCCGCTGCGAGCCTTGTATTTGATTGCCACCAATGGTACTCCCCAGCTGCAGAGTCCCGAATCGCTAAGTGAATCTTTCAGACACTTTTTGACCCGCTGTTTGGAAGTCGATCCAGAATCACGACCCACGGCGGCAGAAATGTTGAAACATCCATTCTTCACCAAAGCCGACCCCCTGCGCTCCCTTGCACCTTTGATTCGCGCCGCAAGAGAAAGCATCAAAGCACAAAAATAAGCCATTCTCTAATTGCGCAAAATCAATTCCATCGTCACTTTATTTTTCCTTTACTTTTTTATTGCATGATTCATCACAATGCACATTATGTTATTTTTCTTTTCTCTTGATTTGATTAATCTTTATAGTTGTTGTTAAGATTTTCTTGTTCCTTTTTTATTTTTCTTTGGTCCATTTTTTCACTGTAAATCTACATGTTCGTTACTCGCCAGATACACTTTATTTTAGCAATGAAATTCGTTTTCCATCAAATAGTAGCTATTGTGCTGCGTTGACAAAGAGAGGAAAGTGGCAAATGCATTCATTTCCTACAGTTCGACGAGAGTTGCAAGTGAGAACTCAAAGAAAAGATTGAAGGATTCGTCTTGTCTTGGTTTGGCGCCAGTTAGTTGATTGTAGAAATGGTGATAATTATTATCGACAGGCATTTTTTCATCCATCCAAATGATGGTACTCTTTTATCTCGTTCGGGATCTCAACGTCAGTCACCATCTACGATGCTATTTTAAGCCTCCGCTGCCCTGAAGTCAGTTTCTCGCATCGCATAGCTTGACTCACTACCATGACAACTACAGTGAGTGAAAAATCTATTCCTCGTGCGCTTACCATTGCAGGCAGCGATAGTGGAGGGTAAGATAAAGGATTCTACTCGACGTCTTAAACAATAAACCACTTATGCCTTGTCGAAAATGCCTACAGAGGAGCCGGCATTCAGGCCGACCTCAAGACATTCACGTCCCTGCACGTATATGGCACTTCAGTTGTGGCTGCACTCACGTCTCAAAACACCCTCGGCGTGGACGCCATCCACGATGTCCCGGTCGAGTTTGTTCAAAAACAACTGGAAGCCGTGCTCAGCGACATTGGTACCGATGCCGTAAAAACCGGGATGTTGTCTTCGGCCGCTATTATTACCGCCGTCGTTCAAACCCTCAAAAAATACCCCGAAGCGGCGCGACACATCGTGGTGGATCCTGTGATGGTGGCTACCAGCGGCTCCCGTTTGCTGGCAGCGGATGCTACTCAAGCCTACATATCCGAGTTGCTGCCAATCACTTACTTATTGACGCCCAATGTACCCGAAGCGGAAGTGTTGCTAGGTCAGCAAAAGAATAGCATTCAGTCGGTGCAGGACATGCATGCCGCTGCGCGAAAGCTGGGCGAGATGGGTCCCAAATATGTCTTGCTGAAAGGCGGTCACTTGCCTGTGGAGCGGGAAAATGGTAAAAAGGTGGTCGATGTTCTTTACGAGTCATCGACAGGAGTTATCAAAGAGTTTGTCAATCCCTATGTGGACACCAAGAACACTCACGGTACAGGATGCACACTTTCCTCCGCCATTGCTGCCGAACTTGCCAAAGGAAAGGATGGTAAGCTCCTATATTCATTGGATGATCTCTGGTATGCCCCCACATCAATTCATCGAATGCCTATCTGTATAGCCTTCCGTGCGGTCGTTGCCGGTACTACATATATCCAGGATGCCATTCAGGATTCTCTTGGATGTATTGGAAAAGGTTCAGGTCCCATCAACCATTTCCACAATGTGCGCTGGATGCCGTATGAAGGGTAAGCAAATTATCATTGAAATATGCATTAGGCATTTTTTTGATTGTAACTATGGTGTTGCAGCAAGAGCTTTGTGGAAGCTTTGAAATCGTCTCTGCCGACCGGGGTTTGGGATCAGTTCATTGATCATCCTTTTGTCCGCGGTATGGCGGACGGTACCTTGCCCAAGGAGAACTTTATCTTTTACATCAAGCAAGATTATTTGTACCTGCAGCACTACGCACGAGCGGCGGCTTTGGCGGCTTACAAATGTATGTCTATTAATATGGAGAAAGCAAACAACTGAATGACACATTTGTTATTAGCTGCTGATATTGAAATGTGTGCCAGAAATGCCAAAATCGTTATCCATATCCATCAAGAAATGCAGTTGCATTTAAAGGTAAAATAGGATTGATCAGCGACAGTGAATCAAGGCAGACTAAAAATACACGGATAGTACTGCGAGAAATGGGGTATCAGCAAGGAAGAGGTTCTCGCTACTCCCGAGAGTGTGTTCAATGTCGCCTATACACGCTATGTGTTGGACAAAGGTAAACAATTATATGCCGTATTCTACTCTAGGCATACAGTGCATTCACAAAGGCATGATATTCAGGTGCTACGGGTGACCAGCTGGATCTCCAAGTTGCCATGGCTCCTTGTTTGATTGGTTACGGTGAAATTGGTATGAAGCTTTACAATGATCCCAACACAAAGCGAGGTAAGCCTTTTCTCTGAATAAGTAAGAAGCGTTTGTCGATTTTTGCTCAATGTCTTGCTCGCTTTCTAGAGGGCAACCCTTATTGGACATGGATTGAAAACTATGCTGAAGGAGACTACCAAGAAGCAGTGAGAACCGGCCGCAACATTATGGAAGAACTCGCGCAACACAACGTGTCTACATCGCCTACTCGTTTCCGTGAAGTCTGCAATATCTTTGAAGCAGCTACCAAACTGGAAATCGAATTTTGGGAAATGGGCCTTCAAATGCGTTAAAAAAGAAAGAGTTATAACTCATATGTTAACTTAGAATCCCCCTAGAAGACATTTTAGAATGAAAAAGAACCTTTTTTTTTTACTCATGTCAGGCAACATGACAGTATGAGAGAAATGGTCCTGAACGTTGATTGGCTATTGAGACGCCGCTCAAGAGCTTTTTTTTTTTATACGCGCGACAGCAATGACCGCGTCTTTTCAACGCGTCTGTTGTATTGAGTTTAGAATTTTAGACACTTCATTCTATTTTTTATAATTGGCTCCTTTATTTAATTCCATAAATCTTTTTGCACCATGAGCGATCGTCCCAGAAGAAAAAGAAAGCAGAGAAATACCATTGCCAGGTAAGAATGCCAAGGCAAATCAGCGAGAGAAAAGAGAAAAAAGAAAAAAAAAAGGATCAAGCTGACTGATTCTTCTGTTAGCAATGTCCATTATGTCGGTTACGTGGAAGACGAGGAATCGGTGGAAGCTATTATGAAAAAGTTTGAAGAACTGGAACGGATTCAACGTGAATTCTCTAGCATGGCCGTGAAAAGTGATGAGGGATCGAACAAAGAAAACGAAGTCAAATCAGAAAGTGTCGATGCCGGCATTCCCGAAGAAGATGCTCCCATGACAGAAGAACAACTTCAAGAAGTGTTTAAACGCACATCAGCCTTTACCGTTAAAAGTGCCATGATCGATACTAATACGGTGGACGACATGGACGCCATGGAATTGTGGCAAGTAGAGTTCAGGGACAGCAACACGGACGAACTATACGAAGAAGAGTAAGTTGACTCGGTATGCAGGATGCTTTGCACTGGCAGAGGAAGATTGATTGTGGATGGGTTCCTGTCGATACTAGTGACTATATCCATGTGGACGACGACTTTTGGGATCTTGAATTCGGAGAGTCACCTCGTCAACATAAACGATTACGCCGTGGCGCTATACCGACACGAGATCGACCGGCGGGACAACGACGTGGGGTTGATCGTGAAAGTATTATCGCAAAGTACAAAATTATGCAAATTCAAGTACAAGATCGAAATGGCAATTATTTCATGGTCAAGAAACGAGTCAGGTAAGTCCTTTTTTTTTTCGCAGGAACATCTTCCCTGGCGAAAGAAAGTGGATGGTTGAGAAAGGCAAAATATACTTATGAAACCGGGTGCATTTATAGTGCTTTGGATCCCAGCTTGCCCACCTATGTCAAAATACCAGGAAAGCCCATTCCACGATCCTGGGCACATACTATTTTGCATATGCAACCCAAAGCGTCGTTAACAATACCACTAGCATCACAGTAAGTGGATGGCTCTTGATAAGACGTTGAAGAAAGTCCCATCTAACTGTTCAGCAATGACTATAGATTACATCAAGTGGATGATATTTTATCTACCGATCTTAAACAGTTTGGTCAAGGCTTTAGTGCGGTATACATGGATCCACCTTTACTTTTACCGGGAGAGGAGCCTGTACCTGGGAAAATCCATATTGATGATCTGGTAAGACATGCTGGGAAGATCTTAATCTCATTCGATGGAAGTGGAAAAAGCTTATTTTCAAATTGATGTAGGCCAAACTGAATGTATCGGAAATTGTTGATGCCGGCTTTCTTTTCATATGGCTTGAAAAGGAATGGTTACAACGGATTGTCAACATTACAGCCACCTGGGGTTTCAAATATGTCGAGAATTTTTGCTGGATCAAGAAGAACATTAATAATCAGTTTCATAAGAGCCCGTACACCTATTTCAACAAGAGTAAACTCAGTCTACTCATATTCAGAAAGGTAACGTTCTCATGAATTCACTTGTTGGCTCGAGCAAAACATTTGACACCTTGTTATTTTGCACTTCAAAGGAAGGGGAGATTGAACTTCGTCATCAGCGTAATCCGGATTGTGTCTTTGACTTTGTTCGACCTCCGTTACCAGGTGCGCCCCACTTGTCCAGAGATTAGACGCCACGGCAACTAATACTAACTGTGCAACCATGTTATTGTCTGTAGATGAAGTCAGTGAAGCCAAACCGGCATTCATGTACGACGTCATCGAAACTTTGCTGCCAAACGCTGTATATCATGCTGAAAAGAATCCAAAAGGAGAAAAGCTCCTTGAACTGTAAGTGATATGCTCCAGAAAAAATGAGGGACCCAGGTTGGATTGATCGGAACCTTTTTTTCTTTTCCATAGATGGGCCAAAAAGGGGCAAAGGCGAACAGGCTGGACCACAGTTGTCGAGCGCTCTTGACGTATGCAATAAACAGTAGCATTCTCTTTTCTTCACCTTTCTCCATCAACAGCATATATCACTCACTAAAAAAAAATTTGGGACTAAAAAACAAGCTTATTTGCATCTTGGCATTCACAAGCCGTCTTTTTACTCTGCGTTCATAGTAGTAGTCTTTTCTTCCAATCGTCTCACTTCACATCATATCGCGTCATACAAAAGCATATAGAATCATCCAGTTCAGCGAATGACAATCTTGAGATAGACATCATCCATGAGTGCCTTCGTTACTTTTCATTATATTATATGGATTGCTGTTCTTCAATTTGAGCATTGATTGCTTTTTATAAGCATGGTGCGATGATGATATACAAAGTATGCCTTCCTGAGGACGATGCATGATGTCAAAGCAAGGCACTCGTTTGGGGTAGGGGAAGGATGCGTCTAGAAGCTGAAAATAAAGAAGGTGACTATTGGATGGTTTTCGCTTAATAAATGATTCCAACAAAATACTACTAGAGCAAATAAAGGGTGATTAAGCTAAAAATTGACTACAAGGCTATAAACGTTGCTTTCCCGTTCAACCGGTGAGTAAGTAATACGGTTTTGATGGAAGGTGGATTATAACATTCTAGTTTCTGCACTTTTCGTATTACATTGATCGGTCGGTTTTGGCATGGATTGGCTCGTCGGGTCACACAGAGGGATCGACAGAAGCGGAAGAAGAAAGCCACCTCACGTTTAAATCTCCGCACCAATGATGCCCGATTTTGGATGCCAAGCGATATAAAATAAACACAATTGTGCCATTTTGCGGGTTTTTCTTTTTTCTATTTATCCTCCTTATCATGAAACTTTGCAGTCTTTCTTGGCCGAGGATCTTTTTACTCATCTTTGTTTTCTTTACCATCAACTGCGTTTATTGGATATTTCATCGGAATGCATATTACAACTGTGAACAAGATGGCTCCTGCGACTCCAATAACAAGGTAAGCACCACATTTCCATAGCTTGAATGGCCTGTTGAATGACTAAAGAATACGCACACACCCCTTTTAGCAACCCATAAACCAAGATAAGGACACAGGCGCTCGTCCGCAACCACCAAATGATATACCCGCCGGTCAACCACACGCTCCTCAGGGCATGCCTCCGGTTCCTGTTCATCCTACCGTTCCTCAATTCGTTCCACCGCCAGAAGCCAAGCTGGAGGATATGGTTCAATTTGACCATCATGTTAAATATCAACCTATCACTTTTAAACCAGGTAAGAGAAACAGAGAGGTCAAAAAGGGTGATACAAAGTGAACCAAATAAGGCAGATATGGGGAAAGAAAGGCGGATAGAGGGACAAGAGGGCAGACGGCAGACGGCAGGAGAACAGAGTAACAGAGGGTCAGAGAGATAGAGACACAGAGAGACAAGGAGGCAGAGAGAGAATATTCTAGCAAGGTTCTGATTGTATTATTTGTTTCCTATTTCTCAGCTTCGCATCCACAGTCTGCTGAAGATCTCGATCAAGTGTCACCAACGGTCGGTGACACCACAGTCCGATTGAACCGTGAACAACAATTGGCACATGCCAAACCAAATGATGTGTGGCAAATTGGCATTGTAAAGTTTGACTCCCGCCAAGTATAACCATCCTTTGGCTAATGGATCTTCTTATACTTATGTAGGTGAACACCAAACCTGACGTTTTTATCGCTACGGAAGGTCACATTGTCGACATCAATAACCACTATGCTCGTGAACACCGCATCTACACTTTGATGAAATGGATTTTGCGCGTTCATCGTCGTGATGCGGATCGAAAACAACCTCTCGTTATGGTTGATGCAGGTATGACGGGTGCCGATCATCGTCACCCTTTTTGCTTGAAACCACCTATTTTGCATTATTTCCTTCTCATCATCTATCTCGTTCTTTGGCTTTTTTTGGTGGTTTTCATCTTGGCTTGATGATATTCATTCGTATTAGGTTCGAACCATGGTCTTTTTTCCATGGTGGCCGGCACTAGCGGCGCGCATACGATCGCTTTTGAACCTCAAACCCACCTGAGAAGTAAGTATAAACTTTAAAATATAAATAACTCCTCCTATTTTAGTATATGATTTACTTTGAGGGCTTTTTTTTTCTTTATTTTTCAAGTCATTATGGATTTTCTTATTCCGTTGGAAAGATTTGACGCTAAATCTTATTGATATGATGTTTTTTAGGTGTGATTAACTTGGCTGCCCGACTGAATTGGATTTCCGACCATGTGCGTGTTTTACCCTTTGCTGTCCTCGACAAATTCAAAAAATTGTCCATGTCCAACTACAACGTGGGCGATGGCGGTACCGGATCTCTAGATTACAACGCTGCAACAAATACCATTCAAACCCAAACAATTCGACTCGATTATTTGCCATCGTTTGACCGGTTATTCCCTTCGGCTGCCAAGTCCGACGTTCCTCAACGAAATCCGCTCCAATCGATGATTACCGTCAATGATCTTGGAAGTCAGTATGCCAAGGGTTTGGAGAGTCAGTATGTGGATTCAAAGAAACAAAGCGGTGATGATTTGAAAGATGCACCGAAACCGATGAGTGAAGCACTCTTGTTTGATCAACCGATTCACTTTTTGAAGATCGACGTGGAAGGATTTGAGTTACCCGCGTTGGAATCGGCGAGTCGACTGTACGAAAAGGGGTTGGTGGAAAATACTGTGCTTGAATTCGGCCCGCCAAGTCGGTGGGATGTGACCATTGAACAGCGTGAGGGCATGACCCCTGAACAAATCCGTGCAACCACCGTGAAGCAAGCCAAAACTATCATGAAACGTGTGGTTGGTGAATGGGATTTGGATATCTATCTCTTACCGGCAGCCGGCTGGGATCGTACCGTCGCTTGGATGTTGGAACATCAAGTGGATTACAGCCAAGATGATCCTACGAAAAACAAGGTTGTTCATCGACTGAAGGCTTGGGATTTTGACGGTGCAGCACCCGAAGGCGATGAATTCGAAGCAGAACTGAACGCCAAAAATCAACTTGTCACCGAATATATTCCTTTGCCACCCAATCTCATCGACAGCTACCTGGATTCCCTCGAAACCATTGGCGAAATGTATTTCTGGCTTGTCAAACGCGACAGCAAGAACGCCATCATGCAAAAATTTGAGTTATAGATTTGATACCAAAAAAATTTCATTCCTCTTTGTTCCTTTTTTTATTCTTTGAACTTAGCTCACGAAGGTTCTGTTCATTTTTGGATAGCCTTACTCTGTAAAATTGACCTTTTTCTTTTTTCAACAAAACCAAAATAAATCAATCACACATCGCACTTTTTTTTAAAACATGTTAAATTATGATACAGCATCCTTCATCAATGACGAAAAGATGATAAGTTTTTAGAGTTAACTGATTACGCTGCGTTTGTATTCGATGGCTCGAGCGATTCTTTTGGAAAAGAATAAAAAGGATGAGAACCCAAAATTGATGACATGTTCGTGCACAATATTAGACACGCTTACCAAAAGGTTGGACTACTTCACAGAGCTTGTCATAAGCTGCAAACTGGGTTGGATCAACAGACAATAGTGCCATCTGTATCCACGTGGTCAGCATCACCCTGGTCATGGTCAAAAATATGCAATAAAATGTATTTACCTCTTTGCCGATTTGCCGTACGTCCAGTAACATTTGGAGCCGAATCTTGTCCTCGTCTGACATGGTAGTTTCATTGGCGCCTCCCCCAAGCACGGATGATTTGGCGGTGGGCCCCTTTTTGCCCTTTTTCAACTTCTTCAACGAATCCTCTGTTTTTTTCAGATTGGTCAGCAAGTCGCTGATGGTCGAAGTGTATCTAAGCAACTCATTGGATCAATACGGTCATCCTGCGGAGGTCGGATAAAGTCGAACGCCCAAAAAAGTGCTCAAACTCCTGGCTTACCGGTGGACGACGGTTTCGGTCACGGCGAATGCCCATACCGAAAGTTTATCTGCATCTATCCATTGTTGATTTTGTTGAACAAAGTTTGAAAATGGTCGGAACAAGTTGGGTATAAAGAAAGAAGGTTCGCTGGGTGGCGGTTTGTTGGTGTGTCGATATTGACTTGTAATGGATCGAACGTGTTTCAACGATTCCATGCAACGACGACTAACCAAACCAGTGATCCGTCGTTGCAGTTCATTTGCTGTCAAGGTATCTAATTCGTTCAGAATACTCTCCATACTCTCTAACAAGAAAAAAGATCAGCATATCCTGACCAGAGAAAAAAGCAATCAATAAATATTTTTTGCATATGAACTTACCCTGTAGTATGGAAAGTTCCTGAACTTGATGTGGTAATTTCGGAAAAATGACTTCTGGCGCCAGTTTTTTAATCTAGACGGGCAGACGACTTGTGAGTAACCAGGTATTTCTATGTAGTTCTCATTTCTTTCTTACCTGGTGTATTAAATTATTGATATCGTGCGTTAAAATCAGGAACAGTCTCAAGGAAGCGGCTTCCTCGATGATGGTGCCGTCACTGAGCTGACTGCCGGAAGTGCTGGATCTGGAAGACGGGTTGCTTCCAGGCTATCCGTGGCACGTGAGCCACTTTTTCCCTCCAGTCAGCTAATTCTTTTCTTTCCCCGCCTACCTTTTCCTTATCGCCTGAAGTGTCTGAACCATGGTCCAAAATGTCAACCACCCATGACTGATATCGTTTCAATAACTAATGCATGCGATAATTGCTAAGGAAATGACGGCAAGCAAAAAGAATCAGTAATATGCTTACCTGTAATGTGAGCTTCCAGAAACGATGTGACAAGCCGTAGATAAAAACATTGTCTGACCAGCAGTCTCGGATGGCCTTGGCAATAGCTTTGGTACCGGGCAACGCCAATTCTAGAGACGGATCATGAGCGAAAAAAGTCCTTTCTAGCCGCAAATCAAGTCAAGAGTGACTAATTACCGTTTTCCACTTTGAGATGCAACGTATCGCTGCTGGCTTGCAGATCACTTAACAATGTTTCCGCGTGGCCTACAATTTCTCTGAACCTAATGTGTCGTTGTTCGTTAACAATTTGAAAGGTCAGCAAACTTTTTCCGTCATCGACCATCCTACGTACCTTAATTGAAAGTAAACTGGAAGTTGCCATCGTTTCATGAATTCGGCATAGCTCAGATGGTTTCGTAAATACAGCAGAGAACGCTTGCTCACGCATAGATTTTCAATCTCGGTCACGAAATTCATGGACGCGGTGTAGTTCTGAGGAGCGACTGAACTTTAATCTCGCCATTCTCTTTTGCACAACTCCAAAATGCAGACTCACCTTGTGGAAAGTATCCGTTTGGCCTGCGGCAAAAATGCTAGCACAATCGCGCTGGATAAACTCCATCACTTCCACCCATAAAGTGTTAACCAGCACTTCATAGTTGGTCCCTTTCAATGTTCGCTGTGTAATTTCAAGGATCGGCTGAAGATCAGTGGAGGCGAAAGACAGTATATTTTTGTACACGAGCGATAACGGATGGCAGGTAGAATCCACTTTTCCTCTTGGTACTTCCAGGGCTTTTTTCGTCACTGTCTGTGTTGAACTGTCAGCATGACCGGTAAAGAAGAAAACGACTTGGTTGCGGTGCTTACTTTTGCAAGAAAAGGGCGGACAAACTCGTCTCGAATAATGTACTCTGCAACATAGGTTTGATCGATCAGCGCATAGGCTCGTAGACACTGAATGAGGGATTGCTTTGTAGGAGGATCGAGATCATTGTGCTCGATCCGTACCAAGGCGGCTGACAAGGCGGTCGATAGGTTCTTCTGAAGAATGTCTTTGATACGTTTAATTCGCTTTACAAAGTCCAGCGCAAATAAAAAAAAAAAAATAAAAAAAAGGAAGGAAGATATGAGTTTTGTGGCCATTTTCCATTCCATGATGAGTCCTCTTTACCCATTCATTCTCGGCCACTAGCGGCAGGTCTTTCCCTCGGCCGACCAGGTATTGCATTTGATTGTACTCGATGGCTACTCGCTCGATCTGTTTGCCTAGACTATACGGGACAGTTAATGCTACGGACGGCAGCATAGTTATAAGTCTTTTCGTTGTGACGTACCTGTGATGTGCCGCTTCTGTTTCGTTTGTCCTTTTTGCATCGCGGGAGTGGACTGCATCTGCATTAATTTCCAGTAAATCTTCTACTTTGGTAATCGAGTTGTGGATGTTCAATAAGAGTTTCAAGGAAGCCTGATGAAAAATGAATCAGTGCCTTAGGTTTTGATCCGGTGTTCTTACGATATTCTATTTTTAATAGTGGCTACCTTTTTCTCTCGCACTTGGGTGCGATGATCTAGTTCGTCACGCAACTTATCCAGCACATCTTGAAATTGTGATTGCGCGGTCTATACCGTGGATGAATTTTGAGTCGCTGTACCACTGACAACTGCACTTTGGCAGCATTGCGTACCTGTACTTGGTTACCCATCTGCGCTAATGGTCGTTGAAGGTCGTCCATGGCTTTATCGACTCCTTTCAAATTGGTCGACAAGTTGATAAAGTCCTGATAGTCCTCATTGATGAGTTCCACAAGCTCTGCTTTCAGAAACCTCAAGTGTTCATTCAATTCTTTTTTCAAGCGTTCAAGACCGAGATGGCGTCGACTGGAGAGGAAGTGATCAGGGTCGAATTGAGGGGCTTGGAAGAGGGACCGGTCCACGGCTTGGTTGGGTAACGGTTTTACGGAATTGATAATCTGGTCATCGTCTTCCATATCGTCTCCAAAGCTGAACATGGAACGCGAAGACCGGTTCTCAAGATGGGATGAGGTCATGCTAGTCGATTGGAACCCAAAGAGATAAGTAAGAACAAAGCAAGGCGCGGAGGACCGTCAAAGACACACCTGCCACCGACAATTGAATCACCGCCGACTCATGGCAGGGACGTGGCTCGGTGTTTGAAGTGTTTTTTCTTTCGGTGATATTGCGAGTTTCTTTTTGTTTAGGGTTTTTGGGACCTGTCAATTTCTGTAAATATGTTGGTTTCTGCAAGTCTCTTACGACGGACTCACCCGGTGGTATGCCGGTCGTCAGCACCAGTGTCCTTGCTCTACTTGGCTAGACGGCAATGGTACTCGAGTTCAACAACCGGTAAGCTGATGTTAAAAAGTGGTTGAGGAAAGGAAGCCCAACGATTCGATATAAACACTTACGAAACATAGGCTTCGAGTTTAAGGACAAGGAAGTAGTTGTGGATGGCGTCAAGTATCCCAAAGATGAATGGACCAACGTGACTCCTACGGTGCTGTCCAAGCTGGACCGTAAATTGCATTTACAACCCAGGAACCCTATTTGCATCATTCGACACCTCATAGAATCGCATTTCAACGGTTATAAATGCTTCAACAATCTCAGTCCTATTGTTACTACGCAACAAAACTTTGATGATCTTTTGATCCCGGCCGATCATCCCAGTCGTACGAAATCCGACAACTACTACTTCAACAAAGATACCGTACTGCGAGCTCACACGTCAGCGCATCAACTGGAAGGTTTACGGTCGGGAGCCGACAAGTTCTTGATCAGTGGAGATGTGTACCGACGTGATGAGATTGATGCGTCGCATTTCCCCGTATTTCATCAAATGGAAGGCCTCGTATATTTCGACAACGATCCTGCCAAAATCGCGGCTCAGGTCCAGGCGGATATCGAAAGCAATGCGTTGAACAGCAACAATATCAAACTCGTCGACGACACTGTCATCAAACCGTCAAATCCTATTCAGGAACGCCACATGGAAGAAACCGTCAAACCGGTGGCCGCTCACTTGAAGCATTCGATCAACTCCATGATTCGCACTTTATTTGCCGATGAACCGAATTTGGAAGTACGATGGATCGATGCCTACTTTCCCTTTACAAGTCCCAGTTGGGAAGTGGAGATTTACTACAAAGGAGAATGGCTGGAAGTCTTGGGTTGTGGCGTTGTTCAACAAGCACTGATGGATAAAGCAGGTAGGGGTCCAGTGTTTGCTATGGTCAGTAGTAAATAGTGACTGACATGACATTTGTGCCTGCAGGATTGCATAATAAGATTGGTTGGGCCTTCGGTATGGGATTGGAACGATTAGCCATGGTGTTGTTCGGTATTCCCGATATTCGTCTTTTCTGGTCCCAAGATGAACGTTTTGTGAATCAATTCACGCCAGGCCAAATCCAGAAATTCCAACCCTTCTCCAAGTATCCACCGTGCATTAAAGATATTTCGTTCTGGTTACCTGAAAACACATGGAATGAGAACAACTTTTGCGAGGTGATCCGCGGCGTAGCAGGTGATTTAGTGGAAAATGTCAAGATTGTAAGTGCATCGATGGATGAATTTAGCCTCTAGGGCTATTAACTTTTCCTTACTAACCTACGTGATCTCGCGCTTTTCACAGATTGACGATTTCACCCATCCCAAAACCAAACGACGTAGTCTTTGCTATCGTATCTTGTATCGATCCATGGACCGGTAAGTTGAACAGTAGTGAAGGATGCTAAATGTTCGGTGATGCTTACATAACCATCCAGGTCCGTGACCAACGAGGAAATCAATGAAATTCAGGAGAACGTACGTACATCAGTGCAGAAAGAGTTCTCGGTGGAATTGCGATAGTCGGAGCAAAATAACTTTAGAAGCATCACTCTCTTTTTTTCTGTAAATGTTGCCATAGCATCTGTCATGGACGAGAAACGTTTTTCTCTCTCAATTGCATCTGGAAAAAAAAATTCTAAAACATCCGACGCAGTGAATAGAGTTGTGTGTGGGGCGGATAGAGGATAGAGATCCGAGGATAAAAGATAGAGAATAGTGGATAGAGAATTAGAATTGCAGGGCAAAATGGGTTGGCCTCCAATCTTATTTTTTTCCTATTGGAATACTTGGTAGCGATCTCCACAAAGACCACAAGTTTTAATTATCAATTGTCCGCACCATTCCAAGAAAAGACACTCGAGATCTACACTTCCACAAGTCAATCAAGAGCCCATATTTGTGCGCAGACAAAATGTGATATGACCATAAACTACTGTGAAAGATTTCCTCTGTGGAGAGCTTTGATCACCACGGTGATTCAAGTGAAAGAGTGCTTTTCGTATGTGGTTGCTTAGCGATATCGTAGAGGTAGGCGCTAGTGGCTCATATCATAATGTAATGGTTTCCGTTTAGGCTAGAAGGGCAAACAAATGAGGGGGGACAAACAAGAAAGCAACCAGCACTAGGATGTATTAGATGCTTTCACACAACAGGATAGCGACAGGCGGGCAAGGGAAGAAAAAGAAACCAGGATCAAGGTATTGATACCCGATAGAAATCCGTGGCCTTATCCTCTTATGAATGTTTCCCCATAAACATATTTACAAGACTCTTAAGCATAACTTTATAATCCGCTGGCGTCTTGTTCATTCGCAGCAAGATTCGAACCATGCCTAATAAGGCGTGACCCTGCCGACTTTTATTCCAGAAATGATGAGGTTGGCTAGTTTATTTTCCCTTTCGGGTTGTCACTTGATAACATATTCTGGAGAATACTGGATGGAGACAAACTGATATCTTGGAGTGGATATATTTTCTTCTCCAAGTTCGAAGTTGTGCTTGCTTTAGTTATACGACCGTATCGATTGCAAAATTTCCCTTTTTGACCAAGTTTTACATCGAATTAACGTACAAAGATTCATCACCAAGGGAAGATACGGTTGGTCAAGCGCAAGTTGGTTTGCTATACTTTTGAACTCACTCGTACCTTATGATGAACCTTTTTCTTAATATTATTTCTACTGGATGGCACTGCGCTTGTTTAACGGACAGATTACACCCAGTTTTCATGCCATTACGAACAATCCTGGGAGAAACTTTAAAATTCAAAAGTTTTTCTGCCAAATCTCTACCATGTCGGCAGAAGGATTCTCGTTGATATAGTTTAAAGAAATTGACAAACACTTGGCCTCCATCAGCTTGTTCTCTAAAATGCTATAACGAACTTTCTAATAAACAACGACGTAGTTTCTGCTTAACACAGCCTGCATCGATCCATGCACCAGTAATTTTGCTGGCAGCTCTGTAGAAATCCAAAACGGTCTATGATGCTTACATAATCATTCAGATCCATAATCAGCGAAGAAATTAATGAAATTCAGGAGAATAACGTATGGTAGTGCTAAAGGAGATCTCGGTGAAATTGCGACAGTAGCGCGCGATAATTTTAGAAGCGTTACAAGTTAGACTACTTTTTTTTGTGTAAACGTTGCCATAGCATCTGTCATGGACGAAAATAACCATTTTCGTCCCTTTTTTTCGTTGAATTTCTATTTTTAAACCGTCCCACGAATATTCCTTGCAACTTTTTTTTTATTACAGCTGCAGCTTGTTTAAGACAAAATGGTAAATCCGATTGATGAACCAAAAAAATCATCTGATCTCTGTCGCATTAATGTAACCCACAGTGAGTCGCTGCATTCGTGTATAGTGTGATGATGGCAATTCACTCCTTCATTTTGCTGTTGCCAGCCCTCGAAAGGGATGACATCAAAAAAATGGCTGTGTCTTAAAAATAAAATAAAACACAGTCGTCTTGTGGGCCCGACATGCAGAAGTAACGATGGCAGAGATTAGAAAATAAACCAAAGAATTAAGAAGAAGAAAACAAACTATAATCCTAGAGCGAAGCATGCGCTCGTAGCAGTTTCCCTTCGCGCCACAATGGCTCAACTGTGTCACATTGCTAGGTTTTACATGTTTTATGAATGTCATCTATACCTGGGTTACTGAACAAAAAATGAATTCTCTCCATCATCAGCAGACCCTCCAACGCCGCTGCGTACTGATAATTCCATCCAATTGGGATAGGTTACCATGTCAACTATAAGTTCCTGACGGTACCCTACTTTACCTATCCATCCTCAAAAAACTATGGCTAATTGCAAGAGGAAAGAAAAAAAAACCAACAAGAACTTGTCGCGTGAATAGTGCAAAATGAATAGGATGGATATTATTTTTAGGTTATCGTTGCACAGATACATGCATATATGGCAACCGAATCCCCTTTCTTCCCTCCTACAATTTTAGTCGCCGCATACTAACAATAGATGATGAACCCCACAGCACTTCCGCACCGTGGCTGGTTCCGCAAACGCAGACACCATCATTCCCCTTCATTTCATCCACCGTTCACTTGTTGATTTACCACAACACCGTCCAAGATCATTAGCTTCTTTACATTCAATTGGCTTTCTTCCTGGTCAATTCGACGAAATTGACCTATGCAATTGGAACAGAAACAAACTCCAGCGTTCATGCAGCATTTTTCAATGCCAATTGAACAGTGACCAATGACCATGACATCCATTGTCCGTAATAGAGTTTCAGCGGCTATTCCCTGGTATTAGATATTATGGCTGAAGGCTTTTTTTTTAAGCGACCGCTTTTGTAAAAAGTATTTTTAAACTTTCGGGTTAACCACTACTTTTGCTTTCTTTTTTTTTTTTTATTTCCTTCTTCTGAGCTTCTTACGTATGTCCAGCGATCCTCCTGCGAACCATTGGGGCTGTGAAGAAAGCAATGGGATCACAAGCGGTGTTGGACCTTCCAGATCAAGATTGCTGAGATCCGCAGTGACGGAATTGAGCGTGACAGAATTGGTGAATATGTACAAGGATGACATGGACATGTTAAAGCAGGTGCTTGCTGCTAAAGCCGAAGAAGATAAAGAAAGTATTTTCCTCCCACATCAGCCGGTGTGAAAATCAATTGCGCAATGGAAGAGAGAATAAAACGAACTAATACGTGTATTTTTTTTAATCTTACAGAGAAGAACCGCCGAAGAAATTCGATTGACAGAAGAAGCGCGTCTGCAGTATAAATTAATTGATTGGGAACGGACCCATGATCCTCATCTAGTGCATCCCCCACCTTCTCCGCCTCAACCATTGCTATTTAATCCTGTACCTTCTTCCTTTTATGATACCAGGGATCCGAATCAAGGTACATATGTATCTGTCATTGCACGCGTTTGCAGTAGTGTTACTGCCTATTTATACTAAATCCAGTGCTGCCATGTCTACAGTGACCTCGGCTCGTCCCGAATCGTCGTCTCCTTCATTTGCTGTACCCGAGGTTACCATGGCCTCATCCAATCACACGTCATTTGCCATGTTACCCATGGACTTCGATACACATTCCTTGGATGATCAGAGTTCGTCGTCGTCCGCTGCGGCTGCTTCATTACTGAGTCCTTCATCGTCTTACTCTTACTTTGATCTAATGTCGCTGCCTTCGGCTCGCGATGCCGCAGCGGCAATAACACCAATTCAGGAGACAAGTGAGGGTCACGTTATTCCTGCTGACACGCCTGGTCTGATGAATCATTCATCGTCATCGACGAGCAAAGGCAAGCAGCCAGACACTGGGGCCGCGTCCGCTTCCAGTTCCCCTTTATCCACGCCGGATGACAAGTCACTGGCTCATCACCGCGTCATGGAAGCATTGCGTGCGAAACTACGTCGATCTCAATCAGCGCAACATCAGCAAGATCTTCTTCGTTCCACCAGTCCCACCACAGGCATTCTTCTTCTCGATCTGAAAAGTCGAAAAAAGAACCGAAAAAGATCAGGCTCCTACCTTCGAAAATGCTAAAGACACATCACGCGTGCGAGAATTTGAAGGGTTCCAGAGACAGGCCATTGGGTTATTCGTTTATTTTGGTTTTTTTCATATGCTGCCATATTTATTTCTCTTCTTACCTATTTATTGACTCTTGACGTCCGTATGCAATGACATCCCTATGATTCCTCACATCTATTTTTTCTATCACGACTGTATTCTTTGCAGTTTCTCCATATGCCTTGTATCTTTTTGTATCTTTTGTTCTTTATTTTTATTGTTGTCTTTTTCTTTTCTTTACTTTTTCGGGAATAATACCTTTTATATTATTATACTGTTCAAGTTGATGATGAAAATGTGGGGCTCGGAAGGAGGAGACGGTTGGAGAATGAGCCAAATCAAGCTTTGTATTTAACATCAATTAAACGTGTACACAGATAGCTGGCCACGAATGCCATGATGGCTCCAAATTGCAGGATCCAGATCACTGCCGAGGCTTCGGTAGGCGGCTGATCGCTGTTGATTGGATCAGGAAGGCGGGTTTTGGTGGAGGATGAGATGAGTGGAACGACACAGAAAAGGATGGCCGCAATAATGGCGACGAGGAACTGGGGAAGAATGATATACATATTAACGATGCCCAAGATAAATCCCGATTCTGGAGGCGGGCGCTCTTCGGTTGACATGTCAATAAAGTGGTCGGATGCTTCAGTTTCGGTGGATGAACGCCGGGAGGAAGGTTCAGTCGCACCATACATGGCATGTGTATCTGGCACGGTAGTCGCCTGTTCCATTAACATGTATTCACCTACTAAAGCGAACGGGATCCACAGTGTACATGCCCAGGGTATACCAAAAATGGCGATCACAACAGTGGTCCCAGTAACTGTATCAATATAAAAAGTAGCATGCATAGTACAACCCAGGAGAACAAGTGAGGCTGTCAAGGTTCGCTTCAGTGTCACCACTCGATTTACAGTCAGATACGGCAGAACCAGCCCGGCCACCACCGATGTGCTAGCATACAGTAGCATAGCAAATGCACCGGCTCGGGTGCCCTCAGTCCAATTATCGCGAGTGTACGCATGTGATTGAAAGTACACATCAGACACCCAAGTCGTACTAACATGATGGTTTAATCGCTCCTAAAATCACCCACAAAAAATTCCCCTTTTCTCTCTCTCTTCCTTTGCCATCATTGTACCTGTAGAAAAGGATCGGAAACCAAGCCAAATAAGCAAATAGCTGTACATTGCATAGCACCTGAATTGAGTTGGGTAGCCGTCGAATCGAATGGTAAATATAGGCCAAGGTCTGCTTCTTTGTCCTAATTTGTTTAGCAAGAAAAGAAGATAAGCATCACGCTAAATACTGCAGAAAAAGTATCGGGTTCTTTTTCCGGGTTCCTTGAAAAACTCCTACATCATATCGCAGAGTACATGGATCACTTACTTTTTTTCCGCTTCCTTTTCGAGCGACAAGGGTTGTTCACGCACACAAATACATGTGACAGCAACAGCCGATGCGAAGATGAAGGTCCCCATAATACAAAACACTTTCATCTGAGAGTCGGCGATGGAGGGAAAAAACTGGACCAAATCAATGTATCCCGTAAAGTAGCCAAAAATGGTGGTAATATTGCTCAAATTCGTTGAAAACACATTGGCTGTCTCTTGCTGAGAAAGCGGAAATACATCAACCACCAGAGCGCGACAGAGCGATTGCACCGTTCCCGTCGAAAAATCCAGCATATAAAAGGAGGCGACCGCCGTGCCGATAGCAACTCGCTGACGCTATTAAATTGACACAGGTAAACTCAAGGGAAAAAATAAAGAACAAAATGTCGTAGTAAAAAACGATATTCATTACCATGCGCGAATCGTTTGGTACCAAGCTTGCAGCGATTTCATTGGTATAAGCGACACCCATTAGGGCAAGACAGCAAAATAAAGAGGCTATTAAAATAAAAGGTCTTCGGCGTCCCCATTTGAAAGTACTCTGATCGCTAAGAGCGCCAATGATCTAATGTAAAATAAACAAGGATGAATGAAGTTCCAATTGGACTCGGTAATAAGTAATCATTAACGCACCGGCTGCGCAATCAAGCCTAAATAATAAACATTAAGAAACCATTTGCAGAAATGACAACTAAACAAAGAGCGAACTCTATCTTTTTTTTTTCCATACCTGTTATCGGACCCAGCATCCATACTAATGCCGTGAGTTCTTTTGGTAGTCCTAATGATATCATGTATGGAACACCGTATCTATGGAGACCGTGTTGTGATCAAATCCCATTATCAATAAGAGTAATAAAGGGAAGCTAATCGTCTAGAAATTACGCTATTTCGATTGACCCTGCGTGAAAAGGAATTGAGTGGATCAGTGTGTGTAATCTACCACTGGGCAAAGGCGTCCGAAAACTTACATATGAACTGAACCCCGATCATACAGAATGTACTCAAGAAAATATATATTAAAGAGCGTTTGTTTCTTGACGGTGGTGGAGAGGGTGATGGGAGTTCTTTTGTCAGTGTCATTTCTTCGTTGAAAAGCGGTTGTGCAGGAAACGGAAAAGAAACGCATGAGTTTGTGGAACCTGGCGCCGTTTTATAATGAAAACATAATGCAGATCCTCGAGTGCAAACGCAGCGTGCTTTGATCACCTTTCGGTTTCCTGCATGCAGATGATAATAATGATGCATTTCACCTTGTTTACGAATTACAAAAATCGCTTGGAGTCTGCCGATTTCTCTGCTCTGATTTCCATTTCATCGCTCAGGACCAGGAGACATAAAAAAACACATTAAAATTTTTATTTGTATTGAACTTTTTTTTTCTCGTGGTCTGTTTGAATAGAACTTAAAAGTGATGGGGTCAAAAAACGGGTACTGAGAGGGGATGCGATAAAAATCCACATGTATTCAATAATTGAATTCAAAAAAGTGCTGCCAAAACCTGATATCAGAAAGCAGGATCATGTTTGGATCATGGTTTAGACCTTGGGCGGTCTGGCATAGTCGCGCACCATGTTATTCCACTTGATTTTCTCTTCGGACAGTTGTTGCAAACCTTCGTCATCGGTGTAGAACATAAAGAAGGCAGTGAACGGTTTGTTGATAACAAGACCCTTGGTGGTGCATGCTTCTTTAGGCGGCACGGATCCGTCAATGGACTTTAGACGGATGACATACGTGGCATGTGACAGGTAACCGTCCGTGGATCGGTACACCACGGGTTCCAAATGATCATCCAGATTATTCGCATCACCACGTTCCGCTCTGCCTTCTTCCTTGGTCGTCGTAGCCAAGGGCTTGGTGGTACCCACCCATGATCCGTCTGGGTAATAGTAAATCGTTGGATACGTATCAATGGGACTGGCCCTAGAAAAATCAAAAGAAGCATAAGCTGGTCATTCTGGTGATGGACTATATTTATGACTTACATTTGCTGATCCGGGTTCAACGGGGCGGCCATCAATTGACCGATTTCTCTTCCTGGTTTTTCAAAGGGCTCTTCTTCGCCTTGGGTGGGATACAAGAACGCGTGGGTTTGCACATTGTACCAGAATTGGAATCCTGTCTTTTCAGGATTGCACTGGTAGATGCGGTTGCCTTTGGCGTACCACACATCATAAAGGGTGGCATTGGCGGGCGGGGCAATGCGGTCTTTCACGTCTTGGGCGGTCGGTGCGCCGTGCACATTGGGCAGTCTATCGGCAAGACACACATGAATCAGCGAGGCCGCTGCAATCAACGTTGGAATCAAGAATTTCATGAGACTAGGCAGAAAAATCAGAACAAATGCCAAGGTGAGCAAATCTCACGGAATTGATCACTGTTTATAAATAATACACAGGGCTCACTCTCATTCTCATTATTTCCTTTTTCAGCCAAGAGACTGTGTGTTTTGTTGTTTAAAGGGAAGCTTTTTTAAGTTGGGTGCAAAAAAGAACCTAAATTTAGTATATTTTCCTGGTTACATTCCAACACAATAATGCTCTTACTTAAAGTGATGGTTTCAAGGGAGCTGTGAGTCCTTGAGAATTTTTGACGCTCTGGATCATTTGTTTCAAAAGAAACAGTAGTTCAATTACCTCACCAGTAATTTTTGACTACAGGTGATGTATTGGCACAACAGCAACAATAGGAGGAGCAGGTTTCTATAAATTGTACGCAAAACCGTAAACTCATAAATTTTATTTAAGAGCTTCAGAGTTTGCATTGAAATTTCAACAGTAACATGCAGAAAAAAATGTAGTCTAAGTGATTGTTTCTTTAAATTTTATCAGTATTTACTTTAGAATAATTAAAGAACTTAACTGTTCTTTTCGTCAAGTCTACAATCTTTTAACAATTGAAGAATAAAAGCTGTCGAGTTCGTAATATGCGCAGCGAATTCTTTTTGAGAGCCAGCTGAGGCGAGGGGCGCACATTCATGCCAGCGGTCCGATTTCCGGCCAATCCCATCGAATAGCCAAGCCACCTTTTTCTATCAAATTCTACTGACTGGAATGGGAAGAAATCTCAGCCATTGTTCGAGATCTGTTTTTTCAAAGAGCATCCCGTAAAGAAAAAAGCCATGGCCGCCGTCGAAGCAAAGAAGCGTAAACGTACCCGTCAAGCGTCCAAAGGCGCCAACAAGAAACTGGCTACCGAGCCCTCCGAAAGTTCGCCTGTTGAGCAAGAAGAAAAGACAACCACTGACATTCCTACAGAATCAAACAATGTCGCCAGTAACGCTCAAGGTTAGCATTTTTGCTATGACTCGCATCAACCGCCCATTATCCTTGCTATATACCAACGATTCAAACTGTTTGAACCCCTTTTTTTTTCTTCCCATAGAAAAAGAACCCCTTGATCTCGATTTTGACAGTCTTGATTGTTGCGACGAGACGAAAAAGGCCATTGCGGATATGAAATTCACGCAAATGACTCAAGTCCAAGCAACGACGGTGCCTCCCTTGTTGGCAGGTCGCGATGTCTTGGGAGCAGCCAAAACAGGATCAGGAAAAACATTGGCTTTTCTGATTCCCGCCATTGAAACTCTTTTCCGAAACAAGTTCAAGGCGAGAAATGGTACTGATCGATAGGATTTTTTCTGCCCATCAAAAAAAGGGAGGTTGACATTGACATTTTTATAATTGTAGGTACTGGTGTGATCATCGTATCTCCAACGCGTGAATTAGCCCTTCAGATCTATGGTGTGGCACAAGAGCTCTTAAAATATCATCAAATGACCCACGGCATTGTGATTGGCGGTGCGAATCGAAAAGCGGAAGCCGATAAACTTGCCAAAGGCATCAATCTCCTTGTAGCCACCCCAGGCAGACTTCTGGATCATCTGGAGGCAAGTGTTGAACGTGCCCTGTCATCCTCGTCACAAAACCAAGACTAATTCGATTTTTAGAATACGCGCGGTTTTGTGTTCCAAAATTTGCAAGCGTTGGTCATTGATGAGGCCGATCGTATCCTGGAGATCGGTTTCGAAGAAGAAATGTCGCAGATCATCCGTATTTTGCCTAGAGATCGTCAGACAATGCTATTTTCGGCGACACAAACCACCAAGGTGGCTGATTTGGCTCGCATTTCTTTGAAGAAGGGGCCTCTTTACATCAACGTTGATGAGGAAAAGACCACCGCCACCGCGGAAGGCTTGGAACAAGGCTATGTTGTGTGTGACTCGGACCAACGGTTTGGTCTTTTACTGTCCTTCTTGCGCAAAAACCTGAAAAAGAAGGTGATTGTCTTCTTTTCCAGCTGTAATTCGGTCAAGTATCACGCGGAGCTGATGAATTACATTGATATCCCGGTGATGGATCTTCATGTAAGTCGAAGCATGAAAAAGGGGTGGTATCCTATCGCAGAAACATTCATGCATTATCCTCTTTTATTTGTGCTACCATAGGGTCGTCAAAAGCAGCAAAAACGATCGGCGACGTTTTACCAATTCTGTGAAGCGAAACAGGGCATTTTGTTCTGTACGGATGTGGCGGCTCGCGGTTTGGATATACCTGCGGTGGATTGGATTGTTCAGTTTGATCCTGCAGATGATCCTCGCGATTACATTCACCGTGTAGGACGTACGGCACGTGCGGGTGGCAAGGGTAAAAGTTTAATGTTCTTGTTACCGAGCGAACTCGAATATCTGCGTTATTTGAAACAAGCCAAAATTCCCCTCAACGAATATCAGTTCCCACGTAACAAGATCGTGAATGTGCAGAGCCAGGTAACCATCATTCATGAAAAGCCAGGGGGGGGGGGCTCAAAAAGAAAAGATGGAAACGAGATGACTGATGTAGAATGCATGATCCAATTGTTTTTTTTTAGCTCGAGAATCTGGTGGAGAAGAATTATTATCTTCATCAGTCAGCGCGTGATGCATTCCGTTCGTATCTGCAGTCATATGCATCGTTTGCGCTCAAAAAGGTGTTCAATGTGAACGATTTGGATTTGGTCAAAGTTGCCAAAGCGTTTGGGTTCAAGGTGCCACCCAAAGTTAATTTAGATATTGCTCATTAAAACCAAAAAAAAAAAAAAGAAAAAAAAATAATGCATTTGTATTTTTTCATCTTTTTCTCCTTCATTCATTTTTTCTTTTTTATCTTGCTCAGAATCAATAGGATATAACTTTTTTTACCTTGTCTCTTTATGTTTTTCTGTATTGAGAAAAAAAGAAAAACACTGCATCCCAAAAATAAGGAGAGTTGCAGACTTCGCATACCCGCTTCAAAAGGTTATCTATCAAATAATATCGAGGCAGAATGCACGAGGTTCGATCGAAAGACCAAACATTTTGCCAGATCATGCACGGCCAAAAAAATTCCAAAAAGTGACATACACAAAAGTCAAAACATGACTGTAACTTTCTTTTTGTTCTTGATGGATTCGGTGATAGGCAATTTCGTAAGGTAATATGATATGTAATCTCCAATATAATTGAATATATAATTATCCTCGCTCATAAAAAAAGAAAGGAACTCATTGATGGTATGATTATGCAATGTAGATCCTAGAAAAGGGCGTAAAAAAAACAGGCAGTGTAATACTCCTTCATGAAATGCCAGCTGTCCCGCGTCATACTCTGCGTTTGTTTGGTTTTATTTTTTCTACCTTTTTTCTGCGATTGTCCGGCGAGGGTCTACTGAGAAAGCTGACCTTTATTAATGAATTAACAAGTGATGTAATATTCCATTTTTGTCCGTTGGGTCCAAATTGAACTGACAGTGGTATTTTAATTGTTGTCTTTTGGGGTCAAAGGAATGGGGATCCCAAAGGAAGGATAGTCAAATTACCCGTCTCAATAAAACTGACTCCGTGATCTGATTGGTCGAAACTCTCCGCCATGGCGAATTCACGAAATGGAGTCGTCCATTTTCATCCAACGTAAAAAAGCAAAAAAAAAATAAAAAAAAGAGGTGGCAAAAAATGACAAGCTGACAGGTAGACATCAAAGAGATAAACAATGATGTCAATGGCAATGAAACTTTCTTGTATTAATGGGCCAATCAAGGTTACAGTTCAGGACATTTTGTCAGATCGATAGGTGAGCTTCTTTTTGTCTTTCATTAGGGCTACCGCATGGGATGGCTCCTGCTTTCACGATCTTTACGGAAAGAAAAAGGAGGTTGTTGGTATAAAAAAAAAAAAAGACAAGTTCCATGTAAGGAGTTGAGCACTCCTTATAATTTTGTTGTAAACTGATATACACACTCGGTATTCGTTATCATGAAAACGCCTGCAGATAGTGAAAGATGTCGACAGTCCGCATACGATAGATTCATCAAAAGGGATATTGTAGAGCCCTTGATATATAAATTATGTAGTCAATCTTTATCAGGCTATTTTTTTTCCCTTTTCTTTTTGGCTTGTATTTTGCTCAGTCATTGTTCCTTTTTTTTAATTTTATTTTTACTTTATTTTATTGACATGTCCGTTGTGAGTAAGACGGTGGAAAGCGATGGCACCACGGTGATTGATATACCACATCGGGAAGACTCTTCCATCACCGCGGTGACATTGATCACCGACACCAAACCGCCATACGCGGATACTACTTTTGTACCTTATTCAGTTTTTTCCAAAGCACAAAAACGCACCATCATCACGCTCGCTTCCATGTCCGGATTTTTGGCGCCGTTCAGCGCCAACGTATATTTTCCTGCGTTGAACGTGATACAAGAAGTATGCCGATCGTATAAATTTTAAAAGTAATTGACTGACGTATACAAGGACCTCCACTCAACCACAGCATTGGTTAGCTTAACCGTCACAATGTATATGGTTGTTCAAGGCATCTCGCCCTCCATCTGGGGTTCTCTGGCAGATAGTTGGGGTCGACGACCTATCTATGTTACCACTATTTTCATTTATTTTTCAGCATGCATCTGTTTAGCCAATGCGCCCAACTATGCTGCCCTCCTCATCCTGCGCATGGTTCAAGCTTTCGGATCCAGTTCCGTCATTGCTATTGGCGCAGGCACCATAGGTAATTCTCAAATCAGTTTCCATTCTACCTGCTACGCATTTTTTTCAAACAAAATAGAGAAACAAACCAATGAAAATCCCCTCCCTTTTCATGTGAATATTATGTCGATGACGATTTTTTTTAGGTGACATTGCTGCTCCTTCTGAACGAGGTGGATACATGGGTATCTACAGCTTAGGGACGATGTTGGGTCCTATCCTAGGACCTGTACTAGGCAAGTTGGCTTTTGCCCTTTCTATTATATGATCCGCTAAAAAAAGACTAACAAAAGAGAAAATGCCAAATAGGTGGCTTGCTTGCTCAATCGCTTGGTTGGCGATGGATTTTCTGGCTGTTGGCATTGTTTGGTTTCACACTGTGGTGTTTACTTGTCTTGTTTCTGCCAGAGACATTACGGTCCCTTGTACAAGATGGCTCAGGTTATGCCAATCCGACCCCTTTCCAGTACTTCAAGCATCGACGTGCCAAACGCGACCAGCGTGAAAAAAGTATTGATTCTGCCTTGACTCAAGTAGAAGCCGAAGTGCCAGTGGCCATGAAGAAAAAGAGTTTGCGACAACGACTACCCAATCCATTCCGCACCATCACTTACTTGAAAGAAAAGGACATTGCCGTGATTTTACTGTACAATTCTCTCCAATATGCCGGTTTCTACTGTGTGTTGACCAGTATGACCAAACTGTTCATGGATATCTATGGCCTCAACGCTTTCAAGATTGGTCTGTGCTTTCTGGCCACTGGTTTTGGTGCTTCTGCAGGCTCATTTACGTCTGGCCGTATCTTAAATTGGCAGTTTAAAAAAATGGCCACAGCTATGGGATTGGATTCGCAAAGAATGACACGGTAAGTTAATCTTTTTTTTTTTTTTTTGATTTGCTTTTTCCCCACTGCCTAGCATTCGAGATAGACTAATTTTCCTTATGTGCATGTTCATGTTTATGATTACAGAGGCGATCTGCATCCCGATTTCCCAATTGAGAAAGCTCGCATGAATTTGACGTGGGTGTGGGGCTTGCTGTGTAGCATCATCTTGCTGCTGTATGGTTGGATGCTGCACATCAAAGTTCATCTGGCCGTCAGTCTCTTTCTTCACGTTATTGGTAAGTGAAAAAGATAATCGTATTGACAGAAAAAAAGTTGCCAAACTCAATCCTTTTTCTTTACCGCTAGTTGGATTTTGTTCCACATCGACCTTCAATGCTACCAATACACTTTTGGTCGATTTATTCCCGCATAATTCAGCCGCCATTGTTGCTGCCAGTAACTTTACAAAGTAGGTCAATGTTTTTTGTACAAAAAAGCAAATGATATATCCATCGACTGACTCTTTTCTGTATTAGATGTCTATTTGGTGCCGTAGCTGTCCTTATTATCAATCCGGGCATTGCCATGATGGGTGTGGGGTGGATGTTCACTATTGTGTCGGCCGTGCTTTGTATATCCCGAGTCCTGATTGTTCTCGAGTTACGTTACGGTCCCTCATGGCGTTCCGCACGCCAGAATCGGTCAAACACCAATGTAAATTAGAAGTTGCCATTGCATGAATTCCAAGATAAAAATCCTCCCCTCCAAAAAACACAAATTACTCTTTTTCTTCACATATAAAAATAAACAGCATCCACCAATGATTACATTTTCACATCACCACCGCAACCTAATATTCTTGCATGACACCACAAAAAAAACCATACTTTGGACTTGTTTCTTTTTTACAAATTCGATGATCTCTGTTGATAGGCATACAACCTTTGCATATTAACAAAAAGGAATGGGAGAAAGATGAAAAACAACACGGTTGAATTTATCGGATGGGATTGATTTTAGACGCTTTCGAGCACGGGGGGTTCGACAAAGTCCTTGGCGATCTTGGCACCAACTTCCTCACCGGCAGCGGCGGCACCACCGTGAAGAGCCAACAAGGCGGAAACATCGAACTTGGGTGCCTTGAGGATCTTGACCTTGCGAGTGTAGGTATTCTGCAAGGGGTAGATACCCTGGCAAGCCTTTTCGATACGGACAGCAATAGCATCCTGAGCCGAGTTGGAGGCGGAGGAGGTGACCTTGTTGACGAGTTCCTTCAAGTCACAAGCAACGGCTTCTTCGGTCATGATCTCGAACATCTTCTTACGGATCTGACGGATTTGAGCAGTCTGAGCGTAGGTGGTCTTCTTGATCTGGTTGCGACGACGAGCAGTGAAGGCGATGGTGAAAAGACGAACGAGATAACCGTCGGTGGTCTTGACATCGACGAAAGCCTCAATGGTGGTCTGCCACTTCTTGACCATGGAGCGGAGCTTGTCCGAGGTCATGTCCATGCGGTAAAAGTTGGTAAGACAGTTCTTGCCTTGAATTTCATCAACCTTCAACTGAATCTTGCGGAAAGCGCGAGATTCGTCCTTGGACAAGTCACCGAGCGAAACTTCGACAACGCGGCCGTGAAGCGAGTCGTTGGCGTTACGGAGACCTTGGGTACGGTTAACCAAGGTCTTGCCGACCTGACGGACATCGAACATCGAAGGAGCCTTGATGTCGTACCAGTCCTTGCGGGTGAAGGGATCAACGCTGAACAGGAGAGAAAAATGATCAATTAGTCAACTATTTCTCAATCTCAGGGACGTGCGTTTTATACTACTTACATCTTCTTCTTCAAACCCTTCTTTCCTTTACTGAGACGTCTGTGGAAGAAAAAAAAATAAGGAAGCGGAGTGACATTAGCATGGTTGCATGGGCAATGGAGTAATGTGGTTCGAGAAAATGACGTACTTGTTCTTGCCGACGGCTGATTAAAACGAAAGAAAAACAGGTGCAAGATGAAAATGATACAAGGATACGTTAGACAAAAGGATAATCATATAAGGACGATGGCTGGATTCATACCCATGATGGATGCGACAGCTGTAAAGTAGGTGGCAAAAGAGGAGGGATGTCTTTGGTGCTGCAGTTCGGTGCCGTTTTGGGTGGCGATCCATTCCGGTGAATCCCCACGTCCGAACCGGAAGAAAGCCGGACACCACACCGAATCAACCCCGAACATTCAGATCTGCCACAACGGAAGTGATGGTCCTACTCCACGAAACAGGTTCCAAACCATACATAATCTGAAGTGAAGTATATGATATGCTTGGAAGCTAAGCTAACTTGTGTCTTATGTATTTCTGGGTAACATTCTTAAGGTACCCTGGCGACAAGCAAAGATGAAACTGATCCAGATGACCTGTTGGCATGAGCATCTGTATACCGTCAGGAATGTCTTCCAGAGACATGCTCGACTCGAAGCGCGAAAATGCAACGGCAGCAAAATCGTTGTTGAAGGGCTTTTATTCTTTTTCATTTTTGAGGAGCCGTTTCCATGCAATCATTGTCAGACGTCAATCTTCTATCCTTCCACAACAAAAAGCCCGCTCATGTGCAAATAAGTAAACGATGAAATGGTCCAGACACACGTTTTTCGCATATCCTCAGAAAACCCTTAATGCCAAATATGACATCTATGGAAGAAGTGATGCCTCGAAAAAAGAGCAGCTTGATTTTTGATTTTGTCCTGTTTATCACGGCAGCGCGTATTGAAAGAAGGTTTGGGTGCGGGGAGATGGCTGAGATTTATTGGGGAAGATAATGCTATAATGGCGACGTGTTTTCCCCCAGAAACACGGAAAAACCGGATTCCTTGGGTCAAAAAGAAATAGGCTGTGGATGGCGGTTGTTCACAACGCTGACCCATCTTACCTATCCATAAGTCAAAGTTTAGAGACAGGCATTTCTTTATATTGCTGCCAGACGTCGTCATATGGCGAATATCGTGTCATTGATCCTGAAGTGGTGCGCCATCGTACTTTCCCAACCACCAGCTTGATATAGTAATCTGTAATACGCATGATTGGATGTTTGTATCCGTCACAGAAAACTTTGTAGAAAATTCTTGCGGTTGGACGGGAAGCCGTTGACACCGGTTGCTATTTCAGCAATCGCTTTATTTTGACCCAATAGTCGTAACAATAACACAGAGGAGAACGATGAAGTATAACTGATGTTTCAAAAGCTTGAGTAAAATGGGGTTAATCCATGTAACTGCCAATCTCCGGTGAATGAATTTTATGCTAAAAAAAGGAGTCTTGCTCTTTCCTTTTAGGCATCAATACCGATCATTACCTAGAGAACCAATTTTCTCAAATACGCCACATACGGTTGTAGTCAGTAACTGGTTCAGAAAAAATGCCCATGGCATTATAAAAGCACCAGCCAACATTCATCATTAATAATGACGATCTCCATAATATTATTTATTGCACAGCCTACAACGGTGGAGGATGGAAGTCGTAAAAAACGCAGTCGATCGTTAGACTTGTCTGTACTACCATCATTGCATCGTTCCACAGGTCGATGGAAATTTCACCGGCCCTTTTTTTTTATATGTGTATATGTGTCATGCCCTGCACTGGATAGGCCAACCGATAAACTTTCAATCTCCCAATGAACGCCCAATTTGAATGGCCATGTGACGCTAACCCATCAGGGTATGAAACATATAAATACCTGGATTCTTACTGCAGGACCTTTTTGCACTTCCTTGGTTTTGGTTTTCATTTTTGGTTCCTTCCTAATCGTGAGTATGCCTCTGAAAATTATTGGTGCAGGTTACGGACGTACAGCAACTTGCAGTTTGCGCACTGCCCTGGAGAAATTAGGGTAAGTAGAGTACAAGTGTGCGGCATGGGACATGTCCGACTGATGCCCATGCTAGGTATCGCACACATCATGGACGTTATCTTGTTCTTGGACCGACGGAGCATATTGACATATGGACAAGAGCGTATCAAGATCCTAACCATGAGGATGAGTGGGAAGAGATATACAAGGATTGGGATGCGGCCATTGACTGGCCTTCAATGACGTTCTACAAGGAGCTCATCCAAAAGTACCCCGATGCCAAAGTCATTCTCACGGTTCGATCCGCTGAGAGCTGGTACAACTCGATGTGCAAGACAATTTTCAAGGACATTTTCCATGTGAAGAAGGATGAGGTACCGCATCACATCTGGCGTGTGTCGGAGCTATGCCGAATGATCATGTTTGATGGGGACGAGGCGGACCTGGAGAATCCTGAACGGACCAAAGCCAAGTTTATGAAGATTTTTGATGATCACGTAGCCGAAGTCAAGCGCATAGTTCCACCTGAACGTCTCCTGATTATGCAGCTCGGTGAAGGGTGGGAGAAATTGTGCCCTTTCCTCCGCGTCGACATCCCCAATGAACCTTATCCCAACAGCAATTCCGCCAAAGAATTCGGGTTTGACGAACTCGTCGAAATCGTCCGCAATAGAGAATTACAGAAATCAGAAACCTCCGGTATCACCGAGATTAAGGAACCATCCAAGGTGGAGGCCGTCCAGGCATAGACAAAAAGAATGCACTTTGTAACTGGTTTATCTCTCTTTTCTTTTTTTCCAATAGAGTTTTTGCCTCAAACAAAAATAGTACATACTAAAACCAAACCTCAAGGGTATTTTACTAGTACTTAATGACAAAGCTGGTGCCAATAAAATAGCAGGCTGTAGTGTGCGTCGAATAACAGTAATTCAGGAAATAACCATGTCACTGTCCATTTTCAAAGTAGCCGTCATGATGCCAGCAACAGAGCGTCATACATCACCACTGTATTACGGGCGGATTTCCCGGTGATACATGGGCTGATACAATCACCGCTCGATTTAGGAAGTATCCCGGCAAGCACAAAAAATCGAGAACCGAGCATTCAATGTATAATAAAAATGAATATTAAAAAATTAGAGAAAGCAATTCCAATTTGAGCGGTGACTATTGGTTCGCTAAGATTGATTTGAAGTACGGACGGTCCAACCTGTGATGGTGGAGGAAGCGGAAAAAGGAGCACCCAATTTCAAGAGGAGATGACACCAGTCCTGCAGGTCAAATCAGTTTATGCGAAAATACAGCCCATCGCAAATGGAGAAATCAAGCTACAGGTGCTGTTACTGCGCTGATGCGAGTTTCTATCGTACATGACCATAAGAGTATCTTTTGACGTACTCGAGGACAATTTGTTAAAATGCTCACCTGCGTTCGCATTGGCCTTGGTCATTGCGGTTTCTGTGTTCCGTCGCCATTGCAACACGGCACCATGGGAATAGCAGCCTGATTTCGCGGAGTGATACCTGAGCGTTTATATCATAGCAATATTGAATACATGGTTTCAGACGAAACAAAAATAATACAAAGGAGTAGGGCAAGGTAGGGAAATTTTCTAGCATACAAGATAAAAGAGAGCGCGTAAAGACTGAAGCATTTCACAATCAGGAGTCATCCATAGTCTATACTGCACGCTATAGAGTGACTATAGTGCACATTGGTTGCTCATGGCAGCTTGAATGACATGGCGCAGCCCCTCTTTGCATAGCTTTACGCGAAAGAAGTGTGAGGCGCTGATTTTCGCCAGTTTTGTTGCGAGAATCGAGCCAATGAGGTGCAATCGCGGTCATAAAATAGGGTCACAAATCGAAGGTCCGCAAAAGATATAAAAAGAGGGCGTTTCTTCTCATCTCTGTTTTTCTTTTGTGCGCCAGTTCGGAATCAGGGGCTGCTAGGCTGGTGGTTACTGGTAATGATGAACGCTCCGGTTTTTGGTAAAGCATTCGGGGTATGGCGAAAAATCCGAAAACCATCCTCTAATGATAGGATTGGCCATCCTCTGAAGAAGATTGTTTTCGTTCCCGTCGGCTCTTCCCTTTGGGCGCCTGACTAGTCATCAGCGCGGTCATTGTGGAAGGTATGTCGGTGGGTTTGCTTTTTAATCGCAACAAAGGTAAATGAAAAAAAAAGGCCTTTGCCTTAATATTCTTTTCCCAACCTTTTTATCGGTTGAATAAATAATAAATAAAAAGTGAGCTTAATGTCCTGTGGACTATGCCACTTCATATAAAAAGAAAATAAATGAAAAAACTTTGCTTTTCCTTTGCAGTACGGTAATTTTCGGCTGGTCCATTTCTTGGCTTAACAAACCGCTTTGACGTCGCTTTGGACATTCAAATGAAAAGAAGGCAGATAATTGAAAAAGAAAACGACTAGCTTAGCCTAGAAAGACATACAGCAGGATAGACCGACCTTAATTTGTTTGTCGTTCATCTGTTCTCTATTGAATAAAGACATCCAATAACTCCTTGTCCAAAAACCGTTCTTCTTATCCATGTTTTCTGCCTGCCGCAGCTCACTCTCGACCAGGCCACTTGGCTCAATTGATGTCAAAGCGGCCTAATGCTGTTTTGTCCCAACTGAGGGAGGCTGCTCTTGGTGCCGTTATCGTCCGAATCGTAGACCCGAAAACGCGACGAGCACTGCGGTACCATGTGAGTGGCATTAGATCAACAGAACTATGGTTTGTAGGTATTTATTTCTGAGGTATGTTTTGCCAAACCGTAAACCGTAAACCGTAAAATGCGTAGGAAAAAAAAAGTAGCGAGGAGGGAGTTCAAGCCGAGGAAGAGACAATGGTATCCTAATCGTGGCAAGACATGACTTGTCTCCAAGTTTTCCAATCCAACAAGGAAGTGGTGCTTCTCAGCTTGGAGGCCAAGTACGACACGCCACGTTGCCATTGGAACTTGCGATCAGATTGAGATTTGACAGAACCAAGCCTATGCCGAACACGGCCAAGCTCACGGTGAAGGTCGGGTTTTACGCTCTTTGAGGTCCGGTAGGATTTTCCCAAGCCGAGCAATTTTGCAGACCTTCTTTCAGTGTCAGCTTTTTTCATGGAGCAAGAAAGATAACCTTTTTGTCCCTCTCTGTGAAACTATTCCATCAGGTTACTAACCATTTTGCAGAATTTTCTTCGATATCTGACCACCTTGCGAAATGCGCACAGTAATTCGTTGTTTTTTGGCTGTAATATAAAATATGAAGCTTCCTAGTTCTACTTTTCCCCATGCATGCCACGAATGCGGCACCGATAGTTTGTATGAATGACCTATTCTCTTCATTCTGCTCTCACCACGCTCAACTCTGCCCTCACTTCATTCAACATCGAGAAAAATTGTCTATTATGGAAACCCCTCAACGATTGGATTCGTCACCACGAATGGAGCTGAACAATCTCCTGACACAAATCGCTCCATACAAAAAGTAAAATCCAAATACACCCATTGCTCTACCCATCCAAACATCCTGTTTACAGTGGAGAATTGATCGATTCAAGCTTTGGCCTGGGGACCTTCTTGGGGTCATTCTGATTTCTGGTCATGCGCGGGTTTCAATTTATTCCTCGGGCGTGAAAGCAAAATGTTCAACGACCACTGGTGAAAAAAATGCAACCTTGACAAAAAAGAGAGTATTTTGATCTAGTATTTTGCTGCGACACATTTAGGGACCAGCGGTGGGAGCAGGGTTCATTCTGCGCTTGCCACCCATGGTGGTGGTGACGTTAACGAAGCGACGGCTAGAATGAAAAAAAAAAAGAACACAAATTGTAAGTACCAATGGGAATCTAGAAACGGGAATGCTGCTCTCAAAGGCTATATAAAATGATGGAAGACATACTTGTAGACCTGTCTCTTCTTGGCGCGACCAGTCAAGGCCTTCTTCTTTTCTTGCTTGGCGACCTTGGGGGTCTGCGACTTAACTTTACCGGCACGAGCCAAGGATCCGTGGACTTTACCCTATCATCCGTTACAAAAATAATCGTTAAAGATTCGTTTGTCGATGCGTGATGAAGGGTCTACGTCGATCTAGTATGGATGGACGGATGCATGCTGTTATTATCGCCTTACCATGGTTTAGATAATTTGGAGAGAGAGGGAGCAAGACCTGGGCCCACCATCTCAAAGATATTAATTTGTTTCCCGCACCTTTCCGCTCCGGATCGGATACCTAATACGGCAACTGGCGAGATCCTAGTGCGATCCGGACCTTTCTTCAGCTGAGCTCTAATCAACAATGTTTTTTGGCTTCTGCATTCACGTCTGTGCCACCTCTCAGTTTTGACAATGGAAAAAGGTCAGGCTTTTAATCTGTAGTTTCTTCATTCTTCAGATACAAATAAAATAAAAGTTACTGTTTGATTTTGTTCAATCAAAGGCCTGAAATTGTATATTTAACCTGGATAGACACTCTGTAAACAGAGACGGTGGTCGTTGAATCTATGGCTTTCAGAGAAACCAAAGAATTGGATGTACATATTTCTCACATTGTTATAAAACGGTTTCATTTCATAATGCATTCAATTAATGATGCATATGCACAGTATCCATTTTTCTTTTGGGCTTGACGGTTCTTGTCTCGGACCTTTTTATCCTTGCTTCATCCAACGGACGGTGAGCGCTGCGATGAAGCTATTTATCTTTGGTCTTATTAACGAGAACAATAAGGTTCGCTTTTTTTTGGTCTCCTGGGTTCTCTACCATTTCTGTAATTTTCCTTTCCTTACCCTTTGTACAGGTTCGTCCTGATGACAACGTCTTTTTTTTTCTGCCACGGGACAATCTGTAAGCACTGTACAGATAAGAGCAGCTGGTATTCTTTTTATTATGTTTACTTGATACGATCATCACTATTTCGCTCCTTCAAAAGAGAAAAAAAAAGTACAATAAAAAAGGCATTAAGAATTAAAACTGTAGTATTGGAAAATCTATTGTGCAATATAAGCTGACGATGAGGCAGGGGTGGGCGGGAGTGGCAAATGATGATTTTCGGCGCTCTTTGTCAACAAAGGCGGTGATGTGTCTTGTGCACTAAAGCCTCCTGCATTCTCCTGAGAGAACGGTTGTTGAGTTGGACTACCGTTGTTTAGCTCGTTTAGAATTCCCAATACATGTTGCATAATCGCCCTGGAACCTTCCAATTGTAGACTCCTATACATTACGAGGAGTTCGTGCCGAATCCTTTGCAACTCGGCATCGTGGTCACTATATTTTTGTTGAGTCGACACCAGTACATCCTCGTAAAATTGCTGGATAACATTGCAAAAGTGTTTCGTCAGCCGATTCACAGACACCGTGGCAAACGTCGCCGCTGCCTCTCGATCAGTTTCAGTTTCACCAGCCGATGAGGCGGTGATACCGGAACTTGGGATGGCCGTGCCAGCCTGATGCACCGTGTCACCTGGACGCCCGAATAACTTGGCCAACAACGGCGCCGACCGTCGCTTAATGAAACCAAAGAACAGAGGGTTGTAGGGTATTCGCTCTTTCAGTAGACTGGGCCATTGCCACGGCGTAGGTACGAAACTGAACGCTGCAATGGTGGTAATGACCGGTCCCGTGCTTGCCGGCGACGAGGAGGAGGAGGAGGAGGAGGAGGAGGGGGGCATGAGGGTATCGACGTGTTGAAATATCTGGTCCTGCAGTAGTTTTAATTGGGCGGCCAAATACGAAGGTTCGGTGCGTTTCATTTGAGCATCAATACGGTCCAGATGCTTCCGTGCCATGGGTGAAAACAGAGAGTGAAACCGATGGCACAGTTCTGACACATGATCCATTTGCTGTTTTCTTGAAAGTTGCTGGCAGTCGAATACAATTTGACGTGATCCTATCATAGTACGGTTGAATCCCAGTTGTCCATAGTTGGACCGATCGATGGTCGTGATATACGTCCCCGTCGGCATGGGATGCGTTAGTAAAGTCGAAACAAGTGATTGCGCTTGATATGATCGTTTCCACGCGGACTTTAAGCGATAAATATCCTCTATCACATGGCTCAGTGAAAGCAATTCCTGATTTTTCGCATCATACGCTTTGCTTAGTTGTTGCCACTGAGTGACGAGTTGATTTATACTTGATTCCGATAATTCGTTCAATCGTTGCTGGGCGCACATGGATCGATACGAGTTGACGCAGTCGCTCACCAGACGCGACAGCGCTTGTTGCACGCTGCGAGACCGGATGGCCGGCATAAACGTTTTAACTTGCTGAATGGCGAGCATGAGTTGCTGGTCGTTGGCCATTGGTTGATCGCGTAAAACCGAGGATGACTGATTGTCGGTGCAAAAAGTATCCAGTAACCGATTGAGGTCTTTGTAAAGTTGATCTTGTCGTTGGCACACCATGAGATGTTGACGTGGAAACTGACTGGTGGTGAGAAGGGGGAAGAGAAAAAAATAAGAAAGAGAAAGGGAGCAAGGGTCAAAATCTGAAAAAGAGGCGTAAAAGAGTTTGAGAAAGGGGAGACACCAAGATAGAGCAAGAGAAGAAGGAAAAAGAAAAAAGTAGGGTAGCCAGGGGCTTTTCTTGATCGATTCATTGGCATGAAAAAAGAAAAAAACAGGCTTTGGCGAGCACTCGTTCGTTCTGCTACTATTGACGACTGGTGCGCCACCCAAAAAGTAAAATACTCCAAGATTTGTTTGTACCCTATATTATCCACCTCATTGTCGACACTGAAGGAATAGGAGATACCAAGGAGTTGATGGGAAGCCTTTTTGTTTCCACTCCACTGTCTCACTCAATGGTTTTCATCCGCCCTGGTATCGGATCGTTGGTTCAATGATCTATCAGCGTTCACTTGCAGGTGACATATGGATGCATGTTTATTCCGACAGGGTAGTCGTCTTGCTGTTGTGAATCCATCTGAGCCATTTTTGAAAGCTGACACTACTGGCAGTGAAGTAGTTGGATTTGATGCAGTCTGCATAATATAATTGCTAACTCCAAAGAAAGCACCTCTGGTTCGCTGAACCGTGGTGGAGCAGCAAGACCATTATGACCATTGAAAGAGACTATCTCGCGTTTGATGAAAGCACCATGTTATTTTCTTTATCTGTTTATTGCATCGATTCGTCCCACAACCACTCGTATGCGCGTATGTGCGTGGGTGAGTGTAATGCAAGGCAAGAACAATGCACAGGAATTTGCGTCTTCTTTACTTGACGCATAGAAGCAATCTGCCGTCACTTTGAAATGGGGCGAATATATGAACGGTATCGACCAACACACAAATTGCGATTTAAACATGACATATGTACATTGTCAAGAGTGAACAGTGCCGCCCATGATGAGCACGTCTAGTATTTTTCTTTTATCACCTTCTAACTCCTGCACCTTTTTCAGTGATAACGCTTTCCGTAAATTGAGTGGTGGGCGCGCGGCATGCTTTACCTCGGTTGAGGCGCTGTTACTGCTTTGCTTGCCACAAAAAAAAGGATAACCCCATGATCACATCAGCTTCAGCCAATAATGAATTATTGATTGTTGAATAACTGTTCCTTCGTGGAAAAAAGATTAAGCCATTAGACCGATATCATTAAAAGTCATTGAAAAAAAAAAAGGATTTTATCCCACGACTGCAGCTGGATGCACCCATGCATACACTCGATCTCCAGTAGAATGATAGATGACTGGCATATAAAGTAACGAAATTGCGTCAAGATATCATTTAACACTGCTGGATTACAAATTAAACAATATCGTGCATATGTGTGACACATGCATTGTGCTGAGATGCAATCACAGTGCATGAGCTCGCACCGAAAAGATTCTGGTTGTAAAGGAGGGGTGACATTAAAAAACAATCAAAAGATATGGTTGTGATCAGCCTAAATAAATAAAAAACCGCAAAAAACACCCAAGGAGCAAGGTGCCATGGTGATCAGCACAAGACATTGTTGGTACAGCGGTTTTGGAACCAAAGACCTAGTTGATTCAAAAAATTTTTCCTGGTATTGCTGTCGCGGCTTGGAAGAAAATCGTTGTCTTGGAATGCGTTTTATCATCCAGACCCAGCAAAACTGATTTCACTTTTCTCATGACGAGTATGAAACGTATATTACCAAAAGACCAGAGATCTACCAATCGAACAAATAATAGGTTATGCAAGGTACATTGAATAATTGAAGCTTTTTTGCGTCGAGGGAAAACAGAAAAAAAAAAAAGTAAAACTAAAACTGCAGTTCGTGCCTGAAACTTTTCCGCGGCAGTAATTTGTTGCGGTGGTTCCGGTGGTGAGACATGCCTAATCCATTGCCAAGTCTAAACGTCTTAACGAGTCAACCCTTCAAAAAGCGATCCACATGTGTGTAGAATATGAACCCACTGGGTTTTTCTCTAAAACCCTAATTAAACGGGGTTCGGCTTAGACTCGATTCTCATTCTTATATCATTCCCCCGCCTGCGTGTGTCTCTCTTTATTTTTATTTTATTTTATTTTATTGTTTTGTCTTCTTCGCTTGTCTTGTTTTCTTATACTTGTGTTTATTCTTCATGTCGTCTATTCCCGATGGCGTCCTCTTGCACGTCTTTTCTTACTTACCGTTACCTTATCGTTGGCATGTAGGAAGGTAAATCGCAGTTCTGATTTTTTTGCGTTTCATTTATGACGCACCGGGAATGAGGGAGCTAATTGTGGGATTGGGTTGCCCATCGTATTAGTGTTTGTAAAACGTGGTATCGGATATGCCAAGATCCTTATTTGTACCGTGACGTAACATTTGAACATTTGGAACTTCGCGAGCTTGTGCAAAGTCTGCAACGATTGAATGGGACAAAGGCACGAATTCAGTCGTTGAAAATTGACGGCTGCTATTCTCAGTTTATTCAAAGCACCGTTGTCCCGGTTCACTTTATCCATCAAGATGCATCGACGCCGATGCTATTTTCCCATATCCACGCCTTGAAACCGCTCCGACGACGAGCCGAATATGTGCATCATGGATTCGAACTGCATAACCAGTTTTCGGATGCCATCATTACCTTATTACGCAATAATCGAACCACGCTCCAAAGTCTCACGATTGTCAATTGCGAGCTAGATTTGGAAATGACGGAGCTATTTTGTGCGATTGCCAGTCAAGGCCAGTCCATCACGTCCTTGACCTACCTGAACAATCATGATAAAGGCATCCAGTCGTCCGGTATGCTTCAAGCCATCGTCACCGGGTGCCCCAAGATGCGTTATTTTCGAGGTTTGCACGCCGGTATGAACGACATTGTCCTGCTCACCATGGCGCGGCACTGGCCTTCCTTACGCCACTTGGCCATTGCTTCGTTGAAATCAAAGTCGGTGCTGGATCAATCAGAATTCTGGAGCGAGTCTTCTGCACTGCATTCGGGTTTTACCGCACCCATTTCGGGTCACGGATTTTGGCAACTCATTACGCATTGCACACAATTAGAGACTTTGGAACTGCATGACTTGGCGTGCATTTCCAATTGGAATCTGGCCGTGTATGAATCGTGGCAGTCGCAATGGGATCCCACGGTAGCCATTGTAAAAGAACCGTGCTTAACGTCAGATACACAACTGCCAGTTTCGATCTACGCATCGTCGTCACTGTCCTCCTCCTCCTACGTACCAAGTGAAACGAAACCCTTGCCCGGGAGTTCTTTACGACGATTGTATATCAGCAAATACATGACGATGCCCTTGTCAAGAGTGGGCTGCGCATCCTTGCTAAGAATTTTCCCAAATCTGCAAAATATTGAGTACGACACCAACTATTACACATTTGCCCATCGATTTGCCGGCATGACACGGGCCATGGTGGATGCGGAACGACGTGCTATTGAAGCATTGTTTAATCAACGACAATTGGCGTTTCAGGTCAACTGGAATCAAGCCATGACAACGGAGCAACGTCTAATGACCGGTACCACCGAGGTGTCGGAAGGCTGAACACGAATTTTTTTTTTTTTTTGTTTAGCCCTGCAAACACCCTTTTTTTTCTGTCAACAGCTTATCCGTAGAACCATCCTTTCCCTTTTTGGAAAAGAAGATACCCAAAAATATGCATTGGGTTCAGTCCCAACCACCACCCCCCAAAATTGGTCTCTCTCTCTCCTCCTCCTATCCTCCACCCCCCGCCCCCATTTCTTTTTCCCCAGTTTGCCCACACAGCACACACTTTTAACTTGTACTTTTTTTTCATCTGTCGAAACTATACTTTATTTTTTTCGCTTGATGATCACTTTAGTGGCTATTATGAGTCCAGGGTTTCGAATAAAAAAAATTTCGATCCATTTTGGGGTTGGGCGAAAGAGTAAAAAGACACGACTCACACTTCCCGGAGACAGACAACGTCTTTTTTTTTCATTTTGCCATTTCACACCTTACTTCCTGATTTAATAGCCCATTTCCATGCTAATTCTTTTTCCGTCAAGGTTGACGTTTTCTGTATGATTATGCATTCTACGTAAGTAATGGTACATGTCTGTTTACAATGAGTGATATCGGATAGGGTTGCATAGAATCCTTTTCTGGTTCCCAGGAAGGAATTACAAGACATGTTGTGATGGATTTGGGTGAACGTTTCTTAGGAGTAGCAGGAGACAAGAAAGAAGCACACACACACACACACTTCTTCCCATCCGATCATGAAGGGCGTGTGCGTGCGTGTGTGGAAAAGGTTCTCTCCCCCCCCCCCCCTTCCCCGTTTCTCCAAGTTTATCGATCTGTGTAAGGTTGAATGCTGTTGATGAAGTTAAAAAAACAAAAAAGAAAGGGGGATCTGTCTCTGACTTTCAAATACGACAGACTGCAAGACAAAATAAAAGATGTGGATATGAAAAAGATCGGAAGGAGACCCGATAGTGGATGACAGTGCCATAGTTGACTTATTAGGGAGCTGGCATATAAATAGTGGGTAAAGAAAAAAAAAAAAAAGGGGGGGGGGGAGTATAAGAGTTCAGTGTTATTCAGGAGCATCTGTGTGTATTAGTCTTGTGTATGCACAAGATCTGCATGAAATTTTCATGCGGTGACATTGAGCCATCGAAAATTTCCATATGTAACCAGGTAACACAACCAAGTGTATCCAATTTTTTTTATTACTTTATTTTCCTAAATCACCATGGTCAAAGAGAAAAGAAGTGGTTCTGGTCATTTCTTTGGTGAATGTGTCGATTGGAATAGAGAAAAGCCATATTCACTTGTGGAATATATCTATCATTTGTTATGATCGACCCCACATATGCTAACATTACCAAATGCTTTGGCATCGGGTTTTTCCTAGCTTGGGTGTACGGTAAACATGAAAGATCCATTATCTGATCAGCATTGTGTTCATCTTTTTCATCATCAATGTTGATTGCCAACGGAAAAGAAAAAGAGAATTATTTTTTTGGCTTGCTCATTAGGGATGATCTGCGGGTGTAACACATACGACTCTAAATTGCAACCCGGACTCGGCCTTTTCTTTCCAGTTTCCTCTGTTCTTTTTTTCTTTTCTTTTTTTTCCCTCGTCTCCTTTAGCACGTTCTTTGTTGCTTTGACAGCACGACCACACTATTTTGGTTTTTTTTTTATAAAAACGATAGCGACGGATTCCATTTCTTTCCCTTTTTCTTTTTCTTTTATATACCTCTGTTATTGACTTTGTCGTTTCTCGCTTCTCTCTTTCACTCTTTTTTTTTCTTTTCTTTCTTCTTCTTTTTTAACTCCTTAAACCCTTTCCATTCCTTTCACCCTTCCTTCACCGCATCCACTGGCTCGAGCCACTTCATCCTCTTCTCTTTTCCTCTTTTCTCTTCTTTCCTTTTTCTCCCACTCATCCAACTCAAAAAGACGATTACTTCGCATTGACATCATTGCTTTTCCCTTATTATTCGCTTTTGTGTTTTCTTTTCCTTTTTATTTCCTTCTAAAAGTTTTTATTTCATTATATTCCCTTTTTTTTTTAATTCCATTCCCCCCAAAAAAAGTTTCTATAACAACGACAAATCAAAAAAATGATGGCACAAGACATTGGCCGTTTTAATACTGATCCCATCATGATGCATCACTCTTCGTCGCATGCGGCTGAAGACGACAAGCTCTTTTATCAGGTAAATACTTCACTGGGAAACTGGGGTGAGAAAACAAGGCAAAAAGAGAAAAAAAAAGGTCATCATACAACGCGCTGTCAACGAAAACAAGACATACTCATCGGTTTATTTTGAATCGGCTGTATCTCCATTTTGATGTGCATAAAAATGGGCGGTTTTTTTCCTTTTTCTTATTTCTTCCATCACGCTGGTGGATTCTTTTTTTTTTTTTTCTTTTTATATGTCTTTTCCTCTGATTCTGGCTGTTGTCATTTTCATCATTTTTTCTTTCCTCTTTCTTTCTATTTTCTGATTTTCATTGACGGATCGTTATTTCTATATTATATTCCATTCCTCCTATTCATTTTTTATTTTATTTTATATTCATTTCTATTTTCATCATTGATTTCCGTGATCCGCTACAGACTCATTTTTATGACGTTCACAGTGACGACGATCAAGATAAAGAAGAGCCGATGATCGTGCCACAGAATCTCGAACCTGAACAGTATCGATACGAATTTCCCCCGAAATCCCGCTTGCGGGCTCTCGCTTACCTCGATTACCTCCAGGACGAACAATCGTTCTTTGATGAATCGTCTTTCACCTCGTCCTCAACCGCGGCTTGCTTGTCGGTTGACATGTGCTCGTTGACCGATCACATGAGTGACCTGGACGTCGACGCACGCACCCCGCCCAGTCACATCCAACATTGGGATCATAAGACTATCTTTCAAAGCAGCGACGATGACGATTACGACGACGAAGAAGAAGAAGAGGAGGAGGAAGATGACGACGACGATGTACTTGTGGATGACGGTCGATTGTCACCCCTGCAACTTCCTGCACAAGTCAATCGCCGACCTGTTACGCGCGTTTTATCGTCTGCTTGCAGCGACCGACATGCGCGTGAGCTTTCTGGCGATTCGTCCGATACCATCACTTCTCCCGTCGGACCCTCATCTTTCCTGCAGCCGCTGAATGAACATTACCATCATGATCGTCCCGAGTTGTACCACCATCCTCGGGTTACGCAAACCAGGAATACAACTCGTCGTCGCCGAGGTAACGTGACACTTCCCTTTTTCATTCCATTCTACTTTGTTTCCCTTTTTTTTTTTTTTCTTTTTCTACCTATCCTTCCTTTGTCCTTTATCGATACCCTTAACCCCGCCACAAAAAAGAAAAAACCGCACCGCCCTATTTTTTGATTTTGCACCACTGTCTGTATTGGGCTATCATTTTGTATTTACGCCTTTTTTTTCTTGAATTTTTCTAGATCATGGAATGCACCATTCTTCGCGTGTAGATTCCGAAGATGTGTTGCCCATTTTCCGCAATGACGATGTCTTGTTGACGGATGACGATAGCTGTCATGACGATAATATCGTGCTTGTGAAACTGAGCAAAGGAAAACTGTCTCCGTGGATGAAACACCCAACCACCGCTTCGGTCGGCAGCGACGAAGGTTATGACGACGAAGAGGATGATGAACTTCCCATTGAATCCGCTTCCGTTTTCTTACCGTTGGACGATCAAGAAGAAGAAGAAATTCAAGTCGTGCGCGAATCGGCCGCAATCAAGATTCAGTCGGCGTGGCGTGGCTACTGCGTTCGTCGTCAACCTCAACTGGCTACGGAGATCGTCAAGATTTGCGGTAAAGCGCATCGTCAGTACATGGTTCGCGTGGAGGATCGATTGGTGGACTTGGAACGTCGGTTGCGTGAAGAAACCGCGATGCGAACGGCGTTTGAAAAGGCCATGGAAGATATGACGGTGCTCATTGATCAACAGCAAAAGGTGCTCTACGATCGTGTCGAACAGGAAGTGGAAATGCGCCAAGCGTACGAACAAAAGATGCAGCATGCCTTGTCACAAATGCAGCCCCTCGAACAGCGTTTGCGTAAAGAAATCAAGGCACGAGGCGAACTGGAGACGATGATGGCCCGCGTGCTTGATCAGCTGCATGACCTCAAAATGGCCCGCCAGCAACAAGCCAAAGAAGAAGCCGAAGCACGCAAAGTCATGCAAGCCAAACTGGATGAAGCTGTCAAGGAAATCAATATTCTCAAACGCCAAACCCCATCGTCTTCACGTACATCGTCTTCTACTCGGTCCGTTTCCGCCACGCCCATGCGAAACCCTGCATTGTCTTCTCGCCAGTCCGTCGTACCACGAACGCCACAGAAACACACTCCTTCCATCACAAATAAACCCATCACAACCAGATCAGCCATGGGAACCACCACCACCACCACCACTACTACCACCGCTGCAACAACAAAAACAACCAAAACGCCAACATCTACTACCATCGCTCATCCCATGGCTCGTCGTTCCATTATTCCACCCACCTCGGCAAGAAATGTTGCATCCACTCCCAAGCGACCACTGTCTCGTCGAACCGTGAATTCTCGACCGCCGCTTAAAAATTAACTCACTACCCTTCTTCCTAGTCTTTTGTTTCTTCACTCATCCCATTCATCATTTTGCTTTGCTTTTCTTTTTTGTATACAACCTTTTTTTTAATTATTCATCTTGTCTACAGACATCACTGTTTTATTTGTCTCATGTTTTACAAAAACAAAGAACCCACGCAAAAACAAAGAAAAATACGGCCTTTGTGCTTATTTTGTTTCAATAAACAATTTTACATCATTTTCAATTACACTTTCTGAATGAACTGTCTCAAAAAGCAACCATCCCAATGCAAGTGATATAAAGTCATAGAGAGATCAATTGACCAATCAAAGGATCCTTAAATGGAAAAGGGAGAAAAGGAGGGAAAGACAAAACCAAAAAAAAAAGAAGGGACTACACATGCGCCACTACATGCATTTTTTTTTTCATCCAAGTTTGAAGGTTGTTGTCTGCACATCACTTTTTAAGATTGGTTGATAAGGTAAATGAATCAATGGTGGATCTAAAAAGAAATTTGCTTAATTGCGAAAAAAGGGGAACCCTAAAAGACTAGTTCGGACAAGGAGAATGAAAACAACATGGATGGGAAAAAAAAGGAGGCTCATCCCTATCTCTGTTAATTCTCAGGTATTACATGGATTGCCAAATCTGTCCACATGCCGGGACCACTTATTTCTCTTTGCAAGTGAACCTTTTCCTTTTCCTTATTCCATCATCTGTCGCATATATTTGTATGATCTTGTTATTGTTTGGTTAACTTGTGTAACAGGCTGGTTTCAATGATATCCAGTGTTGTTGCGCACCAGCTGTTGTCACCTTTATGGGTTTTGCGCCTCCGCGGTCACTTTTTTTGTTGGTTGGCGTTGATGCCATTTCATATGGCACGATCATCTGTTTAAATCCAAATAAAGAGATCAATGGGTTTTATGTGTTTGAGATTTCGATAGAATAAAAGCCTGACTTGACAATGTTCACTAGATTGTTTTTATTCTGGTTGTTATTTTGTTTTAGCCATGGAAACCAAAGAGGAACAGCATGTTGAGTTGGAGATCAAAGACGAAGAAGGCCAGCCTACGACATTCCGTACGAGTGGCATAGCATGGATCTATTTGGTGGCCATTATAGCTGCCTACATGAGCAGCATATTCGCCTGGCTCACAGCCTCCGTTGCACCTGTCACCTTCTCAGAATGGACCAATGCCTCATTTACACAGCTCAATTGGCTTACCAACGCCTTTTCTTTGACTCCCATTGTACTGTCTCTGCCTTCAGCGTGGGCATACGAGCGTTTTGGAATAAAACCATCTGTAAAGTTGCAATTAAGACATAAATCCCATTTCCTAAATCCCTTGGCTCTACCATCTCTCCCCCTTCCTCTCCACGCTCCCTGGTTCGATCCAGTTTCCTCATCTTTCCGTCCCTTGGAACCCACACCATCCATTTAAAGGTTCTGTAAACATAGTTTGCACTTCTGCTCCCCTTCCCCCTCCTCTCCCCTTGAATTTAACCAACCTATCAAACAACTAACTTAAAAAAATCTTGTCTTTATTTTTGGCTTCTAGTTGATAGTCGCGTCGTGCCTGACTGCTGTGGGCTGCTGGGTCCGATGCATCGCAATAGCCGTTCCGCTACATCAACGGTTTGCTGTCCTGCTTGTCGGCCAAACCATCGCCGCTCTCGGCGCCCCATTTTATTACAAGTAAGCTCCATCTGGCAGAATATGGATAGCGCCTAAGTCTCGTGCTGATCGTTGATGGATGCTTAGTATTCCCGGCAAAGTGCGTCATCGTAACACCCTTCGATGTAAAAAATATATGTAACTGAAATGCTTTCTCCACCAGCTTGCCGCCGTATGGTTTACTCCCGAGTATCGCGGCCTCGCTAACATCTTGGCTGGTAAACCAAGGGCAATGATCGCCTTACATTTTTATGCCTGACTAACCACCGTGGGGTACTTGTAGCTACTGCCGTGGGACAAATGATCGGCCCAATTATCATTCCTCGCATTGTCGGTGACGATGCAGCCAATACACCTCGACTCGTACGTAGCATGACCTTTTTAATCCTAGTGACAGTTTTCACTGATATGAAAAATCATGATATTTAAGTTGCTGATTCTGGCGGCCATTGCGACGGTGATGGTACTTCCTTTTCCGTTCTTGCCGGCGAAACCGAAACATTCACCTTCCGTCACGGCCGACCTTGAACGACAACCGTCGGCGTGGCAAAGCCTCAAACTACTGATGAAAAATATCAACTTTCTGTGGTTAACAATCGCGTATTCGTTCCATCTTGGCATGCTTTTTTCCATAGGGGCCTTGACCGTGCAAATTTTGATCCCTTACGGTTACTCTGTCGAACGAAGCGCTCTCTGCGCCGCAATACCACTCGTTGCAGGAACAATCAGCGGATGTCAGTATTAGAATACGTTGCAGTAAAGCGGAACAGTTTCTGATTTTTTTTTCTGTATAGGTGCGGTGGGATACTGCATTGGACAACAAGGACTGCATCTGATGATGATCAAGCTTTTGACTCCGATCTCCTTGTTCAGTTATGTGATGCTTGTGTTTCAGGGTAAGTGTAACCCGACCTGTTTCGATGAACATAACCTCTTATATTATGGTGCGGCGTACTAGTTATTCCCAATAATTTCGACGTCGTAATTATTGCATTTATTGCCAATGGAATTTTTGTGATTGCTCTTGTGCCAGCTTACCTGGAATACGCATGTGAAAGTAAGTGGAATGAATGCACGTCGATTGCCTTTTTTTTTGGATCCATTCAATAAAGCTTGCAAGCTCTTATTGGAACGGTAACTCATTTATATGACGCTAGTCGCTTATCCTGTGGCTGAATCCTTTACTATGTCTATCATGTCTATGACTGTCGGCGCTACGAACGTTATCTTTGTGATCGTGTTGGACAAATTTCGAGCCGGTGAGGATGCCCTCATTCCAGGCGACATGCACAACGCTCTAGTGGCTGCCGCCATCATTGTCACGGTGGGATGTGTGCCCGTGATATGGATTAAAGGAGATATGAAACGTTTAGCCATCGACAACGGATCGATCATTACCAAATTGTAGTACGAATATTACTATTATCATTATATTATCTTGTATTTGTATTTGCATGTTTAAAAGTTTTCAAGGTGCATCACCATGTCAGACAAGGTGGATAAATGAGATATATTGGAAGGGTCTCGGATCGCCACGACTAAACGAAATGTCAGTGAATTTTTGCCTCTCTTGACGTTGTTGACCGGTGGATGGTCAGCTTACCTTCTTTTTGTGGAACAAATCGCTGTGTTGCTGGATCGTAGGACCATCCTCGGCCGACCAAAGCTATGAGATCCACCATCTCTCGTGTTAATCTCTTGTACCATAGAATGTCATATCGTTCGTATCGCATTGTAGCATTACCCTGAATCAGCTCCATGTCCCGTAATCCAATATAGTTCTCTGCATCGCTCATAGGAATGCAGGTATACGCTTTGGCTACTGTATTGATCATTCGTTCTCGAGTCATTTCTGAAAAAGACCGAAAGGGGCATGACGTTAGTATGCTTGCTCTATAAAACAAATCCCTCGTTGCCTACCTTCAATATCATTAATTACAACCTGCAGAGACGGAGACCACGCGTCATTATGGGCGGCTTTATAGAATTCGGCATAATTTTGCTCCCACAGTGTCACACATACACTCCACACTACATTCGCTTCGGCGACATCCGTCACATTCGCTTTGATCATTCGTTTACGCAAGAATCGGGCCGAGTCCCTACGCTTCCTTTATAAGCATTTCCCATTCTTTCTGAAGAAATACCAACCACAGAGATATTACAGATCATTGATCGCTACATAACCCGCTAACCACAGGGCATACACTTCTTGCAATTGTTCGATGCATGTTGCTCCCTATAATGCATGGCGTCAGTGACGAGAATTTGGACCTAGGCATGGATCACTTACGGAGAGTTCAAGGGCTTCGCATTCGCTAACAAGCCCAGCATAGTCTTTTGCGGACACGTAGCCTTCCAATTGGGTCATGGTTGAATTGTGTGTCTGTCGGCGGGGAACGCAAAGCCGTCAGCCAAGCGTTCCGCATTTTTTGAAAGGCGCCAATGCGGACGGCGGAGTCCTAATTCAGGGCACTCGGTTCGCAGTGGGATTCCTCCTGCACGCAAAAATTTCCGTCCACCTTTGACTATCTATTCATATTGCTATTTATATTGCATTTATGGACTTTACTGCTATCCAGTTTTCTTTTGGATTCTTCCTTCTTTTCTTGAACTTTTTCTCTTAATGGTCTGCATTCATGCGGTAGGCATTTTGGCCGCGTTGGGTTTACTAGGCCAGGCATGGGCACAGCAGGAGAACACAAATGTGGATAGCGATGTCAACGCAGACAGCGTCAAGGCGGATTTTGCTATGGGTGGACTTCGTGTGGGAAAGGCAAACGCCCTTGTGCCCGATGCTTCAGCAGAACATCCCCTTGTGCTAAGTGACCCCGAACAACAACCATTGTGCGTTCCCGATGCCTATCTCGAGGCCTCAGCACCCTTTAATGTCATGCAAGGCTACGAAGCGTATGTGCTAGCCAATAGCATAAAGAATCCTCGTAAAATTGCCATTGACCGATCGAACCACATTCTTGTTGTGGCTGGAGGCGAAGGCGTGTACAGTATTCGTATGGACAAATGCGGCAATACCGATATCAAGAAAATCCTCGGCAACGAGTTGGATCAACCTGTAGCTCACGGTCTGGCTCTCTTTGGTCATTCGGTGTACGTGGCTACGGCCAACTCGGTCTATCAATTTGCTTACAGTGATGGCCAGCATTCAGAACTTAAGAATGGTGTTAAAGTATTGACCAATATCAATCCTTCGAATCCAAATGCGCAACCAGACGTGGCCATTGATCCTTTCGGTCATGCTTACGTGCCGCGTTCGGCCGTGGGCTTGCAAAGCGACGTGGATCCCCGCCAAGCAATCATCAAGAAATTTAATTTCCGGGCGGTGCCAGAAGGCGGCTATGATTTCGAGACGGATGGCCAAATTCATGCTTTCGGTACCAATTCCGTCGGATCCATGGCATTCGATGCTCAGGCTCGCCTGTGGGGCATTGACGCTCCTTTTGAATCATTCCAAAGAGCCGATATTGGAGGAGGTACAGAAAAAAACTTAACCCAATTTGCAGACTGATTGTTTTGACTCACGTTATGGTTTGTTCCAAAAGATGTTTCACAGACTGGGTTGGCCGAAGAAGTCAATCTGTATGAATTCCCGCAACACAACTATGGCTACCCTTACTGCTTTACCGAGTACAATATGGAATCGTACACACCACGATTCAAAGGCTTGGGCGCTCAATGGGTAAATATGTAGCATTCACAACTCTTTCTGATACGATGTTTGCCTCAACTATGCTTCTTGTTTGAAACTTAGGCACATCCTGCGTTTATGAATGACTCGGTGGATATGGATAGCTATTGCCAGCAGGAAGAACGAAATCGTCGACCGGCCGTTCCGCTTGCACCTGGCGTCCACGCTCACAGCATCTACTTTTATATGGGCACTTTCTGCTCCGTCGGTGATTTGGAAACGTTGGCCACCTCAGTCGGTCTTCCATGCAACTGGACAGATACACCTATTGTCGCCTACCATGGTGTAAGCGGACAATCCCAAGGCCATAGTGTCGTCCATTTGCCTTTTGACGATCTGGGTCACGTCTCACGATGGGACAAGCCCGAAGAAGTCATCTTCGCCGCCGCCTCCCCTTGCACCGGTGCAGGATGTATCAGTCCCATCGATATCGCCGTCGATGGTTACGGTCGCTTAATTATCAGCAGCGACGAGTCCAACGAAATTTTCCTGGTTCACCGTATCTATAACGAACTAGCCGCTCAAATGCTCACAGACAAGGACAACAAAAAGGAAGCCCTTAAAGAAGCCGCCGAAGAAGCGCTTGAAGGAGATGATAACTAACAATGAATATTATAAAATTTGATGGATCGATTGGCCTGTAGCTAAAAAACATTTTCCACCTGCACATCGATATTTAATCGATATTAAAACAGAAAAAAAAATAGGTGAATCAAATGTTTATATACAGTTACATAAATGGGTTGTATGTGACTATCCTATTCCGTGGTAGCTTGGTTCCGCATACTTGAGCGGGATGAAGGGAGGTTTGGGGGAAGAGGGAAAGGAAACAGGGTTAAATGGCTCGGTAACCAAGTCGACGACGGTTGTAAATCTTGTAACCGACAAAACCACAGAGACTGGCGATACTGGCGCTGAGAAGGGTGATGCCCGTGACGACAACAATTGACCACCCCCAAGGTAGACCAAAGAAGCCTCGTCGTACGGGGATGAGTACACTATCCAGTAAGAGAACGCCGCCATCAAACGTGGACCGACCTTGTGCAATGACGCGTGCACGGATATCCGATGATTGATCCTTGACATCGATCACCAGATCTCGATGACCTTCATCGCGAATAACTAGTTTATCCTTGTCGGATAAGTAAGTGGGATACTCCGTCTTGTCGCGTTCTTGTACCCACTGGTTGGGCCACGGTTGAGGGATCAAATGAAGTCGAGCTATCCGGTCCAGCTGATAAGGATCGGCAAACAAGGCATCCAGATCAAGATGGGCAAACGCCTTGTCAGATGGGGCGAGAACAATCCAATTTTTATCATTAATCATTGCCGTGAGGTTGGCATGGTCAAGGATTTGCAGCATGGTCGTCGCTTCGATACCGACCAAGAGATCGCGATTACTAATCTTAACATGGCTGGGGATCTGGACTTGGTCTATCTTGTGAACCACACCATTAGCTACAAGGACGTTGGTATGTCGGACAATGCCTGTTGCAGGTCGATCCGGTCGTCCCACAATGATTTCGTGGTTTTCCATAGGTGTGATACGCAAGGTGGCATTGGCCAAGGTTGGTGCTTCGTTCACCTTGGACAACAAATCTTGGCGATACAGCAAACCCTCCGCTGCATGATACCTTAATACACTTTGTAGATGGTCCTTGGCGCTTGGATGAACCAGATATTTCGCCACCAGTCCAAGTTCTTGGAAAGCGTCATTGGTCGGTACAAACAAGGTGATGCCATTGATATTTTTGATCACATCCGAGACTTTGGATACGTAAAGTGCGGCAATAAAGGTTGAAAGATCCAGATCGATGACCATGGTACTGAGAATATCGCTGGGGAGATTCACGGGATCCGATAACTGATAAATCATGTTTTCCCCAACCATCACTGCAGCAAAGTGAACCAAACGGATTTAGTCTCGCCAAACAAAATCAAAGCTGCACTAGTTTGTAAAAAAACAAAAAGATTTGGTTGTACTTGCCTCCATCTCCCAAAACTCTGGCATGATTGAAGCGAATGGATTTGCCGGTAGGTTTGCCTTTCATTTTCTCCGTTTCAATAAACACCGGAAGTTTTTGTGGTGCGCCTCCCAATGAAGAAGCTTTGTATTCTGTATCCATCAACATGCTGTCCTGAAGCAAATCGTTGGTCCAGCATCCTGGTAGTAAATGATAACGAAGCCAGCTTCGCATGGTATGAATCGGTACATCGTGATCATCCAGATCATCGTTGGACGGTACCAATACCGTGAAATTATGAGAGTCTGCACCGAGGTAGTGACCCAAACCATACGTTTCCATCAACGTCACGAATTTCGTGGCATTGAATCCATACAGATATTTTCGCACATCAAATACAATGTTGGAAGGTACCATCCCCGACTCCAACTCGTGTACCACACCTAAACCGCACGTTCTCGTTAAAAACCTTTTTTTTTTTTTTTCAGCCAAGCCATTATCGACGAATTTCTGTCGTATGAACCCATCTACTCCCCTTCTCCCCCTTCCTGCTCCCAAAAAAGGGAGACCGAGTACTTACCGTTGGCGGCGATGGTATCTGTTTTGACGACAGGGATGCCGTTGACAGTTCGATGATTGTCTTTGTCGACGGCAATGACGATGGATTCGCCCGACAGTGTTTCGTCTGACCAGGGGGTCAGTAGGAGCTTTGATTTTATGGCTCAGCACTTACATAACGTTTTGCCATTGGGAAAATCCGCAGCATAAACGGCGCCTTTGACGACCATATATTTCAGTAATCGCCCCAAATCTTCTTTGCCATAGCGAGACAGGAGGTACTGCTGTTCGACCGTGGCCAATTGATTGAGAATGTTGTCACGAGGTACAAATAACGTAAAAGGCTGGCCTTCGTTTAAAAGATCGTGCATGCCGATTTTTTCCAGTAATGCATAGGTATCATTATAAGTTTGACGGATCGTTTTACCTGGAGGAAACCGCCGCCCAAACGAGATGAGTGTGTCTGTGTGACAACAAATTCCGAACTACGACAGGCACTTACTGATGGTGTGGGGTGGCTGCAGGACACGGTCGATGACTTGGATATACGTTTGATTATTGACGGGGATATCTTTGGAAATGATTTGGGCTTGATTGATGTAAACCTTGCCACGGCCTTTGCGGGGATTGCCTTCTTTGGTGATTTTTATGCGTTGACCGGCTTCATCGGAGCCCAAATAGCCTGGTCGGATGTACAGCGATTCCAACAACTGGTCATGGTAGAAATCTTCTCCCAACATGCCCACCGGTAATAAATGGTAAAGTAATGTGTCAGCGGTAATATCCCCATCGTTGTATTTTGCAAAGGCGTCATTGTCCGGCGCAAATAAGGTGGCCGCTTTCAAAGCATTGACATGCGGAATGAGACGAGTGCGCTGCAAGTGGCCAAGCAAAGTTTCAAACCGCGCATCTTCAGACAGTACGTCGATAATGGTTTTATAAGCGAGTGTGTGAGCGCAATAAACACCCAACACTAAAAATCCATATAACTTCATGTCAATCAAACAATAAAGAAGAAATAAAGAAAAAGTGATAATCAGTCGTATCTAATTCGGTTATATCTTGTGCAAAACAGTCACGGCGATCATGAGACCCAGGAGATCCCTCCTTCCCGTCGTCAGCGACAAAATGACGGTTCAGTCACGTTATATTATAGTACAAATGCCAGGATAGATGATAGTCCGTCACCGTCATTTCCCTCAGAGGCTCACGACAGAGAGTGACATTTTCACGTTTATCCAGGCTTCAAATATGCTGCATCATCCAGATTTGGTCCACTGACGTAATATGGTTGGATGACCGTCTGATTCGTTTTCAGGAAAAAACACCCTGAATGCATTAAGGAGCGCAAGCATAAAATAATTCAATAACAGCGGCTGTTGCTGTCGCTGCCACTATAATAAGATGGGCTAGAAAAAGGTTCACTTCGGAAGTTGAGTTCATCCGTTATATAAAAAATATGAATGCTCACTATCATGTGGTGAATCAAAAACAAACAAAAATATAGAAAGCAGAATAACCATCTACAATGGAAGGTTTATAGATACATTAAATTCAAAGGTATCGGAGGGAACTGCTGGAGAATCGCCGGCTCCTTGTTGGTATGTGATGGCTGATGGATGTATGTACCCCATATTTTCTATTTGCAATTGTAACCTTTAAGCCAATCATAAATAGGGTGGATTGATGTAAACATGGAGACACCAACATGCAGCTGACATTGCCATAAAGAGAAAAACGTGCCTCTGTCTGGATTTTGCTCGTGTCACCTGCCGCTTTCCTATTCACAGTCCTGTTGCAAGATCAAATAGCCGACCTCTGGAAGCCCCGCGCATAGAACCAAACGTGGCGAGCAGATATTTAATTATAACCAGGTTTATTTGGGACATACAAGGCTAGTCACCCTGCCGAAAGCACCATTCCCATGGATGCAACTATCCCAGTAAAAAGCTTTCACACATTTATCCAAATCTGGTCCATGTGAACTGTCAAAGTCTATCGTTCATGGCTTGCGAGAATATCAAAAACGTGCATGTAGTACAGTTTATGGCCGTCGGTTGTTGAGGCCACACAAGCTTTTGCCATCGAAAAAAACGGCATAAATTCAGTCAAGTGCGACTGTTTACAACCGGTTGCCAGTCAATATTTGTCCCACGTTCTCCGGAAACAAATCATTTTTCACCGACTCAAAAATTTCATGCAATAGTGAGAAAGGAGCAATTCAAGTGAATTTGCAATATTTTAGGTTGTGAGGACTCATTGTTCGTCAGTATCGGATGGTATTGACAATTGCTTAAAGAAGCTGGGGCAAAAGAATGAATCAATGGATGATTGGTCGGTGTTTGAACTGTAACAAGCCGAAACAAGTGCCTGAATACAAAATTTACAGAGATGTGATCATCCCAAGCGGGTGGTGTTGAGACCAATCAATCCATCTTCTTCCCTAATTCAATTTTCTATTCTCATGCGAAGCACAGAATTTCCGGCATCTGAGCACACACAGTTGCTTCCAGGCATTCAAGGCAACCAGGATTACATTGAAAGCGGTCGAATTCAGTGCGGTCACAGCCAGAATGCATCCAAAACAACGAAACCGGATCTTGCACCGCTATTGACCGTTAATTTTATGAGTTTTATGAGCGGTGTCAATGAAGGAAGCTGGAGTTTGCTTATTCCATGCTTGAAATCGTACTATGGGATTTCAGATCACACCGTCGCATTGATATTTCCATCTTATGCAGCGGGCTATTTCGTCACCGCTTGTTGCAATGGCGCTTTCGTTCATTACTTGGGTCAACGAGCGACCATGTTCCTTGGCGCTCTTGGATTCTTGGCTGCTTTCAGTGCCATTATGCAAGGGTTCTCTTTCCCGGTCACTGTCGCTTTCATGGTCGTTCAAGGATTTGGAGCCGCTCTTTTGACGGCTTCCGAGAATGTCTACATTGCCAAGCTACCCAATTCAACCTGGCTGTTTAGCATTTTGCATGGTACAGTTTCAAAACACCCAATTATTGTATAAATACAGTCCTGGTTGATGAAATTTCTCTAGCTGTATATGGTGCTGGTGCCACTGTTACTCCCTTGGTGTCTACAATGATCCTGGCCCACGATCTCCGTTGGAACTTTATCTATCTTTTCTTATCGACGGTCGCTTTCATCAATATATGCTGTATGCTTGTTGGATTTCGCAATGTCAAGTTGGACGACAAGGCACTTCAAAGCTCAGCGTCCAACAAAATATCCTACAAGGAAGCTGTCTTCAACCGAATCACAATGCTGGGAACTATCTACATTGCCATATTTGTTGGAATTCAGCTGACGTTTGGTAGCTGGGGATACATCTATTTAACGGAGGGGCGTCAAGGCAACGAAGAGATCATGGGCTATGTAGTAACCGGGTTCTGGGGAGGCATGGCCATAGGCCGGTTGTTCTTGGGCTACCTGGCCAATCGGTTTGGTGAGAAATCACTGACGTCGATCTGCAATAGCATGAGTTTGATTCTTGTCGGTCAACTATGGCTTTCCAACGACATTGTGATTGTTTGCATTGGTAACAACGTTGAGTTTTGGATCATTCTGAAATCAAGATCACCGTGCTGACTTGTCCAACTCTATGTAGTCTTTGTTGTTGTCGGCTTCCTCCAGGCACCTGTGTTTACCACCGCTATTGCTTTGATTTGCAAGTTACTGCCAAGAGAATTGCATGCCACTGCCCTGGGATGCATTGCAGCGTGAGTCCTTATCCAACATAAACATACTAGTCAACAAAAGATTGAAAGCTGTTACATTAGTGGCACTTCGGTGGGGGCGGCATTTTTTCCGTTTATTACTGGTGCGTTATCGGAGATCTACGGCATTTCAACCTTTCCCGTCGTCTGCTTTGCCATGCTCGCCGTTATGCAATGTATCTGGATGATTCTTCCTGACCATCGCTCATAATCAGCCCCTAGATCTCCATTAGTTTCAATGGAATCTCGATCCCAATGGTGGCAATGATTAGGATAGACACTCATATCTTCTTTTTTGTATTTTGTATTTTGTTTTTGTGATGTGTAATGCACCAGCATGGATGACATTAACCCAATACAGTATTATCCTGGATCGATTCGTCAGTAGTCTACAATTCTTCAATTTGACAGTATATCTTGCAAGACTCGAATTGGAACCTCCCTTTTTTCGATAAAACCATACCATGATTCTAAACCAAATGTTACTCTACGTGATTCATTGCTTAAATTTACCATACAAGGGTACCTAGTCTATATTGGATCTCCAACGGAACTGGGATTGTGTACTAACCATAGTTTATGCCTTTCAAATTTATAATCAGGATAAAAACAAACATCTAAATAGATAATGTACGACGGTTGGGTATACAGAGCCACATGACTTGCATCATGACGGCCATGGCCAAGCAAATCATGGGAAGGGCTAAAATACCAAAGCGGCCAGAGAATTGGCCAGTGAGAAATGGGAAAAACGCTGCACCACCCGCGGCAAGTCTAATGCAGTGATGAGGGTTAGGTTCAATGTTTAAGGAAAATGAGGCTATTCGATACTTACGCGCCCATAAATCCAATAGATGTAGCATGCATATCCCTAGGCAATATCCTGGATACCAAAGAGATGGTGGTTGGGAACATGGGGCCCAGTAAGAAACCCAGTGCCACGTAAACTAAGGATAGACACAACTTAGCGTTTATCATTGATCCATCCCATGTCTTTGAATCTTACCCAAAGAATCGACCACAATATCAGCGACAAACCACAAAACACCCAGCAGTAGCATGGAGATGACGGTGAACAGGGAAATCATGCGTTTTTCACCGAATCGACCAGCCAAGTATCCGAGGGCAATGCGACCCGCGGCCAAGCCAGCCCAGTAGCCGGATAAAACATGGCCCATTTGATACGGATCGCCATGACGGCCCGTCGTCAGGTAACTGTAGCCCCATCCACCCAAAGTAACCTCGAGTCCCACGTAAACGAGAATGTAAGCCGCTGCCAACAGGGTGACCCGGTTGAAGATGGCTTCTTTGCGAGTCGATTTCACATAGCCTTCTTGTTCTTCTTCGTCGTTTTCTTCAAAGTTGACCCCCTTGAAGCCAACGGTAATACTGCATAGATTCACAAATGCCATGGTGGCCAGAAACAGATAGATGAATCGCCAGGAGAAATCATGGGCCAAAAGAGATGTGGCGACCAATGGACTGATCATGGCACCAACACCATAAACGGCTAATTTTGGATCAAATTCCCATAAAAGTCAATTTTAGGGTCCTTTTCCTTTCCATCATTTTCTGTCATCATTTAATCAATTACCGTGCAAGATATTCAGCATCAAGGTGGATTCGGGGACGTTGGCGGTATAAACATTCATGGCGGCGTCCAATAGTCCCGCACCTGCACCTTCCAGCATCATGAGGGCTATGGTGACTTTGAAGGGGAAACCCTGCATAATGGAACTGTAGGCGACGAGAACCGCCGCAGCACCTAGGTACATCGTACGACGCTGACCAATTTTGTGCACCAACCAACCGTTGATACTTGCGCTAATGAAAACACCACACGCATTGAAGAGAAATAAAAGCGACACAACGTTATCTGGAATATCATAGTACGATTTGAAGCATGTAATAACGATGCCTAAAGCACCATCGTTGAGACCAATGAGGATGCTAATGAAGTGGGCTGCCAACAATGGCCGAATGTGCGGTTTGAGTTTCTGCCAGGATTTCAAAGGGGGAGCATGTTGTGATTCGGTTCTTTCAATAGACTGATGGTTTAACGAGTCATCGTTGCGCAAAAGGTGCGTCTGCTCATTTTCCAAAGTCATGTCGACGGCCAGATAAAAACGAGATCCAAATCAAGAAAAGGCTAAATGCACCGTCGATTTATAGATGCAATTACAGGCGGTAGAAAGTTCAACCACCGCTTTCGGTCCTTTTTTTTGGTTTGACCAGACATTGTTGTTACATTGGATCTAAATGATATCATTGACTGAATTACATCAACACGCGTTATCCATTGGAAAAACGATGGGTTGGCTTGGGAATTTTTATGCTGCAGAAAGCGTCAGAAATAGAAAATGACCAGAAATACGCAATATCTAAAAGAAGAATACAGTTTTTGATGATTGGGTCTTTATTATGATCATGGTACCTTGGTACCTTGGGGTACATGTTGATCCTAAACCTTGATAGTACTAAAAGCAGAACTGACTATGGTCATTACAACTGAAAGGGTCCACAAGCCTGTCTATCAAGAAAATGCTGCGCCTCTTTTGCAGACACTGAAAAGGCATTCTGAGTCTTGTATGATTCGCGGAGAATCAAATCTTGTAAAAAAGGGACGTCTGTGGAAGTGCACGACATGACAGCCGTGTCGTTTTATTCACCTTGCTTCAGAAACTATGAGTGCAACACCCAGCAGCAGCAGCGCCACGAACCAATCCGAGGGACCTCAGTCCATCACCGATATTATGAACAATTTCCAGATTCCTTCCTACGAAAGCGAACGATTAGCAGGTTTTTTTCGTGATTACGATACAATCATGAGCCACATTCAACACGGTTTCAAGCAAACCATTGACGTTGCTTGCGATCTGGAAGAATTACAGCAATCAGATATGGTAATGCCACGCACATGGAGTAATGATTCAATTGTAGGCGTGCTAACGATAATGTTCGGTTTGTAGATCACTCCTTTGGAATCAGACATGCAGACGTACATTGATCTCGAGCACCAACTTCAGGAGCAAAAGACGATCATTGACGAGCTTCAACGTGGCGTTTGCGACCAACGATTAAAGGTAACTGGTGCTTTTTATGGGGTGATTGTAAGGACATGATTAACGCCCGACACTATTTAGGGGGATATCATGAAAGAATATACCAAAAAATGGGAGAAGAATATGCGAAAATACAGCAACATGCCGGCCAAGAGGAAATATTACAACCACGAACAATATAACAGCTTCAAACAGATCATTTGGGTACGTAAGATCACATCTATCTGGTGGCCATCCACTGCGCGGCAAAAAAATAAAAAAATAAATTAAAAGCATTAACACGATGCGTCAGAACGTCAACCACCCCGATGAACCGATGCCACCGTTGGGAGAAGAAGACGGCAGAGCCAAGGATGATGATATCGTGATTGGCGCTACGAAACTGGCGTTAAAATGTCCTTTAACAACTACATGGTTTGAGGAACCTTTGACAAGGTACGTTTGCAGATGATTATCTTATAGAGGCAGTGGCCGATGGCTCATCTTGAAATTTTACAGTAAACTATGCAAGCACACGTTTTCGAAAGCAGCGATTATGGCATTGCTTAAAAGGTCGCATGGATCCGTGGAATGCCCTATACCAGGTATATACATATTAGGATGGATGATATTGCTTCTGCAGCATGACTCAAAACGCGAGCTTTTCCTTTTGTTCCGTGAACTCTTAGGTTGTGGCAAGCTAATTGATCAGCGCGTGTTGTATGAAGATACATTGATGGAACGACGAGTGGCAAGACAACAAGCTTTGGAAGCTTCGTCATCACACACAGAGGTAAAGCATTATTCTTTCTTTTGCCATTGCTGTCAATGATTGTTTGAATTTTTTAATTGTCTGACGGGTCCATTTTTGCTTTTTCTTTTCTATATAGTTCTATGACGTTGAATAAGTGTGAGACAAGAAAAAGCAAAAAGAAGGAAAAAGGATGTAGTAACTGTACAGATATTTTGAAATTAAAAAAAGGAAAAAGGAAGGAAAGAAACACAAAATCATCCTATTTCTTTTTTAAAAACCTCTTCTGGCTGAAGATCGAAGCGGGAAATCCGATGTGTGCTCCTTGCTTGTGCAAGACATGATGCCTGTAAACAAGTAAAATGGTTAGACAATATGTAAATAAACCACCCTCATTTCTCTCTGTTGGCTTAGCATTTCACAACTTACCCATAGCTCTGGCTCGTTTAATGGCTTTGGCCAATTTACGTTGATTTTTAGCCGTCAAACCTACATCAAGTCGACCCGTTAATATTTCCTTGTTACTCCATGGGCAGCATGCCGGATTGGTTGTTTGGTTGAATGGTGGTTTACCTGTTTGCTGCCGAGGCAAAATTTTGCCCATATCAGACACAAAGTTGCTGAGAAGTCGATAGTTTTTATATTCGTGAAGAGGGTCGAGGCCCAAGACGTCAAAAGGATCTTGCAAATTGGCCTTGGCCTGTCCGCGACGAGCTCGCAATTGTTCCTGGTAACGAGCATCGTTGAGATCATCAGGGTGATACGTATCGCCGACCCGGTGAATCTTTTGGTATCGTTGCACGGCTTCCGTCACAGGCTTGCTCTTCTCTTCTACAAAAACAAACGGAACATTAGCACAAGAGCACTTGTGATTTCTCGTCCATCTCTCCCAATAAGATTCTATTATGGTTGAATTTCAACGTACTGCTGACTGATTCTTGAAGCAAAGCCAAGGTCGCTAATTCGATGCCTGTCAAGAAAATTGGATCAGTTTACATGAAAAAAAAAAAAAAAAAAAAAAAAAAAAAAAGGCAAAGGTGTCGGATCGATTCTTACTTTGAGTGTTGGATTGTGCTGGTGAAGTAGCATCGGTTGCAGCTGGTGCGTCGGGACGGGTGGACATGCATCGAGAAAGAACGGTGGGACGAGCCATCGTCGACAAGCGGGTCACTGCCCGTGTTGCAGCGTACATTGTTCGATGGGTGAAAAAAGGTCGATCGAAAGTGGAGATACAATGTTTTTTGGCAAGGGGAAACGGACCGGACAAAAACCCAAGTCACACCTTTGGCTTTTTTACACCCCGACCTCATGACTTGATCATGAATTCAGCATTAAAACGATGACAGGGCATTCATTATCTGAGCTTTATGAAAGCGACTGCTCGATGAAAATGGGTTAATATCATGGAAATGGAAAGGAAACTATCTTGTCATGAATAACGCTCCTACCCATAGTTCAACTGATATAGGAAAGTTTATTCATTCTCGTGGATACAGATCCATCTGTACCTTCCTCCATATTCTCCCTAACTGAACCGAATGGAACAGTTTTTGGTCCGTTGTGAAAAACAAAGTCAAGCGAAATAAGTTTTGGAAAAAAAGTCATTGACGAATAGAATTTGTGAAGCTTGTGGATAATTTATATGAAAGTGACTTAATAGGCTTCGTTCCTTATTCTGCTAAATGTTTTGAAAGTGCCTCTAAGAATAATTTAGATAGGAATTGTAAAGTGTCCATTTATAACGTTTTCTTTGTTGAGGCACGTTCCAAAACGTTTACTAGCGCAAGAAGGAGACAAATCCTTCGAAATCACCTGTCACATGCATCATGATTTCGTCACGAAATATACAAAATGAACACCGTGTGATTGCTGAAATATTTATTTCTTCCCTCTCTTTCCACTCTTCGTCATCTTAAAGTATGTGTTTTGTCTATTTTCTATACAAGCAACTTTATTGTCTGCGCATGTGTCTTATCTTATAAGTTAGTATGTCCGTTCTTTACGCCATCACGGCCATTACCAACTCGGCCATCCGTCCTGAAGACTGAAGACGGCACAAAAATCTCCCAGTGGTAATCAATTTCTGAATTGACTCTTTCCGAGAAACATATTTTACCAGCAGGCGCGTCACCATTTGCCGCGTGTCACATTTTTCTCCTTCTTGCTTTACTTGCTGCGCCTGCGTAGACATCGTCGTTTAAACCATTACGAAGAAGGATCGAAACGAACCTCTGCTTATCATCGAAGCAAGAAGGAAGGGCCCCTTTTGAATCGCATGGTGACGTTATTGCAAGCAAGCAAATTTCTTTGATGTTCTCTGGGAATCCTTTCGGGGTTGGTGCCGATGCGAACGCTGCGGAGGCTGTCTTGCGTTATGGAGAACGAGTATTATCCAATGTGGCTCAACTAGTTGGACATTATAAACCACATCGGCCATACAAAACATCCGACGTTCAATACGTTCATTGATAAGCACCATCGAGAAATGCTTCTCTGGTCTTTGGGCTCTCCGAATACGAGCACCGTAGGACTTCACACTGTGTGTGTATCATGCTTCATTTCAGTGTTTCGACGTCTGAACCTCATGCAAAATTGCCGTAAGTCTTGCTTTGTCTTCTGTGTGAGTACGCGTGCTTATTTTTTTTTCTTGATTATCTCAGCGTGTTCGCCATGAATAAAAAGTACTGGGAAGACGTTCAACGTCAAATGGAGTTCCTCATTCGACTAAATACAACATACACAAACTCAAGCCTTAGTACTTTGGCCGATTACGCTGAGACAGCAGAAACCGTGGCAAGCGCCATGCAGTGTACCACCCTCAAGCAAAACGGCAAGGGAATGCGTCCGGTTCATGATGATATTGAGGATGATGAAGATGGAAATGGCCGCGTCAAGGGGAAAGAGAAGGCACCCACATATACTGGGACACTGTCGATGACCACGATGCTGTCAATGACGAGGGCAACGGTATACCCTCACTCCATGACGTCGAACAACTGACTGGCTGCAACACGGCAATTTTCAACATTGGCTATAAAAAGATAAGGATGCGAGGTGCCTCGTGAATTGAGCATATCTCTCATTTTTTTCCAGCTGCTAGGCAAGCTGTGGACAGATGGCGACCGTTGCCTACTGGATCAAATCTAAGATACCCTTTCATCGGCCTGCACCCTCCTTCAGCAAAATACATTGCTCACAATCAAAGGAGGGGGCCTATGCCAAGCCGATGTCTATCGGCTAAAGTTAGTTTGCTTGGTGCAACAATTATTCAAGCAATCTCATTCATTTTTTTAGAAAAAAACTTCAAAAATAAAATACAAGTAAAAAAAGAAACGAAGTTTGATGGCACGTGAATACGTTCTTATCCTTGGACCGCTCGATGATCGTAGTTGAACATGCTTTTTTTTTCTGCAAACTCAGTGACTTTTTACTTTTTTCAAATGACTGTATTTGCAAAGGTTTTGAGAACTTATAAAAAAGAATTAAGGAGGCAAATAGAAAAAAAAGGAAGTAAAAAAACTAAGGTGAAAGGAGACGATGGAGAGTTTGTGTTGCGGGAGAAAAAATAAGGAGAGGGATAGGTGTGTCAATGTGGGATTAAGGTATGCAGAAAATTTTTAGTCTTCCTGATCTTCTTGAGCCGGTCGTTGCTTGAGAACGAGTTCAGCGCCCGTCATACGACGGTAGATGGATTTCACATCGTCACACACCGTCTCAAAGTGCGATGTCGCATCGTATGAACGGGAAACATACACTTGATCTGCTTGTCCGTCACCGAGAGGTTCCTCAATATCTGAAACGGTAATAAACCTAAATTCCCACAAAAACAAGTGAGTGATGCTGTTCAAGAAACGGAGTGTGCAAGGGGGGCAAAAATGGGGGTTGGGTAACAAAACTTACTTGTCATGGATGGAACCCAACAGTGCGAGACCAGCTTCAATCTCCTTTTCAGGCTCATCGGTTTCCACGAGGGTGGAGACGATGGCAAGGTACATATCCTTGGGGCACACGTTGTGGCTGCTCGAAACACACGCAACATACACATCGTGATTTCGACCCAACTGGTTCTGAGGAATGACAATTTGAGCCGAGTCGGCATCATGGGTATTGGGAATAGGATGCTTCAGGAAACAGATAGCTCGCACCACCTTGCCGACCGCCTTGACCTTTTCTTTGGCATACGATGGATCACAGATGATTTGTTTGGCTCTGGCCACTTCGGAACCCGAACGAACACCCACAGCCACTCCATTTTCGTACACAATCTCGTCCACACCGCGATCAAGCATATAAGTACCACCATAAATAGCGCTTAGTCTAGGTCAACAAGGCCACATGCGGTCAGAAGATCGTTCTCTTGCTTACTGTCGCTTTGATTCGTTCGTCATTGCTTACCTAGCAAAGGATTGAGGAAGTTCACCCAGACCGTGAAGGGGATAAATATAGGGGCTCTTTCCATATCGAGCGACGGATGCAGCGTAAAGGATGATCTTGTTCACGGTTTCTCGGGCAGGCTGGGCGAGGTAGCCATCATCGAGATGCAACGCCATGGCGTGACCAATGAAATCCTGAGTCGCCGGTTCAAGACCGAATTTATCATACACTTCCTTCATGGTGTTCTTTTGGAGATCCAAACCTTCGTGGGTGGACTCATCGTGATCTTTCCAGTTCTTGACGAATTCAAAGAATTTCTGCAAACGGCGCTTTTCCACCACACCCAACAGGGACGAACTGATGGCTTCGCCTTCGGTGGCGGGCACCTTGAAGATGTTACCATCCTGATAAACGTACGAGCCCGAGATTTGCTTGAACGCCAAATAACGAGTGACATCGGTGTGGGTCAGGAACCGCACAATTTCTCCGTTGGCCATCATGAACTTGGGAATCAAATCAATATTGTATTCCCGATCACGGCCCAAATCCGTAGGCACCGCACTGTCAGGACGATGCTTGCGATACAACTAGACACGACACAAGTCAAAAAAAAATGGGGAAGCTGAGGTGAGCGAAAGGAAGGAGTTTGATAAAGTCTACGGAGACGTGGGACCAAAGGGAGAAGGAAGGGAGGAAGGAAGGCCAAAGAACTATGTTACCTGAGTCAAATTGAGGGAAGCCGATTCTCCGCCATAATAATCGTTTCGATCCATATGCAAGACCTTTTTGCCTTCGACAGAAAAGATGCCGGAGAGAATACATTCGGTCAAACCGGTACCCAAGACAATGACATCGTATTGCTCATCCTAGATGACAACCATTCCCTCGGTTGGTCATTCATGTCGTTTCGGAATGACGGTGATACTTTTGGCGGACTTACCATTGTTTCGATAAAAAAAATACACAAAGAGATTAAGATAGACGGGCCAAGTGACCAAAGAAGAGGTTAAAGAAAGGTTTGAGAGAAAAGGAGGAGCTTTCGCTTGAGCCGAGGAGAAACAGGGTTTTTATATAACCAGGCCAGCGCCGAGGAGAGAAAGTCAGACTAAAAACGCGCATGGTGAACGTGTCAAAATGGTAAAGGGGATGGGCACCATATCCGCATTTGGAAATCCGGGATGCGACTTTATCTGACCAGCTCATTCACGCGCAACGGTGCAATATATGGCCTACCGCCTCGGCTTTGTTCACCGTCCGCGTTCTCCTCCAGTCTCCAAAAACAACGTTTTCATTTTCTTCTCATGTTAATCCCACTAAAAAAAAACTTCACAATATTTATCCTATCATTTGTCCGATCACATGGTGTGGATCGCTATTATCAATGACAGCAGAGTTTGTTGTCAGCTATCCTATCAGTGCAATGAAACCATGTCATAACAACAATAAACATCAATATAACCAGACCAATGACACCTTAGTGGACCAACAATGCACTGCATCATGGACCACATCAATCCATGTTCATAATTGCCTACAGCATCGGTCACTGCATCGACCACAGCGTAGACGGCACCAGAATCGTTTTGTCACGCCAAAAAAGAACCGCATGGAATAGAGAAAAAAACAGGCCACGTGGGATAGAAACCTGATCAAATGTCAGATTCTTGTGTAATGGTCGTGTATATTAAAAGGTAAGATTGAATGGGCTCCATCAACCTGAACTATTGGAAAAAAAAAAAGGAAAAGACGAGTAACGCACGAATTATAAGAGTGAATACATGTATCGTTTTGGTGTAAGCTTATCAGTTCCAAAATTCATTTTGAGAAGTTTGAGCCCCTTTTTATCCGTCCACCACGACACTGACAAATAGAATGCTTCGTCGCGGCAGGCTTGGGACGCTTTTCATCTGCAGTCAGTCACCGAAATGACATATCAATACCATCGATGATTCAATTCACCTTGAAATCCATCGGGGCTGCGTGCGAAAAAAAAAAAGAAAAAATAACAACAAAATGAGCAAAGTTGTTGTCTATCTTGGTTTTATAAAAAGCAAAAAGAAAACCCCTCTCGTTTATTTTTTTCTCTTTATACCCGATTTTTATTCTTTTGTATTTTACTCTTTGCTCTTTATCGGAAAGCGTACCATTTATCAGTATCTTTTTTTTTGTTTTCATTCTTCTTGCGCAATGGCAAAATCTACACGGTTGTATCGACTTTATATAGGCAATGGAAACTGGGTGAATCTCAGTCCAGAGGCGACACGTGATTTGTTGCAGATCTACGAAACCGGCGTCGCTACACGATATCAGTTGACTGCCGGCCTTTGCATCGATATCTTGCCCAACGATGTCGATTGTAACAGCAAAAACACAGATTTACCCCGCTTAATGCGCGCGGATCTGTGTTACACGGATGGGGAACACCAAACCCATCAACAATTATCATCGTTTGTCAAGGACTTGTTGGAATCCCAAGGCATCATGGATGCATTTCCTCCCGTCAAGCCTGGGGACGCTTTGCCAAAGATCACCGACCTGGAACCCCATCGTCACCTGAGTCTTGTTCCTACCCCGCTGAATTCTGCCCGTCGCACCGTTCGAAAACCCAAAGAAGAAACCGTGGCCGAAGCAGAGGTGAAGCGGTATCCGATCTTTGAAAATACGCTATCGCCCATTATAGGGTATGAGAAAAAGCGACCAAGAAATGCGGGAGGAGGAGCGTCAACAAGATCCAAACGTAAACGATCCGTTCCAGACAAGCAATCACCTTCCGCATCCATCACCATCAACCGTGCGAATACAAGGCAAGACAAGAAATCCCATTTCCCCATTGGGTTGCCAAGCGCCTCGACCACGACAACCACACCCACATCCACTCCCACCCCCGCCACTAGCAGTGCCGTAGCCAATCATGGTGCCCATCCAATGGTCGTCAATGCAACCAACTCGTCGCCTATGGATCCCTTGCGTATGACGAACGCCAGTGGTTATCGTTCTTCGGCCATGCCACCCACAAGCTGGGTGAACTATCCCGCAAGAACTTACGATGCCACCTCATTTTCTTGCCAAAAGCCGCCCTACAGTAACCTGCCCTATTCGCCTTCTTCCATGCTGCTGTATTCCCCCGTCAATGGTTTCCGTCAAGCCGCACCGTCGCCGTCGTCAAGGCACGCCATGGATTCCGAGTATCAGTCTATGTATCATCATCCTCCATCGCTTTTTCCCACCACCGAGTCAGCTTCCCACCACGGCCACAACTACTCGGCCATGATGACCGAGCCCCCCATGCTCGGATCGCCATCCAGTGCAGAAAACAAGAGTATGCGAATTCGGCCGGTGAATCCGTCGTACCCTTTCCAGCTTCCATGCTCGGATCCTTCCACGGCAGCCAATGCGCCTGCCACAGGTCCATGGATGGATCGCGACTTGTGGCTTGAAGGAGACTCCCATCCTTCGTCACTCGCTCCATTCACTTCTGACGTAGGTTACGATCACGCTACAGATGCCATGGTATATCAACATCATTCGTCGTTGTATCAACCGGCGCTCACGGATCCTCCCCGCTACAATGTATCGATGATGCACCTCGATTCATCCTCCGCCTCTAGTGTCACGGGCGATCCGACCTTTTCGCATGATTCCAGCCATCTCACTTCCTTGGCAGACAGCTTATTCAACAATTCAATGAATGAATACAATACCAAATCCTTTGATGGCACTGACACGTCTCAGCGTCCCTTGAACTCCGTATTACATCATTCCGCTACACCTCCTCCTCCTCCTCCTCTTGCTCCTTTACCTCCTCATTCTTCTTTTTCCTCTTCCTCTTCTTCTTCCTCTTCTGCAAGTTCTTCGGCTCCTCCTCAATTGATCGCTTCTCCTTCCTGTATATCCAATGCGGCTCCGGAAACTATTGCCAAGTCAAGCTCCTCGTTAAGAAGCACCAGTACTCAATCCACCCACGACTAACCCAACTACTATGAAAATATGCAAATGCAATTCCCATCTTTGTCATCCTTGTTTTTGGCCCTTTTTTGTTCATGCGTGTATGTTATTTCTGGTTTTAGATCATTGTTTCATGCGTATTTTTCTTTCTTCTTGTTTCTTCTTCCCTCCTTTATCCTGCAACAACAAAATGAAACCTTAAATCTCTACATAAACAAATAAAGAAACCCACAGATGATTCAAAATCGCATTGAACACTGAAAGATATCTCGGGCTGTCATCGATGCACATTGATGGATGTGCTGAGCATGGTCCTGCCACGCTTTCCCAAGTTGCCGTTGTTTCACCAAGTAGTCTAGATACATAATGACCAACTGGGCTTTCTCAATATCTTTTTCTTGCACCAATTCTTGGATGTATTTCGTCACTGTTTCCACATCTTCCGGTTCCGGCGCTTCGGGGAACGAATCCATCCATTGCCGTAGCAATTCGCGAATATCTTCCAGACGACTTTTTCCCATTAGTATCGGTTCCCGGCGTTGAGGAATATCCAATACTGGCGCCGCATTGTTCAAAAGCTAATCAATGCATTGGTTAATTTGATGGGTTTACAGAGGGTAATATTTTGCTCTGTTTTTTTTTGGAGTTTTGTTGATACCTTGTTATGACGGGCTTGCCGAAATTGTTGGTTCACTTGATCCTGCTTTTTCCGTTCCTTTTCCAAGCGACGATCTGCCAGCAATTCTCTCCGGATTTCTGGGCACATTATTTGGTGCAAAAAAAGAAAAAAGATGCAATGTCAAATTTGGATATTTTTCTTCCGTGCCATGTCACATTGGATTGCTTTTGATGCCATTCGAGTTACCTGTCGGAAGTTCGTTCCAGATATCAAGATCCCACGGAACCTCGTCCGCGTGATCATTTTTGTCAGTGGGGCTGTCTTTTATGTCATCACGAGGATAGCGTCGATTGGGACTGGGCGGGAACATTTGCGTCAGTGTGATTCCCGCCTTTTTCTCGGTGACCGTGCCGCGTTTAGACCGATTTCGGGGACTTCCGAGAACAGTAGAGGTTGTTGCCACGGACGTTGGCCGTGAGCGTCTAGGGGATTCTGGCGACGCCGATATAAGCCTCGAGGTTCCTCTTGATTTCGGCTTCTTGTCCACTTTGCTGTACGCTTCCAACACTTGCTTTTGCATCGTATTAGGAAGCGCTAACAGAGACGTTGGATCCAACTGGGACCACGGAGGGAGGCCGGCTAAAGATGACAACAATGAACTTGGCGGTGCATGATGATCATTGACATGACTTTCCGATTCCGCCGCCTCTTTTGACAATGGTGAATTTCCAATATCAGGCAATGCTTCAAGCTGCTGGGTCGTCTGTTGTTGTTCTTGGATAAACTGCAAATCATAGTTTTTGGATAAATGGCTTTGTATATCAGTCGGTAACTCTGTAAACACTTGCTGATCGACTTTCTGTATAAAATAAACCAACGATCAATGAAACAGGTCACGCATGTATTTATCCATGAATTTCCAACTTTCAATACCATTGGTAACTTTTCAGTTTCGGTTGTGGTGGGCGTCTGTGGCTCTCTTTCAGGCGAGCCACTTTGTTGTGGACGAGCAGTAAATTCGAGAGTAGCTTGACTTGCTACAAAGAATTGGAAGAAAAAGATGAAAAGCAAAATAAATGGACTGCCCCGCTGAGCGACCAACTTCTTTGAACGTACCTGAAGGTCGATGGGTCTCGCTTTGATCTAGTTTCTGGATTTGGATGCCGACACCACGGATATCGGCAGTGGGTATATTTAATGATCGCAGTAATTGGTATGCATGCTTGTTGATAATAGAAGCATCGTCGGTATAGTTATCCAGTGTAATGGATTTTGAATAGCTGTCGCATTCGCCACAGCCAAGGTATTTCTCCGCCTCGCCTGCATCCGCTCGCCGACGTAATAACTGCAAACCAGAACCTGAGCTCAGCCCAATGTCGGATACATCATCCATGGCATCTCAGTTGTTTACCTTGAGCGTTATGCTTTTTCCTCGACGATCGATATTTCTCAGTCGATTGCTCACTTCCTCAGAAAGACCAATTAAAAAGCTCTAAAGACCATTGACCTCGTTAAGCGTCTAATGGATATGATAAAACGAGAAGGGTGACAAGATTTTTACCTTTGCTTGCTGATCCGTCTCAAATCGCACACCCCACTAAAAGAGTGGTCAGGGTTCGGATGCGTTTTGTGCCAAAAAGTTGGGCCAACACTTACATTTACTTCGGCGCTGACGGACTGGCGGGGCTGGTTGGTGATCAATGGCCGATCATCAATGCCTCGAGAATAATCATGCAACATGCGGCCTGTTTTGGTACCGAACTTGGTGGAGAGTTCCGACAAGTTGGCTTTCGAAAGATCACCGATCGTTCTTATACCCTATGGAGCCCGGATGAATACGTCACGAAACGGTGTCTTACTCGTCTACGCATGGGAAGCAAGGGACATAACAGAAAGAAAAATAAAATAATATAAAAAGGAGTGGTCTATTTTTTTTTACCATATCATTCAATTTTGAGCGCAAGACATAGCCGACCTTTGAGAGATTGACAGAAAAAAAAGACAAAATGAATAAACTACCATCAGAGGAAAACCGTATTTATCGTACTTACACCTGGTAAAGCAGATACGTCATGATCCTTGATGATGCTCTCTGCTTCCTCCTTTCTGCAGTAAAACTGACCGCACGGTTTGGCTTTCTTTGTTGCTAATCTAAAATAATATCAAAATCGATACGCGGGTCAACCAGCCAAAATCATTTTCCCACCCAAGGATCACACAACTTTCTTACTTTGCAAACAAAATATTGGGTCCAATGCCGATACTCGCTTCGCAGCCTGTCCTTTTGCGAATGTCATCTCTGATTTGAGTGGCGAGGGCTTCTTCTTGTCCGGTGTTGGGTTCCGTAACATAAGATGCCACTTCCATTAATGCTTCATCCACACTGACTGCTTGGATCTCGTCAGCATATTGGAAAAGTATCTATCCAGAACATGGCTTCAATATTCCGTATTGGCAGAAAAAAAGGGTTCATTGAAATATTACTTCGTAAAAGATCTCCGAAATGGCCTTGTATTTGTCAAATTCATATCTATGGACGAGGGTCCGTTAGAATTCATGTTGTTTTTTCTTCCTCCATGTTTGCTTATATGAAACTTACGGAATGACTTGTAAATCGGGACACAGCTTTTTCGCCGTACCAATGCTACCATCAATTATTCAGTATCCAAGGATCAGAGACGAATCCCGGTTTTGTTACTCACTGCATGCCATTATGAACCCCAAACGAACGAGCGATATAATTACAAGATGCTGTCACAGATAGCGAGCGAGAGAACAGAGTCAGTATTTTTTATTTTGTTCGATTGGATCGAAATATTTGTTCAGTGTACCTATATCACTGGATGACGTATCTTTGAGGCCTTTCCCATGCGATACAGCAACCTAACATATGATGTAAGGACACACTGGAGCAATAACTGACTAACACCCAAAAGTGGACTTACTGGTTTATCTTTGAGATGGGGACGATCTTTTATGCCGACGGAAGCAAAAAAGCAATCAAAATCGACATGCCTAAATGGAAATGCGTATTTAGATTCTACAACGGTCCGCACCGTCTTACACAGTTCATTAAAGTATTTACGTACATAACAACCCGCAGTCCATCAACACGTTTCCGTTTGCGACTGCCGTTGGGATCCGATCCAGCCGGAAACTTTTGTTCCATGTTGCGTACAATCTCTTTGAGCTCGGCTTTCCATGTGGATAAATGATGCAAACGCGATGATTGGTAATATTTTTTGATGAAATCGGGATTGACGGTGCTCGTTTGTCGATTCCATTGGTTGGACAGTAACGCAGCATTCAATTCTTCGCCTTTGGGTGAAAATCGATTCTGCTCTTTTAGCGCATTCGTATCTTTGACATTGTCTAAAGGCGATGGCGGCGATGGAGGTGCTTTGGAGGATTCCGAGGCAGCTGCAGCAAAGGGGAGTTCTTTTTGTGCCGATTCATTGGCAATGACCCGATAGGATGACCATGGTAACAATTGCTTAGCATTCACTGAATCGACGATCCATTGAGGTTTCACAACCTTGTACGCCCTGAATGCAACGTCGGCTTCTTAATTAAAATGCACCCATGCAGCAGTATTGATCCAATGCCACCTTACCTTAGCTCATTAATCTTTGCATTGGTCAAAGTAGAAGCAACGATATGTGTCACTTGCTGCTTTTTCACTTAAGAAAACAACCAAAAAAACGACAATGAATTCATCAACTTATCGAGTGGGTCATTTTGAATTCGGGGAAAAGCGATCGCTTACAGTAATGTTGGAAATCGCCACCGTGCTGAATGATCAAGCGACGCAATTCTGTGCGAGAGGGTATAGTGTAGCCATTAATGTGAATTGAGCAACCTTCAAATATAGGAACACACGGCTCAGCCGACGGTTCATGCCTACATTGGCAATAAATGGTCCATGCTCAACTGAATGGTGTGTAATAGATTGATTCTATGCTATTCGGGCTTACACTGCCTTTTCTTGTTCTTTCAGTTTGGCTTTTTTATTTTGCATGTATTTGCGGAATTCACCAAACTTGATGGCACCATAGGGATCTTGATCCGCCATGGCCAACGACCGCAGCACGAAAAAGGGAAGAAAGGGTCAATGCTCGAAAAGGAAGGTGAGCGGAGGCGGAGCGATCAAAAAAAACGATGGGTCGGAAAAATGTCCCGTCACGGACCACCTTCTTTTTTTTTTTGTACCGGTACATTCAGCTCTTCCATGGCGAAGCACTAAATGCAAGCCATGATTTATCCAAGAGAACCTATCGACGATGAACCCGAAGCAGGGTGCAAGCTGATGGACGGCTTTGCTATCTTTATTCAACTCTGTTTAGCCACTGCCGCCTTCTCCACCCTCATCATTAAACGTCAAAGAGAACATCCTCAACGTCCAGTTCGCATTTGGTAAGTCAATGAGTCTTCGAGTGGGGTACTGTGTGGTAGTGTCTCTTTACCTTTTACTAATTGCCTTGGTTTTACAGGGCTTTTGATGTGAGCAAGCAACTCGTAGGTGGTATTGTCATTCACTCACTCAATGTGGTTGCGTCGTACTTTTTTGGCGTTCAACCAGAAGCAGGTCAAGGGTCAAATCCTTGTGTGTGGTAAAGTATCGTTGGGCTCGGAAAGACGGTGTAGTATTGAAACCTTGGATTCTCATGCGTGGTTCCTAAACTAGGTATTTCCTGAATATTTTTGTGGATACGACTTTGGGTGTGGTGATCTTGTGGAGCGTTCTCCTGGGATTCCGATATTTCACCGGGAAACTTCAATGGTCGGGATTTCAAAGTGGGGTATACGGTGATCCGCCATTCCAAGAACAGATCAAAGCATGGTCCAAGCAGTTGGCCGTGTACATTATCAGCTTAATTATCATGAAAATTATCGTCGTCGCTATCTTTCATCTGTGTCCGTGGATATCCGATTTTGGCCGCTGGGTCCTTCAATGGACCATGGGAAATTATAAGCTGCAGGTCGTCTTTGTCATGCTAATGTAAGCTTTATATTTCTGTTTTCATCTCATGTTCCTTGATCTAACCATTACTGCAGTTTCCCCTTGGTGATGAATATCATCCAGTTTTGGGTCGTCGATACCATCGTCAAACACAAAGCGGACCATGTCACCACCATCCGACTGATGCACGATCAAGAGGATGCAGAAACCTTGCTGCCACGACAAGATCTAGATCAAGAGGAAGGAGATGTTTTATTGGGACCCTTGCCGGATCATGAAGATGAACGGGACGCATTATTAACAGCGCATCGTACAACAACTTCCTTTGAAGAACCTGTGGGTAAGCAAGATTTTAATCCTACGGCAGCGGGTCTTCGTCGATCGGTGGATGATCGATAAAAAATGGCTCTTATCATCTTCATTCTCCTCCTCCTCTTCCTCTTCTTGTTCTCCTTCATGCATTTATACCCTTGTATTGCATTGTATAGAATTTTTTTTTTGTTTCAACCTATTCGCATACATCTTGGCTTCTCACTTTTTTTTATGTGTTTCCGCGCCCAATGACAAACCAATAAAATTTGTGCTCTCGTTTCCCTGCTGACAGCTATCTTATTCCACGTTGCATCTCAACTTTTAGGTTCGACGATCGATGCTGGTTGTCACAAAAGAAAGAAAACGCCTTCCGATAAGGCAGCCAAGCCAACGGGTACTAAGTTGCCTTATCTTTCCCTTGTAATTGATTTTCTTTTTTATAAAAATACTAGCATAGTATCATACAGTAGAAGAGCAAGGGTGAGGGAAAGAAGAGGTAAAGTCATTGCATGACGGTTGGCACTACTTTCGTCTGGTTGGGCCGATAATCCATGCACGGCGTCCTCGTTCTCCGAAGCCTCAGCAACGATAGGTATAAGTTTTTGGCCCTGATGGTACCCTGTGGTGTTGAATGAAAACTTGTCGCCCACATAGCTTAGCTGTTGAGCGGCTGTAATAAGAAGAAGAAAAAAAAGATACTTTGCATAAGTATATATTGGTCGGTACCGTTAGGTGGCTCAGAGAGACTCTTACAAGCTTTATAAGGAGCTGGGTCGTTCAAGCAGCCGTCTAATCGTACAGCAGTGTACCCTTCGTCGTTGAGTGCTTTGATTACATTGGGCACGGCCTTGAGGGACCCAGTGGATGGGACATCGTATTGAATGGATATAAAAGATCCTTTGGCATCATATGTATCTTTTTGATGTCGGAAGGCGCGCACATATTCTTTTTCAATGGATCCGCCATCCTTCAACTGGTAGTCCTTACTGTCGAGATTATAGCCTACAAGGACAAACCCGTTTTGATGCAGCAAATGTTCGGCTCGCACATCCAGTGGGCTGGGAGACGTGGCAGTGTAATGCATTCGGACGTATTTCGGGGCCATCCCAATCAATGTTTCAATCATGTACGCTTGATTAAGGATATCATTGACCAGCATATCGTCCGTCACCGATTCGGTCCCGCGTTCCTCCAAATCAAAGGGAACCCGGTAAGTCATCCCGATCAAATGACCAGCATGATACAAATTCTGCACGACCATTGCATACTGCTGGGCATACATCATGGATGCATTGATAAAAAAGTTGCCCCGGGCTTCCGCTTGGTTCAGCTGTCGAGCAATCCCGGCTGTTGCATCACTCGGTCCTTCACTCTATGCAATAAATGACAAAAAAATAAATGAACGCTGTGGCTTTTATCTTTGGTCGCAAATTGTTGGATACAAACGTATGTTAACGCCACCTGTCCATGGGTCCTGCAACCTGTTACTTGCGGAACTGGCGCGCTTAGATCGATCTGGATAGGGGTTGGATCCTCTGCCTCCATGGTGGATGTAGGTCCGGGCACTTTCTCCGATGAATCCTCGGCATCAAGCTCATCCTCTTGAGTTTCCGCTTCTTGTGAATCCGGTTGACAACAGATGAGACACACGATATTGAGATGGAAAAAGACAAGTCTTATCCTTGATCCCTGAACTGCACTACTTACTTTCTGTTTCGGGTTTGGAAGCGTCGATGTGCATTTTGGTGGGAGTCGACGGATAGGTGTTGGGAGACACCTTGTGAGATGGATTCGCTGTCAATGGACCTGTTAAAGGAGTTTTCAAGCGTCGTTGCTGCTGCGCTTTTCCTCTCTCAGTTTCGTCGCCAAGTTCATGGTCCTCCTGTTCTTCTTCGTCTTCTTCTTCCGTCTCTGGGACTTCATGATGGACAGGCCGCGCTCTTTCGTGAGCTGGACTACCTATCGTTGCCCAACGGTGATAGACGGTTCTCGTCATGACAGGCCGTCGAGCGACGGTGTCTCCCACCGGAGATAAAACTGAACTGGTGCTTGTCACTACACCTACGAAAGACGATACCAGCACTACTACTGATTCATCCGTATTAAAATAAATATCCCTCCTTTTTTTCCGTTGGCCGGAACATACAAGTTCGTCAACGTACATGCTAATGCTACAGGAGGCAGTGAGCGCATCCTATGTATTTCTAATGGGACGGTTTATGGACTGACAGAGGTAAAAAATAACATGGTACATTCTAGCTTTATAATCTTGGCTTGACTGAAAAAAATTTCCGTGCATTCCGAATCCTATTATTATTGGGGTACTTTTTTTTTTTTTTTTGGTTTAATTCATCAGTATTAACGAGAAAGACGTAATGTTGCTTCTACTAATGTTTGTTTATATAAAAACCAGACTGGTTCATCGCTGACATCGTCCAAGGGTGAAGCGCAAGGCGTTTGATCACCGGAAGTTTCGTAATTTCCAGTATTCTGTCCTTCCAAATACCCCATGACCAACGCGTTGAGGAGTTCTGCTTGGGAATCACTGAGGTTCATATCGGACATCCCCGTGAAACTTAACCATCGCTCGCCCAATTCTCCAAACAACGAATCACCCGATATCTTTTCGGGCCCAATGATCACTTGGGCTTTTTGCGCTACTCGCATCGCTTCTTCCAATCCCCGCGTTCGATACGCTTCATTCATCGCTTTGGTGTAAGCCGCTTTGTTCAAATTCTACGGTACAAAGGTGAGCTCCTTTGTCGCGGATTATTTGGTTTTGGGGTTTCGTCGCTTACCATGAGGCACACCCTGCCAAATCGTTCAATCACTGTTTCAAAAGACAAGTGTTGCCATCCTCGGTAAAGATCCGATATGCTGGGATCAAGTACCATTTGTGACTTCCACTGTGCTTCCTGTTGCTTCGCTTCGACAAACAAGTCAATGGCAATATGATCATTATTCTCAGCAAAGCTGCGAAGCGCTTTGGCTACGGTCAGGCCAATCGAAACATAGGTCTCAAATTGATTCCACACCAAGGCAAAATCGGGATCCCCGCGAGCCTTGGCTTCATTTATCATCGGCTTTTCCTTCGTTTCTGCATCCGATGCAGAATCACCCGTCTAATGCAATAAAAGTTAAGATACCATCCCTTGTGGAGCGAGGTTTGAATCAAGGAAAATACTTACGCATTCTACATTCGCGCTGCTGTCGTCAAGCCCATACAGAAGCAATATGCGCTCCAAAGTTTCCTGATTTCCACTCTTTGCAAGGAAAAAGATTATGCTATGTAGATCAACGGGAAGTCAATGAGTTGAGCTTATTTCTACTTTGTTGTATTCTTTTTTACCTTCTCATGAATCGGTAATCACTGTCATCGAGTTGCTGTACTCTGTGCATTAGGACAATGGTGGTGTTTCGGATCTTGCTGAAAGGGTTATTAACGGCAACGGATCGGTCATCGTCGTCCCATGTCTCTTCGATCGGTGACATGGATCTCTCAATCGAATACCGCTGTCTGTCATTCATATTATCGTCCACTTCCAAGGTCATATCATGCATTTGTCTGTCAAGTGTCTGTTGATCATTGGCAAAGTCCACTTGTCGCATGAAATCCTCGTTGTCCGAAGCGATGAATGACTAAAAATATGCAATAAGATAAATGTCGACAATGGACTTGCGTTTGCCCTTTCTTGTACCTGTAAGCTTTGTGGTATCGCATTAATTAGATCCGTTTGTGAAACAGTGGTAATGTGGCGGTCGACATAGAGCAATGCAAAGGGGGTGGTTGTGTCATTGAACACTACGCCTTCCGTGACCGGGGTAACGATGGCATCAGCGAAGCGATACCATCCTGCGTCGGTTTCTATATCACACAACAGATTTTGCTCACTGGGCTCAACCCAGATGTAGGCCCAATAGTGTCCAGCACTTGATATATTATCGTGGTAGAGAATAGCGCGTAAATCGTACGGTGTTTTCTGTAATTCGGGAACATTGAACAATGTTTTCAGGACACTCGATCGCTCGTTGTATGTCTTTTGCAAATCTATCAGCATAAAAGGGTCAGCTTTTTTTCCCCGAAACTGTCAAAAGAAATACAATCAGATCGTGACATGTCTAACCTTCCAACCGCTGGTCAATGTAGTTGCGAGCATTGTGTAACATGTCACGTACAAGTTGCACACGTTCCGTCAAAGTTGGGTCCGACTCATCGGATGTTGGCAAGCTCTCAAAGTATCCCAGTGTGTCGCTCAATAGTTTTCGTTTATCATACTTGAGTTCGTCCTAGGTGAACCATCCCGGTTAATATTGGCTTGTTGATTTTAATTATCTGGCCGCTCAAATATTGGCTTACCTTGATTTCCGTCGAGCGAAGCATTTCCATCTCCTTTTTGATGTCCCCAATTTCTTTCTTGTAGCTTTCAATTTGCTGATGGATGCTGAGAGCGATGTCCCTGTTTTTATGCAAGTAACGATCCATGTAAATGGTTTTATCTACAGTGTAAAGCGGCCGATCGGAGGAGGAAAGCGAGTCATTCAGGGACCGATTCTCCAACGTGACAAAGAGCAGCGGTGGAATTTCGTGGAAGGTGGTCAGTCGATACCGATGCGGGATTTCTGGTTCGCTGGAAGAGTCGCTATTTACACTGCAGGTATCGGCATCTTTGTTTGGTTTTTCATGGTTTTCATATACAAGAGGGTCCAAACAGTCGTAAAACGTAGTCATGTACTCGTTGTATCCCAGAGAGAGATAATTGACCTCTTCAAGGTCGGGTTCGTACGGATACCGGACTTGCGCTCTCAAACGTAGCAAACTGCAGACCAGCCAAAAAAAAAAAAAGTCAGACATCCACTGCCAACCAACATGGCTACCAAAAAGGATCTCAAAAACTTACTCACGGAACCTTGTTTCGACGGCAGGCTTTCCATTGGCGTAACATTCTTCCAGACACTGAAACAATGCATCCAGAAACTCTGCACACGTATTATAAAATGGTTAAATATGGGAATAAAACCGGATCGTTAACCTCGTACCTTCCACGCTTCGATCCGAATACTGGCCCCACGAAGACGACATGACTTGATCATTCAAAGCTTGAGTCAAATGACTGACGTTGGCATATCGTCGTTTGGTCAATAACATGAACGCTGACAGTTTTTGCAGCTCAGCCATCACTGTATGACCGAATTATCCCAGCCAAGAAAAGAAATGAATAAATAGCGAGCATCACTGAATCATTTCATCAGAGACTTACCTCTCTCGCTTTTGGATAACGCTTTCATGGCATACTTTGATGTTTCGGGTTCAGAGGGGCCATTGGACGGGTGGAATGGGTTGTGGGAGGCATAGGGAAAGGAGGAATTCGGGTGATCGGTGGAGGAAATTCTGGGTTCCAGTGTAAACGCGCCCTGGGAAGGATCTTCGGTTGGGTGAAATGTGCGGATGGGAATAGCTTCGCCTGCTCCTCGCCAATAAGATAAAGGCGAACCCCACGCATCTGGAACCGGTCGATAAGACATCAATAAGTAACGGAAAAACGATACATGCAATAAAGACTGCAAAAACACAGGAGCAAAGGCAAAATCCCAAAAGGGTGGTCGAAGGCCCGTAGGACTAGATCAATAAAACATAGAAATGGTCAGCCTCAAATAAAGCGGGATAGTTGATGCATTGGGGGAAAGGATTCTGAAGGCATACTCACATGGAACTTAGTTTCATGCGTTGAGTAGGATCGTCGGGATCCCGCCACGCCGTCACGGTTATTCTTTCATTTTCTCGCCAATTTCCTGGAGGTGGGGTTATTGTTTCCTGCAAGACAGATTATAGGAGAGATCAAAATCTGCATGTCGCTGTGAAGCTATGTGTTCAAAAAGGCCAACCTTGGGTGTAAATGGGACCACGCTCCACATGGCTGGATCACGCCACGCTTGATCATTGTCTTGTTTGTTCCAATGGACTGGCTCGGTTTGCTCTTTTTCAAGGGGATCCATGTCGTCCGGTCCATCTACATGAGACAGATCGCCCATCACTTTATCAGCTGTGGCCTTTTGGATACGTTCCACTTTGCTCGACATGCATACCCTTCTCTTTCCATGATGAACCACTATTGTGAGTTGATGTATTGGATAGAGTTTCCGAGGATGATAATCCGCTTGGAGGATCCCACCGTGGAGTGCTATTTTGTTCTTCTTCGGCATTGATCTGCCGAGCCAAAGCTTCGTCTGATAAAATGGCGGCAGTTCTCTGATAGTCGACAATGTGTGAATTGAGTTGGGCTGGTGGGGTGAAATGGCTGATCTACTTTTTCTCAAATCCTTACGTCATTTTCGTCTTCTTCGTCTTCTTCAGCCAATCCTGAGAAAATGTAATCGGCAGCTCGAGCAACGTCGTAATTGTAACGCTAAATGCAAAAGAGTTTTAGTGCCAAACTATTCCACGGGGCTATTTTGTTTCCCAGAACGTTGCTCACCTGCAAAGCTTTTAAGGCTTGGTTTCTGGTTACGCCCTAAAGGAAAAAAGAATAGAGAAAGCAAATGGTCCATGTTAAGTATAAGAGATAGTGGAATAGCCCGCAAACCCAGGGAACCCGCCCGGAAAACCGTGGCACAGACGGTGGTTGTGTTTCAAGTGTATACCGAGTGCAGTAGCTAGTTTAAGTAGAAGAGAATGAAAATCTCGGTACATACCAACTCCAGCAGTTGGACAATCGCAGCTTCGAGAGATTCATCGGACGGCATCAAGTTTATGCACGACGATAAAGCGGACAATGGCCTGACAAGCCGAACCAGGCTCTCTTTTTGGATGTCCCAATTTTTTGTGACTTGTCATTTGCTCAGCATTCGAAATTCCGTAATATCTTGGCATGAAAAATCTCTAATCCATGCTTCAATACACGTTAAGAAAGGTTCATGGATACGAACAAAGGCTGATAACCTCTGTAGTGTATCAAACTTTTTAAAGCATGTTCTTCTTATAAGGGACCCCACGCAGGTCAATTTCATGAACAGAGGAATATCATGCATGCATGGTAGATATCAATATTAAAGACAAAAAACAAATGATAACACCTTGTTTTTGGTTCGCATTAGCCAGACTACTGTAGTCTAGCAGGTAGTGATGAGCACTATTTTGCGAAAAAGAAGAGTAGTCCACTTAAAATTTCATCCCGCTGCTTCAAGCATTTATGGACAGTTAATCGTTCGCAGTAGGAATTAGGGGCCATTCCCCCATGCCGATCTTCCTATAGCAGTAGCAGCACCCGCGGTATCCCATGGGACCAGTTTTTGACTGAACTGATGCTAAGATTCGGACTCTAATGGGAGTAAGTATGATCAACATGATAATTATTTTTATTCGACCAAGTGCCATTTGTCGTTTCTAAAAAGCAAGTTCGTCGAAAGGCACAGTGGTCGTCATACGTAGTTTATCACAAGGGTAGGAAAAACGGTAGTGATTCTGGCGTTGCGAATCACCTTGGTCAGCATCGGTGGGCTGCTCACAGACTGGAGCCGATTCATCGAGTAAGAGTTGGATAGCGGCGTCTCTTAAATCTTGCACTGCAGCCATTTTTGGATATCGCCATGCCAGCAGCTCATCTTTTGGTTCTTTGGACGCCGTAGGTTGTGGGAACAGGCGAAATACCGATCCTGATAATCGACGTTGCGCATAAGCAGAGGCACTATCTTGCTTTTGTCGGTGTAACAATGATTTCGTCGATGACATCCAAAGAGAGATTCCAGAATCTCTTTTATAATACCGTGTGGATGACGATTCTGCAATTTTGTCACTGTGAGATAGTGGATCGCGCATGCTTCCATCGGCACATGTCATTTTTGTATGTCGGAGATCAAACAAGGCTTGACGAATCATGGATGATTTCTCTTCTTTATATTGCTCGTAAGGGATGCTGGGGCACCAAGATGTGTGCTTCAAGACATATTCAGACGTCGGTCGAGGCCGTGATGCAGGTGTAGGAGATTCAGGGGACGGTGGTGATCGATGGTTACGCTGGAGTTTCAAACAATAGGATTTTCCTAATCGGATCCACCGCGAAAGGGTTTGCAAAGGTCGTTTATCCTTGATACCAATTTTCTTTGGCGATAATGGTAATATATCTACTTTTCTATCATTGAGGAGGGGTTGTGGGTGATCACTCGGTGGAATGGGGAATTCATCGTAGATAGTGTTATCTTGAATCAGCTCTTGGTTCGTTGCTCCGAGGTCCAGCGGAATCAGGGATTGTATCTCCGCCTTCCGTTGCTGCTGTAACTGGAGTTCCAATTTCAGCATTTCACGTTGCGACTCGACAAACGATGCGATATGCGTGAATCTTGATCTTCGATAATGGACGGCGTGCTGCAGATAAATGATAACAAGAGAAAAAAGCCTAAATGAGTTTCGGTTTTCTTTTTCTCACACAAAGCAAGTGAGATCTCAGCTGGTTCGAAAAATAGGAACATGCCAGTGGCAGCCGGAAGGCATTCCGAACCATTGCCATGACAGTCATGGACAACGTTCGAATCTGCTTTCAGCGCTGCTTTTGCACACTTTCTTTTTTTGTTCAGGTATGAAAGCTGAGGTGATTTATCTATTTATACTTACTTGTTGAGTGTGGTATTGAAGGTTTTTCGTGGTGAGCGGACTGACAAAGGAATCCATGGATCGTTTATGCGATGGACAGCCTAGTCTTTCACATGATGAGAAAGAAGCATTCTTGGTAGGTTGTATTCGCTGTTCCAGTATTGAAAAGCCTGTAGCCTGTAATTCTTTGGAAGCGACTGACTTGAGCGGATAGTGCGGAAGGTCTAATGGTTGTAGCGAAGGGCACGAGTGTCGATGTAACGATGATCTTTTCATGGGAACCGCCGTATATAAGAAAGAAGATGGTAATAATTTTTAAGAAAGAAGGGAGGATAGCGGCAAATCACAAGACAGCAAAATTCAGAAGAACAAGAAGAAGAAGAAGAAAGGAAGACCAAGGAGGGAAAAAAGCATAAGAAAAATATAAAAAGAGACAACAAGAACCGTTTACGGGTCGCTGTATGCGAGCTAAACTGACCTGTAATCTGATCAGAGTGATGAGCGAATTCGTTTTCTCAGTCTGTTGCGGCAGAATGGCCAAATGCATGATAATTTGAAAGTAGCACAGTAGATGCAGTTCCCTGAGCGAAAAAATGAGCGGGGTTCAAACATATCCGTCGAACCATTGAGCTTTTGTATAAAAAGAGTTTCCAAAGCAACATTTGTGTCTCTCCTTCATTTTCTGGTGGCGGTTGACTCTTTTTACATGTCAAGGAACAAAACATTCACATCATCATCTATCGTTAAAATGGGATAGTCTCTCCAAAAAAAAGCGCTATATAATTAAAACGGAGATCCGGTGTTACAACAATCAGCAGGTCTAAGGAAGCTATTCAATGATCCGCATTCACTGGAAAAGACGAAAAAAGGAAACAGTGGGCCAAGGAAAAATACACGCAGACTCATGAGGGATTTTCGAGATAAATTTGCTCACTTTCAACTTGATCAAAAACATGAGCGGGCCCTTCATAGGTAGACCTATGCGAATACGATCAACGGATTCTTAAAAATCGATCATCAATGTAAAAAATAAAAAAGATCGCCCAAGATGTCCTTGGTTCCGTCCGTAAAGTATATGCGTTGTTTAAAATATGCCTCAAAAATATACAATAAAACGCTACTTATTCCCACATTACCGTTTGTTCTAACTAACAATGATTTACAGTTCGAGGTCACAAGCGTTCAAATGATGGAAAATCATTTCATGACGTCCAAAGTTTTGTATCCGGCATGCAAAATGATTTTTTTTACTGGGGGACGACTGTACAAATGTTGATCCTCTCACATGATATGCACGATAACCCCTCCTTTCGAAACCGTCCACCATTACCAATTTAAAAGATAACTTCCATATCAGCTGTGCCTGCGTGACGTGCTTCTTCTTGGAGGAGCTTCTTCCTCCTTTGTTTTTCTGCTCGGAGAGACTCTGCTTTGCTCTCTGCATACCGTGTTAATAAATAACCAAGTGAAGCAATCGTTAAACCGGCAAGAACCACACCAGCTTAATCACAAAAAATAATATCATCAGTACAATTTGCCAGTCATAAAAACTTCGAAATCGGGCACCCCACTTACTCATGCCTTTCCAAATCGTTTCCCATCGCACGGCTTCCAGACCTGTTCGTACATCACCCAAGGAAACAGTAAACTTGTTATTGATTTCCTGGATGCGCATATCGATAGCTTTTTGGTGTTCCTGAGTCTCATTCTTTCGGTTGTTCATATCGAGGGTGACATCGTTTTTCATTGTCGCCACATCTTCTTGCAATTTTCGAGCCAACGCTTCCACTTCGCGCGTAATCATGGCCACTTCAGTTTGCAACACTTGGATATCATTGCGCCGCATCACCTGAATCTCTGTTCGAAGTTCGGATAATCCCGCTTTGAATAAATACGATTCCTGAGCAACCACCATTGTTAGTACAACCGTTTTGCATAACAAGAAAATAACCATCAAAATCGCATACGTTTTCCAGATCCGCACGTAGTAATAACTGCGTTTGCAACTTGGCCGCACTACACTCGGCATTCATTAGATAACATGCCCACTGACAAAAAAAAAATGACAAGGGTTTTTTTTGAGCAAAAAAAAAATAAAAAAATTCACCTTTCTCTTAATTTGAACTTGATGCCTTTCATAACGACAATCGCCTGCGATCTCGTGAATCCTTGTCGTTCCAACGTTTGCAGCAATTCGTAAGTGTCAAAATGATGCCGTCGCTGTTCAATAGCTGGATCGTGAACAATATCCTCCATTTTAAGACGCTTATTGTCGGAAGAGTTGTTTGAAGATGACAGTGCATCTTTATCAAATTGCACTACAGGGCGAGTGGGCTGCGGTGGAGGAAACGGTGTAGACGCATCGTGTCTTGATCGTCGCGCATTTTTTGTGACTGGCCAACGACCCAGTACCCTTCGTGACCAAAGCAACATGTGAGGGTATCTAGTGGGTACATTCATGTTTTTGCACTGTCAATAGATTACAAACAAAAAAAGTGCAAGTGCTTCGGCACTATTTCGTCAAATGGGCCCTTCCTGGATGACGATTCCTTGAAACTCCGCTCTTGCCGCAATCACTACCAGTGCAAAAGAAAAAAACAGTGTCGGTGACCCCGGTGTTTGCTGGATGCACAGACCCTTTTCTCAATATATTGTTGTTAGCTTGGAATTGTGGGGCAGCTTACATTATGGCCGTTATAAAGGACAACGAGTGCACGGTAAACCTGAAAATATTGCTTAGATTTATGTTGACCATGCGTCAACGCTTGTTGTACGAGATAGGCACGCGACTTTCGTATGAAAACGGTGCGACATTTGATTTTGGGGCGATAGATCGTTTTTTTGTGTGTACTTTTTGCACGTTGTTTTATTGCATGCCATGTAACACACACAGTCGAATTAGGTAAACTGGTTGATCGGTCAAAGAATATTTATGGTATCGGACCCTTTGAAAAATGTTTGTCCTCTTTTTTTTTTTTTTTTCCTTCCCTTTTTCTTCTTCTTTCTTTTTTGCCTTGAGGGTAAACTCATTGCCCATCTTTCTTTGTTCTTTTTTTTCCCTTTTTTTCTTATTTATTTATTTTTGTCGAATGCCTTCGGCTGGTGCACCGCAATCGATTTGCGATCTAACCACTCGTATCCAAGCGACGACGGGGGATGTACCTCCTTTGTTGATCGGTGCCACTGTTACTGTGGTTGATAACAATGTCTATGTATTTGGAGGTCGACTTCAGTCTTCTCGTCAAATCTCCAATCAATTGTACGTCTTATCGCTCGATACGCATGTTTGGAAATCCGTCTCGCCCAAAGGCCTCCCCCCGCAAGCTCGTTATTTCCATTCCGCCAATCACCATGATAACCACATTTATTTCCATGGCGGGATGACCAACAGCCAATCAGCAGCGGCCGGGCTGATCGCTTTGAACGACACCGTTTTACTCAATTTGTACGAAATGGCGTGGGAGTATCCGGTAGATGAAACGCATCCTTTGCCGCAACCACGGTATGCTCATCTGTCCACCATATCTGACGGTAAACTTGTCATCATCGGTGGCCAAGACATCGACAATAATTATATACCCCAAATGAATGTTTACGATCGCAAACGACGATCATGGTACCCCGCCATTGATATCCAGGCACAGGTAGGCGCTTATCGTGCCGCAGCCGCCGCTATTACACCATTAGCTCCCACGCCTGCCACTTCCGCCGCCTTGGCTGACATGCATTTGGCTTCCATCGGTATCGACGACGATAACGATGTGCTGCCTTTATCGCCCATCATCCACGTTTACTCCAACTTTAATTTCGACGACGTTACACGACGCTTGTATACCATGACCGTCGACAACCGCGGCCAACTGGCCGACGTGAGCGACATGTCCCATCTGCTTGTCGGTTCCTCACTTCCCCCGCCTTTGCGGTTTCCCACTGCATCCGTATGCGGGCAGCACTTTATGATCTCCGGTCCTTGCTTGGTCGCGAATCATCATCAGTTTCACATTTGGGCTTTCAATCTCGCCACCATGGCTTGGACTCGTTTAGATGCAGGCCCTCTTTTGACCAAAGGCTCCTGGCTTCGAGGCGCCTTTTGCGAAGCTCAAAACAAGTTTCTTGTCTTTGGTCATCCGGAACGTTCGATGCAAGAGGATTATACCCATCGACTCGTCAGCTTTGAGCATATCGTGAGCGTTGACACGGAAGCCTTTGGCGTGTACCGACCCCCACCTGTTTCATGCGATTCGGCTGCCGAAGGCTTGGGACTCGCCATCTTGAATGACCCGGTTTTATCGGATCTGACCATTGTCACCACCGACAATCAAACCATGGCGGTGAATTCGTCCATTCTAGCTCAACGTTGGCCATCCATTCGAAGTACCTTGCAACCTCTGTTGAGCCCCCAATCACATCAAGCTGCCATAGGGACTTTGCGCAAACTCACTTTTCCGGACACCTATTCTGTGCTTGTCGCTTTCCTTCAGTTTATCTACACGAATCATCTACTGACGGTGCAACAGCATCAACCTTACATTTTATCGCGCCTGTTACTGCTGTCGGATCTTTTTGGGATCTCGCGGTTGAAGGAGCTGGCCATCCATGCGTTGCACCAGATGTTGAATATGTCGACGGCTTCCATGATTTACGAAACCGCCTCGCTATCGAATTGTGTTTCGTTGCAAATTCGCGCCCTTCGTGTCATGATCAACGCCAAAAAGATTATGCAACGCAAACAGCAGCAACAGCAACAGCAGCAGCAGCAGCAGCATTATTTTCAACAACATCATCATCAAGAGGACGGAGAGACTCAGTCCATTGCACCGGCTTACCAGCCATTATCTCAGCTTCTCCAACAGTATGATCTGAATGCGCCGACGCCCATGACGCCAACCCAGGAACTGTTTGTTGGGAAATCGGCCCACGGTAGTGGAGCTCGACCCACGGCTTCGTCTTCATCACCAGTGCATATGCGAGTGGAATCGCAACGATTGGTTTCGGAATCGACCAAATCCAACTTTTTGTCGCGCATCCATTCGACCACCGCTCCTTCCACGCCCACCACCGCCGGTTCGCCTCAACCGTCCGCATTAAACTTCTTTATGCGAACTCCAGGTTCCTCCAAGACCCCGGCTGAGCCTGCCAAATCATCTCGTTCCGGTACTTTCTGGCTGTCGGGCCATTCCAAAAAGAAGACCATTCCACCATCGGGACCTCATAAATCGCCCGAGCATGCGGCCCGACCCAAATGGCCACTGGGAGAAGGCCATCGATCGCCTACTTACCTGATGAACGAACATACATAAAGAGGCGGACCTTTGTCACCTACAAAATCTCCATTCTTCTTTTATTTCGTTAATTGAACACCCATAGAATATTTCACACACAGGTATCTAAAGGTAGAAGCGTTCCCCTAGATAATGATAATAATAATAAAAAAAGATTGTGGGGCCGGTTCCCAGGCAATTCTTGGCAGGATCTTTTGTTGTACAGCATTCGTAATCACTCAGTGATGTATTTTTCCATTAGTTCAGACTGACTTCAGTTGTTTGTGCCTCATGTAACGTATCCTTCAATATCATACTATCAACAGAAAAACATTCATCTGCTATCATAGTCAACCGAAAATGATGAGTAAATTTCGAACGTTGCGCACAATAAAATAAACAAAAAAAAAGGGCAATAAAATGAACAGCATGATCTGGTTCGTGTTGTATTGTCTTGATTTTTTTGTTTTCAAGTGCGTGAGATAGACTATAGAAAGGATTATTGTTCATTAGACGATGATTGTAGGTGATATAAGTAAAAATACATATAAAACAAAGAAAATTAAGGAAAGAAAAAGTAATAAAATATAAAGACAAACAACGACAGGAAAAAGCAAGGAAAACCAGCACGAGCTTCCTATACATAACAAAAACCCATTCTGCTCTAAAACAATAGAAAATAAGTGAAAAAGAAAAAAGCAAGTAAAGCCCAATAAATGCAAGATACATAGAATGATGAGAATGAAGGAATAAAGCAAAACACGAGAATAAATAAGAAGTGGGGCGGCTCATCAGTGAGGTTTGATAGCCGACATCTTTTTGGAGAAATCGATACCATAAAGGTAAGAGGAAACCATGACGATGGCGGCTCCCAACACAAATGGCATCGTAGGTTGAAAGTTGAACAGATAAAAGCTGATAATCCCCGATACAATGATGGACAAGCTGGTGGCGAACCCTTTCAGAATGTTATCCGCATATTTCACTACAATGGCCACGAGAAGACCTCCCAGGGCTTGATTGGCAACGACGACCCAGGTGAGCCAGTCATAGCCTTGAAGCAATCCACCTTCACGCAACGCTTGTGAATCGTACATTACCATTCCCACGAAGGAGAAAAAAGCACCCGAAATGCCCAACTGAATATTGCGAACCCACATGGAGGTGTCTGATGTTTTCAGGATTTTTTCGAAATAACAACCGGCGAATCCAGACGAAATGCAGCTGGTGATGACGGCAACGAGACCAATAAACGGATTTTGTACGGCTAATACGAGCGGCTGGTCCAAAGGCATGTCGCCATCGGTTTCCGAGGCGACCGGTTCAGGCGGCGCGGCTGACGACATGCTTTGCGATTGGACCATGGTAACGCCAATCATCAAGAGGACCAACGCACACCATTTATCGCGATTCAGCGACCTTCCTAAAAGCACGACCGAGAAGATGGCTGTGGACAAGATTTTCATTTGGTAGGTGACTTGAAACGTGGCCGCTTCCAGGTTGCTCAGGGCTACGTATAACAAATTGTTTTGGAGCGCATACAGACCGGACGGAATAAGCATTTTTAGGGTTTCTTTGGGTTTGCCGAGAATTTCGTGGCGCACCATTAAAGTAAACCCTTCCCATGATCGTTGCTGGTATCGCATAACGGCTAGACAGGCGATAATTTTCAAGACTTCGGCGAGAAAAACCGCGGTTGAAGCGATATACATGGATTGACCGGGCTTTTGCACAATTCGCGAGTAACGCATCATCAACACCAACGTACTGTTCTGAACCACCAACACGATCAGCGATACCTGTTTCCGGGTTAAACCAAACACTAGTGGTTGAGCTAGGTCGAAACTTCATAAGTAGCTGATTTATGGCAGAGAGTTCTAAGCTACAACCAAACAAAAAAAAAAAAAAAATAACCCCTCCCCCACCCTCCCGATGCAACCATGAACGACGAGACGCATCCATCCATACCCGAGACTTGGGTTGACCAAGGATGGACCCAACAACTTACCCTGGAGTTTGGCATTCTCGTGAGCAGTAGGTAGTAAATCTCGCTTAGCGAACGTCCGCCGGGAATGATAGACGGACATGTTGCAAGGCAGAAAACGGTGATGCAAACAAGGGAATGAAAAAAGAGACAAAAAAAAAATAGATCGATACAAAGTGCAAGGCGAGTGGGGTGGCACAAATTATAATGCGGGGACCGAAAAAAATAAGGCAAAAGAGACCATAGCAACACAGTGTTCATTAAACTGAGTGCACCATCCACTCGAGGACCACGTGTGTCTGTTCGTCTGACCGTTTATTAATCTCTACAGAAAAATGTTGATGTGAGCGATGCTTGGATATTGCGAATAATTCAACGATTCATCCCATCCCATCCCATGCTGGGTATATGACCTATCAAACAAGTCAAATATCATGTGCATTACATTTCACAAACAACAACCGAGTACCAAGTTCAAACTATCCAATGTGGTCCAAGTGTTTAATGGGCGCTTAGCATGTTGAACATGGAAAAATAAACTTTCCTGTCTGACAGTAATTTTTTACTAACGAACCCATTCGGATCACGGTTTCTAAAATGCACAGCACCATTGAACGTTGATTGCTTTTGAATTTCGAAAGGTCATGTTTCACAAACGAAAATTCTCTCCGCCCCCACGGTTGCCCTCCAACAAAGGGTGATATGCGGCGAGTTAAAAGGATCGAATATCGAATCCACAGACCCTCTTTGTGTTCCACCACCATTGTGACGATTATCGTTGCGGACCACTAATCATTTACGATGATCATCGCCACGGTGTTCTTCCCATCCTGCTTTTATGAAAAACACATCCTCGAGCTGAACTCCAAAGACCTAATTTCTGTGCCATTGATTCGCTGAACAGTAGCGGGAAGTGATTATTTATTCAATTCATTGCATTGACTTTGTGTGCGCCTTGGTTTCCCGAAATTATAGTTATGAGGTGTAGTCTAATAGATACTTACCCGTAAAGAGCTTCAAGTGTCTGTGCCAGTGTGCAAACTGAAGCATGGTAAAATGCTGAATTTGAGATAAAAAGTGGCTCGTGATAGCTTTTTTGTCACGTATGGCACTTAGAATTCATCGGGATCGAAAGGCTCATTGGATGGAATCACGTGACGATGTTTCGGGCTGTCGCTAATTCACGAGGTCTGCTGAAAATGGGCAAGCAAGCAAAAGAATGGAATAGCGTTACTTTACAAGAAATAACGCAACAATGAAAAAGAAGAAGGTAATCACTATTACAATTCAGTGATAATGGCAGTGTCTACTGCTTTTTATCCTTGGCCAAAATTGTTCGTATACATGGCAGCAGGATACGGCAGGCTTTCACTTTTATACATTATGCAAGAAGAAAGAAAAAATGTAGGTTAATCACGGTAAATTGGCTTGTAGGTTTTGCTTATGGGCAAAAGCGGATCAGGGAAAACCTCAATGCGATCCATCATCTTTAGCAATTATATTGCCAGAGATACACGACGGCTAGGAGCTACAAGTAATATACACAACATACCGACGGACACGACATTCATGTGACTGACTGAGAATGGGATGTATAGTCGATGTGGAACATTCCAACGTAAAGTTTCTGGGTAATCTAGTACTAAACCTGTGGGATTGTGGAGGGTGAGTGCACGACTCTTTTAATATGGCGAAACAATATGTATCAACAACATTTTTCCTTTAAACTAGTCAAGAAGCGTTCATGGAAAATTACTTTGCTTCGGAGCGAGACCGGATATTCAAGAATGTGGAGGTGCTCATCTACGTATTCGATGTGGAAAGTCGCGATTGGCAAAAGGATTTGCACTATTACCAATCGTGTTTGGATGCCATATTAGCCAACTCCAAAGAAGCGAGGATTTTTTGCCTCATTCACAAAATGGATCTTGTTCCCGAACCCCAACGATCGCAGGTGAGTGACTCGAGAAAAAAATCAAAGTTGGGAATAAAAGGAAATAACATCCACGCAACTAGATGTACGAAAAACGTGTATCAGAGCTTCGAACACGGTCGGAACCATTACACATCCAAGCATTTAGCACGTCGATCTGGGACGAGACATTATATGCGGTAAAAAGACTTCGTTTTTTGTACTTGTAGTAACGCGATATTGATCAGCAAATGGATGTCGATAGGCTTGGTCGCAGATCGTTCACTGTCTGATACCCAATATCCAAGTCTTGGAATCGAATTTGGAGCATTTTTGTCGCATTTGCGATGCCGATGAAGTCGTTTTATTCGAACGGATCACGTTTCTGGTCATTGCCAACGCAGCCACCATTAAGCATCCTGACCTTCATCGATTTGAAAAGATTAGTAACATTATCAAACAGTTCAATCTCGGATGCAGGTAAGAATAGATTTCCCGCCGATATGCGACTCAAATTTGTAACTTAACAACGCGATCTGATGAAATGCAGTCGATCTCAAACACGGTTCAAGAGTATGGAAATTCGCGGAAGTACATTCACAGCTTTTATCGATGTGTTGACGAACAATACGTATGCCATGATTGTAATGTCCGACCCTAATATCCGTAAGTTGTCGAAAGCAAAATGGATACCAAACCGCAACATGTGCACTGAATTTTTTGTGGGATGTAGAATCAGCTGCCACTTTGCTGAATATTGCTGCTGCTAAAAAGCACTTTGAAAAGCTGGAAGGCGAAAAGATGGAAGGAGATAGATTGGATGGAGCACGATAAAAAAAAAAAAAAAAAAGCCTATGATTTTCAATGCAACATCACATTCTGAACATAAAGGAACCCACAAAAATTTGGTTGAATTGGATGAGAGTCCATGACATTGGAGGGTCCCTGAGATTAAGAGGCGCGTAGGCAGAAGTAGTTCATGGGATTATAGCTGCAGAGCTGCCTTTTTCCATTCTCTTTCAATACTGTATGGTTACATTACCGCTCTCGATTTCTATGAGATTTCTTTATCAGAATTGACTGAAGCTGAACTCGAAAGTGTGTAAAGGGTCGCCAATACGTTAAAGAGAACAATAGCCAATCAATCATCATTACATACAGTATAGTAAAGAGGCTGATACTAATATGCCAATGTGGGATGTATCATATCGCTTATTCAAAATCTTATTTTATCGATTGACGTCGTTGTTGAACAATGCACATCAAACATTGGCGACCCTCTACCACCAAGAAACAACAACAAAAAAAAAAAAAGTGTAAGCAAGACTGGACATAGTTTGAATTGTAGGCTTTTGGGTGTCTATACTGAAGGATGATATTTTATATGTCACGTTATCAAAATAAATATAAAATGAAGGAGAACCACACAGATAAATAACAAAGTAGTGGGATACGATAAGAAAAAAGAAGCGCGCATAAAGTAAGGAACGAAAGGTTCGAGGACACAGGTCAACGCCGGACAAATTGCGGACAAAAATGCCGGAGAGAATTTTGTTGGAAATGAAGACGAAATTGTTTGGACGGCAAAATAAGGTACGGACAGTGGCTCGGTTTCTTATTTTGAAAGCGTTCGTTTCTAAACAGTTTGCACTTCACCCAAAAAGCGTTCCCTGGTTCCGTATTCTTAGTCTTCGTCACAACAAGAGACACAGAAATATTGTCCGGATCATTCAACTTGGGTTTTTTGACGGTAGTAGGTAAGGACTTGCAACTACCAGTGACTCCAACCACTTTGTGGAAGCATGTGAGGCTTCGAGTGTCCTGACGGAGAATATCGCGTCTTACTCTCTTACGCGCGTCATAGAGTATACTCTCGACAAGAAACTCCTCAACGTTGCACCTATGGTTGTTCCGAGAGCTCAGTCGTGAAACCCATCGACAACCTTGCAACGCATTCTTGTTCATCGGAAACGGTGAAAGAATACTCGTGCAACTCCTTGATTCAAAACTTAAAGGTATTCTTTCAGCGGCCTGGATTCGAGCAGAAGGTCAACCAATGGCGAACTCGTAATGTGCAAACCAGCGAATGCCTTTCCGATGTTTATGATGGCGCCATGACGAGCATTCCAGATCCCAATGATGCTAGCCCTCCTTTTGTTGCGCATGAGCGAACACTGCTGCTTACTAGTATTCAGGATGTGATTTACAAAATCGCTAATAATTCACCGACAATAATCTGCCACGCAATGAACGATTCAAGAAGGAAAACGTCATCCTTGTTGGTGTTATGCCTGGTTTTTGAGCCGAGTACAGATGTAATCAACAGTTACTTACAGCCGTTGGTCAATGAACTGAAGAAGTTATATACTGATATGCCCACGAAGACCTATCGGAGCCCGGAAACTGTGGTGAGGGCAGCACTACTGATGAGTGCGTGTGATATCTCCGCTGCTCGCAAGTGGATGGATTCTCAGCGCAACCAGTATCCGTGCTTGCTACAAGTGCAACAGGTCGTGTCCTCGCATTTTCGCCGCCTTTGAGCAGTTTTATTGCTCAAAGTAAGTTTGTCTCCAGCGTTTTTCCATGTTGGCAATCCCGTATGCTTACGTGAAACATTCCTGTTCAATCTTTAGGCCAACCTGCAACCGAAAATTACGAGAGATGCCTGGCACAGTCTTGTTTCGCGCTTTTTGGTCAAGAGTCAGTCTCCCTCTACGCTTGTCGAGTTGCCCGAGTTCCGTGAACTGATTGCCACGACTAATCAGTGCGCAACGATACGATTACCGAGCCAGTCAGCGTCGACACCGCCAAGAGAGATATTGCGGCACTTTACCGAGAGAAAAAGATCGAGGTAATGGAACTCTTGCATCAGCAAGTTAATCTCTCATTTACCCTCGATATTTGGACATCAGAATGGGGGGCCCAGATTTCTTCTCAGTCATGGCCCACTTTATCGACGACAACTGGCAACAACGGGAGCTTCTGATTGGGTCTGAACACCCTGAAGACCATTACAAGCGACAATGGCTCCAATATTGGCAATATGGCGAAGATGCTGGAGGAACGATCGGTGCAGGACGGAAGATATGTTTTCAACAAGGATCACCATCACTTGCCTTGCTTGGGTCATATTTTGAATCTTGCCGTCCAAAGTGCCTTGAAGGATGGGTTGCAACAAAAGGCGTCAGCTTCTGTTATGGACAGGCGCGATGTCAAGTTGATGGTAAACCTTACATCAGTTTGTTTGATTTCACATATTTATTCATCGCTTTACCTGTAGCTACTCCTTCGCAGATATTACAAGGGCCATTTGTCGAAGGAGGAGAACACAACTTGAGAGTTCAAGGTGTTTGTGAACGAAGGCCGAAATCCTGATGTCATTGCAACTCTGCAGGATTTCATCCGGCAACTCCCAGAGGAGGAAAAAGAGTTGTACTGGGTTGATGCATTTGTTTACATCAAATGCAGAACCCAATTCAAGTCCTTGAAAGCCGAGTACAAACGCTCTAAGGAAGAGCGCGAGCAGGTGAAGAAGCGAAAAAGGGACTACAAACGCCGTTCCGACGTTAGTAATTGGAATTGGAAAATGACAAAGACTCGAATTGACATGGTCCATTATATAGAAATGCAGCAAGAGGCAGGCGGTATTCGATCAGCAGCCCATCCTGTCGGCTTACTTTGTTGGTGCTGAGCATCTTCTTGATGCCAGCTTGATGTCCGATGAGGAGGACATCGAGGAGGGCAATTACCTGGTCGGCAAGAGAATTTCGCGGCCTCACTGTCGAAGTGATCGTGTTAGTATTTCATGTAAACAAAAAGTGACATATGGTGGAATCCAGCTCACACATTTTCATAGGCAAATGCTTTTCATGACCTGTTGTCGGCGCTTGCTTCTCAGAAGGAGGGGAATGCCGTGTGAACAGTCGCGGCTGACAGATATTTATCAATAAACAACAAGAAGTTTCTTTTACTCCATCTATTGTTCTCCTAACTACAATACAGTACTAACGCCACCGAACTCACCATAGTGCATATGGCCATCTCAAGGACGTAGTTTTGAATTATGCTTTCTGGCCCTTAAACTATGAACCCAGTCATGGATTTTTTGGGAATATTGATGCCAACAAGAAGGTTGGCGATACGATCTTTTCATGAACCAGTTGTCCAAGCCATACAAACTACGCAAACCAGCATGCGATTGCATTGGCCCTTGAATATCAACTGTGTCAAAAAATAACCCAATACTATATGACAATGAAGCTACGTCAAAAATATTTGTTAGAAAACTTCACACCTACACACACGTTTATCAGAACTTTCGCTTATTTTACTACTGGGTGGCTGTCAGTAAAAAGGGAGAAGATCATGGCAATGCCTTCATACTATGTTCATCGGAACTCGAACAGTTGGGTTCCGACTGAGAAAACAAGACTAGTCCTCGTTTGTCCTGTTTCATTGCCGTCCCTGCGTCATGCACGTTCTGATGACGACATCTAACGAAGCAGAAATTTGATGATCCCTTCTCCACAGAAATCCATAGTTGTCGACTATTTTTAAATGGAAAAAATAGCCTCACGAGGAACCGCGGTTGAAATTGCGCGACCGCCAAGTCCTAAAATGTTTATATCTACTTCATATCTTGGCAATGAACTCGAAAAAGATTTGCCGTCGTTGAATGACCGACAAATAGAAAGAGGAAAATATTGTATCAACATTGATGATACAAGCAATTGCTCCATTTATTCATCTGTTGCACTGGTTGGCTTTTTAGTCTACAGTTTTTCTCATTTTCGAAATTATTGTCAGTGTCATTTGATTTTAAATAGTTGCAGCGGCGTCTCGAAAGTATGCGATCGTTTGAGCTGAAACCTTTCCAATACAAAGAATGGTGTCCTTCATCGTTACTGGATTTGGTCATTTTCTCCCAAACCATACAACAGCAAGTTTGAGATAGCAATATCCTTTGTCAAATGAAAAAAGGGGAAAGCTTTATCTGAGAATGTAGCCACATTGTAAGTTGCCAAAGAATTTCACTGTATTGAACGCTCAATTATCCACATGCAAGGCAATAGATGATGAGGTCAGAGCTGACAGCCAATAACCAACATATCCGCCCGAAAAAGCTTTTTGAACCGATCTCTGGCGCTCCAAACAGTATCATGCAGACCGCTTGCCACATACCTGTTCCTTCATTAAGTTTGAACTTTGCGTTTTTAAAGAAAAAAGCACGATGCATGCACAATAGATAATCAACATTATTGTCACATTTCGTGTTCGCGATTGTTGCCTTTCTAGTGCGGTTCCTGCCGGCTAGTCGGACCGTTCCCGTTTATGATCGGCCGCTTTTAATTTCACGTGCAGCGAAGAAGTCAACGAGGATATTGCGGAAGAACGGAATAGGTACAATTTAAGTCGAAAAACTTTTTTTCTGGTCGCATCGAAAAAAAAGTCAACGTTCGCTTTCTCCATCGTTTCTTTAGAAAGCACTATGCATGAGCTCCAGCATTTGAAAACGTTTTTATTGGTTTGGAAAAAGCTTTATTTCGATCACGAGAATTTTTTTATTTTTCTAATCTGATTTTGATCACCATAGTGAGATTAACTTGAAACTTTTCCTTTAAAATTTATTGATTTTTTCGGGAAAACCCATGGTTGCACTGCAATGGAATAAACAGCAGAATAAAAATAATAATACAGATGATGTGTGACTAGATGAATCTAACAGAATATAGACATTTCTCATCTAGAAAAGATGGCAGCATGGATGATAAGCAGGCGATGCTTAAACGGAGGATCGCGAGAGAATTTTGCTGTATTGGGTGGAACAAATGGAAAAAGCGGCATATCAAAACAACTGATACATCATCGAAAAATGGGACATCGCGGTGACTTTGGATTTCTCAATCTTTGATATAAAAGGAATAGCACAGCCGTTTGTCCTGCTTTGACCTACATACTCCACTTTTTTATATAACATATCTTTCAATGAAAAAAATGCCAAACATATTTGGGAGGGTTGCCTCCTACTTACGCGTATTGATGAAATTTATCGGACCCGGCTTCATGATTGCCGTCGGATAGTAAGTATCCCCTTGCATTTATTCTCTGTTCATATGGCTGCCCTTTCCTTTTTTTATTCTTTGTCGTGATGATGAAAAATTTATCTTTTTTTATTAACGGCAATGTTTCGAAAAGCTTTGATCCAGGCAATTGGGCTACGGATATGGAAGGTGGTTCGCGATTCGGTTATCGTCTTTTGTTTATTATTTTGCTTTCCAATATCATCGCTATATTTCTACAAAACTTGACGATCCGGTTGGGCACCATCTCAGGTTTAGATCTGGCTTCGGCGTCTCGTAAAGTATTTCCTTTATGGATCAACATGATCCTCTATGTTATGGCCGAAATTGCAATCGTTGCCACCGATTTGGCCGAAGTCATTGGTAGTGCTATTGCTTTGAACCTACTATTCCCCAAGTTACCATTACCTGCCGGCATTGCCATCACCGCCGCCGATGTATTCATTGTCTTGCTTTTGTACAATGACGAAGCCAACAATCCAGACTCGACAGCCGACTCGGCCTCTGTTCGCGTGGTCCGTTATTTCGAATTCTTTGTTATGATTCTGGTCTTCACTGTCGCTGCCTGCTTTATTGTTGAACTGACGTATTCCAACGTCGTGGCCGTCGATGTACTCAAAGGCTATGTCCCTACCAAGGAAATCTTTACCGACTCTTCGGCTCTCTACGTTTCCATTGGTATTATTGGTGCTACAGGTAACGTATTCAAGACAACCCAATACCATCATCATTGTTACATTGTTTCGCATGATCATTCCATATTGGTTTCATTTTTTGCATACATGGATGACTTATGATGATTTTTTTCAGTGATGCCTCACAACTTATACCTCCACGCTTTCATTGTGCAAGCTCGTTGTCGTGAATGGCGTAACCAACGTCCCAAAGTTGTTCGTGTAGGCGATGAAGGTTGGGCACTGAAGCGCAATATCAATACCCATGTTGCTACCGAGAAACTGGATGAAATGTTTGAAAAGCAGAAACATGTGGAAGAGAAAAACGAGGAGATATACCCAGTGTCTACCGGTGCCAGTCCTAATTCTCGTCCGGATCACAGCGTACTTAGTATCGAAGATTACAAGGCTTTGGGAGTCGATGAAGAGAACCTCAGAATATACCTCGACAAAGCGTTGAAATGCAATTTGCATTATGGTTTGGTCGATCTTGGCATCGCCTTGCTGATTGCCTTCTTTGTCAACTGTGCGATTCTTATTGTTGCGGGTGCCAACTTTTACTACGGTCCTCACAAGAGCGAGGAAGGCGTGGAAGATTTGTTCAGTGCTCACGCTCTTTTGGAACAGTACATTGGCCCCCCTGCCGCTGTCGTATTTGCTCTCGCTTTGTTGCTTGCTGGTCAATCCAGTACTTTAACGGCCACACTTGCCGGTCAAGTAAGTGATCTACAACAGAGTTACTGATACGTGTGGGGTCAATTCAGCCTTTTATTAACGAAATTTTTGCCGCCTTGTTTTTCAGGTTGTGATGAGTGGATTTCTTGGAATGACAACCCGTCCCTGGGTGCGACGTGTCGTGACACGTCTTATTGCCATTGTGCCTGCGATGATTGCTGCATGTAGTACGGGTCGTACGGGCTTGAACCAAATGCTTGTGGGTAGTCAAGTCGCTCTTAGCGTGCAATTGCCTTTCTGCGTGCTTCCTCTGCTGATCTTCACGGCCAAGAAGAGTATTATGAAGGTGGATCTCGTGGTTGAACATAAAGAACCCAGACATTGCAAACGATTCACTGTGCCTTGGTTGGATCGATTTATCCCCAGTGCCTGGCTGGAAGCTGGTCTCTTTCGATCAACAAAGTCTACGGATGCCACCAAGGACGTCACGTCAAACGGTGCAGCAGAACCGGAAAAGCCAAATGATGGCCTTGTCGCTCCTCCTCGTGCCGGTCTTCATGTGGAAATCAAGGAATTACCCAAACCTCTGGTTTATCAAAATGGTTGGATCGTGAACATATTGGCCGGTATCATCTGTCTCCTTTTGATCTGTCTGAACGTTTATATGATCGTCACCACCATCCAGGGAGAGTAAGCAAGCTGCTCAAGCAAAGCTATACAACAAATCGCATCTGGTCCTTTTTTACATATCCCCACGTTATACTCCATCGTTAATTTTACCTCATTTTTACAATCCTCTATTATCACCTCCCCTCTTTTAAGCTTTTCGGTTACCCATTTTGCTTGAAAACCAAAATATTCTTGCATTACTGTATCATTAAAAATTGTACATTATTCCTCTCATGTCAATCACAACAATAGCATGCCTGTACAGATCCTGAAATATACACAATTTGTATTTCCGAAAACGCCATTGCTAAATATTCCTCGAAACGGAAATTGCTACGGTCACACACCTTTTCTTTTGATGCCATGTTATCTCATTGACGAAATTACTATTTTTCTAATCACAAATAAACCAATCTATTTTGTGCTTTTGGCAAGCCCCAAAAAAAGAGAGAGGAACTTTCATGTATTATGCTTTCGTGCGATTAAGAAAAAAAAAAGGTGAAAAAAAGACAAAAAAAAAGAAGGAAGAATGCGAGAAACACAGTTTAGGCCTTGTTTTCTAAGCTGGCAACGATATCCTCACAACGGTTGATGTTGCGCAAGAACCAATCGGCATAACGACGGCCGACCTTGCTTTCGGCAATGTGGACAACGTCTTGCTTGAGACAGAAATCGAGATCCGAAGTAGGCATGTAGACACCATCCAAGAGCTCGCCTTCAACCCACTTGTACTGGCGCGACTTCTGCTTGAATACCAGCAACTGCATTTTCAATTCATCGGCATCCATTTCCAAGAACTTGGCCAATTTATCAATGCCCATGGTGGTGTACAATTTCATGAAAGAGCGCAAAGTGGGAAGGTTGATCTGGGTCTGAATGTCGTTCATGAAGATCTTGATCATGTTTTGATGAGGATCCTAAACCAAGAATACGGAAAGGTTACCATGCCGATGCACGAATGGAGTGTGTGACGAGTATTAAAAGCAACTTACCACTCCATTGGCGTTGTTGGGATTGATGCCCACAGCCGAGATGAATTTGGGACAAGCATATTGGAAGAGTTCTTCGAAAATTGCGAGGTTGTCTTCTCCCTTTTGCATCTTGAAAAGCTGTTCACCGTGCTTTTCACGAAGCTGAGAATGGATATTTTCATCCAAACGCGTAGGCGACATGGCAATGCAAATGGCTAACAAAGCGTACATTTGATCCCCCTTTCTGGTAATCTATCATGAACCATTAGCCTCCAGTTTCATCTGATTGCCAGGTCCAAATAATTTTACCTGATCGTATTGATATGATCGAGAATGGTATTGCTTGGTTCTCTGAATGAAGGATAAGATGGTGGAGAAAGCTTTGATGGCGTCAGCGTATCTGCGCATCATCATGTAAGCGAAACCGACATAGTAGTAAGTCGTCACATGGCAGGCTGTCACACGTGCAAACATGGCCTAAGCGTCGTTCCGTTTAACAAAAAAAAAGTCGACGTATATATAAAACAGGCCACAACGAATCAAGTTACCTTTTTGTTCAACACAATGTTATCCATCATCTTCAAAGCGAGAACGTAGTCACCCAACAAGCAGTGGACACGAAGAAGACCGACAATGGAAAAGTAGCCGAGCATCTTGTACAAAGGTCGGGAGCCGTATTCACCGGCTGCTTCCCTAACAACCATACCATGCAACGCATCAGAGATCAGGCACGTCACATAGGTATAGGTACCCGCAACTTACATCATGTCACCACCATTCTTGCTCACAAGCAATTGTTCGTTGATACGCGATTTCTGAACAAAAGAGTAGAGCACGTTCAACACGCTGTAAGAACTCCAGATCTGGTTATTTCCGCGCAACATTTCGATTTCCTGCTCGGACTTGTTCTTCAAGCGATCGCGATAGTTGCTGAAAGACTGGAACTGATAGATGAACTCGTCAATGATGTCCCAGAGCCAGGGGTTGGGAAGTTCCAAATTGACAGGACCATCGGAATCTAACACGTCACCAGCATAAATATTTTTTTTCTTCTCACACCCTCAATCGATGGGATCCATGGTGACTTACTCAAGATGTAGTTGAAAAGATCGCAATAGTTTTCATAGGAACGGATACGGTGTTCCAATGTAGGCGTCAAACGAGCATAAATGTGTCGGTAGTACAATTCGCGGTAAAGCGTGAGGAACACGGTATCTAGAGAATGATGATGTATGTGTGAATTTTGAAACATGCAGGACTACAAGTTGCCAAGCAATTTACCGCCATTCACGAGAGGAGCGATCAGTTCGGCCTCGGGCCAAGGTTGCTTTTGATAGTAACGGTCGCTCAACTTGTTGAAGGAGCTGTCGTAAACGTTGTGAAGTTCAAAGACATTGTTGTCCGTGACATTGCGGTAGAAATGCAAGATAAAGTTTTTCACACTGTCGGGAATGTGAGCCGTGTTGGGCTGCTGAGGAGGAACGACTAGATGACGAATATAAGGTTAGTAATGTTTCCCACGGAAAAGAAGTCGCGATGACAACTGGACACGGATAAAAGAGGTTGCGGATAAATGTCCAAGCGGGGGAGCAGGAGGGAGGAGGATAAGGGTTGCGTGTCTCACCTTCGGCTTCGAATCCATCGTCAAGATCAGTAGTTTGGGAATAATGGACTTGGGTAACGAATTCAACTTCGGCCAACAAGTCGTCTTCCTCAAAAGTGTCCTGATACATGATGAATAAAAGAGATGGACTGGGACAAGAATAAACAGAGGAAAAAAAAGGAATATAAAAAAATCACTCAGCGACCTTTCTTTTTTCGCCTCCCACCCCAAAACATACACCCTCTTTTTTTCGTGTATGAGTGCAAAATGCTTTGAGGAACCAAAGTCACAAAAATCTGAGCCACAATTTTCTCCTGCAATATGGGCCACCGAAACAGCCTTGCTGCGCCTTTCTGACCCAATTTTACCCCGAGCCTGACAAGAGCCTCTTTTTTTTTCTTTTTTCAAAGACCCGCGTGGAATAATACTTATACCCTTTTCAAGGCACTTGCTATACACTTCCACCACTCCGTCTTTCACTCAAAAACTACTCGGTTTTTTTTTTTAAAAAAAAACCCTCTTTTTTTGTTATTACATTTTATAAAAGGGTTTAAGAAAACATGGCGCTTGCTCTTATTCGGAAAACGGTGCCTGAAGCCGACGATGCTATTGTGGACTACATCGATGGCTACTTGAAGGACGCCAATTTCGATGATGACGACGAGGATGCTATTGCTGACTTTGTCAAACCTATTTTGCTTGATGCAGGAGGCGACGAAGCCAAGATTGACGAATTATGCGAACAGTTGATCAATATGCTTGCGTCCAACAAGAAGGAAACAACCCCTTTGAAGGGACTTTCGAAACTGGAGAATACCGTAGTGATGGGTCAACAATCGGGTTTATCAGCCACCGCCATGTTCAGCAAAGGATCCGTGGACTTGGATCATGTGTCGGGTCGTCGTGTTCAATCGCAAGTGAACCAAGACAAATTGCGCAAAGCTGAAGCCAAGATTGCAGCCAAGATGGCGAAACGAGCCGAAAAGACCAATATGCGTATCGAATATGAAGCTTCGCGATTAATCGAAAGTGAACAAAAGGCCTTGCAGGAAGCGTACAAATTGTACAATCCCATTCTCGATTACACCTCGACCAAGGGCAAGAACAAGGATATCAAGATTGAAAACTTTGACATTTCGTTTGCCGGTCGTCGTATTCTTACGGATGCCAACCTGACATTGGCGTTTGGTCGACGTTATGGTGTGGTCGGTAAGAACGGTATCGGTAAATCTACCCTGCTTCGAGCCATTTCCCGCCGTGAAGTCAACGTGCCACATCACATTTCCGTCTTGTATGTCGAGCAAGAAGTAAGTGACTTATACTCTACTACACTCCATCTTGTGGATGTCCGATATTGATCGATGGATGGATGCGAATCTAGGTTATTGGTGATAATACGCCTGCCATTGAAATGGTGCTTCGTGCTGATGTGTGGCGTGAACATTTGTTGGAAAAGGAGAGAGATTTGTCGGCGCAGATCAATCTCATTGAAGCGCAGCAAAGTGAAGGCGAACTTACGGAAGAAGAGAAGAAAGAGTTTGAAGCACAAAAGGACAGGATCAACGGTGAACTCAAGGATGTCTTTGCTAAATTGCAAGAAATTGAAAGTGACAAGGCCGAGTCAAAGTATGTCGACATTTGGAAAGATTACTGACTGGAATGAATCAAAATACTCATGACATGGGAATGATTTTTTGCAGGGCATCTGCTATTCTGGCCGGTTTAGGTTTCCCTACGCCTGATCAGAAACGTCCTACACGCGAATTCTCGGGTGGTTGGCGTATGAGAATTTCTCTTGCCCGTGCCTTGTTCTGCAAACCCGATGTTCTTATGCTCGATGAACCGGATAACATGTTGGATGTATGTGCTCAAATGGATGGAATTTGGATGATCAGTACATTGACTCTTTTTTTTTTGGACGTTGCCTGCATAGATTCCTGCTATTGTTTGGTTAGAAAGCTACTTGAAGACATGGCCTAATACTTTACTGGTGGTTTCTCACGACAGAGGTAGGTTTTTTTGGGACGCCCGGGTGTGGGGAGTGACATGATGCTGGAACAGGGATGGTGTGGTGTAGTGTGGTGTGAATAGACATGTGGCTAACGTCAAGAACGATAGAATTCTTGGACGAGGTGGCTACTGACATTTTGTTTATGCATTCCGAGAAACTGGACTACTACAAGGGTAACTACACCCAGTTCTACGCTACCAAGGAAGAGCGACGCAAGGCCCAAATTCGTGAATACGAATCGCAAATGCAGTATCGCAAACATCTTCAGGACTTTATCGATCGCTGGAGATACAATGCTAAACGTGCCCCGCAAGCTCAAGCGAGAATCAAGATTCTGGAAAAATTACCGGAATTGGAACCGCCAGAGGACGAGAAGATTGTCAAATTCCAGTTTGCTAATCCCGAGCAACTATCTCCTCCTATTCTGCAGATGAATGAAGTCACTTTTGGTTATAACCCCGAGAAAGTCATTATTCGTAATATCAATATTGACGTACGCATGGACTCCCGTATTGCCATTGTCGGTCCCAACGGTGCAGGTATGAAGATATGATCGAGTGCAAAAAAGATGGATTACTTAATCTCTACTACTTTTTGCAGGTAAATCTACCATGTTAAAGTTATTAACAGAGGAGAATAAGCCCATGAGTGGTATGGTGCACCGCAACGGTCGTCTGCGTATTGCCTATTTTACCCAGCATCATATTGATCAGCTGGATCTTACCAAATCGGCTGTGGCCTTTATGGCTGACCGTTTCCCCGGAAAACCTGAGGAAGAATACCGTCGCCATCTCGGTTCCTTTGGTATCACCGGTATGGTCGGTCTGCAAGTCATGAAGACTTTATCCGGTGGTCAGAAATCCCGAGTTGCTTTTGCCTGCCTAAGTGCGCAAAACCCACACATCTTGGTTCTGGACGAAGTACGTTTCTTCTGATGATTATCTTATCAGCGTGTATGTACTCATGGCAATTTTTTCTTTTTCGTTGTTTCACAGCCTACCAATCATTTGGATATGGAGTCGATGGATGCTCTTCAAACGGCTCTGGGACAGTTCCAGGGTGGTGTTATCATGGTTTCTCACGACGAACGCTTTATTTCTACGGTCTGTCATGAAATCTGGGTTTGTGCCGATGGTGTGCTTTCGAAATTCTCGGGCACCATCAAAGATTACAAGGTACAGTATACTAATTTTTTTGCTTTTCATTCAATGATAAATGACTGACAGAGGCGAAAACTAGGAACTTGTATGCCCCAAGGATACTGTTTTGTAATAGACTATATACTGTATCAATAAAAAAAAACAACGAAAAAAGATTACATTGTAAGCATGAAGAAAAATGTCTACTATGGGTTATGGTTTGCATACGGTGGAAGGAGAGTCACGGTGGGATGAGATTTGATCGGTGTTTCCGAAACGTTTGTTTCTGGGGCCCGATTGTGCAAAGGCGTCCTGCACCTGTTTCTCTTATTTTTTCACTCTACTTGCTTGGTGTACGTTTTCGCTATATCTCGCTCCTCTTAACAGCGTACCTTTACTTATTGCGCTTTTCTTGTTTAGCATGAAATATACGTTTGTTTCGGTTCCTGGTTTGGGAAATAAGGAAAATACCTTTCTCAACATTAAGAGCAAGTTGGCCGATTATGCTGAAACATACGAGTTCAACATTCCTGAATTCAAGGTAATTGGAAACATTCACACAAGCTTTCGCAAAGCTTTTCTCGGTCACTCTTTCCACTTACGTGAGAAATTAACCTCTCCACTAGATTGGCACTCTCGATGCGCTTGTTGTCTTGTCGGATGAACTCGTTAAATTCGACACATCCTTTGAACAGTCCACCAACAAGTTGGCTGACTTGTTAAGAACGCTCGCAAAGAACCAAGGAACCCACATTCAGGACCTCTTGCTTGTGAATGACAGTATGTATTGTTCTCTTCTTTCCGCTCGTTTGCGCCATCTTGCAACATTGACTCGGGTTGCCCCCGTCCCCCTTTTATGTGTGCGTGTTGTCACTGAACTGACTCTTTTCTCGTTGTGCTGTTGTTATAGAAACAATTGACCAGTTCATTCGAACGTTTCAATGGAACAGCATGAAGTACCGTACGGATAAATCGTTGCAAGAAACTACCCAGCTTCTCAATCAGGTAAGAGGGTGAAACGTTTGTTCGGTGTTTATGTTCTTGACACGTTTTGACACTCGCCCATAGGAAGTGACATCCATCGATAATGTCATGAAAAACAAGCTGAACATCTATACCCAGAATAAGAATGCTCTTCAAACCTTGCAACGCAAGCAAACGTAAGCTGATAGAAGTACCTCTCCTCCATTCTTCTCCACCAACAGTATCTGATGATGGATGGTATTTTCTTAGTGGAAATTTGTCGGTGAAGAACTTGAACGGTATTGTCAAGAAACAACATTGTATTTTGAACTCGGAATATCTGACCACGTTAATCGTGGCTGTCCCCAAGTAAGTCTTGTCTCTCTCTCTGTGCACAGCTTTGAGTATCAACCTTGTACTGACTGCGTTGAAAATTAGGTCATTATTCAAGCAATGGAATAACAAATACGAAACGTTGACCTCCATGGTGGTACCCCGTTCATCTGCGTAAGTCACAGTGCCATTTCTGTGAAAGACCTGCGTTTTATCATGTGATTGATCCATGTCAATTTTGTAGTAAGATTGCAGAGGATGACGAGTTTGGCTTGTTCACTGTCACGGTCTTTAAGCGTGTCGCGGATGAATTTACCCATAAAGCTCGCGAAGAAAAGTAAGCAACCGACTGGTACCAAGAACGAGATCAAAGTGACAATGATTATTAATGATTGCAAATACTGTTAGGTTCATTGTACGGGACTTTGTGTACGACGAAGATGCGTTACGATTGCAGCAGCAGGAATTGGAAGAAACCTCGGCTGCCGAAAAGGAACAGCAAGCGGAATTGGTGCGTTTGGCCAAAACCAACTTTAGTGAAGTGTTCGCTTCCTGGGTTCATCTCAAGGCTCTCCGAGTGTTTGTGGAATCCGTTCTCCGTTACGGCTTACCACCGGACTTTGCCTCTGTCGCTATCACGGTAAGTCACCGCTTCGGTATAGATGTAATAGTGGTTTGACTGCATGAAGTGACGATGTTTTATATCCTTTTAGTCACCACCCAAATTTGAAAAGAAGGTGGATGAGACTCTTGTAGCGCAATATGGACGATTGGGTGGTGTGCACGGACAGTCGTTCCAGAAGCAAAATGATAACCAAGAAGAGATTTTGGATCACGAACTGAATGCCGTCAATCATAGCGACTACCGACCTTATGTCCAGTTTGATCTTCATTTCGAAATTGAGCGTAGATAATCCTTTTTTCTTTTTCAATACAGTCTGAACTTTGGATTCCTTTGATTCTATTTTTCATGTTAACTGACCCGTTTATGGTAAATTCAATGACACCGCCACCATCGTTCCTTTCAACACAAAAAAAGAAGAGAAAAAGAGAGTAAAACAGTGAAAATGTAATAACAATGACTATGTTGTTCTAGTTTATGATATCAGGTATCATTCATTCACATCCAAAAAAAAAGAAAAAAGTGTCTAGTATTGAGCAGCGGCAGCTTGGCAAGCGCGCAAGTTGTCAAGGTACCATTGGCAAGAACCGATATCGTTGCCACTGTTCTCGAGACATTTGGTGAAAGCCTTGGCATCGGCTTCACATGTAGCAGTGGCAGTAGGTTGTTGTTGTTGGAAGGGTTGCTGGTATTGTTGTTGTTGGGGAGCGTATTGCTGCTGGGGTTGTTGCTGAGCGGGTTCCTCCGAAGAACTACCGCCGCTGAAAATGGAAGAGATGCCATTGGCCATGGTGTGACCGACCGCCGAACCAACAGCAACACCTGCCGCAGTCGTAGCCACTACACGCCAAGAAGAAAAAAAAATGATGAGAAACATGCCATTTTGATGGATATAATCGTTTAATTTATCAGATCATTTTTGCGGACTCTTTCTCCTGAAAAGTGATCAGGCGAAAAAAGAAAAAAAAAAACCTACTTTGAGCAAACAAACCAGGCTGCTGAGGTTGAGGAGCGTGAACCACGGGAGGAGCGGGAGCGGTAGGTGTCATGGCATGTTGAGCCGGTGCAGGGGTGTGTTGGGTGGGTGGGGGAGCTTGACGAGCAGCGGGAGCCGGTGCAGGTGCGGAAGGTGGAGGAGCTTGACGCACAGGCATGGTGTGAGCCTGGCGTGTCTGTTGAGCAGGAGCGGCACGTCTAGTCTAATCATAGCCGACCATCAGAAAAATGATAAGAGTTAGATAAGTAATTGAACTTTGATTTCTATTTCGCGCTTTTCTCTTGTACCTGGCGAGGCATGGTTTGGAAACAAAAAAGAATAGTGGAGAAAAAAAACCTTAATTCCCCTGGTTTTTCTTTATTTTGTGTGGCATTGTTAATCACAGTCACATTTCCACATATGGCAACTCCACTGACTCTTATTCGCTCGGCCCTGATTGGTTAGAAATTTCACTACATTTTCACCCACCTATTGTCCCTTCTTCGCACTGCACCACAGGGAAAGTCAGCGTTATTGTCACACAACGTTCATTTAAACATCTACCAAATAGTTAACCAACTTCCTTCAGCTATAGAAGAGTCATGACATTCGATAAACTGTAGTTGACTCAGTACGCATTTTTCAACAAGTTGCTGTAGTTTGGCACATCAACCAAAGCGCCTATCTTAAATACTTATAAAGATACATGTCAAGCTTCTGCCCAAATATAAAAAGCCGGCTGGAGACCGTCGGCGGGCCAATACCGTTGTCAAGTTGAAGTCTCATGGGTCAAAATGGTTTACGGTGATAATTTTCCCTTTTCGGGCACTGTTTTGCTCTTTTGAGAGAGTTTTTTTTTCTTGCTATTCGGTTTACATGCAAAGTGTGGGCTTTGATCAGCATCCCAGTGTGCTTGTTGCGAATATTTCATTTCTCTCATAATTGTGCCATGCAATAAATAACTATCGGTTAAAACTGGATGGGCTCTCTCAAGGCACTATCACTACTGAATCCATCGTTGTGGAAATTTAAGGCGCAAAAAAAAAGTATGATCATGTTTATAAAAGAAAGTTCGCAGTCCAGATCGTGAAGCCTATCGATGGTTGCAAATGAAGAGATCTGTCAAGGAACTTTCACGTGGGACGAAACAGTCAAGGGTCCATGGATGATTGGCCGATCAGGGCCATGCTGACTGCTGACTGGTGCTCATCAAGCCTTTTTGGTTTGGGTTTGCGCAACTTTCATTTTATTTCCGCAGCCATCTTCTGTACCCAGCAACCAATCGTATCTTTCCCTCATCGATGCATACAACTCGACTCGACAAAAGACATCATGCGCCCGCGTAGATGGAAAAAGGAAAAAAAAAAAATGCCCCCACATTAGAAAAAGTAACGGCAAAAGGGAAAAAAAAAAGTATCCGACCTTTTTTGTTTTGTGATTTATTTTTCTTTTTATTTTTCTCCTTTTTATCTTTTCCTCTTCTGTTGAATGAATCGGTTTAATATTAGTCGTTTATTTTCGCGTCATTCACGCCTTTTTATACGTCCTGCCCGTTGTTACTCGAAACATGGCAACGCAGTTGGTTCAAGAGAGCAACCACTCCCCCGCATGGTTTCCCTGGACTCGGTCAAATCCGACTCGCCCTATCATTTCTATCAGAACAAAGTCCTCGAGCCATATCTAAGTCAACCTATCAATGCGAGCACCCTACGACAATATATATTTTTTGGCAGGCAAATGAATACAAAGCGGCTCATCCAATCCGCCAACTGGGTACGTAATGAACTGCTCGTGAGACTCGCCCATCGAATTCGGGATTTCCAGCAACTGCCGTTCTACGTGGGAACCAATCCGAACATTGAATTCGTGTATCGACTGTATTGGGGGGCATTTGAAACTATACGGAAATTCCCAGTAATCAAGAACAATGACGACAATGAACGGTTTTGTGCCATGCTGACCGATTTACTCGAAGATGGGCAATTGGTCATTCCAAGTATGGCATTGGGCGTCATGGAATGCGCCTCATATTATTCGCCTGGGCAACGTGATCTCGATCGGTTCTTAAATCGTATGCTACGGTCTCGTATTTCTCGCAGGGTCCTGGCGGAACAACACTTGTCGTTAACCGAAGCCTGTGAGCATGACTGGGATGAAACGATGGGATTTGACGATGGCTATGTGGGAATTATCTATGTCCATTGTTCGGCCCGCGAGATCGTATCGCATGCACAGAAATTGGTGTATGAACATGCGCACGGTCTGTATTTTCAACATTACAACAACGAAAAGCCACCCAGTGGTTGGAAACCGCCCGTGATCCAAGTCGAACTTCATCAATCAGTTGGGCGAGGATACCAGCAAGCCGAGGATAAAGATGAAATCATCTTTGCCTATGTAAGTAGGAACGAGGAGTGATGTGGGTGAACAAAAGATCAAAAATGGCGCATGATGGCTGATACGACAAATGAATTCCCAGGTACCGGAGCATCTGGAGCATATTTTATACGAACTACTAAGTAATGCTGTACGGTTTACCATGGCCAACTATCTACCGGAAAATTACCCACCGATTCGAGTGACGGTGAGCGCCAATGCAACAGATGTGTATTTTCGGATATCGGATCAAGGCAAAGGCATCTCAAAGGAGCGGTTTGATACATTATGGTCTTACCAGTCACGCAAAGTCAGCGATCAATTGCTCAACTTTAAGCAAGTGCACAAGATGCCTACGAAGGTGAAGGAGCGAGCCGAGATGGCGTCGGGTCAAGGGATATACCTCGGCATGGGATTGCCGCTAAGTCGAATCTTTGCCGAATATTGGGGAGGGGAACTTCAAGTGTTGACCATGGACGGGTTTGGCACGGACGCCTACGTACGGATCCCACGGCTGGGAACCCAAGCTGAAAATCTCGGTTTCGAGAAACATCCCTTATACACCAGTAAAAAGCAAAAGATCAAAGCGGGAAATTCCACCATCAAATCCAAAAAACGATCACCCATGGAAGAAGAAGCCGAACTTGACGTCCAAAAGCAACCTACTGCCGTCCATCATTATCGACGATCCGTCGAACAGCAAACCGGATTACCGCCTGTAACCGGAAATGGCTGGAACCACAGCAGCATGATTCGATCTTGAAAAAAAGACCTCTTTCCCAATTCCCTCCCATCGTTTGTCATTCATCCACCCTAATTACGCACATACACGCACACATGTAAATCAGTTTGTTTATACCATTTGTCCTTCCTTTTTTTCCAAATCGCTTTATGGTAATTTTTTATTCCAGTAAAATTATATTATGCAACATCACAACGTTGAAAACGCCAAAGAGAAAATGTTAAAGCCAGTGATAACGAATGAGCTAGGTGTCAATAGAGAAAGAGAAGAAAGGGAAAAAACCCAAGGATCATGTGGCAAGGCCAACTTAATCTTCCCAGGTTTCAATGAAACCGAGACCTTTACGATCCCACACACCGTTCTGGTCAACGGCCACTTGCGCACCATGGAGCCAAATCTTGCTGAGATCGTCGTCTTCGCAATCGCCCCAACGAATTTGACCAAGAGCACAAGCACGGACGGTCTTGATCACGTGTTCTTCCTTGCAATCCAAGGATTTGTCAATCACGGTAAGCCATGGATTGTGGCTGTCAGTGGAACAGTTGGGAGACTTGTAGTTGAGCAACAAATCGATTTGAAGACTAGGACGACCACGGGCAACATATAAACCCAAGAGGGCGGCGGCTTCGGCCCGTAAAAGGGCGGCACCTTCGCTGGGAGTAACGTAAGGGAGGACGTGTTGAATGAAACTGCTGGAAGTGACACCATGCATCAAGAAAAAGTCGAGCTTGACCTTGCCTTCACGCATACCACTGGCACCATAGATGATGACTGCTGCCGTATAGAGATCCTTGTACTTGGTTTGGACATCCTTTGCGTTTTCTTCCACCTTCCATTGTGCCAAGTATTCCTTCAACTTGGACACGCACTTTTCGTCGGCCAAGACGTTTCCCAGCTTATTGGAGTCATCAAAGTTCACGACACCGTCAAACGCACTGTCTTGCTGCATGGCACGCACAATTTTCATGATCGAATTACTCTCAATGTGATCCTGCAAAGACGCTGTCTTTTCGGACTCCGAACCGGAAGATTTGGAACCGAAACCTAATTGGGTGCTCATTTGGGTGGTCAGGTGTGACACCATGTCCATGGCCGAACTGCTGGCTGTGGCGGCAACGGAAGCGGCTTGTTTAGGAATAAGGAAAGACTTTGTTTTCACGGATTCGTAACCGGGAATGATGGGGGAGAAGGTGGAATTAGTAACGGCTGCCAGGGCCAACCCTTCGGCGACTTGACCGGCCAAATCAAACTCCAGACCATAGCCGATGTGAATTATAGGATGGAAAGCACCACCCACCGTTCGTGCAAGCATGTCGCCGCTCCACACCCAGCGACGGACGGTGTCGACCACGCCGTGCGATTGGATCTCTTCTGTGAACAAGCGTAAAAAACGTACATATTCATCGGCTTTCCCGAGGGCCGATTGATAGTTTTCACGCGTCAATGATTCACCCTGCGGCGGTGTCAAATGGCGCTGGAATGAAGCGTGTGAATCGTAAATTTCCTGCAATCGCTCGGGAGTGGCTCCCAAAGAATAAGCGGCCAACAAATGGTGGGTAAGATGGCTGTTTTAACACACGCGTAAAAGATTAAAGTCAGAACCGTGATTACATTTTGTACGACATTTGGAGCTTTTTTTTTCTAAGCTAAATCACTTACTTGTGGAATTTCTTCTCGTTGAAAAAGATGTGGAATTCTTGATGGTTCTTTGACAACAATCGTTCAGCCAATGCTTGAGTTTTGGAGGTTACACCTGGCATGATGACGGCGTAAGTGTCGGGACCAATGGGTGTCTTTGGCTTGAAGGCAGACATAACGATTCGATATAGTGCAAGCACGTAAAAAGTAAGACTGGGGAGTAGAGGAAAAAAATGTAAAGTAAAATGATTGAAGAAGCGTAACAAATATGAGCGCGCGACTTTTTATGCATAACTGGAAATGGGTCATCACGACGTCATGAAAAAAAATGATGGCCGCTTCCTCCCCGACCTTTTCTCGCCGTTGAGCTGATAAAACATTCCAGTAGCCAATCATATTCTTTATTGTCTGCTTATGAACCTGAGAGAAATTCACACAGTCTCAGAATCCAAATTCTGGGATTTGCGCGGTTTTCATCAACTGAGTTTCAACTGTTCTTGGTCAGCTTTGATGAAATAGGAAATTTCTCGGAAAACGATATGCCGAACACTCTCACGTGGTTTATTTTACCCTTACCATCATCAGCTTTTCTAATCATTTAGTAAACAAGGGTGGATGGTGCCGACAGCATTGAATGCAATCGCATACACCACTAAATTAAAGTAAGATCCGGGAAGGCTCATATTCCGTTCCGCGTCATGGATCGCGTCAATACTATTTTGCAGCTTCATTAATGATGGTCAAGAAAAAAACTTGAACAGACGCCTGTGCATGGGGCAGTTAAACGCGCAGAAAAATACCGTTGTTTCGATAGTTTGTTTCATTTCCTGAGCCTGTATGGGAGTGGATATGACATCTGAAAGCTCGAATACAGTGACCTTTTTGCCCATAATGTTGGGGTATGCTGACAATGTGTTATTTTTGTGTGCTGCTGCAAATGCTACATGCATGCGGCATCTCGATGCATGTTCACTTGCCACTTGCCCTCTCACCGAAACATACGAGCTTTCAGTGATAATACTTAGATGATGCATTAAATTGGGAAATTACCCTCCAAAATACACGTGGACTTGGAGCTAAAACTGAAGCATCATTTATCTTTTGGTTTCGTTTATGGATATATTTTGTCTCTCCAGCTTTATCCAAAAGATAACTAATAAAAGCGAGCAGAAAAGACATTCAAATGAAAGAGATCAATTTTTTGGCGGAAACTTCGCTTACCTTCATCCCATTGCCACCCGGTCAGAATAATAAATCATTGATCGTATTGCTACTGCGCGACCTTTTACACATAATGCGTGATCCTCATGAAAAAAGAAGTGTACTAAAAGTACCACGCTTGATAAGTGATGATGTTGGCACAATACGAGCTGGACTGTCCGATGATCGTTCTTTCTGGTTGCCGTTCATTCCTATACGCTGTTCTCTTGACCGGCCAAGTACCATACGCACCAGCGGCACCTTTTTCTGTGAAGGAATATAAACTGTTTTCCAGGAAGATCGTGAACGAAAAGGTTCCTTTGCGATTGATCACTGTCAACCGCGGACAGTCCTCACGTTTCTCCCTCAGTCGCACATCAGGCAGTAACTCACTGCACGTCATTTTCGGTCTGTTCGTCCTGTAGGTACGGATCGTCCTGGAAAGAGGGTGGAAAAGCTAATGAGCGTCTTCTATTGTACAAAAATACACAGCAGCGTGAGACAAACCATGGCTCAACCAAAATTTGTTCAATCCTGCAAAGCAACGTACGGAAAAGAAATGATGCGTTTAGTGAGCTTTTCATCAGTAGTAGATAGTCATAAATTTGCTCGAAGTCGGGGAAGCATGCCCCAATCACGGTCAAAACAGGATGATGGATCGTGCCTTTTCTTTCCCGCGAACTCGTGCTCGGCCATATAATTTTTACCCAGTTATTCATCGTCATCCGGTAAGATTACTGTCTCTATGCCGGTCCAGATACTCCCCGGTTACGTTCGAGTCTGCTGAGTAAGACTCGATTTCAATTTCAGGTCCTCCCAAGGACCCTCCTGATCGTTCACTGGAGTGATATCGCCGCCCATCATGTCCACCATGGAACGGAAAACACGCGTCGTAGACTGTCTTTAATAATCAACCTGGAGAAGAGATGAAGAGAGACCAACTTACAGGAATGTAGTGGATTCCACAACGACTTGTATAAGGCATTGTTTCCATCTCCATGACGCACCGGGCTATGTGCTTCGCTTATCTTGTGAGCAAACTGGACAAACGTAAATGTCCGATTTTGGCAATGCTTCGACAAATGAAATCCACCTGACGCGTATTCATGGTATAGCTTCGCGTTTTTCTGAAAAAGATTCCCTGTGTTGCAAACGGTTTCGCCGTTTGAATGTTGGTTACATGTTTTCATTTCCCCAACAGTCGCGGATGGAAACACCCACAAGCATGCCCTCCAGCAGAGAAGCATCGAGAGTCAAATTGACCACACGATCAATAGACTAAAACTCGAATGCACGGAATTTGCGGATCCAAATTAAAAACTCTGCGTGCTACCATTTTTATTTTTTTTATTTTTTCCGTTCTGAAGTATTGTTGGCAGTTATTCATTGAAAATGTTCCATATCAACGATTCGGATGATGTTTTGACTCTCTCTCTCAAAAAAAAAAAAAAAAAAAAAAGAAGAATAGCTTTGACGAAGGCATATGCGAACGTGTGGTAAAATTTTCATTTTTTATTGCAACCCGTGAGTTTCCACTGTTTTAGAAGGTGCTCCAATTCTGATATGCCAAAAAGGAATAAAAAATAAATCCTGTAATGCACAAGATGAGGTTCTTTATTGCAAGAGAATTTCGATAAAAAAAAAACTAGGAAAAAAACTAAAACGAAAAAAAAAAAAACTGTTGTATCGATGGCATTCAGCTATGAGTTGTGACGGATGACCCCCAACCAACAATTGGGTGGGCAAGTTGTTAAAACTTGTTCCCCTATCCCACCCCCGTCCAACTTATAGCTATGCCATGGGCTCGGGAGCCGACTCGTCCGGTCGGAAGTCTACAAAAATGTCAGTACCACTGCCCTACAAGATGTTAGTATAATCAAAGCTTGCTGAAACGCCAATCAGCCGGCACCAAGTCGTCGCGGGAAGGCAGAGCAGAACAGAACAAAGCAGAGCAGCGCAGCTTGAAGCCTACAAAATGTTAGTATCTTCCCAGCTGCCCAACAGAAGGTTAGTACTATCGGGAGGTCAGTCGGCAGGGATGGTCAAAGGGTGCGGTTGGGGAGAGAAAAGGGAAAAAAAGAAACGGGAAGAGGAAGGAAAAAAATCTTTGCCGCAGCACCCTTTTTTTTTTAATGCAATAAAAGGTTGAGGGGCAGCCATCGAATGAAAAGTGGGAAAAGACTAACTTTGCGAGAATTGGGTGTAGAGCGACGTGCGCATTTGTATCAATGCGCAAAATTAATTTATTGGTATCCCAGCAACAATGGGGAAGAAACAAGAAGGTTTCTCACTATGAAAAGCTTCACACACGTCTTCAAGAAAAGACAAAAGGACAGTGCACTGAAGAAGTCCAAGCGGACTTTTTTGATGATTTCAAGTACGAAAGGCATCGAAAAAGATGGAAGCGGTCCATGGGTCCGATTCACTTGATCCTGTCCCAAGGCACGGCATCCATTACCTTTGTTCAGATTTTGATCCATCCAAAACCGCCTTTACAAGACGAATTCGCACAAATTCGAAGCATCTCTGTAGAGGCGCATCGGGCCGAGTTACGGTTTTTCTCCATCTGTTTTTGCACCCATCCATCAACCTACGCCTAAGAGATCAATTGTAATAAAAGTATACTATGATACATAAGCCCTTATTATCTTTAGAAGGTTGATTAGGTGAATAGATGAAGTTAAACAATAAGCAGCCTGCTCAGGTTCAGCGAGCTCAGAAAACGCAAAGAGATCGTAAACGTAGCCATGCTTGTAACATCACGCTGATGCAGTGAAAACGATGAACAATAAGATGGTTTTTAATTTAGTAGTGTCGTGGATCTTTCATGCTGAAAATCTTTAGATTGCCCGCAAATTTTCCATCTAATGTCATTTCATCTCCTGCGTATGCCAGATAATAGTCGCGAGGGTGCCATGCTACAGTATTCATGGCCGCCGAGCATTCGATGTGGTGTACAGAGACATTGCTTTCCACGTGTGACTATGAAACCATAGATTAGCCGATGGGTTCCTTGTTTCCATGATCGAGCGTTTCCCCACTTACAATATCGATAAAATTGTCTTCTGACGCCGACGCAATAAATTGACCATCATAACTGAAACTCAACGTACGCACAGGCCATCTGTTTACCACATCACGTCAGTGCTCTGTTACCATGCCTATTCCCCCAATGTGGTTTCTCTATCCCTTACGTGAGTTCCGAGAATGCTCGCTGACATGTAAACGTCTTTGTATCCCACAACGTCACCAGTGCATCAGCCGATCCTACAGCAAGGTACTTTCCAGTTGGGTCGGCTTCTACGCAATAGCAATTGGCGGTATGGCCTCGTAACGATTGTAGCAGTTTTAGCGAAGGATATTCGTATGTTTTGACGGTGCCTTGTCCGGTCGTCACGAAAAATAGATTGTTTGCATTGTTCCACGCGATTTCATTCACCTAAACCATGGAATCCGAGCAGATACTCACAAATTAATAAGACAATGTCTATACACAATGGTGCTGCGACGAATTAAAGCTTTACCTCTACGTTGTGTTTTTGTGTCTTCACAGTTGTATTTGTTCGAGTGTCAATGATACTGATGGTATCATTCTACAAATTGCGGTTAGGAATAGGCCTTTTCGATTATGAAAGCGGCACGATCACTTACCTTGTCGCCTACAGCGATATGATTGCCATCCGGACTCCAGCATATATTGATGTTTTCTCCTCCCGTTTGCACCACCGCCGTACATTTACCAGCTACCAAAGGTTCTTTGTTAGACCATCCAGTTTTGATATGCAAGCCATGAGGGCATAATGCTTACAGCGCTGATCCCATATTCTCACAGTTTTGTCACACGATGCGGTTGCTAATCGATCGGGATGGGTCGGATCCCAGTCCAGCTGGTCGACACTATCGGTGTGTCCTTTGAGTTCAATGGAATAGCGAATATCGGTCTGTAGTCAATAAACACCGTCTTGTTAGTAGCCACGTTATCAGATCAATCACATGTGCGTCATGGTAAGATTACTCACACCTCGATGGGGAGTCCAAACGCGTGCTGTTTTATCGACCGATCCCGAAGCCAGTTTACGTCCGTCACTGTTCCAAGCGACGGTGTGCACCTTTTCCTTGTGCCCTTTGTATTCTCTTATTTTGGAGTGTTTTATCATGGACTGGACCTGAGAAGACAAAAAGAAAAAATCGACCATGAGTTTATCAATAAGTTGTATGCAAGTGTCGAAGGCCTGATTTTTACTTGATCTTTTGTAATCGGGGCACCGTCAAAGTAATACTGCTCAATAATACCGGAAGGCGGGTTCCATTCGCTGAGAGGTTGTCCGCTTTCGTCAATGGCATCGTCAACAGCTGGTGATAAGCCGCCAGTGATTGCTGCAGTGTCCATAGTCAATGTGTAGTTGATTAAAAAAAAAAAAAAAGAAACCTGGCTTTTTCTGGTTTCTTTGCACCTTCCCCTCTCTTTTGCCCACTGAGCCACACACATCTTTGGCAACCGAACTTCAAATTTATAACTCCGCTTGCGATGCTCTGGTTATTACGGCTTTTTTTTTTTAATATGAAGCAGCTCTTCTGTTTTAAAAAAAATCTACTTTTGTTGCTACTATTATTCTGCTTTTCTCGCACGCTCGGCCTTCTTGATGGATCCTTTATCTGTCTTTGGTTGTTTGGATTCGGGCATCAGACCAAAAGGCGATTGGAGCTTGAACGGACGACGAAGTTCACCGGTCGCACTTTCTTTCCAGATGTGAATGCGGGCTTCCTTGGTGCTGTAAAACGTCTTGAATCCAAGAATCGCCTGCAGAATCAAAGGTTGCACGTATTGGAACTTCCAGTGCATCACCGCAATCATACCGATACCAATAAATCCCTGCTTCATCTGCTTTTTGATCTCGTTGACATCGTATTCTGGAAAATTACAGAAAAAGAGAAGATTCCGGGGTCAGTTCCGCCGTCCATGCATCCCCCGAGGAGCAACTCTTTAAAACTGTTGCAAATCATAGATAACCTACCCATCACCGTTGTGTTGACCAATTGCTCAGGTTCTTGTGATCCATCCCAGTTTTGCTTCGAAGGTTCCACGTATCGCAAGATGGTGGTATCTATGAAACGGTGGTGTATCAGCCAACCGTAACCAGCGGGGGTTGCTGGTGATCCCTTTTAATCTCGCAAAACCGCCACTTACCATTCTTTTTCTGCACCTGCGTAATGAGTTGGAAGTTCAATGCGAGAATGGCCAGTTGCGAGGCAATATACAAGAATCGCAATGGCCACAGATACTCGGGCTGATCCAGATGGAATGCTTTCGTGAGTTGACGCACAAAAACAAAGAAGACCACATTAAACAATGGATGGTTTAAAATTTTGTTCCAGTCTGGCATGGTAGGAATAAACAATAAAAAGAAAATACAAAGCAAAAGTAGTTTGGAACAGAGAACAACAAGACAATCACTGGGAAAAAAATGAGGGTGTAACCCTACAGAATTCGTCGCGCCCAAACGATCATCGGAATCAGAAAACCCTTTTCGCATGGACCAATCACGCGGACTATCGTCAATGCTTGGGTTGTGGTGAACCCTTGCCCTTTCGCTCTTTGGAAGTCCAAGACTGGCTCGTGTAAGCCAGAGGAAACGGAAGATACAAGTTCATTTGTACCAATAATCGTTTTAGTATAAAATTCATCGTGGAATACTTTACTGTAAAAACCCAGAATGTTGCTTGTAAATAGAATTAAAGCCTACTCGTAAAGGATCAAGTAGAAAGAAGACCAGAAAATCAAAGATAATATTTGATCAAGAAAAGTAAAAAATAAAAACACCATCCAACCACAAGACGGAGCAACTGACAGGCTTATATACAAATGACGGGATTGATCCGGTATAAATGCGTTGTAGTGTGCCAAGTAATTGATTATATTCTATCCTAGCGATGGGTCCAATAGGTGTGAACGAATACCAAAATTACAGTCAAAGTAAAATAACGGTATCTATAGAGCCGTGCGTTGATATTTGTAGATTTCTTTGGGGAGTTGTCTTTGACTTCTCGAGCGAGCGATGAGCATCACTTGGGCTTGATGGTTGATGACTTTTCGTCGTTCGGTATGCCGTCGGGTAGGCGGATGACACCGTAAAGCTTGACGCTCTCTTTCTCGAGGTGACATTTCCGGATTTTCGGTTGTCTCCCATAACCGTCTGCGTGAAGAATCTCGCCGACCGATCAAGCCGCCCTGCAGATGCTTTTCATACTCTGCCGTTGGTCCCTGCGATGAACGTTCGTACCGCATCCATGCCGGTAATGGTTTTTGTTTCTTTTCATAATACTCCCGCAGTATCCGTGATACATGACTCTCGCCTTCCCAATCAGAATCATCGGATTCTGGCAAATTGACACCCTTTGTCAGGTAAAACAAGTATGCAAAACCCTCCTCTGTTGATCGTTTACCTGGTTCGTGCTCGTCTTCGGTAGTGAGAGTTTGTGTTGCTTGCAGTAGCTTTTCCCACAGCCTTCCACTGACGGTAGTGGCTACAGAAGGTGCCAACATAATATTTTTTTGAGAATTAAAGAGTATAAATAGCAGTATTATATGAGATTCACAAGTTAGTTATAATAGCATTTGATTTTGCTTCCTTTTTCTTTTTTGGGGCTTCTCAGTGTGTATTACTTTTTTCATTTAATTCCTTGAATTTTTCATTCTGACGCACGACGCCCCAAAGTCGTTTGCCGGTCGTCGGTGGCAAGCAAGCTTCAAAATGCTTGTAGTAAATGGATTCATGCTGTGGATCGTCTTCGTCAGACGACGACGATACGCGTGTCTTTTTCATGCTTTCCACAGACGATATGGAAGCATCGGATCCATGGCGAGAGATCCATGGTCTCTGAGAACGGTGGGAAGCAAAGGATGAACCTGAATCACTATCTCCAGAAGCCGGTAACAAGGGTCGCTGATTGTCATGGCAAACATGACGTGCAGGATAGAGACCTACGTCGTTGCCACAGTCTTTACACAAGACGACAATAGCCGAAACACGATAATCAATCGCACGCGTTCCCATCGTGTTCAAAGTGATATTAACAGAAAGAAAAAAATTGTAATAAAAGGACGAGTAAAAAGAAGGGGCAATTGTCTTTTTTTTTTCACTTATGGAATGATATTGAATTGTATACAGTAGGATTCCTTTTCTTTCGGAGTCATGATTGACTTTTTTTTTCGTGCAACAACCATTTGGTTGATCATACTGGTGTCCCAATGTCAAAAAAAGGGGGCCGCGCGCGGAAGGGGATAGAGGAATTAGACTAATTATTGAATTTTTTGGTCTATTGACTTGTAAGTTAGGAGAAGTAGGATAATACATTCATCACTCTTCAAGCAATCGTACTCTGCGCCTGACCCCTCTTTGTATGTTGTTTACTCAATTCAATCTCCATCCATTGAATGTGAGTATTTATCAGAGCCCAGACCGCCAACCAACTTGGGATGCAAATGAAGAAGAAATGAAGCAATATATGAAAAAAAAGGTCCAGCCAACTTTAATTTGCAATAAAAATGGAATAATTATCATGAGTATGCGGATCTGCATCATGATGGGATCTCTTTGTCGTACTTCATTATTTCTCTTCCATTACTGGTTGATTACACGCCCAGGCCACTCATCCCCTTGTATACCCTACTTGCTCACCGCTTTGTCGACTGCAGCTATCAACATGACTTTTTTTTTCTCCTATTCCAATTATCCACCAAGATAAAACATTGTCGCATTTGTGGAACAAAAGACAGTATAGAAAAAAGTAATATGTATCGTAGGGATCAAAGAGAACACAACCGCAATCTCGGATCCAACAATGAATAATGGCGGGGAAACAAAGAAAAAGAGAGGCAAAGGATTGACAATTCGGGAATGATCATGAAAGGGTTATCCAAACAAGAAACAAGTAGAAGAAGAAGAAGAAAGACTAAAGGGTATGATAAACGGTAGACAAAGCATAGATGGTAAGATGGATAAATAAGAAGAAAAACAGGCAAAAAGGAACCCAACAGCACGACTTATACGAGAGCTAATTCCAAAGTCCATGTACGCCTTGCCCATAATCGAATGGATTCGCCTTCCACTTCCACCGTGTTGCCATCCCACCAGCATTTTCTCTGTAAATTAAAAAAAGAAACAATCATGAGTCTATATGCTTGGATTTTTGTTACATCTCATTGAAAGAGTCGAACTTACGGCCGGTTTTCTCCAGAACAGTAACAGTTTCTGTGCAGTGGCCATGTGGTTATCCGGGCCAGTGGTCTTTAGTAAGACCAAAGCCATGCTCACAATACAGGTCCGCATCGGTTCCAGTTCACGGTAACCCCAGCGATCGTCTCGCATAAATCCAGCATCGCACAACATATCAATCAAGTGTTGCTCGGCAACGTTGTTTTCTCTCGAAATGTTCTTTTGCAACGCATCAAAAATCTGATCGTGCTGTTTCAGGTATTTTCCACCGGCAAGCTTCAACGCTTGCATGTCGGCCAAGCTCTTTTTGTCACTGTCTTTCGATGTCAAGCAATAGTACTCGAGTTCTTCTCGTAGCACGATGATGGGCTGCTTCGTCAGTAAAGGGTAATACATGGGAGATGTCGCCGCGGACTGAGCTAGCAATCGCTGATGATCGTTGCTGTCGCTCTTTTGGTATACTTCTTGGGCGTACTGATAAAAACGAAGCACATAGTCCAAACAGGCAGGGTCAAAATCGACGTAGTTCACTTGTTCATCCATGCCGCCCACCGAGTCCCGCGAGTGGTTTTCATAATCATCTTCGTCGTCGTCGACAAACACATCATCTTGACGGCCCAGCACAAGCCCATTGGGAAACATGGCTATCAACAGACTCTCTGGCAAATTGACCAACACATCTCGATCCAACTCTACACGAGTGCCCCGCAAATCAAGTTTGAGCTTCCGAGGAATAGCATCCTGAGGAGAGTCAAAGCCGTCGTCCTCATGCTGCTGATAGATCATATCATCCTGGTCATAATTATCCGGTTCAGGCACTTGTACAATGGGTGATTCGGAAGCCATTATGATTGAGAATAAATATGGAAAAAGGAGCGTGATTTTGTCTTCGGCAACCCGTCCTTTTGGGATGATAAGCACGGATGCACGTGAGCTTTCACAAGTCACGTGATGACACATTGACTCGAGTCATCGGGCACTGGTCCTCGAGATGCTTCTGGCGCGCATCAACGTCTTTTCCAGTCGTGGTATACATATAACCACCTGCCACTCACACCATAGACATACATGTGACATTGCAGCTGTTTCTGAACAGACTGTTTATCTGAGTTTTTCTAGCCAAAATTCTAATTTGCTCCATGGATATTCCAAATTTATGCGAATATTCATTTTCTTTCTTTTTTACCCTCTACTTCTTTCCTGATGCTTGGATATATTCGTATGATATGCCACAATCAAGCGAAGCTCTCACAACTTGAGGCGTACCGGTGTTTAGAAACTGCAAGTGGTTTCAAACTTTGAACAATGACCTTGCCACTTTTCCATTTCAACGTGCGTAAATTCCCATCAGCGGAGAGAAGATTGTTAAAAATTATCATCACAGCATTACGCGCACAAGTCTTTGTTTGTCCATTTGCAGACTTTCAAAAGTTGCGAACATTTGCAATCTGAGCTTTGATTGGACCGCAGCCTATGGAAGAATGACATGTGTGAAGCGCGCTTCTTATCGATTTGGTTCATTCTATGTCCGTGATCGGCGGTCTCAAAAAAGATTAAGCATCGTTTTCTTAATTGTATATGTCATTACACTGGCGTATTAGCCGTGGCTAATGGTTGGGATAAAAAAAAGAGGGAAAAACCGTAATTCGGGCCGGTGCGCCTCTACAGAGATGCTTCGAATTTGTACGGATTCGTCATGCTAAGGCGGTTTCGGATGGATAAAAATCTGAACAAAAGTAATGGATGCCGTGCCTTTGGGACAGGATAAAGTGAATCGGACCCATGGACCGCTTCCATCTTGTTCGGTGCCTTTCGTACTTGAAATCATCAAAAAAGTCCGCTTGGACTTCTTCAATGCACTGTCCTTTTGTCTTTTTCTTAAAGACGGGTGTGAAACTTTTCACAACGAGAAACATTCTTGTTTCTTTCCCATTGTTGCCGGGATACAATGAATTAATTTTGCGCATAGATAGAAATTCGGCACGTCTCTCTACACTCAATTCTCGCAAAGTTAGCTTTTTCCACTTTTCATTCGATGGCTGCCCTTCAACCTTCTATTGCATCAACAAAAATAAAAGGAAAAAAAAGAAAACGTCAAAGAATTTTGTTGTTTTTCCTCCTCTCCCTGTTTCCTGTTTTGTTCCTCTTTTTCTCTCCCCAAACGCACCCTTTGACCATCACTGCCGACCGACGTCCCGATAGTACTAACATTCTGTAGGGCAGCTCGGGTACTAACATTTTGTAGGCTTCAAGACGCTCTGCTCTATTCCGCTCTGCTCTGTTCTGCTCTGCCTTCCCGCGACGACTTGGTGTCCGCTGATTGGCGTTTTAGCAAGTTTTGGCTGTACTCATTTTGTAGGACAGTTTTGATGGTACTAACATTTTTGTAGGGCAGTTTTGAGGATACTAATATATTTTGCACTAATTTTTTTGTACGGCAGTGGTACTAGCATTTGTAGGCTTCTGACCAGACGAGCCGGCTCCCGAGCCCATGGTATAGCTATAAGTTGGACGGGGGGTGGGATAGGGGAACAAGTTACAACAACTTGCTCAGCCAAGTTGTTGGTTGGGGGTCTCCCGTCACAACACATAGCTGAAGGTCAAGGATACTATTTTTTTTTCTTCATTTTCAATTTCTTCCCTGGTTTACTTTTTTCGCATTAAATTCTCCTCTAATAAAAGCACTGCCACCTTATGCGTAGAACTTTTGATACCGTAAAATTATCGAATGATTTCCATTTTCTTTGAGGTCTTGGAATTATCAGTGAAATAAAAAATGTGATTGCCTCTCAACCACGGCAACAACAGACACCAAGTAAGGATCTCCGTAACCTTCGTTGGAAATGCCTATTTCTCTACCACCATACTTGTTTCATATTACCACGCTTGGGTTTGCATCCAACATTCAAAGCAGTCATAGATCACCCGCTTGTTTCATGACCTTGACTGCATACAATGCTATCGGTTTAAAAACCATATCAAATCCGGTATCAAGATATGACGACCTGATTAAACCAGCTTTGGCCTTGATAGCTACAGTAATTCCAAGGTGGAGACATCAAAGCATTCCAGTCATCTTTCTCTACTATTCTAAATTCTTTCATAATCATCCCAATTCAGATTGACATGAGCACCTGTTTTATTTTCTTGAGAATCCTTTTCTATTATTATTAAGGCATAGATCGAGATATGTGCTCCGGCGAACTAACACCTGATAATTTCATTGACTTGCAAATCGATTTCGAGCCATCAATTTGTGCGTGTGAATACTCAGATTTTGAATTTGCGTCCAAACGTTATCGGCTCCAACCCAAACGACAGAGCTTTCGCTTCTTTTGCTCCAAATGCATACCTTCCGCTCTGATGATTATTCCGATGCCTCTTTGCGCAAAGGGCAATAATTTATTGGGATCATCTACGAGTTTGATGATTCTGGAATTAAGGCGGGTAGCAAGTAGAATATTTTTGATTGATGGCATGCTCACATAAAAAGGACGTGTCAGACAAAAAAATGTGCTGTAGAAAATTCAGTTACCAAGCCCTGAAACCAGTTACTGCATTATCCAGAGCTTGCAACTCCGAGAATCCTCCATGATAAAGTGGTTTTCATGATTTTATAAACTTCACACGGGACGGAGGAATTGTCATAAATTGGTTGCAATAACTGGTAAGTGAAGTATGTGGATCCGCCATTGGTATCTTTTGACTTCTATTTTGCTGACAGGGAACAACCCTGATGTGCTGTCATTTTTCGACGTTGTTGATGCAGATTGTCTGGCGTCGGTCTTTTTTTTTTTTTTTTTTTTTTTTTTTTTTTTTTTTTTTTGCCACCGATTCGCTCAGTGTGAGTGAATCATACAGGAACTGGTGAATATGTTAACCGACAAGAATCTTCATGAACCTGGAGAAGAAACAGCTGGAATCAGGCGTGATAATATTTTCCGACACCAAGGAATTGAATTCACCGTTGCATCGGCAAAGTATTGACCACGCGAGCATTGATAAAGAAGGAACTTCCTCGTCTTTTGCGATAATTTGATGCGCCAGAGAGTATCATATTCATCAACAACAGTGGTCGGCATGTCGTCGCAAGCCACGATTTGATCTATTTTGTTTGGCCGCTTGTATTTGCGAGGTTTGTCAGAATGCTTGCACCCCGACACCATTTTGACAGTGTCACTGCTTACCGTCTATTGGTAAACCTGTCTCTCCTGATGATATAGCTAGGCAAGCACGTCTCACGGCTTCCTTAGATACATGAGTCGGTTCCAAGTAACGTTTCCATGGACAACGACTTTCTGATCGTTACCTGATAAGATGCGATCCACGTGAGATTGTCAGAAAAGGGCAATTGGCGCCGATCACCAAACACCCAACCATCTCGTTTGTGAAATTGATTCTCACTCGACCATTCCTTCCCCAAGAAAGCAGCAACCAATACACATATACAATAAATTGACAAGCTCTATATTGTCTTTCAACAGTTTACGTTCGTTTAATTGTTTTTTGTAGACATGGTTAATCTAACGCACAAAATTCTTTCGAATCTTCATTTTTTGATACACTATACAATGATAAATGTGTGTTTTAACAGTAATATAAAGAAAAAGCTAGCAATCAAGGAAAGAGAGGCTCCTTAACGACGCTGGGAGTAGACGTGAGCGAAAGCACGGGTAGAAGCACGCTTAAGCTTGGTCTGGGCGCTCTTGAGGTCATCAACGGAAGCATCATCAGCGTTCATGTCCAAGAGTTCCATGGCTTCAGCGAGAGCGGTCTCGATAGCCTCACGGTCACCACGACGGATCTTCATGTTGACGTTGGGGTCAGAGATGTTGTTCTCAACCTGGTAGACATAGGATTCGAGGTCCTGCTTGGCCTGGACGGCGGCTTCACGCTGCTTATCAGCTTCAGCGTTCTTCTCAGCATCCTGGACCATGCGTTCAATGTCAGCAGCAGACAAACGGGTGGAGTTGGAGATGGTGACATCAGCCTTGCGACCAGTGGTCTTGTCCTGGGCAGTGACCTTCAAGATACCGTTGGCATCCAAGTCAAAGGTACACATAAGTTCAGGAGTACCACGGGGAGCGGGGATGAGACCGTTCAAGGAGAATTCACCGAGCATGTTGTTTTCCTTGGTCATCAAACGTTCACCTTCGTAGACGGGGAAAGTGACAGTGGTCTGGTTGTCAGAAGCGGTGGTAAACACCTTGGTCTTCTGGCAAGGGATGGGAGAGTTGCGGGGAACAACAACAGCCATGATACCACCTTGCATCTCAACACCGAGAGAAAGAGGGACAACATCCAACAACAAGAGATCCTGGGTCTTTTCGTTACCGGCCTGGTTGGTAAGGACAGCAGCCTGGACAGCGGCACCATAGGCAACAGCCTCATCGGGGTTGATGGACTTGTTGAGCTCCTTGCCATCGAAAAGATCAACGAGGAGAGACTGGATCTTGGGGATACGGGTGGAACCACCAACAAGGACGATTTCGTCAACAGCCTTCTTGTCGATCTTGGCATCCTTCAAGACACGTTCAACGGGCTCGACGGTGTTCTGGAAAGCAACGGAGTTGATTTCTTCGAACTTGGCACGAGTGATGTTGGACTGGAAGTCAATACCCTCGAAGAGAGAGTCAACTTCGACGGTGGTCTGGGTCAAAGAAGACAAGGTACGCTTCGCACGTTCGGAAGCAGAGCGGAGACGACGGAGAGCACGGGCATCACCAGAGATATCCTTCTTGTGCTTACGCTTGATTTCCTGGACGAAGTGGTTGACAAGGGTGTTGTCGAAATCTTCACCACCCAAGTGAGTGTTACCAGCAGTGGCCTTGACAGCGAAGACACCACCAGAGATGGTCAAAAGGGAGACATCGAAGGTACCACCACCCAAATCGAAGATGAGGACGTTACGTTCCTTCTTGTCGTTAGCATCCAAACCGTAAGCAATGGCAGCAGCGGTAGGTTCGTTGATGATACGGAGAACCTCAAGACCAGCAATGACACCAGCATCCTTGGTAGCCTGACGCTGACCTTGAAAAAAGTTTTTATCAGTCACACAATGCCCCTCTTAATTGTTATTCTAGGAGCAGGACTGACAGGAAAAAAAAACTCATCCCAAGTTTTTTCCCCGCCAAATCCATGTCTCTCCCCCAATAACATCATTGTTTAATACATACTGTCGTTGAAGTAAGCGGGGACGGTAACAACGGCCTTGGTGACCTTCTTTCCGAGCTTAGCTTCGGCAATTTCCTTCATCTTGATCAAGACCATGGATGAAATTTCTAAAAAATTTCAACGTCAGAACACCAATGAAAACCGAGGAAATTAAATAAGAAAAAAGATTTTTTTGGGAAAAAAACAAAAAAAAAATGCTTACCCTGAGGAGAGTAGGTCTTGGTCTCGCCTTCAAATTCGACCTGAATGAAGGGGTTTTCGTTCTGGTCGACGACAGTGAAGGGCCAGTTCTTCATGTCAGCCTTAACTTCGGCATCATCGAAACGACGACCGATGAGACGCTTGGCATCAAAGACGGTGTTCTTGGGGTTCATAGCGGCCTGGTTCTTGGCAGCATCACCAATCAAGCGCTCGCTGTCAGAGAAAGCGACGTACGAGGGGGTAGTGCGGTTACCCTGCTCGTTGGCAATGATTTCAACACGCTCGGATTCCCAAACACCAACGCAAGAGTAGCTAAATGATTACAATAAAAAATTTAATATCCTTCCGTAACTGATGCTTGCTTTTTCATTTTTCGAGACGCTGTGGGCTATTCACCCAAATAGGAACGATGGCTTACGTAGTACCCAAATCGATACCAATGGCTCCTTCGTATTCGACAGACATGATTGTGAACGTAAACTTGGAAAAGAGGAAGGGGAGAAAAGGAAAGATCCGTCGGGGCCACCGAGTGACTCAAAAATTATATTTCGAAAAAATTTGTCAACAGGCACACTAGGACTGTTTATCTCCGCAGACAACGTCACGGTAAAAAAAAAGCCACCTTTTTGGCTTGGGGGGATCGATAGGGACCCCATCTATTTTCAAAGGCCGCTATTCCAACGGCTCCTATGGCAGCACACACGGCTAGCGTGTTCCTCTGCTTCTATTTCTTTCTTTTTCTCCAGTTTCGTCCGTTGTCACTCCTCCATGGGCGATTTCACTATCCTCATTGCTTATGAATTGCCCGCAAGCTAAGATTGTCAAACCCACATCTACTCCATCGTCTTCTGTAAGTGGGTGCGTTGGTTGGGAGATACCATCCCCCCTTTTATTTTTTGGGCTTCAGCTGTCAGCTAATAATAATAGTGATGGATGATAAAAATGAAAGTGCCGTTCCGCTCCTGGCTTCCGCTTGCATGGATTAGCTTCTTCAGCGACTGTACATAATACCGCTGCTGCATTGGTTTGTACGGTTGGTACAGACAATGATGTAGAGCATAAGATCATGGAGATCGAAAAACGGTTGCGGAAACTCGATGTGGCGGCCGAAAAACGCTCGACCCCATTTGCGGCTCATATTCCAACCGGTCAACGACGTACTAAGGAGACCTGTCCTTTGAAAGACGGTGAACAGGCGACCAAATTCAGTCTAGCGCCTTCCGGATTACGTATTGAAACGGATATCAAAGAAGCTGAGCATTTTGTCCGGGTCCTTTTAAGCGGACTTGATCCCGTGAAAATCCAGCAAAATGCCAAAGAGGTGTTTAGTCGACAGCATTTCACCTGGCAATCGTCCAGCCCCGAACCGATCGTGGCAGAGCCATATCCCATGAATTCGCTGGATATCGAAGATCCCATCGAAGTCACCTGGTTAGAAATGGTTTTAACTACGCGTCATTTTCGTAGCTTTGTCTTGTACCAAATGGTGGATCCGCCTCGTTTGGTGGAACTGATTTCGTTCGACAAAATACGTCAACTCCCGATTGCTGAGCAGCAGGAACGTATGTTTCTTGCCAAATCCGTGCGGGCGTATGTTTTTTATTACGAAAATTTTTTGCACGACGATACACCGTATCCGATCAAAAGTGACAAAGGGCCCCGGTACTTGGAACAGGCCGAAGATTTGTTGGACCATTGTTACACAAAAAGTAGCCGTAACAGTATCCGTGCGCTGCTGCATCTGATCTCATACCACTTACAGTACCATCGAGACCCGCACAAGATGTTCCTCTACTGCGATTTGGTTTTACGCATGGCTCAAGATCTGGAATTAAATAAGTGCAAGCCCAAATCCTTCATGGACGATGATCGTTTGGTAGAAGAAGATCGACGGTTGTGGTGGTCGGCGTACTGGATTAACCTGTGGATCGCCATTGAATTTAATCGACCTGTCATGGCGCGGTGGGCCGAATGTGAAGTCCCATTTCCGCGCAGATTACCAGACGAAGGGGCTGATGTTGGTTACTGTCTGGATTTTTGTATCTACGCTGTCAAATTATTAACGATCCGACAACGCATGACACAGACACTAAAATTGGCTTGGACGGCCTCGGCCCTTTTAAGGCAAATTCAAATGCTGGAGTACGAATTGTCGGTTTGGGATGAAAACTTGCCGGTCCATTTTATTCATGCCAACTGGAAACAGGTTCCCGACTCACTGTGCGTAGAATTAGGCTTACTGCTTCAAGGTCAGCTGTGCACGGCCAAGGCACAGATGTACGAATGCTTACTATCGAAACACAAACCGCCGAATACAACGCTGGAATTTCTAGCTATCCGGAGCAGTGTGAAAGCCGCGAACCGATTTGCGGATATGGTGATTGAGTATGCAGCAAGTATGCGGATGTGCATTTGTTTATTCATCTTGCATTTGATGCGACCTTGTGTCATGATTCTGCTCAGTCACTGTGTCTTTGAAACCCCCGAAATTGCCGCTGTCACCCGTGATAAACTGCGTTGCATTCAGTCGTTGCTCGCCAACTACCCTTATGTGCAAATAAACGAAGCGGTCGAGCTCAATCGCCACATTCAACAAGCCTGCGCCGCCATGCCATCAATGTCTCTCCCCGTCTCGGCGCCCTCTGATATCCATGCTGTGCATTCGCATTTTCATGGAAATCCCGACCATTCCTCTTTTCCCAAGCATTTTCAAAATCATGGTGAAATGCATGACCGTGACTCTTCTTCGTTGGCTCCGCCTGCATCTCCCTCCACTTCTGCATCCTCTCAGGTCTTGTGGCGAGGCCTAAATTCTTCTCATCATGCATCCCCGACGAATAACCGCTTTACATTTCGACATACTTACTCACTTGATGACCTGCGGCAATAAAGCATGCATATAATCCCATTCATCTTATTTTTATTTTTATTTTTTTGGTATGACAATAGAAAAAGGGACATTATGCTTGTCAGTGATTCGTTTCTTGGTGTGACTTGATTTCCACATTTGGGAGATTCAATAAATGAGTTTCAAGACTCCGCCTCGGGCAGTCGGAGAGACCAAACCAACCGGTGGGGGCCGGTGGTGGAAGGGGGGCCCAGAAGCGAGTATGGGCATCCCGCAGTGACCGATTCTCTCTCTTCCAGCGACACTATGAAGGTATCTATCGCTTCACGTGAAAGAATACGACGCGGGAAAAGGGGCAAAACTAGGAACAGGATGGATGGATCATCGGTGGAATGGATCGATGGTATGGATGAGGATTTAGAAAGGAAACAGACTCTGACCTTCAAGGCTACCTCTCATTTTCATGTGGAATGACTGGAAATGACCTTGATGAAAAATGGGACCAGAAATGGACATCATGGGTGGACATTGCGGAAGTTGACCAATGGGACTCATGATATTGCTTGTGTAGTTGAACATCGCCAACCCAGCCACTGGCTGCCAAAAGTTGATCGAAATCGATGATGAGCGCCGTCTGTGAGTTTTTAACATATTTTCTTTCAAGAATCTTCAGGCCCTTGGTTACGTTTGGTTTCTACGTAATGGGGGTTGTTTTGAATGAGGGTTTTTTTTATAGCGCTTTACGAAATGAGATGGGAGGACTAATACAGCTTTACGGATAATAGTCGTGCCTTTTACGATAAGCGTATGGCCCAGGAGGTTCCCGGTGACTCTCTTGGTGATGAATTCAAGGGCTATGTTTTCCGCATCTCCGGTGGTAACGACAAGCAGGGTTTCCCCATGAAGCAGGGTGTTTTGTTGCCCCACCGTGTTCGCTTGTTGTTGAGCAAGGGTCACTCTTGCTACCGTCCTCGCCGCACCGGTGAGCGCAAGAGAAAGTCCGTCCGTGGTTGCATCGTCTCGTCCGATCTTTCCGTCTTGTCCCTCGTCGTTGTTAAGCAGGGTGAACAGGACATTCCCGGCTTGACCGATACCACCGTTCCCAAGCGTCTCGGTCCCAAGCGTGCTTCCAAGATCCGCAAGTTCTTCAACTTGACCAAGGACGACGATGTTCGCAAGTACGTTATCCGTCGCGAGATCCAGCCCAAGAACGCCGACAAGAAGCCCTTCACCAAGGCTCCCAAGATCCAGCGTCTTGTCACCCCCATCACTCTCCAGCGCAAGAGACACAGAATCGCTATCAAGCGCAGACGCGCCGAAGCTTCCCGCGAAGCCGAAGCCGAATACAAGCAGCTCTTGGCCAAGCGCGTCAAGGAAACCAAGGAACGCAAGTTGGAAAGACGTCGCACTTCCTCCATGCAAAAGTCTGCCTCGGCTTAAAAACATCACATGTATCCTGTTTTATATACATAAAGAGAAAAAAGAAAAAAGATCATATACATATTCCATGCAACTATTTTTTTATGCAATAGATCGAAGAATTGATAATAGACTGCAATTCGTTTTTCGCCAAAAAAAAAAAAAAAAAAAAAAAAAAAAAGCCTAAATGATGGTGTACACAGAGGATTCAGAACGGAGAAAAGCAGTGTCTGAATCATATTGTATTTAGAAGTCTGATGGCTATTATCAAAGCATCATGAGGCTAGCTTTCAGATCAAGTGTTTTGGTGTTTTACGCGCGACGTGTCCAATTTATTAATGCCCTTGAAGCAAGCGGTCTTTTTTTTCTTCCAAAAACGTAGTCACAGGTGGGATCCACCCAAAAAGGAGAGCAAACCGCAACCAACCATTCTCAGCTTTAACCAACACAATAACCCTCACAGCATACCTCACAAATCAACTGATGGATCAAGCGGAACGAGACGAAATCATTCGACAGAAATATCTCGCACGAGGAGCCGGTGATGCAGCAACGAAAGCGTATATTGCTGCGAAATACCTCGGTGGCGGTGATGACGATTCAAGCAAAAAACGAAAAAAGAAGAAATCGGGTACTAGTTCTGTAAAAAAGCTGCGTAAAGGCAACCTTGCATTGGTCGATGAGGACGAATTAGGATTTCGACGTGTCGTGGATGAATCGGAGATGTCCCGAAAACGACGGGAGAAAGAAGAAGCGCGTATGGCAGCAGCTGCGGAAGAGGCCGAGGGAGTGTTTCGAGGGCGAGGTGATAACTGGCAGACGATCCAAGAAGGAACACAGACAACAGCAAAAGCAGTAGATGAGGACGAGGACGAGGATGAAGAGAACCTTCCTGTTGTTGTAGGCGAACAAGGAGAAGAGTTCAATAAAGGAGGAAGCCGAGGAGCCAGGGAATTGCAAGAAGCGATTGCTGTATCTGAAGGAAGAGGAAGACCAAGAGGAGACACAGTGCCAAAGATGTCGAGTGGACAGAAAGCAGGATTATTGACAAGTCATGAAATTCGAGCAGAAGCCGAACGGGCACGAGAAGCGGAGCGACAGATGATGAATCGATTGAAACAGGAGTCCCACGGAAAAGACGCGGAGACCATCTATCGCGATGTCACCGGTCGCAAGGTAGACCCGAAAATCAAACGAGCTGAGGAGGCGCGAGCAAAAAAGGAAGCCATGGAGGCAGAAGCAAGAAAGATGGAATGGGGAAAGGGGCTCGTGCAACGGACTGAAGCCGAAGAAGAAAAGAGACGCTTGGCAGAGGAGTCGTCCAAACCATTAGCAAGGTAAGGAGACGGTGGCTTTGAACTATGTTTCTTCATTCATCCTTTTGGGAGTTGAGGATCGCACAAAACAAGTGTAAAGGGGATCCCATACAAAAAACGCAAGCAATCCTACCATTTCTCTCTCTTTCTCTCGATGGATGAGCCAGTATCCAAGGTGGTTAGTTGATACGGCTGCTGGACAAAGAACAAGCAAGAAAAGGGAAAAAAAGAGGTTTGTGTGAGAGGAAATCGACAATACCAAGAGATCGATGGAGGAAGAAAAGAAACAGTGAGAGAAAGATGAGATGTTGGTTTCTTTTTTTTTCCATCACTCAGTCCAAGTTGCACAACTCAGCAGAGATGGATTATGTTGAGTGGATCGCTGGTATTATTGGTTAGCTAGGTGAAATTTGGCCAAGTTTCGAACCGAAAGGGGGAAACAAGGGGAGATGAAAAAAAAAAAGAAAAAGGCTCACGGGCAAAAAACAGGGCCAGTTGCTCAACCGAGAGAGGGAAAGATAACTAGATCCTGAGAAAGGTAGAGAGTGAAAGACAAAGAGAGAGAGAGAGAGATGAATCACTGCGTAAAAAGGAGATAGGATGGCAATGTCTGTGTCTAGACAAGAATATGGGGCGACATCTTTGTAAATAAGCCAGGGAGTGAGGAGGGTTGGTTTTGTTTTCTTTTTTGAGGAGTGAAACAACTATTAGAAAAAAAAGCGATATGATGGTTCATGGAAATACTGATGATATTATTTCTGTTTAGGTATGCGGATGATGAAGATTATAATCAGGGACTGCGAGAACAAGAGCGATGGAATGATCCGGCTGCGGGGTTCTTGACGGTAAAGGAGCAATTCCAAAAAAAAAAAATTAAGGAAACGTCTAAACTTTCTTTGTTGACATGTGTCTTTATAGAAAAAGCCTAGTAAAGGCAAAGGCAAGGCATTTACTCGACCGACTTATCAAGGTGCATGGAAACCGAATCGATTTATGATTCGGCCAGGATACCGTTGGGATGGCGTGGATCGATCGACCGGTTACGAAGATCAGTTATTACTGCAAATCAATCAAAAGAAATCGCGAGCCGCCGAAGCGCATGCATGGTCCACTGAAGACATGTAATAAAGCTGGAAATATTGTTTTTTTTTGAGATCCTTTGTGTGAAGATCACAAGGTGTCGGGATTCGCATCATTTTTGCCTGTTCTCCGCTGCTTGCCTGCGACCCGCTCCAACAGGTCCCCCGCGTTGAAAAGCGCTGAAGAAAATGATTTTGGGTTTATCCCTTGATCCCGTTTTTCCTCTTTTTGTATCTTTCTCGTATGCTATTTTGTTTTTTAGGGTTATTCATTTCTCCTATTTTAAATTATATGAAGTTAAAGGGGATAAGGCCAAGAGCCTCTTCCTGGAAAAAAAAAGAGGGCTTGTCAATAGACTGTAAGTAATGTAAAGACGAAGATCGGCAACACATCGATAAGACAACAGTATAAACTTTTCGGAGAACCCAAAACAAAAAAACTTGGGTCCCCTCCTCATTTTTTCTTATTCATATATAAAAAGGGACCTCGGCCTTCCCTCAACAAATGAATTATTCACTTTCATTTCATTTCTTCTTTTTATTTTTTGGGCCACCAAAAAAAACAACAACATCAATCCAAAGGGACTCTAAAAGATAATATTAAGCGAGCCAAAAAAGAAAAACACTAGTTACCCAAAAAAAACCATACCTATCTACCCACACCATGATGATCTCTGCTACGAATTCTTGTACTTTGCCTCCAATTTCCGATCTCTTTTTAGCTTCGCGATATACTTCGGAGATGTCACGATCGAGTTGTACAAAGATGTATGATGGCACCAGCCATTACGCGCCATCCATGGAGCGAGCTTCGTTTTTATGCTCGGCATCAGATCAACATCAACCACTCAAAGCCAAGCGTAAACGAGCTTCCCCTTCTCAACTGTCCGTGCTCAACCGTGTCTTTAGTCAAACCTACTTTCCTTCCACCGAAATGCGTGTTGAACTCGGGAAACAGTTGGGCATGAGTCCTCGAACCGTGCAAATTTGGTTCCAAAATCGACGTCAATCTTTGCGCACGCGTGGTCGAAGCCAAGCACAAGCACAAGTATCCCCCTCTCACAGTCCATTGTATGGACGTTGCACTGATACCATGTATACATCCACTGCGGCTTACCACAGTCCTCCTTTGACGCCTCCCACCGTGAATTTCAGCATTCCTCATCTTCCACCGCTTTCCAGCTGTCCTTCTACGCACCAACGTCCCGAACGAATCTCGTTGCCTCCACTTCGATTACCTCCCGTCTCAGCTTTTCCTCCAAGTCCCGCATCGATGACCTCTTCTTTTCCCAGCCCCACGTCTCCGGATACCATTCTTTTCCGCGATTAAAAACCTCTTTTTTTTTTCCACCGCCATCCATCCTCTCATTCTCTACAATTTCATTTCCCATATCAATGCATTTCTTTCTTTTTTTCTTTTTATTATCCTTGTATCTACGTTTTTTTTTTCTATATTGCCGGTAATCTTTCTTATATGCACGTAATTCATATTTGCTTTCTTTCTTTCTTTCTCTGTTTCTATTGCTTTATGTATCCACTTATGCCTCGTTTAATCTTTATATCTGTTTATATTGCATTACACGACCTTTCTGAGCGAGCACACACATATTTTCTATACGTTCGTTAACATACGAAATAAATTCACATTCACAATGGAGCATACACACACGCACATTAATAAAGTCCATACACAATTTGGTTAGGTGACGTTAGTGAAAGTATTTTGTTTTTGTGACAGTAGTCCAAAGACAAACAACCGTGCGGCAAGTGAGATGGGCCCTTCCCATTTTGAGTAACATTTCCGGAAAATGGGCTGCTTTGACAAGTAGAGTGTGGCTTTGTTGGTCGTCTGTTGTGAAAAGCAAAACATAATTAGTCAATTAGCGTACTTTCCAAATTTGCATGGGCGCAAGACCTGGTAATTAGAAAAAAAGGTACGCCCAAGTAACTACCTCTTTAAGAAATAGAGTTTCCACTGACGGATGACTGTTCTGGAAGTATCCAGTGGTCATGCAATCGAAAACAATCAACACGCAGATGATGATACGCTGACGCGGTGAACAGCTTGATGTGCATCCTAAAAGGTGATGTTCGCATCCTTGTCAACGACAAGTCACCTACAATTGTACCAGAAGCAAAGGTTTCCGCGTACAAAATATTAGGACGATTCTGGTGCTGTCACAAATCCGCTTAGGCGAAGGTTTAAAATAATCTTTACAAGTATTCTCGAAGTGCAAAGATCCCAATCGACGACGACAACCAAATTAGAACCTTTCTCATCTTGTCAATTTTGAAGAGAAAAATGTAACGACTTGCTCGAAAGGCGAATATGATTTACTGTAACTGCGAATATTACAGACCCTGTTGCAGAGTAAGGATGCCAATTTCCCGATTCACTGGTGTATTTAATGGCAGAATTGTATATATTTGAATCAGACGTTTGAATGAATGCAAGACAAACACAAAGGCATGGTAGCAGTTACTGTAATAAGTTACTATCCGTTGCATATTATATTAAGCTGTGTTATTTTAGCGCAACTCACCAACATCACTTAATCAATATAAAGTGCATAACACAAACATTTTCGTCAGCGCCCTTTTTCTTTGCGAAAATATGATGTAATTGTTCCAAAATTGTGTAGAACAGTAATTCGCCCTGGTATTTTTTTTTTTTTTTTTTTGCATAGACTCTTTATTTTAACACAAACATATCATAGAGCGCGTACGAGTCATCCATGTTGAAAAACAAAGGTCGTGCAATTTGTGGGGAAGAATATGAGAACAGACATTCTCAGGAAGAACACATCAGAATAAATGAATCTCCTCATATTCTTGTTATGAATTCTTGTCCACCCTTAACGATGATGTCCTGATTTTCATCAATGACCCTGCAAAAAAGTGTTTCCCGATTTAAGTTTATGGCTGGGAGCAATCATTTGTATCAAGTAAGGATATTTTGTCTGTAATGACAAGCGATAACCAAGGTGTCGCTTTTGTATGTTTCCCCCTTTTCCGATCTCCTTTCAGAAAAACGTAAGCTCATTCCTATAGGATGTCTCCCCCCTTGATCGGTACGTGCAAACAGTAAATCAGCATCGACAAAGTTTAACCTCCAATCAGCCTCCTCCTTTATAATGTTTGTCCAACTCCTATATCGGTCTTGGCATCAGATCTACAATGAATTTTCGCGGTCATCAGTCCGATGAATAAGTACGAAAATAGATGGTCATTCATTGTGTAGCAATTTCCTTTAGGAAATGGAATATCATAGAATAAGAAATTATAAAAAAGGAGAGGGAAAAAGAGAATAGAAAGTTATAATGATGGAGGAGAATATAAAAAAAAGGTTAAGTCATAGAATATGGGATCCAGTCCACAGATAAACAAGGGAAAATAGTTTAAAAATAAAAAAGATAAATGCCGAAACGGATATGAGATGAAAGATCGTCAAAGGAGTTCCACATAAGATTCGGGGATCAGTCCCGTTTCATCATTTACATCGGCAACAAGCCAGCCCTATCCATTCATCATCGTGTTACGTGAGAAATTATCCTTTTGATGGGTGTGTATTTTTGTGCTTTCTGTTTCCTCTTTTCTCTCTTTTTCCTCCTTCTTTCTTTTTTTTTAATGTGTTTTTCTTTTCCATTAGCGACATGAGCTGCAGTCATGACGAATTTTGTCGTGTGCAAACTCCTCTGTCTCTCGAATATCGCGTGGGAAGAAAAAAAAAGCAATACTTACGGGATATTGTCGGTACTGCACCCACACGAGCTGATCTGCGGTCATGGCAATTTCGTATTCCGTTTCCGGGACAAAATCGTACAATGCGCGGGCATGACAACCGGTGAAATCTGCGCTGGATAATGACATGCGTCGTTCTTGCACAGGCTCGTGCCAATGATGAGGGGATGTGACCGGAAATGCAAAATCGCGAATCAAAACGGTAGGCTGAATCTCACTGGTCAAAGCGTCGGCTGATACTTCTGTTTGTTTTTCTTCCATTGCGATTTTCTTTTCTGTTTCTCTCTTGTTGTCCTGTTCAGCGTCATCTCCTTTGATGACACACAGAGTAACACCTTCGTCTTCGTCAATGGGTCTTTTGGACGCGCTTATCCGTGAACCGATCGAGACACGATAACTTTTCGTGGAAGACAAGCGTTTCACCACCTTGAGTTGTTGTGTCACATCTTCCCAGCTCGATTTCATGTGCAGCGTACACTTGTTATTGCTACTCAAGCGTGAATCTACCGTGTCCGTTTCATGGTCAAATTGCCGTTCCAGTCCTTCCAGCGGTGCATTCACGTCTTCTACTTGAGGGTTCACGGCAGAATGTCGGCGAGTAATCTACGTGACCAAAACATGGACCATGCATCAGTCATGTCGCTGGCAAACCCCGTTGTCCTGTGCACTCGCCTCGGACATCCAACCACATTTTTTTTGTTTCAACGACAACGGTGTATACGGCAACGCACCATGAATTTCCTCCCTTTTTTTTATTGACCACAGCAAACCCCAAAACTCACCTTTTTCAACAAGATAGCAAAGGTGATCAAAGTAGAAAGACTCATCACAAGATAATTAGACTGGCATAAAATGGGTCAAAGGAAGGGAATGGGCTCGCTTTACAAAAGCAGAGAATATGAAAAAGTAGAGTATCAAGGAAGAAAAAGGAACAAAGAAACCAGAATCCTTCCAATCCTCTCAGCAGCCAAATTAAGTACTGGTCTGACGAAAAAAGAAAAAGAAAGGAAAAGAAAACAATAAGGAATAACAACAACAACAAAAGATGAAATACAAAAAGGCATTGGTAAAAAATAAAAAATAAAAAAGACCGCCAAACTGTTTAATAAATTTGTGTCGCCATGGTGTTACAGTGAATCGAGTTCTAAAGGTGTGCTTTGACATAATAGTACCATTTGTCGTCCGGTGTTGCAGGCGTTTCTGCTTCTCGAGTCTAGCATAAACCAAGTCAATTTTACATGCGCATGGACAATTCACCCTCTTATCCCGTTTATATCTAATGAGCGCATGGTCAACACCCATTTACCTTTAATTGATCCACCATTTCAGATTCGTGTAACGGTTGATCTACTTTATATGGAGACGCTCCGATCGTTACATTGGCACTGAAGAAAATAATTTGGGAAGTTGATAAGCATCAATTTTTTTTCTACGCGCTTCAGGAGACTCGGCTTTCAAAACAACTTACACGCTAATGTTGTGGGTTTCACCTTTGGATGGGATCTTGCCTTGAATTAAATTTTGCCACGCTTCATGTGTTTCCTCTATAATGCCCATCGCGTAGGCCTACATATCATGGTGGGACTGAGATCCATTTCCTTCTTCGCAACATCTGATTCCAACTGAATACCTTGTTTTTACACGCTCCACCAAATGCAAATTCGTTGGCCGGTTTACCATCAGGCATCTTGTAAATTTTGAACCAGTGATGGGTCGCTTCAATCAATCCAGGGAAATGCTTATTCACATCCTCCACATCTAAAAAATGTACTGTCAGATACCGCCACGAAATATGCAAGCGCCTCCCCCCCTTTTTTTTATTTTCTACGTGGTGAGCTTACCGTGCAATTGATCGGCAAGTGGATCCTTGGCATCAATGGCAATAAGTTTCCAATCTGTTTCACCTTCATCCAGTAATGCCATGACGCCCAAAATTTTCACTTGCTTGATCTGTCCAGGATATCCGACTTGACCCCCAATCTCACAAACGTCAATCGGATCATTATCACCGCGAGCACCCGTTTCATGATGCTTGGCAGTAGGATCCTCCCATGTCTACGAAGCCCGTAAAAATCTTCAATGCATCATTCCACATAACAACTCGCCTAATTCTTGTTTATACCTGAGGCAAAGCACCGTAATTCCAAATGTAACCCTTGTAAGGGAAGCAGTTGCGTACAAACCGCACTTTACCGTTTTTCACATCTTGTTTCAGAGGATTAAAATCTTGGTCTGTGGCGATCTGTGGTTATGGTACGATAGGGAGTGAACAATCCCGATGACTAAGCAAATACACAAGAAAAAAAAATCCATCTCATGCACTCACCTCGACTTTGGCGTTTGTCCAGCGTGGAATTTCCACCACCATATTGAACAGGGTTTTTTCGGCATTGGCATACAGTGGGATATCATGGAAAGGGGAAATAATATGGCCGTTCTTTTCTGGGCGCAGGCCGACAAATCATGTTATTTCTCTGATCCAAGGAACGAAAATCATGATGCGTTCTCCCGGATGTCACTTACCAAAGAAGATGCGATGACTGGCTGTGAACGGGGTGCCGACACTGACTGTCTTGACACTGGAAACAACCGTTGACAAGGCTCGCTTAATCATGATTGGCGTGTGCAAAAGTGCAAAAGTTCGGAAGGGCGGAGGACGTTCAGGTGTTAAAAAACCACACAAAAAACAAACACCGCCCGGGTCGACTAGAAATGCATGGATAGGCCCTTGGGAGAGAGGGCGGCCAATCCCAAAAAAAAGTTTCTCAAGTCACTTTCCAAACTCAGCTGTTGGGCAGCATTTTTGACGCTTTCTTTTCCCTCCCATTGATCGCTCTCTATTTCATAGTCCACCTATGCGTCCCGACGAGCATAAAGCCAAAGACTCACGTCGATATCAGCAACGTAAAAAACATCAAGGGGACGCGACCGCCGCCGAAATAGCAGAAGCAAGACGGCGTTCTGCCCGTGCTCGTGATACGGGCACAAGTATTGCCGCCATTCGAAGACGAAACGGTGAATTGCCACCTCCGTCGCACGCAAATTCCGAAAAACCCGCTTCATCGTCTTTTTCAAGGCGGAAAATTGTTAGCAATGTTGACCGGTATAAAGAACGCACGTTACAAGGTGGGTTCTATACACGTAGTGTGCCTATAGGTCGTTGTTGTTTATGCCTCTTTCGTGGCATAGATGAGTTGGAGGAAGACGCTGAACTAGGTATCGATCGTGAGACGACCAATCTCGTCGCTATGCTGGATGAATCAGGTGAGACACAATGCCAATTTGTTGGCTTAACGGTGACAGGAACTAATGTGAAAATTATACGGACCAAACAGAAGAGACTTCTGGAAATGCGTATTTCAAGTTCAAGGAAGAGCAAATGTGGGACAATGATGCGATTGTGCAGGAAGATGTAAGATGGGGGTTCCCAAGTCAGCGGCCGGTTTTTCATGCATGGCTCATCTTGTTTTTTGGATGATGACATTGTGCACCATAGATTTATCGATCGATGCTGGAGATCAATTTTGATATGTTCGAAGGAGATTTGCAGGCGCTGGATACAAGTACATTATTGGATCTGAGGAGTGAAGATAAAGTCATGGTACGTCCCATAACGAATAACAAACTCTGAACAACGACCAAACCTTATATTTTTTCCGCAACCCTTTTATCCAGGTGGATACGGCTCTCAACCAGGTCCCCGTTCTTCTTGAGAAACCGATTGTGCCTGCCTTTCAAAAGAACGCCAAGGGTTACGTCCTATTCAAATCACCCATGGTCACCGAAATCAAAGAATCACCATCGCAGCATGGTATCTATTTACGGAACGATGGATCGAATCATCGCGTGATACCCCCGGCTTTAGCCAAAATAGAGAATGATGAAAAAGGTAAACCCAACCGCAGCCATTAAGTGTCTGAGCGCTGATCGACCCGGATATCCAGATCTAGATGAACTCTTGGCACTCGACAATTCACCTGTACAGCCATCTGCAGATTCGATATCAACGTTAGCTTCATCTTCAAGGAACCCGTCCAAGCCCAACACTGCAAAACCCTCATTGAAACGACCAGGGAAACCCGTTGCAAAAACACCCACAGTCAACGAAAACGATGACGAAGCTTGGTTGGACGATATTCTGGGTTGAAAGAAAGAAATAAAAACAATAAACAAATAGCAGGCTGGATTACCTGCACCCAACGAAGCTTTGACATGCTTTTTTTTTTCATACATCTGCATTTGTATCACCAATGCGTCTCCCAAGACGACCAATAAAGCCGATAATGACGATACCTGGGTCATGGGAAGATAGTGAATATGTAATGTGGTAACAGGCAAACGGGAAAAGATCCACCACTTTATCCAATTCCATGCGAATGTTAATATGGAAAAGGTGGCGAAGGCATGAATCTAGACTTGCGGACTATTTAGCTTTTTTTTTCCTTTTCACCACGGTGGGCCTCGTTGCCTCTTTTTGGATATCCCTGTGGTTACACACCGTCACTGCACGGTAGGACAATCCAATGCACGGGATCAAACAGCCTCTCCATAAAAATGATATCGTACTTTTTTTTTGCTTTCTTTATTTACTTGCACAATCCCACTTTTTTTTGTATTGACAAAATGTAAATATTATTCTTTCTCTTTTCTTTATTATCCTTGCTCATAGTAATTTTTTATTTTCTCTATCTACAAGACAAATCAATTATGACGAGTGAAAAGTATATTTCGATCCCTCAATCTCGACAGCCCAAGAAGAAATCACGTTCATCGCGGCGCTTTACATGTCTGTGGTCATGGCTTGCATGGACCAAACGACCGGTGGCGGTCCCTACCTGGTGTTTCCGCCTTGCCGAATTACCTGAGGATGTGCCATGGATAGCGTTCAGTCGCAAGAACCAAAATAAGCTGTGGAAGCATGCGCAATCTGGCAACGTGCGCGAATGTTTACTGCAGGAAAAGGCATTGCACGGCCAGCAATTCGTTCGTGTCATGATACAAGAAAAGATGGCTTTTGTCATGGATCCCGAATGGGAGAACCCCATAGTCTACGATATCGATATCTTGCCCAGGTTCATTCCCACCTGGAAATTCGTCTTGCAAGGACGCCCTTGTTACCAAGGTCTTGCCTAACTCGCTTTCAATTCGCCCTCATCCACCGTCATCCGCCTCTTTTTTTCGTTTGTACTTTTTTTCCCTTCATTACAAATCCAGAGGTGCATCCTTCATTTTTCATGTATGATTATTTTATGCTTTTACAACCTATGTTTCACTCTTGCATTTTATGAACATGACCGCTATTTTTACTATGGCAATGGCGCATACCAATAAACTATCTGGCAACGATCGTGTACTTAGCGCGAACAGCAAAAACAAAAAAAAAAATCTTTCCGAGCACGGATTCTGATAGGTATCTTTTTGTTGCAAAAGCACAGCTGTCTCGATCGTTTTACTGTTAGATCGGTGCGAAGATGATCCAGATACCAATGCAAACATAAAATGATACTCCTCACTGGTTCCGGAATGGAAGAATTGATGAGTTGCAGTGCATGGTTGCACAATTGGCCCATATTGACAGAACCGAAGTGAAACGAGTCGGGAACTTTGGTTGACATTGTTGTATTCGATTGATGGTTTTACCGCTCATATTCCTGTGATGCCAAAAAAAAAAAAAAAAAAAAAAAAAAAAAACTTTTTTTTTCTGCAAATAGATGAGATCAACAAAAAGGTTCTTCGTGTTACCCACATAGACCTCCGACAGGACACATGAAGATCGTGATGCACATCATAGGGTCAAAGCGCGGTACTAATTCATCAATATTTTCATGGTACAATGTCTTTGATCGGAGTAAGTATTTTTATTTGGCAGCACAATATCCACGTAACAGAGCATAACATATACACAGAGTCAAGCGACAGAGAGGAGAATCACAATAATAATAATAAACCATTGCTTTCAACGCCTACCTGGCCTGGAGACTTCACGGAAGCCAATCAAACTATCGTAACAAGCCCTGCGTACTCAAATCGGTAATAGCAGAGAAAAACAACAATGAAGAAAAAATAGGATGATATCTACATAAAAAAAAAAGTGCGGTGCCACTGAAAAGACATTGGCTGAATAAAAAGGAGAATTGAAATAAACGTGAGGCTGCCACAATGAGGGCCTTCCAGAACGTGCTGTTGGACTGGTTAGTCGGGACCAAGAGGGGCTTCGATCTGTTGACGGTCTTCCCAGGCAATGACTTTGCCTTTCTTTAGACGTTCGATGGATTTGCCGATATTTTCAATGTGCAGTTCCAGGGGAATGATGTCCGGCACGACAATGGGCGCAATGACTTGGGTTCTTAGTTCTTGAAGATCCATCTGGAACGCTTCCATTCGATCCAACATCATCAACAACTTTTGAGACGCCATGCTTCGCTCAATATCAAATCGCATCAACAACTGCATGTTTTCCTCTACGAGTGGACGTTGTAATCCTTTGCCGCGAATGATGTTGACGAGATCGGCGAGGATATGCGGTTTACCGGATCGCTGATAGCTCTGTTCTTGCATGGAGATTTCTTGGATGGCATACAAATCCTCTTCCAGCTGGTTCAGCGAGGTTTGTGCTTTTTCAATGGCCAAAATCAATCGTCGCGCTTCCTTTTCTATAAAACGCATGAAAAAAAAAGCCCATGTCCGTCAATCAACCATCAATGTCTTCATGTATTCCGTCTCCAACCTACCAACTAGTTGCATGGCACTCTCATAGACGACGCGTAGTTCTTGACGACTGGATTTTTTTTGTTCCACATCGGACAGTTTTCGCAGAGTAAAGGTATTGTAGGTGATGAGGTTATCAAGCACGCCTTTGGTCTGTGCTTGCAAGCTTTGAATGTCTTTACCAAACCTTCGCGATCGCACCAAATAATCCGTGAGTTTGGTTTCCAGCAAATCCGCACTGGCGAGATGCGAATACTTGATCATCATTTGAAGATCGCGCGTCGCCAACTCGACCTGTTTCAGTTCCAGGGCAGAGATGGTGTCAGGGGTGGTTTGGGACATCATACTTTCATACAATGATTCCTGCACTTTGACCAAATGCGAAAAGTCGGGAATAGGCTCCAGTACAGAGCGGCATACTGGAAGGTGAGGTCCTACCACAGGCAAAGAGCATACCGTTTCCAAAAACACGTTGGAAAATAGCCGGTAGCCATATCCTGAGAGGGCCAGAAAAATCGCCAATGCCATGATCACGGAAAGAACGGGTTTTAACACAAACAACGAGCCTTTAAATATGTCTGTATAATTGAAGGCGTGAGTGCATGATGCGCGTCAATGGACGTTTCTCTCAGCTGCATAAAAACGTACCTGCCAGGAAGCCCACCACAGAGTAAATAGTTTCCAAAATAGCAGAGGAAGAAGGCAATGCTTCATCATAAGAACGATTGGCTTGGGATCGTGCCAAGTCTCTCTTGCGTGAACGTGAGCCACCCCCCATATTGAACCGGTTGCAAAAGAGAGGGCAAACAAATAGGGGAAAAAAAACCAAGGACGGCCGATTGGCTCTTTCCCAAAAATGGAAGGTCATGTTGGTTCGCGTGACTTTGGCCGGTTTTGTCGCAGATTATAGACAAAGGTGAGGGATCAGTCGATGTGCATTTGAAAATGTTGCATGACATGGAAGAAGGGATATTAACGCATAACGTGCTTTATTATGCATCATCGATTGTTCCATTCGATGCCTTCTTGCATGTCAAAATGTAATGCGAAATAATACAAACGATCATCTGGATCTGCCATAACAAATGTTCCCCAAGATACATCCATGCTGACTCTCATCGCTTACTGTATTCGAGGGTTAAATCCGCGCTGGACCCTTTGTTACAGACACATCATGTGGTTTGGCATCAATTTTTATTTTTTTTAAAAAGAATCAATTCATTTCTCCATGGATACTCTGGAACCTTTGGGTTATATTACATGAAATGCAATAGCATTGTATATGATGAACGGATAAAAAAAAAAAGAGGAATTAAATAGAAAAACACGAGTGAAAGTTTGGGAACAATGGATATAACAAAGCTTTTTTTTTTTTCTGTGAAGCCACCGAGAATCCAATGTCGAACAATGACACTCTTCCCTTTTTCGTTGGAAGCAAAAGCACAAAAGATAGAAACCTCATGGAAATACACAAAAAAAACAAGAAGAGAGGGAGAGAGAGAGAGAGAGAACAACAAGAAACATGACGATGGATGTGGGTGTGTTATTTTTCAAGCGTCTTATGCCCCGGGAGGCATTTGACTCGCTGCGGCAGTAGTTGCTTCGCTTTGCGGGCCAAATCGCAAGTAAAAGTTGACCTAAAAGCAATTGTTCATTTTTAATAAGCTGTTGAACCAAGAAAGAAGAAGTCGTTTACTTACGATAAGAGCGGCCACCAAAAGGAAACAGAGAACAGCAGGTCCCCACAAATCGTCATAACGACCATCCACACGACGATTGATCATCCTAGAAAGAAAATGCATGATGAGCATCGATTCATTTTTTTTTTGTTTGGTACTACATTTGCGTCCCCAAGGGGTTTTTCAGAACTTACCATGCACGTTTCTCGAATCGATACAGTGCATAAATGGCTACGGCTGCAGCCAACCCGATAAAGATACCGCCCACGATGCGGGAAACGGAATCACCGAAATTGAGCAAATTCAAAGCGACCGTCAACAGCAAAGCACAGAATTGCAACCACGAAATGAAGGTACGTTCGTTGGCGAAAAAGGTTTTGGGTTCCACTCGTACTTTGACTTTGTGGCGTTTCGGTTTGCCAGGATTCTCTTCGTCAGCGTCCACGGGGGTACCGAGACTCATGCGTGGCTTCTTATCGTCGGACATGGTTTCTACCGCTGTCGAGGGTCGACTGGAATCACTGCTAAAGAACTTGCCAATGGGCGCAGGCAAGTAACCACTCGACATACGCTTGGAGTTGATGTTGTTGTTATTGTAGTAAGGATCATTGACATCGTGAGGGGCGGACTTGTCACGCGGTAACAGAGGCTGGACAAGCGAAGCATTTTGTGCATTGCGTGTGCCCAGTTCGATGGCGGTGAAATCTTGATGTCGATGAACACTGCTATCGGAGTTGTTGCTGATGGGTTTCCATGCGGCGGCCTTTTTCTCGTCAATCGACATGGATCGGCGTCGGCCCAAGGGAGTCGGGGTATCCTTGCCCGTGTCTTCGGCGGCGGTCTTGTCACTGGTGGCACTGCTGCTTCGGCTCGCCACACCATCGACGACGGCTTGCTGGTTCGCACGTTCCTTCTCTTCAATCATGGCACGACGGTAACGACCGTCAATGAGCGGTTTGAAACTTCGGGATCGTGTGAGACCAATGTTCTCATGGCGCGCTTTGCGGATATCGACATTCATCTCCGACAGCCACCAAGGCAAAAGCGGTAAGCGGTCACGGTAAAACGTACATGCACCGTGCAGGTATTTCGAGAACCGTGGTACCTCATGGACAAGGTGGGACTCGATCAAGGATGTCAGCCATTGTGGGGGTTCTTGACCCAAATGACTCTGCAGTTTCGTTTCCAATACTGCATAAGGGAATCGCAAGATATCTTTTTCCGGTATATAGCTGAAAGGGTGATCAATGCCGACATCGGTACGACGCCAGTTGTGGGGAGGATGACGACGCTGATGACCATCCAGTGCGTCTTCACGAATAAAAGTAAGATCGGTATCCAAGGAAATACGCACACGCTGACTGTCAGGCAACTGGAACGCCGTACGATTGTAGAACACTCGCAGCATGGGCTCCAATTGTTTTTCTCGGAACGATTTTTGTACACCACTGCCAATGAAATGGACATCGTTGATCGTCTTTTCGTCGGTTCCCTTGGCACGAAGTTCATTGCAAATCTGATCAACGGTGTAAGAGCCATCCACAAATGCGTTTACGTTCTTTTCATCGATACGGAATCGGTCCTTGACGGAAGCGCCGTCCAACCATGAAGCGTGATGGGTCTTGCGCTCAATGAACACATTTTTGCTTTCATACGGTCCATACCTACAGAAGAAAAAAGAAAAAAAAATTTAGGTCAATAATAGAATACAGATGATATGGCTAACTCGAAATGGAAGTTTGAACCACTGTCCACTCAGCCCGAGCCCAGCATTTCCCATTTTTTTTTGGGGGGGGGGAAGTGGAAGGAAAAAGGGAGAAATTTTCAAAAGGGAAAAAAAAAAGATTGCGTATCATGATGAGATCAATCCCATGTACCCGCCTGCCCCACCGATCACCTAACTGTTTCTCTTTTCGGAATGGTCGGCCATAGGGGAAAAAGGGAAAAGGATCCACAGCATAGAAGAAAAACCAAAAAGAAAGAGGAAAAAAATAACACAGGGGTGGACAAAAAGGAGGGGGGCAAAAAAAACCAGGAGAGTAGGTAAAGAAGAAGTAGACGGCTGATCAAGCAGATGGCCATTCCAATGTTCTCTCCGTCCCCACACCCACAAAAGAACCCTCCATCGCCCAAGAAAAAAAAAAAAGATGGCGGAGTTGGGAAGAAAAGGCACTTACCATCGGAAACGGATGGCTTCAGCTTCTTCGTCACGTTGGAGACGGCCGGTGTAGAGGTCAAAGTTAGGGTTATCAAAATAGACACTGGAAACGGCAGAATCGGAGGGTTCCCACTTTTTGCTGGTGTTGAAGATTAACACGGGCAAATGGAGCATAATGATAGCTTTCACCTCGGTGATGTTGTCAGGGTGAATCCAGTACTTGGCGGTGGCACGTTCAAACGCATTTTGATCGCCGCCCGAGGCACTGTTGCCAGGTGAGATTTTTCCCCGGTTGCGACAAATGTCGTGTAGCGCAGAAATATAGACGATGGCGACATCGAAACGCTGCTTATCCAACGGCTTCTCTCGCAATTTCTGGACGTACGCTTGCTTGAGATCGAGACCTGTCCATTTGTCGTGCTTTTTCAGGATCTTTTGGATAGCCGTGAAATTGACACGCGTAAAACGAGACAAGTCGTTGACATCGAACAAAATCTCGGTCAATGCTTCGTCCATGATACTGTAATTTGTATCCGAGTTCATGGTTGGATTTTTTTGCAAGGTCTGAATGGTGCGTTCACAGTATAGAATACGAGCATCGATTTCCGCCAATTTCGCATTAACGAAATCATACACCTTGGTCAGTTCGTTATCCAACAGATGAACAAAGTCGGCTTCATCCTGCTCGGTCCAAGCGTGGTCCAGTTGACGTGTTTTCAACTCTTGTTTCAGCACATCGTACGCTACGTACGATAAACGCCAGGGGGCAAAAATGTTGTTCTGTAATTCTAGACCGTACTTCATCCGATCGTATTATGATAAAATTAAAAAAAAATTGTGGGATTGGGGAATACGGACAAAAAAAATTGTTCAAAGAGGAATAAAATAAAATAAAAACGACAAGGAGAAGAGAGGGTAAACAAAGAAAATCACCACAACCAGTAAAAGTAACGAGAAGTAAAAAAGGGAAGAGAGTATCCAAAAAAAAAAACCGAGGAACTGATCGTTTAAAGTGTTTTAGAAATGGCGGTCTACCAAAAAACACGAAGGAGGCGTTCGGAAAGAGGGGATTGAAGAGATGGAAAAAGAGAAAAAACAAAAAAAAAATTACTGGCCAACCCAGACTTCTTATTGGGGGATCGTGAACTTTGTGGAGGCCTATTTATAAATTGAATTTTTTTTTTTGTTTTTGTACAACATGTACAAGTTTGGAGGATGGGTCTGATAGAAAAAAAGAAAAAAGATATAAAAAGTTCATTGTACCACCATGAGATGCATTCGTGCAACGGATTCTCTTGAGACAAAAAAACAAATGATTGGGCGCAAGGGAGGCGATGAACGACGGATGAGATGGGGTTTTCTTTTGCACTTTGGGTCTGCATAACAGATGCACAATGAACTCTATGTCACCAAAAAACAACATGACATGGAACTGTCCGGTGGAAAAAAAAATACGCATCCATTGACATCAACAACCAAAAAAAAAAAAAAAAAAAGTTGACTTGTTCTCTTTATCCTCGTGAGGCCTGGCGTTGGATCTTTTTCGTTTAAAGTCTTGTATGACTTGTTGAAGTTGGCTTTTTTTGGGCTTGTTCCTCTCGGTCACTTCTTGCAAGTCCTCACTTTGGTTTTTCTTGCACAGCCCCTTTATTTGTATATTCAGACTCCCGTTTTTTCTCTTTTTTCGGTTATTGACGTTGGACGCTGATCACTATGTAATGGGCGTTTCCGGGTATGTACACACACATTGTCAAGCCACGATGAAAAAAATATAAACAATAAGAATTTATTCACTCGCATATCCATCATCATTCTCATCATCGTCACGGTGATATAAATAAAACATGTTGGTAAGCAAGTAATAAATGATGCGGATCAGTGAGAAAGAAACCCTTTTTGTCATTTCAATTTCAATGCAATGCCAGTTTTTTTTTTTTATTATTATTATACTGTAAAGAAGCCTTCTAGTCATCTTTCCACAGAAATAGACATTCGCTCTTCTAACAACAAGTTGCGACATGCATACACGTCTCTTTTTTGCTTATGCCGTGTGCCGGATTCACATTTGGACCTTTCTTTTTTGGATCACCACGGTCATGCTGTACATTTTTGCCTTACCATTATTCAGGTTGGATGTTTCAAATAAACAATTCTGTCCTCTAGGCGTACACAAGCGTCTGAAAACAAAGTCCGTGTTGTGGCAAACAAAATGTTAGAACAGCCCGCTGTAAAAGGATCCCTTGTTTTCTTCCTTTCTGGTGTCTTTATTTGGTAAAGTGATTTTCCAAATTATAAATTGCGACAGTCGGAAAGTGAAAATCACTGAAAAATTGGGTGTCACAAGAAAAAAACAAAAAGAAAAAGAAAAAAAAAAGGTTCTGATCCACTTGGTCATGTTGTAATTCAACAGCAACTGGTAAACAAATTATCAAGTTGAAAAAAAGAGGTCGACCCCAATAACATTAGGTAGAAAATAAAACCCAAGAAACTGTATAAAAGCTTGATCTTTATTTGAATGCCGTAAAAAAACAAGAAATGATTATCATCACTCGATGAAGAAAGAGAGAGCCTGGTTCAAGTAAGAGTTTCGTGAAACAGACTACTGTTTCGTGATCGAGATATGTTATCGGCGGAATTCTTGTACGGTACAATATGTATTGGAAATGGATTCGTAATTTTGTGTGATATTATTGCAGCGAGGACGGACCAATGTCGTGCCTTGCAACTGTCTTCAGCCATTAATATTCTTTTTTTTTTTGTCTGTGTATTTGCTGATCATGGATGACGGTGTTGACCTTGGTTTTACCAAAGTGAGTATATAACTGTCTCCTTAGAACGTGATATACGTACGCGTGGTATATTTATCCAGTCTGCACCACCATGAATGTCTCCATTTGCTTGGCGTGTGCCAGTTTTCAGCAGTAAGCCAAAGTCACCGTGATCCATGTGGATCTATCGATTACTCTCTTCCAATATCGGTCATGAGCACACAATGAAGGCACTTTTTTTAGAGACTCAGTAAGAGCGATATTGCTTTATTTTTCTATTTTGTTATAGGAGACCTGGATAGTGATTAAATAAGCGACATTACTTTTGGCAAGATGGGACACCGTTCCATTTTTACTTGTTCAAGTCCGACGAAATAGGAGCGGGAAAGGGTGTGGCAAATTTGGGAGGCGGCTGACGAAATCGAAGAACAAAATTGACGATCAGAGCAATCACCAATAGCAAACACAGGACGGCCGGACCCCACAGATCATCATAGCGGGATTGACTTTTGTTCCGAATTTGCCATGCACGATACTGGTAACGCCACAAAGCATACAGAGACAGCACCGCGGCAATCACCATGAAGAAACCACCACAAATCCGTGAGACTTCATCTCCGAAATTCACCAGACTCAGCGAAATCGTCAGCAAGAGAGCACAAAACTGCAGCCAAGAAATGAAGGTGCGCTCGTTGGCAAAGAATACTTTGGGCTCAATCTTGACTTTTTGTTTGTTATTGTTTTTTTCGTCATTCGCCTTGCCCGCCCCATTGGATGCATTTCGACGTCGCCACCAACGCCACGGAGGATTGGCATTGGGCGTGCCCGATTTTGGGCTTTCCTCCTCTTCATCGGCCATGGTATCATGGTTGTCCAGGTAAAACGACTGTCTCAGTGGCTTGACACGATCCAGGGTAGCTGCCAAGCCATTTCTCAGCAGTGTAACACGACGACGCGGTGACGTTTGGTGTTGCGACAGGGAATCTAACATGGATTGAGTTTTGGCGGCATTGAGACTGGCGTCCGAAAATAAATCACGACCCCATAAACTCGCACATATCAACCCCGAGTCACGTTTGGCCACATCGCTTGGCAGTTGGAATTCCGATGTTGGCTTGAATAGTTCCAAATGTGGAATATTGATGATGGTGGCCGGAGAATGTGCAGAAGAAGCAACAGCCGTGGTAGTGGTAGAAAGCATGGTTTTTGTTGGGGTGGCCGGCTGTGTCGCTTCCGCCGATGAAGGCGATGCTGTGATCGAAACGGTGGCGGGGGTGGTGTTGGCAGTGGTGGTCATGGGGGGAAGGAAACTATAGCGACCATTCATTAAAGGACGCAGACTTTCGGACCGGCTGAGCCCGACATTGATGTCACGCGGTTTACGAATATCCACTTTGAGTTCACTTAGCCACCATGGCAACAACGGTAACTGATCAAAATAGAATTGAGAAGCACCATGCAGATATTTCGAAAAGTGTGGCACTTCATGAACCAGGTGACTGGTCGTCAATCGTGTCAGCCACTCGGGCGGCTCTTGTCCAAGATGCGTTTGAAGCTTGGTTTCGAGAACCGCATAAGGAAATAGATGCACATCCTCCTTGGCGATGCCGGAGAATGGGTAATCGATACCGCAGTCCTGTCTCCGCCACTCGTTGACTTGTCTTCGCTGTTTACCATCCAAATCGTCCTCTCGAACCCACGCCAATTCGGTGTCCAAGCTGACACGTAGACGAGGATCCTCCGGGACTTGGAACGCCGTCCGGTTATAAAACACGCGCAATGTCGGTTGCAACTGTTTCGATTGAATTGACGTTTGTACGCCGGCCGCGGTGAATTCCGTTCCGTTAATCACATTGGGTCTTGCATTCTTCTTTTCCAGTTCTCCCGTAATGGTTTGAGGCGTAATGGTCCCCTTCAAAAAAGGTTGTACCTCCGTTTCCTGCAACCGAAACCGATCCTTTACCGACGTTCCGTCATGCCACACTGCATGATGCGTCTTGCGTTCCACAAAAATATGGGGCGAAGTCGTACGTCCATACCTAAAAAAAATTGCCCGTCAAATCAACCCAAAAAAACTCAATTCAGTGAATCTTGCTACCATGCAGAAAACAAAAAGAAAACCTAAACAGAGCTTACCATCGGAGACGAATGGCTTCTGCTCCTTCATCGCGCTGGAGTCGACTTGTGTAGAGGTCAAAGGTGCGACTGTCCAGGTAAACGCTAGAGACGGCGGAATCCGAGGTTTCGTAATTTTTTACGGGATCGTATCTTAAGACGGGCAAATTAAATAAAAGAATGGCCTTGACTTCGGTGACATTATCCGGATGCACCCAATATTTGGTGGTGGAACGTTGAAATGCATGAGCTTCCACATCCGATGACAGTGGGCGTCTCATCTCCGTTTGTTGTCCGCCCAAACGACACCAATCCCTCAACTGGGAAAGCCGCATAAACAAAGTATCAAATCGCTGGTTATCCAACGCCCGTTCCTGGAATTGGGGTACCATGGTTTGCCGCAAATTCAAATCCGTCCATTTGTCGTGTTTTTTCAACAGTTTTTGGAACCCAATGTAGTTGAGACGGGTGAACTTGGCCAGATCATTGACATCGTACAGCACTTCCACCAAGCTTTCATCCAGGGTCCGACAAAGATCTTGGGTATTGCTGTTGTATTCGTTACGAGCAATCGACTGTAGCATGTGCTCGCAATAACCGATTCGTGAATCCAGCTGCTGCATTTTGCGTGTAATGAATGCATCCACACGTTCCAATTCGTTGACCACAGTTTGTGAAAAATAAGCTTCATCTTGAGCGTTCCATGCATGATCCAATTGCCGTCGTTTCAATTCGTATTTGATCGTATTATATTGGAGATAATCGGTTTTCCACGGTGCAAACACATTCTGTTCAAGATGATTGCCAAATTTCATTGGAGAATAGAGAGAAAAAAAAAGCAAAGCAAGAGCAAGGGAAGATCAAGGGAACAATAAAAAATAGAAACAATGATATCCAATTGACTAAATGAATACTTGAATCGAAGGAATGGATAATCAACCGTTTTGGAAGCGTTAGGATAAACGTTCCGGGAACCAAGACGAAGGACGATGAAAGCGTGAACAGCCGCTATTTGCTAATATATTGTTATCCACTAGCCGGAAAAAAAAGGATCAACGATTGGTAATCTCATAGCATATTTCGATTATCCAACATCATGCTTCACTCTATTGGACAATCGTCAATGTTAGATATTGTTATTAATCTATAAAGATTGCAAGGGATTCTTTTTTCTTATCATTCCATGGTCGAGGGAGAGCACAGACCCTAAACTATTGATTCACGAATCACTGCAAGATGTATATTCTTTCCCCACCCCCCTCCCCCTTCCCCTATTTTGACTCTGTTCGTCCCAGCCACGGTCTTTTCATTTTTTCACATGCCAATGAAAGTCTTGTAATAGGCGATCTTCCACACCTATTTTTTTTTTTTTTTTTTTCGCTATCAAACCCTTTCTTTCCTCCGTTTACAAATGATTTGACCATGAATTTCTAGGTGGTTTATTGACAAGTGGAATTCTACAATTTCTCTTTTTTTTTTTAAAAAAAAAATCGTTCTCATGCTGTGGGTGCAATTGTTTCCTTTCTGAGCGAACAAGAAAAATAAAATGCAAAAAGAAAAAAAAAGCGATCGACCCCTTACATGAATAGGCTAAGTTATACAGTGTGGGTCGATAGCATACTATTGTGTCGATTTTTTTGGCCCTAATTATTTGTTGCTCGTCGCGCCCGGCGCATTGCTGGAGAGGGTAGGAGCTCGGAGGTAAAAATTCAAGATAAGCGCCGTAACCAGCATCACACAAAGGATGGTGGGCCCGTATATATCATCATACCGGATGATGTTGCGGCCCGTGCGCAGTTGCCAGGCTCTGAACTGGAACCTTCCCAGTGCATAACTAGGAAACATCGCCCGTTAATTCCATTTTTTTTTGTGCCACGGTAATAGCGAGTACTTACAAGGATAACAAGGAGGAAATGATAATAAAGATGGCGCCAATAATGCGAGAGATTCGATCACCGTTGTTGAGCAGGTTAAGAGCTACCGTCAGCAAGAGGGCACAGAATTGCAGCCACGATATAAAGGTACGTTCGTTGGCAAAAAATGTTTTGGGTTCGGTGCGGCGACGTGGAGGAACGGTTCTGGACATGGGTGGTTTGTACGATGGCAAATCTTTGGCGGGTGGGGTCGGTGGTTGACCCATGAATCCTTTTTCTTGCGTTAATTTAGCCAGCGAGGCGGGATGGAGCCAGATTCTCGAAAGAATATCGCGTTTGCCATCTTTGCTGTCGGTGGTTCGAAGCCCTGGTTTTCTTTCCGGTTCGCTGGCATCCAAGTTGATTGCAATATGCGGTATTTTCTTTTCTCGAGGGGGCGCCTCCACGAGGGAGCGTCGATGATGGCCATTGACCAACGGCTTCAAACTCATCGACCGTGATAAACCGACATTGGCCACCGGTGGTTTTCGGATATCCAATTCCAATTCACTGAGCCACCAAGGTGCCGTAGGTACACGGTTGCCAAACAGCTGCGACGCACCGTGAAGATATTTGGAGAACCGAGGGACTTCATGCACAAGATGGCTCTCCAATAAGGCGGTTAACCATGCCGGCACTTGCTGCCCCAGATGGTTCTGAATCTTGGTTTCAAGCACAGCATACGGGAACCGTAAAATGTCCTTGTCATCCACGTAGCGAAACGGGTAATCGATGCCTACATCGGTACGGCGCCAGTTGGATCGACCATCCGCGGCAGGACGTCGTCGGATCCCATCAAGCGTGTCTTCCCGGATAAATGTAAGATTGCAGTCGAGGCTTAGACGTAAGCGTTGATCTCCAGGCAGTTGAAAGGCGGTGCGATTGTAAAAGACACGACACATAGGCTGAAGGCGGCGCGCTTGGATGGAGTGCTGGATTCCACTGGCCACAAAATGATTATCCTCGATGGCGACCTCGTCCAGCTTTCCCTTGGCACGCAAATCTCGAGCAATGTCGTTGGCGGTGTACTCGCCTTGCACATAGGAATTGACTTGATCTTCGATGAGCCGAAATCGATCCTTGACAGAGTGGCCGTTGAACCAAGGTGCATGATGGGTCTTTCGTTCAATGTAAATGTTACGATTGTCTTGGCCGTACCAGCGGAACCGAATGGCTTCGCCGCCTTCGGCACGGTCTAATCGTTCCGAGTACAGATCGAAAGCATCATTGTCAAAGTACACACTGGAGACGGCGGCATCGGCGGCTTCGAATTGTTTCTTTCGGTTAAAGACGTGGACGGGCAAGTGAAAAAGGATGATGGATTTCACTTCGGTAACGTTATCCGGGTGAATCCAGTACTTGGCGGTGGCCCGTTCAAAGGCGGTTTGGTCTTTGCCTTGGCCGTAAGCGTCGGCGCGTCGCTGACCATGGAGTTGGCACGCATCGTGAATATTGGATAGCCGCACAATCAGCTCGTCAAATGTAGGCAGTTTATCGAGCGGCCATTTTTTAAGCATGGTATCACGGAAATACGGTTTCATGGGTGTAGCTGTCCAGCGGTCATGTTTCTTTACCAATTTCTCGAACCCGGTCATGTTCAAATGATGGAATCGCGCCACATCGTTCACATCCAAAAGAATTTCCGCGACGGTATCGGCAACCCCGTCAAAGGTCGGTCCAGTGGTCGCCGAAGCTAAAGCGATTTCGCTGTCCGTCGTCCGTTTATGCAAATCCCGTAATCGTGATTTGACAAATGTATACACGCGTTCCAATTCTTTTTCCAAGGCATTGATAAACTCGTTTTCGTCTTGCGGTTGCCAACCGTAACTCAATTGTCGACGTTTAAACTCGATTTTGAGCTTATTGTATTGTAAATAAGATGATCGCCACGGTTCATATATTTTCGCATCAAGCTCAGCACCGAACTTCATGTCGAACGGTTAAGAAAAAAAAGAAGTTCTGCAGAATACCGAGAAAATAAAGAGTAGTCAAAATGAAAAGACAAAGAAGCACCACCGAAAAATAACCCTATCCTTCAACCAATCAATAAAAAAAATATTATCCGCAAGGTGTCAACACACTTTTAATTTATAATGCAACTGGGAAATCCTGGATTTGCTGCTTTTTTTTTTCTTCGCCACGGTTGTTACTGTAATTTCGCCGATATAGATGAACGACCGTCCAATGACAGTTGTTGGCACCTTATTTTTTTCTTTTAATTACGTATGTCAAATAAACAAGGGATTATTATATTTTATATATCTAAAGAGTGAGAGAGAAATAGAATACGATGGATTCTTTTTTGAGGGTAATCATTGGTTGACTTGATGTTGGTTTTTTCATTGTTTGTTCTATCCCATCATGATGCCTCGTCTTCATCTTCACCACTACTGCTGCTGGCAAAAGATCGCATCATTTCATCCAATTGTTCTTCGACCGATAACTTTTTAGGGTTGGGCAAAGTAGAACCATCCTCCACATCACCGTGAGGTCCCTGGGTATTGGTGACCATTTGTAATAAATTGGGAAGGGTCATTTCGGGAGCGTAATAAATGTCCGTAGTTGTAGCTGTGTGACGAGAAGCAATAGTGGAAATGTGTTTGGCACGATGATCCATGGTCGATCGTGCGTTGGGTATCTGCCGTTGAGGCGATCGTCGTGGAATAGGTGGGGGTAGTGCTGCTGTAGCTGTTGCGGTGGCTGTTGCGGTGGTAGGAGCGGCAGTGGAAGAGGGGTTGAGCGAAAGAGAAGACGCATGGTCATCCAAGCTGCCAGGTCTCAGACCCATCAGTGCCAGCACTCGCGCTTCGATTTGTTCATTATCTTCTTCTTCTTCTTCCTCTTCTTGGACAAAGCGACGTCGACTCGGTGAGGTAGTGGTCCATGTAGAGAAGGGATGGGAAGACGTCGACCCTTTGTTGTTCTTGTCGTCCTTAGTGTCATGACTGGCTTGGTCGGAGGCATGATTGTCCAGTTGCGGAGAAAAGAAACTCTTGCGGTTGCCTTGTTTTTTCACAATACCCCAAATGACGGTCCCATCACTCATTTCGCGAAGTTCCAATCCCTGAAGGTACTGACTCTCGTGATGGTGACGGTAGTAATCATACACACTGTCATCATCCTGGACCTCGTTTGCGCTTGGGTTAGTAGTGGAAGACGGTTCGTCCATACTTTCAAGTCGCCATTTTTTCTTGGAGCCTTGACGAGAAAGGTTCGAGGCCGGGTCCGGTCCATCTTGGGGATCGGATTCGGTCGTCTCAACGAGCCGCTTACGGACCGAGGTTTGACGGACAATTTTGGTGGCGGTGGCATATTCCTGAGACTGATCGCTGGCGATGGATTTGGGAGAAATGTCGGTTCCGTTGGACTGACGACGACGACCGATCAAAGGTGCATCTGTTTTTTCCGCGGCCTCCGTTTTCAAGGACGGTACAGGAGGTGCATTGGCAACAGCATTTTTCAGGAAATTCAGTGAATCCGGTTGGACATAGATGATCGTGCGTCGCACCACCTGAGCTCGCGAGTTCTTTCCGTTGGGACCAGCCGCTTGTTCGTGATGCATATTTACCGTCTTGGTTGTTCGACGGCTGGATTTCGCGGCTTTGGCGAGTAACTGAGACAGTAATCGTACGCCTGCCTTTTCGGATGAACCAGGCCCAGAAGTGGTACCTTCAACCAATTTGGTTTGATCTGCAACAGAGGACGTCGTGGCTCGAGGAGATTGGATGTCCGTAGAGTTAGCCTTGGCTTGGGTTTGTTCAGTTTTCCGTTTCTCCAATCGTCTCTGTTCATGTTGTTCAATGTTATGCTGAATCACCGCCCGAGCCGCCCGCGACATGGTGGGTGAATCCTTGGTCGACGCTAAAGAAGGTTGGCGAAGCGATCCTGCGCTGCTCAAATTGCGAACGAGTCCTTTAAACGGCGATGTACCTGAAAGGGAACGGGTACGACTTGCTTGACGCAGGCTATTAAAGAGCCCCAGGGATCGACTCGGTTCTTTTGGCGCTGCCGTGCTCTGTTGTTGCTTTTGGTGTTCCTTTTGTTGCTGCTGTTGTTGTTGCTTGGATAGTTTGGTACTCAATGATTTAGAGGGTGGGGAACCTAGGGATAATGTGCTTTTCCATGATTTGGATGACAAGGTTGTGCTTTTGGACCCTGATTTGGGCTTGCAGGTACTTTGGTTAAGGTCCGTGGCGGAAGTAGGGGTTTGAGCAACGAGAGTGTCATTGTCGTCAATTTCGATTTTAGCAGACAATTCCATGGCAGCTGCTGGGACAGGAAACGTATTCGTGCTCATGGACTTTCGAATGGATCGGCGTTCAAGTACGGAAGGTTCTTCTGGAATTTCAGGAATTTCATCCACGATTGTTTTCGATGGCGTCAAGGATGATAAAAATGAGACATTTTTAACCTTTTCAGTTTCGGTGGTCGATCGGGATCGCTTCACTTGGTTTGTCTCATTCTCTGTTTTACGGGAAGACGGGTATCGCAGTGACGAGACACCTTTGACACGCGAAAGTGACGTTTCAGGGACCTCGACCAAGTCATCATTCTCAGCAACTTTTGTGTCAGTAGGAGCAAGATCCACCGGTGATGAATGAATTTCCGTGGGTTCTTGTGGCAAGGATTCTAAGAAAAAAAAAATAAACACCGTAGGATGAATAAATCTTGCAACGGGACAACAGAGTTCTGTCTTTTTTTTTTTTTTTTTTTTTATAATTACCTCCACATGTTTCTGTAATGTGATCCTGCAAGTCATGTTCGGACAGAAAGAGCTTTTCGAGAAAAATCGAGGATCGTGGGTTCACAGGTGTGACGGCAGGCCCCGGTGCGTCTTGGTCCGTGGAGGATGCCTGATGCGGAAGTGGATCCTCCTCCACCGGCATGGGTGGGATGGGTGGTACAGGTGGTACATTGAAAGGAGCGGTCTCTTTATCTGTGTCCCTGATGCGCTGCTGGGCTAGCAAGTTGTCGAGTTCTCTTTCATCTTCTTCGGTTAAAACGATGTGACTTTGACGCGATTGCATGACGGACAATCGATTTTCGTGCAACTGACGTGCGAAATTGGCGAGATCAAATCGACTCATGGCCTTGGTGGAACGGTGGCGTGTGCTGCAAGCTTTTGAACGACGCCGGCGGGCCTTTTCGCTGGTTGGTTCGACCGATTCAGCGGCAAAGTCTTTCAGAAAGAAGTTTTCGTCGGTATCAGAAAGATCATCGCAATCCTCGTATCGAATGGTGTGATCCAAAAGATCTTCCTCAGTTTCATCATCGTCGTCATCGTCGTCCGAATATGCAGTGGAAGGTGTAGAAGAAGAGGCCGGTGAGAGTTGCATAGAGACAGGATCATCGATGAGACCCAATTCGACGGTATCGGTATGTTTGTTTTCATCCTATCAGAAAAACGTTATTTTAGGGTGGATCTCTTCTCCTGAACTTGTATACTAGGCTTTTGAGTGTTGCAAAGGGTTTTCTCTTGAAGGTCTCATCCCCTCTGTGCTTCTCACAAACCCCTCCCTTCCTCCCCGCCCCTTTTTTTTTTCTCACACCCGAAGACAACGAAATTGACTGCACCCTGAATTATGGATTCATCCATGGGTTTTGATTGTCATGTTATTGATGATTTACCTCGGTCACAGCGATGGTCTCCTGAGTCTTTTGAGCGGATTCAACTTTCTTTGATTTGATTATCCTTGCTGCATTATCACGCTGCTTGCCACCAAATAAACCATTGGAAAACCGATGGTGACGCTGTGATCGCCACGCCGCCAGATCGGCATAGTGGGAGTTGCCATCGGTGGTATCCAAAGATTGAGAGACCAAATCAAGACACGGTGTGGTATCGAGCATGGTTTTGGTCAGAGGTGGCATGGAGTCATCACGATGAGTGCCATCATGGTGAATCATGATACTCGGTGGACACGGCATTTCTTGACTGAGTTGAGGGACGATGACCGACGTTCTGAAATCACGCGCCATGGGAATCTCATCGAGCGGGCGGTAGGTGGTGGAGAGTTCCTGTGGTTTCATATCCTTGGTCACTGGCGGATTGGTGGCTACTTGTTTCTTTTTTCTGCTTTTGAACATTGGGCGGGTTAGGTAAAAGACAGTGGAAATTTTGTACAGAAGAAAAGATCTATGAAAGGAGACAACGCATAAAAGAAAAATTCAAAAGAGTCACTAAATATCAATCAAACAATGAAAATGTCCAAAAGGACGAAAAAAAAATGCAGGAAAACAAAAAGGAATAAGAAAGTTGATAAGTGCTTGAAAAAAACAAATCAGCTTAATTAAGGTGGTGACACCAAATTAAGGTGGGTCTTGATGGAGTTCCAGGGCGCGTCCTTTAACGAATCTGTCTCACAGTTTCAAATACCGCCTCTATTATCCAACCATCCGCAGGCATGGGCCTTTTTGATGCAATGTTCGCATGATGAAAAATAACGAGGACTTGGCCATATTCTTCGTATAATATTTTTATTTCTCCAACGCGTTTATCACGATTTTGAATTCGTTGAAGCCACTGTCTTGTGGATAAAAGGCGGCAGTGTTGATCTTTTGATTATTTTGCAAGTCAGCACGTGTTCTATCTGTGTGACAAATTCTCGAACCACTGGTATTGTCGTTTTTTATTGACTGTTCTACCATTTGGGATTTTCACATCACATCATTTTGGGAATTCTCAATTGCTTTTAAACCATTTCTCAATTAGGTGGAGTTGGGTTCTTTCAGTAGCTGAAAAGCATATCGTGTCTTATCCAGAGCAAAAATTCTGGACAATGGAGCGGGTGTTGTACAATGCAAACCAGATATTAAAATTGATCATCTTAGTATGGCTTAATCTCAAACTGAATGGCTAACCATTTTGAATAGACTAGGTGACACGAATCTAAGCGTTTTCTTTTTTCCCCCATCATGCACTAAATAGCCTATTCAAGGCGACAGATCTAACCATTCTTGCATATTACTTCTCTATGCTAAAATAGCCGGCCCCAGCTATGCATTTACTTGTCTAAATATGCCTCCATGGTTTTCTTTCCCTTGGGTTCATCACATCATCATCGTGCATGCATAGATTATCCACTGATTATCCACCAGGCAATCCCGTGACATGCATATATTCTCGTTAATTATCCCACTACTGTATTGATCCCATCCACCGTAACTAGGCCCACGTGTTTGATAGAACAAGTTATACGAAAACTGAATACAGTAGTTGATATAAAATGTTTATTCATATACGTCTCTTATTGTTCATTGTCCAATTGTCGAAAGAATTTTAATGTGAAAAAAAAAATGCCACAATGTCATCTCTCATTTGCTTATGCATGATAATTAATAGGGTTTCTTACCAGAAAATGAAGAACCCGCATGGAACATTCATCTTCTCCCAATAACCAAAGGGGAAAAATGTGACATTTATCAATCTTATTGTCTTACTGTGTCGTGTAGCATACAAGAGGCCTCTGTATGAATATAGTGAGAGGTGTAACAAACAAGTATCCAAACTCCATAGGCGATATTAAATATCTAAAAGGTCTCCTTATTTGTAGTCGTTGACAGATCATTCCTTGCATGTCACGAAAAAATTATGCCCAGTTGCATTATAGCTCGGTTATGACGGCCTCTTATTCTCTTGCTGTGTTGAAGCTCATCTTTTTTGCCATTTTATCGATGACATAATGAGAAACCCCAAGAGTAGAATTATTCCCGTGTGGGGTAACATACCTTTATGCTTTGTTTCACTCATTTGACATTGAGCGCAGGTCCATTGAACTCTTTCTTTTTTTTTTAGTGTCCATGTGTTAATGAAAGAACGTGTCACGGAAACTCTCACTGCACTCAACGACCATTTCACTCTTTCCTTTTCATTTCTCTTGAAAAAAGACGCGTAAAAAAATAACTTCTTCCGTTTTTTTTTATGTCTCGGCATATTTCTTTGCTGACGTTGCAGGACTTTTGACTCAATTTTTTTTTTATTTTTTCTTAGCTGAGCTTTTATTTTTTTGGGTTCTCGCTTTCTCTGTAAATTTTTTTTTTATTGTACGCCTTCTTTTTTTTATCGTGTCCATTCTCGACAAACATGGCCAATCAAATTCCACATCAACAAGAAGACCAAAAGTTTATGCATCCGCCGCCACCCATGCAAGGAGGCCAACCTATCGTCCAACAACCCCAACCTCATCAACAACAAGCAACTGCGGCCGCCGTTGCCGCGGCAGCAGCAGCAGCAGCAGCAGCAGCCGCTTCCGCTTCCGCACCTGGAGCGGCTCATCCTGTCTTTGACCTCGGCAAATTTTGGCAAGACCAAGTCAGACAAGCCGAAGTCTTTGATTCCGACTTTAAAAACCATCCTCTCCCATTAGCCAGAATCAAAAAGGTCATGAAAACCGATCAAGACGTCAAGGTAAAGGAAATGAACATGGTGGTGGGAAAAAAACCGTCTCTTTATTGAATACACACGCGTATTTTCGTTCCCTTGGTTTCGTTAGATGATCAGTGCTGAAGCGCCCATTTTATTCGCCAAAGGATGTGAAATCTTTATTACCGAGCTGACAAAGAGAGCGTGGTACGTGTGTAAAAAGTAGAGAAAAAAAGAGCTGCACAGGTTGGAACAATCACTCATACCACAGTTTTCAAGGGTTCACGCCGAAGAAAATAAAAGACGTACACTGCAACGATCCGATATCGCGACTGCCATCTCCAAAACAGATATGTGCGACTTTTTAATCGATATTGTCCCTCGGGAGGAAGCCAACAAGGTAAGCTTAAGATATTCAAGCAGCAGTTGGGTTAGTCAAATGTCAGTTTTCCAAAGTTTTAATTGTTTCTTCCCACCTAGCCAAATGCTCCAGTTTATGAACAAAATACATACGCCAATTACTATCAGCAACACGGCATGCCGCAATATCCTACACCTCAGGTAAATCATCCTATCGAGGGATTTTAGGTCAAAGGTGGGCATTCATTAATTTTGGAGGACTTTTTTATAGATGCCAGCGCAACAAATTGATCAAGCTTATTATCCGCAATTATCACAGGTTAGCTTCAGTTTAACATTGGGATGATGATGATGATGATAATTAATGGAAAAGTATTTGCAATGATAAAAACAGTTAACACCGGAACAAGTCCAGCAGTATCAATTACAACTTCAGCAATTCGCTCAACAACATCCGTATGCGGGTGGTCAACCAGGTGCACCCATGGATCAGTCACAAAATGCGCCTCAAGCTCATGGACCTCCTGCTCCGGGACAAAATCAACCCAACATGCCTCCCGTGAATCCGGATGCTCAACAATCTCGTTGATCCGTCCATTTGCAACAAACTTCCTTTTCCATGACCAACAAACCATTTCGTCAAAATTTTGTGTAGCACTTCTTTGTATTCAATTCCCTTTATATTCAAGAGAAAAATAACAAAAAAAGGGGGTTCTCAACCTTTTTCTGAGCGCGAATGGCCCAACATCTTCCCAGTCTCCCCATTCATGGCTTTTTGACAGAGTCGCCCTTTGGTGTAACCTGTACACTGGACATTTAGAGATTTTTGAGTAGGAAAAAAGAAAAAAAAAACTGGCAAATTATTCGTCAGAGGACAATGATATACCAAATTAATGCATCGTGCCAACGATCTGAAAAGTGTTTTCATTCATTCATTGGTCGAGAGGGATGATTTATAAAAATGGGTAATTTGACTGCTGGGCTCCAAAAAACGCTTCTCAAGTGGTAAAAAACAAGTAAATAATCCGAAACAATACTTTTAACCCATAATCAAGGTAAAAATACAACTGTCTAAAAAGATTTTTTTTTACACCATTCCTAACTTGAGCATGCACTTAGCATGCCGCGTCCAAAGAGCGATCTATGGCAATATTTTATCAGGAGTACCAATAGAGGAGACAGAAGATCACGATGCAGGTTCTGCGGCCTGACGATGGCCGCAGGCATCACTCGCTTGCAAAAGCATCTGCTGACCAAATGTTCTGACATTCCAGCAGCCTTGGTGGAAGAAATACGTCGAAAGCAAGCCAGACTTAGAAGGCCACCACCACCACCGCTACAAAGCTCAAGTTCTTCGACAACTCGACCTTCGCCCAGACCCAACTCTAACGTGTCCACTCACCGTGGCCGTGACGTTTTACCAGCCGTGGCCTCATCGTCGTCAGCACCCATGCGCATTCAGCCGACAGTGTCAGCACATCCCCCGCTTAACACGCAATCTTCTCCAGTCACCAGTAACTCAACACTCGATGAACGTCTGGCGCGGGCATTATTCGCCGCCGACATACCCTTTAAAGCCATGGAGCATCCTCTTATGGTCGATTTCCTCAAAAGCTTACGACCCGACTATCAAGTCCCCTCGCGTCGCCAGTTACAGCAATACCTACTGAAAGAAAACCATTGGGATCTCATTGATATGACTGAAGAATCCCCATAGTCAGTTACAAATTAACAACAGTTCCTCATCAAATATATAAATAAAAATCGACCATGCAACTTATATAATGAAACGATGGGAATTCTATGTCAAGCGGGAGCACCCATTCAAGGTCCGATTATCCAAATTAGGCAATTTGAAAGAGCTCCTTTCTGTCCTCCGAGAATTTTGTATGAGAGGATCCAATCCGTCCAAGCAGATTCCCTCTCTTCCAGCGCCAACATGAAGGTACCGTAACACTTGCCATTCTCCCATTAGATCCCACGCATCCTATTCAACCCACCGTCGATCGATGCATGCTCAGAACGGATGGATGCATTCGTATCCTTGGAGCATCACCATGGATGGATATTCGGATGTCAATATTTTTTTTCCCTCACCTCCATTCGAAACCCCATCATGAATGGCATTCAGCCCAATCTTGCTCACTAATTATTTTTCCCATTCCAGTTGAACATCGCTAACCCAGCTACTGGCTGTCAGAAGTTGATCGAAATCGACGACGAACGCCGCCTGTAAGTCATCTGTTCAAGTGGGAAACCCCCCCCATTTGTACATTGGTGCATCCCAGTTTTTGTTAAGTGTCATGGTGACATTGACCGGTGTCGTTTTTCTTTTGTTTTTTTTCTAGTCGCGCTTTCTACGATAAGCGTATGGCCCAGGAGGTTCCCGGTGACTCCCTTGGTGATGAATTCAAGGGCTACGTCTTCCGCATCTCTGGTGGTAACGACAAGCAGGGTTTCCCCATGAAGCAGGGTGTTTTGTTGCCCCACCGTGTTCGCTTGTTGTTGAGCAAGGGTCACTCTTGCTACCGTCCTCGCCGCACCGGTGAGCGCAAGAGAAAGTCCGTCCGTGGTTGCATCGTCTCGTCCGATCTTTCCGTCTTGTCCCTCGTCGTTGTTAAGCAGGGTGAACAGGACATTCCCGGCTTGACCGATACCACCGTTCCCAAGCGTCTCGGTCCCAAGCGTGCTTCCAAGATCCGCAAATTCTTCAACTTGACCAAGGACGACGATGTTCGCAAGTACGTTATCCGTCGCGAGATCCAGCCCAAGAACGCCGACAAGAAGCCCTTCACCAAGGCACCCAAGATTCAGCGTCTTGTCACCCCCATCACTCTCCAGCGCAAGAGACACAGAATCGCTATCAAGCGCAGACGTGCCGAAGCTTCCCGCGAAGCCGAAGCTGAATACAAGCAGCTCTTGGCCAAGCGTGTCAAGGAAACCAAGGAACGCAAGTTGGAAAGACGTCGCACTTCCTCCATGCAAAAGTCTGCCTCGGCTTAAAATAAAAAACACCACTCAACCCATCTACACATTGTGTGCCGAAACTCATCAGTTCCTCGTTCCTCTGTTATCCAGTGATCGACAAAAATTACATAGCTATAGACAGGGAAAAACAAAATAAGGGGAATCGGAAGCAAACAAGAGGAAAAGAAGTAGGAAAAGAGACTATGCAATGAATTTGACGCAAGAATGATTTGCAAAGGTGGCTAATTGAGAACTTGCGGTTTGACATGTGCTTTAAATAGCCCATGTGAGAATGACTGGAATTGATGGGATGAACAGTTAGCCAGCCCTACACTGGTATCATGTTTTTGTATTCCTGCACAGTTGAGGGACACGCTGTTCTTACTGTATGATCCGTTTCGATAACCCATAACAAAAAATGGTAATTTCCATGAAGAGAATTCAGACGAGATAGCATCCTCTGGAGGTGTATCATGTCGTTGTGGTTGTCGACTGAATTTAACAAAACATAATAATGGATTCGCAAACAGTTTCCATGAATCATCTCTTTACAAATTATTTTATTGCGTGACAGAACTATGCATCAGTTTCCATGGTGGAGGTTTCGGGTTCTTCTGCGTTGTCCTGGTTTTCTTCGCTACGGAAAGCTTCCAGTTGCTCTTGACTTAATTTATATACCAAATTACCCATTTCTTCTACATCATCCATCGTCGTTGCTTCGCCTAAATCATCCACCTACAAAAGTAACGAGAGATTAATGTTACTGAAAGAACGCATAAAACATTAGGGGGCAACTAATTTTTATCATTACCTTGCGTGCTGAAGGAGGATAGTTTTCATCGTGTTGCAAAGACAGCTGGACTGGTCGTTGAAGGAATTGATCAAACACGGGTTTTAACTCGTAACACTTTTCGAACAGTTCTTTACGGCAGAACATGTAGAGACCCAGTCTTGCGCGAGAGACAGCCACGATCAAACGTCGTACATCGCGAATGTGTCCCACGGATTTCGTACGTACCAAGGATAACAGAATATCTAGCCGACACACCCATTGGTTAGTAACAGTCTAGTTACGCCGTCTTCACTCCATATGCTTACAATCGTTCTGCTGTCCTTGATACTGGTCTACCGTAGTTACGTCAGCTGGCATGCCAAAGTACGGGTTCCAGCTACAGCGGCGTTGCAATACATCCTTGATCAATGCTTTTTGTCCATTGTACGTCGTCAAGATAGAAATCTTTTCCGCCGGATAGCCAAGCAAGCGCATGTACTGGTACACGGCCACGATGTATTCGGCTTCGCCCAAGTTTTGATAAAAGTAAGGCACAGGCTCGGTTTCACCTTCGCCTTGGTATTTGTCCACATTGATCAACTGGTAATCGTACGTAAAGCCAGGGTTTGCTTTGACATATTCGTCGTTGCCCTGAATCATGGGCAAATCACCCAAGTGATCGTAGCGCCAGCTGTATAATTTCGCAATCGATGATCGTGCACGGCCCTAAACCAGCCCACCTGATTAACACGACTGTTTTTTTTTTTTTGTTCACCAACTGTTTGACGATTTTTACCTGCAAGTCCAATTGCATGGCGGGTACGCCCAACCGCACGAAACGGGTAAACATGCTCTGTTCCATGTTGCCATACTGCTGGAACGCCATATTCTTCACCACCGGAGGCAGTTGATGATGGTCACCGATGAGCATAACGCGTTTCAGTCGGCTTTCGCCGTCCTGAGGTTCTTGAAGCAACAATGGGATAAACGTTTCCACTTCGAGGATTTGAGCGGCTTCTTCCATCACAATGTTATCATACTTGAAGTTCAATCCAACAAGTTCCCGACGCTTAAAAATCAACGTGAAACAGAAATGTCAATAAAAACCCAAAAAAAAAATCCATCAAAGGCGATGTTTTTACCTTGAGAGCAGCATGGGTACATGTCATGGCGATAATCTTGGCTTCTTTGGTGATCAAGTAATTGGCGCGATCAGTGCCAGAGCGGAGCAGTTCGAACGCACGAATCTCTTCAAGTTCAGTAAACAACTTTTCCAAATGACGGAAACATCCTCTGGCGGCTTCCAAAGCTTCTTCGGTGGTGGCATCCTCGGCAAATACAGGTTTAGGGGCATTGGCGAAGAAATAGACAAACGGGAACTTGTTACGGATGTCCTCAAGGGAGCCAGACTCTGCTTGCTGGAGAAACGATTCCCACAGCGGGACCACCTGGTAACGGAAAAAGTAGTCGGCCGTCTCACAGGAAGCTCCATGGTCGCCAGGGACGTTCAATGTGTAGGCGAGACGAGTGACTTCTTGGAGAAGTTCAAGGCGCCGTTGCAGGAAGGATTCCACACGTCCGTACTTGCTGAAGCTCACTTCACTGTTGAGTTCCTCTTCACCGTGACCGAGACGCACCAAGTGACGAGGATCGATATCCAAAGCCATCATCTTTTCAAAAATCTGATTCAAGGCTTGATTACTGTGCGTCACCACAAGTGTATGCTGATTGGGATAATTGTGGTACAGGTTGGCAATTGTCTGCACGGCCACATCGGTTTTACCCGTACCGGGAGGACCCACCACCATGGTTAATCCATGGTTCATACCGGAATGAATTGATTCCGCTTGCACAGGCGTGAACCGTACGGCATTGCGCTTGGGCACATCTTGAGGATAGGGACCCTGGTTGGGTAACGTGTAAGAGGACACTTGCAATGTCTCTGGGCTTGCTGCTTGCTTTTCAGCCGCCGCCTTTTTGGATTTCTTTTTCGGCTTTTCTTCCGCTGCCTCGTTTTCAAGGAAATCAATGATGAAAGGCGGTTCAAGTGGAGTCTGAGCGTCCGGAGCAGGTTGCACCTTTTTATCGGGGAAACTCTGGACAATATGATCATAGTCAAGGAACGTATCGCGGAAATTGAGATGACGAACACGGTTGGGCATATGCGTGTAGTGGGCACTGGCAGGGTCACCGTAACCCAAGAACACTTTTTGCAACCAGTCAGGGACCACGAGGTCACTCTGCATCAAATCACGAATCGTTTCCAGGACGGCCTTGAAGTTGTTTTCCTGAGGTTTTCGGCGCACAAGGATATTGAAAGTGGGATAGACATCCTCCTTGTTCTTCTTGTTAAAGTTGGTCATATCCATCTTGTACTGATTTGCATCCAATTCCACACGGAAAGTACGCATAGAATTGGTCCAGCGTTTTGCTCGATCGTCCACCGTAGGTTTCGACACTTCGTCAATAGCGCGACCGTCACTGCCGAGCACATCCACAATTTCGCAGCCACGGATATACTTGATACCAAAGTGCTTTTTGAAATCTTTATCGTCAGTGTATCGCTGTGATGTATCGTCATTAGCCTGAATCGTCAACAGGAAGAGCACATCGTGCTTGCGCATGCTGTCCCACTCTCGTCGTAGAGTTTCGGTGTATCGACCCACGTTGAAACTGACATCAGCATGAACATGGGCTGGTTTATCCTCACCAAGATGCGGCCGTGCCACGTCTACAATTTGGAAGGACTCGATCGGGACTGCCATACGTGCCCAGCCCGCAAATTCGGTCACACGATCAGGGTAGGTCAAACGAGGCGATAATCGTTTGACTACATCTTCCATGTCTTGGCGAATTTCGTATGAGCTCTCCAAGCGAAATAGTGTAAAGTTACGCAACAAGTAATCGTGGATGGTCAAGAATTGCAAATTCAGTTTGGGCAGAGATAATGGTCGATCGCCAGTGTAGAATTGCGTTTGCACCAAGGAATCGTTGAACAACGTATTCTATTTTATCACCAAAACATCAGTCATTCAACACAATCTGTCTCCATTGCCTGTGACCAGGATTTCTCGCATACCTCGTCTGGATACAAAGGCAAAGCATTGATTTTTTCAATTTGACTGGTGCGTTTTTCATATTTCGCAATCAAGCTTTCCAAAAGTAATTGTTTTTGTTCAATGACATTGAGTACGGATTCGACAATGGGCGAGCTGCGGATGTGAACCGCTTCACAAAGACGAGCTAAATCGTCTGCAGAAGCAGGGCCGAAATGCCAAAGCAAATCTTCCCGTTGCTCGATGGAACCCAGATTGGCAAGCGGTAACTCGGGAAATGTATCTCTGAATTGGCGGAAAGTAGTCGTCTACAAAGTTGAACAGAGAAGCATGCATGACATTAGCATCGATGGGAAGATGCGTTGGTTTTTTTTTCCCTGAATGAATATCATTACCTGCAATTTAATCAACTGTGCGTTGCGAGCTTCCGTCATATCTAAGTCTGTCAATGCTAAGCCGGTTTGATCGTTGATTTCGAATTTGGCATAGAAACCCAAAGTTTCCAACAGCTGTTTGAGCAAATCCACATCCTTGTCTTCACGCTTCATCAGTGGTGCTAATCGGCAGAGGACCACGATTTGGTGATCGTCCAACAATGTATTGAAAAAGCGTCGGGTAGGTAACTGTGTCTCCAAATCAATGATCAACTCGACCAACCGTTCGCAGTATCGGATCAATTCCTCCTCAGCTATTGTTCCCAAAAAGATGGTCAATGTATATCCTGTTATGCGAATCCTCTTCCATGCTTACCATCGCCTGATTCGGGAATCTGATACACGACACCAATAAATTCTCGCAGCAGGGCACTGAGCCAATTGCGTTCAAAGATCAATTTTCCCTTGGTATCGTCATCTAACGACAGCAAAATCGGCATTAGTCTCTCCCAGCACGGAAAACCATCAATTGGGCGTGTTATGCTGTCACATTTTTTTTTCTTACCTGCAGCAGCAAATTTCTTGTTGCTTGAATTCCATAATTTTCGCAAAGGGACGTATTCTGACAAGATGTCTTCCCTTCTCGCTGCCTGACCGAAGTTGTGCCAGATTGCGATGGAAACCAATCTATTTCATCGCAATTTTGTTCAATATCTAACTCATTTCTTCGGTCCACCGTCATGTCCAGCAACTTACTTTTGACATTCTGTACGCACCATCGGGTTGGCCAAACTTTGAAAACAGTGAATCAAAAACAAAATAATGAAGCGTTTGACCATCAGTGGCAGCTGCTCTGCTTCTTCTCCCACAGCCAACCGAATCACACGAGCAAAAAATGCTGAAAACTTGGCCGTATCCGATCGAAACGCGTCTGTGATTATATCGTTGTAAGTAAAAAGAGGTTGAGTATCCTAACGCTGATGATGTTGGCAAATGCACGGTTGCTTACCGAAAGGAGCGACTCGCTGACGGAACTTCTCGTTCACCATTAAACAGATGGAGACGACGTGATTCAAGGTGGATTTTTCGCCGTCAAAGTAAGGCCACAAATACTATATAAAGGCATCACTTTAGGAACTGTCTAGATCGTCACTATATCTGCTGGAAGAGACATACTTTTTCCAGATATTGGGTAAATTCGAGTAGCATTAATTTCTTGGGTTCGTAGTTGGATGGTACTAATTCTTGGTCGACAATGGTTTCGACGACCTTGGCATCCCATTTGATTGTTTTGCCGCCATAGGCCTTGTTCGTGATTTTGGCGATAGAATCGGACTGAATATCGTCCAAGGTCAAGTTGCGACCTTTACTCGAAGCTGATCCATAAGCTTCACTGGGCGCTGCATGGAGCGGGAGGGTGGTCTTTCGAAACATGACGCAGTGAACAAGTCCCGGATCGTGCACGATTACAAGAAGCAACAATTCTTTGAGCTATAGAGCGACGCTGCCGTGACTGCTCACTCGAAATGGCGGTCTTTGAAATGTATTTGATAGCTTTGCCATTTGCGGCCTCAATGCGTGTGGAAAAAGCAACAGTGATAATTGCCCTCATCCATCTTGCTTTATATAACAAAAAAACACAGCAGCACCATTCAACATCCAATAAAACCGGAGAATGTTACTTTCTAATTCAAAACAGAATACACGAAGATCATTGCTCTTTCATGAATAGAGTATCTTATCATCCGTTGTTGCCTTTTGCAAACTCGCCAGATTCTGAGTCAAGATAGTCTGTAAGAAGGCGACCTGTTTATTCTTTCAATCAAAACATTTATTTGTCGTGTTGGCCAACTTGCCATTTTTTTTCTTTCTAAACCCCACACCACGACTTTCAAGCAAGGGCCTGAAATGGTTACCCATTTTGCTTCAATAACCTTTGTCAAATGAGTCCGTGAGACTGAATAAATAACAGTCGTATTTACTGTGATATGAAAAAATCAATACATATCTATGTCGGTATACAGGGTAATGCCGAGGAATGTCGTTGGTACAATGCAAAATAAATGAGCAGCAGCATGAGTGGTATCTACAATCATGGAAGAAATAATGATGGATGCTAAAGGTGGGCAAACGGAAAAATGTATCATTGTTGCCGTAAGCGTTTGACCCTTGCTGTCCATATGTCATGATTGGCTTTTTTCAGTTCGTTCGGGAATTCGGTTTCATCGGTGGCGAGGGAATTGTTAAGAAATACGTTACGTAGTAATCGTGGATTGGTCTCTTCGACATTCAGACTCGTTTTTAACCATTGTTGCGTAGCGACGGTTGCCTGAGGGGTGGCACAAGCTAGATTTTTCGCTTGTTGGTACTGTTTTGCAAGCTCTTCAAACCGAGAAGATACGGCATTGGAACATGGGGTCGACTAAACTTCATTGATCAATCACTGTCCGTCCTACGTGAATGCTTATCCACTTACAATATCTTGCCGGAACCGATTTCGCTTAATTTCCTGAAATTCTTCAAGAACACTAATACCATGCGTCAGCCAATTTGAAACAGCTCCCTCAATCCAATCGCCCGTTTTGCGCCTTACTCTGAAGCCTGCTTTGATTCGAGTTGTAAAAAGTAACTGGGCGTCTCCAACTGGCGGATCGCCACCAAGCAAAATGCGCCTTCATCTTTCAAGCGCTTGAAAAGCACCGCTACCGACCAATTTTCCTTTTGCCTCGCACATGTCATGAAATAATTGTGTAGTTCTATCCACAAAGCTGCAGATCCGATTGTCAATAATCGAATTAAACCTTCCATGACAAAGAAACAGACCCAGCTTACCATTATCGACTCGAATACGGATTCGTTCATAGGCAACGGGCTGCGAGAAATACAAAGAATAGAGAGCGAAGATCGTTGCTATCCTGAACAGCTCGTTATCGCTCGTCAGATATTCAAGTACAGCATCGTAAATTGTATGCATAAACACAGTGCGATTCTCTTTTTCCAAGCATGCAAAGTGAATATAGCCAAAGTTGAGTTCTTTCCACACTTTGCCAAACGACCTGAAGTTATGTGTGGATTCCTGTCATTCAAGTTAGGATGAATAGATCCCATTGCTTATCGCCCCGTCAACTTACTGCGACAAACGTCGTGAGCAAAAGTTCCACATCGTGAGTGATCGCCTGCTTGGCGAGACCAAGACGGCCACGACCTATGGGTACGACGGCAAATGCGTTGAGTTTACTTCGTGGCATGAATGGCACGGATCGGCCAAGACGACTGGTGACAATGAAAAATTCAGCGCGCCCATCAGGAAAGTCAGGGTGACGGTTGCCTAATACGGATGAATCTCGACTAGCAGTCACAGTCGACTTGCACGATTTTGCCAATAAAAAAAGATTCATTCGACAAGAGTGAGTTGAGGGTTGAGGGTTGAACTAGTATGAGCGAGGCCAAAGAAATCAAGGAAGTCAAAGAACCGCGAGAGCCTGGCACAGGACCCGGGCGAAGGAAAACCGTCCGCAAGGGCATGTTTGCCAAGGATCGTAAGTCAATCGCCTGGAAAACGAAAGAAAAGCCCACACTTTATTCACATGACCGTGTGTGTGTAGTCAAGTTACTCATGTACGGTTTTGGCGATGTGGCTAATCCAGCTTCGGATTCTATTGCTGTAATGGATGATTTGGTCATGGACTACATCACGGACATGGTAAGTGAATGGGCTTAGTGCTTTTGATAAATGCCGTCCAGTGTTTTTAAAAGCGGTGTATCCGTTGGACAGTGTCAGAAAGCGGCTAGGGTGGCAGAAAACCGAGGTAAAGTTCGAGTGGAAGATTTCAAATTCGTGCTACGTAAAGATGCGAAAAAGCTGGCTCGTGTGGAGGAGCTGTTGTATATGAGTGAAGATATTCGACGTGCCAAGCAGTTGTTTGACGAAAAGGAAATGGATCCCTTGGAAGAAGGAACAACCACCACCACCACCGCCGGTGGTGCGGCATCATCCACCCCGGCGCCCATGCCTGTTGCTGGTGGCAGTACCGCGTCCCAATGATACCTCATCAATCCTCTGATTTTTTTTCCCGCTTGTATCCTCTCTTTATTCTTTCATTACATCGATATATTGTACATAACTCTAGCTTTCCCCATGCCTTCCTATTTCGTTCTTTTACACTTCCCGAGCGTAAAAGCAATCGTATTAAAAACTCTACAAGAATAATTCAGTCGACAAATCGAAGAGAGAATCATGGGACTAAGCCTTGGTAGCATCTTCATCTTTCTCCTGGATTGATGAAGTCTCGGTGTCGGGTATGCTTTTGACAAGATCGTCATTGTCGTCCACCTTTTCAATCACTTTGTGAATGCTGTGTACTTTTTCGCCGCACCGCAAACACGGCCACTCGTCGCCAAAGATGGAAAGCTTGCTTTGTATACAGTAGTAGCAGTATTGATGGCTACAATTGGTCTCGTACGGGTTGTGCACAGTGTAATCTTGCACTTGGCCAATTGGAGCAGAGGTATTCGCATCACCGGAGCTGGCATCATGGCAAATGGCGCATTGATTCACAGGCAATTGATCGTATCCCTTGGAGGAAATCAGGTAGGATTTTGGTAGCAGCATCCGTGTTAATTTGAGTTTCAGTTTCTCCACATTGATTAACGGAACCAAGAAAAGCAGAAATTCCTAGCAACTATCCATCAGCATGCCTTATCGAGTCATCATAACCACAATATTTATCCACGACAGCCTACCGTAAATGCGTGCCACACCATCTGTCGATTCAGGAATTCAAAACTGACTTGGCGATTCAATGATTTCTTTGCATAGACCAAACGCATAGCGAGAATGCGATCAATCAATGTGCGATATCTAGACAAGATCGTGACTTAATCAGTCTCACTTTGCTCTTCTTGCTTCTGACGCTTAACACGACGACTTACTTTCCGTTGTAAAGGAACACGAGGAAATTCAGCAGTGAGAATGCCTTCCAGTACTTTTCACCGGCTTGTAGCAATCGATAAAACTTGTAACGCATATCCGTCTAGGGTCAGGGCGGTTGGTATTGTTGCCTCATTGTTGTTTAATCTGTCGGCGATGGTCTTACCTCGTCGAGCTCACCCCAGCCACGTATAGTAACCAATCGATTGAGTCTTGTCCAAGCATACTGTCCCCCAACCGTCAATACACCATAAATAATCTTTTGTGTCTTTGTCAAAGGAGCATCCGTAGCAATGGATTCCACTATGTTCATTGACGTTGAGTAACCATGGACTGCAGAGTAAAATAATCTTTTTTATTGGACTTACATGCACCCCCATGCTTCCATTCGTTGCGATACTTCAAGTTTTGCAACTGTGCGCCATAGGTCGCCGAAGAATCATAAACCGAGAGTTTGAAGAGGACAAAATTGAGGATGGCGAGTAGTTCGGGCTCGAGCGATTCTTTAAATGTGGGCTGATGAACATAACAGAACACAGCCATGGCAGAGTATAAGGTGAGCACATTGAGGGAAAAATTACTATATGTTGGCATTGGTTACCTTGAAAAGTTCCAACGCATTCCAGAGTTGTTGTTTGAGAATGTCAAAGAGTTCAAAATCGAGAATGTCGGAATCCAGCTGACTAACTCGCATGACTTTGAGAGACGAGGTTGGTAGCGATGCCATGGACCGCCGAATTTTGCGTAATGCAGGCTGAATTTGTTTCCAGTCATTTTTCCATTCAGGTATGGGAGGTTGAGACGGTGAACGCAGCATGATCCGATTCCAAAATGCGTACGAATATATAAAGACAAAAGTAAGGAAAGTTAAGGAAAAAGCGTAACAAGTCGTTCGATGCACAGTCAGCGCACATTTTATTTTTCACATGCCGATTATCTCTGATACCCCGCTTTGAAAACCCCACAATGGAATACAAATCTTACTTTTTATTTTATTTTATTTTTTCTCCTGCTCTCTTCATTCGTGTCTTTTTCTGCTCACACTATGAATTATATAATTGCTCACACGTCCAAACCTAAAGCTATTCCCAGTGACGCGCCAAATGAAAGTCGGGGCAGCATGTCGGTGTCGTATGCCGGAGGAGCAGGCAGTGGTGGTTCGGGAACGCCCTCCTTTCCATCCAATTCGTCATCACTGTCATCCAAATAAAGTCGCGTCATGCGCTTGGAAGCATCATGGACAGGCAGGGGAGGAAGCTTGGCATGCAGGTAGTGCTTGACGGTCGCGTCTTCATGAAGCGAACGCGAAGGCGAGTTGAACCGAGGATTAGTGGATAGTGATGTTTGTCGTTCCAGACGCGCTTGAAGCGTTGACACGGTATGCGGAGAAAGTACGGTGGATGACGCGACGGTTGCAATGGAAGGGGACATTGGCCCCACGGGCGATTCGATAAAGATACCAGGAGGTATCATGTCAGGCAGACTCTCCTTTGGTATCTGAACCTCGGTGACAAGTCCATAGTTCTCCAAACCATGGATATCCAACGAAGACGAACGGGGCTGATGGGCCTGCTGCTGTAGCAGTGTTTGTCGACTGATGTTGAGGGTGGAATAAGTGTGAGAAGTTGTGAGACTCGGTGCATTATGACTTGATAGAGATGCTTCGGATTGGAAGGATGTAGTTTCAAAGGCTTCGTGATGATGTTCGGTTTGGGAAGCATGGGTGACATTCTGGTTCGTGGGTATAGATGACTCTGCAAGCTTGCTGTGAGGACCGGCGACCATGGTCACTTGGGAAGTCGTCGAGGCAACGGGTTCCTTTTGCGTTCTGGCATGTTTCATTTGCAGTAACGCCGCGACATGCGATCGACCCCCGTTGGCAAGTTCGGTATCGATGGGCGGGGGAATTTTCCTTCGTAGACGGTTCTTGAAGGATGATGCTTCTCCCGACTGGACGGCTCCCAAATCAAAAGCAGAAGCAAATTTTTTTAGAGATTTGGTCTCGCTGTCGGACAGCGCTGATCGCTCCGAGAAAGGAAGATCAATATTGGACACGCTGATTTTCAGAGCCGAGCTGCGCCTCTGCTGATTGTGTTTCTGGGCAGGTGGCGGGTTGAAGGCGACCATCTGGGAAGCCGTGGTTTCGCTCCATTGCTGGCCTTTGGAGGATCGCGATTCAGGCTCGACGGTCAAGGGTCGTATGTGGGATGCCATTTCAAATGGATAGGAGGATGCAGGAAGGTTCGCAAGGTTAAGATTGCCTCGTTGAGACAGAGGGACCGAGGCCAGCATGACGGGTATCTTGGCTTTAATGTTTTCAAACTTGTGCTCAAATTGGAAGGTTACTTCCAGCTGATGGTAAAGAGCCACGAGCGGGGATTCGATGCCGACAGACAGGTACTGATTCAGAGGAAGTCGTAACACCAGAGGTTGTTTCCATGCCGAGACGTGGTTATCGACAGTAGCAATCATGGCTGGAGCGGATCGTTTGATGTACTGAGCGTAGTTGTGCCCGCTGGTGTCGGGAATGGGCCTGGGACCGTGCTGCAGATCTGCTAAGGATTTGGAAATGGAATGGCACCTTTACTTTCCCGCCCCAGAAATTAGAAATTTAAATTTTTTTAAATTAAATACAACCTTCCTGAAAAAGGTGGATGGGATCAAAAACTGAGTTTAGTATAACCCTACCTGTATAGTTCCGTCTGTATTAACTGAGTGCGGATGCTTCGAACGGGCTTCTGATTCGCAAAACACAAGTATTTGATGCACATTGGCAGTATCTGTTGTTCCAAGCATACGATCTGAGGGACTTGCACTTCGTAGTGAAATTTTGCAGGGAGCGTGCTTTCGTAAACACGTGTTTCTATCAAGGGCGCCATTTCGATGGAAGGGAGCAGATGCCGGCACAGGACAATGGGATAGTCGGCCGCCATGGTTTTGTTCAGTCCGTACGAGATGGATAATTCAACTTTGTAATGGATGGCGGCGCGTTTGGTCAATAGACTCCGTGGATAAATATTGGGTATATCGATATCCCAGGGGATGGTATGGTTGCCTGCGGAAAGGGTGGTCTTGCCGTAAAGACATCGTTTCAATTTTGGCAACAGTGGCGTGCTCACTTTGACGACGGGTCGATGGTGTTGCAAACACACGGTACTGTAACCTTTGAATTTGACGACCATGCTTCGGATTTTGACTGACTTGCACAAGGATAATCGCGCTTCGCCTTTCAACACGAGAAATGAATTGGCGTCGGCGGTAGTGGCCGGACCCAGAAAATCGAGATAGGTTTCAAAGGGTTCAATCGATACAGATCGGAAGCCATCCTTCATGTCGTAGTGCAGAAAATCGACGTTGATGCTTGTTTTTTGTTTTCAGGTTGATCCGGTAAGTTTTTTTTTTCTTTTTTTCTTTCTGAAATGCACTATCCCCAAAAATAATACAACACAATTCCACGAAATAGGAGGCGATGGCGTTTTTTTTTCTTTTTCTCGGATTTTTCGTTTGGCAAAGAACAACAACCACCAATGAGGAAAGAAAAGATTAACGAAAACAACAAATCAAATTGCACGGATGAAGATAATTAGCTGATTTGAAAATGCAAAAGAAACTGATGAAGAAAAAAAAGAAAAGGAGAATCCAATGTGCGGGGGGGTATTTTTTGCAACAGGGATGAAGTCAATGGTAAACAGATGGTACAATTCGAGACCTAAGAAGGATACGAGATGAAATAACCTCAAAAGGTACACGAATGGGAATGGAAGAAAGAAGAGAAAGGAATGGAAAGGAAGCGAGGTCGCTGAAGGGCGATGGGAGCAGAAAGAGAAAAATGAAGAAAGAAAACAGTGACAGAGAAAAGCCAAAGAGAGAGAAAGATAGGAAAGATATAAAAAACATTGGCGAACAGAAATTATGAAGAGTTAAAAAAAGATGGCCCCGGAAACAAAAAAGTCGTTCCATTTCAGGAAGAATCGATCCAAGGTTCTCAATACATCATCCCTTTTTAGGAAATCCGGGTGAACAGGTCATTTAAGCGAGTTGTGGGGTTGGTCTTGTTCATATTGAATATACGTTGCCACTCCTAAAGACCATTCTACTGTAATCATATTCTCGAGTGCAATCAGTTTCTTATTTTTGATGCCCCTGATTTGAGTGAGTACTTAGCTTATCGACCACTTGGACCACTTGACATGGCAAGTCAACAGTGTCGCATCGATCTCGGAGGGTCCGGCCTAGCCTAGCCTCATCTAATTTACTGCTCTATCAAACTATCGAACGTTAAATGCTGACTTGAAATATAGGGCGGTTGGTCGGAATAGTTTACCAAAGGTTGTGTAAACGAATGGGTATAAAGTTACACAGGAAATTTCTTCGGTGTACCGCACTTGTTGCAAAAAACCGAACTTTTTACACTCGCAAGTAAGAAGAAGGCTCCATGATGTGGTGCAAGCCATATTTGTCAGAGTCAAAAGAAATCTATGCCCCAACTAGAGCAAGATAGGAATGAGGGAATGAGCAGCCTTTAGGTATTTGAAAATCAAAACACCAGAGGAAATAAGACAAAGTACCGTATGCAATTTAATGAAGAAAAAAGAGACTGGAGTGACAAGGCATCAAATCAATCTCGGGTTACATTGCATTCGGTGATTAGCCATGGTGTCTGTGCTCAAAATGCAAGTTTGGATTGAGAGTCAACCTTTTTGTTGACTCGCTCGCGAGAACTATGTCGATTTAGTGATTTGGCGCAATGATATGTCATCCAGTTGCTTCATTTATTTTCATTCGTTTGTATCCATGGTCCCAACTTTTTTCTCAGAACCGTGTTTCTTTCTTATTTATTATACTATTTTTTCAGCTTCTTCTTGCGATGAAAAAGGAGATGTTTATGTATGTGTAATGAAAGGAAAGGACGTGGATAAAGTACCTTTTATTCAAAAACAGGTGTATCGGCATTGTTACTCCATTGCCAAAGATAATGTCTACAGTGCTCCTGCAACCGAATTTTTTTTTTTTTTTTTTTTTAATTTCTGCCAAACCTGAAATAAGTGGCTATTTTGGGTTGTTGTTCAATGAAGCTCGTGTTGCTGCTGTTCGGCCTCATCACTGTTTATTGCATAACGTGTCCCTACACCAAAGTAGAAGAAAGCTTCAACCTACAAGCAATTCACGATGTCATTCACTATGGCTTGGACACGGACCGATTCGACCATCTCGAATTTCCTGGAGTTGTACCGCGCACATTCTTTGGCGCCACCATCGTCGCCATCGCTACGCGCTTCTTGACCGATACAGCACGCACTTTGCTGAAGCATCCGCCGTGGCTTGATGACCCTTTGTCAGAACAAATCATCGCGCGGGTATTGTTGGGCGCAGCTGTCTCAGGGTCGTTCTCTGTTTTCCAGTCGGCCGTGCGTAAGCTACTCGGTCCGCGTGCGGCAGTTGCCTTTTTGGTCCTGCTATGCTGCCAGTTTCATCTTCCTTTTTGGTCATCGCGTACACTTCCTAATATCTTTGCCTTGCCCCTCACTATTCTAGGTTTGGCCTCTTGGTTGGAGAGTTTGGCCGGTACCTCAAATCGCCTGCAAAAACTGCGATGGATGATTCGCTTTCTCACCTTTGCTGGTATCGTGTTTCGGTTTGAAGTGGGCATTTTGCTGGTTGTCATCGCGTCCCTGGAATGGATTGTGTATGGCACGCTTCCGTTATCGGTGATCCTGGTCGAAGGCTTCATTACCGCTGTTGCAAGCTTGGCACTCACCGTGCCGCTCGATTCTTATTTTTGGCAAAGGTGGTTGTGGCCTGAAGGGGAAGTGTTTTATTTCAACGCGATTCTGAACAAAAGTTCGGAATGGGGTACGTCGCCATGGTACACGTATTTTGTTCTATTTTTGCCGAAATTGTTGTTTATCAGCTATCCGTTGGCCTGGATTGGGTTCGTCTCCCACCCTCGGGTCCGCCGAATCATGGTTCCTGGATTGATCTATATCGGTCTGTTTTCGTTCCTCCCACATAAAGAATGGCGATTTATCATCTACACCATCCCGCTTTTCACCGCAGCAGCTGCATCCACTGTGGCTCAGGTGTCGATTCAATGCCGCCGTTCCCTGATCCGCCGGCTGGCTTTCCTCTTGATGCTTGCTGGTATGACGATATCGTTGGCGGCGTCCCTATTGATGTTCACTATCTCTCAGGCCAATTATCCAGGGGGCCATGCTTTGCGTGACCTTCATATGTCGGAGCATCCTTTGCGACCAATCTCGGTTCACCTCGACGTCCCCACCGCCATGACGGGCGCATCACGGTTCGGTCAAAAAAACCGTCGCTGGCAGTATCACAAAACGGAATCTCACGCACACCCTGACGATTACCTGGAAAGCGAGTACACTCATTTGATTACTGCCGACCCTTCGTTCCATGATTCCGCCTTTAAAACGGTACACGTTACGTATGGATACAGTGGACTACGGATCAAATCGATCAATGCCTATTTGGAAGGTATTACCAAGAATCCAACATCGTGGCATTCATGGGTGCCTATCCAAGTGCGTATCACCCCCAAATTGTACACAATGAAACTTGTGGATCCTCAGACAACGTGGGTGGATTTCACGTTACGCAAACACCCCATGGTGGTATACAGCAAGACGTATTGGTAAGTGACCATCACCCTGTTGCCGGATTTTGTTCGTTTCCCAATTTTTTTCTGATGCCTGTAAATTCATGGTCCTTTGTAGTCCTTACTGCAACGCTGCCAAACAATTACTCAATCGGTATTGTCCTGACGCCTATTTTGTCATTGAAGTCGATAAGCGACCGGACGGCTTGCAAATCAAACAAGCGTTGATTCAACGCTCGGGGCGTCATACGTTCCCTCAAGTCTACGTTCAGGGCAAGATTCTCGGAGGATATGATGATTTACTCACGCTCGAAACTCAGAAAGGACTGGCGGATCGCCTTGTATGCGACGACGACAAGTTGGCGAAACATTCAAACATCGGAGGATAGCGGGAAATTGCCTGCATAGAAGTACTACCATTATCAAAAGACTTAAACAGTCATTTTTACACCATTTTCAGAAAATTTGTTTTGTGTATTCATCATCCTATTCTTATTCAAGAGAAAATGCTTGTACAACACAAAGATGTCTAATTTGACTCCGCAAACATCTACTTCCTCCTATCTGTGCCATACATACCGCATAACCATTTGGTGAAACGCACAAAAAAATGGTAGGGTGATTTGTATCGTATCCACAAAGCAGCTCATATAACAATGGTTTCGAAACTAGAACGATTACCTTTTCTTCATACGTAAAGGCCAATCAATGTCTTTCATAATACCAAAGAATATTTTCGGATCTTCCAACGGCGTCACACTACCGCAAAAATAAAATCATAAATGAGTGACAAAAGTTCCGTCAATGTCGAAACGTTTTTCCTAACGTTATCTGTCGTCTGCAGCCATATCATCATATTTTCTTTTCAAATGAGCGCAATACGCGTGACCCTTCTCGGCATACTTGATAGCACGATTTGGATCCGCCCGGATGCAGCCTGTAACCTTCTCAAATTGATATTCCAAATTGCCACAGATGGTTCTGACTGCGGTTAGTTTACTCTCGCTTAATTTTTGCTGCACTTCACTGTCACCAACGATATCCATGGCTACTTGATACAATTGTGTCGTGACGGGATCATCCACACCTATTTACAGGATGCTTCTTTCTCCGGACACGAAGAAGTTGGCCAGAGCAGGAATTGGAAGTATTTCGTCCTCTTCCAATGCTTCTTGGATATTGTGTCGCGTCAACAAAACCACATCCTTTGCAAAGTGATCGCTGGGTGTTTGTAAAGAATATGAAAACTACAGATGGGCGACGAACTTGGACGCGAGGAATTTCTATGCGATGTTCTTGATACAGAAAATAAGCAGGATCAGATATTCCTTGCACTGCTGATGGACGTTCAGACAATAGCGGATCGCTCGGCTCATGAATTCTTCGTTCATTTGTTGCACTACCACTACGATGGGCGGGAATTTGCTGTAGAAGTGCGAACTCAGTGTGTATCATACATCACAAACTGCGCCATCACTGAATGCTGTAGACGAAGTGACGTATGCGTTGTCGGGAGCACCAACGACAGATTTTATGACAAGATTTAAGATCGATTGATCTTGTAGGATGAGCTTACTGATCGTATCAGTGCCTGGACGAAACTCGGAGGGTAATTTGTATCGAAGAAGTCCTTCACTGATTTCCGTCATGACTTTCCAGAGGTAAAACTAAGACCACCCAATCCGGTACCAATCCGGTGTCAATATGGTTTGAAGAACAGAGAATAAAAGAAAAAGTCCCCAAGGGCACAAACAGGCACCGCGGTTTAGCTTAAGCTGCGATTTGACTTTGGGTTGCTGTTGGTCTCCTTTTTGTGATGGTTACTGTTTAGGTCTTTGTCGTAGACAGCTGTTGCGGAGAAACAAAAAGTCACATAAAAAATCAAAGGGCCGGTGACCGGTAGATGACGATGTTAACGATTGGGTGGTTCGGGTGGTAACGATGTCAACATCGTTAACATCGTTACCTTAACTCGTTATCTGCCAATAGATTTCAAGACTCATCACGGGCCTCGCAGCAAGGAACTGGGCACGAATTCACCCACAGTCGAATTTTTTTTTTTTTTTTGCAAAACATAGGATAGCATTTTTTTATGCATAATCAATGACGAATAAAAGGTGCTTCTATTCTCTACAATAAACAGACATTGATGGAGTGAAGTTCTTGTACAAATTGTTAAGGGATTGATGAAACGGAGGGGGGGGAAAGAAAAATAAACTAAGTAGCAAAATATGATTCAAGCAAAAGAACAAAGCGAGGGAGAGGGAAATGAATGTAAATGAAACGATGACGTTTAGGATGTAGAATGATGTTGTTTTGGGGATGATGATGGAGAAGTGGTGGAAGTAATGGCATTTGGTACCTGTGGCACGGAATCCTCCGCACCGCCGGTGGTAGATGGACTTGTCGTTGTTAAATAGGACGACGGCGTCTCGGATTCGGAGATGTTTTCTATAGCGTAGCGTACATCGCGGTAAGCTCATTGGTTCCTTCTTTTCTTCCTTAATTGAAATGAGATTGTCTTACCATGATATGTATTGTTAAGTAATTCATCCATGTTGACGAAATCAAGATTATTTGCGTCATTGTATTTGATGGGCCCGGTTAATCCAAGATGATTGACAAGTGAATCAAGCTGGTCGCCAACCGTCAGACCTTCAGGTACCGATTTGGTCAAAGAGTCCATATCAGGAACCGTTGCAGCATTACCCGAGGACGACATATTTGGCATGGATGACAGGCTGGATATCACCGAAGCGGAGGGATCATTCCACTGGTTATAGTTTATGTTTGTGTTTGTGTTTGAGCTTGGGGATGAGGAAGTAGGAACGCTGTTGAAACTCTCGTTGGTCAATTGATTGAACAAGGCAGGATTCGCTTGGGCCAAACTGATCAACGTCTGTATCCCTTGCAACTGTGAAGGATTGAGCATGGAAAATAAATCCGACGGCAATGATTGTGAAGGCTTCGAATCTAAGAGATAATCATTCAGTCATAAGCCCTTTTCTCACGCTTTCAACTTCCTTTCTCATGTGAGAAAATGTACTTACTGTTCGAGAATTTCTTGGTTTCATCATTAAGAGCAATGGCCGCCTCCAATTCAGACGATGGAGCTGTGGATGTTGATGGAGACGATGTGTTGTTGAATAACAAGGGGAGAAGATCAGAATCCGATTTGTTACTATCCTGATGACCATACTCCTCGAGATTGAATTTCGGTGATAAACGAGGTACCTTGGCTGATCGGTCCTGTTCTTCGGTATCCTGATCCACATCTTTTTCTTCCTCCTGATCCTCTTTTCTAGATCGTTTGGAATCGTTCGTTGTGCCATCACCGATAAGATAGCGTCTCTTTCTTGGAATCACATCACGCTTCTTATCGCCTGAGAACACGGATGCCAGGAATCGCAAAATTTTGTCAATGGTATCCTGATGACGTTGATGTTTGTCTCGCGACTGCAATGTTTCCTGCCACAAGACTTGATTATCGTTTTGTACTTCCCGTAATTGAGTGCTGATGGTTAATTGGTGTTTCTTGATACTGGTAATTTCGTCCATAATGTGTTGCAAGTCGACGTTGCCTGGTTCTTTTTCTTCCGCTTCCCGTCCTTTCTTTCGAGTGACGAGCAAAAGCAAATCGGGTTGATGTCGTTGAAAATGAGGGTTGCTAAACTCCCAGCGTTCTGAATTGTTTTGAGATTGCAGTACACCTTGCTGAAGATGAGGAACTTTGTGGAATCCGTACATGTTGAGTTGACGTACGAATGAGGAAAAGTTGCTGTGTTTGAAGAAGCGAGGCAATACTTGCTTTGCGAAATCTTCGTGGCGAGTGACAATAAAGGAAGTGCCGTCGGGTGACCAACGTATCAGGTCATCTGTGCTTGGATCATTGACCATGCTATTTTGATGATTAATCAATGTCACTGTTAAGTGAACCATGGGAGTGTGACGTAGGAGATGAGAAGGCGATATACTTACTTGAACAGCTTGTTGAGAAATGCTGGAACATTCTGAAGCTTGGGACGTTGGTCTGTGGATTGGGATGATGTGGTCGTGGAAACCGGTGTTGCTGGCGGTAAAGGTTGCGGTGGTAGAGCGGTGAAGGGCAGTGTCTGGTTGACAGAGACGGAGGAAAGAATGGGAGCCGTCAATGCGTTGGAAGGATTGTTCTGCATAGGCAAAGAGCCTAAAAAAGCGTTGGAAGCAGGAGCAATGGCTGCAAGACGTTTACTCATCGATGACTATGCAAAAATAAACCTCTCAACTTTGAAGTAAAATCGGGACTCTCTTTCCCACCAAAGACCAAAAAAAAAAAAAAAAGGGTCAAAAAATTGAGAACGATTTAAAGAGACAGGCCCAATGAAATCTGAAGAATTTTTAGAAAAAAAAAAAAAAAAAAAAAACAGCTTTACCTCACTCATACAGGCGGAGTTTTGAGTCTTGCAATGATTCAACTTAGTGCCAACTGATAACAAATCCTGGACAATGTTGAAATAGAAATGACTTGATGGCTTGTGTTCACAAGTAGTCTGATGGCCATTTGATTTATTATTGGATGACGTTTTGTCAACGATCTATTGTTGATACCTGTAGTTAGACATACTATTTTTTCCGTTGGTTCAATAACTTGCCCGACTATTGAGGGACCTGCAATCGCAACCGTTATTACATCAGGGGAAGACCAGTATTATAAACTTTCCAATGTAAGATGTCAAAGCAATTGCAGAATATCTTGTCACTGATAGATAGAATGAAGAAAAAAAAATTGCGTGCATGCGCATTGGCTTTTTGACAAGGACCGCACGAATTGCACTTTTCATTGGCCAATGAACTGTGACCGCTTCATATCAAAAAGTTAAGTTTATCAGATAAAGCTGCTCTACAAGCAAACGGTTATTCTCTTTGCCCCTCCCCCAATGTCAAAATCAGAACGTTTGGAAGAACAACGAAAGGCTCTTCCAACTTATGAGTATCGTCAAGAACTCATTGACGCTATTCGAGAATATAACATTCTGGTCGTGATTGGTGAAACCGGTAAGCTTGCATGGATTGTACGGTTCCATTCTGAAAATGAATTATACGGCCTAACTGTAGTTTGTTATCGTAGGTTCCGGTAAAACAACTCAAATTCCGCAATACATCTTGGAAGGACTGCCAGATGTCAAAAAGATTGGTGTCACCCAGCCAAGGTAAGTTGCTCAGACGGTTGGATTTGTCACGCATAATACTCACTCACCGTTCGGGGACGACGTCCTTACAGACGCATTGCAGCCATCACAGGTATAACTTCTATTCCAAAGACAAGTGTCCAGAATAAGATACTTACAATCATTCGTTAGTGGCGAAACGGGTCAGCGAAGAGCAGAATTGTCGCTTGGGCACCACTGTCGGTTACTCAATTCGATTCGACGATAAAACCGGTCCCGATACCCGCTTAAAGTACATGACAGACGGTGTCCTGCTCAGGGAAGCCACGCAAGATCCGTATTTGAACCAGTATTCGGTTATTATTATTGACGAAGCGCACGAACGAACCCTGGAAACCGATGTTCTTTTCGGTCTTCTGAAAAAGACCCATCGATTACGCCCCGAATTGAAGATCCTTATCATGTCGGCCACATTGGACGTTGAAAAGTTTTCAGACTTTTTTGAAGAGTGCCCCATCTTTGAAATTCCTGGAAGAAACTTCCCTGTTGAAATTATATACAACGATGATGCCTTGCGATTGTCTTCATTAAAACCGACATTTGTCGAGCGAGCCGTCGATACCGCGTGGCAAATTCACACGACTCATGCCCCAGGCGATATTCTCGTGTTCTTGACAGGGCAGCATGACATTGAACGAGCATGTCGAAGTTTCGAAGAACGGGCCAAGAGTGTTGACTATCGAAAATCAGTTCGTTACTTCAACGACGGAGAAGGCGTACGAGATGTCGCGGTGTATCCTCTGTACGCTAGTTTGGAGACGTATGAACAAAAAGCCGTTTTCGAATTACCGAGAACAGGCGTCCGCAAGGTTGTGTTTGCAACCAACGTTGCACAGGTATGAGTGGTAAACGGAGTTGAAGAAAGAGTTTTGAGCTTATACTTATGTCTGAATTGTGAGTATAGACATCCGTCACTATTCCAGGGATCCGTTATGTGGTGGATAGTGGATTTGTCAAGGAAAAATCGTATGATCCCAATACCGGTATGGATGCTTTGCTTGTCACTGAAATCAGTCAGGCTGCGGCAATCCAACGTGCCGGTCGTGCTGGCAGGTAAGAAACATGAGGCTTTTCGAAAGAGCATGTTCATTTTTATTGACCTGGTATGATCTGTATAGAACGGCTCCTGGTAAAGCCTATCGTCTGTACACCGAAGAAAGCTTCCATCGAATGTTGCCGAACACCGTACCTGAAATTCAGCGAAGCAGTCTTCTCAGTACGGTATTGGCATTGAAGAAGATGAATATCGTGGATGTCATCCATTTCGAATTCATCGATCCTCCGGATGAAACGCTGGTGAAAAACGCGCTGAAACAGCTTTATTTATTGGGCGCGATTGACGAAGTCGGTCAGTTGACACCTCTGGGCGACAAGATGAGCTATTTCCCTTTATCACCATCCTTGGCGCGCGTATTGATCAGTGCAGCTGAAGAACACGGTTGCGCGTACGAAGTACTTACGATTGCAAGCATTCTTGCTGGCGAGAATGACTTGTTTCGTGCGCCGAGTGTACGTAGCAAAGGCGGGGAACAAGCAGTAATTCGTGCTGAAGAGTGTAAACTGAGATTTGCCCACCATACAGGGGATCATATGACTTATCTGAATGTCTGGCGCGAATGGAAACGTCACGACAAGGACCGAGCGTGGTGCAGAGAACATTGGGTGAACAGTAAAATATTGGAAACCGCCGCCAGTGTGCGATCTCAGCTGCAGGATGTGATGGATAAATTGCAGTTGCCCATAAAGAAGGCGCCCAGATTAGCCCGTCGAAGCTCCAAATCCGACACGATCGATCCTGTCCCCATCCTGAAGTCATTCCTGACAGGTTACTTTACGAATATCGCCAACAAGGGCGCCAATCGAAGTGTGTTTTCCCACTACTCTCCCGACGAACACCTCATTGAAGGCATCTCTGCCGATACACTCAAATCTGGCGCCCTGGTGGCATTGCATTTACATCCTCTGTGCGCTTTCTCCGACATGTTGGACCGGAATAAGATACGCTACGCCGAGTTAGATTGGGTACTGTACACCCACGTTACATACACCAACAAGGCGGTCATGAAAGGTGTAAGCAAGATTTTATGGGACTGGGTAAAGTCTGGCCAAGGTCAGGAACGTATTCATAAACTTCCCAATACGAGATTGAACGGAGAAGACGCGCCCAACGTGAAGGAAATGGAACACAAGAAAGGAGACAAAGACGCCGCATCACTGGCAAATGAATCTCGTGAGAGCATCGCAGAGACGAAGCAAGAGAGTGCCTCGGATAAAATTAAACGGCGTGCCGAACAAATAGAGGAAATTAGACAGAGAGCTCTCTCAAGGAGAAAGTTACATAGTTAAAAAATAGAGATGCACATTTTTTCAGCCCACGTTACGGAATTGGTTATTTAGGGTCTGTTGTCGCTGTGTCTGGGCGGCAATCACATTTTTATTTCATACATGCATTGATAATTTCAAGACGTCAAATAAAATGGAAATCATTTGATCATTTTACGGTGTTAAAAGTGCTACGCACAACGTGGCATTATTTTATTAGAGGAGAATTTCAATGGGAAAAAGTAAAAATTGGGAAGAAATCCAAGCATGAAAAAAAAAAAAAAAAAATGTATTGTCGGCATTCAGCTATGAGTTGTGACGGGTGACCCCCAGCCAACAACTTGCCTGGGCAAGTTGTTATAACTTGTTCCCCTATCCCACCCCCGTTCCAACTTATAGCTGTGCCACGGGCTCGGAAGCCGGCTCGTCTGGTCGGAAGCCTACAAATGTTAGTATCATCAAAACTGCCCTACAAAAATGTTAGTACAACCAAAAGATACTGAAACACCAATCAGCGGGCACCAAGTCGTCGCCGGAAGGCAGACCAGAGCAGAGCGGCTTGAAGCCTACAAAATGTTAGTACTATCCGAGGACGGTCGGCATTGATGGTCAAAGGGTGCGTTTGGGGAAAGAAAAATGAAAAAAAGGAAAAGGGAAGAGGAGGAAGAGAAAAATTCTTTGCCGCAGCCCTCTTTTTTTGCCTCTTTTTTGTCAATGCATTCAATGGTTGAAACGCAGCCATCGAATGAAAGTTCGAAAAAGACTAACTTTGCGAGATTTGGGCGTAGAGAGACATGCCGAATTTGTATCGATGCGTAAAATTAATTCATTGGTATCCGGCAATAATGGTCAAGAAACAAGAAGTTTTGTCGCTATGAAAAGTTCATACACGTCTTCAAAAAAAAAAGACAAAAGGACAATGCATTGAAGAAGTCCAAGCGGACATTTTGTGTTGATTTAAGTCCGAAAGGCATCGAAAAGATGGATCGATCGATGGCATCCATTTGGGTTATCCTGGTCCAAGATACTGGAATCATTACTTTTGTTCAAATTTTGATCCATCCAAAACCGCCCTTTCACGACGAATCGAATCAGTACAAATTCGAAGCATCTCTGTATAAGCGCACCGGGCCGAGTTACGGTTTTTCGTTTTATTTTTATATGCCAACCATTAGGCTATGGCTAATGCGCCTATAGTAATGACATATACAATTAAGAAAACGATACTTTATCTTTTTTGAGTACCCTGATCAAGTCATAGGATAAACCAAATCAACAAGCAGGCCACGCGCACTCGGGGATCCTCGGGAGTTGCCACCTTTGAATTATGCAGTTACTGATTCCAGGGCTCGGTTACTGAAATTTAATGCAAACAGTTTTTTGTCTGACATCTCGTTCTTTCTATATGAACCTGCCATCAGTTAAAAATGTTGTACTTGCTTGCCCTCTCAGAGCCCTCGATCTGGTAAATGATGTCAATAAAGTATTGTCCATTGCCCAAAGAGTAACTGGAATAATACTCAAAGCGAAAGATATGTACCTGGGGCTGAAGAAGTCGAAAAACTCCGTTGTTTGGATCGCAGCCGGCACCATTTCCGAACGCATAGCCAAAGTTGAGCCGCTCATACGCACAGGTTTGATGACTCAAAATAGATTTGCAAAGCCAATGGTATTATCAACCTTGAGTTTTGGGGACACTATCGCTCCGGGTCTTGGCAAAAACTTTCAATAACAATGAAAAACAATGCTCATTGGCAATGTAAATCGGGATAATGAAGAATAAATTTCGAACAGTCGTGAAATTTGTCTAGAAATGCTTTGTGTATTCATATTGGAATCAGTGCATTTATTGAGACCAAAAATTGTTTCATCACTTACTATGTTTTTTGACACCGATTAATTGTTTTTAAACAACAGCATTGGGAATTGAAGAGTAGAGCCGCTTTTTCTTTTTGGGCGTTGTCTAAACTCATTGTACTCAGTAAAGGTACTGAACAATGTTTGCCGCATACGCAAGCATGGCGATATGAAACGAACATGGAGTTCACAATATATTATTGAAAACAGCTGCCAATGTCCCTAGTCCATTGTCGATGAACAACACCGCAAATTAGCGTCTCAGGTTGTAAATCCGATAATGTGGATCCCATTCCGACCTTGAAACTTTCTTGACAGGTTATTCATAAAGATCGTAAACAAGGTGCCATCGGAGCGTATTCTCCCATACCCAGCTGACAAATACATCACTGAAGGCACTCCTGCTGATGCATTGCAGCCAGGCCGCTTCCTGCGCCACGTTGAGACGGAACAAGAGCCGTTACACAGAATTAGATGAGTGATTTTGCGCTCATGTTACATGCGCTAACGATGGCTAAGCATGAAAAGATAGGAACAAGGTTTTATGGGACTCGGTCAATTTTCGCTCCGAAGGGAAACAGAACCATCCACTCTCCAGTATAAGGTTTAAGGGAGAAGACGCACCCAGTGTGGAGTCTATGGAACGTGACCAAAGGAGGCAAGGAGTCCGCTGTTAGGATAAATGATTTGCAAGCATTGAAAAGAAAATAAACAAGGATACGGCCTCGGAGAAAGTTAAATGCCGTGCCGAAGCGGGATGCAGAAAATTAAAACGTTTTTCAATCAAGATAGAGAAATTAACTGTCCGCCAAACAAGTGCGAGGATCAAAGGCTGATGGATCGGAGCTCGATTTGCGTCATGATCGCATTGAGGGTCTCCGATCTGTCCCACTTTCTCCGACATGCTCAACCACTTTGATCATACTCTTCCCCTATTGTTCGCTGACCCTGCAAATCTTACTCCATGGTCGGGGCAATTTAGCCGATTTTATATTTATTTTATTGCAGATAAAGGAGTATAAAAGCGCGCGAATTAAATCAGTTTGAGAACGTTTTATCAGTTTTTTACCCACCTCTTTCTTTTAATTATGCAACATCGTTTCTCAGTATGGGCAGCGATAGCATTGTCGTTGTCGTCTTGCGTTCAGTTTGCTGCGACGGCAGATAACCCTTTGACATCTCCTTTCGATCTCGTGCCTGATTTTCGCACGCCCAAAAACTTTGCATTTGTAGCCACTACCGGTGGTTCATCTCACGTCAACTGGGTGCTTTCCATCATGAATGATCTGGGCAACCGAGGACACAACGTTACATTTTTCACAGAGGTGGGTGCATTATCTATTGCGCCAACGATCCCTGATTTGAACTGACAGCAGTACAGGACGACCATATAAAATTTGCCAAGCCTTATCCCAATATCAATGTGGTCTCCTTTGGTCCTCCCAAGTTCAACCCAAAGGAGTTTATACAAGAGACCTCGCATTTGGATCCCATCATGATGGCCCAAATTGTCATTGGAGCTTTTTCAGGCGTCTACGAGCCAGGTATGGCATAATGAAAAAAAACACGTGTAATGCATCGATATCTGATCCATGCCATAATAGAATACCGAACTTATAATGATTTGTTTGCAACGCAGCTTTACGACGTCGTTGTGTGTGATCACTTTGCCTCACCGTGTCAGGATGCCGCGAGATCCAACAACATTCCTTTCGTTGTGACCATGTCATCTGCTTTGACCCCGGACGCTTCCGCTCCTTACATCAATAACGATCCTTTCACTATAGCTGAAGGAGGCAGCCTTCAAATGTCGTTTATCCGTCGGTTTTATGTCAAGTTTATTCTTCCTTTGCGTGTGTACTGGAACATGAGTCCGGTCATCAAAGATCTCCAAAAAACAAAGGATGCTTTGAAAGTCAAGCCTTACGACCCTATGAATCCATGGAAAGATTCACTGAAACTTATCAACAACGTATTTGGCATCGAATCACCGCGCCCCATGGGCTCTCTTGTAGAGCTGGTTGGCCCTATCATTCCTAAACGCCATAACGGTTTGACTCCGGAGCTGCTTGATTTCCTGAATTCTCATCAACGTGTCGCTTATGTTGCTTTTGGTCAACATGCCATTCCGTCAAAGGAAGATGTGCAAACTGTCCTGACTGCCTTGACGGAAGCAATGGAGGATGGCGTATTGGATGGATTTGTCTGGTCTACGGTTGTGTCGGGAGATCGGTTCCCGTCAAGTATCACCACATCGCGTAATACGACGTTTAGCATGGACGACATGGCCCGTCAAGCCCATCCTCACGCTTGGCTGATGAAATGGTGTCCTCAGGTAGCCTTGTTGCAGCATCCGTCCACCGTTATGTTTGTTTCTCATGGCGGCTTGGGATCTTTGCATGAGTCCTTGTATGCTGGCAAGCGTTTGCTGGTGTACCCTTTCTTTGGTGATCAGCCTAGCAATGGTCTTCAAGCAAAATACACTGGCTACGGAGACGTTTTGGATTACAGACAGCCCCAGCATGTGAACAATGAATTGTTGAAGCGTGTTGCCGCCGATGTCGACGGTTCCATTCAGAGAACGGTGGAGCGTTACCAGGCTTTAGTGCAAATCCACTCGGAACGCGGTATTCAGCGAGGTGCCGATCTATTGGAAGAAGTTGCCTTTGTTCACCAGAATGGCCTGTTACCTCATCGCTATGAAGACGCACGACAGATGTCCTGGATCAAAGCGAACAACATCGATCTGTATGGCGTCTTGTTTTTATGCTTTGCTGCCACTATCATGGGCTTGCGTCAGGCTTTCCTTGCCATTACCCACAAGCCATTGGTGTCAGTCGCAAAAGCCAAAACGCTTTGAGACGCCGAACAAATAAATCGCTCACGGTAGGGATTATTCACCCATTATTTGTTTGGCTGTCAAAAAGGCAAGACAAATGAATTAAACAAGATTTTATGCTCCGATCGGTCGGTAGGCGGTGGTTGGTTGTGAATTAATTTTCGATTCACACAGCCAAGTTCCCATGAATGAAATAGCTTTCTACTTGTATGTCATACCCTACCTATTGGCTTTACTTGCATAGACTACTTCTATCACTGTAAAATATATTGTATAGTTTTCTTTTGCAGCTTACTTGTCTTACAACGTGGTATAAAATTGACGAGGGGAAAGAAGTAAAACTTACTCACTTTATTCCCGGAACCTATTGTTTCGTATAGATAAGGTACAAGGATACCTTCTTCGACACGATAGCATCAATAGACTATCCTATAAAGGCAAAAATAAGAATGATAAGCAATGGTAATGGCGATACAGAAAGATAAATGATAATTTATCACAGGAAAGAGGACGAAGAACTGCGCAAAAATCATGGAACAGCCCTATCATTAAAAACCAGTCACGTTTCCTTGGACACTCGTTTCATGTCAGATCGTGTGTTCAGTGCTCCCGCTCCGTAGGTAAAAAAAAAAAAAAAAAATTGGTGAAAAATAAGGTTTCTCTTGGTTTCTCTTTCCTTTTTATATTTTTTTCAGATTGTTCATGAAGCAGTATGCCGTCTACTGCTTCGTTTGCAGCATATGATCATGATCCGTTATCACTGACAGTCTCCCCGATTATGGCTTCCGTGGTATTCGACGATTACTCTACTTACTTTTCTCGAAGAAACACTACCATGCTCGCTCAAACCTCCCCATCTTCACCTATTCCTTTTTCAATGCACGATAATAATACAACCACCATCCCAAGCGACACAGAGGATGATCCATTAATAGGGTCAAATGCATCACTGCAAGCGCTCTCAGAAGAACGACTACATCACTTAAGGCGAAGGGTACGCACGTATCATCCAGACGAAACCAATGCGGTAGAACTCGCTAGAAGCACTGGGTATGCTAGAGAACTGGTGCGAGCGAGAGACTCGAGACGAACCCGTTCAAGAGACATTCACCACAGAGACGCTCCACTTCAAAGTCCTGGCACCCCACCTCAGCCTCCATTACACGCCGAATCCTTCTTTGCATTTCTATCTCAAAATTATCATTGCAACTCTGAGCGGTCCAACTGTATTGAAAAGCTGTGCGATTCGTATTATCGTACACCGTTAAAGTTTAAAGTCGTCTTTGACGATGGCGGTCAATACAGGTAGATGTTTAACTGTTTTATGCACCTGATACGCTTTCAATGGATGGAATTAAAACGCCGCTTGATTTTATTTTTTTAGTTCCCTGTATGGCGTCGAAAACATACTACGTAATGATGAATCAGTCTACTGGTACGGAAATTGGGATTGTTTCAGATGAACCCGAGGCTGACGAGCATGATTTTTTGTTGTGGTTCCAACAGTTCGGAACGGCATGGACCTGTGAACATACTGTTGGGTTTTTGTGGCGATAACGAAAGCATGGTTGACATGGACAAAAGCTGCGTCATATCTCAAATTTTGATCCAGTCGCCGCAGCACGGGTAAGGAGGTTCCGAACTAATCACAGTTTATCCATACTAACCACCCGTTTCTCTACAGATTCACCGCACCATGTGAGCTGTTAATGTTTGCTTTTTTATACCCATCGTCGTACTAATGTTGTAATTGCATAACTGCGCACAGGTAAAGAAGGGCTCGTTTTCGTATCTCACCATCCCATTGATATATCAGGTAAGTTAACCGATTTATTGAATCATTGTATCATAACGGTCAAACTGATGGGGGATTGATGATTATTACAAAGACACCGAGAGATTCGATGATTTCACAAAGGAAGATTATGAAGAATATATTAGCACTCATAAGGATGATGGATCCGACGATGTGTATCCGTCAGCTTGGTTTACCATATCGGACGACAATCAAGTGATTGTCGATCTTAATTCGAGGTACGCCTTTCGGGGATCACCAAATATTTACCACGAAATGCTTATAATATTGTCACACTAGATCGGGAAGATTTGTATTGTTCAAGCTTTTGCGAGCGAATGATTCCGCCGACAACATTGATATCCAATACATTGGATTGATTGGTTATTCTGGGCCACGTGCTTTTGGCAGCGCTCGTTTGATTTAAAAAAAATTAATTCAAAACGCACGTTATATCCATCGCCTTTATTTATGTACCGCTTACTATTCTAATGTTATTTTAACATGTGCTTGTCTTTTTTCTTGTGTAACCTAATGAACAAATCATTTAGTCAACCCCACTTTGTCTCTCATCATCTGCTGAAAAGTCTCGTACCGACGGCAGACGGATGTATCGGGATCGTCACCATGGCGTATGGCTTATTTACTTTTCCGTCGCTTTTTAGCTCTATGTTTTATCTTTTGTTTCCGGTGCGTCAAAGTTTTTGATACGGTAAATGACTCGCGCAGTTGTGTTGTTTCTATAAATCGCGCGCGTAAGAAGGTTCAAATTATTAAAATTAAACCAAAAACTGGAGCCATCTTTGGCTTGCTTACCTTGCAACTGTTTTGCCTTGGCGATCTTGGCATCATCACCGCTATTGAGCATGCTGTTGATTAAACTCTGCAAGATATTATCACTATCAATTGATGAGCGAAAACCACGGATGAGTGACAAGGGGGTTTTTTTTTCGTACTGGTTCTGGCGACTCACTTTAGCTTGCGCTCCTCTTCTGTTTCTTCTTCCTCTCTCAGGTTGACGGTATCATGTTCGGAATTCGGTGAAGCTAAGCCAAAATGGCTCAAGTCGAAGCCTTCCAAGAATCGTTGATCTTCGGTATCTCGAAATCGTAGCTTATTCAATCTCCTCAACTCTCTTTCCTCTTGTTCCAGTTCTTCTTGCACTTCTTCCAATTCCTCGAAACTCAGTTCGAAATCCGGATCCTCCTTGACATAGTCGCCTGATAAAGTCACTGAGCTAACAAGGACATATCAACGAAATGATCATGAATAGTATGCGGGGCACCACTTACTGGACACCACGTACGGTAAGTATCGCTTCATCATCTTCTGCAAATCGAATATCCAATGGCTGTTCCGTAAGCTAAGACAAAAAAGGATGATATGGAGAAAAATGAGCGACATGATCTGCGCAGTTTTTTTAGCGATACCCCGTACATTATTGGACAACGAACAGAGTGTGTACCGTTTTTCCTTGACGTCAGCTATAAGCGACGTTCTTCCCGGAGTGGCGTCTCCTGAAACGGTTGCCTAGATCCATAGAGCTGATCAATGAACATCGCGAAGAGCGTTGTGTATCAATTATGCTAGAAAAGCAAGTGGCGATGGAATACCATTTTCAAGTGCAGGACCCCATCGAGCAGTATCGGGTGAGGTTCCCTTGGAGTTAGCGTCACGGCTTTATGATAAAAGAAAAAACTGAATATACAAGTGGAGACCCTGACTGTTGTTCGTGCTTACTCCAGGAACTGGATGTGGGCATTCAGCTGTAGACCAAAAGGGGAAAAAGGCGTGGGTGAAAAAAATCTCAGTTGACCGTGAAATCGAATCCAGCCAACGCGAAAAGAGTCACGTGCAACCCCGCGGACAACGAACAGACCAGTGGGAAAGGTTGAACGATTATGGGCAACTGTGTGTGCCAGGTGGGGTCGTTCATTGATTTTCCGGCTTTGCTTGTCATTGCGAGATTCGGTCGAATTACTGCAAGCAAGCGCCTGGATAAAATATCCGCCAACCATATTATACCTTTTTTTCTTCGATATCGTCACTGTTATATGAACTTCCCCAATTCATCCATCTAAATGACAACAAAACCACGAGGACGTACAGGGGGAAGGCGAGGTCGACCTCCCAAGAGACGCATTATTACAACCAGCCACGAACCTGAATCGCCAGAACCACCAAGAGTCAATGCCACCCATCTCAACCTACCCCAGCCTTCTCATGACACGGTGAAGCCACGAGAAGAGCAATCTTACAAGGATTATTTTCCTGATCTGAATATCAAGGAAGCCTTGCTAGTGATCACTATTCCGGACAACAACGACGCGTCTGCCGATGCAGTCGCCCATCGCGAACCTGACCATGAACCATCGGACGTCAATGCATCAGTGCAACTTCAAAACGGAACAGAGTCAACCCCAATAAATCTTGTGCAACAAGACAATACGCGTTCTACGCGTGTCAATCAAGATCGTCCGCTGCCACGAGTAATAGAACGTATAGCCGTGATAACAGACAGGGGTGACGAAAGTGGAGTGAATTCCGAAGCTGAAGGCACCTCGGAGCTTTCTTTTGCCACCACGGAAGAAACCGACGACGAGCAGCGATCGATCGGCTATGACGACTTGAAAAAGAATGAAGCTTTGCAGTCAACGCATCCCATTATCGAACATCAAAAAGAAGGCGATTCCTATCAAGCGCTGTCAACTCGACCGCAACCTCATCCAGCACTCATCGATACGGTTCCGCCGCCTAGTACTCGATCGCGCAATTCCATCGTCAACGATGTCAATGTCAATCTGCTACCCAAACCGTCATTCCACAAATGTGTAGACGAAGACGAAGAACAGACAACGAGCAAACCGGATGATAATGCCGGTGCGACAGAAGAACCGGCGACAACAAAAGGCTTTCTTCGTCCTGAAAATCACTACATTCGATATATTGGTAAGCAACAAAGTGGACAATGCATCAAAAAAGACGGTCAATTTAATGCATGTTGCAAAAGAACCATCAGAGAGCGAGCTATTTGCGACTGTGGAATATGACATGGATGAGCAAGGTAACTTGTTGAGAAATACGTGATTCATGGCACAACTATGTTGAAACGAAGCAATTCTTCACAGATGAGGCATGGTTACAAATGCTGAACGAAGAACGTCGAGAGGAAAATTTGGGAGAAGTGCCGAATGATCTGTTTGAACACATCATTGACCAGCTTGAGAAAGAGTGGTTTGATCTGGTAAATAAGGAGAATGGACAGGGCCTGTAATGATTGTAAGACTGATTCGCTTTCGCAGATAAAAAACCTACCCAAACCGGGAAGTGACGAACCCATGCTCCCTGAAGACTCGGCTTGTGCTATTTGCGATGACGGCGAGTGTGAAAACAGCAACGCCATTGTTTTTTGTGATGGATGTAATATGGCGGTCCACCAAGGTAATGAAAGAGTCTGCCCAAAAAAAAAATAAGGCTTACAGCCGAATCACTAAACCATCATGATCAGACTGTTATGGTATACCCTACATTCCAGAAGGACAGTGGCTGTGTCGAAAGTGCATGGTATCTCCAGAGAATCCTGTCTCTTGTCTTTTCTGTCCGAATGAAGGCGGTGCCTTTAAGCAAACCAATACGAACAAGTGGGGTCACTTACTATGTGCTATCTGGATTCCCGAAGTCGGGTTGAGCAACAGTGTATACATGGAGCCGATCGACAATATTGAAAATATCCCAAAAAGCCGATGGAAACTAACGTGCTACATCTGTCGCAAACGCCAAGGTGCCTGCATCCAATGCGACAACAAGCATTGCTTCGTGGCGTTTCATGCCACATGTGCTCGCTGGGTCCGTCTGTGCATGCGCATGAAATCTCATAGTTCGCATTACGATAGTGTAGTCCTGAAAGCCTATTGTGATAAGCATACCCCACGTGATTACAGAGAACAGGTGGACGTCGAGCGCAACGTTCTTGCGGCACATGCATTCTTTTCGCGTAAAAGAGGTGCCCAATCCATGCCACGTCGACGGTATATCGATGAAGAATTTGATGATCTCAATACCCTCTTTCATCAAGACAATGAAGGAGAATCAGAGGAAGAGGAGTCTGACGATGAAGATCACCGAAGAAAGAAACGTCGCAAGAAGAATCACCGTTCCATAAACACCGTGGACCAGTTGCTTCCCAGTTCCAAAGCCGCCCGTGCCCATCAGCATCAGTATTCTTCCGGGGCTCCTATTGCTCCTGAGTACTTGCTGAATAAACTGGAAAATTTAAAATGTGTGCGGCAAGCCAGTCATCTTCGCAAGAAATCGCAACTCATTACCAGCATTTGTCGCTACTGGTCTCTGAAACGTGAATCACGACGAGGGGCTCCCTTATTGAAGCGATTGCACTTGGAGGTAATCCCACGTTCACCGATGTTCATCTTTTTTTTTTTACCTCACATAGTTTTCTCACCTGTTTTGGTCATCATTTTTTCTAGCCATGGACCGCTTCTTCGACGCAGCACAAACAGAACGAGGTCGAAAAGGCCCAACGAGCTTCTGTAAGAACCAGCAACCATGAGTCTGTAAAACTATGATCACTGACGCTCTTATTACAAATAGACCATGATGGCGTTGCGAGCGGATCTTGAGAAAGTACGCATGTTATCGGAACAGGTGCAGAAGCGCGAAAAGCAAAAATTGGATCAGTTGCGGAAACAGAAAGCATATATGGAAATGATTTTGTTTCCGGTTGAATACATTGCCAAGCCTATCATCGAACAGCTCATGGAGTAAGTTTCCATCACATAGAATAATGGAATACGGAAAAAAAATGTCTAACTTGCGGCTGGTAGATTGGATAAGAACGATCTGTTCAGATATCCCGTGACTCCAGAACTCGCTTCTGACTACCGCGATATCATCGAACATCCCATGTCATTTTCTGATATTTGCGAGCGAATTCTTGCTCATGAATACACGGAATTGAAGGAAATTGAGGTAAAAAGCAAGCCAAAGTCCATGTTTTCAAAGTGATTGAATGTATGCTCATTTTTGTGATTATTTTTGACAGCACGATCTCCAGTTGATCTGGAAGAATAGCATGACATACAACAAGCCCGAAACCCCATACTATCGCTTAGCTCAGCGATTAGAAAAGTATGCCAATGAATGGATGAAAAAGGCATATGAAGATTTCGATGGTTTAATCACTACCAAGGAAGCCGGCATTCTGGCAGTGGATATTAATCCTGAGATTTTCGCCTACAACAATCACTTGATACCAACCGCTGAGCAAGTAGCGGCACAGAAACAGAAGGAAGAAGAGGAGCGACGAAAAGAGGAAGAAGAAGCCAGGCTGGCAGAAGAAAAAGCGAAACAAGAGCAGAGGAAAGCAGAGATTATTGCGCGGGCATCGGAAGCAAGGCGAAGGACGATGGAGCAAAAGAGAATACAAAAGGAAAAGACAAGATTGAAAAAACAACTTGCAGCGTCCATGCGAAAGAAACGACCAGTGGCTGTGAAGAATGAGCAAGTAGAGAAAGAAAATAAGCCTCATAATATTTTACGGAACGGCTCACTACGTAAGCGCATCGACCAACAGAACGCAAGGGACAGACGAAGTAGATCTGCGACGCGTCAGCTGCAAACGCGTTCAGGTTCATCACCCGAAAGTGCAGATCAAGCGAAAAAATTACGATCTCATAACAATGAGTCCAATGAGACAGCGCCTGCAACCACCGTCAAACGGCGTCGAGGTTCTGTGGATGGTTCAACGTCCGTGCCGAAAAAATTGTCCCGTTCATTATCATCAGACAAAAACAACGAACCATTGTCGCAAGAAAATAAACGAAGTCGTACCGTTGCACCTGGCAAAACCACCCATGCGAAACGAGGACGACCCAGAAAATTCAAAGCAAACGACTTTGTCTGGGCCCGCGTAAGAGGATTTCCAGCTCATCCTGCTCGAGTATGTATTTACCGCTTGTGCATGCATTGGATTACCAGAAATGACTTACCGGCATGTTCTTAGGTTATTGATGTGAATGATGACACGGTTCCATCCAACGTCCAACGGAAGAAAAACGACAACAGTCAAGTACTCGTGCAGTTCTTTGAGGTGCCTGCTAGACATCAATGGTATGTTCCCTATTTTATCATTTTATTAAAAGCGGTAAAGCAGTTGACTAAATACGCGGTTCACAGGGGGTGGATGAAGCAATCGGATCTTCACGAGTTTGGTGATTCGGCTGTGGATATCGAAATGCTGACCCAAGCAAAAAGGTCGAAACGCAAAGTACGCATTGAAGAGATCGTCCGAGGGTATCGATATGCATGCAAACTCAAGGGAGAAAACGCCAATGCACAATTGAATCAAGTTTTCTGATCCCTGTCACAAAAAAATACCTATCCATCATCTTCAACATCTAGGAACAATTGGTAAAAAGAAAAAAGCTCCTTTCATGTTTGTATATATCCCATATCCCACGCACATACACACTTCCATCTTCAATCATTTGTCCAAACACATGTTCATCTACAACACACACACACACACGCTTTTCGGTATCGAATCAACATATACACATCCTATGCAAAGATCATAACATCACATTCGGTCTATTTTCTCCCGTGTTTATCCTCATCGCAATAAAACGACCTTTGTCTCTTTACCACAGCTGATTACGGATTCAAAAGGAAATTGATCTACACGACTTGGGCAATCTTGTCTATGTTTTTCCTTTACGAAGTATCCAAAAATGCTTTTAATCTTTGCATATAGCCTTGCTCCCGCATTTTGATCGTGTCGATCGCCCGATTGTGGGTTCCCATTTGTTCTGTTGTCACTGATCCTGGCAATTCGCTCATTGGATGTTTTCAGCTCCGATGGACGCAAATTTTAGTCCAAATTCCTGGAGGCGAAAAAAAAAAGAGACAAAGAGTTGATAAGCACGATCAACAAGGGTTCAATGTTCTCCCCTTCCGTCAAACGCTTCATTTCTCGTACGATCCCGTCGGCCGCTCAAAGACACTATGCTTCAACCTCGGCTTCCACCGGTGGTGCGGCATTTCAAGTGTTTAATCGCGACGTAAAAAGACGACAGAAGGATCGTGCCGCCATGCAAGTAGAGGAAAGTCGTACAGTGGACTATCTAAAGGACGTAGTAGCCGGTCGTGTAGCCGATCGCTTACTCGTAAGTCAACTTGTATTAGCTCGCATGGCGATCTGTGAGCCATCCTATTAGATTTCAAAACTGATCACCTTGATTAGGACATCAAACGCGAATTCGGTGCCGTAGTTGATTTAGGATCGGGTTGTGGACATATTGTCAAACATGTGGATTCAGATATGATGCAGAAACTTATTATGTGTGATATGTCAGGTATTTCGAATAGTAGCCAACATCGTGGGATCCATTTTGTCTGTATTAACCACGTGATGCTGTTCTTGCAGAAAAATCTCTATTGCGTGATGTAGATGTGCCATATGAAGGTAGTGTTGCAACGGACGAGCGTACGAGAAAGGATGATATTAACAGATATGATTCGATGGGTTTGATAGTGGAAGTGGAACGAAAGGTGGTTGATGAAGAACATTTACCATTTGAGGAAGACTCGATTGAAGCAGTAGTGAGCAGTCTGTCACTGAACTGGGTCAACGATCTGCCCGGTAAGTCTTTTTTTCATACAAGTTGGTGGAACCAAAGAGGGAAAGAAGATAATAGCATGCTCATGGTTGATTAATTTCTCAGGTGCTTTGATTCAAATTCGAAGGGCCTTGAAACCGGATGGTGTATTTATTGGCGCTATGTTTGGTGGCGATACATTGTTTGAGCTGAGGTAAGAGGTTCTAAACCATGTTGTCCAATGCAATTTCTAATGACGGTTGCAGAACTTCGCTGCAATTGGCTGAAGTAGAAAGAGAAAGCGGTATTTCTCCTCGTGTATCTCCCATGACTGGTAGGCAGCCCAAAGAAAGAAAAGGGGAAAAAAGGGTTCCTCAAGATCTGAAACACTTTTGGTTAGATTCAAGTGATGTATCGCGTCTTTTGTCGCGAGCAGGTTTTACTTTGACAACTGTGGATGTGGACGAAATTCAAGTCAATTACCCTTCAGCCTTTGAGCTCATGCAAGACTTGCGATCAATGGGCGAAAGTAATGCCGTGCTGTCAAGGTAAAAAAAAAAAAAAAAAAAAAAAAAAAAAAAAAAAAAAAAAAAAAGCTTTTCAATAGGACGGTTGGATGGGGATTTTGCTTTGCTTGGAATAATAATTCACCCTGTCCATCCCTTTTTTTTTCCCAGACGACCCTTTTTAAAACGTGACACATTGCTTGCGGCAGCTTCTATTTACAAAGGTATTTTTGTAAATGTTTTCCCGATATGGAGACGATTAACTTTTATGGTCTTGCTCATGTAGAACTTCACGGAAATCCCGATGGAACGATTCCAGCTACATTTCAAGTCATCTACATGGTATGTGTCGCTTAGTTTATCAAAGAGAGAAAGGGTCACTCGCGATACTGAATGAAACTGTGTTTATTAGATCGGTTGGAAACCATCCGCTACAACACCACTACCGAAAAAACGTGGTTCAGCAAATGTATCAATGAAAGATGTCTTGGAAAACTAGATGAGAAATAAAAGAAGAAAAAAAGCTCCGTGCATGAACAGTTGATGTCATACAACGTGATCAAGGATTCTGAGATGTTATGGAGAAAAAGACATCAAAATGGATGAAAATTCCCCATTTCAAGAAAGTTGCACTGCCAAGAATTAATTCGGTAAGCAGGATTTCATCATGAACCTTTTTTTCTTTTCATTTTTCTGCCAGAGTTCATTCATGTAACGTATCATCATTGCTTTTTCTGTTTCGTCTGTTTTTCCTGCCATTTCCCATTGTATTCGCGCTGCACGATTGAGTACAACAAACAAACTACGGCATTCCGTGGAACGACCATCGCGCTGGATGTGGGTTCTGTTTGTTGCCGCAATAACATGAAGAAATACTGATATGTGTAATTGTATCTGCTGATCGGTTTAACAGATCAATGTTTTTTTTTCTGCCCAATCTTCATCCATCAGGGCGCCAGTCTGGGATACAGAACTACCGCGCTGGATTTTTCAGAGACTGAGGATGTGTCATTTGTGTCCTTTTTAATTAGCGTTGCCGAAGCTGTTGAAACAAAAACCAGAGCCGGGAAAAACGATCAAAATGGACGGTGGCATACTAGAATGCAGGTGGATCATGTGGCCTGGGAGTGATTAGTGCATGTGGCTGAGATGAAACGGACTTGCCAACCAAAAAAATATGGCTTGTTTGATTCAATGATTCTCTCGATCGGTGCAGAGGGGGGGTGCGATGGACGAGCAATGTTATGTTTGTTTGTCTGACAGAACTAACTCGTTTCTCCACTTACTGATTATGGGACGACCTCGGTCTCGGTTGAGCGTCATTTTATTTTTTCTTTATTTATTTCCGTTCTATTCAGATCTGTAGAGTTCTTTTATTTTTTATTTTTTATTTTTATTTTATTTTTTAATCTTTCAAACAAGTTTTATAAAAGTTATATTGGTTTGACCCTTTGATTTTTCCTTTCTCGAGCCCTTGGACCTCTGCACTGGATTGTCTTCTTTCTTTTCACTGTCGTCCGCTTAAGATTTGAAGCCACATTCCGTTGTAACAAAAGCAATTTTTCTCCTTTTTCTGTCCTATCTTGCCTTTTTTCTTATCGAGGACACCCTCAAGCGAACGAAAAACCCAATTTTACATTCAATTCCCACCAAGTCAGATCAAAAAACAGTGAATTCCTTCTGTTTGCTTTCAGGATGCTCTTTAACGTGTTGGTGCTTACTGCAAGCGTGGCATGTACACTTGTATCGGCCGGTGATCACCGTTTACTCAATGACTCGAGTACACCCAAAACATGCAACAGTCCCATCTATTGCGACGGCCCGCTACTGAAAACGGTCCAAATGGCGCGTCTTTTTGAAGATTCTAAAACCTTTGTAGATATGGTAAGGCACTCTCTCCTGGGGAGGAAAGAATTTTTGGATCTTTCCCCCACTAGTCCTAGTTGCAATTCCTAGGAACAGTGGGAAAAAAAAAAAAAAAAAAAAAAAAAAAAAAAAAAAAAAAAACTGGTCAAAACGCACCGCCACCAGCAGAACGCTAACCGACAATTTTTACTTTTAAACCTAGCCAACCTCCAAGCCGGTAGACCAGGTCCTGGCAGCCTTTGAGGCGATCGGCGGTGAAAACGCCGATAAGGAATCCATCGGTCGATTCGTGCATGATAACTTTCAGCGAGCCGGTGCCGAATTGGTGCAAGTGCAATCTTCGGTACAACAACCTTTAGCATGGTTGGACAAGGTCGACGATTTAAAGTACCGCGGATGGATCGAACGGTTGCACGGAGCGTGGGCTAATCTGACCTTTGAGTTCGATACATCGGAATTGTGTGACGGATGTGCTTCCAGCACCCTCCCCGTTAAACGACCGTTTGTGGTTCCAGGCGGACGCTTCCGTGAATTTTACTATTGGTAAGGGAGACAGAGAAAAAAGAAATTCCATCTTGACCCCCACCCTAAAAAACCAGCCACCCGGTTTTCACAGGGATAGCTTTTTTGTCATCAAGGGACTCCTATTAAGCGATCTAGACCATTTGGCCAAGAATATGATTGAGAATTTCCTCGATTTCGTTGACATAGTGGGATTTATGCGTAAGTTTTTCATTAATTCTTTTCAGCTCCGTTTGCGATCATGAGCAAGTCGAGTCCAAAATCAGGTAAAAAGAAAAAAAAAACTCACTTACGAAACATCTTTCGGTAGCCAATGGAGCGCGCATCTACTACCTGAACCGATCCCAGCCACCCTTTTTGACGGAAATGGTCAAAATATACTATGAAAAGACCAAAGACAAGGACTTTATGCGACGTGCATTGCCGATTCTCGATAAAGAGTACAATTTCTGGATGAAAAACACAACCGTGACGATTCGCGATCAGAAAACCGGCAAAAACTATCAACTAAACCGATACAATGTAGAGAACCATTTCCCACGCCCTGAATCCTACTTTGAGGATTACCAAACCGCACACAACGGCACCAACTTGACTGAAACCCAAATCATTGATCTCTTCTCTAATCTGGCAACGGGCGCTGAAACCGGGTGGGATTACTCGTCACGTTGGACTCGTATAAAAGAACTGCCCCATGATCATGAAAGGCATTCTTACGACGTTTTGCGATCATTGGATACGCGAAATATTGTACCTATTGAATTGAACGCCTTGTTATGGAGTATGGAGAACACGTTAGCGGAATGGCATCTCGAATTCAACTCTGCTCATGGCCGTGCCACCAAGAAGAGTAAATGGTACGCTCGTCAAGCAAGCAAACGTCTGGATGCCATCGATAAGCTTCACTGGAATCAAGAGAATTACACGTTTTATGACTATAATCTGACAAGTCATCGCCAAAGTATAGAATTCACACCCGCAAGCATGTATCCTTTCTGGTAAGCTGGCCCGTGAAACTACAAAAAAAAAGGGCCTAGGTTGATTTTGGATGATTCCTTCATAGGTTGGGAGCCATACCAGAACGCGTGAAAGCACCATCGACACTACGTCATGTGTTCGATGTCATTCGTGATGCACTTGAACAATATCCGGGTATTCTCACCACATCCTTCTTTGACTCTAGCATGCAATGGGATTGGCCAAACGGTTGGCCACCACTTCAATATATCACCTTGCAGGCCATGATCGCTGTGAATGACCTACTGGCGCCGGAAGACACAAAGCTTTTGGATTTGGCTCACACCTTGGCAGAACGCAATGCTGCCACCGCTTTTTGTTCTTGGTACAAGACCGGTGGTACTATTCCTGGGATCTTAGCCAAAGCGCCCAATACGACGGACAATGGCCACATGTTCGAGAAATTTGATGTTCGTTTCCTCGGCGGCGCAGGATCTGGAGGAGAATGTAATGTATTCTAACCTACGCTCTTTTTTTCATTACATTATCAACTCACACTTTACAAAATTCTGTAGATACGGTTCAAGTAGGTTTTGGTTGGACCAACGGTATTACTTTGTGGATCTTTGATACGTTCCGGAATCTGACAGCACCTGACTGCAACTCGGCATATTCCTATAATGTGTAATTTTTAGATTTACATCAATCATTCAAAACTGTTTTAACTTAAAAGGAAAAAATCCTTGTATTGTACAACAAAGCATCTTTATAACACTTCATTCATGACAATCATCTGTTTTTACTTTTTTTTCCGTACTTGTTCGCTCTGCTTCCTTTTTATCCTATCATTTCTCATCTTAGTAGATTATTAATCAAACGATCTCCAAAGTACTCCAGGAAGAAAGTGAGCAATGCTTTTTTATATCAATATTGTATGATGGTAGATTTATAAGGTGGCATGCGGGGAAGTGGTTTGGAAATGCACTTGATGGTTTTTTTTTTTTTGCACTGTCCCTGATGGTTTTGCAACCCGCCAATCCCGGTTGCCATTTGTGGATGTGACTGTTTTATAGCTGCCAATGAGGCCCGACTCGCGAAAAAAAAAAATTGTTCAAAGCAGAAATTTTTCAGTCGAAAACTGATCCTTCGTCTGCAATCTCGAATCTTTTTTGATTGTCAACGATCCGCTTCATTTCCCAAGTTTCCCCACTTTATAATCGAGATCTGACATAATGGCATTTGAAGGACGTGGTCGTGGTGGTGGCCGTGGTGCTCCCCGTGGTGGCCGTGGTGGTTTCGGCGGCGGTCGTGGCGGTGGCGGCCGTGGCGGTTTCGGTGGTGGCGGTCGTGGAGGCTTTGGTGGTGGCCGTGGTGGCGCCCGTGGTGGCTTCGGCGGCGGTCGTGGTATGTATTCTCTCGATTAAGAACATTATGGTTACCAATGTGCTCCAAGTCAAGGCAACCGTCATGGCTTCGGACATTGTGTAGCTATAGTAACAATGACAGGCCCACAACTGATACTAATTCCATTATTGGTTTAGGTGCTCCTCGTGGTGGTGCTCGTGGCGGCCGTGGTGCTCCCCGTGGTGGTCGCGGTGGAGGAGGCCGTGGTGGTGCTCGTGGTGGTGCCAAGGTTATTGTCGAACCTCATCGTCATGAAGGTATCTTTGTCGCTCGTGGCAAGGAAGATTTGTTGGTGACCAAGAACTTGGTGCCCGGTGAATCTGTATATGGTGAAAAGCGTATCTCCATCGATGGTCCCGAAGGTACCAAGATCGAATACCGTGTGTGGAATCCTTTCCGATCCAAGTTGGCCGCTGCTGTCTTGGGTGGTGTCGATCATATTCACATTGCTCCTGGCAAGAAGGTGCTTTATCTCGGTGCTGCCTCAGGTACTTCCGTTTCTCACGTGGCTGATGTCGTCGGCCCCGAAGGTGCTGTCTATGCCGTCGAATTCTCTCATCGTTCCGGCCGTGATTTGATCAACATGGCCAAGAAGCGTACCAACGTTGTTCCCATCATTGAAGACGCTCGTCATCCTCACAAGTACCGCATGTTGGTTCCCATGGTCGATGTCATCTTTGCGGATGTTGCTCAGCCCGATCAAGCTCGTATTATTACCTTGAACGCTCACCACTTTTTGAAGAACAATGGTCACATTGTGATCTCCATCAAGGCATCGTGTATCGATTCTACCGTCGATGCTGCCACCGTATTTGCTCGTGAAGTCAAGAAGCTCCAAGAAGAAAAGGTCAAGCCCCAAGAACAGTTGACCTTGGAACCTTATGAAAGAGATCACGCCGTCGTTGTTGGCCGATATGTCAGAAACAAGTAAAAACGCAGGAAGGCGATTAAAGTAACATTGGCACTATAGCATCAATCTCCTCATTTTTCTCTTCATATTTTTCAGTATCGTTATTTTCTCCAGTTTGCTTTTGTTTTTTTCCCTTCTCATGCTTAGAATTTTTCTGTAAATAAATGATCAAAACAAGAAGCTCGAAGCAAAACGCTTGAAACTGAGTCTATTGGTAAAACAAAGTTACAGAAGCATATGACAAAATGATGAAAAACACTATTGGAAAAGAAAATAAAAATGACATGTGAAGAAAAGGGTCTCTGCCACATCGCTTACCAACCAATCATTATGCAGCTTGTCTGCAGAATCAAAAATTGTTGTGTCGCTGTTTTCATTGTTGGCTTTTTTTTTGGGTAGATCTTCTTACCTTGCGGCTCGATGGAAGTGAATAAAGACGAGGCCTTGCGTTGTCTCTCAGTTGCAGAACGTCATTACGGCAACGGCAATTACACCGCTGCTGTCAAATTTGCAAAAAAGTCGATTGCTCTTTACGCCACCCCTGAGGCCAAAGTCTTTCTCGACAAAGCCGAAAAGGCATGCGCCAATGCTGCCAGCGAATCGAACGCCTCATCCACGGCAAATCCAAAAGCTAACCGATCAGAACCTTCCGTTTCAAAAAGCGATGCACCCTCGCATACACCAGAACAAGCCAAATCAGTTCAGGCCATTTTGGCATGCGGCACAGATTACTACAAAGTGTTGTCAGTCGACAAATCTTGCACCGAAATTCAACTTAAAAAAGCTTATCGTAAGGTATACCACGTTTCCTTTTCCTTTTCCTTTGTCTGGCGGGTATGATGCTTATGATGCTAATATGGTTGTGCAGCTTGCTCTCCAATTTCATCCCGATAAAAACAAAGCACCTGGCGCTGACGAGGCTTTCAAGCGTAAGCATTTATCCATGATCCATATCCCCTGGGTGTCAGTTTTTTATTGACATCTTTTTGCGCTCTTCATCTAGTGATATCCAAAGCATTTACGGTGCTATCGGATCCACAGAAACGAGCCATTCATGACGCTGGCGGAGGCGATCCGGAACAGCGGGGTCACGGAGGGGCTGGCTTTCCCGGATTCGGTCATGCGTACACTTCTGGAGCGCATTTTGGTGGAGAGGATATTTCACCGGAGGAATTGTTCAATCTTTTCTTTGGAGGAGGAGGTGGTGGCTTTGGCGGACCTGGGTTTAGCAGTGCGACATTTGTTGGTCCCGGTTTCCGAACACAAACTTACTACACCAATGCGGGCGCAGGGCGTCGTGCACAAACACCATCGTTTACTTCCCAAACAGCGGCCTCCCAAAGTCGATCCTCTGCATGGACTATCCTATTGCAGATCTTACCCTTACTTCTCCTTTTCAGCTACTCTCTCTTATCTGGATTTTTCAGCGATACCACACCTCTGTTTTCTTTTCAGCCGACGTCTGTGTATTCTGAACCGCGTATGACCCAAAGCCATTATGTACGTTATTACGTCGATCCGTCCGCGTTTTCGACGATCGAAACGGATGTTCAAAAGTTTGCTCGACTTGAACAACAAGTGGAAATGGATTGGGTACGAGGGCTACAAGCATCATGCCAAAACGAACGAAGAGAACAAGCATCGCGCTTAAAGTCGGCCCGGGGGTTTATGGGCATGTTTCGAAATGAACAAAGTTATCAGACGGCCCTGCATATGCCAATGCAAAGCTGCGAAGAAATCAAAAAATTCGGTTACAAATCAGGCTATTGAAAGCTTTGTCTCTGTGAAGCCCAATGATTTAACCTTGGGGTTTCTTTTTTTTTATCTTTTTATATCCTTCTACACATACATCAGCATAGAAACTCATATTGTTATATTTTTTATATTTTGCCATCTTATTACATTCTCTACATCTGCAAAACTTGGAGTTCTCACTTACAAAAGGTCATGAAATTATTTATGTTGAAAAAAGGATAACAGGTTGATCAAACTACTTCCTCCGCAATTGTCAGACAAAAACTTGTTGCATAAAATTGAGTAACCGAGCCCTAGAATCAGTAATTGAGTAATGCAGAACTTACGACTCTGTGGATCCTCAAGTTTGTGCAGCCGCTTGTTGATTTGAGTTTTCTATGTCCTTAATTGGTGTTCGCAAAAAATATAAGCATCGTCTCTTCGTAGTATATTTCATTACTATGCGCGCATCAGCCGTAGCCTAATAGTTGGGATAAAAAAAAAAAAAAAGAGGGAAAATCCGTAACTCGGCTCGGTGCACCTCTACAGAGATGCTTCGAATTTGTACGGAATTCCTCATGCTAAGGCACCTTCGGATGGATCAAAATCTGAACAAATGCAATGAATGCCATGCCTTGGGACAAGATCAAATAAACCGGACCCATCGACCGCTTCCATCTTGTTCGATGCCTTTCGGACTTGAAATCATCAAAAAAGCTCGCTTGGACTTCTTCAATGAACCGTCCTTTTTCTTTTTCTTGAAGACGTGTGTGAAACTTTTCATAGTGAGAAACCTTCTTGTTTCTTCCCCATTGTCGCCGGGATACCAATGAATTAATTTTACGCATCGATACAAATTCGGTACGTCTCTCTACACCCAAATCTCGCAAAGTTAGTCTTTTTCCACTTTTCATTCGATGGCTGCCCCTCAACCTTCTATTGCATTGACAAGAAAAAAGGGGGAAATAGGGTGCTGCGGCAAAGGATTTTTTTTTCCTACCTCTTCCCGTTTCTTTTTTTTTCCTTTTCCCTCCCCAAAGGCACTCTTTGACCATCATTGCCGACCGACCTCCCGATAGTACTAACCTTCTGTAGGGCAGTTGGGAAGATACTAACGTTTTGTAAGGTAGTTTGGTGTACTAACATTTGTAGGGCGTGACGGGGTACTGACCTTTTGTAGGCTTCCGACCAGACGAGCCGACTCCCGAGCCCATGGCACAGCTATAAGTTGGACGGAGGGTGGATAGGGGAACAAGTTACAACAACTTGTCCAGCCAAGTTGTTGGTTGGGGGTCACCCGTCTAAACTTATAGCTAAATGCCATCGATACAATAGTCTTTTTTCTTTCATCTTTAGTTTTCTTTCCTAGTTTACTTTTTCACGTTCAATTTCTCTTGAAATAAAACAATGCCATCTTATGGATAGCACTTTTAATACCGTAAAATGATAAAATAAATTCCATTTTTTCGAAGTCTTGTAATTATCTATGGATGAAATAAAAACCTGATGGCCTCCCCAGCCGCAGCAACAACAGACACCAAGTACCGATTTCGTAAGGAAATGTCCATTGATGACAAGTGGGAATTGACAGAAGAAGCAGGTATTCAATCCATGGTATTGAGTTTTCAATGTAGATAATATGTGCGATTCCTTAACCGATGCGAATTTGTCGCGCCACTGAAGCCGCTGTTCATTCATTGGTACGTCTGCTAAATATGAAATTTCGTTTGCTCACGCTCAGATAATTATGAGATCCATTTTTACGACTGAACAAAGGAACGAGGCAACCCATTAATAAGCATAGAACCCTTTTGTTATGGGAAGTTTATTGCCCACGAAGCAAATTTTGATATCATGAGCAAATTTCTTTTTGGTTTGTTGTTTATGTGGGTTAGAAATGGGAAAATATGATGGACGATGATAAAAACAAAAAAAAAGTAAGGAGGAAAAAACGAATCGACTATAGGAACAGATTTTGACAATGTAGGCGGTATACAAGGTTTCTTAGGTCATGCGAACAGTCATCCACATTGATTAACTTAATAAAAGTAATCCGGTCTAAATCCGTGTTTTTTAAGTTCTTCACAGCTCCTCATGGGCGTATTCAGGACTTCCTGGTAACGATTATCGTCTCGACCAATCCCAAAAAGACCTCTGGCCTTTGACAATTCCGTGGAACGATCGCGATGTTCCAACTGACACGCACGTCGATATGCAGACACCCACTCGTTCTCTATGTCTTGTTCTAACCGAGCCAGCTTGTACCGATGTTGTTCTGTTGCTTGGAAGCTCGAAGGGTTGACAAAATAAGGAATGTGATGGGCGAGAGTGGTACGTTGTTTCGAATAGACAGAAGTATGCTTGAAGGAATACGGTGCAGCTTGTTCCGGTGATAATAAAGCCGAAATCAGTGCGTAAGCAAAGAGGACAAGAAGTGGCAGCAGTTGAATCCAACCCGACATTTGCGAGGCCGGCGCTGCCCTTTGTTGTGCAAAAAATGGATGTCGACGACCGGCGCCGCCCATGTGGAAAGTATGGGTCCTGAAACGTGGACCGCCAAATGCAGGACTGGCACCGAAAGGTCCGCCTCCAAAAAACATATTAAACAAATCCTCAGGTGAAATATCCTCGCCCGCAAATCCTGCTTGTTGATACGACCGACTGAACGAAGATGCACCGCTCGCCCGTTGCTCGGGATCTCCACCACCTGCATCGTGAATAGCTCGTTTCTGTGGATCCGATAATACTGTAAACGCCTTGGAGATCACTAAAGCAATTGTTGCATTAGATTCCATGCCAACACGCCATGCCAATTCGCCAATAGTTCCTCTCCATGTCTACTTACATTTGAATGCTTCATCAGCACCGGGCGCCGAATTCTTGTCAGGATGAAACTGCAACGCCAGCTAGAAATCATAGGAAAAATAGTACAACATGAGTATTGCGCATCCAGATTATGACTACTACACAACTACACGATTCCAAGTACCTTTCTGTAGGCTTTTTTGACTTGAACTTCTGTGCATTTCTTATCCAGAGAAAGCACTTTGTAGTAATCGGTACCGCAGGACAAGATGGCTTTGACGGCGGCGGCTTGTTCGGGTGTATGTTTCTTTGTCTTTTCTTCTGCTCTTTTCTCTGGTTTAGTTTGACTCGAAGTGGTGTTGATGCCCGTGGAAGTGCCTGTCGTTTCCTGCGAAGCGGATGCGGCGGCTTTTTCGGCCTTTTCGAGAAATGCCTTTGCGTCGTCGGTCGGATAAAGACCCAGCGATTTCTTGGTGAATTTCAAAGCGGCCGTATAGTTGCCATTGCCATAATGATTTTTGGCAATAGACAAACATCGAATGGCTTCATCCTTGTTGATCTCCATACCGGAATAGGAAAGGACACAGAAAACAAAAGGGAAAAAAGCCAGAGGAGCCTCAGAAAGTAAAAAGCCAAAAAAGTGCCTTATTGGTCGAAATCTCCACTGAAAGCACAAATTTTCTCTGGAAGTCTTTGATTGGTCAGAATCCACCAGCGAGCAACCCAACAAGAGAACATTTTGGTGCTTCGGTTCTATTGGTTGCCACATCCAACGGCCCCCATCAGCGAACCATTGCTTCCTCTATCCTCGTTTTGCAAATTACATAGGCCTTTCCCCCTCCCCCTATCTTTATATATCTGGCGAAAAGGCCCGCCTCAAACAATAGTTTAAAACCCTTCACCGCACTTTTTGTGCGACCTCAATGCTCAGACTCTGTGAACGACCTCTTTAATACGGTGATTCTTGGAAACCTTCTCAAAAGATTCATTTATACACAATTTCTTTTACTATCATTAGGCCAGCTGTTGACAATTGCTATCGATATTTGAAAAGATTATTGGAGAAACAGCAGCTGGGGAATTCATGACCCTGAGTTCATTCATCCTTGGCAGCATCCGCTACCTTAAGCGCTTGTTCAAAGTCCCAGATGATATCATCAATGTGCCTAAATAAATGAATGGAAAATGAGGAAAATGGTGTTCTAGAATTGTGCCATCAAAGACAATAGAGGAACTTACTCGATGCCTACGGAAACGCGGATCATATCCTTGGTTACACCGGCAGCGATTTGTTCCTCGTCGGTTAATTGTTGGTGAGTTGTTAACGCAGGAGCAATCACCAGCGTTTTTGCGTCACCCACATTGGCCAAATGCGACGCCAGCTTGACATTTTCAATAAAAGCCTAGAATTGCAACAGCATGTCAGTCTCACAGAATGAAGCAGCTGAAGGCGAATAATTCATGATACCCACCTTGAGGGAACCTCGGACACCAAAAGTCAAAACACCGCCAAAACCATTCTTCAGATATTTCTTGGCAGTCTCATGGTAAGGATGACTTTCCAACCCAGGATAATAAACCCAGTTCACATCATCTCTGTTTTCCAACCAGCGGGCCAGCGCCAATGCATTTTCCACATGGCGTTGCACTCTTAAAGACAAAGTTTCCAGCCCTACAAGACGCGCGTCAGCCATCAATTGCCATGGTTGCCGAAAGACGTTAGTTGGAGAGCGAGCAGTGACGTACCTTGCAATAAGAGGAAGGAGCCAAATGGATTTTGACAAGCGCCAATGTCACGCATCGATTCGGTTCTCAAACGGGCAGCGAAAGCCAGGTTGCCAAAGGTTTCATGAAACTTTAATCCATGGTATCCCTCGGAAGGTTCAGTAAACTCTGGGAACTTGCCGTTATTCCAGTTGAACTTGCCACCATCAATCACTAATTAAAGGACAATCAGCAACCCGTTTTTTTACCGCATCTTTGCGACGCGAGAAATACTTACCTACACCGCCAATGGTGGTGCCGTGCCTGCAATGAATTCCATTATTAGTTTATCTGAACAGGATGAATATTATCCGTTGATGATTGTACCCTCCAATCCATTTTGTGGCCGAGTGAACAACGATATCGGCTCCATGATCGATTGGTCGAACGAGGTATCCTCCGGCGCCAAATGTACTAAGAGAAAGGACAAGGACTCAGTACCACTGCAGCGATGAGACGGCTTGTTGGCCTGACTTACTTGTCAACGATAAAGGGAACACCAGCATCGTGAGCAATCTTGGCAATAGTTTCAAACTCGGGGACGTTGAATTTGGGATTGCCAATACTTTCGGCGTAAACGGCTTTGGTGTTGTTGTCAATGGCGTTTCGGAAGTTTTCAGGATCATCGCTGTTTACAAAGCGCACCTGAATCCCCAATCGTGGGAACAAAACTTTAAATTGGTTGTAGGTGCCACCATACAAACTCGAGCTCGCAACAATATTGTCGCCCGCCTTGGCCAACGTGGCAATAGCAAGAAACTGGGCCGCTTGACCTGATATAAAGTCGCGCATGATCAGTTTATGGTGTCGGGGCAAAGGAAAAAATATTTTTTTCCTACCTGATGACACAACGACAGCCGCCGCGCCATTTTCAAGGGCAGCAATGCGTTGTTCAAGCACATCTGTAGTGGGGTTGCCGATTCTACAATGCACAAAATATCTTGCGTTATCAATCATTGAACCTGCTTAATGAAAAATGGGTTCTAATGTACCTTGAATAGATGTTTCCATCGGCACGCAGGGCAAAAAGGTCGGCACCGTGGTCTGTGTTGTCGAAAACAAAGGAAGTGCTTGCATAGATAGGCACGGCCCGAGCCTTGGTGGTCGGGTCAGGGTGCTGCCCGGCATGGAGCTGAAGAGTGTCGAAATGATATTGATGCTTTTGCGTCATTGTAAAGGGACGATGGATAAGAAGATAAAAAGTGTCGTCAGTCTTTTAATTCTGCTCTTTTATACGATCAGCGGAATGTCCTGCTGGCATTGATGGCGCTATGCACTAAACCGCAATGAGATTGGTTAGCCAAATGAAACAAACTTGTGTCACATCTCACCATTTTCTGGCAGAGTTGCGCATACGATTGCTCAATCTTTTTCTGCCCCTTTCAGTCAACGCCTCCTAATTTTCTCAAAAGTGGAGTACACCCTATCCAGAAACACAAAGAGCATTTTGTGTTCATTAGATGGGTCTTTATTTTTTTAGACGAGATCACCTCGAAACTATTCATCTAAATTCGCACAGGAAATCTTGGAAAATTCTGTAACCATACACGAAAAATGGGGTATTTTTCTGTTCCTTATTGGAAAGAATAAGATATGGCAAAACGTAAACGCAGCCAATGAGAGACAAGCAGCATCATGCAATATCTTTACCATCTGTTGAACGGAGAACCAATTGTCAAAATGACAGATGATGATGGTATGGAAAAATAAAGTTTTAGCCGAGCTCGGATTCCAAAAGCCAATAAAGCATATATCATGGAAAGCACTGAGTTGTGGATTTGTATTGCGTGCTGGCGTGATCGCATGTGAGGCATGGATGTTTTGTGCATCGTCTCACAGAAAGAAAAAAAGAGTCACAAAGGTTGCTTCCAAAAGTGGGAGTGGTGAAAAAAAGTCACTGAGCTGGATCTGGAAGCCCGCGTTCAGTTCAGCATTATAAAAGCGTTCAAGGCATCGTAAAAGGATGCAGGAATTGACCAAAACGAAGAGGTCACTGAGCTTGGACGCTTTGTACGAACTGCTTCGTGTTCGTGTCTTTGTCGACATCGATTATGCATCGTGGCTGTTGGACTGCATGGTGAATGCCACGTTTCCTATTTCTGTCAAATACTGTCTTTTGATCAAGGAATATGTATCGAGGTACCTTCTCAGACCCAATCTCGGACATTTGACTCTGGATAACTGATGATATATCTTTCGGACAGTCTCTTCTTTGTCCCTCAGCTTCAGCGCATACCAGAAGAAGCTATAGCGCCTTATTTTGAGACCTGCAACGACCCTTCTCCGTCCCAAATATTGCTGTTGCTGTACATGTTGGCTTACAACGATGCCATCATGGCCTCCAAGACCGATCCCAAACTTGTAGCGGCTTCAAACGTGAGTCAAGTGACAAAGCAGCATCAAGGTAGTAAAAAGTCACGCATTGAAAAACATAAAGCGATCACTTATTGAAACACTCTTTTTGTTCAGAATATTCAAGTGGACTGCTTGGCCGAATTCCAATCCGATGTATGCTGAATCATGTCGAATCTTATCAACAAGGAAAAGCCTACCGCAACGTTTATCCTGATCTATTGTCACTGGCCGCCAATCTGTATCCCGAAATGTTCAATATAACGAGCTTTCTTCTGCAGGAAGGCAAAGAATCCGATGAAACCGCTGTGGAAGAACCGAAAGAATGGGACAGGTACCACGCGTCATCTAAAAGCAAATCACCTGTGCGGTGCCATACTTACACGATTCTCTCGATCCAAAACTGTAGATTTTGGATTTCACGCCTGTCTCCAGACAAACTCGAGTATATTTTAATTCACTGGCAGCAGAATCCCGATTTGGTAGTCAAAGGTGGGTATAAAAAAAAACTGTGGGAGTCGTTATTGTTTGTAAAAGAGATGCTATATTAATGCTTGATATTTACAGCGTTATCATGCATCGGAGCGATTGACACAATCCATATTGCGGATTATGTGGATATTGTCATCCGTCATTTGCTGCCGCTGTGTTTTAATGAAAAGTAAGCTTCCCATCCTAGTGATCTTATTACTGGCCTATGTTTGACGAAATGGATCTGTATACCATAGCTTTGATGACAACATTGCCAATGCTTTCAGTGCGGTGTGGGAATCCTTCGATGGCATCATTCCCTATGAGTTGTGGGTTCTCACCGCCAAGGAAATGAGAGACAAAAATATCACAAACGAAGGGTAAGCACTTTTTATCCGCGTTGAGAAAAGAAAAAAAAATCGCTCACATTAGTGTAGGATGTACACCTTGGATAATTTAGTGGAAGATCCACTCTTGCTGTTCAAATGCGATCCCAAAATTTTTCGATGTAGACGGCTATTACCCATATGGCTCCATGTATGTGCTTATACATCACAGTTATCGGATCGCGCTCCCTGAGACTTATACAAGTATTTTTGACTAGCTCTTGTCTTGTATACGCGTATGCTCAAGGCATCGTATATGGAAACGCTTCGTTACCTGCTTTCCTAGAACCCAGGTACGTTGGCGAAAGGAAAAAGAAATACTATGACGGTTGATATGGAGATCAAGCCAAGATAATTTACTCGGTTCCACCTAGACTTCATTCAATATCCGTAATGTGGTGGCTATGATCAATGTGCAGGACGCAATCATGCTTCAGTTACTACTCGAGCAATGTCAAGAACAACCGCGTGATGAAGGACATGCAGGTTAGATCACTAACATCGGACCGCCTACTATTGTCAACGGTAATACTGACATTGTCACTTTACAGACCAATTACAACAAGCGCGTGAACACATATGCCATTTTATTCACGGTATCTTTGTGGATGGCGATCGCGATGGCGTGCTGGTGAAACTGTTGCATTTTGAAACGTATGCCCTTGATTTAATACCCATCGTTGTTGAACTGATTCCTTCCATTTGTAAGTAATATGGTCTTTTTGTCTGTTCTTCCGAAGAGTCAGTTAACTTTATTTGACAGATATCGTCATGAACTTTATTCCTGAATTATTACGACAACCGCAGCCAGAAAAGCAAATTTTCGGTATACTGATAGCCTGCCATTTATGTGAAAAGTATCCCCTTGAGCCCTAGTATGTTGCCCGACGATGTGTATGACCCAAAATTTCGACTATTCATGTAACCCTCTGATTTTTGTAGCCTGGTTGCTGCCGAAAAGTATGTTCTTCCTCGTTTAGTGAAGATTGCTTTTCCCGCGACACGAGAAGGTCAACCTACGGGTTGCGTCCCCTCGGAATATCTCATCCAAGCCATCCCTGGCTTTGTGCACCTGGCCAAAGCTTTCCCACATTTCGCACCGCAAATCTTGCGTGTGTTTGATGGTAAGTGTGCCTCTGTTTCTATCGTCATCCTACGAGATGGCTCATCCGCATCTTTCGTCCCCAGATATCTTCCATGGTTTGCCACCACCCAAGGATTTCATTGGACAGGAAGGCAACACAAAAATCATCCTTTTCCTCCGACTACACAAAACTCTCAAAGATGCTCGACAGCTCGTCCAGCAACAAGCCGATCGCATGGAAAGTGTCAATAATGTCATATTGTAAATAGAAATTATCAGGAGAAAAATGCCACTGAGATTTTTTTTTTCGTTCCTTACTCGTGTAATATATTATGCTCTCCGTTTAAACTGGATAAGAGATATATTATGATCACCTATGGATTCAATAGCGGAGGGAGGACTGGATGCATCGATGGTTATATTTTCTGCAGACACTACAAGACGTAGCGATCCTTCAACGACCTGCGTGTATGCATTCTGGATACGAAGAACTTGGTGAAGCGGCAGTTCTTTGGTGGTTTGCAGTACGACGGAACTTGTCTGGTCTCCTACAAGGTATTCATAGACACTCGTGGTGTTGCCTGAGGTATTGATAAGTTTACAGGAGGAAAGCAACTGCTTTGAAAGTAATGCATTGTACCTTGACCGTCATCGGCTTCCATTCGCACCAGCAGTTCCACCACCTTGACTTGCAGCTGAATACCGTAACTGTCAGGTTCGAGCGCTTCAACGGTCCATGTCCGCTCTATGCAATAATGAGAATCACAACAGGTTCTTCTACATGCTGCATTGGGAGTATGTTACCGGTTGGCATAATAGTAGGTTGTATGCTTTGACCCCATTTGTCAACTCCGTCCCCCCAGTGGTCGGTATGAAAGAACGTTGTGTGCGTGGCTTAGGAATACCCAAAGGGCGGCAATTTCAGGGACCAAATTTGGTTTTTCTTCCGTTCGACATTTTGAATTGCATGAAATAGTGCATAAAATACCCAACGTCATAATAGCAGTAGATCATCTGTAACCGCTATTGGGGAGGCAAAGAATAGTGCATATCATCTGTAACAAATTAGTCGGGTTTCTCGCAATGGGCATTTTCAGTTACCAAAAGCAACAATTTTCAATAAAGCCTACAAAAACTTATATAAATCGTGATATCATCATCAAGACCCGTACCATCACACCAAGAGACTTCAAGTCTCCAATCACCAATGAGGTCAGTCGACGCGAACAAATAAGTTGACGTCGCCTTGTCGCAAAATTGCACATGCATGCTCTGTTTCAACACGGAAGAATGGCAAAAAAGACAAGTTCGATTATTGGGTTGAGAGCGTGCGTTTTAATGTTGATACCCAAAAATATTTACAATAGTCTAGGCTAAAGAGAGAGAAAAAAAAATCGGTGATGAAAATGAAAGATTATAAAAAAACAGAAGCGAGAATAGAAAGAGAAGAAAACAAAAAGAGAATGAAGAAATGATATGCTACTTTTTCTTTGAAAAAACATTTGCCATTCTACTCTTTTACTTGTTTCTGACATATCGGCCAACAACGACGGCGTGATCTCTTTCATAAGGTTCCAAGGTCAACTGTTCTTGGGGCTTGACCTTTTCTTCTTGGAGCTTCTTGACTTCACGAGCAAATACGGTGGCAGCATCGACGGTAGAATCGATACACGATGCCTTGATGGAGATCACAATGTGACCATTGTTCTTCAAAAAGTGGTGAGCGTTCAAGGTAATAATACGAGCTTGATCGGGCTGAGCAACATCCGCAAAGATGACATCGACCATGGGAACCAACATGCGGTACTTGTGAGGATGACGAGCGTCTTCAATGATGGGAACAACGTTGGTACGCTTCTTGGCCATATTGATCAAATCACGGCCGGAACGATGAGAGAATTCGACGGCATAGACAGCACCTTCGGGGCCGACGACATCAGCCACGTGAGAAACGGAAGTACCTGAGGCAGCACCGAGGTAAAGCACCTTCTTGCCAGGAGCAATGTGAATATGATCGACACCACCCAAGACAGCAGCGGCCAACTTGGATCGGAAAGGATTCCACACACGGTATTCGATCTTGGTACCTTCGGGACCATCGATGGAGATACGCTTTTCACCATATACAGATTCACCGGGCACCAAGTTCTTGGTCACCAACAAATCTTCCTTGCCACGAGCGACAAAGATACCTTCATGACGATGAGGTTCGACAATAACCTTGGCACCACCACGAGCACCGCCACGGCCTCCTCCACCGCGACCACCACGGGGAGCGCCACGGCCGCCACGAGCACCACCACGAGGAGCACCTAAACCAATAATGAATTAGTATCAGTTGAAATGGGAGCATGGTCACCAGACTGCCCAATGCTCGAAAAAAAAAAAAAAAAAAAAAAAAAAAGATTGACAGCTGTTTCCCGAAGATCGAGTCAAATGACAGCTGTCTTTCGATTTCGAACGACTGGGCATTTGGCGATGGGTTGAATGGAAGACGATACATACCACGACCGCCACCACGGCCTCCACCGAAACCGCCACGGCCTCCACCACCGAAGCCGCCGCGACCTCCTCCACCGAAACCACCACGACCGCCACCACGGCCGCCACCGAAACCGCCACGGCCTCCACGGGGAGCACCACGGCTACCACCACGACCACGTCCTTCGAAACCCATGTTTGTTGTTGTTGTTGATAAGATTACTGGTAAAAGATGGGATGTGAATCGAAAGCCTCAACCAATGGATGAGATGTTATTTTTTTGTTCTGGGTGAAAAAAAAAAAATAGAAACGAGAAAACAACAATATCGATAAAAAAAAAGGAAGTCCTGTCGCAGCCGAAAATTTTAGAGGCTTATCGTCGTGACAGCGGATCATCACTGGCGAAAAAAAAAGCCAATTCCGGCTCAAGAAAGGGGACGTCGCCTGATCGCCGCACCAAGCGAAAAAATAAAATAAAAACGATCTCTTTCTATAATCTCCACAATTCATCATGGCACAAGGTGGTTTGAAGAAAGCTGCAGCTCCTCAGAAGAAAAAGACCAATCACAAGCAAGTCAAGATGAAGAAGGGAGCAAGAACTATTGCTCCCAAGCAAGCGGTGCTTGTGAAACAGAGAACCATTCAAAAGGTGAGTGAAACCATAAGATCCAAGCTGATCACATTGGTCTGATTGTCATGGTGAATATTAGAAATTGACGGCACAAATCAACAAAAACATTGAGCGACAAATGTCGGTGAAAGCCAACGCCGTGGGCAAACTCACCATTATGAAGAAATTGGCCGACGAGGCCGCAGCCGAAGACAGCAAGAAGAAAAAGAAGAAATAATCCAACTCCTCACATCGTCCTCGCTACCATCACTATTTCATCCTTCCCTTTGATCACCCTGCCAAAACAACCATCATTTATTCCGATTTCACAAAATTCATTCCAAGCCTTTTTGGTTTCCATGTTACTTTCAAAAAAAACCATTCCATCTTTGTGCACCTGTCGGGCATTTCTTTTTTTTTTTTTTGCATTGAATGTATTTTGCATATAAAAAATATAATTTAAATGTATCTACAAGGAATTGATATGCTTTCAGTCATGGTTAAATACGGCGGACAGTTGAGGTCCCGGGTCTAGTTGCTTTAAATTGCAAGCAAATCGGTATCCATTTTGCGCTTCTTCAATTCGAACCGCACGTTTGGTTCGCTTGGCTTGCATCAACATTTCTTTATCGATGTCGCTGTGCCCAAATGGATAGATGTTGGATCGCTTGATCCAGCCCCTGCAGGAAAAAAGAAACAACCAATATCAAATTAGGCCCACATAGTGTCAACTGCTTTTGGAGTTGCTTACCATCGATGCTTTTCTGGTACTTCAAAGAATTGAACAAAGACTGTATCGTTTCCCTTTTTAGCCAGGATGCGTTTCGGGAGATCGACGTCCGATGGATCGACAATCTACCATACAAATAAATACAAAAGATGAAAAAATACGGAGATGGTTGGGTTACCTTGGCCGGATGAGCCGGAAAACCATTCACACGAGCCCATACAATTTGATTGGGAACAATTGAAGAAACAGAGGGGATGGGGGCCGGCCGGGAGGGTCGCTTCGGCGGTGATGGCGAAGTGGACGTGAATCCATTCTCCGGATGCTGTTCAGTTTCTTCTTCTCCTTCTTCTTCTTCCGAATCGCTGTCCTCCAAATACATCCATCCACGGGGCGCCGGTCGACGGGGATCCTCTTTCCATGGCACCACCATGCGCGCATCATGTTGTAACCCGGTGTGAGCACAAAACAGCGCTCTAGCTTCACTCGACATGCGCGGCCGCTTGCGCTCCAGTTCATTCATGATGGCCATCAAACTCTGATTTCCCATACTGCGCGTACGTCGACGTGTTCCTTGTGTGGCCGGACGCGACTCCAGGGGCGGTTTTTCGGTAGCTGTGGTCTCTGTTTTGGGAATCAACACTGGACACTCCTTGGCCCCTTGGGTGGTATTTTTCACCGGTTCGGATCGGTCGGGAATATGCGGTGGCCTGGCATTTTCTTTCCAAAGTTGCATGGCCAGTGATGACGGCGAAGATGGCGAGAACGGCAAGGGCGGTGCGTTTTCGGTATGTTCATTTACGGTGGGGATTGGTTTAATGCGCCGTCTGCCACGACGCTTCTTCGCAGGCGTGTTGATCAGCTCGCAGGAAGGGTTCTCGGATACCGGAGGTATTGAGGGCTGTTCAGTGGATGGTCTAGGCGGGTCGGGTGGAGGGATGTGAGTGGTATTGTAAGAAAAGATTTCGGGATGGATGTTGACCGCCAGCAATCCTGCTTCCCGGGTGATTGGCAACGCTTGATAGTGATGCCTTGCTGTTACCATGCATTGAGATAATCGGTGAAGCAGTTTCTGTGCGAGGCGGTAACGCGCGGTATGCGATGCATTACTCTTCATTGCCTGTTGGCATAATAATTTGATGTCGGCTTCAAAATCCTCCAGCTGTAGATACGTGTGAAGTTCCATGCGCTGAAGAATCACCGAAAACGATAAAATGGGAGTGGCATGGTCCGCGTAATCCAGCGCTTCATCTGCCATCACAGTTTCCGAAAACATTTTTCGCTTGTCGAGTTCCATCAGTTGCATCAATACCGGTCGAAGTACGTATTCCGCCGGGTACAGGATAATTTCAAGGTACGCTTTCTGTTTCCGGAGTCGTTCCAGTTTCTGCTTTTCTCGTTTTTGCACTTCACCCGACAACATGCGTATTTTCTCCAGATCCGTTCGTAACTGATTCATGGCACTTAGTCGTTGTCGCATGCCCGTCGCTGAATTGCGTGACCATGTCTGTGTCCAAGGTTCAAGGTGAAGTCGCTTCAGCAAAGGCGCACCACGACGTGATTCCCGCTTCAGAGACCAGTATCGGCAGATGCTCGTGATCAACTGCGGTTTCATACGAAGTTGCGCTTGCCGAACGCATTTCAAACTCTCCAATTTAAGAAGTATAGGGTCAGGCGCAATGGGGGCTCCCGCCGAATAATGACGCTGATGCGCGCGAGCCGCTTTGGAGCCAGGAGAATGAAGGTGGCGAAGCGAAGGAATCGTATAGCCATGCTGGGCTCCAGCGTCCTCACTTGAATCCGATGTTTTCCGACGTTTACTGCCGCGCCGCTGTACGTAAAGAAGAGTATCGTCTGAAAGATAATCATCGTCGTCGTCATCGTCATCATCATCGTCGTCAGCACTATGGTCGACCGACGATGGGGACGAAGGTCGGTAATCCATATCATCATCGCCGTCCTCCATATGCAGGTGGATGGTTTCTCGTCTTGGCCGTTTCTTTTTCGTCTCCCTTGAGTGTGTCCGTAACAGGGTCGCTTGCAATTGATGCACGTCTTTCGTCACTTCGGTAGGGTCTTTGTAATCACGAGGAGTATGCTTGTCACAGTAAGCTTTCAACGTCACGCTTTCGAAACCCGAAGTCTGGGATTTCATGCGCATGCACAAACCGGCTCGACGTGCACAGGTAACATGAAATGCAGCAAAGCAGTTGCGACTGTCGCATTGAATGCAGGCACCTTGGCGATCGCGGCAGATAAAGCAGGTCAACTTCCATCGACTTTTGGGGATCGCTTGAATATTGTCGATCGGTTCCATGTACACATTGTTACTCACACCCACTTCGGGGATCCATATCGCACATAACAAGTGAGCCCATTTGTTGGTGTTGGTCTGTTTGAACGCGCCACCTTCATTGGGACAAAAGATACACGAGACGGGGTTTTCAGGTGACAACATGCATTTTCTGCACAACCATTGGCCTTCGGGAATATAGGGGATCCCATAACAGTCTGAATCGAACCGTCTTATTATGTGAAAACCCAAAACAGATCGTCTCATTTTGTGATTTTGGTTCACTCACCTTGATGCACGGCTAAATTGCACCCGTCACAAAACACAATAGCGTTACTGTTTTCGCCTTCATTGTCGCCACAAATGCTGCAAGCGGAATCTTCAGGCAGTAAAGGCTCATCCTCGGTCTGTGCAGGAAGATCCTTGATCTACCATTGTCCTTGATTAGAAAAGCCTGAACAACAGTCCCATCCCACAGTCTTAATTTTTTTCTTTTTTCTTTTAATTTTTAGTCTTACCAAGTTGAACCATTCTTTTTCCAATTGATCAATAATCGTTTCAAAAAGGCGAGGCGAGATGCGACCGAGATTATCTTTTTTACGTTCCACATTCAACATTCGCAACCAAGCTTCATCTAAAATTGTCTATTAGGCACATTTATGATCTTCAATGTTTTTCTTTCTGGTTTTTGCTGTCGGGGTCTTACCTTGTTCATCCATGTCGTATTCTACGGTATCAAACAATTCAATCACCGAGGGACCTATTTCTCATATAAGTGGATCGATTTACAAACAAATACCACATTTGAAGCTGCCCAAAAAAAAATAAAAAAAATGCCTACCGATATAGCGAATGTAATGATTGGGTCGGTGAAAAGCATGTGTATCATATTCACTGTCATGAAAATCGGGATCATCGTCCTCGTCGTCGAGATCTTGATTGTCGTCGGTCAGCTTTTTAAAGGTAGGTTTAGGTAATACGTTTGCGGGAATGGAAGACGGACGATGGTTCGGGACCGAAGCGGGTTTTGGGTCGAGCTGTGGTGATGCGGGTTTGGCGTCCTCATCCGATTCTTCAGGAACCGAAGATAAATCCGAGCCTGCATCCAAAGCTTCTGAGCAAAGGTCATCGATGCGCATATCGGTGGGAGGTTGGTTGCTTTTCACGGACAAGTGACGGATCCAATCGTCTGTCTTGATGGGCTGGATGGCGGAGTTTTTGGTTTGGAGCGACGACAACGGTGATTGTAACTTGCAAGATGAAGAAGCCCCACGATGAACCACCGGCAATGGTTTTCGAACGTCGAGGTCAGGGTAAAAGTCTTTGTAAGAACATTCTTCTCTGGGCCGAGATATGTCTACCGTACCAGAAGACTTGCCATGGGTTGCTTTCCATTTTCTGGGTCGACCTCGACCACGGGATCCTCCTCTTCCTCTTCCACGCTTCTGATAACCCGGCATGGCTGAATTACAATTGCGGTTTTACAATGCTGACACTTGGTTTTTTCTTCTCTCACGAGAGAAAAGTTCAAGTCAAAAAGAGTTTGAAGAATAATAAGAATACAGATGGCAGGGAAAATATAAATAGGGATGAAAGAAAAATACAAAATGAATGTCAGAAAGGCAAACGATGGACTTTTGGCTCGCTTTCCTAGTGCCGCCGAGACAAGAAGCCGTATGAACTGCACAATGAAAGTGATGAACAAAAAACTATAAAAGAAAGAGGTTTCCGCAGGCAAAACGGGCAGCATCCACTGATTGCCTTCTTTTTGCCTAGCTTTTATGCGTTCATTTGCTGCTCACTTCGCGTTCCTTGCTTTGTCCAGTTAGTCGTCCATCACGTGCCGTGACCACCGTCGGAATTCACCCCCAGCGGATCTTTTTTTTTTTTTTTGGCCCAACCTTTTTACATCGTATCTCTTGCAAAGCCAGAACGGCGCGACTCCAAGAAGCCTCGTTTTTTATCGTCATGTCATCACAACTATGGAGTAAATTTTACCATGAGCATTTCATTACGCTATTGAACAGGATACTTATCGCTTGTATGTAGGTATGCTTCTTCACCCCGACGAACCGTTTCCCGTACCCATGAACGGCATGCTTCATTTGACCATGGTAACAGCACGGCCCGCTTTCATTTGCAAGTTGGACCTTTTTATTAAACCAGCTGTCATAGGCATCGCTGCACGATTCAAACGAAAAGATTAAGAGTGGACGTCATACACTTAAAGTTATTGTCAAAGACCAAGAGTACGTGCTGTGCTCTTTAGCTCGCAATCACGTACGTTGAATCGTTTTCTATCTTGGCTTTTCCATGGGCCAAAAATGCTCACAAAAATCCCCAAATATTGTCGATTTTAGGTCGAATTTCAGGCGTTGCAACACTACTTTACCCCTCTAGACAAGGCGATACTTGTCGTATCGGGAAAGAGGTAAATCAAATGAAGAAAAGAGCGTGTGTGTCAGTAGATCAAAAAACTGAATACGCAAGTAATCCTATCCAGTCCTGTCACTGTGACGGGCACCTTTTATCCGTACGAAGATGAGGACGAATCGCAAGCGATGCAAGATATCCAGGCCACGCAACTCCCAACGTATTTAAGCGACTTGTTGGGCGATGATTTACCATCGGATGACAGCGAAGATGAATTTGAAGGAGCCGACGCATTTGGACCGTTACAATTCCGTGATCCCACTGATAATCGATTTCTCGGTGGATTCCAACTCTGTCACTTTGGTCTCAGCAATCAGTTTCTACCCTTTGATGACATCAATCTACGAAAAGAAGAAGAATCCCAAGAAGATACACAGTTACAGTAAGTTCATCGCGCCATCCTTTGTTCTGTTCGTCATGGCCAGTTTTCTCAACCCATGATTTCCTTCAGCGATAACATCGCTTCTGGCCTTATCAATGCGCTTCTCAACAGTGGTGATGCTTTTCAAGTAAAACAAGGCAAACAATTACTGAGTAAGTGGCTGAAACATTGCTGTTTCAAGGGATCATCCCAGGCACTGATAATCTTTTCTTTATACAGAAAAACTGAAAAAGCAGCAGCAGCAACAACAACAACAGCAACAAAAGCTCTGTACATAGAATCCAAGCCGAACTCAATCTCGATCTTGGACACGAAACGGTTTATTATTCTTATTATTATTTTGGTTGTTTTCTTTTTCACGCACATGCACACACACACACACATATTCTCTCTCTCTCTCTCTAGATCCCATTTTAAAATAGCCTTTTTTTCCTTTTTTTTTTCTTTTCCCTCATTTTTTACTAGCATAAACGCGCACTGGCAAAAGCGCGCGCTCCAGAATAACCAATAAATCCGATATATTGAAGGTCTATCTTTTCATAGACAGCGTCGGTTTGGAGCAACTTGATCAGAACGTACTTGCCCGCACGATGATTTAGGTGAATGACCGCCTCCCGTTCACGGCTCGGTATACGAAACCACGCAATGGGATCATCCGCATCATCCGGATCCCCTGCATCAAAATAGCAATCAATATACGATTCCCAGTCTTCCTTTGTAAATCGATCAAAGATTTGAGTGGCTATTCAAGAAAAAAAAATCGAATGATGAGGATACATCATTCTAATGCGATTTATGTTTTACCGTTCCACTTACTTTCAACATCGATAGGATCATGCGATACAAAGATCATCCCTTCTTTACCTAATACAATCTTATCAGTATAAAAAAGAAAAAAAAACGACCAATGAACCGAATTTCCGGTAGACATGGTTTCTTTTGGCTTACATGATGTTCGGTGTCCATGCGACGATAATTTGATAATGACCTGCGAGATGACACAGTTGATATCGCAGGCAATGCCGCTCGCTGCCCATCCACAATATTTTAGCAGAATATTAATGGTACCATGATGTCGTATGCTATCCATTGGTCTCCATGAATAATTGAAGATCCTCAATGCGGAATAGTTTGGGATCGAATAAGCTTACCAATATACGGATTGATCGTTGCGCAGAACTTTTTCAACGCCCGTTGCAAAGCTGTAGGAGGAGAAACGGAGTAGAGAAAAAATGCGGCGTTTCAAAAAACTTTAATTAGCATGATGGTCCTGGCTGGTTCCGCTGCCCAAGCTTTTCTTTTTTTAAGTTGCTTGCCTGTAACTGTCATAGTCTCCGGGTACCGATTCAAAATGCAAGATATCATGGTCTAATTCGATATCTAGCTCTGACACATCCACGGCCGGTTCGTGTAACCGTCGTTCGATGTAGTGACGATGAGCGGCATTCGCTTCACCGCTATCGTTGTGGCCTAAATTCAGCCGAGCCAGAAATCGTTCAGATGGATCGATGGCTCGCAAACGGGATATTGGCATAGGCAGTGAACCTAGCAGTTCCAACTGACTAGCCCTTGCACGATTGGAAAATCGTCGTGGATGTGTATTGGAGGACGACGACGACGATGACGCCGAAGTGCCGAGACGAAAGTTGGAGAACATGTTATCGACAGGTGGAGGACTGGTGACGGGCGATAAAGACATAAACGATAGCTCGGCATTTCGACGTTGAAAAGAAACTGCAGGTGACATAATGATGTTTTAATGTTTCCCTTTTTTTTTTCCTTTTTTTATCTCTAGAGTTATGAAATAAAAAGGAAAAGGCAAACACAAAAGAAACAACGATTCAAATAGAGAAGACAGTAGAAACAAGTAAAGGGGAAGTTAAGAGCTAAAGCCAAAAGGCGACCAAGGCAAAAGGGACAGGTTGGAGGAAAAAAAAAAAGAAAGAAAAAGGAAGAAAAAAGGGCGAAAGGGAAGAATGGAACCAGATGGAATAGAAGAAAAAAAGAGACCACAAGATTAGGGTTGTGACGTGCTTTTTTTTATTTCGCAGCAGCTGCTTGGGTGCCTCGCAGGATCAGATAATCGACTTCTACTTGTTTCGTCAGGGGAATCACCCACCGTTCATATAACTCGACAACCACCTTGATTGGAATACGTAAATGTGTGTTGGACCCCACTTGTTCCTGGTCAAGGGTTTGACCATACACCAAAGCTTTGCGTCCAAGTCGCTCCAACAGCTTCTTTTCTACCGCTCGATTCGTTAACAACTCGTAAATGCCATCACGATCGTTGGCTAGCGCCAATCGAGTGTAATCCTCCGGATTCGATCTAAATTTCGATTCCGCAATAAATTTGCCTAATTTTTATTTTATGATTAATGTCTCATACCCGATATGAATGTTCCACACATCAATGGACGGATCGACTTACCGTAATGAATACGACGACTCAGTGCTTGAAGACATTCAATATCCTTGGTGGCAGAACTACCATAATTCTGATCATCCGTATCTTGGCAAATCTCAGGAACAATGGACTTGGTGTAAATCTTCATAATTTCCTCATTGACATTGATATCGTTGGGGAAAAGGAATTCTTTGAACTGTAAAGGTGGCAGAATCGGTTCCGGCAAAGGTGAAGTGAAGGCGTATTCATCCGGACTATTTTTTGCAACATATTAATATGGATGAGCCTCAACCATTCCCACCCTTGTGTTCATCTTACCTTGTGTATCTTCTTACTTTGGCTGTGGGTGACCGCAGTTTCAATAATGTGTGATTTAGTTGCTGAGAAACACGAGACAGTTGCTATGTAGCCCCTTACCGTGCACTTTTTCGGTTTCCCATAAAAAGAACTCGAGAAAGCTTCGATCGCCTGTGGCACCCTGGAATTCCAGTGCACCAGGAATGTAGATACATCGGTTCATGGCAAATTGAGCCCGCTCAATGAGCGCTGTCATGATCCCACCACGTTAAATCACACAATCACAAAAAAAAAAAAAAAGAAACCGGGGATCCCGGGGATCCCGAGAACTCGGCTCTTACCGAATATAATAGTATCTTCGAGACGAATAAGCGTGTTACGCAAAGTATCCAGTGAAAAGGGATTGTCAATATTAAAGTTGCTCATCTAAACTGGGGAAATGTACCAAGGCCGAAAAAAATTACGTCTAGTGAGTTTTATCTTTTTTTTTAAAATTTTCAGGGGATCGAGATTGAGGAGTTTACGGGTTTTTTCCATAATTTTGCGTAATGTTCACGAACTAAAAAAATCCAATCAGTAAATAGCGCTTCTTGAAATCATAAAAAGTCAAATCAGTCTATCAGGCGCCAAAAGAAACATGGAATATGATCTTACCGTAATCTGCAGTCGTCTTTACTACGACGCAAACTGAAATATTTCGGGCCTCCCCTCGCCTGGAGCGATGCTGGCCGCAATTTGGTGAATTCTCTTTTGCGACGACGTCGCGGTTCCACATTGTCTTGCAAGATGTCTTTTTACAGACCAAGATGGAATGTAGTTCCTTATTTTCGTCATCGTGAACAGGCTTCAAAGTTTTCTCCTGGCATTTGTGGCACACCTTTGAACGGGAAGGAGTTAGATGGATGGCTCATTAGCTGATTAAGGCAAACTTACTTTTGAGGTCTATGCTTCACCTAGGGCCACAACAACAAGCAGGCCTCGTTTCTCGGCTTTCTTCAACACTGATCGGCACATGCTCGAGATTCCGGGCAAGCCACCTTGATGGCTCCCCAGCTGCCATTACCAAATGCGATCAAGGGTATCTTTTGGGATTTTGCAAATTCGGCGGCTTTCCACTTCCCGGACTTTCTAAAACTAGGAAAAGGTGCGACTTCTCGTACAACGTCAACTATCCGTTCAAGTTCGGATGTGAATCGTGCTGCCGAATCTGGTGGCAAATTCAAAATTTTCGCGAGGCTGATTTTGATAACGAAACGCCTGTAATGGCCTAACTTCTGCGTCAAGTATTCGTCTAGTAAAAGCTCATGAAAAGGGACAACTTGATTTCCAACTGGAAGTGTGAGGATTGCCCTCAGGGTCGTAAATCCGAGTGCATTTCTTGATGGGTCAGTTTTTCGCCCTTGTGCTTCCAGTTTGCGTCTTTTGTTGGCGTCTCTTTTCTTTTCGGTGGCTTACCTTGGGACGCTTCTTGCTTTCTTTTGTAGGACATGAGAATGGATGGCATACTACATAGATCAAATTTGATATACACTTACTGTTGTAGGGGCACTCCCGACTTCGTGCATCTTTATGCCCTTGAGCTCCGCATCGTTTGCGAACTACCGATGATCTGTGAGTCGTGTCGCTTTATCTCTGAGCATTTTATTATGTGTACCTTGCTCCTGTTTCTCCATCTCCTTGCGTACGCGCTTCTCCTTCAAGGATCGCTGTTTTCTTTGCTTCTTTAACAGTATTATTTCTTGAGCTGTTAAGCCTTGCTTGATGCTGGATCTGTGATGTGCATGATTATGTAATGAGGAAGGATAAAATAAGGAAATAAAGAGAGGAAAAAGAAATTTATGCTGATAACAATAAAGGCATATGGCTTGCTTTTTTTTCAGTGCACTTCATAGACTGTTGTCAGAAAATTGATGGTTTTTGGACCATCTGGCACTGTTTTCCTCTTCGCTATTTGGCGCCTTCCGGGTAAGCTTTTGCATGAAATTGCCGCCAGCATCGCGTCCTGCGAGGGGGCGGCCCGAAATATTTTAGTTTGGTGAAGACGACCGCTGTTTACGGTAAAATCATATCAATGTTTATTTTGGTGCCTGATAAACTGATTTTTATTGAATTCGCACCTGCCTCAAAAACTCTGCTTTGTCTGTCAAAGTAAGTTTAGTAAAATTGGATTTCAAGAAGCGCTATTTACTGATTGGATTTTTTTAGTTCGTGAACATTACGCAAAATTAGGGAAAAAACTAATAGAAAATAGGGCGAATGGAGAGAAGGTGGCTCATTCCTGCACACAATGACAAGTTTTGACATGCAGCATGTGCAACCAAATTTACTTTTGCTTTTCCTCGAGAGATACGTCGCGACCGTGTTTGAGCAATTTTTTCGTGGATGCGTATCCATATAATAATGTACTGAAGGTCCATTTGGCGATATTCACGGGGTGATACCACCCTCTCTTCACACAAAGATACAGTGCAAGGATGCCTTGACTAATATGAGCAGTGCAAGCAATTGTCCAAAGCACACGGATTACATCGTGACCTATAGTGCGGCGCAGTTGCAGTACAAACGAAGGGAATTGCCGTGCCAAAAACGCATCGGAAGCGTAGGTCAGCGTAGCGGTTCCTGCCATCCCTGCCGCAATTGCCACTTGCCAAAACATGTGAGCGGGGAAGAAAACGTCGCGTGGCACATTGTCGGCTTCTCCGTACACGGGGTTCGGACGGACCACCGGTTCATTTTCCTCAGCCATTTGAGCTTTCATCAGTGCCGCAATCGGTGGAGGGCCGTTGAGTGAACTTGGCTAAACCAATATTAATTAATCAACCCCACTATCTTACTCTTTTTAAAAGAAGAAAAAAAAACTGCATGTCAATCCTTTACCATTCCCAATGCTTCTTCGGCTTCTTTGGCCATGGCTTCCAATACAATTCGAATGTCTTCTCGCTTCGATAGTGGCTGTGCGAAACGAATAAAAACTTCTCCTTGGGTGCTATCCGGAAGAACATATGAAACTGTAAATCCTTGGCTTGTCAAGCTTTCAAAACTGGCAGACACCGCATTGTCAATGCCACCAAAGTACCGTGCATAAGCGAGATTAGCGCCTACCACAATGAGAGAAAACATGACGTTAACGGGGAACGGATATTGAGCGCATTATCGGTTCAATGGTGAATGGCTAACCCGTATGGCCTTTCATGTAAGCGGAAATGGGACCGCTGTGTTGAGCAATGGGGTCGGCTAATGACGAGGACATTGGAGAAAGACAAGCAAGTGTGTAATAAAAAATGGCCTATGAAGAAAACCCAGGCGAATTTCCGAAAAATTGCCAATCTGATTTTGGACAATTTTTTATTGTCAAAGGTTTTATTATTCTTTTTCTGTTCCTTGTAAATCATGTTGTTGTTCTGTAAATAATCATGATAAAAGTTAAAGTGAGATTAAGTAACATGGAGCACGCGAGCGTTTTATGCTGGTTTGTTTCTGTAAGCTTACTTTTATATTTGGATTTTAATGCGTTTTTATCCTTGGCGAGGAAAAAGATATTGGACGACGGTACAGCACGTTCATATAATCTCTAAGCAAAAAATTGCTGAGTGATACCAAAAAGTAAAAGTGTCGCCGTTAAAAGTGAGTGCTTACAGCCGTTGGTCGCAGAACCGAAAGCTCTGCATTGAGCACTTTGATCTCTTGCAACTTGTTTATAGTAAAGAAAAACGTTTCCGTAGATGAGTGTCCACGATCCTAAAGCTCACTGGTTACTTTTTAAAAGAGAAATTACTTTTTCGTTCAACCGGGAATCGCTCATGGGACAGAATGAAGAAAAAGAAGCAGGATACGCATGGCAACATTTTTTAATACAAAGCTTTGGTTGAACAGTCACGACCAACCCACGATCCACAAACACCACACCGTACTTTACAAATGCAGGACACCATGAAATGATTCTGAAGCAAGCTTTTTATTAGAGTATGAAAACCCTACAGGGTGGCCCATCTAACATATTTGCCATCATTTTCATCGCAGGTCGTAGTCAGTCCAACTTCAGAAACGTTTGGGTCCACTTCTTAGATTTCCTGGACGCTGAGAGCTACGGGTCAAAAAAAAAAAAAAAAAAGTAAGCGAGCCAGACTCGAGATCTAAAAACTGAATCGACGTACCAGGAGGGAGCGATTGTCTGAGCTTCTTGGCCTTCTGCTTGTCGTTGACAACGAGAGTGTACAAGTAACGGGAGCATCTGACCTTGAACTTGTACTTGTCACCGTTCTTCTTGACACGGGCAGCTGATACCGAATTCAAAAAAGCGTTAGAGTTGTATTGGGAAATGGAACGATCGAGGTGGGAAAAAACTTACAGACGGCGTCCTTTCTGCGGGTGATCTCGAGGAATTGCTTAATGTCCAGAACCTGCTTGGGCTATAATGCGAAAGTTAAAATTGATTAGCTTTCGTCTGCTCTTTTAAGATGACCGAAAATGTTGAATAAAGAAAGCGAATCCAAGTATCGAATAGGAGAAAATGTTGATCCATCTGTTTGCATCCATTTTCGACGACTTGATTCCTATCCATATTGAGCTAGAGATTGGATGTGATATATACCATGACGGATAGATAGACCTTGCAAAGGAAAGAAGGCTCACCCAATGGATGTCGCTGGTCGCTTTACTCCCCCCTCCCGTCCACGCTCACCCAACCAATTTCCCAGCCATGGCCCACTCTGGAAATTGACGGTCCGGAGGTCGGACCAATAGGCTCGAAATGCTCCTCCTGAGGCCGAATTATCCGGTAATGTCGTCGGATGTGAAATATCCTAGCCGCACCGCTCCGATCTGGTTGCTGCTTCGTTGTCCTGGGTTTCTGAACATGTTGCTTTCCGGTTTTATAACCTGTTGGATGGATAGAGTCATCAACAATGCTGTTGTTGCTGGAACGGTGCACGGAATTTTTGAGTTGCAGAAAGAGTAAACGAAAAGCATGTATATTTCACGCCCTATGTATTTTTGGTTTCTTTATTATTTTTTTTATTTTTCGCTGGCCCTGACGAACATAGCACTCGATAGAAATGATGCTTGTTACTGTTACCAATGAAGGCTATTTGCTTTGGGGCTACGTTTTATTAAAACAAAGCAAGTAATTTGGCTGTTCAAAGTCGATGGGCGGTATTTTTAGCAGTGGAAACGATGCAAGTTTGTTTACCCACGGCCCATACATCGGCTGACGTGTTACGGTAAGGACGCCACGGCTGCTTTTGATGCGAAGACGAGGTGGACATGACCACACGGTCAGAGTGAATGTAAGAACGTCTCGTGGGCGGTCCTTCTTCCTCTGTACGGCTTTGCTTATAGCTGTTGTTACGTCGTCGACGGTGAGCATGCAGGTCTTCTTTCTTGGTGGGATCCAAGCATTGGAGGGCATGAGAAAGTTCGTTCATCATAAATACACCTTCACGGTTCTCCTCAGGAAGGCTTGCCTTTCGATACCGCATCGTGTTGTCTTTGAATGATGATCGTCGGGGTCGTGTCTCTCGAGTATCTTCACGATCTCTGCCTGCGTTGATCTTGGCCGACGGACGATGCAAAGAACTCAACGGATGTTTCTGGAATGCATAGGCCGATGGGGCTGGCTTGAAAACCGATCCTGTGAGGGAGGGATTTACCCGTTGAGAAAATTCGCCTCCATCAAGGGATCCTTGCAGTAACCGCCTCAAATAGTCGTAATCAGGACGATCGAAAAACCCAAGTCGACGTACGTATTCAATGAATTCGAGAAATCCACGTGGGAGTCCGGTGCATAGATCTTTGATCATTGTACTTTCCTTGACGGCTCGCATCTTTTCCCATCCTGAGCGGCATGTGCGTGCCTGGATACCGGTCCATGGTAAACCGTCGAGAACGAGTTCGAGGACAAGATAGCCAAGACTTTCAAGGTCGTCCCTGCGAGTAGGTCGTTCCCCATGATGCACGTTCAGTGAAGCGTATCTTGCCGTGCCTGTCTTGTTTCGAATCGGTCGTTTTGCTTCAGGATGAGGTTTGCTGGTTTTTGGATTTCGCCACCAAGTAGCCAGACCAAAATCGACGGCATAAATCTTGGGCATGCGCCGTCGCCATTGGCGAAAAAAAGAGCGGCATGGGAAATTATTCTCAGCTGAACTGAAATGGGGAATTGAGAGACCGTCTTCAACAGCCAACAGGAAGTTTTCGGGTTTCACATCTCGATATACAAGGCCCCGACCATGGATATGCTCCATGATGGAAACCTGTTTTTGATTTATAATAAGACTTGAGCTCGTTTTTTTTTCATTCTTTTTTGTTCGCGTACTAACAGGAAGTGAACTTACCAACTGGCAACCTAGATGAACCGTGACATCCAGTGGCATCACCGACACCGATTGTCTTAATTCCTTCAAGTTGGGTCCAAGCAAATCCACGATGATGCAGTCAAAATCGTCATATTGACCGTACCAATGGCAACGTGGGATGCCAGCTGAAGAGAGCAAAAAAAAAAAAGAAACAAAAAAAAAGTTGGATGCCATAGTGGCAAAGCTTGATTTCATTCACTTACATCCGCCAGTGAGAATGTTATACATGTAACTTTCGTGTCTCAATTGCGGGTGATTCATGTCCAAAGGCTCCCGTTTTAGAGCGTACAATCGTCCATTGTTGATATCTTGAACTAGAGATAAAACCAATGAGCGTGTGAACGGTGAATTGAAGCGATAAATTTTTCAATTCACTGCGACTCACCTTTGAAAACTTCGCCAAACGATCCTTCGCCTATTTTGGATAAGACCAACCACTGGTTCATGACAATGACATCTTTGCTGACTACATCATTCTCTGTGATTGGGGTATGGGAAGAGACGTCATAAGGTAATGAAGGTTGTAATAGGGAACGTGAGACTTGAAGTGTGGTTTGATAGTAGCTAGGTGTCGTGGTCTTGGTAGTTGTGGTGCTGGTTGTGATGGTAGTCGTTGTCATGCTATTTAACGAAAGCGAGGGCAGTTTTACTTTTTGGAGAATGGAAAAAGTTTACAAGTGGTCTTCTTTTCTTTTCGAATGTCGGTTGCCGGTGGACCGATCGGCAACAAGGAGATTCAAAAAGAAAGAAAGAACCCTCTTCTTTGCCCTAACAGAATCAGTAGCTAGGTCACACTGTGGAAAATAAAAAGCCAGTGAAAGGCCAAACGGAAGAATAATAGATGAAAGACGTAAGAAGATTAAAGAGATACGAAAAAAGGTCGACAAAAGGAGTAAAAAGAAGCAATCCAAAGATCAATACTCCCAAAAAAAGAGAACCGGAAAAATAGAAAGAAAAGAAAAAGAATGCTTTTGTTGGGGCATGGGAACTTTTTTTTTTAGAAAAAATCGCAATAAAGCTTAATCAATGGTCAGTCATTCCGCGATTCATGCGAGGGTTCTTCCTTTTATCTGCATTATGCATTTTTACACTTTGCCCTAGCTAACAGTTAACATTTGCAGTTTTTCCTTCCTTAATGACCCAACAATTCCATCTCAGGATTTCACTATGGTCTGTAAAAAAATTGCTGATGAAATTGAACAGCAAAAGTTGGTCTCTCCATGATCAGATGATGGTTTCAATTACCAGTTCTTTTTTCGGACCTTGAAGATGCATTGGCTAGACATCGAGCGCATACTCGCTCATCCCCTATGTGAATGCGGTAAAGTAAATGGCGTAGGCCGACAATAAATTGGTACTGAATGCATAACAACGCGCGTGCACGTACCGTGGCAGTAATCCACACAAATCTTATTCAGTACCACAATCCTTTTACGGAAACCAGATACGGGAACCCGATGATGTTGATTTCTGCCCCGCAATTTCGTACGATAATATAAAAGCAAAGAAAAAATATATTTCGGCAGGCAATTGTTACAGACAACTCACTGGTTATCATTGCAAACACACCTTTTCTTTCGGTCGCCTTCGACACATAAACTTCCGCCGGTCGGTAAACCTATTCGGTCAATCACCGCAGCGTGTGCAGGATACGTGCAACAATTTCTGAAAATGACCAAATGTGCGAGAATTTTGATCTACGGCCGAAAATGAACACAATCGCACACCCATGAGCGACACTTTTGTGCAACTGTTGAACAGTCGTACAATCGTTCTAAGACGGTAATGGAAGCATATGAGTCGATGGTAAATAAGAGCGTAACCACATACTGGTAGTATTGGCATTCATGGGTTAAACACAGGGTGATATTCATTCATTTACACCCAAAACGGTAATAATATCCATACCACCATTATATATGCGCTAACAGTTAACGTGTTCATGTTTGATCTATTGAAAATTTATCAGCTACAAGGTAGTATAAACAGAAGCAATTTCTGTAGCATCTACTGAAACAAATTACGTACCTGACAAGCAAACCATTTTTCGATATTGTCAAATATGCATATCTTGGGTGAAAGTAAAAGGGGAATTTTTATTCATCATATCTTTTTGTATACAAAATAAATGAAGAAGAAAGAGGGCAAGCACGATGTTGATTCGTATCGTGTACTTTTCGTTGACGCACGCGCTGATGCGCGTGTTGCGTAAAACCAGAATGTAGAGACGTTAGATTGTCGTGGAACTGACCGAATCGGTGACAGATTGTTACCTTTGATAATCCATGATGTCTGTTTTAAAATATTTCAAAGAGGCCCAAAGCATCGTCTCTGAATTCCAATATGCGATGATGGGTGGGCCGGAGAAGGGGGAGGTACGCAGGATGACTGATATGTTGTAATTTGAGGAATCAAAACATTGGCTTGCTGGTGAATTTGAGGAATTGAAGAAGAATCATAGTTATTAATGGAAAGATACTCACGACGATGACTTTTGCGAGTCCCAATGGCTGAGCATCTTGACTTATGTATGTATTGGGATCACATAACAGGACAGTGGTGACAATTTTTAAAATATGGATATTTATTTATGTTTTAGACAAACGCAAAGGTTGGGTCGAAAAACGGCGGTTCATCGACATGGGGATTGTAAGTGTAATAGATTACTGACGACCGTTTTTGACACAGCAGATGCTGTCTTGTACGGCCAGGCAATGGTGTCTTGGTTTACTCGGTCATGCAGCCTTTCAACCCTCACTGCAGCAAGCAGCTCCTTGACTCCAGCATGCTCATGGCAGAAAAAGTAATTGGATGTCACCGGAATATGTGACGCACATTGAGTAGCCGCGGCTTCTGTCAGTATTTAAACATACGGACAAACGAACGTATGATTAACTTCGGGCACTGTCTGCTGCTTCTAATTTTTGTTTCAGAGAAATCCAAGAAGTCGCACACGCGATTATACTGTTCGATCCATTGTTGCTTCCCCACATTTGGCCATCTGCCCAGCATTTGCTTGTAATTTCTACAGGTTGGGGTCGACCTTCGCAAAGCTTCCCAGTCTATTCGCCCAATAAACACAAGAGCCTCTTTTATGTTCATATTTCCGACAGTTTCCATACCAAACCGTTCCCCAGAGTTCAGGTTCGTTCTGTCCGTCGCTGACGCAGATGACCCTGTGCTGTCGACGGACGCGCGTTCACGGTTGTTGGATCGTTCGAAATATCGAATCGCAGCGAGAGCAACGAGAGTGTTTTGCGAGTTCGCAACTGGTTCTTTGCGCGAGTGATGTTGTGTTTCACTTCGTCTATGGTACGCTCCATCGCAAACGCGGCATACACCGGCAAAGGGCCCATGTACTGAATGACTTTGTAGATATGCAGGAGGTAATGTTGCGATATAGTAAAGACGTGGTCGTCAACCTTGCCTTCACGGTTGAACTTCACGAGAGCACGGTTCCACAACAACAACAGGCAAGATTGTACAATTTCGTCAGATACGTGATCGGCAGCTTTTCATCAACATTATCAATACGTTCAAGCACCAGTGTCGGGACAGTGAATCCAGTCCACGGCTTTACAGAATCCGGCTTTCTTGGAAATATCTCCGCAGTCTCCAGAAATTCTTGAAGGAATTTTTCCATGCACGCCAATAATTTGGTCTATGACCGAAGAAGGCAGCTAAAATGGGTTATTCTGAGTTCCGTAGTGACCTTGCAGAAGCTTGAAGATCCTTTGCAGCTGCAAGTTCATCTACTGTCTTTCCAGTCCAAATAAATTGAGTGGATATGAGGAGATCCACTTGCTTGAGGTTCCATGACCCAGAAACACTAACGTTCTCGCTTCTCCAAGTAGGGTGAAGCACTGTCGCCTTGCAAAGTCGGTAAGATATCCCTAAAGGTTCTGGAGACACTGGTGGTACGAAATGACGATGACAACCCGTCTGCAATGATGCAGTCGTCCTGGATGATGTCTTTTTCGTCAGACATCGATCCAGGTTCCAGGAGAGCTGCTCCTCTGTAACCAGGAACTGATAATGGGAGTTGATAATGGTCTACAAAAACAGGTAAGGGACTAACTCATGAGCTTATATTTCTGATGCTGCATACCTTTAACTCATTATCCTCCCCACCCACAGGAGCAGCCTGCTTGCAGTTAGCTTGCTCATGCTTCACTTTATGAAGTTCCCGCTGCAAGCTGCGGACAGTGCCTTCGAGGTATTCGATCCTCTGTCGATCAGAACTGACGTCCTCTTGTCTGCGTTTCTTTTGGTAAGAGGACGCGCTGTGGTAACTATTGAGGGCTGCGAAAGTGTATATTCCCAGATGGATTGTCAAGTGTAGCCGTCGACTAGTTGCTACTTGGCGAGTTCCGTTCCACAATCTTCTCGGTATCGCTTTTGCGGCCTTTGTTAAACCAGACGTTGCAGATGGGAGCAGTGAGAATCGAAGCTTTTACGTGAGAATGTTTAAAAGAAAAAACAACTCGACTGCTCTGCCCTGACCCTGGTGTTTAATGCGTTGTCCAAAAATTTGTGCAAAATTTTACTGCGTGCACCTGTGTTTCCCCATTTGAGAAGCTGATTCCGGAATTGAATACATTTTAGATTCGAGCGATGACGTTACTGCTCTTGCTACAATTTATTTGAATCAAAAACGCGCAAACGACAGCATTCTTATTGATTGTAAACAGCTCAACCTGGAGATGACGCCAGTCCTGCAGGTCAATCGGTTTATGCCGCCAAGCTACAGATGTGGTTTGCGTTGGTGCGCGTTCCAATCGCGTAAAATATCTACAAAGGATTTTGACATAGTCAATGACATACTTTTTGCCGATACGCACACATGCGCTCGCATCGGCCTTAGTCGTTGTGCTCTCTGTGTTCTGTTGCCATTGCAACTTGGCGCACTGATACTGAACCCTGACTTCGTATACTAAATACCTGAGCGTGTATTGTCATAGCATTATTGATCTGCTGTTTCACGCTGAAACTGAACAAGCTATGTGCCTGACAACCGATCCATTTTTGGCCTTAGCAACTACGTAACGGTATCTCGGGTTCGATGACTTTCCTTGCTCTTCAGACGCATCTATCATATTATTTTGGTCCTTTTTTTTCATTGTCGTTTCTTCGCTTCCGCTGATCCGGTAGTGCCACTTTTCTTTGTACTGCATTAGATGTGGATTGATTAATTGTTGTTCATGTTAATATAAGATAACGTCTTCGAAGAATCGCATGCTCAAAATTTCTTCGTCGTCAGTTCGCACTGCCCTCTTGAGCGAAAGGCATGATAGAACTCGAACTCGTACAGTGCATATCGATAAATAATCTGCCATATATTAGTTTGACTCGGTGATACAACGACCTGTGGGAGCATTCGATCCACCTCGAAAAAAAAAGAGTTTGGGATATTAAATGTAAATAAAACAGCTATCGCGATCCTCACCTCATGCACATTTACATTTCAGGCATATCTTACAACCATCAATCTAAATAACAAGAAGCCGTCCCCTCATAATCGTTGGCAAAACAGAAAAACAGAAAAAATCAGAGATTCTAATGGGCCCTGACAAAAGCCAAGGGCCTTTACTGGCAACCATGAATTAAAAAAGACAAAAAAAAAGACTCAGACTCCCATTTCTCGACACGATTAGTTCCGTTGTCCCAATCTACTAGCATTTTTGTGTTTGGTTTGTCATCATTGTGATTTTTTCAATGACAAAGGCGATGCTCCAAAGGGCAGATCGATCAAGCGACCTTCCGTTTCGGAGGCAGCACGCTTTGCCACCTTCACTATCTCTGCTGAAAATTTTTTAAAAAAATTTCGCTTTTACACATTGTGACCGCGAAAAAAACAAAAAAAATTCTGTAGAGGAAATACGGTGTGTGGAAACGCTTAGCATGTAGAGAAGAGCTACAGAAATACAAGTGGTGCTGTAGAAAAGTAATTTACTAGAGGGATGTCTGCCTTAGTTGGCATGACAACTTGAAGCATGCATGGAATTTTTTTTGGGGCGGTGACTGGAATGGATGAACCCGAGGACTCAAAATGTTCCGTAATCTTATTTTGTACCCGAGAAATACAGTGTTGGCCAAATATTTATTGTAATGTACCCTGTTTGTGATTATCGCGTTTTTTCATTTATGATAGAATAACAAATGGACCACGCGCGCTATAAGATTTGGTAAAGGGGCATGTGAATTGGAATGTCAAAATTTGGAGAGTCCGATGCAACGATATGAATTTGTTGAACCTGTTACATGTGAGATCCCGGATATGGAAACCGAGTTTCAACAGGGTTTCTGGATTATTTAAGTTTTTCTAGACGGTATCAACGTTGATCCTTAAATATATCGATGATGATGATTTCTTCGTCCTCTTGAGTTGATTCGTTCGATGTTCACTGTCATTGCGATAAAACAACAAGTTATATAACATGAACTTCTAAAGCCAAAAATCATATGATTATTTTCCCCTTTGGTAAACAGTTTCGTTCCATTTTGAGTAAAAAAAAAAAAAAAAAGTTTCGCAAGGTCGCAATGACGTGAACGATGTAAATATTGGTGTTTTTGCATGCATGAATGAAACACTAGATGACGGGGAGAGGGAATGATCAAGGGGAAAAAGTCATGCACAAAAAGACAAGGATGATATGTGAAAAAGTAAAAGTAGTCCATGAAGACTTGAAGAAAAAAATGTAAACTAGGAAATACAGACGATGATGAGACTGGTATAAACTTTTCTTTTAAACTTCTACGGTGCTGTCGGTATCCGGATCACTTTCGGTATGGACGTAAAATTGTTCTTCTTTCCGTATACGCTGTCTCGTATTTTTAGCTTCTCGATGCCAATCAATGTGGAAAAGAAATCCGCATTCACCAATGGCGGCAAGGAATAGAGCCAGTGACAGAGAGGACCAAATGCCTTGAAGACCCCAAGTGGCCCGGAAAGTCAAAAGGAAACCCGCCGGTAAAGCCACGAGATAATAGGCAAACAAGTTGATGCAAGCCGCAATATTTTGCCGACCCAGTCCGCGAATCACGCCTCCGCACACACCACATAACCCGTCGGCGATCTGGAATAAGGAAAGCAGCGGCAAGATATTTGCAACCGCATCGATGACCGGTTTATCCGAGGTGAAAAGATAGCCAAGCCATGTCCGTCCAACAATGAAAAATAGAGAATTCAAAGCGCCAAAGATGACAGCATATAACAAGGTAACAATGGAAGCACGGTAAGCTTTTTGACCGTGCCCTTCTCCCAAAGCATTGCCCACACGGTTAGCTGCTGCCACAGCAATACCAAAAGGAATGGTATACGTTGCCGAAACCAAGGTCAATAGAATGGATTGCGCGGCTAAATCGATTGTGCCAAGATACGAAGCGGCGAGAGCGGCCAGTTCAAATGCCCACCATTCGGTACACACCATCAAAATGCCCGGGATGGCTAGACGTAGGAAAGGCCACCAATCCCGCAAGCATTCGCGAGTCCAACCGCCCCAGGCTTCATAGCCTCGGCAATAATAGATGTAGATCAATAAAAAACACAGCATTAACCAATAGCTGCAACTAGTCGCCAATGGCGCACCAATGAAACCAAGCTGGAAAGGTCGACAATAAACGAATAGATAATTCAGGCCGAGATTAATTGGAGATGTCACGAAGAGAGCATAGGTCGAAGCTTCCATGATGCCCTGAGCCTGACAAAATTTCTTGATCGCTTCAAAACTGATATATGCCGGCGCACCGATAAGCAAATACCGCAGGAACAGACCTTCAAAGTGCCTATGATGAGAAACTGAATGGATTCCTTTGGATTTTCTTTTTTAAAAAATTTACCTGCAAGGGCGGCGAGATCGGGATCTTGATTGACAAATATGAGTAAACGTGTGGCATTCCACCATGTTATTGAGATGGGGATAAATAAAATGGCAAGGACTAGTAAAGCGCGCTGAAGGTGAATGCCCAAAAGCGTTTTATCACGGGCACCTGTCCATGCTTGCGAACACAGGGTATCGAGAGCTGTGCTTGTTCCGTAAGTAATACTCCAGGCTGACACCGTAGCGAACATGGAACCTAAAGCGGAAGCACCCAGTTCCAATGGACCCTATGCAAGGAAGTTCATGAGTGGCTTCATTCTTAAAATTATCGCAGATCTTGCATTTCATCCTACCAGATGACCGAGAGTAAAAATACTGGCCATTTGAAACGAGCTTTGAAGAAGATAGGTGCCGATGATGGGAAGACTATTGACGAGCATCCATTGAAATTCTTCCTTGTAAGATGCATTCTCTGTGGATTTATAGGAAAGTAATGGACTCTGTTCCGTCAATGTCAAAGAAACAGACGAGTTGCTGGAGGTATCATCATCCGTATATTTCGTATGTCGATGCTGACTTAATCCCATACCAAGAAAAAGGAGAATACGAAAAAAAAAGTTTGATAATCAGGAAAGAGATAACAAAAAAAAAAGGTGGAACAAGGAAAAAGGGATCACCCTTTTTTTATTTTCCTTTTTTTTTTTTTTTCGGGACCGCCAAACTGATGAACTCAGTGAACTTTTTGGTATCAAACATTCTCTTTTGTCTCCTCTTCCAAAACAAGTGGTTATACAAAGTAAGAAAGAACCTGTTGATCAATTTTACGGTATTTCTGGGAAACCACCTTTTCTTTTTTTCACTTCTTCAATGTCTACTTAACTGCAGTGACAACCCAGGCAAGCGGCAAGCGGACAGTGGATGCTGGCATGAATAGAAAGCATGGCGCTCATGAAAATGAAGCTTTTACTAGCAAAAATAGTTGAATAAAAAAACAATTACCAATGTTTGGTCTTAACCGTTTCATCGCACGGCATTCTCAAGGTTCCCGAAACTGTCAATTTTTTTCTTCATAAAAATCAGTCAACGCTGGATGAAAGAAGCTTTGGAGCTTTTGTTCATTCTTTTTGATTTTCTATTGATTTTAAACCTAACCAATCATATAAGATCGTGAAATGCTCGGACGATTCGTGCGCTTGAAGAAGGAGGGAAAAAAAGGTTTAAGCTTTTTTCAATAAGACGAGACGAATAGCGTCGAATTGAAATGACAGTCCAGTCTGTTCAATCTCTAAAACTCGATTGTTTATCCCATTGTTATTGTTTAGGGAAAATGCCTGGGAAAACATCAAGACAGAAAAACACCGCGGATCACCCGTCCTACACGCCGGTTTTGCAGTGCAGAGTTGATTGAACCCAGTGCCCGATGGAAAGTGCGGCCCGAGCCGCTGGACAGTTGACATCATCATTTATTTCAGTCTCCGACGGACAGAGAGGTGTAAACATTTCTGGCTGCCCCCTTTGACCGACTGTGATCCCCACCTAGAAATTTTTCCACCTCGAGTTTATCGCCATGTTCTCCTTGACAGCTCGTGTCGCTCGGCATCCGTGCCGAGGAATTATTGCACGATCGTACGCATCGAAAAAGAAATTCGCCTATAAAGAGAATCCCGATGCGCTTGACGTGAAACAGGCAGTGCGTGTGTTGCAAGCCCTCGAAGTCGGTCATCCTACGCATCAGATCGAAGCCCACATTCAATGCAAAATCGAAAAGTCGACTCCCTTGATTCGTGGATCCATCGTGCTTCCCAAAAACATCAAACAAGAGGCCACTATTCTCGTCTTTGCTACTGGCAAGCACGCTGAAGAAGCTCGCAATGCCGGCGCACACTATGTTGGTGGAGAAGAATTGATTGAACAAGTACAAAAGGGAGAACTCAAATTCGATAAATGCATTTCAACCCCGGCCATGTTCCCTGCAGTGACAAAGATCGCACGTATCCTCGGTCCCAAGGGTTTGATGCCTACTGTTAAGAAAGGTACATTGTTCGACATGGGTTCACGCTTGCAGCTGTATTTAATCTTGCATCGTCTAGGTACTGTCACGGAAGATCTGGCCAATGTGGTAAAGATGTCCAAGGGTTCCTTTGATTTCAAAGCTGATAAACAGGGTGTATTACACACCGGTAAGTGTGTTTTCGATGGGGGAGACAAGAAGTTCGGATCTGACCAAAAATTGCTTAATTTAGGCATCGCCAAAATGACATTTGATTCTGCTGATGTTGAAGGTACAGCATAAAACGAGCATATAAGAGTATCGGAGACCATGGAATACTGATGCTGTTTTTTTTGACATTAGCAAACTTAAAAGCCATTCTGGAGGAATTACGAGTATTTGGCAAAGCGAATAATTTGAAATGTAAGTTTCGATCATACATTTGGATGTGTTTCTGTGGATACAAGGTGATATTGATGTTTTTGCATCCTTTTTTTTTTAGCCATCATTCAAAATGTCGTATTATCTAGCACACGAGGTCCCGGTATTGTGATTGCTGGCGGACCCTCTTTATAGACGCAGCACAGTCACTTGTACATTTTAAGCTTAGACATACAAAAATTTTCAAGTCATTTCATTATCCCCGGAATCGCTTGATTCGTACTAGTTTCAAACAATCAACAGTGTTCCACCCAACAGGTTTTATTTATTTATTTGGGGGTGGGGTGGGGATGAAAGGAGTCTCAATGATGATAGTGATGAACGAGTGCCATCATGTCCCTATGCATGGGAGGCATAAAGCAGTCAACCAGGATTTATTGTCGTCATTTTTAAGTCAAACTGTGTAAATTAGCGTGCACGCCATTTCAATCATTTTCATGCAACCGTTATTTATACAGCAGCAGCATCATTATTGCCGATTGTTTTTGTCACCATTGCAGGATAAATGGCCGAATTTGAACGTTATAAAAAGGCCATTTTCATCGCACCGACACCCAACTTCATTCTTCAAACACATAACAACTTTTTTATTCAAAATGTCTGGAACCCAAAACAACAATCCTGGTAACTTTGCTAACCGTTCCAAGGAGGAAGTTCGCGACATTGCCAGCAAGGGCGGTCAAGCTAGCCACTCTGGAGGTTTCGCCAATATGGATTCCGAGAAGCAGCACAACATTGCCAGCAAGGGCGGTCAAGCTTCCTCTGGTTCTTTTGAACCCGGTAGCGAGAAAGCCAGAGAAGCCGGTCGCAAGGGAGGTCTCGCAAAAGGCCAACACAACCAATAAGCGTGTTATGTCCCACTGACCATGCTCCATCGCTATTATGCGACTGTTTCTCTTTGTAATTAACTCTTTCTTTCAATTCGAGATTTTTAACTAGTTTGTTTCTATTGTAAAAATCTTTGTCAAATATATTTGATCTATTTACTGTAACATTGAGGTTTTGCCCTTTTTCTCAAAGATAAGCGGACAGAACTTTCTGTTATTGCGATGATGATTAATTTTAGGTAATGCAACTGTGTGCGGTACAATAAGGATGCATGAAAAGAAAAAAAAAAGATTGGAAAAATGAGAGGAATTAGGAATAAGTTGTGTGATTCAAGAGTGACGAAAATTAAGCAGGAAAGTTGGAGAGGTTTCATTTTTGGATAGGGGACGAGTGCAGCGGGGTGCGATTTCGCATGGAATCCGTGCTGCGTGTTTGAGGGTCATGATGATTAGTGTAGCTGGGTTTCCGATCGATGCCGCTTGCCAAAGATCGTTTGCTAGCCTTTTTCACGGCTTTATCACGTTCCACAAGATATTCGGAATAGGTGATCCACAACGTTTGTGGAAACAGAATCACCTTGCGGATCCACTTTAACAGGCAGATTACAATCCATACACCAATAGCAAATACTAAAACGTGCAATAAAAAATTTGAGTCGCTTCTTCTTATTGCACACCGCTTGCATGCCACTTACATGTTAAAAAGTAAGACAGTAATGTATACCCAGTATCAAGCCATGGACTCTTGGCACGGTTGGCAAGAATCGACTCGATATCCACTTCTAGTTTTTTGAGCTAAAAAACATTTTGATGAGCAAATGATGGATAAAAGGGTGCCACAGTTGAATTGACTTACAGCTGAGTAATGGGTTTCGGGTATATCTTTGATGTAGGTTTCCATGCGATTTCGGGTCGTTGCCATGTCGAATTGGACGTCTCGGACGACCACTTCCGTTTCCGTCAATGCCTGTTTGAGCTCCGTCATTTCTGTTTGCAGCGCTTCTACACTGAGGCGCACACCTTCCTGCCGGTAATCAAATGGGTTCACGGAACGGAACGGGATATTGTTGAGCAATAAGGATGGGGCTCGGTGCATGGACGCTAGACTGTATCGGCCTGAAGAGCGATCAAGACGTTGCACGGACGATGATCGTTTGCCATTGAAGGAAGATAATAAGGAAGAGGACCGTCGTCGTGATGCCTTTTCTCCTGCAAAATAGTCTTCCGGTTCTTCGGTAAAGAGGGCTTGCGGGCTCCCACTTTTGCGGTCACCACTGGCCGTCGTGGTTTCATGACCAGCATGATCAACCATATCCAATGCCAAACTCTCCGTGACGTCCCACCGATCATTCAGAAATTGCTGTGATTCTTGGGAAAGTCGAGCCAATTCTTCCAAACGGCCACCGACCATTCTCAAGGTCGCCTCAATATCGTCAAATCGGCGAGACGACGCTTGTTCTTTGTCATCCACCGGTCCTAACAACGACACGTGGAGATCGATGAGAGGTCCTATCCATCCCCTTCTTTGGTAAGTACGAAACGGTAGGGATAAATAGTCTGTTCCATCTGCTTACCGTTATCCATCACCTCTTCACCCGTCATCTGTACCAATTTGACAAATTCCGACTTGTCCTTTGGATCGACTTGCACTACCGCTATTTGAGAAAGAAAACAGAAAAGTTTCGAATAAGTTCATGTGCCGATTGCTGAATAGGGATTGATCAGTGGGATATACCTATTGTTTTCTTATCGGTGGGAGAGGCATTGGCATGGGTATAGAGACCCGAGATGATGTTGGCGGCATCGATGACGTCGTCTTCATCATCTTCTTCGTTATCCAGATCCAATTCTTCATCCTCATCGTTTTCGTCTTCGTCCTTGCTGGTTTGACGGTCCGATCCGTCCGTGTCTTTGATTCGTCGTTCCTTCATTTGCACTTTTCCTTCTTTCTCATATTCATTGATAAGGGCCACCACTTCCTCAGGTAACGTATCGTAATCAAACAATAGCACTTGCCCCTTTTCCACCTGCTTTTCATGTGACTGACCACTGTCAGACGAATTCACATCTGTAGGGTCCTCAAAGTCACTTTGATCTACCGGAAATTCCTCGTTGTGAATGCTCGATGAGACCGAAGGAATCGTTTCTTCCACGTCAGAGAGGTTTTCAAAGGCAACTCGGTCGCGCGGGTTGACCTCTGGCGACCGTGTGGACTTGAGGTTGGGACGAAAGGCGACGGCGGTATCCTTGGCGACAGAGGGCTGAGGCTGGTAGAGATGGTAATCGGGGTGCTTTCTCAAATCATCGAGAGAGTAACGTCGATTGTTTTTCAACTGAAGATACGCTTGCAACGGCATGTCCTTGTCTCGCGCTTGTGAGGCTTCTTCGTCGGCCATGGCTTGTCGAATTTGGTGTACATGGTCGCTGGATAAGTTGAGAGGGGCCCATCCATGGTTAGGGTGATGTGGACTGGTCTTACTGTCCGACGTGAGATGAGGCGAAAAGGGGGGCTGTTCATCGTCGGTGGTGATGGATCTTGCTTTGAGACTCACAGGAGAACGGGCAACCGAGGTTTCATAATCTAGTGAGGAAGTACGTGGTTCGTCGTCCTGTGATTGTTCGGATCCCGCTCCATTTGGTTTGTTTTTGCCTTTTAACCTATCCAGTTTGATCAATGTTTTGTACCACGATTTGCGATGTTCGCAAGTCGTAGGACTGGAAGGTTGTAGGTCATTATCGAATGATAATCGCGAAGGAATAGGTTGTTCGTTGTTGATCTGAGTTAAAGCGGAAGGGGGCGGGGTACTGACGGACATGCGCGCCGGCGGCAAGGGCATGTCAAGTGTATGCAGTGAATGATTCTGCGAAGGATATTCGTCCGAACTTGTCGCAGAGAATTCGGAACCTTGTGCAACAGGGAACGGCGACGGATCCAGCGTTGCTTGAAACGTTCTGGAGACCTCGTTTCCAAACGATATCTTTTTCCTCACATCATCCACCGCATTGATCGTAAATACGTCCGGTAAGCTGTCTGTCCGTTGATGGCCTGATAACCGCCGAGTGGGCTGGCGCTGGCCATGACCCGTTTTTGCATGATCGACGTTCTCTACAAAAATCTTCATATTCAGAATTGAACAGAAAAAAAAAAACTTTAGGTAAATCATTCATTTACCCGATTGCTGACGACGGTGACGATGCTCTTTGTAAGCTGGTTTCCGTGGTGCTTCCGGTAACTTGGTAGTAAGTTGAGTCAGCCTCAATATATCTTCGTTGGAAACCGCACCCAGCATATCTTTGGCTAAACCAACACAAGACGGTGAGTCGGCATGTACACCAATCTCGCGAAAAAGTAATACTCACCTTTTCGCGAATCGGCCGTCGCATCTTTCGCTTGTTTGCGTTCCGAGGGGGCATGTTTTCGTTCAGATGAATGCGATTGGGACGGAGTCACCATAATAGGATGAGGATCCAGCCAGCCTCGATTAGTGTCAATGGCAAAAAGAGGTTGTTTCGATGTGGTGCGTGAGTCGGAGGTCCCACGAAGTTCACTGGTAGAAGTCGAAGCCGTACGACGATGACGGTTACTCGTGGATTTTGAGGCGGAAGGAGCTACGGAAGCATCCCCATGGGGATGCTTAGACGGGTCGGGTATAGCTTCTTGTGATCGATGCGACATGGTCCTCCAATGATCAAGCTCATTAAAGTGACGATGTGGTTGCATGACCCAGAGCACAGGGAAAGAAGAAAGAAAAAGAAAAAGAAAAAGAAGAAGAAAAAAATATTGAGAAAAAGTAAGACGAAAAAAAAAATAAGTTAAAAAAGCATAACGTTGGTCAGTTGAACCCTTTCTTTTTTCCTTGCTCATGCCTGTCACGGATGGAAGCCCAGTTGCACGCCATGGAAAAATTTAATGTCAGTCTAACCATGAATACAAGCATACATCTTTCTATCTTCCCATTTTGCATGTACTTTTTATACCTGAACCAAGGTTATATATTCTACTGTATAATCGCAACATAGACGTCATGACGATCTATATAGTTGGTTTCCGACGGAACGGACATGGATACGGTTCTCATCCATTGTTCTTTGCTGACTTTGAATTTGAGGACAATTGACCCTCTCTCTTTTTTTTTTTAGAGGCCAGTTTTTCTCAGTTGTGCTTCTTTATTGTCCCGTGGCGAGGTTAAACAGGCATGGTTATGAGGAGAAGAAAGAGTGCCGGGAAATCGACCAGAAAACACACGGACCGGGTGCAGCGACAGTTGTCTTCTTCCAGTCGCGATCGCGCCGCACGTCGACATGCCCGACATGAAGGTCATCAGGAATTACCAGAAGACATCATGATGGATGCAGCCCAGTTGTTCCGAGAGAATATCAATGCTCCTTTTTGGAAACGAAGACCGTTTTATTTCCTCGTCGGACTCACGGTAGGATTGATGGGCATGTTTGCCGTTTCCAGCACTCCCGCGGCTCAGAGCCATCTCGGTGACTTGCAAACCTACTTGGCCTTGCAATTGGCAGACATCGATCTTGCCAACGTACTGCCGGCCTCAGGCATGATTGATGATCTATTTGGCAATTTCACCAACCTCGTGAAATCCGCTCCCTCCAGTGAAATTCCCTTTATGCCGGCTATTGCTCACAGGTTGGAATCTCACGGATTTAAAAAAGACACGAGAAAAGCAGTCCACCTTAACAAGATGTCCATGATATTGTCCCCTACAGAGAACAACTCAATTTGAAGCCGCATTTCCCGGTAGTGTTAATGCATGGTATCATTTCCTCTGGACTGGAAAGCTGGAGTACATCGGAGAAATCCAAAAAGTACTTCCGAAAACGCATGTGGGGAACCACCAGTACGTATGCTTAGTGCAATGACTTGAGCAGTCTCCATTGTGTTTAACAAAGACCCTGGATTCTATGTAGCCATGTTTCGATCGGTGTTGTTGGAGAAGGAGCTTTGGACAGAACATCTTAAACTGGATCCGTGGACGGGATTGGACCCTCCCGATATTAAACTGCGCGTAGCACAAGGTTCGTTTGTAAACAAATATGCAAATCCCAAAAACAGATAACAATGAAAGGGGTCAATCCTCATTTTTTCCATATTTGCAGGATTGGATTCGGCCGATTACTTTGTGACAGGGTAGCGTATCCTTTTTTTTTTCTTTTAATGTCTGTCCATTGATGATCAGCTTATCCGCGGACTTTTCTTCTTTTAGGTACTGGATTTGGGCCAAAATTATTGAGAACCTGGCGGCTATAGGGTACGACAGTAATACCATGCATCTTGCCAGTTACGATTGGCGTCTTTCCTTTGCCAACTTGGAAACCCGCGATCAGTACTTTTCACGTTTAAAATCCACCATTGAAGTGGCGTACCAGGCCAACCATCGCAAATCCGTCGTCATCACGCATTCCATGGGTAACAAAAAAAAAATGGTCTAATGGCCCGTTTATCCGTTGTCAAAATTTAGTTTAGTTTGGCCTCACCATTTTAAGGTTTTCACGTTTTGCAGGTTCGGTCTTGTTCCCGTATTTCCTCAAATGGGTAGAACATCCTGATTACGGGAACGGAGGTCGTGATTGGACCGACAAGTACATCGAGTCATTTGTCAACGTCGGCGGACCGATGATGGGTGTTCCCAAGGCATTGACTTCCATGCTTTCTGGTATGTCTATGTGATAATCCAGAATATCACAGATGACTAACTTAAGGATATAGGCGAAACGCGTGATACCATGAACTTGGGCAGTTTCGGGGCCTATTTGCTGGAAAAGTTCTTTTCTCGACGCGAACGAGCCAATCTAATGCGTACCTGGGCTGGAGGCTCATCCATGCTTCCAAAAGGCGGTGAAATCGTGTGGGGAACACAACAGCAAGCTCCCGATGACGAGCGCAATGAAGCATATCACTCTTTTGGCAATATGATTTCATTTGTTCCTCAGCTCGTTGAAATTTCCAAGAACGGCACCGAAATCAAAAAGACCGCACTTCATGACATATTACTTCGAAATCATACCATTCACTCTTCCATGGGGTTGCTCCATCACAGCACCGACGAAGCTTACCAAGAAATGCTGAAGCGCAACTACTCTTTTGGTATCACTACGTCCAAGAAGCAACTGGCCATCAATGATAATGATCCAAGGACATGGTCCAACCCCGTCGAATCGAAATTACCCATTGGTAAGCGCTTTTAAGGGTTCACATGAAGCCTATCGATCTAAATACATACATATTACCCATGATGAACGGTTGATGTAGCTCCTAATATGAAGATTTACTGCTTTTATGGGGTTGGCTTACCTACCGAACGCAGCTACTTTTATGCTGCCACGAGTGATCAAGACACGGCGGCTCAGCAAGATGCTATGGCCGTCAACGACACGGATAAACATGTGGCCGAGGCAGAATCGAAACCGCTGGAACTGGTACAATCTTTTAGTGATATCCATTATGCCGTGTTTGCTTACCCTCTTGCTTGATAGTATATCGATGCTTCTATTCATGATCCGATGGAAAGGGTAGAAACCGGGGTTCGGTTTAGCGAAGGGTAAGATAATTGACTCATTGGAAAAATCATGACAGACCAACTCACTGTGATTGTGCGATGACAGAGATGGCACCGTCCCACTTCTTTCTCTTGGGTACATGTGCGCGCCTTCAGGAGGGTGGACAAAGCATGCGGATCTGTATAACCCGGGTCACAGTCCGGTGATTTTAAAGGAATATCAAGACGAAAGTGAAGGCATGCTGAATGTTCGCGGTGGCAGTAAAGCGAGCAATCACGTCGACATTTTGGGCAATTGGGAAATGACGGTAAGTGGCCATACTGTACCCCAGGCTCAAAATTAGTTATCTCTAATATACATTTATCAGTTGGATCTTTTACGCATTGTCTCCAATCAAGGTGATCAAGTGTCCCAACGCATCACATCAAACATTGAACAAATTGCGCAGAAAGTCGAGTTGCAACACGAGCGATGATGCGTACAAACATCATCACTTTATAAAATAGCATAATAAATCAAATAATGGCATTATACAATCATTCAAATAAAATAACACGAGGCGGTATTGAACAATGAGTAGTGTGAATGGGGGTTATAATAGTTCATTAGTGTTATAAGATAGGATATTAGAGAGATGGCGTGTGGTTGCTTTTAAACAATTTGCTCCAAAACAATAAGAGCATACATATAAAGGGGAATGACAATGTTATCATTCTGAGTTGAAAATGCTTCCAGTAAACCTAGAAACAAAAAAACTTTATCAGTCAGCTAGAAAAAAAGAAGTCAGTGGGCCTCATTTACCTGTGATGGTGACAATAAACATGTAATTAAACCATTTACTTCGGCCCGCCGAAGCAACGAAACGAGAGGCGTCTTCCACGCCAAAGAAAGCGGATACATAGGTGATCATGATTGAACTAATATACACGGTCAGAATAAACGCCAATGTGCCCTCCACTGTCTTTCGCGATTTCGGCCAATGCCAGCGTCCATATCGTTTGCCAACCAAAGAAGCCTATCAAATACATCACCCTGTCAATCATGGTTTTCAAATGCATTATTGCTCAACTTACGGCGGCATCGCCAAACCCGAGAGCCAGAATTCCAGAGAGACTGGCAAGCAAGTTGGAACTATAATCGAAAATTAGATACGGTAAGATGCCGTGAGAGACTTCGTCATACATACCGGCCTAACCATACGGGACTTGCACAACCGAGCAACAAATAAATATGGCTTAGAATGACAGGACCGAGGTCTCGATTGTCGATAAACTCGGTCAGGAAGATGTGCAGACTCTTGCCATAGGGCCACACAGCGAAATATCGTAAATATTCGAGATAAATAAATGCCGATAACGCGACAGCAAAGGAAAGTTGTAGAAAAGACCGCTAAAATATGCCATATATTTAAGTCACGCGGCGATGATTTTCTGTTGCGGTCCCACACCACTATACCTCAAATAAGACGGCTGGGACGAACATGACGACGGCCAAAGCATGGAACAATTTTCGTTTCTTGTTGAGAGTCTGAGTCAATACTCGGATCTGCGTTTCCTTGGCGTCAAAAGGCGGACCGACCGATTGCGTGTCAAAAGAACTGAAATCGAGCACCAACACCCACACCACCACGGTCGTCGCGATTGTAAATGCCCAGTACAGACACAAGAACAAACGAGGCGGAGACATGAACACATATTCCACGGTCCTACAAAATACGGAATAATTTTTTTTTTTTTTTTTGGTTTGAATGAAGTGTTTCGCGCAAGGAGATCTCCTTTTTCCCATGATGCAGGCGACTTACCACATAAGCGGATTGTGACCCATGATGGAGGTGCATACAGGTGCGATAAAGAAAAGAATGATCCCTAGTGTTGTACCATAAACTGCTAAAGCCACCAAGATTTTTTTCTTTTCAATACTGGACAGACCCTCGACCACAGGGGCCGTGCGCCAGTACGGTTGACGCGCCAATTGACGTGAATAGCGTAACAGTGGATAAGCGAGGATCCCAATAATGAACATGCCGAGGATGACAGCATGAAGCAGAACAGCGATAGGGGAAATATCGGCGTACTGAATATATTTTGGAGTATCCTCAGGCATGAACTAAAAGGCTAGTGTGAGCGACCCTTGACTCCTTTATTACTTTATTTTCCCTTTTTTTCCCTTGATCCCTGTCATCATGATCTTACCGTAATATAGATGAATTCCATGGCATTGTGAACGAGAACGGCCGCTCCTTGGGAAATTAGAAACATTTCGCCCAGAGAAAAGCATTTTTTTAGAGCGACGACGCATAAATAGAGGCACCATTGGAATACGGTCAGCGATACGACAGTCATTGTCATTGGCGTGTTACAGAGTACAGGGACCAATGAGGTGACACGAGTAATGAACCATACCACGACCGTCGATATACAAACACTGCACAATAGCAGGCCACGTTTTCGCACTGTTCGTCTTTTGGAGTGCAACAACTGTCCTATCGACGCCAGTAGTAAAGCGATGAAACTTAATAATAACATCAACTCCAATTTCGCTTGCATGTGTTCTACAAAAATGGTAATAAGGATGGCAGGTTGAGAATAAATTCTACTTTTCCCCAAGCATTTGATTTCATCGTCTACTTACCTATATGCCAAGGATCCATGTCGCGACGGGCTGTATCCAAGACTTGGGCGGCGGCTACAATGGGCATCAATAAAACACCGCAAAGTAATCCATCATCGGCTCCATCTCTAATAAGCCCCACTGTGTAAGTGACACGAGGTAATTTTCTGAAACGCCATCAGCGATTTTTCCCAATTTTACCGAAATGCTGATCTACTTGCGCCAAAAATACGGTGAGCCGGTGGAGGTAATTTTGACCAATGGATGGCAGCTAGTTTCTCGGTGACCATGCCATGGGTTTTCCAAGGTTCCGGAGACAAAGGTTTATACTGATACACAGTATCCTGTGAATGTTGATCGTCGGAGGAGGCGGTAGCAGACGAAGATCGTTCATCATCGCAACGCTGTTGAGGATCGGTTTTGGATTTCTTTTCCTTACGTCGTGATATGAATCGGTAGGCAACGAGACTTGTAAAAATCAAAGCCATCCATTCTGATGTCATGCGGATTACCTAAAATGTAAGTTTTATCTTTTCCTTTTTGATTTTATATTTATTTTGGGCGCAGCGATACTGTAGGAAGGTTTACCTGATAATATCAGCGAGTTCAAGGTTGGAATGTTGGTACGGCAAAGCTTGTAATAAGTGTAGAGGGACGAAGCGATCCATATGCATCGTTCAGCGGGGGTTATGCGTCGGTCGCTGGCATGGTAGAATGGAACGACGGTCATGGAGGAGTATTCACCTGATCGTGTTTTCTGGGCTCGTCGTCTCTGAAGAATCTCGAGTGTTTGCTTTTCCTCAACAGACGATGCCGACGCAAAGCCTTCGTCTGCTTCGTAATCGTAAGAGTGCTTTGTCAGGGTATCGGTAGAGTGAAGCGCAGTCGGTGAGTGGACCGGCTGCGAATGGATTCAAAAGAAATCAAAGTCTGCAAGAAATAAAAATCAACTGATTTTCCTTGTCGATACACAAGAGAGGACCTTGAAAAAATACAGTCTCTTTCTGGGACAGCAGTAAAATAAAAGAGGCAGAAAGAGAGAAAGTGAGAAAGTGAGAGAGAATAAAGAGAACCACGTATTTTACAAAGATGAATTTTTTTTTTATGCGTCTAATGGATGTCTATATCCGTCAATGTGAACAAGGTGGATGCAGAAAAGGAAATGGGACCAACGTTTTGCTGGAATCGAAAAGAAGGAAAAGAATGAGAGGGAAAAAAAAGAGAGTTAAAGAAAAAAAAAAATCGCGCGCGCGCCCTGTAAATCGAAATGCAACTCAAGTTTGTAGGTGAATCCAATGGGATTCATTATCACGTGCCAAAAAGAACCCTCTTCTTTCTTTTTTCCAATTCCGAAACATGATGACATTGGAGTGTCTTGCACATTTTTCCTTTTTTTGGGTTATTCTGAGAGTGCTTCGGCAAGGAAATGTTCTTGCAGAGGTTCAATGATTCGCGTAAGACCTTCACCAGAAAGAACAGGTTCCAGTTCATGCAGTGTAAGGTTAATGCGATGGTCCGTCACGCGATTCTAAAAGCTTTGTAAACAAAACAAATACACGAAAACCTTCGTTGTGCTGGTAACTCATCGCTTTTACCTGCGGAAAATTATACGTGCGAATCTTTTCAGACCGATCACCGGTGCCAATCTGCTTGTTGCGAGAATCTCGTCTGGCGGAGGCCGTTTTCTCTCGTTCTTGTTCATAAATTTTAGCTCGCAAAACCTTGAGTGCTTTTAATTTATTCTAATGGCACACCCAACCCCCCCAAAAAGAAAATTTTCACGGATAAATGCGTCAACAAAGGCAAACATTTATCAAATATGCACTGTTTTTCTGTTTTGTACATTACCTTGTGCTGAGAACGTTCATCTTGCATGGAAACAACCAAACCCGTGGGTATATGGGTAATGCGAACAGCACTGTCTGTTGTGTTGACATGTTGACCTCCTGCACCGGACGCACGATACACATCAATGCGGAGATCCGAATCGCGAATTTGCACATCCACCTTTTTTGGGTAGCACAGCATTGAAGAAAAAGAAAAACATAAACCGTCAGTATCGCATTTCAACCACTCATGATCAGCTTCCTCACCTCTGTGGGTTGTGGTAACATGGCTACCGTCACAGTGGAGGTATGAATGCGTCCTTGAGTCTCAGTGGCCGGCACTCGTTGCACTCTATAGAGAAAACGTCAGTGCTTGTCCTATGCCTATGTCTAAAAATACAAAACAACGTACCGATGGACGCCCGATTCGTATTTCAGCATACCAAACACATTTTTACCAGCAATATTAACTGTGATATCCTAGACCATTCCACGAATATTTTTACTTAATTGAGTGCTCATTTTAGCCCATCTTGTTGACGGCATGCATATTTACCTTGAACCCTTTTCCACCGGCGTCTTCAGAAGATGAAAGGATTTCCCACTTCCATCGTTTCAACTGGGCAAATCGTTCATACATACGTGCCATGTCTGCCGAAAAAAGCGACGCTTCCTCACCCCCGGCACCGGCTCGGATTTCCAGGATACCACTCGCATCATCGGCCGCATCTTTCGGAGCCAGTTCCGTCAATAGATCACGTTCAATATTCGTCAATTCATTGGTAATTTCCTCGTATTCTTCTTTGGCCATATCAATCATATCTTGATCGGGTTGCGTGGATAAAAGATCTTGGAGTTGCTTCAGATTGTCCAACTGCTGCTGCCATTGTTCAAAGAGCGATTTGCTTGTGGACAGACTCGCTAGTTCTTTGGACGCATGGGTGAGTTCGTTAGCTCCAAGTTGGTTATTGCTGAGTTGAGAGAGCAAAGAATCGTGTCTTTCTCCCATACGAAGGAGCTTCTTTTCCAATGCCGGTGTGATGCGAGACGTCGGAAAAGATGCAGCTAAAAGCGGCCGGGATGAGTCGACGGTTCTACCAAGAACTACAGGGTTTTGGTATTTCAATTACCTCGTGTTGAAAACGGTCGAGCGATCCTGAACATCGTCTGATAAAAAGATCGCACCATGCTTTCCACTACACACCGGGGAAATCGTTCTCTTTATTTTTTTATATGCTGTCAAGCTTTTGCCTGCCCTGTCGAGCCTTTTTTTCAACCCGATCCTCCTTTTGGAAACGTGACAGTCACACTGAACCAGTTCCGCCTTTGACTTTGCCAGCAAATTGCTTGTCCTTCTGTTCTTTTTGCAGAGAAAAGAAAAAATAATAATATGCAGACAAGTACTCAAGTATTGGCCAACGCGACGTTTGAAGAGATTCTTGATGATCTGTCAAGGTAAGCTTTTGAGCCATGTTTTGTCATGGAGAACGGTTTCCATAGTTTGAATGGGCAAATTTCTAACTCGAGTGTGTATTTTAAAAAAAAGTCGCTTTATCGTCAACGTTCCCGAAGCAGAACTTGCCTCTGTTGAACGCATTTGCTTCCAAGTAGAACAAGCACATTGGTTTTACGAAGACTTTGTTAGAGAAATCAAACCAGAACTACCGTCATTTCAACTGAAAACATTTTCTGCAAAGAATATCCTTTTTTTCCCCTCTGTTACTACTAATAACTTGTGTGTCTGTTCCTTTGATGGACCAAATGCCATTCATTGCTTGTTATTCATCCTTAACTCTTTCACACTATTCACGCATTGTCCTCTTTTACAGCAATGGGCTCACGAGCACGAACGCGCATATGCCGACTTTATGCAGTATCGCTTTCGCATCCCCGTTTGCGGAGCCATCATTCTCAACGAGACGCTGGACAAGTGTCTGCTAGTGAAGGGCTGGAGTTCCAAATCTGGATGGGGATTCCCCAAGGGAAAAATTAACCAGAATGAAGAATACGATTGCTGCGCTATCCGAGAGGTAAGAAAATTATCGGGAAAAAAAATGTTATGTATGTCCGAGTTGGCCACTCATTGCCATGGTTAGGTATTGGAAGAGACCGGTTATGACATCACTGACGGTTTGCGAAAAAACGATTACATCGAACTGACCATGCGCGAGCAACGTATTCGATTGTATATTATTGTTGGGGTACCGGAAGACACAGAATTCATACCTCGTACGAGAAAAGAGATTAGCGTGAGTATACTGGGCCGGCCGACATTATTCACAACCACAGGTTTTCTAACCTCTGTTTTGCTTGTCTCTCTTTAGCAAATCGCATGGCTCAAACTCGATGATTTGCCAACTTACAAAACGAATGGATCGAACAATGGAAGCCAGAATTATGTTCGATTGGGCTCATTCCGATTTTACATGGTGGTGCCCTTTGTCAAGTAAGTCTTTTTTTTATTGGAAAAACTCGATTTCTTTTCTCTCCTCTTACACTTGTTGTTCATTTCTCAGCAAATTAAAACATTTTGTGCAACAACGTAAGAAGGCGATACGACGTAGTAAGAATAACAACAACCATCAGAAAAACGGCAAAGATCAGAATCAGACATCCGACGAAGGAAACGAGACTCCAACCCCGGTATCAACGCATGCTTCTTTATCTACAAAGCCAACGCAACCTCAGGAATCTTCCAATGCTCTCAAATCATTACTCGGCATCAATGAATCACTTGAAGGCGCTCCACATCGGGACGTTTCGACCGCGCAGCCTCCTCCCCTCCAAGATCCAGCAACGTCCACGGGCCCAGGCAATTACCCACAACGCGCGATCAATCCCGCCGTAGCAGCGTTGTTCGGCTCAGCATCACCGCAGCCACCTCGTGCACAAGCGCCTGAAATTCATCCACCCTCAGCACCGACTCCACCTTTATCTGTGCAACCGATGCCGCAGCCCGAATCGTTGGCTCCACCCAATGTAACATCGCATTCGGGCGTACATCCTGCGGTCTTGGCCTTGTTCAGTTCCTCTCCTGTACCAGCATCTGCTCCTCCCCCTCCTTCATCTATGGAAATGGCGCCACAAACGGAATCTATGGCTCCCACATCCAATGTGGCACCATCTCACCCAGTTACTCATCCTGGAATTTTGAGCTTGTTTGGTGTATCACCCTCTTCCTCATCATCATCACCACCGCAACGTCAAGAGACTACCATCGTTACCCCACTCGCGCCGCGCTCTTCTTTACCTAGCGGACAATCATCCACTCCAGAGACCCTTCGTGCTCCCGAGACTGCCTCAAGACACGGTTCAAGATCCCCCGTGTCGGCGTTGTTCGATTCACCCATGTCATCCTCCTATCAAGGCTATGCGTCACCTGTACCACCGTCCGATCAACCACAACATCCGGTCTCTATGAGTCGGTCGTTGTCTGGCAACAGCCGACCGGGTGCACCGTCGGCCATGCTGAGTGGAATGGGTCCCTCCGCCTATTCATCTTCAGCGACTCCAGTAGACTCCAACCCATCCGGAGAAGAGGGCGCCACACAGAATGATCTTGTGAGAAGAAATTCTTTATTGACACTTTTGCAAGGACATTCGAGCAAGCCTTCCAAGGGACCTGCGGTGCAACAGACGCCTTCTTCGATGGAAAAGAACCCGTTGCAAACGTTGCTTCAAGGTGGATTCCGATAATCGGCTACATGGCCCGCAACTAACCATGCAATGCAGATATCCAAAAATATTGATGATAATAAAAACAAAAGGGTCACTGATGGCAAAAAAAAAGAAACTATGAAAATTTTATGGGACCAGTCGTATCATGATGCGGCTTACGTTCAAGTTTTGGATGTGGCGGACAGTTGATGGACCCATCTTTCCAAATCCACCTTTTCGTAGAGAGAAGAAACTAAATAATAGTGTTTCTTTGGACAGCGAGTCAATGTCTTTTTTTTTTTAATTCGTTTCTCTCTTTCTTTTCTTTTCTTTGCATACGTACCATGAGATCACTGGGCGTGGCTCGTAATTTGACGTCCTTGATCAAGCTGTGAACATGGATACATTAACCTATGAGTAGACAGGATAGGCAGTCATTGTCCCTACCACTGATTGACAAAGTGAACGAGGTCTTCAGGATATGTGTGGGGCGGAAATGATGGGACAGGTTCGTGAACGATATGTTGCAGCAGTTCAAAGATAGAGAGAGGCGTACTGTCGGGTGGAAATGGGAATCGACCGAGGGCCAGTTCCATCAGTGTGATGCCTAGTGACCATACATCGGATTTTACACTGTATGGCGAGCCCATGATACGCTCAGGCTAACAACGAAATGAAGCAGCGAATAAGCATTAAATAAACGGATAAAAGGTTTAGAATGCTTACACTCATATATGAACTTGTGCCGACAAAGGTATCTGCCACGGAATTGATCAATTGACCTGATACACCGAAATCGCATAGTTTGATCTGACCCAAGGAATTGACAAGTACGTTGGATGGTTTGAGATCTAGTATACAAGGGTAATTAATTCTCTGGCGACTGTTTGTCTGGTAATTCACCATGAATTTTGGGACGTACCACGATGGATAATACGGTGGTTATCGTATAAATAGATTAATCCGTCGACGATCTAACGGAAATGCAAACAAAAAATAAATGAGTGAACAGTACTTCAGTCGCCATGGCATGTCGATATGTGGAGTAGTTACCGCATAGGCGATCTTTTTCAGAACCGGCATTGAAATGGGGCCGTATTTTTTATAAATGGTATCTAAGGATCTGTTGATAGAAAAACGGAGTCAACGCACAGGTACTTGGTATGCGGATGATGAAGAAGAATTTGATGATGTACCCAATTTCCATGTATTCCATACAAATGGAGATGGTGCTGCCATTGATAAATGCGCCATAAAAACTGACAATGTGCTTCGAGTTGCAATCGTGCATAAATTGTAATTCTCGCATGATCTGTTTTCGGACTGTCATATTCGCTTGGACATGGATAATCTAGAAAAAACGACGTGCTGGGTATCAGTCGTCTGGACACTTTTCCTGCACAAAGCAGCTCGCGTCGTTTAATGAAAAAAAAAATGCCAGGTACACCACCTTTCGTGCCATGACTGTGTTGGTGCGAATATGCAAGACTTTGGAAACGGTCCCGCCGTTGCCCCGGCCCAATTCGTCAAGAGGTTGAAGGTCTTCCGGACGCAGATCCAGCCGCAATTCCACACCGATCTCCAAATCACGCAAAGTGTCGCACAATTGACCGTAATCCTGGGTGGATGATGACGATGGCGGTGGCGGTGCTCTGCTTGTAATGACGGGCGATTCTCCTAACTTCAAATTTTTGAAGTTGCGCTTTTTTCTTAATGTCGTCTTTGGCAGCATGTTAAAGAATGGTCGTAGCGTATATATTAGATCCAGGACAACAAAACAGACATTCAAAAAAAAAACGTCAAAAATACAAAAAAAAAAAAGAAAAAACGTTGGAGAGAAAGAGGTAAAGAGAAAAGCACCACCCGCAAAAAGTGAATGATTGTTCGTCCGGAACGGGGAGGTCGATTGTTCAAAAAAAAAAAAAGAGAGCCTTTCCAATTTTAGGTTTCCCCTGATGAGAACCCTAAAAAAGTCCGCGCAATTCCCATCATCCTTAGTCCACCTCGCTTCTCGTATATGTTTTAATTTCGTTTCCTCGCTATATCCTGCCAAATAGCCAACTTTTGCTTTTCCAGGTACAACTGACTCCTTGCATAATCCTTCACTGCCGCCAACATATCTTGGGACACACTCGGCCTATATTCATTTTCCAGATCTTCCTGCAGACCACGGTTAATCCGTTCGTAGCGTTGTTCCGTATCACGTTCTATCCTTCGTGCCTACAATTGTAGTAATTTTTTAAGTTATTTGGTCCGTCTCTGCTTACTTCTCTCCATGACTACATGCTTTAACTTACCATCTCTAGATCCGCAATAGCGTCATTCGCTTGTCTTTTATCAATGTTCACCGAAGATTTCAGTCGCTCCACAATTCTTAGACAGTGCTCGGTTTGCTTTCGACTACTCATATAATCCGACAGAGCATGGAGCCGTCTTCTCATGGATCCCTAGAAACCATCACAGGTCAACAGCATAAGCATACACTCTCCGGGAACCGTAGAATGTCAACGTACCTGTGCAGCTTCATTGTTGGCTATTTGATAACTGATCTCATCTCCTAAAGTCTCTGTGGCAGCGATGCCTTGCCATTGTTCAATGTGAGACAGTAACTGACACCCCTTGGCCAAATCCTTGTAGGTTCTACATAGTAATTTTTTTTTTTTTTTTTTTTGCCAGTTACAGTCAAGAAAACTTGCGTGGCTTCATGATCATCGGGGTTGCATACATGAACAATTCCGGATTGCGTTCCATACTGCCATACGGTACCAGGTCCGAAGTAAAATCGACATACGCTCGTGCCACGTCTACCCATCAGCAATAGCAGTATGAACAAAACCCATCCATTTACCTTCTTGCTCGTACGAGTGCAATGTATCTTTGCTTACCTTTAAATCCTTTATCTAGACGTTCCATTTGCAGTTGTAGTTGGGTCAGATGACGGTGGGTTTCTTCAAGATGCGTGTACCACGGTGTAAAACTCGGTTCCATATCATGTTCCGAGGCCGTCGCCAAGCTCTTTACACGAAGTTTACGCTCTCTTTTCAAATGAGGGCGGAACTAGGGAAAAAAAAAAGAGGAGAATCAAGTCAAGTTATTCCATTTTGTGGGTGCTATGCTCAGATCGTATTTCATCATGAGCGGACTCGGGGGAGAGCTCAGCTTCAACTACAGCTTACCTACCCCGACTTCGCTTTCCACAAATTCTCGCAACCCTTCGCTTTGCTGACTGTGCTCATGTCGGGCTATGCGATCCAACCAGCGTTGGATTTTCATATCCAACGGTACCGTATCTCGTCTGTTCGTCGGCTGGCCTGCAAAGTCGACATTGAACCACCAGCACCGATCGAGCAGTTGGCCTTCCTTATCATAACGAGCCACAGGACACGATGGCAAGGCGGGTATAAAGGTATCCTCGAGAGTGGCTATGAGGTGCTGATGCAGCTTTTGTAATTCGGTATAATACCGAGGGAATCGACGTTGTTTTGCTTTATACTTGGTGAGGGTTGTCTAGCACAACCAGTCAGTGCTTCTCTTTCTTTTTGTGCATATACCAAAGGGAGTACATTACAATCGCTTCGATCCAGAAAACTGGGTCTTTTCGTTTATAATCCACAGTGGTAATGTGTAATTCCAACGGCCATTGTCTGTGTTCCATTAAACCAAGTTTGTTGCACACTTCAAGTGAAAGAAGACCCAAAGAAAACTAACCCAGCCCCAAAATAATCCCGTCCCGCCTCGAAATTCAACTGCCCTTTCATAAAAGAGAATTGTTCATTTCTAAGGTTTAAGCGACAATGAAATTCTGCCAATTTTTTTACATGACTAATAGCTATCAAGTCAAACCATACACACCAAAATCCAGTACTTCAAATGAAGTAACGTTATCGCTGCCAAGAAATAAAAATATGAGCAAATAATGTAAGCTTCTTCACTTTTCATATGGGCTTACCGATGAACCGCAGCCACACAACGACGATGATCAAAAGCGACACGCCAAATACCCGTGACGTCCGTAATAAGATCTTTCAACGGTTCTCCGGTCTTGATATCCCACATTTTTAATGCGCCTTCCGACCCTGAAATCACCTTTTCATTGTCGTGCTGGAAACAAGTAATAGCGCCTCGATGGCCCGTGAGCACTTGTTGGCAAGCCCCTGTTTCGGCCGACCACACACGCAATGTGGTATCCGCCGCAGCCGATACAATATATTGATCCGTCAATCCAAGCAATCCCACCAAAATGGAATGTCCTATAAGCACTTGCAAGCATTGACCCGTGATCAAGTCCCAGACGCGTACGGTGCTGTCCATGCTCCCGCTCATACATCGTTGTCGCCTGGTATCAATCATCACTGTGTACACTTTTTGCGTATGGCCTTCCATACGGTGCACGAGTTGCCCTGTTTCTATATTCCATATAGCGACCGTGTTGTCATAGCTGCCACTGACCAATGTATAGCCATGCACCGCAATGGCACGTACGGAATGCGAGTGACCGACCAAGGTGTGCATGTGCCACGGGTTCACTCCGATTCCATTGTAAGGTTCATCCTTGCGCGGATCGGGTAATCGCCAAATACGTAGCGTAGCGTCTCGCGATCCCGTGATAATGAGTGGCTCTTTGGGCTCCAGACGGCCATTGACCATCGTCGGAACCACGATTTGTAAGCATCGCACCGTGGAGGTGTGACCGCGAAAGATATGCGTGCATACACCTCGTTCAATGTCCCACACGCGAACCGTGCGATCCGTTGATCCACTCACAAGAATGTTGTCCACATATTGCAACGCCCACACGCCGCCTTCGTGTCCACGCAGTGAGCGCAGTTTTTGGCCGGTTTTCGTATTGTAAATGTTGATTTGCTCGTCGTCGGCCCCGGAAACGATCTTGTCATCATCAAACTGCAGGCAAGTCACCACATGTTGAAGATGGCCGGGAAAACTGATCCGAGCGGCCCGTCCGTGGCGCCAATTTTGTCGAAGGATATACTGCCGACGATAGGACTCTTTATAGGGATGCGAGAAAGTATTATCCCTTGATTTCTCCTTTTTCTTGTGGGTGGGCGGTGGTGGTGATGATAGTGATCCCATTTCTCCCATGGTGTCATCATACCGTGGCTCCTGCTTACCATGTGGCCAGGAGCCCCAGCTCGGTTGAAAACCGTCCCGCTCAAGTAACCGGCGCCAAGTAGAATCATCCGAGTCAACAATGGCACGCCACTGCTTGCTCACCGACGCGGCTCGACACAGGGAGCGGACATCAAGATAGCTTAAAATTTGCAACGCCAATTCACGCGGTAAAAAGGTCAAAAGATCACGCTTGAATATAGGCGCGACCACAGAATCGACAAACTGCAGGGTATCTGAAGATGATCTTTTCAGGAGTTGGAATAAAAGATGTGATTTCATATTGGCGGACAGTCTATCATAGGCATAAATCAAATTCGGTAGACTGCACAGTTGACGAGACATTGAAGGTGGATCGGTGGCACCCAGCCAAAGGGAACAAGGACGAGTCAGCGGATGACGATCGGAGGAGGGAAAATAGGTTTCTGTGGTGTCATGAGGACGACGACAAAACGTCGGTGTAGGTGATGGCGATGGAAAGCAGGCACGGTCATGGGTAGCTGTCAAGGATTGCGATGAAGAAGGAGAACCGGTAAGGTGGGGTGCAGAACTAGAAATAAGAAGGGGAGAGGTGGAGGGAAAAGACAAGGGAATCGACAGGTCGGGTTGCAGTCGCCGAGCTCGTTTATGGTATGCTGAATGAAAGGGTTCACCTGTCACCGATCGTTTGCGCGCTAATCGACTGGGATGGTTCGGAAAACGCCCCTGCTGGTAAAAAATATGGGGATTTAATTCCATGGTTGTATTTCCAATTCTCCCTCCAAAAACGTAGTCCTTGCAGACAAATTACCATCTGTTGTTTGTCACATAAAGAGTCCAGGTATTGCTCCAAATACCATTGGGTACTGGATGGTTTATCTAAATATCGGACATCGCCCGCCCGAAAATTGCATGATACTCTCTTTGCCGCTTCTTCTGATCCTTCGCCCTTGGAAGGATGATACGAGTGAATCGATCTGGAAATATGAATAGTGTTTGGCGATGGGGTGGCAGATGAATGTTGCTGCGACGTTTCCAAGGATACAGAAATGGCGGCAACGGGTTCATCGGGAAAGAATGGATTCATGGACAGGAACAAGGACGAATGCACGGAATACGGACACTTGCACAATCAGACCCAATGGTTCCAATGGCATCTATCCAAGATCAAAGTAGACACCGGATAATAGAAATAAAAAAGAAGCAAGAGAGCAGCACAGAGCACTACAGAGGAACAGGGAAAAAAAAAAGCGAAAAGACAAGGGAAGCCAGCGCCATCACAAAAGCATGATTCAGTATGGGCGGAATGCGAAATTGAATCACGAGCAAACGAAAAAAAAAAAAAAAAAATCTCAACACTTGGATGATCTTGACCCTATTCCATGATTATTTTTCAAAAGGGTGAGTGCATTCAAACATGGAAAAATGGAACAAGGGGAATTGTACCAAAATTTCCGTTATCCGTTCATCATCCACCAAAAAGCCCTTACGCAGGTAGAATAAGATATTAGAAGAAAAAGAAAGGAATGGAAGAAAAGATCAGACAGCGAAAGACGCTTCAGGGGGGAATCCAAAGGTTGCAGAAAGGCGGGGCACAACCTGGCCCATCCATTGGACGTTTGGGCGGGGGAAATCGTAAATGGTAATTTCAACAAAATAATTGCATCGAACAATCATTCTGCGGGACGCATTACTGCCTATTTTGGCTTCCCAATCGACGACAAATATCATGCCAAGCACGTACACGCAGAAATACGGCAACTCGATGTAACCACTTATTCACCTGATAGTTTATTGAACAATACTACGTGTAAGCAATGCGCAAAAATCTGTAGCTTTATAACCAACTGATCCAAAAAAAAAAGATTTATCATGGGTGAACAATGATAGTTCTCTGTATTCCAAGTACGTAATTACCGTTTTGAAGAAGGATTTTCGTTAGAGAAAGAAGGATATCTAAATGTGAGAAATGATAGATTTTAAACAGAAGAACATCCGGTTATGATAACTGTTGGGATTGATGTATAGGCAATCATACAATCACCGACCTTTTTGGAATCATCCCAGGAAGTACAGAAGAGGCGATGCTTGAATCGAATTTATTTTTAGCATACAACGTATAATCAAAATGATGATCTGAAAATTCCACAAAATGTTTCCAACATCGAGCGTTGGCTTCATGTTTTGCTAAGATTCATTGAATCAAACGCACAAAATGGCATTATCGATCACAAATGGTTCCAACCCTTTATCATGGAGGGAAGCGGAGAAGAAGAACTTTTAATTTTCAATAGGAGATAACACTGGTCCTGCAAATCGATCAGTTTATGCGAAAATGTAGTCCATCGCAAATGGAGATGTCAAACTACAGGCTCTGTTCGCCTTGGTACCTGTTTCAATTGTTTACACATGTATAAGGTCAATTTTGACGTAGCCTCAAGAATATTCTTTTTGCAGACATGCTCACATGCGTTCGCATCGGCCTTGGTCATTGTGTTCTCTCTTTCCTGTCGCCATTGCGACATGGTGCACTGAACCTGATACCCTTGGTTGTGTGGAGTAATAGATGAGCTTTTATTGTCACAGCAATATTGAATACACGGTTTCAAAAATAAAACTGATACTAAGGGGAAGGGCAAAAGGTAGGGTAACTTCCTAACATAAAACAAGAGAAGAGAATGTGTAAAGCCTGAAGCATGTCGTATCAGCAATCAACTATAGACCATATTGCACGTCGTAAAGTGATTATAGTGTACATTGGTTGCTGTTATCAGCTTGAGTGACATGGCGCAGTTCCTCTTTGCATGCTTACGCGAAAAAAGTGCGAGGCGCTGAAGTTCGCGAGTTTTGTTGCGAGAATCGAGCCAATGAGATGTATTCGCGGCCATAAAGCAAGGTCACAATCGAAGGTCCTCGAACATTTTTGAAAAAGATATAAAAAGAGGGCGTTTTTTTTCATCTCTTCTTTTTCTTTTGTGCGCCAGTTCGGAATCAGGGGCTGCTAGGCTGGTGGTTACTGGTAATGATGAACGCTCCGGTTTTTGGTAAAGCATTCGGGGTATGGCGAAAAATCCGAAAACCATCTTCTAATGATAGGATTGGCCATCCTCTGAAGAAGATTGTTTTCGTTCCCGTCGGCTCTTCCCTTTGGGCGCCTGACTAGTCATCAGCGCGGTCATTGTGGAAGGTACGTCGGTGGGTTTGCTTTTTAATAGCAACAAAGGTAAATGAAAAAAAAAGGCTTTTGCCTTTATTATTCTTTTTCTCAGCCCTTTGTGGGTTGAATAATAAAATAAAAAGTGGGCTTAATGTCCTGTGGACGAACTACGCCATTTTCATATAAAAAGAAAAAGATAAATGAAAAACACTTTGCTTAGAAGAGATACAACAGGATAGACCCTCTTTTGTACATGAGTCCTCTATTCAAATAAATACGTTCAATGATTCCTCTTGCCCAAAAACTGCCCCTCTTATTTATGTATTCTGCCTGCCGCAGCTCGCTTTCAACTGGCCACCCACAACCCTTGGCTCAGTTAACGTCAAGATGGTCTAGTGCTGTTTCGTTCCAGCTGAGGGAGGCCGCTTTTGGCGTCAGAATTGTCAAATTGATGAACCCGCAATTGTGACGTGCAATGAGGTATTGGGTTAGCGGCATTAGATCAACAGAATACTCGCTGAAACTTTGGTAGTTATCCTCATCGTTGTTGGTGTTTTTAGAGCACAACGATTGTGTTCCGAAGATAAAGCCTCAGGTTTGAAAAAAGCCTAGACAACGAAATGAAGGCGAGAGCAACCGTTGCTGGATAAAAAGTTAGCTCTCAGACAGTGTCTGAGATGGCGTCGAAAAGAATTGTCAGATGCAGGTCGCTTGAGGATTGTCATCCTCTCGAGAGACGCGCCTTGCTTAACAGTTAAGACCAAATCAAAACGGCAGCAAGAAAAATTCAAGGTTGTTTGGTTCGTGGTTGTCGTGTTAATGAAAGATGAACACCCGTCAAACAAACTTTCCGCAAGGTTGGTACGGAAAACCCTTTTGTTATGGCGGTTGCGTAACTACTTGTAGCGTCGTCTTATATGTTGACCGATAGAGATCGTATTTATTTACTCTGTCAAGCAACCGCATCCACAACAACGACACACTTATAAGCCGTGACAATCACTGGCATCCGAATAAAATGAGAAACGTAGCCAAAGTTTGGCAGCTTTGATCTGAATTCCCACTTGCCACTGTCCCGTTTTTTTTAGGTGTGTTTTTACTAAACCCATAAATGCATTAAAAAAAAGGAAGTCGAGACAAGAATAGTCGTATCCTAATCGGTGGCAAGCCATGACTTCTTCCAAGCTTTCCAACATGACAATGGGGCTTCTCAGCGTGGAAGCTAAATGCGACACGTCATCTTGCGATTTCGTGATTAGGGGACTTGGCCCGATCAGCTTGGGGACTTAGAAGAAGATCCAAAACGGCGGCCAAACGCGACTGCGGCGTGGCTTACTGCGCTTCGAGATCGGAAGGAACGCCCATAAAACTTGCACCCTGACTGCAAGAGCTTATATGAAATCGAAGATTGATCCCGGAATTCAGGAATTTTTCCTCTGTCATGCAATAGGCAGCAGATTAGCTAGCTTGAGAAATAAACTTTCTCTAGCAGATAAAGTGAGACTTCCGTTTTTACGCACGATGTCGTTGACCAGCACCAGCATTTTGAAGTGATTTGTTTATTCCTGCTCCAAGGTGGTATCCTAGCAATCCATTCTTTTTTGATAGTTCCACAAATCCTTATACAAAGAAGTAAGAGATTCAAAAAAGACAAAGAGGGCGATAAATTTAAAGGATCCAAAGGTTGCAGAAAGGTGGGGAAACAAAAGATCCGAATGCGTCCCCCGGCCACCCATTGGATATTTGTGCGGGGTAGACCCGATATGGTAATCTAACGAGAATAACCGCGTCGGACAATCCGTTGCATCTCAACTTACTTATTTTGGCTTCTTATCGACAATCCTCGCAGAAAATAGGGTATTGTGTGTAACCCACGTATTCTCGCTGCTGGCGTGATACGGTACTTTGACAGAGCTCATAATAGGACCGCCAAGTACATGGATAACAAAAAGAAATAAACCACCAAATGCCATCATGAACGATGATGACAGAATGGACGGATGGTGGGTTTCACTGGATTAATAATTTTTTTCTTATTTCATTGCCCGTCAAAAAAAAGCTCGAATAGAGTCAACATGGTCCGAAGTGGTCGTGGCTCCACATAAAATATCATGTCATTTTTTATCTCCTTTCTCTAAAATTGTCAGCCATAGAGGCTGTAAACCTAAAGTCAAAAAGGTTAAGATTCGGACGTTACGCTCTTTTGTAAGGTTGGGTTGTCGTTGAAGGTCCATTTTTTTTTCTTGACGCCTCCGCATTCATGTTTCACTGGAAATAAATCTTTCATCCACGGAACACACTCTAATGAAATGGAGAAATGTGGAGGATGACGAAATGGGGATTTCATGATGTAGCGTCTTGCAGTGTTTTGGATTTTATATTGTAATGATCGACTCTTTCGTATATAAAGTGGTTGGATAGGGGTGTTCCTGCAGGCACTAGCGTGTGTTGAAAGCCATTTTTTTAGACAACATTTTTGAGAACGAGCTATTGGAAAGATCTGGAGTTGTCATGACATTGAGTTTATGAATGGGCAGGCACTGATCTAAACAAAGAAAGGGAAGGTTCGTCACGACCTATTATATGCTGTGGAAGGTTATCGAACGAAACGAAACCGTATATGTAGCGTGGCCTCTTTTGCTAATTGGGCCATGCGAAAAGACAAATCAGCCAAAAGCATATTTTTTCCAGAGATGGCTTCATGAACGGCCAATGAAATAGCTAGGTCGGAATGCTGACAAAGTCCGGTCACTCCAAGTTGTACGTGCTGTTCGCACGATGAAAATTTTAGGCGAGTATATTTTGATCGTGATTGGCGTTCCATGTTCTGAACCCCGCAATGATCTGGCCAGTGTTTTTTCACATCGGATAAAAAAAAATAATATAAAAAGGGCTATATGAGCTATATTCGCCCCGGTTCTTCCGCTAAACTCATCCTTCTTTGCCGCAAACCCCCCCTTTCTTCTTTTTTTTTTTTCCCCTGCACTGAGAAAAAAACAACATGTCTCAAAACGTCTTGACTACCTCCAACGGCAACCCTGTTGAGAACAACCAAACTTCCCAGACGGCCGGTCCCTGGGGTCCTGTGTAAGCTTCTTTTACCTTTCTATTTTTTTTTTCTCATGGTTTGGAGAATCAAAAATTTGTCTTTTATTTTCCCCAGCAAGAAAAATTAATCTTATATTCTTTATTGTTCCTATTTAGTCTCCTTCAAGATTTCCACTTGATTGACAAGCTTGGTAAGTTTCATCTCGCATCAATTGCATTCGACTTATGATTTATTAACTTGTTGTTGTCGTTGACTTTCAATAGCTCACTTTGATCGCGAGCGTATTCCTGAACGTGTTGTCCACGCCAAGGGTGCTGGTGCCCACGGTTACTTTGGTAAGTATTACATTTTTCCTTTCCTAGTAATTGGTTGGGTCTTTTTAAAAGAGAGCAAGAGAAATAAACTCAACTGATGGGATGAGCGGGTATGACGGATTTAGTATGACTAATATTTTATTGGATATGTTTAGAGGTCACTCATGACATCACTCACCTTTCCAAGGCCAAGTTCTTGAGCCATGTTGGCAAGCGTACTCCCGTCTTCACTCGTTTCTCCACCGTCGGTGGTGAGAAGGGTAGCGCTGACACTGCCCGTGATCCCCGTGGTTTCGCTGTCAAGTTCTACACCGAAGAGGGTAACTGGGATATGGTTGGTAACAACACTCCCGTTTTCTTCATCCGTGATCCTTCCAAGTTCCCCGACTTCATCCACACCCAGAAGAGAAACCCTCAGACCAACTGCCCTGATGCCGATATGTTCTGGGATTTCCTTTCCCAGGTCCCTGAATCCATCCACCAGGTTTCCATCCTCTTCTCCAACCGTGGTACTCCCGATGGTTACCGTTTCATGAACGGTTACTCTTCCCACACCTTGAAGTTGGTCGATGCTCAGGGCAACTTCAAGTACGTCAAGTGGCACTTCAAGACCGATCAGGGTATCAAGAACTTGTCCGCCGAAGAAGCTTGCAAGATCGCCGGTCAGGATGCCGATTACGCTACCCGCGATCTCTTCAACGCCATTGAAAAGGGTGACTTCCCTTCGTGGTCCGTCTACGTCCAGGTCATGGAACCCGAGGATGCCAAGAAGTACCGCTTCAACCCCTTCGATGTCACCAAGATCTGGTCTCACAAGGTAAATTGTCTATTTTAGGAAAGAGTGGGGTAAAGATTTTTTTTTCAATCGATATTCACATGGCGATACAATTTTTTTTTCATAGGATTATCCTCTCCAACCTGTTGGTCGTATGGTTCTCAACCGCAACCCCGAGAACTACTTTGCTGAAACTGAGCAGGCTGCTTTCTCTCCCTCTCACATCGTTCCCGGTGTCGATGTTTCCCCCGATCGCATGTTGCAGGGTCGTCTCTTCTCTTACCCCGACACCCACCGTCACCGTCTCGGTGTGAACTACGCCCAGATCCCCATCAACAAGCCCCACAGCCGTGTTGCTAACCACCAACGTGATGGTTTCATGGCCGTTGATGGCAACGGTGGTTCTCTTCCCAACTACGAACCCAATACTGCTGGTGGTCCTTACCAGACCAACATCATTGGCAGCACCTACACTGCCGAAGAAGTTGCTGGTTTCACTGGCCGCTTCACCTACGAGTTGACTGATGACGACTTTGTCCAAGCTGGTGACTTGTACCGTCTCTTGTCTCCTCAGGAGAAGACTGACTTGGTCAACAACATTGCCGGTCACCTCAAGGCTGCCAAGAAGAGCATCCGTGATCTCCAGATCTCTCACTTCAAGCGTGCTGACCGTGAATACGGTACCCGCATCGAAGAAGCTATTGTCAAGCTCAGCACCAAGGTTTAAAGAAAAAATCCTGTTTTTTTTTCTTCTACTTCCCCATCATGGATTCAATCTCTTTTTTTTTCTTCCTTCTCACTATCCCATACATGATTTCCCATTATTGTTAAAATCCTAAAGAGAAAAAAATGAAAAAAACTGCTCATCAATAAAAATGAAGGCCCAGTTTTGTTTGAATGTAAATCCCTTATTCTGCATATCCTGATCAGTTATCTTCTGTCGCGCTCTTATCGTACTGAGAACGCGGATTCACACACAAGATGGACGCCAGTCGATTCAATCGCATAAGCGTACAATATAGAACCGTTGTTTGTGCAACCTTTAAAATAAGCCATTTGATTTTAGTGAAACAACCGACAGTTATCATATCGACGCCAACATCAGTTGATGATGATTGTGCATGAATGAAGGATAAATAGAACGTATACAAAAACAGCTTGAAAGCGATTTATTTGCAGAAGACCACTCGAGTATTGAGCGATCAGGGCTTTGGAAAGAAAAAAAAAAGGAATGGACTGAGAGAGCGCATGTATGGCTCAGTTTATTGAGATGGCAGGTTTGCTGTAATGTGACAAAGGTATTTCCGGTGGGAATGAGAAAAACACCTCGTACCATTAAAATTGGAGTATGGACCATCATCTTTGAGTTTCCCTCATTCCCGGGTTAATGTGTCCTGCTGTACGCCTACAGTGTACCGGATGGAAAGTTCTTCCATTGCTGTAACCATGCATAGTCGACGTAACACAATGCACCAAAGCTAATTTGCACCCAACTCACATGATGCGATGGAAAAAAATGTTAAACTTTTCCCAAAACAGATGGTGAATATTGCATGAATGCTCTTTGTCGAGTACACGTCATCGCTTCCTTTCTTTGTGGAAGGATGAAGGATCTCATATCCGCTTGAATATTTGGGCCGCTATGATATATGTGAGCCCATGAAAAACAATGATATGAGAAAACAGCCTCGTCAATGCATGAATCTAAATACTCTGCTGTCGCTTTTTGAGCATCTTGCTGAGAGCGTATCTCTTTTGTTTAACCAAGGTAGGTGCATGCCGCCACTCAGAGCATCGCGTGACAAAACTCATTTCGATGGCATGTCGCCGAGCTAGCATGGACTACTCTCATCGATAGCAGCTTGCTTCTTGGCGCTGAATAGAAGGTTGCTTTGAGCATGAGATTTGCAGGTATACTTCTAACGACCTCATCACCGATACAAGAACGAGCATCACATTCATCGATAACGGAGCTGACTTGCAATGATTCCATTTTGCTTCTCCAGAGAAGAAAAACCATTCGCCGTAACCGTCGCGTTCTTTGGTAAAACTCTGTGAAGTGAACTGATGATCCCCATCACTGGGGGCGGGGGTTTAAGGCAGACAAAGAGAAACGGGTATTTCAGCATAACAAATGGATAGATAATCAGTGTAGCAGCGCTTTCTGTTACTGCTGTAATTTTTCTACCTTTTCCAGTGCACGTTCTATATGGTAGGATTTGCTTGTTGATTGCCTTCAAAGTCACTCAAGAAAGGTTTTGCAGGCATGAGAAAATGACGTCCAGATCGATGTTGCATGGTTGATACCAATCAGAACTTTGAAAATAAAAGAAATTCATTACATATTACGTTGTTTATTTTACAGTATAAGGATTGGTAACATGGAAAGAGAATTTTTTTCTATTGTTTAATGGTTTCTTTTACATGCGTTGGTTTTTAGTTTTTGTTTTTCTAAACGGTAGGTTTGGCTTCGACTTCGTAGTCGGAGACGACTTGGACGTTTTGGTTGTAGGCCAGCTCTTCTTCCGCATCACGTCCAATAGCATCTTCTTCTACATCAGTCTTGTCGTTCTTGCCGTGAATGAAGTAGAAGAGAGGGGTACACGCACCCATGGCGCAAGCAATACCGACATACATCCACTTGAGCTTGGGATGCACCGCCACAGAGACAAGGGCGAAACCAAGAACGGCAGCAAGACAGTTGGTGAATAAGAACATGGCCATGACAAGCGACTTCATTTTCTCGGGAGCCTTCTTGTACGCGTATTCAAGACCGGTGATGGAAGCGAAAATTTCAGACAAACCGATAAAGATGTAAGCAGGGACGATCAAAGCACCGCTGACATTGCTCTTCTTATGCTGGGCAGGATCAAAACCAGAGTCGTAGATGATGGTCTGAATACCGGCCGCGTAAGCCATGGCCACGGCAGCAAAGAAGAAACCAAGAGTGATACGGAGCATAGGACGCATAGGGAAACCCATGCGACGCAATCCAGGGTACACGACACGATCCATGATAGGAATGGCAATGACCAAGGTCAGAGGGTTGATGTTCTGCATAATATCGTTGGGGACATGACCGGTATTCATGGTGGCGGCCATGGAAACCAAGTTGTTGGTCATTTGAGAGTAACAAAGCCAGTAGATGGGGAACCAACAGAACACAGCACAGGCCTTCAAGGTACGACGCAATTCATCGACAAAGACATCATCCCAAGTCAACTTGTTGGCGATTTCGGGATGATCACGGCGCATATTGGAGGGTTTGCAGCCTTCCATACCGTACTTGGTGGACATCTTGAGGACCTTGAACACTTCGACAAAGATACTGCCACGAGGAGGGTTTTGCACGTACATGTTCTTGCCAACCAGGACAATAGCGATACCGGGAATAAACACAATCGTGGGCAGTAAGAAAGCGGGCCAGAAACCGACATTCTTTTCAAGCAAGGTAGTAGCAATAGCGGCCAGGGAACCACAGTTGATACCCCAATAGAACATGTTGAAGAGTTTCTGGTAGGTGGCTTGAGGGGTCACAATGACTCGTTCTCCACCGGTAGTCGGTGCGGCTTGAACATCGGCGCCTTCATCTGAAGCATGACGAGAGTTAATTTTGGACTTGAGAGTGCGGACAAAAGGTTTGGTGTTGCGGTACTGTTCAGCGACAAGAGGGGACACATTGGACTTAATACCACCAGTGGCCAGACCAATAATAATAATAGCAACGACGAAACCAGGGAAAGTGGCGCCAGAGCTAATAGCAGCAGGGATGGAAGTGAGGGTAAGAATAATCAGACCGATAAAATAGATAAAAGCGAAGACGACAATGGTCTTGTATTTGCCCCAGTATTGATCAGCAATGATAGCACCAATAATCTATCACCCACAAGCAAAAAAGAAAAACAAAAAAAAGGTGTAAGTCATCTGGAACTGAAAAAAGCCGCCAATCTAAAACCAAATCACTTGGTTCTTGCAAAAAAAGAAAAAAAATTAAACACTTACGGGAGTGACATAACACCAGAACTGGAAGAAAGTGGTCAACGCGGTGGCCGTCTGTTGACCCTTGCCCATAGCACCAGGCAATTCGGCAGGGTCTAGAAGAAAAAAAAAGGACAAAAAAAAAAGCGGTCAATTATTTGGGATCAGATCACATCCCGAGTGATTTAAATGACTTACAAGACGGCGGGTTAGGATGTTGAATGTAATTTTGGAAGGGACCGCTCAGGCCATAGTAAGTGAAACGTTCACAGAACTCCAATAAGATAACCAAGTAAGCGGATTTAGGGATATTGTCAGCGACTTCACGAAGGTGCTTCCAATCTTCATTGGTAGGTTCAGTGCGAGTTTCACCGTCCACCACGAAGACCTTGGATCCTTCGGTTTCTTCAACGATAAAGCCAGGGTCTTTTGAGTCTTTTAAATCCATAAACAAGTAATGAAAAAGAAGATGGAAAAGGGGGGGGGGGAGAAAGTAAGTAAGTATTAAAAAAAAAGGGTAACCTGACTGTTTTTTTTTTTTCGTCTAGGAAGTCATCCTTCCTTTGCAAACGAGGTTGCTTTTTATACAATCGGATCGGTTGGTGTACCACCGCGGACACTGAATTGCAGCAGCGAAATTTTCCACAGGTTTCAAAAGTGTCATAGCGACAAGATAGAGAAAGAAAAAATTGCGGGTTCTTTTTTTGGTTGTCAAGATTTTCTAATGATTCTGTTCCATTTGAAGAGCACCTCTTATCTGCCTCCATTCTCCTCCGCACAGATAAGTGGGCATTTTCATCTTATTGGTCAATTTGCATTGAAAAAGTTCTAAATAGAGAAACAAATAGCTACAAATTTGTAGAGTCATGTGGGCGCGAAAAAAAAGGAAATGAGCAAGGGATTGGGTATGCGTCTATTTTTTTTTTCATATTATCATTTGTTAGATTTAAAATTGCTGATAAAACTTGACCACTTTCTGGTTGACCATGACCTTTTTGGGATCGAAATTGAGAATTTGAAGTCCTCGGAGTGAGGTGGCACGAGAAAGTGCAACGTACGCTTGCCCACTTTCGAAAACTTTTCCCAGATCCACCCGCACCTGATCCAATGTCTGGCCTTGACTTTTGTGAATCGACCATGCCCATGCCAACATTAATGGCAATTGCGTCCGTGATGCTATTTCCTGGTGTCCTACAGTTCTGTGGTGAGCATTTTTTCCATTTTTTTTTTGTTACAGCGCCCATTCAAAAATAAATTGAATACAAAAAAAAAAAAAAAAAAAAATATTGGGCGTCCATTAAAAAAAAAAGGAGCGCGCACATTCCCAAATTGGGGAAGTGCGATAAGGGCAGAGACACCTACCCATTTCAAGGGACCATTTCTCTGGATAGATGGCTTGTTTTCGTCCATTGGAGAATTGAACAATGGGAAATCCGGGTCGATTGGTAGCAGCCATTCCCCATTGACCTAAGATTTGGCCTAGGACTGAAGGATCCGCGTATTCGTCTTCTCCAGTAAACCCAACCACGATACCTAAAGAGCCATTTACTAATTGTCGATCCATGTTCCTTAGCAACATGACTTGAGCGTGTTTTTTAAGCTGAAGGATTTCTGGAGCGAGGCATGGGGCTATCTTGTCCCGTTCACCTTGATCGATGGCTTTGAAAACATGGATGCGGCCAGGTAAAGCGGCCAATCGGGTTTCATTGGCCGCCCGGACTTCGTCCCGAATCGCAAATCTGAAACAATGTCAAACCTTATTTGGAATGGAAATCGAGGAAAACGCTTCAAAGAAAAACTCACAGCTCGGTAGGTTCGATGGCGGACTCTGATGCCGGCGGACGGTCCAATGAAGAAAGGATTCTCTGAGACTCCATGGATAATTTCCCCAGTCTCAACTCGTTCAGAATATTTACAAATTCTATCGACGCAACCAATTAAAAACGATCGGTCAGCCTTTCGTTCAATATGTGGACCACGAAACACCAGATAACGAAAATTGTCTTACTTTGATCTCGTTGTCGGAAGACCTGCTTCAAGACAATGGCTTGGTCGATTACATGAAGCCAGCATTTGGCTTCAAAGGCATAGTTAAAATAACGGTTTCTGCTGACAGGGGGTAATTGAAAGAAATCTCCGGTGAACACAACCTAATCGTGGAAAAAATCAAAAAAGGATGATCCCGTCCCCCAAATTTCGTTTGTTTAACTTGAATTGTTCTCGTGACCCATTGAAAATTCCCACCCTCTCAGCCTATCACCTGGATTCCGCCAAAAGGAGCCGGATTTGCCCTGATGGAGCGTGCCACGGTTTCAATCTTATCAAGCAGCAAGCCGTCAATCATGGAAACTGGATGGAAAAAGTTAGGGGATAGACGGTTTCTTTGGATTCTTCCTTTTTCTTTCTTGGCAATGTTTCCCACCTTTCCTTTCTCACGATCATAAAATCCCAAAAAAAAAGGAAAAATTCAAAACACTTACTTTCATCGACCACTAAACACTGAGTGGTTCGCCATCGTTGTACCACATCGGGGCGTGCTTGAATATCCTGAATAAGCGTCTCCGCGGTTTTGTCACCCAGGCCAATACCAGCAAAGCTGCTCTTATCTGTTAAGATCACCTTTCGGTTTTTGTATTTTTTTTTTTTTTTTTTTTTTTTTTTACCAGGAATTTCCAGTTTACCTGTGAATTGTGCAACCGTTGATATTGCACGCAGCAATGCCTGTGGAGGCGGTGACTGCCACTCCGCCACCATAGATTTCCGTCAACTGTTGGATGATGGCTGATCCCGCAAATCAATTGAATTATTCGTCTTGTTCCACTTGGTTATCACACAACTTGCATAGTTACTCACCTCTCAGTAAGACCGATTTTCCTGTGCCTAAAGCATGACGATGATTACCAAAACATTGAATCATGGAAACCCAAGAACTCTCTCCGTCACACGTTACCCGCGGAACCCGTAAAAAATACGTTGCAACGTTTTTTGATGACGATATCCACCACACGTTGCTGCTCGGCTGATAACGGTGGATCCTCCCTTGCCAGTGGCACAACAGGTTCGGCGGTTTCGACAATCATGGGATCCGCTCCTCTGGGTTTATTCCCGTTGGTTACTTTGCTCATCTTGGGTGCCTTGGCTATACAAATCATGGTTTGTTTAGAGTCGGTACTTTTCATTCAGTGCACTGTGTCCTGACATGCCTGGCATGATTGCTTTTGTGTCTGCTTTGGCACGTGATAACTGCTTCACCACCCAGCCCGGGGGTCGTGCTGGTTTTTTCAAGTGCGATGGTGCCATTGAGCAAAATGAGGAGGATGCGGAGGAGGATGAGCCCTGGGCAGTGGGAATGGTGGTTTTACGGCCACGAAAAAGAGCATGGCTCCTACGACTGGTATCTTGTTTTAGCATCGTTTGACATTGTTCTGACATTGGCTTTTGTCAATCAAGGGGAACAAAGGCTTAACGATCAACAAGGATGGTTAAATTTTTTTTTTTTTTTTGGCGCTGATAATTGGGGTGGTATTAAAAAAGATGGAAAAAAAAGACGCGACGCGCCGTGTTTTTGGGAAAAGGCCAAATTAATAGCCTGCCAATATCCTTCTTGACGCCTTTTAGCTAATGTGATCATCCTCTTTTTAGTCACATATTCTGTAACATCGCACGTATCCATCGTGATCTTTTTTCTTTTCATGAAAAGGCGTTCAATTGTAGATACACACGTGTTTTGTAGAGATGGGTTTACGACTCTCTACAGATACATATATGCTGTATGTGCTTCTTTAATCTTTCTAGAATGTAAAAAATGATGTTATTTACTTGAAATACAATATACATGGCCTTGATCATCGTTGCATGCAACAATGTTGGACAATGGATGGCTGGATATGCCAACCAGTTCGCTGTCCGAGATTTTCGTTTCACCCAACAGACTCCCGCTGGCTACCGAGAAACAGTACACTGCCGAATCTTCGGCAATGGCATAGATGAGCTCGCCATGAGGAGATGCCGCCGCGCTAATAAAATCGGCGCCTTTCTCCTTGCCGTGTGAAAACGTTTTCGTTACTTTGCCGTCCATCGTCATCAACGCTAATCGATTGCTCTTGTTACACACGAGCACTTGATCCGTAATCAAAGGCACAGAGAGGATCGATTGCACCGCCAATGCCGCGGATGAATTCATTGCCGGATTAATGGTATACAAACAAGCTTCCTCTGCAACATCCCACATCTATGAAAGCCATGACCAGAATATATTAATTTTTATGATGACCACAATCGAGTCTCTTAGTTACCTTGATAGTGCCATCACTGCCTCCACTCAAAACGCAGGTATCGTCTTTTACGTACAACACTGTGTTGACAAAGGATGCATGGCCAGTGAACTTTTTCAAGCTTTTTCCCGATCGCACACCATGGATTTTCACTGTCTTATCGTAGCTGCCGCTCAACACTTCGGTGCCTTGGCGATTGAAACAGACCGAAGTGACACCTTGGCTGTGCGCGGGCGAGAACCGCCGTTGACAAAACCCGGATTGGGTTTTCCAAATCTAAAATACAAAGACCCGATGAATATCGTTTTTTCACTCATTCCATCCGTGCGGGCCAGAGAAAAATGTATTTACCGCAATTTTGCCGTCGGTGGAGCCCGACACCAAAAGTTCACTGGTGCTATTAAAGCCAAGTGATATCACAGATTCATCCATCGCCATCAAGTTGTCCTTGCGTGAAAAAAAAAGCGCGTAACAGCCATGTCAGACACCCCTCATCAGTCAAGACTCCCAAACGGGGAAGCTCACGACTTACCTCGGCTTGATAATTCAAATCTTTACGTAGTTTCCCATTGCTGTGATTCCATACTTCGATGAACCCATCCACTGATCCCGTAACAAAATACTGTCCGTTGGGTGAAAATAGAGAACATTCCGCGTACGCATTTTTTCCAGGGAACTAGCCATTGCGTTTGTGCCAGATGTTGAGTCATGACTGTCGATCCGGAGTACTGCCAAGTGTCGCTTACTTACTTTGATGGTGCAATAAATTTCATTGGCCAGTGCATCGGCATCTTCCTTGGATTCCACGGTGGCGGTGGTTTGAAATACGTCAAAGTCGGCATCCGACGATAAGATGCCTTGTTGATGCTGCCACTGTGCACATTGTTCCAGCAATGTCATTAGTCGGGATGGTGGTGCCACCGCCACTTCGCTGCCTAACGCTTGCGCAATAATTTGACGACGTTTATCGCGTGTCATGCCGCTGGCATAAGCATCTTTTGGATCGAATAAACTTCGTGACAGCAAGTGCTCTAGCCGTAAGTACCGTTCCGGGTGGTGTTGCTTCAGTAAGAACATCGGTTCCGTTTGCCGTAACAGCGTTCGTGCTGCACTGTGTTCCTTCATTTCTACCAACTCGATAATGACCTGCAGTCGTATCGGACATTAGCAAACGCTCACTTTTCGATCCGAGGACGACGCCGCGCCGGTTTTTGTACCTGTTCGTAAAGATCCATCAGTTTCCGTGGAGGAATCTTGAGATGCGACACTTGTTTCAATACGGTATCCCATCGTCCTTGTGCAATGTCCTTGGTAAAGGTGTCTCTGCTTTCCACTGTGTTTAACGTCACCAACGTCTCGTCTTCCAAAACGCTCGCTGTATGCTCGAGTTGATTTTCTTTTAAAAACTGCAGAATAAGCCGAATAACACTGAAAGAGGCGGATACAGTACAATATCGAAATTAGTCCATTTGTCAATATCTTGCAACCACGACGATAATTACTCTTCCGATTCAATTTCGATGGACATTATATGTATGAAGAAAAATGGGAAGAATCAGGAGAGCGCAGTTCAGTGGCAACCGTCACACCGTCAGCTCAATGGATTTCTCAAGTGACACGAATTTTCCCAATTTATCGCCGCCGCATTTTATGCAAGGTTATTATCCCATCACTTTCACTTTTGGCGTAAGGGCTCTACCGTTTTGGGGACGACAAATAATACTTGTCTTGAGCGTTTTACAAGGACCTCGCCTTTGGTAATGCAGTGACTATCACATAGTGGGCAGAGGAAAAACATCAATCAGAATCACGAAGCACAAGGTCCAAACAAGTATTAGCACTTCTACGACTTTGACAATTTTTACTAAAGATAAATGGTAAAAAAAAAGTTGAGGTCTAAGTTCTTGTCTATTTCTTTGGATGTCATTGCAATTTAGCCTTTTCTTTTTCTTCACACATGCTGCTGTGGTACGGCGTAGCCTAGTTCGATTAGGATATTGTTCATTTGCTTGACAGCACTTTCCAACGCGACAGCATTACCTAAGCAGTTTGTATAAATATTAACGCTGTCGATTCCCGCCAATTATATATGTAATTCTCACCTTGCTTGTGCACAAATCGCGTTTGATAAATAGTCGTCTGATGATTGGTGCTGGCCAAGGACGGCACGATCTCCAGTTTAAATTGAACTTGGCCTGATTGACCATCTGAACAGATATCATCAAGATAAGCGAAAGGTTGCGGTGCCTATCGTTCCCCTACTTTTACCTGTAATAAATCCATGTCCTTCTGGCCCTTCCATTAGCCATCCTTCAAAACACTAATCCGTAAAAAATACCTAGTTATTCTTGACACGAGCTTTTGGCCAATAATGATATCGTACACTTACCTGTTCGATGAGTTCTTTGAGAACACTAATAATGTCAGCTTCTCGGTCTGCTATGCAATCAATCGAATACGTCTGTAGAGGCTAATGTATGGTTGAATCAATGCAGGTAGTTGCAGTTTCTTTGGGGGGAAAATCCTACCTTGGCTGATTTGGATCGAAACAGGGATGGTAGCCAGGAACTTAAATACGCCAGGGTGTCTGCATAACTGTGTCTTTTCGAAACCAATTTTTCCTCCAAAGGACTTGCCTGAGCCATTGAACTTTGAGGACGCTGTTGGGTGGATGTGTGCAAAAACTGACGGGGATGGTCATGGCAGCCTGTATGTAAATGTAAAATGTGATTGGGGTCCGTTTGTTCGCAAGTCGTCAGCGGGTACACGAAAAGAGGGGAGTGGAGGCAAGACATCTTGCGTGGACGCAGGGCGGATGGTAGTGAGAACCGCTTGCGGCATGGAGGGGCTACATAAGCCACGGTGGGATTCCATGGCCATTTGCCAAAAGGATCTTTGGCCTTCCATGACCACCGCTTCAATCCATGGGTCCCACCGTTGGAAAATCGCTTTCTTTGCTGATTAAGCTGTTCTTCCAATTGTGCGGAATCCAGAGGCCATGGTCTTTGAAAAAGTCCCGGTGATGAAGGAGGCATGACCGAGATAGGATCCGGGACACGTGAGCCTTGTGGCAGTTCAACGTGGATAGAGTGGCGACGGAATGGCAGTGGCGTCGTATCATGAGGGAGAAACGGTGAAGCGTGCTCTATCTTGTGCCACGTTTCGTCGACGAGTGACGAACCCATCCAATGAGCAGCTAATGGCTTTTGATACCGAGACGGGGAATGCAACGACATGTGTCGTAACAATGATCTATTATGGTAATCTGTGAGTATTTTGTCTGACATCAACACAGCTTGTCTACCAACGTTTGATGTCGAGGTCGCCTTCGGAGGGTTCGAAGAGCTGAAGGCATGGACTTGGTCAAAGACGGGGTCTCAACGGTGTCCTGGTGCAAGAGGTCGTCTCGGATAATGATCGGTTTAGATGGGATCGACGGTGGTTGGCTGACAGGCCGTTTGCCTTTGGACGACAAACTCGGTGGTACCATGTCCAAAGGAGTGGCATACTTTGGTCGACCGGATGGACGACGAAACAAGTATCGACTCTGAACAGGAGCTGAACTCGGCGTTGTTTCCGTCAATGATGCATCTGTCTTGGCTGGCGCAGATGGAAACACTCTTTTACTGTTGGGTGGAGAAACACAGATAGCCATGGGGCGACGCTTACTCAGTCCTGGTACGCACATGTTTCCATTCAGTTGTAACAATCGATCATTCGACTCACGGTTGTACTTACGAGGAGGGTTGGCAGTGGCACTGTATTCGGTGTGCCGATATTTGGTGGCGTGATGCTGAAGTAGCATGTACATTGTTTTCAGCATATTATGACTTTTTTGATAATGTTGTCTGTGTTAAGAAATAAAAATCGAATTATGTTAAATGACATTCACTTACTGATCGTCCAAGAGCGCTTGGATGATCGTGTCTTCCGGAAGATCGGCCCATAAATCCTTCAATGTGCGGAAAACGCCATTATCTATCATCGACACATTGAACATTTCGTACTTGAAAACTGGACCCGGCAGCAGCGTCCGTGGATGAATCGACGGCTTTTTGAACCACGGATGATTCCTAATTTCTTTTATCTAATGGATGTTTGTTTTTGTCCTCTTTCTATTCCCTTTGCTTCCGCATCCCACACGGTGGAATTTCATGATGTTCGTTCTTACCGTCATTCGCTTGGCAGGATCAGTCACGAGAATTCTTTTGATCATATCGCGTGCACCAGCAGGCACATAAGTCGGTATTTCATAATGGCCCAGTTTAACCTTTAACGCATATAGAGTCAGCCCCACTGTTCCCAACTTGACCCTCTTCTTCCCCCCAAAAAATAAACCTATATCTTGGACTTACTTTGTTCAACAAATAGGCAATATTATCGTCGTCAAATGGTAAATGTCCACTAAGCAAAGCAAACAATATGATACCGCAAGACCATATATCCGAGGTTGCTCCATTGTATGGTGTTCCCTATGGGTTATAATAAAAAAAATCAATCATTATTGATGCTTATGATAACTCGGGTTTCATATAAAGAAAAAGGTTATCATCAATACACTGATAATCTCTGGGCTTGCATAGTGAGGTGATCTACATAGAGGAATGATCGATTTTGTGTAACCGCATTGTATGTGTATTGTTAGGGCAACTTATTGCTTACCCACAGCTTGTTCGTAATAGGGCATCGACAGGTTGAAGGGAGGCCATGCCAAAATCGGCAATCTTGATATTGTTTTCATCGTCGAGCAACAGATTTTCAGGTTTCAAGTCGCGGTGACTGACAAAATCAAATCAGAGATTGCTGCGCATAGTGATAGTTTCATTTCCTTTGAGGGTAGGCAAGGTACACTCACCATACGTAGTGTTGGTGACAGTATTCAAGCGCGATAATGATTTGCTGAAAGTATTTACGGGCGGTGACTTCGGACATGCGGCCTTGACTGACCAATCGGTCAAACAGTTCACCGCCAGGTACGTATTCCAAGATCAAATAACTATCCATGTCACACACCAATAAGTCCGTGAGTGGTTTGCAATCTGTTTTCCTTTTGCCTACAGATTGGACGAATGAGGCGAATCAATCACGTCAATGAGATTGACAATGTTGGGATGATCCAATAGTTTCATAATGGCAATCTCGCGTCTCACGGACCGTTCCACGGACGGGTTACTGGCGAGGTACGCTTTGGCAATCACTTTGATGGCGACTTTTTGTCCAGTAATTCGGTGCGTACCCATTTTTACATGGCCTATTTTTTTTGCGCTTGGATGAGATGAAGTGGGAAAAAAAAGTTCGAAAACGCACGTCAGTTTACCTGACGCGCCTTTGCCCAATTGTTCGCCAATATAATAATTCCCAATTTGTTTCCGTCGTTTGCTGGAGGAAAGGCCGTCCAATCCATTGAGCTTGCACGTTGCTTTATTTCGGTGCACAGAAACAGAATGTGGTGACGAAGAAGAAGACATCGCAATAGCATCAAACGAAATCATGAAAAAAGAAAAATCGGTAAAGACTCTAATCAAAAAAAAAGAAAGGGAAGTAAAAGGGACGTGAGCGAATAAAAAGACCCAAAAAAAGGAAAGGGAAAAAATATCACAAAAAAGACGAGCATGACAAAAGTCGACTATTTCGAAGGGTCCGAGTACGCATCACATTACATGGCCACTGGTTGATACATCACAAGTGCGCATCGATCCTGCGAGGTTGAGAAATGCGCGTTCCATTGACCGCGCGCCGCGACAAGACGGGCATCGAAAGCATGAAATAACCCAAACCAACCCATAAAACAAGGGCCATGAGGAATGTAAGGATCAGAATGCAGCACAGGGAAAAAATAAAGGGAAATAACTGTACAATAACAAAACAGTGAAAATCTAGGATTAAAAGTAACTATCGTACTATTGTCAATTCTACGATGATAAAAATGAGCACATGTTTGAACTAAGATTGTTACTGTTACTGTCTTAATGTTTGTGGCAACTCATTGTCATCCTTCAAAAGAACCGTGCAGCAGCATGACAATGAGTATGCAGCATGAGCATTGGCTAAAGTTACTGTGCATTTTCCTCCTTTGTTTCCTTCTTTTTTTTTTTTTTTTTTTTTGCCAAGGGATGCTCAATGTGATTAGTTTTCAACCATCCTCACCAGTCAATTCCAATGCCTTTGCATCGCTCTGTATTGAATAACGATGATTTATTACACAGGCAAGTATGATAACACCATTTGTAAAATTTCCATTTACAGATTCCATCAAATTACTGTGGCTCCTTTTATTGAATAAAATCATAGATGCTCTATGAAATGTTTATTAATCCTTTTTTTTCATATTAATATCACGGTGAACGAACCATTCCTACGACCCAATTGTTTTACTATCATAATAGGTAAGGCTTTTTATACCTGATGTTTCAAGCCGACGCAGAATAGTAAACACATGAATTGTAAGAAACGGGTAGCCACTGTTTACACCGTGTGTGATGTTGAATCTATTCTTACAAAAAATTCTTCGTGACGATCGATGCAAAGCATTGTCGATCGTGTTCGTGTTTCAGACACAAGACTTAATTTAGACACGGCAATCTACAGTGTGTTCCATTTCTTCCCGCCACAATGGCAATTTGTTTTCTGTACAACCCAAACGGCTTAGGAGAAAAAACGAATAGCCACATTAAGGAGCGTGCCCAGGGAGAACGAAACAACCAACTGTCATTTATGCACATGGGTCCTTTTTTTTGGGCTTCTTCTTCTCGACTGATCCCAAGAAAACTATGCTTCGGTTCACCTACAGTACGCTGGAAAACAACTCCGCTCTGTGGCCTACTGCCCCCTTTCCTTCACGTCACTCCTCCCTCGACCTGTCCTCCTCCCCTCTTCCCTCCCCCCTTCTCACCATCCATATAGTCATCCGTTTTCACCAAGGCTGTTGTATTTCTTTCTTGGCTTTCTTTTTTGTTTGTTTATTTGTTTTCTGTTTTCATATTTTGTGTTCCATTTTTTTCTTTTTTTTTTTTGGTGTGTGATTTTTTATTCCATTCTTTCTTATAATTGATGCCACATCATCCACCCTATCACCAGTTTAGCTTGGCCAATTCCAGAACGTTGAACGGAGTGTCGATGCCTCAATGCCTTCAACATGATTTGGCGGGTAAGTATTTTGAAGAAAAATGACGCGAAAGTGAGTTTACACAATTAATGTTTAGAAACATGTCATCGCCGGCGCACTTCGGTATCGCGTCGTTCGTCCAAAGCGACCGCCAACACGCTTTCACGCCGTTTGGGACTTTCCACAGCCCAAGCCATTGCCACCACCACTGCCACCGCATCACCCGAAATAGCTGTGAAAACACCACGAATGACCCCTAATTTTGTGTCACCTCAACATCCTTATCTTCCGTCCACGCACCCAAATAAAAAATCCAATCCGATCAAAAAGGTACCCAAGTCCCGGCTAATTCGATGAAAATGAATAGGACGCTCACTCATTTGTCTTCCTTTTTATTTCATTTAGATATTTCGTCATATTTTTGAACGGCCGTCCAAGGTAAGATTCTATTAGAGAATGCCTGTGTGTGCGAAATTTTGTATCATGCGGGCGATCTGTATTTAATAAAACACGACCACGACTGTGTTAAATGAATTTAGTTAGCTACTGCATCACCGCATGCATCAGGGTCCTCGTCGACCAATTTTACATTCAATGGAAATAGTAAACCGCAACGACGTCCATCCATGAAAAAATTGGCTCGTTCATTGCCAAAGACCATTTTTCGTCGATCCGGCTTTCGCCCTTCCTATCCAGTAAACGACGATCCGTCCGCACTTACTCCTGCAACCCATCCACACCACTGCATAAACGATCATGCCCCGCGGTCCCAAAGCAGACAATATCCAAATCATTCCTCCAGCTCCACCCTCAGTTCCGTGTACACCACCTTTAGCAGCTCTCATCTACGTGATACATCATGCGACCTACAGCCAAGTGATCCCCACACTCTAACATCGCTGACCGCAGAACCAGATCCTCCCTACTCATCTAAAGGCACATCGATAGACGCACCCAACAATACCATAGTGGAAGCGCACAAGGATACGACCTTGAAAACTCAAGAAAAAGACACAGTGGCTACAGACAAAAATGACGCCACCCCGGCCATGAAGACTACTGTGGTGAAGGTGCAGAAAGAAGCTGTGATTAATGATGAAGCCCATTTATCAAAAGGCCATACGGACGATTCGCTGCATCATAGTCATTTGCAAGGATCGCAAACAACCATGGTGACGATGATGGAGATCGATGAACAGCAGCCACCGGAATCCTGTTTACAGCAACAAGAGACGCAGGAGAGCCCAGCAAATGCAGATAATCGAAGCATCCCGGATACCGAAGTTGATGCCTCGGCTTTTACTGTTCAAACAATGGCCCACAGTTTGTGGAAAGAAGATGGAGCAGTCTGCCGACGTGAAGAAATTGCTGAATGGCTAGGCACTAGGTAAAAAAAAATGATAATAATCATAGAAAATATATGGCCTGCATCCATTGCAATACTGACAATAAGGTATCATTTAGTGATGAATTTCGATCCGAAATATTGACGGTGTACATGTCGTATTTTGATTTTTCCAACGAATCGCTCGATCAATCTTTCCGAAGGCTATGCGCGAAGCTTTACTTTAAAGCGGAAGCGCAGCAAATTGATCGCATTCTTGAAGCCTTTGCCAATCGTTACTGGGCATGTAACACTCAAGACACACTCCTCTGTAATGTGGGTAAGTTGGGACTACTGTGATTTGGTTTTTTTTCGGTATGAACGGATAACAACAGTATGCTGAAAAAAAATGGTGTAGATATTGTGCACGCTGTCGCTTATTCTTTGCTATTGCTGAATACCGATCTTCACGCGGTGACGGAAAATCACCGTAAAATGACACGATCCAAATTTTTAAAGAATACCATGGCCACCATTGCTTCCTTGGAGCTTCCTTTACCCGACACGTGCGTGATCCCAATCCAGCATACCAGCACGCCTCTACACATCAAACAAAAACGATTTTCGGTCCTGTCACAACCGCCCATCTTGTGTCAACAATCCAGTTTCTGCCATAATAAAGTAATAAATGACCCCTCACCTGGGTCGCCGGGCCTCCATCGTATATTTAACACTTGGCGCTCCAATGGTCTATGGCCCCACCTCGCCGATATGGGATTTCACAAATCCGACAATGCTTGGTTGGAAGGCATGGAGAAACTACTCAAAGTAAAAAACAAACACAGCAAATCCTTGATTCGGATCCATGTCTTATTGATATGCAAGACACTGAGCCTTATCTATCCAATAGACTATGTATGACGCCATCAAGGCAGAAAAGATCGAGCATGGAGGACTCTTTGTCAGTGAAGCGACCACTTTACCAGAGGACGATGAGGCAGATTCTTCTCCTCCTCGCGGATCAATGGAACTTTCAAGTGAAGCCAACAAATCTTCCGTATCCCATACCACCGATCGTTTGCACACGCGACATCCATCTGGTAAGACGATCCACGATGATTCTTTTCCGCCTATGGATGGCGCCAAAACCATCCGATACAGCCGAATTCCACCCTCATTACTCGATGCTGCGGCCGCCCTTCCTACCGTCATTGACAAGTGCGATGTCCGGGAAGAAACCTTGCTAAAGAAAGAAGGGTTACTGATGCGGAAGCATCTGATGGAGTATTCGGAAAAACGGTCCAAGCAGCGCGGTTGGCAGTTGTGTTACACGGTGATCGATCAAGATGGGCAAGCAAAAATGTATCGACCGGTCTACGGAACAAAAAAAGAACGACGACGTAGTCTTGTATTGTGGAGCCAAAGTCGATCTTACAACCTTCACGAAAGCCTGCAATGCATGTCCCACGGCACCATGGATATGCATCTGTGGAAGGTAAACTTGGATCAATAAACAAAAAAGATGAACGATCATGTTGGTTGACCCAATATTTGCCCTTGACAGCACGATCCAAGTCAACCTTTGGGGATGGTGGATTTGAAGCATTGTGTTGCAAGCCCTTTACCGCCTCCCGGCTGGAACGGGAACCGGCCTCACGTTTTTTGCCTGCAAGGGGGTGATGGTGGTGTATGGCTCTTTGAAGCGTTATCGTTTTCGTCAGCCTTGGAATGGGTCTCCATTTGCAACTACTGGGCAGCCCGTCACAGCAAAGAGCCTTTAGGAGGAGGCGTGAGTAGCATTGATTACGGATGGGCGTCCAATACACCTTTATCGTCGGCCATTAAATTGCCCGACTGGCGGCCACCCACACCGTGCATGATCAGCAGCACACTGTCGACGTCGGATCAGTTAACCCGTTTCGAAGAACAAATCCAAGCCCTGCACCAACAGCTGAAAGAACATCGCGGCTTGAAATCTACTATTGAAACAAGAGTAAGCCCGCCTGACATCGACCGCTACTCGTCCCCTGTGTAAAAACTGACTCTTTTTTTTATATCTATTTCTCCCCGCGTTAGTTTCCTCCACGTTCGTTTCATCGCATGAAAGCACTGACCAACTGGGAGCTTCGAACCCAGTATCTACTGCATGAGGTGATCAAGTTCCGGACCTACTGCGATACTCTTCGATGTTACCTTCTCAAACAAGAGCAAAAAAGTGACATTACATCTGATCAAGCTAGCATTTAAATACAGCGTTCGTTACACCTAAAAATAATAAAACAAGAGACTAAGGGCAACCGGTACGCATGGATGCGTTCGCTCGCCCAAAAAAATAGTCAAACTTGGGACGTAAAGACCTTCCGTATTAGTCGCGATCTTTTATTCTTGATAGAATTGTGCCGACCTTCTTCCTCTAATTGCAGTTTAACTGGTTTGTAGACTTTGAAATGTGAACCAAAAACACGCATCAGTAGCTTTTTGCTGCATCGCTTTAGCATAATTACTCCTTCCGCTCCCGGTTTTTTGAAGTTCGGTTAATAAAGTCGGAAAGCTTTCCATTTGACCTTTTCTTCCAACAGTTGCCACCCTTCGTAGTTTTTATCCCATCTTGACAAGAAACAAATAAAGCAATGTCATTGACTGGTTGCGCAAATGCTGATATGGCATTTTTCGTTTCAATTAAACCACAACCCCCAATACCTTGATTACGCGGAACTTCTTATATATTTACCAGTTTCTGATGAGAATCTGGACAAGAATGATTTGACAATTAAAGGAAACATTGCATTTTTACCAATTCAATTTGTCGAGTGGTATACTGTTGAAGGTTTGACTTATGATTCCTTGAGACTGTGAAAAAAAATCCAGATGGTCAACACTATTACTATCGCGAGTTTGCGAGATTAGCGAGTATACTCTGGGTTTGTAATCCAATATCTGTTGGATTGGTCTGTTATTCATTTGTAATGACAACGGGTAAAAGCTTTCGCCGTGATATCGCTTTGCACTGTCAAATTTTCCCTAGCTTGCTATCACTTAAGCAATTTAGGTCCAGCTACTGCTCTCGTATTAGTAATATTCAAACGAACCCTTGTAATCTTCTGGCCGGCTATGCTCTCTGTCAATTTATGAGAACGAGCTATTTTTCGACAGTTTCTATTTTTTTCATGCTTTGAATGTACACGATCGGAATGAGAAATGGGGCCTGTGCACATACTGATATCATGCTTTCATAGCTATAAGCCTCCTCATCCATGCCAACTATAGAGAATGCTAGCACACTTTTGTGATAACCCTAAGAAATACTAAGTGAAGGATAGCACGAGAAGAAAAAAAAAATACCTGCCATGCAGAATAGCAGCGATGTGAGTGAAACATCGTAGATTCATTGGATGAATGTTGGTTGCGGTTTTTTTTTCGGGTTTCATTTCCCGAACTCCCAACATTGGGGATTTTAAAAAGAGAGTTGCGTTGGAAAGGAATAACTATCAAATTTTTCTGCTTACTTATTTTTAACCATGGGATACAAAATCAAAGCTTTCGCTACAACTGACCAACCTGGCAAATTCAAGGAAACCAGCTATGATGTGCCCAGTTTGGGGGAAAACGAAGTTTATATCAAAATGATCGCGTGCGGCATCTGCCACACTGATTGCTTGTATATGGAACAACCCGACAGCATTTTGGGTCACGAACCCGTTGGTGAAATTACTGAAGTAGGCTCCAACGTTACCAAACTAAAAAAGGGAGACATTGTTGGGTAAAGTATTTGAATTGGCTTGGCTGTGGCGCTGGCCGCCGAGTTTACTGTCATGGTAAACGGCGCGCTTGACGACACGGTTTTCAGCTTAACGCTAATTGATAAATTACGCAACGATTTGTAGGTTCTCCTATCTGCAAAGCGCGTGTCTTGATTGTGAGCAATGTGATTCAGGCAACGATATGTAAGTTCTGAAAAATTAGGCTGCTGTGAGAGCGACTCGTAACCGACGTGGATGATTTAGTATGTGTCCTAAGCGTGTCATGTTTCCCGAACGCAACAACAACGCATTTGCCGAGGGGGCGGTTCGAGATGCCAAGTTCGTTTACAAGATTCCAAAGGAGCTGAAGCCGGAACATGCCGCTCCTTTGATGTGTGCTGGATTGACCGTGTTTACGGCCATTTACAACTCCAAGATCAAGCCAACGGACCGTGTTGCTGTTGTTGGTATTGGCGGTCTCGGTCATCTTGCCATTCAATTTGCTCGCGCTTGGGGATGCCATGTCACAGCAATTTCTCACAGTGCCGTAAGTTACCTGCAAAGCCGATAATGAATTAATTCAATGGGCAGTAATTGAATGCGGACACGGTCTGTCTCTCTATTTGTAGGACAAGAAAGACGAGTGCATGAAATTTGGCGCTCACGATTATCTGTGTTCCAAAGATTTTAACGATGATTACATCAACAAGTGCGAAAAGTTCGATTACATTCTGAATACTGTCAGTGCCAACCTTCCGTGGGATGACTATATGCATCTTTTGAAACCGAACGGCACTTTTTGTTTGATTGGCATTCCGAGTGGTTCGGTTGAGATCAAGGATGTGTTCACTTTGCTCAACCAACAGAGAGGTGTGCGAGGCTGTGTGTTGGGTGGACGTCACGTCATTACCAAGATGCTCGACTTTGCTGCTCAACACAATATTAAGCCACAGATTGAGGAATATGGCTTTGTAAGTAGAGAGAGCGAGAAGGATGAAATTGGCACGAAAAATACTGAATGACCATGTCATAGAATCTGGAAGGATTGGAAAAGGGCATTGACCGATGTAAAACAAGCAAAGCACGCTACCGAGCCGTGCTGGTGGCTGGAAAATAAGCAAGACGTTAAAATGTGAACCTTTTGTTAAACCAACTTTTCGTTTTAAAATAAAGAAATACGTAAAACGACGATAATGAGATCAATTTTGCCTCGTTCACTTGCTGCTCGCGATAAAAAATTTGTACGATACGGTTTTGAAAGTCAGCGTGAACTGCTTCTCACTTGATCTCATTTGTGAATCACGTCCCCATTGACCATGCTGAGCGCTTCACCCAAGACGCGGCGGAATCGGTTCACGTCCTTATCGCAGGCAGTCGATCGATCGCCTGCCACGCTTGTCTACGAATTGCCCAAACTCAGTATTCCTCAAATCCTCCAATGTCTACAAGAAATGAAACTTAATGTCACCGAATCCGATCTCGTCCATCCCACTCCTCACCGTACTCAGCAATTGTTCGAATGTCTTTTGGGCATGCTCTCCCCGTGGCGGGTCAGAAGTGTCAAACGTATCATGGATGCCATTGCTCAAGACACCAATCACTGGGTAAAAAACCCGTTCAGGATCGCGCTCTTATCAGCCTTTTTCATCGTGTTGATCGTGCTTTTTGCCATGGTTATTAGGAACTTCGTCAGGATTTCGTGTCATTAATGACCCTATTTCAAGAAATGTAAGGCCACTTGATAACTGACGTCTTGCTTTATTTTTCCCTACGATGGCAATTTAATTTTGATTTTACAACAGGAAAAAACTGCTTACAGAGTGCTGTTTTACGGATTTTACCCTGGAGGATATGGCCAATCCTACTCAAGCACGTTTATTAAGCATACTAAGCGCACTCATAAATTACGCAAAGTTCCGCGAGCAATCCTGGGAAATTTTCGAGCCGTTAGCTCTGGAAGCAGTGAGTACACATTTTTGCTGCGAATTAAATGTACAGAGTATGAGTGCCGCCATTCTTACTGTGGACACCCTTGTGATGTTGTAGGATGAACTCGAACTGGAAGTCAACCAACTTGCTACGGAGAATGAAGAGATCGAGCAACGACTGGAGAAATACCAGTAAGTGGGGTCTTTTTATGATCCAGGGTTGTTTGGAGAGTATCATATTGATGACACAGCGGATAGGGAAATACAAAAACAGGAAGAACCTGAACTCAGGGAAATGGAAGCCGAAAATGCCGTATTGGAAGGCAACCTGCGCAATATACGAAAAGTGGCCGACCGTCTGTTGTCGGAGTTGAACCAACGAAAGCAATTACGGCATGAACTAAAAGATGCCATGGTACGAGCTTGAGCAGACAGGATGGACGGAAAAAGAAAAATCAACTCACGTTGTGATTACTTTTTCGATTTCATTTAGAGCAATACCCAATACAGCATACTTACAGCACAAGGAGAAATCGAGCGATTAAATGGACGACTGAAAAGTCATCCAGATGACATTCGAGCCGTAAGCAAAGAATTGATAATGGATTTTTCTTTTTGGATCGAGTGACAACGGAATTCACGATCATGCAATAGAACGTGGCCAAACTTCGCCAATATATTGAGTCTGAAGAAGCCAATGTGAAAGGCCACACGTCCGCGATCGAATCGCTGAATGCTCAAACAGGAATGATCCGTACCTTCAAAGAGGTAAAAACCGACCTTTTAAATTGGAAAATGTTTTGACAGTTCATTTATTCTTTATCGTGTGACACAGATTGCGACGCCTTGTCTGAATGCGCTACGAGAATTGGAAGAACAGATATCCGAATACACTCGACTCAAAGAGATGCAAACCAAACAACAGCAAGAAATTGAAAAGAAGGAAGCCGAACTCAGTAAGATGAGACAAGAAGAAGCGGTAAGTACAGGAACAAAAAAAAAATGTCTTTTTCGTCTTCAAAGTTGAATGGCTCATGGTTCCGGTTTTTTATGTTTTGTGGGGTTAGGCTCTGCGGCGGGGCGTAACGACGGTCGAGAGCAAAATAGGCATGATCTATGCGCAACAACAGAAGAAACGCGAAACGGTACAATTGCAGCAGAGTAAAAATGAGAAGGAAGCCGAAAGTGCACGGCAGGAGCTCGCAGTGAGTGAGGAGACCGTTGCCAAATATAAAGCCAGTATCAAGGAGCTGGAAACCAAGGTAAAGATGGTTGGAGTTTGTTCAGGGATAAGGCCATTGTCTTAGCTCATGCGAAATTATATATAGATTGGTCAAATGAAGGCAGCCTTTGACCGTGATAGCCAACATTTTAATGAAATACTTGTAGAGCTGGAACAAACGATTCATCAAGTGCTCAATCACACCAACGAGTTTCTGGAAAAAGCTGAAAGAGATTCGCCCCGTTCATCATTACATTTATAATATACTCAAAGTCCAAAATTGCATTTCATTCATCACAGCTTGGCAAGCCGTTGTAACCAAAGGAAATAACATACTGTATAAGACATTAGACCTTACCGATCTTTTCGGTCCCATTTCCTACGTTTTGTAGTCCGCTTGCAGCCAGGTCCGAATAATTTATATAAACTCCAACAGCCGCAGTTGTGGCAGATGGAGACAAACGCAAAAAGTAGTGCGAATTCCGAAAGCATAGCTATCAACTGCACACCATTAATTGTGCAGACACACATACTTCATTGGATTCTGAACTGCACGATACAACTAATAAAAAACAAATCCGGCATGTTACTTGTATTAGAAAGATGGGAAAATGACAGCGGATCGTCATGTTAAACCACAGACACATGGCTATTTTTTTTTTATTAGGAGGGAGGATCTAGGGTTTGGAACAGTAAAAATTCATCTTGATCTTGTTGTTTCTTATCAAAGCCATGCGGATGAGAGTGGGTGTCGTGGTTCATGGCCATCATCATTGTGGTAGGGGCGGACGACATGGGATGGACATTCGGGAAAATCATGGAAGAATTAGAGTTTGGGATCTGAGTTGGATCCAATAAACTTGGGGTGTTACTCAATAAACTGGGTTGATCTGACTGTGCGAGGGCTTGTTGCACATAAGCATCATCTTGAGCGATACGTGTAAGCTCCGCTCTCAGGGCCAGGGCCGGACCGTCCAGTTGATGAATCAGCGTGGTTGTCGCTTGTCGATCTTGGGTGAAATCACGGCACTGAGTCCAGCATTGTTGCGAGACATCTTCCATGTAAAACGCCAATTGGGGTTGATCCAAATGAATTTCAAGACGCGCCCAACCCAATCGTTCAAGGAGAGGTTCCAATCGAATCCGTTGAATGCGTTCCACGCTAAACTCCATCTTGAATCTTTGAGTACCGTCCTGAATACACCATACCATGTGATGCTGCTGGGTATCGTATTGACATACAAGGTCTTGACTTTGCAAGCTGATCCGTTTCCAGGTACCAATTTGCAACGCTTCAGCAGAGAATCGATGCTGATGAGATAGCGTACTCTGAGACGAAGTATTCTCAATGGGGGATATATTAACATCGTCCATGGACATCGGCGTGCCCATACGTGACATGGAAAAATCCACTGCAAAAAGAAAAAAAAGAAAAGATGAGCGATTGAATCCGAGAATTTGGTTTTTGTTCATTGCAAACAAAACTATACCTCCAGGAGGAGGTGGTGGTGGTGGTGGCCAAAAGGCGGAGGTACCGTGACCGATGGGGGATATTTCTTGGGACATGAAAGAATTGGCAGGCCAATTCAATTGAGGGGCCGGAGAGGCCGAGCCAAAGTGGCGACTGCGAAGGGTGGAGGAAGTAGGGGACACGTTGGTGGCGGTTCCAAGATCCTGCATGGACGCGTGACGTATGTGGTTGCGTGAGTAAGGAGAGTAGTACATTCCCATGGAGTGAGCGCGTAGGCGACCGGTGGCGGTGGTCGATGGAGCTTGCTGAAGACGACGAGCTGCTAGCATGGTGGGTGACGAAGGAGGAGGGGTCATGGAACAGACTTGCATCATGTCTTTGGCTTGCTGCTGAGGTAGGGGTGGTGGAGGTGGCGGCGGCATACCGTGAAGGGGTAACTGTGGGGGTGGCGGCATCATAGTGATAGATGCGTAATGCGGTGCGGCTTCAGGATACATGAGACCACTCGTGGTTTGACGTTGTTGATTGTAGTAATAATAATAATAGTAATAGTACAGATCAGGATCGGCAATGGGTGTCCCATCCGGCGACAGTTGCTGACGCTGATGCGCGGCGGCTTGACAAGCGGCGGAAGCGGCCCTGGCAGCGTAATACTGAAGACGGATGGCCTCATCTTGCAACAACGTCGACCGTTTGGCAATGTTTTTCACCTTGGCCCGACGATTCTGGAACCAGATTTGAATGGATCGCTCCGACATGCCAAGTTCGCGTGACAGCTGTTCCCGAACACGGTTGTTGGGGGACGGATTGACGCTAAATGTTTTTTCGAGAACCGCCAGTTGTTCGGGGGTGGTACGCGTACGTTTGCGAGGCGCCGAAGCCGAAGCCGCAATGGCCGAAGCTGAAGAGGAAGATGGCTCCTGTTCCTGTTGTTGGGCATGATGCGTCGAAGAAAGAGACGAGGAAGAAGATGAAGGCGTAGCATTGGGTGTGTTGTCTGCCGCATTGGAAGAAGGAGACGAAGACAATGGAAACGACGAAGGAACGAGAAATGCAAAGTCGGTGTTAATGGTCATGCCAGCATGACCTTGAGTTGGCACTGTTTTGCTCGGTAATGAAGAACGAGAAGGGGTTGAATGAAGGCTCATGAAAAGGTGAACAAAAAAAAAAGCGTAAATTCGGTAAAAATGAATGGAACGGGATAATGAGCGATGCAGTAAAATGAAAGATAAGAATAAAGAAAAAAAGGAACCTTTGCAGAAATAATAGAAAAAAAAGAATGTAATTAATCAACCCAAGGAAATGAAAAAAAAAAAAACGAATATCAGAAATGAAAAAAGAAAGAAAGAGCCCGATTCCAGATGAGAAAGAAAAGCGTCGAAAAACGGAACAAGAAATAATAAAAAAGATATCAAGATGGCGGTTGCACAACCAAAATGCCAAATGAGATCCAGCAGGATAGGGGCAAAGAAGAAAAAAAAAAGCCCAGCTAAAGTAGATTAGCAGAGAGAGAATATAAAAAAAGGAAGACGAGTTCTTTTGCTGTCTGTCAATCCATTAATACACCACCTAAAATGGTCGATCGAAATCTCTTGTCGACCCCCCTCGTCTTCCTTCCCCCCCCCCAATTTTTTTCTCTATCCCAATTGACAGATCATCACGGGATTCCAAAATGCATTCAAACTTTAAAAAAGCAACCATCAAAGCAAGGAAACGGTAAGATCACCGCTGCGCGCTTTTCAGCATCCGAAAAAAAAAACACAAGATGATGGGCAAATGGTCCCTGAAATCACATGTCGGACAGTCAAATCTAAAAAAGTGCGAAATGAGCCAATGTATTGAAGAAATAAAACAAGAAAGACATCAAGTGCCAAAATATGTCCTAAAGAGGAATAAATCAACCTCGTCCACTCGTCAATAAAAAATGAATATCAAGCTGTGGAAATGTCAGGCCACCTTTGCGGTTGCGTGCAACAATAAAAAGGGGAAGACTAATATCGGAGTCTCGTCTCCATGCCAAAAGATCCGCTACCTTAGCGACGTTGGAGCTATATCTTTCAAAAATATACCGTAACAGACTCTTTGTCTGGACCAAACCCGCTTGATTCACCACCCATTTTTTGCGCTACATAACCATTCGATTGGTTTTTTTTCCCATAGAGTTGTAACAAAAAACAGGTCGTTGTGAAATGCAAGCGATCAAATAGAAAAGAGAAATTCCTGCTCCACCATCCTGTCCAACATTAAATCTGGTTATTTGTCATGTTGTTTTATTGAGTAATTATGAATTGTCCTTTCTGTAGCTGCTTTTGAAATACTCTGTATCACTTTTGCCCCGACCGTGCCAACCCACTCCCTACCTCATCGACAGAATGATCATCACCGCTCGTTCTATCCCGGGGTATATGCTTTGAGAACCGTGTTCCCACATAAAAAAATTCAACCACCCTCAACCTTTTTTTTCCTCTCTCCTATCAATGTCTTATTTATTTATTTATAAGATAAATAACATGGGTAACAAAAAAATGCCAGTCTATTCTATGGATGGTTGTGCAAGAGAAAAAATAATATACATGGACAGTTGGAAAAAAAGAATTCCAACAGCGGAAAATGGGGTATGATATACGGGGCAGAGAATCCACCGGGATGGCATGCCATAATCTGAAATCGATGGACGGTATGTTCTTTGCATGTGTATGTGGTTTTTAAGCACCATAATCGGGTGGTGGTCTGGAGGGCATACGATCGAGGGTAGGGAGAAAAGGGGTAGGTTCGGGAAAGAAAAGAGGCTGGGAAGCTAATTCCATCTGTTTGGAAAATTCCCGATAGCAATCGCAGTAAAACGCGTGTGGACGATCGTCTTTATCCGTGGAAATGACCCGTTTGCCATCCGATGGACTGAAACCTCCTTTTTTACGTTTGGCCCCGTCCATTGTCAAGGGGACAGAAACGCGTTTATCGCTCAGCTCAAAATACGACGGCAAGCGACCGTAATCTTCTTTCAGACGACAATCAAATACCGTGATGGGCGTATCAAGCATAATGATCTCTCGTCGTCGACCATCGACTTTGTCTTTTTCGTTCTTGCTTTTCCGTAACCGTAACAACATGTTTTGCCATCCACTGCTGCTCGGACCGTCCTGCTGCGATAGAGAAGCATGATGTGCCGTAGACGCCGAGGCGGAGGCTGACACTGACGCTGAAGCTGACGGTGTGGTATTGGTGGTGGTGGTGGTCGATGATGACGAGGTAGATAACGGTATTTCGTGGCTACTTTGACTGGAACTCGTGGACATGCTGTGACTACTGGTGGTACGACTCACCACCGGTTGCCCGACACTGTCGAGGTAGGAGAGGGTAATATCGATTTCGAGATGATGCCGGAATAAAATTTCTTTAAAGTGGGTAGAGTGATGAATGTTTTGTTGACAAGTAGGGGTGAAGAAAGCGACCCGATGCGCAAAAGAATCCACGAGATCCACTCCTTTACCGTGAGGTTCAAACGCGGGACGCAACGCTTCGGTGGAGTAACTGGGAGAGGCTCCATCGTCGGCGAGCGGGGTAGAAAATGCGAATGGAAGAGGAAAGGTGGCCGAATCGGTCCGCCATGCCCGCATTTCTGGAACAGAGTAACGTCGACTTTCGACAACTCTTAATTCCATGTGTTCCAATCGCGAATGTTTTCGATGCGGTTGCACCGTCACACGAATATAGAATAGATCGCCGGAAGAAAATGCGGCGGCTTCGATAACCACTTCCATATCTGCGCACACCATATGCTTCTCAAACGTACGTGACAGATCTTGCAGCGAATTGTTGGTCAACAACGAATTGGACATGTACGTTCGTAAAACAAGCACCGGTTTGGAGTAATGCCAGTTTTTGAATAACGGTAAACCTGATCGGATCACTTGAGCTTCCACCACATGGCGAACGCGACCGTACACATCTTCAATGGTTTCCACAAGAGACTAAAGCCAAAAAGGTAAGGTGAGATTACCAGAAAGCAAAAAAGAAAACGGGGACGGTCCAGAACCCCAACTTACATTAGGCACCGCAAATGCGAATGCGAATCGATGAACACCCGCTGGCAAGACGGTTGGACTCTGCTTAACCGTTTTTGGCAGGATCTCCAGGGTTTGCTCATTCAATGGTGTCTCGGCCGTCAATCGCGTTCCACGTGCTCCTATGCCTAATTCATTACCACATCAAAAAAATCCCCCAAGAAAATAATAAAAAAAAATTAGTCTTGTTGCTTTTTTATATATTTTTTGCTTCATCTCTCTCACAAGATAAGCATTCTCAGCTATTATTTTGCGAGGAGCGTAAAGTTTTATGCTTGGCTTTTTTGCAACTCACCTTCAGGCCAAAACGTGGTTGCCGTGGATTTGAGTCGTACCGTAATGGAGGTGATCTTTGAAGGTTTCGACAGTGACAACACGACATTGCCCGCAAATACCGAGGAAGCATCTTCGGTGGGCGATCCTCGCAGAATAATGGGCTTGAATGGATCAAATGACAATCGCTCATTTGACAATAACCCAATGTGCATTGTCTCTTTTTACGAAAAAGTAAATTATAAACTTCCCACACAAAGCAAAGAATAATAAGAGTAGAAAAAAAAGTACGTTTTCTTTCAGGAATACCCCGCCGTCGTTCGCTCTGCTATTTTTTTTTTCTTTCTTTTTTTTTTCCAAGTCCCTCAATCACCCAAACTCATACGAACCATTGAAAATGCGTCTTGCCGTGAAAATATTATGTTCCCGAAACGCCGATTCAACACGGTTACCATTTTAAGTCATATTGCCAAAAAAGGCAAGATTACGGAAGGCATGCATGATATTTTGTGGAGCATGAGCCATTTGACCCTTTCTTTTATTGCAAACGCATCACTTTATCTTTTTCCCTCATTGATCGTTTATGAAATCCTCACCCAAGGACAAGTGCAAATTAGCTCATTCTATTGATATCAATGCCCATGATGATCACATCATTGTCACGCCCTCCAGAAAATACGCGCGTGTGGTCAAACGAATCACACGGTTCTGTCTGTCTCCATTGTGGATCTGCGGTGCCGTGATCTTTCTTGGCGGTTGCCTCGTTTACAATCATCAAAACCGGTTTATAGGCGCAACGGATCTAGCCAACCAAGCGATTGGCCTTCCCTCCTTTTTACCGCCTGACTATGAATTCCATTGGCACGAAGCGATCCACGACAGTCCCAATGCATCCGTGAAAGCCGCTTTTGTCACCATTGCCCAGGAATCCGACTTGTATAAACTGATCGCTTCGGTCAAGGATATTCAAGATCGATTCAACGATCGTCACGGCTACCCTTGGATTGTGCTCAGTGACAAACCGCATTCCCTCCGATTTCGCGAGCGCATTCGCCATCTGATCAAGCACGGAAGTGTCTACTTTGGCCACATTCCTCTTTCACACTGGCATGAACCGTATTGGGTGGATATGGAAGCCGCCGAAATATCCATGATGGTCGCAATCAATGAAGAAAATGTTTATGCCAATCGGGCGCATTGGCGCAAAAAGACAAGATACAGCGCCGGCCTGATCGCTCGCCATCCGTTATTGAGCCATCTGGATTTTATATGGCAGGTGCATCCAGGAAGTGAATACAAATGTGACATTCTCATTGACCCTTTCGCGGTGATGCACGCCGACAATAAGAAATTTGGTAAGATACGTGAAAAAAATCAGCACTGGATGGAGCCCAAATTGACACTGGAGACCCTGGTTTAGGATTCGGTATGTCGCTCTTTGCATCCACCAGAGACAAGGATCCTTTGTGGGAAAAGGTGCTTGAATATATTGAAAAGAATCGTCACACTATCCGACCCGTCAAGGACAGTCTGTACTCCCAGTTTGTGCAGCAGGATGATCTGCCGATGTCAGAAATCAACCAACTTCAAAGCCAAGTAGGCGAATACTGGGGCAAATACAACGGCGCCGTGTTTTTTAACGATTTACTGGTGCTGTCATTGAGTTTTTTGCGATCACCTGAATATCTTCACTTTTTTCATTTTCTCGATCGACAAGGTGGCTTTTTCAATGAAGCGTAAGTGTCCTGTTGCTGCTCTTGGGAGGAACGTAGCTCATCCATAGACATTCGGCAGATGGGGCGGAGCCACGTTTCCGCCTTTGCCTTCCCTTGGAGCCGGACTCTTTTTGAATCGTAGCGAATTCTACTATATGAGCGAGATTGGCTATACACACGACATGATTAACAGTTGCCCTTACAATTCCGCTCGCCATCGGTCGCTTCGATGCACTTGTATTCCCAATAATTTCGGTAAGACGAGTGGATACTCTGTTCACTGGAATGTTGTTTTCTTATCATCATTCCTCTTTTATTCATCAAGCTGAAGAAACCGGCGGTTGGGCTGCCATGGAACTACATCGCTAAAGGGGTGTTTTTCTTTATTGTTCGTGAATGGGGTTATCTGCCTTTTTCTTTCTGTCTATGCAGCTGCTTTCTGCCGTTCCAGGGCCGCGACATGTGTTTCCATCGTCGTCAGGATATCATCCCAAGAAATAAAAATCTCGGATAGGGTATTGATCTGCAGTTTTTGTCACAGTAAAAGGTTGATTAGAATCGGACGGATGGTCGGGGGTAATCATGAGAACAATGAGATGAGCTATTTTCACTTACGACGCCGTTATATGTATCCATGGTACTGGAAAGTTTTTGAGTGGTGATGGCAAGTTGTTTGGCTTGTTCTGCGTGTGCGACTTCCAAACAAGATAGTTCAGCGCCCTGTTTCTCCACCACTGAGATTTTTGTTTGATGAGTATTTTCGGTTTGGCATGCTGAGAATGATCCATTCAAGAGTATAGTTTTTTTTCAGGTACCTTCGAATTCCGTTCCGCTCACGACATGTTCCAGTGACTTCACTTGTTTGATATCTGCCGCAAACGTTTCCAACTCATCCTGAGCTGCCAGCACGAGTTCGAGTTTTGTTTCGGGTGTTAATAGAGCGTGTTCCATGGCGAGCGATGATTCGTTGGGATTTAGCAGCTTCGCATGTGCGTCATCTAGGAAAGATTGCGAGCAAGTGAGAAACTGACCGGAATGCTTCTGTTGGTACTCAGGGCGCACATTTGTCCATAAATGCTTGGAGGGTTTTGTTGTTTTTGTAAACATTGTTCAGTTCGCTTTTCAGAGCATGCACTCGTTTTAATAGTGTCAGTTGTGTATCACGAGAAAGATGCGAGACTTGTTGACCGACAAGAATATGCTCCAAATGACGAAGTCTAGCTACAAATCCGTGCTCATCCATTGATTACGCCAAGGTGTTGAGAAAGAGTGATGGAGAAAATGCCAATGGAAAGCCAAAAGAGAAATCCTGCTATGCAAAAGACCCTCCAATCCCAAAAGCGGGCTTTTCGTGACTGTAACCGGACGGGTCCTCCCATCTGCCTTTATTCCAGCAGCGCGTTTCGCATAGATCTCTCTCTTGATCCCCGCTCCTATTCATTGCCACCCATGGGCAAGTCAGTCACGTATGCTATTGGTTTTGCCAAGGCATGGCCGTTTGCAGACGAAATCTGGGAAGAAAAGAAACGCTTAAAAGCCGCCCTCGCCAACGATCAAAAAATCGACGCAGCTCACGCTTCGCTCGAGATTGCCGACCTGTTGATTGCCCAATGTGAGGATTTGGAATCTCGCAACGACCACCACGACTATGATACGGACAAATTCCTTGAGGAAGCCTTGAGCTACTGTGACAAGGCGCGCAGAACATTTACTGCGGAACAACACCAAGCAGGGCTATCAAGGTACTGTAGCAACTTGGATACACTATACCGATTGTTGGAGTTTCACTGATCCCACTACTCTACAGAGCCTACGAACTTATGGTGCAATGCTATCAGAGGTTTGTACCTAATACACAACGAAAGCTCCGGTGTCCTATGTTAACTGTACCACTAGGTTATGCCAGTATGAATCGGCCATTGCGAAGGGCCGATCGTTGTTGGATCTGTTGCAACAACAATTGGGACACAACAACCCTTCACTGCAAGCTGCTTTCAAAAGTCTAGCAGATGTCTACTTTAAGCGAGGGTAAGTCCTGTTGTTAATCTACGGGTGCACTATCATGGGTGTATCTCACATTTTTATTTACAGGCACGATCCTTCTCTATCCAAATTCGACGATTTCGAAAATGCACGCAGCTACTATTTGAAAGAACGCGCTTTGCTGGATATAATGACAGGTACAACGGCAAATACATGGTTAATACTGATTCAATTGATTGACTTTTTTTGTTTCACTGCATCGATAAAACAGCCGAGGATGTGGACGGGGACCCCTTGGTGTTATCTGATCTAATTCGATCTTCCAACTTTAACCTGGGGGTGATTGAATCCAAGTTTCCCGGCGGTGAACAAAAGGCCGAGGAATATTTGGTGTTGGCTGTGAAGCAAGCACAGCAACTGGATGATATCGAAAACGAAAAACGGGCGTGGTGGGAACTCGGCAATGTTTTTAGGAAACAAAGAAACCTCGAACGATTGCTCCAGTGCCAGAAAAAGGAACTTGATCTGATCACCACCCACGACTTTAAAGACGATGAAATTCCTTGTCTAGTAGAATGCGGTAAGTAAACCCAAATAATGGCAAGTGGGTATCGAAAATGCTTTTAATGCATATATTTTATCTCAGTGAAAACTTATTTGGAATTGGACAATTATCCCAAATGCTTGGATTTGTGCAGAACCATTCGAGGTAATTCGAGAGAATCAAGATCGATGGTCTAAATTGGGTTTGTAACGCTCACCTTTTCGTAATTAGCACTAGAGGATTCAGAAGATAATGCTATCGGTGTATGTATCTCAGAGTAGCAATGTTGTCGCTGGAGAGAAGGATGTTATTCACCAAAGACATTCTTATTAGTCATCAACGGTCGAAATGGTCATCTCGATGCAAACGGCCAAACGGGAAATCGATCAGCTGCCGTCTACGCCAGATGGATCCAATTCACTAGAACGAGCCAGGCTATACTATCAGCTCGGTAATGTGGAGTGAGGTCCTTGTTACTTTACCGGGCAGGATGGACTGATCGTGCAAATGGTTTCCATAGCTCACGTCCAGTTTGAAAACTCAATGATCCAAGTGGCACTGCGTTCAGTGGATGAAGGACTATCGAATATGGATGTGGAAGCCTCCATGTCAGAGGATCTGTCGGCAGTATGTATCGATTTTCTACAACTGAAAGCCGCTTGCGTATGGCAACTTCAGTCCATGGTAAGCGAGTCGAATAGGGAGGGCCGTTTTCTATTTCAAGCAATAACTCTAAGTTCTCCATAGTCCATGGTCGATTTCGAAGCTCTGAACAAACAAATTTTGCGTCTGGTGAGAAACAAAATCACTCATTTCAAGCAACGGCTGGAACAGTCCATGCTGGTCTTTGAAAGGCTTATTCGTATGTATGACTATTACAATATGGGAAACGACGCCGAACATTGGCGCAAAGTCGCAGACATTGCAGAAGAGCAATATGAAAATGAGGTATGACTTGAATGCGCCAAAAGAACGATGTGCACTTGATATTGACTGCGTGGAAACCAGGATGAGGATGAAATGGAGATTGAAGAAATTGAAAAGAAAGTTTGGCCGTATCCTCTTAAAAGGAAACGTGAAACGGAACCAGTGGTGTATCCTGTCAAGGTAACAAGAGTGGACGCATGTTCATTGTCAGCGCGAGGTAACTTTATCATTCTTCAAATAGATTATTCGAACGGCTATCCCGCTGTACGGTAAAATAGAGACAATGTATATTCCTTCACGGGATAAATCACACACCGTGGAATGGCTCATGGAAGAAGCATCTAAAAGGACGTTTGAAAAGTATGGAGTTGAGGTATGTTGCTATTCAAATGGAAAAAACCATGACAAGTGACCTGACACGATACTGGATATTGCGTGTTTTTTTAGCCTAACATTACACACTTACGTGTCAATGGCGCCAATTTGTACATCAAAGACTTGCTGAAAGACGTGATTCCCGATGAAAAACAAACTGTGGACATGGTGATCGATGGTAAAAAGAAAAAACTAAAAACACTGTCGCTTGAATTCAAACGAATCGTGCTGTAGGGTTCAAGAAAAAGACCTTGCAACAACTGTACGTCAATATATGTAGCCGATTAAAGATACCCGTAAAGGAGAAGATTCTGATGTGCTTCAAGCATGCACAAGCCGACTCTCTTCCTTTATACTATTCCGGTACGTGATGCCTTCTGTTCTAATCATTTTTGGCTTCTGCCCCACTCACACCTCGTTGTGTATATCTAGAGTTGACCCCCGATGACAGTGCCATGGTTCGCGAATTTCTGCGGTTATGTCCGCACCTTACCTACGTATCACTATCCAATAATCTTTTTGGTATAATCAGTCTTACTATCGCCTATGCTTCCTTGTCACTGTATTGAAACATTTTTATTGGTTAGATGATGAGAGTATTCGAGCCATTTTTCAGGGAATGACCATTCCGTCTCGTCTGGATCTGGCAAGCAACCGTTTAACGGTGGCGACCCTGGATTTCCTTTGTCAACATGCCGGACCGACGCTCACCAAACTGTGTATGAGCAATAATAATCTAGGGCCTATGGCGTTACAACGGTTACCCGATTTATTTTCCGCGTGTACATCTCTGAAAACTTTGGAATTGTCCTCATGTGATTTGGGAGATTACATGCTTCTCGATAATACGACTATCGAAAAATACAATCAAATGAGATTAGGTCAGTACTCAAAAGGATTTACCGGTACGTATGAGCGGCAAATGCTCACATACCATTTTCAATTTTTTCACAGATGATGACGCGGTGCCTGTAGAACTGGATATCAGCCAGAATCATTTTGATGGAGATATGCTTTCTGGGTGGACGCCGTATCTGGTCAAGTTAGGCCGCATTCAGAAATTGCAATGTCGCGGCATCACCACCGACAGTCCGTGGGACACCCTTGGACTATTAAGTGATCTTCCGTTGTAAGTCGATCCCTTGTCTTTTTCGATACGATGGTTCTCATTTAATGGAACACGCATAGTTTGACCTCGCTTGATCTCGATGATACCGCTGCGTCATCGTGGAGCGCATCGGATTTGCGAGATATTTTGCAAAAAAGCATTCACCTTGAGAGGTTGAGTCTCTGCAATTGTTACCTAACCCCGCAAGGTACGTCTGTGCAAACATAATCTGCGAAAGTAGAAAAGTGAGTGCTTATGGCAGTTTTACAGATGTAACGACAATTTGTCAAGGTGTTGCTGTCAGCTCTTATTTACGCTGGCTCAGTCTGTCGAATAATCGCAGAGTCAATCTCACAAGTACGTTCACTCGTCGAGATGACGTATCCCTTGCAGTTCTGCTTTGATAAATGGACTCATCAAAGAATGCTTGTCTTTAGTTGCCCAAGCTGTCAATGATATGAACAGTGATCTGACCGCCAATACTTGTGATTGTGGTCTCACCTCACAACATCACCCCGCGTTTTGCCAATGCCGAAATATTGGCGACACAGGTAATTTGTGACAAACTAAAAAAAAAATCGATCCAGAAAGACTGACCAAAAAAAAACTTTTGTAGCTGCACAACTACTCGGCGATATAATGAGTAATGAGATCCGTCCTCCTCTTGAATCACTCTGTCTCGAAAACTGCGGCCTGACGTCCAAAAGTTTGTCCGCCATATGCCAATGTATGCCACATCTCCGCTATTTGAGTATCGGGATGAACCCAGCCCTGTGCCAGAAAATTGAGGATATAGATCGTCTTCTTGACACTCTCATTGAAAGTCCACGAGTGCGACGCATCGAACTTGATGTCGACAAGGTTAGTTGTTCGAAAAGGCTCGTTTGTTTTTTACAACGGTCACTAACGAACGAGCAATCACAGGAATGGCGACACTGTCTCAAAAGGCTACCAAAATCAATACCACATGTGTTTTCGTGGCCATCCGAAACATTTCGACTAATACGGTTGGACTCCCTGTAACTTATCCTCACTGAATCAACTCGTGTTCTTGCTCTTACCTGATTGTATATATAAAACATCCAATTGACTCGCAAAAGTGTATGTTTCAACAAAGAGAAATACCAGATACAATGTGTAAAGAGGGGAACGATAATTGGAATATCGCATGATATATCGAATCAACGCTAAATCTGGCTGGAAATTGCTTTATCGTTGAATCGAATAGATGCACAATGTAGTTGACCGAAGGGCAAGGAAGATGAGGCAAAATGTCGTGATATGCGCGGGAACGACAAATTTCCCGAAAACTCAGCGACTTTTATTTAAATTTTTACAATATGAGAGGGGTGACATCATTTTGTGACTTGGTTGAATCAAGGCGCGATTGTCGGGGCAGTGTGTGAACAAAACATCATTTTGAGACGAGTGGTTTAATTATTTGCTTACACTAAATCACATCGACCAATGGCATTTCGCACGACGACGAGCCGTCTTTTGAACATGCGCCTCGTGGCGGCCCAGCAACCCATGTTAATGACCCGTGCGCAATCGACTTTGCACACCGGTGAAGTTGTCGAGGATCCCCAGATTGGCGATTACCCCAATCTTCCACGCAACAGCAACCAAGTCCGTGGTCCTTACGGCTGGTGGGATCCCCAAGACAGACGCAACTTTGGCGAACCGGTAATTTGAAAACACCAAGCTCTTTTTGTTTTTCCTTAGCTTCCAATTTATTCGTGACCATGCTGACCCCTCCTCCGCCTTCCCCCCATAGCTTCATGAAGAAGACGAAATTTTCAGTGTTTGGGGTCCTGATCTTCACACCTACAGCCCTTACAAAGCATTGGCCCAGTTGGGCTTAGCGGCTCTCATTACCGCCGGCTTTGCTGGCATTGTCTACAAAACATATCCCGACCGCCCTGCTGTAAGTTGCATGCCACGAATTTGACATGAAAACGGAGAAAAAAAAACATATGCTCATCATTTGCATGCCTCGATTGCCTTTAGGTTCAACGTACATATCCCTACGATGGCTTGAAGGCCGAATTAGGTGCTCGTGATAACGATATCATTACGCGTGGTGTAAGTGATTTGATTGACATTGAAGTCGCGCACAAAGACCATGATAAGGAATGGATCAATAGAAAGATGCTTACTCACTTTATTGAATAGGCCCGTGTTGAACCCGCAGACGAAGAATAGATTATGCAACCCATACAATAAAAAAGAAACAAAACGGACCATGAGATTATTTATTTTCTGTTTTTTTTTTTGGTTTTTTTTCCTGTGCTCGGCATGATATGATCTATGAATATACAGTGATTGCCGTGTCATTTGCGTGCATTTTACATAATTTTATGCGTGGTGATCGGCCCCTTCTTGAGATGGACCGGGTGAGGTGGGATGAATCGAATCTTGCGGCGTCCAGTTTTTCCCACCTGCTAAAAGTATGGGATTGTCAGCAACACTTGTTCGTTTGTTTTTCTTGCTACGACGTCTTGATTTCGGCAGTTCGCCGTCGGACGTTGTCAAGTCTTGTTGGGGTGACATCGTCATTTCCAGTGAAGTAGGACGAAGGGAACGACGTCCACCAGCGACCGAAGCACGATACTGATCATAATCCAATTTTTCGGAAGAGACGTTTGATCCTTTGCGTCCATCACGCAAGGCAGCCGCTGATTCCTCGGTGGAGGCGGGAGCATGGGCCGGCGCAGGATACCATGAGGTGCCTGCTTCCACGGGGGGTGGGATAGAATCCGGTGGAACATAAGTCTCGTCATGGGTCGTTGGTCCCGCAATGTCCAGCGGATGCACAGTGTTAAGCAGCGGATTAGATGGCGACGAAGGAGTAGCGGCCGAAACACGTTTCCCTTCACTATTGGCGGAAGTCTCCGCTATTGACGTGCGCTGTTGAGCTTCTTGGGCTCGGCGACTCTTTGTAATTTCAGCGTACAATCGCTGTCGGTGCTGGTACAGTTCTTCTTCCTGTCGCTTGGATTCTTCCAATGTGGGCGAGTAAGCGGGAGGCGGTGGCGTTCGGTTTTTCTCACGTTCACATTCTGCGGCTTCTTCTTCATCGCACCGTCCTTTCTTATACGTTCCTCCTCGTCGGAATGCCTTGGCAGCGAGAGATTTCATCTTTCCAGTCAGTTTTTCTTCGCTGGACCACCGATCTTGCTCGCTTATGTTCAAGGTCGGTTCCGGGCTGGATACTTTAACCAAGCGGTGGTATCGCTGAATGGCCAATAAAGATAATGTCTAAAATGCATGAATTGAGTAGATCATATTTTCATCCGCGTTCAAGTGAGAATCACATTTTTACCGATAAAAAACTGAAAAGAGCCCAAGAAATTATACGCTGGGCGGCAAAGTGAGACCATTGGCCTTCACAGTAATGGTATGCTCTGGTCAATTCGGTATTATCCTCATAGCCTAGATTCCACCAAAAGATATACGACGGTTGACTTTGCACGCACCAATGCATTAAATTATCGTGGTAATGCAGCGACAGAACAACGATATGCACCAGTCCGATGACCGTTTGAACAAGCATAAGCAACGACAGACCAATGGTATAAATGGTCACTCCGCGAACCCATCGCTGTATACACAATGTGCAAATGAGTAACGGGGTTGGCAATCGAGCTAAACAAACAACCTTTGCTTACCGTTACGGTTGCATAAATGCCAAAGAGGCTGTACAAGCTGATGATTCCCGATAAACTCAGGTAGGCATAAAAATCTGCCATCCGTAGTCGAACGACCCAATCTACAAACAATATGTGCGTAGGTTATCCCTATCTCAAATTCTTACAAAATAAATATCAAGCAGCTTACTGTATCGATAAGTAATGTCAATCGCCACCAATGCAGGACCAATCACCTACAGAAATATTTAACCAAATCACTGCTCTTAATCCATGTAAAACAACCGTTGATTCTATTTTTCTTGCATACCACGAGCGTTATTTCTCCTAGGAGTGCATATGTACGCGCACTGTATCTATTCAGCCAACCAAACATTGGGAACAGTAGGGTGTGGAATAAGGAATAATAATGATAATAGAAAAAGAACAAACCAGAAATCGAATTTGTAAGAGGGCTTTGTGTTTTCCCTTGCTTTCAAAGAATCAAGGGGTTATAACCCTCAATGGATTTTTAAGACATGGGTAGAGATCATCGCACACAGCTTTTTGGAAGACGTCCCTTGTTATTCAATGAGCATTTTTTGTTTCAAATCATTATTTTTTGATCATTTGTAAAATCAACAACGCGATGGAAGGCCTTTATTTTATGCACTCGAAAACATTAAAAAAAAAAAAAGATACACTGATTTTTAGATGGAAACTTGACCTTCGCGACGTCGTTGGTACCATTGCCAGGCATAATAACCTGCGGCAGCCAGCAAGGCGACGCCCAACAAGACACCAATGACGATCAAGAGCACCTTCCACCAAGGGAGACCGTAGTGGTCCTCATCGTATTGAGGAAGCAACACCTTATCGAGAATAATGACACCACCGCCATTGGAAGCCCGGCCTACATTGACGACATCGGCACTTTCTTTGATTGTGTTCTTGATGTACGCACTGTAACCTCCGGTGACACCTTTGCGAATAACAACGTTGGTGCCTTCCTTCAGGGTGGGGAATTCGACCCCGTCAACCGTAATATCCTTGTGGAGGTTACGGTCACCTTCATCCATCGCCATATCCAACACCCCGTTGTTAATCACCAGATCCAAACGGGGAATGGCCATAGGGATGATATGGAGACGCGCAATGTCGAGCAATTTGTCGGGGTTTTGCAACAGATGGGTAAAGTTCACCTTGGCAAAAGCGCGGTCGCTGGGAGCCAGGATCGTGTAAGGCTTGCCATTGATCTGATCCAACACTTGATTGCCGAGCTCGGTGCGTTCAAGTAAACCCAAGATGCTGTTGGCGCCTTCGGCTGAAAGCATGTCACGGTTGGACACTTCCAGGGTGCCCGGCAATTGAACGCGATCGATCTTGTGAATGACACCGTTGTTGACGAGAATATCGGCTTCAGTCACTTGAGCGATGACGGTTCGATCACTGCCATCGGCGGCTCCGCTGCCACGCACAAAGAAACCGTGCTCGGTCTTGTTCAGGTTAATTTCGGGTCCGGCCAAAGTTTCTTCGCGGTGCTCGCCGTCCTCGGTTTCGTTGGAATAGTAGAGTTGACGAACGACGTGGAATTTGACCACGGATTCCAATTTGCTTTGTGACTCGGGCTGCAGCAAGTGCTTGGTGAGAAGTCCCAAGCGACCGAAGGCTTCATTGGTAGGAGCGAAAATGGTAATGCCCTTGGCCATCTTGACATCGTCGCCAGAGTTGGAAGCATACAGCGAGGCGACAAAGGTGGAAAGGTCCAAATTGACCGGCAATCGACTCAAGGGATCTCTTGGCATCACGAGCGCTCGAGCCACAGGATAGATGATGCTCCTGTTCGTGGACACGGGTTCACCGGCGGTTCCAGCACGACCAAACTGGATGGATTGCTTGACCATACCAACCTTGTCTAGGAAATGGTCCTGGTTGGTCACATGCACGCGGATGCGTTGATTGGCTTCAGAGAGATGATCCCCGGATTCGGTCTTCAAAAGGGCGCCGTCGATCAAATCCGAAGGGGCGTAGCGGCCTTGGATGATGTGATACTTGAGCCACGAAGGAATTTCATTGAGAGGGATCAAACTTTCATCGAGCGCTTCGTTGGGAGGAGCGACAATGGTGTATTCCTTATCGTGATCAATTTCATCTAGATAAGAGCCTAGACCGTGTTCATCAAACAGGGAGGTAAATTTAGTGGCATTCATGCCAATCAAGGTCTTGCGGACACCGAAATTTAAAAAGTCCTTGTTCTTTGGGAGAATGGGTTTTTCCAGGAAATGAATGACGCCTGCATGATTTCGAAGAACAAACGGCAAGTCAGTTTAAGGATCGTGTGATCGTGTCCAAAAATGGAAAACTTACCATTTGAAGCCAAGATGTCGGTGCGGACAATGTTGACATCATTCACGGTAATTTTGCCGTCCTTGTTGACCACGACTTGCAAGTCTTCGCCTTGCAACGTCTTGTAGTTGGTTCGACCATCGGGGAAGTCTTGAGCGTAAACGATCTTGTCGTGAATCTGATGTTTCAACAGCTGGCTAAGATCGTGTTTGCCACATTCATGCATCAAGTAGTTCTTCTTGACCGTATCTAAATCGCCCAGCACGTCTTTGCTGACAAACAAGGTGTAGCCTTTAGCTTCCTTGATGTCTCGAGTCAAGTCGACTTTTTCAACCAAACGAGAGAATTCCAAGAGATCGCGATCGTCGGATAACGTAGAAGCTAAGTGTGTAGGAAAAAGCATTAATCATCGGTCCAACGCTCGTTGGCCAATGTACACATACCAAGATCGACGGGAGGGGTCAAGATGTTCTTTAGTGTATGAACAACACCGCCGTCATTGGCTAGCAAGTCGCGTTCAATGATTTCCACATCGCCAACGTAAAGACCATCACCCTTGCGGACTTTGAGTTGCTGCGAGACGTTGTGTTCCGAAGATAATTTGGTTTGTAGCAACTGACCATCATAGAGATCGTCGGATGTCAGAGCTACGGGCAGAATATGGTACAAAAGTTGCTCACGCGTGACTTTGCGGCCCATCAGATAGTAAGAGGTAGCGTCTTCATCGCGTCTTTCAAACGCTTCATTGACGGGAGCAAACAGTGTGGACACCGATCGATGCTTGAATTCTTTCATAAGATCATGGCGTTCCAAATGTTGTACGAGAATTTTGAATCGATGATCATTGGAAATGATGTCGATAATAGTGTCTGGCTTGCACAGACACAAAGGTAGCACGATCAATAACAGATAAACTAGATTTCTCAACATCATGCCGTGCCAAGAAAAAGAAGAAAGAAAAAAAAAGAAAAAGAAAAAAAGGATAAGCGAAAAAAAAAGTGCCGATGTCTGGTTTTTGCTTTTTTTTTTCTCCTCGTCAACTTGGGAAAAGCAGCAGCTTATTTTTGGCATGATGTGGTCAAACTACGTCACTGTCGCTTCATGCGCGCATCGCGTTGTTGTGTCTCAACTTCCCGGTTCCCTCAATGAGCGGAGGCACAATCCACGGTGTCCATGCCAGACGGAAAAAGTTAAATCTACTATAAACTCCGTGGCTGACAATGACGGGGCGATATCCGAAAACCCTGGCTCCATTGTCCTCGATCAATGCTATTCGATTCAAAGAAACCGGTTCTTATCTTGTGAAGAGGTGGGCGTAACATGTTGTCACTCATACGTCGACGCTTTGTTTTTGGCATGTCTGTGTCGTTTTAAAAAAAGACAAGGCGGCATAAAAAAATGGTACAAATATTTGTGTTATCTGTAGTCGATCGACCCGCCATAAGCCCGATCGCAGGAGCTCACTTGCGTAATTTGTTGTGTTCCAAAAGCGTGTGCATTTTTTAATATGTACAGCTCTTCTCTTTGTAAAAGAAGATACCTTGTTCCGTCGTGGCTAAACCACAACCGCCATCCGGCCCCCAATGGGTTGCCCTATAAAGTTTGTTTCGGATCTTTTTCGAATCACTGCTGAGAAAAAAAAATCTCTCGTAATTTTCGCATTTATCTAACAAGGTCTTTTTTTTTCCTCCGTCGAGACATTGGGTAACAGTTACATAAGTATTTCTGATGCACAAGTTTTCAGAAAGCACCATCCTCTAGAACATCATCCACTTCCATCTGTAGCTTGGGTCATGAGTTTGAAAAAAAAATCCTGGCTTTTTTATATTTTTGGTCTTTCAATCTCCTCTGAATAAAAAAGACCCAGGCGTGTCCAAATGTCAAAGCGGATAAAAGCCGAATTTATCCTGACTCAACCCTGAGATTGCTGAAGCGATTTTTCAAAATGTGCTCTGGCCATGGGTAATACGAAAAGTTTTAATCTTGTACGAAGAATTGCCCTGTGGTGTGGCAATGGTGATCTTTATGCCTAGTTTCTGACGTTTGCTGAGCACTGTCTACATCGTTATAACGACTCACAGTCGTAACGTGTGTGAAATATATAAAAGTTTCGTTAGTTGTTACTTATAAGTTGCTCTCAGTCTTTACATTGGGTTGTTGTTCGAGGTAAGAGCCCTGATTTGTTTAGTACATGAGATTTAAGATCTAGAATATCCAAGGATCTCAGTGTCCCTATCAAGAACAAAGAAATGAGAAATGTAGAATCGTAATTATATTCACAGAAAGTAACAGATCCTGTGTATATGCGCACCATGACTGGTAAGCTTCCATCGGCCGAGTTTTCCCAGAATTTTTGCTGCTGCGCCAACGTTCGAACTAGGGATTGATGGCCTTATTGAGTTGGCGAACCAGAATCAGTTGCCAAAAGTTTTCAGTTCGTCTTGGGAGAGAGATGATGAGTTTGTGTGATTTCCATGTATCGATGCTGACGGCGAAGTGTCCGAGTATTGGACCAGTGTCAGTTTCCCATGTTCGATCCTTTATTATGATTCGATCCTTCTGGGGTCATCAGATTCAACAAGTCGCATATGGAACGTTGGACATTCAATGACAACGATAGGTATTTCGATGCGGGGGACTCGGTGATCTCCAGTAGATTCAAGGGATATGCAATGTCAATTTGATGGGTCCACATAGAACGACAAGGTGGCATGCGACCTTTAAGTTACTGTCAGTGGTCTTTTAATACAACATGGAGGACGGCGCACAAGGCTTTGGATATTATGAATTCAATGAAAGACAGCAATCGATTCTCTAAAGAAAAATTCGAGCAAAAAAAAACTGGTATTATGAATCTATGTGGTTAACGCATCGGCGCAAAGTAGGCAAACAGTCCGAAAACAGAGACAAAGGCTTTTAGTAACACAGAATGCGCCCACAAAGAAAGGCTTGACATATTTGCACACAATATTCGCATACTTAAAAGGTGTCAATTAGTTTGCGAGATAAATGACGGAATCTGAAAATAGAACTTACCGACAAAATGCCTTGGTCCTAAGCTAGGGGCCGTATCCTCTTGCCAGACACTGGCAGAGGGCCGTATAAAAGAATTCAGTGTAGAATTGATTGATTTTAGAAAGATGGCTTCCAGAAGACGTGCATGAAGATGATGACTATGGGACGTTTCTTTTTCCGGCGGCGTTTCTTGCGTCGAAACAGGATGATGAGTAGATTCGAAAACAAGCGAGCGAGATACGAGAAAATTGAGTGGATACGAGAAAGAATCAGGCGGATACGAGGAAAAGCGAATGAAACGAAATCCTTTTCGATGGAAGTAAGGATATTATATGTTTTTTCTTGTAGTTATTCCAGTACTGGCGCTGATGTAAAAAGAGGGAAAAAAATTGATGAACTGGTTCGTATCATGACAATGAGCATTACAGTGTGCGGGAAGTTATTGGTACAAGCACAAAAATTGGGGTCCATTGGAATTGGTACCTTGATTGAGCACTGATTTACCACAGAGTTCATCAGAGCTACAAATGTCCAGCAATATACCGTATCCTAGCATAGTTTACTGTAAAGCTGCACAATAAAGACGCTTCGTTTATCAGTAGCCCACTATTGCATGATAAACTTTACAGCATTCACACCGAACAGATCCGTAAAGGTGTCAAGATGATTTCGGGAGATGGAACCTTAATCATTTCCGCGTTTCCCAAAGTAGAAAATCGGATCACCAAAGGTGTCCTAAGTAACAAAAAGAGTGTATGTGGGGAGGTGAAAAAGAAATTAAAGCAGATTCCCTCAAAGCAGTATTCTCTATTGGGGTCACTCGCCCCAAGTAGAGTTCCTTATCGGGGTCGGTTCATTCGTGTCAGTCAAAGCTGTGCCAGTTCAACTTTTATTTTAGCCGGACTTTCTTCATTTTTTTTTCTTGTCCCATTACAAACGACCGGCAACATCATGTATGCAAATGCTTGACAATTACATAATCTGTTCCTTCAGACAACACTATTTTTTGACTCTGCAAGTTGTCATATCATTTTTTTACGGCACAGTGGGTGAAAAAATGGTCCAAACCTATGCGCTGTTTTTTCACGTTTTCATTAATACCGCAGCTTTTTGCTGTATACTGTCCGAATTTAAAGCATATTCTCTTGCCTTTATTGTTGCGAGATCCCGGTGATCGCATCGCAATTCGCGCATTGCATTCACCATTTCAACATGAGCAGTCGTTTTGGACCATTTTTCAATAAATCTGTAACATCAATTTTTGCGGATAGAATAAAGGCCGGTGAAATAAATATACGAGCTCCATTAGCTCCATATTGCATTCGGGGCATCATGAGCGAATCTGGCGACCGCCATCACACTGCATCTTTTTTTTTTGAGCACGTTTTTCATAGTGCCGCGACTTTCTTTTTTACTCATAAAAAAAGAGAATTCTTTTCTCTAGTCTGTCCCAAAATCCTGAGCATTTTATTCCATTACATGGATCTTCTTTGGACTCAGATTACGCAAGAGGATCAGCAGTGGCGTTTTTCAAACATAGAGAGTGAGGAGAGAAATCCGGGAAAAGCTACATTAAGCAACTGAAATTTATGTAAAGCAAACATCAGCTGCCCTATGCGAAGTCGATATCCATGCAAACTGCAATCTGCGGTAAGCTATTCCAGGTATCCTCTGAAATCTAATGTAGCAATGTCATCGATGCAACTGAGGATGTAATGTTTGGTGAAGAAGGAAGAATAAAGATCGTAATCAGAAAGACATAAGGTATGTTGAAACGACTTTTAGTAAGAACTAAAGGGAAGGAAGGATAAAATACGAGATATGAGTCATTAGTTCTATAATCTATGTCTGTTTACGGTCAATAATGGATCATTATATGCATTTATAAAATTATAAGAAGACATCTATCTTGTAGATAGCTCTTATGAAAGACGAAAGATCAATCGCAAAAGGAATGCGTGATTTAAAAGATTTCATTCCTTGTGCTGTTCGGCATTTGTGACCAGATGTGACCAAATTCACAAATTTATGAATTATACTTTTGTCTCTTCTTCTCTTTGTTGTATCACTCAATCACTGGAGCTTGAGTGCTCCTCGTACGAACCCAGCAGAATTATTTGTTGAAAACAGAAGAAAGAGGACAAACCGATAGAAATAGCGCAATGATAAATGGCATTGTTACCAAATATTTGTTAGTCAGCCGACAAATTGCGAAAATGGCGTTCCGGATGACAAGCTGCGTATGCTAGAAAACTAATGCCTCAAGATGCCAGCAAAAATGCTTTTACACAATAGAGGCTGATCACAAGGATTTTTGCACGGATTGGCAAAGAATGACTCTTTATCAAAACCGGCATTCCTCACTTTTTTTATGACGCCTTCTACTGCCACCGTTTCAGGTTCACTTTGGGCCACTCGCAGTGCAAAAGGCCTGGTCGGATCTTTACCTTATTTGGTTTTGATACAAGCCGGCATAAAATGCACTGTGCGGAGCCGATTACGCTTTGCCAGCGATTCTGTTGGCATCACTTGTCAAAGCGCTGAAAAAAGTAAATATTGATGCACGGCAACCTCAATCAAGAAGAACAAATACAGCGCCATCACCCCCAAAAAAGGGCCGAGCGCCATTAAATGAAAAATAACAACAAAGCATGGGCCAACTAATCTTGGGTCAGGGTCAAAAGTCCACAGTCAGACGCTTTTAAACATTGCCGCAAATAAGTGTCCTACGACAAAGCAACAAAGATATAATAGCTATGGCCACGATAGGACGCCAAAGTAGCTTTGTGGATCGGTTTTATTTTTCCCTGCGTTGTTCGGCCGGAACAGCGGTTTCCGTTGGATGTGAAAACTAAGCCACCCCTGTTCATTGGACCGGCCACCTTCTTCTTCCTTACTTGTCGTATTTTTCGCAGAACAAGTCCATGGCGATGGTCAGTTCGGCCCTCGGTCCCGATGCTTCAAAATCTCGGAAGCGTAGTTCTTCGCGTTCCTATAAAGAATCGAAATCTAGTCGATATGAACGCAAACTGAAGAAAATAAAACTTAAAGTTCGTTCCGGTATGTCGTCTTCTTTCCTTCCGGTGCGCTTGACTGTCACCATGCTCAGAGATAAAGCTAATGATGCTCTTCTGCTCCTGCGTTATGCATTCAGAAATCGACTTGTTTGACTGGCAGAAATGGCGGTTTCATGAACGTGATTATTGGATTAGTCCGTTTGTCGATGTGGTCCCCCGCATCGATTACCGAAAGATGTCCAAGTCCGAATTTATCGATAAATATGAAGCCAAGAATGTGCCCGTGGTTATTACACATGCCACCGATCACTGGAAGGCAGCGAATTGGTCTGAAGAGGTGGGGAACTTTGGCATGGTTTATCTGGCACACACTAAAAGGCAACTCAACTAAAACCAGCTTTGCATCACAGTACCTTTTGGAACAGTATGGATCGCATCTATTCAAAGTGGGCGAGGATGATGATGAGAATAATGTGTACATGAAAATGAAACATTTTCTGCACTATTGCAAGCATGAAGGCAAGCGGGACGATTCGCCTCTGTATATTTTCGACAGCGGATTCTACAAAGATCGCCGAAAGCGAGCTCAAACAAGCTCGTCCAATGATGAAGACGATGATAATTTAGCGAGAAAAAAGCAGAAAGCCGACTCTAATACGAAATCGACCAGCGGCGGTAACGGCTTAATGAATGAATACCAAGTCCCGAGTTATTTCGCAGACGATCTCTTTCGATGGACAGGAGAACGACGTCGTCCACCGTACCGCTGGTTGGTCATGGGAGGCGCTCGAAGCGGAACAGGGTAAGTATCCATCAAATTTGGTAGATCATGGTTTTAGATTGAACTTATTTTCTTTTCCTTTTTCGGCGCCAGTATCCACACAGATCCTCTGGGGACCTCGGCATGGAATGCTTTATTAAAAGGACATAAGCGGTGGTGTTTGTTTCCTCCGGGCACACCCAAGCACATCATTGATCCGCCCATGAAACCGTATGATCATGAAGGCGTTTCATGGTTTACCAAAGTCTTTCCCAAATTTCAAGTGCGAGATGATTTGACGGACAACCGAACATTGGGCGAGAAACTGGGAATGGTCGAGGTATTACAGCGACCCGGGGAAACCATCTTTGTGCCTGGTGGTTGGGCACATGTGGTCATCAATCTGGGTAAGCTGAGGGAGATCATGCAGAAAATGATGCAAGAAAAACAAAAAAGGGAGGCCCCGAATAAGACGGACATCAGGAACAGGAACGTCAAAAGCTGAATACTGATTTGATCATGGGCGTGAATTTATGTAGATATGACCATTGCTGTCACTCAAAACTTTTGCTCCCTCACGAACGCCGAGTATGTGTATCTGTGCACGCGCCACAGTCGACCGAAACTGGGTGCCAAGCTTTTCAATAAGATCCAGAAGTTGGGTGAATTGTATCCAAAGGAGTTTGGAGATACCGCTGCCAAACTTCGTACCCTTATCTGTGTCCCACAAATTCCACCCAGCAGTAGCGGGTCTTCCAGCTCCAGCTCGTCTTCCTCGTCTTTCACTTCGTCCTCGGATATGGATTTGTCACTCGCGGTCCCGGCTCGACCCAAGAAACTCGTTGTGAGTTCCACCGAATCAGAAACCGATCTCAGTGATGGCACTTGTATGTGCCATAAATGCAAACGCAGAAGAAAAAAACAGGAGCGAAAACGCATGCTGAAAAACGGGCTAGTCTGAAAAAGAAAAATTCTACGACCCACAAGACCGTACGACAGATTGTTGCTAATGACATTCAGCTTAATTCCTCATCTTCTTCTTTTCCCCGCCCCTCCCCCCAAGTCTCCACCTCCCATTTGTTTAGTCTAGATTGCATATATTATCCATTTCATGTAAAAGTACTTTTATATTGCTCATGCAATCCTTGATAGAGTTCCACATCTGTAAAGAAATCAATGCAAATTAATCATCAAGATACAGTTTTTTATATTCCTTCCTTCTCGCTTTTTTCCTCCTCCCCAAAAACCATGCGTCCCCCTTGAAAACAAACCTCGATTCCCCGTTGTATGCAGGGTGACAACCTAACCCGCCGCAATATCTCGAATTCAATGTTCCTTAAAAAAATAAAAAGAAACAAAGAAGAATAAAGTGCGCTGTTGATTTTTTTCGGAACGCTTATTTTTTATTATACACAGTAAATCAATGATTGGATACAAATGGCTTTCGATTAGTACACTGGCAGTGTTATGTTTATCGGCGGTAAACGGTCAACCTTTCAAGTTGAGCATCCAACGTCTACCATTGGATCTCGCATTGCCCGGACGACAGTATAACCAACCATCCAACAAACACACCAATGCGATCGAACCAGCCAAGCACAAACAACTCGATTACAGCCCCTCTACCGATTTGTACAATATTATTTTCAATGTAAGACAAGCAAGCCTGTCTTTAACAACAAAACACGGGCCTAACCATGAGTTTATTCGATAGTATATTATTACTATTGACATGTATGTTTAACAACATCATTCACTGACCACTTTGATCTACTTGTTATTCATGTCATTCTTTCAAAAGTGGAACGCCAAAGCATCAATTCAACGTGGTTTTTGATACAGGTATGAAATTTTGATGGAAACATCGTAGGAAAAAACAGGATTTATCGGATGCTCATTCCATATTGCAACAAATGGATGTAGGCTCTCCGTTTTTATGGATTGCTTCAAACGCATGTTCCCATCTTCGATGCCCGGGGATGACACAGACTTACGATAGTGATGATTCATCGACGTTTGTGGACCAACACAACCTGTATTCCATTCGGTATGGATCCGGGGCTACCCGAGGCAAAGTCGGCACTGACACCGTTTGGTTCGGTGAACTTGCAGTGAAGAATCAAAGTTTTGGTTTGGCAAGTCAAGTCAGTCACGGCGTCCTTTCTCCATTCGTGCGTAAGTATCTACCCAAAGTGCCACACGAGAATATTACAATAATTGACCATCTTTTTTTTTTTTTGGCTAGATGGTATTCTCGGGTTTAGTCCCAGTGGTGGTTCTGTCGGACTGAACAAAGGTTGAATTGATGACATCGAGCTCTTCTAAATCCAATCCGTTGACTCACACATATGGTTATTCCGAATAGAACACAAATTGCTTGCAACGCCAATGGAAAATTTAATTGCACAAAAAGTCATTGAGCACAATATATTTAGCGTGCATTTTGAACCGATTCGATCAGCCGACGATCTGGAGAAAGCACTAGGAACATTGACGCTTGGTGAATTGCCACCAAAGGATAGTTACCAGGGGGATATCCAATGGGTGCCGACCATTACATCTGGTTCTCTCGGTGTAAGTGTCTCTGGCGCCGAAAAAAATGAAAGAATTGTGACTTATATACAACGCTCGTATAGAACTTTTGGGCCGTGGAAATGAACGGCTTCCGTGTCGGCGATCAAGTCTTTTCAGAGGAACCGCTCAAAGGCATTGTAGATACAGGTATGGTTTACTTTTGTTGCTTTGCCAATCGCGAAAAGGTGTTTTAATACCTTTTTTTTTATATGACAGGATCGACGCTTATTGTTCTTCCGAGCCCGATGGTGGATGCTTTTTACAAGCGTATTCCCGGGGCGAGTTATGACCGGCGATTGCAGTTTTGGACGGTTCCTTGTCGCTCAATTCCGTCGTTGCCGACAATTACGTTTGAACTGGCGAATGGGGTTTCACTCACATTGACAGGAGAACAGTACACGGCTCCCGAGTGGCAAGTACCCATGTGGCAAAGCCGGGCTCACGTCTGTCCCGTCTACATTGTTGATTTCCATACCAACGCATTCCAGTTCATCATTGGACAAAAACTGTTGGAAAACTATGTGTCCATCTATGACGCAGATAATGCCCGTGTGGGTAAGTAGCAATACGAAATTCGCAGCGGAGACCGATCGGAACCAACTGACACATTGAATCATTCCTTTGTAGGCTTTGCACGAAACGCTTAGACTCTCTTTTTCTTCTTTTTACTCGACTCCAATAAATAACAATCGGTATACGATAGCTTTCGTTCATTCCTTGTAAAATAATCTTTATACTTTCTTAAACTATTTCAACCTCATGTGCAACGATCATCGGGACAGAGACGATTCTTCTGATGACGACTTCCCTGAGTCTTTGTTCCATAAACTATGTGATGCTCATTGCCATCCTCACGACGATCGACAACACCTCCAGGACATTGCACATGTAAAGACGGGCCACATGACCATCATGGGAGTACGTCAGGACGATTGGGATGTCGTACAGCAGGTCGCTGAGCGATGCAACTCCAAGGACCAACCAACCAAGTGTGTCCCCGCTTTCGGTATGTTTATTCTTTTTTTTTCTTATGATCCAATGGAGTGGATCCTATGGGAACGACAGGATGACTGATTCGTTTTACTAGGACTTCATCCATGGTTTGTGTATCGTGTCATGGCCAAAGATGAAACCGATAAAGAAGCGCATTATGAAACGGTTCTCAGTGCCACGAAGCCCGAAGAGAAAGTCGACATGATGAAGGCACTAGAAGAACCGTTCGCTTTCGATAAGTGGTACTCCAATTTGCGTGATCGTCTCATCAAGAATCCGCGAGCAATTATTGGCGAAGTAGGGCTTGATCGTGCCGCGCGGCTGTTGCCTGGAGGAGCGATCGAATGGCATGGCGTCAAACCGACGACAGTGCAATGCACAATTGAACACCAGCTCGCCATTTTGTCAACCCAGCTGGAACTCGCGCGCGAACTCAATCGCAGTGTCAGCATCCACTGTGTCCAAGGGCAAGGCCATTTACTGACACTGCTGCAACGTTTGGGCGACAAGAAGCGTCCAGTCCGAATTGATCTTCACTCTTACGGTGGCTCCGCGGCTACCATTGCACAATTCATGCAACTCAAAGGTTACGAGGTGTACGTCTCTTTTTCAACCGCCATCAATGGTCGACTGCCACAAAAAAAGATGACGGATCTCATCAAAGCGGTGCCGAAAGACCGCTTACTACTGGAATCCGATCTGAATAAACCGGAAGGCTTGGATGACAGTATGACGGCAATTGCACGTCTGGTATCAAAAGTCCACGAATGGACATTGGAGGAGACCGTACAGCAAACATTTGAGAACTGGCATTATTTCATTGGCCATACATCTGAAGAATAGAATGATATATAGTCTGTGACGAGCACCCCTTATATCTTGATAGGCAATTTTTTGGCTGTTTTCCGTCTGTATTTTTCTTCTAATTCGCGCGAGTCTTATTGCGCTTGTAATATATATTTTCAATTAGTCTGCAGCAGATTCTTCTCATTTTTTCGGACGTACGGTTTCATTGAGTGGATCTCCAGGTGTAGCAGGGATAATGATCTGAGAGGCAGTCTTTATGTGAGAACAATAAAGACAGCAAAAAGAAATCGAAGCCCAAAGATCTTTGTCAGCAGGACGTTATGGCATGTTAGAAAGTCTGTATCACTTGAGCGTCTCCTAGTTACTGTTTATTTTCTTGTTCCAATAAAACAAAAAGGAGGGAAAAAAAAAGGTGATTGTGGTATTTGGGAAAAAAAAATAAGAAACGAAGGAGGAAAAGAAAAGAAGATGAGAAAAGAAAAGTGTCAAGGAAACAAAAAATAACATCCTTTCGAGACGTTGCACTCGTTTTTACTCTTCCTCAGGTTCCTCGGTGGTATCAAAGACACCCTTGGAACGTTTGGTCTTGCGGTCACGCTGGTAGTATTCAGCCAATACCTTTTGCGGGATACGGTTCAACAATTCCTTGGGGAAGATACGAAGTAATGACCATGCAAGATCAAGTGAATCGTAAATGGTTCTGGATTCGTAAGGACCCTGAGCAATGAAAGTCTTTTCAAACTTTTCCAAGAACTCCAAAGACAGCTTATCTTCCTGGTTCAAAGCTTCCTCACCAACCACAGCCTTCATAGCAGCAGCATCACGACCAATAGCGTATTTGGCATACTAATAGATACGGACATCAGTATCGGTCTTGCCGTCAACGAGCCAATTTTTTTTCTCGCTTACCAATTGATTGGACACATCACCGTGATCCTTGCGGGTCATACCCTCACCAATGGCGGACTTCATGAGACGCGATAAGGAAGGCAAGACGTTGATGGGTGGGTAGATCTGGCGATTATGCAACTGTCGATCGACAAAGATCTGTCCTTCCGTAATGTAACCCGTCAAATCGGGAATAGGGTGGGTAATATCTACAGAAAACCATCGCTGTCAGCATCGATGTCATACCATCTCAGCAGCGAAGGCAAAAAGCAACTTACCATCGTTGGGCATGGTCAAAATAGGGATCTGGGTAATGGAACCGTTACGGCCTTCGACACGACCGGCACGTTCGTAAATGGTGGACAAATCCGTGTACATGTAACCGGGGTAACCACGACGACCGGGCACTTCTTCACGAGCCGCCGATACTTCACGCAAAGCATCCGCATAAGAACTCATATCGGTCAAGATAACCAATACGTGCTTTTCAAGCTGGTAAGCGTAATATTCGGCGGTGGTCAAAGCCAAACGAGGTGTAATGATACGTTCAATTCTAAAGAAAAAAAAAATCGCACTTTGTAAGTACTCAAATTGATGACTCCACCACTACCCAAAAGACAAAGCACGTACGTAGGATCGTTGGCCAAGTTCAAGAACAGAGTCACACGTTCCATGGAACCGTTTTCTTCGAAATCTTGTTTGAAGAAGCGAGCGGTTTCCATGTTGACACCCATAGCACCGAAAACGATGGAGAAGTTGTCCTCATGACCGTCATGCACATCCTTGGTGGGAGCGAGTTTCTGGACAAGGCCGGCCTGACGACAGATCTGGGCGGCAATCTGAAGCAAAAGAAATAAAGAGAAAGGAAAAGGGTTATGACTCGTGTTTCATGTTTCTTCATGAAAAAAAAAGACCGAGAAAGGAAATTCCAAAAGCTTTACCTCGTTGTGAGGAAGACCGGCTGCTGAGAAAATGGGGATCTTCTGACCACGAGCAATAGAGTTCATGGTATCAATAGCTGAAATACCGGTCTGAATCATTTCTTCTGGATAGATACGCGAGTAAGGATTGATGGGAGAGCCTAAAATCATGAAAGAAGAAGAGGGGTTAGAGTCCACATGAAACGGTTACTGAATTTGGGGGAGCCGGTTCTTTTTTTTTCTTACCATCGACACTCAAGTAATCGTCAGCAAACACTTTGGGACCCTTGTCAATGGGTTTACCGGAACCGTTGAAGACACGACCCAACATATCTTCAGACACGGGAATCTGGAGTGTGTTGCCGGAAAACTTGACGTGGGTTTGCTTGGCATCAATACCGGTGGTGCCCTCAAACACCTGAACCACCGCCTTTTTGCCCTGAACTTCAAGCACCTGACCAGCGCGGACCGATCCATCAGGCAATGTAATGTCGACAATTTCAGAGAATTTGGGAAACTAAGTCAAGTTCAACCACAAAATAAAGGTCCAAAGGAAGACACGAAGACGTTTAGTATAAAAAAGTGTCAAAAACCAAAGAACCCGCAGGCAAAGAAGGTATGATATTGTTATAGAAACGGGCTTTACCTTGACATTATCCAAAATAACCAAGGGACCGTTAACACCCGTTACTGTGCGGTAGTCTAAGGAGAGGAACAAGCACCATGTTAGTTAGAGATGGAGTTCCAATGGGTATAAACTACCGTTTCAGGCAAAGACGAGGTGCTCGTCATTAGTGCTTCTCATTGGTATGCTTACCCAAACGTGGTTTGGCAATGAAATCTCGGGTCACAGCCGATTTGTGCAATTCAAATGCTTCACGTGCGGAAATTGGCTTGGCCATTTTTTAAAGAAAGATAACAATCCAAGTGGAAAAGCTCTTGAAGGAAGGGAAAAAAGAGCGCTTCTCGTTCGTTTCGGATAGCGATGTCATCAAACCCAAAATTTTCGGTGAGCGCCTCGAATTGGAAACCGTCTTTTGCCTCCGACACCTTCTTTTTCCAGCACTTTGTCCAACCTAAAACTTGGCCTCCTCACTTGATAAAACCAAACCCGCTCTTGTTCCTTCACTATAAACACTCATGAAAGAAGACAAGTAACCCTCTTCCTTTTTCCTTGTGATTTCGGTTTTGTCCATGATAGCCTCTGCTGTTTTATGCTGTGCAAGATGGAACAATAACGTGCAATCTTCCAAAGCCAACGCGTTGTTGGACATATGCAGAAAGGCTGCCAGTTTGTTCCTGTTTTTGTCGTAGTATGATATATAAAGGTACATCGAATTCTTGTCGATGTCGAGTGGCTCGAGCTTCCTCGGAGTATAATGTGCACGGATAATCATACCAGATAGACACGCAAAAGAAATGACGACAAAACATAGTGAAAAGCAAAGAGAGCAACTCAATTTTCTGGAAAATCTCGCAAGTGGCAAGATCATTTGAAATGAACTTTATTTTTGCTTGCCTTATTTCTTTGCTTTGAGTTGACAATTTTTGAGGAACAACGTGGTAGTGAAACAGCACACAGAGCATAATAATGCAAATCGAAGAGCTTTGTGGATGGAAGAATAAAGACCGGCCACGACAAGCTGGTAGATGTCCGGCGCCAAAGACTGGATTTCGGAGATGGATGTACGAACAAATGAAATAATCTTGGATTGACTTAATTGTTAGTCGAGGGGCTTTTTTTACTTTGCAGCTGTTCAGCTTACCTTTTCAGCATCCTCGCCAGTAATGGTATTTAGCAAATATGTCTTGAGGTTGGCTTGCAAGATGGTCGAAGCCACGGTGCTTCCCATGAGCCAGCCAGTCGAGCGACATAAATATATCATGGAAGTGGCCGATGCCGAGTCTAAACAAACAAACAAGCAGTTGATATAAGTGAACTGGCAGGTCCCTATTGGTTTTTTTTTTTTTTTTTTTTTTTTTTTTTTTTACCTTTTGAATCAATGTCAGCTACCAGGGCGACCATGGTAGCAACAAGGACTGTGCCAAAGCAGTAGCCTTCGAGGTTCATGGGAATGATTCTCAACCACATTGGAGTATCATACGTCCACTGCGAGATGGCAAATACAGCAAGCACATGGAATACCATGGTGCTGCGGATAAACGTACGATAACGACCAACCGCACGAAGGTATCGACCCGCTGCCCAGCAGCCCAGAGCTGTCAATCCCGTGCGTGGCAGTACCCATAAACCGGCCGCCGATGGGTTATAGCCCAATACGCCCTACAACGCAACAATTCGCGTCTTATATTCAGCCACAATGATTATGATTCATGACATTGGGCGTTACTGGCTTACCATGAAAAATTGAGGCATAAGGTAGGTGAGTGCCATGGTGGAGCAATTGAGGAAAAAGTTGTTGAGACAGACTGCGGCCACATTGCGGTTCTTGATCAATCTGGGCGAAATAAGAGGGAACTTGGCACAGACCAATTCATAAGCACCAAAAGCAACAAAGGCAGATCCTGAAACACAGAGCAATCCAACAACCAAAGGGTCATTCCATTCGCGTGTGTTTCCACCCATCGCCGTAGCAGCGACAAACGATAAATTAACCGTGAGCCACAGAGCGGAACCACCGAAATCGATTCTTTTCAGCTTGTCTCGAAGGCCGTCCAGTGGTTTGCTGTGTTTGGGAATATTGTAATTGTTTAGACGATAGGCGTAGATGTAGAGAAGGAACAAGCAGGGAGGCACGTTCAAATAGAAGCAGTAACGCCACCCAAGAAAATCATTGATAATTCCACCCAGTGGGGCTCCAATGGTGGCGCCGGTCTAAATGTTTATACAGACAATGCAGCCAACAATCATGAGTCATTTTGGCGCTGCCGATCAAGTTTTGTTTTTTACGTTTCAAAAACAGTGTCCCATACCGTTTGGGCCATATTCACATACGATTGGTACTGTCCGCGTTGTCGTATAGGGACGAGGTCATGAATAACCACCGACGACATGATCATCAAGCCGCCCCCGCCCATGCCAGCCAGCGCGCGGGCTAAAGCCATCTGAACAATATTCTGAGAAGCCCCACAAAGCCAGGATCCGATCATGAAGAAGCACATAATCATGGTCAGGATGGTCTTTCGTCCAAAGATATCTGATAATTTGCCGTCTACATACATCGTAGTGAAAAGTGATCAATTATCAGCGAGTTCTCACGGTGAATCAGGAGATGTCCTTACACAATGGTTGAACGGATGATGTGCATAACATATAAGAGACGACGATCCATACGGTTAAATTAGCACTATCCGTGTCCATCATGAGATGATTAATTTTCTTGTATGCTCTGATGAAACCACATGCTGCTCATCAATATTACCTGTGAAATTCAGTACCAATCACATTGAAAATTGTATTGACGATCGATGTATCCATTGCGGATAAGAACGCTCCGGTGCACAGACTATGATAACGTTCAAGTTATAGTATTTCAATTACAGCTTGAAATATGAGGGAAAGTAAAGCGAGAGCGAGCGCGCAGTGTTTATTACCAAATGGTGAGAATCGTTAGTGAAGTGTTTCCTAATCGTTCGACATGATCGTCCGGATCGACATGGTCAGGAATGTCGGGCGAAGAAGTCACTGCCTGCTCTATATTGGCATCCTGTCTACAACCGTTGTACGAGTCTTTTGATGGTTCCAGTCCTTTATTTTGACTCAACAGCAAAGGCTCGTCTTCTTTGGGAAGAGAATGACTCGACATACCGATGGATACGAGAGAAAAAGCGACCCCAGAAGAAGTTGGATAGTCGGATCGGGGTTGCTAAATCGATTGTTCTCAAAACGCCAATTTCTTAAAATTGGATATGCCAAATAAAGCAACCTGGTGATCATAAAGCTTCCGTGCGCCATTTTGATCATATGCCCGTATCTGGTTTTTCTATTTTTTTTTTCCAATGGCACAGTTCGCCTGTTTGACTGATACATTGCTGCTTCAATGATTAATAAAAGGACATTGACTTTTTCCTGACGCTTTTTATTTTGAAAGGGTGTAATATGGGCTGAACATTATTCAGCTACCAGACAGAAAGTGGCATCTCAATGATATAACTGCGACAATTCATGGGTGGTCTCTCCATGCTCACTCGGGGAGTATAAAAATACTTTTACAATTTTTTAATGGTAATTTACTGCCTTTGGATTTCATAGTGTTATTATCAGAAAAAGTTCCTTGCTAGAGGCTCATGGCTGGCTGGAGGGGTCACAGTGAAATTCCACAAAAAAGGCAGATAATTATGGACTTGTGTGATTGGACAACTGGATCAGTGCCTGAAATTGAGAGTCCGGCTAAGATTCAAAGAGACGGTCACAGAGTGACGAGGGCCATCCGAGCTGCGAATAAATTTTGGGACGTTTCTGGGTTTCCAAACAGGCTTTCAGTGCTTTTTTTTTCCTTTGTCTGTGATTCCCATTCATTCATAATAACCTGCACGCCATGGCACGCAAACGATCCGACGAATACGAAGAAGACGACAATGTCTACAATGACGAAGAAGAGGAGGAAGAAGAAGACGAAGAAGAAGACGACGAAGATCCCGTATGTATCTTTAACATGAGCAAACAGTATAATTCGACTCTCTACCATAAGTCTAACCCAAAAAATGTCCAATGAATAGCGTCCTACCAAACGCAAATACAATCCTTTCATTGATGAAATGGCCATTGTCGATGACGATGAAGATGAGGAAGAAGAAGAGGACGATTACACTCGTGAAGGTAAAGCCAACGTTGAGTTTGGATTCAGGTGTCGACCCCATCGTCTCACATTCGAGCTATTTTTTATTTGTTTGTGTAAAACAGATGGCTTCATTGAGGAAGAAAACGAAGAGGTTCCTTCAGCCACCGCCATTCAGCGTCGTCATTTGGATCTTGATCGTCGACGAAGAGAAGTCGAAGATATGGACGACGAACAGGTCGCGGCATTTTACGCTCAAAAATACGGTGGACGAAAATCGCAGTCCTTCAAGACCTCCGAGGAAGTGCCGCAGCAATTGCTTTTACCTAGTGTCAATGACCCCAATTTATGGATGATCAAATGCAAGGTACAATCTGTCGCATGAAAAATTTGAATAGCCATTTTTCATTCCTTGGGGGCCTGTCAATGATGTGAAACTCACCACACAAATATCTGAATTAGCCTGGTAAAGAACGCGACGTTATTCTCGGCTTGATGAAACGTTACTTTGATCGACAGTACAGCGATGCTCCACTGGAAACGTTTTCTGCCTTTGCCAGAGAATCCTTGAAAGGTTACATCTACATTGAAGCACGAAGACAGGCGCATGTGCAACAGGTAGGACAGCATTGGGACTCAACATCTTTCTATATATGGATAAATTCATCATCGTCTCCATCCTGTGACAGGCTTTGGCCAACATCCCCTTTGTCTACCATTCCACTTTGATGCTGGTGCCGATCAAAGATATGATTGACTCCATCAACGTGCAAAAGAAGGATGTCGAAATTCCCTTGGGTGGCTATGTCCGAGTCAAACGTGGCAAGTATGCCGGTGATATCGCCCAAGTGCTTGAAGTCTCGGATGCTCAAGACAGCGTTCGTGTGAAACTGGTTCCACGTTTGGATCTTCAATCGAATGAGGACGATCCAGGCTTGAAACGTAAAAAGGGTGCCAATGCAAGACCGGCCCAACGACTATTCAACCCCGAGCGACTCGGCAATCGATTTATCTCCAGTTTGCAAAAGAAGGGTCCTTACTGGGTTTTCAACAGCGATCATTTCCGTAACGGTTACCTTGAGAAGCATATGAAGGTCGTTGCACTGCAAATTGAGGGAGTCAATCCCACTTTGGATGAGTTGGCTAAATTTGCAGGCGGGGGCGAATTGAACAATGAGGATGGCGAGTCGATGATTGATCTGTCCACGCTTTCGACCCAAGCCGTCAACAATGCACAGTCGGCGGCGCTCTTCCAGGCAGGCGATACAGTGGAAGTCACGGAAGGCGATATGATTCACAGTACGGGTGTGGTGGATAGTGTGAACGATTCATCGGTGGTTGTGCTTTTGGACGTGGAAGGATTCCGAAAGAGTGTCACCCTGCCGCCAAGACAACTACGTAAAAAGTTCAAAGAAGGTGATCACGTCAAAGTCATCAATGGTCGATTCAAGGATGAAAGTGGCATGATCGTCAACGTCAATGAAAATGTCATTACCATGCTCTCCGACGCTACCATGAAGGAAGTCAAAGTATTTGCCAAGGATTTGCGAGAAGCCGCCGAAGTCACTTTGGGCAAAACCATGATTGGCAATTACGAATTGCATGATCTCGTCCAATTAGAGTAAGTATCTCCCGGACGGCTGTAATGGATCAACCAAAAATGTCATTGGAAGTCCAAAAAAGGCTGATGTTTCGATTTTTTTTTCCAGTTTTTACACCGTGGGTGTCATTATCAAAATTGATCGTGACTCTTTCAGAGTCTTGACACAGAATGGCGAAGTGCGTACCGTGCAACCTCATCAGATCACCAATAAGCGTGACAGCAAACGTGCGGTGGCCACAGATGGTAACGGCAATAGCATCCGTTCCGGAGATACCGTGGTGGAAGTGAGTGGGGACCGACGACGGTGCACAGTACTTCATCTGTATCGTCATCTTGTGTTCTTACATTCTCGCGAAAATACCGAAAACTTTGGTGTCTGGGTGAATACCACACGATCCGTCGTCAGTGTTCAGGCCAACAACCGACCACAGGTAAGCGACGGTGCCTCGGCTCCTGAATCTGGGCTGTTGTTTTTTTTCTTCCTCCATGGGTATGCTCACACTGGCGGGTGTAGAATGCCATGGCACCATCACGGCCATCGGCTTACGGTAATAATGCCATGGGAGCTGGTAGAGGCGGTTTCGATCAACGTGGACGTGGTCGGGGTGGCGCTCGTGGTGGTTTCTACGGTCGTGGCCGCGGCGGACGAGACAATTTAGTGGCCAAGACGGTCCGAATTGCCCAAGGTCCTCACAAGGGCTACCTTGGTATTGTCAAGGATACCACCGATACAATGGCTCGTGTAGAACTGCATACCAACTGTAAAATCATTAACGTCGACAAGGCCAAGCTGGTCCTTGTGGACAGTCAAGGAGGTACAATTGGTCCGGTCATGGAATCCCGAGATCGCTTTGGTGCGCCGCAAAACGAGTTTGCTGCACCTTCTGCTACACCAAGACGGTACGGTGACGGCAGCATGACACCTATGCATCACATGTCGGGAGCAAAAACACCAGCTTGGAATTCCGGTGCGCGAACGCCCAATCCTTACGCGATGGATGGCGGCAAAACGCCTGCGTGGGATTCGGGTAGCAAGACGCCTAACCCTCACGCATTCAATGACGGTGGCCGAACGCCGGCTTGGGAATCCGGCAGTAAAACGCCCATGTGGGGAGCCGAAACGCCTCATTGGGGAAGCTCCAGTGCAAAGACTCCCGGCTTCAATGAAGCGGGCAGTAAAACACCATCCTTATGGAGCAGTCGATATCAAGACACCGAGGCTGCTCCCACACCGGCAGCCCACTCACTCACCGCACCCACACCCGCAGTAAGTGTCTCTTTGTTTTTATTCAAGGAATCATCTCTCCGCCGAAAAGATCATTTCTTGCTTTTTTCTCCAGTTCACTAATGAAATTTATTTCGCCGTATTTTGTAGTCCTCTTATGGCCATGTAGCTCCATCCCCCGCTCCCTACCCACAAACCCCAGCAGCCAATTTTGCTCCTACACCTTTCGAAGATGCACCTACACCATACGACACAGCACCTACCCCTGGGGCCAACCTTATTCCTGCGACTCCAGCGGCGCTTAGCGCACCGACCCCGGCCGCACACATGCTTTCCGCACCTACACCAGGCTCTTATTTGCCGACCACACCTGCCACCACCATTCCGCAAACACCATTTATGCCCAGTGGTGGTGATTACGGTCACATTGATGAAGCAGGTACAGTCGTCGTTGTTTCTAAAAGTTAAACCATCCGTTTCAGAGCCAACTCACACGTAAATGTTTGATTGATGATTAGAAAACAATACGGCCGACTGGCCAATTGAAGAAATCGAAGTCAGAGTCATTTCGGGTGGTCATGGTGCCAATAAGGGACAGTTGGGTTCGGTGATTCAAGTGAACATGAACGCACGTACATGCAAGCTGAATCTCCTGGATAACAACACATCTGCGACGTTACCCTTCGACAGCATAGAGCCTGTGCGACCGAGTAAAAAGGATAACGTTAAGATTATCCTAGGCGAGCACCGTGGCGAACTGGGTTCGTTGATTGGTGTAGACAGCCATGATGGTATTGTGCGCATCCGAGGTGGCGGTGGTGGTTTCAAAATTATGGGCATGACATCTCTGGGCAAATACACAGGCACTGAAGATGTGATGTAATTTTTTTTTCCTTTGACAGAAATCAAAGAAAAAATCATCATGTTATTTACACATATACATACTACTTTCTCCTTTCAACTGTCTTTTCGTTTTGGATTTCTACAGTAAACGTCTACATAGCCGTGTTGTTATTTTCCTGTGTGCTCGGATTAAGTTTGCTTGTGAATATAGCGAGTCATTTTGAAATATGAAAAGGGGAAAGATGTTTTTCAGTTTACAAGATGTAAATATCATTTTGATGATGGATTGGATTTTGTACATTCCCAAGTATATGCAGGCTATTGCATGACATTGCTGGTTCTTTTAAATTTTGAACAGAAAGTTGTGCTGACACATCGGGACTTCTGGTGATTTTGGAGCAGCGGATGTTCAATGAAAGGCTATTTCAACATCCGCTAGGAGATAGAGAAGGATGCTTTGTCACGGATGAAAGCAGCAGATTCAACATGTCGTAATTTACTAATAATTTAAGACTATGTTGTGAAGCACCAGGTAAGTTGTGCAAGTTTATTCAGTAAGAGAACGTTAGTCTTCGTGAATACGTTTCATGAAGGTGATGTCACACAGATAACGTCACAAAATTATTTTGCCAGCTGTTTTGCGCTTTTCGAACTCGATTCTCTTCCCCACCAGACCACTTCACTTGTTTCACTTTTTATCACAAAATGGCTGATTATTGGTATGGAATTGACTGCAATACCTGGGCTTTCCTCTGTTAATCTCGGTACTAATATGCTTCTAGTCCTGTCTACGCGCCTTTCTTTGGTTCTATGGGCTGCACTGCTGCCATCGTATTCAGCTGTAAGATGGAACTGTTTCGAGATGGCGTTTCGTGGGCTTTTTTTTTTACTGACGCATGTGGTGTATATATCTTTTTAGGTCTCGGTGCAGCTTACGGTACTGCCAAGTCCGGTGTGGGTCTTTCTGCCATGGGAGTGTTGCGCCCTGATCTTGTCTTGAAGTGTATTGTGCCTGTTGTCATGGCTGGTATCTTGGGTATCTATGGTGTTGTCGTGTCTGTCCTCTTGTCGGGTGGCTGTGAGTACAAACTTACGCAGATAGATAGTGACACATATTTTAACCCTTTTTTTATATTTATCGTATTGCGTTTGTAGTGGCCATCAAGCAAACTCTTTTTAGTGGTTTTATTCAGTTGGGTGCTGGTTTAAGTGTCGGTCTTGCATGTCTTGCGGCTGGTATTGCTATTGGTATTACTGGTGATGCCGGTGTTCGTGCTACAGCTCAACAACCCAGAATGTTTGTTGGCATGGTAAGTCGTCTTGAAACATCTTGTCGCAAAACACTGAACTGACCTTCTTTTTCTTTTCCCCCTTTACTATTTTGTCGAACAGATTTTGATTTTGATTTTCGCTGAAGTGTTGGGTCTGTATGGCCTTATTGTCGCTTTGATTCTTAACACCAAGGCTTCCGGCGGTGAAAGCCTGTGCAACTAAAAAGCTAAAAAAGATACCAAATGAATAAAAACGACTACTATATCTCACGGGATTAGTTGATCTTACTATATAACACAGGAACATTCTTCATTTTTGTTACGTTTTTTTAATTTGATGCCCATCACTGATAACCAAGCCGGACAGATGGACGGAAATCAGCCCTTAGGATGTAACGAAGCGCAAGTTTACATTATCCACTCTGGGACGTCGGATGGACAATGCCCCTGAACGTCACAGTAGAGGTTTTTATCATCAGCAATCTTTGAAACAACCCAGGAGAAAGATTAGCTGCAATACCAAGTAATAAAACAGCTTAATAATGGGTTTAAAAAAAGCTGTCAATCCATTTGAAATGATGCAAAAGTATGCAAGACAATCATGGATCGTCAAATTTCCTTGAGGATACCATCTTTTGTCAATCATGTACTTTGTTACTGAAGTTCCAATGTGTAAGCTTGGCTAAAAGAGAATCCGATATGTATCTGGGTGAAGGATCATTTGTATGCCAAATGAGATGGGAAGATAAAGGAAAAACGGACTATAAAGATTTCAGATAATGAATTTCTATTTATTTTGTCTTGTTGGTTTTGATCATCGGGTCTGAGGAGAAGTGATATTCTGGGATTTAGTGATCACTTCGGTCGCTTTATTGAAAGCATGGTGATGGTGTCATTTCTGCTAAGCACACGACCTGTAAGGATTAACATTTGTCATTCATATATTGAATATGCAGTCTTTTTACTTCAAAAATGAGGGGACAAAACGGCAAATGAGTCAGATGACGTTGGTCTGCATTGAAACACTCACTCGAACTGTTTCTATCAAGAGAAAACAAAAAAAAAGCTGCATTTAATTGACGGGATCGGATTTTCATTCTAGCATGGGAAAATGAGCAACGCCTACGCGCCAAAGTAACAACTTTAAGCTGATAAAGAACGATGGCGGAAAAAGAGAATCTTGGAAGCAATATATAAGAATTTCTGGTTCATTGCTTGGTTTTTTTTCTTTCATGTTCATTTTTGGCAACTTGAAATGTCTATTTTTATTTTTCAAAGAAACAGGTTCCCCAGACAATAAGTCGGCGACAGCGTAACAACAGGGGACAAAAAACGCGTTACAACACCGAATTGCCATAGTGACAGCAGCATATATGGTCAATTACGAAAGAAAAAAGGTCGATAAACCATCGTGGTGGGAAAAGGATGAATTGCAAAAAAAAAGGAATACAAAATAAGCGCCCGCTGGTAAAATGGTGCAATAAAAATAAAACCATTAAAGATCGTGTTTTTTGTGTGATCACAAAAATTTCTTTAATTAGGTTCAACGACCGCCTTTGAATGGGCGCACCTTTTGGATCCTTGCTTTTTTTTTTTTTATACACATTTTTTTTTCTTTTTCGTTGTTTTTCTTTGCTTTCTTTCTCCATTCCCTTTCTGTATACTTTTTTTCTCTCTCTCTCATGTCTACAGAGAATATTACGGTCAGCTTGTCTCGTTTGGCACTGGCCAAAGCCATTAAAACACCCGATGTGGAAGAAAAGGATGCCGAACCTTGGTCGAAAAGCGTTATTTTCCACCAATCACATATTGGTTCAAAAATGCGTGAAATCCAACATCCTTCAGCAAGGCATAGAACGCGCAGCAACGACAAACCTCTAATGCCAAGACATAACCGACCGCCCATGTCGTCATTTCCGTCGGACCAGCAACAACAGCGATACCACTCCTACCAAGCCGCCCAACACGATCCTTCTCCAAGAAGCACACCGATGAGCCGTATAGCTTCGGATCCTCATCATCCTCAAAACAACTCCCACCACCATCACCACCAAGACATACCCTCCCGGCCTGCCACGTCTATACCCCAAAGTCAGAGCAGCAGCAGCCATGGTCGATCGTCGTTTTATTCTACCAACTCGTCTCGGTCTGCTAGTCAAGGTAAACTACCGCTCTTCTCCTTTTCTCCTCCCCCCCCCCCCCTCAAAACCCCGAAAAAAGAAATGGCACGCTGACCTAAAAATGCTATGCAACGGGTGGCGTACATCACGTAACAAAGAGACACATGTGAAACTAATCTTATATTTTATTATTATTTTGATGATGCATTTTTTTAGCTCATTCACCTATACCGCCTCAAACAAGTAATAAGCCCGTACGACAATGGATTCCTAGCGACGATGAAGATGAAGATGATGATACTGAGGACGATGAGGAGGAGGAGGAAGAAGAAGAAGAAGACGGCGGAAAAAAGGGTCCACATCCATTAGAACCACGTAAAATCGAAAATACCATCCGATCCTCTCCCCCAGCTAGTCGGTCTGCTGCCACTCCGTCACCTCAACCGATGCTTCGAAATCATGCTTCCAAAGCACAACCACAACCCAGCGATGATGAAGATGAGGATGATGATGAAGATGACGACGATGATGAAGAGGAGGAAGATGACAACGAGGTTAATAATGGTAATGTCAAGCACCAAGGTGAGCCATTGTGCTCACGTTGCATAACACGTGTCATTGGATGCACAAACCCTAAAAAGATTTAAAAAAGACCGCTGGCTGATAATTTCGACTTTCCTTTTTTATTAGTCAAATCCGATAATTATGAGCATTCGTTTGCGACGGCTCCTATTGAAGAAACCGATGAACATATGCATGCACGACGTATGTCGACTTTACGACAATTGGAACGTGGACCTAGTCTTCATAAACGATCACGATCCTTGGGCGATATGAACTTGATACCTGAACCGGTGATGGAACCCGTCTCGTCTCCTCCGTTGGAGTTGGGCAACCCTGCGAAATTAGGATCCATTGAACAATGGCGACAAATGGTGTTGGAAGCTGAAGAGACGACGAACAGCACCCCCCTGTCTGAACCGAGTAGCTTATCTTTGCCTACCGACCCCGTGGAACCGAGCAGCCACGTGGACATGCCGACAGAGGAGCCAATGAGAGGCGCACCTACAGTACCTTTAGGATACCCTGCACGCAATAGACGATCGACATTAAGTGAAATGGATATGTTGTACCACATGCAAATCCAGCAACAACAACAACAAGCGGCTCAACTGCAATTTCAACAAGCCCAACAAATGGCGCAAATTCAACAGTACCAACAATACCAACAAGCTTTAATGCAACAACAACAACAACAATCCATGTTACAACCCCCCATGTTACGGTTACCAATGACTCCGGAAAAGAAGGCCAATCGCAAGAGTGTTTCCGCCATGGATCTCATGCTCCAAATGGAACAAGAAAAAGAAGCCAACAAAGTGCGCAAGGTGAAGAGAATCGATGCGTCCAATGCTCACATTGAAGGTTTACTGGGTCGTTTACCTGAGCAAGGCACACATAACATCAATTTCCAGCAAACCCAGGCGGCCGTGAAGCTGAATGCCAATCGAATGAAAATGACCAGGGCCAGTAAAAGCGATTACAATGTAGCAGGACTGGCGGCGGAGCGGAAACCGCGCAACTATGGTGGACGAAGCGGAGGCCGACCTGCTAGCACATTGCACGTGGATCAGCCTGCACCGCGAATGACAAGTACCGATGCTCGTCGTCGATCACAAATGATGCGTAGTGAAAGTTCACCTGTGATGCCGACCCCCAGTATGTCGACACCTATACCTCAAATGATGCCGCCAACGTCGCAATATATGGGAATGGGCATGCCCATGGGAATGCCAATGGGAATGCCCATGACCATGGGCACTCCTATGCCAATGAATGGTATGCCCATGTTAACACCAAGTATGAGTACAGGACGACCGACCAGTATGATGAGTTCCAAGCGACAAAGTGCCAACTGGGGCAACATGCGGTAGTCATTTGTTTTTTCTTTAATCGTCATTCCTTTATTTTATTACTCTTCTATCTACCTTTTGGTTTTTTGTTTTCTTCTGTGAGTCTTTTTTTTGTAACTTTTTCTTTTTTTTTCATAATCATTCTAATGCATGTTGGGTTTTTCAACAAAAAAACGAAAAAAAAACAGGGCGATTCTGATCGCCGACTGCAGTGATTTTGTCGGATGTTAGTGATTGGCTCTGTGGGGGCTGTTTGACAAACCTAAATTTCCTTATTTCAGGCACAACCGTCCTGATCCGCCGTTGAGACGGGGTCTGTGCCTGTCTTGTATTTCTCGCTTGATTCCCTTTTTAACTACTTTACTACAACGTACAAATTCATGACAGATGAGATTCGGTTACAGTTGATCGGGCAACCTAATGCCGAGGATGCAGACAAGCATAAAGAACTGCGATCCACGTCCGCATCACGATGGCGCACCAAAGGTACGGGATGTAGCCAGACGGATGGCTTCATCCCAATGGTCATCATCAGGAAATCGGTTGTACTCAAAAAAGACTCGCTAGAATTCTATTTTTACTATGCCTGTGTTGCCGTGGTCGTACCGTACATGATTTATGTCACGTATGGACTCGGTCCAAGTAAGTAGGACGCCAATGCATAGTAAGCGAACCAAAACGCAATCGCTCTTAAACAAATCTGTGTAGACAGCCCCTATTACAATCGATATGCTTATTATCTCTCTGAAGGATGGATAGCCGGACGCAAAGTGGTGAGCCCATAAATAACCATTCCAAACTGTATTTTATTCATGCTAGTTAAAATCGAACTGTCAGGACAACAGTGATCTTCAGTATGCGACATTTCGTAACAATCTTCCCAAACTGATACTCCTAGCCGTGGCATTTTTATTCCTTAGTCATGCGTTTCGCATGGTTGCACAGAAACGGCCGACCGATCGATTTTATTTCCTAGCAATGGTTTCTGTTCTAATAACCCTCGGCTTACACGGAGCGAGCATTATAAAGATCCTGATTATTGTATCATGCAGTTACGGCATTGCATTCATCGCGCAGGGGTCAAGGTGGAATCCGATCTGCACTTGGATATTCAATCTCGCTATCCTTTTTGGCAACGAATACTACAATGGGTACCGGTTCGCAACGTTGGGCTCCACCTTTGCTTGGCTGGTAAACAATCAATACGTTGTTTTATTTGAGTGAAGAGGGGAAATTCAACATGACTTTTGTGTTTTTACAGGATCAATATCAAGGATACCATGCTCGGTGGCATGTATTATTCAACTTTGTCATGCTACGATTGATCTCTTTCAATGTGGACTATTACTGGCAATGCAGAAAAGGCAGAGAAGCGTACACGGTATGATGTGCGAAACAAAGTTGAATGAACGATCGATCTAAATGCTCAAAACCTCACGAACTAGGTAGCACGGTCCGATGAATCGATCACCGATAAAGAACGCATCACGATCCCATGCCGCGCTTCTGACTACAATTATGTATACTTTATCAGCTACGTATTCTATACGCCACTTTATCTGTGCGGCCCCATCATCACTTTCAATGACTTTGTATCGCAGGTATGCTGTGTTTCACTATCTGTCCATATTGGAGCAAAAAAAGGGGGTCCTGATCACATAAATCAACATTAGGTACGTCAACCGTCATCTAAAATCCAACGAAGCTATGTCGTCATCTATGCATTACGGTGGATGGCGGTGGTGCTCGTAATGGAAGTGACACTGCATTACCTGTATGTGGTGGCTATTAGCAAGGCCGGTGCATGGGAAGGTTATACCCCCATGCAATTGAGTATGATTGGTTACTTTAATCTTGTCATCATCTGGATGAAATTATTGATCCCTTGGCGGTTCTTTCGCCTTTGGGCGCTGTTGGACGGGATATGGCCCGAAGAGAACATGGTGCGTTGTGTCAGCAATAACTACTCGGCGCAACGATTCTGGAAAAGCTGGCACCGGTCCTTTAACCGATGGATGATTCGATACATCTTTATTCCTTTGGGGGGATCCAAGTATATTACCTACAACATGTGGATCGTGTTTACGTTTGTCGCATTATGGCATGATCTGGAGCTGAAACTCTTGGCTTGGGGATGGCTCATTTGTCTGTTTCTTTTGCCCGAGATCATCGCCTCCAAACTGTATAATTATGACAAAGTAAGCAAGGTTTCGGTCAACTTAGTTTTTCCTTCTCGATATTGATTTCAGGTCGTCTAGTACGGAGAACAGCCATCCTATCGTTTTGTGTGTGGTCTCGGGGCGACGTTTAACATCTTGTTGATGATGATCGCCAATCTGGTAGGCTTCTGCATTGGGCTAGATGGTATGAAGGCCATGTTATCTGAAATTATGGGCAATCTCCAAGGTAAGACCCAACGATGTCTGTTGATGAAAAAGGGTCGTCCAATCTTATCCACTCGTTTAGGCTTCTACTTTCTTCTATGTGCGATTGCTGCTTTGTTTGTGGGAGTCCAGATCATGTTTGAAATCCGTGAATCAGAAAAACGTCGCGGTGACCCAAAATGGACAATGTAATATGGGTTGGCGATGCGGGTGAACGGGTCCTGTTGGAACCTGGGGGCATTTTGTTGAATCTTGTTGATATCATCTACATATTTTTTTGGGGGCCGGGTATAAGCGATGTGGTGAGACAAATGGAACGTAATATTAGAATCATCCCAGTATTGTATGTTCATGGCATGGTGTCAGTCTTGTTTGAGCAAGATAAAAAAGTTTTTCATTTTTTTAAGCGTTTTGTTTTCGTGTATCTCTTCTCTCTGCACTTTGAACTATCATTATGTCTAACGCAAGCTCTGCTCCAGGTGATCAACGCTCCAAGGAATCCGTCATCTCTGATACGGGAGCCAAGATGATGCAGTCCTTTGCTCCTCTCCAACCGATTTGTGAGCATGTATGCGGTTTCCACTTTTACGCTCACGATATGACCCGTCAAGTCCATGCCCATCATTTATGCTCCCATGTGAATGAAGACTTCCGTCAATGCATTATCTTTGACTCTCCAAAGAAAGATGCTCGTCTCATTGGTATTGAATACATCATTTCCGAAAAGCTCTTTATGGGTAAGTCTTCATCTGCGTGGCATTCATGCCTATTGTTGCTTACATGAAATCAATTTTTCATCTAGAGCTGGATGAACAAGAAAAACGATACTGGCATTCCCATGACTATGAAGTCCGTGGTGGAAGCTTGGCTCTTCCCATGCCTCGCCTGATGCCTGAAATCGGTGCTCAAGCCAGCGAACGTGAAGCCTTGCTCCAGTTGCAGAAGACGTATGGCAAAACATGGCATACCTGGCAAATCGATGCCCATCCCACCATGCCTCTAGGTACGAAGCAAATAAAAGCTGTTTTCTTGGTTTTCATTGCCATTGATAAATTGTTTGCATTGCAGGTCCTGCTCAATTGATGATGGCTTTGACGGCCGACAACCAATTGAAGCCCGAACTTGCTCGTCAGCGCAAGGAAGAAGAAGGCATTGACATTGACGAAAAGAAGAAGGAACGTCAAGACTTCCCCGCCTATGAACCCAAACCTGGCTGCGACATCTGGCAAAGCGGCAAATCGGTTCAAATTGTGCCGGAAGAAAAGGACTTTATCAAGTCGTAAGCTAGCTTCTCCGTTCACTTAAAGCCCCTCTTGTCAGGTGCAAATTAAGGATTGTGAAAAATAAAAAATCAATCTTTTGCTTATGCTCAAACAGTAAACACAAATAAAAGGGCTCGTAAAACTGCAATGTAAAAAGTAGTTGATGATGATGAGACTAGGGTGTGGTATGTACGGTTAGAGATGATGATCCGGAATTCGGAAAGATGGAAGGGTAATGACAGCCGAGACTTATTTGGCTGGGATGATAATCAGATTATTGGGAATAAGTTCAGGTTTGGGCCATACCTGTGGAGTGCATGAGTGTGATGTCTCTTTATTTTCTATTGTTCCTTTCCCCTTTTCCCCTTGCCTCACCCCAATCACCAACGTTTTACGCTTACCCGTGCAAAGACACGACCATGAATCAAACCGATCGCCACGGGCCCATAGCTTCGGGAGTCGGTCGAGTTGCTCAGATTATCTCCACCTACCCATACATGGCCATCGGGGACCTATGCCACCCCATCAACACTCCATTTTTCTATCCAGAATACAGAGCCGATCCCCTTACATTCAAGTAGCGGCGCTCGGCGGCGGTTGGATCCACGCAAACATTATCACCTGCAGTAGCCAAGATCCGCTTGAGCACCGCCCGCCCTGGTACAGCAGGTGAAGTACAGACGATAACGTCGCCAGTCCTTAAGGCACGAAACCGTTGGCTGATACGATCGACGAGAATGATATCGCCTGTCATTCGGAATGTCGGTAACATGGACGGTCCAATGCACTGATGAGTTGGCATTAAAACAACAATTTCCAATGGAGATGCGATTTCCTCTTTATGAAAGAACCTCCCGCTTTCCCCAGGAGGATGAGCAATGCTGACTTACAAAGGTCAGTTCCAATACATATTGATTAATGAGATGAGCAAAGCAGAACAGTTGCACACAGTATCCAACGCCTTTGAGCACTCGTGCAGTTCGACCCAACAACGCCATGAAGAAATAACTATAATGGAATAAACAGTTTCTTGTCAAGTTTAAATATCCAAACAGGGAAAGGAACAGAGGTCCAAATAAAAATTGAGTTTGTTTCTTTTTTTTTCTCCTGAGCATTTTCTGTCACTGTGTCCAACGACAAAGATGCAGAAAAATCCTTTTTTATCCATTTCCCTCCCATTTCGCTTCATGATCCCATTTTTTTGCCATTCTTCAATACACAAAGTACGAGATCTATTTTATTAATGAGTATGACTCCTATGGTACTTTATCCTTTCGAATCAATGGAAGGGATTGGTTATTACACTTTGTCCACGAGGTATTTGTTGTGTCATGCACATACCAACCCATGCCTCGGCAATTGCCATATTTACTCACTCTGGCCTTGAATCAAATGAGATTCTATCCAGAACTTGGTATATGATGATTTTCGATCCAATTTTGGATTATAGACAGATCCTTTTGGCGACGGATGGTGAATAGATGGCTTTATCATGTTTTCGATGATTGTAATCAACAGTGTGGTTTGTTTTACATATTTACATAGAGGAAGTTAATCATCGCGAAAGACGTGAAAGGATCGTTGCGCCGCTTGGGAAGAACTTTCGGCGACTGGTGAATGTTCAGTTGGAAGGGAATCGTCCTCGGCAAGAGAAGAAACAGGTTGAAATGGCATGCGTTCGGTCTCTTGGGTACGTCGTCGCGGAAGTTCAATACCTTCATTTTCATTGACACGTTGGGTCGGTCGGATTCTTTCCAGCAAAGGTATGGAGTGCCACGATTCGGCTGGGGTGATTGGTTTCCCACTGTCGAACATACTGCCTACGATTTGCATGGCCGCTCTTGTCTCGGTGGTATAGTTTTCGGTCGGTGAGGGAGGAGCTGGTCGAAGCGAGGCTTGTTCGTCTTCAAAGAATCCTACATGTGTTGCCATAACAATTAATATCGTAGCAATTTGAGAGCCGAAATTGGTTTTTTTTTTTTTTTTTTTGGTTCATTCTTATTCTCAAATTCTTACCTTCAGCGGGTGGCGCATCAAAGTTAGTGATCGGCGATGGTAATGGATTATTCTTGTGTTGTAAATGTTGTGCACGTAATTCCTCAAAGCTGAGTTGTTCTGAATTGGGCCCAATGATGTCTTTGATGGCCGCAATATATTCTGTTTTTCCAGCCGAATTGGACGATTTAATGAATTTCGGTTTCATTTGCGTGAACCACGTTTCCAATGCCAGTTCCTTTTGCTGAGCCCGTTGCGATTGGCGATAAGGATGACTGGTGTGTGACGAAGTTATATCCACCAACGGATGCTTTCGTAGTTGTTCCGCATGCGGTGGCGCCTCTGAAAAAGTAAGCAGGGGGCCATTCGTCTTTGTTCTCTTTGGCGGAGGTTGAGATGGTTCGGCTGACTGATCGTCCTAATAGGGATTGGCTTTTAGTATTATTTCTTTTCCCCATTGATTCTCATTTGCCTCTTTCTTTTCTTTTTACCTCATCACGGAATACTGTGATTGCTTGCGACGGAGGGGGTACATAATTTTTCATCGGAAGTGTGGTGCCAGCCATCTTGAAAACTTCCTGCCTGTTTTCCTGACGATGTCGTGAGCGAACGGATGGTATATAGGAAGTGGTGGATGGGGATGGGGATGGTGAGGTGGCAGCGGCGGGACGGGGGACGGACGAGGCTGGTTCCGGTTCGACGTAAACTGAAAAACGAGCATTGGGTATAGCCGTGGAATCGGCGGAATTGTTGCCAAAGGATCGTCCTTCTCGTGAGGAGGAGGCGGCAGCGGCGGCTGAGGAGGAAGTGGAAGACGATGAATTGTTGATAACGTTGCTGGGAGCGGAATAGCGAGCATCACTGTCCGTTTTTTGACCGAGCATCATGCGCTGGCCTCGAGCCATTTCTCGCATCTGTTCTCGGGCTTGAGGCACCGGATCGGCTTCGACGATTTGTCGTTGAGCAAGACGTGCTTGGAATCTGTCTCTGTATTTCTCCAGGCGTCGAATAGGTTGCGCATTTCGGTTTACGCCCAGATCCAAGACCTCCCACGCTTCTCTGTATCTATGCACACAGTCTGTCATTAGCAACGTGGAACTTAATCGCCGTCCTGCCTGCCCTGACTCACCTTCTTTTTCGTTCATAGTAAGCCGAGTACTCTTCGTAAAATGTAGCGAGATTCTGAGCAATGTTTTTCTTCATGAGGAAAAGGAAGATCTCGTTGGCATCCTCGACCCATTTGGCATACTGCATCCAACAGTGCAGATAACGTGTATCGGATTTGTAGCGTGGATCGTCCTGGAAAGTGATGGTGGCTCGTTGCAAAAGACCGACGAGATCGGAATGTTGATTGTGGCCCTGAGGAAACATTTCAATCGTCCATCGAATGTAACGCACAAAGATATCGAGAGGATCTTCGACTTGATCGAGATTTTTCAGTTCGTCCTCGTAGTCACTTTTAACTTCTTCCAATATTTCTTGACGTTCGTTGGGGTCAATCGAGTACAGTCTGGCAAGAGCCTCGACATTTCGGCCTTCACGTAACGGAATGATATTTTCTACCTCATGCTCGAAATCTTCGAATCGTGGAATGCTTTCGAGTACAAGTTGGCGCAAGTGTTCGCTCGACAAGGGCACAGCCTCATCGTGGGAATCCATTACGGCACAATCGAAAAAGGCGCCAGTTCAAAAGGTATTGTTTGAGAAGGGAAAGAAGAAGAAAAGAAAGAAGGAGAACAAAAGAGAGTAACGATAAAAAAAAATAAAAAAAAATAAAAAAAAAGAAGCAAAAAAAATCGACGCGTCTGGAAAAAAACAATCTGTGCGGCCCCCAGTATGATTTTTTTTTATATATGTATGAAGTCGCGCTATTTTTGGCATTTCGCGTTTGCTGAGATTGGAAATATTGGAAATGTTGAGTGAAAGTGATGATCATGCTTTCTGTTGGGTGAGCCGAAATTAGCGACACGTTTGTAACGGTTATTTTTTGGTGTTACACCATCTACTTTCCTTTTTTTCCCTCCAACGAAAAAATACACAACTAAACCTCGTTCAACCCGATCTTCACTGCCAAAAAAGAGAGAGAACTATGAGTGTTGCTGTCAACAGTCCGGTTCCTGCCGAAGATCAAGCAAGACTTCTCGACGAAGTTCTCAACGTCGTCAAAATTCAGGGCCACCAAATGCGCAAATGCCTTGTAAAATGTCCTTGAAAAAAAAACCATAACAAAACGTAACATTATTCATTGTGCATACTATAGGATAACGGCAAACTCATGGACGGTCTGAAGCATTGCTCCAATATGCTTGCAGAATTACGTACATCCGCACTGACGCCTAAGAATTACTATGAATTATGTAAGTTATCTTCTTCTTTCGTTTTTGCCCCGAGAAATGAAGAAGAAAAGAGAAACAAACGATATCCGCAACTTGCCCGAAATCAAAATAGATAACACCGTTGCCAACTTACAGATATGGCGATTTTTGATGTGCTGAGACACTTGACTGTCTATCTGACCGAGGCCCATCATGCCGGCAAACATCATTTGGCGGACCTGTATGAACTGGTACAATACGCAGGCAATATTGTGCCGCGTCTCTATCTGATGATCACCGTCGGCTCCGTCTATATGGGCATGCCCGACGCCCCCGTAAGGGAAGTCATGCGCGATATGATTGAAATGGCCCGAGGTGTGCAACATCCTACGCGCGGTCTCTTTTTGAGAAACTATCTCAGTGGCATGACCCGCGATCACTTACCTACCGGTGAAAGTTCAGGGTAAGTCGTCGGTTGACCGAGTCAAAGTTTTCCGCTGATGATGGCTAACCCGGCTTGTTGTTCCGAGAACAGCCCTGAAGGAAACGTTCATGAATCGATTCATTTCATCCTGACCAATTTCACCGAGATGAATAAACTTTGGGTCCGTCTTCAACACCAAGGTCACTCTCGTGACCGTGAAAAACGAGAAGCCGAACGCAAAGAGTTGCGTATTTTGGTCGGTACCAATCTTGTCCGATTAAGCCAGTTGGAAGGTGTCGATCTACGCATGTATCAATCCGTAAGTATAGTGTTTATTGGTGTGCATTGTCTTTCTTTTTTGGTTCTTGCTCACATGCATCTCTTTTGTTTTGGTTTCGTGAATAGCTTATTTTGCCGGGCATTCTCGATCAAGTAGTGAGCTGCCGTGATGTCATAGCACAGGAATACCTGATGGAAGTGATCATTCAGGTAAACAATTAATTCAGTTCCGCACCTGATTTCACATTTGCATTCTCTGTTGACATTGGGGGAACATGATCGCGCATTTCTATTTAGGTCTTCCCCGATGAATTCCATTTGCGCACTCTTCAACCGTACCTTTCGGCGATTGCTGAACTGCACCCAAAAGTGAACGTCAAACAAATCATTATTGCCCTGATTGATCGTCTCGCCGCTTATGCTAGCCGCGAAGCCGACACTGAACCTGAATCTGCGCAAAAGGACGAAATACCTTCCAAGAAGGACGATGCAGCTATCGCTGAAAAGAAAAAGAAACTTCAACAACAACTGCAAGGCACGGATGAAAAGGAGTCTTCGGATTCACAAGAGTCCCAACCTGTAGCGGATAAAAACAATGAATCACATGAACAAGGAGATGGCCAAGTCATTGAAGAAGTCAATGAAACTGCCATTTCCGAAAACAAGGATGACAACCATCAAGAACCGGAGAAGGATCAACAAGATCAAGTGGAGGATATTCAAACAGAAGATCAAGAAGAGAAAGAGGACAAGGTCAACGAGAAAACACATGCTGGTCCTGCTCACGGTATTCCCGACGATGTGGAATTATTTGCCGTCTTCTGGGCTCAGATCATTGAGCTTGTCAAGGTAGGAGGAGGGAGAGAGAGTTTCTTCATCAAGGGCGAAATACTGATGCGAGATTTTTTATCACTTCTGTAGGCACGACCGGATCTTTCCATTCAGGATCTTACGGCTTTGCTTGTATCATTGACAAATCTCTCTCTCTCGTGCTATCCCAAGAGATTGGACTACGTGGATCAGATTCTTATTTATACCAAGGACAAGATGCTGGAATTGTCGGATTCGCCTGATCTGCATTCCAAGACCACGCAAGCCAATCTGCTCAACTTGCTCTTAGTCCCCATCCATCAGTACCCTTCCATTTTGACCCTTCTATCCCTCACCAACTACCAGCCATTGCTCGCTTTACAAGCTTACAACACTCGTCGCGCTGTAGCTCACGCTGTGGTGGCCAGCATTCTGAAAAATCAGACCGTTATCAGTACGCCTGAAGACGTTCACGGGGTTTTGGAACTGTGTGATATTTTGTTGAGAGATCAAAAGGATGCTCCAATCGGTACCACGACCGCTGCGCCAATGTATGGCCATATGCGTGGCAGAAAAATGGAAGTCTCGGTCGAGCAGGAAGACTTTGAAGAGGAACAAGGCTGGATGGCCAAACTTGTCCACTTGTTTATCTCCCAGGACGAAGATACCCAGTTCCTGGTAAGTGGGGTTTGGCAGCAATTAACTCATTTTTTTTTTCGACGGTGCGTTTTTTCTCAACTGCGCTTTCTTCCATTCTTTTTTTTTCTTCTATTACAGTTACTATCGACGGCCAAAAAACAATTCAGCGAAGGCGGTAACAGAATCAAATATACCTTCCCACCCCTGGTTTTCTCGGCCATCAAGTTGGCTCGTCGATATAAGATACAAGAGAATCATGTAAGAACGCTTTCTGCCACTGCATGAATGAAATCACACCGTGACTGACGAGATCAATGGTCTTTTTAGGACGAAATATGGGAGAAAAAGACATCAACTCTTTTCCGATTTATTCATCAAGTGATCGCCACTCTGTATGAAAAATGTGAAGTCGCTGACATGTGTCTTCGTCTATTCTTGCTGGCCGGTCAAAGCGCAGACGAAAGCAACTTTGAAGATTTTGCCTATGAATTCTTTGTGCAGGCATTCAGTATTTATGAGGAATCCATCTCCGAGTCACGAGCCCAATTCCAGGCTATCACATGCATTGTGGGCGCGCTTCAACAGATCCGCGTCTTTTCGGCGGAAAATTACGACACCTTGATCACCAAAGCCGCATTGCACAGTGCCAAACTTCTGAAAAAGCCAGATCAGTGTCGTGCCGTCTATTTGTGCTCGCATTTATGGTGGATTATCGAATCTGACATTGAAAACGACCCGGACAGCGAAAAACCATTGTATCAAAATGGCAAACGCGCTCTCGAATGTCTACAAAAAGCTCTCAAGATCGCAGACAGCTGCATGGATACGGTCACCAATGTCGAACTCTTTGTGGAAATCCTCAATCGATATGTGTACTACTTTGAAAAGGGCAATGATGCAGTAAGTTCAACATTTCGATGGGTTTATTACTTTTTATTTTATGGGGGTTTTATGCACTCTATTAATCTCAATTGCATTACTATTTTCTACATAAAAAAAAAAGGTCACGGCCAAGTACCTGAACGGACTCATTGATCTTATTAACACCAATCTGGGTGATATGGATAATCCCGATCAGCATCCTCCCACCTCCAACTCATCCTCATTAGTTGAACGCGATGGCCCTATTTCCAAATATGTCCTTCGTCACTTCCATGCTACCATCCAACATTTGAAACAACGAAAAGAAGCATCCGAAGCAGATGATTGGAACGGACCACCCTACGGTGAAGTAGAAATTTCGGAAAGCTTGCAATAATAAACTTCACACAAGGTGCCATGTTGACCGGCGCACTTTGTATTTGTATATCAAACACCCATTCTCTCTTGTGTGCAATAGCTTTTCATTTTTGATGCCACATATGGTGGATTATGCGGGAAAAAAAAAAAAAAAAAAAAAGGTAACGGCAATTTTCCAAGACTGTCAGTGACTGTTTTTCCGAAATCGATACGAGAAATAACTCGCGAAACCAGAAAAAAGCGGCTCTGAACGGTTGATCTTCTGGTGCAAACGACCTGTATTTATATCAACATGAGTGACAAACAAATGAAGGTAACCTTGACCTACACCGAGGCTGCAATGGCAAGCCATCATATTGTGAGCAAACGAAAATTAAGGTTAAACATGATTAGCGCAAGAAACCACCGAAAACGTACGATAACAAGTTCCTTTCCGGACCCGAGTATGACAGCTCTCGTCCTGGCAAGGTTCAAAAGACAGGTTTTCAACCGTCAGCGGCACTCAAAGTGCCAGTGGCAGGGGAACCTCGCTCCTACACCGTAAGCGTAGCCATTCCAGCCAGCATTGTTGACGGTGCACCGACCTTGGAAATGAAGACGATCCTTGCAGGACAAGTAAGCCAGCATACGTTTCGGTAAAGAACGGTTGTACTTACTGTAAAATGATAGATTGCCCGCATTTTGGTTATTTTCAATGTGGATGAAATCGTCGTGTACGAAGATAAAATTAAGCCTGCCAATGCCAAAATCAAGGCCGATCTATTTCTGGCTCGCCTGTTTCAACACATGGAAACTCCTCAGTAAGTTAGATTCCGTGGTGGCATTACCAAAAAAACAAGAAAAACTGAATTAGACGTACTCAATCGGGTTTTTGTTAGATATCTTCGTAGGCAATTAGTTCCGTTGAGCTCGGATCTAAAGTTTGCAGGTGAGTTGGATCAATTTGGCCTGAAATGAACAAGAGATTGATGGTTTGGAAATAAGGATTGTTGCCGCCCTTGGATGTACCCCATCATCCCCAATTGCATGAAATGACCCGTTATCGTGAAGGCGTTACTCTGGAGAAAGCATCGACGGCAGAACAAGGTGGTACCTTGGTGGATGTCGGCATGTATCGTCGTGTATTAGTCGATAATACGCTCAAACCCAACGTACGCGTAACCGTGGAACTGAAAGATCCAATTGCTGCCTCAGAGACACGGAAAGGACAAAAGCCCTTGCAAGGAAAACTCGTGAGTCCAAAACTGCCGCGAGAGAAAGCCGGGTTTTACTGGGGTTACAATATCCGATTGGCCATGTCATTTTCTCGTGTCATTACCGAATCACCTTACAAAGTACGTAATTTATGCGGAAAGAAGCTCTTGCATTGCCATCAAGTTGACAAACGGTTCGAATTTTATGATTAGGACGGATACGACTTTACGGTCGGTGTCACCGATAAAGACGGTGACGATATGTACAAGGGCGCCGTCAATAAAGTGAAGGATTTCAAGTAGGTGATCCGGTTGTATGATGATGATAACATCTTGTTTTTAATATAATTTCCTTAGTCATATGTTGATTGTCTTTGGAGGACCCGCTGGTGGCTTGCAAGAAGCTGTAGAAGCCGACGAGGATCTGAAATGCGCTGGAGAGGATGCCGCTGAGTTGTTTGATTTATTTTTGAACCCGAATTTGGGATGTGGTACACGATCCGTTCGGTTAGAGGTAAAAAGTTGTTACCGGATTCTTGTTTTTGTCGACGTTGAGTGTACTTAACTGAATATTGTAGGAGAGTATGACCATGGTCATGTCCGTTTTGAAGCCAGCCATTATGAAGCATGGGAAAAAGCTGTAAAAAGTCCAGCACACTTGAATGAAACCACTCAGCGTCACAGATACCAATTTTTTCCCTGTTTTATCATAGCTGTTCTTGCATTTCTTTTTATCTCTTTGCATTGTTCTCTTTTCTTTATATTTTTCTCTCCCAAAGTACAAAACTGTAATTTATATTATTTTTTTACATCATGCCAAGACATACTATCGCTGTGCATCGCACACCAACCAAAACCGCGTCAGAAAATGGCAAAGCCGATACGACACATCATGGAGCTGACACTGGTTCTGCGACCGTTGTCTCTGATTCGAGGTTGAACCAATTTTCAAAGGAAAAGGCTTCCCATTTCTGATTTCATGAATAGATATATCGTCGACACCCGTTATACGTGTCCTTTTCTCAATTGCAACAAGAAATACAAAAATATAACCCGGTGGGACCGGCACTGCCGTAACGTCCACTTGACGCAGTGGCAAAGTCGTCTGAATTAAACTCCATTCTCTCGAAAATAGCTGGCTGCGCTTACAAATTCTCTTGCGCTCAATGTTTTCATCAAATTCGCTGTGTAAATAATATATAAAAGGGATAATCCAACTGTGTGGTCAGAAAGAGAGAAAGTAAGATTTGTTCAAATGGAAAAAATCAGCAATGGCGCACACAGCAAACTAGTGCAACCCATTGATGACGTTTCGCTGATCGGTAGTTGAATTTTATTTTCTTGCAGGCGATGCAACGTCCAACGCAGCCGGAGTTCTTGTCTTTTCCTGCTGTAAAGATTGGAAGCTGAATGCGATCGGAATGGGTAAAATGTCTTGACCCTGTCTGATGCTGTCAACAGTCTTATTAAAGGTGTCTGTGATTAGGTGCTCTTTTCAGTAGAATATTAGGCAGACTTTGGGGTGAGAAGGAAGTACGGATATTGATCCTGGGCCTCGATGGAGCCGGGAAAACCACCATTTTATATAGACTTCAGGTAAAAGCAACTATGATTGGCTTTGATCGCAGCAATGATAGATATTGATGCTTGTTTTTTATAGATTGGCGAAGTTATCTCCACTATCCCAAGTACGTGTTGTTCGCCATTGAAGGCAGTTGAAGGAACCCATCGGTTGAACTTACTTTTTTTTTGGTATAGCTATTGGATTCAATGTTGAAACTGTAACCTACAAAAATATCAAGTTTCAAGTGTGGGATTTAGGTGGACAGACAAGCATAAGGTAAGAAGAACGGCATAGGTATTGTATACATTGTACAATTTCTGATCACGTCTCTTAATTGGGGGAACCAAAAAAAAAAAAAAATTAGACCTTATTGGCGATGCTATTATTCCAATACCGACGCTGTTATCTATGTTGTTGACAGTGTGGATAAAGACCGTATGCAGACATCAAAGGAGGAATTACATGCAATGCTGGAAGAAGAGGAGTTGAAGGACGCGGCTTTACTGGTGTTTGCCAATAAGCAAGATATGGAAGGAGCATTGTCCGAAGTTGAAGTCGCCGATGCGCTCGGTTTATCCACATTCAAGAACAGACAGTATGCAATCAAGAAAACAAGTGCCCTCAAAGGAGAAGGTTTGACAGATGGTTTGGATTGGTAAGCGAATAGCCCCTCAACTCTTCTTTTCATTTGGATAAAACACTGACTTTTTTCGTTAATAGGCTTGTCAATATCATTCAAGAAAAGAAGCAATGATCACGCAAATCAGTCTAGTAGCAGATACAGCTGTCAGCTCATTGTAATTGTAGATTTATTCTTTTTTATATCTCTTTTTTTTCCTCCCTTTGAACCCTTTTATGCTTACGATAACAACAACACACTACTACTCATTTCTCTCTTGTCGCTTTTGCGTCCTTTATTATCCTTGTTTCTTTGTTTCCCGTGCTCTCGAGGAAATAAATACACTGACAGGTGGGCTTCATCGCGCGACAATCCTGATGCAATGTTCGATAGAATCGACAAATGAACCGTCACACGCTCACCACAAGTTGCGCAGTAATTTTTTTTTCCCAGACATCTAAACCAACGTCATGCCTTGTTGATGGAGCTCGATAGTGCGATTCTTTATTTGCTGCTTTTTAAATTTTGGTTTGAAATTAGGCAGTAAGCCAATCATAGCTCTTGGAAAATTCGAATTATGTCAACGGTTTTTTTTGACATTGAAATTCCCTTTATAACCTAGTTGATATAGTTTAAACCCTTCTGTTGCCGACGCGTTTTTAAATTCTCTAGCAGTTTCTTCGTCTTCCTCTCTTTTTTCTTTATCCTTTATTTCATTTACACACATTAGCTTATCATTTCCAATATGAACCAAGATCACGTTGTTTTGAACCGCACCAACCAAAAGATGCCACTTATCGGCTACGGCTGCTGGAAAGTCGACAAGGACCAGTGTGCTGACACTATCTACAATGCCATCAAAGTCGGTTACAGACTCATTGACAGCGCCGCCGTGTACGCCAATGAAGTCGAAGTAGGCCAGGGTATTGAGCGCGCCATCAAGGAAGGTATTGTCAAGCGCGAAGATTTGTTCGTCGTCACCAAGCTGTGGAACACTTGCCATCACAAGGACAATGTGCGCCCTGCACTGCAGAAATCCTTGAAGGACCTCAATCTTTCCTACATCGACTTATATCTCATTCATTTCCCTATCCCGTTGGCCTATGCTGATATCCAAAAGCATGCGTTGGACTGGTTCGAGCCTGGTACGCAAAACATGAAGATTGAACGATCGCCTCTGCAAGAAACCTGGCGCGAAATGGAGCGAGCCGTGGACGATAAACTGGTTCGCAACATTGGTGTCTCTAACTGTAACGTCCAGACCATTTTGGATATGCTTACCTATGCCAAGTACAAGCCTGCTACCTTGCAGATTGAACACCATCCTTATCTGCAACAGAACCGTTTGATCAAATGGGTCAAGTCGCAAGGCATCCACATCACGGCCTACTCGTCGTTTGGTCCCATCTCTTACCTCGAAATGTCGGAACAGGCCAAGAATACCAAGCCGTTGCTGGACCACGATGTTATCAAGTCTATTGCCAGCAAGCACGGTAAAACGACGGGCCAAGTTCTTTTGCGTTGGGCCGTTCAGCGAGACGTGGCCGTTATTCCAAAGAGTATGAATATGGACCGCATGAAGTCCAACTTGGACGTTTTCTCCTGGTCTTTGGATGACGATGATCTCGCCAAGATCGCCGACATGGATATCGGTTTACGATTCAATGACACGGTGGCCTACGGTCTTCCCATTCCCCTTTTTGACTAGACTCTATTCTATAATTCTGATAATAAAACAATACATACATCAGTAAAGAAACTGATAAAATAAAAATTTTATAAAAACGGGGTCATCGTCGTCTAGTGCACATGCTGTTCTTGCTTTTTCCATAATATGACGTTTTTTGATTTGCGTTCGTTCTGTGAATGGGTCCAAAAAGATGGCATGTTTTTAATTTATTTGATAAAGGGAATATCCTCCCTACTAGATTGCTTCATTTTTTGTACACTTGGCTTGAAAGATGTTTGGCAAAAGCAAAACAGTGATATCTGAATCGTCAAATGTGCCTTTTTTTTAAATGCGTTCCAAAGCTTCCATCAAGGCAATGCTGTTACCGCGAATAACCTACAGAACATTGACCCGTTAATTGAGTATGCATACTTTACCGCCCCTAAATCCATCATCGATGTCGACAACATACCACCATGCCAATGTTGTGTTTTTCTGTTGCACTAATTTCTTCGATCGCTTCGTCCAAAACGATGTTCATGAAAGGATCGTAGCCGCGAAGAACACCGGTCACTCGTCGATTACCGTTGAGCTGAAGCGAAAGTCGCTTATCCATATATCTAGTGATTGAACCATAATTAGACAAACGATTCTTCCTCAATGCGAATTCACAGGAAAACAAAAGAAAACACACCTTTTCAATTCCGGTGTAGCTGCTTTTCCCATGTTTTTAAAAGGACTAGAAGAGAAAAGATTAAAGGAATTAATACAATGCATAACATTTGTGTATAACAGAGAACCGAAAGGATATAAAATGAGGTGTCCTCACAGAAAGAGCAGAAAGAGATTAGCTTACCTGTTGAAAGAATGGAACTACTCAAAAGCGTTGTGCAAACTGACGGCCTAAAATGTGCACTTTCGAAATCCTTGGTCTGTGACTGAAATCGTAAGCAGAAAATTTACAACCCACGGCTGACGTCAAATCACGGTCGTTCGTTGCGGAGGCTTATGGGATGCGTCGCGTACGTTCCATGATCCGGTTCTTTGATAGTCTCGAGTCGACCATCGTTTCTATTATCTGCACTACCTGCTTCTCTTCGTGAGAAAATTCTGTTGTACGAAATTCAGATTGGTTCGTTTCTTTCATTGCGTTTCACCGGATAGAACAGCTTGGCATATTAGGCTTTTTTGCGACCATCCCGAGATTCCAAGATGTGCTGTGAATAACATTACCCTTACAGTTCCTGTTTCGACCAACTTTGTTATTACCGTTTTTGACAGTAAATGATCAACGGCGATCCATCCACATGGCTTGTCCATTCTATCCAGCAAGAACTGACTTCGTTGGCATCCAACAAAGTAATGCTGCGGAGCGTATTCGCATTTTACTCTGTTGATTTAAGCAGGAGCTCTCTCGGCGATTGAGCGACCAGCTACGCTAACTATCCGTTTGAATTGTTTGCGCTGAAGAAAAAAGTGCCAGAGATAAAGAGGTCGCTGTCATTTACTTCATGCACATGAAACTTTTTTGTATCTGCGTGCAAATAGGGTGGCTATGACAACATCACACTGAAAAGCACCACTACAAAGTCAAAAACAAAATCGCGACATATGATGAGCATTGAGCTTGCCTATCCAACTTAATTTTAGGAAATTGATAAAAGGAATATCGTGTTGAAACCGTCATTTTGAAAGGAATAAAAAGTGCACAAATGTTAACTTGATAAGACCAGAGCGACAAAACAGAATATTGAATATATCTCCAAGTCCATCGCAAAAATTCACCATTCTCTCCTTTTTCTGTAGTATTGCCATTACTACCTGTCATATCAATCAAAGCTATGGATCGGGTAGCTATTTCCGTTGATGCTTAGTATTAAATCCTATAACCACCCTTTTCAAACGCAATGACTTTTATTATGACAACGAGGACTTTAATGTGTGCTCTTTTTCTTTTTAGACAGATTTGTTTCTAGTACAACCTGCAGTTCCAATGACAATAATTCGATGAGGAAAATCAATTGTCACCTTATGACTAATCCGAAAGATTCGCAAACAAAACCCGTGAAACATCAATTGAAAAAGCCCCATCGCCAGCAAATCGACTTTCTTGACAGCGTCAGGATCCGTATATTTCGAATAACAGTGACAACGCGAGCCTACATATAGGATGAATTAAAAAGGTCGACAAATAGGTGAGAGAATCAATCCTTTGCAATCGGCAAAAAAAATATTATAAGAGCATAATAGGATCCGACTGAGCACATAGTAGCACTTTGTATTCCTACAAAGCTCTTAGGTCATTTCGCTGAAATCGCGCACACTGTTACGGTCAACTGCAGATCAAAGAAAAGGTGCCGAAGAAAGCCAGTCCCACGACAAGAATACAGCAATCTCATTGGATAAAGGTAAATAAAGACGTCACAAAAGCAGTCGTTTTTTCTATTTATAATAGTATATTTGATCAAAATTTCAACAAGAAGCCTTCTTGGCTCAGTTGGCAGAGCGTCTGCCTAGTAAGCAGAAGGTCGCCAGTTCGATTCTGGCAGAAGGCATTCATTTTTGTATTTTCTGTAAATATTTTTTTTTTTTTTTTTTTTTTTTGCTACTTATTTGCTCTTCAAGGATACCTTATTTCACTGAATAAGAGATTATGAGCATTAAAAAGAATAAGGTAAAGAATTTTTTTTATAAGGGTCAGTGAGCACATGTCCGTTGGTGAGCTGTTGCTCGTCTTGGATTTTGGGGAAACAATAGTTCTCATGAACCCAAAAATTTTACCGGAGGAAGGTTAAAATAATGCAAAAGATTTGGGAGGTGGTTACTTCAAAAATAGGAATAGGGATTTCTTATTATTATAATTGTGCATGAAAATGAGCTGTTGTATCGGTGTCCTGACTTAAATGAGAGCACGGCAAAAAAGATGAGGCCTACAAGCATGTTGACGGGTGTTTGGCATAACCGATGAAGTTCGTTCGCAAATATCAGCCTTGTTGGTGTTAACTGGAATTATTTCCTGAGGCACTCAAATCAATACGAAAAGAAAAAATATTTTCTTTCATCGATCAAGATAAAAAAAAAAAAGATTTCCTTTCATTAGAATTACTGAATGCCCATTCACTAGATTGGGCTCGAATAGATCTTACGACTGCTATGATCTATCGCCGCAAACCTCAGTAAAGAAAATGAAGAATTGATGCACATATAGGGTTGCTGTTCAAGAAGCGGGAGCAAATTAAAACATACCCTCCCTCATAGAAAAGAGTAAGGAAACAGAAGCAGAAGTCGAACGAACGCAATGCAGTTCTAGAAAGGTACGATATTATCGGATGATTGATTGAGCACACTGTTCACCATTTCATGGAATAGTCTATGGGTAACATTGATAAAAAACTGGGGGTTGATGCCATGCTTTCACGCTTGACGAGAATTGACAATTGGGTGATCGGATCATTGTTGGACGAGTACATACTATTACAATTCAGTGCTTTAAAAATCTTTTTCGATTCCTAATAAGGTGATATAGAGTACGGTGTATTGTTTCTTCTGGCAAAACCAATGACTTAATAATTTAATAGATGTCTGTTGGATCCCAGCAGAAACGATGTGATATAGTCTGGTGCACATTATCCAGGAAGGCTAGTTGCTGAGATCATAGAGAGTCAGCAATAGTTCGCAGCTAGACCGAAAGAGAAAGAGATTTTTTACCTGATCAGAAAGTTCAAAGGAGAAAAGATCGGCGTTGCTCTTGACGCGCTCTGGGGTTTTTGACTTGGGAATCACAGCATAATCATGTTGAATCGCCCAGCGCAACAGGACCTGAGCTTTCGTAACACCTAGATTGTTGGCAATTTCTGTGAGGGCGGGGATCTCGATATCTTGGATTAGTCTTCCTTCGCCTAAACTAGAGTAAGCCTGAATCTGAATGCTATTTTCTCTACACAGACTGAGTACTTCTGGTTGATAAAGACAGGGATGAAGCTCAAACTGATGGACATGTGGTCTGATAGAACAGTGACTCAGAAGATGCTGTAGGTGCTTTGCAGTATAGTTGGATACGCCGATTTGACGTAGTTTGGACTCCTTATATAACTGCTCCAGCGCTCCGTAGCTTCCCATGCGATTTTCTTGATTAACAGGATCCTGCAACTTTGTCTTTGACGTCCTGTTTTCAATTCTGAGTCAAAAGCAGCAACAAAGATGAATGAAAATCATCATATATACCCTGGCCAATGAATCAGATATAGATCGAAATAATCGAGGTTGAACCGTTTCAAAGAATCGTTCACAGCTTTGTCAAGCATTAACAAACTTGTATCACGTGCGCGTGTTCTTGCCAGTGAATTGCGTGGGCTTACCTTGATAACAAGCCTCATATCCCTGATGCTGTGGTGCTAATAAGACCATGTTAGGGTCTGTCTTCTTTCAAATATGTGAATGAGAGTATCCTCACATAATTTAGAAGTAATAAATAGATCCTCGCGCTTCACACCCATGGTCTCGTCTTCAAAAATTTCTTGCAATATGCGACCTAGCGCTTCTTCATTTTTATAGACAGTAGCCGAATCTGTGAGGAGTATGTAAGTTGGTCAGGAATCATTATATGCGTTAGCTTGCTTTTACCGATAAGTCGGTAACCGCTGCTAATGGCTTGTCGCACCACCATTCTCAATTCTTCTTCTGTTTTCATGCGGTAGGTCCCCACTAAGTCATTTCATGTTACATTGTTAATCCTTAATCCTCCATTTCTCAGCACTTACAACCGAGAACAGGCATGGGGTTCCCATTATGTAATGTGTATGTCGCAATCGATGGACTAGTCATCGTGGCAGTTGCTGTGAAACGTGCAGTGCCGCGCCCAAAAAAAGTTTACCGAATTTTCGGAAAATCGTCCAATCAGAAAATAGCTAACCAGCGTGAAAGGGAAACGCTACTTTGATGAGCGAGCCCATCACACGCATTCAAAGCGAGCAACATCTTCTCGGTGATATTTGCAGCAGCATTTTTTGGCGTCTGGAGAACTTTTGAGCAGTTACGGAATTCCACTATGCTACACGTGGATGACCCAAGCTATTTCTGGCTGCGATGGTTTTCCTGTTAATTGCCTTTTTTGATTTATCAGCCGTCAGTGGAATACTATGCATGGTGTTTGATCGAGCAAAGCGCTGCCAATGGCGATTGGTGGTGGTTTGTCTCAGCAACAAAAAATGATGGAAACCGAATTCCGTAGCTCCAGTCTCAATCAATGTAAGCTATCTGGTAGAGACATAGCAACAGAACAGTAAGACTTTGGCTTAATTTAAAAGGCTGCGGCGATGAATATTTAGAGTTGTCAAGCCGAGTTTTTATAAAGTGAATTCGGTCGACATGCATTTGTCAAAGGAAAATGCATAGTACGTTTCCGAGTCATGGAAATATTTTAGATTCAAGGAGATGCGCGGTTGCGGATGCTTATTATTGGTCATATATCAAAGGTGCTGACATGCGCCCTGAATCAATGACAATGAGCGTGAATTGGTAACAAATCGAGAAAGTTTTATTTTTGTCGAGATGCTTTTATTGGCTATGGTTCCGCAAAATGAGCTGACCATTTTTTTTTGTGTCACTTCATTGGCTCAATTTTTGATGGTCTCCAATGCCACGACTTTTCGCTTTCCAAACCGAGACCCCTTCACTTTTCCCTCTTCACTTCACTTCTCATCCCCACATCTGCGTCTCGTGCAGAAAGCTTCCATCCACCATGTTCTGGAAAAAAAAGGATAAATCGCCAGCAGCGTCTTCTACAAACGTCTCTGCATCTACAAACCCTTTTGACACTGGCAATCCATCGGCTCAGCCCACCAACTCATCCGACTACGCCAGTCCGGGGCGTTACAGCAGCCCTGCCCAAGATGACAGTCGCTATGGATCGGGAGATAACTCCTATGGAGGTCGTGGTAATGGCGGTGGTCGATATGGAAACAGTAGCAATCGGTACGAAGACGATCGTCAGGATTTATTCAGTGGAGCTTCCAGTGGCCGCCGTTATGATCAGCAAGGCCAAGAGGATGCTTATGGTTCGAGCCGTTTTGCCGAAAACGAAGAAGATGAGGAAGTTGCCGGCTTGAAGCAACAGATTCGTAACGTCAAACAAGATACTTTGCAAAGCACACGCAACGCTTTAGCGAAAATCAACGAGACCGAAGGCACTGCCGCCAATACGATGAACATGCTCGGTCAACAGTCCAGTATGTAGCGCCCTTTTATGTATTAAGTCGTTTAGCGTCAGCACGCGCGAGAAAAAAGAAAGAGAGTACAGTGGCTAATATTCGAGTGTTGTTAATAGGTCAAATTGCGAACGTCGATCGTAATTTGGATTTATCCAAGGCGTATTCCGATCGTGCCGCTTCGCAAGCGAGCGAGCTGAAGCAACTCAATCGCTCAATTTTCATCCCCGTAGTAAAGAACCCATTCACAAAGAAATCCAGAAACCGCAAGGAGTTGGAAGCACTGAAGAGTGATCATGCCGAGCATATGGCTGAACGAGACAATATCCGTCAATTTGAACATGAATCCAATGCTCGTATTGATCGCGCTCAACGAGCCAATCAGCGCACCTCGGCTAACGCCGGTTACCGTCGAGGCCGATCCGAGGCGGATCGTCAACGTTACCAGTTCGAAGGCGACAGTGAAGATGATCAAGTGGAAGATGAAATTGACAGTAATCTTGATCTTTTGGGGGATGCTACTTCCAGACTCAAGAATATGGCGCTCACCATGAATGACGAACTTGACAGTCAGAATAAACATCTACACAAGATGGATAAGAAGGTCGACCCTATCAACGAACGACTGATGACGACCACCCACACATTGAACAAGACCCGTTAGAAGCATGCATTCTTTTTTCTTTCTCTCTCATTTTTTGCTCCAAATTTTGTGGAATCGAATGATTCGGTTTTGATAAACAATCTGTTTTTATCTCTTTCTCTCCGCCTATTCCGTGATCGTAGTGAGGTGAAAGAGTTCTTGGACCATAAGGTGACATTCATAAAGGAAACAAACAAAAAGATGGACGCGTATAGCAAAAGATAAGATGATACATCGCCAGCTTGAGGGACACATATGCTTTTTTTTATAAAATACAATGCTAATTGCATTGTATTACATGAAAAAGGAGATGACTTGTTTATTTATTCTTTATCTTCGTCCATATAATCAGGATTTTTTCGTAGCAGCACAATACCCTCCAAAACTGGGGCCAAGGAAATATCTAGAAAAGGAATAACAGTGTCAGTAAAATATCGTGCCATTTAGATTATCAGATGGTCTTACATTCTTCTGTCGCTAATTCGGCTCGTTCAGAATGAGCAAGCAATACGGGTGTAGAGTGAGTCTGGAATCCAGTGATTGTCTTGGGTCGACCGGCCTGACCAACAACATCCACAGCCTACAAGGATACAATAGTTTTAGACAGACGTTTCACCTTGACAGGCGATCGTTTCCATAACATTACCTGACCAACGCGCACAGTGACGGGCAAATTCTGGAGATTTTCATCAAATGTAATCAAGAAGCGAGGATACATGGCTGTCACCAAAGAGTACAGCATATAATGCCATTTGCCAAAGATGACTGGAAGGGAAAAAAGTAAGGGAAAGTGATGTGAGCAACGAATATATGCGTCTGTATATGTGGCAAATGTATACTTACATGATTTATAATCTGTAAAGGTGATGATGCTTGTCATCAAGCCCGCCACGGCTGCGGGAGACATGATTTGTCGGTCGGTGTGGAAAGGATTTAAGGTCATGGTTCCCTTGGCCATATGTAACAGACCTTGAGAGATGCGCACCATGAAAAGTGTAGAAGCATCCTTGTGATAGAAACTGGCCAATTGTCTAAACATTTGTGCCAGACGAGCATTATTTGTACCAGCACCCACGAGACCCATGGCAAAAATGGCACTGATGGCAACGTCACCGTCGTTATCGTGAGAGTATTTGCTCAGTGTGTCAAGGACATTCACAAGAGGATTGGAGGCACATAATAAGCCCAAAGCAAGTGGCACAGCACGACGAATCACAGGTTCGCCATAATGCATCTAAAAATATTACACAAAACCAGCAAAATAAGTTTTCTGAGACAATCCAAACCTACGCACGTTTTCCCCTTCTTCCTCACTTACCAAATGGTTGAATGTTCGCAGACACATTTCCGAGCCAATGTCTTCGCCCATGGCAATCAACGCGACACCAATGGTGGCAAAGCCTTGATGCAAATCGTCTTCCTTTTCTTTATCCACGTGATCATTGCAAATGTGGAGCATCTTTTGCACTTTGAGTACATTGCCGGTACCTAACGCAAAAATCAAAAAAAAATGGATTCAACACACTGCGACAATGTTGACGAATATCAGCTGCGACATACCAGCAAATGAAAGGATTTCAACCAAAACTTCAGCTTGTTTGCCAATAGGGTGCTCAATGGCTTTGAGGGTTTCCAAAGTAGCATCGGATGCATCTTGCTTTCCTGTTAAACCGAGTGCAAAATGTTGAGTGGATGTGTCCATGTCATATTCTTTCTCAACATTCCAACTTACCAAGGAAAAGAAGACCCAGACCAAGTGCCATAAATCGAGACCATGTATCTTTAAGGTGCACATCTTCACGTTCCATCATGGTCTGAAGAATTGTGCTTGTGATATCACCGTTGCAAGAGCCAACAAAGACCATGCCTAGCGACAAAGCCGCCATGGATGACAATTCCATCGACAAGGAAGTATCACTGACAAGCGGTAAAAGTAACTCCAAAAGTTCTTCACGACCAGAACCGGCGTAAGCCAAACCAAGACTAGAGTATGCGCGACGAATGGTTACAATCATCTCGAAATAAACCAATATAAATGAATAAAGTTGGACCTACCCGTAAATGGCCGCCTGCTTGACGCACACACTACCAGTCTCGATGGAGTCGGACAAGAGTGCCAAAGGAGGATCAGATTCCTCACGAACACCGGAATTGAGGATACCGATAGCCAAAAGAGCACCAGCCTATAGAAAAAGGAACGGGGTGAGTCATAATACCACACAAGCATTGTTGACAGATGTTCATGTACCTTGATATTGTCGTCGTTGGAGTACATGTATTTATCGATCAAGGACAAACCAACTTCAATATCCCACAGAGAAATAAGACCCAAAGAGGCTGTAGCACTGATCATGCCTTCATAATTAAAAAAAAAGCACCTCGATTAGATGAATGGAATGCTTCCCATATAATACTGCGACGTACCATGCTCCTTTGTCTTATAAATCCAGGACGAAGAGGCTTCTTCATCAGGGATCATCAGTTTATCTCTGCCAAAAGCGGCATTGATAAAGGCATTCACAAATGTTGATGCCAAGTTGTTGCGTGCAGAATCAACATTGGCAGTGAATGCAGTTCCTTTATAAAAAGAGGGTCAGCATGATTTACATGTCGAAAAAACTGAATAATATCCATATCCACTTACGATGATTTTCCAAATAGCTCTTGTAGATATCATCAGGGGTCTTTGGTTCCATAACATCCAATTCCTTGGCTAACGAGATAAAGTAACGTGAAAGATGGGTGTTTCTCAGACATTCTTCAATCTCTGTGTCTTCTGTCTCGATGTGGATCTGCTGGCGAGCAAGCAATAAAGCCATCTGTTTCTTCAAAGTGCTGCATGTCACCCATGGTGAGAGAAAAATATAAATGAGCAAGCTATTCGTACACCCCATGACTATCGAATGCCTTACGGATCATTGCAAGAATTGAAATCTTCATTGATCAGCTCGTGATCACCCATACGGATGGATAAGATCAGAGCTTGAGGATATTTTTCTTGTTGACGATAGATGGCGCGAGCAGTTCGAAGGAATTGAATATCGTCAGGAGGTGCAAGCAGATTCACACAGCTGAGATAAGAAAAATACAAAAGAAGAGCAGAGTTTCAGCGATCGATATGCTCCTTTTGTTGGGATATGAAAAGTTCACACTTACCCAACCATGTACAAGCAAACACGTTCGTATGTATCCTTGTCGACGAAGCGTGGTAATTCAGTAATCGACTCGAGCTCGAGCAACAAGTCGACAGCGTCAGCTTCTGCGTTGTGTCGAAGAAAGAAAGGAACAATCTCGAGAGCCAAGGCGATCAAGTCATCGGTTGTTTCGTCCTTTTCGGTGCGAGCTTCATACTCTTGCATAATTTCGCCCGAAAGATGTCGAACGTATTCGTGACCCCAGGATCCAATATCTTCCTCGGTTGAACCAATAAATCGATATCGTAAACATTCTCGCTGACCTTCCTCGGCATAGGTCATTGACAAGACGGAAAGAATATCTGCAAACAATCGCTTTGGCTATTGGTGAGCACCATTTGCATTTTCGTTTGTCTCCCATCCCTGTGTGACTTGTTCATTGTCCAAGTTTACCTTGTCAGGTGAATCCGACCATTTGGCATGCACTTCTTTCAACAAATTGTAGTGAGGGCTCAAGAATTTGAGCGGTTTTGGCACAGAGGTCATGGAGCTGGTGGATGTACGAATTAAAGTACGGAGTTGTTCCAAGGCGGGACGATGAAGTTCTCGCTTATCCTCCTAATTGGGTGACAAAGTAAGAAGCCCATGATCCTGAAGCGCATCTCTATTTCACTTACTTGTAATCGTTCCACCAATAACTCGAGCTCACTCTTCAACTGCTGATCTTCTTCAGACTAAAAGCAATAAATATCATTAATCGAAGGGTTCCCAGGACATTGCCGGTTCCCAGGACATTGCCGTCGATGAAAATTAAAAAAAAAAGAAAAGGGCTCTATTACCAATTCTTCTTGTTGTTCCTTTTTATCGTTTTTCTCTTTGGTGGCCGAGTTAACGGACTCTTTTTCGTCCGTCTTCTTGGCATCCACATTCTTGGACATGTCCTTCTGTTCGTTGACCATGATGGGCTCTTTTTGGTTGCTTGAATTTCAGTCGATCGCGAACGTAACGAAAAGAGAACGCGCACGCAGCACTAAAGTGCGTCATAAAATCCCACTTGGCTTTCCTACTCCGACAAAGCAATGACGTTGACCCTGTGACGTTGCCATTGGGTCCTGAAATTTTTTGATCTGCGAAAGTTCCCTTTCGCCGTTGCAGAGAAAACCTTTCTGAGTAAAACATATTTTCTGCAAGTCCAGATATACAGTACAATATTTCCGCACTAAACATCGAAAAGGCTATTGTATTTCGATCTGACCGTTTATGGCGTCTAATTGGTTGATGGAACGACGAGTAAGTGTCTGTGCACTTTGTCTACAAGATTGGAACATACTATTGCACATGGATAAAGTGCTCATGTATTCGAGAAAATGAGCCACAGCATGAATCGTCTTTATACAATAGCTTTTACTATGAAAATTGCAGGGAAAATGGGTTTAATTGTCCCTTTCAGTCGTCGAGATTCAGGGTTAGTTCTTCCCAAAACGCAATCTGCAGAGACAATGAAATTATCAGGAGTATGCCTGCTCAACTTATTCCTCCAAGATCCCTGCTTATTTCTTCGCAATTAAGGATCGTTCATAGCTGAAAGAATTCAGGGTCTTCAAAAACTAATCGATCGTGTCACACTTTGTGAGATTTTAGCCATAGCCATGTTTTGATTTTATTATCACTTTGCTTATCCAATGCGGATTCAAGCAAAGCTACGGAAATTACAATAGTTACTGCTGTATGTGAGAGAGTATATGTAAAAGTATGTCTGGATATAATTTAAAGCGATAATGTGAAAGAGTATATAGAAGCTAAGTTGAAGGTAACTTTCAAATGAGCTAAGTAGGTTTCTCATTAGCAATATTGATCTCCATGGATTTGTTACTGTCATCATCATAATTATGAACTTTGGGGCGCACGACAGGCATCTTAAACGCATTCGTTTTCTCAGCAGCAGCAGCCATACCGCCGTCAAAGGTCATTTCTGCAGTGATATGATCGACAGTGTGTGCTCCTTTCGTTCGATCACCATTCGAAGAATGGGCATTATTCGTAACCTGATAAAGAACGAGAAGTAAGTAATTGTAGATATAACTGGCAAATCAAGAAGTAGACTGACCCAGTGCACTGTAATGACGTTGATGGTTACGTCGACTGTGCACATTGTTAAACAAACAAGACCACGTTCATGACCCTGAGAAATGACGACGAGCAACACATTGAGAAAGGACACCAAGAGAGATACAAGTGACGCTACAAGAGTTCGACGTGCCAATCTAAACAAATTCGATTGTTTCCAATTGGTGCGCGAGTTTCTTCCGACAGCCATCAGCGGCTTCATGAAAAGCCACGTCAAGTACAAGTTGAAACACTGACAGTAACGATCAGTGGGTCTCGTCAAGGGCGGTAATCAGCCTATTACTTACAAAGTCATAGACAAGGAGCGGAATACTGGCAATGGGCTGTAAACCGATGGTGCATTGACCGGAGGACTCCAGGTAAATGTTACTGAATGAAATCTGCATTGGCACCAATTTTCATATCAATATCCAAATATGACTGCATGCATATAATTTCCACTTACCATGAGCCCAAAGATAATCATGTATGGGCAAAGCAGGAGAATATGAAAACGGTATTGGCATGTTTTCATACGGGTTGTTTTAACAGCGGTTACCAAGTGGACGCGTTCAATAAGCCTAACCATCATCGAACGATTAGAGTGAAATTTCAACATGATTTTTTTTTTTCAAAAAGAACATATGGTTATGGACTTGATCTGGCTGACGTACCAGGCATAAATTACGATCTTGCTTCCAGCGTAAAAGATATCACATGCCATCATACCGAGAGTGCAAGAGACGATATTATCTTAGGGTAGGATAGGTTAGTTCAAAGCTATCAAGCGTCATGCATGTTACGCAGCAAAAGCTCGACTTACTATTATTAGTGGAGACGACAATGACAGAGGTGGTGGAAAAGGCCCATGATAAAGTATACAATAAAATGACAAGGGCGCGGCCGTAATTGAGAGTTCGAAAACGTTCACCAAAGGTTTTTGCACCCAGAGCGCAGGCTAATACGGTAATACAAGCGAGTGAAACGAATTCCGAGGCAGCTTCCATGAGATCAGGTCCGGGAATTTCTCCGGCCACCACCATTTCCACCACGGCTGTATCGTTGCCGGTCATGTTGCCACCCATTTTTAATTAGATATCCTCTAGCTGGTATGAAATGAGAAGGGGAAAAAATGGAATGGGAAATGCATGGCTACGTGCTTATTTTTAAAGGTTTATGAGGTTGCTGTCCGTGTCTGCCGATAAAACTCGGTGATGGAGTGAGTGTGTTTTTCTTTCTCCCTAAGCGGCAATGTCTCCCTTTGTCGGTGCTGTCATTCATTCATCCTTCCAAGTGAAAAAAGGATCGAGAACCCCTGCAGTTTTCATCCTCCTTCTTGGGGAAGCCCTTCAAGGAGAATCGCTAGTTCGTCGCATAAATTTCTCCTAAAACATAGTCTCTTCTTTTTGCGAACAACCAAAGATCGGAAACAATGCTCGGTAAACACTACAAGCAAATCGGTATGGGTTCTTTCAATATTGAACAGGCCCTGTATACCTAGTCGGCAATGCGTACCAACCATTAAGTGTTTTCTGATATGGGTGCCTTGATAGATGCACGCAAGATGAGGTTTTTTGCTGCGCAACGAGAATCATGATATAATGGGTCGCGGACTTGAATACTGAAATCCGCTAAAGTTGATAATCACAAACGAAGAAAAAAAAGGGGGAGGGTTAAAAGCAAAAATGAATAGGCTACTTCTTGTGGTTGCGGGGCTCAGTTCCTGGAGATTGTAGATCAACGATCCCAAAGAACGAAAAGAAATGTATAGAAGTTCCAAGACGATTCTATGAACTTATGAAAACCCAAAATTATGGATGGCAAAAAAAAAGCATTAACAAAGTTATACATGGTAAACCGGTAATTTTTTTTTCGCCCCAAGCATGTTCAAGGAAAAATAGAATAACGTAGAAAACGCGCAAAGACCCAGAATTTTAGGGAGCTTTGTTTGATCGGTCTTCAATGGCCAAAAAAAAGTAGTGTAAAATTTCTGCATGCGTTTTTATTATATTCTTATTTCTTTCCCTTGCCCTTGCTTGCTGCCGCCTTCTTTTTTTCCTCCTCTTCCATCCTCAGCAGGGCTTCTTCGGCTTTTTTGGCTTCTTTGGCTCTTCGCTCCTTCTCGCGTTCTTCAGTTGCTAAAGCTTCTCTTTCTTCACGCTGTTCCTGAACTTGTTGACGCTTCATTTCGTTTTCTCGCAGAGTCTTCATTTCGACCTGCATCTGCTTCTGTTTCTCATGTTCCAACATTTGCGCCGCCGATGAGAAGATACTTTGACCCCAACCTTCCTTATACGTGTTGGCTTCGTTGGCTGTTTCTTGCAGTTCATGCATAATTTCCTGTTCTGCCACACTGAAATCGCGCCACAAGTCATCACCCACGCTACCCGTACGCATCAGTTGCTGAAGAGCAGGTTTTTCTTGTTGCACCTGGACAAGACGACGCACTGCTTCCATGGCCCGACGAAGTAATGCGGCTCGCAAATGATGTTCCGGAACAGGTGTTTCGCAGTTGAGTAGGGCAATGTATTGCTCTTTCTGGACATTTTCAGGGAACCAGGGTTCAACAGCTTTGAAGCCTGAAAAAAGGGATTCAATAGTTAGCTAGCTGTCATATAATTTCATTCACATCCTTTTTTTTTCTTTTTATTTTCTTCCTTACTCGTAAGCCTTCTGTAAAAATAGGAAAAAACACTCATGGCAGCGATGCAGCCGCCAAGATATAAGGCTGGCAATAGAAGCGAATGCATCGTTATGGAAAGAAGTGCAGAAAGATGAGGAACAAAGCGTGGACGCCTGCAAGTGGTATTTTTTGAAATTTCCACATTGGATCATTTTGATTGGGCCACAACGCACGTTCATCACGTGACGACGTAATGCAACGTAGATTGTCCCTCGCTGTTTCTTTCCTTCCACACCTGTTGCCACGCTTTTCTTTTTACCACTCAATACAGTCATCATGATCTCTGTCCCTGAAGAAAACCAATTCATCAAGCAGTTTGTAGATAGTTTGTCTTCACGTGGAGTGCGCTATGGCAAAGATTATATGCCACGTTCGTTGCATACCACTCCCAAAATCACAGTAAGTTCTCTCAACACTCGGGTTCACCATCGAAAATGACACTCAAAGCTATCCACTACTTAGCGACGTCCCATTGCTCAAAGACAGTCGGATGGTAAGTTATCTTTTCTTTTTTCGAAAGCATTCATAGCATCAGGTTAAATAATTTCCTCGGATGTCTCGAAAAACAATAGATGTCGAAATGAAAGACGAGACGACTTCGTCAAAGACCGACGTATCCAACGATAAACTGGAGTTGGCCGTGAAAGTGCTGAAACCGGCTTCGCAATTTACTATTGGTAATATTTCGGCCGACGATACCGTGTTGGTGTTGAAAAAGAGAATCTATCAGCAACAGAGCGCTTTCCCCGTCAATCGACAGCGACTCTTATTGAAAGGCAAGGTGCTATCCGACCAAAAAGCATTGTCTGATTACGGGATTGCCAGTGGTGCCGTGATTCATCTGATGGCCACAGCGGCACCAAAATCGACTGCAAAAGTGGAGGAAGAAGTAAAGACCGTGGGCCGTTTTGGTCTGTCTCTCGAAGGCGAGAAGACGATCGACAGTGCGGAGTTCTGGGACGCGATTCACCGGACAATCAAGGAGAAGATGCACGAAGACGATGCACAGATTGTTATGAATAAATTAAAGCATGCGTTATAAGCGCAAATAGCAACACAGAGGAGCAAGGAAAAAGAGGAAAAACAAAAAGCTAAATAAAAGGAAAAAAGACTAAGATAGCTGTACAATCATATTATCACACAATATTAGGGGGGAAAAGGGGGAGGGGAGGTGTTGTTTAAGAGTGGCCGATGAGCCAGTTAACTACAGCTATTTCTTGATCCGCATGATCTTCCCAATCTTCGTCCTGTAAAAACCATTCTTCGTCACCATCTACAATGCCATGTTCGGTGATGGCTTGACTTGCGACAGTGCTCACATCAGATTCTCGTCGATGAGGAAGAGAAGGTACGACCAGCGTAGGCAATGGATGGGAATGGGAAGGATCGGTTTGCACTGCGGCATCCACCGTAGAATTTCGTGCGAGTTTCGATAAAAATGTTTGACGATCGGTCTCTCCCAGAAGAAGCATAATGCGTTCGTGTTGGGCTTTCAGCGCGACCTGATCGTGGGGCGACAAGGTCTGCATATCCAAAGTCCCGCGTTCAAATTTCAGGATTTTATCGAGCACAGTCCCGGCGTCAACGTTGGATCGGGGTTTCTTGTCTAATTCTTTGCCATTCGCACTCGTCTGTCGACGACGCGGGACAGAAATCAAATGACTATCACTCAACCGGCTCAGAGATAGTTGCGGGCCGATATCGCCCAAACTCGCAGGACCAGCTGCAGATTTGCGATGATGTGATATATCTTTGTTTTCCATGTTCAGAGCATAGCTTTCGTGGAAAGACGGAGGTCGGGCTCCACCGATCATCGAGGCACGTTTGGCCACCATGGACGATGGACGTTCGTATTTCTTCAAGGAATCGGCGGAGAAACGCACTTTTCGATCTTCGTCGTCACTCAGCACAGAGCTGGATCGTGCAAAAGACGAGGTGGTGCCAGAATTAGGTAAATCTTGATGATGCAAATCCAAGTGATTTAGTGACGTTGCGATCGACGTGGTCGCAGCGGTCAAGTCGGGTAATTGAACTCGGATACTTCGGCTGCCGGTGCTACGCCGAAGCAATCGGTCAGTGTAGGGTGAATGAACATCTAATGTGTCGTGCCCTGGTACTTTTTCCTTGGAAGTAGACGAGGACAACGAGGTGGAAGTGACGCTGGAAATAGATGTAGCTGATGATACTGGAGGTTTCGGTGCAGCGCGCGGGTTTTCGAAAGGGGTCAGCACAGGATCGTTGAATCGTTTGGGTGAGGTGTGATGGCCTGAGATGGTAGGTTTGTCGGAAGGACGACCGTTTAATTTACGCATCGCGCTATCCAGCTGAGATTCACGACGCCACTCAGGCGGTGGCGAAGTCGGCGTCTGCGCTGGTGTAGCCAGTGTTGTTGATTGGCGCGTGACCGGGCGATCATTCAGGTCATCAAGACGGAGCGAATCCGTGGTTTCGAGCGACCGTAATCGATTCGGTGTTAATGATACCCGCATGGTGTCTCCTGAACGGATAAGATCATCAAAATCAATGGCTGGTGCATCCGGGTCATAAATTGACGCCGTCGAGGATACCGGCGTGGATGTGCGATGCGTGCTGATATCGAGATTGCACGATTGGTGTTTTCCTTTTTTGAAAAAGCGAAACCCCTTTTTACTGCTACTGGAAGTGCCTACAGTATTGCTGCTGCTACTGCTGCTGCTGAGAGTGGACATGGGTCGATATTGCGAACTCGTATTGGATTTGAGCGAATGCATGGAGAAAGTGGATCGGTCACGGTGGCTCAAGGCGCTGGAAGATCGAATCGTCGGGTCAGATCCATCCTCGCTGTACTGATCGTATGCATGTTCCATCGAAACATCGGATCTCATGGTGCTAGCTATATAGCAATTTGATAAGCTTTACAGAAACGAGTTTCTGAAAAAAAAAAAGTTTTCTCAAGAAAATAGCTTACTGGAAATACGTAATGGATTCTGAGTGTGAAAGGAGGGAACCGGACTGGGCGCAGGAGAAGGTAGCATTTGCGGCTGGTAACCATAGGTTTGTGCTCGTTTCTGAGGATGGCAATGCAATTAAAAAAGGAAAGAGCGATCGTTTAAGTAATATGCTACGTAGGTTTCACTGGCGGTATTATGTCCTACTTACTTCGAGTCTGGCACGTAATTCGGAACGATGAAACGTACTAGCTAATTGCGGATCATCCTTCAATGTGAGAAACACCTCCTTAAGACGAATATACTCCGTGTTCTCATGCTCGGCCATCACTGCCATGGCTTTCAGCATATATTCGGTAATGTGTTCAATCACCGCGGTAATATAGACAACGACGATGGGCGATATTTCAAACCTTGCTGTCGATTTGGAAAATGGTTTGGATCGTTTATCTGCCAATGCACAACGTTCAATACATTTCTGTCGCAACAAGGTCAAGGCTTCTTTCATGGGGAATGGGTGGCCTTGGGTGCCTAGAAATCGGAGTCGTTCGTACGCTTCATAGTCGACGGTTTCCGTTTCCGTAAAAGTTTTGATTTCCAATTCTGCTTCGATAATGGCATTCTTTCCGAGAGTGGCCGGAATTAATTGGAGCACAGCGGTCTTGATACGCGACAGGTCGAAGGAGCTTGCTGAGGATAGCAAAAATGCAAGAAATTCGTCGTTGAATTGATTGACAGCTTGCAGAGCATCAGAGGATACACAGTAAGTACCGATTTCGGCGATGATGGCGTTGGCCGCTTGCTGGCAAATATACTGTGCATCAACTAGATAAAGAATGGCAGATTCAGTTGACACGGTTCCAAATGGCAGTTGGGTTTCCCAAAGCAACAGGCACAGCAACAAAGTGGAATAAGTTCAGGACAACGGTTTCGGGGAGTTCAAATTAAAGGTAGCCGCTGTTTAGAGGGGAAGTAAGGTAGGGGAACGGTGAATTGCAAAGCTTACCTTTTGACATAACAATGTGAGATGCGATCGTTTCAAATATGAAAGAAGATTAGTCAAACTGATGATGCATAACTCAGAAATGAGGAACTGAACAAAGAAAAAAAAAGAAAAAAGCCGTATATAAGGAGTTTAGGCTACGCGGACAGCGAACAGGAGTATAACCGATGAACACTGAAAATAACTGTATTAAAAAAAAAGGGAAACAAGCAAGGGAAAAGACAATGAGAGAAATAGTAAAAAAAAAAAAAAAATAACGCAAAAAAAAGAAGCTGCGAAAAGATCGAGCAATGTCACTGGATCTGGCGTGAAAGGAGGCGGACGGGAAGCGCTCACCCTACAAATTTTGGAGGAACATGGGGTCCACGGAATCCCAAAAAAGTCCGATCTCTCTGGAGATCTCTTTTTTACCAGTTTTTGAACCATCCATCAGTTTTACATAACTTCACCGCCAATCAGAATTCTTTCTTTTTAATCGTCATTTGATCAATAAACAATAACATAGGCTGAATCAAGGTAATCTAATGGACGATCATCATGTTATGGAAGTTGCGTCGGTTGTCGCGCCGATAAATTTGATAATCGAAAAAAAGCTGTAATCAACTTTTTTATTTGTGTTCCTGTTGTTTGGCTCGACATGGAACTCAGTTTGAATTTTATCGCCTTATTTCCATTAACACGGTACTGTCCGACAGGTTCCAGCAGATCGGCGCCAAGGCTCATTACACGAATCAATGGGAAACCTGGTGACAAATAATTTCGTATATCAGGCGGCAGTGAATTCGCACCCCTCCCCACCCCCGGGTAATGGATGCCTGTAAAGCATGGAAAAGTCCAACTTTTTCCCACAAGCAGGCACGATACCCTATCGCGACGATACCAACCCGCAAAAGTGTCACAATAGTCAATGAGGAGCATTTTCGACGAAATGAAGCATGACGATACAAGAAGGAAATGATGCATAATCGTGACGAATAAGTCAGACGAATTCCAACGGTTCTACTTTATCTTGCCGCTCATGGGATCCAGTCAATCAAAAATGCAAATGAACCGAATATATCGGAATCCCATTCCCTCCTAATTTTCCACATCAGGAGGCGCGCTTCAAGAACCCTGTAACCGGATCGCACACGTCAAGCATCAAAGCTTATGCATGTACGTAGCCAACTTTTTTTTTCTCTCTTCCCCGTATTTATCTCTGACGTTATTTCTAAGAAACCCAATCGTTGCTCAAGCAAATAGCCAAAAAAAAACCTTAAAACCGTATTCAATTTCTCGGAATAGAACAATTAGCGCAAATTGCTTACCACAAAGACCCTTGTTTGTAAATAAGCTTCCGTTTTATGATCTCGGACATGGTTTGTGGTCGATACACCATCTTCATTCTTGATCGTCTTCACTCAAAGATTTAAGTTGTTGATTCGGTGCAATATCTGTATGGATGAGCTCTTTACGTATCCGCGCTTCAATTTTAAGATTTAAAAGATCTGCAACAGCTCGCATTATCCGGTTATGCGACTTGGAATTCACGAAAAACTTGAATGGCTGCACTATGTCAGTGTCAGCGTGCCTGGATTGGAGGGAAAAGGAAAAGAAAAAAAAAAGAAAAGAAAGCAACTCCTCGAAATCATGTTGAAAAACCAATGACATTCTCACGAGAAATAAATGTGATAAACACCTCCAATTTGATGCGCACAGAAAGTGTCCTCCTACCCAGTATGGTAAAAAGATAAAGCTAAGTTTGACGGATTTTTATTTTATTTATTTGGACGAGCCAAGTGATCTTTCTAACTCCATACACTAAAAGGAATCAATCAATTTGCGGAAGATAAAATGACTAAATCTGAAAATATAACTTACCGACAAAATGTCGTGGTCCTATAGGGGCCGTATCCTCTTGCCAGACACTGGCAGACGGCCGTATAAAAGAATTCAGTGTAGAATTGACTGATTTTAGGGGAGATGGCTTCCAGAAGACGAGCTTGAAGATGATGACTATGGGACGTTTCTTCTTCCGGTGGCGTTTCTTGCGTCGAAAAAGGATGATGAGTGGATTCGAAAAAAAGCGAGCGAGATACGAGAGAAATTGAGTGGATACGAGAAAGAATCAGGCGGATACGAGGAAAAGCGAGTGAAACGAAATCCATTTCGATTGAAGTAATAGCTGGATTGGCTGACAAGATCCGCAGCTGCACGGAAAAGCAGAGAAAGACGAAAAAAAAATGGTAATTTGAGTCACTGCGATGGGTTGACATTTTTGGCTCATTATATATTACAGTCTTTAGAAGGACAAGCGACTACGGAAGCTGAAAGCCAATTACGTAGCAATTCAACGACGAACCCGAAGAGCAGCATAGACCTTCTGAGAAACTATGAGGTAGGACAAAAAAAAGGAAGAAAAAAAGAAAGCCCAACGCTTACTTTTGCTAATGTGAACTTTCAGATCGCTCAAGGAACGCGACAAGCGCTGCGTACCTTCTACTCATCAGAGATCGAGCTGAAAAATGAGAAAAAGCTTCGAATCATGGAGGCAAAGGCTTACCGAAAAATCCTGGCCGACGAACGGAAGTCCATATTGCAAGCAGCTGGCAAGAAGGCCAAACACGCGATTTTATGTATTGGCACCCAAGGAACCGGCGTTGGTTCCCCCATCAAGGGCCGTGCTAAATAAGGAGGAAAATGGATGAGTAAGACTTCTTCATCGTCAAAATACGCCGGTCGTAATGACAAACGAATTTCGAACCAGTGTGTCTTCTGTTACGGTCCAGTCGTACGGCCGACACGAAGAGCGACAGTGGACACCAAAGGAAAGCTTTTCTGTTCCGGGAGCGTCAATGTGCAGTAACCCCTATTGCATTGCCGTACAGCACGGACGCGGAACCCAAAGTGGCGATGGTATGGCTGCCGTTGCCATTGCTATTGCAGCAATCAGCACCATGAAAAACGGAATCACCCTTGCACCATTCAACCCCAGAAGAATCGGTCAACTTCATGCTCAATCCGAATCTTCTACGGCTGCTCCTTTAGCTGATTGACTGGAGAGTATGGCATTTGCATAACGGTGGAAACAGTCAGGCCTTCGGGTAGACCGACAACAATTCCGTTGAATTTCTACCTATCTTAGTATAGTCACGAATGAATATGTATTGATAAAATAAGATCAACAGTGTAAGCTTTAGTGTTAACGCATGAATGTAATTAGCGGTTCGAAAAAGTTGCAAGAGGACATAAAAAAAGTTTTGATGGGGAGCGCTTTTTTGGAAAAAGTGTAATCGAGAGTATCCCGTATCGCAATTTTACAGTGATGTGAATTTGGTTTTCGTCGATTATTTGGGTGTGATTTCGTTATGATTTTAGTCATTGCAATCGTAAGATTTTCTTTGGACCGATCTCAGACGACGTTTCAATCACTGCTTGGTGTTTTGTCATACGTTGTAGATCGGTTTGTCGCCAGGATTCGTCCATTATTGCAAATTGCTGGTTATAACTACAGTAGACATATTTGCATTCTGGATGAGCTTCTCCATTAGAATACCGATCGAGTCTCTTCATCCACGACTCGGATCTACCGCCAAGATCAATCCATATGGGTAACGCTGTCACAAGACAGCATTGCGGATCCTTCCAGATATACCTTGTAACCAAGGACTGCTTAACTGATAATTATCGATTACAACGAAACACTAAGTATGAATAAGCAGATCCCATTAATCGAGATCAAGCAGTCTCAAGGCATTCTGGTTGTCTTCTTTTTTCAACGTAATTCTTTCATATATCACAGCTGCAAATCGAAATATGATATGCTGTAAAATCAATGGGACTCAAGTCTATCTTCGAAAGAACAAGTTGTTGGTACGAGCATGTTGAAGATTCGGTGACGATAATCGAGTTGACTTTAAGATGCGGGTGTTATGTATATTTCGAGTTAGTTTTTGTCAGAATTGATAATGTTTGTTCGATCATATATCAGTCGATTGAAGTTGTACATTCCATTCACCACACCACTGCCATAGTTCCTTATTGGAAGACTTAGGCTTAGCGCATCAGACACTGATATGTGCTGAGTTAATTAATGGTCATGCAGAAAGTACGTTGGACAAGAAGCTGGCTTGAGATATCTCGCTGGACAGTAAGCTGAATGAAGAAGCTTGCACCAACACACTTGACGCACGCTATATGTACGCATTCACCCGTTGCGGACATCACTTACAATTTCGGCTTCAGTAAAGAGTTTAGCAACCATCGGTAAGCTAGGTTTGTCCGTTACATGAATTTTCTTCTGGACTCAGATTACGCAAGAGGATCAGCAGTTGCGTTCTTCAAACATAGAGAGTGAGGAGAGAAATCTGCTGGGAAAAGCTACATTAAGCAACTGAAATCAGCTGCACTATGCGAACTCGATATCTATGCAGACTGCGTCTGCGGTAAGCTATTCCAGGTATCCTCTGAAATCTAATATCATCGATGCAATGGATGATGTAATGTTTGGTGAAGAAGGAAGAATAAAGATCGTAATCAGAAAGACATAAGGTATGTTGAAACGACATTTAGTAAGAACTAAAGGAAAGGAAGGATAAAATACGAGATATGAATCATTAGTTCTATAATCTATATCTGTTTACAGTCAATAATGGATCATTATGTGCATTTACAAAATTATAAGAAGACATCTATCTTTTAGATAGCTCTAGCTCTTTTGAATGACGAAAGATCATTCGCAAGAGGAATGAGTGATTTAAAAAATTTCATTCATTGTGCTGTTCGGCATTTGTGAGCAGTTGGAGCAGTTGTGACCAAATTCCCAAATTTGTGGCCAGAGAACATAATACTTTCCTGAAGCCTCTTAGGAAATCAGATGGATATCCATATTACACACAATGGAACATCCATTAACTGGCCAGCAACTTGGAATTTTTGGTTACGGAAATGTATCTCATTTCGTTCATACAAATTCTCGGATAGTTGGCACTCTCCAACGGAAAAAGGAAATCTGTCGCATGAGGACAACTGCTGTGTGGTACGAATTTCACATCCAATACGTGCTGAGTTTGTGATCTCCGCATTATATAAAGTCCTTTGATCGTAGAACATGGTAAACGTTGAACCACTTTATGTATCAAACAATTGAAGTGCTCTTTAACAATGGCCGTCAATTGGAGTTTCTCTGTTCATACATTGATCAGGGAAGCATGGTTTTCTCCGCGTGCAATGATTCAGGGGAGCGTAATGCAACCGTTAATTATGGATCAATATTCCCATGCTTCTCCTAAACAGAAAACTAAGAAGCTTTGGCAACACATTATATATCCTTTGTACGATAAAAACGCAGATCGGTGCTGAAAATATTTGCATGAGCACATTCAACAGTTATTCAGCAACAACATATAAAATACCGGGTTTCTACCGCGTCCAACTAATTTCCCTCGTCCGCCCTAAAAAAATTTTTGCTCCCTTTTAATTTTATTTTTATTTTGATGCATCTTTCTTCAGTCCTACTTGTTTCTCTCCTAGCCAGCTGGGCTTCCGCCACCCAGTTATCGGATCGCGGTTTATGCACGATCGAAGGCGATTCAACGGATTGCGCTTTGGCTTGTTCCGAAATGACAGAAGGCAACGGTATTTGCGTCTACGACCGTTGTTACTGCACTGACACCGGTATTGGCAATTGCGATGACAACAATCACGAGGGCTGCGACGCCATTTGTCAAGATTTATCCGAGAGCCTTATTGGATTTTGCATGGATAATCGATGCAACTGCTTGTCGTAACCATTCCCCATACGCTAATGCGCTAAAAAGGATAATCCTCAAAACGCCGATTTCACGTAAAATGCGCATACCTCACAACGTACTCGACGTATTCCAACATGCCCTCGCGACCTGTTTTGTTACCCTACTTTTTTCTCTCTGTCGTACACAATTTCACCACAAACCTTTATTCTACATCTGATACCTATTAGTAATCATTAATGCAGTTTCATGCGTCAAGTATTTGTATATAAAATCCAAAAATTGAAGGCCTCACACTGAATAATGTAGTATTTATTTTCATTAAGAATCACGAGTAAAATTTAATACTTTCAACACCACAGCATTGAATAATAGGGCGGTCCGGCCTTGAATTTCTAATGATTGTTGAGAATTTGCCCACTTGGGAAATACAGTTGTTCTCACTTGTGGGGAAAAAAGAATGCCATTATTCCGATACTGCATGCTTGGTATCTGTGGGTGGGGTGAATGGTGGAGGAGGATGAAATAGCAAGGAGGTCGCTGATGATCGGCGATCGGAATCAATATGCTCATACGGAGGGTTTGGATGAAAATCGTAGGATACAGGCAATGGTTGTCGGACAGATACTGGAGTAGTGGGAGTCGTAGACATAGCAGGTGTCTGTGGATGCTGAAGTGCGGATGTAGGCACTTCAAATGTATGAATGGGGATAGGCGGGACATATTCTAGTTTCCATGTTTGATCCACCAGTGAGGGTGCTTTAGGCATCACCGGTGTCGGTGCTTGTGAAGGATAATAGGTATGTACAGAGGGTGATCTAAAACGACTTTGGTATTGGTCGTCTATGGCATGGGGTGACATGCTCGGATAAGCTTGATACCGCATCATATAATCAGGATCGGCATGGATAGGGAGTTGGATTGTGTTCATGCTTTCCATTGATTTTTCAGGTTTTCGCATCGTCGAAGGGTTATCATAGGCCGTGTAATCGTACTGCGCTTTGGGATGAGCTGGTGCTACTGCCGCATGGTGAGAAGTGTGAGTGGTCGTGTAATCTGTCCATTTCATTTCCGTCGGTAGACGACCCACGGAGTGCCGTTTGATAGGTTTGGCGACGCATGTACAAGTAGCTAAAATGATCCAGAATGCGCATGTGGCAATAGCAAAAATCCACGTCCCGTCTACCATGATGCAGCTGTTGGGAACTGACTTTTTTAGATGACAGCCTCTCAGATAGCGCGAAGAAGACACCCGTCTTACCGATGATATAACAGGGGAAATAGTTTGTCATGCTCAGTATCCAACTTTGAGCAATAATTGATGAAACCATGAGCAGGCCTGGTAAACTCAATGACACCGTCCGTCCAGGGTTCCTGTCCCCCGAAACCAGTGACAGCCAGTATGGTGAAAAAGAGAGGCACAATATTCACGATGCTCAGGATTTTGTCACCTCGTAAAATATGCCCACGGTTGCAGCAGCATGCATGCAAGCCTATGGCGGTAGCGCTTAGCAACGATAGGCCTAGCGTAATATACCAAGCCATATACTACGTTTGCATCAGAATATGGAATAATTTCTCGATAGTCTTCCGGAAAATTTTGTGAAATGGGTGTACTTACTTGCCAATGTCCGGCGGTGAGCCAGTCAGAAATGAACATCTAGTATTCAGAGTCAGTCTCATATGGCAAAGAAGTCGTGTATGTTATGCGCCACCTGACGTTGATATGCAGCTAATAAGATACATTGGGTTGCGTGGCACGCAAAGGCGATGATACTAGTCAAAAATAGGAAGATCCGGATGACATTGATGAAAACAATAATTCGCATGTCGATGTATCATATAAAATTTGAGTCGCAGAATACGAATACAACGAATGCCTGAAGCTGTAAAGTTATTATATTCGACGTCTTATAAGTAAGGAGTAAATAAGGGGATCAAGATGAAGGAAATTTTGGATCAAACCGTAGCCCATTATCCACATGTTTTTGACGAAAGGTAAAAAATAAAATAAAAAAAATACTCGGTTTTATTATTTCTCCACGCCCTTTTCATGCGAAAACTAATGCCAAAAATGTATTGGTTTTTCGCAGCCATTCAATGGCTTTCGAAAAATCCTCTTTACTTGGAAACAACCAAAAAATTATTTCGATCTATAAGCAAGAAAGGGAACACTCTCCCTTTGGAAGAATAAAATTTCCGTTTGAAAACGCATGCATGCAGACCATTTAATCTATCCTTGACAGATTTGGATTCATGGGTGAACACCTTTTTTGGGTTACAACAATGGCCACTCGCCCATGATTGAGGTCACCTTGAGAAAAAGAGTAATGGTCAGTAAATTTATATTATGGGAAGCCTGTACGATGCCAGCAACACAAGGACTCTACCATCAATTATCACGCCGCTTTATATTATATAAGGTGGGCAATACCCCACTGTAAAGATTGCACATGTTGGTGACTGTGATGTATCCCCTGTGCAGTTGTTCTCTAAACGAAATATGTCTTTTTCAAGTTTTGCAGATCCTCAAACGGTACTTACTCTGTAAAATTGAGTACATAGGCGAATTTGGTGAGAATCCATACAGGGAGAATCTAACCTCAGATCAAAGCGATGGTCAACACTTTTTTCCGATGACCTAGACGCAGTACGGCATTAGGGTTGACCCGATTCATTATTGCGTTACGAATAAAGAAGAAAACGACCATATTTCCGCAGCAATATATGCTCAAGCGCACAAAATGGTCTGAAAGAATTTACCCCACTCATAAAAAGCCCTGAATTTCCCTCGACATAACCATGACTACAAAAATACTCGCACTACCATTGGTCATTCCCATCTATTCCAATCGTAATTCAGTTTGAAAACTGCAAAGTTCACCGTAATAATGAGAAAAGGACACCTCAAAATAAAAAAGATCCAGACACCATCGCCACTATAAATGATCGGACATCGGAAGGATTCTAATCAGGAATGTGATTTCTTTTTTGTTTATGAAAGTGCGTGCATCTGCGTTCTTTTTATGATCCAAGATGTGATTTTAGCTCGTTTCGTAAACTGCTAACATTTACTCGCGACGACGACCTAACACAAGAACGATATTACATCAGCCAATCTAATCGACCCTAGAATATTTTGATGATCTTTACTTACCGAAACCACCACGGAATTCAGGCTTGAAGTCACCAGAAGCACCCTCCTTGCGTCTGTAGTCATCACGGTCACCGCGGGGACCACGACCACCTTCACGACCCTCACCGACTATAAAAAGGGATGGTTAATATCGATCCAAACGTCGGTTACATAGATTTTTTTCATATTCTTACAGTTGCGACGGGGAGCGGCAGGACGAGCAGCCTTCTTCAAGGTAGCGGGGACAATCTCAGTGGGCAAGTGAAGGTCTACATGAAAATAAGAGTGCTGTCAATGATATTGTACATGGATTTCGTGGTAAAAACTGTGATGATGCTTACACTCGCGGAGATAGTCAATACCCTCGTTAGTGAGAGTATAGTAGTAGTATTGCCAAGAGAACTGAGTCTTGACGTAGCCCTTGGAGGTCAAAGACTGCATGATCTTGATGACTTCGAGGTTGGGAACGTCAATTTCAGAGTGCTTGGGAGCATTGAAGTCCTTGGCAGCGACCAACGCACCGTCTACAAGAAACAAACTTTTTAGTCATCTCGACTAGGCTCATCGATAAAAGTTCGGTTGAAATGGGAGACAAATGGCGTACCCTTGAAGAGAGCTTCGTAAATAGCCTTTCTGTTTTGCTTCTGGACAAGCATATTGTGACTAATGTTATCAATAATGGCAAAAATATAAAATGTAAGTAAAGTCTCTCATTGTCACCATTTCCCTTGACCATGGCAGCCCAAAATATGCCATCCGATGATTTGCTTGCCATCCACACTTATTACACTTGTAATCAATCCCCTTTCCTATTCATCCATCTTTCCAATCCTTCTGTGTCCCATCCACACACTGTATAGTGACCACCCATACTTACAATGCGGTGATGAAAGAGGGCTTGCTTCGAATGCACACGCCAACGTCGCTTGAGCCCCTCTCCCAGACCGGTGGAGCCGTTGCCCGACGAGCACCGGAATATGACATCACTCTAATTTTTGTCCGGCTCAGTCTGAACGAGAGGGAGCGGCGATTGAAATGTAGCGACCGTTGCCCTATTTTTTTTTTGCTGCCAAGTCCCTGACACACGTTCGCATTATGTGTGCTACCAAACTCTTTGCCAGACTTTGTTCATACACCAAGACCGTATTATCAAAGACCACGCTAATGTGGTTTTAGATTGAACCCAAAAGCCACTGCTGAAGTTTGTGTGCATACAATAGAGTAGTCACGTCAAATCTCTCTGCCTGCGATCCTTTCGAGACGAGTAGATCGCTTCCATCTCAATCGTGTTGCGTTCAAATTATCTCATGCAGCACTGGATAGTTTTTCCTCGTACTGATAATGGTGAGTCAGCTTTACTGTGCCTTGCTACTGCTACTGGGGACGACGCTGCTGCCCCTGTGGGATGCAGTTTGAAAACCAAGAGTGAGTCGTCATGAAACAAACGCTTTCATAGCATCCCTCCCAGTTTCTCGTAACTTTCTTCCCTTCCAAAATTTTATCTAGGGAACTCACTTGAAGCTGCTTTTTGTCTATCGCGGTTTGCACCCACCGCTTTTGTATTTCCCTGCATTTCGTTCCCTTTATTTCCCTTGCCACTTTGTTTTCTTTGCTACTGGCCTTTTTTTTCCCCAACCTTCGTGACGTACAGCATTAGATTAACGGCTTCTTTTTGGGAACCAGTTTTACACTACATTGATATCAGATTGAGAGAATCGTTCTCAAAGGCGCAGCTCACTTTAATGCTATCGCATGCAAAGGATAGTTTAGTAAGCAGTTATAGATCAATATCTCGATGCAAAAACTACATAACAAAGCTTATAATGCGTCAGTGTGCTTTCATTATTGAGAATGCGCGGAAAGCTAAACAGCTTTCGTGGATTCTAACAGAGATTCTGTTTTTTTCGTCCACCGAACAATTTCAGACTGACCCACGTCGTTCAAGATCCTGAATAGCTTTCTCCACATTTTTGAACCATTGTCCATATGAGTGACGCGTATAGTAAATTTGCTAGTATTATGTGCCAAATTTATAGTGACTTCCGATTTATATTATCGGTGCCATCGTCTTGCTGACGTCCGGAAGTGAGTGATTAAAAAAAGTCGCTTTTGGGAGTGTGAACTCCGATAAACTTTTCGGAGCGGAATGCGCACATCGCGTGCAGCCCAGTCACACGTTGTCTCACAGCGTGATTCCTCGTCGCGTCGCGCGTTTCCCTTTTTTTTTCTTTAGATACTGGGACTTTTTGACATTTGGTCATGGCAGGCTCTTCAAAGACGAACAAGAAAAATGGCACAACGGGGTCTTTGGGATCAGCCGCCCAAAAGACCCTCTTTTCCTACTTCAAGCAAGCACCCGTGCCTGCTGAACGAACAACACCCACACCCACCGAAAAGCCAGTAACGGAATCGTTGGCGGTCCGAGAACCAGAATCTAAAGAAGAAGACGCGATGGACATTGACAATGAGTCGCAGAACGCTTCAGATAATGTAAAAGAAGAAGTGTCCTTGCAAGGTCGCCCAAGGAAACGAGCAAACTACGTCGAATCGGAGGACGATCACGAAGACTCACCATTACCTTCTTCTACTCCAGGTAATTAAAATAAGAGCAAGACACAGAAAAAAAGTTACGGGGAATATAAGTAGTGCAACATAACCGATGGTTTTTATTTTATTGGATTCTGAAGGCAAGAATGAGCAGACAAGAAAAAGAAGGCAGAAGAAACGCATTATCGATGAAGACGACGAAGACGACGAAGACGACGAGTACGTGCCTGCCGCCATTGGCAATGACAGTGACCACGATGAGGATACTTATGTGCCTGGTATGACAATTGAAGGAGAACAGACCAATCGTTATCATCTAATCCCGTGATTATTGTTTCAGAGCACTTTGATGATATGGATGAGGACGAGATCAAATCGCCTGTCAAGCTGCATAAATCTCCAGCCGCCGTGACACCACTCCGTGAACGATTCCAGGTAAATTACTCTGCATTAAAAAATTGACATAGAAAAACGCATTCACTCATTCATTTCCTCACTTTGATGCTGCAGTCCATATCGATGTCTCCATCATTGAAAAGACCAAGTAGTAAAAGCAGCCAAATGCTTGCAAACTTGTCAACGAGTGAGGCACAGAAAAAGGTGCGTTCAACCCATATATTATCAACCAGATCGTCAGCTCAATGGAGATAAAACTGTGTAGGAACGTACGCAAAAGTTCAAGGAAAAGAATGACGTACGATACTCATGGCTTGCAGAACAAAAGGATGCCAATGGAAACCCAGTGGGTATGTGTGTTGCTGTAATCCCTTTTTCACTGCAAGTCATCTAAAAGGCCTTCGCAAATGATAGGATCCCCCGAGTATGATCCGCGTACTTTGTATATACCTAAGCAAGCTTGGAACAATTTCACGCCATTTGAACGACAATATTGGGAAGTCAAATCCAAGCAGTGGGACACGGTACGTTGTTAATATGGGTGAGCGAACTTGGCCACGAATACTCATCGTCAAACTTTCGTAGCTTGTCTTTTTCAAAAAGGGGAAATTCTACGGTAACACTTCGCTTCCACTTTGTCTATCTGCATTCATTAGTGTGTTTTTTTATTGATGTTTACTTACTTGCACTCCATAGAGCTCTACGAAAAGGACGCAGATATTGGTCATCAGATTTTCGATTTGAAAATGACCGATCGTGTCAATATGCGGATGGTTGGTGTACCCGAAATGTCATTCGATTACTGGGCTGCCCAGTTTATTGCAAAAGGGTAGGCACAGAGGTTAGACAAGCTGGATCGTCACATATCATTTAACAGGATGCTTGATTAGACATAAAGTGGCGCGAGTGGATCAGATGGAAACGGCAATTGGAAAAACCATGCGCGAGAAAACGGAACAGAGTAAAGCTGACAAGATTATCCGACGCGAGTTGACGTCTGTCCTGACTGCCGGCACATTGGTCGATGCTGGGTTATTAACGGACGATATGAGCACTTACTGCATGTCAATCAAGGTAAGCTCAAACGTCTCGATATAACCCTGTCTTTGTCTATTCACTGGAAAAATTATGACAGGAATATTGTCCAGCGGAAAATTTGCCACCGACGTTTGGTATTTGCTTTGTTGACACTGCCACTGCAGAATTCAATGTGGTGACTTTTGAGGATGATGTCAATCGCACCAAATTTGAGACATTGATTATGCAAATCAAACCGCGAGAACTTGTGACAGAAAAGGTATTTCTCATCGTCATGAAAGAATGAAAATGCTATCTGGATGAGGTGGGAACTCATTTCTTCAATAATAATATAGAACCGATTGAGTCAGTCCACCAGGCGCATTCTCAAGAATACGCTGGATAGCCCCATCTGGAACATGCTTATGCCTGATATCGAATTTTGGGATGCACGAACTACCGCTGACGAAATTCGAATTGCTGGTTATTTTAACAGCAACCTGGATAACGACGGTGAGTGCAATTACAACATACAGTTGAGAGAAGAATCGAACATAACTGACCCATCTTGATGCAGACTCTTGGCCTCAAGCATTCAAGGCGGCTTTGGAAAAACCGATACTGATGTCGGCCGTGGGCGGCCTACTTTGGTATTTACGATCGGTAAGAGCAGAAAATGAGAAAAATCTCGCGAAAATATGGGAGTACTGACGTGTTTTTGTGTAAAGCTCAAACTTGATAAGGAATTGGTGTCAGCCCGAAATATTCATGCATACGATCCTATCCGCAATGCTTCGTCATTGGTGCTTGATGGACAGACGCTGGCCAATCTTGAAATTTTCCAAAACTCTTACGATGGTTCGACGGAAGGCACACTGTTCAAGTTGATTGGAAACAGTGTAACACCTTTTGGCAAACGATTGTTTAAACGGTGGTTATGTCATCCTTTGCGACGAGCCGTCGATATTAACGCTCGCTTGGACGCTATCGAAGACTTAATGCGCATGGTGGATCTGCATGAAGAACTGACCAACCATCTTGCCGGTATGCCGGATTTGGAACGTCTTATATCTCGTATCCATTCCGGTCGATGCAAGGTGAAAGAGTTTCTTACCACCTTGGAAGGTTTCAGGAAAACGCAACAAATCATTTCCTGTCTGCGTAGCTATGCCGATAATCTTACATCCGCTCTTCTTCAAAATCTGGTGGAAAGCTTTCCAAACATTGACGAACGTGTGGAGTTCTTTAGCCAAGCATTTATCACGGCCGAAGTGGACATTGATTGTAAGTTGGACCAAATCCACATGGAAGAGAATAATGATTTAACCATTTGCTTGGATGACAGATCAAAAAATGATCTCCATTATCCCAAAAAAGGGAGTCAATAAGGAGTGGGATGCACTTAACAAGCAAATCAAAGATCTCGAAGTAGAATTTGATCGGTATCTGTTACAGCTTAAAAAGGACCTTAGGTAAGCTCAAGTAGTCCAAGAAAACAATTGTCTCTTTTTTTGACCACCATCTAACAACGACATCCGGTAAATAGATGCGCCAAGTTGGTCTTCAAAGATCTGGGAAAGGAGATCTACCAGGTAGAGGTACCGAAAGGTGTCAAGGTACCGCAAGACTGGATCCAACTGTCCGCGACGTCCAAAGTGAATCGTTACTGGAATAGCAAAATCAAGGGCATGGTCACACAATACAAGGAACTGCTGGAGACCAAGAATGCGTTTATCAAGAATTTCACGAGCGAAGTGTATGCTGATTTTGACCAGCATTATGTGATGTGGTTGAATGCCGTGCAACATATTGCTCAAGTGGATGCGTTGGTGGGGTTAGCCAAAGGATCTATGAATCTCGGCGAACCGGCTTGTCGTCCGCAAGTCTTGGAACAGGAAGAAAGCGTCATGGAATTCGAAGAATTGCGCCATCCCTGCGTTGTACCCGGTGTTGCGACCGATTTCATTCCCAATGATACCCGTCTTGGTGGACAAGAACCCAGCATCATTGTTCTCACAGGTCCGAACATGGGCGGAAAATCCACGCTTTTACGTCAAACATGTGTTGCCATCATCATGGCCCAACTCGGCTGTTACGTCCCCGCCCGATCGTGCCGTCTTACCCCTTGTGATCGTATTTATACCCGTATCGGTGCCAATGATAACATTATGGCTGGTCAGTCCACGTTCATGGTCGAACTAGCCGAAACTTCGAAAATTTTACATGAAGCCACGCCACGCTCCATGGTGATTCTCGATGAACTCGGCCGTGGCACATCGACTTTTGATGGTTATGCTATCGCCTATGCTGTGTTACACTATCTCGCAACGCATGTCGGCTGCCTTGCAATGTTTTCCACTCACTATCAAACATTATGTCGAGAATTTGAACGCAACCCGGAAATCAATAACATGCATATGTAAGTTTGACATCTCTATTTATTTCAACGCTCTTTTTGGTCACAGGACTCATTATGTATTTAATCATCTCAGGGGATATATCATGGATGAAAATGAGCAAAATGTTACATTCCTTTACAAGTTAACCGCTGGTATTTGCGAAAAGTCTTTCGGTATGAACGTGGCCAGCATGGCTTCCGTGCCTCAATCTGTCATTCGAAAAGCAGAACAAGTAGCCGAAGAGTTTGAAAAGACGCATCGTCTCAAGGACACAACGTACAACATGATGGTAGACGGTGCAGAAACCGAGTCTGTTCCTATTACCCCCGCCGTGCTTACCGACTTTGCATACCTGATGCGGTCATGCGACCTGGATGATAAAGCCGAGGATATTGGGGACAAGGCTGAAGATATGCTCACATCCGAAGGCCGTCAATTACGACAAACTCGTGTCTTGCAACGTATCTTGAAAGGATTTTCGCGCATTGTTCATTCCACCTAAAGCTAGGCTGACCACACATTATTCAATTTCCCCTCTTTTTCACTACCTCTTCACCCAGAAAATAATTATGCTTCTAGCTTTGCATGCATCTATTGTATCAAACATCGGTCCATCCACCAGTATATCAAAAATCCCCCTTCACAAGTGGCTTTATAGCGCTGTTCAAAGCGCAGCGGCACCATGATGGAAAACTTTGCTTTTTATGGATTTCGTATGAATTCTTGTGAAATCAAAAAATATGTGATAACCTTGTGCAAAAGGACAATTCACAGGATCCTCCAGTATTTTATACACCGCACCACGCATGGATATAGCTTATTGAAGCTACAGTGCTACCGTATTCGCTGTTCAGCAGCTGATCACCCTCTCTACTCTGAGCTGTAAAAAGGAGTTGAGGTAAAGCGTAACGTGGCGACGATGCGGTTAGGTAGTACAACAGGAACATTACACTCTGAAAACGCCAACACGATGAGCACAGTCACCAAAAGGTTTAAGTTCAAGGGATCAGCGAGTAGTTGTTTTGATCTCATGCCGCCAATCCAGTTCCTCATTGCTCGTCACCACATTTGTGAGTCCATGTTTTTGACGATAATGATGTCAAGAGCAATCTCCCTCAGTTGGAACGAATAACCAATAGGTCAGTTTGACGTTAACTGAGCCAAGTAGCCTGGGCAAGAGTGAGCTGCGGCAGGCAGAAAACATGAATAAAAAAGGATGGTTTTGGACAAGAAGAGTTTATTGGACGTTTTTGAATAGAGAACAGGTGAACGACAAACAGAATAAAAAGCCTACCCTATTCATTGATCTGCCTTTTTTCAGCAGGTCTATTTTCTTATAAAACATACCGTTTTGACGTCGCTTTAGGCATCAACTGGAAACGGCTGTAATATAAAGAAGTTAAGAGTTTTCATTTTATTTTTCTTTTTATATGAAGTGGCGTAGTTCGTCCACAGGACATTAAGCTCACTTTTTTATTTTATTATTCAACACATAAAGAATAATAAAGGCAAAAGCCTTTTCTTTTTTTTTCATTTACCTTTGTTGCGATTAAAAAGCAAACCCACCGACATACCTTCCACAATGACCGCGCTGATGACTAGTCAGGCGCCCAAAGGGAAGAGCCGACGGGAACGAAAACAATCTTCTTCAGAGGATGGCCAATCCTATCATTAGAGGATGGTTTTCGGATTTTTCGCCATACCCCGAATGCTTTACCAAAAACCGGAGCGTTCATCATTACCAGTAACCACCAGCCTAGCAGCCCCTGATTCCGAACTGGCGCACAAAAGAAAAAAAGAGATACGAAGAAACGCCCTCTTTTTATATCTTTTGCGGACCTTCGATTTGTGACCCTGTTTATGACCGCGAATGCACCTCATTGGCTCGATTCTCGCAACAAAACTGGCGAAATTCAGCGCCTCACACTTCTTTCGCGTAAGCGATGCAAAGAGGAACTGCGCCGTGTCATTCATGCTACCAGCAGCATCCAACGTATACTACAGTCACTCTATAACGTGCACTATAGCCTATGATTGGACGCTGGTGCGACATGCTTCAGACTTTGCGCACATGCTTTCTCTTGTTTTGTGGTATGAGTTTCTCATACCTTGCCCTGCCCCTTTGTATCAGTTTTGTTTCGCCTGAAACCGTTTATACAAACTATGCTATAATAGTAAAAGCTCATTTACTACTGCACATTGACAGGGTGCTATTCCCATGGTGCCGTGTTGCAATGGCGATGGAACACAAGTCATTTTAAGAATATACTCCAGACTATATTCTAGGCTGCGCCACCCGGTCCTCTTTTTAACATACCAATATCAGCAGTAAAGATGATGCATACCAAGACTCTGGCACCTGTTTAAGCTAATTTCCTGTTGTGGGATGTGTTGTATTTTTGTTCGCATGAATTTAATTTGCAGGACTGTGCAATCATCTCCACCTGAAACGGAGTTTTTTGATGGAGGTTGCGAAAACGGAACTCCAACTGGCTTCTTGTACGCTTCATTTGTCACTGCTTCTGTTTCTATGGTGCTTTCGGCGATTGTACTCTTCGTTTTGAGGTTTTTATGGCGTGATGCTTGCGTTGTGAGGATAAAACACCACGCCCGAAAAAGGCCAGACAGCGAATTGAAGGCGGAACCAAGAGCTGCTGAATAGATAGAGATATAAAGCATAATCAGCTTTTCTTATGGACTGCTCTCGAATATCATGGACCCGATAACTGTACCACAGGTGGAAACGCGAACCGAGAGATTTTTAGTAACGATTATTTGAAGATAACTAAGCGCAATTATTTAGAAGGGCTGATGTTGGAAAAAAAGGAGTTGACGCTGGTGCGTCTAGTGCTATTGATCTCTCTTCTCTATTAATTGAAAATGACCCATCCAGTAACATCAATTTTTTATTGTATGTAGGTGTGAATTAGTGACGTTTGAAAGCAAATAGTAAAGATTATCATGTGTATTTACAAAGAGAAGAAGGAAATAAGATGAATCAAAATATTTTACGGAGAGCAAAGTTTAGTAATTTTCATGGACCTTTCAACACGGGTCGTGGCACTAAAGTGTCCCTGGACTCTTTCGTGGCGCCTTAAAGCGTCCAACCGAGTAAACTTTTTGCCACAATGATCACATCGACACAGAGGCCGATTTTGCTGGTGGATCGTTTGATGCCGCGACAAGTCATACGAACGTCGGAAGGATTGGTGACAAGTACGACCTGTGACTGGATCGACGTAACTGCATACAAACTGATGGTGCATCTTATCCGAAGCGGCTGTGCGTGAAGTGATCCTCGTCATGGATGGCTTTGAATTAAATGGATAGGAGGAATTGAATGATTTCGTCTTGTCGGCCGGTGAAAAATGGATAGGAGCAAGTTGTGCGTGTGGCAATGGCCTGTTGATCGTGAGCGTAGAAATGGCAGGTAATTGGATTGTTTTTGGTGGCGATAAGGATGATCTGGATACTACAGTATTTGCTACTCCATGCGATCGTTCTGTATCACAATAATAAGCTTGCATATCCGATTGGGTCGCATTTGCATAGGACCATCTATTGGGGGTCTCAGAACCCATCGATTTCATTCCATCGTTCACATCAGCCAACGAAATGGCCGAATCCTTGCGACAGTATGCGTTGGAAATTCTTAACACGGTCGGTTTAATGACTGGCACGTTGCATGCTATAGCTATTGAGTTTTGAGTTAGTTGAGACAATGCTCTTATCCCATGAAGAGTAAACATTCAATCACTCACTTGTACTGGGCGGCGAATAAATTGTTTTCCGCCGCAACCATAAATCCAAGCGTTCATGGCGTCTCAAGGCTTCTTTAAGGCTAAGGTCATCGTAGATCTCGCGCGACAATTTATCTGCCGTCAGATAGTAGTCATCTATTTTGATATGCTGTGTCTAATTTAGATGCATTTATCCTAAAATACATCAGCGATATTGATATACCATCAATGTCCGTTTAATTTTTTCGAGCAATTCGTGAAATCGAGGAAATCGATTTTGATGGGCACACAGATGGACAGGGAAACACAGCCGATCATTTTCGACACAGACACTATTGATGTTCTTGATTATCAGCACCCATGCATGTGGCACAGAACAAAAGATCAGCAAACAAAAAGAGATTTACCGTAATCGATAGATACTGTTATGCAACATTCAAGAAAAAGTTCGCAACAGAGATTTAATAAGAAGAAAAAAAAACCTGATCCAAATCCCGTATTGTTTCTTGTATTTGTTATCCCATTTTTTTATAAGCTACGTTTTTCTATGAAAGGATCAATTCGCTCCACTCCAAGACGGGGACATTTTAAAGGGATTATTCCCAATGCTGACGAGAACATGTGGCTGTAACAGCGCGAGGAACGTGGATCAGGAGGAAAAAGGTCGAGCCCAAATCAACTTATTTTCCTGCTCCTATGCCTATTTTTTTTTTCCCTCAACTCAATTGCCACCGGAATACTCCTTCATCTTCATTCTTCCCTTTCATCCTCCCTTGTCTTGCATACTCCTTTTTTTTTTTTTTTTTTTTTTTTTTTTTTTTTTTTTTTTTACATGTTCACAAATGCCTCTGCTGTTAAGAACAAGCCCTTATTTCCGTCAATTCAGCGTTTGCCCTTGTGTTCACTCTGACTCTAAATAAACACATTGTATACAATAACGTGATCTAGATATTTTCGTATGTTTAAAAAGATTACATAGGCTATCTTATTTATATAACAAAAAGGATTTGATAGTATATATAAAGAAAAACAGAGGTACAATGGCACCAACTGACAAGGAATAGCGTCGTCAGATGGTTTGTTGTCCCTTTGTGAAAGTTGAACCAATAGATAAAAAAAAGACAGGAGAGATAATGAAGACAATAGCGACTGCAGTGTTTTCAGCGGGATATAATGTGCTTGTATAAATCCTTTTTGTCTTTCTATTAGTCAGGGTTTTAGGGGGGCGCCAACAGGAAGGATCAACAGGGTCCCGGTTTTTTTTTCTTCGTATTGGACAAGCGTCCCTGGGGTGGGTTGCGCAGATACGCAGACGGTGGACGGTTTCCTAGTTATGAGATCCCGTATTGGAAAAGTCTAGATCAATGGGGAATCGATCATCTATTCGATGCATATTGGTCAGTACACGTTCATTTCTCTCCAATGACTGATGTTTTGTAAGTCTTACATTTGGGTCCTGGAACTGGATCGGGTGAATTGGCCCATATAATTTGGGAAGCACGATAGGATGCATCCTGTTATAGATAAATAAATGAATAACCTGTCGTAGAGACCGATCACCGCCAATGCACTCTTTTTTTTTTTACCTTTAGAAACGGGGTATCTTCTTTTACGAATTTTAGCTTTGAACGGTTCAATTTAAGTTTGATAAATTCATCAAAAATGAGCACTTCTGGATCCTGATCGGATTTGCTGAGTCGGTCCATGATAAACTGGGTAAACATCTGCGATGAAGTCAAATGGGCTAAATACGTCTGTATCGATGGCGTAAGTGATACTATCAATAGGAAAATGTCATTTTTTGATCGATTACCCTGATGTCTTTGTCGGATTGCTTCAGGAATTTTTCTTTTGAAAAGACTAGAGGAGACCTCTTCTTTGGGTTGCCGTCTTGCATATCAAATGCCATCCCATTACGTTCTGCAGAAGTAGACACAAAACCTGCTCTGTAATGGCACAGTAATGACGCAAACATGCGTAAAAAGGCGTGTTGAATGTTCTCTTCGTCAAAACAACTTGGTAGACACGGATGAAGGATTTGATTCATACAGGTATCGTGTGTCACCAGGTGGCATTCTGACGAGAAAAAAGATATTACAAAAACCAACAACTTTAGTGTGAGTCAAGAAAAGTGAGTCGGTTGTTATTGGTACCTTGACAGCACACAAAAGTCAAGTGTCGTTGATTCTGGTCATTCTGTTGCACCGATTGACCGCAAAGGCACCGATACCCTTGAAGTTGCCACAGGTCTTGTGGTGCAACTTCCACCATCGGATGGCCTTCTATATACCACATTTTCTGCATCGTTGTCGGCGTTTGGCTATTGTTGCCGGTTCCAGAATGGGTGATCGGAGGGACAGAATTCACCGCTCCAAAATCGGGAGCACGCACAGTTTCCCCTGGCTAGGCAAAAAATGGGTCATCATGTGCCAACTGCTGCTGTCACTTTATGGAGACCCACCCTACTTACTTGGAACGCCATTTGCGGCCTCGACATCAGCCCAGATAACTTTCGAATACTGTTTGTCTGTGTATGGAAGTGTTATACAATGACTTCGCTTTCTCTAAAATCTTTTTCTGCTCAGCTTACCTGTGATGATCGACGACTGTCTTTTGAAGATACGGTCATTTCTTGCGACCGTGCTCTATTCAGTTCATCTGCGTTGCCAGCTGAATGTCTATAGGAGGATGGCTGCGTCTTAAAAGGAGATCCCGACGAAGGGGTCGTTTTCGGGTGAAGAGAAAAGGACCAGTGGTCGGAACGAGGTAGTTGCTGGTTAGATCGGGCTGCGGCGAACGACGACGACGATGAAGCATGCGTATTTGATGAAACCGATGTCGTAGAAGCTAATTTAGCATTGGAAGGGTGTTGCGGCATCACTGGGGTTGGAATATCTGGGGCGAACGAGATATCGGAATCATTGGAGCTCCGTATGCTTTCATTCGCGGACCAGAAGCCAGATAATGGCCTTGAGAGAACTGAGGCTGGATTGGACCAGATCGAATGGTTGGCTGAACTCTCTGATTTGCGAGGTAAACTCGTGGACAATTCTTGAGCTTTCGACCGATGGCAATTCAGCATCATTCGGCCTTTGGGGAAAGCTTCCTTGATGGTAAGTGGTACACCATAAGGTACTTTGGATCGAGTGTGGAGTGGCGCGTATTGTTCCAAAGACAGCTGTAATTTCCGTCGTTGACGATCAGGTAATCGCATACCTGGATGGTACTGATGCATGGTATTGCTGTCGAGATTCACAATGCAAACCTTGCAATCAGATATAGAGTTTAGTATTTCGGTAAACCAAGTATTCTTCACTGATAACTCACATCATCTGGTGCATTATCCGCAAGATCTTCAATTTGGCCCTGAAAACCAATGAGAAACGGGACAGGTACCTAAAAAAGATAACAATTCAAAACGACTGATACAACAACCATTTCGCGTCGCATTGAGTACCTGGAGACACGCCAGCAACTTTTCTGGTAAAACAGGTATAAAGACGAATTGCCAGTAGAAAGGGAATAACAGATAGCGAAAGGACTCGCAAGCGACCGAAAGCATACCGGGATGATTCGATAAAAATAATACCTTGCCTTCCGACAATAAAGTCTGCCTCACTGTCATCAATACTACATATTATCAAGCCTCCCGATCAATGAATTGATTACCTCGAGCACTGCCAGGATTAAGTGAGATGATAAAGCACGGAATAATGGAAACAACGAAAACTATAAAAATTGATGAGTATCTTGCACCATTTTGGAGGACAGACCGAAAGCAGATGTACATTTTTCAGTATTGGAACTTCGTTAATGGAAGGCCGCGAAAAGAATAAAGACCGTTGGCTAATACTTAGGCTGATCTCAAAGCGTCCTGGTGGTGGTAACGGTACTTCCCGGATGATATTGTATACAGCACTGGGCAAAAGGCTAAGGTGAGATTGAGAGAAAACCATTTTGCGTAGGCTCGGCTCTTTACCTCTGAATATTCAGATGATCGCCCTTTGCTTTACGTCCTTGTACGCCCACGATGGAGTCCAACATGATACGAAGCCAATCACCAAACAAATCATGCCATGGCATTCGACTGACCAAGCCAATTGCTTTGGGTACCCAAATACAGTCCGAAGTACATACAGCCATTTTCACCGGCTCCAGAAGCTCCGTATAAAGAGTCACATTTTCCTGACATGTGCGTAACTGCTCTTCCAGATCCCGTTTTCGCTCTGTAATATCTGGCGTGCTGGTCATTGTGTTTAGGGATACTAATTCTGCGCCGTAATGGTCCACTTGGGCTTGTTCGGTTTGAATGCGTTCCTGCAAGTGACGCGCATACTCTACCGTACTCTGATCCTACAAAAAAAAAAAAAGCCAAAAAACCATCACCACGATTAATCCAACGTAAGCTGTGCTGTTGCCCATCACCCTGATATTACCATATGGGCATGGATCCATTGCTGCAATGCCTTGTTAACAGAATCTCTCAAACGGTGTGCTAATTTTTCGTAAAATACAATACACGTCCCATAAATGGTATCGCCATTTTCGTCGGTCATTGCCTACTCGGGCATTTTAGTTCTTTATAAAACTCTATTCCATGAAACCCGATCCGTGCAATAAAAAAATGCCCAGAAAAACTTACAAAAGAATGAAGTTGCTCTACAGGAGCATGTGTTCCGTATCGCAACGAAATATCGCGCGGGAAACAAAACTATGAGGATTGCATGAATTGAAATGAAGAGGGGTATGCAAAAAATAGACTTGTGTTACCATCGCAATGTAAGAGGGAAATGCTTCGGACTTTGAGTGGTCGGTACGCGGGTAACGCAACAACACAGTGGGTATGTATTTAATGTCGAGCAGATTCGGTTGCATCGATCGGTCCGAATTGAATAATGCTTGCTGCAAGGTTTCTTCGGATGACTCGAGTATGCGGCCTAGGTCTTCTGACGGTGGCTCACTGTCTGCACAAGAAAAATGGGAAAACGATGGTTAGCAGTGAGCGGTTTCAGCTGTCACTCCTCTCAGGGACTCACATGCAGCACGGTAATCTGGCACGCTGCTCCAAGCCTTGGAAGGTTTGATGGATAGTTTTCTTCTGACGGTAGGTTCCGAGTCAAGGCGTGGCATGGCAGCTGTAACTGATCGTTTTCTGTTGGTTTTGCCATTCAGAGGTTCGTGAACAGCAATGACGTTATCACGGGCTGAATCTCGTTCCTTGTCAAAGATATCGATAATAGACTGGACATGGTCCAATACTTCGGCTAATGAGTCCTTGGAAGATGACTGAGGTAGCAATTTTCCTGTAGTTCTATTGTTGACCGGTTCAGGAGCCTCATTGCTCGTGACAGCGACGGCTTGACGTTGCTGATCATAGTAATATTCGTCTGCGCTGGTGATCTGCCCCCGTTTCACCGCATCATAGGTTGCCAGAAGATGGTTGTCATGCAATCCACATACAAAAAAGTAGTCGGCTAAGCGTGATGTGGAAAGAAGATTGGTCGCCATGGCCAAGATCCGATTATGCCTTTTTTTTTTGCCTCTTCGTTTTGTAATTGTTATGCGGCTGATCAAATGATGGCAAAATTGGAGGGATCAAAAATCCCGAAGCTAGTTTCCGAATTTGGTTAATGAACCGATTCAGGATGATGGAATGGCCAACAGCTGGGGTGTGAGACGACACATACATACTCACCGATCCCCAAGTCATTGATATTAATACTCTTAGGTCTTCAGTCACTAAGCGATAATATACGTGCGAATACGCAGATACAATCATGAAGTGTTATTAATCTCTTTTCACCCCACCTTGTTAAATCATTGAACCGGACCATACCAGAAAAGGCGTTTGTAGTCACAAGAGTTTCAGTGACCAGCATATAAGGATTTCTACGGTTATTGTTGGAGCTTGCTCTTGACACGTCTGAATAAAAAAATTAAGCGGTAGAGAATAGGTAGACTAACAGCCTTGAGTTTTTTCCTTTCCTTTTCGCGCTCCGTCTTGGAGCTTTGTTCTTCGAGGTATGACGCTTGGTTGTCGTTGGATGGCTGCAAAAGGTCAATGGTGGGCAAAGCTTTTCTAAAAGGCTGTTGGTAAAAAAAGACGACGCCTATTTTTTATAGCAATGTCTAATTGGCTTTTTTGCCGTCTCCATATGTACTTCCAGTCCCTTCTAGTAGTTGAACTAATCGTATGGAAGCAAGTATCTTCAACCAACGCAGACTTTTGGATCCTGTGTTTCATGTGTGAGGGAAACGCATGATCAGATTGTTCGATAATCGAAAATGTTATTTCTTATCCACAGGAGGTTTTTGCAGCAGGTCCAAGAACAAACCTTTTGGGGGCCAATGTCCAACATAGAATCTATGCTGTGTTCCAAACCAACAGTAGCAGCACGGTGTGGAGCCGCGACCACTTGGCTCCCATCAACATTCGTGACATATTTAATCATATGCAACAAAACAAAATGAACGCGCATTCCCGTTTACAATGAAAATCCCGAAACGAACGAATGTGATTTTGAGTAAGAACAAGACATCTTTTGATTTTGGTGAGTGATTATTGATATATTTTTTGTTAAGAAAAGTTGATAAATTACATGGAGCCTATTAATCGCCTCTATCTCTTCTATCCTTTTCGTCCATTCCGGACTTGACTTGCTTGGCTTGTTCATCGAGAGGCGTATCCTCGGTTGCTAATCTTCCGATCTTTGATCTTTTGGCGGTTTCCTTGAACTTCTTTGTCACAGGGTTATGGTCCATACCCTCTGATAATGTTTCCGCCACCTTTTTGGTCTTTTGATGCGCGGGGCTTTCCTTGATTTTGTCGGTGGCATGACCGGGGGAAATCGTCTGATCTGGGTCACCGGCGCGAAGTCGTGCAGACAGTGTGTAAAACGAGTGACATTGACGGTCAAGGACCAAGTGGGCGCGTCTAGCAAGAATCTGAAGGCTGGTCATTTTTTATATTTTTTAGTAGAGGAATACGAGTAGATTGGGTCACTTTTGAGACATTCGTCTCTTTTTATTCCAATTTTTTTTTTTTTTTTTAATTTTCAGGCTTTCGAACAACCGCGCGAAAATGAGGTCATTCTGATTACTTTTTCCGCATGGGTTTTGTTTCTTTTGGCAAATGAAAGCTCGATTCCAGGAAAATGACTGAACCATTAGCAAATAACGCGTACATTATCGTATCTCTAAAGAAACTCGACCGGTTCGAAAAAATCTAAAGCAGCTCCCTGATCTGACATTGAATGTCATAAGGACCATTCCATCTTGCCCTACGACCCGAGAACGATAATGGCTATTTATTCCTTTTATTTCCTATGCGATATCCTTGAAGGATCTCATCATCAGTATATTTCCTAATGATGAAGTAAACTACTGATACTTATAGACTGTGGTTATTGAGTGTTATAGCAGCGCACTTTTGGTGATAGATTTCTGAAGAATGAGGCGATATAAAATATGGAACCCCAGTCTGCGAATAAGGGTACGCGAGTAAAGTTTTGTGAAATCACCAGGCAACTACAACGTCTCCAGTACCATCTAGATATTGAGATATATGTAAGCGTAAACAGGAAAATGTGAAATCACAGTGCCTGTCAGTCATCAGATCGGAGATCGGAGATCTCAAGCTAAAGCTGAGGATGACAAGTGGCCCCCGGCCCTGCCTCCACCCCTGTAAGCTGGAAAAATTGAGGCTTACAAAACATGCCCGAGTATGATCATTCCCCGCCGCCGCCGGCCAAATATCCCAACGATAACACGGTTTCCACTGCCCACTTTTACTTGCAATATGATAAACCCAATCCTTTATCCAAACATTCTTAAAAAAAAGTACAATAGCATGTACAACAGTTATTTGTAAAAGAGTATTTTTTTATTATAAAAGAAAACTAGCATGTTTCCACGTCGAAGACCTAGAAAACTGTAGAAGAGATTAGCATACTTAATCAACAAGAATGAAATTGAGATAAAAACAAAGATGGGAATTGAAGAATGTTTTCAGAATCGTCGGAACAAGGTTTGCTTTCATAGTTTTATCAAACTGAGCTGGGTTTAATAGCATATGTTGTTCATCATGTAAACAAGTAAAAGGGGGTGATAGAAAAAATAACAAGGATAATGAAATAAAAAACTTACCAAGACAGTTTGCAATGAATGAAAAAAAGAAGAGAAGCTTGGCGTGATAAAAGCCCTTTTTATAGTTTTTGCGATTTGGCGGTGAAAAAACATCTGTCACCGCGTTTTAACGCAGTCCACCGCAGCTTGGGTGGCTTCGACAAATTTTTTGACATCAGAACTTGGTTTCACTACTTCATTGAGAATCTCAACCCAAAAATTACAGATCAAGCAGAATATAAATTTTTTCCAGGCAATGATATATCGTTTTAATACGTGCAATAACATATTTCCCATGCAATGACTGTACATCCAAGATATCTTCATGTCGCATCACTTTAGCGTCCATGTTCTGTATCGTTGTTTGCAGAGATGACCCAATTTGAAGGATATCTACACTATGCTTTTCTTCTCCCGTTTCATTAGCTTAAAAGGTTCCGTTTTATTCCAAAAGAACATGCATCCCTGAGCATTTCTTTGCCCTATCAATTAAACAGAATCTATATTGTTCTACACTATTTAAGCTACCAGAAAAAGCGGTTTAACGTGTTGATTCCTTTTCCATCAAGCGGCAAATGAAGATGTCGACTTTTGTGAATGAAACGAAAACCAAGTAAATGCGATGCAAGTTGATAATTGATCGCTAGCAACCCAGCGCAGAGGGATTGAACTAAGACTATGATAAAAGTGTTGGCCTAATTGAACAGAAATTTTCAACTTTTAAAATACCGCAATGTGATTGGCCGACAATTTCCTGTGACGGTCCCGGCTCTACGAACGATACGTATCGTGTCTGGATCAGAAATGGTGGTACTTTCTCTCGGATTCTTCCATTAAACCAGTATGGTAGGTGCAACCCTATAGTGGAAGAATGTGTGGCAGCATCCGGTAGCTTTAAACGTATAAAAAAGGAATGACAGGATAGATGGATGGGATGGATGAATGCAAATGGATGGATGGATTAGACGGATAGATGGACCAAGTGCCTTCGGTCATTCCGAATTCATTATACATGGTCCATGGAGGGGCCATGGGGCGAAGAAATTTGCAAATGGGGAAATTGCAATGCCCGTACTCGCATTGGAATGAGACGACTGACGAAGAATTCGTCTTTTCATGTAGACCTGCAAGAGAAGAAATAACGGACGCAACAAGCACGGCCGTGGTCACAACAAGTTTGTTCGTTGCATCAACTGCTACCGTTGTGTGCCCAAGGACAAGGCTATCAAGCGTTTCACCATCCGCAACATGGTTGAAGCCGCTGCCGTCCGTGATTTGCAGGAAGCTTCCATCTACGAGGAATACGCCATTCCCAAGTTGTACGTGAAGTTGCACTACTGCGTCTCTTGCGCCATTCACGCCAGAGTTGTCCGCGTTCGTTCCGTTGTCAACCGTCGCAACCGCGCTCCCCCGCCACGCTTCCGCTTCCAAAAGGTACTTGTTCTCACTCAAAGGAAACAGCAAATGTTGATTGACCAATTGAAGAACTAATCATCGGATTCTTTTTTTTTTTTTTTTTGTCTATATTTTTTACAGGCTGCCAACAAGGCCTAAACTTTTTTCATTCCAATTTTTGGTCAGTCATTGAAACTCCAGTCTATAAAAGTTTGTCATACAACTTGCGTGGCATGTCTTTGCAGTGAAGTTTTTTCATTCGTTCAATATCTTTTTTGTTTGGGTTATGCGTGGTCGTTGCTCATAGTCTAGCCACCGTGCTGTGGACTGATATGTCGAGCTATTATTTTCACTTCAGTTCCTCGGTCCGTTCACCAATCGCACAATAAGCCTTTTGAAGATGATTGTCTGTGAACACCATTTTTACCGTTTGTCTAAAGATTAGGGTTTGCACCACCTTGTCATACAAAGAATTGAGGGGGGCTTCCAATTCTCTAAAGTACTGTTGTGTGAGGGTTGACTGGTGCTTAAAATTATTGCAAGAGCTATATGAGGTTATTTATGATACCCGTATTAGGCGCTTTCAGTAGTCTCTGAGCATGAACGTTGTCGATATTAGATTGCGAGTCCAAGCGTCATGATTCTCCTAGTGGCCAATCGGCCGTAGAAAATTCACAGTCTCCAAAGTGTGCGAGTCCCATTTTTCCTACAACGGCTCTCTTGCTATGCAACAAGAGGATATTGATCATCCCCCGCTCAGAGTAGCGTTTATCCACCCTGATCTCGGCATTGGTTAGCTTCTTTATTAAAGCTGAATAGAAAAACGAGTCCCTTTAACAAGCAATGACTATAGGTGGCGCCGAACGTCTTTTTGTCGATGCGGCTGTAGGCGTGCAATCGAGAGGCCATCAAGTCAAATTGTATACCAGTCATCATGATCCCAATCATTGTTTCGAAGAAACGCGGGATGGTACGTATTATTCAGATACTATGATATTCGCTCTTTATGTAGACCAAACTCTATATATATTTTTTCAGGCACATTCAGTGTTCAAGTGCTCGGCGACTGGATTCCTCGTAATTTATTCGGAAAATTTTATATATTTTGTGCCATTGCTCGTCAATTGGCGTTAACGATATCGCTATTACGTTCCAACAAGGACGAATTTGATATCTATTTTGTGGATCAGCTGAGCGCATGTATTCCTCTTCTTCGTTGGTTTAGCAATGGACGGGTAAGAAAAAATGCGTGGAAGTGATATCAACCTTTTCTCGGCCTGCTGATGATCGTGTCTCCGTCTTGTTTTTTTAAGGTGCTCTTTTACTGCCACTTTCCAGATAAACTTTTGGCAACACGTGGATCGCTTGCCAAATCGATCTATCGCTATCCCTTTGATAAGTTTGAGGAATGGACAACAGGCAAGTTTTGTGAATTGGCACTACGGGCAGCTGAATCTGACTGGTTCGACTACAGGTCTGGCAGATACCCTGGTGGTCAATAGTGAATTCACCGGACGTGTGTTCCGACGCTCTTTCCCAAGTATTCTCAAGAAACCTCGTGTGCTTTATCCACCCATCAACTTTAAAACCTATGATCGTCCAGTGGACATGAATGATCCGACCGTACAGATACTTCAATCGTAAGTTAAGCTGGTTCCTGGAATCCCTTGCTGGTTACTTATTGTGAATTATTATATATTAGATCCAAGCATACTCTTGTGTCGATCAATCGTTTCGAACGAAAGAAAAATGTGGAATTGGCATTAAGAGCTTTTGCAGCCTTGAAAACAGAGTGCATGGTGTCAGAGGAAACGTTCAATAACCATCGTCTTGTTCTTGCGGGTATTCATTTGTTTTTTCTTTACTGTGAAATGTGTTGATAAGGGTCCTAAATACCCCTTTCTTTAGGTGGCTATGATCGCCGTGTGACGGAAAACGTGGAATATTTACAAGAACTAGATCAACTTGCTTCTACATTTGGTCTCAAGACATTTACCATTCAACCCGGGACTTTAGAATCCCCGCCCAGTGATACGCAGGTGGTCTTTCTCTGTTCGTTCAACGACGCGCAGCGTAACTATTTATTATCGCAATCTCTGTTACTACTCTACACACCGTCGAATGAGCATTTCGGTATTACGCCAGTGGAAGGCATGTATGCCAAAGTTCCTGTCATTGCAGTCAATAACGGTGGTCCATTGGAAACGGTCAAACACGAAGACACTGGATTATTGCTCCCTCCGGATCCTCACGTATGGGCTGAAGGAATTCAGAAATTCGTTCAGGGCACCCTGGATGGACCGGCCATGGGTGCGCGTGGCCGGACCCATGTTCAGTCTAAATTTGGTTTGGAAGCATTTGCGGATCAATTAGAAGATATTTTGGAAGAGCTTATGAGCGGCGGACGCCCAACTCATTATCGTTATGATAATACCGAATATATCATGCGCATAGTAATGGCGGTAGTCATTTTCATCGCTTGGTATAAATATTGGTTCTAAGATTACTTGTTCTTAAAGTTGTTTTCAGAATCAAAAGATAACAATAAAGGAGGAAGAACAGGAAAGAAAAAAGATCAATTAACTAAAAAGAAGCATGTAATTAAAGGAATTAGGACGAAAATGCTAAGCAAAAGCTTATTTTCGAATGGATTTGACCGTGTCACGTTGATAATAGAAGCTGTCGATTTCATGTTGCAACTCTGTAACGCGACGACCTTGTTGTTCCAATTCGCTGTGAAGACGGTCTCGCTCACTTAGCAGACGTTGTTCCCACATACGGAATCTTGATTCTTCATTCTTCACTTGTTCCGTGAATCGCTTACGCAATGCATCCTCTTCTTCCTTGAATTTGGCGTTTTCGTTGGGTTGAGTTCTACTTGGATCATCAACAAAAACGGTAAATGGTGGGAATAAATATAAAAAAAAGGACACATCTTTTGACAATCAATTACCGTGGGTCACCAAACTTGCGCGTTTCCATTTGCGTCTGACGATAATTTTCGTAATGATTTTCTTCAGTGGTGGTGATCAAATCAAGCATGTGGGTGCGGATCAATAAACTTCTTAATTTTTTGAAATCGCAATGTTCATCGTTCTCGACTTCGGCCACACCCCATGAATATTCGCGACCTTTCACCTTGCGACCATCGGCTGTAAGCACGTCTTGAGTAGATCCAATCACGGCAAACGGCATGGCATTCATGATGTTGATGTTGCGTCTGGAAGTTGTCTCATCATCGCTTTCAATTGGACAAGAATAAACCTGGATATTCTGGGCTTGAATCACATCGCGAATCTGTATAAAATGCAAATTGGCCATGTTAATTAGCTTTTGCACAAAAGGGCAAGTCAAAAGCGCAACGTGCTTACATTTTGTTTGAACTTGGCGAGATTGGCGGGTGTCAATGTATCGGCTTTGGCAATGACAGGAATAAGGTTGACGCGTGAACCTAAGCGTTTCATGACTTCGATGTCCAAGGGTGTGAGTGTGTGACCGGTTGGCTTTATAAAGTACAGACATGCATGGACGCGCATATCAACTGCACCCTTGCGGCACGGTTGCTGTTCCTGGCGCATGTACTTCTCGTGCTGGTCATCCAAAAAATCCACAATGGGGATAGACGCATATCGATTGTTCACGTAATCGCCAAAACCAGGTGTATCAATGATGGTCAACTTTACTTTGAACATTTTCTCTTCAAGCTCTATTATTTTCGCACCCATCAGCCATATTGTCTCCATCAACGACCTCCGATTCTCTCTGGTTCCTGAATACCCACCTGCTTTGGTAATTTGAATCTGCACTGTTTTAGGTGGGTTTTTTGTCATATGGCGTTTGGCCAAAATCTTTGGCTCTTTGATGGTGGAAGTGAACAACGTGTTCACAAAAGTCGTCTTTCCCACACCAGATTCACCTATTTAATTCCAGTCAGAGAAAGAGTCAATCAAAAACAAAGGATGAAGGACCATTGGTCAATCACATAAAGAGAAGTGCAGAGCATTTGGATGAGGGATAATAAAAGGGTACTTACCACAAACCATCACGGTAAAATTGGCACCATTCTTTGCCACGATTTTGTGGCGTTGATTGGGAAGATTGGCAATACCAGTGCCTGTGGAAGTGATGGGAGCTGGTGGAGGTGGAGGGGCCACTTCATTAGGAGAAGGTGATACGCTCAACATGTTTGGATGTAATACGGAAAACAGTAAAAAAGAGAAAGTAAAAAGGTAAAAAGAAGGAAAAGCCGCGCGTCTGTGATTGCAGCTCATCGTCGACATTTTATAGGTTTTTTTATTTTATTTTATTTTATTTTCAATATGTAAATGATTAAAAAATTTTTTAGCCGTCGTTTTCAGGGTGATGCAATTATTATTCGGTAGATGCAAGAGACAGAAAAAAAAAACACAAATCAAACCAGAAGGTGATGTTGAGGAGAACGATTGTTTTGGGTTAAGAGATAAAAAAAAAAAAAAAAAAAAAAAGGGGAAAGGAGGAGAAAAAAAATAAACGATTTGATAAGAAGGAGATATAAAATACCCGAAAAGCGGAAAAGAGAACGAACGTAAAGTGACCGATATTTTGTTAGCGAACCCCTGGAAGGACATCCGTGCAACAACCCTGCATTTCTGAAAAAGAAGGAACTGTAAAACTTTATTTATCGGTCTGGAAGGATCAAGTCTAAACACAAAATTTGCATTTTTCCTTGTCGTCTTCTTTCTGTGTATCAATTGGGTGTAAAAATTCTGTGTATCTTTTAAAGGTCTTTGATAATTTGTGTAAAAAGAAAGTCTAAAAGGATATAAAAAGGAAACAGGTCGGGAGTGGAAACGCAGCAAAAGAATAAGCATGAAGATCATCATGCTGCGGAGAGTTGTTCTTGCTGCTGCTGCTGATTAATGATGGCATGGTAATTTTCAGAATTGCGTTTTAAAATGTCTAAAATAGGACCCAACAATCGCGTAAATGCCTTTTTACCCAAGGTCGCACATCTCAATCGACCGTGCGCGATTACCGTTGCAGCACGAGGACTATCATTCAACAACGCCAATTCTAATCAAGCACATGGAAACAGCGCCATTAGCCATGGATCACTCAATTTTTTTTTTGGATCCCAACCCCACTTACCACCAAAGTAAGAACCCCTTTCTAGATGATTCACTTTTTGCTGATCCTTGATAACCGATGCCTCGCCTGATTCAATGATATAGAACTGATCACCGATGTCTCCTTGCATTACCACGCTTTGCCCGTCTTCAAAGTAAACTGATTCCAATGCATCTGCAATTTTATGGCGCTCGTACGGTTCCAACGATTTCAGCAAGGGGACTTCTTCCAAGAACGCTTCGTACATTCGACGCTTGCGGGAGGTGTTCTCCATTAAAATGGTGCGGAATGTGACCCGATCCAAGGCCCACAGTACGCAATCGGAAGTAGCAATAATCGTTGCCGCACGAGGGGCATTATACATCAAAGCCAATTCACCGAAACTACCGCCCGCTTCGTAATTGGCCACTTTGATTCGTGGATCATCGCCTTTGGTAATAAAGCAGTCCAAGGTACCACTTTCCACCACGTAAAAATAATCGCCCACAGCACCCTGTTCAATCACGACTTCGTCCACGCATACTCTTTTCTCGGCCATAGCATTCACGACGTCCTGGTGTTGATCTTCATCTAAATTGCGAAACAAAAAATTGTTGCTAACTGATACACGGATTCGGTCACACTGGTCTTGTGCTTTTGGTATCACCGTTTTAATGTAGTCCTTTCCATTTGTCGGAGCCATCGACTCGGCGCTGACCGATGTCCGACGGTCTCGGTTGTAAGACGCAGGTGGACCCATCGATAATGGTGCGGTCGAAAAGTTGTCCCGTTCCTCATCATCGAAATCAGACTCTTCAATATCATTGTCATCACTGTCCATGAGATCGGCCGCATAAGTAGATGGTGCCTGGTTATCTACCAATGGGTGAAACTCCTGAGCTACGAGAGAAAAAAGAAAAGTCACTCATTCAGTTCTTTGTTCGTTGAGAGACAAATGAGAGAATACCGACTCACCATCGAAAAAAGTCGGACGTTGGTCGCGCATGGCGGTACGTTGTTCTTCCAATTTGCGATTAAAGAAATTGGCGCAATACTGCAAGATATCTTCGGGCTGGTCCCGACAATATTGGTTATGCAAGTCCGTGAGAAGCTGAGTATATTCGTCAGCATAAGCAACATTGTACTGATTGTCCAACGTCATCTTTTGAAAAAAGCGTGGGTGGGCAAAGAACGTCCCAGATGAACGACGAGAAAAAAGGCTTAAAAAGAGACAAAGAAAAAAGAAGGCGAAAAATTGCTCGGATGACCCGCGCCCCTCTTTCTTTTTTTTTTTTTTTTTTCCTTTTGTTGTCAAGCCAACTCGTGGCAAAGGTTAAATTTTACGTCATCAGTAAAATTTTATGATAATTTGATCTTTTTCATCATGTATGGCGGAAGAGACTCCAGTAAAAAAAAAAGGCACCTCCCGTAGCGTGTTCATGCAATGCTTCGCTGTGGGCACGGTTTGGATCGCCTCAAACGATATAAAACTCAACCAATAATTTCTTTAGGCCCCCCTTTTTTTTGGAGAATTGCCAGAGGCGGACACGATTTGCTATAGACATAAGTGAGGCCCTTCATTATGTGTACCTTAAAATAGTGCTGATTAGCATGGAAAACGCTGCCATCGTTGGTTTCTATTGCGAGTATGATATGTTCTGGAGATGATATCATCCATTGTCGGGTAGATCGATAAGAAAAGCAATTGCTTTATGTATAGGAAAAGGAATGCTTTTTCTTTTTTAAGCTTTCAAGAGTGATAAATGACTCCCTGACAGTTGTTTATAAATGTTTTATAAAAAATCATTGTTATTTAAGAATGATGGGAGCGCAAATTGTGTCAGGCCACAAGCTTTATGAATTTCCACTGGCAAAGTCTGTTTGAGACCGATTCGTGAACTCCGCAATTTTCCATCACATCATCCTTGCCTTCTGTTTTTGCTCATTTCGAGCTTTCTCCGCCCAACGCATTTTTCATGGATATCCATTCTACTTTGGCAGCAAGTTCGCCTCCCCAACTGCCCCCTCGGGAGAACCCTGCTTTATCTCCTTCCGCCTCCACAAAGCCGACAATATCCTCCCCCATGGTAGTTTTTAGTCCTTCTGCATTGCTTCAATGGGCGCAGCAAGTCCAACAGGAGCCACCCCATTCACACATTTTCCGCATATTGCCCTCCTCACCCACATCGGATTCAACAGCTACTCCTTCTCCGCAGTCGAACGATCAACCAAATGATAAAGAAAACCAGCTTCCACCCAGTGTCCAGTTTACTTTATCTGTCAACGCCATTTGCCAAACCTGTCACGCACAACTGTCGCTTCACATCGATCAACCCAATCATGTCTGTACAGCTGACGGTTATCCAACCCATCATTTCCATACAAAGACACAGTCTGAATTCTCTTGCTGTGGTTGTGGATTCACTGTTCACTTGGTCGCCCGCGACCCGATCCTTCCCATTCATCTGTTGCAGTCCCTTGCCGATAATCGATCCATTGCAAGAACTTATGCAGACAGCATAGCCAAACCAGACGAGCCGAAGCCCACCTTGGTGTCTACGATATCCACCCTTATTAGCTACGTTAACGATCTCCTAAAGGATGTTCGACGAAATATCAATACAAAAAACCCTCACTTCATGGCTCGCATTGGCCTTGATGCCGTCAGGTAAATTTGCATATTTCTCTTTTATTCAACTGTATTCATTATACCTTCCAACTCCCTCTTAACATGGCTTATTCTAGTCAGGCAATATTTGAAACCATAGGATTTAGGCTCCAAGGCGAACAGTTTATTATACCGGACGACAAAACGCTATTGTCCGACCATCACCGGTTATCGCTGATTCGAAACGAATTGTTGATATGCTTGTACGAATTACAACAACATGTCGGTTCCGCCAATGTTCCCTTTTCAGCGATATTATCCGAGATCTATCCGGCAAATGACATCCTAGGCGATATGCTAGGTGTTACAGCCGACATTGAACAACAAGTCGCCAGAGACCCTTCTCTGGATAAAGACTATCATGCATTAGGGTTAACTGCCGGTGCCGTCGACGGATTCATCGTCTGGACCTATCGTCGCCTATGCCAAGAAGATCCAGCCCGCGCTCGTCAATATTTGCAAGCTCTTGCCGATATTGCACACGGTCGTTCATCCGAAGCGCTGTTAACCGAAGTCGCCATTGAGCGTAGTCGCGATCAGGTTACACCAAATGATGCGACGGACGCTTACAGTTACTTTGGCGTAAACAATCCTGAAGACGCAGATGACAAGTTTCTTATGGAAATGTTTCTGGAAAAGGTAAAAAAACAAAACAAAAAACAAAAACAAACTAGCATGGACACTATTGTATTTCGGAACAAGATGCTGATCTGTTCTCGGCAATGGTCGTACGTAGTACGAGAAGAATCCCGAAGCTCGACAAACGGCAGTTGAAAAATTACGTGTCCTTGCTACATGTCGAGGAAGTGTCTCTTTGTGGAACTTTTTAAAGGAACAACAGACTTCCGAAGCATCAGTGGTTGCACGTGTCAATCTTAACAAACGCAGTAAGTCACTGTAGTGGAATTAATGGATCCAACAGATATTGCGGACTTCATATTTTTAATCGTTATTTTTATTGTGTTAGGTGTCGATGAGGATGGCAAATTTGACACGTAAGTGGTCATCTCTAGCTGATGATTCGATTCTATGATTAACATTTGTTTTCCATTTCTTGTAATTGGTTCTAGTCCTGTGGGCCTCAACAACATCGGTAATACATGCTACCTTAACAGTGTGCTGCAATATTATTTCACATTGGTGCCATTCCGAGATACGGTGATCCACATGGATAATTACATCGAGGACGAAATCGATGAACATTGGCAATCCAAGAAGATCGGAGGGATCGAAGTGGATAAAAACGAAGTACAACGCGCCAAAAAATGTAGGCATCATGTAATCATCGTTTTATCAGCAAACTGGATGACTGATGAGAGAATGCAACAGTTGTCAATCTACTACGAAGCTTGTTCTTGGACATGAAAAATTCCACTCAAAAAGCGATTTCTCCGGCATACGACTTGGCTTATATGGCCTTACTGAATGAGAAGGAAGAGCCCGCCACAGCAGAGCCTGTTTCCCAAGCAGACAATGATCAAAGCGACTCCGTTGAAAAATCAGAAAATTCAAACTCGGATGCCGCAGCCTCCACAAACCCACCTCAGGATACCGAACCGGCAGAGAATGGTTCTACTGATGCCGGATCTGAGGAAACCAAAGGCAAGGAGCCAATGGTCGACTATGTCAAAGACGTTGCGTCAGAAGTCAATGACAATGAAAATACAGTTGCAACCGAAATGAGCGATCAAGAAATCTCTGATATGCCACCACCGTATGAAGCCGCCATTTCTGATGAAACAAGTGCTAAACCAGACGTACCGGAACCGATCGCACCGCGACAGGAGGCACCAGCCACCAAAGCACCCAGTGCAATCAACATGATGTTTGGAAAGCAACAGGATGTGACAGGTAAAAAACGAGCTTCAGAAAATTCGTCACAAGTGGAAAGTGGATGCTGATGATGGTCGTTATACAGAATGTATGGGTAATATCATGTATCTTGTCGAAGCTGCGCTGAAGCCGCTCGAGACACAAAATGGGGAGCAAGTCCGTGACATGGTTCGAGACTTATTCTATGGCAAGGCACGTCAAATTCTCTCCTATCAGGACAGTGAAACGTCCAAACTGGTGAGAAAGGTCCAGGAAGAGGAATTCTCGCATGTCATTGTGGATGCCGCCGAAGGCAAAGATCTTTACGACGGTTTGGATGAATACTTCTTTGCCGGTCAAGTCGAGAATTTCCGCGGAGGAAGTGAAGCTACGCGTGAGGTGACCGTCAGTTGTTTCCCTCCTGTATTGCAGATTCTGATCCAGGTAAAATCACAATAGCTGGTAGCAATATTGAAAAAAAAGCCAACCTCTTCTTGATCCATTAGCGAGTCCAATTTGATCGCGCTACATCCAATATCTACAAGTCCAATGCCTTTGTACAGTTTGACAAGGAAATCTACGTTGACAGGTACTGTGAAATCAATTTCGAGCAACTGGCCCAGCGACGGGCCGAAGTAGCTGCTTGGCGTAGGGAATTGCAGACTTGCGAAAAGATCGTTGAAGATTTTATCAAGAATCAGGTATATATATATCTGAAAACAAAATGAGATGCGCTATGTTGCAAACTAATATATGGAAATGTTCATACCTAGTCGTACCCTCTCCCCGTACCTGACATGCTGGAAGCGACCGCGAAAATTCTCGAGGATCTTTCGCCTGCTCTCCAGAACGAACTTGATAATCATCACCGTGCCTTTGAAGTTTTGAGATCCGAGATTCAGCGTGTCAAAGATACTATTGCAAGTAAGTGCAGGAGACTGTATCCGAATGTTGGCTGTTGCTTACCGAAAAATCTGGTTATCCTTTATTTTTAGATAGTAAACAAAGGATAGTCGAATTGAAAGACAAGATACGAAATCAGTATGATGATCTAAAGACACAAGCATATCGGCTTCACGCTGTATTTATTCATCAAGGTACGTACGATGACGGGATGAATGAGACTACAGATATCGGTATTGAACAGAAGTTGTCACAGGCCAAGCCAACTATGGCCATTATTGGATTTATATCTATGATCGATCACATGATCATTGGTGGAAGTACAATGATTCACAAATGGTGAAGGTAAGCATGATGATGTATCAGTCTATTCTTTGGATGACCCTGTGCTCACCATCCATTTTCCCTCAGGTACACGAGTCTGACATTTATCGGGACACATCCGGATCGACCGCCAACCCGTACTTGCTAGTATATGTGAAAGCAGAGAACGCTGATGCTTTGGTAGAAACAATTGCACAGCGGGATACTGAATCCACACCCGAAGCTCTATAAAGATAATCCATAATTTGATCTGTAACATTCTGCAAAACGAAATCTGCATACTATCACCCGCTCGCTTCCAATCTTTTTCGCCAAATACTTGGGAAAATACATCCCATGCTTTGCTATTGTATTCATGAGGAGGAGACTCTGAAGAATAGAATCAATTCAACAACCAAGCTTTTATAGACGCACTTGTGGCAAAAATGATCCCTTCTTTTTCCTGTCCACGTATGAGCCAATATGTCATGGGGTAGTATCACTCTATGTGCAGAACAACAAAGTATCTATATAAACCTGCCTCGTACTTGGTCAATAATCTACATTTGCTTTATTTTATTCATTGGGGTCAGCAAATCATCGACAAACAAATCACGTGCGCGGCAGGTCCCGGGTGGACTGCTTTTGCGAGCGAAAAAAGTGAATTATACGCTGTTGCGGCCCACGATCGAAAGCTCCTTATAGCAAGTCAAAACTGACTTTGACATAATATACACCGTGGCGCACTCTCAGGATAACACAGCACAGAATCAAGCTTGGTAAGAAATAAAGTCTATAAGTTTCCGAGTTCCTTGACCATCGTTGCTGAGCTTAATCTAGGTCTGATTCTTGGCAGCAGTATCAGCCTGCTGCGGGATCGGCGACTGCAGCTTATCCATACTATCAATATACACCTGAACAACAAGCTTATTATCAACAATACTACGCTGCATACAATACGCCCGCACCTGGAGCAACGGCGCCACCGGCTTCTGGTGCACCTGAAGTTTCGTCTACATCGGCTGTCGCTCCAAACGCTTCGACCTATCAGTATGATTACAGTTATGCATATCCTGGAGCGGATCCATCCGGTCAAGCATATGCTCAATATTACTCGCAAACTTCGTACCCACAATATTCGGCATCGTACCCATCATCTTATCCATCATATCCACCGGCGACTTCTGCTGCACCTCCCACATCTTATTCCTCGTATCCCTCGCATCAGAGTCATTCATATCCTGGATATCACTACCCACCGGAATCGGCAAGGTCCGTCATCGTGCATCCTGGATCTAGCCCTTTTGGTAGCAATGGCTCATTTGTTTTCAATGTTTCTAGACCACCTCCTCCTCCTCCGCCTCCAGCAGCTACGTATCCCACTCCCACTCCCATTCCTGCCTCTGCTCCTACAACATCCACACCTTCCTATCAGGCTGCTGCAGTGCCCCAAATTACCGCAAGTAATGTAAGTCAAACAGTTAAACCCGTGCCTGTACCAACTGCTCCTGCCCCTGCCCAGGAAGCCAAACGTAAGTGGCCGAGAACAAACGATGAATCCTACTGCTGTGGTATGCTCAAGTCATTGATGGGTTTTTTTTTTTTTTTTTTTTTTTTTTTTTTTTTTTTTTGTTCAGCTCAACCCAAGAAAATGATGATGATGAAGAGAGCAGCCGATAATGCAGCAGCGGCAGAGGCCCTTCCTTCCAAACGGGAGAAACGCGCACCGGCACCACCGGCCAATAAGCAAGCGGACGCCCATTTGTCGGCGAATGCGTGGCCGCCGTCGTTGCAGTAAGTGACTCCATCGCTTTGTACTTTTCCATGTCGTTATCAGTCTCTGAGACACCATTTTTGCTGTTTTCTTGATAGACAATATGTCGAGGACGCATATAATAACTGCGATAAAGACAAGTTTGATCAGGTAGAGGTTGAACTACGTGACCTCATTATCGAAAAGCATAGGGCAGGCGAGTTAATGACCACCAATTGGAGCGAAATGGATTTGCCAAGGTAAGTAGGTGATTTATGGAGCCTTTTGACAGCCATCTTAATCGCTGTTTTCTAGCGCATGTAAAAAGAGACCATCGAAAAAAGTGTAAGTGAAGCAATGGGAAAAACATTTTACTACACTTTTTTATTCACACAATGTTTAGTAAGAAAGACCGTACACCCACTTTTTCGCCAGCGCCTACACTGGAAGAGCAAGAAAAACGTATGAATCGATTGAAACGGTTCCAGAATCAAGCACTTCCTCGAAGAGAGCCGACACCTGTAAGCTCGCCTTTCCCAAGCGGTGCTCATGTGGTAAGTCTGTGGACAAGAGTGGAAAAAACAGAGAACACACTCAGCTTACTTTTCAGCTGCAGGATGTTACCAACTGGGACAAGCATACCATCGTTGGCACATGCACCGACTTGGAAAAACATTATCTGAGGTTAACGTCGGTAAGTGATGAATTGGCAGTGATTAATCAGTGATGCAGTTACTTACCCCCCCCCCAAAAAAAAAAAAAAAAAAAAAAAAAAAAACAGGCGCCGGATCCGTCGACAGTACGTCCTCTTCCCATTCTAAAACAGACGCTCTCACTCTTGCAAACAAAATGGTCAAGCGAACAAAACTACACTTACATCTGTGATCAATTTAAATCTCTAAGACAGGATCTAACCGTTCAACGGATAAGGAACGAATTCACGGTCAAAGTATACGAAATTCATGCTCGGATTGCCTTGGAAAAGGTAAACATCACTGGTCCCCTGGGAAAGCAATGGAGAGAGAGGACTTACTCTGTCCGTTTTTGGGACGTTCCACTAGGGCGATCTTGGTGAGTATAACCAATGTCAGACACAACTTAAACAGCTTTACAAGCTTAACATCCCGGGGAACGTCGATGAATTTACGGCGTATCGCATCCTTTACTTTTTGCATACACAAAACTGGGCAGGTAAAAATCAGCCATCGGTACGATCCAAGCTTTTAAATATGGTTTTCTCAATGTTGGATGTCTTTTTCCTTAGATATCAATTCCATCATGGCTGAATTATCGCCCGAGCAGAAGCAAGCTGAATCCGTCAAGCATGCCCTCAAGGTGCGACGAGCACTGGCGACGTCGAATTTTCATCAGTTTTTCCTTCTCTATTTAAACGCACCCAATATGGGCGGTTACGTAATGGACAATTTTATAGAACGAGAGCGCGTCAAGGCACTGATGGTCTTGTGCAAAGGGTATACCATTTTCAAAGTTTGGAAGGGACTAGTAAGATGAATCGCTCATCGCTTTTTTTTTTATAGTTGTCGCCCAAATCTGTCTTTGGAATTCGTTCAGCAGGAACTGGCATTCGATACTCGGGAAGACTTGACAAAATTTTTGAAGCATCAGAGCATGCAGGATACCCTGACAGACACAGGCATGTTGTCGACTAAAGAAGGATTCCAAAGGCTCAATGAAAGCATAAAAAAATACAAAAAGATCGATATCAAAGGCCAATTATAGCGTTGGAAATTTTTTTCAATCGATATACTGGCTTTCCCCTTTTTTTATTGCGGATTCAAGGTTAATGCAATCTATTTATTCTTTTTTTGGATTTGAATGGATGTTTCCCTAGCATGTAAATAAAAAAATATTTTAGAGTGGCACAATCGCCAGTGGATTATCGATAGAATAATTGTTCAGAATAAAATCAGCCCACAAGAGGGCATCGACGGTAAAAATGTGTGCGGGAAAGATGTCGGGACATTCTTCCGTCAAGGCAGGAAATAAGGATGCATGCAGTTCTTGCATTTCCATTTGCGATTCTTCATCATGAAATTGTTCACTGCAAAAAAAAAAAAAAGATCATTATTGATTAGTGCCACCAAAAACCAGGATAGTTCAGACCAAAATTACCTTGAAGTGGTCAAGTCAAAGAAAAACTTCCATCGGCTGTGATGGTTGGCTCGTTCGCGAATCAAAGCAAGCATAAAAAGCACATCCTCGTTCTCTTCCGCATCATCAATCACTTGGGTAACAGCGTCTTTGAAAGCCTTGTCTTTGTCCAGCATCTGTTTCAACGTGATCACAACGTTGTCCAATGTGATCAAGGAATTGGTTTCAGACGATCCTTCCTCAAGGACCGCTTGGCAGTAGGTTGGGTTCAAAATAGAGATAAATGGAGCCTTTTCCGGGTGAATATTATTATTCAGCGCGTGCATCATGCGGTGAATAGTTCTCTGTTTCATGTTTTCGATGGCACTGAGCGTGTAATTCAAGATATCTTCTTGACCTAATTGCAACGATGGTCAATAGCCAGAATAGATGTAAAACAAGTGCAGGCTCTTACCATCACGGTACATCAATGCAAACTTTTGCCACCATGTTGCATTTTGGCGATCCAGAGCCACTGATTTGATGGCTTGAAGTCGGCTTTGAAGAAGAGCTCGCGTCGTAGACAGCATGGCAAGTTCATTGCGGAAGCCGACAAACGATAAAAGTTGGGAATCGTTACACGAAGAGTAGTACATTAGCTCCATTGGATTCATCATGAGCACGCGCATAAGCTTGAAGAATTCGTCAGGGATATTGCCTCGGTGCACGAAATAAGTGTATCCATCTTCGTGGCTGGATTGAACATGGCAACGAGACAAGATATTCAGTTTCAGTTCATGATTCGGATCCATGGAAAAGTTGGGTTTCAACGCGACATGATCATGCTCGTTTCTCTATGATGAACCTGCCGCATTAATATACATGAATGGTAACCAACGTAAAACCACGCTCAATGATCTAGTCACCTCGAAACAGAAACCGTAACCAAGGAGTACTATGCAGGATGATAAGCATTTCTTTCTTTCTCCCCTGGGGAACTACGGCCTGTTACTTACATTCTTCGTTCGATTTCGGACCATAGTTATTGTACATTTGCTCGCCGGCGGCTACTTGTTGTCCGGATACAAAAGTGAGCGTTCCTGTTTCTTCATCGCCGCTGCGTACCCAAGTGATTTTGGTATTAGGCTTATGATTAAGGGCATCTAAAAGAGGGAAAAGCACTTCCGAGCCTTCGGTATGCTGCGGATCAACAAGACTGTAGGGAAACGCTCGCGATGACAGCACAGAATAAGCCCAAAGGAATCGTTCCCTATTTCATTAATGAGGGGACTGTATGATTCCGTCGGGAAAAATACCATCAGCAGCTTACCATGTGTACTCTTGTTTGTTCACCGTGTCGGCAAGAACTTGCAGCGCCCTTTCATAGTCCTGATAGATAGCTTGTTTACGTTCTTTAACAGTGTTGGCTATGTTTGTATTTGTAAGGTAGTGCAAATCCTCGTCGTTATAAAAAAATGGCGTCATGATATGGTCCGGTAAGATGTCGAGATAAGGAGCATAAAACGACTGGTTGCCAAGAAGCTTTTGTTGCACCAAAAACAGCGAAAGAACAGTTCGACAAGAAAATCCTTCAAGCATGGGAAACGCTTTGCGAGCTACAGGTTCCGTAATAGCAATTCGGAAAGGAACCGTAGCGAATGCTTCGTTCTCTTGCACGGTGTCGTTGGCGTAGACCGATCCAACGTTATCGCTGTCTAAAAGGAAATAGCGCCTGTCAATATGTGTCTGTAACATGCACCGTAAGATGAAGATTCGTTTGCGGTACCATTTCTGAAGTCCAGCTTCGAGAATTTGCCACCGTGCTGCACGATCCACTGAATATAAGTGTCAACAGCTGACATGATCGCTTTGCAGAATGGTCTTTCACAGGGCCCATAGACGCATAAAGTTTTTCGAATCGACGTTCCTGTGACTGCTGAATTTGTCCAAGCGGGGCAGGTCCAGGATAGGCCAGCGTTTTTGAAGCATGATGTTTGCAGGACGCTTAATCCGAACCTTCTTTCATAGCAACTTTTGGTAATACGTTTCATCCAGCTTGATTCCTCTCTTGGTTTTTTTTTTTCCTTTTTTTTTTTTTTTTTTTTTTGCCAAGATAACCTATAGGTACACGGACTTCATAAAAGACGACTAAAAGAAGTTGACTGCTCTGCCTTGTCAGCCCGTACGTTCGCTAGATAGCCAGAATGATTCAGTGAGAAACCTGTAAGGAAACCGGTTCATTGTGGTAGGTAGAAAGTGCAAGTAGGCATCATGACAATCATGTCCAAAACAGGTGGGCGGAAGCAGTTTGAAGACACTCTATATTTCCATATCTGGACGAGCGACGTGCCCGATTGTGTGGTGAAATTGCCTCATATGGAAACCCACCCAAGTTTGAAATTGCGACATGGATTTTTTTTCTAATGATACTTGGCGAGCTTATATCCGTTAGTATTTCATTCTTTTGGACAAAAAGCCCTTTTGTCAAGCCAAAGGCGCTGTGCCATGTATTTCAACCTGTATCAATATGTTATCATATTGGTAGTTGTGTTGATATTACGTTTCCTATTCCGCTGGTTGCTAGCTTTATGGTTCCACCTACGATTCGGACATCTCGGGTTTTTTTCCATTACAGACGTACGCTATCATCAGACGGCCAAAACCGATCGCAAACGCCATGTCTGGTCTATCCACGTCGGCAAGATCAAATTTCGCTTGAATTGCTCGGCTGACTATCCTTCATCGGCATGGATCACGCTACACATTTCCCAAGTGAATATCGCCATTCCCGACCTGGTCATGCTCCTGTCACCTTCCGACAGTAGCCGACGGAAACAGACCACACGACTTCATCGTCGCATATCGCAAATGGGCGATTCACTGAAACAGATCCCTTGGTGGTACTCGCTGTCGATCGTAAAACATATACTGAGGTTTACCTCGGCACTTCCGGCTCAGTTTGTCATGGCAGGGTTGGCCAACTACGTGGATGTTCAGCTCGATGATTTTCGTTTATCGATAGCCAACGTAACGACCGTCAAAGTGGATCGCCTCAGTTTTAACTCCATGTTGTTCACTGCTCAGGCTCCGCCGTCGTGGTTGGCAGCGCTAAATCGATCGAGACGACCGGTTCCGACAAGTAGTAGTAGACCTGATTACTTTTCCTTGCGTCCCAGACACCAACGCCATTCATTAAAACATGCAGGCCATATATTCAAGGAAAAGTTCTTCGAAATTACCATATGTATTGGACCGATCACCTTTTCTCCCGTGGATACCGACCCAGCACGACTGGAATCACGCCACTTATTAACCCTTCCCAGGAACAGTCGGATCGTGGTATCGTGTCATCTGTCGGCCGGCTGCTTAACCTTGAAAGACATCGACCTTAGTACACACATCGAAGCCGTGGCCATCGATCTGGATGCCATGTTGAAACTGCGGGAGAAAATGAGTGCCAAAATTTCGAAACAAAGAATAGATACCCTATCATCGGGATCGAGTAGAACGTACAAGCAAGCGCGTGCTGGCCAACGTTTGCTGAGTTTCTTTCGATCCGTCTCTTTCTCGGTTCTCAGTGTATCGATTGCTTCCCACCCATCCGCACGATTGCACGGCACCCTAGAATTGCAGTCCATCACAGCGACCGCAGCCGTCGAAAGCGATGCATCCGAAGACGCCCATGTTAGTTACAAAGTCCAGTTGGGTTTAAATCAACTGTCTTGGAAGATGGGTGAAGATACGACACCCGAACCATCATGCTTGGACACCATTGTTTCTGTAGCGTCCGTTCAGATCACAGCTTCCGTATCAAAATCGATTCTATTCCGCGAAACGCCAGAGAGAGGAGGAGGTGTTCAGGATATAAACGACTGGAATGATCTCGACAATACACCCGACTGGATGCCAAACCGTCGTTTTGCCAAACTTGCCATCGTATTTCAACAGCTTAAATTATTTATGGATGTACAAAAGCTACCGCTGCATCGAGATTTTATCGCGTCTTACAGCCGCCCGAGATCCTCGGCCGACACATCCTCACCACGTACACAGATATGGACCAACCTGCCTCAGCTTACCGTTTCGGTCACACTGGTGTCGCCTGTCGTTGAATTCGTTACCGACAGTAAATACAGAGGCCATCTCACTTACAGTCGGATTGCCCTGGATGCTTCCGGGGAATATACGCTGGATCAAACTGGATCCAAAACCAATCTGGAACGACTGCATGCGGACCATTTATCGACCGAAAGTGTGAAATCCCAAGATGAAGTGTTGCGCAAGAGGAAGCAGCAACGGTCATGGGCGAACCTGTTCCGAAGGACGTGGCGAGGGAAACAGAAAAACGAAGGAAATCAGAATAGCAAGTCCTTGGATGAATGGCACTATGTGGTGTCAGGCAACATCACCGTCGAATCCCTATCTGTGGCTCGTGCAATGTCGAATGGCATTGCGCAATTCCCGTTTTTTTCTCTGGAGATGATTGATTGTACAGTGACTAGCCAGTTGTTTTCGGTGGTGGAAGATTTCGATTTGTACGGGGTAACAAGAATGGTTTGGGGTTTTCCTCAAAGTCATATCGATGTTCAGTTGGTGGTGCGAAAAGGGACGATGAATGCGCAGGATACAGAAGAACTTTTGTTCTGGATGAATCAGATCTTGATCCCGTTAAAACAACTGCGCTCAGCCGATTCAAATCATCACGAAACCAAGAAGGAGCTCCCGACCTATTTGTCCTTCTTGAAACTGAATATCCTCGTCAAGGAGATGTCGCTGGCCATTGCAGGCATGGATGCTGGATTGAAAGGAAAACAATACCCGCCAGCAGGATACTTGGACAACGCGCCCACTCAAGACATTCATTCTCTGGTCGTTTTTTCCGTGGATACCGTCACTGCGGTCTATACGGGTTCCGATTTGCAAGGAAAACACGCCCAGCGTCTACGTCGAAACGTGAGTAACAGCTCAACGGGCCGTGGTACGAATGAAGAAACCGCCCAAACCCTGCTATCGGAAGACAGCGGCAAGATATCGGAACTCGGCAGTATGCGTCTTTGTCTCACCAATCTGTTGCTGAAACAATCTTCCCAAGTTTCCGTACCATTACCGATGCATACAATTCCACAAACGGATTTGATGCTGTGGATCTCCAAAATTACGACAACCGTGGATGTGGTCTCGGAAGCGTCCATGATGTTGATTGATATTGGCACGGTTGTACGAAAAATCGGTCTACGTTACACCATCGCCAATCATTATGCATGTTTGTTGCTGCTACAGACCCTTCAAAAGATAAAGAAGGAAATGGCTCCCACGTCTGTGCGGGTGGCCACCCAGAAATCGGCCCGACTAAAGCTGCGCCAATTTCATTTCCAAAGCAATCGCAACGATATCCATGCCACGTTGCCAGCGGATCAGCCGTTGTATTTGCGTTTGGACGGGTTAAGAATGCAATGGCTATCATCGGAGGAACGAGTGGCCGGCCCATGTATCACGGCACGCAACGTCATGCTATTTGGTGTGAATCCGATCAATCGACAAGTCTGGGATGTGTTGATGGAATTGGACGATATGGATGTGAGTTTGCATAAAACGATGACCAGTGCAGGCACCACCGACAAATCGTACCAAGTGACGCTGTCCAAGTTGTACCTGCGTATTCCTTATCGATACATTATGGCTGACATTATCGATAATCTCAACAACCTCGTCAAGTCGGTCAAGGTGTTGCATACGCGTCTTGTGAAATCGGATCCGTTTACCTATTTTGGCGCAACCGAGAAATCGGCACCGTTGATCCTTCCTTCCCTCCGCCTTTTATGCAAGGTCATCAGCATTCACGTGGAAGACGACCCATTTGAAGTTAAATTACGGATGATCTGGAAAACCGGACTGCTGGAACAGTCCTCGCGCATTGCCTTGCAGGACGCGTTTGAGGCGAAAGCGAAAACGGTGAAAAGCACGATGCATCGACGACCAGCCGATGACGATTCGACCAAATCGCGCCACTCGACCGCTTCCGATTTGCATCCGACTAGCAGCGACCCTTCTGTCGCTGAAGCCACCAATGTCGAAGTTCGTGTCAAAGAAGCCTGGCAAGGCCTGCAACAACATAATTCCAAATCGTGGATCAAACGCATTCAGTCCACCATTAACAAAGAAGCCAATGCATACCCTATCATCAAACAATCCAATTACCGAAATATATGCCTTGATCAGCAGCTCGATACCATGTACGATACCTCGCAAGAAGCTCCCGATACCCTCACCCAATTATTCCAAATCAACATTACCCAGTTACCCACCTGTCCTCCTCTCCTCGATTTCACGGTGCGCCATGTCGATCTGACTATCAGTCGGCCGTCGTTCCCCATCGATCAAACCCGGCCTTTCATTCACGATCTTGGAAAAGGCGTACCCATGGACACCGCTTTTTCCACGTGGGCCCCTTTCCACATTACCTGTACCGCAGGCAGTTCGTTGGCTCAGATGCGTGATTATCCCGTGCCGTTACTCCATGTTCCTCCACGTCGAGGCGGCCCATCGGATCCGAACCCAGTGGCATGGTCCCTTTCGGGCGATTACGTCTTTGCCGATGAATTAGCCGATTTGGATGCGACGCGAAGCTTGTCTATTCCGATCATCAAGAATTCATCCCTATCTTATACAATAGATATCGCACGAACTAGTTCACCGCCCAAATTTTATTCCATGGTGAATATCAATGTCCACAGCGAAGCATTGTCGCACATCTGCTGGTCGATTTCTTACCAACCGGGAATCCAAGATCTCTCAAGGGCCTTGGAATGTTTGACACGTCCGCCGGTGGATCCCTCGCCCAAAGTCGGTTTCTGGGATAAAATTCGGTTGATGATTCACACGCGTACAAAGATTGCATTTGTTGGAGGCGGGGATCTGGCGATCGTGATGAAAGGAACGCGTAATCCATATGATATGACGGAACGCGGATTTGGATTAGCCAAAGTATGGCGGAATCACATTGAATGGTATATGGGGTATGAAAACGTTCAAGGCGAGTTTATGCAAGTGATCAGTGATGATTACTACTTTGGCGTCCCCGATCTCGTTCACGGAGGGTTCGCTGCTCCCAATACCGCAGAAGACGTTTCAGTAGCATCAAATACTTTGGAAGACGACTTGACAGAGGAAAGCAAGGAAAAGCGATTCTTGAAAATTGCTCTCAAGTTGTCGGGAGGTATCCGGATGGGCCTGGGCTGTCATCTTGAACGTGTATGCCGATCGGACTGTGAGAAATGTACCAAAAATAGTCCCTACCATTTTGATCCTTCCACGGTGAAACCGCAGTGTCGATACTTGGACTTTTTGCCGCATTACAAAGTCAGATACAGAACGCCGCAAGCCGTCCAGCGTATGCCGAATCACGGGAAGGTAAGGTTTAGGTTTGAGAGGATGTGGATTAACTGACTGAAGGGGGTTTCTTTTTTTTTTGTGGGATTAGGATTACGATACATATGCAGGTTTCCGGTCGGATTACATCCATTTATCCATCAGTATTGTCAAACTTTCAGGCGACGACCAGTGTCCGACGGAAAATGTAGAAAAAGCGGCCATGAATTCGATGCACTTGACGCCAGGATTTTTGGAACACTTTGTGTCGTGGTTCCGACTGTTTGGTGGAGCAATGGGTTATCCCATGCGGAACGGATCGTTGTTCCCAAGAGCCGATCCTCGACCGACTCAAAAGTTTGGAAAGCATATGAGTACCATGAAATACAAGATTATGGTCGATCCTCTCATGATTGGTTACTTTTACAAGGACGACAATACGCTTAACAGTGACTCGCCAATGGAAGAAATCGGAGATTCCGTAGGATTAAAAGCTCTTGTCAGCGCGTTTAGTGCCGACATTCATCAACGACGTGAATTCATGACGATGGAGGCGCATAAACTGGATCAGAAACGACTGAAAGCCAACTGGCCGGTTCATGAAGCCGAAGTTCAACTGAAAAATGTCGATCTGAGAGCCGTACGGGCATGTTACTCGGGAGAATCGGTCCCGGCACCTACAGCGGATATCCCTGCCGTGCATCGCGTTAGCGTGTCCAGCAACGCCACTACATATGATATATTGGAAGAAATGGAACAGGGCAGAAAGTCGCGAACAGGACAGGAAGAACGCGAACTGGCCGATTGGACCGATCTCGATGATTTTGTTGAACTATCCATCAATGCGCTTGAAACTGTTCCCAACGTTCAAATCTTGCCGTTTGCCTTTTCACCGTACATTTACTACCTCAAGCAAACCAATCGCGATGATGTTGAGAAATATCGGTATCTTCATGGCACCCACGAATGTATCTTTGGTACAGCGATAGGTAAAAGCACGCTCTTTATTATATGTAGTTATACTTGCCATCATCTCACTTTTTTGCGTACAGCCACCAAAGAGATGCAAATGTCTTTGCTCCAGGAAAGAAGCGAGAACATTGATTTACAAATTCGAAAGCATCAAGCCCGAATTCATACCGTCGAATGCAAGCTTGCTGAACATCCAGAGGACAAGGCTTTATTGGAAGAAGTGAGCTGTCTCTTTGAATAATGATCATCCCCATATTCATGTGAACTAACTGCCATGTTTCTCATAGTCATTAAGTATTGTGGAAAAAACAGAGATGCTATTTGAAAAACGGAATCTGTTGCAGCGATACCTCAAGGAAGTCTCGTCTCGAGTGATGCCAGACGTTCCGAAACATCAGCATCAGCATCAAGACAGCCAAGCGTATTCGCAATCGACCATTTTCGGCCAGGATCTGATCATGCGCTGGGAAGAGCTGATGGGCCACTTTAAACAGCGTTATATTGTGCATAACCCTCAAATTTTGTGGAATAATTCGGTTCGCAACATTGTCTATCAATGTCTTGATCTTCAAGCACGGAAACGCGCGCTCACTTATTACATGTCGACGCGTGCCATGAAATTCCTACGTGAAGTGACGGAGCAATCGCGAAAGCAGCGTCAGTGGAAAGTGGATCAGTTCTCGCTGGATGACAATGACGGGGTGTTTGATCAGCATATGACGGAAGACTTGATTGAAAAGTTGCTCAGTGAACAAGGTGCCAATCTTTATGCGCCCAACGAAACCGAAGACACAAGCAAAAATGACACCAGCAGTGTCAACTTTGAAATGTCCAACCATGACAATGTCAACGACGCCGATTTTCAGAAAAACAGTATCCCCGAAGGTTACGCTATGAAGAGCAGTTATTTGGTCGACTTGCTGAATCCGCAAATCAGTTTGCAGAGCGATTGTGAACCAGACAATCTTGTCCTGACCTCGAGTCAACGCATGTGTGTCAAGGGGTTTAATATTGTCGACGTGAACGATCCAGATATCGAGATGGAAGTGGTCAAGAGCCGGACCATTGTCAGCATGGAGAACGCTCAAATCTTTGTCGCGAAAAAGGAGCACTTTGACAGCGTCGACCTGCTGCTAGATAACCATTACGGCGCCAAAGAAAACGATCACTGGTTAGCTTGGGTGCCTCCCGAGATGTTGCTCCATTACGTCAAACAATCCGACAAGTTTCAGCGCGTCGCCAAGCAACTGCAGGCCACGTTTCAGTACGACAAGTACAATCCTTTGAGAATCAAGACCAATCAGTCGCAATATGCTCGAATTCACCCGTTCGAAGATCGCGGCGATTCTGCCCAGCTCAACTTTCCTCAGTTGGCACTGACGGCCAATTCGCCTCAATACAGTGCCATTTACGAAATTGTGTGGGACCTGTTACTTTACAAGGAGCCGGCAAAGAAGGAGCGATTGGCCAGACTTCGAGAAATCATTATGGCCGCCGATCGCGGAAGTCTCCGAGACGCTGTGACGAAAATCATCGCGTTGCAGCAACGGATCCGGCATTTGCAGTTTATCCGTAGTCAGTACCGACGAAATATGAATGCCTTGACGTCGAAAGAATTGCATGAATTTGGTACTGTCCATTCGGCGCTTTTGGATTCGTATGAAGAGTTGTACCTCGGCATGGAAGCCATCAAGTTAACCCAGAGTAATCAGCGGCGGCAAGATGAACAACAAAAGACAAGCCTAAAGTTTGTGTTTTCGGCTGACAAGGTCTCTTGGGAGATGTTGACCGAAAGCGATTCGCCTTTGTGCGAATGGAATCTAACCAATACCAACTTTGTCCTGATCACGAAAGAAGACCATTCAAGTAGCCGCATTCTAGAAATCGATACGGTTCATGTGAAAAACACATCGGCCGCCCCGGTATTTACGGATGTGCTTGGCCCGTTTGTGGATACGAGGAAATCTCCCGACTTTTCCAGACATAAAATGCTTCGCTGTTATGTGCTTGCGTTGGCTCCCGTAGGTGGTATCCCGGTCGTCCAGCACCTGGAAATCAACTTGTTTCCTCTTCGACTGCAGATGACCTACGATTTTGGTAAAGCTATGGCCACTTACTTCTTTCCCGCCGAAAGGCGTCAAAAGAATATCGATTCGTCCAACACTACGCCTTCTTCATCCACCACGCCATTAACGGTGTCATCGTCGTCGGCCAGTATGCACGTCGATAACGAAACCATGTCGGTTGCTGATACTCTTCATTCAAGCGTTGCGGTGCCTATGCGAGAAGGTCGTTCCGGTGACAGAGATGAAACGGGTGAAAACGTGATTAGCCGTTCCTGGGAAAGCAACAGCTTTGGTCGTCCAAAATCGGGCGGGTCTGACACAGCGCGCTTGATCGATCCCCACCTGACAGCGGCAGAAGATACGACGACGACCGAAGTGACAAGTAATGTACTACAGACCCCTTCTTTTTCGGGCGGTAGAAAATCAGCAAAGAATAGCGGCAAACGCAAGACAGCGGGCAAACGTTATACATCGGACGATCTCACCGTAATGAAGAAACGTGCCTCAAGCAACCGTACTTTTATCTTGGTGAAAATGCCTGGCACAAAACACTGCTTGAGTTATCAGGTACATTGTGCATAATTCATTATCGGGTCATGAAATTAGCAAACTAATATGCTATTCTATCTACGCAGGGTCCAAAAGAAAAGAACATTGAAGATCTAAGGGACTTTGCCTTTCAGCAACCCAACCTGGAGTATCGTAATAAAACGTGGTCTTGGTTCGAACTCATGTCCAATATCAAGAAAGGTAAGTGTCCGACGAAAAAGAATACCCAACAAAAAACAAAGCGGCAAGTTGGCTTACTTGTTCATTTGAATTAGATTTCATGCGCGCTGCTCTACTGAACAACAGCAAAGCATTATTGAAGGAAAAACTCATGATCCGTCGTCATGTAAAGGAAGGTCCAAAGATTGCCGAATCCGGCCTATCTTTGCGTAGCTTTCCTGCTGCAGCTGACGAATCTGGATTTGAGGAAATTCCGTCTTTGCGTCGTGCCAGTTTGTTCGAGACCGACAATGCATCTATGCTCAGTGATAGTTCCCGTGATGACATGGATCCTCTGGATAACGATCGAGACACAGTTTCTTGCCACTCCATGATCTCTCAGGACAGCAGTGTATGGACGCCAGAAACGAGTACGGAAACCAAACCGCGCCATACTCTTTTAGCATGGCCTCGTCGGTAAGTCAATGGACGTTGTACACTTGAAAGCTTGATATGCGACATTGAACTCTAATTTATTTTTCCCTTGTTTAGATTCAGAAAATCGAAAAAGCCCGCCAGTACTGGCTCTGATATGGTGGATTACTCGACCCGATCCAATCACGAGCTTCTGGGACCTTCAGCGCCTTCTCAACATCGACGAAGTATCAGCGACAGTGATCCAGCTAGTCGCTCACTATATACTTCACCACTAGAAGAAGAGTCCATGAACACCAAAGGAAAATTGTTGCTTGGCAAATATTACAACACACCCTCATTATCCCCCACCATGGCAGCACACCGAGCCAAATCTTCCAAAGACGGCGATTCTGGCAGTGGTAAATAGATTAGCATATCATTTCTTGTAAATAGAGCTTATCATCTTTTTTTCATCCTTACTTGCGTTTTTATCTCAAGTCTCCTTTGTTGTATAAACCGTATCATCCTTTCTATCAAGTCAACAACAATTTCATACTGTATATTGCTTGGTCAAATTATCGGCCACGTTTGTAACCAAGTTCTATGGGGCAGATGGGGTTTGAACCTGCATCGATCAAGAAATGTGATAATGCCGTACATCTCTTTGTGTTTGACAAAACTACAGCGGAATTATACATATTAAGGTATGGCAAATGGGTGCATGTCGCGACGCTCGAGATAGAAGAAGGGTAAGAGGAAGTGCAACAAGGCGCAAGCACGCAACGCGTCAGCAGCAGTGGATCGCTGTTGGGACGCAACTTTTAGAGGTGGCAAAATAATCCGCCCAAAGGAGAAATAAAAAAAAGAAGCGAAGCAAATATCATACGTAAAACGCACGAGTCAATTGGCTCTTGCGATCTTGTGTCAAAACTTGTTATTTTGTTACTTTGTTATCTGTTGTTTAACTGTGTCAACTTGTTAATTATTGTTCAAATTGTCAACTGTTAATTTGTAATTCTCGATGCTAGAACAAGATCGAACAAGTACACGTTCGAACAAGTTCCGATTAGTTTAACCAGCTGTTTATTCCCATAGTGAATTATAAATAAGATTGATCTGCTCGTCATTCGACTAGTAGAATATTACATAATATGTGCAAAGCATGTGGTTATCTAGATTGTCTGATGAACCTTGGGGATACTGAAGCTTGGAGGGGCCAAGAGTTGCTATTTTCGTCCGTCCACCAATATGGGCAATGCATGCAAATGAAAAAAAAGATGTGGTGTTTTTAAGGTCAGCCATCAGTTGGCCAATGCGGTTTCTAAAAGAGAAAAAACCCGCATTGCTCGAATTTCACCGTCACAGGCCGATTCCGACCAGCCATGGCCCACCTGCTTTTTCACGGTAGGCCCTTTTTTACAACAAGAAAGAAAAAAACGCAGTAGATCGATCCTTCCATTCCTTGTCCTTTATATTCGTCTGTACAGTGCTTACCCTTCCTTCTCCTTTATCGCATCCTCTTTACGACATAGAACGGACTTGTCAACAGTTGGCTTCGTAGCTCTTTATTGTCTGTTCGAGTAGCTATGGCCAATCTCCCTCAAACATCCCATTCCACTTCGCCACTTGTCCAACGATCGCCCCACTCCTCCCAAAGATCACCGGCAGGCGCTCGTTCTCCGTCTCTGCGCTCTCCTACGCATACCGATCCTTCCGGCGATAAACAAAGTAGCAAGCGACGTCATGAGGACGACCAACGGGATATTTCTCCTCCTGGACAAAGTCGCGGAGCCAACGATGGACAACAAGATAAAAGACCATTAACAGACCACCGATCGTACGCCAAACGACGCCAGTACGATAGTCGGAGTCCATCACGAAGTAGACATAGTCGATCGGGCGATCGTTACGGTCACAGCCGATCGCGAGCGCCTCGTAGCCCCAGTCCGTCACGAAGGCGACGAGGACGTAGTCGGTCAAGGAGTCCACGTCGACGAGACCGATCTAGACACCGTTACGGACGGAGTCATTCACGTGATTATCGATACGATAAAAGTCGCGAACGTGGACGTCGTAGGAGACGATCGTATTCCAGATCACCCAGTCGGGATCGAAAAAGAAGCCACCGTGAGCGACGCCGATCGGATAGTCGTGATCGAGACAGAGCAGACTCTGGTCGTCGCTCGCTTTCACCAGAACGTCAAGGATCAATTCGATATTCAAAGGAATATTCGCCCCATCACCATCACCACCATCGTCAGCAAACTTCCTCTACTTCAACGCCATCGGGACCTCCCACAGGGCCTGCCGCAATGTATCAGCGTGAGGGCGCCAAGGATAATAAAAATAGTCAGGGTAAGGTAGAATTGGGCAAAGCGCACGATGAATGGTATGGCTGATCTGCGCTGTTCATTTTTGATGGAGTAGGGATGCGAATCTCCAGTTCGCAAGAGTTGCGCTCCGTGACGATGCGTCAGCCGCTGGTCCAGCCTTCACCGCCTTCCTTACCTGCGCAACCTTTGGCGAACCAAGTTTTACCATCCAGTGCGAGCCAATTAAGCATTCCACCGCATCAAAAGATCCCAAATGGTGTTTTGAATACCTTGGGATACCCTTTCGAAACGTCGGACGATCCAGCAATTTTGTTTGAAAAGATTGGACAAGTGGGTCAAGGGACTTACGGGTAAGCTGAGGCGTTCTCTCGAAGTGGTGCAAATCATTAAAAGCGGATGATAATGACCCGGGTTCGTCCATTGTAGGAAAGTATACAAGGTGAAAAATTGCAAAACGGGTCAGTTAATGGCGTTAAAACGAATACGCATGGGCAGCGAAAAAGAAGGGGTAAGTCTTTTATTTACAGGCCAAGAGCTGAGTTATTATATGCAGCAGGACTAAATTTGAACAGTTTCCTATCACGGCGATGCGCGAAATCAAATTATTACAAAAATTAAAGCACGAGCGCGTAGTAGAATTGCAGCAAATCATGGTAGCCAAGGGTAAATTAGATGGGATTCCAGTCTGTTTTGAGATGTGTGCACGATGTCTGACTTTTGCACGCATGTGTACCCTCTATTAGGTTCTGTATATATGGTATTGGAATATATGGACCATGATTTATCTGGGATATTGGGCCATCCAAGCTTCAAATTCGAACCGGCTCACGCCAAATCATTGACAAAGCAAATGCTTGAAGGGCTGGCTTACCTTCATCGCATGGGCATTTTACATCGTGACATCAAAGGTAGGCAAAAAAAAGGGAGTAATGATTCTATGAGAGAACTTTCTATTCACTTATGGTATTCCGCCGCATCGCATTGTTTTGGCCATAGGATCCAACTTATTACTAAATAATCAAGGCGAGCTCAAAATTGCAGATTTTGGTTTGGCTCGCGTTTTTCAAAGGCACAAGACGCACGATTATACCAATCGTGTGATCACTTTGTGGTATCGCCCGCCCGAACTTTTATTGGGCGCTACTGCTTATGGATCGGCTGTGGATATCTGGAGTGTGGGGTAAGGGCAAGTGATGGGATGATGGAAGAACGAAAAAACAAGGCTGATGCGATGAATGTGGTTGTTCTTTTAGATGCATCATGCTGGAATTTTTCATTGGAAAACCGGCGTTTAGCGGCATAGACGAGATCTCGCAGTTGGAATGTATCTATAAGATCATGGGCACGCCTTCTCCGGCGACTTGGCCCTCTGTCACCGAACTCCCATGGTACGAACTTGTGCGTCCAAAGGAACATTGGGAAACCAAGTTCAAGGACTCGTTTGGAAGGTAGATACTCTTTTGGTCAGTTTTATGAGAAATACGAATGGCGGTTTAGCTTATGAATTGTGGTAGTTTGCTGTCTCCGGGTGCTCTGGAATTATCCCAAGCATTACTATCATTAGATCCTGATAAGCGACCTACCGCAGCAGAAGCGCTGGATTTCGCGTACTTTAAAACCGAAGAACCCAGTCCTGAAATGCCAGCACAGTAAGTGGCGAAACGAAAACGATATCATATTGAATTGAATGAATTCCGTGAAGAGCGATCTTTGTCTTTTAACTTTATGTGCGGCCTATTTTAGTTTACTAAGCATCCGTGGCGACTGGCATGAATTTGAGTCGAAACAAAGGAAGCGTCAAAAACCCTTATTACAACAAGCTCAAGCTCAAGCAAAAGATGCCATCAAGGCCTCTGATAAACTCCCTCCATCTCAACTCGCACGGTCCGATCCTCCCATGTCTGTACAGTAATGAATCTTGATGATTACATTTATATAAAAACAACTACCTTGTCCCAGTGTAATGGACTATCTTTCTGATGGCTTGCCGAAACAGGTCAAACGGTTACGTTTATCAAATGACACGGTCCGATTGATCAGAAAAAGCATGAAACTGTTTATGTATTTCCTTGTGCTCGTTCCACTTGTTGTAGTTCTCACCTGAAATTCATGCATGGCTACTGGGAAGGCGATAATCCTTTTTTGGATGTCTCTTTACCGAATATCCATGGCAACTTACTTCCTTTTTGCTCCATCAATTTATGGATATTGTAAATACACGACGCGGTTCGTGCTTCTATTTTCCAGCATATAGCTCTCTCCTATTTTTACGTTCAGTGAATCTCTTTTGCGCCAGTTGAAAAGAGTGTTGTATGATCTGTAACATGAAACATCATATCATATCCGGTCAAATAAAAATGGGCCAACACATTCCCTCCAGGAACCTTGCAAACTTTGACCTTTGGAACAAATTACCAAATAAAAATTTCTACTTGGAAAAGGGCATAGTCGCCAGCTACGCAGGGCAAAACGCAGATTAAGGCGAGATACAGATTTTTCATGATGATGGACCTTGTAGATCATATGAAGATCAAAAGCAGAACTAGCAACGTATAGTGCATGTTTATTATCTCTTGGATCCTGCCACTATCCAAATAGTTGTGTAAAAGCACGTGTATGGAAAAGATTGCATATGTTTCTAATGGAATGACCTCAGTATGTTGCAATGACGACAAGAACGACGGGAGTAGCGGGTTGCAGGATACTCCCACAAGAGTGGAGTGTCGCAGCAAAGAATTCCATCAATTAGGCATCAGAGTCAACCTTACGTCAGTGCGCCATCATGAAGCGGGGCATCAATGTTATCACGCAGATGATTTTTCCCTTGTCGGAATTTGGAATTGAAATAATGACGATCCAAAAAATCTCGATCGTCTTACCGTGCAATGGGCGCTCGGGGATGTCCCAATCAAGTAATCCATTTGCATGACGTAAAGAAGACGTCTCTCGTTTTGCGTGCAAAGAAAATATATAAGGACCCCATTGAAAGACGTTTTGAGGAACTCATCACTTCAAGTACTCACATATTCACATATAACAAAAATGGTTGACACTCCCTCCAAGTCTGACGCCAAGATGGATAAGGGCATCGGTAACATCAAGGAAACTGCCGGTTCCGCTGTCGGTAACCAATCTCTCGAAAACAAGGGCAAGGCCCAGCACGGTGAAGGCCAGACCCAGGAAACTGCTGCCAACATCACCGGTTACGTCCAAGGTATGGCCAACCAGGCCAGCGGTGCCGTCAAGGGTGCCATCAACTCTCTCACTGGTAACACCACCGAAGAAACCGGTAACAAGGCCGAAAAGAAGAAGGGTGAAGCTCAGCAAAGCTTCTACTCCTAAATCATGTCCCCTCATGATATCCCAACTTTAGTGTACTGTTTAGTATATGCTAATTATCTGTAATATAACGCAAACATTCTTTACCAAACTCTGTTCCCTTTTTATTTTTATTTTTATGTGTATGTGTGGTGATATGGGAGATTGGAAGGGTTTTTTAAGGGTAAAGTGGAACTGGCGAATGTGTGCTCGCACAAGATACGGGAGTTTCAATGCAAAAAGCAAAGAGCAACGTTGTCTTGGCAACGGTATGGGGATTATGTGAAGAAAGATGCGCATGCATGTATCGAAAGATGGAAAATTGCGGTGAGATGAGAGCTGGATAATTAGCAAAAAGAGGATCTGATGATCGTGTGGTCATTTTCGGAAGCTATGGGCTGCATACTTCCAATGAGATTATTCTGTGAACCTTACGTCAGGGAATTAGTGAGTGTGGGACCTTACCTGCTTTGATCCAATACAATTGGTCAGGCTTCCTTTTTTTCCCCTTTTTGGCAAGCGTTCTTGTCTCAATTAGTCTGAACACTTCCTTTGTAGGTGCTCGAGCCTTTTCAAAGCTGTCGCTTTCAGTGCAGGCACGAGTCACGTGAATCGGTATTTCAGCAGTCCTTTGCATTTTTCAGCAACCGCCATACAAGGCCAAAAATTAGGGAAGAAAAAAAAAGTCAAACTGCACACTCCAAGTTAGGAATCTATTTTCGCGTCATGAGTCTGCTTCAGCCTTATGTCGATCGTAAGTAATGCAAGCGAACATTATCATGTCAATATATGGTAACTTACATTGGATGTGTATAGGATCTGTGTTGGTGGTCACATTAGATGGTCGAGTGCTGGTGGTATGTGTGGAGACGATGGATAAGTGAATTACGTACTGTATTAAAGATTTGAACTTGATTGGCAGGGAACACTTCGAGGTACCGATCAAACGGCCAATGTCATTCTAGAAAAATGCCAAGAACGCGTGTTTTCTAGCGAAGGTACAGAGATTGTGCCTCTTGGTTTATACCTTATCCGAGGTGACAGCATGTAAGTGGGATGATTGGCGGTAGATTTCCAACCAAGATTTTCGACTTAAAATTCACTGTTTTTCTAGTTGTACTATAGGAGAAATTGACACTGAAAAAGATGAGGAATTGGACATTACCCAGATTAAGGCCGATCCACTGAGGTCAACGAAATTGTGATCTTCCTTTCCTCCAATCCACTGTCCAGTGTCTGCTTTTTACTGTTCACAACGTTCGCCATTCATACTATTTCTTTTGTGTGTGTGATATCCGTTAAAACCTCATTGATAACGGATACTCTTGTTTTTTGTATCATATCCTTTTTATTTTATTACTTTGCTCCATTTGTTATTTCCTCGATTTCCCCCCAAAAATGCCACTTTTACAAAGAAATGAAAAAAATTCAAACTGTCTGAAAAGTTCGGTCCGAGGTGATAGAAATGAGGTCACAGTGCGCCAAGCGTGGTTTTAAAAAAAATAGCTGTCCAACTTATTCAACCCTATTTTGGGGTTTCTTGCTGTTATGGATGTTCTGAAAGCTCTAGTGGCTAGAGTTGCGCGTGCATTTTACGATCCTAGATATATTGTTATTCTTGACGAACTGAATAATGCACCTCCAAACAGCAATGGGTAATATGACGTTCAATTTGTCTATTTCAACCGATCAGTTTGCATAAAATACCTGGCCAACTCATTTTGTCTTCCCCCCCCCGCAGCGTTCGTGAAGAAGATCTCGTCATGACCCTCAAAATGACCATACGAGATATTCACAGACTGTGTGGTAAACTGAAAGAAGACCGACTTGTCAAAATGTGAGCTTCTCTTTTTTCTTTTTACTCCCGTGATGGAACTGTCATGCCGGTGTTGCTTAACGGTCACTGTTTTAAAATAAAGGACTACGCGAATGGAAGCTCGTAAAATGGATCAACGACCTGTGCCTAAAACGTACTATTACCTTGACTATAAAGAGTTTGTGGACGTCGTCAAGTGGAAAATGTACAAGATGCAAACGATCGTCAGAGACAACTTGCGTACCGAATCCGAAAATAAGGGATACATTTGTCCCAATTGTAAGAAACAGTATTCGCCTCTCGATGTGTTGTCGTTGGTGGATATGACGGACGGATTATTCCATTGCGATGCCTGTGAACATGTACTGGAAGAGAACGACAATGCTGAAAACGTAAAGGGCAGTCAACAGGTCTTGACTCGGTTACGGGAGCAATCCCAACCCATCATTTCCTTGCTCAAACAAACCGATTCGCTGGTCATTCCTGCTAGGTAAATAAGAAAAAAGAATATCATTTAAGTGGTGGCAAAAAACAAAGCAAAACTCACAGGTCTTTTCTAGTTATATTTTCCAAGGAATTCCTGGTACCAATCGGGCGAATGGTGGAGCAAAAGGTGAGGACCCCACGGACTATTCATGTTACGAAAGGGCGATTATACTGATGAGGGTTGTTAATAGACGATTACGAACTGGCCATTGCTCAGGATACTGGAGCTGGTCAAGGCGATATTATTGTCGATTTGCAAATGGATAACGAAGCGGCTCGACGCGCCAAACTTGCGGAAGCGGAAGAGAAACGTCAACAGAACGCTTTACCTATTTGGCATCAGCGATCTACTGTGTCGGATGTACTTCACGGCACAGGAGATCGAGACCCTGAAATCATAGAAGAGGATGAAGAAGCTTTTGAAGAAGTCGCTACGGATGATTTCAATGCCGACAGTGATTGTACGCATTTTTTATCAACGATCATGAACCCTGCGATGAGTATTAACGTGTATCTGTAGATTATGCAAAGTACTATGAATCACTGAGTCAAGCGGCGCCAGTGGCCATGGATAGTGCAGGAGGATTCGATGATGCGGAAGAAGACGAAGAATTCGAGACAGTCATGAATGATGTTAACGGGGAGACACGGTAAGTAGTCATTTCGGTACAAGCCTGTATTGCGGCCTTTTACTAAGCTGTGGATTGCCCATAGTCCGGATTCGGAATTTGCGGAAGATTATGGTGAAGCGGATGAAGACATCCCCATGGTATCAGGTAAATTTAGCTCTAGTTTAGCATGCCATCTACCGCTGCACAATACTGATGTATGCTTTCCTTGAAGTGAATGGTAAAGTCGTACCATTGAATGAAGTGATGGAAGAGGATCAGCGAAATATGACCACAGAAGAATACAAGGTAAAACGCCATCCAGACTAGACATGGAAAAAATTGATACATGGGGTTTCCAAGTTGAATACTGATTTGTGGATGCAATAGGCATATTATGAAGCATGGCAACAATGGCAAATGAGCTAAATCATAGAAACAACTCCTTTGTTCCACCCAACCCATGTAAAAAAGTTTTCAATAGAGGTAGCAAATGTTTGGAAAATAGATTACAAAAGGGATAAAACAACGTAGATGTAGGATCAAATACCAATAAAAAGTAAAAAAGCAATTGTCAAGGGAGAAAAAAAAGAGAAGTTGGATGATGCTACTGTGTTGGCCAATGCTGGGTGGTTCGGGGGGTATGAAACGAAGAATTGGAGGTGGATGCATTGACATTCATGTTTGCAAGGCCTAGAGATAAATTTCTACAATGGTGCAATGAGCATGGATTCAATTACAGAGTACTCGTTAAAAAAAAACTTACTCTATGATCTGATCAGACTCCAAACGTCGTCGACGGTTATACTCTATGCAAGTGTCACGGAAACTCAACAGACCATTGGCATGATCTCCGTAAAACTAACGTTTGAATTAGTGAATCATCGTATTTCAAAAGGTGACAAATGAGAATATTACCTTGATGCCTTCCGATAAGTTGGTTTTGATCTCTTTGAATTTGACATAAGCCTGACCGAGATTCTGAAGAGCCTTTTCCCGTTTCGCGGTGGCTGTTTCGGTTGAATTCTGGGCCATGTAGGCATGATGATCTTCCCCAATCCGTCGTAGTACGTCTGCTTGGTACTCATCTTCCTCGTCGACTTTCATCAGTAATTCATCGTATTTCCGTAATTCTTCAACGAATAAATCTTCAAATTGGGCCGGATCAATCTTGACTATCGGCGATTTCGCCGTTAGCTGAGCTGCTTTTCTTAGCAAGGCGGGCGAAATATCGTCTGCGTTTGACAGCTTTTTTGCACGGTCCACAATGTCTCTTCGTATGCTGAGGTGACCGTGCATATCCTCCATGCGATGCTTGATACGCGCTAATACTTGGGTCCGAGACTCATCTGTATCTGTGGCTGAAGGAATCGAGGCTTCGAGATCATTTCGAGGCAGCACCAAAACGTCGATGATCTTGGCCCACGTATTGAGCTTCCCTCGAACGATCTGATCGGCCTTTTGGGCCGAAACTAAAGTCGTCCGATGTTTCTGACCAGCAGCAACCAATTTTGCTGTCAGGGTGCTCGATGGAGGACGTACCCATTCTACGGGTAGCGCACAGTCGCGTTTTTGGTTAGACAGGTGCGAAGTTCCAACTGAATTCATTATACACATACTCTCTTTGTAACGCAAACGAAATGTTTCGTCCAGTTCATGCTCTTCGTCCAAAGCATTAAAGGCTTCATCAAGTATGCGACCATTATGTGCGGATGCTTTTTGAACGTTATCCCACATGGTGAATAGCAATGCGGAACCGCCTTCCTGTCGTACTTCTTCACCCTGTTGAACAAGCGTCTCCGGCAAACCGACTTTTTGCTGTGCAATGGCCATCAAGGATGGGATACCTAATGATTGCAAGGTACTTTTTTTTTTTTGATACCAAGCAACGGGAGTAAGACACTTGTTTCATAATAAGTCCAAATCAAAATCTACCTGTGATAAACCGCCGTCAATTCTTCCAAACGTGCAATAATATCTTCCTTCAAAACCCGGTCTTTGCGATCAACGTAAACGCTTGCTGCTTGATGGACAGCAAAAGGAACCAATTTTTGAAACAGAGGCAGCCCAATAACCGGATGAGGTTTGATATCGGCGGCTCGATGGTCGGTCAGTAACAGCGATACTGGATCCGAGATTTCTTTCGGTGGTACAGGTTTGACCATACCGGATTTAGGAATGGGCGAGAGGGACGAAGCGGATGGAATCACTTCGAGGTAAATGATATCGTTGTCTTTGATGGCGCGCGCAAGGTTGGTTTGAATGATTTGTTGCAAGGATCGTAAATCGTTCATTACCGCAGTGCTGACGTTGGGGGTGCCATTGAAAAAGGATTTGACCAAGTCAAAGGCTCGTCTGGTATATGTCTGTGCCAACTGCAATCGTGCAATTTCTTCACCGTAGCGATTTTGCGAAATACACTCGCATGCTTTTCGAAACTGGGACGCGGCGTTAAAGTGGAGGGCTTTCACTTGCATGTGAGTAGACCAGGATTTGGGAAACACGTTTTGAATCGATGAATTGGTGGCTAATTCATAGGCAGCATCGTAATATTCAGCTACTTTGCTGGCCAGTCGTGCAATGGTGCCATCTCGTAGTTGATCAATCGCGGCTTTTTGCCACACACACTCCTGGGCCTGAGCTAGCATGAGATTGGTCAAAGACTGAAGAGCATGAGTCGACATATCCGGTGTCGCTGATATCCGCATTTCCGGTATCACAACATCCAGTAAATGTTGAAAACATCCCGCCGCATTCTTTAATGTTGAAAAATAAAATAGGATTAGAGTCGTATCCAGGTTGTTGCACTGAGTGTCGCACAGTGACTTGCCTGAAAGCAATTGCAAGCCCTTTTGACACCTTCTGCGGTCGACCGATTTTCATGCACGGCAATTTGACTATACATGCTGCCCACCGAATACAGGACACATGCCTTTTCATAGTTCATATTTCTATAATATACTACAAAAAATATATAAGTCACCCCATGCGTTAAAACACTTTTCTACAACTACTTGCCAGGCTTGGCGGAGGTGCCTGAAAAGGCAGGATACCATGGAAATTCGATTCCGACCTACGAATTGCATTGTTTCCGAAATTAACCATATCAACCATGGAAATGCATAATATTTTCAAAGAAAAAGTACCGACTGGCTGAAGTATTGCAATGAGAAAAAGACAAAAAAAAAATACCTACATCGATGGGGAATTTAGATCCGATAAACACGAGTTGCGCATAATATCTAGGGAAAGAAGAGAGCGATGAATTTAAGTCGTTTGAACAGGGGAACTGAAGCTACTACTACTATTACTACTTTATGAGCCGATTAAGTGCTTTTTCATTGACTTCCATATACACGCAATCGTTTCTTAGTTCATCGAGCACTCGAAAATCGTCGGTATAAAGGTCAGGGTGTTCAGCGTAGCCATTGGAGATGTAACTTCGTAATGAAGGCGTCCAAGCAATCCGTTCGGTCGCTTTTCGTTCTACAGCGAGCATATTTGTCTCTGATGGAGTGGCCATGGAAGGAATGGTTATGAGAATAAGGTTGTTGTTTGGAGAAAAAAAGAGGCGTTGGAAAGGGACAAGAGTGAGGCCGTTCCCGAAATAGAGTTTAACACTTTTTCAAACTCACGGCGCTGAAATGTCCCATGTGTGACGTGTTCTTTCTTCCCTTCCCAGACCTTTTTTTTTTTTTTTTTAAAGAAAAATGCCCAAACTTGGACCTCTATTTCCATTTCGTATTTTCCGTTCCTCTTTTTTTTCAGCTTAAACGAATAGGAGAATCGAGACTCATTTTGTTCCTCTTTCTTTATTTTTCCTTCCTGATTTTCTCTGATAAGCTAGATAACGAAGTTGAAGAAAACGACCATGCAACCGAGTCATCGTACTCGTTCGTTCGATCCAGCACGGTCCGTTACTGCCACTCCCACCATCGATCCTGCTGCTGTCGATTGGCATGATTTCGCCGCCAGACAATCCAAGAATCGAACTGACAAAGGTACAACACCAGCACCAGCACCACCACCCACCCGATTCAGTCGTGCGAGGACGACCCATACTACTCCCACCACACGCCACTATCGTCCTTCTTCGGCCCAAGGTCGTTACGATTCGTCCAATCCTAAACCACCCATCCATACCGAGTGGTCCATTGCCAAGAAATTGACATGCATGCCCGATCCTCCTTTATGTTTCTGCGGCAAACCAGCGTCGCGGAGACGAACTCCCGAGTTTGGTCCAATTCTGGACTGTCATTATTTCACACCGTGCAACAAATTGTCGGAATCACAACGTCAAACCGATACGGATCAGCCACCACCGCCAAAGAGCCGCAGTAATATTTGTGGTTTTCATGTCCATCAGCGACCGTGGGACGAGTTCCGACAGCGTTTGCGAGATGGAAACGATATTGACCCTTGCGATTCGGAACTCGATATCTGTCCATCGTTCAACTACACATTTTGCGTGATCTTCCGTGCGAACAACCCTTACAAAAAGACCACTCCCCCTCCGCCCAAATGTTTCTGCAACATGCCCGTCATTCTCGAAGAAGGCAGCAATAAACACGAAAAACGATTATACTTCACATGTCGTCATCTTAATATAGACGGCGCACGGCCAAAGTGTAGCTGGTTTTTGTGGGCGGAGGATGTGCCCTTTTATGTCCCGAAATACCCCTTGCATGCCCTGCCAATCTCGAAACCTACTCCACCATCGCATTCTCGTCCACCAAGCAATACTACTGATATTAATGCAATTGTCAACACTGCATCACCCCAGCTCCGGCGTTTGTCCATACGAGAAGAAGAGCAATCATCCACCAGTCCGCCATCGATGGAGCCATCCACTCCCACTTCGTCATCCTCCGCATCTCCTTCCAACAGCATTACATCTTCCTCGCATCCTCCATCCATTCCCAATTCCATTGACCAGCCTATAACAGAGAATAAACCCACTCCAGTAGAGGAGATCCTCGATGTCACCCAAGCCGAGAATGTGATTCCTGCAACGGAACCTTCACCAGCCCTGGCCGCCAAGCCATTGGTAAGTTATACAGTGGGCTCGCTACACATTATTTCTTTTTTAAACCAACTGACATTTCGTGATAACAGGCTTCGGAGAAGAGACTCAGTATGTCATATTCTAACCTTCCATCGACGACAATTTCGCCTTCGAATTTAACGGGCGACAAGGATCATCATGTTTTCCATCATACTCGACAAAATACATCACCTCTGTCACCTAAAAAAGAAACTTTATATTCACGACCGACCTCCTTTGACCAGCGAAAATCCGTATCCGAGCCCGGAAACGATAAAGGGGAATTCATTCGCCTGCTTTCCATGGCGAATTTACCTAGAAATGTGACCCTGAACGAACCAAAATGGGGGAACAATTACTCTTACGATCAGTTCATTTACGGACAGAAACCCCACGAATCTCCCACCATGGCCATACGCAGTAATGGCTATCTTTTACCGAGCGCTGTTTTACAAAATACTCTGGGCAAACCGGGCAACAAATTGTTGTTGGAACATCAGGGGAATGCGATGAGAAATCCCTCGCCGCCACGGTGTGCTTCGTCTGAGGATCATGATGCCGAGGTAAAGACACTGGTTCAGAAGGTAAAGGATCTGGAGCAGCTGTGCGAGCAGCTTGAAGAAAATACCAGTCGGGCGACAAAAGATTACGAGTACATGTTGACCACCAAACAAAAGCTGGACGATATCTGCCGACGAAAGACGGCTTTGGCGGAATTAATGGAAACTGAGGTTCAGCAATTACGAAGTCGCCAGAAGCAAATGGATGACAAATTATCGGAAGAAATCGATTTACGAAAAAGCTGTCAAAAAAAGGTGGTGGAGCTCGATGATTTCGTGAACCATATGCTGCTAAAACAGGACGAGCTGTCGGAAGAGAATGAACAGTGCAAGGAGAAGCTGGCTTACAAAGACTCCAAATGCCGTGTGTGTTTCCAAGAAAACATTGAATTCGCTCTTATTCCTTGTTATCATTGTGGTAAGTTTTCCCGACACGAAAAAATTTGGCATTTGGGAAACGAAACGGGGTTGACTGATCTGGTTTTTTTTGTTTGGCATAGCCTACTGCAAAGACTGTGCCGAGAAATTGAAGGAGTGCGCTGTCTGCCGTACCCCCAAATTTACGGTTCAAAGAATATATCTCCCTTAAAAAAAATTCCATCACTATATCATTCAACATACATTACGTCGTAGTAACTATCGAATCTTTGGGCTTGCGCTCTATTATTTTCTGTATGGTTTTAATTCGAGAAATATTCAACTTATAATACTTTCCATTCATTCGATAAAAAAGACAACTATTGCCCACACATCAAATTACATAAAGTTCCTTTGGAGTTAATTGTTGTAATTTCTTTTTTCAGTCGCTTTCGATGCATAATAGCTACACAATCTCTTGGAAATAACCATTTATTTGTTACGATTTTTGCGTCGTGGCATTTTTCTTCTCGGGCTTGGAATCTCACAATCTATTGCGAAGTAACAGATATTGCACGGGACTTATCCCATAACTGTGAGGTCCTACTGTATCTATCAATGAGACATTGGATGGTTTACAATTCAATTGATTATACATGATGAATCATGTCAAATAGTGGCTATTTGACAGGGATTGATTAGACGGAATACACCATGGGCGTAAATGCATGTATAACATAGATGATCAAAATCTCATCTTTAAAAATAAAGATGCATTACATTGCTGTTTTTGTGTCACCGCAATTATCCCTTTGTTATCACTCCATCACGGTACATCCATATGACATTAACGCTTTTTCTCTCTTTTCTAAATACGCGTCCTTTCACGTTTCATGGACATATATCATATAACTGATTCTACGGTGGAGGAGAGGTTTGAGAGATAAAAGGGTGTGACAAACGGCTGGTGTTGTTTACGATTTGTGAGGGACCAATCAGATTGAACAATGAGAGCGAACTGATGCGGATTTAGTGAGTTAGCATTTTCTTTTCCCCTTCTTCAGGTCGAGACAGTGGAAACGGGTATCAGTGTCTTTTTCAAAACGGAAGTATCGCACCTAATGGTAAAGATACTGTCCATAAGAGTTTCCTAGTATGATTAAGCAAATAAAGGTGACAAGATCATAAAGCAACTCTGATATTCTCATTGATCTTTGCAACAACAACATAACGTTGAAGAAGAAAAACAGGTATATTTGCGGCGCAGGTCTGCGATTAGGTTCGACATTTTGGATACATTTGGTCAGGAAATTCGAAGATTGGAAACTTAAAATGGGCCCAGCAAGAGTACATAATACACGTTTGGAGGGTCGTCTGCACCAGCTACGATAGTGTTCCTGGCCCGAAGGTCATGCGAGGCTGATTTTTTCATCCTCGATTTAAATAAAAAAATAACCAAGGATCGGGATCCGCAGGCATTAACGCAAAGAAATTTGATCGTAATGTGATTATCAACACATAGCACTCCACCAAGAAAGAATTTGAATCGGCACAGTGGAATTTACTTGGGTGTCCATCGCAGCAAGCTGCTCAAACTTTTAAAGTGATTGCATGATATGCTTACCCACTGCATCCTGCCATAGACCATAGGAAAGAAGGTTGTTGAAATCTCCACAGAGATCAATCCATATGCAAGCTACGCCTTCCAGATTTGATACTGTCATAAGAACAACTAATAAAAAAATTTTCCGCGTAAAATGAAGGATTTTCTATGTATTGTCAATATTGCACCATAACAACATTTACCTATGGCTTTACTTGAAATCCGTCGTTTGAAGGAGAATGACTCTAATCTTGGCAACTTGCTTATGATTGGTTGTAATATTACCTGTTTTGGGAAAGACTCACTGACACCGACACTCGGTTGTTTGAGTATTCGAACGACGCTGTGTGACTGGCTATAAGAGACTGAAAAAAAAAGTCGTGCGACACTGACCCACCCGGATATACTATATCTTTTTGAGTTTCCTTTTTCTGATTTTCCTTTTTTTTTTTTTTTTCTCGAGAGTCGACCAGCTGTGCGGAAAAAAAAAATAGGTGTACCCGAGTCATAACTTGTCCCTGGCAAATATGGTATAGTATTCATTTCGACTTTCTTCTTCACTGATAAACGATACCATGAAGCCAAAAAAAAGAGGTCAGCTACTGACTGAGATTGTGCGGGGGGATCAATAGTACCATCAACTTTACAGCTATGGGCCGCCAACACAGCCACCACAAGCGCAAACGCAAACGCAAAGTCAGCACCACCAAGATAAACCTTTCCATGCATCGCACACTCAATACACTCAGCACCCTTATCATTCGGCCATGGATCATGCCAATCCGTTATCGTCACTCAATTTCATGTCTCAACAAAACAATTTGCATTTATCTGTAAAACCGGAACATCCAGCTTCGTTCCACCCTTACAACCTGGAAGACTATCAGTCAACGTTACATTATAATTTACCTATACGACAGTGCCATCAACCTCAGGAACAGGCAACCCAGCCGCATCAACAACACCAACAACAGGCAACCCAGCCAACGCAGCAACAGGAACACCATCAACCACCACCGCATCAGCCGCAACATCATACATTTACTCAAATTCAGACGCAGCGACAACCACAAGATCAAAAAGAACATCAACATCATCAGCATCAGGAACAAGAAACATCGTTACCGCAACTACAACAACAACAACAGCATCATGGATTATCGCATCGATCGGAACAGCAGTCGCTAAGCGATCATTTTACAAACTTTCATTCTGTAAGTATCAAAAACACTCTGCAACAGTATCGCCAATAATCCTCCCCCATTCATCCTTGGACTTTGTTTTTTAGGATATCGTCGCCAGTTTCAATCATCCTTCACACACTGTTTATAACCCGGTCGATATTAGCAGCATTGTGCACAGCCCGGTCGTTTCACTTCCTGATTTACCGGCCACTTTACCACCGATCAATTCTACTATTTTTAATGGCCCCAGTTCGGTCGGTGTACCCCTGCCCACTCAGCCACCTTCTTCATCATCGAACAAACGCTGGAAGTTACCGTCACGCAGTCGTGAACGAGCACCCTGGACACCCGAAGAAGACAATCTTTTACGCTTAGCCGTTCAGTTGTATGGCGACAAGACCGAAAAATGGGCAAAGATTGCGGCATGTGTTCCCGGTCGTACCAACAAGAATTGTCGCAAACGATGGTTCCATTCGTTGGATCCTTCGTTGAAAAAAGGCGCATGGACAGATGAGGAAGATCAGTTGTTACGTGAAGGCGTAGTGAAGTATCCCAATCAGTGGAGCAAGATTGCCGATATGTTGGAAGGTCGCACCGATGATCAGTGCGCTAAACGGTGGCGTGAATCGCTCGATCCCAGCATTGACCGATCCGATTGGACTCCCGAAGACGATAAGCGACTGATGGAAAAATACGAAGAATTCGGTTCTCAGTGGCAAAAGATTGCCCAGTTTTTCGACGGTCGACCCGGTTTGCACTGTCGCAACCGATGGCGGAAATTGCAACGCATGATCCAACTAAAACGGGACAAGGAGAATGCGGCCGTAGCTGCCGCGGTATCATTCGTGCATGCACTGGCAGAAGACAGTGTCAATCGCTTTCAGTTGACCTCCCACCCCGCTTCCGGTGTTTCATCTTCTCCGGCTATTTCACAGCAACACCAGGAACATCCGCCGCAGCAGCCGTCATCCACAGTATCGTCGACTCCGCCGCAAATAGCTGATGCCTCTCCATTATCATCCACCAGTTCTTCGAGTTCGCCGCATAATGCCCAACTGAGTTCTTTATTAACACAGTCGGATCCTTCGGTACTTGCGCAATTTCGAAACAGTGGCACGCCACCCAGTCTGAAACGTTCATCGACCGACCTTGCGAATGAACCCCATCAGGATTTAATGCCGTACGGCTGTGATGTTCCTGGATGTGGCGCCAATTTCCCTACGTCAAGTGGTCTCTTTTATCACATGAAATCAGACCATCCGAATCTCTCCGGAGTTGAAAAACCTTACCGATGCGGTATGCCGAATTGTGCCAAACGGTATAAAAATATCAACGGATTGCAGTATCATTTGCGAGATGCAAAAGGGACCTCGGGTCATGCTGTGGGTTCAGGAGATGATGCATTACTGGGTTCCGACTCGCTACTGAACAATGATCGACGCTATCGCTGCGAAATTCCGGGTTGTCGAAAAGCTTATCGGACAATGAACGGATTACGATACCATCAGTCACATGGCCATAACATGACCATGCCATTGGAAGAAATTCCTCAGTTTCCCTTGAGACGTGAAAAGTGGATGTTGGAAGAAATCAAATCGGAATTCTAGGGCCCCTCTTTTTTTTTCTTTTCATTCGTCTCTCTCTCTCTCCCAAATTCAGCATCATTACTCTTTATCATAATAGTCATTGAATTTTTTTTGTATCAAATCTTTGGTCAGGGTTGAAAAAATATGAAGTTGTATCGAAAATAAGGACATATTACATTTGGAAATCTTGTTATTGTTTTCGCTATTGTTATTGTTGTTTGCCATTGTTATTGTCATTTTTATTTTTATCCTTTTTTCAGCTGGTCCATTTGCGTCCTACATAGCATTAAGCTTTACAACTGTACATCAATTGACACAATAAGAGTAATACATCGCAATGCAAATCAATATCGTTTTAATATCATACAATGAACGTGGCGTAGTCGAAAGTGACACAAACTGTCAAGCTTTTTAATCACTTCTTCGTTTTTTCCCCTAAAAAACCTTGTTAGCGACCACCGAAAAAGCCAAACTAACTGTAAAAGGCAATCCACTTACTATAATCGTAGATGGATCGTCATCTTCCATTGTGAGTGCGATGCCTTTGCTCTTGGTATCGGATTTCGCCACCGGCACCAGACAATTGACAACATAGTCTTTGAGTTCGCTTTTCCACAAACTGAGTCCGGCATCGTAAACATCTTTTTCCACACGCACTTGACGATCAAATAACAACGCGTCCCGTTCCCGCTTGGATTCGCTCATGTAAACGGGCCAATGCGGAATCCCGGAATGATTCGGATCACCGCATTTAGCAAATTGAAGAATGGCACGCGAGATCTGCTTGGCGATCCGATCGCGTTCCACTTCATCGCCGGGCCCAATGAAAGGATTGTCTTCCCAATGTTGAAGATTATCCCACGAGAACACCGCATCCACCATGTGGGCGGCCTTGATGATGTTCTGTACATCGTTCGCCTCATAGTCCCATTCGTAAAGCCACACTTTGTGGCCGTGTCGTGACAAGTTCTCGGCGGTCAGCAGGGTGGCCATACGACACATTACATCGGAAGCCATGTAACGCGCGCATTCACTGGGAGGTGTACATGGAGGTACGATATTGGCTCGGTAAATGTCAAACGCTCGACGTGCATTCTTGTGACCAAAGACGTGTGTAAAGTAAGAGCGAACAAACATGGAATCGTCCATCTCGTGAAAGTTGGGTAAAAACGGGAAAAATAGATTAAACTCGTCGCGTGTATAACCTAGAATAATTTCCAGGCTTTGATACGATGGTGGCAAGGGTCGATGAAGATAATGTTCCATGAGCGTAGATGACAACGTGGTGCCATCCACCGCCGGACCGATCGGGGCCAATCCTTCCAAAAAGTTGGGCCACGTCGTCATGAATGTTTGTGCTTCGAGAATCGTTTGCACATCTAATTCTCGGAGCTCACCAATCGTCGATTTGTCCAATCCCACTGAACGTAAAAAGATGTCCCCTTTCATGGATGCCCAGTCGCTAGGACTGACCATAAACATCGGGGGTGATTGCAACACCACACGCCGGAACAGGTTCGACGCTTGAGGGCATAATAACATGGCCATAAGACACGTCGCTAAATTACGGATTCAACAAATCAATCAGAAAAGAAACGATCTAGAAAACTGGATGGCACTTCAGCGAGCTACTTACCACCAGCAGATACCCCGAAACCAGTAATATTTTCTGGATCACCTCCAAATGCTGCAATATTTTGCTTGACCCATTTCACAGCCTCTGTTGCAAGATACAAGATGCATAATGAGTTGATGGACGCTTGAACCTGCAATTATTTGACAACGTACCAATTTGATCCAAGAGCCCCAGATTGGCAGAACTGTCAAAGTCAGACGAGATGTGATCCAATTTCATCCATCCCAAAGCTCCCAGTCTGTAATTAAACGTTACAATAACAGCACCGGTGCGTGCAAGATTACTGCCGTCCCAAAATGGTTGATTGCCGCTTCCACTGTATTCGCACATATGGAACACAGTTTAGAAAATTGATACTGTTTACATGATGCCGACCAGTCATCCGCTACCTGAGACAAGCTCCTGAATGGAACCATACAAGAACAGGAAGCCGTGCATCTGCATCCTGAGCCGGGGACCAAATGTTCAAGTGGAGACAGTCTTCCGACTGTACTCCAATGTCTATGCTCATCAACGTATCGAAAGGCATCGGTGTTTGAGGTGCAGCAGGCGTGTGATCCATACATGATAGAACTTCGGTCGATGAGGGATCATCTTTCAAAGGCTCCGGTGGTCGGAACCGTCGATCGCCTATAGGGGGATGGACATACGGGATGCCGAGGAATACCTCGAGTGGACACTCTTGATCGGTGTCGACATAACCTTGCACCAAGCCAGAACTCGTCCTCACAGTGCGGGTAGGAGTTTTATTGGTATTGACCATATCAAGTATATCACAAGTAACAAGTCACAAGTAACCAAGAAAGTCTAAAGGAGCACAGCGAAAAAGTGCTAAAAAAAAGTGAAAGGGAAAGGAAAAGGACAAGAAAAACTGATATATAAAAAGGGGATAGCCAATGAGAAGATAAACCAGGAGTAGGACTGTGAAAGGATCTGTACAGCAAGGAAAAATTTATGTAATCCTTGAGGGGGGGAAAAGAAAAGGCATCAGAGAAACGCTGTATTTTAGGAAGGAATCTGCGCGCGGAGGAAACCGAGCATGAGTGGAACAAGCGAGTTTTGTACGACCAACTTAACAATTTCATGTCCACGTTTGGTGACCACATTGGTGGCACCAGAGGCCACTGACATGAGCGAGCCACGATCACTTTTGCGCATCATTTTATCGTCGGCTATTTCCTTGTCTTCCTCCGCACCGACACTCCATCCTGCTTCATCCAACCCCGGTTTATTCAACGACGGACTCGCAACGCTATTGGTGCCGTTCAAGTCTGCACGTCCCGCATTGCCGCCATTGGTCCGTAACCCCGCCACACCGGCTGTGCCTTTTTTCACTTCATCCGCCAGTAATACTTCTTTCAAAACCTGGAGCGCCACACGTTCCTCGGCCGAAAACGTTTTCACCGCTTTGCTGTTGCATATGCACTTCTGCTTGATATCACTAATCATCACGGTGCCACATAAATGCCGCAATTGGTGCACCCATGCGTGACGTTCTTCTTCGGTTTCGACACTGAATGTGTATTTTCGTTTCATACTGGAGGCCGGTTCCTGTTCCAGTGGCAGTTCGGGTTCCTCGGGACCATCCATGTGCCCCGAGTGGATTGTCAACGGCGACGACGGAAGTTCACTGGTATGTTTGGCGGAGGACCGATCGACCACCTGGTTGCCTGGCTTGGACGTGCGGATATCCGTGGGATTGAAGGCGATGTGGAATGTGTATCGCATAAACGGACGTTCGACAACAATGTTCTTGGTACGTGGTAGAGCGGGACTGACATAGCGGCCGGCGTGAGAGCCGGATTTGATAAACATCAAACTGGTTCTTCCCAGAGTATTGCCCGTGATGGTGAACGTTTGGAAGCAAGACGTGGAAAAATCCAGGACATTTGGTTCGCATACCAAATCTTGACCACGCAACTTGATTTGCAAACCAGGATCAGGCGCAGGGATGGAAATGGTGATGGGTTCGGAAGCAATGCCTTTGGTTAAACGCGTAGGCAATCGATGAGGAATGACGGTGATAATGACTTCGTGATCCTGCTTGTCCGAGGTCCCCTCCTCATCCGACGAGGAGACACAGTCCGACTTGTTATCCCATCCGGTTTCCAAACGTTCCTCTATGATCGAACGGTACATGTCTTCCATAAACTCACGTGGTACAAGTGTGTATTGATCGTAGTAATTCCAACGTTCCAAAAAGTCTTGCATATCCGGTTTGGCCGTCCCCTGGGCACGCAAAGCCGCAATGTAATGCAAAGGTTCGATGGCCACACTTTCGCGATTATTCTTGCGATCCACGCTTGCGCGTCGCGAAAATCGCTGTCTGTCTTCCCTTTCTTTGCGTTCGCGGGCGTACCAAAACACATCGCGCTCGCTACTTGCATCATACCAAACCTCGGCGTTCAGGAAGAGCATGGCGACCACGACCTTGACCACCATATCTTCATGGAATTTCACAACGTTCTGATTCGAATCGTGCCACTTTTTAGCAAACCGTTCAATAATGTACTCGAGCAACTCCCATCGACTGGGAAGACGAAAGGTCGTTAACAGTATACGAAGCGCTTCATCCAGACGAAGACCCACGAGACGGAAACAGTCGAGAAAGGATTCGTAGATATCGCTATTCTCTGGATCGGCAAGGTAGTAACCGAGTTGACGTCGGTTGAGATCCGGCGTCTTGAATAAAAAGTTGGCAATCGTCAAAGGCTCGTTGGTTAAAATCTGCTTCTCTTTGAGATACTCAATTCCGGCTTTGGCGCTGGATTCAAACTTTCGCAATGCGGAAGCCAAGACGGGATGCATTTTCCGGGCTTGAGGAAGCATGGGACGTCCATCCGGTCCGACGGCCAAAGACAAACGGCGTTGCTGGTTTTGTTGTTGTTGCTGCTGCTGCGTATATTGATCTTCCCGCGTCATGTACAACGTCACCTTGCTCAGTTCAACGATATTTTTCACTTGAAACAGACTCTTTTCCGTGGGACGGAAACGATAGCGACTGTCACGGTTGCGATCGCTGGTTGCGTTGGTATCCGGTCCACACGAAGCACTACTGACAATGATATTTTCGTCCATGATAGGTTTGCAAATGACGAGCAAGTCGTTGAAGAGAAAGAGGTATCGGTCCTTGACTGTATTGACGTTGACGACCTGGAACACTGGTGTTTGCAAAAGGTGACATCGCGGCGGTCGATCCAACGGTGAGACAGGTGGTTGCTCTTTGGGTTGCGACACGGGCTCTTTGGCGTTGAGTCGCCACAGGGCATCGGTACCATTCCCTGAGAAAATAGAAGAGGATCTGGACGGAGACGATAGAATGGATGACAGATGCTGAAGGGAAGGGGGTAGAGGTCGTTGCGGGCTCACCGGAGAAGCCACTTTTTCGCTGCGAGGACTAGTGAAATATTCATCGTTACTCGTTTTGGAGGTGCAGCTCGGTAGCGCCGTTGCGTAAGAGGAAGAGCTCATGCGTTCTTCCGCATCTAAAGAAACACTGGGGGAGAACATATCAAAGTAATCGCGAGAATCGGAATCGGTGGATTTTTCCGTCTTGTTGTTCAATCCAGCAGATAACGGATGGCTGGACTGTTCGGTGGCAGTGGAGGTTGCATATGCGAGCGGTGAAGGTGATCGCGTTTTGCCGTATACTTGTGATGGCCATCGTCGTGGGTCGGGTGTGTTTAGAAACAGTGGCGAATACGTCGTTGGTGAAGACTCCGCTTCCTGCCCGGTAGCATCGCCCGAGCTCACGATATCTTCATCTGAAAGCTCAATGTCACTGTCTTCCGTTTCCAGGCGTGACCGCCCGCGCATCCGTGAAGGATGTGCCACTTTATGAGGTTCCGGAGAAGACACCACTTCATCATCCTCTTCGCTTAGGTGATAGGAGCGAGAATCATGCTCTCTTTCGTATCGATGGCGTAGGGATCGATATCGTTGGGAGGAACGATCACTGTCGTTGCTCAGCAGACTGTCTGGTGCGGCCGAAAACGAGGAGCCGACATAAGGGGATAATCCGTAATAGGCAGAGGAGTCGAAATCGTTCATGAAGGATCCGAGCGAGGAAGAAAGGGTATTATCTGTGTTGATGGTCGTTGTGGATCGAGGTCGTTCCGAGCTGTTGACCGAAGAAGGCACCGAGACTCCTCGGTCAATCAACCGTTGGGTCAGTGATGAAGGAGGATTCCCCAACGCATGGCCGGCCGGGGAATGGAAATAGGAGGGCTTGGTGGTATCGCCGGCATCAGCGGTGGGTGTGAGTGGATGCATATCTCGTTGACTGTTCTGTCGACTGCCGTGAGGTCGATCCGGGTGCGTTTTGGTTAATTGCTCGAGGGCGGCCTGCACATCTTGACTTCTGGAAGCAGATGACTCTTCGTCTTCTTCAATGAGAGCATCGTCGATATGACTTGATTTTCTTCTGAATCGACGTGGCAGAGCCGACTTGCGCAGTTGTGATATTGGGTAAGGCAATCTGGAAGTCGGGATGGTAGAAGATGAAGAAGCTGAATGGGTGGAACCACGGTCTTCCTCCATTGTGAAAAAGCTTGATTTCTTGTTACGAGAAAAAGTAGAATGAGAGAGAGCACGCACCACTAAAAAGGCAACTGGCAAGTCACTGCTCAAAAAATTCCCATTCATCTCATGCAAACCATTTCTTCTCCCGAAAATTTCGCTCTTTCTCTCACTCCGATTCATGAGTTTCCCGCATACTTAATCCACCCCAGCCTACGTAATCCCTTCTTTGTCTTGAAATGCATACATAAGAAAAGGCACCGTTTGATGAAATGCTTCTGCAGCCATTCGATGAACTCATAAATTGAATGATAACAAAAAAATTGTTTTTACTCGGGATGAATAAAATTATTGGACTGACTGCAATGATCTGCATTGCTTGTCAATAGATGGTGGTATACCAGGATACGATGAATTGACTCAAACGTTGTATAATCAAAATTGCATTGATAAGGTGCAATAACTTTGAACCTCATCATATTTGCGACGATCCTGTTGTAAACGAACCCTGCAGCTCGCGTTGTTGTGAATTAAAGCCCCAAGGAGGTCAGTATGCAAGGGGGAACATCTTCAATATGCAGACATCGCTCATTCTGCAAAATCCAACTACACAACAATGCTTTACCTTTTTCCAACCATTATCATGCAATCTATCGAGCGCTGTAATGTAAACAGTATAGTATCCAATACATGGTACATACCAACTTTACTAAACGAATCCTTGACGACGACTTTACTGAGAGAGGATCCTATTTTTCGATAATTATTTATTATTTCTTCTTTTGCAATGTTGAAAGGTTGCAGTTTGGTCGTACTGTATTTTATCAATGTATGCAGCAAGATAAATGACATGATGGACGATGGTGCTACTGTACTCTTGTTGTATCTTTTGTCTTTTTAAAAAGTAATTTCGCCCACCCAATTTTTTCGTCGATACCGATGCGATGTTTGATATCTGAAGTCCATAATTTTTCGAAGCGGATAGATGGCGACGGCGGCCAGAACGAGGCCCAATGAAATGGAGACAGTGATGACCAGCATATGTGCTGCGAATACAATGCCTTGTTGACCGGCGTGAGCAATTACGAATACTTCGGCAATAGTATTGCCCGTCGTCAGCATTTGGCCAAAAGAGCCCAGAGAAGATGTGACGCCAACCGACCCAGGCACCAAGAACAACAACCCCGCAATCATATCCACAAATCCGACCGTGGAGCACAATCGCGCATATATATTGGCTGAAAATCCTACTACAAACGATGCCAAGACGGTCGCGAGATGCCGGTAAGTCACTAAACTTTCTAGTGATATATACTGGACACTGTGGGCTAGAATGGCGAGGATCAGCATGATGGGGAATTTACGCGGATGGCCACACAGAATGACAATATTGGCCGCAGCAAAAAGAGGCACCAAGAGGATATGGTAATAAGCAGATAAACCTGCAGTGCACACAGATTCGGATGATTTGAAAATGAGCGACGGCCACAAGAATTCATGCACGCTCGAGCCAATGGCTAAACCGAATCCTAGAAGAAGCGAATACACCAACGTGGTGGTCAATCGCAAAGTACCGGCCATGATACTGCCTGCTGCTAATTCCAGAAGCGAAATCAGGGTGGCATACCCAGGCAACAAACTGACGATGCCTCCAATCGACAATGCATAAAAACAAGAAGTAGTACTGGAAAGGCGCGTCGATATCGCCGCAGCCAGAAATCCCACAACGGCGCTTATCAACACATCAAAAATACTGGCAAACCGCGTGACATGCCTGGAGACGTTCAAGTACCCCACTGCGACAAAGATCCCGAGAAAGAAGCCGATAAACATATCCGCGTGATTTCCGGTGAAAAATAAAGACGTGCTCGTGCTGGACGATACGCCGTAAGCGAGAATGATCATCCACTGAGGATACAGGGACGGTTGAAGAAGAATCGGATCAAGCATATGCGTGGCTTCTTTCAACGAAATTTCGTCGCACAAAATGGATTCAAACAGTTGATATATGCGTGTGAGTCGATACAAATCAAGCCCTGAGTCGACTTTCACCAGTTGAATGGATTGCTTCAAGGTCTCTAGCACGTGTGCATTGGTTGGTAAGTATCAGGATCCGCACAGCGACACACGCTGTCGTATGGTCTTACCTGGATCACCGAGAGAGATAACGAGAAAGCCGGGAAAATATCCTACTTGAGCTATCATCCGAAATTTACATGTTAGCAGCTGAACGCAATGGTCGAGTCGATGGGAAGGGGCTCCGTTGGCAATCAGCGCTTTAGCGAATTTTATTAAGAACCGGTAAGCATCATGGTGCTGCGAAGTGATGCTCGGCGATCGTAGCGTGGACGAGGACGAAAGAAAGGACTGAAGCAAGCTCTGAGGAAAGGGGCTGCTCGGATTGAACAAATACGATGACGTGGCGGAAGCGGTAGACCGATGTCGACTGTGAGCAGATCGTCGGTAATGCGTGTGCTTGGTAGGTGATGGGATATCAATGCAGCACGTATTATCGTTCTGGCGATAGTCTTGACAATCGATTCCGTCGATCGTATTTTTCCATGCCATCTCAAACATGGACTTGGACCGGGTGTTTTTCTTTTTTTTCCTAGATCCACAGTGCCAGATATCAGACCAGCCATTCATTGTCGCGATATCATGGGGAGTATGAGACGTACGCTTTGACCATGGGTGCATCTTTTTTTTTGTTATACTGAGAGAAAGAAATGACACATAAAGAAGACTGGATAGGTAGATGATTGGCAGATGGATGGATAGACCCTGAACAATTAAAATTGTATAATTCAAAACGAATAGAAGAGAAAAAAAAGAGATAATTCACATTCTTTTGATGCATTCTCAATAATATAACAGCTCCCTGAGAAATCAACCTCCTTTGCGCCTCCTTTTTTTTCATTTGCTTTGGGTCTTCCATTGAAAATCGACGTCATGGTTAGTTTGTACATTCGAATTTTGATCAGATTACGCATTGTAAATTCTGATTTCTACTTCATTTTATTCCCGATCAACCAATATGTACAGTTTTATTTAATGGGGTCTTGTCTAGTCCGCATGATTGGAAGGCTGCGGTCGAGCTACGAATAAAAAAAATTAAAAAAAAGAGAGCGGTTAAAAGCGAGAAAACAGGAGAGACATGTCTGTTTAATTAATAGAACCTACTTTTGTAGACGGGCTGGATTTCGTAAGCGTTGGGACTCACTTCTCTGGGATTTCGCTTATTACGCGCACGACGTTGCCGAGCACCATGACGATGGCCGCACTTGTGTTGATGGCTATGTTTATCGGTATTGTTGTCGCTTTCGTTGCCACTACTACTGCTACTGCTATCGCTGTCCGAGCTACTTTCGGAATCGGACGATTCTCCAACAACATGAGGTTTATGATAAATGCAGCAAACTAAACGAGAATAAAAAGAATATGCAAAAGCCGAATCAGAATGGTGTCAGTCCATATTGCAACCCGGGTTTTTAGACTCACTCTTTGATTTCTTCTTGTTCATATGTTCGTTATCTACTACGTCTTCATCCCAACGGATAGCTCTGGGTCGTCTTGCTGACATGTCGCCGGTCAATCGTAAAATGCCTACTTCTTCGTCGGACGGGGTTTGTTGACCTTCGCTCTCCGTTGCTGACGTCGGATCAATAGTCATTGTTCTCGAGCCATGCGTAGGTGTACTGACTTCATCTCGCATTCTCGTTGATTGGCCTACATATCGTGTGTCCTGAGAATGGGCCATGGCGGTTGGTTTGTAACGTACAGAAAACAAAAAATTTGAGCAATGCAATTTTCAATCGAAAATTTCTAATCCAACCGGGTCAGAAAGGCGTTCTGCACACGGGCGGAGATGGAAAATATCCGTATCGGCCATTTGGGGCTCACGGTTATTTTCGAGCAAGTTCAACCCTCGGGTTTTGATTGGACCGCCAATGCACTGGCAACCGCTGTCCATCAAAGGAAACTGTAGATGAAAGGTCTCGTTGAGGATGTCGGCCCCAGCGTTTGCTCACTATCTCGTGACCTATAATTCAACGATTGTTCCGGGCAGTGCGAATTTTGGCAGTGAGCGATGTCTTTGGCTCGCAGTAGCTTATCCCTTTTCTACGACCTTCGGCGTGCATTACATAATCTATCATTTAAACATGAGCTGGGGTAGAAAGTTTACACCCGTTGATTGTTTCTCTTTTCCGCAACCACAACTTGTTTTTTACGAGCATCTTCCCATTATGGCGATACATAAGCCGCCAGGACAGATCCCAACCTCGTTGTGCTGCCAAACATTCATTCGTACCGACATTGGAAATCGACGCAACAATCTCCCGCCGCTTCCCCTTCACTATGATCTGAGCAGATAAATCAACAAAATCAATCAGTCACCGCTCTCACAAAATAATTGGATCTTGTATATCATGGGTGAGGGGATGCATGATCAAGTCGCTCGTTAGTCGAAGCCGGTATTTCTTATGCACATAAGTTTTGGCCGGCTAAAATCTATTGTTTGAGCTAGATGCATTGACAATTACCTGCATCACTATGGCTACTGTTGCATTAAATTAACAGCTGATCATGCAATTAAAAGCAACAAAGGCGTACTTGAGATCAAAGTATCTTGCAGTATGAAGGTGATTTCAGCATTGGTCACCCTTAAATATGGAGACTGCTACAGAAACGGTATGTGATAGATCACAATACTGCAAAACGATTTTGGCTTTTTGCTTTTATAAATTTGATCCCACAGTCTCTTGCTTGGCATCTCTCATTTATGTGTTCTCCAGTGCAGCACTGCACAAGCAAAATAATTCATATGCGTAACCAATGAACCATCACCACCAACATGTGCCGTCATTCACGGACGAGCAATCGCAAACGACAAAGGAATGCTGTTATATGAGAACGCTTTCTAAGTAACGTCAGCTTGTCACAACCGAAGGCCGCTAAAATAAACAAGCAATACTTGACTTAGTGCTGTGAGAGTACCAATTTGGTCAACGAAACAGCAACTGTTCTTCATTTGTTGAAGATTGACCTTCACTTTCCTCACCGATCCATATCGCTACATACAGGCTTGGTACGTTACGAACTACCAAATTTTGACCCGTTTAATGATATAATGGAGAGTCCAACACGTATCAGACGGATAGCACAGAGTTAATACTCACACGCACTGTACACTGTGGAAGACCAGTCATCTTATAAATACGTACAGGGAAGATGTCAGACTCACGATGGTGGGAAAAAAGTCACTTGGACCCCACAGTCTTAAACTCCTTGGCTTTTGAGATGGTTTGGGCATCTAAATGAAAATGACCTTAATATAAAGGAAAGCGAAGTGTTTTTCATTTATTTTTCTTTTTATATGAAGTGGCGTGTAGTCGTCTACAGGACATTAAGCCCACTTTTTATTTTATTATCTATTCAACCCACAAAGAATTGAGAAAAAGAATAATAAAGGCAAAAAGCTTGCCTTTTTTTTTCATTTCCCTTTGTTGCGATTAAAAAGCAAACCAACCGGCGCCTTCCGCACAATGAGCAAGCTGATGGCTAGTCAGTTGCCCAGGCGGAAGAGCCGACGGGAACGAAAACAATCTTCTTCAAAGAGTGGCCAACTCCTATCATTAGAAGATGGTTTTACCGATTTTTTGCCATACCCCGAATGCTTTACAAAAATCAGGCATCCATCATCACCAGAAACCACCAGCCTAGCAGCCTCGGCTCCGGATTGGCTTATGAAGAGAAAAAAAATGAGGAGGAAAAAACGCCCTCTTTTTATATCTTTTGCGGACCTTCGATTTGTGACCCTGTTTTATGACCGCGAATGCACCTCATTGGCTCGATTCTCGCAACAAAACTGGCGAAATTCAGCGCCTCACACTTCTTTCGCGTAAAGCTTGCAAAGAGAGGCTGCGCCATGTCATTCATGTTGCCACAAACAACCAATGTGCACTATAGTCACTCTATAGCATGCAGTATAGACTATGGCTGACTCCTGATTGCGAAATGCTTCAGTCTTTACACATATTCTTTTATCTTTTGTATGGTAGGAGGTCATTTTCAGAACACCTCAAGAACATTTCGGGGCTACGCTACCCGGTTCTCACTTTATACATACCAATATCAGCAGTTAGACTATGCATGCAAACGCGGTAACGGCATGGTTGCTTCCCGGTGCGTGCTGCACTTTCTTTCGCATAAACTGATTTATCTGCAGGACTGGTGAACATCTCCACTTCAAATTGGCTGAACTCATAGGTCCGACGCATCAATTGGTAAACCGCTCCTGCGCTTAATGATACGGTTTGTTGGCTCGTAAAAGCGGGACTGGTCTTGCACCCATTCTGTTGAAGTTGCATCAGACGGAGCCATCTCGTTGCTCAGCTTGGCCAAAGCGATGAATTCTTGCATGTAGTTTCGTGTTATCATTTTCATGGGCATAAATGGCAGAAAATTTGATTGACCACGAAAGCTAAAACCTGAGCTGTCCTCGTCCGTCAACTGAGTGCCTCGATACATGGAAGAACATATTACCTTCTATAGTGCAGCTGCTGACGATTATTTTGACAGTCGCAATATATTTTTGTTGATAATTCTTTCAAAGCATGTTCCAAATAAAAATAAGTCAAGTTCAAATCTATATAGCAATGCAAAAGATATTTTCTTTAATATTATTTTTCTACGCGGGGGTGACTTGAAGTTCGGCCAAAACAGTGAGAATATACTTGGACAGTTTGGGTCGTTGAATGGCTAGAAGCATTAGTTCATTTTCGTAGGGTAAGTAATGGATATGATGCTGCTTGTGCCGGACGAGGTTCCGTAATAATAATGCAGCGGTCAACGGCACGCCCGAAACCTCGCTGTCATCTATTGGCATATGCAAAGCGTCGGGATAATGCGGCTTTTTACTATGAGCTGTTGCTTTCGGTGCGAAATGAATGCGTAAATGCGCCATGAGTGCCGCTCGGTTGGGTAATCGTCTCTTTTTACAGTTGATCCAGTGACATTCGTATTCCTCCGCCTCATTCGGACGCACATGACGAGACACGATATGTTGATGCAGATCCGCCTCGGATTCAAATGTTTCACCACAATCTCGCCACCTGCACCGGACCACTGAAAATAAACCCATCCATCATCATCAGTCGATGTTTTGACTTCATCACGTAAGCATAATCTACACGTACCTTCCGGCGGTTTGGTCGGTGCATTTTTCATGTTGTGTAATGTTACGTCTTGTAAAGCTACCGAGCCGTTGGCCATGTTGGCTTCCGTCGATGCAGGTTGGGGATGCGCAATTTTAAGTACGGTGTAAAATTCCTTGACTCCCAATGGTTTCTCGGCCCCGAATAAGTCGCGATAGAGACCGTAAATATCTTTGAGAACAAATGTATCGTCTGCACTGCCGCTCACGAATTTTTCCCTGAGCCTGTAATGTGTCCTCGCGTTAACCAACTTGATTGCCTTTTTCTACTCTCCATGTGTCTACAGCCGCCACTTACCATCCCAGACATCGATAAGGTTCGTCCAAGTGAGCATAGTTGGTCAAATCCGGAATCGTCGGCGCTTGCGGTTTGGACGGCACAGGCACATGGTTCGCCTGTACGGCAGGAATCCCATGAATGGTGCCGGTCAATGACCCTGAAGGAGGTAACAGTGTTGATTTATAGGACAGATATCCTGTTAACAAACCGATCAGATTGCCAGGGTATTCTTTCACCAGCTGTGCGGCAAAATTTCCACGCAGCCCCGAATACTGATAGAGGTATTCTAACGTGGCTGCGGCGAGTTCCTCATCATCCAACAGCAGAAATTGGGCCATACGACCGATGATGGCCGAGTTGGCGATCCCAAGCACACGTTCGTTGAATTCGGTCACCGCCACACGAGTGAGAGAGCGTATGGAGCCGAGGATCAGCGCGCGATCATTCGTAAACAGTAGATAGGTCATCACGGTTAAATAAGAGTCGTTTGGACTGGACACAGTGACTTGCGGGGCAATGTTTTCCAGAATATCCAAGCAGTGACGGGTTAATTCCACGTAAGGTGAAGAGGGCGGCAATGCGATTCCCAGCATCAGCAAATGTCGCAGTTTTTCGTGGTGTGCTAATCGGCGGATATTGATTTCGAGAAAGGAGAAGTTGCGTAAAATGTGGAAGACCTGTAATACGCGTTCGAGCATTTCTTGATCTTTTTTGCTGCTGAAAATGACGGGATCAATCTCTCCCGGTGACTTGGGATTGGCTACTGCTGGTTCTATATGTTTTTCGAAAAAGGGATCGGTGAACCCCAGCAAAAGATCCACCAACACCGGCATGAAATCGAGACTGAAATTTTCAGATGCATAAGAGAATTTCACGAGTGTGTTGAAAGCCCAATCGATCTCATTCGGTAAGCAGGATTTCAGTGCTAATAAAATCCGTGTACGGAATTCCTCATCCATGAAAACCGCTACAACGATCCGCTCAGCGGTTAGGTCAAACCCATCCTTTCCAAGCCTATGATAGTGATTTCTTACCTGGGACATACGGATTCATCATAGCGGGCATGGGAGGCTGAAAAATGGGTGGTTGAGGTGGCAACTGTTGTATCCTCATATTCGGTACGTTGGTGTTGTAGGAAGGTTGTATGAAAGCTTTAAATACGCAGGTCAATACTTGTTCGCGCTGATGGATTTAATTTATAGGGATTATTTTTCGCGCGTTACGCACCTGTGGCTGTCTGTCTGGCGGTGTCGCGTTGTTTGACGGCGATATTTAATGGAGAGGAGGATGCTACTTTGTTGTGTGTTTTTTGTTCCACAAGATCACTCGGTGGATTCCAGGGCCGTTTCCAGTAATGTTCCTCTTCCCAGCCCAGCTATTTCATGCAATGGGGGTTCTTCGTGTTATTGAGATGGAATCGTGGCCAGCATCAGAGTTTTTTGCTGCAGTGGGGGTCACTTACCAGTGATCGAGTATATATACTTTTCAGGACATAGGCACTATTTGTACATGTCGGAGGAAAGTTGAAGGGATCGCCGACTTGTTTCCAACCACGATTTTGCGTGACCTAATTACGGTTTGATCAAGGGGAAAAGAAAAACAATGATCGGTCATTCAAGGTGTGGAATTGGATGGGTGGATCAAAATACTGTACTTTATCGTAACCGCCTGCTTCAATGACTGTTTTATAGATTTTAAGCAAATCGAGCTTTTTGCCACCGAGCACAGGTTCCGTTTGAAGAAATGTTCTGCAATTTCAATAAAATAGTTGATATTAATCGCGCTGCTGGTTATGATTGGGAAGTGGAAATCCAACTGGCGTTTTGGTATAACAAAGAGAAGAGATGCGCTCACCCTTTTCTATCGTGGAACTCCTTTAGCTGTCGCATGAAATCTTCATACTCTGCCGTTCGTTCAATTGCTTCCACTGGCTGCGACATGATGCGCTCTCTCAACAAAAAAAAAAAAAAAAAAAGAGTCGTCGATCGCAAAAAGGGCGCGCACAAATACTTGGCTGAATGACACACGAACTTCCAATCAGACGGATGAGCGATCAGAACCCAAAATGGAGGCCGTGTTTCAAACACCGACAAAGACGTCATTGCCCTTACACGCATCGACCACAACTGACGGGGGAACCTTTTATTTTTCGCGTGCGCCTGCAGTGTTCATACTCATGTAGTTCATATCATTGTTTCGACGTTGGCGCAGTTCGTTTGTTGCATTTTTTTGTGTCATGTTCTTTTCTCTTTCTCTGCTCATCCTTCGAGCTCCCCTGACTCTTACCTTTTTACCCTCACGTCAAGTTTTCAATCTATGCCATCTGAACCAGTGCTTCCTGACAAAGAGTGTAAAGAAATAAGATGTTGCACTCAACCTTTTTACCCTCACGTCAAGTTTTCAGTCTATGCCATCTGAACCAGTGCTTCCTGACAAAGAGTGTAAAGAAATAAGATGTTGCACTCAACCTTTTTACCAAAGGAAAGGAAATTGCGGCTGGCCCTGTCGGCTGGATATTGAATGCGAGAAACACTGGTGTGAGACAGTTGGCTCACTATAGCAACCGAGTGCAGCCCTTGTTGATTCCCACTTTCTCCCTTCAAATGATTAAACTCGTCTCTTCCAATTTTCTTCACGTCCAGTAATGAAGAAGAGCGCCAGGAACGTCTCCAGCAAGAGGAATGGCTATTATTGGATCAAAATGAAAAGATATCTGCTCATTATTGACAAAAAAAATTGATAAGAACCATATCAATAGATCATCAACAGTTCCAATGGTGGTTCCAATTATATGTTTACATTGAAATTGTCGACCCTGACTAACTTTTCTCTCATTGAGGTCAACTTGGCATGATTCACTGTAGTGGAACCGGCCGATTTTTCCTCAGCAGTGCTGCAACTAGAAAATGATACAACGATTTTAAAAGGCATAACAACCTTTGGTCTATCACATGAACTAGCCAATAGTACACATAATTAATATGGGTACTGGTCTACTCTAGTGAGATAGGATTACCCGTGTCATTTGCATGTTATTTTTAAAAAGCCGATTGAGTGGACATTGGTTGGTGATGAAACATGCTGTATTTTTTTTCTATTAGATGGGATGTATAGTGTAGAGTGGTATACTATATGCTTGATTTGATAAAAGGAAGAGAGGGAGAGAGAGGGGGGGTGCGTAAGAGAGTGCAGGTGTAAAAATTACAGTGGGCCGAAATCCCAGACGCGAATGTCGCCGCCCTTGGATGCACTGACGATCTTGGTGTCACTCAGTGCGACCGCCGTCACGGGAGCTGCATGACTTTGGAGTGAATGCAAAGTGCACCCATTCTCCATATCCCAAATTTTAAGCATGCCATTTTCGGACCCGGAAATCAGTCGTAGCTTATCGTAAACCAGTGTGCGAACCCCGTGTTCATCGAATAACGTACGTAGACAAGACCCTGTCTGCAGAGACCAGATCTTCATGGTTTTATCGAGGGAACTGGAGATAATGACAGGTGTCGTGTGATCATCATCGGTATCAGAGGAAGGCTCATGGTAATTGAGGTCACTGTCATCGTGGGCTTTGGAAACGATTTGGGGTGTTTCCGCGGAACCTTGCTTCTGTGCTTCCGTGAAACGATGGGGAAATCCAGGCATACTCGGTTGCGCCATCTGAACGTCGGCCATATGGCCCCGGAATACAAAGGTACAAGTTCGGGTTTCAAGATCCCAAGCGCGGACGGTTTGATCACTGCTTGCCGATATCACGGTATGATGCTGATAAATTTGAACATGGTTTACAGGCCCTGTATGGCCCGCCAAGGTAAAGCATTCACCGGTTTGAAAATTCCAGATCTTGATCGTGGCGTCGGCGGAAGCACTGGCAAGGATTCGTGAATCAAAATGAAGATGCAAAACGCCGTCGGTATGTCCTTCGAGGACACGCATGCATTCGCCTGTACGATAATTCCAAATACGCAGTGTATGATCCATGGCTCCCGTGATAAGTTTGGTATGATCGAATTGCAGCGTCTGCACGGCTCGCGCATGGCCTTTGAGAGTCTGGAGAAGACCGCCCGTCTCAAGATTCCAAACCATCACCGTTTTATCCGCCCCACCCGAAATCAAAATGTTTTGTCGTTCACAAAATTGGATGCACATCACACTGTCGGCATGTTTGCTCGCCATCGTTCGTGTGGTGGATTTGTTTTTGCGCCAGTTGCGTTCAATGATCAGTCGTTCGCTGTACACATCCTTCCAAGGTCGTCGGTCGATCCGCTTGGATGAGTCCTCAGCCCCTGCGTCATGATCTTCCAATGGACGCTTCAGAGACGGTCGGGCTACCCGGTGTCGCTGTAACAATGGAAGCGCCCAACCACATTTGGTACATTTTTTGTCAATGTGTTGGAAACACATTCGCCGCCAAAGCAAATCATCGTCGGCATACAGTTTCCACCGACGGCAAACCGTTGTGGCAGTACACAAGGACTGTGCATCTAAATAGGAGAAAATCTTGCCACAGATCTCGGCCGGCAAGCGAGTGGTGAAATCGGATCTGAGATGGGAATGGATGGTATCGTAGAGAGCATGCAACTGCGATCTGTCGCACAGGGATAATAAACCGTCAAGAATCGCCCAGCGTTGAGCAGCCGAAGCATGACGAAAAAATGTCCACGTGGACAGCACTGCCAAGTGGTCATTCATGGGAAACAATGCAAGTGTCTATGCACGGCAGCCAGCAAAAAAGAAAAAAAGAAAAAAAGTTTAATGATACGTACGACTAGAGCCGATTGGTATGCTTTATGCATCTTACCTCTTTTTTAACGGATTCCATGGTATCTTGATAATGATGTAAATCAAAAGAGGGTAAATAAGTAGACATGAAGTGATTAAATAGGTAACAGAAAAGAAAAAGGATGACAAGAGAGGGAACAAAGAGGCCAAACAAAAAGACTGGATCACTCTTTAAAAGTTCAAATGGCGCAATTTGAGTCGGCATCACTGAGCATCTCCCATTGACAGCTGCGCACACAATTTCCTCGGCCTCTTATTGGTCAATGAGAAATTGCACCATCCGTGACAGCAAGGACGCTAATCGGGCAAGTCTGAACGAACGGAAATTTTGCGATTTATTACAAATTTTAGAAAGTTTTTCGAATCTAAGCAGATAACATAATACCAACACCAAACTTGCTTTGACCCTGCATAAAAATGGAAATTTCAAAGAAGCATTAGAAATGTCACCGAAATAAACATGGATAGGTCATGAGCCGCTGTCAAAAAAAATATTGCCTACCTTCATATGATCCAGATCACCGCTAATAAGGAAGGAGAAACCAGGTGCCATCTTTTCTTCTAATACGGCGGATACTCGTCCCGTTGTATCGATCTGACCGCGGAAAGTAGCTTGTCTGAAATCAAACTTGCCACCCACCGTAGCCACCGCTTCTCTTCGTCCACCCTGGCTCATAATGTTAAGTTCCACACCGAAATCGACCTTTTCATTGATACGCTGATAATAGCTGGCCTGCAGCGCACCCATGCCTTGCAATTGAGCTGTAGCGATAAAGTCCTTGCCGGTATATTTGCCGACCAGTGACATGGCGGTTTCTTCCATGTCGGGGGTAGGTCGCTGTAACACGATCTCGGAACCGACCGCAAACTGAGCGGTGATGGATTGGAGATAAGACGCCATATACAAACCAGTGAATTCTAAGGGATTGGGGTTCATAGCCTTGACATTGATAGAATAATCCGATCCAGTGTAATCTTGATCCACTTGCAACATGGAGTGGCCGGGCATATTTGTCAACTAAGTAACATAACAAACGACCCAATTTAATACTTTTGTTTCCATGCCATTCCGTGTCTTTCTATATCTTATCTCCCTTTCTTTTTTCTTTACCTGAGCAACAATCTTGGTGGCCGACTTGGGAGACCACATGTGTCTAATGACGGCATTAAGGTTGGTGTCATTATCCATGGTACCCTGCGCCATGGTCTGTGGCGGCAAAGGAAAAAAGAAAAAAATGTCGTTCCATGAGTAAGATCGTAATCGTGCAAAAGACTTTCTTGTTATTAGCGCTTACTCTTTCGGTCATGTAGCCGGACATAAAGTTATACATGGGAGGGGTGATTTGCGAACCAAGCGAGAATTGATGCTGCACATGGAAGTTGCCCGATAATTCCTTAATAATGTTGGCTTGCGCGCCGTCGAACAAGTAATTGGCGGTAAAGACATCTAATTGACAAATGAGATCAACATTGGTGCGACTGAATGGGGTGGTGCTCGTGAGTTATTGGTGAGAATCGAAGTTATTTACCCTTGGCCTCGCTGTGAAGACGTTCGAATTTGCCTGGGTTAGGCAAACCAAGGCGGTTCTTTTGGTAGCCGAACCAACCGGGCCAGTAAAGAGGGTTCCAGGGCGAGCCGGCAGGCTTCTGGTCCTTCAAAGGCAATGAAGCCGACAAGGGCGAGAACAAGCGAGGAGGAGTAGCAAGGGCTTCGGGAGGAGCTGCCATTTTCTACACGGGAACGAAGACTGTAAAAGGGCTTGTTGATTAAAAAAAATACACACTTGTAAAGCCCCCCCACTGCTATAGTGCGCAAATTTTCCATCTCCGCCCAACCGTCAGCTCGATAGGCGGGGAGGAAAAAAAAAACAGTGACCATTTTTTCAACACCTTTCAGTGGCCTCATTTTTTGGAACAGCGGTTCACCAACCCAAGGTGGCTTTGAAATTCTTTTTGACTCCTCATCATCATCAAGCGCCTCATCAAAGCGAATAGGAAAAAGAACATAACATGAATTTTGAAATAAATCTATTTTATGGGCAAAATTACTTGACTGCTATAACATATAAAGATGCATCCATTGTGCTTTTTTTCAAGTATGTGGCACGTCATTTTTACGCGAAACCACTTGAGGTGAAACCTACAACCTCATGATTAGATCCATATCCTGGTTATCTATTCTGATGGTCATCATTTTTTTTTGTTGATACACCCAGTTCCAATCCGAAGATCACCGTATCATTGCGGAGGATAAGTGATCCAAGATGATAATTTTTGTTGAACAGTCTATAGGTAAAAGTTTATTTTGTTTGGAATAAAATGGACATGGTCTACATACAGTGGAAGTGCATTATCGTGTTTTTAAAACTTGCAGTGGCCAGCATAGCGAGGCATAGGTACAACTTCACGCACATTTTCTAATCCGGTTAACCAAAGCATCAGCCGTTCGAACCCAATGCCGTAACCACCGTGAGGCGCACTGCCATATTTACGGAGATCAAGATACCATTGATAATCCTCCATGTTCATCTTGGCTTGTTTCATCTTGCCTTCCAAGATATCATAACGTTCCTCACGCATTGATCCTCCCACCAATTCGCCAATACCAGGTACTAACAGATCGAAACAGGACACTGTCTTTTCATCACTGTTTGCCCGCATGTAGAATGGTTTCAAGTCAACAGGATAATCGGTCACGAAAACAGGGGATTGGCAGTATTCAGAGGCTAGATAGCGCTCGTGCTCGGATTGTAAGCTGGAACCCCACGTGGTAGGGAAATTGAATCGTTTTTCTTTATCTTGAACACGTTGAAGAATGTCAATCGCTTCGCTGTAGGTCATACGCACAAAAGGTCGGTTCACGGTCTGTTGCAATCGGTCCAGCAGCGTGGGATCGGTCCACTTGTTGAAAAAGGCAACATCTTCTGCGCATTTATCCAAAACGTGACGAGTGGTATCTTGAACACTGGCTTCCGTGACGTCCAGCAATTGATCCAATTGATCGATAAATGTCATCTCAGCTTCCAACATCCAGAATTCCGCCAAATGACGTGAAGTCAAGGATTCTTCGGCTCGGAAAACGGGTCCAAATGTATACACTCGTGAAAGCGCCGAAGCCATGATTTCAGCGTGCAATTGGCCGGATACCGTCAAATAGACGGGTTTCTTGAAAAAGTCTTTTGGTAGTACTTGGAACACTTCGCCTCCACCCTCACAATCGTGCGATGTAAAAATCGGTGTATTCACTTGCACAAACTCTTGTTCCTAAAGCCCAAGATGATTCCCATCAGTACATAGAATTTTCTCAGACACTCTATTGGTCAGGGAGATACTTTACCGCAAAGAACTTGTGTATACCTTCGCCTGCGGCATTGCGCATACGAAGCACAGCGCTTCCTGTATTGCCACGGGCTCGGAGATGACCAATGGTTCGAAGAAATTCCAGGGTATGTCTCTTCTTTTGCAAAGGATAAGACTGTTTTAAAAAACCTCAAGTCAGTCCATATCTATTATGTGAAAAAAAACACGCCCATGGAGAAACAGCCACACGACTTACACCATCGCATTCGCCCAGCACCTTGCATGCCGTCACTTGCAACTCTTTGCTTTGTTCCTTGCCGGGGCTGTTGGCCAATGTGCCTTTGAGCTCGATACAAGCGCCGGTAGAAAGCCTATGGCATGCGCTCATGAGCTTATTTTTTTTTCTGATACCTTGCGAGTATAAAACTTACTTGTTGGCATCCGCCTCGGACAGAATGGCTTGAATTCCTTTTAAATTGCTGCCGTCATTGATATTGGCAAAGGAGACTTGTTTTTGTTTACGAACGGATCGCACCCAGCCTCGCACAACGACGTCGGTTCCCGTAGTCGAATCGCCAGAAAGGAGAGATTGAATCGTTCGAGTGGGAAATAAGGGTTTTCGAGTACTAGACGAGTAGCATGCCGTCTGGAAGGCGGTCCGAGGAGAAGGAATTGACCGTCTGCAGAATGCTAAACGGAACATGACAAGAATTACAACGACGGGTCGGTATCAATAAGGAAAGCACTTCGACGCAGGGTTCAGAACAGATTGTCAAAATTTCGAAAAATTCCCAATTTTTTGGAACTCCCAAAAACAGAAACATTGTCAGGGCTCAGACGGAAAAACACAGCGACATGAACGGCATGCCTTCTAAAGATTTATGCAGATTCTATTGATCAAAATAAACATAAACTTATTCGCAAATATTTGATTCGAGGCGTGGCGACGCTGGTTTACTAATTCCTACTGTCGTTCCTTTGTATGAATGGATATGCTCAACAAGGAGAAATGGATTATGGACGACGAATAGAATAAGATAGTTTTGACAGATCATTTAGCGCAATATGGACCTGAACAGGAAATTATGTTGTTTTGTCCATATTTCGTTATATATAACGAACCTCGCTGATACTCCCACTGGAATAGGCTGTTCAGTCATTTTCCACCTAAAATGATTATAGGACGAGCAACAGAAACTGCCCGAGTTCCACCTATTCAGGGCTAAATTGGCCTGTTCATCCTTTTACTACATTTGGTGAATAACCACCATGACTTTGGCTAATAATCACTGTAGCTTTGGTTAATGAACCGTAACGTAAAAATGAACTAAAGGCACCAAGCGGCGTCCCGCAAAAAAAAAAAAAAAAAAAAAAAAAAAACCATCCTTCAATGGACCTAATCATAGCAAAAAGGGCATCCAAGAACATCTGACTGGCTTCACAACGCGATGCAATATCTCACATGGACATAAAGTACGTGAAAAGCAATAGGTGCAGCTTGACTAAAGCGCCGCAACATGCTAGCTTAAACGGCAAACATTATTAATACTTTCGTTTCAGTCGAGTGAAATTGCCCGGAGACTTGCCGTAGGACTCTATGATGCTGCATCTGTGGGGGGCGACTAATATTCACCGTGGTTGAAAGTTAGCCACTCTTGACGGTTACGGCTTTTTTGAGCTTGAAGCTAAAATGATTGGGGGAAAATTTCTCGCTTGAGATCAGCTACGCAGGCATGGGCGCTGGAATACGCAGAACATGGAAGCCTGTTACCTGACGTCCCTTCCACGAGAATCGGTTAGAATTATCATGGTTTCTCTGGGGCGAAAGGCCAGTATTGGTTTCCTCGTGCGACGGTCACTCCGTCAGAAAACCTCCAAAAGAAGGTGTTTCCGATGGTGGATCGCGTACTGGCTGATGTGCAGATCGGAGCAGTTTGTGAAAATTCTCTTTGTGCTCAGGCATTCTTGCAGCTGCTGAAGATCATGCGTATGATGCTCTTGCAAGATGCGGTCATGTTTCCCATTGACCAATGCAATATTGCTTTTTTCAGCCACGAACTGTTCCAAGATCCCGAGTTATTGGCGGTTTTACATTTCCTCGCCAAGATATCGATGGTCAGGCCTTCAAAACGCCAAGGCAATTCCAGCGATCTGACGAAAAAACGGAACATTACCTCGAGACGGTCTCCGGTTGCTAACTCTCGGATTATGCTCCAGAATTTGGCTGCCATTCACTATATACGCAGAACGGAGCCGAAAATCGCCAGCCTAAGATCGCCGCAAGTCATTGTGGAAAGTGATGACCCAGCCTCGCCGGAGCTTTGGGGGCCTTTCTCCTTGATAACCGAGTCGGTAGGGTCATTCGGCACTCAAAAGCCGTTGGAATGGTTCATGCGAACCGATTTGGAGCCCCGGATATCCGCATTGACCCTGCTGAATGCGTTGTGAAAGCAGCTAAATGCTGGATCAATGGCCAGATTTGGAGAAGTGCTTTCCGCCGTTGCGAAGATGTGACCCATAATTTCTTTGTTTTTTCTCGCTTGACGTGGCTACCAACAGGAGATTCGGACAGCCGATGGATGTTGCAGCAATCATCTATTTTAGATCCATTTGTATTTCTTTCGCCATGCCTTCGAAGGTGTCCCGACGCTGCTGGCAGCCGTCCTGATCGTGAGGACCAACGAGGGCCCTTTTGACCATACAAGACTTCGTCTGCTCCCAGCAAGTTCAAGATCATCGATGTACGGGACATTGTCACACCCGCTGATCGGGTATCAAAAGGCGACCGAAGGGATTATATTTTCTGGTCAAAAAGTGCATGTGTGGAACCTTGCCGCTTAGACCCAGAACTCAAATTTATATACGCACAAACAAATTTTCATACAGTCAAAGATACTTCCTACCTTTTCCCTTCACAATTTTTCATACCATGTCTGACAATAATACCGTTCAAAACATTATTTGAAAATGACATGCTTGCTCCTGCGTTTAAGCAGCCAAATGACTGATCACTCGGTTGACAGTAAAAGCCGAATTTAAAAGGCTAAGAGATGTGCTTGCAGCAGTTCAGGCCGAAAATAGCACTGAGGAATACAGTGCTTAGATTGGAGACCAGGCTCACGAGATGGTGGAACTTTCTGCTCAGGTCTCAGTGCCAGTACACACCGAGGGTCAGCCTTTGGCTGCGAATGCAAGGACTGCTCATGACTTTTCGTCTTTTTCTCGCACCGTGCAGCAGCCGCTAATCACACTGAAGAATGCGGAAACTGTGCCTGCCAAACATTTCTCCTGGAAATTGCATGAAGATCTATTGAAGCAAGCCCTCGGTCCCCAAATGAAGTCAACTATTTCGCGTCTGCAAAAATTAATGTTCGGTCTTTGGCAAACCATGCTTGCCTCCGTGTGCAAGCTGATTATAAGGCAGCAAAACGAGAACCCCTTCGGTTATGGAAGGATGTAGACAACAGCTTCCAGCTGAAGGCTTTCACTGATTTGGAGATAGTGGCCTGTCATGACCTTCCACTGTCGATGTGCGTCAGGCATTGGGGTGCCCGTTTGCTTTTGCGAACTTACTGGCATAAATTGATGAGCAGTAATGCAGGTTAGCAAATATATACAAGGATGCACGACACGCAAATCTGACAGTTTAGTTTCCTAAGGAGATGCGCCGTTACCATCCCTAGGAGCGATTGAATCAGACCTGTTAATGATAACGAAGAAGAGTAAGTTGCATTACGATAGAATACTTTGTATATGGAATTAACACTCGAAGTCCATAAAACCACTGAAGCAACTTACGATGATTTAGCTGAATCTGCTTCTTTGCATATGCTTCCTGACCTTCCTGTGGCAGATGATGAAAGTGAGGAAACCAACCCATTAAAGCGGCAGAGGAGAACTGCAGGTAAGTGAGCAACAACTTTGTAAATACTTGATATTTAATCTTTGACTGTAGTTGACGAGGCTCTCCTCGGTCAAAGGGGTCCACATACTCGTGCAGAGCGTGATACTCGTGGTCGTGGTCGTGGTCATCAGTGGCGGTCGTTGTCGTCATGGCAATATGCGTGTCGGGAAAGGTAACGTTTTCGTCATATAAGATAAGCCAGGTTCTGCGTGATTGAAATTCTTTTATACTTTTTATGACGGAACATTCAAAAAAAAAAACAGAAAAACATGTATATGCAATTTAGTAATGAAACAAATAAAAAGCTTGATAAAAACAATCTGTTGAGATTTTGCTAAGCAAGAGTCAAATGAGAGTGGACCTTTCAATGAGTGGAACTTCAAGTGTGCCGAATTCGGCACACTTTTCAAATCAAAAAACAAGTCCAATAAACATGCGATAAAACCTAATGTAATGCGTACCGTCTAAAAGATAGAAGAACCCTCAAGGCTTTTACTGGAGAGGTTTTAGAACCAGGTGCCTTTCTCGTTTTTTTGTACAATTCTTTCCTGTCAACCATGCCTTGCATTTCCATGTGTCTCCGTGCATATCAACAACCAACAATAACCAGCAATTGTGAGGTATATCGTAAAACTCTAGATGTAGCGTATTTTGAAGTAGAACTCGATGGAAAAAAAATGGATAGAGACAAATAAAAACTGTGCCGAATACTCCACCCATTAAAGTATAACGAAAGTTTAGAAAAAATGGCTTCTTCTCAGCTCAAACTTTCACTAAACTTCTTTCACAGTTTACTATGGTGATTATTGCGCTTTACGATAAAGACAAAATCACTAGTTCGGCACAATATTACTGGAAATGCAAGCGATATGCAACTGATGATAGGAGGTTTATTGTTGCAAATCAATTAGGATTTTAAAGATTTGGGACTGCCCCTTCAGTCAGGTTGTAAGTTTGTAATAAACATCAGCACGAAATCATTCAAGTACTAGGAGCGGTTTCATTAGCAGTGTCGATGAGAATAATATCAACTCAAGCGAAGCTGCGGCAGCGTTACGCGAAATCTGTTCGGCGTTTGCTTCAGCAGTAGCTGAAGGTACACAAGCAGCTGATCAAATCTCCTTCTGACATTGGAAACATGGTGCAACTTCAATCCGTGGTGAATTTTAGCGGATTTTTCTTACGATAAATTGGGTGGTCGATGCGGAAGATCCTGGTGTAAAGGTCATGTTGCCTGGTGTGTTTACGTTCATCTGTTGTACTGATACCTGGAAAGATGGTGCAAAAATTTTTGCCATGAGTTGACGCATTGAAACGAAATTCCAATTACTGTAAAATCTCTTTGCTTTCTCTGTTTTGCCAAGTTGTCATGCGTGAAAACAAAAGTCTGAAAAGGGGTAGTAACGTTATTAGCCGAACTAGTAACACATATAGCTTTGGCGACGATGTGTTTGGTATTTTTGGCCATCGAACACTAACAGCTCGGTTTTTACGATATTTCGAACAACGAACGATGCCTCGCGGGTGGTACAATCCACCTTTCGCGTTGATCTCAGATACTCATTGCTAACATTTTCCGGGATAGATCATGATATACTAACCAAATCAGTATTGTATAATTTTTTTACTTGCTTTGATCGTGCGTCTGTGGGCGTATTTTCTCTTTTTTTTTTTTGTTATACTGTCTTGCATTGATTGTTTCAAGCCAAACCAAGCCAGTCGAGGCACTTTTTAGTGCATTCACAGCACATTTCCAACAATAAAAAAAACTTAAGAACGCATGCTCTACGGTATGATTGCTGCGAAAGCGCTCGGGGGAACATGAGATAATTTCCTGAATGGCTTTGTCAAAAAGCCGGTGATGTGCATATGTTGATCACGTTACAAATATCAATGACACTCCCGCGGATATAACAAATTGGGCATGTTATTTTATTCCGTAAACTACAGCAAGGGTGGTTCCATCATGTGAATATCCTGAAAAAAAAAATTCAGAATCACGATACGGGAAGAAATAGAAATAAAGAAAATCGGAGTTTCATTTCAAGGGTGAATGCCTCCCACGGCAAGTCAGCAAGGGTCGAGTGCTCGTCTTGGCAAATACCATTCCTGCTGAAAGGTCGTTTACAACTCCGTTACAAACATTCAACAAGCGAATGTAACTGTTGCCTTTTGGTCGTTTTTTAGTATTTTTTAATGGTATAAATGGATCTGATGTTTTCCTATCGTTGAATCATATTTGCCACTCCAATGAATGATCATCAGGGTTCACATCGTGGTTCATAATTTGGTGTTGGCATTACTTCGAATTAGTATAACTTAGTAACTGATATGGATGGAGTGGACAATTTGTGTAGTGAATAACTTTTTTTTTCCTATGGGAAAATCTATCATCTTGATAGTTGTAGATAAGCTCAAAGAAGGGTTTGTGGAGTCTCCGCGAGCATTTGATATTTTTTGAAACCGTTGATCTTGGAGACAGCCGTTCCTCGGCATGACGACAGTTAACATAAAAAAAAAAAAAAAAAAAAGTCTGCCGACACCCTGATTGTCTTACCAAAGCAGTGTTACAGTAACCATATCGCTGAATCCATCTCAAGAGTTTTCTTTTCATTAACTGGATATAATCACTAATGGATTACATCGTTTCCATTTCATAAAGACTTATGTTACTTGCTTGTCCTGGTGTGTTAAGTAGAGTCATCGCCCTTTGATACAATGTTTCTTGCTTAGAGGCGTGGGAAATAGTAGTTAATATCCGTTCTTTTCTGAAACCACACCCTGTAGACGGTGTTTCGATGAAAAGTTCAAAAGGGTGGAGTGATTTGCTGAGCGGCGTTTCCATGTTGGACGGAGTTTGATTGAGGATTTTTGATCCTGAAAAGGGAATTAAAACGTGTGTATTGCCACTGGGTCCAAGCGGTAAGAATGGAAGAAGACCAAATAAATGTAACGTTACGCCAATATATTATGATTCCTCTGCTTCCGCGGATTACCCTTTTCGTGGTATGCAGCAGGTTTGATTCGTCAATGGTTGACCCGATTGAAAAAAGTGAGTCGAGGTTTCCTGATCTTTTGATTTTATTCCCAGGCGACCCTGACTTTTTTTTCTTTTTCAAGCCTTGAATTTCCTCATGAATGACCCTGATTCAGCTTCTTCCCAAGAAGTCTGAAAATGATTCAAATGGATCATGAAATTTAAAGGCAATCATTTTCATTACACCTGTCTTACCCATATTATATCGGGTAAACTATATCACTTTTTTTTTGTGTCCTTTGCATTCTGCGAGCTAGCTCCTCACCGCAAGTTTTTCGAAAAAGGGAAATCAGAAATCCTTAAACAACAAAATTCTTCGCGTCTTCAGCGCACTAGGCGTGAGTCCCATTTGTAAGCTGGAATCCCTCAAAGATTATCTGAGGCCCAAAATGAAATGAGTGAGATGCGATATCAGTCAGACAAGTAAAACCTGCAGAGTCTCGAAAAAGTGAGGAGACTGGGAAATGGATCACCGATCGACAAATGAGGTTCGAAATGATGGAAAAAAAAAGGCAGGGGAGAAGGATGACCCTCAAGAAATTTCATAGGATTAGTTTTTCCAACAGGCAGGCACCACCTCCACGATCAAACTCCGCCGTTCTCAACCGGAGAAGGAAGAGGTTGGAAGACGTGGGGTAAAACCGCGGGAAAAGGAGGGCTTCATCGTTCATTGGTAGATCACAAGTAGGGTGAGTTGTGCTTGTGTTACACAGGAAAAACTTCCTCTTTATCCCATGCCTCAAAGTCGATCCAGCAACGATATATAAAGTGAACCGTCCCGGTTTGCCCAAGGCAGCACAAATCTCAACTTGGGGTCTTTTTCCCTTTCCCTGACTTCTGCTTTTTTTTTTACCCTATTTTCTACTTTCTCCTCGTTCACACATTTCTAATAAGCTGAACATGGGAAACTGGCGGGTGTATGTCGTCTGTCTTTATGCCGCCATTGGTGGTTTCTGTTTCGGTTATGACACCGGTGTTGTCAGTGGTGTCTTGACCATGAAGCCTTTTGCCCAGACAATGAGAGGTAAAGAGGAATTGAACGCTCTCGAAAAGGGTACTATCACCGGTCTGTTGCTGGCAGGTTGTTTTGTTGGCTCTCTTTTAGCTGGTAAGTGACCTGGAAAAGGTTGAAAGATGTGACGATTATTTGCACAAAGACTCACCTTGATATCCCTTACTTTGTAGCGCCTTCTGCTGAAATGCTCAGCCGTAAGCGGACCATTTTATTGGGCTGTTTGGTGTTCATCCTTGGTGCTGCTCTCCAATGTGGCGCCAACGGTTATGCCATGATGGTGACGGGTCGTGCCGTGGCCGGTTTGGGTATCGGTGCGCTCTCCATGATTGTGCCTCTATATCAGGTAATAAAGAACAGAAAAAGGAAAAATCAAACCCGTATTAAATTGTTTTTTTTTTCTTGCGTAACCTTGTAGTCTGAACTTGCTCCCAAGAATATCCGTGGTCGTTTGATTTCACTTCAGCAACTGATGATTACGGCTGGTCTCATGGTCGCTTTCTGGGTGGGCGCTGGTACTGAACGTATTGCCAGTGATTTATCGTGGCGTCTGCCTCTCGGTATCCAAATCATTCCTGCCGTTATTCTTTGCTTGGGTGTACTCTTCTTGCCCTTCTCTCCCCGTTGGCTCGTCAGCAAAGGCCGTCACGAAGAAGCTCTGGACGTCCTGGCCAAATTGCACGCCCATGGTAACAAGGAAGACGCTTATGTCGTGTCCGAATACAATGATATCTGTCAGCAAGTCGAATTGGAACGCTCGGTGGCCGTGACCAGTTACTTGGACTTATTCAAGGGTACCGTTCGTCGTCGTCTTGTCCTCGGTATTCTCGTCCAAGTCTTCCAGCAATTCACCGGTATCAACTCCATTATGTACTATGCACCGACCATTTTCAAACAAGCCGGTATTCCCGAGAACTCAGCTACGTTGATCGCTTCTGGTGTGCAAGGTGTCCTGAATATGTTGGCTACCATTCCTGCTGTTCTTTACCTCGATCGCTTGGGTCGTCGTTTGACTATGATCACCGGTGCTCTCTGGATGGCCGTCGCCATGTTGCTCTGTGGTATCGTCATGGCTGCTACTGGTCATGTCTCCTACAACTCTGACAGCGGTGCCAACGAAATCGATATGAGCGGTAACAAGTCGGCCTCCTACTTTTCGATTGTCATGATCTACTTCTTCGTCGCTGGTTTCGCCTATTCTTGGGGTCCCGTCGGTTGGGTCTACCCGGCTGAAATCTATCCTCTTAATATCCGTGCCAAGGGTACTTCCATCACTACCGCAGCCAACTGGCTTATGAACTTTGTCATTTCCGAAATTGTGCCTATTATGCTGTCCACTATTACCTGGGGTACCTACATCTTCTTTGGCTGCTGTTGTTTCGGTAAGCATCGAAACAAATTGAAAGAGAAATCAATCCCTTCAACATCCAGACTAACGTACTGTTTTTTTGTTATAGTGATGGCTGCTTGTGTGTTCCTGTTCTTCCCCGAAACCAAGGGCAAATCCTTGGAAGAAATGGATGCCGTGTTCGGCGGTAGTGTTCTTGCTTTCAGAGACATCAAGAAGCACGCCAACTCCACCATGCCTACTTTGGATGCCAGCGTCGAGAAGCAATCTTTCGGCGACGAAGAAAAGCACTAATCCATCTATCTTGTAACCATAACTGTACTGCATACTATTGTCTTATTCTCTCCACATTTTTTTTTCCATGATTACTTTCATCCTCTGACACTTGTAACTTTGTTTAATCCATTTACTATTATTCTTATTATTAAACACTTTTTTGAATCAACTTGCAGGCGCAGCGTATCACAAGTATCGTTCCAGTTGTTTGTTGTTGATGCATGTTTTTTTATGTCCCGCATGGCCATCTTCACACTTCATCCAAGGGAAGGCATTTATTTAAGCATACTAAGGCATGCTTTTGGAGTTCGCTTTGCATCATTTAGTCCAACCAAACGAGGAACATCCTTGGTGGCACTTGTGATAATACTGTAGCAGAAAGCGTTCGGGTCTCTAACGGTACCCAATTGATAACTGACAAAACTACAGTGTACCAGGCATACTTTACCTACGGTAAAAGGTTATATTCCAAATAATAATGCAAGACGCAGGCTGCAAAGGAGTGTTTATTCCTATCTCAACGATGCTTATTTTTCAGGTCAAGTACTTATGGGTAACAGATGGATTTGGTCCTACGCAAACGGACTGCTGGCGTAAATCAGGACATCCAGGGGCAGCCCCAAAAATCAAAATACCGTATTGAAACCACCTTGTCACTTTTTTTTTGCAGTTTCAGTTTCTTTTTCTATTTTTTGTTGTCGTTACTGCATTCAATCTACCGTTAACGAACCATGAAAAGTCCCACTCCATCCGATACTTCAAGGGATGTAGAGCATCCTACTCACGAACCATTCACATCGCCGAACGAACCCTCCAATGTCAATAACTGTACCTGTTGTGGTGTCCTAATGTTCCCCTTGGCCGCCCTCGGTGGTCTCATCGATCAGATTATGCGAAAAGGATCACGATTAAAGCAAAAACTGACAAAGTCTTCTAGTTAGAACTACCAACTGTAATCTTGAACATATGTACACACTATTATTCAATTTAACACCTATAACAATAATTCTTTCATCTTCAAGGTTTGGCATTCATACGGTTTGTAAGGAAAAATAATGTGGAGATGGAGTAAAAAAAAATATTTATGTGTTATGCTCTACAATGTATGAAGGATGCTTACTTGATACAAAAAACGAAAAAAAAATATGCAGGACATATTACAAGAGTGTTACATCATCATTTCTTCGTCTTCATCCTCATCAGGGCCTTCCGTATTGAGTTGCATCTCATCCAGCATCTCCTCAAGAGAGATTTCTGGGAAGTCTTCTTCTTCTTCGACATCGGTATCCGTGGCCATGCTGTGCTCGGTCGCGGCAGTAGGATTCTGACTCTTGAAGATGTTGATAGTGGATCGGAATTCGGGATCTTCTTCGATATCGCGCATAAACATTTCCATATCGTTTTCGATACGAGCTTGCTCTTGTTTGCGAGGCAGCATTTCATCGACTTCTTTACCAAGCTGAGCCAACTTCCAGTTACGAGCTTTGTTCTTCTTACGACGAGCAGGATATGATTTGCGTACAAGAATCACATCCGGTAAATCGTGACGGTTCATCTTATCAAACTCGTCATTGTTGTAGTTACTTCGTGCCAAATCGTAACCAAGCACTGTGTCACCAGGATTGAGAATGGCACCCAGGTGCGATCGAACAATCGAAATATCGTCGTTGCGTCCAAAGTCCGAAGAGCGAGCCACATGGACATCGGCCAAAGCCAACTTTCCTTTGGTAGGACCCAACAATTCGACATCCAACACCGTATATTCAATCATAGTCTTGACGCTCGCCAGCGAAGGGAAGGGGTTACGCCAGTACACCGATGAAGGTAGTTCGCCGTGAATCATTGTATTCACATCCATGAGCTGAATGCTGTTGCTGACACGGGTACAGAGCAACAACTGGCTTAAACTGCCCATGCTGTTGGCTAATTTCTTGGGTATGCACACTAAATCATCTCTACAGATAGGAACAATTTCGACTAGAAAAGAAAAAATATAATGAGATCTCTGTAACTGATCATACCGAAATATCCTTTTTTGATAAAGAGTGCTTGCTTACCTGAATATGTGAATTTATAATTACTGGTGCTTGTATGAATATCCATTGAGATCAGCTGTTCACTGGTCTTGTACCTAATAAAAAAATAAAATATATAAGTCCATTGCTCTCTCTCTCTTCTGAATCCGTTTTCTTTTATCCTTGTCAAAACTTACTTGATGGGGACCACAGCGTTGAGGAATTCCACCATTTTAATGGCGTGTGCTCGTTGTCCATAGTAGAAATCAATACCATCCTTGGTTTCCTTGATATTGGTGGTATCTTTGTGGGCATTGTGCTTCAAAATCAACTGTTCGAGGTACAAGAAAGTACGCTTGTGTTCGACCTTTTGACGCACTTGCACTACGGCCTTCCAAGTATTTTGAGCAGCCAAACGAGTACATTCCTCACACTGCTGATGGGACACGATGTATTCCACTTCAAAGATCTGCTGCAAAATGGTACTGGCAAACACCTGAAATGAACACCCCGATCTCGTTAGTCGACCGATCTAGAAAAACATTGTTTCTGCAATACTTGCCTCTTTCTGGATCGTCAGTTTCACTTTGATACGCTTGCTGTGAGGTTCAGTCCAAATAAAGCCGGCATCGACAAGTCGTACTTTATTCAAGCCTTTCAGCTTTTTCAAACAAAGCGTAAGCAATTCACGGGATTCCAACTGCGCCACAACCCAAATGCCAGGTGGTTGAAGGTAACGTTCGCAGTTGCGGCAATAGTGAATGGTCGCTTGCTTGGGAATGCCTTCGGTGATGTCGACTTCGTTACGGATACAGTTGACACACATATTGGCAGGGTTAGGAGGCGTAGGAACACCACATCCTGGACACTAAAACAAATGGTAGGGTTTATTAATGATCGGTTGATTTCGAAAAGGATCCGAGATTATTGCTGCGCAGCAACTGTCAACTTACCAGGCTGCATGGAGAGTGGGGAGAAAAGAGAAAAAAAAAAGAAGAGTCAATATCTGTAATTCATGTAAAACAGTTTATATTATTGAAAACGAATGAACATACATGAGCTGCTCAGTGACAACGGGATGGTATTCCATGATTTTAAAAAGGAAAAAAGTGGATAAAGTAAAGGTAGGGACAGTGAGACGGATTTGAAGGGTGCCAAAAAAAAAAAAAAAAAAAAAGAGTCCAGCTTAAAATTTCGGGCTTTTCTATACAAGCCACCTGTTGCCTAATAAAGATCGTTCTGAGCATTGTCCACACAGAAGCCTTCATTGTGAAGCGCCTTGCTGCGAATCTTGTCAAGACGCTGCTTTGCTTCCATTTCTTCCCGTTGTGCCACCAGAATCTCTTCCACAGGCACCTGCCTTAAGTTGACGCATTCTTCCTTTTCCGCATCCTGCAAAAACAATAAAATACATATCCAGTCGTTTAGCATACATCAATTTTTCCCCTCTCGTCCACGTTGGTTTCCGCCTCCACAGTAGGAATTCAAAAAAGAACCCCACGCTTCCTACGTACAATTTCGCCGAGTAGCACCACATTTTCGCCTCTGATCAAAAATATGCCTCTGGGAATATCACCGTAACAGTTGCCGACATATATCCTTTCAATTGTATCTTGCAATACCAGGTTGGCTATTCATTCCAGGAAAGAACAAGGACACGCCATGAGTGAGTATTTGACTCTTTTCACTCTACCACAAAGATAACATCCAATGTACACATACCGAATTGATCAAACGATCGTAATATACCAATCAGTTTTCGTCCATCACGCAAAACAACCATCAACTTTTCTAAAAAAGAGTCAATGAGCAACAAGAGGGACCGTTAGACTGAGCGATCCGCATGGTAATGAGAATGAATACGTACTATCGACACTGTCAATAAGTCCCGTTGATGTAATAAAAAATGGACCGCTGCTTATATCCATGGTGGACAATGTAATTACAAAGGAAATAGCAAGCAAGAGTATATTAAGCAAGCTGGGACGAGTGCGTGCGGGCTTCGTTTAAATCTCCGACATGAACGTCATCCCTCTCATTTCACGTTCCGACAACTGTCCGGTGGCGGCCGGTTGGGGACCGGTGGCTGGTCGTCCCGCGCGCGCGAAAAAACGCGTTCCTGTGTTTTTTTGCGACCCATTTTCTCTTTTTCTCAGAGTGCGGCTAGAATCCACGACGTCCATTCCTATTCTACTCAGACAGATCCACCATGGAGGACATTCAGACCGTTCAAGCCGAACCTCAGCAACAGCTGATGGACGAAAAGCTTCGTGAACGAGCCAAGTTCTTTCAAGAATTTCTGGACAGTGAGGTACACCCTTGATCCTCTCCCAAGCACTGCTTGAGATGCCTATCCTTACTCTAACATCCGTGTACAGCACCAGTTGAACGAAAAAGGAAGTTACCGAACACAGATCAGCAACATGCTTGCAACCAACCAACGTCGATTGATTGTCAGCATCGATGCTCTGCGCCAGTACAATGCTGCCTATACAAAAGAGTAAGCCATATCACCCGTCCAAAAGAGGGGTTGTTGTCCCAACCTCGATTTGCTCACATGCGTTTCAACCGTCTAGCATGTTGAAGAGTCCAGCAGAATACCTTCCAGCTTTTGACCAGGCATTGAAGGATATTGTAATGACTATTCATGATCCTACTCGTCACTTTGTTGACGATCAGCCGTTTTACGTTGGTTTCCGAGGCAGTTTTGGCGATCAACACGTCAACCCTCGTACGCTTCGTGCCATGCATCTGGGCAAACTCATTTGTATTGAAGGCATTGTCACACGATGTAAGTGTTTTTGGAAAGGAAAAAAAAATGGTCATGGCAGATTTGACAATGGTTGACATGGTCATGGTGCTTTTTGTCTTTGGCAACCAGGTTCTCTTGTCCGACCCAAGGTTGTCAAATCGATCCATTATGCTGAAAAGACGAAGCAACATTATATGCGTGAATACAGGGATGCCACCACGCCCGGCAATCCCATCCCCACCGGCGCCGTGTATCCTACGGAAGATGACAGTGGCAATCCTCTGGTGACGGAATTCGGTTACAGCACCTACCGTGATCATCAGACCATCAGCATTCAGGAAATGCCGGAACGTGCACCTGCAGGTCAACTTCCCCGATCCATCGACATCATTTTGGACGACGATCTCGTGGATAAAGCTAAACCCGGTGATCGTGTCAGCATTGTCGGTATCTACCGATCGCTCGGTAACCGAAATGCCAATCAGACGAGCTCGACCTTCAGGTATAACCATCATTCGGCTCTTGTTTAATTAGAAGAAGGACGGAAATCTCTGATATTGAGAAAATTGGTACATAGAACGGTGATTTTGTGTAATAACATCAGCTTGTTGAGCACCAAGGCCGGTGGTGGTATTGCCGCTCCTACCATTAACGACGTCGATATCCGAAATATTCATCAACTCGCCAAAAAGAGAGGCATCTTTGATACCCTCTCACAGTCATTGGCACCTTCTATTTGGGGTCACGAGTACGTGAAGAAGGCGGTTCTTCTCATGCTTCTCGGTGGTGTTGAAAAAAATCTGGCAAATGGAACGCATATCAGAGGGTAAGCGGGAAATATCACAGATCCAAGCGCACGTTGTATTGACATGAAATCAAACATCTCGCTAGTGATATCAATATGCTCATGGTCGGTGATCCATCCACTGCCAAGTCACAGATCTTACGTTATGTGCTCAATATTGCTCCGTTGGCTATTGCCACTACCGGTCGTGGTTCTTCTGGTGTCGGTTTGACAGCGGCGGTGACGACGGATAAAGATACAGGTTCGTCTTTTTTTTTCGCTCATTCAGTTATCTACGGGGAATGGCTATGGTTTTAACCTATGGATAATGATAGGTGAACGCCGATTGGAAGCCGGTGCAATGGTGCTTGCTGACAGAGGCGTGGTGTGTATTGATGAATTCGATAAAATGAGCGACGTTGATCGTGTCGCTATTCACGAAGTCATGGAACAGCAGACCGTAACCATTGCCAAAGCCGGTATCCACACCTCTCTCAACGCTCGTTGCAGTGTGGTGGCAGCGGCTAATCCTATCTATGGCCAGTACGATCTTACCAAAGATCCCGCAAAGAATATTGCTCTTCCAGACTCACTATTATCCCGTTTCGATTTGCTGTTCATTGTTACCGATACAATGGAAGAAAGCCGCGATCGTCAGATTTCAGAGCACGTACTGAGTATGCATCGATACATTCCTCCCGGTTCAGAAGAAGGTAATGTTCAACAACAGATCGCCGTGACGCTGTTTTGTTAAAAAAATATATATTGAACGTGTTTTACACAGGTGCACCCATTGAGGAGTACATTGACAGTATTATGGACGATGATCATGAGGAAGAACAACAAGACGATGACGACATTTACGAGAAGTTCAATCGTTTCTTGCACGCCGGTGTCCAAGCATCATCCTCGCGATCGGCGGCTCCCAAGGTTCTTAAAGCATCCTTCCTGAAGAAATACATTTACTATGTAAAGAATAGCTGCAAACCGGTGCTGACAAAACGAGCCACCGATACCATCATCAACGAATACACATCCTTACGAAATGATAAAGATGAAAACTCCGTGAAAAAGGTAAAAAATAGAGGCCGTTCTCTTTGAAACTTGATGACGGCTCTATCCTTGATCGACAGATCACTAATTGGTATTTGATGTAGACGGCACCCATTACCGCACGTACATTAGAAACGTTGATTCGTTTATCGACGGCTCATGCAAAGGCTCGATTGAGCAATAAAGTGGAGGACAAAGATGCTAAAGCCGCTGCAGCCGTTCTGCGAGTGGCCATGTTCAAAGAAGTGATCCGTGCAAAGAAGACCAAACGAAGAAAGTTGTCCGCGACCTCCGACTCTGAATCGGAAGAAGAAAGTGAAGCAGAAGAAGAAATGGAAGAGGATGAAACACCAGCTCCCACTACTTCAGAAAGGTAAGCATCATGAATAGAATCTTGGGGAAGAATATCATTCTAACGATTGAAGACGTAATAACAGATCTGCGGACGTTGGAGAATCATCGAGCAAGGCTCAGCCACCAGTAGATGCGATGGATGAGGATACAGATATGGGTGGTATCAGTCCTGAAAGGTGAATATTCGATATCATGATGGAGGATAAACAGCGCGTTGGATTGACTTTTTTTTTATCTGTAAAATACAGATTACGGGCATTCCGTGAACGGGTGAATCAGCTGATCAACAACCACGAATTTGGAGATGGCGAACAATGTGCTTTCAACGATTTGTTTGTGGGTGTCAACCGAACATTGTCTGCCAATGAAGCATTCAGTGTGAGCGAAGCCGACGCAGCGTTGCAGGAAATGTCTTCGGCCAACCAGATCATGTATTCAGATGGCATCTGCTACATCATTTAAATTAAAGCGCAGCTACCACTATTCCTTCATTGATTTGTCCTAGATATATTTCTTTTGTTTATCATCTTGTTCCTGGATGTTCAATTGTCCTTTTGGACCGCAGGGTTTCCTTCGTCATATCATCTAACAAACTAACAAACTAATAAAAAGATTTCATTCTCATTTGTAAATGGTCCCGTATTATTTTTATATTTTCTGAGTTGGAACGAGTAATAAAGGGATCAATACAGATCATTGACCATGTTTGACGGAAAATCAAAGATGGGCTTTGAGACGATCAGATTCCGTCAAGTCGTAATGAGAATCTATTTTTGTTTTGCTTTCACGGATCCATTTTATTTACGAACGCAAGATTTACATGAATACAGAATAATCCAGCTTTATTACAGATAGAAGCATATAATAACTGCAATACTTGCGAAATATTATCAGCATACAGTGATGATGGAGCTTTTGCAGCTTTCAAAAAATGACAATGGGCCGCATGGCAGATCCTCGATTTAAAAGCCAGCACGTGCGGCCCTTTTTTTCGCATTTTCAGTTTTTGTTAGAGTTTAGAGCAGTTCCTTTTTTTAGACGACTTCATTTCATGATGCAGCCAATCCAGGCACACGATGAAGAGATCCTCAGGAACACAAAAGCGCATCTCCAGATATGGCTTTTGTTGTGTACCCTATCTTGTCATAGTATTATTTTACTCCATGTTTTGTGTACCCTGGTGATCAGCACTACAGTGTTGCACGAGGACTTGCCAATCAAATAGTCAGAATCGCCGCCCGCTCTGCAAAAAACCGTTTTCCTAATAGCCTAACTGTCCCATCTCGTTTCCATTCCATACTTTTTTTTATCCCCCTTCTTCTTCGGAATCCTTTTGGTGTGCTGATTACTCGATACATGTCAGCTCAATGAGTACCACCAACAAGAAATCTGCACGCAAAAGTCTTGCGTTAACCCAACACCACAAATCGCCTACAACTGTAAGCCCAAGCACACCAGCCGTTGCAATTGTCGTTAGAGTCAACCAACCATGACCTGACGTTTCGCATGTTTTTTTTTTCTATACTAGAAACTCTCCAATGAAGATATCAAGTTAGGTGGTCTTGTGGAAAGTCGGTCCGCGGCCATCGCAAAAGCTATGAAATATTCAAGCGACGATATGGGACGTCTAATTGCATATATGCAACAACGGTAAGGTTTGAGCAACTGGATCCATCGAAATTTTATGGATGTAGCAAATCTTTATTTTGGATTATTCGCAATATATAGCATTGACCTGGAAGATGGGTATCAAAACTCGTTGGCCCGCATAACGCAAAAATTTCGAATGGATATGGACGGACAGGAAGCAGCACATCCGGAGACCACGATTCGGCAATCGTTTGAAGCATATGTCGGCCTTGCGGACGCGCTGAGACCACTCCGCACCGAATTTATCCAATCGATGAAATCTCAGCTTCTCGTTTTGGTACAACTGAAAGTAAGACACCGTCTTTATTAAAACTACTCTAAACAGTTTAAGCTCTTTGGGAATCGCTCCAACTGAGTTCCAAACTTTCTTTAGGAAAAGCAAGATCGTAGGAGGAGAATGCACAAGAAAAATATGTACAATGTGAACACGCAGTACATGCAAACGCGTCTGCGTGATTTACCTGCGGTAAGTGGATGTAATAAAATTCTGCAGAATACGAGGAGGTGACTTTTCTAATACCTATTTGGGGGGACATCAGGCACAGGAAGCGTATACACAAAAATGGGAGGAAATCGATCGAGCCGTGAACGCGTCCAATACGAGCAACGGATCGGGAGCTGGACCTACCGCACCCACCACGGCTTCACCGACGCCATCTTCGCCCGCCGTGCAAAACTTTTTCCCGAAATTAGCTACTTCTTCCAGCACTAGCACCGTTTCTACGGTCAAGTCACAAGCGTCTGTGGCCTCCACTGATACGACCTCTGAATCTGTGCCACAAGCATCCCATGCCGAAGACGGTCGACCGAAAATCCCTCCTCTTTCCTTGGCCACGGTCGCCTCGGCTATCAAGAATGAGAATGCCGTCCCGCCGTCACCTCAGAAACGGATCGAACGCTTTATGAAACAGTTTGCTCACTTGACCAACAACGGCGACGGAAATAAACACAATACAAAGATTGCCCATCTCAAAGTGGAAGCCGCAGAAGCAGGTACAGAGTCATAGCAGATAAACAAAAGGAATGAATACCGTTTTTCAAGTGCAGCTGACATCCTGTCCTCCTAGACGACGTATATCGAAAAACAGTGCGCACGTTGGATATGCTGTCCAAAAAACAGGCAGTGGCCAACGAATTTGCTTTTAATACCCTTCAAGCCCAGTTGTTGGAGAAATCGCAACAGGTGAAAAAAGCATTGCAAGTTGCCACGTCCGCAGAGATGCTTCACCTCTCAAAGACAGAAGAGGTTAGTCAATCGAGCGGTAAATTGCAATGTTAGGAAAGCAGGCTTATCAACCGAAATAACAGGTCATCAAAAATCTGCAAGCGACTCTATCCGAAGCTGATCCCGAAAAGGATGCTCAAGTGTACAACCAGTTGCTGGCCAAGGATCAGTTTGCTTCTCCCCCGGATGTCTTTTACATTAACCATCAGGCGGGAAAATGCAAAGGTAAGATGGTTTGGCGCAAATTTTATATGAGACTTTTACTTATTGCGCGCGCCACACCCCATACTAGATTTATTGTTCGGTATATCGTTGACAGAATATGCACAACAGTACGAACGATCACCTCCTCTCATTGTGACCAAATGTATTGAAGCCATTGAACGACTGGGAGGATTGGAAAAGGAAGGCATCTATCGTGTCTCGGGTAAAAGCAGTAACCTGGAGAAGATCAAGCAAGCTTTTGAACGGGACGAAGCAGCATTGGTATTTGGCCAAGATGGTGTGCCAGACGATGTTTTAAGCATCAGCTCCATTCTCAAGATCTTTTTACGTGAGCTGTCGTCACCTCTGTTTCCTTTTACGTTATCGGATCGGATTGTTTATTCGCGTAAGGCCCAGACAGCATGTAATGCAGGATCTCTTTCCTCGAGCGAAAAAAGACTGACACCATCTTTATTAGAAATTCCTGATAAAGAATTGCGTTTAATGAATCTCTTGACACGAATCCTAAAATTACCGGCTGCCAATTATGACACGCTGAAAGCGGTGATCCATCATCTTTCCAAGTAAGTGTTACGCCGATCTTCAAAAACCCGAATGTGTGATCAGGTTATTTATGGTACGAGTTATTCTTGACAGATTAGAAGCTCATTTGGAAAAAAACAAGATGACCATGAAAAATCTTTCCTTGATATTTACTCCTGCCATATTCCAAGACCACAACCGTACCCAACGATCGCCGGGAGAATGGTATGCGGACTGCGTACTAGAGGATCTTTTGGTGAATTACGAGACACTCTTCACCGGTCAGGATTTACGTGGGGCGTCGGCTATCACGGGTGGAATTGAGTATGGATTTGAACATCTCAACGACAATGATGATGACTCTTATGCGTTCAGCTTGTATACACCGTCGAGTCCACCCTTTGAGGATTATTCGCCCACTGGATCAGAAGACGGTAAAATGGCGACCTTCACTGATACATCCGACACGGCCGACACTCCGACTTTGGGAATCCACTCTTCACCCGACACACCTTCTCCTTCTGCCCCATCGCAGAACGAAACGCCTGAACTGTCAGTGACAGATCGCCTGCGCAAATTTAGATCGGTCTCGCAGGATCGAGGCCTCACTGTGAATACGCACGTGTCACAAGAACTGAGCGAAAGAGGAATTGCAATCTCACCAGCAGGCTATGAGAATAACTTGCAGCACAGCAGCCACGATGATCAGGTGAAGACACCGGCCGTGATGAGCGCTACCGTGCCGAGTTTCAGCTGGCTATCCGAGGACCCCAAAAACATCTTCCCTCCTACACCGCGGCTACAAAGATCCTTGACCACCGCTCGCAAAACATCCCCAAGACGAAGACCGACCGTGGCCGGTGGTGAAATTTCTCGTTCCAAGCATAAAGTCTAACTTTTTTTACTCCGATCTCATATACTAATCATTTTATCTTTATATCATCCGTACTCCTTACCAACTCATTTTCAAACATACGCATTACATGTCTATATTGTATTTTTACTGTCCTTTTTTTTCTCAATCAATAAAATTCTATAATCGAGCTAATGAAGAGGTGCTGCAGTTCCTGATCTATTTGGCACAAAGGTACAGTAGGAGGATTATTTTGAACTTTTGAATGATACATATCCAGGGAAATTGTCAGTCTGTTCGAGGCGAATCGGTTGCAAAGCCGCGGATAAAGGGTACTTCCCGAGTTGGGCTGAATAACACGGAATTCAACGGAATTCAACCATCGTGCGAATGCGTTGTCAGAAATTATGATACCCAATTTCCATTATCACCCACTTTCCATACAGTCTCAGATCGCATCACAGTCTTTCTATACAACCATCAGGCCCATGGATAATCAAATCATACCATCATATGAGGCGTGAAGAACGAGCGATGAGCAAGATCGCAAAACGGGCAACAAATGAAGGGTTCCATAGATACAGAACCGCCTGGCGCACACAAACAAGTAAATGATTGCCGCCTGACGACAAGGTGCACATGTTGTAAGAGGTAACTATAATTCTATCGTCGTAGCAACTGTGTACCTGCTTTTTCGTTTTGATCATATAGATCTCCGTCTGTAATCCTTCCAAAATGGGATTCGTTTTTAAGTTAGACTTGCGCTTTTTTCCCCCTACTACGGCGCACCATGCTTTCAGAGGAATATACCTTCGAACCGGCTCAGCTTGCTGATCTCGACCGAGTACACCAATTGGAATCGTCTTCTTACCATCCCGATGAAGCCGCTTCAAGACAACAGCTTGAAAATCGCATCGGATTTGCGGCCATGAGTGATCCTGCTTTGTTCACCGTCATGCGCTGTCAAGGCAACATCATTGGCTTTATATGTTCCACATTAACCAACAATGACTTGGTTACGGATGAATCTATGAGCGTCCACGATCCTCAAGGACAGACCGTGTGTCTTCACAGTGTCACGATCGATCATGCTTATCGTCGCCGAGGCCTTGCTCAGGCTATCTTAAACAAGTGGATCGACGAATTGCGCAATGTCCACGATCGACGTCCGGAACAAAAATATAAACGCATTGCATTACTTAGTCGTCCTTATCTATTGCCGCTGTATGAATCTGTCGGGTTCAAAACATTAGGTCAAAGCGTTGTTCAGCACGGCCCTGAGCCTTGGTTTGACTGCATTATCGATTTATAACCTGCTTGTCCGATTGCCCAATAAAAAAGTAAACGGATTTTGTAACAATATTCTATATTACAGTTCATTCTCGTCATCGTCACTTATGCTTATTCTATCATCATCTAGTACATTGGATTGCCCATCTAGAGCGCCCATCACCAGTCCCCGAAAAAGACCGGTCACCGGAAACAGGGTATTGGTATATTCCATGTCATACCAGTAATTGATCGCAATGACGCCATCATCCCCTTTTTGCAAAACCTGATGAAACCAGAGTGCTTTACAACGAACACATGGTCGAGTTTCAGTATCGATGGAAAGTGAAATACGATAGATCAATACCAATTTTTTACCTGGCAAATATAACATTTCACCTTCGCCAATGGTGACAACGATGGGACGCGCGTGAGCAAATCTTGGGTACTGTTCCAAATCGGGACGTTGAGGATCCACAGGAATCCATGGTGTTTTGCTGGGCGGATCCAGTGGTTGCAATGTCAACTTGCCCGTCTTTTCATCAGGAACGTATATGGCGTTAGGATACAGAGATTCTATCCACGTAATCAGTTACACAAAGTAGCATACAGTAGTATAGAATGAATATCAAAAGGTACCGTGCATGCAATAGTATTCGGAAGGCGGAAACAAGATGAATGTTTTAGAACCCCGGACGACAGCATAACAGTTTTCGTAAGGATCTTTGTGGAGAGAGGTAATGCTCTTCTCATTGCCAAACCAGAAATTAACAGCGTCGGGGCTTTTACCTGTGAAAACAATTCAAGTTGCAAAATTCGATTGAGCGATCCACCACTGACGAGACAACCGTATTGAAAAAGTACCTAATGCTTCACTGCACCAAGTTATTTCAGGATCGACATCGTTCTCGAGAAGCGAGAACTCCGTGGGCAAACTTCCATTTTGCAACGAAATGTAGTGTGCATTTTCAGAGATGGCTTTCCCTTCAATAAGATCGAGGTAATCGCTGAATGGCATGCGCTGCTCATGGGGTAAAGCAAAGTACTTCTGTTGTGTCACTTCGTCCATGGTCACCGCATCCGCATATCTTTTGAATGGTTCAAAGTCAGCACTTATGCATGTTGTCTGAAAAGGTAAAAGATAGAATTACCCATTTGGCGTAGCTGTATTTATGAGGGTCACAATGAGATCGTGTCTGCGACTGCTGTGTATTAGTGAAGCTTACATGCGACGGTGACAGGCGTATCACCCATAGTGTCTCGCAGATAGGCATTGGTCCACTTGGTGCACGCTGGCCAATGATGAAACGCATCTACAATACGACATGAGAAACTATGAACGTTTTTATTCATCGTTTCAGCTATAATTACTTTTGATCACGGCTGGTCTATTAGGATGTACACTGTGTCTCAAGAACTCCAATGGGGTTGGAGGATTGGAATAGGTGTGCACATGCGACCCGTTGATTTCTGTCACGCACCACTATCAGTTTGAAATACTTCTTACGCATACATTTTTCAACGTTCGAATTATACATATTGTATCCAATAATGTACCCTGATATTCTTTGATGAATCGAGTAAACGCTTTATCAATCTCCATGAACGGCCAAGTAAATGATGAAGAAAAAAAAAAAATGCGATGATCCCGCACAATGATCTTGATACATTAGAACTCAGCTGGTGGCCCGGACTTGGTGAATTTTGCCAAGCCACCGGTGAGGAAGGCTCGTACAGCAAATTACCAAAAGGAACCAAGGATGCAACTCGTATTCTCCCTCTACCTTTTCCAAATCTTCATCCACAATGGTGAGTGGGCATAAAAAGTCATGATTGTACCATCGGTTGCATAAACTGATCGATGGATGGATGGATGATTGTATAATAGGGTCGCGTTAGAACCAAGACTGTCAAGAAGGCCTCTCGCGTTGTGATCGAGAAGTACTACCCCCGTCTTACTCTTGATTTCCAAACCAACAAGAGAATTCTCGATGAGGTGTCCATCATTCAGTCCAAGCGTCTTCGTAACAAGATTGCTGGTTTCACCACCCATTTGATGAAGCGTATCTCTCGCGGTCCCGTTCGCGGTATCTCCTTCAAGTTACAGGAAGAAGAACGTGAACGCAGAGACAACTTCGTTCCCGACGTTTCTGCTTTGGACACCTCCGTCATTGAGGTTGATCCCGAAACCGAGGTAAATAAGAGTTTGGTTGAGCATTGTCGTTTGTGTTATATGTGCGTGTCGCATGTCGAAATTTGGATATAACCAAAAAGGACAACTTTTTTATTGTCCTTTTTGGCATGCGTGCGCGCGGTGGATCTTTCGATGGCCATACTATAAACTTTTCTTGAGGTGTCAAGATTCCACCGCGCATGTCCTCACTGTTTTGTCTTTAGGAATTGCTCAAATCTCTTCACTTTGAAAACCTTCCTGGTGTCAAGGTGACCGCTCCCGTCACTGGCTTCATTCCCAAGGACAACCGTCGCCGCGGTGACAACCGTGGTCCCCGCAAGGTCCAAGAGTCTGCCTAAACATTGCAGCTTCTAGTGTCATCTCTAGGAACCCTATAAATAAATAAATAAAAAAGGATCCTAGCTTGCTTTTTACATATCATTCATGGTTTTTTCAAAAATATAAACGTAATATCATTGCACTCCATCGTATCTCCTTGCTATCATGAAAAAGGTGATCAGCCATTCTTTTGCAAGTGTTGTAGGGATAGGTAATAGTTGATCTTAATATACAGGGAGGATCTATGATAAGATGAATATTTTGCGCGCAGGATAGTTGATGCACTGTCTCGATCGCCCAAAGCCATCCAAAAATTATTGTCAAAAGTTGCGCGGATCGCAACTTTTCTAATATCCACTCCATGCACCCCATTTGACACATGAAGCGGCAAAAGTCTTGGAAAGAAAATATGTACAGGAGATGCGCTCGGATTAGAATAATTGAATCTTTATATGTTGATGAATGAATAGTTTGATCCGAATAGGACAGATTGAAAGAAAGCTCGATAATGCGCTAGAAGCATGGTAAGAATAAAGTTGACGGCTTTATGCCATTAAAGTCAAGTTGATATGTCAGAACAGACATGATAAATATTCTCGATCTTCTCATCTACTATATCAAGATGCATGCGCACATCCCCTGATCTTTGATTAGAAGCTTGACATTCTGTTTAAAGTTTGCGGGAAATCAAGTCTTCTGCGTGTATTAAAATGAAAGTTCTCGGGTATCCGGAGGATCATTCTTCTCCTATAAATGCTAGGGTTGCTTTTTCCATACCCAAACTCTTTTACATTCCCTTACTATAGGGCACATTCAGAAATGTTCCTGCTCCCTTTTTTACACAATGTCGAATCGTCGCCATCCACAAACGAGTCAAAATTAATACGACCGATCAACACGTGATAACTTGTGCGAATTAATGAGTCTATCACTATAAATGATCTGTACAGCAGGGATAGGATGGTAAGAAAGAATTATACGGTATGATCATGGTGAGATATTGGCAAGCCAAAGAAGCATTGACTATTTTTGCATGACACAGTCACGGTATCGCATGATAACCGTCCATTCACGATCGGTTCGATCGCTTTTTTCTATTTTGGGTCTGTTGCTAACATGGCTGGCGATGAGTGCGATCCTGTCGTTCTTTTGAGCGATGGTGAGGGCGAAGAGTACGAAGTAGAATGTATCCTTGATCATCGTTACCGGAAAGTCAAGCGAAAAGTCAAAGTAAGTGTTCCTGTTTCACGTCCACTTCCCAATCCCCTGCCTCAATCAAGATCTATGTCACTAGAGCAGAAAAGTTCTCGAGTATCGAATTCGGTGGAAAGGTTATGGAGAGGAGGACGATACGTGGGAATCTGAAAAGAATATGTGGGTATCTGACCAACTTGTCAAACACGCCATGATGGCATTAACCCCGTTTCATGTAGCTATGCTACCGAATTGTTGAAAGCATATTGGGAAGCCCGGACTGGAAAAACGAATAACGAAGCATCGCGGCCTGATACGTCCATCGAATCATCCGAATCGAAATCAACTGCAACTGGAACCAGCAAAACGACCAATGAGTCTGTTTGGGCCGTTCCTGATCTTGAGCCTTTAACCCCACAACAAGACAAAGAGACTTCAAAAACCATCAAGATCAAACAAGAGCAACAAATAGACAGTATTACTGGGGGAAGCGAGGGAAACAATGACGCAGTGACCGATGCCACTTCCGAATCCGAGAACGCTACAGTGGAACCAAAACCACTCGCGGTCTCCAAAGGCAACGCCACCAGCACCGCTGTACCTGAAATAGACGCGCAACAGAACCCCCTGTCAACTGAAAAGCATACAGCGACAGAAGCAGTTACAACCACCTCATTAGAGTTGCCATCCGCGACAACCTTAGAATCTGCATTACCATCCATACGTGTGTCACGTCCAGAAACGCAAACACCACAGCCTTCCACCAACGATCTGAAGCATCATTTAGATCCCGATCAAACCGGGTCACCAAGTGCAAAACGTCTCAAATTACAAGAATCACAGGCAAAAGAAGAAGAAGGAGGGGCGAAACAATCGAATGTGTCACCAATGGAAGAGGACGTGGCTCCTGAACAAAGAGAGGATTCAGTGAACGCGCCTCTTGATAAGCTCACGACTACAACTGCAAGAGAGGAAAAGAAGGCGGATGGTTCGTTGGTACAGTCCATGATGGCTACTGCAAAAAAGATCATCACTCCAATTATAAAGGACACCACTGTACCGATTGCACAACAAGATATTGCCTCAGCTACTGACACTGCTAAGCAAGTCAATCCTTTAGCTATGCAAGATGGATCAGAACCAGCCATAGAGGAGACCGTAGATAATATGCCGGTGTCAACAGAGACAGACACGGAGATGGAGACAGAGACAGAGGTGACGATAGCAGATACCAAAGAAGCACTGGATTTAAATGTCGGAAAAACGACGGTATCGGTGACAGAAGAGAACGTAGATGTTGCCCCAAAGCCGCAAGGAATTACAGCAACAGATATGGAAAGTAACACGGAGACAGCCATGATAGAAACTGAAACATTGAGCTCAAAGGCAACTACGGTCTCCGATCTGGAAAAAAAGACCCCAACAAGTACCTCAGAAGCCACAACTAAAGCTGTAGGCGATCTTATCGTAGCATCGGAAAAAGCAGTTACAACAGCTGTGCAAGAGCCTTCGGTAGCCACGAAGCAAAATGAGGCGTCGATGACCCCAAAAGAACATCAAGTCAGTGTGGAAGAAACGATCAATGGCCTATCTGACAAACAAGCTTTATCCCCTGCAGAACAAAAAGCCGACACGCATGTAGACCAAGATATGGATATCACGGAAGACCTTGGTGAAATGGATAAGGATAGACTCGGATACCAACGTGTGGACTCCACAGAGGATGTTGTCGAACAAGAAGATGAGAGACTTGGAGACCGAAATATGGCATCAGCGGAAAAAGTCCAATGCCAGGTTAATAGGGATATGATACCCACCGAAGAAGCCGAGAGTCTTGCCGACAAAGATAGATTATCAGCAGAAAAGGTCCACAGCCAGGTTGATAAGGATATAGCACCCATCGAAGAAGTCGAGAGTCTTGCCAACAAAGATATGGTATCGGCGGAAAAGGCTGATAGCCTTGTGGACAATGAGATGCGATCCGCAGACAAGGTCGATATCTCTGCGGATGATACAGATATGGTACTCACAAAAGGCCTTACCGACGAAGTGGAAGAAAAAGTCGATAGGCTTGCCGACAAAGAAATGGAAATTACAGAAGACATTGTTATGGAAGAACCTGAAGATGGCATAGAGATCAATTCGAGCAACGACGAACAGGTGGTTTTTGACGAGGCATTTCCTGAGGATACTACATTGGACTGGAACGAACAAGTCAAAAGCATTGAAATGATCGTTCGTTCGCCGACCCAAGATAAAGCACTTTATGGCGTAATACGATGGTAAGTTGATAGGCTGCATGGGACATCCACTTGTTGGAAATACCACATCATTTGACATTTAATTATATCTATAGGCAAAACGAAATGTTATCAATGCATCCCCTCACCCTTCTTTCCGAAAAATGTCCAAACAAGGTATGTTCTTTTCTCACCATTGATAAAAATTTTAGCAAAGGTTGAAGGAATGCAATGCTCATAATACTCGTCATAGTTGCTCGAATTCTATGAACGAAAAGCCGTTTTCGATGCTACGGCTGTACAAACAAGCGTTCATTAGTCACTTTTTTGGACGTCAATATCTTGTAAATGAGTCATCTGATAAAGAAATGTGTATGATTGTTCGTAAAAAGGTATATAATTAGTAATAGTGATAGTAACAGTGTATTGTAATGAATACGGTATTCTCGCAAGGGCTGTCCCATCAACAGAGGCTGCAGTTGAATGGCCTCGTTGAAGAAAGTTGGCATCCCTGTTTTCCTCACGGCTTGGTACCGTATCATTCAGCTATGGTGCCGGCAGTGCGAGTTTTGGCAATGAAGCGACAACTTCACACGCACGAGCTTACCGTCGGTGATAGCAATGGTATTCAGTATGATGCAAGTAGTACGGACATAGTTTTATCGCTTTATATTCGTCGATGATGTACAAGATGTATAACTGCATAAACCATTCTTATTATCTCTTTTTCTGTTGCCTTATCAACGAAAAAAGTTACAATGAAAGCGTGACAAACAGATACCAGCATTTCCACATGGTGCATTTGAAACTCCGTTTACAGAACGCCAAAGGGATGACACAAGTGTTCACGGCGGAGCCGGATTTCATGTGATGCCGCAAAGTGATCCAGGTTCACCTTCTTTTTTTTGACTAGCGTTTTCATATCATACTTGCACCTGCTGGCAGAGCTTTAACTAATGTTGCGATCCAAGCCGCGCATCAAACAGCAACGCTCGTCGCTCGGCATCAGTCATGCTGTGCAATTGGAAGAGGAAGTAGACAATGCGAAACCGGGTCAAAACATCATGAGCGATGACATGTTGAAAGAACCAAGTGAGCGCAGCAGTATCTTTGGCTGGGCTCGCTTCATGTTATCATTATATTATAACAAGGTGGGGTTTTATTTAAAGTCTTGACATGTTGCGTGTATTTATTAGCTGCACTATAAATCTCAAATCCCGTTTCTTCTTGAATTTTTGGCCTTTATGTATACAAGCTAGCTGTGAATTTGTTTGGTTGCATAACGGGGTGGTCATGGTATAATCGGTACGGCAAGCTTGCGATGTAGGGCATAGTTCACACTACAGATCATTAACTCATACTATGAATGTTCGTTTTTCAAGGATTGACCAGTTTGTGTATCTGGGGGCTTTACCCACTCCGTCTCACATCAAATCCATGCATGCGAATCATCATCTGTGTGCTGTGGTGAACATGTGTGCGGAGTTTCCGGGCTACCACCACCTGTACAAGGAGCTGTCAGTGCAGCAAATTCGTTTGGCTACCACCGATTTCACCGTCCCGTCCGTTGCTCTTCTTCGAGAAGGCGTAGAGGCTATCATCCGCACCGCCGTCCAAGAGAATAAATGCGTCTATTTGCATTGTAAAGGTAGGTCGGCCCAGCGCCTGCAAGCAACAATCGTAAAATATGATGGACTCAGTCGTTACCCAACCACAGCTGGCCGAGGAAGAAGCGCTGCCGTGGCAATATGCTATTTATTGCGGATGTATAAAATCACACCCCTACAAGCACAACAGATACTGTTACAACGTCGCCCTCAGGTAAAAACGGCTCCCATTGTATTATAGTTCGATCACTCACTTCTCATAAAAAAGGTCGATAAGGATCTCTTTCAAACGGATGAAGTTCGAATGTACTACAAGGAAATGATCTCGGATGCTGAGGCAGGAAAAATACATCGACAACCATACCATCACCCTGCTCCATGATGTGGTGAATAATACAGAAACCCATTGCTTTAATCCAACACTCTTGAAACCAAAGAATTACTTTCATATGATGTTCATTCATTTATTTTGCAATATGTACATGTGCTATTTTTTCTTCTTATAATTGACACCCATAATTTTCTCTTTTTTTTTACAAACGGTTGACGTTACCCAAATCTTCACATGCTTCTCTGACGCGCTTAATCATTGTCTTTTCTGCTTCACGTATCCAGACGCGAGGATCGTAGTACTTCTTGTTGGGTTTATCCTGGCCTTCAGGGTTACCGACGTTGGTTTGAAGGTAATCGTGGTTCTTCTTGTAGTAATCACGGAGACCTTCCCAGTAGGCCCACTGGATATCGGTATCGACGTTCATCTTGACCACGCCGAATGACACAGCATCGGCAATTTCCTTCTTGGTAGAACCGGAACCACCGTGGAATACAAAGAGGACGGGACGATCGGTTTCGCAACCGAGCTTCTCCTGGACAAACTTTTGGTGCTTGGCGAGCAATTCAGGGTGCAACTTGACGTTACCGGGAGCATAAGAGCCGTGGACGTTACCGAACGCAGCGGCAATGGAGAAGTAGGGCGACACTTTCTTGAAGGCGCTGTAGATATCCCAGATATCCTCCGGCTGAGAGAACAAGGAGTTATTTGACACATCGTCGTTGTTGACACCATCTTCTTCGCCACCGGTAATACCGATTTCCATTTCGAGCCAAAGCTTCATGGGAGCCATGCGTTTCAAGTACGAAACACATGTGTTGATGTTGTAATCCTTGTCTTCGGCTGACAAGTCGAGCATGTGAGAAGAGAAGAGAGGTTCATTGTGGTCCTTGAAGTAAGCTTCATCGGCAGCAAGCATGCCGTCGAACCAAGGCAACAACTTTTTGGCACAATGATCGGTGTGCAAAATCACAGGAATGCCGTACGCCTTGGCGACAGAGCGGACGTACTAGTTATAACAGAGCCATTCAATCAGCCAATGTGTTCTTTTTTCAAGTTTTTCATCTCCACAAAATTTACCTGTGCACCAGCAACAGCGCCAATAATAGATGCTTCTTGGTCAGAGTTTCCAAGACCCTTGCCGGCAAAGAAGGCGGCTCCGCCTTGAGAGAATTGGATAATGATGGGAGACTTGGCTTCACGAGCAGCCTCCAAGACTGCATTGATGGTGGATGTGCTTGTGACATTGACGGCAGGAATAGCAAAATTATGCTTTTGAGCATAGTTCAACACGTTGAGAACGTGATCGCCAGTAATGACACCAGTAGGAGCAATATCGAGAATACCCATTGTGAATTATGATACAAAGAATTGAAGAAAAAATATAAATCTAATGAACTTTTTTTGTGGGGTGAATAGGCTTGCTTTTTTATACCTTTCAGATGGTGCATTTTCTCACCCGTAGACTTGGGAACGTAAAGCTGACTTCATTGCACCATTCTATGACGATGGGTGAACACTCCGATCCGACCCTAGAAAGCGCGGACACGAAAAATCAAGCTAAAATGTTAAAGTTCCCATTAGACGTATGGAAAATTGCACTAAAAAAAGTTTTTTTTTCTGCCCCTCAGGGTCAATGTCGTCAATGACAGGATATTACGCAGGCAATGGATCAATCAATGGGCTGTAGATCAAAAATTTGATGCTCTTGTTTATTGTAGTAGATTACTTTTGATGGTTTTTAAATTTATTTTTTCTTTTCTTTTCTTTTTTATTCGTCGTCGTCGTCATCCAAATCGTCTAAATTCTCTTCGGCGAACACTTCCTCTTTCACAGCGACATTTGTGTTTCCATCCTGCAGAGACATGTTTGCCACCCCGTTATTCAATCTTTCCTGCTCCAATCGTTCGCGTTCTCTTTCAGTTTCCGCACGATCGTAAGCGGCCAGATCAATAGCGTCCATGTCGTCATCTTCCTCCTGAGCCAATGCAGGATTAAAGTCGAACAGATCTCTACCAGACATGCCCTGAGATCGGCCGGCCTTCCATCGTGTTTCCTTAGCTTTACGAGCCGCAGCTTCATCGGCATCCTTCTTGACCAAACGGTTCTTTTTCCATTCGTTGAACGATTCCAAGGTAACCGGTGTGAGGTTCGGTCCAAGGTTATGACGCTACAAAGGGGGGTACATATCATCAGTCACACATATTGTTCAGTATGGTCTTTCCGCTATCGTTTTTCTCTTCTCCTACCTCGGTATCCAAAAATTCTTCCAATGAGATCTCGGACTTTTCTTCCTTTTTACTGTTCTTTGCCTTCAAGACAAAGCCAGGAGGTAAAGCGTGACGGTATTTGCATGTTGTTCCTACGATACGAGCGAGCATTAGCATTGGTCTGTTCTCTTCAAAAGGGGCCAGCTCTTCTCTTGTACAAACCTCCATTAGGACATTCCCAGAACCAACCATACTTGTTGGATTCAATAGCTTCCAAAAAGTATTTGCACACAATATCGGTTGGTGGCTGCTTGCCAGCTTTGCTTTTGACAACCTCTTCCAATTTCTCTTGATCCCAAGTTTCCATTGTATCTACATGAAAAAAAAAATGGCAGTCAGTCACCACTGGTCATCTACACCGGGCGCCCAATGAATTCCGTCAGATGACGGCTGTACCTTGCTGCTTCTCCTGTCGGGAATCGGTATATAGATCTTTCTTTTGCGCCTTGCGTTCAATGTTCAGATCATGAGAGAACTTGCACTTGCTGCCTTTCTCGCAGTGACCTTGTTTAAAATAGATACAAAGCACCGTTTTGGGATCGGTACCGAATGGCACTTTCTGTGGGGTTTGAACAGGATTGAATAATTCGGCCAATTCTTCCTTTCGCTTTTGCTCGGCCGCCTTTTTGTCGGCAATCTTTTGCTTTTCAGACTAAAGAAAAAAAGGCACATAAGTCATCTCGCAAGGATGAATTTGAGAAATTGTTGCCATTGCAATAAAACCACCGTACCGGACCCTTATTGGCATTAACTTGGCCTTTCACTTGTTGAATGTACTGCTGAACCTTCTTTGACTTGTTTTTGTTTTTCATGCCAAAGGTCTTATCTTCGGCCACCTTGACCTTCTTCTTTTGCTCGGCCTTGGACTGTTTCTTTGGTGGCATGGCGAATGTTGAGGTGACGGAAACAACAAAAAAGAAATACAAAAAAATCTCGGGTCGTCCTCCCCACTAGAGCCCTCTTACCTTGGTGACAAAAAACAAGCCGAGTGACTGCCTAAATTTTGATTGGCTCATCTTATGATGTAGGCACCGAAAAAAAAATAACAAAAAAAAGAACGACTAGACAAATCAGAATCAGAGGATCACTTACAATACAGCCGATGCAAAGAAAGCCCCCACCTTTGATTAACTAACAAAAAGCACTGCAAAGCTAAATTCATGTGATGCTGAAGAGCAACCCTCATCCTTTGCTTCAAAATTGTGTGTCGACGTTACTTTTTAAAAGTACAGTCAAGTATACCTCAAGAGTAAAGCAGGGAAGGGCGAAAACAGCATTGATAAAATCGCTGGGAACATGATGTCAAATCCAGAAAAAAAGGCATAGATTTGCTTCGTAACCGGACCTTGCTCTTCAGCATTGTTGTATTTGGCATGTTCATTTTCCTACTACAATCTGATCTCAGCCGTTCCTGGGCAAACATATCCATTTTCCATACAAGTCTAAAATATCCATCTCACTTTCTCCATATAATTCTCAATCCCTTCTATTACCAATTATACTACCAGTCGATACCCTTCCATCATACCTGGCTGTGTATTTACAGCATAACTTGATCGTTCCTTACACCATCATCACGAACTATGAATAAGCTTTCACATATTTTTTGATCTTGCTTTTTTATTCTTTTGTGCCTTCGGATATAACACTGCATCCTATATTAGATTGACGCCGCAAATTATTTCTACTAAATCACCCAAGATCTAGCATGGATTGGGCTCATGGAATTACATCAAAAGACCCGTTTTTGTATGCATTACGCTTTTTTTTTCCCCTTCTGAGATTTTGAGTCCCTCCAAGGCAAAAATAAAAATAAAATAAAAAACTCAAAAGATGACTGGATAGCATATGATGATCGCAACCGAGATTCGAACCCACTTTCGCGAGCATGGCACTCATAAACGCTCATCACAATGCTATCCACCCATACACTATGAAGCATTAATTTTCATTTTGCGAGTATCAAAGGTTGAAGTGCTGCAAAAGGGTAACTGAATGGCGATAACTTAGGTTGAACACATAATTTGCTTGCAATTGGTATTTCATTTCGACGAGGTCCTACGGCATGGTATTACCGCATGATACGTGTCAACTAATAATAAATAATACCAAAACGATATCACAGAGTTAATTTACTACAGTATCAGATCAAGTAGCACACCAACGCAGAAGGACACGAATAAAGTAGATATAATAAAGATGCTTCGTCCAGGTGCAACGACGAAAAAATTAACGGTGAACAAGTCAAGAGGAAGGCGGATGCCTCCATCATGTGAATGAGTATTCTTCTATAGTACAAAAAAGCACTCTTTTTTCCCCATCTCCATACATTGCAATCTCTAAGGTTGATTGATCGATTACTATAGTTAGAAATTGGTATACGTTGCCTTGAAAACTGGTCAGGATTATCTATTGCTTGAGATCAAACTTCTTATCATGTACTTGAATTCCATAACAAATTACTCCAGGAGTCCTGAAGCAAGCTTTTATGAAAAGCGGTTCGAATCGTTCAGGTGCTTTGGACGACGATGATTGTTATAATCAGCTAACTGTACCTTTATTACTCTCTGCTGCTTCTGACGTCCTATTTCGTGCAGATTATGGATTTCATTATTTGGTATACCGCGCCTTGCAACCCAGTTGGCATCATAAAGCAGTCGCAGTTCGATTTTCCAACTTGTCCCCCAAAGCGGCCCGAGCACAGTGTGAGCATTAAAGGCTGCAAAGCTAGTCGCGACCTCAGCACACACATGGTCTGCTTCCGCCACATACACACGCTTCATAGAACTACTGTCTCTTGATGCTGTATCATGAGCTATCAATCAGCACTCTTTTTATCATGAAAAACAAATGCCTCTCATAGGTCGCGTTGTTATGAGATTGTGGATTTGCTGTCAGACCCTCAAAAACCATTTGCATGCTGAGATCAATTGATTCCATTTTGAGCTTTTTCTGTGAAAATAAATTCGTTGGCGGATGACAGAAAATAAAAAAGGTTGAGGTACTGTGTTTATACTAGCTACTTTACAGCAGAAAGTGAGTAATGCTTAATCAAATGCCTACCATCCCTTTTGTCCTGATAAATTGACTTCAAATGATTATGCTTGATTGAAATAGTTTGGTATTTTTGTATAATAATTCATTGCATCTAATGAAAAACGAGACAACGAGTGAACCAACTAATGATTTGAAGAGAACAATGGCACAATTAGGGTTTTTTCTGTCGTACCGTGTTCAATTGAACCGCCGCCATTGTGGCGCATGGCCTGAAAAAAAAGTGACCATGCTATCTCCATTGAGGTGATGATATACAAAAGAGGCGTTAGATCACTCCTTTTCATTCCCTTTTCGAGAATCTGAAATTAAAAAAGGTACGAGTCGAATAGGGACCTGCCCCTTTTGTCAGACTTGACCTTCTTTTTTTTTTTTTTTTGGTCCTTCTCTCCTCCTTCCTTCTTTATTCTTCGTTTGCTCTCTCGTTCTGTCGTTTTCCATACACACATAACCCCTCACTTTCCTTCAACCTATGGCAAGTACAGTGAGACCATCATCACACTCAAGATGGGGTCATTAACATGCAGTGGCATTCTGTTCATTAGTGCAATAGCAACAAAAGCGGACCAAAATGGAAACGAGAATTCGTTCAAGACCATAAATTTGATTATGTCGATATCGATGAATTCTACGATCCTTCGTGCACGACACGTATCGGCTATCTTTTCGTCTATTTACTGATCCTCAAAGCCTTCTCCGTCTATGTGGCCGATTTATGGACAGGAGGTAATCGCATCCATTCAGCCGATAAAGAAAAAACCCTTGATTTTATTTTTCTGCCTGGGACTTTCACCACTCATATTCAAGCATAATTTAACTTAATGTATTGGTATAATTTCTAGTTTCACTGTTAGTAGTGGGCCAAACGATCTCTACGGCAGCGATTCCACCCGATGTATCCAAGTATATTTTCTTGGGCGCTATTCTCATCTCTTTCCTGTTACTGTTCTGGGATATTCGTAAAGCTCGCAACATCATTGCATCACGCGATATTTCTTACGCCTTCACTTCGGTCATTGGAAATCGTTACTATTCTGTCAAAGATTATAAATATTACTGCTTGTTCTGCAAAATTAACAAATCTCGCAAATTCACCGACGATATTGCATTTTTTGTCTTTTTTACTCTCAAAGGTAATCATGCTTACTTTTTCTCATGACACAGTCTCCAGAAAGCTTGGTCCTTCTTTCATTGACGTGCTTTTTGTTTTATCATCTCAACAAATCCCCCTCAACTCAAAAAAAAAATTGGATAGGATGGAAACGATTGTTATTAGCGGAAGCTCCTCGTCAAGTGATCAACGTCGTTACGTTGCAAGCGCTAGTTCCTGAATGGATCAAAAAAGCTCAGAATGGTACTCCTATCTATAATGCGTTAGGCAAAGACGTTGTGCAACAAATCATGATGGGAACTATGGCCTTCTCGTTTGTAATTTTTGCCATGTCGTTTATTCTCGTTTGCGTCGCCGCAGTGATGTATATTCCTCTGCTATGCCATATTCGAGGTAACCTGAAAGAATATTGCTGCCACAAAGTAGATAAAAGGTAATACAACATCACCATCTGATCTAGTATAGCTAAGACGGATCGTGATCTAAACTAACCATTACTTCCATTTTCTTTTTATTTCCATCCAATTCGAATAGAATTTCTGAGCTACTGCGAAAACAAGCTCGACAGCGTGTGGAACGAAACCAACGTGCTGGAAGCGGTGGCCACAAGAAGAAGTCAAAGAAAGAGTTGATCGAAATGGAAACCGTACCGCAGCCGACCTTACCCAAAGTTGACCTTGAGACGCCCAATCATCCCGTGTCGCCGTCATCCCATTACGCAGCTTCGCGACCTTATTACTATCCAAATGATAACAAGCTCAACAACATGATGCCCTCTCGATTGATGCGACGAAACAGCGGTTCTTCCATGAGTAGCGATCAGATGGGTTTGGTGTCGAATGCTCAGGCACAGCCATGGTCGGCGCAACCCAACTATAACTACCAGCCTGGTTATTACGACACTCATTCGACTCGTCAGCATCCACCTTCTGCGAGTCCCCAGTTATCCGCCTCCAATACGTACGCAACTTTACCGTCTTACCACAGCCAGCCGCAGTTGCCATATTCCCAGCCCTACCAACAGTACCCACAGTATCCTGGATACCAGAACCGTTACTAAAACCCTCTTTTCCCTCTCTTTCTTGTAAAAAAAAAAGAACCACGATCCTATATACTACGCTCCTAGACGTCTCGTCTCTGTACACCGGTTTCCATTCATTCTGCTGCCACATCTTACTCTATCGCCCTCTTGACCTCTTTTTTTGAAATATACTATACCTTTCTCGTAAACATGAATGGTTAGTCTTTTTTTTGCGATATAACTGCTAGCCTCAGAAAAAGAAAGGATCTGCAAGATTGGAGGTTTCACTGTTAGATACATTGCTTCATTTTTCGTCTTGGGTTCTTATATCGAGTTCAAGATATCATAACCAATGGCCAATAATCGTACACGTACAACATTCATCTTAAGGTATCCAGCAATGCATTTTCAAAAAAAATGTTGTGCAAAATGAACAGTGGCAATAGAAAAAGCCGATTGTTGCCGAAAAAAATCGACGGAGCTGTAAATGACAAAATATCATATATGTACATCATCACAATGACAGACGGCCTACTGTATATGAGACTTGACTATAGGAGCAGCAAAAATAGAATCAAATATTGAAAACAGGAGCATTGTATAATTCGCCTCTTGTTCTAATAGATGTACAAAGTAGCTCTTGAATCCCAGCATTGAGCGGTTTACTACAACCACTGTCTCGTGTATACCTTTAATTCAATCAGTAACTCTCTTGAATGTACTAGATACGAAATAATGAGGATTTCATTGGTGAATATGATTTCTATCCTGGAGAGTCAAATGATAAAGCCAAGTGTGTTGCTTAATAGTGGGAAAAGACCCTGAATTTTTTTTTTTTTTTCAATATCCGTTCAATGCCCATTTTGAGAGTCACATTTGCGGGTGAAATGAGTGGCTTATATCCCGGAGAGCCTTTAATCTGACAGGGATGCAAAAGAGGGGCAACGAAAGCCTGCGAGAGCTGCAAAGTCCCACCCGATTGCCAGTTTTGCGTCTTGTTCCTCTAATGTTTAGGGCCACATTCCGATTATCTCAGCTCACGGCTAACGGAGCGAAAGGTGCTATTGTACGGGCATCTACCCGATCCCAGATGGTGGGCCGAACGACAGGTAAGCAATGAATAACAGAAGCATTCCTCAGTCTATCTTTTTTTTTTTTTTTTTTTTTTTTTTTTGCTAATATGTATTGTTTCCTTTGGGTGCCAGCCGTCCGTTCTGTTACAACGGCCAGTAGCGAAACCGCGGCATCGGATATCATTACGCATAACCATCCCACGGAACCGTTAGCCAAATACAATTTGAAGCTGGTGGCCAAACTTCGCAATCCACAACACGTAAAGGAAGTGCTTCGACAAGTGTTGCGAGTCGTTGAGGACATCAAGGCAGCCAATCTTAAAATGGACATCACCAGCTACAATGCGCTCCTTAAAGCTTATGCTCAAGCGAAAGAATCCTCGTTGGTTTTGGAAACCCTGAAAACGATGAAATCCCAAGGCGTCCAACCCACCGCTCAATCGTATGCAGTGGCGCTTGAAGTGAGTTGCTTGGAAATGACTCTAGTCGACATGGTGATCAGTGATCACTAATGGGCGTTGGTTACGTGGATAAAATAGGTGTTTGCGAAGTCCGGCAAAATCGATACTCAGGAACAAATCGTGCGGTTGATGAAGGAAGATGGTCTTGCCATGACACCACAGACATATATGCAGATCTTGAAAGGGTATTGTCAAGCCGGTAGCTTGAAAAACTCGTTGGCAACGATGCAGGAGATGAAAGACAACGGCATTGAGGTCGGTTTGGCCGCTTACGGTTCCGTGATCAATTGTTGCTTCAAGTTGCGCAAATCGCAAACCGCTTTCGATCTGCTCAAGCAAGCGGAAGAAGAAAATTTGGCCCTCAATACTCGACCACAGATCTACATGGATGTCATGCGTGCAGCAGCCTGGAATGACGAGGTAGGTTTCATGCAAAACTCAGAAGAGGCAGGAATGGGATAATTTACCGGGAGAGGAGGAAAATGATGGACTTACACAAGATCACGTTTGGTTTAGTTCGATAACATGGTGTACTGCTGGAAAAAGACGATTGAACATTCGTTGCGTGCTGATGAAGGCAGTTGTTTGGACATCATGCGTGTGGCGGCGAAAGCGGGCGAGACCGTTTTGATTACTGAAGTGATTGGCCAGCTGAGTAAGCTTGGATTCACATACAAGGAGCACTACTTTACGCCGTTGATGGAATCGTTTGTGCTCAAGGATGACTGGAAGAGCGCTTTCCACGTACTGGAGATCATGCGATCGTGCGGTGTTCACCCGACAATGCGATCGACCATCCCTATTCAGAGCAAGCTGTCCAAGGACATCAATGCGATCGACGCGGCCTACTATGTACTGGAAGAGCTTCACAACGAAGGCATGAAAGTCGATGTGACAGCGTTTAATGTGGTGGTGGCGGCGTGCGCCGAGGCCAAGGATCTGCAGCGTACAGTGGCCACTTATCGTGAGGCTAGTAATTTGGGAGTCACACCGGACGTGGATACATACAATGCTGTGCTTGAAGCGTGCGTGCAGACGCGTATGAAGGGTATGGGCAACGTGGTGATTGAAGAAATGAAGAAGGCCGGCATTGCCCCGAATGTGGCGACATACAGCCGTATGATTGCATTATCATGTACACAGCAGAACTACGAAGATGCATTTACTTATCTGGAGGAGATGAAGGGTTATGGTGTCATCCCTCCTGAATCCAGCTATGTCGTACTGGTCAGAAAATTGGCAGCGCAAGCGGACCCTCGATTCTTTTTGGCACTTGAAGAGATGGAAACCTACGGATACCAGGTGTCACCGAAAATAAGAGCATTATGGCGACAGTAAATAGATCATTTATTTCAAAAAACAACTCCATAAAACTCTAAAAAAAAGAGTTTCTCAAAACGTATGTACACATATCAGAAAGAAGAAATAAAAATAAAACAGCTTCTATAGAATAGATTTACTTTTCAAACATTGCGCTATGTCTTTTTGTGATGATAATATTTTTATGTAGAATGGCCGCTTTTCTCTGTCCAAAAATTGGATTGGTTCTCAGCACGGCCGGATAGTAAAATAAGGCGAAGAAAAAAAAAGACAGAACTTTAAAAAACTAAATAGAAAAGAACATTCCAAGGTTGAGCGAAAAATAGAAATGATGCCTTGCTTTGTGTATAAAATGCTTTGCATTGTTTTGACAATGGCAGTAAACTTGATCATCGCATAAATAAACAAACAAGGTGATCAGGGGAGCGAGAAAACGCCCTTATTTTTTTAAGGTCTTTCATATATCTGTGAATGGTGAACGAATGTACTACCCAAGCTAGGCTACACAAGATATTAGTGCCGGATGTGGTCTTCCTTTATGGAACTAAAAGGAGAAATTAAAAATGGCAGTAACAAGGATGGCGTTTCGTGGCAATGTATCGATGACGACCACTGTTCCTGACCAGCTCCTTGGTTACCAGTCACATTAGATGGGGTTCTTATGTATGCTTATGCAAGCGACCATGTCCATGCCGGGTGTTTTTTTCTGTGAGCATCGGAATGTCTGAAACAGAAAAAAGTGGGACAAAATCTGAGTATCGTACCAGAATCTAACTTTGGAGGAAAGGAAGGCGGTTCCGGCCGCGGACAAAAGGTAAGAAGGTCGGAGAAGTAAATGCAGTGGTACCTTGTCCAACCCAGCCATCATCGAGTGACACGTCAAGGTAGTGCATGAGAAAAAAAAAAAAAAAAACTAGGACCAGTGCTTCGCATCTATTCGTCCATAGACTCACCTGAAGCATCAAACCAAATATTTGTGAGAGAGAGAGAAAAAGGAAATGCCATAGCGCCGTTCATCGTAGCACTTTTTTTTTTATAAAAAAAAAAAAACATTTATAAAGTGAGCGTTCCAACGACGGATGAGAGGAAAAAAAACTCGCAAAATAACATTTCGATTTCGACCCTTTTACCAGGCCGTCTTCTACCTTTCCACTCTTTGATAACCCTCCTTCCCGTTCCAATCCTTCGAATTATCTACCTTTCATTCAGAATGCAACACCCTCCTCAATTTTCCGCCGCCGAGTACGTCAACGATTACTACCCTGTCCCCTCCACCAAGTTGGATTTGATGCATGACACCGCATTGTATCCCTCAGTCCAGCCTGTCACGGTCCCCAGCAATGGTAAAAAAATCAAAATTTACAACCGAATGCAAATGACATAGCGTTGTCCATTGAACTAATTCACTCATTCGTTCATAGCTTCCTTCTATGGTTCTCCTCCTTCTGCTGGGGCTTACTATGACCCTTCATTTGGATTCAGTTCCATGCAACCCGGAAGCCCCGACTCATTCATGTCGGCCATGACCCCGTCCACTCCTCCGATTGTGATGAGACAAGATCCTCCGATGCTTGTCGCTTCCTCGTCGTCTTCGACTGTTTCCTCCACTTCATCGACGGCCTTCCTCAGTGAAACGTTTGCCAAGGTGTCTTCGTTACCTGAATCTTTCTATCCGGAGTTTTTGCAGTATTCCAAGGAAACGTATGAGCAACAATCGGTGACCAAGAAGCGGAAAGCACAAGATGACACGATCCCAACTCAGCACGATAACTCTGATAAAGACCAATTGAGTTCCAACTTTGCTGAGTATCGCAAGCATCGAAAGCTCGACCACCAGCGATCTCCCTCTCCACAAGAGGATTCGGGGTCCGATGATGGGACCAGTGATGATATGTAAGTGGTCCTTTTTTTTTCTCAAAAATTTTCTTTGAGTTACCTGAAAAAAAAAAAGATCGAGGATGTCAGGACTAAATATTTTTTATTTACTAGGCGCACCACGGCTGAAATGCGTCGACAGATCCATATTCAATCCGAGCAAAAGCGTCGTGCCCAAATCAAAGACGGGTTTGAAGAACTCCGTAACGAGTTGCCTGCTTGTCTGAACAAAAAGATGAGCAAAGTGGTCCTGTTACATCGCAGTAAGTGGGGGAAATACGTCACATGATACCGAGAATTGTTCTCTGATGGGAATCTTTAATAATTTTTTATCATTTCTTTTTTTTTTTTTCTTCACCTTAGCCGTTCAACATATCCAGCATTTGAAGAGTACGCAAATGGTCATTTTGGCCGAACTGGAACGCCTTGTGCATGAAAATGAACAACTTCGCTCGTAAGTCATCCACGGTTTGGATTTCTTTGGTGTTGCTGGGGCATGGGATAGGGTTAGAATATGGTGTGAGAAGATAGGACGACGGAACCATGTTGTGTAGCCCAAGGCGGAATATTAAAAAAAACTTTTTGTTCTGCATGTAGGTTCCAACAAGGTGTGCTGCAGAAACAAGCGCTGGAGAATATGTACTCCATTGGCACCATGTAAATCCGTCCACGTACTCATTTCATCACTTCTTTTCTTCTACGCACTACTTCAATTTCCTGTTTCTATATTGCATTCTCTCTATCTAAGCCCACTTTTTTTTATATGTCCAAATTTTTCCTTTAATGTCGACTGCCTCTACATATTTTCTTTTTTCTTTCTTCAAATTTATAGAGTCTGTTCTAATGTTCCTTTTTTTTTTCTCTCTCTCTGTATACCCAAGAGCCCATTTCTCTTTTTTCTTTTTTTCAGCAAATAACCACCAAAGTTATATTTCTTTTTTTTTCTTTTCTTTAATCGCTATGATTCTTCAAATACTGTAACAAGGCACTATTAAAAAAATTTCAAAAAAAAAAAACCCAACGACAAAGTTTTTGATATTGCTCCATGACACATCTTCCACAATAGGCTGCAAGTGATCGTTCAGCTGCAGTTCCCGGTCCAAGGTTGTGAAAAGTCCAAGCTTCAATCCACCAATCAAAGACAAAGCATGCTCCAGTTATGAAAAATAAAGTTTGCATCATACATTTGTATCCAGAGTCATAAAAATTTCAAATGCATCTTTCACATCAGAAAGATAGTATTCCCTGACTGTGTGTACCACTTTGAAAGGTTATACCGTGTTACCATCACCGATTTCCTTTCTACCAACATCTTGCCATTCACAAACCTTGATCATACAGTCAACCTGTAAAATTCTTATCGCATCTTTTACAATGACTTCGTTTTGGTAACAATATAAACTCTTATACAATCTGGCATTTAAAATGATGACGGGAGTGCAAGAGTTTGCTTCGTCAATGAAAGAAAAAAGACGCTTTGATGGCAACATTTTGTTATCATGACTAACTGGCAAATGATATCATTAACATGTCGATCGTCGCTTTATTCTCTAAAATGCGTCCGCCGTGATAACTCTATCAGTTCGGCGATAAAACTTTATGGTATGACAATGTCTCTTCGGAATATCCGGTTGTCACCAAAAATTTCCAGTAATACTGACATGATTCAGTCTGATGGCGATAGCTCTCACTTCAAAATTTCTCAACGTAATATTCACACCATTTTTCCTATCATATGTTGAAGAAAAAAAAGGATCTATCGCCTTCTCATTCATATCGTACATGTGATCGCGTACTCCGACGGAAAGCCATTGCCTGTTATGCAGCCCATCAATCGCTGCCCAAATTACCTTTTTCGCTGGTGAAAAAAGTGTAACTTGTACTGCGTGTGGTTGGATATATTGTGTGGTAGTTGAAATCGTTTGATACGTCGGTGACATATCCATTAGATCAAAGATGGTAAGTCCAAGATGTCAACGAGAACGAAAATAGAATGTTTTATTACACAGTGAATACTGATAGGCATTCTTATATGATTCCTGAGTCATTGCCTTTTTAAAAGTGGCTTTCGATAGAAAGAATGTTTTGGTTTGAGAAGGAGATGATGACTGATAGAAAGAATACCTAGACTTACGGAAAAATGAGTATTCCATGTCAAAAGAGAGGCCAATGTGGTGATGTCTATGTCGAATACGTAATTGATCATGTCGACATTTGGTCCTACCTCTGTCAAGGCCACGAGGATGATGAAGTTTTCGGTCACATTGCATGCTCACGTTCATTAATGTCCCACATATCAATGGGTCGGCATATGAATAAAAAGCTGGTCATTGTAACATTTTTAACATGGAATGCAACTTGAGCGAGAAAATAGTGTTGGTAAATTCCGCCGTAAAAATATGCCTGTCCTTATGCACCTCTCACTACCGTCCGCACATCTTTTTCGTTCAACTTTGTTGTACCAATACACCCTTTTCGCGAGCGTGAGTGCCTCATTTCTTGGACTCTTGGATGCCCTTGTAAATGATGGAGCGCGATACACTGAATGCTGTGCAATTGTATCTTTTCCCCTCCCCGCGCGATTTGTGCTCTTTGCTCAATGTTAAGCATTATATTGTATTGGTAAAAATAAAAAAAATAACCGCCCAAAGTTCCTTTTATGCAAAAACTGACCAAGAGGAGAAGCGTTCATTTGCTGGGTTAACAAAAACCTCAGTTTGGTATAAATTTCCTGATCAAGCCCTTCAGGCAATTCCAAATCAAGGGTAACATGATGAGACGGCTAAATTCATGGATGGGCCATTTGACTAGTGGTTTTCAAGATGTGCGATTTCAATTCGTCTGCAGTGGAAATAAAATATACAGAGTTAGCGCTACAAAAAGAAACAGACTCATCAAAGCTTACCAAACTTTGCTTCGGCGAGTGGCGAGAACCGGATCAGATTGTTATCCGGGAAATGATCAAACAAAAATGACTCGGTAATGGACAGCTGAGCGCATTGCTGAGCCAATTTACTGAAAATGACAGGATCGTTTCGATATCTGTTTATAAGTTTTAATACCACCTTTTTTTAGAGTGCATGATGTCAAATTGACTCGGGTTACTTACAGTCGATAGGCTTCCTTATTGTGGCAATGCTTATCCAAGAGACTATCGAGTACGGGTCTCTTGAACATGTTCTTGACATAATGAAGCACATGTAAAAGATAGTCCTGATATGGTCGCCACGTCGGGAATCGCTGCACAAGAGACAAGTTGCCACTGACATCCACCAATGGATGAAAAATATCGGTGAGGAAGGTCACAGTGGGTGGCAATGCAGGATAGACTTCGGGAACGACCATGCGAAATTTGAAAACACCCGACTTGTAATAACCTTTGTGAACGAACAATACACCGTACCATACTATAATAAGCTTTTGATCAGCTTTGTCTCCTCGTTGGGTGGGTCCAAGCTTTACCACTTAAATTATCGGAAGAAGGCATCATATAAACACCGAGAGGACAGTGGTTAGGATTTCGCAAATTCATGCTACAGTATTTTCATCCATTGAGTCATATATGTTACAGCGCATATCATTCTTATCCACATACAATTCTGTCATCAGCTCGTAACGAGCGAAAAATAATGGCTTTTTCGGCGCACTTGCACTCCCCAAATCACCGACGGTATCACGATCTTCGTCCTCATCGTCCTCGTTCAATCCCAAATGGCTGAAGCTGTCACTCATGTTGCCGTCATTTGTTAGAGCCCCTTCTGATATAAATGTCGCTGTCGACCGTGGAAAAAACGATCGACGTCGTTGTTGACCAACTATGGCGGCATCAACGACCAACCCGCCTATGGATCGCTTCTGCGATAACTAAAACGCAAAATAAAAGGTTAAGACGAGCTGGCCATCAACTTGTTGCTCATCTCATGTGTCATTACAGTATTCATAGCAATAAGAACCGAAAAAAGGCGATACAGTGATCCCTTACAGCATTCGGCAATGCCCCGCAAATACAAGGTCATCCACTGAATACGTCATAACATTGTGCAGTTGCAGATCCCTTTTTTCTGATTGTGCTTTATGCAAAAAGATTGGGGTAAATTTGCTTACAAGTTTGCTACATAATACTACATGTTCCTTCAGCGGTAGATTTGTTGCTCTTGATTTTGATAGTGATTACGTCCGGTATATCGCAACCCTGACCACGTTCGTATACGTGGTATACGGTTTGTCGGTCTGGCGCATAATGGCACTCGCCTGAACTGGCTTGGATATCCAGGGACACATCCTTGTAGTGGAAGGCAGGAATAAAAATTTCAGTCACTGTGGCCAATGTGTCATTGGCATCAAAACCGCTGGCGATCTGTTCCTCTGTTTCGGCTTGACTGAATGGCTGGAACGTCAAGGTATACTCTAATGCATCCATATTAAACTCCGAAACGGTGGGCGTTCCTGCCACTTTGGAAGCATACGGACGCTGTGGACCCAGGAAAAAGAAGATGATATGAATGAGTCCATAGCTACCATGATTAAAGAGTTGATTCCAACGTACCACTGCAGCATCAAGGACTCGGCCGCCATTATGAAGTCGAGTATGCAAGTCGGCGTCGTCCGTCGAAAACGTCAAACCTGCTACCGCATCATCACGGGGAGACGAATAGATGGAAAAGTTTTCACCGTTCCAATGGTCACCATACTCGTTGTCGTTGCAGACATCATAATTCCATAAACTAAGAAATCCATATAAGCAAAAAACGAAAAAAAACTCCAGCTTTTGCGATTGGATCACTTACGTAAAGTTGACTAGATTGGTCTCAAGAGCATAAATGACGGCATCCATAAAATGCACATGGTAGCTGTAGTCACCAGTGTCAAAAGCGAGCCGTTCATTCAGATCCATCGGAATCCCGACTTCACCCAAAAGACAGGGCTTTTCTCCCATATTTTGCAATCCACTTTCCTTGATATTTCGAATCTGACCTCGATAATTCTTTTTCGCCCCATTGCGACCGAAATATGTCGCTCCAAGCACATTGCCACCCTAATAAGCCTGTGGGTGAGTCTTTTTTGAAATGAACTTGACCTTTTTCCACCTACATTTTGCAGTGACTGGACATCGTGTGTCATGAGACCGTTGAATTTTTTGTAGAATACGCAATTCAGATCGTACCAATGCGGTGCATAGACCATGTGATCATGATGGTCTTTTTCTGTAAAGATAGGTGATCGCTACAAGAAAGAAGAAGCATCAAAAAAGATCCAAAGCATCAACGCATCGCTGACTACTCTGATTTATGGTCTTACCTCGTTGGCCAAGGGTTCGACAAAGCAGTACCAGATCTTCTTTACACTTTGAATGGCTTGAGCGTATTGATTGACGAATGGAACGTAGAAATCTCGGTAAAAATCGACGGTTTCTCCTGTAATGGGATCTTTGGAGAAATAGGCGTCATCAAGAAGAACGGGTTGACCAGCATCGTCCAGTTTCCATACGCCATGTTGTTTCCAAATGCATGATTGATCGGCGAGCCAGGCCGATGTTCGGCTAGCATTGATCGTACGTGTGTGAGACCGCTTGGTCGGGAAAGGCCAGGACTTGATATATACACCGACTTCTTGGGGTATACCGTCACCTAAAGCAAAGGATTGAAGTGGGGACGGGGAATCTCCAAAGATCAGATTGACAATGGGATCGTATTCACGCAACGTAGGAAGCCCTATGTAGCCAGGATGCGGTTCATTCATCACTTCAAACCCCATGACGGCTGAAAGATCGACTAGCCGTTTCGCCAAATGTTGAAAGGCCTGAATAAAGCTCTTTTGCAGAAATTGTTGAATCGAACCACCTTGGTACGTGTGCTCAGCAGCAAACGTATCGCCTCCGAAAAATAATGTGAACATGGTACATGAAGCCAATTTGGTGTAATTGGTGGGCCACACCTAAGCAATCGTTGCATGTGAGACGGAATTTTTCGGGAAACTAACGACGGTCGGCATTTTTTTTCTTTTACCATGGGCAATGGATCACCTGGAACGGCGTTGGTATTGTGAACATACGCTGCGCCTGTCTCTTTGAAATTGCGGATATTCATCCCGGCGACTTCAAACGTCCAACCTGGTGCACCAGAACCGCCGGAAAACCGGGACCACTGCAGTGAAGCGTGTTAGTCAACGTACGTCAACAATGTAGGGAGTTGTTCCTGAACATTAGCATGAATTATTGGAATGGAGATTATGCCTACCGTATCTTGATGGGGATCAATCATGCATTTCAAGCCGTATTTCGGCATGAGAGCAATCAGTTCTCGTAAGTAATCGATGTATTCTTCATCGTACTGTCCCGGGCCTTGATGTTCGAGCGCTTCCCAAGGCACCAAAAAACGAATCAAGGTCAACCCCCAGGCACGCAACCGGTTGAAATGCTCGTCGGCTTCTTTTAACGGAAATGGCCGGCCTACAAAGCTCACACCGCGATGGTCCCAAAACAGTTTTTCATCGTACAAGTGAGTGGAGCCGGGATATGGATGAGTAGGAAGTTTGGATGAACCGCATACATTGACCCCACGCATCAGCAGCGTGCGTCCCGTTGAATCTTTGAACCATCGACCGCTGTGGCGAATCTCCGTGTTCCACTCTTGCGCAGCGTGGCACGGCTGAACAAAAGACAAATGAGGTGCTTCAAGTGAGTCAGTTACCATTGCTGATCCTATTCACACAGGTTTGGAAATAAACTGTTAAAAAGTAATGCCAACAATACGTGCCCATTTGTCAATTATTTTCCCAATTTTTAATATTTTTAAAGACCGCCCTATGACAGCATTGATTCGCGTATCTGGGAGCATTGTCTCTAGACGGTCCTCTTACTCCTCGCTTCAAACTCGAAACCCTGTGCCGGGTTTGCCAATAACGTGTCTGTGCCACTTCTAATTTGGGATGAAATGGCTCGATCGATATTCTTCGATCGAATGGTAATAGGCTCGCGTTTGAACACGCATAATATTGGAGTCACGAGTGATAGACAGCAGATACATTTTACAAACACTTGTCAAATGATGAGTGCTAATTTATCAGTCATTATGTACGCTTTTACGACCCTTATTTTGCGGAAAGACCATGCGGCCTGCAAAACCGAATCATTACTGGTATCACTTTGCGATCACGCCCATATCCTGCAGACCAGCCATTGGAAATATTGACACTGCAGCAAAGCGCCCGGAAAACGAGGGATAAATGTCCCTTTTACATGACATGTTGCTGTCACGGGTAGAACAACGCATTTTACACACGTGCTATCCCACAAAGCTGCACTGCCAGCATGTCTTTTTTTTTTTTGCAGTGGGCGGCCATTTTCTGTAAAACAAGGCCTCACTATCCAGAAGTACTTTGTACACGAAAATCTGTTAAACAGATTGACACATGCAACTGTGACCCACATTCTCAAAATAGAAGAACTTTGTTTTTAGCTCCTTTTAAGAACGCTATATCGGATATTCATGAAAACAGGACCAAGCCAAACTCAGCAGCGTAATCAATAAATTGCAAGTAGCCGTGTAACCGATCAAGGCTCGAATCATTGCCAAGGGGTTTGCCACTTATCGTACCATACTCTGTACGCAACAATAGAAAAAAAACGTGTATAGCCTGTGCATATAATAAAGAGATCCTAAAGCTTGATGACATGAATGTCAACATCTTTCCAGCCATTCCATGACCGACAGGAACACATATCCCATGGAATTGGTCATCTAATAAAAAACCAAGTAGTGATAAGATCTATTTATTGAATGGATATCTGGAGCGTGGATCGTGCCGCCAAAAATAAAAAAAGACCAGCTAATTTATACAGGGGGCAAGACGTTCTGCTTGAAGCGAAGATTGTCAGTGGTGACAACGTTACCGGCAGGAGAGTAAGAGCATGTGTAGAGCTTGGCACCGTTGCAATTCTTGACACCGCAACCGATGCGAGTGGTACTTTTCCAGACTACGGCGGTAAAATGACCCGTAGACGAAGTGAAGCCAGGATTGCTGTAATCATAGTCTTTCTCTTCGTTGTACCAACCAGCAATGGCGGAAGCCCAGTTCTTATGGCCCATTGCCAGGTTCTCGCCATACGGGCTCTGAAAATTAATCCAACTTTTTGTTAGTTTTCCACATCATTCCTTCATATATTATATATAATGTGAACCATGGTAAGATGCTTACGGTACTATGCTCGAATATGCAACGATTCGACCATTTTTGAGCAAATCTTGCTAATTTCGGATCCCATTTGACAGGAGGCGCTTGATGCTTGGCCCGGTACTGGTTATGCAGCTCCACAATGTGCTGAGCTGACTTGGCCGATGTCGCCGAGACCAATTGAATCAAAGCGGCCACAATGAATAACACTTGCAACGAAATGAAGGTGGGAGAAACCATGCTGGAATGACGATGGTAGAAGAAAAGAGTAATAAAAAAAAAAGATTATGTACATCGTAGATCAAAAAGGTCAGTACTTATAAGCTTTGCCGCTGCGGATTACTGTTGTACACAATAATGCATAACAAATAGTGTTCCGCATCGAGAAAAAAAAAATCCATCTCTTCTCAATGCCTGACGAGTAGTCACCCCATGTCACAGATATTTTTGCCGAAAATTAATCTGTTGACATTGAATCCATTTATTGAAGTGTAATTGCCCGACGGGGGAGGGGGCCTGAGTGTCGTTCTGGAATACCGATGCACGTTTTCTGTAAGAATGACATGCTCCTCAAAGTTATCCGTAATAATTGTCATTTTATTATCCCAATATTCCACTGCGTCGTATGGGTCACACATTGTTGATGAAATCGCATTGGTAATATACATAACGAAACCTCAGGGACCCTTTTTTCCGCATTACCATTCAACCGCGTTTAGCTTCATCCGGGAAAAAATCATCCACCGATGCGCTACTGCAAAACTATTCAACATTCACTGTGCTGATACGAAATGGGAACGAAGCGTGCGAAACAGGCTTTGCAATGGATAAATAACAGTACTTCCAATCAGTCGCGCACAGTCCATCGTCCGGATCGATCATGACGGATCATGGATGACGGCTGTGAAAAGACAAAGATGTTTTATTGCGAATTTTTACAAAACTGCTATGAGATGACATGTTGATCGATGATCCTTGACCGTTGAGATGTGATATGATATATTGACTTAATCTTTTTTGATATGCTGCTGTTTTCGCCTCAGTTGCATACGTTTCATTTCCACCATGGTGGTAAAGGCGGCGCGCAATATAAAAAACTAACGATGTACGACGTTAATATTCATTAGTCCATTTCACGGCCAGTATTTCTGCTTACCAACGTAATAAACCCATTGATAATCAAGGGAAACGCGTACACAAACGAGATGAACAATCCCGACTCGTCAAAATAATCGGCGACGGCAAAGTTTCGCCAGTACATCTGACCAAGGGCATTCATTCTCTCCGATAAAGCCGCCAACCCAACTAATCAAAAGTATCCCACATTTAGACAATTTTTGCACGTTGGCTTCTTTTTCTCCCCCAACAAATCTTTTACGACATACGTATGATAAAGAAATAGACACACAGAGCGGTATGCCGGTTACGTAGTACAATGACCATGATCAGACTCAGAATATGGAAGCCTACAAGGGCTTGCAACCACGGTTGCGACCACTGGACCTATAATGCATGAACCACATGAATGACCAGTAAGAGAGACGCGACATGATGAGATGGAGAGTGATGGCTTACAGCATGAAAAAAGCCTATCACTTGCTGTCCATATTGACTTGCTGCAGGTGGAGTATTGTGTTGTAACTGTGCTTGGAGGGTGCGCAGGATATTCTGCACAATGTCTTGCTGTGACGAGACCATGCCTGAGTGCGTCCCAATGGCATGCAAGCCGATCCCACCAATAAAATTCATCCACATAAAGTGACCTGTTTTAGGTGGTGGAGTTTTAAATTCACCAATCCTTTTTGTCCAAATTCTTTCATTTCTTTTTTTTTTTCATTTCGTTCCAGGAAAACGGCTTGCTTGCATATATAATGAAGCATCACCGATATCTCATTGCCTGCGTCTTACCGCTACTGTTTCCTCTATCCATTTGGGCGGAAGACAATGCTCAGCATTATCTGGCCAAAGGCAACGAGTTTCTCACCACTGGTCAGTTCAACGACGCTGTCATAAACTTTGACGCTGCCATCTGTAAGTGCAATTTCAAGAAACGAATAAACGCAAGCTTTTTGATAGAAAGCAGAAACTGACTGAGAGACGCATAGCGCGCGATCCTGACAATTACCTGTCGTACTTTAAGCGGGCCATGGCGTATCTGTCCATGGGACGAAATAATGCCGCAGTGGATGACTTCTCTAAAATTCTTACTCTCAAACCCGACTTTGACAAGGCACTCTTGCAGCGCGCACGAATTTATGCCAAAGAAGGTCAATTCCAACTCGCCAAAACCGATTTACAAAAGTATTTGAAATCGTCGGCCAAAGATGCAAACGCCAAAGCATTGGTAAAGTATCTGATTTAGGCGCCTTTATCCGTATGATCTAATGCTAATCATGCAATCTTTCCTATTAGCTTGAGTCTGTAGAAAAAGCCGAGTCTTCGCTTACCCTGGCGGAAAAGAAAAGGTCACTGGGTGAATACGATGAATGCATTGAACTGGTGTCTTCCGTGGTGCAGACCTCGCCTCAATTGGCCCGAGTTCGATTGTTGGCAGCTCAATGTCATATTGCCAAAGGCGCCATTGATGAAGCAGCGGGTGATTTAGCGTACGTATTCTATTTACCATTGATGGGGGACTGTTCATTGTCCAGAAAGCTGATCAACTCTCTTGATGCATGATTAGACGTGCGGCTCATTTGACGCCCTCGGATCCGCAGCTTTTGACCCGGTTAGCGAAAATCAATTACTTTTCGTTGTACGAACCTCAGGGCGCTCTTTCGCATGTCAAGCAGTGTCTTCATTACGATCCGGAACAGAAAGAATGCAAAAAATTGTTCCGTCTTATCAAAAAGTTGGAAAAGGAATTGACGACGATTCGCAACGATTACAGCAGCAAGAAATACGCCACAGCGGCCAACAAGCTGATTGGAACGAGCAGTAAAAGAGGATTGATTGCCGATGCTGATGAACAAATGCAGAGCTTGGAGAAGGAGCTGGATGCGGTCCAGAAAATGCCAAAAAATTTGCACGTGCAGATCTATGAATTGGCGTGTAAAATATTTGGGGAACAAAAGAGCAAAGATGCGGGCAAGGTCGAAAAATGGTGTTCGGCAGTCTTGTCTTTGAATGAAAACAACGTGGATGCATTGATTTACCGCGGTGAAGTGAAATTGGAAGCAAACGAATTTGAAGCTGCTGTCAAAGATCTTCACCAGGCCAACGAAGTCTCTGAAGGACGCAATCACCGTGTGCGCCAATTACTGCAGCGTGCTCAACAAATGCTGAAACAGAGCAAACGCAGGGATTACTACAAAATTTTGGGTAAGCTCACAAAATGAGAGAAACACACAAACGGGATTGAGAATGGAGGATACTGACCTGACCTTTGGCTCATGACAGATGTTTCAAGGAACGCTGACACACGCGAAATCAAAAAGGCGTATCGCAAGAAAGCGCATGAGTGGCATCCCGATAAGTACAGCGGAGAAATGAATCGAGAACAAGTGGAGCAAAAGATGGCCGAAATCAACCAAGCTTATGAAGTACTAAGCAATGATGGTAATGTGGATTCGAGTATTTTCGGCTTTTTACAGGTTATTGATAGACGTCGATTGGTTTTTAGATTTACGGCAGCAATACGATAATGGGTTCGATCCTTATGACCCCGAAAACGGTCAGAGAGGCGGCGGTGGCGGTCCTGGTGGCCATCCCTTCCATGGACAAAATCCGTTTGCCCACTTTCAGGGTGGTTTTCCATTCGGTGGTGGATTCCCTGGTGGAAATGGTCAGCCCTTTAGCTTCAAGATGCAGTTTTAACAAAAAGATCCCTTTATTCCATTGTCATTCCCCTATAACTCCAAAACCACTCCATGTACCATATTAATACACTTTTTCCCGTCACCGCATTCGTCAACTACGAGCTTCATGATACAATTGAATCGAATTTCATCTATTGTAGTTTTCGTATAAATCTTGGGCAAAGTATCAGTTAGAATGGGATCAAGGTAATCAACCAGAGGATCACCAAAGATGAGGGTTGCCACGATTTTTTTCAGGCGGAGCAGGATGATCCATTAGACTGTGCATTTTGGAACCTTTTTTTCCGTGACCGGCAAAAAAGTGAAAAAGGTTAAAAAGGGTGTTCAGCCGCAAAAGAGAAAATTTTTACAGCTTGCTCTTGTTTTGGTATGTATTAGAACTTGTTAAACTTTTTTGATCCCCTTTTTCTTCCATGTTCGTTGGTAACTTGGACCCTTTTTTTTCAAGATGATACTCAAAAGACATTTGCACGTCAGTCTGAACTATTGACTGTAGAACATTAAACGCTATACCCAAATTTCTGAAAAAAAAAGAATCCCCCTTTCTCTATTTTATCATGAAACGATTTTGGAAACAGAAGAGTTAACAATTTATTTTGTTTGCTTTAGATTACCTATGGTCTGTTGGTTTTCTCTGTCAAGACAGTTTACTGTAGCATGTGTTTTATTGCAACGAATAAAAATGTTATTGTTATCATATCCAATGCCTTCTTTTTAAGCCACCGAAAATTTTTCGTAAATCTCCATGATCAACTGAAAGAATATATCAGATAGTACCATGCTGATCATCAAAAGATACAAGACATAGAACCATGAGACAACAGGAAGGAAGGCCACGCGTTAGGGCGTGGCACGGGTATAGGCTTTGCCACGGAATCTCTTTTTTCCTCGAAAATGAAAATAAACAACCATGCAAGCAAAGAGGAGAGATAAAAAGCGAAATTTTTTGTTTCGCCGAGATCAAAACAACGCGCCCCCCTCCCCCAAATCGATCTGAGAGCGTGCTTTTACAGGAGGCGGGCTTATTTTGCTTATCCCGTGCATCCATCCGTTTTGTTGATGTATTGATAGGCAATGCATGCATCTTTTGGCCCATGGAAATTACCGGTGAATATCACCGAGAAAGGCGACGATAGAACCAATGCAGCATGCATGATAATTACCGTGACATGCGTATCCACGGAAAAACATTCAAGGACGGCGTTGCTTATGAGATTGGTATCCGTGTCAAAGGTTACTTATTGGCGCTTTCCAAAAATATCAACATCAGCAGAAACCGGCAATCTATTGAACCGGAAGAACGAAAGCCAAAACTGAATGGAAAAAAAAGGGGGCCAAGGTGGTCAACCGTTGTGTGATGGATCGATGATGAGGCGATAATACCATATCGAACCAATGAACTATCTTTCATTGAATTTCGGTTGCTTAAAACAGTGAAGCGCTCGATAAAAAAATTGTTCGCGATATTCATTGTTTCGCAGTTACACGAAATGATCTTTTAGTCCACCTTTTTCGTTCAAAAGCGGAATCCTGAGCTTCCCCGGATTCTGTTGTCCTCCCTTTCCTTGTGTTAACTCATTCACATCTAGGAACATTGAAGTAGATGTTGACCAGTCAAATAGCTTATATCGATCAATGTATTACTGAAAGCAGTATAAAAAATAAAATAAAAGCACATACAGAAGAAAAAAAAAATAATAAGCTCAGTTATACATGTTGGTGTCGCTGGAAAACAAAAAATAAAATAAGAAAAAAAAGCTCCGTCAAGGGAATCTTCTAGGATAATATCAAACAAGTGTAAAAAAAAAAAAAAAAAAAAAAAAAAGAATATTAGGTGGATATGATACAGTGCGGATACAAGAGGACAAAAACGAGAGGATGGAGTATAATAATAATAAAAAAAAGGATCGAAAGAAAGCAGAGGGAGGGATAAAAAAGGGAAACAAAAAAAAAAAAAAACTCTATTTGTTACGAATACAATGATAATGACGCCAGCCATTGGGAAGAGCTCCATCTTGGCACACTTCGGTATTGGTCATCCATTGTGATTCGAGAGCTTGTTGAACGGACCAGCGCGTCTTGGGATTGGGATCCAACATACCAGCCAAACATTCGATTTCGTCTTTGGACAATCCTTGCCAGATATCGCAATGGTGAGGGCCAAGGGTTTTTCTTTGCCGTTCGTACTGGCCATAGTCACGATCGCCACCATCGGGGGCTTGAGCCGAAACCGCGGCAGGCGAACCACGAGTAGCGCCCTTGGGAGGAGATCGTGGGGTGCCTGTGTAGAAAGAATTACCAAACGGTAACCGCTGGAATCGGATGCAGAAATACGTAATGGCGGCGCTCCAAACATCCAGAGCTCGACCATCATATGGCGACGTCTCATCAAGAAGCGACCACATTTCAGGCGACCAGAAGGGTTCCGAACCACACCATTTATATGACGGTCGTGACTCGGATTCGAAGCACGTCTGGAAAACGTCGGCCACACCAAAATCGGCAATCTTGAGTGTCCCGCCTGTGGTCAACACAAGGTTTTCAGGCTTGATATCCCGGTGAGCAATGCCCAGCTGATGCAAATGACCAAGACCTTGCAACAGTTGTTTGAACAAACACGATTGTTCTTCCACCGTCATCGTTCCACGTTCTTGAAGCAAATTGAAAACATCACCTCCTGCACACTAGTAAAAAAGAAAAAGAGAAAAGAAAGAGAGGTGAGATGAGATGCGCAAAATTGGGATTTTTTTAGCTTATCGGATGGAAACACTGGAAATCAAAGAGAACCACGTCCCGTCGACCCATTATGTATAAAATGGACCGAAAAAGGGAGTCGAGTAGAAAAAGAAGTAACAGAAAGTAACAAAAAAAAAGAAAGGTGATACGTACGTATTCCATAACGGTACACCAGCGATTGCGTTCATCTTTGACGAGATCCATAGTTTCAACCACGTTGGGATGGTCGGAAACGGACTTGCTGATACAATATTCGTTCTGCATGCGTTTAAGATAATCACGTTCGGCTTCGGTTTTGTCACGTTTTCTAAATTCTTTCACGGCAAGGATTCGACCATCTCGTCGTTGTCGTACGAGCCGGATCACGGCGGTCGCACCACTGGCAATATTCTTCTTGGAAGTGGATCCCATGCCTTTTGTCGACTTATTCCGCTCAGGCTTGACATAGTCGCCATACTTGTCGACCAGTTTGGGCACGTGGCAACTATTATCAGCTGTCGACGACGACGATGGCTTGCGAGAAAACAGCTGAGAAAATGACCGGCTCAGCTTGCTGGCTGAACTGCCCGCCGAGCTAAAACTGCGAAAACTGCTGGCACTGCTACTGCTTCGTCGACTTTTATCGCTCAACACACTGTTGGGCGCCGGGAGTTCCGAGTCTTCCATGGGCGTCATCTTCAATCCGGAACGAATGTTGGGAGATGAACTACCAATGCTAAGCATGGAGCTCACCGACTTTTTCGATGCCGGTGGAATGGGCGTCGCTTTGGCGGGCCCCGAGTGCATAATAGTAGATGGTGGTGGATTCAATGTTGAGACGGACGAACAACTACTGGTACTACCCCCCGCTACTGGGGCATCATGAGAAGACGAAGCTCGAGTGGATACGGAAGGTGAAAGACCGGGACAATCGGTGGGTTCCAAGCACTCGGGTGAAGACGAACGTGGGATAGGATCCTCTTCGGTTAAAATCCAAGCAAGGGTAGTTGCGGTAGGCATGGTAATCGAAATTTTGGGTTTCTTCTTTTTTTTGGGGGGTGGTGATTGGGGAAGGGTTTAGTACAAGGCAATGATGGGCATGAAAAAATAATAAAAAAAACAATGAAAAAAAATTAAGAATATCAACACATTAAATAATAAAAATTCAAGCAAACGGAAAAAGAAAGGGAAAATGACAAGGAAAAAGAAGTTCCGTTGATAAATGAGATAAGAACAAGACTATTAAATAGTTTTCCTCCTTTATATTTTTTTTTCATCCCACACACACACACACGCACGGGAGGTGGCGGGTTTAGCTTCACCCAGGGACGGCGAAAATTCAAAACGGAAGTGGACCAATATGGACACGCTGTTTTCGACTGATGCCCTTTGCTGCCTTTTCCTTTTTTGGATCGCTCGCTCAACGTCACTCTTTCTAACGCTTTTGCGAAACTGACTCTGCCAAAAAAGCTTTTTTAAAGTAATCCCATGTCTCAGATTCTTAACCTGACCATTTGGTTTCTCACGAGCCATAAACGACTTGTTCATACGAAGAACCCCCTCTTTTCTTGAAACGTAAAAAACGAAAGCAATGATTTCTGACTGACGGGAACAAAGACTCTGTGGATTTTTTCTTTTTCTTTTTTGCCCATGCTGGGAAAGAGGGGTTGAGTGGTTGATTCCCAGCCAGTAATCTAGCCGAATGATCATATAAGGAAAAAGGGAATTTTTTACTCCACCATTTTCATTCGATGGATGAAATCAGACACAGATAAAAAAAAAAAAAATTGAATCGCCCATTCATTCCAATAATCCATTTGCAAAATTGCGTGCCATCGCCGATTTAAAAATAGATTAGAGTTGGGAAGAAAAAGACCCTGGTGAGAAGGAAAAAAAACCACGCAGACTGAATCACTATTACCTTGTCTTGCATGGTTTTTTCGCTCTCAGACCATCGATGGCCATAATGATTATATTTACCAGGCCATTTTGTTACCATGGATTCAATCTGATAGCGGGAACTTTAGGGATGATGAGGAGATTGATTCGTCCCAAGTCATCCAGAACAAAAACAAATGATATCCTGTTGCCTGGCCAACAGTCAAGGGCGCATCTTTATTGGGGAAAAAGCCGATATCGCCAAGACTTTCTGCGCATGTTGTCCTGAGATGATTGCATACAATGGATAAAAAAAGAGAATGCGGCCTTCCACACTCATTTGGTTTGCATCAATGACAGGTTCGACAAGGTGGCAAAAAAAAAAAAAAAAAAAAAAAAAAAAATTCAGGATTCAATCCACCTCCACCCAACCGAGGAATGTCAGACCTATAGATGACGCGGCTGTACGACTACGTATCACCTCGAACCTGTACAAATTTTTCTGACATGGCATCCTATGGAGCAGGTGGTACTCGATGTCACGATGCCCGGTCCTCTTTATTTTTGATTAGAATTGTACCCATTCACATTGTACGCCGGTAGTTTAGCCACAGGCCATCTTTAAGCTCAAGCTCCTTATTTTAAAATACAAGGTTAGGTATTGATTCTTGCATCCATGCATTGGATATGCAGAAAGTTTCGCAGAGTTTTGATGATATGGTCAACTTGGATGTGAATTATGAGACGGGTGCGGAGACTCGGGTTTTTTCATATGATGTCGTCCAACGGAATCTCTAAACACAAGGATAGAACGTGGGGCAAATAGTCATCCTTCCTCCTCGAGGAAAGGGGCGGTCGTCCGTGCTGAGTTAATCGTGCGATAAGTCAATGTTTGTTGCCTATCGCGGAATTATAAACAGATGGGTTCACATTCAAACAAAGCCAAGGTGCTCTGTCTACTGCGTTCTCTTTTTTCTTTCAGGTCGTCCATCTCGTCCTATTTTCTACCCGTCATTCCATTGATGAATGGGGTAAAAATGATCAATCTTGATTCATTGTTACAAAGTTCACCAAGAACAAGCGATGGTCAGAGGAAAGTTTGGGAATTTTTTAGATGACTGGTTTCTTTGTATCACTCCAAGAGGCGATTCTCCCAAAGGATGGCGACATACCAGCACATCAACATAGAATGTTTTCGTTTCCAAATATTCCGATAGAAACAACGGATAGGCGGTGGGGACCAAAAAGAAGGGGAAAAAAAGCAACTGTGAGGCACCCAATTCTCACTGGAAAATTTTGAAACAGAATAAGCACCAACCGAACGCATTGAATAAAAATATCCTCTCCACAAAGATCATTCTTTTGTTTTTATTTTTTGCCTTATTCTGCTCGACGAGACACCAATATGGCGTTCAAAGTGTGCCAAATTCATTGATTGAAAACTAGTTCTCAAGGGCTGAAGAAGATGGGAAGAGGGGTTTGTCGGCACCACATCAACGAGGAGTCAACATCCACGCAAGCTGTTTATGGTAAATAATGAACGGAAAATAGGCAATTACCTAAGCCATTCCCAAATTTGCCAAGGTAGTGTGATTGAAAAAAATAAAGTCGCACGCTACATTTTCTTATCGGTAACAAGGTTCTTTGGCAACAAGAACTCACCAGCCCATCCATGACCACTGAAACGTTCCTTGAATCCTCTATCTGTGGGGAAAAAAAGGCTTGTTTGTTGTTGATCAACTCAATCGCCTAAAGTCGATCTCTATGACACAATAAGCGACATGTGACTTTCATCACCCGCTGAATGCCCCACAATCGTTTCCCGGTTCGTTTATCTCATGCTGAGATGGGTTCGGCATTCATCGTCGATCACACTATCGTGTCAGGAAAAAAAAATAAAGATAAACATCCATGCGACTGGCTCACGCACTAGACCATGTTAGTCTCCCATAGTCTGACTGCCAAAAGTTCCCAATTGTGGATACAAGATTTCCCGGAAAAGTTCATTAATTGTCATGGCCACTTCCGTTCTTTGGACCCGTTGATCAAAAAGAAAGTCCAAGAGGCCACCCCGCTTTTTCAACGGAGTTGAAAACGAACCTATCGGACCTGGTTCACTTCTTTTTGTTTTTGTTTTTGCCGGTCAGACGATTTCCAACCCATGATCATGACCCTCATGGCTAAATGAAACCATCGGTTTGATATCATGCATGATAATGTCAGCTTGATCCATATGAACCTATTATTTTATTGTCTGTAGTTGATTGTAAATTATATTAGGGTATCTGACTGTAGGCTTATCATGCTGCCTGTATCGGATCTTCCGTGGACCCATCCATTGGCTGGTGTAACATGCATTGTGGAAAAATCCGGCAACATCTCGAAAAAGTTCAAGCAGGCTCTCTCAAGTCAGCGAGTGATGTATGGCTCCGACCTTCTATTTTATTTTTTACGCTGATCACTGAGCTAAAAAAAAAATTCCGAGAGGATCCCAAGCATTAACCGCTCGAGCAACGTCAGAGAAAAAAAAGGTATCGAGTCATTTCCACTTGACAAGCAATTATTCCGGTCGATTTAGAAAGGTAGGAAAATTCTGACGTGTGGTGCAACAGATACTATGAAATAAATGATGTGGTATTGATTTCATCATACAACTTTTAAGGTTAATCTTTATGCTACACCTGATTTACGTCGTTGATTGAGAGCGGTCTTTGATCGTTTCACTTGCTAGATGCAAGCCGACAGATTATCCTATGGTCATTTATTTGGCCATCTCAATCTGTTTATATGTTTCCATTCATCCAAATTCGTTGGCAGCGACAGGAAAATAGAGTCTGTTAAACAATGTTATGGATGGATGATCAATATGTCAACCTTTGGGTCTTCCTTTGTTATATAATTATATATTGAATAAGCTTGGTTGATATGGGCATGGGGATGGCTTTGCCGTGCTGTCCACCTCGTTTAATTATTTCAAGCCTAGGATATCTCGATTTCGCCTTAACGTGAAATTGTATGATCTAGGGCAACCACTTCACACACTTGGCCACGCCATTGCATTGTTGATGTCATCATACCTTGTGCCTCGTCACAGTATCCGTCACCGGATAAAAGATGAAAGATATAGCCTCTTGCAGTATGCCCGCCAAAAGCTTACATCCAACTTTGGTAAGATGCCCCACAGGTCCATGAATCGGCGGTGTTCAGAATAAAATGCGTTTTGGACCATACTGCATGAATATTTTCATTGAAAAAGGACAAGCCAGAATATGGTTTCCACATTATTCATCTTCAATGTATGCATACTGATGCTCTACAGTATATGTATTCTGCGATTCAGTGCATATATCAACTAAAAGGGTCACCATTTTTACCATTTGTCTCTCTCCAGGATCTTTTGCATAAAACGTTAAGCTGAGTTGCGAGCGAGCCGATCTCCATATTCTACGAAATAACATTCTGTACATCTCAACACGTATTTAACGGGTACTTTTCGGACAAATTGCCGCGCGAAATTTTGCTGTGAATTTCATCCCTCAGTCTAAAGATGGGGGATCCACTGTCACCTGTGTAATTCCATTTTTTGGTGTCGAGCTCTGGTCATGTCGCCGGCGGATAGTTGGGACACAGGATCAAAGTAACAAGAAAAAATAAGAGTTTTCAAATGGATCCAGAGACCTTTTTCTGTTTTGTATTTATTCTAGCGCATTCCTTGATCAATATATAATCTTTTTAGATAAAACCGATAATTGAAAAATCCCTGGGAAATATTTAACAAGGAGGGAGTTGACAAAATGACGCGATCAACAAAAAAAAAGTGGTCGATCAACCTTCTTACCAGCATTAGGAATACCAGATGACCAAAAGGCAAAAAAAGAAAAAAAAGCACTACTGTATAGAATCAATCTCACATCAATTGACAAGAGCAAAAAGGCATGTGCGTCCACGATCCGCGGTACTGGCATGCAAGATGTGCTCTGTACAGAGCATATTCCATGCATTGATTTTCATGTGTATAGACTTTGTTTATTAACACGACTAGACAAAAAGTTGGGAGAAATCAAGCTTATAATCGATTCAAGTTCTAGGAGTGAACCTATGCACCGTCGATAGCTTGTCAGATTTATGCAGTATTTGTCTTTTTTTTTTCTTTTTTTTCCTTTTAGAAAATCCCCTCTCTTGCACCCTCGCTGGTTTTGCCATTTTTATCATAGAGTCCCTGATCTGAGGCGGAGAACCCCTGTTTTTCCTGTCATCCCTTGATTTACTTAACTCACACAACGGAAAGACATGAATTTCTTGTTTAATTCTATTTTTTGTTTGTATTGGCTTTATTACGCTTATGAGTTGAACAATGAATATATTGCCAGCGAATCCCTGATGACTTGTTGTAAGTCTTGTTTTGATTCGTTCTTCAAGGCATGCTTGATAAGCAGTACGATGCGTGACCATCCCATCGATGCCGACCATCGCTCAAAATATGCTGCAGTGCGTTGGATATCACGAGATCTTTGCTGGCCATCTACATGGATGCTGCATAAAGTTGGCATTTACTATAACTAGATAAAAATCAATTGTATTTCAAGCTTCAGGGTGAAAGAGGGCTTTTTTTTGGGATGGTTGGGAAGGGATATGATAAAGAAGGGATGATGAAGGTACAGTAATCATAAAATGAAATTGTCATCTTTTTAAATCTAAAATTTTCCATCATCATCATCATCATCATCATCTAGTCAAACGGTCAATATCGCGTGACCAATATTAGGCCCATCAGTCATGTCCCCGCCGGGTTGAAAATAATCATTCGTATCAGCGAAATTTCCCTCATGTTCAACGAAAACAAGAATTCTGGAAATTGGAGGCATGCGATTCGACATGTCACTGTTCTCAACTTATTCTTTTTTTTTTTTTCGAATGGCTCCATTTTGACTTCCCTTCTTTTCCGTATCTTCTTTTCCTCCCAAAGGTTTTGCCCCTGCTTTATTCCATCTTTTTTGTTACTGAACAGGAAGGTCTTCTTGACTACTCAATATATTTTTTTTTGGTCCAAATCATTCGATTTTCCTAAGCTTTTTTATTTCTTTTTGGCATTGGGTCGTTGTTCATTTTGTGTAGTTAGCATGACTCTCAGTGATTTATTCTTGAGTTTTGGATGGATTCCATTGTTTCAAATAATTGCCGCGGCAACATCGTTCTTTGTCAAGTGTTGGGTGTTCATTGATTCAATGAAAAGTGTCAGTTGAATTGGATCCGGTAGAACACTTACTGCTTTGGCTGACCGCTCGATCCTCCTAAACTAAGGAATTTCAGAAACCCCTCTCCAAAAAAACCCCCACATTCCCGTATCCTTTTAATGGATACAACAGAGAGAGGCTATATATAGGCATATCAGCTTCCTCTTTTTCCCTTGTTTGGTATTGCATATTGTATATTTTATTCGCATAAATATAAAAGTATATTGTACAGTGTCGCATCTATAACTTCTTTTCTTTTTTTTCCATTTATGACCACTCACAACGATTCGTCTCGCATTGTAACGAGCCATTGTATCTAAGCCCCCCAAAAAAACCCAATTATATACCATGTCTTATTCAGAGGCCTTTTGTAATGAGGCACAAGCTTGCTCAGCTTTATGTCAACAACAACAACAACAACAACAACTAAATCATCAACTAATACGACCACCACCAGTATTGCAACAACACCAACACCAACAGCCACCACAACCCATCTCCGTCCCTGTCTCTGTTTTGGATTCAACGGTCACGATGGAAAGTGCGTGTTCATCGTATTTATCGACACCCACATCAGAAGATTGGCAGTCGGTCTATGCGACCGTGTCGTGTCCCATTTCACCTTGTTTACCTATGCCTTCTTCTTCTTCTTCTTCCACTCTTGTAAAGTACGAACCTGGAACATGCTGTAACTGTCAGATCATGCCTTGCATGGAAACACTGGCCTCCAGTCCAAGACCAGGACCCCATTCAGGTCACTCTTCAGTAGCCGTTGTAGGACCTCCGCCACCACCACTTCAATCGTCACCGCCTCCAACCACCGCCTCCTCCACATCCGTGACCGACTTTACTCCTACCTTTTACAATCCTTTCGAAATCAAACATCGACGACGTACGTCGCGCGATCAATTCAAAGTATTGGAAAAAACATTTTTGGACAATCCCAAGCCAAATGCCACTGTACGACGATGGCTGGCCCAAAAATTGTCAATGACGCCACGTGGGGTACAGGTCTGGTTCCAGAACCGACGGGCCAAAGCAAAAACACAACGGCAACAACAGCAGAACCAGCAACCACCACCGCACTCAAAGCCACGTTCACCAATGATGCTCGCGCCCAAGTCGGGGATGCATTCACCTCAATCGATTGGTTCCATGGTGTCCGATCATACGAAAATCGGATCATCCACCGATAAGGATCAGACGGATCCGACGCACCAATCTCTGGTCTCCGTGAATGTGGGGAATGACAGTGCAAGTCAGCTGGAAAATGCAATTCAGGGACTCCAAACGCCACAAACTCCCCATCATCCTTTCCTATTGGCTCATCACGCTACTCAGAGTTTGGACACTGTGGTACGGTTGGATGATCAGCATTCGTTGCCGTCCAATCAACCGCCCACCATGTGGTTCTCCGAGCCTGGGGTACAGGTCTTGGAAAGCTATGATTCACGCGGTTGGGAAAATGGAACAGGGCTGGCTTCGACGGGGATGTTGGGGCCTGCATGGTCGTGGATGAATAGCCGACCGTATTACAATGTGGAGGATTGGATCCAAACCCTACCTTGCCAAGTAAAACAAGGTGACACAGCATATCCAATGCCGGATCCGACCCCGAACCTGATCTCAGTTCCCAACTATATCATGACGAACGTGGAAGAACGACGTCGGGCCAATTCTGCAACGTTACCGATCAACATGATTCCCCAGTATGAGCAGGTATGACAAAGAAAAAAAAAGGGATAATCATTATTTTTGGTGCGTTTGTAATAATAACTGATGAATGATGAAATCAGACCATGCGACGATTGTCGGAGCCAATTTATTGTCAAGATTACTATGAGGATGCTCGATTGATAGAACGGCAGAACAACCATTGGATGGCGGCTGCCATGCCCAAACTTTAACCTTCTTTATTGTTTATATGTGTATTGATATGCTTGTTTCTATAGTTTGTTTTTTTATTTGATTTTCTTTTTTTTTTTTGATTTCTTTGGCCTTTTGTACTCACTCTTATGCTTTGCCCTTATGTATTTTTTCTCTTTTACCCAGTTGCGACTACGATTTCACTTTCCTTTTTTTACCCTTTTAACTTTTCAAGTCTACTCTATGCATGGTCGGCCGGTCTGTTCCCTATGTACACCTTTATCTTGTTGTTTTTCTTTTTTATTTTGAACTTAATTGTTCACGTAAGCCAGATCCTTAAATTTTTCGTAACTTTAAACCAGAAAAAACCGACATATTCAAGAAAAAAAAAAACCTCTATAAAACGCAAGCCTTTTCCAAGGGAGTGATATATATCTTTATGCTTATTCACAAGCATCTATACAGTGCAAGATGTTCATGCTTTCGATGAACCGAATCCTGCAAATCCCATCATTTTCGCCATGTCATCATTGTCTTCTCCTTCTATTGCGACATCGTCTTCCTTTTCTTTCTTCTTGGCTTCCTTCTTTTGTCGCTTCTTTTCTTTTTTCCTTCGTCGTTCCTCTTCTTCCTCTCGTTTCAATTCTTCCACTCTGGCATCAAGATCTAATTAAATTTCGGCGTGAGTATCAACCGAACGGTTCACTTGTTTTAAAGCATAGATCAAGATCCAGTCCGACTAACCATATTCGGTTTTTTCAGGCGCTTCCTTTTTTCGCTTGAGCATGGCTAACCGATCTTTTACGGAGTCGACGGACGCTCGTTCAATCTTCATGGACACGCCCATATTCATTTGATCTAGTTTCATTCCATGAGAAAACGACATCCCTACCGAACAACACCCGTCCAACAAAATAAACTTACGTTTTCGGCCATTGATGTGATCCAGGTAATTGGCACTGTCTTTGCATACAGTGTCGCAGGCTTTACAATAGAAACCAGGCTGACGAGCTGATTGCACGACTTGAATCTTGCCGACATTGGCATCAAGAACGATCTTTTCTTCACGGGCTTTTAATGCTTGCTTCGGCTCGTCCTCTTCCTCTTTTTTGCGATGAATCGGTGGTAAGCCTTGTCGTTTACGTTCCGCATTGATATCCAACAATCGCTCTCGAGCTTCTCGCTCTTTGGCTCTAGCCGCATATTCCGCCTTGTCCCACTTTCGACGGAAATCCGTGTCTTGCTATCGTTAAAGAGTATTCATCGTCAGCATTCCAACAATTTTTTTACAAGATTTGACTAAACACATACTGCTTTTCCTGATCCGTAAGCTGATCCTGCCATGGGTGTTGAAGAGATTAGATGGAAAGCTTTGGTTTGTTCTGGGAAATAAGGACACTTTCGGTACATTCAGGAGCAGTCACACCATGCGACCAATGAAAATGGCTGCACCAAGGAACTGCATTTGAAAGGAACGAGATATTTTTTTTTATCTCGCAACTTTCAAGACAAACTGCGTGGATGATTAGCACCTAAACAGATATTTTGTTTTTCAACGAATGGACGCCCAGATGAAGACATGGGTTACCTAGTAAATTTATGGGTGTAAGGCCAGGGAAACAGTCACCCGTACCAGAGGCGTTTGACGGGCTGTGTAAGATGTGAAATAGACATCGGCAGACTGTGGGGATGTTATCACCGCACGGCTAACATTCTTTGCAAATACGAGACGTGCATAAAAATGAAAAAAAAAGCTCCTCAGGCTTTTAAACGGTAACAATTAAGAACCCCGTATATGCACTCGGGTTTGCTTGGTAAAACATGACGCGACAGACGAGGGCAAATGATCTAGCGGTGTTAATAGCTTTTCAAAAAGTGAATAAAGAAGAGTCTACGAAGGGGTCGATACAATTTGGTTTTTTTTGTTTTTGTTTTTTTAAAAAAAAAGCACTTTTGTGACTTGTCGAGGATATGAAAGAAAACAGGCGGGCAGGAATGGGCGAGACGCTTTTAATCGTCTCCAGCATCGTTTTATTTGTACAAAGAACTGGCTTAGATGCCCACGGCAACAAGAAATATAAATAAAAACGACCACAGCCACCGCTTGGCTATAAAAAATCTGGATAATCAGACAAAGTTTGCTCTTCAATATTCAAATAGTGAATTTGGTTGTGCATGATTTTAAGTCACCATTTTATCCCTTTTTGCCCGCAGATCCTCAAATGGATCATCCGTAGATGGACCCCATATCGACGGAAACCCCCCGTCCAATTCGTCATCCCTTCACTACAATTGCTGAACCCAGTTGCCACGTCCGGAAAAAGGGTTCCGTCAAGTAGTCGTTTAGACGTCTTACCAACAGCTTTCTGCCTGCACCCACGTGCCACCATACATGGTTCCCTAGTCCACGCCTGAGCCAACGATGAGCCCTGGATCAGTCATTGCAACTTGAGTCACTCCTTCTTCCGGTGGATCCATCGGCCAAGTGCTACCATTCACAAAAAAATAACTCAGTCGAATCATCCAAACACTCGTCACCCGTGGTTTCATAGGCCCAGATATTTACCCTTGCATGGTTTCGCCGGTAACTTGATTTCCCTTGTCTTCGCGCGAATGTTCAAACGCTCGTTAAAGGGTATGATATCATTTAGTCACCATTCATAAAGCATTATTCATATTTTCCGTCAGCGTACTTGTTTCATCCTTGGCGCATCACTCTCATGGAAACCTGTAACCTAATGGTGTAGTAAGTAATTTCGAATAAAAACTGGGTAATGAAGATACTTAGCAATATCGGCACGGAAGGCGGATATCTTGTCTTCATCAGAAAATAAGCCTTCACGGGACCAGGCCCGCAACCTCTCATCAAATGGTGTAATATCAGTAAGTACCCATTCAAAAAAAAATCATTCAATCAATATCAACATATCTTTGTTGTTCATGCGGCACATTTTTGAACATGGAACCTAATAGTGTAGTGAGTGATTTCGAAATAAAAATCTGAATATCTGATATACATTACTTTGTTGATGAAGTGATGAACCAAGTACCTATGGCAAGAAATAGTGAGTCAATCAGAAAAAAAGACCAGTTTTCCCAAGAATACTTAGCTGGTTACCCTCGCTTCGAATCATCCCACGCCTGATCGAAACTGTTAAAAAAAAGGATTAGTAACATCCCTACAAAACCACAAAGGTTAGTACCTCCCCCCCCAACCCTCTCAGGACACTTTTGGATCGGATCAAGTGTAGTAATCCGGTCTCTATAGCCCAACAACCTAACACTGAACATAGACACGACATCATTGTTAATCACGACCTTTCATTTGTGCCTTCTCCTTACCCTGTAAATTTGACCGAGCGTGCCACACGAACATGGCCTGGCTCCACTTTCCCGGACCCTAGCCTCTCGAGGCCTGCTTGTGGTGTGACCACTCCAGGTCCTGGGTGTTCAAAGTGCCCACCCATTGGACTTGCCTAGCCGCCCTGTAGCCCACGTCAACCCCCACCTGCTGCTCCAGATCGCACCGGTTGCTGCCGGTAAACAGCGGATACCCTTGCCGGCAGGACTACCCCAATGGCAAAATCACTTGCTTCTCGTAACAAACGCCAGGTTGCCGCCGCTGCTTTGATCATCGAGGTGTTGGGGGAAAGACAGACTTTTTCCTTTTTATGCCTTCCCCCCTTCTTCGTGGTACCGCAAAAAATTTGCGGTTTTTTTTAACAAACAGCGGCAGGCCTGGCGCTTCGTGGTGCAGTAGTCCATACCAGTGGTGCATCCGCATCCGACAGCGGTTGGCGCGATCAAAGACGGATGGCAGGCGGGCCGACGGAGAGTTTGGGTTACATGGCGTCATTAGCAAATCCGGGACCTGGAGTTCTTGCTGGGCCACACCGCGCCTCGGTACTGAGAGGCATCATCGCAATCCCGTACTCGTGAACCACCAGAAGAGACCGACCGGGAGAAACCGAAAAACAACTCGCGAAACAAACGGAAGAGGACGGTCGACTCAAACGCTGCGATCCCCCACCCAGCCACCCACCGTGCCTCTTTGCTTCAGGTGGACACCCACCTGGGGCCAGCTTCTCGTCGTCCCCATTGTCTTTTTTTTTCACCTTTTTTTTTGGCAATTTCTTTTTCACTTTTGGGAACGACGGTACAACGGGCCCTACCGCGTGTGGGTCGCAAATGTCAGGGAGAGGGCATGTTGGAAGTACAGGTTGATAGGCGCTGTGATATCTTGTGGACGATGGTCCCCTTGGATGCAGTCCAACGACGCCGATCATTGTTGCGGGAACCCTCACCATATAACTGGATCGAGCTGTTGTAGCAATAACTTGTGGACTCTGCTTGAAGTATTTTCACCAGGCATGTGTCGGACGAACCATGGGGCATGATCGGTATTGCTAAGTAACGCGTAGAGAAGTACCATACGTCGACGAATAAATATTCCTACTACAACTTGCCTTGATCACATTGGTCGGTGAGCCTTGCTTGTACAGTGGTCCCGGTGAAGACGGGAACGTTCAAAGGGAAATACAAATATGAAAAAAATGAAGGTAAAGAAGAATAAAAAAATATACTACACTAAATAAAAAAAATGAAGAATGAAGAAACATAATGTGAATGAATGAAAGAATCAGATAGAAATAAAAACATAATAAAAAAAAGAAGTTGGGGCGGCCAAAAAATCATGCTTTGACAGTTCCAAATGGCAATTTTCCATTTTGATTGGCTGCAGAGGAAAGAGAATAGAACATTTAAACAGCGCTCACCTTTCTCGCCCTGCCGGCTTTCCAGAACCATAGAAGACAGATCAATCAGGATCGTCGCCCAGCAAATGAACTTTTTTTTTTCTCGTTCTCAAACAAACAGAGCCCCTATTCCCAAAAAAAAAAAAAAAAAAAAAAATACAGAGTACAACACTTCAATTCGTCTTCATGAAAGCCAAGACCTGAAAGAACAAGGCGACATATTTCGCATGCGATCAAAAAAGGACCCCATCATTGACCTGTCCAACTTCGCCATTATTCTTTACCATAGAATATACTAAAAACAAGAGAGGATGCAATGTTGTATGCATTTAAAATCGTTGATTTCAATTGATAAATCATGATATCACAACACGTATGTATATTCGGTAAACGGTCGAATTGGTTTTAGCTACTCAAATATCGTATGTGTTCGGAGGTGTGACGAGGTGCAAGGATGCACAGATGACTGGCGAGGTGAAGGGCTTGCACTGGGTTTGTTCATGCTGTTCCCATGATACCGTGGTATTCGGCTTCTCTGAGGAGAAGACATAAAGTGAGATATCGACCAGACTTCGTGCAAACACCCCCACGGTTTGTGATCAAAAAGTCATCTAAAGCTCGTCAAGATACCAAACATAAAAAACGTGACCAAAGAACCCATCGATGGCAGCTGTTCACTTTATCTGATGATATTAAAAGTGTAGATCAGGTGGAATAAAGTGTGATGTCGTTTGAAAGGGGAAGAAAAGCGGATACGTACGCCCAGTCGACGTAGAGGTGGTATTGGATGGAGGTAAAGTGGGAAAAGGCGGAAATGGGACCGGTGGAAAAGCTGGATATGACGAAAGAGGAGGAGGAGGAGGAGCATGTGAATAAGATGTAGTGTCATGATACGGCCAGTAGTATGAAGTCTCGGTAGCCTCAGAAGACTCATTGTATGCTTCATTGGCGGAAGAGGATAGCTTGTCAGGTAAACTCTTTTTCGATACTGGGTTTTCACCGGACGAAGAGGCCACTCTCTTTTTCGGCTTTTGGATGACTGTATCAGAGGTCAATGTACCGAACAGCCTAGAAGATGGTTTGGTTTTGGTGCCTTTTGGAGTTTTCACGGCGGTCCTAGGAAATTGGATGGGTTTGGACTAGGATCCACCGTGACGGTCAGTCAGCGTGCACAAAATATAGCTCATGATGAACTCATTTTTTTAGAATACCTTGTCTTTGTTTCGTCGTTCTTGGTGCGTACTAAGCAACTTTTGTTCCTCATCATTTAGTTCCTTTTGAAACTCACTGTAAGATACATTGTCTAGAGCAAACAAAAAGCATCCATTGGTCAGCCAAATTTGGAAAACGCAGCTTTGTTTTTGCGGTGAATATCAGCTACCTGGTAATGGATTGACTGTTACGCCATGATCCAGCAAGGCTTGAAGAAAGTCATGATCCGAGGGACCAATAAGGTTGACGGCAATACCGGACATACCTGACAAGGGGTATATGGGATCAATTAAACCACGTTCATGCATGACAAGCAAAAAACAACTACCAAAACGACCCGTGCGTCCAACGCGGTGCAGGTAAGTTTCGATTTCCCACGGAAAGTCCACATTGATGACGAGATTAACACGATCAATATCAATGCCTCTTGCAATCTATAACGACCCATGAAATGGCCGGTTTTCAGCGGTTAGATAAACTTCTCTTTCCAGCAAGACTTTTCAATGAATGTACCAGATCACTGCAAACAAGTACGCGCAGTTTAAAATCACGCATCTGCTCCATGACTTTGATGCGCTGGATCTGCGTCAGCCCTGCATGTATATATCCTGACTGCCAGCCCATATCGGTCAGCCATTTCGTTAATTCCATCGCCCTGTCGTTCGTCATAACATGAAAAAAAAAATTGAGAGACTAGATCAGGGCTGATTGAAGAATTCATTGATCTTACCTCGGTACGCTGTTAAGGAAGATCATGCATTGATAAAATGGAACTTTACTGAGTAACTGGCCCACGGCTTCAAATTTGGCTTTGTAGATCTCCAACGGCATCTCCATTTTATTCTCGTCCACCTGTACATTTTCATAATACTGCTGGACCTCTGTATGAAGGGATCAGCAGCGCAAACAAAAATAGATGGAGAACTCTGGATAAAAAACTGACCTTCCAATGTGGGTACCAAGGTGGTTAAACGGACAATTTGGGGTGATTTCATAAATCCATTCAATGACTCCAAGAGTTCATCCGTAAATGTAGCTGAAAAGGCAATACATTGCTTGGTAGTTGGTAATCGCTGATAAATGTACCTAGAACAATCTATCCGTTTTAATGACAAGGGGTTCGTCGCGCAAATGGGCCGGGGTTAAGGAGAGAAAGAAAGAAAATACATTACTGGATTTGAGGTTTGAAAATATCGGCCATCAATTTGTCTGCTTCATCCATGACAATCAACTTGATATCTTTTGCATTCAGCTTGTCGGTATTCATGAGGGCCATCAGCCGGCCTAAACTCGATCAAGGTGTGATTAGTTGGATGGGCACAGAAAAAAAGAAAATTGGTGATGTACGCTGGTCTTACCGGGTGTCCCCACCATGATTTGACACTGAGTTATTTTTCGATGATCTTCCTGCACAGACAGTCCTCCAATGAATGCTTCGCAGGATAAATTGCGCATACATTGACTCAAATTCCGTATCACATCTCGAATTTGGATGGCAATTTCTCGCGTCGGCACTACAATGATCACCTAGTCCGGGAAAAGAAAATCATGCAAACTAAGTATCACACGAGTATGGCCAAAAGCACAGCACGCTGACAATGGTACCTGGGGTTGCTTCACGGACAAATTGACGGCTTCTATAGCGATGACGCTGAACACGACTGTTTTGCCCGTGCCTGATTTAGCTTGCGCGATCAGATCTACCCCTAAACGACCGAGAGGAATGGCTTGCAACTGTATAGGTGACGGTTTGGCATAACCCGATTGTCCCAGTCCTTTCAAAAGTAAGGAATTGCGTATCAGAGTTGAAAAATCTACGTCTTCGTCAATGCGAACGTCGGCCGATCGATGGTGGATATTGCTGGCCATGACGGGGAATAAACGGCCCAAAAAAAGCGCAGAAAAAATCAATGAGTGTGTGTGTGTGGGCGAGAACCCAGCCGAGATCAGCCACTGTCCTCATTGGTGGAAGTCGAGTTTTTGTGACGCTGGTTTCCAAATTGGTAAAAAGTCAAAATTTTATCGCCTTGGTTCAAAAAAAAAAAAAAAGTTCGTTCAATTCATTCGCTACCGTCATGGGAAGGTAAATTAAATTAATCTTTTGGTCCATATTCAGCGTGAGGTTGGATTGATTCATACTAACTTACCTGAATTCTTAGACTTCGTCGATCGCGCACGCATCACAGTATTCGTGATACTTACCGCAAATATCGTACCCGTAATTATGCTCGAGATCTGGATCAGATCCATGAAGATGTCAAGCCCGAGAATGCAGGCAAATTAAAGAATCAGCCTGTTGATCCCGATAAACCCGGTTTGGGTCAACATTACTGTATCGAATGCGCGTGAGTAAAAGAAATCCAAGAGAGTGACATGTCAGCATGAAGAAAACTGATCATTTTTGTGTGCCTGCTATGGTTTGATAACAAAAAACCAACCACTGTAGTCGTCATTTTATTACCGAAGATGCATTAACAAAGCATATTCAGACCAAGGTGCATAAGAAACGTGTGAAATTATTGAAAGAGGAACCATATACCCAAGCAGAGGTGAGTGGGCATTGATGTCGGTATGTTGTAAAGGAGCCATTGGATTCTAAACAGAAAACAATATATTTATTAGGCCGATGCTGCCGCCGGTATTGGCAAAGCAGATAATGGCAAACGGGGAGGACGATCAGTGGCAGGCGATGTGAATATGGACGATGCGCAATAATGGTGAACGAGCATTCATTTTTCCTTTATTTTTTTCTTCTCTCATGTAAAATGTCATTCAATTTTTGTCATATGAAGTAACTGTAAAAAAAAAATATATCAGGTGCTTTCCAGATTTTTTTTTACTATTCCATTTTTCTTTTTCGGCATGGTTTGATCCATTCCAGTATTGGACAGATGACAGATCGACATCACTGAACCATTGTTGAAACGACTTGTTATTGGTCGACCCAAGGACATTGTGGTAGGAGTTCATACTAAAATAAGATGCAGTCGGTTACATATCACTGTTGATCAACCACTACTGTGCATCAGTTTGAACTAGTTTCCAATCAATACTACTGCATAAAACCGTGAACATGAAAAAAAAAGATAAACATGGTTCTTTTCAGGGCGGTGAATCAACTGGGTGAATCTGAGTTTATTGGTTCATCATGGAAAAAGCAACAAGTCAACGAGGATGTGAAGCATATCTTTTTTTTTTTCAAGAAAGAGAATGCAAGCTGATGTTGGGGTGGCGGTATATTATGCAAGTGGCGGGTGGATTGAAAAAAAAAAAAAAAAAAAAGAGAAAGAGTTGGGCTTTTATATTCTATTTTAGGCTCATTTGAGAAAAGACGACTTTTACCATAAAAAAACAAAATAGGGGCAGCCAAACAAAAAGAGGCAAAAATGAGGGCTTTTTTTTTGGTGAGTCTTGTTCCAAAATTTTGAACGAATTTCCCTTTTCTTTTTCACCTTCTTTTTTCACTTTTCTCTTTTCTCTCTGTTTTTAAACTAATTGTTGGACCTATTTTCAAGCTCGTCTTTGTTTTGTTGTGCATTCGAGTGTGATTCAAACCAGCATCATGTCGGATGAGGCCGACGGATTTCATCGGAAAGCTTCATTAACGGATTCGCAATGCAGTGTTGCTTCAGAGAAGAAAAGATTTTCTCGTTTAACTCACTACTTTTCCTTCATTGGTAAAATGAAACGGTCCAAGAGCAAACAACCGCTCGTCCCGTCCACCGCGCCACTGACGACGCAAGTGCCACCGCAACCGAGTATCACCGGTACCACCCAACGCCGCCACAGTGGTATCACACAATGGACCTCAGCGTCTGAACCATCGTCTTTGCCTGGACGTGCTCGTCCATTTACTTATTGTGTCCATCGATCAAAGTTGACGCAGGGTGCCAAGAAATCCAAGCAAGACGATGAGGAAGAGGAGGTGGAGGAGGAGCAAGACGCTATTGTAGGTACGCACAGTTTATCCGCCTTTTTTTTTTCTTTCCCTGTGTTTTTTCCTTTTTTTATCAAGCTTTTTTTTTCTTTCTGTTCTGTATTTTCGTCACACTGCATCCGGCGTACTTTCCCCTTTTACTCACCCATTTTTCTTTTTTGATTACCTTGATACTTGTAGAACATGATTTATCGAATGATCATGAGCATCGTGTTGCTACTGCTACTCCTGCTGTTGTACCTGTCAAAATATCGTCTTCATTGTCCCCCCCTCCACGTCGTGCCAAACCTAAAAAGAGTTTAGAAGGCTGGGACGACATGTCAAATCCACGTATCACCAATCAGCCTCCATTGGCGCTCCGACTGTCATTGGACATTGAACAAACGTATGGCTTGGCTCGAAACCCATCATCGTCGTTTTCCATCGCAGGTCATATCAAGGGCGACGGTGAATCGGATGATCAAGTCAGTATTCATACCACTGCCACTGCGCGACCTGTTCTTGTTGCTGCTGGCTTGTCGAGCATATCGGAGTCTTTCCGAAATGGGACATCGGATCACCTGAAAGCCAATCAATCGGCTGCAGGATCTCCTGACTCGTCCACAACCACAACAACAACAACAATATCAGCAGCAGGAGCGACACCCATTATTACTACTACCACCACCACCACCATACCCAGTTCACCCACAGGTAGTCGACCGATGTCATTGATTGAACGACGACGTCGACGTAGTCCCCATATTCCTGATGATGATGCACTGTTATTGGCTTTACGAACCGCTTTCAGTTCATCTTCCATGATTCCTCCTAATGATACCAATAATTACCACCATCCCCATGAAACTGCCCCTAATCCAGTTCCATATGCGGTACAAGTACAAGAAACCACCACGTTTTCATCCACTTACCAATCACGACAGGAAGCTATGAAAGCACTGGAAGGCCAATCCAATCCGCCGCGGTCAAGGACAATGACCCCCATCGCAAGTGTGCAAGAATTAGATCAACAGCTGGGCCTGGATATCGTTGGCGAAGAAAAAGCACACTATGATGCAGTGGTTGCGCGTACCATGATGGGTCGTCGATCTTGCTCGCAGTTGGAAGAACCGCGACATCGTGTACGTGGTGATGGATCGGATCCTACCATGCTGTCGTCTCCTTTTCATTCACTTAAAACCCGTACTCCTTCCCTGGTCAATTTCCCATCCTCGCCAAGTTCATTGGTTTCACATTTTGATCATGATGATCCGCCTGTGCAACCAATGATGAATACCTTGCATTCTCATCCATTCAGCTAGTATACCTTGGAAAAAAAATTCTCTCCCCTTTGATAGATCGTCCGGCACACTATCAGTCTATTTATCTTTTTACCTTTTTCGTTCATCTAGCGAAATTTACATTCTCTTCTTGTCATTACAATATTTTCTCTTTTGTTGGTTTTTTATTTTCACCATCATTTTACATAAAAAGCAGAAACCCAATAAAGTATTGTGGCTAAAAACGATGAACTTGTGAATACATTCTATGTCACTCTATTATTTATTTCTATCTAATCTAACTCGAAGCGACTTGGACAAGGCCACCTTGAGCTCGATAATCTTTTACATATTGTTTGAAGCTTTCAAAGACCTCTTCAGGGGTGGTATCGCGTGAGTAGCAATCAACAAATCGACCTTGTGGATCCATTAAATAGAAAAAGATGGAGTGATCCACCAAGTAATCGTCATCTTTGCTTGCATCCGGTGGCACGCGGACATACACACGGAATGCTCGAGCCACTTGCCGGATTTCTTCCGAATCGCCGGTAAAGCCTTTCATGTCGGGGTGGAAATCCTTGACGTATTCCTTGATAATCTCGGGTGTATCACGTCGCGGATCGCAGGTAATGAACACGGGAACCAAGATATTCCCCAGTTCTTTGTCTGCCTCTGAGATGGCGAGAGCAAAAAGAGTGTGAAAAATGTTGGGATTATTTAAAATGCCGTTCAACAATTTTCACTTACTGGCTAAATCGACGACTTCGGCCATTTTATCCAATTCCTCAGGACATATATCTGGACAATGAGTGAAGCCGAAATACACCATGTAATAACGACCTTTCAATTGGTCGCTGCTAAATCGTTGGTTGGTATCTGCATCAATGAGATTAAACGGGCATCCAATGGCCGGTCGACCATACGATTGGACCGCCTGTCGCTCTCGAAAACGGCCTATTACAAGATAGAAAAAGATTAAACGGCATTTCTCATGGACCCAAGTCCAATTTTACTTACGTTCTTTCTGCACTCGTTCTTTTTCCTTTTTGAAATAGACAACGAGCCCTGCTCCGGTGGCGACGCATAATGCGGCTGATTTCCATGTTAAAGGCTACTTGCGTCCATATTTAGCAAGGTCGAATATTTACGTAGTATGACTTATCTTGCTACACTTGCCGGCTTTTTGTTTTGGGAAGCCTCTTGTTTTGCAGTTGAAAACAACCGTTTCGACAGTACCGACGTTGCCGTCGGTGCACGTGGTAAACTTTGGCAAGGTGTCCAGGCAGTGGCGCGAGAAGCCGTCGCCTAATTAAAAGAAGAAAAAAAAAAAAAGAGGTGATCAGTGTTGAAACTCGGATCCATTAGCAAGATTACGTGGACATTATACCCTGACAGTGGATCTATACATGACACGAGTGAACAAGGACATAAGACAATGGATTCAATGGAGGAGGGTATTGGAAAACCCAGGGATTTCTGCTATTTGACGACGGTTCGTTTTTTCCCCTTCGATGATTGGTCAATCATGTATCAGCACACCAAAAAAAAAAAAAAAAAATTGTCGCATTGAAAGGGCTTATCTTTTACAGATGAAATATATCAACGATGATAGGCATCATGCTATTATTATTTTCTTCCGAAATCAATAGTGAATTCGATAAAAGGGATCCAAAACGTGACAATAGCGCCAGGTTGTTTGATCATGAATGGTTGCACACGTTATTCTAATGTCATGCTTGTTTTTCTTTAAATAAGGCTATAGCAAAAATTAGTCGCAATCTTCGTATGAAATGGCACAATTATGGATAAAGGATGATGGTAGGTACCATGATATGGAATGATATTGTACGTGAACATTGGGGCGATAAGGGATTGAGGTAAAGGTGAATGGACTGAGTTGAAAATTTTTCGAGTCACAAAACGACGAAATAGTTGGGCGCTTGCACGTCTCATCCCATCGGCCCAACATTTTCCTCTTTTTTATTTTATCTTTCTGCTGGAACAAGATGGCTGATACTGACAGCAAGATTGAAAAGAAAGAACCCACCACTTCGACTGAACACATTAACCTGAAAGTGGTTGGCAGTGTATGTAAAACGATCGGTCATTGTCTTAACTTTCTGAGCTGACAGCAGCCCCATTAGGACAATAACGAGGTGTTCTTCAAAATTAAGCGTACCACCCAACTGAAGAAACTCATGGATGCCTATTGTGATCGTCAAGGCAAGAGCCCCAACTCTGTACGATTCTTGTATGACGGTAACCGTGTGCTGCCTACCCACACCCCTAACGAGGTATCGTTTTTTTTTATATGTACAAGAGTTGACGGGTGACGTGATGGCATTGGTGAACACTTACATGGTTCGGTTTTTCAATAGTTGGATATGGAGGATGGCGATACTATTGACGTGATGGTCGAACAGATTGGCGGTTTTTAAAGAACAAACCTGTTCTGTTTTGTGATGGGTGGCAATATCATTATTATTTTTCTTTTTTCCAGTCATGCCAACTGTAATTGAGCATTGGTATGCGACGAGCATGACGAGCATGTCGATTCTCTTTTTCTCCAGACGGTCATGAAATCCAAGACATTTGATTCCAATAAACCAAAAAAAGGGACACATAAACATCATATTGAAACACATTTGAGTGTATTTTTTTTTCACTATTTTTCCCAAAAGATGGTTCATTTAGCCGACGATTTTTTGGCCATTTTTTTTTTATTGCCCTTTGTGAAAAATGGGCAAAAAAAAAAAAAAATCGGGTCCACACCATTTTTCTGGGTTCTTTTTTATTTCCTCCTTTCTCTGCGTTTTTTTACTTTTTTTCTTATTGTTACCTACGCCGCTCAAGTTGGATCTTTTTATTTTTAAAGTTTCCTTTTATTGTTTATCGTTCTTCCCTTTTTTTTTCATTCACAGTAAAAAAAAACGGATATTGCTAGAGTAATGTCGAACGACATTGGTCCTGTGGAGACATCCCCACAAGATCACAGTATCCATGATGAAGAACATCACGAAGATACCACGACGATCAACTCCGCGGATGGGGCCGACCATTCGGCCTCCAGTCGATCTCCCTTATTATCGCAACCATCAACCTTATCGAGATTATCGTCGGATGAATGGCTGCCCCTTGAACAGAAACAACGCCCACGTTTAGCCTATCTACGGTCGGCATGGACTTCCCAGAATCGATCCGTTCAGAATGACAAAAACGACTACCCTTTCAGCCTTCGTCTTCCGCCATGGCAACTTCAACGCAACTGTGACGAAGAAGAAGAAGTCGCTCGTGAAGTCCACCGTCTTGTCTCAGTAGCCGTCGGTATCTGTCTCGCTTGTGCTGCCGCGGGTACCGTGCTCGTTTTTCAAAGTTCGCCTATCGACGATCGAGCCTGGATGCAATTGTCCATGCAACCATTGTTTATCGTATGGTGGGGATTGTTGACGCGGGCATGGTCCAAACGTCCTGAAAGCATTCGTCTCTTTTTAATCTGGGCACAGAACAGCGCTCTGACCATGGCCGCCGTCATCAGTGCCATTCCTCAGATGCTTAATACGCATACTCAGTCGCACTGGCTTATTGTATCGCTTGTTCTCACATGTGTATGCTTCTTTTACATTGCTCGACGTTTCGAACGAGCCAACGAACAGCAAAAGCAACGTATCAACAATCGAATCACGGAAGAACAACGCACGGCTCAGACTATGGTCGATAACATGATCAACATGTTCGCCGATCGACGTCTTGCTTTCATGAATACAGTTTCACAAGAAATTCAAGATGCCGCTCTCATGGTCATGACCACCCTGGAACAGTTTTCTCCCGCCACCATTCTCGCTAATACCCACGAACTCTTGAGCGCATGTTCCATTGCCGTCCCCATTGCCAGCATCACCGCCATCAACACCACCATCAAACAAGTGTGTCACATCAGTTCCCACTTGCAGTTGATGGCTCGTCTCCTTCGTGAAGGCATCACCGCTCCACCGCAGCACGATTTACGCAGTAACGTTCAGACGGAATTTGACACGGGTGAATTGGTTCAAACCGTCGGCGATGCGTTGGCCGGCATGGCCGCCAAACTCGATGTCAATCTTGTGATATACCATTCCGATAACGGTCTTCACCATACCAATGTACTTGGCGACGAAGATGCCGTTCGTTACGGTCTATTAAATGTGAGTCATCCATGATCATCTCTCTCCATCGGACATAGCTATTTAGTACCATTTATTGAAACGCTCGTTTGGTTATGATTTTGTTCTTATTGTTAATCTGGTTTATTTTTTTTCCTTATTAGCTTTTACGTAACATTCTGGAAGGATGCAGTCCCGGTGCATGCCTTGAATTGGGATTGAATATCGTACCTTCGGCCGAATCGCAAAAAGTCGGCATCACTTTTGAAATCACACACTCTACCTCGCGATCGTCACCTGACAGTGACAATCCTGCGCTTCTTCCCAATGCCAATTTTACAGCTCAGCTGATTCAGTACATTGGAGGATCGATCACAGTGGAAGAAATGAGTAAAAATCGAACCAAATTTGACGTGACGGTGGATATGGAAATCGGCCAAGACGATGAAGATCGCCAGCTGCTGGTGATCAAAGAACCTTCCATGGTTTTAGAGCGGCATTACACCAGTGTGAAATTCGCCAATGAGCCGACGTTGAAAGAATTGATCCTGTTCATCGAAAAATTAAAAGGTCTCAAGATGGTTCTTCATGCACCGCAACACAGCGTGTTTGCCAAACATCTGACAAGTTGTCTCGCCAGTTGGAATACGGATATCAGTCATGTTCCCGTCATGCTTACCTCGGACCCTTCCGAAGATGATATCAGCACCTCCGGTTACGGTACCACCCCAACTTCCGAAGCCAACGTCAGCATTGCCAGTGCCAACACACGAGCTAGTAACAACCGCGATCCCACCGCCGCATCGACGCCCTTGTTGGCTCCCGAACCGCATCCTGCACCTACCAGTCGATCTGTGAACACGCCGTCGGTGCCTTCTCCGGCCATTGAAGAAGAGCATTTGCACTCGCTTCCACCCGCTTTTATTCTTATCGACGACGATATCCCCACCTTGGAACGCAAATTGCGCGAATTTCACACTCAACCACCTGCTTCGGCGCCTTTCCTCCAAAGTCATCAACATGCTCGACGTCACAAACTCAACAAGGCCGGCGCACCTTATCAAAACTTTTTCCATCATGGAACCACGGCCATCATTCACTTTACTTCCTTGGCCAACTACAAGCGGGTGCGTGATACCGTTCAATGGTTCTCGGTGGCTCCCGGTTCCCGGCCTTTCTCCATGCCCCGCATTGTCGTAGTACCTAAACCGGCCGGTCCTCGTCGTTTCTTGACTGCTTTGCACACAGCTTGGCATAATGCGGTGGTGGAACCTCACTTTTTACCGATCGCTACCTCGCCCTCTAGTCCTATGCCGCCGTCAATCGCCTTGATGTTGCAACAAGAAGCCGGCCATACCCCTCCTACACCAAGTTCAGCTCATTTGGGATCGCCCGGTTCCGAAGCGATGCATGGACGAACGACACCCAGTGAAGGATCGCAAGGCGGCGCTGGCGGTGGTGGTGGCGGTGGTGGTGTTCGTCGTCGACCCAATAGTGGCATTTACAGTCCTCCGGCGGGACTGAGTATGGAAAATGCAACCGACGGTGGCAATTACTTTTTTGATCCGGTCGCACGAACACCGGGATCGGGCAATGCGCCAGGAACCTCGGTGGGTGGTGTGAATGTGGCGCCTTCGTTTGACGCTGCGACGGCGCGATCGTCGCTGCATCGAACTCTGGTCCCAGGACGACGTCGATCTCATACCGAGTTAACTCCTCAACCATCGAACGATTATCTGACAAGTATGGCCGCTGCAGCCGCAGCCGCAGCGGCTGTGGCGGCAGGTCAAGCTGGTTCGCATCCTCCTTACGGCCCAGTGTCCCCTGGTGGGACGCCTCTTGGTCCAAGTGAAGCTTCTGCTCTTGACAATGGCGCTGCATCGACTGTCAATCTAGGTGGCAAACCAGGATTGACACCTACCAACGACGTAGGCGACAATGGTGGTCTGGAAGGAGCCGCCGTCACCGCGTCATCGATACCCGAGACATCCGGACCGTTGCGCAATCCCCCTTCGCCGTTGGCCGCGCCTTCGGCGACTGCGGCTGGTACCAATGCATCGACAGGGTCGGCCGATGCGACTCCATCGGAAAGCAAAAAACCGGCTCGTACCATGTCTCACTTTAAGCTGAACAAGAAAAAGAAGAGGGAAAAGAATAGTGCGTTTGCAAATGTGGCCAGTCCACCCATCAACGTCCTCATTGTCGAAGGTAAGGGCAAAAAAATGCAAAAGTCTCTTGATGTTATTCAATTATCTCAATGGCTTTCATTTTTTTTTATACAGATAATATGATCAATCAAGCGATTTTATCAACGTGGATGAAGAAGCACAAGATTAAGTTTTCGGTAGCGAGCAATGGTCAGGAAGCCGTAGAGAAATGGAAGGGTGGAGGATTCCACTTGGTGCTGGTAAGCATAATGGCTTGGCTTTGGTGGACGAATGGGACATTTGATTTCTAAAGACATTATAAAATCTAGATGGATATTCAATTGCCTATTATGAATGGTATCGAGGCGACCAAGTTGATTCGCGCGATTGAAAAAGAGCAAAAGATTGGTGTGTTGCCCATGTCTTCTTCGTTTTTGCGCGAACAGCAATCGAATGCGGCGGCGGTGGCTGCGGCAGTGACGGATAATCTATCGACAGAAACGATGTTGCCTGCGGATCTGCCAAAGAGCAACGAAGAACTTCCTCCTTCGACGTTCCGATCGCCGGTGATTATTGTGGCGTTGACAGCGTCTTCCCTGGAATCAGATCGACACGCGGCGTTGGCGGCGGGATGCAATGATTTCCTTACGAAACCTGTGAGCTTGGAGTGGTTGGAGAAGAAGATCATCGAATGGGGTTGTATGCAAGCGTTGATTGATTTCGAAGGATGGCGACGATGGAAGCGATCGACTGACTCAGATCAAAAACCGAGCAAGAAAGAAGATACGGTGGTAGAAGAAGCCAAACAACAGTTGGAAAACGAAAAGAAACGGATTGAAGAAATCGGAAAAAATGCATTACAAACTCGCAAAGGCATTGTATTGCCTGGAGCGGTGGGATTATCGAAATCAAGACGGTATTCGACCATGGAACATAAATCGGCGGGAGGCTCACGCAAAGGACAATTAATGAAGAGTGAATCTGATACCAGTCTACATCAACTTCGATCGCGTACTTCAACCAAGGATGAAAATAATTCTAGTCCATTAAAAGAAGACGAGTAAAAAAAAAAAATAGCCACGAAAGGGCCCTCGCATGGCAAACCTCATTCCTTGTAGATATACTACCCTTTGTTTTTCTTCCTCTCCCAATCTTCTTTTTTCCTAACCCTCATCAACAAAAACAAAAAAAAAAAGACCCACGAAAAGCCTTCGATTTAACAAACTGAAAAAAAAAAGGAACAACGGCCAAACCACCCCATTGGTCAGGATTTCCCATTTATTTTATTTTTTGTCCTTCATTATGTCTAGTTACAAATTGATCTTTTTTCGATGACCTTTTAGTAAAAAACCATCAGCCTCATTTCGTGTATCCTCTGTCATTTCGTATGTGCTGTTTTTCTTTTTCTTTTTTTTCTATATCAGATACATGAGACCAACGTGTGACAAGTTTTCGTAAGCAGAAAAAATGATTCGATTGCTCCATCAGAGAACAAGAACAAAAATTTGAGCATTTTCAGATGGAATGATTGGAAGCTCTGCGACTCGGAGTGACAAAAAAAGACAAAATGAATCACATATCTCTGATGGAACAAATTAGAACAGGTCACGTCACGTCAAGTCGTTGGTCTGCGCACGCATGGTATAAACGAGCTCTAAATTTTTTTATACGAGGACCTGTGATCGATAGGTTCGATATCAACTGATGATCAACCCATCATTATGTAAAAATAAAGAAACCTTCTCTTTTTTTTCTCGTGCATGCGAGATGACACTGAAACGATCAAGATTAAAAACATGGAAATTACGGCATTGATGGAATTACTGTGACTTGATTCAATTTTGATTTGACCAAGAGCGTAAAACCGACGTCCTATTGGATGAAACAATCGGACCGTGGAAAAAGTTCGAGCTTTTTGAGTGCAATAAGAATTACGGGATGCAGTTTCTCGGATAGGGAAACAAAAAAAAGACGGTTCAATGTAAAAAAGAAAAAGGGTTTTTCATGCAGATGAAAAAGATCGATCCATGAAGTGAAACCAACCGAAGCATAAGCTGCCTTTGTCGTCGCAGACCCTTGGAAACCTTCTTTTTCCTTTCAAATACAATAGAATAGAATGTTTATTTTTAAAAGTCAGTCACACATAGTAAGAACTTCTTTTTGGAACCATCGCCCTTCTTTTGCCACCCCTTCTAAAAAGAAAAACCCTCTTATCCCCGATAAGACTTGGCATAATCTTCTGTAAGCGCGTCCCCATGCAGTAAAGTCCCCCTCCCACCCCCTAGTCTCTGCTTAGTCCTTGTCCGGGGGGAATCCAAACCTTCCCCCCAAAATAAGTAAAGCGAAAAACCATGCGAAATGTTGGGATAAAGAAAAATATACACACTTGTGATTGAATATGCAACCTGGGTATCGAAAGAAAAGGCATGTTACACAATTGGCTTCTTTGTTATTCCGTTGCAGGCTTTTTTTTTTTATTATCTTTTTTTTTTTGTTTTTTGTTGACAATCACCAAGATGATTGGAGGAGTTTGAATCAAACGTGTTTTTTTTTATTCATGGCTCAGTTTAGTATGGGTGGCTTTTTTTGGTCCGCAACACAAGTCCTGTGATGGGGTTCGTTGAACAATTTTCAGAGTTCTCACCGAGCACAGACGACGTTACCTCTAGAGGGACTTTTTTTTTTTTTTCTTTTTAGATTGATTGGGGGGTGCTTCATTTTGTGTATCGGCCAAGGTCGGACCGGACTTGCTTTATGACATGACAAATGGCGGAATCCAAAACATCACCAATCAATGACTGACAAGTCACAATTCGGACTTGCTTGCAGCTAAACAGCACCAATTCCATCAATGAAATCAAAGATCGTCGATAATAGTGTCACACAATCCTACTTTCAGTTCCACGTGCCCGATCCACTGGGTTACCCTAGAAGCAGTAGGTTTTTTTTTGGGATTTTACGTTTTTTTTTTTCACACCCCCCTAATTTTGCAACAAAACATTTTAGCCGGTTTTTTTTTTCCCTTTCCGTCTACTATATAAACTACCCATTTTTTTTTCTTTTTTCTTTTTAGGAATTATCTTCCAAAGCCTTCAAAAAAACCCAATCAACGAAAAAAAAACACTCACACTCAGCCACTATGACTGCGATTTCTAATCCTTCTACACCCACCGTGACTACCAATCAGGAATCTCCACTGCTAAATTTATCACATGTCACACCGAGCGTTCCGGACGTTGTGGATGATGCTGAGCTATTGGCCATTCTCGGCTTACCGGCCCCGACCGCACCACTGTCCGAGTCGAACTCCTCCTCTTCCTCCACCACCACGGCTTCCATGGATCCTCCCGTTGTCCTCGATTGGGATGACATGCCTGAACTATTGGAAGAAGAAGATGACGAAAATGACAGTCATCATGCCGGTAAAAAACGATCACGCGATGACGAAGATGATTTATTTGCCACCCTGGATTTCGTCGAAGTACCTATGCCTAAAAAACCGGCCACTTCCGTCTTTGTTGACACCGATGTCAATTTAGACTCCATTCATGCACAACTGCTCAATGATCAGGATATTCGATTGGCTTTGGAGTTGATCGCTTCTTAAAAAAACCATGCAACCCATCGTTCCCTATTCGACCGACCAATTGTTTATTCACACACGATGTCCCCCGTCCTTCCCCAGCACCCCCTTGCCACCCTTTTCGTTTTTCTATATACCAGCCCAGCCGATCCAAAATGTTTGGTCTTATACATATGTAACCATCGACTTGTTGTTTTTTCTTTCTCCTTATACATACGATCTTCTTGTCACATATATTTTTCTCTCAGTTTGTACACAAAGGAAAAAATAAAAATAAAAAAAAGAACAGAGTTTAGCAAATATATTATTTGTTATGGGAAATGATTCATTTTTGTACAATATCAACCCTCATGGTAGGATGATGTGGGGGGTTTAAATGGAGGAGAAGGAAGGAAGGACGGGGAGGAGGAGGTGTGGATGAGATTTTCTTTTTTTTTTTGAATTCGGGATCGGATGACCCTATGCAGCTATATACAACCATTCATGCCGTCGTGAACAAAGGAGAGCCTCAATATGCATGACGCCGTGCATCGATTGCACTCATATCAGGAACACCCAATTCCACCTATTTTCAGGAGAAACACCAAAAAGCAAGTCATTATTTGGTCTTTTAGAATTTCTTTCTCCCCCGATTTTCCCGCATACACATGCGTTTCAAATTAAAAAGAATCAACCAGCCTCATACCTTGCTATTCATAATGCCAGGTTCTCCCATGGAGCTTGTTTCTTCTTCTTCTTCTTTTTCTTGTTGTGCTTGTTGTTTACCGCACTGATAAAATCCGCATTTTTGCTGTGCCACGAAGCATCATTTTTTTAATTGGCAGGTTCTTTTTACGGAGCTTGCAAGATTTTTTTTTTTTTTTGTGTTTGGATTCTTACCTGTGACCAACCACATCCGCATTTCCAACAAAATCGATATCCGCAAAATAAACAATCCACTTTGTTGCATCCTTCATCCCGATTAATCATGACGTGACAATTAGGACACGATCGGCTATGCGAATTTTTTTTTTGGATAAGTCAAGTGGTTCCTTTCAGTCGCACACATCTTAAGGTACAGCTTGGCACTTACGTGTGATCTAATTTCCATTGGATGGTGGCTAATCCTTCTTCGTCACTGATCTCCATGAGCTGACAACGTAAATGATCGAGACAATTTCCCTTGTGCGAGTCACCGCCACAATGTAAGCATATGGTTTGACCGCATGTTGAACTATCATGCGGGGTGTGAGTACGTTTAACAAGATCACTTGATGTCTCGGTGAATCCAGTCCGTTTTGACTTGGCTTCCCATAAATGGCAATTTCAAAAAAAACAAAACACAAGTTTGGAAAACTTACCAAGGTTCAATAGGGAAGTTGGCAATATGCCAAAACTGAGTTTGTTTCCACGCTTCCGGTACGACTTCCAAAGCCACTAATTGCTTGGAAATGTGGGACGCTTGAGCGTACAGTTGAGGTTCATCGTGCACCAACCGACAGAGTACTGGAATAATGAGGTTGTACAAGTCCTGAACGCGTCCAATGCGGAATTTCATCCCCTTTTGGCAAGCTTGCCGAAACACCTCCTTGGCCGCCGCAAGTTTATCCTTTCCATTGTCCAACCGGGTTTCCATCTCATCCAAATCTTCCAAAATACGGTTTAAACGGCTAAAAAAAGGAAAACAATAAAAAAAAAATTAAAGTTCAATCAGTCACTTGTGTTTCTGTTTTGTTTGGTCATCGTTCTTTTTCTATTCTATTTACTTTTCAAGCGGTGTGTCTTGATTGTGCGGCGCGAGACATGGTGTGACGGCTATATCGCAAGATACACAATGACGAGCAAACGATCGGTAAGGTTGATTGAATTGCTGATACTTGTTGACAATCTTGGGTGACACATAACGACTCCACTCGCTTACAGGAATAGGATCTTTACACACTAATAAATGATGATATCAAACAACAACAATAACAACACCAAATAAAAAGAAAACCAGTTACTTGTCATCACTCACTTTCTTTTTTGTTTGCGTTTCTTTTTTTTTTTTTCCTTACCTGGACATTGAATTCTTGTGATCCCTAATCCCCACGATGCATTGACTGTTTCTTCCACGTATCTGTTGATCAATGATAAAATACATGTGTCAATGAACATTTACTGTTGTGCGGTATATATATGTATATATACTGCGAATGGTAGCTACTTTACCGGGCAAAACAATCTTTGCAGAATTGATCGCGACACGATTCGAGACAAAGAGAGTAGGTCTGATCAAGACAAATGGAGCATCGTTGAAGCCAGAAATACATGTTATTCATTTCATTATCAGACGACGGTTCTGGGTCGGGAGGATTCAATTTGTACGAAGACGAAGCCCGTTGCATGTTGGGTTTTGGACTGGACCGTTTTGGTCCAAATGTAGCATGATGGTGCGTGAGAACAAGACGATACAGCCAACCCACCACCAGTGATAACGATCGCAAAAAGATGGCCGGCATGAGCAAGGCAGGATAAAAGACGTAGAAAAAGGGTATACAGTAGCAGAACAGGATATTGGCCACATTGAATTTTTGAAATACGTCGCCTAGTTGATCGGCCGTCATGCCTGGAAACAGTCGTTCCAATGGTTCGCGAAACCAACGCATGACGAACGATTTAGGTTGATCTTGGGGTAATTCACGACGTGTCTCCCGTCCGTCCATGCTCGCAGTTGATGATGTGCGTGGTCGTGGTCGTTCGGTAAGAGACATGTAGTATCAATAAAAACGTGTTTAGATCAAGTTGGATGTAAAGTCGAAGAACAAATAAAATAGAAAAAAAAGAATGAAAAAAATCCAAAAAAACTTGTGGAGGGTTCATTTTACGGTATGGTGTGGTGGATGTCCTTGGCTCGATTTCGCATCCCGCTTAGGCATCACATGTCACTGACGAAAGCGGGCGGAGGCTCAAACTCATACGGAGCTTGTCAACCAAACACCACTCATATCTTTCGCTTGAAATCCAAAAAACATGAAATAAAATGATGGCGTGGATTAAAAGTCAGCTTATTTCAATAAATGCTTATGAAAAAGAGTCATTGTTCACTATCATCGTTATCACCAGAAAGGGGTAACGTTTGAATGCGCTTTAGAAATGCGTGAGATCATTGTGAATTTTTTTATTTTTGGGTTGGAGACATGCATAAACACTTGAAAAATAATCCATCTTCTCACACTCTGACCTTTGAGCGCTGTAATTATTTTTCCCTCACAATGATGAAACACAACACCAATAAAAAACAGCATACTGAGGAACCATTGAAACGCGGGGACCTGCATCCGTCTACTCCATTATTGCAGCCTTGACCAACACACAGTCTTCTTCATTTGGGAAATCAGCAAAACCAAATTGACCTCGTTCAACTCAAAAAAAGTCTTTTTTTTTTGTTGGATGCCCTGGCTGATATTCTCCTCGTTATCTCCGTTACCAAAGACGAATGTAATAGCACATAAAAGACAAAAAAGTCATCTTGGAGCAGCCTGCAATGAAAAAGAATTTTAGGAGTCGGCCACAAAATAAGAATACTCATCATGTATCCTTGACAGCAAACATCGTCATTCATGGAGACTCGTCTTGTTTTGTCTCTTTTTTTTTGTCGTACAAGAAGCGTCACTTGATGCGAACCTAATGCATGACGAATTCACTGCTCCTTTTTGCACAAAATTAAAATATTTATTTGTGGGGAATGATATTACAGAAACAAAAAAGGACGAACCAAAACGAAAAACCAATAGACAGAGAATCGTAGATGACATGCATGAACCGTCATCGAGCACAAAACCTTCCAGAAGATCCATCTCTCCAAACATGCAGTAGTAAGGCACAAAAAGGTACGAAAGGTACAAATGGCATCACTACTTATTTTACTTTACCAATCCCCTGCATAACAAAAAAAAAAAAAAAGTCTCTTCCCCTTGGATGGACGAGATACTCTTTGGGATAACCCTGCTCCATCCATACGGGCAAGTTTATATGAACGAAAAACGAACGAATTAGTGAAAAAACCTGTGAACAAGAAAGAACTGGTTATGTGGGCAATAAGAAGGTTTGTGATAACAGGCCAGGCAGGGGAGCCGTGACCGATGGATTATCAACACCGACCTATTTTCTCCAACCAGGCAGCTTGTCGTGATCATTCGCTTATCTTTCATCCTCTTTTTTATGATTGAATAGGTGACGTTTTTTACAACAATATCATTACAATAAAGTTTCTTGTTTTTGTGATACAGATCAAAAAATTGTATACCCGGGTTGGGTTGTATGACAACGATTGAAAGCCAAAAAAAAAAAAAAAAAAACCACGACATCATCACGACATCATCTTTCATTTGTTGCTATTTTTTTTTTTCTCTTGGTAATGGGTGTCAATGGATATTTTCTCTTATCCCATCAATGCGAAACACATACACAAAATTCCCGGAAAAATAAAAATAGTAGGATCATATATGTTTTTTAATTCTATTGGCTGAGGAAGAATGCACGATATAAATGTTATATGCAAGAGTGGAAGAAAAAACAAATACGTACATTTTCCTTGTGTTATGTACATGGATAGATAATTAGAGCATAAAGAAAAATGAAAGACTTGGGAACATGGGAATGGACGCTTTTTATCATCCATGAAGAAAAGCGGTCAAGGTGGAATAAATAAAAAAATAATATACAAGAAGTGAGATACGGAAAAAGTGGCAAACGACAAGAAATGTTTAAATGAAACCATTCAGGGCCATGCTGATAGGGATTTGTTGATAATGTGGCAGATAAGTCTGCGGTAACGGCTGTGGAAAAGGCGGTGGGGCCGGCATCATTTGCTGATGTCGCATTGCCTCTTCGGCGGCTTTTCTAGCCGCTTCCCGCTCCTTCTTTTGACGACGCCATTCTTTTCGCATTTCCTTGAACTCGGAAGGATGACGTTTGGGGCCCTTGTGAAAAAAATAAAAATAAAACATCAGTCAAAAGAACAAATATATCAATCAATAAAAAGAAAACAACAATGCTTACGTGTTTCTGCATGCTGATGTGTGCATTCAAGTGATTCAGAGTACCATACGATTTCGCGCAGTTGGGATATTTGCAGTGATACAAGCGCTCGATTTCATCATAACGCCTGCGCGGTCGCTTTCGTGGATGTGAACCAGGAATGGCCACAAAGGAATAAATTTTATCAGAGGCTGAACTTGATTCCGATGCTCGTCGCATACGACCGGCTTCGTTGATACCGTGGTGATAGTTACTGTGGTTGTCCTTACTCATCATTGGATTGGGTGCCGTCACCATACCGGGAATGTGGCCTGCTCCTGTCGGGTACATTGTCGCGTCCAAGGGAACCATGGTGGGAGGATAGGGCTGGTTATTCATCAACATCGGCAGAGAGGCTGTCGTAGGGAAAAAGTCGGTCCCCGTGGCCGCTGCAACAAAAGCAGCTTCCGCTTGAGCTTGTTCATTGGCATCGATGGTCAACTCGTTAGGCACCACAGTCGGTGCAGGTTGCGTGAGCAGTGCAGCAGCAGCAGCCGAAGAAGAAGATGTGGCGGGTTGACTAAGACCAGCATAGTCATTGTTGTGGCTGAAAAAGAGCGACGGCGGTTGTACCTGAGGTTGCGATACCATAGCCATGGCCGCTGTAGCCGCTGCTACCGCTGCGACAGTGTCCGCGGCTGGAGCGTTGGCGTTGGTAGTGGTGGTGGCGGCCGGATGATTGGAAAGCAACTGGGATTTGGATTGTTCGTTGGTTAAAAGCTGGGTCAATGAAGGAAGAGGCGCAGTTGGATCGATGGAAGCCGGTTGATTTAATAACGAGCATTCTGACAAAGGTTTAACTGGTTTCTGCTTCAGATTGAAATACGACTCTTCGGAATCTCCCATGATGAAATGAACGGAAATAAGGGGACAGTAAGAAAGAGAGGCCTTTTTTTCTTCGATTGTTTGACTGAACAAAGGAGTAACTGGAAGAAAAAAGAAAGAGAAACTGATTTTCTGCAAAACAAAAATCCGTCAATTTAAGGAACCAAAAAAGCCAAGGATATATAAAAAAAAAAAAAACCAGAGTCCAGTGTCAATGGCCAAAAAAAAAATTGATTTGCGGAGCAAGAAAATTCAAACCGGAACAACGAATCGGGAATTGCCATGACGTCAATGACACTGTTACACCGCCTCCTTTTTTGGTTTAATGCCGTTCAAATTAGGTTTGCCTCGCATTTCACAACAGGACATCTCATAAACGAGATGAACGCATATGCTTGAAGTCTACCCAATCGGAGATTCCCATTTCACATATGACGAAGTCAATGACGACGCTCCAAGTATATTGGCCGTTCCCATCGGACATCCATCCAACCTCTTTTTTCTTCATCGGGGAGTAATTACCAGTCATCAAAAGCAAAAAGAAACATCAACAGGAGTAAGGAAAGATGGATGAATGCAGTGCTTCATGAAAAAAGAAAAAAGAAAGTGGGGCTTCATTTCTCTGGCATGAGTTGAATGAAACTGAAACATATTACCTTATTACTTGTTGGACGAGAAGGGAAGATCGACGGCCAAGAAGTTCATGAATAAATCTCCGCCCAAATTAGATTTCGACGGAGATCATGAAGAGGCATGGGCGCCCCATCACTCTCAACGCCTTTTCTTTCACTCGTTCATATCAAATTCAAAGTCACCTCACGGATCGCCCATAAAAACATTACGAATAAGCATTTTTAAAAAGGTAACAGAAAAAAAAATATTACACCTCAGCTACATGACCCCTATCCTGCGTTTCTTTGGGGAGGTGGAGTTGAATTTTCTCTTTTTTTTTTTTTTTTTATTCAGGGAAGACGTTGAAAATCACATAACCTTGAACCTTAAAAAGTGAAATGTCACTAAGTACCAACTTTCCAAGGTTATTGTCACCCTTTCATACTGATTTCTCGGTTGTGATCTTTTCCAAAAAAAAAAAAGTCAAACAACGGGATGCTTTATCTTTTTGATAATAAACACAAGCTTTGCAGGAATTGACAAAGCGATGACGCATCTTCCGCTTTTCGGCGCCCTTTGAATTGAAACAATCTCATAATTATTGCGCACGGCAACCATCCAACCTTTCTATCGCATAAAATATAATCCCTTTTTGCTGTAGCCAAACAACTTTATGTGGGTAAAAAAGACGTTGTTTGCTGGTTACTGTTCATGATGAATTTTCGCTTTTTTTTTGTCTTTTCATTTATCTACATCTTGTCAGATATGCGTAACCGAGGTTCCGCGGTATCGGCTGGAACGACAGTGACTGCATCGAGCGCTTGAAAAACAATCATATTAAAAATTGCAGCAATCAAATCATCATTACGAAAGCATTTCATTGTGTTTTTTCATATCCGTATCTACTTTATTTACCGCCTTTTATGTTTACTATGACGCTCGATAAATAACTTTCAATAATAGCAAAGAGTGCTCTAAATATACACAGAACATAACTTGCTGCTCGTTGACGTCAGATGGGACTTTTCTGCGCCGGTAAACATACTGATCAACGCGTTGACACTCCCCTGACCTTATCTAGTCAATCAGTATCACCAAAATTCCAAACGCACCCTTTTTGGCGGTCTGATACAGCCATCATGCTTAAACCCTATCGTTTTGCTCAACTAATATTGTAATGCGTACACCAACAATGAATGAAAATCACCCTTTTTTATTTATTTATTTGGAACAAGATACAATAGTTAGCCTTACTTTATCATATCTGCGTTGCTATATATTTGACAGCTTTCTCTTATATTATGATAGGCGACGCACTTTCAAAACTATGTAGTTTCATGTGAGTCATTTCATACATGTAAAAAGATATCTGGTAGATCTTGTCGATCCTATTGAGCTTTAAACTTTTTACATATGCTTGCATACAGGAAGACCGTGGTGGGGCATGTGCCATCATTATCACGTAATCAATACCAATGACAGAGCGTCATATCCTTGGGTTTGTTGTTTTTGTGCTTCAGTGGAACGACGTATGACTGACTTCAGATCAATTCAGTAACGAAAGATTGTATCGTTACAGCACCCCAATTTTTTTTCTCCCATGACAACTGAAAATGATCCGTCTTAACCGCAGATTTTCCAGCCAGCGATTTTCAAACCTCCCTTTTTTCATGGAAAATGAGGAATATCTGTCTTCAAAAATTAAGCCAAAAGCACAAATATTCAAAAGCATGCACACTAGATACAGAGGTTGAAGATGCAGAACGATTATTCGGAAAACATACAAATATTGTTCCCCAATTTTACAATATTCAAACTGATGGTTGGATCGGTCAATTTTGATCGTAGATCAAAAAGATTCATAAGAACGCATTATCTTCTGATCATCTTCAACAAAAGTTCTTTGTCTCGCAAGTATTCTATTGAATCTGACGCGTCAAAGCACGATATTTGCTATTCATTTGATGATCTCCAGTTACTAGACCTCGTATAAAAGAAAGAGTTGGGTTGACCTATATTCTAGACTTTTTCAATAATAGCGTAGCACGGAGAATCACGATTGATTAGATTTAGTTTATTCTAAAAAAAAGTTACCGGGGCAGTTCCTTTTCTTTGGCAAGTTAAACAAGCAGTAACGACTGATCAACATGTTATTGAATACATGGACTGACGTTGAAATTGTTGCGTTGGCAAACAGGCTTATTGCGGCAGATTTCACTACAAAAGTGTCTATCATACTATAAAGCGAAAAACGGAGAAGATCGGCATCCGTAAACTGCAAAAATGCAAACACCCACGCCAATTCACCTTCATAAATTCGCTCCTACCACATCATCAGGCGATCTGGCAGCATGATTACTTTAACGTCCTCATTTTCACAACCAAATACTATAGAGCTATATCTCAATCTACATTTGGGACGCCAATAGGCGAAACGACGTCTACTGTGTATCACGAATCCAAACAGCACCAAACCCAATAGCTTGTTTTGGTTTGAATTCTATTTCCCACTATGCTCAAACATCCTGTATCTGATCAACGGCTAGCAGGACGCCAAGTGTTGCCACCCTAAATAACTTTTTTTTTTTTTAAAAAAATTGTTCGGGTGGTCCAGAACCAGCGGATTCGCTTGGCTTTTTTCTGTATTTTTTTGAAAGCTATTAGCAATCGACGTTGAGCCAAAGTTTCAGGATGCATAAAAACTCAATCTACTTGTCGCTTCATTTGGACTTGAGCTCTTCTGTGAGCTTTAATAAACTTATGTGCGTGGCTTGAACTCAAAAGCCCGTTGGTAAGCATTGCCACTGGCTTGGTTTCATAGTAGACTCGAAAACTCCGCCGACATCTCACTGGGAAGGGGGTGTTCGTTTTCCCGCCTGTGCATCGTCGGAACCTCGACAAACAGACTGTTATTTGTTCTTTACATGTAAGGTAAGGAAAGAGAGGATCCAATGTTGCGTAAAGCGGCGGGTTCCTTTTTTTTTTTTTTTTTTTTTGGCAATGTTACGCCAACATGGTCAGGAAAGAAAAAAAAAAGCGGTCGCTGCGGTAAATGTCGGGGCTTCAATCGAACTCACCTGGGAATACTTAAAAAGGTATACGAACGTGCTCCAAAGTTTATTTGGTGAACATCATGAATGGTATCTCAAAAGTTATATATGAGGGCAGCAAGTTGAACAATTTTTAATTTACTGTCGATCTTTCCTTTCCTCTTCTTTCCAATTTGTATTTCTTTTTTTTTTTTTGGTCCCTTCAATGGGGTGACAAGAAAAAAGAGAAAACTCAACGCCATAGCCACTGAGCTCAAATGGTGCTCTTTTTCTCTTTTCGGCAATGCGGACCCATGAAAAAAAAAATTTTTTTCATTAAAGTATCCGTTATTTTTCTCTGAAATCCAAGAAAAGAAAAACCATTGGTTCAGTTTATTTTCCCATCCTGTGGACAAATGCCCACCACCTCAAGTTTGCCCATCCAATCGCATGGCAGGATATCACCCTATCTGGCATTGGAGTGGATGCCGAATGCACGGATTTTTCTGTGTTTATTTTCTGCAATGAATTGGACGAATCGTTGAATCACTATAGTATATCAGTTCGAAACAGGGGCCATGGCCCCACCATTGCTCGGAAGACGAGCGGTCATGTCTTCAAGTAATCATCCCACGGGCGATCAATCATCCCATCCCCAACCGTTTCACAGCAATAAAGAATTGGTTGGATGGGATTGACCCCCATTCAACTTACCATGTTTCATTTTTTGCATTGTCTCTCACTCCATCTCACCTCAATAACCGAGGACGGCTGGGGATTGGGTGGCCTGATGCTTCTCGATGAATGAAAGTGTGGCAACACAAAATAACGCGGAAGTTCAATTGGCATTGTTCTGCTCAGGGCCAAAGTCCGCCAAGGAACCTTGAAGTTTTGTTTATCGCGAGACTTTTTCAAACTCATCCCGGATCATGTCCACAAAATATTCTCATCTCTCTCTTGTAGGCAACTCGCTATCATGTCACAGCAAAGAAGGGAAATGAAAGTAATGTACCGGCGGATGATCCGTTCTTGAGTCAAAGATATAATGCAGGCAATATTTCCCGTCAATTGCACTAGATCTTTTTGTGTATAGTAGAAAGCCTTTTTTAATCTGCGAACAGGAACTCCGCGGTATTAACAGCACGGTCAGCTTCTTTACGCTTATCCTGTTCTGGAACTTTTTTTTCTTCTTTCATATAAATATCGTGCACCGCCATTGTTCCTTCCCGTATCTTTACTTGTTCGTCTTTCCCTTGTTTTACACTTGCGCGGGTCGCTTCAGTTGAACATCGTCGCTTTTCCTTACTTTTACTCCTTCCCTTCTTTATTAACTTTTGTGCAGAGCACCTCTTTCGATATCCGTGCGTTTATATAACTCCTGACTAAAAGAAATGCAATTCCTTTCTCTTATTCTCGCCGTTGTTGCCTGCTTCATTTTGGCCACCGAGGCTTCCCTTCACTCCTCCAACGCCGACCGTCATATGTCTCGTGCCGAACGAACCGTGCTGTCCAAACGATCAACTTATCATGGCAAAGCTACCTGGTTCGTCCCTTCCAAGGAAGGTGGCTCCGATGGCGCTTGCGGTAAACACGAAGATGATGATGCTCTTATTGTTGCCTTGGTAAGCATTTCACTTTTTTCTTTTTTCCAAAAATTGACGAACAGACGCTTCATTCCTTTGTTCTTGTTTATTAATGCACGATTTCCTTCATGTTTAGAACCATCCTCAATATGGTGACATGTCTTCCAAGAGCAAATGGTGTGGTAAAAAGATCAAGATTTCCGCCAACGGCAAACACGTTACTGCTACCGTGAACGATGCTTGTCCGGAATGCAAGCACGGCGATCTTGATTTGACCCCCGTTCTTTTCGAAAAGTTGGCCGATCTCGATAAAGGCATCATCAAGATTTCCTGGACTGAAATCTAAAAAATTCTTTGTTCGTTTTTTTTTTGTCATTTCAGCCACTCTTTATAACTAACCAAATAAATTGTCATACCTATCCCTTTTTTTTCGTTCTTTTCTTTTCCTTTTTCCAACCAAACGGGTAGTCTCATGCAAAAACATGGCAGATATTTTTTATGCGCTGCCTAGAACCGACGACATCGCGGCAGCGATAGAAAAACGGGGAAGCCGTTTTGGGAGTTGACAGCAAACAATTTTTTTTCTTACCATCGGTTGCCTTGGCATATTCGGGTGTTCGTCCTACAAGGACCTCGGTCCGATGATGGAACATGTCATTGTGTGCTTGGACGATCGCTTTCTAATGGCTATTTTTGGCGGTATTGCCCTTTACAGGAATTGATGGTTGCGCAATATACGTCGCACACGTAATAAAAAAGTAACATGGTGTATTTTTCATGCGCGACAGTGTATACAGTACATGTACACCGTCGATGGTATGGCTAAGCGCACAGTGTGTATGTATTGACAAAAGTAAGAGAGGATATTCAAGAAGCAAGGAACTGAGAGTTAGCGAAAAAGCAGCCTATCACAGTGATTGCGATTTCACTGGTTAGCTTTGTCAAACCGTGCACGGAAAATGATTAGAATGAATTACATTATCCAATCACAGGCGGACTTTGCTTGTGGTTGATGATGGCATCAAGGTCTGGATTTTTGGGTGAATTCTTAATTGGGATTGACAGCATGGAGATTCCCGGTTCGTCATGAATTTCCCAGCTTGGGAACATGCAATAGATGTGGAGAATTAAAAAAGTCAACTAGATCCTCTTGAAAAAAACATCCCCTTACCTCTTTGATGATACCCCTTGCCCCGAAGTTTTCCCTTGTTTTCTTTTCTGTTTTGTTGTTGTTGTTGCTGGTCAATCCGAATGGTACTTAATAGCTCGCTCAATTGACTTTTTCCTTTCTTCTTTCCTTCAATTTTTTTTTCTCGTCTCCTCTTGTATTTTTCATTGATTGGAATTTCCCATCACATTAAACAAAAAAAAAATACAATGTTGGTTCGATCTTTATTGGTGATCTTGATCTGGTGTGCGGTAGCCACCGATGTGTTGGGCCGACCCGTTGTCAAACGTGATGTCGATGATTTTGTCAAGACCGTCGCTCACGGCTTATATAAAGGCCACGGCACCTTTTTTCATCCGGCGACAGAAGGTGGCAACATCGGTAAGTCCCTCTCCTTTTTTCACGGCTGTCAAATGGCCGTTTTTTGACATGCGTACCCTTCAGGATCTTGCGGTCACAAGGAAGATGACAACAGCGCGTATTGTGCCTTGGTAAGCTATTCAAACCGTATATTTCAATAAGCAATTGGGTTCATTTATCTCACAGAAAACCATTTTAATGCAAATAGAATGCCATTCAGTACGGTGACACCGGTAGTCACAGTGATTGGTGCAACAAGAAACTGAAGATCAAGTACGGAGATAAAACTACTTCGTGTATCATTGCGGATGCATGTCCAGACTGCAAACCAAGTAAGTACCCCTCTCTATCCTGCATTAAAACTTTTTTCGTTGGTCGAATATTTTTTATTTCGCCACAGAGAACAAAAAAAAATAGTAAACAAAAAAGCGTATAGATTCCCTTGACATGACTCCAAAGGTCTTTTCACAGCTCGCGGATTTCAAGGAAGGCGTCATCCCCATCGAATGGTGCATTGAAGGTGCCAAAGACTGTTAATCCCCCGGCGCCCCCATCGAATCATGGATCTCATCTAGTTTCATGATATATAAAAACGAAATCTTTATCTATTTGTATTACTTTATTCCATTCATTCAAACACCATTCGCAGCCGCTGCAAACAATGCACGTCAATGTCGAGCTTTTTTTTTTCTTTGTTCCGAATTCTAATTTTCTATAAACTAGCCTATTCGTCTATACTGTACTTTTTGGCAGTTTTCATGTAATAAAAATGATTATGAGTTTAAATTTATTGGTTGAGATAATAGTGATGATAGCGTACGGCGTAAATGTCAAAGAATTTCAGCTAAGTATAGGCAGAAACTAGGGAAGAAGAAGAAGAAGAAAAAATCCCATTTCCAGGTTAGGTACCGGTTATGCAATGCAAATCGGATCATACTTACATTGCCGATGATGATGCTTGGCAAATCAAAGATATCCCGCTTAATTGTGAAGCAGAATGTACAAGGGACCAGTTTGTGTTGTGGCGTTTTCAGGATACACGACGTCATGGTGGAATGGTCTGTATTATCGAATGCATGTTTGCCAAATTTTTCCCAGTACTCCACAGCCGATTGACTATCCATCAACTACTTGGTTTTTAGTATTGTTTCCATGATCCTTTTTTTTTTTTTATACTCGACACGATGAAGTTGTTACAAATTCTTACCTCGTAAATATATGATTTCTTGCTAAATAGCATATCCTTTGTCCACTGGGTTAACAGCGAAAATTCTTTCCCGACAAGACAGATTTCCCCCGTTCGTCGCCATATGACCGTCGGAGTACCTGAAAAGCTGACCAGCTTCTCATATTCCTAAATCACAAAAATGCATGTCTCACTGTTATTATTCTTTGTCCGGTTCACCGATTCAAGCTCTAAAAGGCAACAGATTCTTTTTTTTTTCTTACCAGCAATGTCCGCTGAATACATTTTTCCATAAAGATCAAATCTTCCTCTGTCAAGTTCATGATCAATGCTAGGAACGACGGTCGGAACATTGCCAATGCACGACTGATGCGTGTCAGATCTTCCTTTCCCATTCTACATGACCCTCAATGAGTCAAAAAACCATGCTCTCACCGAATTCGTGGCTAGTGTATCCACTGCTTACTTTGATTGCACATATTGAATCAAATAATGGAATCCTTCGGCGTAATTGAACGGTCGTTGAACGCTGTTGTAAACGGCTTCGGGGGTATTGCCACTATTGGGTCTCCTTCGACGATTGGCCGTGGAAGAAAGGCTTTCGCGAGACGGTTTGGCGATGGAAGATGTGGAAGCAGGTGATATGGCGCATGGAGTGGGAGGTGTGGGCGGTAAGGTCGGTGATGATTTCTTGGGAACTGGGTTTGATTTCACCAGGTTGCCGCACGGGAAAAGGTTGACGGCTGCTGCAGCAAATGAGGCATTGGACGATGCAAGTAAGGAAGAAAGGAAATTGGTGGTATTCTCGGAAATAGCGTCGCTAAATCCGGGATATGAACTGTAATGGTTGTTGCTGTTATTGTTGTTACTGTTTACGTTATTGTTTGGCAAGGGTGGTCGTCCGTTGTCACTGAGATCCAACATGTTTCCAAGGATGCCATATTCCAGACCCGCGGTCTGGGAATTAAATCCAATGTCTGTCAACGGAAAGTTGAATAGTTGAGAGTGGGTCAAGAAATCGGCATCTGTAAAAAAAAAAAAAAAAAAAAAAACTGGATTTAAGCTTTTTTTTTTTTCTTTTCATCATGCAAATTTCCATGGCAATATCATCAACAACTTACCTAGACTTTGCTGTAAATCATCATCGGCTGTAGACAACAGGAAACAATGAAGATATGTAAAAGAATATTTGGACAAAACAATGGCACGGTTAGTAAATTGGCCCTTTTTTGTTTTCGGTTCCCCCGCTTTTTGTGTATTTGTCTTACACTGTTTTGCAATATCGCCGGTACATTTTTGCTTTTTATGGGAACCAGCGTCGATGCATGTTGTTCCCAAGTCACGCTTGACACAGCCCTGACAAGGCCGACCTAAATACGGTGTGAATAACTTGGTACAAAAAATAGTGTAAGCAAAGCAAGAATCAATTACCTCCGTCGCATTTGAGTTGAGCCTGATTGGATAGTCGAATGTCGAAAAGAAAATAAGGAAAAAGCAAAGAAAAAGATGAGTCATGAGGCGATCGGACAAGTCTATATTGTATGTACTTTTTGGCAATGGGAACATGGCGGGTTTGATTTGGGCCGTTTATTAGTGCCGATTTCAAGGGTATCCAGCGATAAAAATCTGTCAAAGCCAATGTTACTAGCCGTAACTCCTTGAGACATGCTAAAGGGGATATAGAAAAAGGATGCAAAAAGTGGAGAGAAAAGAAAAAAGAGTGCCTAGACCATGTGTGTGAAAAGTCAAGACCAACTGTTCACTGGGATGGAAAGCACATGACGCACATGGATAATCCACTCATCATCCAATTTTCCCCTTCTTTCCCATCACCGAATTTCTCCCCCTCTTTCAGTCGCGCTTGTACCACCATCAATTTCCCAGAACCAACTCATCTATGAATGAAACCAGGCCTACTCTGTTTTTAGATCTTACAACTACCCATCCCAATCTTTGGAGTTTCACTCCAAACCGGTCAGGGATCGACCACACATGGTGCATGGCGCTCTATTGTTTATTTACACTGCTTCTTCAGAAAAAAAATGGTTCCAGCATCAAACAATACCCCACCCGCGGTCCACCAGAATAGAATAAACCCCGCCCCTCGAGATAGTGAGATAGTGGGAATGGCTTGACCGGTCCAACAAAAAGGTTTGTCTAGATAAACGAATCTATCCAATAGCCGTGCTTTGATCTTATGAATGTGGATGAAACAATAAAGGGGCCTATTTCAACCGCACTTTACAAAATCATATAATGTCAGATGAGACTGGTTGGACCAGCCCCAAATTTTTTGGATCAAAATGGCGGAAAGAGGGCCATCAACATATTTTTGGATCAATGAGAAAATATTGGATCAGAGCCAAGAGATGTTGAATCAAAGAATATCTAAGGATATTTCTCCTTATGAAGCGAGTTTTTCTCGAAACGATTGGGCATGAAGAATCCACCGTCGGCAATTCTCAATGGTAATCTTGTTTGCCGACTCAATGATGCGATCAGAGAGATGGTCATTATCTATGTTCCTGAAGGGATCCTGGTGCACACTTTACTTAAGCTTCACGTACCGTTCTTCGATTGACTTTAGAAAGGCGAGGTAAGATAACAAAAGAAAGGAGCATTATATCCCTCTCTTTAAACTGTTTCTCTCACAAATGATTGCTGGTGGATCCTGCTGTTGTCAAGAACAAGATACTTGCCCTGCATTCCGTTTATATCAAGAGTATCTACAAAGCAAGGTATATGGTTGCTAAAGGACCGCGCTGTAAATGACAATGAACTTTCCTCCCTCGTCCCACTGCAGGCAAAATCAAATTAACCATATATGAGCCTGAATCTTTATTAACTAACAAGCCGTACACCCGCTGTGTAATGAATGCCGCCTGCCACCGGAGGCCGCCCTCTTACATTGAGCGACTTTCGTCAGACAAAAAGCCTAACGCATACACGGCATAACCTGGGCGAGAACTCTTGACAGACTTTGGTATATTAATGACAACCTTATGGCAATACCATGCAACGTGAGTTGTTTCTGAACACGCGCAAAGCAGCACTGATTGACCCCCTCAGTTCCATCCCGCCCAGGCTATGATAGATCTAGAAAGATGTGTGGGTATGTTGGGTATTTAAAAAAATGAGTTAGTAAGCTCTTTGATTGATTCAAATTTCGTCAAGATATTTTACCTTTGTTATTTGAGTTTTCAATAGCCATTTGATCGCTTGACATGACTTGAATTATATTACACTGAAAATTTTTTGAATTAGTATATGTCCATTACATCATAGCAAAGGAAAAGAAATTGGACTTGCCTTTGAACCAAATGGTGTACCGGAAAAAAAAAGATGAATACGGACCACAGGTAAGCTTCTTCGATGCGGACAATAAAATTACTTCCAGGGACAGTTAAGCAATGGATCGGTGGCGTCAGCTTGAGCAGGCAAGAAATATTGACGTGGCCAGAAGTGGCGGTAATTTCGAGCTGGATTCCAGATATTGAGGGTTTCCCAAATGAAAAGAAAAGAAAAACATAAAAAGTACATGATGATAAAAAAAAAACAATGGTCGCGTCAGTAAAAACCTCCTAAAAAACCCTGTGGGGAAAAAAAGAGGATAAGACTGCGAAAAGAATATGTACATGAAATATAAAATACAAAATACAATAATCGGGAAGACATCTCGAATACCATATCATGAGAAGCAATCCAAAGGAGAGGAACATGAAGAGGACGCGTAAGCGTTTTCCGATGAAAAAGGGAGTCCCACCATTGCGATGGACTTTGACGTCATCCAGTTTCGCCAGATGGATGGATGGGTGGCGAGAGAAAGTCAAGTTGTTAGTATCCAGAACTTGTCAGGCGAAAAGAAAACGGAGAAAACCGGAAGCTAAAAGAAGGATGGAAAAAAAAGAGAGGTAAGTCTGTTATTGCCGGAGCAAAATCGATGGTAGACCACTCGACGCTTACCTTTGAGGATGGTAGTCGATTTAACCAAGTTAGATACACGGGATAAGAATGGTCTGGATGATGGATGCGGATGGGATCTTGATACAATGATAGTGAGGGTTTATCAAGCAAACAGAAAGAGAGAGAGAAAATCAAAAGAAGAAAGATAAGATTGAAGTCAAAAATATATGGTTTTCCATGGATGAAACAATAAACCCCACTGATGCATGAATTCATAGATCGAAGCACGTCTGCTTATGTATTATTTTCGATTCATTGAAAATTGAAAGAGAATGAAAGGACATATACGTATAACTGACAAAAAAAACAAATTAATGATGCTACAGAAGAACGCCGGTCGTATCATCAACCACTTTTCTTCAAAAAGAGCTCTACTCACATTTTTATTCGAAAGACGACGATGCTCTGTTTGGCCATAAATGGCGCAAGCGGCATCTTGCTGCTAATTGTTTCGCCTATTATTGTGAAAGTGGGCAGCGAGGCATGGCTGAAAGATAAAAAAAAGAGATTTAACAGGCCCTGATAACTTAGTGTAGATCATGTGATTTACAAATCGCTTATTTCCCAAAGATTTTAGTTATGTAGACTAGTAGCGCGTGTTGATCTTAAAGATCACAAAGTTCTGCTCTTTCGGTCTATAGTTTGTTGTCACTCTGAGGGGAGTGGGAATAGTAGCTGATTAAAATGTGTTTGGAATGGGGTGCTCCATTTGCAATATTCAGAACTTCGCACTCGAATTTGTGTATCCAAAGGTTTCGCTTGATGGTGTTCTTTTAACTCTTAACAAGCCGTACACCCGCTGTGCAATGGATGCCGCCTGCCACCGGAGGCCGCCCTCTTACATTGAGCGACTTTCGTCAGACAAAAAGCCTAACGCATACACGGCATAACCTGGACGAGAACTCTTGACGGAACTTCGGTATATTAATGACAACCTTATGGCAATACCATGCGTCGTGATTTGTTTCTGAACACGCGCAAAGCAGCACTGGTTCCCCCCCTCAGTTCCATCCCGCCCAGGCTATGATAGATCTACAAAGATGTGTGGGTATGTTGGGTATTTAAAAAAAATGAGTTAGTAAGCTCTTTGATTGATTCAAATTTTCGTCAAGATATTTTACCTTTGTTATTTGAGTTTTCAATAGCCATTGATCGCTTGACACGACTTGGGTTATATGACATTGAAAAAAAGTTTGAATTAGTATACGTTCATTACATCATAGCAAATGAAAAGAAATTGGACTTGCCTTTGAAGCAAATGGTGTACCGGACAAAAAAAAACGATGAATACGGACCGGCAGGTAAGCTTCTTCTTCGATGCGGAAAATAAAATTGCTTCCAGGGACAGTTAAGCGATGGATCGGTGGTGTCAGCTTGAGCAGGCAAAAAATATTGACGTGGCCAGAAGTGACGGTAATTTCGAGTTGGATTCCAGATATCGAGAAACCCCCGAATAAAAAGAAAGAAAAAGAAATAAAGTACATGATGATAAAAAAACAATGGTCGCGTCAGTAAAAACCTCCTAGAAAACCCTGTGGGAAAAAAAAGAGGAAAAGACTGCGAAAAGAATATGTACATGAAATATAAAATACAAAATACAATAATCGGGAAGACAACTCGAATACCATATGATGAGAAGCAATCCAAAGGAGAGGAACATGAAGAGGACACGTAAGCGTTGCTGATTAAAAAGAGCACACCACCGACGATGGCCTTTGGCGTCATCCGATTTCGCCAGATGGATGGATGGATGGATGGATGGCGAGAGAAAGTCAACTGTAGTATCCAGAACTTGTCAGGCGAAAAGAAAACGGAAACCGGAAGCTGGAAGAAGGATGGAAGTAAAGGAGAGGTAAGTCTGTTATTGCCGGAGCAAAATCGATGGTAGACCACTCGACGCTTACCTTTGAGGATGGTAGTCGATTTAACCAAGTTAGATACACGGGATAAGAATGGTCTGGATGATGGATGCGGATGGGATCTTGATACAATGATAGTGAGGGTTTATCAAGCAAACAGAAAGAGAGAGAGAAAATCAAAAGAAGAAAGATAAGATTGAAGTCAAAAATATATGGTTTTCCATGGATGAAACAATAGTCACCCCACTGATGCATGAATTCATAGATCGAAGCACGTCTGCTTATGTATTATTCGATTCATTGAAAATTGAAAGAGAATGAAAGGACATATACGTATAACTGACAAAAAAAAACAGATTGAATGATGCTACAGAAGAACGCCGGTCGTATCATCAACCACTTTTCTTCAAAAAGAGCTCTACTCACATTTTTATTCGAAAGACGACGATGCTCTGTTTGGCCATAAATGGCGCAAGCGGCATCTTGCTGCTAATTGTTTCGCCTATTATCGTGAAAGTGGGCAGCGAGGCATGGTTGAAAGATGAAAAAAAGGTTTAACAGGTCCTGATAACTTGGTGTAGATCATGTGATTTACAAAATCGCTAATTTTTCAAAGATTTTAATTATATAGATCTTTTGCCAATAAGCGGTTGATGTGCGCATAAATCTTGCGTATTCAATGGACGATAGAGTAGCACAGTCTCTTTTCCTCCCCGGGGGTCTTGCCCCCCCCTGACCTACCGCCACATAACGATCATTTTCTTCATCCACGAACAACAATATGTATGCAAAGTTAGGAACGGAAATAGTCAGACATCGTATAATATTAAATGGAAGAGACAAAAATAGATAACAGAAGAAATCATTACTTGGGAAAAACATAGCATAAGAATCAAAAGGAACATAAGGACAATAAGCATACAGTAAAACATAAGGGTGAAGAATAACTTGAAAAAACATAACTCTTAATCTTTTGTCAATAAGCGGTTGATGTGCGCATAAATCTTGCGTATTCAATGGACGACAGAGTAGCACAGTCTCTTTTCCTCCCCGGGGGTCTTGCCCCCCCCTGACCTACCGCCACATAACGATCATTTTCTTCATCCACGAACAACAATATGTATGCAAAGTTAGGAACGGAAATAGTCAGACATCGTATAATATTAAATGGAAGAGACAAAAATAGATAACAGAAGAAATCATTACTTGGAAAAAACATAGCATAAGAATTAAAAGGAACATAAGGACAATAAGCATACAGTAAAACATAAGGGTGAAGAATAACTTGAAAAAACATAGCAAAGGATGAAGGCAAAGGAGCATAAGGACAAAATACATACAGTAAAATATAAAGGAATAATAAAAACAACAACATAAGGGTAAAGACATATAATATCAAATGAGGAAACAAAATAGAACATCGCATAGTGCGCGAATGATTCAAGGATATCCGTCTCAACGATCCACCTGCTCGCTCACAAATACTTCCTTGTACACAATGTTCTTAGTGTAAGCTCCAGTCGATCGATCACTCGCGTCACGGACAATCATGTTTTTATTGCCGACGGCCTGCGCACGCGCGACATAGCAACATAAAGTTGCCCATGTGAGAAAACCGGAACAGGTAGGAAAAGGCCGATCGTGTCAAACGTTGTCCTTGCGCCTTGCTGATCGTCATGGCAAACGCGAGTCGAACTGGAAATTGGCGACGTTTAAATTGGATGCCAGTTTCATCGGATTCGTCCGTCAAGGTGATCCGCGGTATAAAGACCCGGTTCCCCACGTTCAGCCCAGTTGCAATCTCTGCCTCAATGACATGAGCTTGAAAAGATCGGCATATTAACCGTGTTTCCTTGCACAGCCCTTGCGCTGGATCGATATTTCGAAGTAACATCACTGGGCACCCAATATTGTAATTATGTAGATTTTGAAGTAAACTACCTAGTGTTGTTGTATTTCGGGGATGATTTGACTTTGATGGATTGATTTTCTGTAGCTGGATTGGGATTTTGAAGATATTCTGTGTGGCGAGGCAAATTACTTATAAAGATATAACGAAAAGGAGACGAAAGTGGGTTTGACCAAATGCAGTAAAGTCGCGTTTGAGTATTTCGATTATAATGTGCGTCTGGTTCTTCAGGGATAAAGATTCTTATTTATTTACGAAGGATATCCTGGATTATTTATCTCGGACGGAGAATCGACTATCAGAAGGAGCTTCCTCCTTCAGGACTGCTCACTTTCATGACAGTGTACGCTGTAAAAAACAAGCAGCCGTAGCTTGACGCACTGATTCGTTAGCTTTCGTAGTTGGTGAAGCCAGTAAGTTTGCAAGCTTTTGCAATTCATCATTCAGTGCCTTCTTTGCCGAGCACGAGGATGGTCTCACCATCTTTCGCATATTGACGGCATCGGGATTCACTTCGATATCGTAAGGTTCAACCTGCAGGGCTCCCTTCGGACAATATTTGTTTCAGATCTGTTCGATGACGACCCTGTCGTCTATAGAAAGCGTTGCTTTTATATCCATAGTGCGCCGTCTGGTAATCGGTCCTGCGTTGCCACCAAAGACGTTCCACATTGCCACAACTTTCTTCAGTTTGGATTGCATCGCCGGTACGGCAGTGATCGCTTGATGATTTTCGTCATATAGGGGTCAGTCGAGTAGGTGCTGAACCGAACATCTCGTATAAAACCACCGCATCCATCTGTAATGTGTCGATGTGCGATGGGTGGCTCATCGGTGATTTTTTCTGCGCAGACGATGTATACCCGACGGTCCTCAGAATCAAGTTGCAGAGCAGGACAAAATGCAACTGGTCGGCAATGAGAGTTTTTTAATCGGTCGGTTGTTGCGTGCTTTCAAATACGGCTCGTAAACTGTTTGAGCACTAGCAATGTCACCAGCTGCATCAGGTTCGAACCGAATGGATATTCCCTGTCATTTGCACCATTTATCCCGGTCTGCAAGCGTAAAAACGGTGTATGGTGACGTTGTGAGATCGTCGGTCGGTTCATTGAATGAACGGCATCGGATGTACGTTGACTCATGGTGTAAACGCATTCAGTGGGTGTCGCAGCTGTCGTCCGAAGAAATTGCTTCAATGGTTCATTGCTCGCCAAGCGCAAGCAGTGTACCACTCGGACACCTTGATGGAGAGCTGGGTATTAAAGGATTTCTAATGCGTTTCCAAACAGAATAACGATGTAGTTGGACCGATTTCGGGATCACTGGATTTATCCAAGCGTAAGCTGGATGTAATCAACAGGTTGAATGTTTTGGTTCCAAGAGTAGCTTCGTCTCGTCAACAACGCTGATGCTCGTTGGCCATACACGATACACGATGATATTTCGTTATCTAAGAGCTTGGTGTTATGCCTTGCCTTGTTCGAAAACTTTCCCGGTGAGAAATCCACAGTACGTCTACGTCCGTGGACCTCGACGCTGTTCACAACAATGGCCCTTCCTGAAGTTGTGTCAAACATTACCATGCCTGCCAGCAGCCTACTGCATGCGTATCCTATTTGAGAGTGTTCGGACCAGTCTGTATTAAGGAAGGCGCAAAGGTTGTCGTTTATCTCCGCGTTGTCCTTGACTGTTACAGCGAAGAGATGCACCTTAAACGCCTCCATGACGCTGAGCAGCCGTTTTTTCTCGTCCTCATTCCATTCTGTTGCATTGCATGCGCACAGCATTGCATGCTCGTCATTCTCGTTTGGATGTTGGGATTGCGGACCAATCGTGCGGCGCTAAATCCAGCTTGGCTACTTTGCCATTTGTAGCATTCAATGTTGACAGCTCCCATACGTCTTGTGACGGCTGGAACCCCATCTAGTTTTTTGGGCTTGATGACTTTGTAGATTCCGGATAAGGATATACCAGCTTTGATGGCGAGTTCAGGCACCGGCCTTCTTCCATCATTCAAACCGTTAATGTAGGATTTTTCGCAACAAATAACGAAATAGTAGGAGGGGAACTCGTAAACAACAAATAAAGAGTTGGACAGGTTTTATTTTTGGAAGCGGAGTATGCGAAAATCTTGATCGACTTTTTGCGGAGGCAGTGTAAATTCGATCTTTATTACTCGGAGGGCCAACCAAGTATTCAGGTCAAGTTAAGCATTCTCATTAAAATAGACATCATGGTTCGTCCATCCTTATATTTAAACATGATCCTACAGGCTGAGGTTGCTTGCGTTTTTTACACGTGAAAAATTTCGGATTAAGTCCATTGATCCATTTCACAGCTTTCGCGACATTTCTTCTTACCTCCGGTACAGTACAATAGCTTTCATCTTTTAAACGTATTACCAATATTTTAGTCAATTACATGCCGTGCAGCAAGCCCTACCATCTTTGTGAGCTGTGTTGGCGCAGATTTTTGCATAATCACCAGCCAAGACAGTCACTCCACCGAGTTTGGGCGCAAATTTAGACGGGGAAATTTCAAGCAACGCTAACCTTTTTTTTTTTGGGTTCTTTCCCTTAAATTATATTTTCATCATCCTTTTCTTTGCAATATGTCGCAAGGTAAAACGACAGAGTAGCTTTGGGGAGGCACCTATGTTCACTAACCCATTTTTTGGTCTGCATCCCTACTTTTTGATCCAGCCACCCAGAAAGCCAATCCTGAGCTTGCCGACCAATCGCTTCATAACCGTTTTCGAGGCTTCGCTGCTGGCGTTGCTTCTGGAGTCACCAAGTTGACTGTCGGTCATCCTTTTGGTACGATATATTCTCTCTGCGCACAACAAAACAGGCATCATGAAATGAACGATTTGAAAAACATGTAGATACCATCAAAATTCGTATGCAAACCTCGGGCGCCTCTGAGGGACGATTCAAAGGTCCTTTGGATTGCTTGCTAAAAACCGTGCGAAACGAAGGCGTTCGAGCACTGTACAAGGGAGCTACTCCGCCTTTGATTGGATGGATGTTTATGGATAGTTTGATGTGAGTGGAATACGACCGAGTAGGCACGGGAAACGATATTCAACGGGGATGCGAAATATTTTCTGTAGGTTGGGCACACTCCACAATACACGGATGATACAACAGAAATGGAATGGAGATAAGCCGTTGACTATATTTCAGCACGGGTTAGCTGGATTGGCCGGTGGATTGACGGTCTCGTTCGTGGCGACACCGGTCGAACAGATCAAATCGAGATTACAAGTACAATACGATGCAAACACCAAAGTATATAGTGGCCCCATCGATTGTGCACGACAATTAGTGAGTAGTATTGAGGAAGTGCGGTTTGTATGTGTATCATGCTGATGGATGATCATGGTGCTATACAGATACGTAATAATGGCGTTCCCGCACTGTGGACGGGTCTTTTACCAACAATGCTTTTCCGAAGCTGGTTCTTCGTTTTCTGGAGTTCTTACGAGGTTAGAATACGAATATGATGGAGATTCTTTTCCCAATACTGAACATGCGTTCTCGATTTCTTATTAGGTGTTTACACGACAATTGAAAAAAGCGAATTTTTCTGATGGCACCGTTACGTTTCTTGCGGGTGGTTTAAGTGCCACCGCATTCTGGTTGGGCGCTTTTCCGTCAGGTACGCTTTTCGGATTGTTTTGTGTGACGTTTTCAGTCGCGATTTGAAATTGAGTGGAAAAAGGCTACGATTACATTGGGTGAGTCATGCTAACTCGTCCTTGTTGTGCCGTGCCCGCAGATGTGGTCAAGAATCGATATATGACACAACCTGACGTAACTCCGCGTCGATTTCCCAATGCAATGTCGGTCGCCCGATTTGTATACCAAACCGAAGGGTTGCGAGGCTTCTACAGAGGTAAATTTCGGGAAAAAATAGGGGAGATTTTGAATTTGCAGAAAATCTAATCAGAGCAATTTTTTTTTTTTTTTTTTTGGCGGGTTGATCAGGATTCTTGCCGTCCTTCCTTCGCGCGTTTCCTACCAATGCTTCGGCTGTATTTATGTTTGAAACCGTCATGCGATTACTGAGTACATCCGATGAACGAGGCGAATAATAATCTGTATTCCCAAGATGTAGATATAAGGAGATATGACATTTTTATAGAGCGGATCGACAACGAGGGCAAATGTCAAACCAAAGGCATCAAAAATTTCAGAGTGACTGGCATCTCACTGGAAGAAAAAAAATAAGTTTAAAAAACCAGTGCCATATCGTCATTTCACTTTTTTTTAAACGGATCTTCCCATTTTTACCGCCTTTTGTCTATCGTTTTCTTTATTTTTTCCATCGCAACTCGTTAATTTATTATTCATGGATTTTGTCAAGGATTTGAATAATCGTCTTTTGTTTGCTGTTCCCAAGAAGGGTCGTCTTTACGAACAATGCCTTCAGTTGCTCAAGGAGTCCGATATCCATTTCCGTCGCAACAGTCGTCAGGACATTGCATTGAGCACGAGTCTTCCAGTGGCTCTGATCTTCTTACCTGCTGCGGATATTCCCAAATACGTTGCCGAAGGCAATGTCGACTTGGGTATTACTGGTCAGGACATGGTGATGGAAAATGAAGTGGAGGACAAGGTCCGTGAAGTTCTTCAACTCGATTTCGGCAAGTGCCGACTGTGTCTGCAAGTGCCAGTGAACAGTGAATACAAGTCTCTCCAATGTGTTTCTGGCAAACGTATTGTCACCAGCTTTGACGGATATGCACGCAAAGTGTTTGAATCTATCGATCGGGAAACGGGCAAAAATACCACCATCAGCTATGTTTCCGGATCCGTCGAAGCCGCATGTGCATTAGGTCTTGCTGACGGCATCAGTAAGTAAACCACACAGAGAACATCGTCCGAATAACAAATAGTGAACTTACTCGTCTCGTTTTTGCCTTATTTCTTTTTGTATTTTACTAGTCGATCTTGTTGGTATGTTGAAAAGGGGACGGATTTGCGAAGTGGGACTTGCAGGGTAGGATATTAATTTTTTGGCATTACGTTTTTGGTAGAATCTGGTGAAACAATGCGTGCAGCTGGTCTCCACGATATCCACACGCTTATGGAAACTCAGTCGGTATTGATTGCCAACAAGAACACAAAGCACAACGATTTGGTGGAAAAAATTACGTCCCGTATCCGCGGTGTGATTACCGCCAACCAATTCGTCCTTTGTACATATAATATTGAACGCAAGAACTTGACCAAAGCCGTTCAGATCACTCCCGGTCGTCAGGGCGCTACCGTCTCCAGTTTGGATTCGCACGAAGGATGGGTTGCTGTCTCGGCCATGATCGCCAAGAAAGCCAAGGGCGATATTATGGATAAACTCACTGAAGTCGGCGCAACCGACATCCTTGTTATGGCCTTCACCAATTGTAGAGTTTAGAGATATTTCCAATATGTACCCATCAATTTTTGTCACTTTCAAAAACTTGTATTCATGTATCTATCCAAAGTGAAAAAAATATGATCCTTCATTTATAAAGAAATAGACTGTATGTAAAAGACACTCTTCACCATCGTTGAGTTTGGTTCACTTTTTTAATGCAAAATCATTGTGACAAAATTTTGTTTTTTTTCTCTTTAAAAATTTTAGAGGGTCTACCAAACCCCCTCTACTCTATGAAGTGTAGAATATTTAAAGAGTGCGGGAGACTTGCCAGACACGGATAAGGTTATCAGTGTAACCAGAGAAGAGAGTGCTGCCGTCAGCGGACCAGGCAACGGAGAGACACTCGGGATCGCGAGGCTTTCTCTTGCCGATTTGAGCAACCTCGGGACGGAGTTCATCGACAACGGACTTGGTTTCGAGATCCCAGATCTTGATGGCGTTGGCGGTGGCAGCGCAAAGCCAATAGCGGTTGGGAGAGAAGGTAAGAGCGTTGACGACGGAACCGGCTTCGAGCGAGTACAAGTGCTTGGACTCGTTGAGATCCCACAACATGACAACACCGTCCTTACCAGCGGAAGCGCAGAGGGAACCATCGGGAGAGACGGTAACGGTGTTGACGTAGCCGTTGTGACCGATGAAGTTGGAGCGAAGCTTGAGCTTGGTAAGATCCCAGACCTTGACGAGCTTGTCCCAGCCACCAGAGACGATGACGGGGTTGGCAGGGTTGGGAGAGAAACGAACGCAGGAAACCCATTCGGTGTGACCGTTGTCGGTGAGATCGTACTTGCATTCGCCAAGAGTGTTCCACAACTTGATGCTCTTGTCACGGGAACCCGAGACGATCTGACGGTTGTCGGCAGAGAAGGAGACAGACAAAACGTCCGAGGTGTGACCAACGAAACGGCGGGTGGTGGTGCCAGTGTTCAAGTCCCAGAGACGGAGAGTGTGATCCCAGGAAGCAGACAAGGCGAACTGACCATCGGAAGAGATGGCAAGATCCTCAACAAAGTGGTTGTGGCCAAGAAGAGACTTGCGGGGGATACCATATTGGGTCTCATCTCTGCGCATTTCAAAATATGTAAGTCATCGATTTCACTCCACCGACCGTTTATTTGATACTCTTTTCAATACGTTACCTGGTAAGATGCCAGACGATGATGGACTTGTCTGTATCGATTCATAAACAAATAGGGGAAGGAGCAAAGAAGAATTCATTAGCTTTCTGTGTTCTATAGTGGTCGCATAGGACCGCAAATTTCCAAGGCGGAAAAGCTGTTACATACCGCGAGAAGCCGACAAGACCATATCGGGGGCTTCGGAAGTGGTGGCGATGGCAGTGACTTTTTTAAGGAGAAAAATATGGTTATGCTGACTGACGACAAAACACACAGAATCGACTGTACTACAGAGCGAAATGGCTGCTGTCAGATATGCTTACCCCAGTTGCCGTGGCCTAAAGTAAAGAGAAAAAAAAATCCACGATGAGTATCAATACGTTCATCCATTCATTCATCCATCCACAGAGAGAATGTCTCGATCGATGCAATTGATGTACCTTCGAGAATTCCGCGCAAGGTAAGAGTGTCCATGATTCGCGAGTTGGGAAAAAGAAGGATTCTACAAGAGGCCTTGCAAGATGCCTTTCAAAAGATGCCCTCCCCCAGCCCTCCCCGTCGGAGTCCGGTCCGAGCCCGGAATGGAGCACAAGCCACTCGGACCACTGGCCCACTAACCAATCACACGCAACGGCTCATCAAGGGCCGTAATTTCCACTAATTTCCACTCGGATTGAAGAATCAAGACGATTTAAAGCTTAATCTCTTTTTTTTTCTTCACTTGGAAAGGGTTTACCCAGACGACTTTTTGTTTGAAAATAATGCTGCGGTATTGTGTCTCGGCATGCAATCGTAGGAATGCTTTGCAACGCATATATCAATATCAACGACCCTTGCTTCTTTCCGCTTCTCGCCTTTCCACTTCTCGTCTTTATTCCGCTCCTTCCTCAGCCGAGAATGAGATTGCAGCCTTCCAAGATCTTCTCGGTGTCACTAACCCGGCTCCCGATTTAACCAAAACCTTTTATCAACGACAATTACCTTCCAACCTCATTCGATTCTCATCAGCTCAAGGCAAAGCCATGTTTCGTACAGCCATGGAAAAAGGCCATGCCGAAGGGTTTTTCCCTTTGACCGGTAACTTTACAACACAATCGGAACCGGCATACTGCGGACCCAGTTCTCGTAAGTCCTTTTTGGGGATCAGCAGGAAATTGATTATTTTGACTAATTCTTGGTGGATATGAAGTGGCCATGGTCCTTAACGCTTTGGAAGTCGATCCACAGCGCATTTGGAAAGGCAACTGGCGATGGTTTTCAGGCGAGTGTCTCATTAGCGAGGAGTGATTTATGCAGAAAGGAAATGATTCGTAGACTAACCTTTGAGATCCTTAGATGAGTTGCTGCAATGCTGCGCTTCCAAGGAAGACATGAAGAAGAATGGCATTACATTTGACAAGTTTGCTTGTTTGGCGAAATGTCATTGCAATGTGGAAGTGAAACGGTCGTCCGATATCACTTTTGAGGAATTCAAGCGAGACGTGGTGGATATTACGGCTCGATCCGATAAATTTATGGTGATTTCTTTTTCAAGAAAGACGTTGCAGCAGACGGGCGATGGTCACTTTTCACCGATCGGTGCCTATAACCCTGAGAATGACATGGTGCTTGTGCTCGATACAGCTCGCTACAAATACCCAAGCTACTGGTGCGATATCAAGACACTCTACGAGTCCATGAAACCGATTGACAAGGAAACAGGTCGTCCTCGTGGCTATTTCTTGCTCGGTTACGATACCGACAATCCGCCGATCAGTTTATGCAGGGTCCAACCACCATCACGACCATCACCAGAAACCGAGGTGAAGCAGGAAGCGGCAAGCGAGAAAATGACCAGTGAGACCAAACCGGTGGAACCGGCTCGACTAAATTGGTCCATGCTGGCGCAAAGTTTCTGCAAACGTATTCCGGAAAACATGTGGCTTGAGAAACCTAGAACGCTGGAGCATGTTGTGCAACTGGTTTTACGCAACGTGCCTTCAGAATACACGGCGATTCTGGCCAATCAATCGTTGGCGTCTTCCAAGAGAGGCGCATCGCCTGAAAAAGCGAGAGAGTACATTGGTCACATGCTTCAAGACATTACACATTCGCCGCTATACCCTATTGTACTGGATGCTCTCTATGCCGACAAGACCACGAAAGCGAAGCGAGGAGTGGACCATCATGCCGCGTTTGCAACTCTTTTCGTCCTGGGCTCGCCTCGCATGCTTTACACATCACTACCGCGAGACTTGCAGGATCAACTCGATGCGTATAGAAAGGACGAACAAATGACGGAAGTGGTGAAACGAGAAGTCCATCGTATTTCTGTCGAAGTCGGTGAACTCACCAAGACTTTCTGTACCTGTGGTCCAGGATGGATGCAACAAGCCAACGCCGACGGGATCGATCATGCTTCCACCAAAAACTGTCCATCCAATTAATCCTGCTAGACTTTTTACATGGCTTCCTATGAGTACTAAACTTACTTCTTCAGTGGTAATCAGTGAACATTTTTTCGCTTTACCCGCTCTTATTTATTTATCATTTATCGTTTCTATTTCCAAATTGCTGTTTGCTTCTCAATGGGCAAGCTGTGATGATTTCATTGTACACTAGAAAACCTACATTACATATACTTGCACTAAACTATCTTTTCATCCCATATCTCTTTTGTCCCTTTTCGCCTCCCCCTTGTTCAATTTTATTCGTTTTTTGAATAAAAAATTCGCCCATAAATCATCGAAAAATTCACTGATTTTCTTTTTTGGTTTCAATAACCGCCCATGCGTGCAAACGAATCATATTTTTTCGAAAATGCATTGGTCACCCTGAATCCCGCTTCTCGGCCTGCATCGGGTTCATTTTCCTTTGGGTCGATTTCCGCAGTTTCGTGCCTTTGTTGTCCCAAAAAATCGAAAAAAGATGTCTTGTGCCACTGAACATCCGGAAACCAAAAACTGTTGCAATGGACGATCGTCTGCCACTGGACCCTCAGAACCTATAAACTGTTGCAGTGGACAATTGGTTGAGAGGGAGAATCAGACGTTTAAGAATCTTCTTGGAGTCACTACCTCGGAACCCGATCTTTCCAAATCATTCTACCAACGACAGTTGCCTACGCATCTCGTTCGATTCGCGTCACCAGAAGGCAAAGCCCTGTTCCGAAAAGCCATGGATGTGGGGCATGCTGAAAACTTTTTCCCTCTCACCGGCAACTTTACCACTCAATCTGAACCTGCGTTTTGCGGTCCTAGTTCTCGTAAGCATCATTGATCCTAAGAGTAAAGTAATCAAGTCATATTAATGTTGTACTAGTGGCCATGGTACTCAATGCGCTGGAAGTGGATCCAAAGCGCATTTGGAAAGGCAACTGGCGATGGTTTTCAGGTAGGAAATTTAAATAGCAGTGTGAATACAATAAGAAATGAAGATGACTGACGAACTGGATCAATCCAGATGAGTTACTGGATTGCTGCGCTACAACCGAACAGATGAAAGAGAATGGCATTACGTTTGGCCAATTTGCTTGTTTGGCGGGATGCCATGCAAATGTTGTAGTGAAGCAAGCGCCCACTTTTACATTTGAAGAATTCAAGCAAGATGTAGCAGATGTTACGGCTCGATCTGATCAATTTATGGTGATTTCTTTTTCAAGAAAGACGTTGCAGCAGACGGGCGATGGTCACTTTTCACCGATCGGTGCCTATAACCCTGAGAATGACATGGTGCTTGTGCTCGATACAGCTCGCTACAAATACCCAAGCTACTGGTGCGATATCAAGACACTCTACGAGTCCATGAAACCGATTGACAAGGAAACAGGTCGTCCTCGAGGATATTTCTTGCTAAGCTACGACACTGAAAACCCGCCTATGCGTAAATGCAAAACTGGGTCAGAATCGTCATGCTCACTACAAATGGAGAAAGACAGGAGATCCGGTGATGGGGTGACTATCACTGGAACCGAATCTGTTCAGTTAAACTGGTCCACGGTCATCCAAAAGAACTGCAGACGCGTACCAGAAAACATCTGGCTGGAGAAACCAAAATCGCTAGAGTCTGCTGTGGAACAGATTTTGCATGACGTACCGTTGGAATTCAAGTCGACGTTGACGGATCAACTTTTGACTTGTGCAGATGGAGCTGCGTTGCCGAAATCGGCCAATCGATACATTGATCGTGTACTTCAAGAAACGACACAGTCACCGTTGTACTCGATGATACGGGATGTTCTGCACGGGCATGATACAGCGAAACCAGAAGGGCCTGATGTTCGGGCTGCTTTTGCTACTCTTTTCATCTTGGGTTCGCCTCGCATGCTGTTCGCGTCCCTACCGCGAGATGTGCTGGACCAATTGGAGGAATACAGAAAAAACGACTACATCACAGATATTGTGAAGCGACAAGTCCAGCAGATTTCGACTGCCGTCGACGAACTAACAAAGACTTTCTGCACGTGTGGCCCGGAATGGATGCAGCAACAGACCAACGCAGACTCTGCTTGCGCCAAAAATGGCCCATCGCAGTAACCTTATATATACTAATCTTTGACAGAGTTAAACTTGTTTAACACGTGAACGCTAGAAATAATCCTTTTTGTTTTTGTTCGCTTTTCCTCATATCCACTTCAATTGAGTGTGTATTTTATTTCACTGCACTCGCCGCCCCTGGCCGCTTTTTACTTTTTCGTACAAATCGTCCTGCTCTTTTTCCATTGACGGTGCTGTATGCAGATCAATGCATGCCGTCACTGAACGTTACAGTTGCATTAACTATGAAGACATTTTTAGTCGTATTATTTTTGTTTTTTCCCTCTTTGTTACCACTTTCAGCTCTATCCCTTTTCTCGTTTTCTCACCGCTGACCTATTCGTTCGGCGCCTATTGAAATTACCAACAAGGAATGAATCGATCGGTCACCATTGATTGGTGATTTGATAGGGTTTTCAATAACCGCATATGTTAATGACAAATCATATTGTCCGAAAATGGGTTAGTCACGTGAATAAACATCTCAGCGGGTCTTTTGTTTCTCCCAAGTTCTGATGATGATATTTATTTCTTTCCTTTTTCCCATTTTTCATCCCATTCTCCACATTCAGAAGCATGCCTTCTCCCCCTAAACCCTGGGAAACCAACAACGGAGGATCGGCCACATCAACGACGAGTCCCATCACTTCTCCTTCAGCAGCAGCCACCACCATGTCAAGTGAAGCACCTCCCATTCCCACTCGTTCCAATGCAACCACTACCGGCGCTTTGGGCACCATGAATCGTACTGGAGGTGATTATTGAATTCCCTTTTTTATTTATTTAATATAACTTCCGTTATTTTTTTTCAACATTAACCTAACGTTCCATTAGCTTACGGCACAACAGGTTATGGCAGTAGCTACGGTGGATATGGCACTGGCTACGGCAGCGGCTACGGCAGCTCATATGGCGGCTACGGAAGCGGTATCGGAAGCAGCTACGGCGGCTACGGAGGTTACAGTCGCCTCGGTGGCTATGGCGGCTATGGAAGTTACGGCCGTATGGGCATGGGCATGGGCTATGGCGGCGGTTATGGTCGCATGGGCATGTACGGCAATCAAATGGGCGGACCAGGTGAAGAGCCTGGCTTAACACAACGCATGGAGATGGGCACCCGAGCGACGTTTGAAGTCATTGAACAAATTGTCGGAGCATTTGGCGGATTTGCTCAAATGTTGGAGTCGACGTTTATGGCGACGCATTCGAGTTTCATGGCCATGGTGGGCGTAGCGGAACAATTAAGTTATTTGAAATCGTACTTGGGTCAAGTTTTCAGTATCTTTGCCCTCTTTCGGTTGGTGAAACGTCTCATTTACAAGTTATCGGGACGAACTCTACCCGGCAAACCTCAAGAGATGAATTTGATGGAGTTCCAAAGTTTTGAGCAAGCAACGGCTGGACCGAAGATGTCTCGTAAACCTTTAATGATCTTCTTACTTATGGTAGTCGGTCTACCTTACTTGATGCACAAGTTAATCAAACTGATTGCATCCAGTCAGCAAGTGCAACAACGACAACTACAACAGCAAGCACTCCAGAATCCTGCCATGGGATCCACAACGGCGGCTCAAATCGATCCATCAAAACTCGAATTTGCACGTGCGCTTTACGATTTCACCGCAGAATCGCCAATGGAATTAAGCCTTCAAAAGGGTGACATTGTCGCCATTTTGTCGAAGATGGATCCTGTCACCAACCAGCTCAGCCAATGGTGGCGCGGCCGATTGCGAGACGGCAAGATGGGTATGTTCCCAGCCACTTACGTAGAAATCGTTCAAAAAGGAGGTGGAACCGGCGAACCCAAAGCACTCCCTGCTGCCGACGGCGAATCACTTGTCAACTCGGACATTGTCGAGAAATCCATCGCAGCCGATATGACAGCCGCCACTCCCATTACCTCCTCTTAGAGCAAAACAAGAATCCACAACGAGATCTTAAAACGAAAATTCAACAATCGATCCGAAATACCAAAACAATTTGAGGATGCTCTCTTACAATCGTTCCTACCTTCTTTTTTATTGTACCTGTCATAACCATGGCTTTCCTTTTCTTTTCACCATTTTTCCCAGCGACCTTTTCTTTTATTCATGATTCCTTTTTTTTTTCTCCGTGATATTCTTCTTTTTTTTTTTCTTCGTTTCGATCCTAATTGATTCCCTGTAATATATCTATTTTTATTATTCTGTCTTGCCCATGCACAATACAGTTTAATTGGAAAATCTGGGTAACAACTTTACAAATCAAAAAATTTTTAAAGGAGACAAGGTAATGTTGTTTTAAGTAATCAAATAAGAGAGAAAACCAAAGGACAAAGACATACAAAACAAAAGGATGGATGCATTAGACAAGCCACATTTACTCTTCTTTTGTTTTACTTACAAAAAAACTGTTGTCACCGCATTGCGGGAGCCGCCACCGCACACCGCCAAGGCATGGGCTTTGTTCTTCAGTATTTGAAACTACTACACAGTAGAAGTATACACAACAAGTGAGTGATTCGGCATAACATTCAAAAAGTAAGGGCACTTAAGCACAAATACATTACCTTTCAAAAAAAAAGCTTCATTGTTGCCCACAAAAAAAAACACTTTTCGGTGCGCAACTACAATGTAATATAAAGGATTAGATTCCTGACAGTTGTGATCATCTTTGAGAGTACACGTACGAGATCGTCACGAGTAAAAAATAAAAAAAAGCGATAGAATACAGTATATTTTGCGAGGGAGAGCGAGCGTATGTGTATTCAATTAAATTGATTTGCAAAAGAAAAAGTAGATGTGCGATGGAGAAAAAAAAAAGATGGAAAATGCGTTGTCTTTTATAGACAAGAAAAGAGGCGGTATCGCCCGAAAAATTTCCTGTTAGATAAACACGTTCATCTTCTCTGTCCAATGATAAAGCTGGAAAATGAAGAGAAACATTGCATAATCCCATACTTCTCACAAATAAGAGAGCCCGGTATCATCGCATGAAATAGGTGTCAGGTACGCTTAAAGATCGATCGGGATGCCTCTATTCGAAGGTTCTTGTATTGGTTAGCCGGATACAGATGATACACATGTACGCTTCAGAATGAGACTTTTTCTTTGTAGCGAAGGGAGGGACATTAAACTGGCATTCACGAAAAGGTGGCATTTTTATTTTTTACATCTCTGATAATGGGGTCGTCAGTTCCTATTTTTGTTATGCAGAAGAAGAATGAGGAAAAATCACTTCAGAAAAATGCCCCGGCTCCTGCTTTCAACCCGCGATATGGTCATATGAAGGACCAATTTCACCGCTTGGTCTCATTAATGCAACATCCACGTTTCAGCAGCTTATCTCGAAAATTTCTCGGGTTCCAGAGAGATTGAAGACGACCACAAGAAGCATGTACAGCGTGTACGGTCACTGTACAATATCCTAATAACCATGCGAAGCCCGGTTGATGGCCAATTTAAGAAATACAAGTTTATTTGCCAGCGTGAATTGACTTTTTTGGAGTTCAACCTCTCGGCTGATGGTATCTTCCCATTGACGAAAAAACGTGAATCTGCAGGAAAGTCACAACATTATCGACATTTCGTCCAACTCCGATTACCGTCCTGATCCAAAGATGTAGCTGGTTTCCAACCTATCAAGGGAAAAAATGTGCTCAGCCCCGCCAAGCAACTGTCAAAAACCCAGCGCGCATACCCTAGCCAAGAACGTCAAACTCCAAGGAATCATCCATGCCTTGCGTGGATTCGCTGCCTAAATATTACTATACGCAAACCAAGCCAACGATTCGCCTCCGTCGATAGATCTCCGAGTGAAATTATTTCCATCCTGAGGTTGTATACAAATCTGGAAAAGAAGAACAACGTACCTGAACGCCTCCCCCGGCGCGACGGCTTAGATAGTGAAGCAGTCGAAGAATCGATGAAACACGCATCTCTGTAGGCAATGCACTTTCCTCATAACACCGATTAGTCCATTCTTTTACCGTATTGTCATCAGCGTAAGGCAGGTATGAAAAGATTACCATGACCAAGCAATACGCGGCACGACTCTTCCCTCAACCGGCTAGGTTACGGCTCAGCGAGAACAGCGGACAGAACATTCATTCCTTGACAATGGGCAGTGAATTTCATCATTTTTCATCATCCTAACGAAATCGGCAATTTTTTCTTTCTCGCAAAGTGACTATTATCTTTATTCAAATTTACAACGCAAATAATAGCAAGTCTTTCTTGGTAAGGTTGAAGCAACGCAACGCAATGTTAGTACATGATAGGGCGTCGCGGCCGAAAGAATTTTTACAATGCTGGTATGCTTCGCATTGGCGGTTGATGCAACAACTTGTCCCAGTATTGGTCACGGTTTTACCTCCTTTGACTTTTCGGGGATGCATAACGCGACAACGGCAAAACGGGCACACCATCGATGTACGGGCTTCGTTAGTGACAAGTACAATGCCTTGTTGGGCGGCAAATCGTCGATGCCAATTGCCACCGTATCTTAAATGGCCTGTCGTTCTGGTGCCGACCCCAGTGCCAGCATGTCCGATAGCCCTCACAAGGGTCTTGGGCTTGAATTGGCGGTTTTCGTTTGTGATTAAACGCCGTTGGACGTCTTTTTTTTTCCAAGCTCCTAAGCGCTGGTGACGGCGAACCCAGCGCTTGCCGTAAAACTCTTGAAGAACGGGGCGTTGGCTGCGGATTTGCGAATATCGCTCCATGAAGGTCAAGAAAGGCTTCGACGTTGGACTTTGATCTGTGATTTGTGTTGCGCGTTTTCGTGACATTTGAACTATAGAATCGGTCTTCCAAGCTAAACTTTGATGGATAAATGTCGTAAGAAGGACCTTTGAATCAGAGAAAAAAGTAAAAGTGGAAAAAGAAATATTATTGACACGGTGAGTAAAAAAGCCCTTCTCCAAATAGAAAGAAAGATCAGGTCAAGGTTGTCTCATTAGGTTTTCCAAAACAAGCTTTTAACACGCGACGCGGTCAGTACGAATTCCTGATTTTGCCGTTTGATCTCACCAATGCTTCAGTCACAATGTTTCAACAGCTTGTGAACGAGCTTTTTCTGAACGCTAAGGTGGCGACAATTGGAATTCCAGCAAGACCAGAGACGATCAGGAAGCATATACAAACGTGTACGGTCGCAAGTCGGAATTGGTGATCATGAATCCGGAAAGGGAGACAGCCCAGCATTTCATGGAACAAGCGTACGATAGGCCTTTACTTTGGGTCATAAAAGCTGCGGAACCTAAGGTGCATAGACTCCTGTCGAAAAGTCACCATACGAATTTTGATTTCCAAAAAAAAAAGGAAAATGCAGTGATATGCTTCGATGGATAGTATCCATATTAAAATGTCCTCAGAACAACTCCGAAATTCATAGGCGATATATTCAATAACCATAAACGAATTGATGGGTGGAATTCAAGCACTTTCAAACCAAAAAAAACATGGAGTGGCGTCTGAAAGATAGAACGTTCAAAATTTTTACTGAACCAGGTGCCTTTCTCGTTTTTGTACAATCTCTTCTGTTATTTTTTAACCATATCACCATGCATTGCATTTCCAGCTGCCTTGCTGCAAATTTTGTTTCCCAATGCATATCAGTAGCAACGAGGTATATGGTAACAATCTACATGCTTTTTTTTGTATAAGCTAGCGTATGTTGAAGTAGGACTCTTTTCTTGGCACACTAAAAAATTCCCAGACCCAAGCTTCTAAAGCGTTATACTTCAACAACCAGTAGCTCTATCCTTAAAAAAAAAGAAAAAAAATTGGAACCAAAGAACCAAGATGCTAAGCTTTTGCTTCATATAGAGGTAGACCAAAAACCTGCTTATCATTTTTGAGAAAAGTTGTTGTTTATACTGTGGCGAAATCGGCACAGTCGGAGCATATTCCGCCCATCAATAATGAAGCAGGAAAAAGACGCCATGTGTCTTTTCTCATCGTTTCACGTCATATTTATCCATTGATAAGAGAGTGTGGCCTCATCGCATGAAATAGCTGCATGAAGTAGGTCTCCGATAATGTTAGAGAGAGATCGATCAAGATGTCTTTATTCAAGTGTTCTTCTGTTGGCTGATCGGATACACAAGTGCACATAGCTTTGGTACAGACGTAATGCATGGCTCGTTAAACTATCTTTCAACTCGTATTATACACTTTGTTGAAAATAGAAGTCATCCTCATGAAGATGGCCTCTTCTTTTTGATGAAGGAAGTCGTCAGTTTCAGCGCAGTTTCCCACCAGGATTACGCAGGCCAAGGTAATATGACGAGAACCGCCACACTCCCCGTCAATAAAGGATCAAGTCATGATTTTTGCTTCCTTGGAATTTATTTGACTATCATTTCTTTATTTCCCGAGAAAAATGAACTGAAAGATGAAAAAGACATTAGGGAAGTCAACAAATTTATCGGGATTATTCTTTCATTTCGGCTGTATAGGATGAGGAAAATGTGCCATTGGTGGATCAAGGTCGGACAGTGTACGTCAATCAAAAACATTATCAAGCTTTCAACGCCACGTGATGAGGCATTTAGGTTTTTTTTACCGTCCGACTAATGGATCACCAGTGTTTTGGAAATATTTTTATTTGCAGATCAATACAACCTACTGTCCAATGACCGTGCTGGATGATCGTCTGCCACTTCGCCGCCACCTCCCCAACTTTGTAACATTTCAACCAAAAAAGGTCATGGCATGGCAAGTTCGTCAGCCAAAGATGCATACAAATCTGGTTTTTTTAGCATCACCGGCGGCATGCCCCATTCAAAATAAAGAAAAGAGCGTGATTTACGCTTCATCCCAAAAGAAAGTTTTTTTTTATTTTATTTTATTGTGGTTAGTGTAGCAGTGAAACCCGGGTTGCTGGATATGGCATGATCGCTGGTGGCATCCACGGCTTGGCTACACCGTTGTCAATAAATCCCATCATCAATGGCAAAAAAGACGCATCCAAAAGTGTTTGAAAAAACGCCGTCTTCATATAAATACGAAGCGTTTCTTTAGACATCCGCTTGATCCCTTCATCGTTGAGTCGTCGTTCCCTTTTTTTCATTTTCTTCGTCCATTTCCTCACGTGAATATCCCTGATATCAAATCATCGGCATGGATGAGAAAACTCAAGACAGGGACAAGATCCAGTTTGCCGAAGTCATCAAGCCGGAACGGACCAAGACGGTGATCTCTACGGCGGGTCACTCTTCGCGACGACCCTCGGTGAGCGCGCCAAGACGGTTCGAAAAGAAGAAGAGGGAGGAAAAAAACGTTGACATTGTAAGTCCCCCAGATGGAATCCCTTTAAAAAAAGATGATATAATAATGACTTTATGTGATCTCTTTAGACAGAGCATCTGTTAACCCCTGAGGCTTGTGCCGAAATGTATCATACTGATATTGACCTCAAAAAACCAGCCAACTCTTCTGGATTGACGGCCGAACAAGCGCACCACATCTTGCAACAAACGGGTCGCAATGTACTTTCGCCAACGAAAAAACACCATCCGTTTCTCAAGTACCTAGAATGCGTGGTCAAGCTATTCAATCTGTTGCTCATCCTGGCCGGCATTCTCGACTATATCCTGCTGGCGATTGATTTCAAGGCCAATTTTCAGAATGTAAGTTATCCAAAAAGATATTGCATCTTGATTTTTATGTGATAGAAGCAGCTGTTCAAGTGATTATATTAATAGACGTATCTGGGGGCCATTCTTATCGGAGTCGCGCTGCTCAATGCGTTCATCGAGTTTTACCAGGAGCAGAAAGCGCAAGCCATGTTGGATTCGTTTCTCAGCATGATTCCTGCAAAATGCATGGTTATTCGCGATGGTAAACTCCAGCAAATCGATGCCGCCACATTGGTGATTGGGGATGTTGCGTTTGTGCGCATGGGGGACAAAGTGCCGGCCGATCTCTTTCTGTTTGCTGCTTCGGAACTCAAAGTGGACAATTCCTCGTTGACCGGTGAATCGGATCCTCAAGAACGGCATCCCAACAATTCGCAGCGAAATCCGTTTGAAGCCGAAAATATTGTTTTCAACGGCACTTTGGCTGTCTCAGGCGAAGGCTATGGTATTGTTATTCGTACAGGTGACCGGACCGTGCTGGGCCAAATTGCCGGACTCACGGCCGGTGAGAATAAAATGGTGTCTCCTTTATCCATCGAGGTAAGTTGATTGGTCTTTCTCTCTGGACAATCTAAATGACTAAAGTTCTTGATGTGTTCATTGAAAATTTAGATTGATCAGTTTGTCAAGATTATTGCGACAATTGCTTTTGTTACCGCGGTGATCTTTTTCGGCATTGGGTTCCCTGTGAATCACAACAACATTTCGCTGACACTGAATTTTGCCATTTCGGTGTTTGTGGCCTGGGTGCCTGAAGGGTTGCCTGCGACGGTGACCATTCTGTTAACCATTGCTGCCAAACGGATGGTGCATCGCAACGTGCTTGTGAAGGAACTTCAAGGTGTGGAGACCCTGGGAGCTATCACCTTGCTTGCGACGGATAAAACAGGGACCCTGACCCGTAACCAAATGACTGTCACTTACATTTGGTCCTCCCTAAACCTGTACAACACGCTCGAGAAACATACTTTACCGGCTCCTGTCAAAGACCTACCTGGTGCTATGGAGATCATGCATATCGCTGCATTAAACTCCCGAGCCAAGTTTGACCGCACCGATGTCCCTGTGAAGCAACGTCAAGTGTTGGGCGATGCCACTGAAACCGGTCTTGTTCGTTTTGTGGCTGAGCATCTCGGTGGAGCGTTTGATCAATTGCCGGAACAATATCCCAAGGTTTTCGAGATTCCTTTCAATTCCGATAACAAGTGGGCCATGACCATCCATCAGAAACCACATGCCAATGGACCCTTGACGTTGTACGTCAAAGGGGCGCCTGAACGGGTTCTGGAGCTTTGCAGTACCATCATGATCCGAGGAGATGGCGCCGTGGAACCGGTGAACGAATCGTATCGTGCCGCTTTCCAGGAAACGTATTCGCATATGGCCAGTCAGGGTCACCGGGTGTTGGCCTTCGCCAGGTGTTTCCTGGACGGTGTGAAGTATCCTGCCGACTTTGTCTTTGACAAGGCCAAGAAGAACTATCCTGCGGGTGAATTCACATTTGTCGGTCTTGTCTCACTCGAAGATCCTCCCAAGCATGGTGTGCGTGAAGCCATTGGCCAATGTCGCAATGCCGGTATCAAGGTCATGATGGTCACTGGGGATCATCCACTGACGGCGGAAGCGATCGGACGGAAAATCAATCTCATGCTGGGCGAAACCCGTGATACAGTGGCGAAACAATTGGGATGTGACGTGGAACAAGTGGAGGATCATCAGTATTCGGCCGTGGTCGTGCACGGTGATTGCATCGATAAATTGACCGACGATGAGTGGGACGCTATCTTTGCCAAGGACGAAATTATATTTGCGCGAACCTCGCCCAAGCATAAACTGGAAATTGTCAAACGGGCGCAATCGATGGGTCACATTGTTGGAGTGACAGGGGATGGCGTCAATGACGCTCCAGCGTTGAAGAAGGCCGATCTCGGAATTGCCATGAACCTGTCTGGGTCCGATGTGAGCAAAGAAGCGGCGGCCATGATTCTTTTGGATGACAACTTTGCCTCGATCGTTCACGGTATTGAAGAAGAACGCTTGATCTTTATCAATTTGAAAAAGTCCATCATGTACACCATCACTCACTCCATGCCCGAAGTCATTCCGAATCTACTGTATATCATTGTGCCACTTCGTAAGTGCAATCTATTTTCCGGCCGAATGACCCTTCCTTGACTAATTTTTGCTTCTTGTTTGTTTTGTCCCTAGCATTGCCTTTGTCTGCTATTCTTATTCTTGTGATCGATTTGGGCTTTGAACTGTTTGCTGCATTGTCGTTTGCTTGGGATAAACCTGAATCCCCCGACGGTCTGATGAAGGTGCAACCTCGCAAGCCGGTGAATCCGAGTTCCATCGATCGCTACCGTCGACTCGTTTTTCGGAAGCAAGGGTACATACAATTTGACCTGAATGGAGACCCAATTCGACCTTCCTGGTTCCGTCGTATCCGAAATCGTGTGCATGAGCTGACGACGCGTGAATTTTGGGCGGAGAAATTTGAAAAGACGGAAGATGAGTTGCTGGTCGATCGACCTCTGTTGTCTTGGGCCTACTTGGAAATTGGCATTCTTGAAGCGATCGGCGCCATGACCACCTATTTTGTTGTGTTATGGTACAACGGAATCACTCCTTACGATGCGGTGGCTCTTCAGCGAGGTTCTTCCAGTCCCACTTACTACTTTTCCAACGGTCCCATCTACGCTCAACCTTACACAACGGTGAACAACAAGGTGCTGGATGCGGCGGCTCAGCATCGCGGTTTGGCGCAAGCTCAATCCATGGTTTATTGGAGTATTATGATGATGCAGATGTTCAATATGTTCGCATGCAAGACACAATTGACGATGCCGCTGGGACGATACATGTTCAGCAACAAAATGACGTTTGCCGGGATTTTCGGCGGCGCCGGTTTGGCCGCATTGATTGTCTACTGTCCACCTTTCAATATTCCCTTTGGTACCGAATATCATACGTTGCCTTTGTGGTGGTTGTTGCCGTTGGGATTTGGGTTCGTGATTATTGCCTATGCTTGCATCCGTGTGAAAATCATCCGTCGTTGGAAACCGATGGCGTGGAACCCAATGATTCCCGGTCTCAAAATGTATCCTACCATGCGTACCATGGCAACCGTCTCTCACCAGACAAACAATACAGTCTGAACGATCCTATTTGAAGCTTATTCATTACCTAGTTTTTTTATCTTATGTAAATTACTTGTGCATTTATATCGGGATTTCGTATAGTATGAACTTGATCGTTCGTTCCATTCGTAAACAGATTTTTTTTCCAAATATTTTTTGATCTCTCATGTGTAACCGTCGCCTTGGCATTTAAAATTATCTCCTTTTTTTCCATGACAGCACCGTTGTGTTTTCATCCCCCTTTCTTTTTTCTTACTCTCTTTATATATACATGGTGAGCATGTTGTCAAACCGTATTTCGCATATGGATTATGTCTTTTTTGTTGGTTCCATACGGGGTTATGGGGCGATTTTTGCCACGACCAGTGGCTCAAAAGTTAAGGCAATTGACGTTTTGGATCTGCATTGGATGATGAATGCTGCCGAACGCGCGAGATCACTTACCAGTTCATGTCACAGATTTTATTTTTTACTAAACGAGTAAAAAAAAAAAGGAAAAAAAATAGATGATGCCACAAGAAAACGATCGGCAGCCTATGCATTTGTCTGTTTTCAAGTTTTAATAGATGAAACCGATCAGGTGCGTGCAAGTCCAGCTCGGGGCGTTGGAATGGATTTCAAAACAAAAGAACCCTAGATTACCGGCGCCTCTCTTACTTGTTTTCTTTCGAACAAAAAAAAAGTATCAGGTACACGCATACGGGCGGTGATATTCCTCGTTGTATCACCTGGATTTTTTTAGAGCCAAAAGAATGGATGTCCATCATTTGTTCAACCACCAAAAAGGAGGCTGCATAGAAACGCTTGTACTTACTTTGTTACTTATTTATTTTTTTCTCTTTCCATTTTACCCCTCATTTCCCCCTAAGATCCCTATCTTTGAGTGGCCGTCTGAGAATAGCAACAATAAAAACAGAGAATAAAAAAACTTCTGTAACCGAAGCGGTTGAATTATCTTTGGGGGATTTGCACTTTGCCTTTTTTTTCTTTTTTTTTGCATTCTTTTTGCCTTGGAACGTTTTCTTTCTTTTCTTTTTTTTTGCCTTTCGTTGTTTCTCTCCTTTATCTCTATTCCAGTTTTCTATTCCGCATTATTTTGCCATCGCCATCGTCATCTTTATCATCTGATTTTTTGATTCGACTCACCGCTCCGTCCGCTTTTCACCTCGCATTGACGATACTTACTTGCTTTATCAGCATAGCGCTCGTCTCCATGGCAACTTCCTATGCATCTTTATCACGGTTGGCTCGATCAAAAAGCGGGGCTGATATACTGGTGGATAAGATGCGACTGGAGCAAGTTCAACAGGATGAGCGCCAGGCCGTTCATTTTCTCAATAATTACCTAAATCTGTCATTGAAAGATGGACAACTGCATAAAGCCTTGAACGATGGAGTCATACTATGCAAGTAAGTGGAGAGGAGCATAGGAGACAAAAAAATTTAAGAGGGAAAAAGGACAAGGGAAAAAGGAGGCAATAAGAGCTTTTTGATGGGTACGTCAGTCGGCATCTGTCATTGTACTGTCAAACACATACGAAGTCAAGCTTGAGTTACCACATGTGTATCTGATTCGCCTTTTTCTCTTTCTATCTCTCTCCGTTTTCGTTCTCAATATGATAGTCTCGTTAACAAGATCAAGCCGGGCACCATCAAGCATGTCGGACAAAAGGATCTTTCATTTATTAAGGTCCGTTTTATACTGTCCTAATTGGGAAACATGATCAGGAACTGATAATGGCAATAGATGGATAATATTACACGATTCTTGCAAGGAGCTCGCCAGGTAAGCCCTCGGTCCTCCCCCAAAAAAGTAAAACTGCATCCCGCGTAGGTACTATTGAATAACAGATTACAATTTACTTGTAGCTCGGAGTCAGCGATACTCAACTATTTGAAACCATCGATTTATTCGAAGGCAAAGATATGGTGGCTGTATGTAACTACCTGTGAAAACAAAGCAATCAATTTTCATCTAAATAATGGTCTCTTAGGTGATTCACACGATTTTATCGCTAGCCCAAATCTGCGTGAAGCAGAATTTGATGGATTCAGATACATTGATACAGTCAGAGACAAATGAGCGCAAAACTGACGATGAAAAGGAGGGAAATGGGAACAACGATTCGGAATCCAAAAGGGGGATACTGCAGCCTTCCGAGGTGGATGAAGACAAGGAGACAAATACCGTGACAAATGAGAATGAAATTTCACTACATAATGGCAATGAAGACGGTACTTCCCATGACGAAGATTCCACCCATTTCTCCGAACCAATTCCGCCTTCACTTGATGTGGACCCAGAAACATCCACATCCTACGGTGAAGAGGACGAAGGCTCGGACGGTTATCGACAAGGTAAGTCGGAAGGTTGTGACAAGGAAAAAAAACCGTTCTTGTAACTGAAAAGGCATGGCTTAGAAACGACGACGCCGTACCGTGATGTGCGAGATATCTTTGTCGGCATTGATACGAATTTTTCACCGACGCCATCCATCTCCACGCTTCATCGAGATAGCAGCCGAATGAGCACATTTTCACCGCTTCAACGACCTCCGAAATCCCCATTACGTACTTGCTCAAAAACCAATAGCTTCTATCATACCTCTTCCTCCCTCAAGTCTCGACGTAGCCATCTTGATGATGTGCGACAAAAGCGACTTTCATCGCCTTCCGTTACGACGGGCAAAAAGTCGGGATATCCATGTTCCGGGGCTACCATGTCTCGATCCAATTCTTCATCATCCTGTTCGTCGGTTCTATCCTCTGCATCTTCCTCTTCCAGCCCTCAAACCCCTCGCACGCCCACGTCACTCTCCAGTAAAACCGGCTTGAAAATGGATCCTGCCCAAGTAGTGCGACAATCTTCGACGCACAGTCATCATTCCCGTCGGGCCGAACGTCGACGACAAAGCGTGACTTTTCCTCCGCAAAAGAAACATGGTCATGAACATGGCGATCCATTACCTGCAAGTGGCAGTGCCAGTGTAGGACGCAAGCTCGAACGCCATCTTGCAGAGGCCATACAGCAAGACGATAAATCCCGTGAAAGGTTACTGCTGCGAAGCAAAGATGGCTCCAACAGCGCCCAATATGTAAGTCATCTATTTCTTGTGTTGGTACTCATCGATCCAGTACACTTACACCTTTATTATTCCGTTTTGGGTATATTAGCAACTTGGTAACTGTATAGGAAAAGGCCAATTCGGTTCAGTTTACAGGTAAACCTCATGCTCCATTCCGATCGTTCGTGTAGCAACTTTTCTCCCACTGACAAGCTTTTAATTCGTTATGCACCAATATGAAACAACAGGGCCCTGGATTTAGCCACGGGCGAGATCGTCGCGGTTAAACGAGTCAAACTCGAAGATGGTGAATTGGATAAGGAGATAATGGTAAGTCCGAATGCCTGTTTTCAGAGCCATTTGAGTGGTTCTTTTTCTTTGATCTTTGGCTTACGATCGGCTCTCCAGAAAGAGGTCAGCCTGCTTAAAAATCTGTCCCACCAAAATGTTATCCAGTATCTCGGATTTATACGCAGTAAACATCACATGAATATCGTATTAGAGTATGTCATGTCACAGTGTTTTGCTTTCCACACGATGCACCTGACCCCTCTCTCAAATAGATACGCCGAGAATGGTTCTCTCATGTCGACATTGAAAGCTTTTGGCGCTTTTCCCGAGAAGCTCGTGGCTTCCTTTGCCATCAAGATCCTGAGCGGTCTTGAATACTTGCATGTCAACCAAGTATGTTTAGAAAAATTGACATGATATTGTTTTAGGGCCTGGGTTTAGTAATCAATGGAATTGTGGCCTTTCTACAGGTGGTTCATTGTGATTTGAAAGCGGCCAATATCTTGACGACCAAGACGGGGGATGTAAAATTAACCGATTTTGGTGTATCATTGAATCTTAAAATTAAGGGTGCGGATGCGGGAACGGTTTCTGGCACACCGAATTGGAGTAAGTGATTCGTTTGCAGACCAGTTGGGACTTGAGAGTTTGCATAAGATGGACTTACCAAAATCAAATTTTTCTCTATTTAGTGGCTCCGGAAGTAATCGAACTAAATGGCGCATCACCCAAGTCGGATATTTGGTAAATAATGAATATTGCCAGGGTTCCCTTTCCATCGTGAGTTTAGCTTGGACTAACAGACGGGATTTATTTTTTTTACTGCTGCAGGTCCCTTGGATGTACATTGGTTGAATTAGCGACGGGCAAACCGCCTTACGGGGATCTTATTGCCATGTCGGCCATGTTCCGTATTGTCGAAGACGATTACCCGCCCTTGCCTAATAATGTTTCTGCAGAAATGCACAGTTTCCTCCTTTGCTGCTTCCAAAAGAATCCGGATGAAAGACCGAGTGCTTCCCAGCTCAAGAAGCATATCTGGATTCAGAAAAATCAGCAAGCGAAAAAGGTCGATTCCTATTCACGAAATTTATCCAACCACCTCCATTCTGCATCCTCTTCTCATGTTCACTTGCCCATGTCCAGTACCCAATTTTTATCATCAGCTACTTCTCCATCTTCCTCCCATCACCGTCATCATAAACGACATTCCTCAACCGAATACGATCGTCAATCCGTTCCTTACCCTTCCATGCATCGTCGCAGCTACGTTTTACCCGAGGAAAATGTCTCTTTCCACCGACCTATCAGCGGCCTCGCCGAAGAAGAAGACTATATCACCCATCGATTTATTCACACTTCATTCGGGAAAAGTAAGCATACCTTCGTCTAATTTTTTTTTATTCTCACATTTTCCGCGGCCACGATGATGACACTAATTTCATTTTTTTTCTTTTAAAAAAAAGCGGTGGAATGCAAGGTGTGCGGTGAATTGACGAAATTGGAAATCATTTTCTGCGAAGGTAAAAATTTCATGCATGAAATGTTCCATCGTGAACCTTCCTTCCCGGTTTCCTAATTTATATGATTTATCGTCCTAGTGTGTGCGCTCATCTGTCATGAAGAATGCAAGAAAGCGGCCTTTTCATGTCCTCCCAAAGTCAACGACCAACAACCTTCGTATGATGTAAGTCACAGCTCTATCTATTCATTCCTCCATCCTACGTCTACCGTTCGAAATTGACCGTCATCCTTTTTCAGTGGGTATTCTCCGCCAAGATATATAATCGAAGCCAGAACCGTAAAGGCACCCAGGAAAACTTTTTGCGCACTTGTGAGATCCCCACCAACCGTACCAGTCATATCATGATGCCATCCGAGAGTCAAGTGGAAGACATCCGAAAATACTCCCAAGCGCTGGGTTTAACTCCTCAGGAGGAGCTTGCATTAAGTCAAAACCCGGCATTGTTATCCCATACCTTGGCTTTGCAACAATCCATGAAAGCACAAAGAACAAGCGCGCAGTACCGCGGCTGATAATTTTCCCTATCGAATCGCCCGGCGTAATATTTTTGATATGTAATGTGTATTTATATGTGGCAAGCATAACTAGCTTGGGGTTGCCCCCACCGTTAATTCACCCAACGTGGGTGGGACCATCGACGTATCGGGCCTGATAGATGCGATGGTGTTACTTGTATCATTTAAATAAAATGATTTTTGGTCGGTGCTTGTCGAATGCGCAAAGTGGCATTGACTTGCGAAAGCAGTCTGACCGCACCTGCCAAACCAATGGAAGAAAGCAGCTTGCTGATCGCGATTCCGTGCTGCGTAACCTCTGCGCACGGCAGGACAATTTGAGATTGATGCATCGGACTGCACCAAGGACTTGCTTTTTTTAACCGTTCTTTTATTTTTTGGTTGCGTGTGTACGTTTTCGTTTTTCGTTTATCGTTTCTGTTTCGAAGCGTAGACTTTCTGAGTTTTTCCTGATATCGTTTTTTCGCGAACGGGACCCAAGTCGAGTAGCAATAACGTGCGAACTACCCGATCCAAGATTTTCCCCAGTATTGAGCGGGACCAGAGAGTTTTGACCTTAACCGAATATTCCCTCTTTGCAGCATTGATGGTTTGAGACCAGGAAATCATATCCGCTGTTTCAGGCTTATTTCGGGAAACCCTGCACAAACTATCAGACCAGAGAGGAGGAAACCCACTTGATTCTCTTCGTTTTAGCGGAACTTATAAATCGGGAATAGTAAAAATTGCAAATGCTGCCGCGATAGGAGCATCATACGCATCAAGCTGACTGTTGCTGCTGTCACCCTTCACCCTCGCGTGCAGTTTATCGTGTAATCCACCAGCGATTGGCGGAATTGACATTGCTTTGAACTTCCCAAAAATTTCGCTACGCGGGAGAAAAGATGATGAAATTAAATAAAGCGGGTGTCTGGATGTCGCCATTTGGCGATTTGCAGTAATTTAAGCAAGTGATCATCGACTGCAGCAACGGCACAAATCGGTTGACTTTGGTAAGCGGATCTTGCAGAATGAGAAGGGTGGCGTTTTGCAAATAGGGCGCCACAGCATGCCGAGGTCCAAGTTAAATGTCGGAATCATAGATGTCCATTTGAGCTAACACGGGGGTATGGCTATTGGTTGGTGGAAGTAGACCGCCGATCTTGTGATAAATGTCTCCTTGGATACGGTAGCAGTAAGCTTCAAAGCGATTGTTGGCCACGGATTCATCTATTTGGGCGCCTGCCGAAGTAAAGCTCAAATTCCTATTATAGGCGCGGATCTGCTCACGAAAATCTCGTCCTTCTCCAGCGTTGTTGCCAAGGAGGCGGGCAATAAGCGGATGCGTAAGCTCTTAAGGCGGAAGGACCACGGACCCTTGGGAGCAGCAAAACTGGAACTGCGAATTGGAAACCGGTCCAGATGAGCTTTCTTTGGCCCACATGTGTGCCTGACAGAAATTGCACATAACATCCATGCGTCCCAAGTAATTCACTGAGGAGTTCGGTGTCATCAGCGGATGCAGGTAATCTACGAAAGCGTTCCACAGTATCATTGCCGTTTTTCCTCCCTTATAGACAGTCTCTCGGATTCAATGGGCAAGCTGGATGGCTACTTCGCTGATGCCCCCATTTGCTGGCACGTAGAGCAACGGACTTCTACCGATCCTTGGACCGTGGCAACACTGGGTTGTTGGGCGCGTTTGGGGTTGTTGGGACAGTTTCTAGACGTGGAGCAAGCGTGTCCTGGCAGACTGCAAGAAGCGCAAGAAACGTTGGGGAATGACATAAGGTGTTTTCAATGAAAGAACTGAAAGGTTGGGGGAAATAAAAGAGTTAGGAAATGGATCAATCTAGCCCGAGTAATGCGTAGAGACAAATGTCATAAAAGAGATCAATAAGTTTAGCCTTGAATGGCCCACCTTTTTATTCTTTTCTTTTTTCCTTCATCTCAATGAAAATATCGAGTTAATTCTAAATTGTAAACAGAAAGAAAACTCATCAAAGCGAGAGAAAAAAAAACCATCGTATATTGCCGTTCTTGTATGCAGTGAAATTGAACACATTGTATAAGAAGGGGCTACCTGAAATTACATTATGGCCGGCCGGATGGGCATTGACTTTTTCTTCCTTTTTTTGTCGTTTTTGTTTGGCTTTTATTTTTTGGCCTTCTTTGCCTAAATAGAACCAAGACAAGGAAGATGTGAAGTAAGTATCTCCCATTTTCCATCCGACGCGCTGTAAAAATCACTTACATCTGGAGTCATGCCAAAACGTTCAGCTCTCTTTCGTTTCTTTTCTTCTTCAGCTGCATCCAATGTTGGTGACGATTTAGCTTCTTTATTGCCCTTGGCGGGAATACCAAATCGTTCTGCTCGTTTTTTCAACACTTCCGGATCCAGGCCTTTGTTTGCACCTTTAGCGGGGGCAGTCGACTTGGTTGGCAATCCAAATCGTTGTGCTCGTAATTCTGCCTTTGCCTTGTCACTTAATTCAACGCCAAATCGCTTTGCACGTTCCAAACGTTTCTCCACTTCTGTTTTGCCGCTCGGACTGGATGGCTGTGGACTGGTCATCTTGACGGGGGATGCGGACTCTTTCTTTGCTGGAGCGTCAAATGTGATTGGAGTGAACTTGAAATTTGAGCCTTCTTTTGTTACCGGATTAGACTCGTCACTTTGTTTCTTTTCGGGCGTCTCGCCATTGGTGGCCGCAGCTTTCGCTGTCGGCGATGCTGCTGCTGCTGCTGCTGCTGGCTTTTCGCTGGTGAGTGTTGTAGTAGTTTCTGTTGTCGGTGTGGAATTGGCAGGTTCTTCCTTGGGTTGCGCAGCAGTTTTATTCGATTGACTCGACGTTGTTGTCGGCTTTACTTCATTTGTCAATGATCGGAACTCGGGATCATCCTGGGTGAATTCACTGACGAAAAAACACGATTAACGAACCCATTCGAAAAGCACTGCACCATTTTCTACCGTGGATTCCTTACTCAAGATTCAGTTTGGACGGATCAAAGTCTTCTAGATTGCCAAACTCTTCTTCAAGTGATTCCAACTCAAAAGCTTTACGTTGATCGTGCTTCACAAGACGTTCAATCAATTCCTCCTTCTTGCCCGTGTGAGGAATACCGTTATTCTGCAAAAGCTCTAATATAAAGTTGAGCAAAACAAATAAAAAAATCAGGTAGCATTTTTTATGTTACCTTGCAGCTCTTTCACTTTGAAATTCTTGTATTTCTCCGCCATGGACCACGATTACGATGAATAGTAAAACGCGTTGCATCCAAAGTGACAAAAGAAATAAGCACTTGTTTATCCACAAAACTCCGCCCGAAAACTGAAATTTTACGTCATCATCCAATCGTACTCCAATTGAGGCGCGACCCAACCAGAAAATCTTCGAGGTTCAATACTTTGAAAAATTCGCAAAGTCACAGAGTTTATTCAGAGAAGCATCATAACGCACTTTATTTGAGCAAGCTGCCGCTCCTATTGGAGTCTGGTATCTTCCACGATTCGGCAAACGCCTTCAAGCCTAAAAGTGCTGCTGGAAGTCTTGTTTCTTGGAAACATCCGAACCTCAATCGCCAGAGTCGGGAGGGAGGCTCTTATTCAGCTAAAAATTGCGCTTCACGCACCAGACAACCTGTAACAGGACCAACGCTACTTGCTGATATACTACCGATACTTGCTGTGAGCTCTAAAGACGAGAGAATGTTCGGGTGCTCAGTGACAAGAAACATATGCTTATAAATGGATGACTGTGCTCTTCAAAAAGGGACAAGTGCATCCCAACAACCCGCTTTCTTTCCAAGATGAGGTTAAATATAGCATCTTTACTGAACGAGCGTAATTTTTATCTGCTTACATTTGATAGTTAGCAACTCTTTCTTGGCAGCTCTATCTTAAAATACTGTAATTCAGTCATCTTGTTGGTTATTTTGCTCGGCATCGATCTGAATCGCTTTCACTATCTATCTATATTGTAGAGGATAAGTTGTGGTCCGTACGAAATTGATACGTGGGAGTACTTTGCTGAGAAGGCGGAAATTGACAAGCTCTGCATTGGTAGTTGGTGGTGGATAGTTACGAGCTTTACCGGCATCCGTATCGGAAGCACGCAATCGGCGTGGGAAAAATTGGTTCCTCGAATATATGATCACTTTTGCAAGTCTTACCAACTTCTTAGCACTAGATAATTCAGACAACAAAACTTCTGATTCGCTTGTAGTATTGAGACGAACAGGACTATGTTAAGTTTGCAAGTGCCGGAGCTTGGTAGTTTTTTATTTCAATTATATTTGACCATTACCATACGTATGTTAGTCCCCTGTCGCTCCAGCAAGAAACAAGTTCAATTTCCTGCCACGTCAGCCCAATATGATGAATTATACCCGCGGCATATACCATTTAATAAAGGAAGAAACCATCAATTCCACAGCAAATATTGGTATTAGGTCCTGGCATGCATTGAATAAATAGTTATTACGAGGTTACTTGCCCAATTAACGATATCGGCATTGACAGGGCCTCGATCAGTTGGCATTGCTGTACAGTATAGCAACAATCAACGAAAATTTGCATGTCAAAAGCACAACGGAGACAACACGTATTCCCGGTGTCATGCTGTCCATGAAGTACGATGATTCCGCATATGTAAAGAAAGTCAATCTAGCTGACTCGCCTACTAGGGTGGGAAGTATATCGCTTAACTAATTGCGCAGATGTGGGTTAAAAAAGAGGAACCCTCCGACATGTAAGTTCTGTAGAATGAGCTTGGAGAAGCAACGTTGTCAGTTCTTAGCTTCGAGGGTTTCAGGTCATCTAGAAGCGCTCTCAAAAAAATCCACACAAGGTGAATTTTATTTTCCAGAAGGCTATATATTTTTGTCATCTTATTGATAATAGGTTACACGCATTGAACTGCAGGTACAGGCACAGAAAAACGCGCAAGATAGCAGACGATGGTACTAAATACGATGGCGGATACTCTTTTGGATGATCCTGCAGAAGTTCGCTCGGTAAGTGAAGTATAAATGATGGCTTCATATGATATTAACAAGCCGTACACCCGCTGTGCGATGGATGCCACCTGCTACTGGACGTCGCCCCTTACATTGAGCGACATTCAGCAGACAAAAACCTAACGCAATACAGCATAACCTGGGCGAGCTTTATGATGGAACTTTGGTATAATAATGTCAATACTCTGGCATACCGTACAGTCATGATTTTCAAACATGTGTGCAGCAGCACTTATTGACCCCCTCAGTCCCGTCCCGCCCAAGGTTACGATAGACCTAGAATGATGTGTGGGAATGTTGGGTATTAAAAAAAATGAGTTAGTACGCTCTTCGACTGATTCAAATGTCGTCAAGATATTTACCTCTGTTATTCGATGCAGCAGATATCGAGAACTTCCCGACCGGAAAAAAAAACGATACAAATATAAAAAAAAAGTAAAACAATAGGTGCGTTTGTAAAACCCTCCTAAAAACCCTGTGGGAAAAAAAAAGGAGGAAAAGACTGCAAGAAAACTATAACTAAAATACAAATATACATACTACAAACTACAAACTGCAAAAATAAAATGGTCGGGAGGAAGATCAAAGACGACACCATGGGAAGTAATCCAAGTGAAGCCAAGCTGAGGAGGACGCGTAAGCGTTACCGATGAAAAAGAGACTCACAACACGGACAATGCCCTTTGACGACAGAAACCGGATTGGCCACATTTGAGCGCGAGCAAAGTAGAAAGATTTGGAGGGATGGATGGCTTGCCAGGGCGAAAAGAAAACCGGAGAGAAAACCAAAAGCTAAAGAAAGGATAGAGAAAAAAGAACAGATAAGTTTTTTTCTTGTTGAAGAAATAAAAAACCATTTGATAGTAAATTAATACGTGTTGTTTTACCATAGCCATCTGGAATATAGGAAATGTAAACGTCAAAAAGCACGGGTCAGTGAACGGCGTAATAGGCAGGTAATTGTGCGGATCTCCGCTCTCCGAGAGGCAACGCTCCAGTTCTCTAGAAAGGTGTGTCGGACTATCAGCGACTTGCAGCTGATGTTGACGAATAAGGATCAGCGCTTTCGGGAAAATACTCGCTCAAAATATTCCGTGATCTGTGTGGATGAATATCGGACAGCAAAATGCGTTGCCAGGGTGATGCCACCACAATACTGTCTTTTTATTATCATTTCACCAGAAAAGAATACTTCCTTTTGAAGGGCCACAATCAAAGAGCCAAAGCAAAGCTGTTAAGATGAAGACGAAAGTGTTCTGCAACATATTTGACTGCACAGAGAGAAGACCTGCATGTAAAGATGATGTGGCAGCGTTTATATAGAAGCAACCTGAAGTTAAACTTAGGTCGTTGGTACAACAGCATCATTTATCCGGTTCGACTATGTCCAAAGTGCAAGTCGGAGAATGATCCTCCGAATTTGATTTTTGGGAACAGGGATGTCAACGCTGGGCTAAACACGCGAAGGATTCTGCAGCCTATACCAATCAGGTGTGCCAATCAAACCGTTTCCAGGCTGATTTCTCTCCAAAGACCAACCAAGCACAAATGTGCTTGCTGATGAAAGCGTCACCGACTATAGTAACCCCTTCGTTGACTCCAATTTTTACACAATGAGTAAAAAAGAAAATGCATCCAATCAGTTAACAGTGAAGGATATGCGTCCTTGAATAAGCATCCATCATTTATTCTGATGAGCGCTGTACGGTAACTAAATTCTGTATTTTTTTTTATCAAAGTAAAGAAAGTGCCTGCGAAGGCAGACGAAATTGTGGAATACGTTTGAATGAAGAAAACTTAGGGCAATTGAACTAGCTCTGACAAATCATGATATCACGCCGCTTCAAGGAGACATGATTCAGAAGCGACCCCGCGTTAGAATTTTCTATTATCATCCACGGTGACCAAAACAAAAATCATGGGGTTTTGCACTATTTGAAAACGCTCGTTTCATGTTTGTTGAATCGTCGCGATTAGTACAGCAAACGCAGCCGCCACTAAATTTGCGCTCATAGGTCATAGCTAATTCTCTCGACGAGGTTTTCCATCGTACGCACAACACCATTTGTCTCATAAGCATACTCGACGTATATTCAACTGCATGCCTGATACTGGTCTACGCATTAACAGCACTTGGGTCCGTTTTCGACCGTCAAAGGCATGATACCAGAGCATATAGTCAACTATACTTTTCCCGATACAGCCCAAGTCGCGTTAAGATTCCCGTCTAGATATGACTATCATTCTGAATAAAGTTACCATATGAGTCTGCAAATTGCCATGGCAGGCGTGCGCATTTCGAGTCTGTGCCACCTGTCGCCAAGCGACAATTCAAAAATATAATCGTGTCTACGTCTGGCTTCTAGTAATAGCTTACAAGGCCTCTGTTTATTTCTCAAAAAAAAAATCAAAGTAAGATTGGATGGCTCATCGATCGAAACGTTCATGTCTCAAAGTGTCATTCTCTAATGTCGACCGAACTTGCGTCATTAGTACAGGCATTCCGAAAGGAATGTTCCTATTTGTCGTCATAAAATATGGTTCAATCTGCACTTAACTTGTACACAGCAGAGCCAAGGGCGAACAAAAAAATTCATACTTGCAAAAATAACGCGATTTCGTGTGTTCAATAAGCATAAGACCGCCGCGGTGATCGACGAGCTTATGGCAGTAATTTCTAACCCAGGCATACCAAAAGACGCCATTCGTCTTCCAAAAAAAAATTAAGCATTTTGGCCAATGAGGGTACGACGATGCGGACCCCAGTTCCTGGATTCTCGATACGATTCATGACGCGCGATGGAAAGATCCTTGGAACGTACAACGGCTGAGAGCAAAAATACCGACGATGCCGAATATGGAAATATTCCGTAAATATGCTAACGGTTTTGGGGTTTGTCGCACAAAGTGATCAGCGCAACGTCATGATGACCGACAATGGCTTCATTGTATTCCATGATATTCATGGCTTCATATTGACGTATGTGGATTCAAATAATATAAAAGACGTGAATAAACTTAGATTAAACGAATAATTATCGACAAATGGCTGCTACTCCCTCTAACAACAACACAATGAATAACACTGCTATGAACAACTACTCTGGTCCTCAGATCTCCTCTGGCTTGGAAGCCGAACACGACAACAACAACTTCTTGCAAAAGAACACTGGTGACCGTACCAACGCTGGCCACAATATGTCCAACCCCACCTCTGGTCATCACGACAAGAGCAACATCACTGGCCCCACTGGCACTGCCCATCCTACTACTGAAGCTAATTCTTCCTTTGGTCTTGGTGCCGATCGTCACGGTGATGGTCCGGCTGTCAATCAACACACCGCTTCTACCCATCAGCCCGCCACTGGTGGTTCCCACCATCAGTCTTATGGACTTCCTGGATCTCAACAAAACACTGGAAGCGGTAACGTTCAGAACCAACATCCCATCACTCCTCATGCCAACGCCACTGGTGGCGAAAGAACCATGGACCCTGTCTCTACCGGCACAACTGGCATTAGCGGTTCTCGCGATCCTATGTCTTTAAACAACGATTCCCATCACAATCGTGATCCTATTTCTACTGGTGCCTCTGGTACCCGCAACCCTATCTCCACCGAAGGCAATCATCACAACGACTTGGGCCGCAATAGCCATAACCACCATACTCCTGCCGCTGCTGCTGGTGTCACTGGCGCTACTGGTGCCACTGGCGCTACTAGTGCCACTGGCGCCACTGGTCATCATACCGGAGCTACTGGCCCTATTGGTGCTTCTGGTCTTGCTGGTTCCGCCGGTCAACATAACGGCTCTACTGGCCCCACTGGTGCTTCTGGCCTCACTGGTTCCACTGGCCATCATGGTTCTACTGGCCCCACTGGTGCTTCTGGCCTTACCGGTTCCACTGGCCATCATGGTTCTACTGGCCCCACTGGTGCTTCTGGCCTTACTGGTTCCACTGGCCATCATGAAACAACTGGCCGTACCGGTGCCGGTGCTGCTGCTGCTGCTACTGGTGCTGCTGCTACTGGTGCCGCTGGCGCAAGTGCCAACAAGCATGCTGGTGACCTTCATCATTCTACTGGTCCCAAGGATACTACTGGCCGTACTCATGGTGCTACCGGTGTTGGCGCTGCTGCTGATTCCGTCGATCATCACACTGGCAAGCATCATGCCAACGATGCCACCGATGGCGCTGCTCACCACAAGCCATCTGTTGGTGACAAGATCAAGGGCAATTTGGAGAAGTTTGCTGGCAAGGTTACCGGAGACGAAGCCAAGGTTGCCAAAGGTGATGAAATCGCACATGGCACCAGCCCCACTCAGCATTAAATTGTAATTGTAAAAAGCTTATCTATATGAGATACCAGTATATGTAATCTACATAATTAAAATCTTTGGGAAATTTACTGTATATTAAAATCTTTGGGCACGTTAAATCATGCACGGTCTCTGATTAGCTAAAAAGTAAAACAATCCATTTGATTGGGCACAATTGTGTAAAAAAGAAACCTGTTCTTCTAAGTCTAACCAAATGTTTGATTTGATGATGTACATGTTGGATTACTGCCAATTGGTTGAAATCGAGTGTGTATGTGTGTCCCCTTCTTTTTTGAACAAAAGAGAAAGGAAGATTGTCTTTGGCTTCTACTTTCATATATCCGATAAAGTTGGGGTTTTTTTTTTTAGTTCAACTGCCATTTATGATGAATATAATTGGTGCAAGTTGCCATCAAGCAGGTCATGCTCGCTCTACTGATTTCCGTCAAGTTCGTCCAGTGATCCCCAAACAACCAGGCCCCAAATTGTTTGAACAGTGTCTAAACAGGGCCTCTTTCTGGCCATCTGTAAGGGTTCTTCGATTAGCGACAAACATGCGTGTAGAACGAACTCGCTGAATCAGTGGTGCGGATGCTAACATATTGGATTCAATTCGCCTCTTATCTTTTGCGCATTGGTAGTGGAACGGAACCGTACACAAATGGGAACTTAGTGTTACTTCCACCCGTGATGCGGGTGACTTCTAATGTCGAAGATCTGATATATGCAGTATATGGCCATTCTTTATCAGAAATGCCCTCGAGACAATTCTTAATAAGCCGTGCCATCTTGGCTCCAAAAAACGGCATGTGGCCTTTCTCAATGAGAAGCTGCTGAACAGTTTCCCTGGAGATGTCTTGGAATACAAAAGTGCTGACAGCATGGACACAGAGGAAATTCAACTGGAGCACACTAATTGAAATTTTGAACTCTATAAATTCAGCCAACCTGCCACCGCATTCCCTTAAACTTAAAATTGGCTGCCCGATCATGCTGCTTAGAAACATAGATCAAGCAAATGGTTTATGCAATGGCACACGTTTAATATGCCGATCTTTCCATCTGCATATTATCGAAACAGAAATTGCCAATGGAATCAACATTAGAAAACATGTACTGCTATCGCGTATAGCAATTATCAATGATTCTGATGAAAAAGCAATTCCATTTAAACGAGTGCAATTTCCTGTACGTCTTGCCTTCGCAATGACAATAAACAAAGCCCCAAGGTCAGACCTTTGACTCCACTGGCTTATTTTTACCGGAACCGGTATTTTCCCATGGCCAACTCTATGTTGCCATGTCCCGAGTTAGAACCCGAGCTCCATCAAAGCCATGGTCTTTCATGCGTCCCAAGATATTGACAACATTTACACAAATAATATTGTGTATACTGAAGTTTTGTGATCTTCAAGATCACACGCGCAACTACTCTACATAATTAAAACCTTTGGGAAATTAGCGATTTTGTAAATCACATGATCTACACCAAGTTATCAGGACCTGTTAAACCTTTTTTTTTTATCTTTCAACCAAGCCTCGCTGCCCACTTTCACAATAATAGGCGAAACAATCAGCAGCAAGATGCCGTTTGCGTCAGTTGTGGTCGAACAGAGCATCGTCGTCTTTCGAATAAAACTGTGAGTAGAGCTCTTTTTGAAGAAAAGTGGGTTGATGATTCGACTGGCGTTCTTCTGTAGCATCATTCAATTCGTTTTTTTTTTGTCAGTTATACTATATATGTCCTTTCATTCTCTTTCAATTTTCAATGAATCGAATAATACATAAGCAGACGTGCTTCGATCTATGAATTCATGCATCAGTGGGGTGACTATTGTTTCATCCATGGAGAATCATATATTTTTGTCTTCAATCTTACCTTTTTTCTTTTGCTTTTCTCTCTCTCTTTCTGTTTGCTTGATAAACCCTCACTATCATTGTATCAAGATCCATCCGCATCCATCATCCAGACCATTCTTATCCCGTGTATCTAACTTGGTTAAATCGACTACCATCCTCAAAGGTAAGTGTCGAGTGGTCTACCATCGATTTTGCTCCGGCAATAACAGACTTACCTCTCTTTTTTTTCCATCCTTCTTTTAGCTTCCGGTTTTCTCCGTTTTCTTTTTGCCTGACAAGTTCTGGATACTACAACTTGACTTTTTCTCGCCACCCATCCATCCATCTGGCGAAACTGGATGACGTCAAAGTCCATCGCGATGGTGGGACTCCCTTTTCCATCGGAAAACGCTTACGCGTCCTCTTCATGTTCCTCTCCTTTGGATTGCTTCTCATGATATGGTATTCGAGATGTCTTCCCGATTATTGTATTTTGTATTTTGTATTTCATGTACATATTCTTTTCGCAGTCTTTCCCTCTTTTTTTCCCACAGGGTTTTTTATGAGGTTTTTACTGACGCGACCATTGTTTTTTTTTTACCATCATGCACTTTATTTGTTTTTCTTTCTTTTTATTCGGGGACTCTCGATATCTGGATTACAACTCGAAATTACCGTCACTTCTGACTACGTCAATATTTTTTGCCTGCCCAAGCTGACACCACCGATCCATCGCTTAACTGTCCCTGGAAGCAATTTTATTTTCCGCATCGAAGAAGAAGCTTACCTGTAGTCCGTATTCATCGTTTTTTTTTCCGGTACACCATTGGTTCAAAGGCAAGTCCAATTTCTTTTCTTTTGCTATGAGATATAATGAACGTATACTAATTCAAAAATTTTTCAATATCATATAATGCAAGTCATGTCAAGCGATCAATGGCTATTGAAAACTCAATTAACAAAGGTAAAATATCTTGACGAAATTTGAATCAATCAAAGAGCTTCCTAACTCTTTTTTTTAAATACCCAACATACCCACACATCTTTCTAGATCTATCATAGCCTGGGCGGGATGGAACTGAGGGGGGGAACCAGTGCTGCCCTGCGCGTGTTCAGAAACAACTCTCGTTGCAACGTATGCCATAAGGTTGTCATTATTATACCAAAGTCCGTCAAGAGTTCACGCCCAGGTTATGCCGTGTATGCGTTAGGCTTTTTGTCTGACGAAAGTCGCTCAATGTAAGAGGGCGGTTCTCCGGTGGCAGGTGGCATCCATTGCACAGCGGGTGTACGGCTTGTTAAATAAACAGCTATTCGATCGACGGAATTTCATCGTACTCCCTTTTTTTATGGCTTTTTATTGTTTTCTCTACAGTTGCCTGTATAATTCTACCAGATCATAGGTAGCCACGTACAATAAGCACATATTTTTAGTATAGGGATTACTGGAGCGAACTCCTGATGGGAAATTGTAATAGTCATGAATGAGAAAATAAAAAGTTTCTATCTGTGTGAACATCGAGAAAAAAAAACCCGGCCGAAAAAGGCTACTCAATGTTTGGATACCGTGAGTGAGAAACCATGCAATATCATGCCATTGTCACATGCAAAGATAGTACTATGCAAGTGCGGCAAGGCACCGAGTTAATGCACCAGCCCATGAGTAACGGAAAACGTTAGCTGAAAACTGAAAAAAATCGCGTAACAAAGCATTAGTTAGGTTCTAGAGTTGCTTCTTTAACTGAAGCAAGGCATTCAGCCAAAGAAAAATAAAACGAGTAGAGTTCACCTAATGGGGAAACCCGTAATTCGGGTTTTTCGGGTTTTTCGGGTTTTTCGGGGTGACTGTTGATTCTGGGATGGGACAGTCCTCGACGAACACCGCGCTTTTTTTTAGTGAATGAGAACAGGTGTGGTGGAAGGGAGGTCGACTGAAAAGGACAGTTAGAAAACAGTTAAAAACAAATGCTTTCGAACTTGGGCTTTCGATCGATAACAAGACGAACGCCTGTTATTCTCACCAATCAAGCGACGAGAGCGACATTCTACTCGGCTCATGTCTGTCACAAAGTAGTCGCCGAGAAAGAAGCTGCGGACATTTCTCCTTTCGGTCGACTCGCTCATGGCCTGAATACCATCAAGAGCAGTGTGTTGAATGTGTCACCGCTGCGTCAAGAATCGGAAAAAGACGGTGATTTCGCCCCGTTCACCGGTGAAGCCGCTACATGGAACCAAGCGATTCGAGAGGCACGAGGTTTGGTCAAAGATAACGAGAACCGACTCATCGATCCGGCGAAATTAGTTGGAAAAGACTTAGGCCATATCAAAGGCAACATTGCGAAACTCTTAGGAAGTCGACATCCGTTCTTAAATACTGTCGCAAAGCATTACTTCAGTGGCGAAGGCAAACACGTCCGTCCCTTGCTGGTGCTGCTCATTGCGCAAGCCACCAGCATTGCACCAAAAAAGGAACAATGGCGCCCGTTGGACTACCAGTCGATCGACACACCGATATCTAATGGATTAACCAATATCACGGCCCATGATGTATTCAACGAGAAAGAACATTATACACCTTCCGTGACCAATCAAGGCTGCACTATCCTTCCCACTCAGCGCCGCTTGGCAGAAATTTCGGAGATGATTCACACCGCTTCGCTACTGCACGACGACGTGATTGATGCTTCAGAAACACGACGTAACTTACCTTCGGCCAACGCAAGTTTTGGTAACAAAATGGCAGTACTCGGTGGCGATTTCTTGTTGGCGCGCGCTTCGTTAGCTCTTGCCCGCTTGCGGAACGCCGAATGTATTGAACTCATGGCCACATGTATTGCTAACCTTGTGGAAGGCGAATTCATGCAATTAAAGAACACGCAGGAAGACTCGGGCTCAGGCAAAAAGATGAAAATGAACACCTTCGATTACTACATGGAGAAAACCTATATGAAAACGGGAAGTCTGATTGCTCAAAGCTGCAAGGCATCAGCTGTGCTAGGTGGTTCAACAAATGAAGTCGCTGACATTGCCTATGATTTTGGCAGATCGATTGGTCTTGCGTTTCAGGTAAGCATCCTAGTTTCTCGACTACAAGAGATGATAACATATTAAGTACATGTTGTTGCTACACACACGGTTTTGGATGGAAAAATAGCTGGTCGATGATATGCTTGATTTTACAGTATCTACTGCCGATCTCGGAAAACCTGCGGGAGCTGATCTGAAACTGGGCCTGGCAACGGCTCCTGTTTTGTTTGCCTGGGAAGAGTATCCGGAATTAGAACCTCTTATTAAGCGTAAATTTGCCAACGAAGGAGACGCGGAAAAGGTACGATCAAAAAATTCACTCTCAGTATCCAAAACTTTTCTCCATTGTATTAAAACCCAATTATAGGCACGATTATTAGTCTACCAGAGTAACGGCTTGAAGAAAACACTGGGTTTGGCGGAATCGCACTGCAAACAAGCTATTGATGCCCTTCATAAACTTCCACCCTCTGAAGCTCGATCTGCTTTAGTCCAACTGACCGAAAAACTGCTCACCCGACGATCCTAAATTATCCAATCATACCTCGCCTCGAAATAGAATAATAGACACTGCAATAAAGCTCCTATTGATTTTATGTCTGAAACAATCGCCTTTTGGAAGCTTACCTTCTTTCTAAACGTCTTCAAAGGGAAAGTTCGCTGGACTTTTAGTGAAAGCCTTGAAAATGGTCATTGCTTTTTACGTGCTGTGACAGGTATAACTACTGAACATCTGAAATAATCTCATGAACCGTTACTGCATTGAGGCCGATGATCTGTCTTTACGTGATATCATGAGGGTGCTGGATCCCTCCGCAACATGTATACTTTTCAGGAGACAAGACCGTTGTTTTCGGAGGTGACTTTAAGCATGTCCTAATAGTCATCCGAAGGATACCATCGATGCCGCCATATCCCTATCTCCTTTCTGGCCACTCATCCATACCCTGCTCCTTACCGTCAACATGCGGCTGCAAAATATCCAAGCAATGACATCCACGCCATGCACATTTTGCCTCACACTGCCTCGTCATGGGAGGACATATACCCTTCCCGGTCAAGCATATCTACCTTCGCGGGACATATCCGTCTTCCTAGGGAATGGTGCATACGAACGTTCATTACCTTATCTGTGCGACATACCCAAATTTGAGCACGCTTCTCTGGAGGACATGGTACGGTTCTCCAACCGTTGCATCTTGGCGCCAACCAATATAGATACCTATGCAATCAATGCCATTTGTATCAACCGTTTTCTAGGACAGGAAAAGATATACCTGAGCCCAGATGTGACTCTCGACCAAGAAAACAATGCCAGAAGAATTTTTGGCCGCTCTACTGTACCATTCCCAGGTATGCTACATCACAGGCCTTGCGTACTAGACACAGTAAACGCGTCATTAATCTTCAATTAAGAGGTCTCAGAACACAGGCTGAAGCTAAAAGTGAACATGACTGTGGTGATGATGCGCAACCTGGATACCAAAGCTAGTCCTTGTAACGGTGCCCGCATGATTCTCGACTCTTTACTTGAACATTTCATTACGGCCACCATTACTGTTGGGAATCATGTGGGTCAGCAAGTTACCATACCCCGGATCATACTTTATTATGAAAAGGCTATGCTAATCATCCATGCACCCTGTTTCGTCGGCAACTGCCTTTACGTCCGGTTTTTGCCCTAACAATTAACACAACCGCAGGGCAATCGTTGGGCAAAGTCGGGGTAGACTTTCCGGTGTCACTGTTTAACTATGGGTCAGTTATACGTGACAGTTTCGCGTGTAACAGATGGGCAGATTTGGAAGTAACACTGGCACAGGAGCACTTTGAGACGCGAATAACGAAAAACGAAAAACATTGTATACCACGAGGCTTTTCCTCAACTTTAATCAATATAATAAAGACGCGACTCACAAAAAAAAAAAAAAGATCAATGATTGGGATCAAGCATGATCGTGAGAACAGAGTTCCTGAATAATAGCAGTGTTCGTCGGGCCGAAATGTGGCAGTCGGGAGTCTGGGGGGGCTCCCCCTAGCATGAGGGATCCAAGGGGGTTATGCCCCCCCGCGAGGCGAACTCTGTTAAATGAGCCCCTATGCTTCGCTTCGGGTCATTCAGTCGAAGCAAAACGAATCGATCCGCAGATCCCCCTACATGAACCAGCAAAGCGTCAAAGCTGAATCTAGACACACAGTCACTCAAGTAAACACATAGCAAGCTATTGCCATTTCAGGGAGTATACATACCGATGGCGTTGAGTTGAGTGTTATTAAGTAGAATGCTTCCAAGAGAATCCCGACAGCAAAAGGCCAAGGCTCTGGACGTTCCGTATACTGACTCCGTTGCTGCTATAGAGTAGAGGGTATCTCGAGGATCGCTGTCTGTTCATTGATCCAAGTCAAAAGAAAGATGTGCTCTCGAATTCTTCCACGACCAAAGGTATCAAGTGTCGATATACTTCCAGTCGGCGTGGGAACGAGTTTAAGCTCAAAAAATATCGAATGATCAGAGAGCCCTTGCTCAACCTATTTCCTGGGGTCAAGACCGGACGGGTGAGGTTGAGTCCACATCTAGTTTCCGGCAACAACCTAGATACCTGTATTCAAAATTTGCGGGAAACAACAAACGCAACTCAGATGCTAAGGACTTTTACCAAGACAGATCTGGGTATCGTCTCTTCCAAAACTGCGCTCTTTCTTCATATATACAACCAACGACAAGCAGATTCAAAATTGACGAAAACGTTCGATTACATTTCACGAGGGCCAGGTTCCGATGACGGGCAACTGATTTGCGGGTAATGTCAGGTTTCATGAGCCAGTCTGAGGTATGGGAATGCGACGCATGCTCAAGCGGCAACCATTTGAGGTTTACCTTTTCAGTGAATACCAGACGTCTTCGTGCTGTCGCGACTGCGGCGACCCGTTGAAAAAATTCAAGAGGATGAAGGATCCGCCGTGCCGTATTACAATTGCGCCACAGGCGTTATACTATGCTCTATTAAGATTACCGATCAAGAAATAATTCCTTCGTCTGTCTCGATTTCTTTGTTTGCTTTGCATTGTGGCAAAATTGCAAGTCAGTAATGGCCGTCAGCAGCATAAGCATTCATGCGAGTCACAGAATCAATATGCAATACCAGAACGAGTATTTTTCTGGTTATTTGGGTGAGCAGTGCTACGCTGAACCTGAACAGCGTCACTTGCTACATTTTATCACAACACTCCAGCAGCCTTCCAATGATCCAGTCCCCTTTGCCTCCAGGATAACGTTATCCAATCCGTCTTACTTGCTCTGTGGCGCGCCTATTGGGCATACATTTTGACGACCAACCTTTCATACCCTCAACGGTGGCCCGTTTAGCCACATCTCTCCACACCCATCTGCTCCCGATCGACACCGATTCTTAACCCACTTTAGCATCCCGACTAGGTGGATACAGCCAGGCCTTCGAGTAGACCGGAAACAATCCCGTTCCACTTTTGCTACCGTGACGAACAGTTTCTCTGATCTTGCCTAAGTTTCGTTTCTTTGCACTTAGCTTATACATTCACCACATTCCCTTTTTCTCTCGCTGATGGCATCTCCCTGCTCTGTACACGAGACCGTCCAATAAAATTGGTCTCCCGACCCATACAAAAAAAAATTCTGGTTATTCTTCTCTTCCCGTTCTCTCCAATTTACAATCACAGCTTCAGATAAAAAAGCCTCCATCATCAACACTGTTATGAACGCCATTGGCTGGCGCAACGAGTTCATTGAACCGCTACGTGACTCGTCGCTCGTGTTCATCACCTTACGAAACATACGTATTTATTCGCAAATACATTTGTCACTCGGAGTTGCGTTGTCGAAGAATGAAACGTTTGATCTCAATGGCTGTGTTCAAGAAGGATTCTTCGTCGAAGTATTCCTTTCCTTGATCGACAGGGAGAAGAGAAGCAACATGGTCACGGCGCCAACTAGAACATACGTGAACTCATCGAATTTTACGTCGAGTTTTTTTGTCGTCACATATCGTTTACGCCAACGACTCTCACAAATGTTCAGCAAAATGCATTGTATCAGGCGAAGCAGATCCATGCAACTTACACCAGCAATCTCAAATATCGCTTCAGACAACATTTGTGGCATTTGGTGAATTTGCTTCTCGACGTTAAAAACCAACGTAATAACCTCAAAGTACGATTGCAAAACGAGGGCTTATCGCACATGAAATATCAGCAAGACGGCGCGAAAAATTTATGAGCCCGCAAAACAGTTCAAGCTTGACCAAAACAATTCGCGTATTATTTCTCCACTTCAAGCACATCATAATTTCTTGCAACCCATTTTCTGTACATATGCATCGTCCTACCAGATTGCGAAAGACAACATATATTTATGACCTAAAAGAATCGCCTGAAACATATCCTTGCATTTTATCGATTATCCCGCTTATTCTCTCAAGCGCATTTGCTTGCTTCCCGATTCGCCCGCCTGGTCACCGTATTACTGTATTTGCAAATCAATACGCTGATTGCCTGCACGCAAATCCTCCACATGAGCCAGCGAAGCCTCAGGAAGTTCAGCAACCTTGATTTGTGGAGCCGTGTCGTGATTTTGATCGAGACCATTCAAGGAAACATGTGGCAAGCGTTTGGCCTCTCAGGAAAGTATACAGACCGATGGCATAGGGGTGAGTGTCATCAAGCAAAATTTCCCAAGTGCCAAAGGAGACCGACAGAAGAAGACCAAGGTTCTGGGCGAGGATGTGCTGTACGTTGACTTGCTTGTTCCGATTGACCAAAAATGCCTGGAGGGCCGCTGTGTATTGATCGACCGAGGATGAAGAGATTTGCTCTCCTGCATGCACGAATATTAAGAAGCAAATGCAAGTACCTTTTTAACGCTACACTTCCTGTCAGAGATCAAACGAGCTCAAGACGAAGAAATACAATGGATCAGAGAGACATTACTTAGTCAATTCTGTCGTATTTGTACATATCACCCGATCTACAAGAGAAAACAATTACCAATGATTTCATGATCATTATACCAATCGGAGCACATCATTATGTCACGTTAAACACGTCTGATCTACATATCCGATCATTTCCCATTTTCTCTTATGTGAATCAACCTCACACCCAAACTCATACCGCAACTACAGCCTATTATTGGTTTATCCGTCGTCTATTCTTTCCATTCATCTTTACATGGAAAACTAATCATTATCGCTCATTATCTAAGCAGTATGGGAAACCGATCATTGATTAGCATTATGGAAACCACACTTTATTCTGTCACGGATCATACCACATCTAAAAATACCCATCTAGTATAAAAGACATACCTTGTATCGATTCTCACTCACTAGAATTATTCTTTTTTCCTATCTTTTACGTAACACTTTCTCGAGAAAAAAAGGATCTCACAGGATTTACTATTGTTTTATTTTTTGTTACTAATAATCCCTTGCTTCCTAGACTCCAAACACCAGAAATTCCCATGTATCAAGACTGCGCAAGAAAGATTATCACAGCATTCCAACTCAGTCAATGACCTCGAGACGTATTGTTGCTATCTACGGGAAACACATGGTTCTTCCACTTACCCAATTAAACAATAACGGAAAACATCTGTTGTCTCCACCAAACCGAAAAAACTTCTCAAAAAAATGTCCACTTTACAAAACCCTCGTATGCCAATGCTGCCAAACGCAGCCTGCGAATTCCTCTCATCGAATATGCATCAGTGTCCACTCCATCCTTAGTGGATAGCCTAGCCAATCCTCCCCTGCAATCAAAATCATTCTTGCTCCGTCGAGGCCAAGAGGAACATTGTGTTCTTTTCAACCTCTCTAAAGCTACACTGTCCATGCGAACTTCTCGCAAGCTTTCCGCACACAGTTTGCAGACATGCAAGTCTTGGGAGTGTCCTGTCATAAAGCCAATGGTCATACCATCGTTGAAAAATCCCTTCCCAACGCCCATAGTTGTACACGTGTTCTTGCTTCCCTGTCATGAGCACCTTGCGTCGCGTCCTTAGAATGCGATTGAGCCCACATAATGTGGATGATTTCATCTATGCCTGTTTGTCTCTGTATGCTGTTCCGCACTCAATTTACCTTGTTCTTTTATTTTAGTATAAATATCACCACACATTTCTATTCAATAAATTCCAGTTCGGAATTGTGTTTTCTCTAGTACCCTGTTGTCTTGTTCTTGTCTGGCCTTAGCTGTTACCTTTGTCCTTGTCCCTGTCCTTGTCTCTAGTCCTGCGGTTCTTCCTGTTCTTGTTCCTAGTAGTCCTTGCTTTACTATCTCAATTCCGGCCCCCTTGTTGCCCATCTTTCCTGTCCTGTTTCTGCCGCCACTACGTTGGTCTTAATCTGACCTTAGTTCTTGCCTAGGGAAAAGCACCTAATACCATACCTCTTGTCCCCTGCTACCGAGCCCTAACATTCCCCAGTGTTGTTGCTTCTCTTTCGCTTCACGCGTTCGAGCTCTCCTCCTAGATGATCCGGTTACGCATATTAACCTGTCCTATCTTCCTCTTGTCAACAACACCGACCTCGAGCGCGATTTTCGGGCATGCCTTGCAGGATTTGGTACCGTCCTCCATTTAGGGTTATACCACAACCCTCAAAGCGGATGGTTCGAAGACAAAGGATATTCCGTCATCAATCAACCGATCAACGGCACTTATGCGGCTTTCGCCCACCGCATGGACTTTGGTCTCATCGGATCTACGCGTCCTAGCTTCTATACCACCTGGAAAGACATGGGTACATATTGCCGCTACTGTTACCTTGACGACCACTCGCTCAATGATTGTCCATCTTGCCCAATACGCAAATGCTACAAGTGCCAATGCAGTAGACACATTGCTATCGCTTGCCCCCATTCTGCGAATCCTCTGCCCCGTAAAAAGCACCATAACAACACAAGTTCCTTTTCTGAAACGAAAGAAACTACGCAATCCTTTCCGAGGCCCAAAAAGTTCACACTGAAGGTTACAGTCCCCGCCGTAACAACAATTACATCCCAATCATCTGCAGCCAGTCAATTTGCTCAAGAGGCATCGGCATCTGCTAAGGACTCTCACGTGATGGTTCCCAGGTACTCAATCTACAGTGGGGGAAAAATGGTCCAAACCTATGCCGTTTTTTACGTTTTTATCCATACGGCGGCTTTCGCTTATGTACCGTCTGAATTTTTTATATATGAGAAGTAACTTCTCTCTTCTCTATGTTGTCGCGAAATCCCGGTGATGGCATTGCAATTCATCGCATTGCATTCACCATTTCAACGTGAGCGGTCGGTTTGGATCATTTTTTCCAATAAATCCGAAAATAATAAGAAAAAGCCTCTGTTCACCCGTTTTTCTTCCTTGCCGATATGAAAAACGCCGGCGAAATAAAAATATCTTTATGGCAACGTCCTTTAAAAATATACACGAAGCATTCCGGACGGGATCTTGCAATTCATGAGCTTCATTAGCTCCATGTTGAAATCGGTGCATAGTGGGCGGATCTGAAGACCGCCATCACCCTGCATCTTTTTTTGAGAATGCTGTGCCGAAATCCCGAGCATTTTACTCCAATTCAACCTAATGCCATTGCCATTCCGCTTGTGATCAATAAGAATGGTGCTCAAATGACGTGAAAAAAAGCAGCCGAAAAAGCCTGAGGAATAATGTTGCGGTGATCAAAAACCGTGCTGGCGCGCATTTTTTAGCCTTGCCCCCATCCTGCGGAGCCTCTACCCCGTAAAAAGCACCACTTCTGAACCGACGAAAAAAACGCCTTCCGCTCCCACAATCAAGAAGATCATGCTGAAGGTTACAGACTCCGCCGTATCACCAACACAACTTCTTAGTCAGATGCTACCAGTCATCGTCCTCAGAGCTCTGCTGACTCAGGAGCATCGGCCTTCACCTTCGCTCAGGACAACCCTTCCATGAATACTCAGGATGATGGATCCCAGGCACTTAAGTTAGCTAGCCCATCTAGCAAATCCTCAGCTGATCAAGCCAGTCTGACATCAACAACACCAACATGTCTGATGGCGACTCCAATGTTCCTATGACAATTCTCAGGCTCAATATCAGCAAATACAAGGCCCAAGAAGATGGAGAGTACATTCCCAGTCACAATTGTTCTGATAGTGATACCTCGATGAAGGAGGATGAGGCTGAGGACACTCAGGCCACCCACTCTGTTTCTAACACACACTCCCAATGATGAGTTACTCATTGGATCTCTCAACTGCTGTTGGCTATGCAAAGGTGATAACCATACCAAACAATTCCTATTTATGCACTTCCTACTTGAAGAATCCCTCAATCTCTTAGTCTTACAAGATAATTATGCTTCCCAACACAGATGATAAAGACTGTGTATCTATACAATTGCAAGCTCATATACAGTACACATTTGGAATTGATATTGCGAACTTGTCTCGTTTTCCCCTTCCTTACAGCTCACACCCATTCTATCATCTCGAGATGGTCGCCTACTATTGGTCACTATCTCTTCGCTCATCTCTTCCATATCACCCTTTATGGTAACCATCATATACAGTATACCCCAGCTCAACGTGCTGCTCATTTTCAATTCTTTCAACAAACTGTCCTTTTACTTCTTTAAGCCAAAAATACTGCGAATCTTCTCTTTTCAAGTATCATACTTAGCGACTTCAATTATTCATACAGTACGTCTACCAGGATTCTTCTTACCATAGTGCTTCAGTTTGTGGTGAGATTTTCTCACCACTCATTATATCAACTCTATCTTCACTATGACTGACTATGTATCCACACTTACATTTTTCTCCAGTGTTGGGATGTCTTTCATTGACTATACAGTATATTTCTATCTCATGCCCTACGCCACCACTTATTGACCAGTATCATCATCCAACATATCAACTGTACATGGACTGATCATTGTTGTACAGCGGTGGTAAAAATGGTTCTTGAGATTGTGATTTTTTGACGTTTTTATACAGTACTGTAGCTGGGCGGATTTTCCACATAAAATCTGCAAAATTTTTTTTCCATTCCCATAATCAGCGACCACTTTTTTACTCTGGTGCGAATTTTTCAGTCATCTCATGTCAGTTCTTCTCATCCTCATTTCAGTTACTTCACGGAGGCATCTCAAGAACCATTTTTGTCTTTGCTGGAGATGTAAATGTCATTGCAAAAATGCGTACACAAAACACACAAATGTTTTCTAAAAATGGATAAACAACAACACCTTAATATAGTAAGCAAAACAGAAGTCTCTAAAAAGTATCCTCTTACTAGCATTCTTGAATCCACCTTTCTCTAATCACCATTTCATAATCACAACCATAACATGCACCAAAAACTGATTGAAGATAAGCTTAACAGCATCAAAGTGTATCTTTTGAACGGCAAAAGCTTAAAGAAAACTGCGGCTGCTTTGCACTTGTCTGTTAGTGTTGTTTCAAATATACAAAACAGCTACTCCCTGATCGTACTAATGGTGATGCTGGGCGGCCATCACTTTTCTCGAAGACCACGGCCGCCTCTGTTCGTAGAGAAGCCCTCACAGGGGAACTCAAGATCACTGTTGAGCTACACAAATACTGCCTTGGTCTCGGTATTGATTGCCGCTACTCATCCATCCGTAATCTGATGAAGAGATTAAGCTTCGAATCCCACTTTAAGGTAAAGAAGCCTCTCCTTACTGCCAGGCACAAGAAGGCAAGACTGGAGTGGGCTTTCGCCCACTAACAGTGACTCAAAAAAACGGCAATTTTTTGCCGCTCATACATTTTTATCAATCTGTTGATGGGAAAAATCTGAATTTAGCCTGAATAAACTTTGAATAGTTTTTTAAATACATACCAAATTTCATGCAAATCAAACGATTGGTTCCTGAGTCACCTGCGCTTGAATCAGCCGGTCGGTGCACTGTTTTTTTGACTTTGCCAAAAAATCGCCGAAACAATTGGCGACCACAAAACGTATTAAATAATAGCTCAACATCTGATGATGGGAACAATGTCAAAATCTAATAGAATATACTAGAAATAGTTGTGAATGACTACAAAAAAATAGTGTCATTTTATTGAGAAATGGTTGAGATATAGGTGAAACAAAACGATTGGTCAATTTCCGGACGATAAAAAGATACTGTTTTACTGTACCTCTTGTATTGTTTTCTCGACAACTGCTGATTCAATTTACTCCAAATTTTTTTTGCATGCTTGTAGTTGTGATGGTAACGTTCATGTAAAGTTTCAGATTTTTAGGTGCAGTAGGTCATTAGAAAGCAATCATAGGAGAAAAATTACATATGAATTTTCACCTTTGTAAGGTGAGTACTGATTATTTTTTCCCACCAGTGTCAATTTATTCATGCACTCCGACTTTAGTACAAAAAAGGGCGTTGTTAGGCGACCTTTAATCCTTTCTACTGCATCCTGATTTTGCAATTACCCTCATCTGCGCTCTAATTATTACTCATCACGATTTTGAATTGAATTACCAACATATCAGCAATCTCTTCCACCACCCGCCAGAATATTCAGGGGTTTGAACTCTGGGGAGTCTATTCGGTCTATTTTAAGACAACTTGGGATCTCTCGATGCTCAGTTGGTCGCATTGCTACAGTAAGCAATTTCGCATCAGCACTGATGCTCCACATGGGCGGCCATTGGTAATTACCACTAATCTCGGCCGCATCATACTGCGCAAAATCAGTTCTGTTGAATACAATACTGCTGCTCATGCTTCTAGGGAGCTACAGGCGGATGGTTATCAGTCTCGCAAAAAACCTGACGCACTTCCTCTGACAGATAATCATAAGAAGCTCGTCTTGTCTTCGCCAAAAAGTATCAGCACTGGACGGTAGTTGATTGGAAACGAGTGATCTTCAGTGACGAAACCAAGGTGAACTGAGTGGGATCTGATGGAAAGGAATGGGCATGGTATAAGGATAGAGAACCTTTGCGCGATCATAATGTCAATCACGTATATAAGCATGGTGGTGGTAACATCATGCTTTGGAGCTGTATCCCTGCTGAAGGCCCTGGCTACATTACAAAAACTGATGGTGACATGAATTTACAATTTACACTATTGTCGAATCCTAGAGGGAGATTTGGATAAGACATTATCACATTATCGCTTGACTCTTCAGGACATTATATTCCAACATGATAATGATCCTAAACACTCCTCAAAATTAACCAGACAGTGGCTGCAGGAACATGATATTGATGTGCTAGAATGGCCTCTTTATTCATCTGACCTCAATCCTATTGAAAACTTGTGGTATTATTTGAAAGCTCAGCTTTGTATATACTGTATGATACAGCCCCCACTAGCATTGATGAGCTATAGCGTCGAACCTCTCACATTTGGTATACAAAAGTAACCAAGAAAATGTGTATAAAACACATTGAATCTATGGCACAACGTCTGCAGTGTCGTATAGATAGGGTTCATATACCACTATATAAGAATTACCTCGGTTTAAGCAGATAAGAGACACTAGAGTAGTTACACACTATTTGTACATTCAAATCCCGATACCAGTTATTATCTTTGAATATGAGATACTAAAGAGATGATCTCTTTCGAGAATAAACAACAGTCTCACTGTACTCAACGTCTCTATCCATCTATATCACATTTTTTATGGTGAATACTACCAATTGAACCCCACCAACGAGAATTCGACCGAGATGCACGCATCCAAAGACGTGCCAATGACGGATGCATCGGATGCATCCACCGATCAGGGTTCCCCTATAGCTCAGTCAACTTGGGCATCCAAGCATGTTTCTCCAACTGCCGCACTCAAATGCTGTCTGGAGGATTGCCAAAAGGAACTGGAGGAGTTACTTATTCAGTTGGATACTCAGCAACATCCTGCAGACAAAGCAGGCGCTGTTAGAGACGAGGCCTACAAACTCTTGGCAGAGAGAGACTCTCTCTGTCAACTCCTGGCTGGTTATGATGTTCCGGATATAAGGAATCCGCTCCAGTCCTCTGCTTGGGAGAGTAAGATTGGGGATTCCTATTCTATGAAGGGTATCAAGGGCCCTAAAATTACTGCTAGGGACATTCCTTTATTCCAATGGCGTGGTTGTCCTTGGACCTTGAATAAGAATAGAGATGTTTTCACTTTGGTGGAGCATTTCTGCGCCAATTTCCGTTGCCTGTTGGTTCAAGTCAATTATGAGCTTGACTAGCATTAGGAAGAATGGTTTATGTTTGTGCTTCCAGACCAAGCAGATGATTGGTTCAATGCAAATGTGGCGAACCATGGTTTGGGATGGGAACAGGCATGCGTTCTCTTTAAAGAATGTTATGAAAATCCCGACTATTATAATAAAGCAGTGAAGAAAATTGCCATTATGAAAATGACAACGATACGTTTCGGAGTATTCAGTTGCCGGTTTGCGTCGTCGTGTTCGCCGGTCCCTTGAGTACCTTTTGTCCCTGCACTTCGTTGCGTCCGGTAGTGACGTTCGTCGGTTTGCTGTGGTTTCGCAGCTTTGCCGCGAGTGCGGCTTTGATGACGACCGGTTCCCTTGGTTGGGGGAATCTTGGAGGTCATCCTTTTTTGAGTTGGACGACCGTGCTCGCCGTCCTGAACTTCGACGAGCGAAACAGTTTGTGAATGCTTTCCGGGTTGATCACCAGAAAGCATTCAATAATTTCCGGTTGATGTTGCTTGCGCTGGCACAAGTGGACATTGAGTCTTCTTCGTCTGGGTCCTCTTCGGCGTCTGGTTTGTCGGCTGGTTCCGACGACGAGTCTTCGTCGTCCCGTTCTGGTTCCCCTGGTTCCGCTGGTCCTTCTGCCGCTGCCTCCTCCACCACCATCCCCATCCCCACCCCCACACAATAAAGTCGGATTTTTTTTTCGAATATCATAACGGTATCTACCTTGATTCTTACAGTTTCAATTGTTCGGAACGATCGGTACGGGTCTTATCGTTCTATCATAGTAACGAAGAAATTATATATGAGACTCATATTGCATCTGTATGCAATGGGCTTCTTTATCTTAATACGGTTAATAGTCGATTAACATCACGAAAAAAAAAAAAATGTTTGATTGGTCAATATCTCCAGGCGGAAAACACGCAGATACATCAACATATCGACTTATACTGATCCAAACATGCACATACTTTGGAAACCGTATCCATCAATTATAATGTTCATGCATACTGAATTTCGTGGGTAACGGATGACATTTGCATGCCATCTTCGTGGGTGATGGCTAGTTTGATCAACGAAATCAAAGACATTTCGGTCGGTCATCCAGAATAAATCAAAAACGGTACATCCCAGTTTTCGATTTTGCTCAAACTGCGTCAGTAATTGTACAATGTATCGATCTCATACTATACCAAGTTTCATGGTGAACGGATGCTGTCTGGTCGAACTGTGACAGATTCAAGCTTTAATTGAGATCCATAAATAAATGAAAATAAATTATTTCATTGGTCAATATCTTCAGACGGGAAACACACAGATCCATCGACACATCGACTTAATACTGATCCACACATGCACATACTTTGTGATCTGTGTTTGTCAATTATAAGGTTCATGTATACTGAATTTCATGAATAACGGATGACATTTGCATGCCATCTTCATGGATGATGGCTTAAACGAAACCAGATTATAATTTTTAATACTCTGTCTGTAATACTGCTTTATATGCCACTTTGTTGACGGTATTTATTATAACTTGATTTCAAGCTATGGGCATTGCTGTATCTTTTGAATAGATCCTTCGATCTACCTTCGGCAAACAGTATCGTCCACCGCACACGCCCGCGATGCTCCTCCAAGAATTTTTTAATAAACATGAAATCAGGGTTTTCATATGATTCAAGTTCACTGTCGCTTTCGATGATAGTGGTCGTGTCTGTGCGATGAAACAATCGACCAACACCTGGGAGATCCGGAGCTTCCTCCATGGGCGACCGGCATTCTGGACTCGGTTCCTTGAAGCGATATTTTTTATAGTGGCGTCCAGTATATTCATACCCGTCTTCTATGTATCTAATGAAGAATGAAAATCAGGAAATGTCTTTGTCAGATGGATTTATACATTACCTGCGAGCACGCTCCAAATCATCCTGGAATATTGTATCCTTTTGTAATATTTGACGCAATTTAGCAAACTGGTTGTGCGATTGCTTGCATACTGTCGAAAGCACATCGAGTTTTCTGATTCGGTCTTTACTTCATTTTCGAACTTTTCCTTCGTCACCGCATAAAGAAGCATAATCGTTTCGTCATGTTTATGCTCGCCCATAGCTAAAAGGGAACTTTGTAGAAAAGTTAGGTGGGCTTTTTTATTATTATTTCGAACTGATCTCACGCGCACCATTTTTGTGAAGTCAGAAAATGTCCGACTGCCGCAAGTGGCGGCAAGGGCGTCTGGTTTAGGTGTCTTGACAGAGATTCCTTGGTCATGATAAAACATTGTGTCTTCCAAAAGCCAAGTTTAAATGGCCACAGATATGGTCTGTCTACGTCCACTTTGGCATCCTCCGCTATGCTGCGAGGCAATGGCCTTCCGATTCCAATGATCAGGATTACCGGAAATTGACCATAAATTTCGTATATGTTCACCGCGTATTTTATCAGTCGTGCCAAGAACGATTCATTGATACCATTTTGTATTTCAATTAGAACAGGTGGCAAAGAGGTTCGATAATGGTCAAGTGGCGCATATACAACATCAGACTTTAATGAATCACTCCATTCGCTTTCACCAAGTCGGTACAGGTTTTCGCAATATGGTGCATCTGACGTATTGGAGAAACAGTTAAGATTTATTTTTTCTATGCATATAATTGGTTCAATAGATATACCGACGAGGCTCTTGATAAGCAGCTTCATTACTCTCACGTCGCGTAAGATAAGTTTGCTGACGAGGTCCTTGCCAGGTCGGTCTGGGCTTGGTAGCGAGAACATGAACAAATTGTTCTCTGTGTATATCTTTAGTTACATCGCAAACATAGATTATATGCTAATGTATACCTTTATCGTCGCCAAATCTCTTATTCTGAGCGATAGATTCCATATTTGAAATACACTGTACTCGTATTGTCGAACCTCAAGTTCAGATAAAACAAACCCGATAGGTAATGGAAGTATGATGGATAAGGGAAAAAGATCCTTTTTCCTTTGGAAGCATTGATATTTATATACTTCAGAGCGGATGGATACGAGGGACCAAAAAAAAAAAAAAAAAAAAAAAACGGCGAACTTTGTCAAAACGTGTGTGTGTCATAAATATTTATGTCATCTGCATGAGCAATAAACTTGGAGTACAGTCACCACTCGATTTAGAAACTCCAAATTTATTATCCACTACCTCGTGCATCAAGAATAATTCGATTTAAGAATCATTTTTCGTGGCTTTTAAATCGAGTGTTGACTGACAAGATATAATGTGAGCCAACTACATGGTGCGCCGCGCTTTAACGGTTTGAAACTATTTGGCTCCTTATTTTTATTGAGCCATAAAATGTCGATGTTGTCGATGTTGTCGATGTTGTCGATGTTGTCGATATTGTCGATATTGTCGATATTGTCGATATCTATAAAAGGCAATTTTGACTGTAGTACAGTATTTGCAACTCAGGTTTACACGCACATACAGGCACTTCTTGGAAGAACGGTACTTCATATCAATTCTTACTACAGTGACTCAAAAAAGTGGGGCAATGTTTGTGAAAAATGTCTATTTAAATGAATTTCTCAAAAATGGATGATTCAAATTAAATGATATTTCATACAGATAAACTACAGATAGTACTCTAAAAAATAAAAGAAAACGAAGCAGATTGATTGGCTAGATCTAGAGAAATCGCCGATTAAAATATATTATGGCATTGCCCCACTTTTTTGACTTACCTAATTTTTATTATCTACCACTTTGTTTGTCCACCTTTAGCCTGAATCACAGCCGCCAAACGTGCTGGCATACTTTCAATATGCTTCACACACATTTCCTTCGTTACTTTTTGGTACCAGACATCTCCTGTGCGCTTCCAAAGTTCAGTGATGCTGGTGGGTGCTGTATCATATCCACAAAGCTGACACTTGAGATAATACCATAGGTTCTCAATGGGGTTGAGATCTGGAGAGTATGGAGGCCAATCCAAAACGTTAACCTGATTGTCTTCCAACCACTGGCATGTCAATTTTGAGGTATGCTTAGGATCATTATCATGTTGGAAGATAACATCCTTCAAATCCATATTATAATCATGCAAGGTTCTGGAAGAGATCATCTTGCAGAATCTTACAATATAGATCAGAATTCATACCACCATCGATCTTGGTAATGTAGCCAGGGCCCTCAGCAGTGATACAGCTCCATAGCATAATGCTACCACCACCATGCTTGACTGTAGGATTAACGTTATGATCGCGAAGAGGCTCTCCACCTTTCACCCAAGTCCAATGCTTCCCATCAGAACCTAAACGATTGATTTTAGTTTCGTCACTAAACACCACACGTTTCCAATCATCTACAGTCCAATGTTGATACTTCTTTGCAAACTGTAGACGAAGCTTCTTGCGTCTTGGTGTCAATGGAAGTGCGTTTGGTTTAATTCGCGATTCAAAACCACATGCTGAAAGGTGATTTCGGATGGTTTGGGCGGAAATAAAAGTATTTTCTGCTGCAAGCTGTCTTGCAGCGTCAGCAGCAGTAGTGTAAACACCAGTGGCGAACTTGCGCAAGATGAGCCGCCCAAGATTAGTGCTGATTGTTGATGGGCGGCCATTGGCAGCATTAGACTGAATGTCTAATTGCTTAGCAATTCGTCCAATCGTTCGACGTGAAACGCCAAGAGCAGCTTCAATAGTCCGTTGGGACTCTCCACGTCGCAAACGTACTTCAATATTCTGAGTGGTGGTGGTGGGAATTGACTTCATGTTAGGATGGTTGCTAATTGCGAAAATCGTTGGTAATTGGTGAAGAGGATGGGGATGAATCACTTGATTTCGAAAGGGAAAAAAAGAGAAGGCCTTGTTTTGATAGCGTCCATGATTTTGAAGAATTTCGGACAGCAGTCACTTAGGAAATTCGCGCCTGCCAATTTTTTTCCATACAACTCAAAAAAGTGGGGCAATGACATATAAAATCGAATCGCCCATAACTCTACAACCAGACATGGGAACAATATAAGTAAAAATTCATTCGAAAGGTAATTAAAAGGGCTTTTATTTAAAAAAAAGAAAACTGTACTTTATTATGTAGGAAATTACGAAATTAAATAAAACGCACATTTTTTGCAAACATTGCCCCACTTTTTTGAGTCACTGTAATCCACACATGCACATACTTTGTGATCTGTGTTCGTCAATTATAAGGTTCATGTATACTAAATTTCGTGGGTAACGGATGACATTTGCATGCCATTCGTGGGTGATGGCTAGTTTGATCAACGAAATCAAAGACATTTCGGTCAGTCATCCAGAATAAATCAAAAACGGTACATCCCAGTTTTCGATTTTACTCAAACTGCGTCAGTAATTGTACAATGTATCGATCTCATACTATACCAAGTTTCATGGTGAACGGATGCTGTCTGGTCGAACTGTGACAGATTCAAGCTTTAATTGAGATCCATAAATAAATGAAAATAAATTATTTGATTGGTCAATATCTCCAGGCGGAAAACACGCAGATACATCAACATATCGACTTATACTGATCCAAACATGCACATACTTTGGAAACCGTATCCATCAATTATAATGTTCATGCATACTGAATTTCGTGGGTAACGGATGACATTTGCATGCCATCTTCGTGGGTGATGGCTAGTTTGATCAACGAAATCAAAGACATTTTGGTCGGTCGTCCAGAATAAATCAAAAACGGTACATCCCAGTTTTCGATTTTACTCAAACTGCGTCAGTAATTGTACAATGTATCGATCTCATACTATACCAATTTTCATAGTGAATTGATGTTGCCTGGTCGAACTCATCTGCATATGCACATATGCGTTCTGATGATATTGACCAATAAAATAATTTTATTTTCATTTATTCGTGGATCCCACCTAATACATTGAATCCGTCCCAGTTCGACTAGGCAACATCTGTTCACTATGAAAATTAGTATAGTATGAGATCGATACATTGTACAATTACTGACGCAGTTTGAGCAAAATCGAAAACTGGGATGTACACTTTTTAATCCGTCGTTGAGAACTGATGGAAATCTATCCCATCTTCTTGATCAAAACAGCCATCACATAAAAATTAGCATACACAAATGTCATCCGATTCTTGTGAAAGTTGGCACATGTATACATTGTAATTATTTGATACTGTTTGCAAAGTGTGGATTACTGTGAATCAGTGGAAGTCGATGTGATTACTAATGCTGTCAATGGTTGATTATCTTATTTACTGTTGTTTATAGAACGTGCATAGCACTGTATTGTAACACATGTCAGTGTTTGTTTGTGTACATAAAAGGTAATTACTGAATGGTGGGTAGTGATGTCACGCTTGAGGGTATCGATGGTACCGATCGGTACCACCCATCGGTACCATCCATTGGAACTATCCGATAGTACCCGTACATTTTTTTTTCTGTAAAATTCGGTGTATATGGCCACTGTAAATAACAGGTACGTTTTCCAATATATGAATGGGGTTGAATCGATGGAAGTCGATGTAAGTAAGATATCATCTAATCGAAAACTGGGACGTACGGTTTTTGGTCGATTATGGACGATCAACCGAAACCTTTTTGATTGCATAGAGACGATGAATGTGATGTGATTTATTAACGATATTTAAACCATTTATCAAGAGAGCCGCACAGCTTCTTCCTTTTTTGCGTCCCACAAAATCAGCATCTCTGACCACAATTCCTCCGGAATTATTGCCTGGAATGCACTGAAATGTTCTTCTTGTACGATAGCACGTGCAATGCATAATGTATGGGCAATATTTTTTATATTTGGTGGTTGCGATAGACGTTTCATGTTAAGCTGTAAGCCATTCCTATTGAAAATTTTGCTGAGGAGGTTATTAGGCGTGTATCGTCCGGCTTGCTATGTGTAGTTATGCTGATCTGCTGCTAGATTGTTATGGCGTGGAAATACAGTCGTCCATTCTGCTTCATACGGCTTTATTATGTTTGTAAAAATATCGTGCAGATCATCCTTCAATATATGATGGGGCCATGTACTCTGAGTCAGAGCTAAGTGGGACGGGAACCCACACACCTATCGGCCTGTTTAGTAAGATAAATCGTAGTGATAGTGGTATGCTTACCATATTAACCAGAGAAAATGTCATTTGGGTGAACTTCATTCGACCGAGCTCAAGCAAATCGGACTTGTTGTATTCAGTACGATTCGTCCAAAAGCGACGTGCGTAGGGTACATTTTCTGGTTGCATGCGGAACAAAAAGTAGTCCATCAAGGTTATGAACTGGTAGTAAGGTGCCAAACCTGATGACAATGTGCTCGTAGTTTTCAAAGATGACGCTTTCAGTAGATTAGTAACCACATTGAAGCCGCAGCCTTTCTCTTCACATTTTATACGTTCTATGAGTGATGCATTGGTATTTGCGATGTGCAGATCCATAATCTCGGCGATATTCCGGTATTTGAGCTCATCAAGCAAGTCAGAGATGTTGTGATCTGTATTGATACCGTGTTGCATGAGTAGACGGATGCTGCCCTTTCTCTGGTTTTTCAAGTACGAGTTGGCGAACGTTTTCAACCAATTTACACTGTATGGGGTATGGTGAACCAATTTATTATCCATCGGAAGGCTCCAACGAACCTATCCATAAAACGGTTTATATTATGGAGTTACAGTCTATGTTGTTTAACTTACATTTGAAAGCATGTATTCTGTTGCCTATAGATGTAAATGGCGATTGGATGAGTCTGCATATTCACTCTGTACTGTTGCCCTTATACAGTAGATGCCAGTAGCGCGATCGAAGATATTCCACTATATTCATCGAATAATGATAACAAAGTGACTTCGAGCCGTTTTCTATTCGCGATTGACTGATTCGAACACCCTTTCTGGATCCATGCGTGCTTTGTGTTACGTACATCCGTACGATGTAGATATCGAAGGCGAGAAACAAACTGCAACTCTTCTCTGAACGTCAACACTCCATTGAAAAGAAAATCATAGCTGGTCACGAAATGTCGATCAAGGCTATGGCCTGCCTGCATTACACTTGTGACAATAAGAATATCGCATTCTGAAGCATATGTGTTTGGGTCACTGAGGAACCGGGTTGCTCATGGGTCCTTCTGCACCTGTGCCCATACTTCTTTGACTCGCTTCATGGCTTCCTGACCGAACTCCTGAGCGGCAACCTAGCAGCAAACAAGGTATTATATTGATTGCTCCCGCGTATGATGATAACGGATCAATTACCTCCCTCATGATGTATAACAGCATCATCGTAAAATCGGCCTGAGAACAAAATACAATGAAAGGGGCATTGCTTCAGCCGTCAGTTACATTAAAGTTGGAACAATAATCGCGGATCATGGCGATGATCATTAACAAATTATCATCCCATACTTTGATAGGCTGTAAGACGGTTGGCTTCTTGAATTTCCGTTTGGTGATGTGAGACGGATCGTCAGGATCTAACCCCATTATAGTAGAATAGAAATTGATTGTGCTTTCTGTGAGTCGATGTTGCATCACTATCACTTTTGCGGCATTTTCGAGTAGTTCCCTAAAGCGGCTCAAGACATCTGCGAGTTTCTGTTTAATTGTGCTTTTTTTTTTTTTTTTGGATGGGGGGTGGAGGCGGATTAGCTGTTGAATATACACATCCAGAATTATTTAATACCAACCTGATACAAAATGATACTGAATGAACGTGCCTTCATCCAAAAGAATAATATCATAGGCTATGTCTGATACTTTATATATACTGTCAAGGCACACCACCAGACGTGTTCTCTTTTTCACCGCTTCGTCCGTAGATGCCCAGATACAGTACATACTGGATTTTTCGCTGTGCCTAGCACAGCCATCGAATTTGAAGGTCTCAATGCTCGGGAACTGGCCCGGCGATTCCACAATAAATTCATCGACATCATCAGAGATAGACCACACGAGGATAGCGACCCAGCTTGTGCGTGGCCATACATTTGCAAATCGTTGAATGTCGCGCATATCATCCCAGAGACGTGTACCAGCTTGTTCTCTAATTTACATGACAGATTTGCTTCCCTCCTGCCGAATCAGCAGATAGACACACAGCGTCGTGCTGATGCATGGAATGTTCGGATACTCGCTTCAGACCGAGTAGAGATTCAAGCACTCCGCCTTGTGATGACATCGAGGCATATCATCGATGATATTAATGATACTGACAGTAATACTAGTGATAGCAATGTCGAAGTTGTTGGAGAATAAAATATTATTTTGAGTGCCAGTTGTAGATAGTGTTCGTATCTACTGACGGACCAAATCGGATCAATCCACATGGGTGTTATCGTCATGTTACATTAACGACCAATCGGATCGATCCACATGGGCCTTATCGTCTTATTACATTAACGACCAATCAGATCGATCCACATGGGCCTTATCATCATATTGCAGTAGCAGCCATTTGGATCGATCCACATGGGCCTTATCATCTTATTGCAGTAGCAGCCATTTGGATCGATCCACATGGGCCTTATCGTCTTATTGCAGTAGCAGCCATTTGGATCGATCCACATGGGCCTTATCGTCATATTTAGGGTTCCTTAACGGGTCGGCGGGTCAGTGACCCGAACCGAACCGAACTGGTTTTTTTTACGGTTCGGGTTGACCTTTTCTGACCCGCCCACCAGTTCGGGTCAAGGCTTGACCCGACCCGTTGACATTACGGGTCAATGACTGAACCGACCCGTTGACATCACGGTTCAACCGCTGACCCGACCCGTTGACATCACGGGTCAACCGCTGACCCGACCCGGTAACCCGTTAGTGACCCGTAAATCTGATTTAGAATGGTGATGACATGGCACAGATTCCAAATGAGGACGCAATTAAAGAAGCAGAAGCAGAATCAGAATTTATTACGAATGAAAAGAAAATCTATGGCAAAGACAAAAAAAGAAAAACAGAGGATAAAAAATAAAGAGAACGGAAGATATAAAAAGGAAGAAAAAAAGGAAATAAAAAGAGAACGTAAGAGAAAAAAAAAGAAAGAGAATGGAAGAGCGGAAAAAAAAAAGAAAAGAGAAGAAAAGTGAACGGAAGAGGAAAAAGGAGAACAAAGGCGAAAAAAAAAAACCGAAGGGAATGGGAGGAGGAGCTTAAAGCCACGAGTTCAGAAGGATACTCTGCTTCAACGGCTCAGGTTGCAACCGATTGCGCACAGCAGGAATGAAATGCTTCGCACGAGAAAAAAACCGCTCGCATGGCGTCGATGTTGCTGGAATGGCAAAATACTTGCGTGCCATCTTCGCCAATTGAGGGTACTGGACTTGCCCCACAGTTCGCCAAAACAAAAGCTCACAGCTGTCTTCATCGTCATTGCTGGGTCCGGCCTCAATCAGCAAAGGTGCCTCCACATATGCTTGCAACGAGTCAAGCACCCGGCGTCTTTTCGGTCGGTACACATCGCGCACGTCGTCACTTCTGTCTTCCTCAACATGATCAGGGCCCTTCCATTCCGCCCAAGCTGACTGAACTTTGCACTTCGCATCGGCAATGAACTCTGGCTCCCAGTTCTGTTCCGTCCAGTACGCGTACTTTAATCGCGGATCCAATGCTGTTGCCGTCGCATACACAGGGCTTTGGTCTGTTTTAGCATAAAATTGCTGCAGCTTTTCCTGTGCTCTTCTTGCTGCTTCGGAGAGTTCAGGCGGATTTCTTTCATCGCGGAAATCCTCGATCTGATCGAGCAATACATTGTATGCAAAGACTACGATGTTGATCGAAGGATACCTATTTTCAAAACCATCAGAAAGTCGTGTAAAGTCAAAATTCAAGCTATATTTCATACCTTGACGAAGAAACCGCCTTTGTCATCCCCGAAAACATCGAAAAAAGGACAACAACTCGTTGCAAATAGGTCACATCCTCATCTGAGAGCGCAAATTCGGAAAGTTCAGAAAAATAACGGCACGTTTCATTGTATGCCTCTCGTACTTCCAGCGCTCGCTCCACCATCACCATGGTGGAATTCCACCGAGTCTTCACATCAAGGTTCAATTGCTTGACCTCATGGTACAAACTCTTGCATGAATCAATATAGAACTTTCGGTACTTCGAGGTCGATCGTCTACAAGTAAAATTAGTTCTCTGATAAAAGCCCATTTTCATTTTTTGTATTACTCCACATACCTAATCATCTTGATCCCGGTTCGCAATTTTGACACCACATTGCTGGATTGGCCATGCTCTTCCTCATTGTCAGCCAACGGTTCTGCATGCAACCCATCTTTCAAGGCACTTTGGACGGCAAGATTCAAAATATGGCCCAAGCAAGGTAAGTGATGGTGATCCTTGTTAAAAAAAAATCTGCCATCCTGCATCGATCGTTCCTCCAGCACCTTTGCCATCTTGGCAATGTTCGAGCCATTGTCGCTGGTTATGGTGAACAAGAGATGCACCACCCCAAAATCTTCGAGAACGCGCAAGAAGATATCAGCCAGATCTTCACCAGTATGACGATCTTCGGGGTGTTCAAACCCAATCAGAAGCTCCCGTTGCTGCCAGTTGTCGTCAATAAAATGGGCCGTGATTGCAAAGAAATCTTGCCCCCATTCTGATGTCCAAAGATCGAGGGTAAATGAGAGACTTACTTGCTGCTGCAAGAGCTCCATTACCTCGATCTTCTTCTCTTCGTAAAGCGCCGCAATGTCTCTCTTGGCGGTGTCGGCGCTGACTGGCTCAGTAATCATACCGTTGCGCACCGAAGAAGCAGTGGCAACCAGTTGACGGAACTCGGGCAATTCGACAAGCGTAAACGGAGACTGGCTCTTCACCAAAAAGCGCGAAACAAGACTGCGCCAGGTATCTCTCGTTATTTCAGTCGCAGGTTGGCCTAAAGATACAACAGGAACGTTTTCAGGTAAGCATACTAAATTGTCAAATGAAAAACACCTGAGAGAAACTTACTTTGAGCAACAAAATTGTCCAAAGGTCCACTGACAGCTGCGCTGGAGTGTCTGTCAGCATTACTTTCCGTGATGCCATGCTGGTTTTTTAAATGTCGGCGGATGTTGCTAGTTGAATAGTCTCTGTTGACGTAAACTTTTCGGCAGCCCCTCACCTTATAAAAAAAAAGGGTGAGCGACAGTTGTTGTCTGTAAGATCAAGTCAATTTACCTGGCAGACAATGTGCGGAATGCCTTCCTGGTTTTCACGGCGAGCAAGATCATTGGTGAAGATCCAACTACGCTTGGTTCGTTGGCTCTCCAAAACATCAACGGTAGTAAACTCTTCTTGAGAGCTGGCGAGCACGGAGACGTCGGTATCGAAAGAACTGGAAAAGCTGGACATGGTGATTGAATGGACAAGCGGTGAGATAGTTGTTATATGTAAAAAATACAGTAATACTTTCCTTTCACCATCGTATTTTCGTCCGTATATATATATCTTTTTTGTCTTTGCAAACGACAAAAAGCAGTTACAGAAATTGGATTAGTGAGAATTTTACCGCGCTACTGAATTTTGGAAAAAAAGTTCGGCCTTCCCTTTCTTGGTTCTAGCCACATTATTTTAGCTTCTTCATTCCCTACCGACCTGACGATGACGGCCATTTCTTGCACCCTTTGCCATTCTAATGCTTAGCTTCTTTTTTTTTGATTAACTACTACTTGCGTCATCACTCCATCTTAGTGCCTTACCTCTAAAAAAATACAGACCAGAGATGACGATCACTTTTTACGCTATTTTCACTATTGAACGCCTTCTTTTTTTTTCGATTAGCTTACTTGTAATATTTCACTCCGTCTTCATGCTTACCACTAAAGAAAAATATGGGCAGATATGACGACTACTTCTTGCGCTAATTCGTTATTGAAGCTTTCCTTTTTTTCAATTAACCACTTGCGTCATTCACTCCGTCTTCAATGCTTACCATAATTTTTTCCCAAGTATGATTCCTGGTGTGCCTAGATTTGCGTTGTAGTTCCACTTCCTAAGATATGCTGTTTACCCTAAGTCAGTATACTCTTCTTTATAGTTTTGCTGGCCCAGGAACTTACAGCGAACTCCGACTATTTCGGTATCGGCGCTACCGCATCTCGCTATAAAAAAAATGTTTTCGGTCAGTTGCCGTATCGCCGGCATCTCATCTCGCTATAATACTTTTCGCCCATTTCGCTACTGCCAATAACTTACTTGTGAATACACTCCGCCTTCGAGCTTGCCATTCAAAAAAAAAAAATACAGACCAGTGATGACGGTCACTTCTTGCACTAGTTTACTATTGAATGCTTTCCCTTTTTTTGTCATTAGCTTACTTGCGACAATTCCCTCCATCTCCATGCTTACCAAATAAAAAAATTATGGACCAACGATGACGACCACTTCTTCCGCTAGTTCACTATTGAACGCTTTCCCTTTGTTTTTCGATGAACTTACTTGCGACATTCCCTCCATCTCCATGCTTACCAAATAAAAAAATTATGGACCAACGATGACGACCACTTCTTCCGCTAGTCTATTTAACGCGTTCGCTTCTTTTTATTTTCGTCAACTTACTTGCGACATTCAATCCATCTCCACGCTTACCAAATAAAAAAATACGGACCAACGATGACGACCATTTCTTTGCATCATTAAGCCATATAGTCCTTTCTGCAAACAAACTGACTAACAACGTTGGCTTGCGCGGCCGATTTATTTACTTAACTGCAAGGAAGATATTCTCGAAGGGCATGCAGTTAATTATGACATGGAATGGAAGTAATGAAGAGTTGAAAGAGATGTAAATAAACCTCTTGCCTTCCCACCAATTTTTTCCAAGGTCTTTTTTCACTGTCACTGACCCGTATGAACCGAACCGAACCGAACCGTACTTCTTTATAGGTCGGGTCGGTTCACTTCTCTCATTGACCCGTGATCGGGTCGGTTCACTTCTCTCATGACCTGTGATCGGGTCGGTTCACTTCTCTCATTGACCCGTGATCAGGTCGGTTCACTTTTCTCTCGACCTAGGGTCGGGTCGGTTCAGGTCTTGACCCGACCCGACCCGTACAGTTGCGGAACCCTAGTCATATTGCCGTAGCGACCAATCGGATCGATCCGTATGAGTCCTACCAGCTATGAAGGTAAAAAACATTTTTTGTTTTTTTTTCGTTTTTCCTTTCACCTCTTTATTCATTCTCTCCGTTTTTTATTATTTTTTTAAAATGCATACATGCCCTGAGTGTAGTAAAAATTTCAGCACTAGCAGCGATGCTTGCGCATCGCCGAAACAAACATGAGACTGACATCCCTTTT